CAAAAAACGAGAGACTATACATAAGTTCACTACCTAGAAAGGTATCTTTGGGGGTCTAGAGGGTGGTGAAGATGACATGTTCTATGTGGATGAAGATACAAGTAAAGATATATCTTTGCCAGAGGTACCTACAAATGCGGTTGTTGAGCCTACTTTACCTTCTATGCCCTCGGTTCGGCGGCATGTGACATGTTCTGGGTGCGGGTTAAGAGGTCGTACATATTCTAGATGCCCTGAACGTAATTAATAGCAAAATTCAAGTTATGCCATGGTTTTAGTGGTAGTAAAAATTACTGATTTTTCGAGGTTTGGTGGGGTCGCTCGCGCGGCCGTGTCGCTCGGGCGACCGTGGATCACGTTATCGTTACTAGATATATTTATTACATAATTTTCTAGATTATATATTTAGCGTCTATTGTACTAAATCTTTATAATAACTCTTTTTTTATTATAGCTTTTTTATTATTTTAATATGATAATAATTTCTTAGACCTTCTTAAGATATTTTATAAGATCCTATAATCTATTCTTAAGAATATATATAGAGTTTTTAGATCATTGATAGTCCCCAAGAATATAGTCAACGTTCTCAATCGTCCTATATCACGCTCGTAAGAATTATTAGATCATTCTTTAAAATATTTTAGCTGTTAAAAGATATACTACGCTTATAATTCTAACTTATATATCAATTTATGAAATAATATAAATATATATATATATTTATAGCGAATTTCTTTTATATAAAGATATAATTATTCTTAGTTTTCTTGATTATCGCTTTTAGTAATAGTACTTATTTAATAATTATATATACTTTTTTAAATATTAATTATACGTATAATTCGTTAAACAATAGTCTCTTTGACTTATATTCTTGTAATTGATATCCTAGTCTATTATATAAGAAACAAAGATTCTTTTACAATGTTTATCACACTTTTCCTAGATAGTATCTAATTCTGTTAGCTTTAGACTATATGAATCATTATCTTATGAAACATATCTTGATATTTAAAGTTAAATTATAATTAAATCTAATGACCCTTTTTTTACTTTATCTCTGCTATTTAATATTTTAATATCTATAATATTTTTCACAAAATTAATTATCGATTTTAACCGCGACTTCGATTATCATATTGCAATTTCCAAATTCATTGATCTCAATAAGTTTATTTTTAATAACTAGCTTAAGTCTTATAAGATATAGAGGTTTTCTAATGTTTACAGGATAGGGCCTGTCAACTAGGTAGGAAGATGTCTCCGGAACAATTGTATCATATGAATAGTACAGAGACTGATTCTTGTAAAACTCTCAGGTTCTGTTACGAGCCAAGTCTTGATGAAAAAGAGTGCATTCAACTAGAATACTAAACATGGGGAAAGAAAGAAAGAAAGAAGAAGAAAGAAACAACACGCTGAAACAATTAAGGTAGTGATGCCTGAGGCCTCCAATCAAACAATGTAAAACACGAACTACGAAAGGCGGTGGAACACGGCAGAATCGGTTCAGGATCATTGATCCTGAATTCTTCGTGACAGGTTCTCCAGAATGGGCTATTTAACATGAACAGGAGCGGGACAGAGTGGCGGTTAAGGTACGCTGTACGATCGACAGTGATACGCTGGCAATAACCCGCCTCAACAACAGAATTCTGAATGTTCACGATCCACTCCGTTACAAGTCTATCAATAGAAGATAGAATATAGGGTTTATTCAGTTAATCTAATTATAAAAAATAATCTACTATAATTTAGAGATTTATACTAATATAGACATAATTTACTAAATATATTATAGCTTTCGTTTAGCTATCTACTATTATACGCGTAAACTTACATAAATTAACTAATACCGAAAAGGAAACGCTTCGAAAATAGACTCTTTTACTTAATAAATATAAAGTAGCCCCTTAGCCGATTACTATATAAGAGATCACGAATCTTCTTGTTGAAGCCGCGGAACTACCTTAGTTTAGATTATCGGGGAAAAGTAGGTTCATGACTTTATAGGAAGGTATCCTAAATCATCCGTTTTATGTATATAAAATAAGGCTATTATGTAGTTCTTACTATTAGCTTCGAATTTAAAGCTCTAGGTACTATCCTTCGGTAGCTTAACTAATAAAGCCTATAACAATGTACGGCTATTAAGAAACTCCGTCAACAGCTTTCTCTTAGGCTGTAAATATCGCGAGGGATAAGGCAAGAATTAGGATCCTTACTGGATTCTAGTAAAAATTTAATGAGCAGAAAGGCCTTGATCGAATCATCTCTTAAAATCTCTGCCTCTTTATAACAATTCCATCTATATTTTCCTATTTGTATGTATCATTCTGATTTATCTATGGTTCTTTATTTTATATAATGTATCCCCAACGCGACATGAAGAGAACGATTAGAATGATTAATATTCAAAGATAGCCTACAGTAGATGGTAAGATATTTGATGTATATTCGGCAGCATGCCCACTTGATAATTCATACTTTGTTAGCCCATCTCATAGACCTACACTATAGGCGCAGAACAGGCGAATAATGGCTAAAATTACCAGGAAGATGATAATGATAAATTAAATTCAAGAAAACCTCTTATGATCATACATACCATAGATCATGAAAGGAGAGCAGATAGTAAACAGCAAACAGGAAATGCATGCCAAATAAGGGGTGCATGCATATCTATCACTGTGTCTTGTTTGATCGCTTTTCTTCATGGCCCACAAGCAATATTCGAATAGAAAGTTCATCCTTATTCAATTGTTTATATACTCTAAGCACATACGAGTAGCCCCGTTAGGTTATCGATTATCATTAAAGCCAATGATTGTTCATTTGGCTAGTAAACTTACCCTGTGGTCAATTTTCTATCTCCACATGGTATATAGCACTCTCTGCTACGATCTGTCTAAGATAGTAAGTACATTCGATCGGTTTGCAAAAAACAAAGACTATCACGTTTATCAATATAAGTAATCAAATTATGTGCTCCAAGGTTCAGACAGAATGCCGGGGAACCAGTGTGGTAATTTACTCTATAAGTCTTCATGGTAGAATACACTAGTGAGGTAGCATCAAAATCTCTGCAATGAGCGATCGCTATAGAATTAAGCAAAACGAGGCAGCAATCATGATGATACTATCAAAGATCGGTTGGTTACTTGAAGGAGAAAAAAAAGTTAGACATACTCTGGGCTCTGAAGTACTAAATAGTTTAGATGACTATTATAGTAAGTTAGAGGAAGAATCTGTTATGAAGTCAGGTCAACTAGATGAAGCAATTCACGAGGGCTATTAAGCTAACTATAAGAAGTGGGAGAAGGATAGATATAAAAATGAAGCAATAGACCAACCATATAATGATTAATTGACATAGTAAGAAAAAATATAATAAGCATAAGCAATAGGTAGTCAGGTGGTCTTTATGTCCCCACCTTTACACAGAGACCTGCAGAGCGAGCCACAGGGGAATGTACGTATTTGCAGCAGATAATTCTTCTACCCTTCTACTACAGTCATCTTATACCCAAGCTTTGGTAATGTTATTCTACGCTGTATACTACCATAGTATAGAGAGAGACCATGCCAACATGGCAAGAAACGGGCTGTCTATATTAGACCACAGACCCACTTGTACCACCCATCAGCGAACTCCAATAGCTGCCGTAAGGCGCCCCAATTTTTGTACATTTTTTTTAAAAAAATACTTTTCATAATTGAGGCGAACTTATAATGGTTATACCCTAGGTAAGTGACAGCAATGATGATAATGATGATAATTGGAAACTTCGATGATTTAAAAACAAGAATGGAAGTAATGATCAATATTGTATACATATGTACATATGTAAGTAGATGATCATTCCAAGGTTACTGCCTAATGTAGGCAGCCGCTCAGCCCTGCCTACGTAGGTCCCACTACTGTTGTACATATGAGTCATACCCCTACGTCACTTCAATTGAAGTTTACAACACTCAATTGTTGTCAGTCACAACAAAAAAAATAGCTAGAAGATTGACAATTGAAATGACCAAAAGAGGGAAGGTATTTCTATTTCAATTCATAAGACAGGTAGAATGAGAATTAACGAATGGACAAAAAAGAAGAAATAAGGGAAAGAACAGAAGAAGATAAAGGATCTACATAATCTAATTGGCCCACATGTAGATGTCCTATTAGGTGATTGCCCGCATAAGATGTTGTCATGTGGCATTTAAATTACGAAAGATCAATACAAGGATCAAAATTACAGTACGTATCAAATTATTATGGATACTACTTTTCTAGATATAGTAAAACAAGTAGATTGAGTGTGTACCTGGATACTTCACTTCGCATAATAAATATACATCTATGTCAACCTGCATATATGTAAAATTAGATGTAACAGCTATGTATATATATGTACCCGAAGTAATATCTGTATTATATAAAATACCCAAATGATGAGATCAGCTGGTTCTTCCCAGATGACTGCGCCCCCCAACAAGAAAGAAAGCGCTCTGATACCCTTTTTCTTCTCACAAAAGAAGAACTTCATTGGTTCCCCTCCCATTGTCCGATTGTCTGAGTCCCATGTCCCATGAGACAACCGCCCCCCCTTGTCACCTTGGGTAAAAAGGAGATACTCGGACTCCCTCTTCTTTCTCTTTCCCTTTTTTACGCGCCCTCCCCCGCAGTTTATCACAATTGACTCACAGTTCTCAAGATTCCCGGATTTTGTCACCCTTTTTATTCTACTCAATTCTCAATTTATTGATTCAATTTGACTCTTTCAATATTGGCTCTTCCACAATTGACTCATTCTCTTAAAACCGGCTTATCGCCACCCTTGGAAGACCGGAACACTGAAGACCTGACAAATCAAACTGATTAATTCCATTGACTTCTCCAACATCTCTGTTGCCTTTTCTCCTTTCTCTTCTTCTTTTGCTATCTTGTATTATTTCCCCTTCCCCCTATCTTCTTTTCACTCTTCTCAATTATCTGATTTGGAATGACTTCAGCTGGCTGGCAGCCGGCCCAACAGCCCAACATGAATCGTCTTCCATCTGTGTCGACCCTCATGTCACCCCCTGAGACCAAGCCCATTGAGAGTTTCTCTGCACTCTCCTCATTTGCAAAGCATGCTTCACCTGAAATGAAGCTGGCTCCCATTGCAACTGATCGAAAACGGACGCAGTCAGAGATGAATCTTCCATCGCCACCTGTGACCCCGTATACTGCGAACAAGAAACGAGATTCTTCGTCCGATCAAATCGAACGGGATGTGGGATCCTCCATGGACCCCGTTCTTTTCCCACCCCAGGAATCCAATACTGACGTTGCCACTGATGAACCGCTATTTGGCCCTGTCCATTCATCCGCAGAGGCTCTTGTGGAACGGCACATCGATTCTCACATGGCACTGTTTCGAAACAAAGTAAACAAACCAACCAGAGATGAGTATCTTTTAGCGCTCTCCTGTGTGCCCATCGTCTCAACCCAGTACAACCGTAATCCCGGTGCCTGGGCTCGAGAGGAACGGGAAACCTTGGAGCGTCAGATGATTATGATGAACCGTTATCATCGCCCAAGAGATTACGAAACTAAGTTGAAGAAGATTGCGCCCGCTCCGGCCAAAAAATCAGGGATCCAACCGCGCATGCAGCAGCGGCCCAGAGTCAGACGCACCCCTAAGTCCACCCCCAAGCAGCAGGTCTTCGATACCTTTGATTCCTCCCCCCCGACGGTTAGCAAGGCACGTGCCCTGGGCACCAATCGTGATGATACCGATTACCACTCACTGAAGGACTATTCGCCCCCACTGGAAACGTTGGGCAGCAATGTCAAAGCACTCAAGGCAGATTGGAAAGGGCAGATGCTAGACTTGAGCACTGATCCAGACAAAAATATGCTCAGTCCTGCTGAGCTTAACCTGGCCTCAACTCTTAGGCTTTCCTGTGCCACATACCTATGCAGCAAGCGTCGTATCTTTGAAGCACGAGTCCGCGCTCTCGGCGTTGGCAAAGAATTTCGCAAGACAGACGCTCAACAGGCCTGCAAAATTGACGTCAACAAGGCGAGCAAACTTTGGACCGCGTATGATCGCGTGGGTTGGTTCAAACCGGATTATTTCCATCAATATTTGAAGTGATGTTACAACTTGCCTGCACAATGGCACCGTGTGGATTATCCTACCGCCCAACTCACGACCATAACCCCCTCTCTCTCTCCCCTCCCTTCCCTCAACTATGGACTGAACCTTTTCAAGAACAACTCTCCCAATGACCGAAACTGACTCCCCAGTGGCCATCACTGCGCAATACAGCCCACGACTATTAATCCATTTGAGCGCAGTCTGTACGCCTGACAAGGACACATCGGGGCTTGTTCCTAGTATCGGCCTATGCCATGATATTCCTTTTTCGGTCTCATCGCTACTTGATTCTCACGACACATTTACGATCCGCTCTTTTTCTTTGTGTGTGCTTTTTTTTCTTTGAAGATTCCCCTTTGATTCCATTGCATACAGACGTTGCCTCGGTTATGTTCTCTTTTCTTCTTTCGGCCCACTGCATGGGATCTGACCTTCTCTTTTCGACTTCGGTCCCTGGCTATGGTGTTTCGGGGTTGTTACTCCTTTTTTTGAGTTTGAAACTGGGTTAGATTGGTAGGCTTGGATAGCCACGGATGATTTCTCGTTTTGAACTTTGCTTATTGAAATTCTTCGTTTTGTCCTTTTGTTTTGGGAATGCACTAGCACATAGGACAAGGCTTGATACCCTGACCAGATATGGTTTTTTCCCCCTCTAGTCCAATGAATTGAATGAATTGAATATCCAACTACAAAATCATAAGGACACAAGGACATCATATAAGGGAGATTCTCAGTAAATAAATAAATATAGATATGTAATCCGTAGAGAAAAAAGAACAGATCGTGTTTCTAAATTAAAAAGCGGTGGGGCGCAATGCCGGCGCGTCCGCGCCACCTTTTTCTGACGTCTCCTTGTCTTATCATCTCTCATCTTCCATTTTCCACTTACCTCATTCTGGTAATCAGCATGTCGCAGGCTGAGGGGACTCGTAGTGAGTCTATTGATGAACCGCGTGCAGACGATGACAAGAAGGTCAAGAGTCGCCGACCAGCCAGTAAGTCCTCCCCCTTGATTTTCCATCGTCTTTACTGAAGTCTGGTTTAGATACTGCTTTTCGCCAGCAAAGATTGAAAGCATGGCAGTAAGGTTGAGTGCTATACCTCTCTCTGGCTGTGCTAATTCTCCCCCAGGCCAATCCTGACCCCTAAAAGCGTTCTGCCACTCTTCTTTATTGTCGGCGTGATATTTGCCCCCATCGGCGGTGTTCTTCTCTGGGCAAGCTCTTTAGTATGTCACTGTTTCAAGGTAGTTTGCTGAAGCAAATATGATCTGACGAGATCCAGGTCCAGGAACTATCTATAGATTACTCCGATTGCTCGAGACTGGCACCGTTGAAAGGTACCTCCGACGCCAGTCCTGTTCCTACTTATTCGGCGACCTTCAAATCTAAAATGCCAAATCCCCCTACCTGGCAAAGATCTTTTGACTCTGCGAACGCCACCATCTGCCATCTCGGGTTCGACCTCCCGGATGAGCTTCCAGCACCCGTATTTATGTACTACCGCCTCACCAACTTCTATCAGAACCACCGTCGATATGTCCAGTCGCTCGACCTGAATCAACTCAAGGGAGACGCTGTCTCCTACAGCACAATCAATGGTGGCACATGTGACCCTTTGGCAGTCAATGCGACAGCCAAAAAGGTGTACTACCCATGTGGACTGATTGCCAACTCAATGTTCAATGATTCCATCGGCAACCCGGAGATCAATTCGGCTACAGGATCAGCAAACGGGGAGAAAACCTACTATAATATGACCAAGAAGGGGATCGCATGGGAAAGTGATAAGGAATTGATTAAGAAAACCAAGTATACAAGTGATGAGGTATTACCTCCGCAAAACTGGGGTTGGGCCGTGAAGGATGGAGTCTATACCGAACTGCACAAATTACACGAAAATGAAGATTTCATGGTCTGGATGAGAACGGCTGGTCTGCCATCCTTCAGCAAACTCTCACGCCGCAACGATGATGATCCCATGCCTGTTGGTCATTATTCACTTGCCATTACCGATTGTATGTGTTGGCTCTTCGTTTGTATCTTCCTAGCGCTAACTTTTATCCAGATTTCAACGTAACGGAATATGCGGGAACAAAGTCAATCTTGATCTCTACTCGAACTGTACTTGGAGGAAAAACCCCTTCATGGGCATTGCTTATGTAGTGGTTGGTGGAGTCTGTGTGCTTCTTGGAGCTTTGTTTACAGTTGCACACCTAGTGCGTCCGAGGTATGAAAACAACCCCTTGATCTTTGTGTGATCAGTATAATCCGAAACGCTCAAAAATTGTGAGACTAACCAAGATCTAGAAAACTTGGTGATCATACCTATCTTACTTGGGATTCGAATCAACCTAGTGCTGCTGTCGCGACTGGACGCGATGATGGATTTGGATCCAATGCACCTTAAATGGCATAGGATGTTGTCTTTCTCTTTTTTTTTTTTCTTCTTTCTCTTCGTCTATGAATTCGTCTATGAATCTGTCAATGTACAAACTGTTTTTTCTCGAGAAATTGGTGTTTAGCAAGGTGTTCCTATGTATGTTAACTTATTGCAGCTCCAAACCTATTTCTATCCTTATAAGACAAAAACGAAAAGGATCTCAAACCTCTGACATCAGTCAAGACAATTGTTTTTTTTTTCTTTCACATACCAAGTGGTTTCACGCCTGTTTCGTGATCTTTGGCATACTCGAGATATCCCTTGCTCGAGGTATACATTCTCCCATGACGCAGCATTCCTCCAGATCATGGAATCAGATCATGTAGTGTTTGCGAGGAAATCCAGCCATATAGCCATGAGGCCATCTGTCATCGTTTTCGATTGACTTATTCATTCCTTTGCGCCTTTTCTTTTTGCCCCATCCCCCGAACCTCGACGGGGGAAAACATCGAAAACCAGAGCTTCCAACACCAACATGGTCCGTCACTCCTTTTTCCAGCTCGTGGTCCTCGTCACATCCCTGTTCTTGCAGGTTCACTGCAGCCCCCTCGCTCTCCGGAAACGAGGTGTATGTGCCACCGAAGACCCTGATGAGGGTTTCCTCCATCAAATCGGCCGTTTGAGATTATCTGAAGCCAATCCTGCCACTTCCCAGGCCAGAAACGCCCCCATCGAGATTGCGACTTGGTTCCATATTGTTAGCAGCAAATCGCAGTCCGCACAGGTTTCGGATGATATGATCAATGCTCAGGTTAGTGTTTGCTCTATTTGACCAACACACTAATATTAATCAACGTTATCACAGCTTTCTATCCTACAACAATCCTATGCAGACTCTGACATTTCATTTCGGTTACAAGGCGTCACCCGTCATGTTAATGATGAGTGGGCAAGAAATGGAGATGATGTGGCAATGAAGACGGCCCTTCGTAAAGGAACTTACCAAACGTTGAACGTCTATTTCCAAACCGATCTTCAGGCATCACCCGGGCAATATGGACGTGCCCTCGGAACTAGGGATGCCAGCATCAATAGTGACCTGGCATCAAGTGTTCTGGGATTTTGTACCTTGCCTGATCCAAGCGTCAATGCTAGTAGCCCTGCATCTCAATATGTCAAGGATGGTTGCAATATCCTGGCCAAGACCATGCCCGGTGGCTCATTAGATCTCTACAACAGAGGTGGAACTGCCATTCACGAAATCGGACATTGGAATGGCCTCCTACACACTTTCCAGGGCGAATCTTGCTCGGCTGACAACCCTGGGGATTATATCAACGACACCCCTCAACAATCAACACCGACAGATGGTTGCCCTACCCGCAAGGATTCATGTCCCGACTCACCTGGATTAGACGCAGTTCACGATTTCATGGATTACTCCTCGGACGTTTGTTATGAGAGCTTCACACCTGGACAAGGAGAACGTATGCGGAGTATGTGGACCTCAATGCGCCAAGGGAAATAGTGCAGTTCTATACATTCGGGGTAGTTCCACATATATAGGGAAACACAGGGAAACCATTCTGCTTAGTTTTAAACCGAATTTTGCGATTTAGAGCGAAATCTTACTTGTTTAATGGTAAACCAATTTAAAATAATGAATAATAATATTTCATGGCCGTTTAGATAAAATACAGAAGACACCGGTTTCCTGCCGATTATCAGAAAGCCCTACATCTCCAATTTAGACCTATCGAAGTGCGGTAATATTGCCGCTCCAAAATTGGATCAAACGGAGATGTAAATCGTGAGACTGGCTTTGTAAATTAAAAAAAGAAGAAGAAAACATGCAAAAAGAAAAGTGTCTGATACCCAGTCCAACTTATTAGCGCTTGCGCTTGATTCCACGATCGCTGTCGTCCTGGTTCATTTCTTTGTCCTTGCGTTTCGCCTTCTCTTCAAGTTCATCCCAGTCCTCACCACTCTCCTCATCACCACTGAAGTCCCCCTCGCTAGCATCAGCGCTCGCATCATCGTCGAAGTCGCTGTCTTCCTCGGAGCTCTCATCTCCAGCTGCAAGCTCTGAATCGGACATCTCGAAGGCTGACTCCTCTTCCTCATCTGATCCTTCCGAGTCGGATTCGGCGGACAGGAAAGACCAACCACCATCGGCAAAAAAGCCATAAGGATCACTGATAACTGTTTTCATAATCGTGGTCCAGTTCAAGTTGAGAGGACCCTCAGTGAAGGCAATGTCAACTGAGTCAAGCCAGTCCTTGACACCTTCCAGGGACTCGACAGGAATCGTGTTGATGTGAACGGGGGCCCGGCGGAAGTCCTTGAAAACGAACACTAAATCGAAGTTTTTGAGACCAAACTGCACTCGCGTTAGCAAAACATAGATAGAGAAATTAAGCAAGGGAAAAGTTTTACCTGAACTCTCTCCAGATGAGCAATCTCGATTTCATTCAATGTAACGGTCGTGAACGGAGGTTCAGTTAGCTGAACCAGAGCGTCGGTGGTCGGTTGGATCAAAACATTGGATCGGTTTGGAACACCAGTGAAGCCAATCTCTCGGAAAGGAATGTCGACATCCACGCCCTCATCCTTGCCTGCATCTGCGACCTTCTCCGCGAAAGCCTTAAACTCCCGATCCAATGCAGCTCTGCGCCGTCTTTCCTCCTGTTCAGCCTCGAATTCTTCCTCGTCTCCGTAACGGTGCTTGCGACGACGGTTTCCAGTTTCATCGAACTGCATCTCCGTAGCCTCGCGGTAGAACTGGATATCCTTTGTCTTTCTCTTGCCAATCATGATGGGTGTCTTGAGATGCACGTGAATGAGGACGATCAACTCATGGGCACATGGTTGGAAGAAAAGATGCTTGACGTTGCTGAAAAGGACGTCAACATGCTCATTGCGGAATGGTGACAGGTACCGAAGACCATTCTGGTGAATTTCGACTTCACCAGGCACACGCTTTCCGTCCAGCGGAGGTCGAAGGTAAACATCGGGAAGCTTTACCGGACGTCGGTTCCTGATTTCAACGAGTTTATCTTGCTCGACGACATCTTCCATTTCCTTCTTCTCCTGTTCTTTCCTCAAGGCATTCTTGCGCAGTTCCGTGATATCCTGCGCAACTTTTGCAAGCCGGTCATTGTCCTTGGATCGAAGAGTGAGATTCCGGACGAAATGGGCGGATAAGTCCTCAAAGGGCTGGTCATCCTTCCTGCCAACACCTTGGCCTGGAGATAAGAAGTTGATTCGCAGATACGCGTACTCTCCTTCATCACTCTTGCTGGCGTTTTTGATGGTGTTGATATGGAAAGGTACCGGCCGGCCCATGATAGGCACAATGACGGTTGAAGTCTTGAGATCAACGTAGACTGTGAGGTCCTTGACCTTGGCAGGAAGTTGGTTGTCTCGCTTATAAGACTCGAAGCGCTTGAACTTTTTCTGCGCCACGCCATTCTCGTCCCCGGTAGTACCCGCAAACCGATCCAACCCTTCTTTTGTCTTCTTCGAGGCCAACTCTTTTTGGTGCTCACGGCGTCGGGCCTCTGCACCTTCATTTACCTGTGTAGGTCGTTCGGCACGAAGTTTGGTTCGTGTGACGTTTCTGCTTGCAATAGCATTAGACTTGGACTCTTTCTTTTCCTTGACGGGCTTCTCGGGCTCTTCCTCGTCACCAAAATAGAAGGAAATTGAGTCCATGTCGATACCTGCGTCCTTGGTGAAGATGTGAGGACCGCTTTCCCCTACGCGGACTGTATCAGTGATGACCATAGAATAGCCACCATTCTTGGCACTCTTTGAGTCTGCATCCTTCACATCAGTCAGCCCGATCGTGATTGAAAGCGTCATGCCGTTCTTCAAGACGCGATTGTTCTTGGCGTTGAGAACCATGTTGGCATCTCGCAGCTCGATTCCGATACCTGCACCAATGTTTTTCACGAAGTGTGTCTCCAATTCAGGTTTTTTGGCACGAACAAGGCTCAGGGCTTTGTTATAAACGTCTTTAGCTACCACGCCATCCCGGATTTCTTTCATAGTTGCTTCGTGAAGACTTAGCAGCAGGGCATAATTCGCTTCCTGAGATTTGGTGGGATCGACCAGATAAGTGCGCCCAATGAGGGAACTGTAGGTCTTGTATCTGATGCCGAAGCTGGATATAATGATGCCGGGTTCAAGGTTTTTGCCGTCGGATTTGGCAGTGAGCTTCAAGTCGTATGTGCCACCACTTTGAATCACAGGCCCATAGGCCCAATCGATCTGCTGCGCATCAAACTCTGATGGGAGTCGTGCTAGCTTGTTGAAAAATTTCGCGTCGTCAATTTTTGCGTCAACCTTTGCGGCGAGCGCCTTGTGTGTCATTTTCTTTTCTTCGTCGAGCAAACGCGACATTTCGTCCACGAAGTACTCCGACATGAGACCACTGCATGCTCTAGAGGCATTGCGGATGGACACCTTTGCACTGCGTCAGTATTCTACATGTATCTTGGCATAGGGGGTAGGTATAAAACGAACCAATTCGTCGGAATCCTTGATGGCAAAGGCGCTCGAAAGTGCAGGTGTGATATCAATTTCTTCCACTTCCTTTGAGATTTCCGCAAAGGCACGTTTCCATTCATCTGCGAAGGGTCCGGATGTTGTATCTTTGGGGAAGGTACCGACTTTGCCCTGTAGTTGCCGTGGTTAGCTGGGGCAAACCCAGAGTGCTTCCATTCGGAGGTTTATTGAAAACTCACTCCTGCAGTTTTGATGACTTCCAAGCACTTTTCAAAAGCCTTGGTCTTCGATTCTGGATCTTTAGTTGTGACTAGAATCTCAACTGGAATCTTGCCGTCCTTCAGTGGTTCCAGATGTTTCGCTGCGATTGAAACTGATCAGCCGAGTAGCGCGCGATGGGGAAATTGTCGATAATCACCTTTTTTGGCTGTAGTGACAACATAGATCGCTTCTGTCGTGAGAACAAAAAGTGTGGCTGGGAACTCGTATCCAAGAAGCCAGAACTAAGGCCATCCTCAATTAGTAACAATGCGATGAGGCTACCACGCCGTATAAGGACAAGCTAGGAAGACACCCACATGCATGGCATTATTCTTCTGGAATGAGTGCTCCTCATCGGTCTTGCCCATGAGAATGACCATAGAACCTGCATTTCCAAACAGGGCATTCCCTGAGCGCTTATCGGCCTTCCATGATGCGTAGAAGCTGGATAGGCGATTGAAAAAAGTGTTCTTGTCAATAGCGATCTCTTCCGCCATGATGTTCAATGCGAGCAAGTTTTGCCGCTGTGACAAGGTCGCAAGCTAGAGAAGAGTAAAAGCTATCGCAGATACGGCAAATCTTTGGATCGAGTGGTAATAAAAGAAAGGCGGTATGCGATAACTGTAATGAATGATAGATAGAAGGAAGATTTGGGAAGATAGAAGGATAAAAAGATAGAAAAGAAAGAAAGGGAAGCTTAGGGGAACGCGAAAAGCGCGTTTTGACGTTGTTGGCCTCACTGGTCTACCGTGTCAAAGTACTACCCTTTTTGTCTTAGTCTCTTGTACAATATCAAAATCAGAATTCGTTATACTAAACATACATAGATATGTGTGTATCTTTTTACCTCTGTTATATCTCTCTTTTAGACTGCAAAAGTGCCATCTCACGTACGATTTACATTGATGAATGTAAATTTACTAAACTCCATGGCTACAGAAAGGTAAAGAAGTCCTTACATGTAGCTAATAATTATAAGAGTATACTAGGTGCATTCCAACATTAGAAGGTTGATAAGTTACTTGGAATATGACACAAAAAAAGAGGTTCAGTGGTATAATAGTTCTATCTGACCCATCGAGTAAAAAAAAAAAAAAAAAGCCAGGTCAAAACAGGGTATCATATGTATATTCACATAAAATTCTATCAGCAAGACTTCAGCAAGATTGTTGATGCCCTTGACTCCCTTGTCAACAACCAGGTCCATGGACACAGAAGAGAGCGAGAGCAAAGAAGGGCAAAAAGAAAAGAAAGGGTCACCAAAAGCACGCCTCCCTATGTGAGGAGAATGTCATACCCATCACTTTGAATGTGAACGGAATCTGCAGGATTGGCATAACGTCGGCGTACCAACTCAAATATAACTAGACCGGCACTAGTGCTGGGAACTTGGCGTATGGATGTCCCAATAAACCCACGGAACAACCAAGGTCGCCAACCCCCGACCCGTGCAGCCTTTCGCTTGCATCTCTTAAAGGTCTCTTGATAGGCATGGTAGTAGAGTCGCATCATTTTCTGTCGTGAAGGAATAAGGCTGGCCTGGTGATCCAAATATTCCAGCCGACCCAGATGAAGGTCCTGGATGATGCTCAAAGGGTGTTGAATCGACTGTTGGGCGATTGATGCAACAACGCCAGCCATCATAAGAAAGCAGGGTTCTAGAGCATAATGGGGCTTGATAAGAGGCACGCCGCGGTTGCTGAATTCTGACAATGCAAGCATGTCCACACGGTTGCCCTGCAGAGATCCGTAGTACCAAGTGACAAAGGAATAGTAGGACTGAGATTTGATATACTCGAATGACGAGAAGAACACCGCATAGCCAAGTGAATCACGCATGAAGGAGAGACTCCAGCCTGCGAATACTCCGCGAAGGCCGATTTGTTTGAGCTTCTGGTGGCCATAATGCCACATGCTCCGGTACTGACCTTGTAGCATGTCACTAGTCTGAAGGCGAACCTGCAGTGCATCCAATGGGGCTGCTATAATCGACTGTATCGTTCCTGCAGCAAAACCAGCGGCGAAAGTTGCGGATGGTGGAGCTGGGGGCCAGACTCGTTTGACTCCCTGTGAGACGGGTTCATGAAGAGACCCCAGAACCTGGAGATAAGATGTATATAGAACTGCGCCGACTCTAAAAAGACACGGTTAGAGGGTTCGTACACCAAGAAAACATGCACTGCAGAATGACGCACCCTGCATTTGCCATCAAGGGTGGCAGAACCTGGTTTGGGATAAAGCGCCAACCATAAGTTCGAACAGCATGGAGCAACAATCCTGGAGTTGTCGTATGTAGAGACCATTTGCCTTCGGCCACACGAGGATTCACGGCTCTTGCAAATGCCTGTTTAAACACAAAACGCAGAAACAGCTAGTGATTAGTTCAAAGTTCTGATATATCATAGTTTGTTGGGGGGAAGGTATATACCATATAACTAGAGCAACCGCATTAGACAAAGGCCATTTTTGATATGTATAGAGACAACATACTCAACACGTGTACGAAAGAACGCTTTGATCGGTGCTCTGAAATAAAAGGCTACCATCTGTGCACTGAGAGCGCGGACACCTGCAGCAGATACTCCGGTAGCTGCATCATTGCGAGGCTTCCTTCGTGCATTCCCCTCGCCGATGTGAGGTTCAAGAAATATGGGAGATATCGAGGTCATGTTGAGTATCACAAATATGAAACTAGGTACATCATAAGAGTGGATAATATTTGTTTGGAGACTGGCTCAAGAGTAAATTGTAAAGCGGAGGTGATGTAGGCGAGGGCGCATCACAAGTGATTGACGAAAGGAACGACCGAATGAAGGTTTACACATGACATTGTGACCTTGGCATGAAGAAAAAAGAGAAAGAAAGGAGAAAGAGAACAACAACAACAACAACTAGAGGCCCAAAAAGCACAAAGCTGAAGAAGCTGAAGAGTCACAGATTAGATAACTATCAAAAGCTCAAGTTCTGTTTTTTTCTAAGATGGGTGCCTGAAGATGCCTTATCATAGACCGCCTTCTAGACCGCTCTAGTTAATGTTCTTTTTATACTCCGTACATCTATTTTTAACTCTATATCTTCTCTCATTTTCACTACCTATTAAATGTAGAGATTCATTAGTCTGAACCCTAATAAAGAAGACATTATTAATGTTACGTATAGAGCTATCCGGGCCATCCTATAAGGATTAGCGGGTCGGGCCCAAAGAATCGCCTCTGATAATAGTAGTGTATACATCCTACCCTAGAGATTCGATAGCCATGGATACAGGATTGAGTCTATAAGCTTCTACTCCGCTACAGCACCAGTGGTAAACACGTATAATTGTATGGTGGGAATAGCTTTACTTTTTCTTCCTTTCTTTCTTGACTTACTAGATAGAATTACTACGTACTCTGAACTACTGAACCTCTTTTATTTTTTTGTTATAGCTAATGTAAGTTAACAACCTTCCATGTTTATATGTATTTATTAGCTACAGATCTACGTATAAGTGTACCTAAAAGACCCTAGAGGCTCCCCTGGTATTCAAAACACCAGGCCAGAACGCTCATACATCGAGTTATAACATTCCCGTAAGCTCCAACTTACTTAGATTGAATGACAGTTCCCGAGGTCTCTTCAAACTTGAAAATTCTACCACAGCAAACGCAGGTACACAGGGGCAAAAATCCTTTTGTCCTACCTTGAAAAATAAGTTGAATTTGATTCTGTTAACCACAAAGAAGATTTTAGATTCTAGACAATATATACTTACATAGCATTTTAATTTGTACATTATATACATATTTAACTATAGTGTTATACAAGATAACTACGGAGTATACCAATCGACGATGTCGATCTCCCCGGATTCGAGATTACCGTATGCGTACAGTACAAGTAAAGTTGTAAGTAACCCGTGACATCTGTCCTCGACAACTTCCCCCTATTACCATTTCTTTACTCCGTACTTATTTCACTTTTTATATCTCTTCCCTTATAAATCCAACCCTGATTATTTGATACCTATAACCAGGTAAACCTTCAAAATATCACATTTTTGATGTATAATGCTCTCCCTTGGGGACCCTTGAACCCTTTTTTCCGTGCCCAAACGCTTTCCCCTCCGGATCTCCGCCTGACCACTCGATCTCCGTCATCCTGCGTGTGACTTTGCGACTTTACTTAGACTCTGTTTTACCGCAAGTGGCCGCAAGTGGCGTTACCTCATCGCGACTAGTACGAAGTGGGGAAACCGCTGACTCCTTGCGGAGACTCTTTCTATTATCCATATCAGTAACTCCACACATTCTGCGGGCGAACACCAGCCCGTCACCGCCATCATTCCTCCTACTTCCTCCCAACGCGCCTCTGTTATACCCCTCCAATCTTTACAATCTGATTCACAATATTCTCAAGCCCGGATTCAAGAGTCTGTCAGTGAGAAGGGCAGTCGAAGATTTTCTCATTCGTCTGCTCGCTCAGCCGAGTCTGACTTGTCGCTTTGGTCAGACACCGGTGACCTCGCCGAACAGTTCACCGAAGTCGAGGATCCGCTACAGTCTCGATACCGAAACTCCGTGGACCGAGAGCTCTTGGGTCGCAGAGGTCACAGGAGACCCAAACACGTACATTATTATTCTTCCCCACACTTGAGCGACGAACAACCTGGCATCGATATAGAGAAGATCCGAATACCTAGCCCACCGCCCCGGAGTATTTCAAGAGCTGAACGCTTGCTGGCAGCAATTATGACACCTAGAAATGCATCCAACGCCCAGATACACGGCTTGGTCGGAAAGCCACTACTGTGAGTATTTCAATCATCGGTTCTACCTTGTACTAGCCCCGACTGACCCTGGTTGATATGAAGTTACTTCACGAGCGTGTTTGTATCCCTGGGGGTATTTCTCTTCGGCTATGATCAGGGTGTAATGTCTGGTATCATCACGTTTGTGTCCCTCTTTCCTGGGTATATTTTGACTGTAAATTGGACAGGATCGTTAACAGCAGCAGGGGTTGGTACTTCAAAGATTACTTCAATCAACCGTCACGGGCTACTATTGGTACTGTGGTCGCCGTCCTTGAAGTCGGCGCATTCATATCATCCCTCCTTGTGGGTCGCGTTGGTGATATGATCGGCCGCCGGAGAACCATCCTCTATGGCTCTATCGTTTTCTTCATCGGTGGCGCGCTGCAGACATTTGCAAACGGTATCCCGATGATGATTGTTGGGCGTGTCATTGCCGGTCTCGGTGTTGGCGCTCTATCGACCATTGTACCGGTTTACCAGTCTGAAATCTCGGTATCGACCCTTTCTCCTTCGCTTATGCGTTCATGTGTTTCGTTCCCCGAAATACTGACAATGTCACAGCCTCCCCCACAACCGCGGAAAACTCGCATGTATTGAATTCACCGGAAACATAGCCGGATATGCAACCAGTGTATGGGTAGATTATTTCTGCAGCTTCATCGACAGCGACTACTCTTGGCGCCTCCCACTCCTCTTTCAGTGTGTAATGGGTGCATTGCTTGGCTTTGGCAGTCTGCTTATCTGCGAATCACCAAGGTAGGTAGACACTCCATCGCTGTGCCTGCTGCGCTAATCCGCAACTCGCCACTCAGATGGCTACTGGACAATGATCACGACGAGGAGGGTATGGTGGTAATTGCTAATCTCTATGGTGAAGGCGATCTGCTCAATGACAAAGCCCGCCAAGAATATCGTGAGATCAAAATGAATGTTCTTGTCCAGCGTCAGGAGGGCGAGCGATCCTATTCAGACATGTTCCGCCGGTATCGCAAACGTGTTTTAATCGCCATGTCAGCCCAGGCTTTAGCCCAGCTCAACGGGATCAATGTGATCTCATACTATGCACCTCTCGTGTTTGAATCGGTATGAGTGCCACATTATAGCTACTATTCCCTTATTGTTCCCGTCGCTTTGTCCTTTCCGTCCCCCAGACAACTGTGAATCAAATCGACTGGTACTGATAATCTCTTTTTTACAGGCTGGCTGGGCCGGACGTGACGCCATCCTCATGACTGGAATCAATGGCATCTCGTACTTGCTATCTACTATACCACCGTGGTATCTTGTGGATGGATGGGGTCGGCGACCCATTCTGCTTTCGGGTGCTGTGGCTATGCTAATATCTCTTTCTTTGATATCATATTTCATTTACATTGAAATTCCAGCCACACCGACCCTGACAGTCATATTTGTCATGGTCTACAATGCAGCCTTTGGGGCGTCCTGGGGCCCCATCCCATGGCTTTACCCTCCTGAGATCTTGCCTCTCAGTATTCGGGCCAAGGGTGCAAGCTTGAGCACCGCATCAAATTGGGCATTTAACTGGCTTGTGGGAGAAGTGACTCCTGTTCTCCAGGCAGCTATCAAGTGGCGGTTATACTTGGTTCATGCATTCTTTTGCGCATGCAGTTTCGTCCTTGGTAAGATCAAATACGCTCCATTTGTTATCGACTAGGTACCAGTTCGCTGAACTCTCTTTTCACTACAGTGTATTTTTTGTATCCCGAAACAAGTGGTGTTCGGTTGGAAGATATGAACATACTCTTTGGCGACGCTTCAACGGCCATGCCCACTCCTGCTACACAAGCCGAACGAGGATCGTTGATGGGTGCTGGATCACCTGTTCCTTCCCTTGACTTGCGTCGGCAGTATGGTCAATTTGGGACCGAGAGTTCCATCCCTGGTCTTGACATCGATCCGCCGAGCTTGAGTCCCGATGGGGCCAACAAACGTGGACGCTCAAACTCCCAGCAGAGTGGTGCTCGGACGGAGGGATTCGGTGGCTGGATCTCAAGTATGGTCAATCGAAACCGAGGAGCAGGCCCTGGGACTAGCAGTCAGTATAGGCGACTGGAACGCGGCGAGGAAGATGAAGGGTGAGTAGAAGAAAAGCAAGGAAGACCAAGAAGGCGGTAGCAAGAGCAAATCTTTCTAGAACCGCGTGTTCTTCAGCTTCTCGGATTGATTACTGCATTGTTATTGTTACATAGGTGGGTAATCCTAGGTACCCTACCCAGGTGTATAGATCTTGTATCGCCGCTAGAATAATGTATGTATTAGTCTTTGGATCGAATTTTGAAAATAATATCTTCATGTGCATACACATATCCATAGTTAGTTATTTAACAATGACTAGTTATATGTAGTCTCCCGACTGTATAACCATTGATTCGTGCAGTGCAGTGTGAGCATATGTATTTTAATATATGACTATAACCGGATTCATCGATTATCGATTTATCAAATCTATACCAAACAAAAACCAAAACATCAAAAATGTAGACGGAAATAGAGGAATCAGGGGAAAACTAAGGAGGCCACGTTCTGAAAACGGCCCCGACACTAAAAGTGGACTTGTTTATTCTTTTTACAGAGGCCACGGAGTCTCTCTTCTTTCTTTTCTTTCTCTTCTCTCTTCTCTCTTCTCTCTTTCGAAAACATTCTCTTTCTTTATTTTTATCTAAAATTATTTATTCAATTTCAAATATCGCTCTCGGTTATCCTTTAGATTTGCTTCTCTATCATTCATTTCGTCCCGGGGAATGGCTACGTTCTGCTAAGGCAACATCTTTGCCCTTTAATATTTGGTCAATCTCTCGACATTTCCATCAATTATCACTCTCTTTCCAATTGAATCACCCATCCGCAAACGTCGCTGCAGCTTTTCCCCCATTGGAATACTCCGAATCGCACCATGGCGGGACTCGACACCGCCGTGAGCACCGGTGCCAAACTTGATTCCGACCTGCGTCGAAGAAACGTCCCTGATTCTAGAGCCAATCCGAACAAAACCAACTCCATCGAAGAAGATGTCAAAAAATCGAAGCAGGTGAGTTAGCTTTTAATCAATCGGTATGCACTCTGCTAAAGCTACCTATGATAGTCCCCCTCATTCCTCCATGTGCTGGCTGGCTGGGAACCGATCATCTTCCCTGTTCTCTTGACTGCCCTCGCCCTCTTCACCCGCTTATACCAGATTGGTCGCTCCAACATCGTCACCTGGGACGAGGCCCATTTCGGTAAATTCGGTTCCCATTATCTTAAGCGTGAATTTTACTTCGATGTACACCCACCGCTCGGGAAGATGCTAGTTGGCCTGTCTGGCTATCTGGCTGGTTACAACGGATCCTTTGAATTCAAATCCGGCGAAAAATATCCTGAAGATGTTAACTATACCTTTATGCGAGCTTTCAATGCCGCCTTCGGTATTGTCTGCGTCCCTCTGGCTTACTACACCGCTCGAGAGTTGAACTTCCGCCGAGCCACTGTTTGGCTGATCAGTCTGATGGTGCTGTGTGAGAACTCTTATGCGACAATCTCTCGTTTCATTCTACTGGACTCGATGTTGCTTTGCTTCACATTCACCACGACGATGTGTTGGGCGAGATTCCATCAATTGCGCCGTGAAAGCTTCTCGCTGGAATGGTATATCTGGCTCGGTCTGACTGGTTTGAGCATTGGATGTGTTTGCAGTGTTAAATGGGTTGGGTTCTTTTGCACTGCTCTGGTTGGACTATACACCATCGATGACTTGTGGAACAAGTTCGGCGACTTGAAGATGCCCCAAGTGAGTCGCTACTCCTAGTATTCATCCACCACTTAGCTAACGTGCGCACAACTCGGTAGACTGTACTGGCGAAGCATGTTGCTGTTCGTGTTGTGGGATTGATTGTAATCCCAATCTTGGTTTACATGTTTTCATTCTACATGCATTTCATGGTTCTGGCGAACAGTGGCCCCGGTGATGCTCAGATGAGCTCTCTTTTCCAAGCCAACCTGCGAGGCACTGAGGTCGGCAAAGACAGCCCCCTGGAGCTGGCAATTGGGTCGCGTATCACACTCAAGAATATGGGATACGGAGGAGGGCTCCTGCACTCCCATGTTCAGACTTTCCCAGAAGGATCCCAGCAGCAGCAGGTCACTTGCTACCATCACAAAGATGCCAACAATGACTGGTTCATTTATCCCAACCGACAGGAGCCGGATTATGATGCCACTGCTGATCTGCGGTTTGTTGGCGATGGCGACGTCATTCGGTTGATCCACGGACAGACAGGTCGCAACCTGCACTCTCATGCTATTCCGGCGCCCATCACCAAATCCCACTATGAAGTATCATCCTATGGAAATATTACTATCGGAGACGACAAAGATCACTGGAAAGTGGAGGTGGTTGATGATGTTGCATCCAGGGACCGGTCCAGGATTCGGACCCTCACCACGGCTTTCCGACTACGCCATCCAGTTCTTGGCTGCTATCTCCGGGCAGGAAACGTCAACCTTCCCCAGTGGGGCTTCAAACAAATTGAAACTACGTGCGCCAAAGAGAACAAACCCGGCGATGTTTACACTCACTGGAATGTTGAGTCCCACACTAATGACCGCTGTAAGTTCTCAATCTTAGTGTTGGAGAGCTCATTCAGATTTATTGACGTTTTGTGCAGTGCCGCCTAGTGACCCTGGCTCCTACAAGTCACCCTTCTTGAAGGATTTCATCCATTTGAATGTGGCTATGATGACCTCTAACAACGCACTGGTCCCTGATCCCGATAAGCAAGATGATTTGGCCTCCAAATTCTGGCAATGGCCAATTCTCAATGTTGGTTTACGCATGTGCTCCTGGGATGACAGCGTCGTCAAATACTATCTCCTTGGAAACCCTCTTGTCTATTGGGGAAGTAGTGCGGGCCTTGTTGGATTTGGCTTTCTGTTCCTCTGGCATCTTTTGCGCTGGCAGAGAGGCTACAAGGATCTCAGTAATGACGATATTGACCACATCCACTACGCTGGGTTGTACCCGGTCATTGGATGGGTCTTGCATTACCTTCCCTTCATCATTATGGCTCGTGTGACTTATGTTCACCACTACTACCCGGCCCTTTACTATGCGATTCTGAACTTTGGCTTCTGCATCGACTGGGTGACAAGAAAGATGAACACCAGACTCGCGGCCGCATTGTATGCCCTGCTCTATGTGGCTACCATTGGGTTGTTTGTTCATTTCCGGGCTATTGTGTTTGGGATGGAAGGCTCTAACCAGCAATGGACTCACCTGCGCTGGTTGCCCGGATGGAAGATCGCGAACTAAACATAGGGTTCAATGGTGCGAAGAGGAGCTGTATGACCGTTGAACCTTTAAACCTGGTGTTGACTACCTCAAACTTCTCAAATGGGCACTGTATGTCGTGATGGTTTTTGTATTACCACAGATGATTCTACTTTTTACGTTTTTGCTTGACTTTACCCAAGTGGTTTGCTATCTCAAGGAAAATGCAACGAATATGTGATTACACTTAGCGTATAGCACACAGACATTTTTGGGCTCGACCACTGATTATTCTGCTTCTTTCGTGGTCTGATGAATCTGTATAGGTTCACATTGCTTGTTCAAGTTTAATGAAGCAAAAAGGTACTGTAGCTTGGCGAAATATTATGTATTACTACGGACTGAATTTAGCAGCACCCTCCACCCCAATTATTGCCACCTTTGCGCATAGCATCATCCATCCCCAATGTCACGGTTCTCGGCACTCCTGCGTTTGATCCTCCCGAGGCACCAAACCCTTTGACGCCGCTTCGACGATCATTGAGGTCGTATCTTCCAGTTTCAATGTTACGATAGATTCTTTCAGCAACTTCCAAGAACGCGCGCTCAACACCGTCCCCAGACTTGGCACTTGTTTCCACATAACGAACCACATTGTTCATGAGGCACCATTCTTTGGCCTCCTCCTGGGTAACCTGTCTTTGATTTGATCCAGAGTCAGCCGACAAATCGGATTTGTTCCCAACCAAAATCACAACGATGCCTTCCTCTGCAATCTGCCGTAGATCTTGGAGCCACTGGGTACATGATGCAAAGGTTGATCGCCTGGAGATATCAAATACCAGAAGAGCACCAGATGCACCTCGGAAATAGGAGCGGGTGATAGATTTGTATGTTTCCTGTCCAGCAGTATCCCATAAAGATAGCTTCATCCGCTTTTGATTGGGTAAACCTTGTGGTTTCCGTGGAGGCGTAGGAAGACCGGAGGTGGATGGTTCTGGTGCATCTGATAACGATCCTGGAGCAGGTCCATCGAGTTCGAGCTCTAGAGAAGCTGGAGGACCAACCGGCACAATCCGTGATCCAAATTCAACTCCAATAGTGACATCGTGAGATGGGGAAAAGCGACCTTCACAGAGTCGAACAGTGAGCTGATTTCCAAGTTAGTTGATATTCTAACAAGTGATGATTGATACTTGATTACGCTGGATTTGCCGGTGCCAGAGTCACCAATGCAGACAAGCTTAGCAATATAATCCCATGGCTGTGACATGGAGAGCAGAACAAATCAAAAGAAGATGGAGAGAGAGAGAGAGAGAAAACAAAGGCGAAGAGATGTTGATGAACATCCATTATCCGATAAGGCTGACTCATCTATAATGCCTGACGTGCCCGTATGACGCTTCCACCTGCGTGACTATCTCGGCTTCACTTTATCCTTAATCCTTTCCCTTTTTTTCCCTCTTAGAAAACTGACAATATCTCAAACAAAATATTAATCTCTCTTCTCTTCTCTTCTCTCTATCTTATTCTATTATTCTATAAACAATCAACCGTACTTGATTCTCATCATTCTACAGTGATCATCAGGTCTTCACCGTACCTTACTATTGTTGACTAGGAGATGTTTTCTGAATGTAGGAGGGAAAGACCTTGACCACAACAGCATATAGCTAATTCTTCTATTACAGATGCATCACGGTTCCTTGCTCAGTCACAGTCACGAATAGCTTCTCGACCAGATGAGGTTCAAAGAACGGGTCGTAGCCGCCCTAATACCCAAGGCAATCCTCGACATCCCTCATCACGGTCTTTCTTAAGACCCAGTGACCCATACAGACCGGCCGGATCGCAAGCATCTAATTTCCCTTTCGCCTCCCGTGGTGCAGTCCAACCAGCTCCTCTTTTTTTCAGTGCCACCGATGAATTTCGAGAAGAAGATGACGAAACAGAACGCGAGCGAGAAATCGCAGATTTCTATGCACTGCAACGATCAAGGCGGAATTTCGGAGATAGCAATTTGAAAGAATCTTCCGAACTGGAGGACTCTGAGCGTTCAGGTCTCGATGAAAGTTCACCGTATGATGATGGTCGCCCTGGCAATGGCAAAGGAATCAAAAGCTCATGGCGTGGAGAGAAAAGCGTTTCAGTTCCCCGACCCTTTCCTATTGACTCTGTGGCAGAAGTCACAGAACACAATCCGGGGTTCCATACAAGCCCCAGCAGTAGCAGAGTCCGTGATAATCTAGTTGATGTCGGTCTCGGAGACTCATTGCGAAACAACGTTGACGGAGACCAGACATTATCTAGCCCAGGGACTCATGATCCTCCTATCCAGCGGTTTCGAGAACGAGCTCCATTGAAGGAGCTTGGACCCAGCCCACGTGAGCCTATCGCGGAGCAAGGAGGGCTTTCATCCCAAGATGTCCCACGGCCGCCTAGCTCGACAGGTTCATTTCCAGCCTCAATATCCCCTCTGTCCTCAGAAACCACAGTGCATGATGCTTTCTGGGGTCAGTTGTTCTTGATATCCCTGGCTGGCTTATTTGCTTCTGCGTTCCTGGTATATCTGCACACATCTACCCCATCTGGAGACAAATCAAAATGGGGCGATACAATATACTTAACCGTGCATGGGTCTTTCTTTCTCCTCGGGATCTATACCCTTGTATCTGTCCTTGTCTCTCTTCTCTGGCTCGCGTTACTACGATCCTATGTACGACTCTTGGTCCACGTGATCCTAGTCGCTGTTCCCGTTATACTATACTCATTCTCTTTATACCCTTTTATCTCAAGTTTCAAAGGGGCATGGCATGGGACGAGCATACAAGACAAGGCGATGAGATGGGGCTCCATCGTGCCATTCCTTATAGCCACCATGTGGATTTACAACGTCGTTAGCGGGCGTCAATCGATCGGAAAGGCCATTGGCATTCTTGAATTTGCCTGTCGAATACTAGCCGCCAACCCAGAGTTGCTTGCTCTTGGCCTGTGTGTCTTGGTCTGCGTTGTGTCCTGGACGTGGATCTGGATGTTGATGTTCACTCGCGTCTTTTTGGGTGGTCATCTCGCCAGTTCAAGATCATTCATTATCGATGTGGGTAGCTGGTGGCTTGGCGTCTATTTTGTCGTCGTTTATCTATGGTCCATCGGTGTCATCGCAGGCATCCAGCGTGCTGTTACGGCTGCGACAGTGAGCCAGTGGTATTTCCACCGTCTCGCAACACCCACACCCACCTCGAGGCAAATTGTCCAAGCAGCCATGGTCCATGCTACTACAACCCTCTTTGGTACGATCTCTTTGTCCAGATTCCTGGGACTACTTATTAGACTTCCCCTCATTGTGCTGCCAAATCGCCTCGCCTCGCTGCTCAGTCTGTTTGCATATTCATTGGTCCCCACTCCCATCACTTACTTGACCAATCCTCTATCTCTCAGCTATGCAGCAATTCACTCACAGCCACTCAGCGCTTCTTCCCGAGGGCTAAGTCAAATGACCGTTCTTACCCCATCGGCGGCTTCAACTTCTCTACACCCGCGTTCCTACTCTCGATCCCCTGGAGGTTCGGGTTCACTTCTCTCTTATCGGCTCTCCAAATTGATTCTCTACGCTGCTCGCTTCATGATGTCGTTGGCTCTAGGGTTTGGTGGGTGGGTAACCACTGCCCGGAGCCTAACAACCTCTGCCACTGGCAACACCATCCGCGGCAGTCTCTATGCCTATGTGGTCGGTCTCATTGCTGGAACAATTGGATGGACCACGCTAGGTGCAATGGAAGGCGTGATTGCAGACATTGTAGATGCCGCTGTGATTTGCTGGGCAAGCGAAGTCGGCATCTATGGCAGAGAAGCTCGGTATTGCCGCGAGGCTGGTTGGCTCTTCGGTGACTCGCAGTCTCGCTTCGGGCATGAATATCAAGAGGTCTAGTCAATTCTCATCCTATAAGTCCGGACCCCATTTTGCTTTGATAATTACTTAGGACATGTGCATGGTTTCACTGTACATTGGGTAGCGTTTTATGATATTTCCATCAGGCTTTAGCGAAATATGAAACTTGGTAGACAGCTCGGTTTTCTTTTTAAGATTCAATGACAGTCCATGATATTCTGAATTTCTACTACCTTATCAACTCGCACACGCCCAGGCATCTCTGTTGTTCAAAAGAAGGTATTCAATTGCATCTCCCGTGGTATATTCGAATTGTAACTAACTACATGAAGATCCAGGGCTCGTGGTATCATGAAAAGGGAAGGGGGGTGAAAAAAAAGAAGTCAAGTAAGGATGAAAGAAGGAAAGATTGGATGAAAAAAAGTCCTCCCAAGACGCCATGAAAATGAATCGTTTCCGGACCTTTGGAACCAGGAAAAAAGACACATGAATTAGAGACCCAGGCGCCCATTCCACTCCACCTGTTCTTTTGAGCACCACTCCTTCAAGAGGGACCAGCTGAACCGGACAACCTCAATGGGTGGGGTAAAGCCACTGAATGGTAGGAAGTAGGCACCGGAATAGTCACCAGCCTTGAGCGATGATCGTCGACCTCGCTCGGAGTATTCTCGAGATCGTTGAGACCAACTTGTGGGGAACTCACGCTCAAGCACATCCTCAGATAGGCCCCGTGTGCCTTCCAGCCAAAATCTTTGGGAGTCTCTGTAGGTGTCAGGCAGTCGGTTCTTCAGGTCCGAAAAATCTTTCCTAGTTTTCTTCTCGTCTGGCACAACTGCATTGCCATCACTTCCAGGTGTGGGTGCCGGGGTGTGATCTCCAGGAATTGGGATTGAGGCCAGACGTTCAAGGTCAAGAGCATGGATTGTACTGTAGGAGACAGCACCAAGTAGCGAGCAGAGGTTACTTAGGGCCGGAAATGGTGCACTGTTTTTCTTGACCACGCGCCAATATGCCACGATAGATAGCCAACTTGTAGAATCTGCGACCTGGCGCTTCAAAAGCCTGACTTGGTCATTTGCCACGAAAGCTAAGATGAAAGACAACAGAGCCTCAATAGCAGTTACTGCAGCAAGCTTCTCGGTATTACCTGGCGCCCCACTTCTGTTGGTATATCGCTCCGCGGCATGTTTCAATTCACGTCCTAAGCCTGCAAACTTTTGCCATTCTTGCAACCAGGTTTGAATGTCGTTGTGCATGCGACCATCTGGCTGTGTTGGGGGGCCTTTGGAAGTTGACCCCGGATCAACAGAATGCCGTTTGTTGATTGGATGAGACGATGGTTTGCGATCACTCTCTGCAAGGTCGTTTCGGCGAGAGGAAGATTTCAAGTCTTTCACCGGTGTGATAGAGCTTGTTTTTGATTTCTCATGTGCAGCTGTATGGGATACCGATGACGATTGAGGAACCGGTGTTTGGGGCTTCTCGGGGAGGCTTTTGGACTCCTTTTTCCGTCCTTCTTGAGAGCTGATAGGCTCATCAGTCTCTTGTTTCTTGTATTTCGGGCCTCCGAGGCGAGAGGATCCAGTATCTGCTGCCTTTTTCTTGTGGCGGGAGAGATCGTCACGATCCGCGTCTTGACTGATTGGTGAATCTGAACGTTGGCTCTGCCTTTTACCGTTAAATTTGAGCAAGGCTTCGACACGCTTTCGATTGGCCCTCCCATACCGTAGTCTGGTAATTAGTTGTGTCTTTGGGGGGTGAGCGCGAGTGTTGTCGCTTGTGTCTTCCCGGCGACTGGGTTCTTTCACAGGCAATGCCTTCTCTGCAATATTTGGTCGATTGTTCCGAGATTGAGGCGCATTCTCAAGGGCAGCTAGTTCCTTCTCAATGTCTGGCGGTAGGGTTGGAGACAGTAACCGCGGAAGTCGAGGTCCCGTTGAAATCGGTGGAAGAGTAGGGGACAGGAGAGCGGGTAGCTTAGGTGAGTGCGATTTCAGGGGGCTAGGAGCTCGGCGGGGCTCTTTTTCGGGCGATAGTCGAGGTTTCTTTAAAGAATGCGCTTCGAGATCTTTGGTTCCTTTTGCATTAAGGAACTCGCGTTCTGAGCCAGATGGGCGCTTTTGTCCTGCTCGTTTTGGGGATAGGCGTGTGTGCGACTTTGGCGGTATTGGGGAACTTTCGGCCCCATGCACGGTTTTCGGGGGATCTGAAGACGTCGTTTGTCGTTTTTCTTCTGATTTAGTAGATCCTGGTGCATCTCGACCGCCCGCATCGGGGCCCATGGGGGATGCAGCTGCGCCAGTCGTCTTCTGGTCCTTGTAGTCCTTGAGACTGATCTTCTTCTTGGCCACAGTATCTCTTGAGCTTTCTGTGGTATTTGGTACCGTTGACCGATCAGCCATCATGCGCCCTGTTTCGTCTGACCAATCCCCAACGGCAACGAGCAATGAATCGGAGTCGCGGTGAGCCAGGAAGGTCATATATTGAAGTTGCTGCTCCTCCAATCGGAAGGGCCTGTCATGCCCTACAGCCCAATTATCAGCTGATCGGCTCCCCAAGTTGAAAGGCGCTTTCGTCGGAAACGTGAGAAGATAAGGAACCGGGGGAGGATCTCGTCGGACAGGCGCTGTAGTCGTTGGTCAAGCGCTTCACGGTCCGACTCGGAGGAGCTCACAGCTCGAGGGGTTGATGTATGTTGGGAATGGCGTTTCTCGTTCACCGACATCGCAGTGCGCGGGGTTTCGCGACTTCGTCCACCAGAGATGCCTCGCACGCGGCTTCAAGCACAGGTTGAGCTCCAGCTTTTATCACCACCACCTGTCCCAATATGAAGAGTTTTGCCGGTGACACTCAAAGCATTGAGTCAAAGGATAGTCGAGGTGCAAGAGCCTTGTTCATAAGCCAAATGATCAGGGCATCCTATCACTGTCGCGCAGGTGATCTCATAACAACCCTTAGAGGATGAAGCCGCGCGCAATTGAAGATCGAAAAAGTAACAAAGAAAAAGAAGAGGTAGGTAGGTCACAATGAGAGAGTGACAGAGTAGATAGGAAATGTCTCCAGATAGAATGGAAGAGAGATAGATGAGTTGGAGAAGGTTACGGTTACGACCGTTACGGTGCCTGTTGCTTATCGGCTTATCGTTACAGTAACGAGATAACATAAAATACATATACATCGGTAATTTATATTTAAGAACTTGGTAATTTTACATTCTTTATACTAAGGGAAAATGAGAGGAGATATAAGAAGAGATATAAGAGGAGATATAAGAGGAGATATAAGAGGAGATATAAGAAGAGATATAAGAGGAGATATAAGAAGAGATATAAGAAGAGATATAAGAAGATATCTAAATGAGACGTAACAAAGGGATAACTACATGTATGTATATAAAGAGCTAAGAACAGACGTCCATAAGGAATTTTAAAACTTGCTATATGGCTTTTTAGATGTTTTGAATATCAACGTATATAGGTAATTGTTTAGTATATCACAACTAGATTCTCTTATTTCTAGCGTTCTATCGTGTTTATTGTTATCAACATATATGCAGATATTGCAGAAATTACGATCGATCATCTGCAGCGAACTTATCCTGCCAAAATGCACGGTAATGATGCTGCTCTCCAATCTTGGAGATCTCTTCAATCTCTTGAGGTGTCAACTTGAAAGTCAAAGATCGTAGATAGCTGCTCATGCGGGTCTCCTTTCCACTGGTAGTGATAGCTACGCAGCCACGATCAACAGTCCAGCGTAGCAGAATCTCCGACTCGCTCACTCCATATTTGATGGCCAAAGATGAAAGCAAAGGGTCCAGGGGTCCACCTTTAGCTCGAGTGATAGGCGTGAGACCCGCATAGCTGACCGTCTTGATACCCTTGCTCTCTTGATAGGGAACGAGGTTACCATGTTGAAGGTAAGGGTGGAACTCGATCTGATTGACCGATGGCACAACCTTGGCGGTTTTGAGGATGACTTCCAGGTGATTTTGCAGGAAATTCGACACTCCGATGGATCGGGCTTTTCCAGATTCCTTTACTTGCTCCATAGCAGTCCAGGCAGCTTGAAGTTCTTCATCGGTCTTGGCGAAGAACGGAGCATGAATCAGATACCTAAATTGAGCAGTTAACATCTGCTTCTGAATAATAGTTCCTCTCAGGCCAGTGATATTCACTTACAAATCCACGTAGTCAAGCTGGAGTTTCTTAAGACTAGTTTCAATGGCTTGCGGAATATCGGCAATATTGGTAATGACTTTGGTCGTCACGATAAGTTTCTCTCGAGGAACTCCGCTCTCCTTGATTGCGAGTCCCAACTCCTCTTCGGTCTGGTAAACTTCGGCCCCGTCGAGATGGTGATATCCTAGCTTCGTTGCCGCTTTGATAGATTCCACCAATTCACGGTTGATGCCACTATCCCCCGATTTCTTGTACCAAGCGGTGCCAGTACCATATCCCACCTGTAACTATTTGTAAGATAATGTTCTATTTACCTGGAGGCAAATTCGTGACTCACAACGGGGACCGAGGTACCATCATTGAGGTCCAATGTGGGAATGGATGAGATAGTGCCTGCCATTGTAGAATCGATAGAACAAACAGAATGGATAATGGGTAGAGTTAGAGTCAGAGAGTATGTATAAAAGTAGAAGTAATATAGTCGAAGTCGAAGCGAAGAATAAGTATATATATATGAAGTAAACGGACCGAGGCCAAGACGCGATTATTAATGTGAATTATGTCATTTCGAGTTCTGTGGACTTGATTCGGGATATGAGATCAAATCAACCAACTACGTAAGATAAGCATTATTTCAACTTGCAACTTGCAACTTGATCTCAATCTTAGACCTCACTATTCATCTATGTGAATCTCTTCTCTATGAGCTTCCGTGTGTTGTGTTCAAACCGATTTATGTTTCCATTGAAACCTCGGAATCGTCTGCACCAAATGGCTTCCCATCTATCAACCGGCGCTGGGATCTCCCTGGCTGAGCTGCCAAAATCAAACAACTTCACATCTAAATTACCAGCTGATCCGGCTTTTGAAACACCAGAGTCTTCGCATACTGCGCCGCGGGAAACTCTGGGACCTCGTATGGTGAAAGGAGCTCTGTTTACCTATGTCCGTCCGGAGCAGTCCGATGAGCCAGAATTGTTGAGTGTGAGCTCCAAGGCCATGAAAGATTTGGGACTAAAGCCCGATGAAAAAAATTCATCACAATTCAAAGCACTGGTCGCTGGGAATGAGATCTGGTGGAATGAGGAACAGGGCGGAATTTATCCGTGGGCCCAGTGTTATGGAGGTTCGTTTTTCGATGTGGAGACCCCCGAGGAATGGGAAGTTCAAGGCTAATTGATACAGGATGGCAATTGTAAGCCCCCAAAAAATATGTGCTTCGGATACCACACTTAAAGCTGACAAAATAAAGCGGTTCATGGGCTGGACAACTTGGAGATGGGGTAAATTGACCTGCAGATGAGAACTTGATAGAGATGGCTAATGATACCCAAAAAGCGTGCAATCAGCCTTTTCGAGTCTACCAACCCGCAAACAAATACGCGATACGAGCTGCAACTAAAAGGCGCAGGAAAAACACCATATTCACGTTTTGCGGACGGTAAAGCGGTGCTCCGGTCGAGTATCCGCGAATATGTGGTCTCTGAAGGTGAGTGCATTTCTGAATTACTCATGATCAATCCACTGAGACCTCTCCAGCCCTCTCTGCCCTTGGTATTCCAACCACCCGTGCACTCTCGCTCACTTTGGTCCCGAATGTTAAGGTACTGCGAGAGCGTCTTGAACCAGGAGCAATCGTTGCTCGATTTGCCGAGAGTTGGTTAAGAATTGGCACCTTTGATCTTCTTCGCGTTCGTAAAGATCGTGAGCTGATCAGAAAACTTGCGGTATATGTCGCAGAAGATGTCTTTGGAGGGTGGGAATCTCTTCCCGCTATTGTGTCACTCCGTGATCAGATATCCGCCGCTGAGATCGATAGTCCCTCCAGGGGCATTTCTAGTGACACGGTACAAGAACACCAGGATGTACAAGAGAATCGATTTTCCAGATTGTATCGGGAGATTGCTCGCCGCAATGCAAAGACAGTAGCCGCATGGCAAGCCTATGGCTTTATGAATGGAGTGCTGAACACTGACAACACATCAATTTATGGCTTGTCGCTGGACTATGGTCCGTTCGCATTTATGGATAACTTTGATCCCGCGTACACTCCGAATCATGATGACCATATGTTGCGATACAGCTACCGAAACCAGCCAAGCATTATTTGGTGGAATCTGGTTCGACTTGGTGAGTCACTTGGTGAGCTGATTGGAGCTGGAAGCCGAGTTGACGAAGAGAGCTTTGTGAATAATGGAGCATCGGATGAGTGGGAAGCCGAACTTGTGAAATGTGCAGAGAACATCATCGAACGTACAGGCGAGGAGTTCAGAGCAGTCTTCTTAAACGAATACAAACGACTGATGGGCCAGAGACTTGGACTCAAGACACAAGCCGAGTCAGACTTCCAGACCCTCTTCTCAGAGATGCTGGACACACTCGAAGCACTTGAGCTGGATTTCAACCATTTCTTCCGTCGTCTGTCAGGGCTACCACTGTCCAAGTTGGAGACTGAAGAAAGCCGAAGGGAGGTGGCCGCGGTTTTCTTCCATGCTGAAGGCTTCGGCGGGATCGGCTACACTGACGCCACCGCCAGAGATCGTATTGCGAAATGGCTTGATAGCTGGCGGGCACGTATTCTTGAAGACTGGGGGCCCGGAAATGACGAAGAAAGACAAAATGCTATGAAATCAGTCAACCCAAATGTAAGGTCCTGTTGGGGTATACTATCTGGAATATGATGCTAACTAAATGTTGCTAGTTTGTGCCCAGAGGCTGGATTCTTGACGAAGTCATCGAGCGCGTTGAACGCAAGGGAGACCGAGAAATTCTTGACCGGATCATGGAAATGTCTTTGAGCCCGTTCAAAGATCAATGGGGTCTTCACAAAGAAGAAGAAGAGCGTTTTTGCGGGGATGTCCCTAAGTACAAGAGAGCTATGATGTGCAGTTGCAGCTCATGATGAATACAATTGCAGCGCAGTGCGTACATGCAGCTCACTTGACGATATCAATGGTGTATAACATATACTTAAAGAAAGACCGAGATGTCCTCAGCGGCAAGAGCTTGGAAGTTCCAAACTACGAAATAGCTCAAAGAGCTCCAAATAGTACGAGTATTTGCAGGGTTTCCTGCTTCAATTTTATATACTCGTAATAAAAAAAAAGCCCGGGAAACCAAACTCGGCGTCAAAAGGTAGATCATGTCAACCTTGTCAGGCGTTGATCTCTAATCATACATTTTCAAGGAAGAAAAAGAGAAATTCGTTTCGTGCATGCATGAAAAATGTCCGATCCCATGGAAGCTGCAGAAAAGATGTCGACTATAAGAGCAATGCAAGCGTTGGACACCTTAGTTAGGGCAGGCAGACTGGACGTGACCGGGCTGCTTGCACTTGTAGCACATGCGCTCACCCTTGGCCTCGGTAGGGCAGTCACGAGAAACGTGGCCAACCTCACCACCTATTCACGAGTTAATAGCAGATACTAATCTCTCGAATTCTGGTATACTGACAGTTGTAGCACTTCTGTCCCTGGGTGCAGTCACGGGCCATGTGGCCGAAACCACCGCACGAGTAGCAGGTCTGCTGGCGGCCACCGGGGCCACCGGGGCCTCCGAAACCGCCGTAGTTACCACCGTTACCACCACCGTAGTTACCACCCTGAGAGCAGTGACGCGCAATGTGGCCGACCTGTCCGCACTTGTAGCACTCCTGGTTACCACCACCGCTGTAGTTGCTGTCGCCGCCCTGGGGGCATTCGCGGGAAAGGTGACCAGTTTGTCCGCAACGGTAGCAAGACTTCTCCTTGGCAGGCTCCTGGCATTCACGGCCTTTACAAGATGTTAGTCGAGTACTTGGATATGTGTATTTTACTTCCAACTTACTCAGGTGACCCTGGCCTGTAAATCGAGATTGATCCGGTTAGCAACGTCTCAGTGACGAATTCAGACATCATGTCATGAATGATTGAGATGTGATCATACCGCCGCAGTTGTAGCTATTGGACCAATTAGCCTCGAAATCCTTATCGAGAGACGATGGGAACAATTACCAAGTGGGGTTTCCCTTCTTAGGGCAGTCCTTGGCCTAGACATAATAAGCTTTATATCCTCGATAGGTTTGAATATTGTTGCGAGGATGGATTCAAGGTTGATATAAAGATCCTGCGGAGAAATTCACGCGAAGGGTTGTAATTACCTGGTGAGCAGCCTCGCCGCCTATGAAAGAGAGTTGAGTTAGTAAAAAAGTTAACTTGCAAATGAGCTTCAGAACGACAAAGGCATAGACTCGGACAATCAAAATTTGAGTAGCACAAGAGAAACATATAAGCAGCACAAGCTTTTCAAGGCAAACATGACGTATTTCACACAGGACGAGTTTGAATTGACCAATGCCAGGACCTTTTTTGCCTGACGCTTTTCAAGAAGAGAACTCACAGTTGAAACAGCCACCACCACGTCCAGCAGGGAAGTCCATTATGAAATGTGGGGTATAAATTGAAGAGGGTATTTTTGAAAAGGAAAAAAGAAGAGTATAGAATCCAAGGATAGAAAGGGAAAAAAAGAGGGAAAAGTGAGACTCTGAAAAAAATATCTGTAGTGCGGGGGGAGGAGAACTCTTCCCGCAATTCGACTCGCTTGACCGCCCATAAAGAATTGATATCCTTCGTCTTTTTTGTCCAACTCGTATTTGCTTCATGTTTTGCTTTTGGTCTTGATCGGACTTTGTCTTCTCTCAAGAGCCATTTTCAAGGTCGTTTTTGAAACCTGGAAGCCTTCAAAGATTTTATGGGTTAAGTCCTTTGGATCCTTGAAATCGGCCGCAAAACAGGCCAAATCCTCATTGTTCTCCAAAGACCGGTTGCGAGTAAATATGCATTGATATATCAAAATCACAACGTGGACCCAAATCCTGGTGCAATCACAATATACTTATACTCCCTCCCCTGCTCAGGGTCCCCAGTCTGAGTGGGTTGAGTACCTTGTGCTACGACCAGGACTGTTATTGGCCGAAGTGGCGCCAATCACACGTCACAACTGCTAATGTGAAGATGTGAGAAAACTTCTTTTGTTGTGACATTACCCATAACTGAGGATCAAGAAGTTTCAATCATGGGTATCATAGTCTATGTGAAGTCGTAGCATTCCAGAAGCTGTGTTCCCACCCCCTTCTCTCGAAGTAGGAGTACTCTTTCCTCATCAAAACCGACACAACCTTGCATTCGCGACAAGATTCCGGAGTTGGCTTCCAGGTCGGCGCTGTTCAGATTTTGTGAGAGCGTCCTTGGAGGTTCAGGCTCTGAATCACGTTTGTTTCCAGTACTGAGCTGGATACCATTGTCTTCTTTAAGGGGCTTGCGAGTGCCCAGAGACGATATTGCTGTCTCTAGCTCCCATATTCGGATCTCATCCCCTCGAGAGCTTACCGACACGGCTTTTCCACGGTTGGTGACTTGAACAGCAGATATGGATGAAGTGTGACCCCAAAGCCGGCGGCCGCCTTGGACAAATAAATCCTCAGACGTAGAGACCACAAGATACATGGTCAATGTATTATCGGCATGAGAAGTCAGTAGATATGGGTGGGAATAAGACATAGACGTTGGCGGCTGTTGGTGGAGAATTGATGGCCCAGAGGTGATCGAGGATTGACTATCATCTGGTTCAGCCGCAGAGTGTCGTCGTTTTCTGGAACGCATTCCTTGAAGTGGCCGCACGCCATACTGAGAATCCACCGTAGTTGTCAATCGCGAATCATGTTGTTGGCCGTCTTTGCCCAATCGTAATTCTTGAATCCCTAGAGACCACCCGCAACCAATGTGAAAGAAACTATACACGATAGTGGCAATAATATCAAAGGGCGAGACTCGAAGCGATAATGTCATCGGTGCAACAATGTTGTCCGCTCTGAGGGAGGCAAGTTGGTGAGGTTTGTTGGTCTCAACGGCTTCCTCTGTCTGGCAGCTACTTTGTTGTAGGCTGTAAAGTGTCAGGTTTTTGTACTGAGATACCACTAGTAGGTATGGTGATGATAGAGCCATTGCAGTTATGGCACCATTACACCCAGCATGAGAGGACTGCAAGGCCAGTCGAGATGTTTGAAGGTTTAGTGAAAATATACTGAAATGGCCGTTTCCCATTCCCACTGCAATCCAGACCTTCTCATGAGTCTGGCTTACTGCCAAGGCAGTGGGAGGTACAGGCGATGAGTTCAATAGAGCTGGAAAGGAAAGGCTGGCGAGACAACGCGCAGGGGCTTTTGCGGTCCATGCCCTAAGCCCATATGCAGAATCTGCGGTGAAGACAACACCAGCACAGAACCTGACCAGGGTGGAAGGACATGGCGGCTCAGGCAATTCGACTTCAGTAACCCGGCATAGCCCCCGGGACCAGTTATGCCGGAGCCGGTACTGCCTTTTCCAATTACCCTCATCTGTCAAGTGCCCATGGTCAAACCACGTCGCGACTCTGGGGGAGTAGTCCGTTTTAGCAGGAAGTGTTGTGCGTCTGGAATTTGCGAGGCGTCGAGCACGCGGCCGTACCCATTGCGAGTAGTATTGCCTTTTCCATAGCTCCGAATCACCGCCGAGAGCATAAAAGCGATGGGATAACCTGGTTGAGCCAAAAGTTCAGTGCAACTGTTTACGATTTTCGGAAGGGAATATACCTTTGACAATCGTTTAGTGATGAGACTGGAAGGAACGAGAGAATATGGAGCAATAACTCATTGCTCAGACAAGATAAGCGATCAACAGGCTTCACATCAGTACGGATACACTTTTGCTTTGGGGGTAGACCGGAGTCCCCGTGGTCTCTGTGCCGCTTAGACATCCTGTCTCTAGAAAGATGCGAGACTTAAATTTGAGAGGAATCATTGCGGACAATTCTAAGGTGAGTCGGTGAAGATGGCGGTTTCGCGGGGGACCCTTATCGACTGATAAGCTCACGTGTATATCCCGAGGTCATTAAGACGCGTTCTTCGCGTCTTCGACGTTGCTTGACCACTAGTATAAGTTTGTCCTTCAACCTGTCATGGTATTTGATTTTCTGGAAAGTCACAATGGAAGTCATCCAGGAGCTTCATGACGCCGTGGCAAAAGCCTGCGAGACATCTTTCGACAATGCCTACCAGCAGATGAAATCCAAACTTGAAGCACAGACCAAGGCGGCAGAGACCAGAGATTCAGCGGCTAATCAAGCTCAGCGTAAGGCAGAGACAAGGATTGAAGAGCTTCAGCGGGAGAATGCATTACTACGGAACGAGCTGAAGCAATGTGAAGTTGACCCACGAGATCTTGAACTTCCCAAGCGATATGCCGATCTCGAAGCCGAATTTGACCCGAAGAATTTGTGGGAGAGCCATCTGGACGATGCCCATCCGAATACTCGCAAGTCTCGGAAAAGAGTTGAGGCAAAATACACCGCGCTCTATACAAGCTTACAGGCTTGTATCGAGTCTTGGAGCGATCTCAAAGGCCAAGTTTTGCGACATAAGAGGAAGCTAAAGCAATGGAGCCAGCAACTGAAGGATGATGAATTTGCGCTTGTTCTTAATGGCCAAATGGTCAAATATCGCAGAATACCAAGTCACGTCCAGGACGTTGACAAGGAGCATTCACAGACAACTCAACGCTCTTCGAGGAAACGCCCTAGGGAACAGGATCCGGATCTGCCAGCCAAAGTCTCGAAGCCTTCGCCAATACCGGCCCGCAATGATGACATGGAAGCGACTGTTCATGCCGAAGATGATGGCCGTGTGGCAGATCACACCCTGACATCGGAGCCGGCCTCGACCCAATCTAGCTCACCCGGACCCCAGATGGAAGCATTGGAATCATTGCATACAACACATGCGCTGCCCAATATCAGCAGACGCTCAACGAGACAGGCAACTTTGCCGGCGCTTTCCAACAGTGATCACGCGAACAGCCAGCGGATGGATGTCGGTCCAAAATGCCCTATACAGGTCAAAAATGAGATCATGTCCTCGAGTCCGATACGAGCATCTATCAATTTCAGCGAACGGCCATTTGGGGGTACACAAGACCTTGATGATATAGGAGACACAATACAAACGCCCATGAAACGAAAAGCATACCGGGACGCACAAGCTGCAAATACTCAGAATTCAAAGGCAAGCATAGATCATGCAAATGACTTGAAGACAAACCGACAGAGTCAACAACCAGACAGGCAGCCATCTGTGCTTCGGCCTGTTGACGGTAATGCACGGACAACTACCATCTCTGGACAAGGATCTTCCACGAAGCGCCTTGCGGATTTGGAAAGGCGAATACCTGCCATGGCAGAAGATGGGGACAGCATGACCCATTTGCGGAAGTCATTTAAAGCTAGCTCTGGTACCGATCATAGGCCATCGGAAGCAAAGACCCCTGGCGTGCTTGCCCAAAGACGCCTAGAAAGTCTGCTCGAGGGATCGACCCCTTCCAGATCACCACTTCGCTCCTCAAAAAGGGGACCGGGTCTGAACGCAACAAAGGCAGACGTTATCCCAAAGGATGATCACATAACACCCAAAATTTCCAGCCGAATGGCTCCAGAGATAGATCCCGATGATGAGCCATATAGGGCAAGATCTCTCGGTTGTCTCGGTTTGGGGCATTTCAAAATTAACCCTGCACGAAACCAAGGCCTTGACTTTGCCTACGATACGGTTGTTCGGAAAAAAGACGAGCGCAAATGCATCTCAGGATGCACTCGTCCAGGATGTTGTGGAGACCGGTTCCGGGCCATGGTCCGGCTTGGGGGTCTTCCTGGTAGATCTGAAATGGAACAAGAGCAAGAGAACGAGATTCTACGAGAATTTGTGGGGGAAAACACACAACTACTTCAAAATCTGAACGGGCAAGAGCGTGAAAACCTTGTGGTAGAAGCCAAAGCTAGAGCCCTGGCCAACCAATATGGGCGACACCGACATACCCACCAGCGTGCCCAATCACCGCCTGGCTTCTGGCGAACTGATATGCCAAGTACGCAGGAGGAGGAACTCGACCGTGAAGCTGCCAAAGGACTGGAGCGAGAGAAAGTCGAGGAGCGATATCGAGAAGCTATGCGCCCTGGAGGTTTATGGATATTCGCTGATGAATAGGAGGTATTTGGGGTTAGTGTTTGGTATATAGACATATGTAGATATTATTGATCAGTCTGGATAAATAATTTTAAGAACATCGAAGATATGTCAACTTGTTCACCATGAAAGTAGACAGCTGTATGTACGGAGTAGTTGAAGAGTAAAGTCCGAGTCCGAAAGCGATCAACCTCGGCACTTGATATCTTGGCAGACGCAGGACCACGTGCCCCCCTGTGACCTCCTCCCCCGGATCTCGTTTCCCCGTCACAATTTATCGCATTGGAGCTTGAAGATGGAAACTGTTCGAAATATTCAGAATCCAATACCTCCAGCGCTTTTGAAGCCTTCGAAATGGCTTTCTATATATGAGGACTTTGTCACCAAGAATGCGAGCTCGGTTGGTCAAGTCGAGTCCGCGCTGAGGTCCCTGACGTATATCATTCCAGGTAAGATCCCATTTCATCTTGATATCTAAAGTACCACGCTGACAGGGCGTGTTTGGTGCTTTTCAATCAGGGCGATATCGTGAATCAGAGATACCCTCAGAATGTGGTGAGTCTCATTTGGAATTTCATTTGAGCGCGCCTACTGACACCTACTGCAGTTCACTCCGGCGTCCAGTTGTTATCGCTATACCATGATTCTCTGGTGTCGAAAGTCGTTGATCGGCTTCCATCAACCGTTCCCCGACCGCCGCCAACACCCCACACCCGGTATACCAAATATTGGACTTCTCGGTCTTCGCTGTATCGCAAGGTAGCACTTGCACTTCAGATGCTTCAATACACCGAGCTTCTCTGGGAGATGGCGGCAAGGCGGCGCGGTCAAAAGACTCGTTGGCGCGTAGTTGTCTTCATTGAATTTGCAAAGGCAATTTGCCGCTTGCTTCTTCTCCGGTTGACCAATTCCAGACCCCTCGTCAGCCCACCCCTGCCGGAGCGCGAGGTAGACCCCAGGACAGCAGAAGAGGAGGAACCACAGAGCGACTGGAACGGAATGGACACTCCCGTGAGTGACCGATCTTCAGACCTGAGCTGGACGATGCCTCGCACCGGATTATCCCTTCCGTCTCTCCCTGAGGTGAATGACGTGTCCAACTATCTCATCTCCAAGGTGCTCACAGCGGATGATATCAAACCCCCGAAAGCGCTTCTTCATCGGGCCACGGGGCAAGGACAGCTGGCTGAAGTCTTATACATTCTCCGGCCTGTTGCCTATGCAATGGCGATGCAGAAGTGGAGTAAGGACAAGCGAAGCTGGCGGCCATGGCTCATTGGATTTGGAATGGAGTACGGTTGTCGCCAGCTCGCGAAGCGGGACTTCCGCGAGAGGGTCGCCGGTGGTCTTCGGGGACTCACAGGACTTGAGCGAGAGGAACTCAAGAAGCGTGGTTGGTCAATGGGTTGGTGGATGATGCGAGGCGCATTCTATGAAAACATCACCAAGTTAGTAACCCAGGCTTTAACTTCCCCTGGTTTAAGACTAACATTGCGAATCAGGTCCTGGCTACACAGCATCACCGGAAAGATGAAAGGCAAACCAATATTGGACTTAGTGGGTAGTATCATGGAGGACTATGAGTATCTCTGGGACAACTTCTACTTCTCGACTGCTACACTTTGAATCCCACAAGAGATGTGCCTGGATTCCATTCGACCTTGATACCCAATTTTTCTGCATGACTTTTTTCTAATTTTGACCTTACGAATCTCACGATGGAACTTGACATTTCATCTTTCCTTTGTTTTGACTCTTGCTGTGCTTTCCGAGGCAGGTTGAAAGGGTATCATTAATGTATTATCAAGCTCCACGTCTAATTCCATTACAAGTAGAATCCGCATTTAGAGAATCTCCGATGGTCGTTGACCATACCAATCTCGTAGTCCATCTCCCTTTGAACCTTTGCCGGCTCCTGATGATAGTAGAAAATCGTTCAGCCGCGGAGCCCCATCTTCCTCGTCGAGGGGCCAGTCCACCCGTGTTCCTCCTTTCACTTCGAGCATTTCTCTTGCAGTGCCCCAGCTGAATCTGCACTCGTTTCCCCATCCGAAAACAGGGTCCATGTTGCGTCGAAGCCAGCCGACACACTTGGAATCCGAAGGGTAGCCACTTCCCCAAGTTTCGGCAGAAGAGTCAGACTGCTCAGCTTGAAGGATGGCCTCGTACATGACCTCCAGTGCAACGTCACGCGTCACCTTGGCTGCCACACTGGCGGCACTCACACAGGGGTACAAAGAGTCAGCCTTCTTTGCAACCGTGATCTTGAGGGATGGAAAGATTCGCTCCAATTTTTGTTGGTATGTAACTGGGTTGCCAATTGTGTCAATGTAGACTTCTCGCACATCCACTCCACGGTCCTCGACCACTCCTCGGATAAGTTCCACTGTTGCATCCATCGCCTGAGCGTTTAAGTTGTAGACCGCAGTCGGTGATCTCATCATGCCGGAAGAAATGTCGCGCGCAGAAAGTGATTTGATCGCATAGCCGCAGGACTCAAACAGAGAGTCTCCTGGTGTGTTCAAGAGTTTCATCAGATTTGCGCGCACAGCAGGGGTAAGCACCTTGCTGTCGTCAAAGCTATGCTGCTCGGTCAAAAGCGAGTGATGCAATTCGAGAGGGAGATAGAAAACACCATAAACCATTGGTCCAAGGACTGGACCACGGCCAGCTTCATCCACACCCAATACACATGGTGTACTCTCAACTGCATCACTGGTTGTAGGTGACGTCTCTTTGGGTGTGATCGCGTTCGGACATGGCGTGTAGTATGCGTAAGATTTGCCGGTCAAAAGGTAGTCTGGAATCACACTTGGAGGAATAAATGTAGAAGAGTCTTTCACGGTATGTTCAGTCATATTAGGCAATTGTGAAGCAGTAGTAGATGTAGAGGGAAAAAAGATTGACCTCAGGTATGCAACGCGTCGACCGTTCGGGATTAGCGAGCGGGCGCGTCTCTTCCCGCCTAAATTCCATCGCATCATTCCTCCCCTCCACCTTTGTCCATTTACTCTATCCTCTCTGCTCTCTGTTACTTTGTCGTTATTGTTTTACTCTTGAGAGAAAGAGACAGAAAGAGCTCAATCATCGAAATCTACTTTCATCAGGGTGCTCCAGCTTCAAAATGGCACGGGGGCCCGGAAAGGCCCGCGACTTCGACTACTCCAATGTGGGAACTAAAGGGAGGTGAGTTGATATACCATAGTCGATTGCAGCGCTCTAGCTGGGCCCTTTATACTAATGCGATATGCTTAGGCGCACTGGAATCTCCTTAAAGGAAGGCCGGCGCGACGAGCATGGAATGGAAGAAGTAGATGGCCTCTTCTCTTCTCCTGAAAAGTCGCCTGCCAAATTTAATGGGTTTGAGAACGGGGGCAACGATTCTTCAATTGGGTCGGATGGCATGTCCATAGACGAAGGTGCGCCTACCGTTCTGCGAATCCTCAACTAATTGCATGCTGATTCGAAGTCTATAGGCAACGCGCCAGAACCCATGGACTTTCTTAAGGGTACCAACGGATCACGTACCTCTTTTCTCCCCCCACCTGCCGCACGTTCGCCTATGAAGACTGGCCTTTCCGGTTCTCCGCGAAGGACGCCTGCACTACGATCAACTCCAGACTCGCAAGACGATCTTGAGTCATCTAGTCCCTCCGACGGCAAAGGTTTAAGCGCACAGAGCGAGGCGCGTCTGGATCCTTCTCCTCTATCCACTCGCTCAGTGAATGCGGGGCATTCAAATCAGAAGAACGGCGCGCGACAAAGATCGGCAAAAGCACAGCTAGTAGGGGAACCGGAGGCTACATTTTTACCCGAATTTTCGGACGACGAAGGTGACGAGAATGCATTTGCCCAAGTACAGCAAGACTTTGGGGACAGTTTGGTTGCCGATGATGAACCACTGCCAACTGCAGAGTTGTCCGAGTCTCCGGAGCCATATCAAAATGGAGACAGTGACAATTCTCCCATCGAAACAGCCCCGCGCACAGAAACTGCCGTGAGCTCCAAATCAACAAAGAAGGGCGCACCAACACACCCCGCCAACGCAGGCAGGAGCCAGGCCAAACCCCCTGGACGGCGTGGACGCCCTCGAAAATCCGATCACGGTGACGTCGAAGAAGATACCAATCCCAGGCCAGCCAAAAAGCAGAAGAGCTCTGCCAAAGCGCCTCCACCCGAGCGCGAACCTCTGGATCCGGAGCTAGATCGAGTAGTGAATGATTACGCCAACCGCACAGGCCCGTTGAAAGGTAGAAGTTTGTATATTCTCAAGCGTGAAAACCCTACCGACAACAGTGCGACTCACACCCGATCTGGCCGTGTTTCGGTCCGACCACTGGCATACTGGCGTAATGAACGGTGCGTCTTTGGTGATGGGGAGGCCGCCGAGGGCCATCGATATCCTCTTTCAACTATCAAGGAAGTCATCCGTACCGAAGAACAAGAGCCTGATTACAAGAAGAAAGGGAGGCGCTCGGCTTCTCACAAGTCCAAGCCCAAATCAAAGAAGCGAAAGGATGAATCGTCCGATGAAGAAGATGAAGCCGTTGATCTATGGGAAAAAGAAGGTGGTGTCCTTCATGGATATACCCTCAAGTGGGACAGTAAAACTCAAACCAGTTCGAAGGAGGAGGAAGTTTTAGGTAAGAGCCCATCTCCCCTCATCTCTAGCTCCTTGGCTAAATGTTTGTGCAGACATTGCATATGCTCCTTCTGGGATTGAGACCAGGGAAGTCAAAGGTTCAACTTTCAGGTTCGCGAAGCTACTCAGCTCTTCGTTCATTGGGTCTGGAGTTGTTGAACTACCCCCTGACGGAGTCAAGAAACCCAAGAACTCGAAGAAGATGCACATGGTCTTTTATGTCTGCCACGGACGTGTCCAGGTGGATATCTCAGGTGTTCAGTTCAGTGCAGGCAAGGGTTGTGTTTTCCAAATCCCTCGTGGTAAGTTCTTAAGGTTCTCCCGTTGCTGGCATCAACTTGTTAACGTCGGGTGTCCCAGGAAATTACTACAGCTTTGCGAATACTCATCACAAAGAAGCACGACTGTTCTTTACTCAAGGCTGTGTTCCTGATGAGAGCGAAAGCGAAAATGAGAACGACACGCAGGCTGAGGTTGACAATAACAATGACATGTCTGCTGTGTCTGATGATGCTAGCCCCGAAAGCGAAGTTGAGCCTGCTCCTGCTCCTGCTAAGAAGGCCAAGGGTCGTCCAAAAGGCAAACAGAAGAAGGCTGGAAAATAACTGATCCCATGCCCGTTCGCGTTTGTGCCTCTGTTGGTCGGCATTGACAATGTGTCATGATAACTTCCCTTTGATTACGTGGATACCCTGAAATTCTACTTTGTGGGCGTCCGAATATGTCTTTTGTCATTGTTATATGCTCTTGAGCGATTTGTTTCATACGATTACCAAGGATGTTGGCGTTTCTCGCCTGTTTCTTGGTAAATTATGCGGTATTACTTTTTGGAGATAATTGGTGATGGAGGAGGAGCAAGTGAAAAGTTGAGGGCCAGAACCTCTTTTGTTCAGACATGTCGAACATGTATCAGAGTTTGTTTAACCATACATACCCATTATCTTATAATGCGCCACGTATCAAATTTCTTCCATCAACTCATCCAACTCGTCATCTAAACCCAAAGGCGGGAATTCTCCTACCTCGACCTTCTCGGGCTTGACAAAAACGCCGCTGTTGCCTAAGCACTCAAAGTAGCGCTGTCCACCCACGCTGCCGTCGTTCTTTCCCAGTGGCTCATCGAGCTCAATTCCAACCCAAATTGGTTGGAGCTCCGTCGGGAGGTCTGGGCTCTGCTGGAGCTCACGGGCCGGGCCAGTGATGGGAATTGTCGGAACAGGTCCCACGAAACGAATCGTGCCGCGACGAATGTGCGGTGGGGAGGAAGGCAGGATGATAGCCCGCTTGGAAACAGCGATGTCTGTCATTGAACCCATTAGATCTGTTTGAATCGCATTGAAGATGCTTGCTGTCAACGAACCTCTGGTTTGAATCTCTGCCTGGTCTTTCTCAACCTGGTGGCGCAGAGATTCCTCGGGTGATAGAGCAGTAGGGTCAAAACGACCCAACTTCTGGTTCTTCTTCCAGGCCAGAACAGAGTCTGAACGAGCTTCGTATGTTTCAGTAGGCAGCACATATTTCTCAACACTGGACAAGTCGGTGAAATTCGCCCGCATTGTCTGGGGACGACTGTCGTTAACCTGGAAAGATTGGTTAGCAAGGATCTGGTTTGCATGGATAATCCTAATCCTTCATGACCACGCTGCCTCTCAGCTTGACTCAAGTGTCTTTGTAAGACCATATCCAAGTAGCTATGGCCGACTAGGATAGAAAAGATGAAACCAACCTCAATTTCCGTTCCCTTCACTAATCCATAATTTCCAATCAGGCGATCATCTTCATCGGCCCATTGATCGGGTTGCCCGGGGACTTTCACCCGCAGACGCTGACTTCCAGGTGGAATGCCCGTCATGGTCTCCAGCTTCCCCTTGACCTGCAACACGGTCCAGGTTGGGGTGATACGGCGTTCGGTCAGAAATCTGGGTTCCGAGTTCCCAGACTTGGCCAAAGCCGCATTGGTGATGATGACGGACACATCCATTGGGGTCGGCTGGAATGCCATGATGTCTCTTTATCTTTTTCTTTTGGGGGGTTTTCTATGGAGTATTATTAGATTTGACTTGTGCGGTGGATGGATGTGAGATCCTGGCATCATGGCTCAATCAAAATCAAGGTCAAGGTTCCACAAAATCTGATCTTCAACGAACATGGATGCGTTTGGTGCTTGTATCTCAATTTGTATCAAATTCCCCTTGGCCCATCACAGGCCACAGCATAACAGCATGATAGCATGGACAACAGCCTTTTCGGGACATGTGTATATTGAGAAATCGAGATGATGACAAACTTCAAACAGAAAGGTAGTACTTACAAATCTTGTGTTGCGTTGATTTGACACGAAAAGGGAGTCTCAAATCGATATATGTGATTAGTCAGCTAGTCTCGCCAGGAACAGGCACCGTTGAAGAACTGTTGGACAAGATCACACAAATATTACACACGAATTGGAGTTTTTCTTTCATACCACTGTGTAACAATGCTATACATAGGTATGATTTTGAACTTTAACAAAACAAAAGAGCATATTACATCTATGAAGGTGGAAATGGTAATATAAATGCCGATGCTAGTATATGTCCCATGGAAGGATTCGAGTGTGTGATATAGTGTGTATTAAATAGCTGGCTAGGATTGCTTTGAAATAGTTGTTTAACTTTTTCAAGGAAATAGTGGTCAACCTTATTAAGTAGACATAAAGTACGGAGTATATAAGGTATAAGATAGTCTCTTCCGAGGTTTGGAATGGATAGATTAGTCCTCGATTACGAGAGGTGTTACAGGAGCAAGAGGGGAGATACAAGAAAATAAACCGGTAGAATACACTGAGCGGATCCTAATGGAGGTAAAATGTCTGTTTAATTCTGACTGGCTTGCTTTTTAATTCTACCAACTCTATCTTCGGGATTCAATCCGCTCTTGTGTTAGAATCTTATGGACAGTAGCAATATTTTTGATAGGTCTGAGATAGAGTCATATAGTTAATAGCCAAACCAAAGTTCTAATAAATTGGTCAAAGGACTATATAAACTTCGGAGGTAGCCACCACTAGCCCGGGATCTCTATAGAAAACGAACATAGGGTAGGAGTTCTGGGAGTATAAGAACCTGTTAACCCTTGGCCTTGGCCTTTCTTTTCGTGTGTGAGCTGTCTTGGAGGGGAGGCAATTTATTCAATTGATTTTCCCGCGCTTGTGTCTGGATATCCCCGAATTACCTACCTCTAATCAACATTAGCGGATGATACTCCCTCCTTTTAAAAGGCTGTACGTTGTATGCGCGACGTCCCAATCGATCCCCGGCTGGGCCCTGTTTTGCTCTTTTACTCTATAATGAGCTATAAATAGACATTGTTTTATATACCTATAAAGACGGTGGTTAGTATCACAGTAAATTTAAAAAGATATCGGCACTTGCAGGGTAGCTCGGCGAGTATCCGAGATTCGCCCTGTTTCCGCGCCGAAGTATATTCCACCGATGAAGGGGGCTTGGAGTGGCCCCAATGAAACTCATGGAAGTGGTGAAGAGACCGGCCACCAGACTGATCTGCAGTTATCTATCACGAGGACAAAAGAGAGAGCGAGAGTCAACGGACCTCGCATAGGCACCTGATAGCTCTGTAGTACTTCTTGACTAGTTTAGTCATCCGTGCCTTAGGCCCTCTGATTGGGGGGGGGTGTATACGGAGGAACACGTGATATCAATTCTTGGACTTTTTTCTCAACTCTTCAACTCTCTCATCACAGGACATCATGGCATCCCAACAAGCTGGCGAGGCTTATGAACAAGAAAATGTTCATGAGGTGTACCAGCAGATTGCCCAACACTTCTCCGCCACCCGCTACAAGGTGTGTGTGTTAAGCGACTGGTTATGATGCCCCTCCAAACTAACCACATTTTAGCCATGGCCCATAGTCGAGCGATTTCTCACAAGTTTAGCGCCAGGCGCGGTGGGACTAGATGTAGGATGCGGTAATGGCAAAAATCTAATGGTTAATCGCGATGTTTTTATCATTGCTTCAGATAGGTATGTCATAAAATGATGAGTGAGATTTTTGGATTTTTTATGGTTTTACGGTCTCTCGTGTTCCTATCTTGTGGCCCATGACTGACCTAACCACAGATCTGAAAACCTGGCTCGGATTGCCCTACAGCACCAGCCGCACTCGACCGTGGTGGCCGATATCCTACACCTTCCGCATCAGGATGCAAGATTTGACTTTGCAATTTCCATCGCGGTGGTGCACCATCTTTCTACCCCGGCCCGGCGAGTCCAGGCCGTTGCTGAGATCCTGCGAACTGTGAAGCCTGCTTCAGAGACGCACGAGGGTGGAAAGGTCCTGGTCTATGCTTGGGCGTTGGAGCAAAAGAACAGCCGCAGAGGCTGGGACAAAGGTGACGAGCAGGATCGTATGGTCCCTTGGGTTCGCAAGGGTGATCAACCTCAAACATTCCATCGCTACTACCACCTGTACGAGGAAGGCGAGTTGGCGAGTGATATTGACAAGGCGGGTGGTCGTGTGCTGGAGTCGGGGTACGAAAAAGATAACTGGTGGGCGATTGCGACACCTAAGACGACTCATGTCTGAAAAGTTGCATGTGCTCCGAGACCCAGCCTCGGAGTCATGGAGAAAAATCCATTCGCACTGCTGGTCCTGCCAAAGATTCTGCAAACAGAGAAGAAGAGCTCAAACACCGGGGCAGAAATCATCTATACGATTCTTTGTCCCCACAAATCACGATATACCTCCAACCGACGCTATGCAATTCGTAACCACAAAAGAAAAAAGGAAAATCGGAGAGAGAAAAGAAAATCCAGAAAAAAGAATAGCAAACAAGATCAAGACTCAAGGAAAGACGTTTAAGCGTCATCGTCGTCTCGTTTCAAGGCATGGTGCGTGGGGGCATGCCGAGATGAGGGCCCATGAGACCAGGTGGAGGAATCCCCATGTCAGGTCTTCCAGTCCCATAGAACTCTCTTGGAGGAGGGGCGGGCGCATAGGCAGGAACACCTGCAGTGAGCTCTTCCAGAGAGGGCAGCTGAGGTGGATGGCCTGGAAGATGGCCTGGAATTGCGCGTGAATGGGATCCCTTCCTCGGCCGGGAGAGAGAGGTGCTGGCGCGGCGAGTTCTGGTAGTGGGGGGATCGATGGCAGCACTAGAGAGAGAGAATGGAACGACACCCGCACGGCGGGCCATCTCCTGTTCTCCCAGTTGCCAGTGCATGGCCTCTGCGGCACGCCATGGGATGGCCATTTCTTCGGCTACCTTGGACCACATTTCGGCTTTGAATCTATCAAATAAAACAAGGGCCCGGGTTAGTGGATTCTTCACTTGGGGAATCTCATTTCGAGACCTACCTCTCGTATAAGCGAGCTAGTTTGTTCTTCTTATCTTCATCCCATTCACTTCGGCGTTCCAGGTAGTTTTGATAATGAAGACGGCAACTGATGGCACTGCGGCCGGGGAGTCGTTTGCTGATATCCTCCCACTTCATGCCACTGCCACGCAGTTCGATTATCAAAGCATCCTCATCTGGGGACCACTTGGATTGCTTCTTTGCTGGAGATTCGGCGGTATGCGAAGGTTGCAAGCGCTTTGTGGCACCCGTGGGGCCAGTCTTGGACAATGGTGGCATGGTTGTCATGGCGGTCATGGCCGCGGGGCCAGGCATGATCATACCCATTGAGCCCAGAGGTGGCCCTATCGTTCTGGGCGGGTACCCGGAGCTGGGGGCTTCTTCCTCATCTTGGGGCTTGAGTAGCAGTGAGATATCCACTTTGGCAGGGGGCAATATAGGCCGTAACGCAATCATATGCGCGGATTTGCAACTCGAGTTGAAAGAGAAGATCCAGAGGAGGAGTGGGGAGGGGGGAACAGAAAAGACGGAAAGTGCTCGTGATCCCGATCTTTTCTCTCACAACACAACACACACACAAAAAGCAGAGAGGAAAAACAGTAAACGTCCACCCAAAAGAGAAAGGAATCGAGAAAGGGGTTTCCTGAGGAAATTCTAACACAGTTAGAAAGATAAAGTCGATAGTCGATACGTCGGTAGTTCAAATAGTTGTAAGGTCCAGAATGAGGTCAGGATGTTAAGGTTTTGACGAACGGTTCATGGGTGAGTACCGTGGAATCTAAAGAGTATATAAAAAAAAAAGAAAATCAAATTTCAAAGAGAAGAGTCGAAAACAAAAGAAGGTAAAAAGAAGAATACAAGATCAAGCAAGAAGTCCAGAACGTTATGAAACAGGGATCAAGCAAGTGACAGCTGATCCATAAAAAAAGTAGAGAGAAAGAGAGAAGAGAGTCTAAGACCGTTGAAGATGGGGAAAGTATATGTGTAATGCAATTACGAGTAATCTATTTCGATAAATTACAGGTAAGTTTTTGGAATTAAATCTCCGGTTTTTTTTAATTAAAGATGATCCGACCCCTCCTGTTTCTATAGTGTTTATCCATCCGTATATTTCTCGGTATCTAATATAGATGTATATCATTTCGACCGAGCATAGAGAGATAGAAGAGTCTTGGAGAGAAAACTAGACATGTATCTAGTTACCTAGAGGGAGAGTGATAGTACCGTAGAATAGGATTTACACAATGTACACAAGTGTACACTGTGTACCCAGTTTCATCTACTAACCCAGTCAAGGAAGAGGGGCAACGTGCGATCAAACAGATAAATTAACACTAATAGAATACCGATATAAAATACAAAAACATATAAAATTAAAACGGAGACCCGCATCACCCTTTAGTTAAATGAGCGGTCTTCGCCGGCCCAGACGCTAATGCCGTGCCGTTGCGACTAAAAGTTCCAGATCGTAACGGTTTATATACATATCTTCAAGCTTCCTCACCTTTTTACATCCAGTCGGGGAATTTTCCACTATTCTACGGTATTTGTTTTAGTGGGTCTTTCCGGGTTCCCGACTTTCGGGTGGATAACAATCCTTGAGCATCCATTATAATGGGTTCTCATGGGCTCGAATGGGTTAACAACCATGTGTTTCTCCGTTCTTGTCTTTGGTAGACAGGTGGATGCAATGGAGTGAACCTCTCTTTTGATGTGGTTTTCAGGTACAAGGTACCGGTCTAGATTTAGATGGAGAATGGTTTCTTTCCACCATTCTACGAATAAGATATAAGCTTGACGTTGTAGAACCAGACAACGTACAATATGGTGGATTTTTTTTCCCTTGTTCTCCGCTTCTTTTCTTTTTTTTTATATAGGATTCCGTTCGTTTACAGGGCTTTTGGATCCAGACTTGAGTGAAATTAACCCCGTTGATCTTGTCAAGTCTAGAATTCTCAGTTCCTCAGTTCAATCCGTTTAATATAGTATTTAAGATTAAGTCGATGTAAGACTGGTAAAGTCTCACCTTGAACTACGGGGCCTTCAGACGCGTACAAAAAATTAAGGGACTAGTGGGTCTTTTCTGTGTGTACGTGGTTGTATTTTATGGTGTTCGATGGGTATATGGTGATATGGTGATAATGGTAAATTCGATATAAGCTCCTCCGTACCTATATCTCATATGTATAGGGTAGGTCCAATATATCGCGAATAAAATACTACACCTAGATTTCAAACTCGTCATAAACCGTTGGACCCGAAAACCTGGCACATGTTGCCGAACACGAGTTCCTGCAATTTATTTTCATTTTTGTTCATTACTCCCTAGTCACTAGTCATTGGTTTATTATAGGCTCATTTCCCATTTATTCTCTTAATATCCTTCATAGCCCCCTAAATCCTCCTGGTCCAGACTAAATATTGATGATCAGTTCGGTTGCCTGAAACACCCGTCCAGTCAATGCACCGAGGATCAGCAAGCTATACCCTAATCCTGTGCCAATTTCCGTCCTTCAATCTCGTCTACAGTATCTATCTATCACCTTTTCCAACAAAAAGAAAAGGCTCTTCAGATGCGTGAACATGTTTGTACAACGTTCAGGACGATCGCTTGCCGTTCTCGGTAATCAGCTTATCCCGTTCCCGAGGTCAAGTTCGATCCGATATTGTCTCCTCTCTACAAGATCGTCTGATAGCAAGGGTAGAATGTAACGGGTCATGTCCGAGGTGGCGATCAAGCGGTGACTCGCGAGCAGATCCCGGGTAGCAAAGGTTGTGATGATGCGCGCATATTGCACACCGTCACAGCTCAGGTACTAAGCTAAGGCATGAAGAAATAACGGTGTGGAGTCTAAAGGAGGGGCAAACGTTTGGGATCATCGTGGACTAATGACTTAAGTGGAAGTGACCGAGCGGAGGTGTCTCTCTCTTTTTTTCTACGTATGTTTTTATTAATTGTTAATTGTGCTAGACTCCATATACAACGGACACGATCGACCAAATGTCCGACACGTACCCCCCCCCCCCCCGTTGAGACCCAATTTTCCTTTTGGTCTTTTGTCCTTTTTTCCTTTTTAATGTCATATTTCATTTTCTTGGTTGGTTTCATTTCATTCACTTGATCTTATTGGTTTTTGAACATTCGAGCTTCTACAACGTATATTGCATTTACTATGTACAATATATTATATAGGGTTGTTTGATGTTGATAGGACCTACCGACCTACCTAGTCACTGACTACATATACCTACATGTGGCTACCACTAGGCACATATTATCGACGAGAACGGAGAATTTGGGTTCCACTTAGATCATTTCGATCAGCTGCTTCAGCTGAAGTGGCGCTCAATCGTTTGGGGGCAGTGCCGGTGGATCTTCAGTAGAGAACCCTGCTGTCATTAGTATCCATTGGCATATTCAGGAGCACATCGTCTTTTGTATAATATTGTACATTAAAATGAAGGTACTGGACTCATCGGAAAAGTCAGGATAGCTTCCGGTGCCTCTGGGAAGTGGGTGTATCTCAGATATAGCCCGTCTGAACCGTGTGAAGACATATTTCCGAAGCAGAAAGAGATTGGGTAAGGCAACTATTAGCTTTCGGCCGGATCTAAGAGCCTTGAATAGCCAATCAAAACGTCTGAGATTCCTATTTCACCTTCATTTGGGCTCCACTGCTCCATCTGAAACACCTGCCTTGTGAGTGGGGAGAGAGAGAGAGAGGGGGGTAGTCCCTTCTAGGCACTTGAGAACCGGTTCATCAATGACTCGTCTCTACCTCAGTACGGAGGGACAATATTGTATACAGTTGGAAATATTAGTGGCGAAATTAAGATTACGGCTCTTAAGTGTCGACAGATCAACCAATCCCAGGGTCTCGATGCCTTCGATTGTCCCTAATGGAGCATGCCCGTCGTAGATCGTCGCTGACAGTTGATGCTTCACTTTCCCAGCCATTTCTTACCCCAACAAGTGCCACACAGTGCGAAAGTGTGTGACTGGTTTCTATGCAAACGGGACACGGTCTAGAACCTTGTATATTGTACGATCGCTGCGCCGTTGCGACAAGGGTTTACCATGGCTGTTACAAACATGTTGAAATCTTCCAAAATCTGCTAATTTTTACACGTTTGCAGTTTCATTCCGAGTTGTGGCTGTGAGAAATCATGTCTGGGTGTCGTTTCGAGGTTGATGCCCAAGGACTTGAAACCAAGGGGACTGAAGAACTGATTTCATGCTTACTTTTTTCTAATTTTCCTTCTCTTTTTTCTTCTGACTCTACTTTGAACTTGCTGTTGTAGTGATTATTTCTAGATTCGGACGAGACGAAGACGTGAGAAATGCGATCGTTGAGAAAGGCCATGTGGAAGCAATCCTCTTTGTCTGATGTGCCTATAGACTTTGGACTGTACGAGCAACTCTGGGAACGTGGAAAGAACTGAAGTGGATATCTGCTTCTCTGATGGATCTGAACTACCCGTCGGCTTTCTCTGGACTTTGCCGTGATGGAATTCAAAGAAATCCAGGCTCTCCGAGGCACTCAGTCCCCTCAGTCTGATGGTTGCCAGTCGAGTTTCTGCGATTTACGATTATTTTCTTGAATTTAAATAATGAGATCATGTGGAAGGAAGAATGTACTCTTGGATAAATATAAATTGAACTACGAATCCGGGCAAAATGATCTAGATATCATTCTCTTGTCACATTATATACATCATCGACAAAATGGCTCAACCCACATACGATGCTCAAACCACAGATGATCCGGTTTTCAGGTAAAGAATAAGTTTATAATATACTCATATTGAACCAATTTTCGAACCAATGATTATATACCTGTTCCCAAAGGGTGTCCTGCTCAAGTGCCCGAGATAACTGAAAAAGGATTCAATAATCCAACGACGCTATGCTATCGGAATGTCACATTCCGAATGCTCATGCATGCGCCAGTGTTCCTCGATTGGGTCAATTGGTACAAGCAACATCATGCATCTTGACCTTGTAAGTGATGGTGGAGGGCTGTGTAAATCTGTATACTTCATGAATACTACACTCTCTACTGGGACACCGGGAGCAAAACAGACTGTCAAAGGGTGCTTGTAAGTCTGTCCAGTAAGATTTGGAAGTCCTGGCGTATGCCGAGTAGTGGAATGAAAGGAGATAGAGAGGAAGATTGTGCCGAGTATTTTGAGCATCTTTATGCTCAACTCAAGAGTGCTACCAACACTATCTTGTATGTTTTCCTACATTCCCTCTCTACACCCAATTACTGGCCACGACTCCAGTGAAAATGACCTTGAGGATATCTTCGAGACTGGGACAAGGGGTCTCAAAACGGGTGGTGGGTCCTTGTGCCTCAGAAACTCAAAGCGAAGGATATCAGTTTTCTGGAAATTGAGTCTTCCTGAAATCGAGGTCATGGAGAAAGGCTCTATCGAGCAAGCAATATCACGATTTCGTACTAAAGTCCTGCGCGGGACATGCAACACATGTGGAAACCCCATGTACATCCAGAAGTCAATTTCACAACGTCCGGAGATGCTTATGCTTCAGCTGAACCGCCAAGATGACCAAGGGAATAAACTCGATGACGAGATCAAGTTTGAAGATCTGGTGATTGATAAACGGTTCATGAATTACAGTGCTGACGTCCAATACGAGCTTACCTCGGTGATGATGCATATTAAGACCGACATAAATGGCCCCTTCGGTCATTGCATGGTCGCTGTCAAGGGTAAAGCGGATGCATGGGCACATTTGAGGAATAATTCGCCCGTACTAGAGCTTCAAGAAAGAGTTCAAACTCGATACATCAAACGCCAAAATCTGTTACATCTGTGCATACCGCCGTTTACCTATCAATGGAGGCAAGATCAGACTTCTTACATCGAGCGAAGCATTGAATAGCCAGACAGATACGGAGATGCGGTCTCATACACATTCTACCACCCAATATAATAGGCAATCGAATGGCCTCCCAGATGTGCAAGCAGTGGGTTACCCAGAAATGAGTGTAAATTCAAAGGCGTTCAGAGATTTGCTCAAATCCGTCAATCATCAATACAGAGCTCAAGACCAGAAGGACTGGGGGGAAAGAAGACAGGAGGGAAGGAGTCAGACGAAAGAGAAGAAGAACAAGGACTGGTTGGTTTGGAGAGAAAGAGAGAACTACTTCGAATTACACTTCAAAGTGACGAAGAATGACAGATATTCAATTCAAGGTCCTGACAGGCTGTGAACAACAATTTGAAGAGAAAGCCAGCAAAGGAGGATTTAAAAAAGAAAAGATGGAATATAATGCAAATGGTATTGGAAAAGGTGAAGAAGGGATTTATCTGAGATGATTTTGATATATGTTGTATGTTATGTGAGTTATGTATGTGATTATGTATTGTTTCATTCTTCACTTCTTCACACTACTCAACATGTCCTTCGTGGACCATTTAATCCACGAGTTATCCCACACACCCTTTGCAAACTCAAAACAACTCATGTTAACCTTACACTGTCTATTCCCAAATGACTTCCTCCCAGCTCTCGACATTCTAGACCGCAAACTCGTGCGAATGGTACGCGTAGGTACACGCACCGAGGATATTTTCCTCGTGACATCAACCTCACCACCGTCACGAAAATCGGCTTCTTCACACCAGCAAGACAAAAGCTACGAGGTCCGGCTACGCGCCTGGAATTGCAGCTGTCCCACCTTCGCACTATCTGCATACCGGGACCAACCTCCCGTCACAGACGACCAACCCAGTACCACCGAGGGAGAGCATGTTAACTACCCGTTTGGCGGGACTTTGACTCGTGACACAACCCGAAGTTTATCTCCGGTTTGCAAACATATCCTAGCTTGCATTTTGCATGCACGGTGTCCAGATCTGTTCGGTGGTGACAGTATGTTCGTTGTATCTATGGAGGAGTTGGCTGGCTGGTGTGCTGGATGGGGTGGTTGAGATCTCGAGCATTGACATGCCAAAACAAATTGCATGAGCTCCGCTGAATGAGAGTCATCCTCTCCCGAAGAACCGCCACATTTTGAGCGACTCACCGGGTGGGGAGGTTGGGGTGACCATACCGAGAACCCTGGCTTAAGAGCCATTGACCCCTGTCTATCGACGAGAAAACGACGGCTACATTGAGATCGATGGCTCTTGTATGAAGTATATTCGATGGAAATCGGCCGAACACGAACAGTTGAAAAACTACGGTCAAGCTGCAGCGGAGCTGAACACGCGTGGGAATCCGTTTGCACCCGCCATGGGGGTATCTTGAGCAACATGATTGCAGCATGAAAGGCTTGGGAGATATAGACTGCAGTGGTGTCCTTGCTACTAATATGTACCACAACATGTCTACAACCAAACAACAGGACGTAGGCCATGATAGAACGATGGCCAAGACCTTGCCAGCAGGAACAGGCCCTGCATTACCCACTACCTATACATTGCAAGATAGTAGGAATCTAAATGTCATATTATTCACTTGAATGACAAGTCTTGTGAGAATCAATTAAGAGCCCTTAGTTCTTCTTCTTGTTCTTCTCGGAGCTATCCTGCTCCTCCTTCTGTTCACCATTTGGAGACCCGGCCTTCTTAACATCCTTGTCCCCCTTGGCCTCTTGCTCCCGCTTGGTGTCACTCTCCTCTTGCTGCTGTCGGTTCTGGATCTTGTTCTCGATTAAGTCGTGGAAGGCAGTAATAGCGCGGATCAAGCTACTGATGTAGATGGCCATCAATTGGTCATTGGTCTTGATGCTCATGGCCCGTGCTAATTCGCTGTTCTCGGTGTGTGGCTCCTGGCCGCTGATACGCTGTGTCGCAGGAGGCGTGGACAGGTTGGGAAGAAGGTTGAACACATCCTGGAGGTTGCCCAGAATGGCGTGGTTAACGGGAAGTTCCCTGTCGAGAACTTTCTGGAGGTATTGGCCGATATCGCGTAGCCGCAGATGCAATCCTTGCAGTGACTGCAGCTGCGACGTGATACGAGTGGAAAGTGTGCCGACTGCAACGTCCCTGATGTCTCGGAGGAGGTGCTCCACGCCAATTTCCTCTGCTTCTTCGGCCTCGATTATCGACGGGGTGTGCACGAATGTTCGGGAGGTTGTCGTTCCATCCTGTGTAAGAGAGAAAACAAGCTCTGGTTAGCTTACCGCGGCCAGTGCACGTTGTATGCACACAAAACACAAAACTCACATCCTTGATCTCATCCACGGCGAAGTAAGCATCTGTAGGCACTCCGACTTCCTTCGGTTGCACATCAACAATGACCAACAAGGGGTTGGGCGTGTATTTCTTGAAGAGCTCATTGATCTCCAAATCCGAAGCGCGCAGTTTAGGACCCGAGTGGTACCAGCCGACTAGCTTCTCGCGAGCATTGATCTTCTTGAACATGTCCCTCATCGACTCCACGAAGTTGTGATCCAAGAACCACACCGATGGGTCTTTCTCATCTTCCTCAAATGGAACTAGACACGAACACACGGATGTTAGCTTTGGGCATTTGATCTGTTTGAAGCTTGCACTCACCAGCAAAACTGTTTGATACCCGGACATTATCGCCCGAGTTCTCACCGAGTAGTACACCTACAACACGCTTCCGGGTACCCTTTGCCGTTCGCCCATAGTGGTCTGCGACAGAGAGGAGGACTAACGGGGCAACGGTCACGGAGCGGTTGACGAGGGATAGAGTGTCCGCCGTGGTGGCAGGCATCGTGAAAGGGTATCAAAGATATAGGAAAAGAAAAGAAAATAGGAGCTATGAGGAGGATTGGAGCTCGGATGTCAAATCAAAAAACCAATGGGAATAACAAATCAACGTGAGACGAGAGATGGGGGAGAAACGATGATGCACCGGTGCTCTTGAGCTCTCCGCCACAAGCTGCGCCATTTGAGGCTGGTGTCTTAGTAAGCTCTGATGGAGACTCAGTGCATTACTGTATGTTTATTAATATGTTGACACGCTTTTGTATTAGAGAATTATATAGAAAGTTATATTAATCGCGTCGATTGATAGTTCTTCATATAGGAAATACTAACCACATATGCATATTAGTTACCTGGTGGAGGTGTAATTAGTTATATAGTTGTACTCAATGTACGTGTAAGCCCGTGCTCCGAACCTCGGGCCCTAAGGTTCTGCGATTCTTCCCTTTCCCCATTTCTCCGGTATTCCGTCTACGCATCCCTTCTCTTCATCCATTAACCTCTCCTCTCATATTCAACAATGGCTCCCATCACTGAAGAGGCCGTTTCCGGCTTGAAGAACACTATCAATCAGTTGGAGGCTAAGGTGTCCGAGCTTGAGAGCCGTCTTGCCAATGGCGGCAAGCCCAAGTCGGCCGCCGAGCAGATGCGCATCATCCTGATGGGCCCTCCTGGTGCAGGTATGCAATTTAAACTATTAACCGTGGAAAGGCAATTAGATATTAACCATTGCCAGGCAAGGGTACTCAAGCCCCCAACCTTAAGGAAAAGTTCTGCGCGTGCCACCTGGTAAGTTGAAGTTTGTCTGGGTACAGCATAAGCTCTCAGCCGCTGATGTATTTCCTGAATAGGCCACCGGAGACATGCTGCGTTCCCAAGTCGCGAAGAAGACCGACCTCGGAAAGGAAGCCAAGAAGATCATGGACCAGGGTGGTCTCGTCAGCGACGAGATCATGGTCAACATGATCAAGAGCGAGCTTGAGACCAACTCAGAGTGCAAGAACGGGTGCGTACATATCTCAATTCCCTATCCATTTGATTTCTGCCGCGATTCCGCAATTCCGGTCAAAATCTAACGCGCGTTTTGAAACAGCTTCATTCTGGACGGTTTCCCCCGTACCGTCGCCCAGGCCGAGCGTCTCGATGACATGCTTCTCGCCCGCCAGGAGAAACTCCAGCACGCTGTTGAGCTGCAGATTGACGACTCCCTGCTGGTCGCTCGTATCACCGGCCGTCTCGTCCACCCTGCCTCCGGCCGTTCGTACCACAAGATCTTCAACCCGCCCAAGGATGACATGAAGGACGATGTCTCCGGCGAGCCCCTCATCCAGCGTTCCGATGACAACGCCGACACCCTGACCAAGCGTCTGGCTACTTACCACGCCCAGACCACCCCCGTTGTCGAGTACTACAAGAAGACCGGTATCTGGCGCGGCATTGATGCCAGCCAAGAGCCTGGTCAGGTGTGGAAGAGCATTCTCGGTGTTTTCCGCCAGTAAGCGATTATATGGTTACATTTAAAAAGAGATTTTGGGGGGGGGGGATGATTTGGGACAACTTACCAGTCCAGGTTCCGCTATGCCTACCGTTTTCTTATGTTTTTCTTAATTGGGGGCACTTTGGAGGCATGACTGGCGTTTTTGTTCACATATAGACCTGGGTTGATCCCCTGAACGCCATGTATAGTAGTATGTGTGTACTTTTTGAGTACCGAATACACTCAAAACCGGCATGCATTCGACCTTTTCATTTGTAGGCGATATGTAGTAATACTAGTAGCACCTGGGTGGTTCTTATATGTAATTTGAATTGTCTATCGACCTAGAAGGGCGACCATATCTACCAAAAAAACGCTGTAGTGTCCTTTCAACTCGTCATACCTACATTCATATTCCTCATATCTACAATTGCAAGGGGTATTCAGTTGACTCAATCTTCTGAGGATAAGTCAAACCACCCTGCTTCCGAACTTCATCCATCACCTCCATAATAACGATGCTCTCCTCCCACGGCAAGCCCTCACTCTCGAGCTTACCGTCCCGGAGGCAGCGAGCAACCTCGTCAGCTTCCCAGTACATACCGAGACCATTACCAGGGAAGGGGCATTCAACATCACGAACCTCGCCTTCGCCCTTCTTGGGAACAACACGGTAACCTTGTGGGCGGAAAGGTGGACCACGCACTTGGATTTCACCCTTGGTACCCTGGATACGGATAGAAGGACCAGCAGAGCCCTTCTCATCCGGATCAGCAGAGACACGGATGTTGGTCAAGGCGATACCGTGCGACTGGTGAGTCTCCGAGCTGTTGGAGGGAGTGCTTGTAGGGAAATTCAGGAGCATGGTAGTGGACTCATCCACACCGGTCAGATGGTAGGGAGTCATCTGCGAGGAAACAGTGGGTGGCTTTCTTTGGTCCCGAGGCAGGGTGTGATATAGAGTCTGGAAGACCCAGGTCAAGGAGTAGATACCCACTAGATATCTGGTCAGTCAAACCGTTCTTCCAACCTTCCACGGAACAACAAAGTGGTAAACAACTCAAGCATAATACTTACAGTCCAAAAGACAACCACCCGCTAAATCAGGGTTCACCATACGGTGAGTAGTGCCCCATTTAGTCTCAACGTCATCCCCAAAGCTCGTATCAGCAACAACACGGACCACCTCACCGATCTCGCCCTTTTGGATAAGCTCGCGGATCTGAATACTGAGCGGGAAGTAGCGAGTCCAGACAGCCTCCATTAGGAAGAGGTTCTTCTTCCGGGCGATGTCAACTAGAATCTTAGTTTGGGCAGCATTGACAGTGAACGCCTTCTCGCAAAGAACATGCTTGCCAGCTTCCAGGGCCAATCTGGCGTTCTGGTAGTGGTGGGAGTGCGGGGTCGCGACGTAGATGACATCGACATTGGGGTCAGCTACGAGAGCCTCGTAGTCGCCATATGCAGAGCAGGGAGTTGTGATGCCTCGAGCTTGGATGAATTGTTCGGCTTTATCTTTTGAAGAGGATGAGGCGACAGCCACAATTTGGTGGGCTACGTCTGAGGCATCGCGGACATTGGGGTCAATGAGAAGGTCCTTGGTGAACACTGTTTGGGAGTCATTAATCGGTGCGCTTTCCACTTGTAGGCTGTAGGTGTCTTACTCTCAGCGATCCAGCCAGTGGCTTTTCATCGGTTAGCTTTGTTTATCAGACAGCTTGAATAACAGCTTGGAGGGACTCGTACCCATGATACCCCATCGAACACTGTGTGGCGCCATGATGAATAGTGTTTTCTATTATCTAGTATGGGAGAGCAAAGTAAAGTAGTGTCAAGATTCACGGAAGATACGGAGTAGTTTCCGAGACAAGTCTCCTTTATATTTACATAATATGTCCACGGCTATCAGTATGGAGACCGGAGATGCGCCGAGCGGGGCCCCAACGCAACGTCATGATACTACTGTTTCTATATCATTATATCAATGTATATAGATTTAGATGTATATAGAAAGAATACAAAGGATAATGTAAGATGTCTCAACTAATTGTATTGCAATCAATCGTTCGCTATGAAAACGCCATGCAATGCAGCAAATAATAACAGATCAAACCGGCTCGGTCTTGACACGGGTCTTCTGGCTTGGAGATTCCGTTCCCTGAGTATCGTTAACTTTGATCATTCAACACTTCCAAGGTACGAAGATGCACTCACCTCAGCTTTACGCTTGCCCAGTACCGAGTCAGGCGTACTAGTCCGCGTCTGACGAGCTGGGGCAGGGCCTTTGGTGACTTCAGAATAGCAACTATCATGGTACACACGAGGTCCGACCTTGATCGCGTCTTGCCAAATCCAGTCTTGAACATCCTCGGACCAGGTCGACTCAAACTTCTCTTGGCAGATAGGACATGGGGTGTTGCGGAGGGTGGCATCGTTCGGGGCTCGGATCCATGGCTTCGAGGGTTCCTGCTTGGTGTTTCCCTCGCCTGTAGCTCCTTCAGTGGTAGTTTGGGGATCTGTGGCACCATTTTCGTCGCCAGCTTCGCGAGATTTAATCCAATCCTATTTGTGGTTAGAGCTAAACATATGATTCAAGATAAGGAAGCTAGCATACCCTTTCGTCGACATACCAGCTACGGTTTTGAGCACGCCGGGAAGATTCGGTCATACGTTGGTTGGTCTTGAAATGCCAGTCCAGATGGCGGGCTTTCATTTTCTTGCCTTCTTCCGTAGCGAAAAATCTACGACCACAAGTTCCACACTTATTAGGGCGCGAGTCATACAAAGAGACAATTAGTCCGAATCGAGGGATCTTCATAGATGCAGTATTCATGGGAACTCCAGATGTACTGTTGGCAGCCGGTACCTGGGCCAGAGCTTGGGGGGTGGGTTGTACTCCATTGGGCATCATGAACGGTAAAGTAGATCTCCCAGGAAGTGGAGTCGAAGAAGCCGAAGAAGTAAGAGATGGGGGTGTTGGCCCGGAAGGCAGAAGTCCACGGGCCCTCAAAGCCGCAATGAGAGGGTTTTCCGCTCCTGATTGTGGGATTTCATTTTGTTGGGGCGTATGAGGCAATGCAGCTGGCATTGCGGGTGGCGGGGTCGGTTGCTGGCGCGAAGCGGTAGCTTTGATCAACTCGGCAAGAGTACCAGGGTTCAGCAGTTGCTGGAATGGCTGTGAGAAGGGTTGGACAGGAGGGGTGGAGACTTGAGGGGGCACTGCCGGGACATTTGCGACCGCATTTGGGGGAGCAGAAGGGGGCCTTGTGGCAGCGAGTGCTGAGACCTGATCACGGACGATTTTCAGCTGTTCTTGGGTAAGCTGCTGCTTCTGTAAGATAGCCTGGAGATCCACCAGCGCTTTCAAACGTTGTTGAGAGGCAGGGTTGAAGGGACTGTTGGCAAAGTCGACCTTCGCAGCAGCAATCAGGGTATCCACGTCTCGGTTGAGGGAGTTCAAGTCGATGTCTTGACGCTGATTCGGAGGAGGTGTCTGTATCCAAATTAGTATTTCATGTTAGAACACAAAGGAAAAGCATTCTTACCGAGGTCGAATGACCTTGGTACTGATTTGGTGGGCGGGACATGTGAGGTGCAGGGCTGTGAACCCCAGGGCTGTTGGTCCATCCGTTGGGAGTTCCATTGGACCGACCACGACTGGTCATATCCGTCTGCACTCTTGTTTGTTGGTGTTGTAAAGCGGCAGTGCGGGCTTTGATGAGAGCGCTTTCGATGTTCCGTGTAATCTCGGGTGGAAAAACTGGACGTGTGTCAAGAGAACCTGGGGCTGGCTGCTTCCATGTGTTGAGCATCTCATCCAGCTTCCTTCGAGTGTTGCCATCCACCAGAGTATAAACATTCATGAATGTCTGATACATGTTCCGACCCAGGAACAACGTGTAGGGACTTCCAACGTTCTTGGCGATGGAATCAGCTACATAAAGGGCTGGGAGCTTCTGCTGGGGTGGTGTCTACATTTTGGTTAGGATCCAACTCGGTCTACAAGAGAGAGAAAATAGAACATACTGATCGAATGTGGTTCTCCAAGACCCGGGAGATAGCCATTGCGTGTTCTGTGTTCTCTTTGGCGATGACAGTCAGGGTACGAATCTGTATTCCATCATTTGATGTTAGATCCTCTAGAGAACTTTTGTAGTCCTCTGCGATCTCATCAGAAACAAGACCCGACATATTTGCGATGCGAGATGACTTGAGGTTTTATCAAATGTCGAGAGCAGAGTCAAAAGATCTCTATATCACAAGGGAAGCCTATTCGGTTTTGTCGATGCCCTCTTGCTTGTTTTTTTTTCTCTCTCCTTGCCTCTCTGAGGGTGTTTGCTCTTTTTTTGCTTGCTTTTTTTCCTTTTTTTTCTCGAGGTCTTTCAGATGCTTTTCCTTCTCTGCCTTCGGTCAAACTATCAAGACTGTCTTTTCTTAATCCTTGTCCTTGTTCCAAGGAACAGGTTCTCTTGGATCGACACAAAGATGGAGAAATAGTCGGAACTTGTAAATGCTTGCTAGCTATCTTTTGCGAGAAATGAAAACAAAAGGATTCAGACGCTTGCTCTCCAACCCCTGTGACCTTCCAGCACCTTGTGTGTATCTACCTTCAAGTCAATGAATCAGGAGGGGATGCGGGGAGATGATTGCGCCGAGGGTATGTCTTGAAAATGCGGTTCTGTGAGAAAGAGCCAAACGGGTGTAATGAGAGGGGTAGAAGAAAGGAGAAGGAAACGAGTCAATCCAGAGGGTGATATATGCAAAGTACAAAACAGCGCTGTGGGTGATAAGAAGATGAATTGGAAAGAGGAAAACGAAAGAAAGGGATTGTCGGAGATACATGGTCATGTGATCAGGAATGACGCCAGCATCACTTTAACAGTTTCAAGACACTTCTTCTTCACACATCTATTCTATTTATCTATTATTTGTCTCTTCAAGGAAAAAAAATGAGGTATTCTATTGCTGCTGCATTGCTGACCCTGCCACTGGCTTTGACTGCATCACTCAAGTCCGTCGTCATTACTTTCCCTAATGGAACGCCTGAATCGGTTATCACCCAGGCCAAAAACTCCTTGGTGGCTTCAGTACGCAGTGCACCTTAGATGTCATTCTATTTGTATGTTATACTGACAATTATAGGGTGGTGTGATCACTCATGAGTATCGTACGTTCTGTTTACCCTTTTTCTACGGAGTAGATATCCCGAATCTCGGGATATCTAGATCTGAGGACTCTTACTTACAGCCCGGGAAATGTTAATACTGACATACATCTCTCCTATAGATCTGATCAAGTACAACGTCAATTCACACATCTCTTGAATCCTATCTAACTATGATTATAGTGGTTTCGCTGCCGAGGCTCCCGCCAGTGCGCTGCAGACCCTCTCCACGCAAGATGCGAAATACAACCCCAATATTGAAGAGGATAAGATTGTGAATGCGAATGGAGAATATAAAGCTGGATTCTAAATATTCAGATCGAAGACCATGAATCGGATATACCAATACCTCGGCGTCTTTGGGTGTTTACAATATGGAGTATGCGGTTCAGTATGGTTTCAGGGGGGATTAACGGTGTTTGAGATTTAGTTAGTCATATTTGAATACGTTCTTTTTCTATCTCCTGAGATTGCCGTATACTGGTAGGTATTAGACAATAAGTCATAATGTAGTTATACTCCTCACATTGGACAGTAACTATGAGCTACTATATACCAAAATAAACAAACATAGCAAGATCATGAGATGTACTCCAAAAAAGACCATTGAAAAAGATGTGTAAAATTCATGTAGAAATTGAATCTAGAATTTATAAAAAGTCCCCCCTAAGAACCCCCAAATAGAAAAAGTAAGTCAATCTATTAAAAAAAATTGATCGAACATGAAGAGAGACATAGGGCCGATCATCCCCCGCTAGTTGATTTCGGTCCTTGTGGCCCCCCAGACGCGTGGATCCGCTGGAAACTCCCTTGAAACTCACGAGAAGGCAAACATTTCCTCGAGTTAAGGTCCTGGAAATGCTGGAACTGCACTGGGCCTATTTGACTCTCGATTAAACGCGTGAATATGGCGTCGGAACACACTGTGACTAAGGTTCTACTGGAATGGATCAACAGCTTCTCCCTGGGCAAAACCCTCCGTGCCACCGATGAGTTGACCGATGGAATCATCATCTGGGAAATTCTTCAGGATATTGACCCCCAATATTTTCTCGAAGAAATCCCAGAGCGCAACTCATCGGACCATTGGGTGGCCAAGTGGCAGAACCTGAAGCACATCCACAAACTATTGCTCACTTACATTCGGCACCAGAATGACGATGCCCTGCCCTCCGGTCTCGATCCGTCTCCCGATCTCGAAACTATCGCGGAAAAGGGCTCCGCTAAGGAGACAAATAAGCTGTTGAAGCTTCTCCTGATCGCGGCCATCAGCTCCCCCAACGCTGGAACATACGTGCAAACGCTACAGGAATTGAGCACCTCGACGCAGGAGGGGCTCAAAGATATTATCGAGGAAGCGCACAATGGACAATACGAACCGATGGACGCTGCGGACGAGCTGAGGGAGGATTTGGCCAAACGCGATCGCCCCGTGGACTTGGAACTGCAGTTTGAGGAACGGGTTGGCAAGGTTCTGGCTGAAAATGATCGCCTCACACACGAGAAGAAGGAGTTGGAGAAAGCGTTGGAGGATTTGCACAATCGTCTGGCGCGGCTTCAGGAGAACAACGACACTCTGCAGAACCGCCTTGCCTCCACCGAAGACCGCCTGGTTACATTGAAGTCTGGAAAGGGCGATATCGGGTTCAACGCAAAGGCATTGGAGAGCAAGACGCGTCAACAGGACGATTTAATTGCCTCCCAAGAGGCCAAGCTGAATGTAGCCCAGGACGAAATCGACAGCCTCCGCATGACTGTTGAGTCCCTGCGGGTCAAGAATCAGCGCTATCAGAAGCTGCAGGATGACTACGATGAGCTTCGCACTGAGAAGGATCATCTTGCGCGCAAGGCCAATGCGGCCGAGAAATACCGCCAGAAGCTTCAGGCCAGTCAAGACTTTGAGAAAGAGAACCAGACACTCAAGAACCAAATCAAAGATCTTCAGCAACAGCTGAAAGAGTCGGACTCGCAACAGCGGTGGTCCGCAGAGCGGGATGTGGAACTGGAGGAATACCGCAAGCTTCTGCCGCAAGTTGAGCAGGAATGCAACGAGATCCAGAACTTGAAGAAACAGCTCGAATTCAACAACCATGCTCTGACAGAGCGACTGGAAAGTGCGGATGAACAGCACGAGAGAGACGATGCTCTGATCAGCGAGCTACGTGAACGCTTAGGCGAAATGGATGGCTTGCCAGGCACTTCTTCTCCTGGCTCTGAGACACCGAAGATGCAAGGGACTTTGCATAAGGACTTTGAGGCAATTGGTGTCAAAGAGTCCCAACTGTGAGTGTACTCTTTGCCCTTTGGCTTTTATCTGCTGCTAACCATTGGCAGTAAATCCGACCATGATGACTTGAAGCGGGAAATGGAATCGCTCAAACCATCTTCAGCAGTAAGCCCACCAGGTACTTTCTTCGGTAACATGTTGATGCTAACTACTTTTAGCCGGGCTCTCACACCGGAGAGTTTTCTGAAAACTTTGCTGCATCTGTGCAGCTAGCACGCTCCGGATCCTCCCAAAGGTTTGATTGTCTGGTATCTCATCCCGATTGTATAGTTTACTGACATGCTCTACAGTGAGGACTACTGGAAATTATACGAGAACTATACCAATGCACTTAAAAAGATCGCAGAAGTCCAGGACACACTGGAAACAACCAAGAAGGATCTTTCCGATACACAGGCTGAACGTAAGTCCACCTTTCCATGGTTTTATGCCTCAAAATATTGACATCATTGCAGTCAGGCTTGTGAATATGGAACAGGTCGAGATGCTCAGAGGACTCGAAGAGCATAACTCAACCGAACTCACGAAAATTCGGGGTGACTGGGAGAATCTCACACAGAACGTCCACCACCTAGAGGCCGAAGTGGATGCCAGCCAGACACTGGTGCGCGAAGTCTGCGCGGAACGGGAGGAGCTGCGCAAGATGCTTGACAACAAGCAAAGCGAGATCAGCTCCGAAGACCAGGAAGTGATGAAAGAGATGCAAATGCTTCTGGGCGAGTTTGAAATCCACAATGGCGAGGGCGGCGAATTGCCCCAAAAATCAAGCTTTGAGCTCCTCAAACAATGTGCAGGCGTTCTGGAAAAGAATGTTGAACGACTCGCCCAGCGTGCAGAGGTCGGTTTTTTGCGGTTCCTGCTTCATCTTTGGTATACTAACTGAAACTCTGTTCTACAGTATATCCAGCAACAAAACGAATTGGTCAAATCACTTCGTGAGCGTATGAAGAATTACGAAGAAAATCTGGACAATGGCATTCCCAAGGAGCGAGAGGTACGTTGTTGAATGACGCAGTTCATGGCTATTGATTCCTTTGACTACGTTTGGCAGTAGCTGATCAAAACTCCAGCTCGAACTTCAGAACATTATTGACAACCAGGCTCGAGAACTCAGTCTCGTGGGCTCAGCATGGTATCACCTTCAGAGCCGATGGCAGAATAACAATATGACGGTATCGCGTTATCGCCATGGAGCCAGTACGGGAGATTCGAAGGGCTGGCTAGCAAAGCAAAGAAGCGCTGTTGCTGGTCAGTAGAATGGATGGCCTTTGGATCAATTTCAATGTTATTTTTTTGCATTTGCGTCTTTTCTTTTCTCTTTCGTTCTACGTTGGTTTGTATGTTGATATTCCCACTATACATCCTGTCTTATTCTTGTTGTTATTCCTATTTTTGTCCATACAAGCAATAGAGACTATGTGATTTAAATGGAAGTTTTGGCATCGGCTTCAGAGTGGTGATTTCATTTGCATGTAGATAGTCCAATCAATGGCTGTCCTTGTAATAAGTAGAGTGAGTTCGTCGCATTCCAAAAAATGTAAGCTACCTAGGTAGACCCCTGTCGAAATAAACATGTCTATGAGAAATACAAAAGCGGGCTGGGGAATTGACCTGGCCTGAGAAAAAGAAGAAAAAAGGGGGGATCAAACAATTATAAAAATACGGTCTCTATACAACTTGACCGAAAGCGGGAATCAAAGTCTGTGCCAGCCAGAAGCTGAAGACCAGCTTGGGACCTGTCATCAGCAGCTTGGGGGTCAGGCCCTTAAAGAAACTGGTGGGGCCCTCGTTCTTCATCATCTTGGAGATGATCTTCATGCCAGACTCGGGGTTCTCGAAGTTGCGGTTCTGGATACGGGTCTTGATGACATCGAGGGGAGCGGAAACGACCAGAGAGGCACTGGCACCGGCAACGGAGGCAACGAAGTTCTGGCCCCAAGTGGCCTTGTTGTAATCGCTCAGCTGCATCCATTCCTTGGCGAAGGCAGATCCACCGAAGAGCTGAGAGACATTAGTGATCGTACGGTCATAATGATAAACTGGGGGAGGAAACATACAGCGAAAGATCCAGGGGCGTTACGGGCAGCAGTCCAGCCAGCACCACGGTAAAGACCCATACCCTCATCGGCGATAATCTTGAAAAGGCCACGGCCACGGAAGGCCTCGGGGTTAGTCTGACGCTTAATCTTGAGGACGTCCAGAGGAAGGAGGACGATCTCTCCGATGCCGATCAAACTGAATTATCCGCGTCAGTAAATTTCCTTGTCCGCAGCGTTCCATTTGTCTCACCTTCCAGCAGTGGCGTGCATGATGGCCTTTCCGGTACCCTTTCCAAAGGCCTTATCGAAGTCGGCACCGTGGTGCTGAGCGAGATAGTCCCGGGCGAAAGGTTGACCACCATACTTGTAGATACGTTGAAGAACCTATTGTTTCAAAACATCATTAGCTGTGATTCTCACGCATTGAGATCACCATTGAGTAACAAACCTTGTAACCAGCAGCGTATCCGAGACCGGGGAACAGAGAGGTGAACTTGCGACCGATGGTAGCATTGGCGTGCTCCTTGAAGACAACCTTCTTGAAAGTGGCAGCATCGGCGATCTACCAAGGATCCAGGTCAGCAATAGATACACCCACATGGTATAGAGCCTTCAACGCACGCGAGTCTGGTTGCTCATCAATCGCTTAGCGGTGGTGTCAACCTGTGAATGTCAGTGCCGGAATCACAACAGGTTTCGAATCGAAGGGATATCGGTCATACAGGGTGGAAGATCATCAACTCAGCAATACCGGCAGAGCCTAATAGCAATCACAGGTTAGCAAAGTCATTTGTAATTCATCACGTCGTATGACTTACCGGAGCCAAGAAGACGAGCAGTGGCTGACTCCTTCTTAACATCACTGGAAGCGGCGGTAGGAGACATGATTTCCAATTGAAAAAAGAAAGAAGAATATCACCAAAAAAAATAACAAGTAAAGAACAAGTAGAGAATGACAACGCCGTTGATTGATTCAGGAACATGTTACTCGGAGTTAAATTTTATCAACAGGTTGACGCTAGTCCCGTTTCGGGGCCGCCATCGGAGAACTATTGATCTATACAAAGTACCTCACAGCTCCATATAACTAGCTATACAAGTCTATGGAGAACAACAATAAGGATAATGGACTACGTGGTATCTCCCTATACTAGTCCTCCATGGAGGATTACCTTTGTGTTCTAAAAAGAAAGGTAAAAAGAGATATATGGGATTCTACTCTGTAACCTTTGAATTTCGATACAGACAGTCAATCAATGTCACTTGGTCTGAATAAATTAATATACTGACTTACTGTCATTTATCTGTTATAAATATGATGAAATATAAAATAGATCATAGTCCTAATGCTAAGGATGTATATATATATCAAGTTCATACATATGTTAGTTAGATAGATAGTTATTATTACCTACGTATGGATAGATAGAGCAAAAATCCATCTCACTTATTGTTGGTAACACTTTAAAATTCCGTAACAACTTACTAAAAAAAAGATAAGCTGATAGCAGATGGAACAACAGAACAAAAACAAAAAAAAGAAATGACAAGAGTGGGATTCGAACCCACGCCTACAACGTAGATCAGGAAACTGGGAACAGTTATTGAGTTAAGGTGGACCTTAACCTGACGCCTTAGACCAACTCGGCCATCTTGCCAATTGGATGAAAGAGTCAGCAGATTATGGCTACATGAACGGAACAATCTAGAGCCCAGACATGCTGATCAAGTCATGCAAATAATCTCGGAGAACTTCTGAAGTTATGTGTTAGTACCCCCGAGTTTCCAGTCTACATAAAATGTGTAAATATCTGCTAGGGGAGACCCCAAGGGACTGATGGACACAACAGTGGTTGCTTGTTTGTACGTTTGCTTGCTATCCATGCTTGTCATGCCTATATATATATATATAGCATTTCCCCTCGAATATATCCCTTTCAATTGGAACTCCGACCATAAAGAGGCCTCTATCATTCGGAAGGAGACACTGATTACGGCTCCAATTCTTCGTCACTGCGACCCGACCCTACCAACACGGCCTGGGACAGCCGTTATTGAGGGAGTTCTCGGAGCCGTACTCGAGTATCACACTCTGCCTTTCTTAGTGAGTGCTGCATGTACCTGAACAGATCTCATTAAAAGGTTGCTAGAGCGAGCCTGCTCGACAAATTATGCGCCGCCTAATCATGCGTACTGGCGTGTCCGGGTAGAGAACCCGAAATCAGGACTGAGGTCTTCCAGGATCAGCCTCTCCTCAGCCCAGTTACGCAACAGAAACCCGGTGTCTCCCCCCCAATCAAAAACCCGGACGAGATCAATCCTGGCGGTATAGTGATCCAAATACAAGAGAAATGGGGCTACCTACGCTCAGAGTCACCGTGGGTGTCATTTGGTGATCCGATGAATCCTTGGACCGATTGCTGACTCTAAGCTGTATTAGGCCTCTCATGATCAAAGAAATCCTCGATGATACCGCAGACAAGAGGAGGGACTCGATCATCCTGCCCGCTGCTTTCTGTAGTATATATGTATAAATTAGCGGCCGAAGCAGAGGACGTCGTTTGTATACCAATGTACCCACACAACGAAGTTTTAATCAAGCGAATGCAGTATCAAAACGCACAGTGTAACATTATAAAACAGTATCTCCTTCGCTGCTACTCTCTACACCATCACACTCATTTCATTTTGTATATATTGTTATAAATTTGTGAGAGTATAAAGGTGCTACCCTACATAGACATAGTACAATGAGGGACCATTCAAATTATAATGTTTATTTTATTTAGGCACTTGTTTATGAGTTTCGATTTACATTAATGAATGGACGTTCCACAAGGCACGATCAGCAAGCCTCGTACGTTCATATTGACCGAGATCATCCATACATGCATAGGTACATAGTATGTGTTGCATACAAATAAGAATGGAGGGGATGCAGGAACAGCTCAGATCTCTTTGCTAATCACGCCATCTCTCGTAAACAGACCCCGCCAATTTGCTCAACTTTCCTCCTTTTTGACTCATTATTCTTTCATTTGACTCCTTATTCCTTCATCTGACTTCTTGTCCTTTCAATTGACTTCACTCTGCCCTTCTTCCTTTACTTCACCCCAGATAATCAGTAAGTACCCCACCAAAGTGGCTGCTTATGGGACCGCTGGCTGATTGTTTTAGTCCCCAACTTCCCCCGCATTTACAAAATGGCGGAACAGAATCTCCACTTCGATACCCTGCAGCTTCACGCCGGGTAAATTCTCCAACCTCTCACTGAAAACCAACTGAATTCTGACACAAACAAGCCATGAGCCAGATGCAGCTACAAATTCCCGAGCTGTTCCCATCTACGCGACCAGCTCCTATGTCTTCAATGACTCCGCCCACGGTGCGAGGCTCTTCGGTCTCAAGGAGTTCGGCAACATCTATAGCCGCATCATGAACCCGACTGTGGATGTCTTTGAAAAGCGAATTGCTGCCCTGGAAGGTGGCGTTGCTGCCATTGCTGCCTCCTCGGGTCAGTCCGCTCAGTTCATGGCCATTTCGGCCCTCGCCCATGCGGGTGATAACATTGTTTCCACTTCCAACTTGTATGGTGGCACCTACAATCAATTCAAGGTTATGTTCCCGCGGCTTGGTATCACTACCAAGTTCGTGCAAGGGGACAAGGTTGAGGATATTGTTGCTGCCATCGATGACCGGACCAAGGCCGTTTATCTCGAGTCCATCGGTAATCCTCGTTACAATGTTCCTGACTTTGAGGCCATTGCCAAGGCTGCCCATGAAAAGGGTGTTCCCGTTGTGGTATGTAATTATGTTAGAACACGGCAACGGTAAAACACTTACGAATATTTAGGTTGACAACACCTTCGGAGCTGGTGGTTACTTCGTCCGTCCCATCGACCACGGCGCCGATATTATAGTTCACAGCGCTACAAAGTGGATTGGTGGCCACGGCACCACAATCGGTGGTGTAGTCATTGACAGCGGAAAGTTCGACTGGGGTAAGAACGCTGCCCGTTTCCCTCAGTTCATTGAACCATCCGAGGGATACCATGGATTGAAGTTCTGGGAGACGTTTGGTTCTATTGCCTTTGCCATCCGGGTGCGCGTTGAGATCCTCCGCGATCTTGGATCTGCACTAAACCCTTTCGCCGCCCAACAACTTATTCTCGGTCTGGAGACCTTGAGCCTGCGATGTGAGCGACACGCATCTAACACTATTGCTCTTGCGAAATGGCTGGAGAAGAACGAGAACGTCAGCTGGGTCTCTTACCCTGGTCTAGAGAGCCACCCGTACCATGAGCTTGCCAAGAAGTATCTGAAGCGTGGCTTTGGCGGTGTGCTGTCCGTTGGTATCAAGGGCGGTGCTGCTGCTGGTGCCCAGGTTGTGGATAACTTCAAGCTTATTTCCAACCTTGCCAAGTATGATATGTCCCAGTTCTTCTTTCTGCCTCGACGGTATAGTTACTAACCTGTCACAGTGTTGGTGACTCCAAGACCCTGGCCATTCACCCCTGGTCGACCACACACGAGCAGCTCTCAGAGCAGGAACGTCGTGATTCGGGCGTGACTGAGGATGGAATCCGCATCTCAGTTGGCACAGAGTACATCGGCGATATCATCGCCGACTTTGAGCAGTCCTTCAAGGCTTCACAGGCTGTACCAGATCGCACCGCTTGAAACACGGGATGTAAAAACGTGCATAAAGGAATGATAACAAGAAACTAGGACCTGATAACGACATACCCAAGTAGATCTGATGCAATGTGATCTTAATGAACTATTTTCTAGGATTGTGTTGAATGCTGCTCTGACCTGACCACTAGAAATGTGTGGAAAGCTCTGTTTTTCATTATCCTTGGTTCTGGCAATTTATAGGGATCTAAACATGACCACTACACTTCTGGCCTCGATAACGATCCAGCGAACTTTTTATGTTTCTATCTCGGTATTAGATTCGTTAGATCTTTAGCTACTATCCTCCCGGTCGGCACCTATCGTACGGCGACCCTCCCTGCTCTAGCTTCTTAGCGCACTTAATAAAGCCATGTATATATAGCTAAGCTTATTTTCAGCCTAGAGTTATTCTAGTTTACTAATGTATGTAATCTGTAGGCAATAGCTATTAGTTCAGTCCCACACATACGGCCCCTCCTTTTGTTGATGAGCCTCTTAGTTCGAGAAAGTAATTCGGTGTCAAAATAAACAAAACAAAATAAAGTAGAAAAAAGGCATAGTAACATATGTGAGCCGTTGGAATCACGAAATGGGCTACTTGACAGTCTTTAATAGCTATAGCAGCGTTTACTTCCTTATGCAGTCTGCTTATCCATTCTTTGTCATGACTAGCGCATCTGACCTCTGGCCGCTATGCACCTGGGCAAGATGCGTTAACGCCGCTTAGGGCGCACGTCCCTCCTCCTGGCCGCAATATTTAGCTAACAGCGGGCTGTGTAGTTGTTGCTTGCGTCCAAGCCAGCCCAAGTTCGGTCGATGGGCAGGTAAAGACACTGTTTCATTCGGTGGCGATGGTTGGAAAAGAGATCGTGACAAGGCTGCTTGTGTCTAGGAACACGGTCGCAGGCTTTCCAGATAGGCAGAGCGGACGCCAGGAGAATAGGGCTTGAAGAGAAGACATTCTTACACTCCCATGAGAAAGGTTCTTCCCAATCGCTGCGCATCGGCTTTCAACAATCCTTGACGCTGGCATTCCGCCCCAAACAATTCGTCAATCTCAGACCGTAAATCGCGCATCAAGACCTTTGGATCCAACATACGCTCTAGACAGCGAAGTACTAAGCTTCTAATCACGGTGATAAACGAGATTGGCAAGGCATCGGTATCGTACTCATATCGGATGCCCAAGCCACAGTCATCGACCTGCCATTCGAATAGACATGAGAACTTCGAACCTTGTGCGGAAACCTGAACTGGTTTCACCCCCTTTATGGAGAGGGGGGTTTCACCGTTACCACAAGTCCGTTGGTCGTGGAAGGTGACCACACAGTCGAATAAGGGTTGTTGCTGTCGTTGCGTGAGATTGAGGTGGCTTGGAAAGGGTAGTCCTAGATGGTTCAGCAGCGATGGCCAGGGAAGAGCATTTGCCAGCGCAGACTGAGATGATGATCGAACTTCTTCAAGAGCGTTCTCAGTTGTAGAATCTGCCTCGCACAGCAGAACTCTAACAGGCAAAGGTTGAAGGAACAATCCAACCACTTCCATGTCTTTTGGGTCAGAGCGGTTCATGTATGGAGACCCAAGGAGTACATCATATCGGCCACATATAGTCTGAAGGACGACACCTACTACTGCCAAGCCAAATTGATGCAGTGTAGTTCCTTTGAGAGAGGTAACAGCGAGGAGGCTTTTGTAGAACGGTGGGGGAATCGTCTGGAACACGGACTCTCCACGGTAGGATCGGGGCGATGGGATCTCCGTGGGAGTATCTGTAGTCGAATCGCCCTTCAAAGAAATGCCCTTCAAATAAGAACTCCAAAATGATAATCTATCATTGTCAACAGGCTGGTTCCAGACCGTGCAGTCGAAGTACTCGCGCCCAATGGGCTCCAATTTCCGACCGTAGTACACAGTGGCGGTCTCGCGCAAAATCACATTGAACGAAGTCAGGTCACACACAACATGCGAGGCACAAATGACGAGCTGATTTGGGGAAACCACGGCGCGGATAGGGCTCTCTTTCTGAAGAACGAAGGGTGTGTTGATATATTCTGCAACGTCAAGTTCTTCCACGACAGGCACGGTGATCGAGTCGGTTGTAATTGAGCGTAGTACCTTGCTTTCAAGAGTCGTAAACCTGGATCGCAGAATTCGATGGCGATTTAAGACTATCTGGAGCGCAGATGCCAGCTTTGGGACGTCAACATCATTTGAGAGCTCCGCAAAGTAAGGTACATTGAAGCTCGACGTTGTCGGTGAGTGTTCATAACGATGTATCCACTCTATCTCAGCTGGAGAAGGAGTCTCGAGACCAAGCGATCGAGTTTGAGCTTCCTGTAATGCCAGTGGTGTGCTGCCTAGCTGTGACTCGCTCTGAGTCTGAATAAGATGAGTTAGATCCCGGAGCGTGGATGCGGATATGATATCTTTGACGGTGACTGGGATATTGAAAAGGCTCTTTATACGAGCAGCCAGGGCAAGCTGGAGGAGAGAATGTCCTCCAAGGACGGCGAAATCATCTGCGCTTGATATTTGCGTCGTGGAGTCCAATGTCAACAATTGTCTCCAGATGCCTGCGAGGGTTTCCTCTAGAGAGTTCAACGGCTGAATTGATCTGGGAGCGAGATCCATGTGATTCTTTGGGACAAGTCCCTTAAGATCAATTTTGCCGTTTTGTGTTCGAGGCAACTTTCTCAGGGCGTAAACGCTTTTCGGAGCCGAATGAGGTGGCAACGCTACGGCCAGCTCACGTTTCAGTAACTTTGTATCAATTTCTGGCTCAACCCAGAGCACAACAGCGCCATTCTCTGTGACTGCAATGGCCTTGGAGACCGAGGGCATTGTCTGATAAACAGCTGCTGGGATGTCGTCCAAGTTGATACGGTATCCTCGAAGTTTGACCTGCCGATCGTCTCGACCACAGCAATGCAGGTTTCCATTCGCATCCCAGAAGCCAATATCCCCCGAGCGGTACATCATTTCTTGGTTTGATCCCATGCAAAATGGATCTGGTACAATTTCTTCCGATGTCTTTTTTTCCATACCAAGGTATCCACGGGATATTTGAACTCCGGCAATGTATATTTCTCCAACGGTCAGTGTGGGTTGTAGCTCTAATTGGTTATTGAGAACGTATATGCGCGCTGATGGCAAAGGTCGCCCGAGGGTCACTGGAACACCAGGCTTCAGAGGATGATGGCAGACCAGAAGGGAAGCCTAAAAATGAGTATTGGCTTTGTCAACTATGAATGTGGGTCGCATTGCTTACTTCTGTGGGTCCATAGATATTATAAAGCTCTCTGCCTGAAGCCCATCGCTCGACCAAAGCCCCTGGCACAGGTTCCCCGCCGAAATGAATCTTTGTCAACATCAGCGACAAAGTTATATCCTAACATTCGTATTTGCAAGAGGATAACATACCGATTTTAAATTGGGGTAGTCTCGTGGGTCCAACTCTGCAGCCAGAGAAGGGGTAAGGATTGCTACTTCTGCATCTGACAGGTGAGAGAATTTATCGTCTTTTCCTCGGGGCAGTATCAGAGTAGCTCCAAAACAGAGAGTTGAGAGAATCTCGTGAATACAGCCATCGAATCCTGGAGAGAGCATCTGACTGATTCGTGTGCCAGGACGGCTTGTGGGCCGAGCGGCCGTGGAGGCATAAAGGGCAGCAACACTTCGATGCCTACACAGCACTCCTATAACTAGTCAGCATCTCCTTGTCATGTAGAATATTTTCTGAGATGCACCTTTAGGCTGGCCGGTGGACCCAGAAGTGAAACATAGATAAGCCGTAGAATGGGGGTGCGGTAACCTGGTTTGACAATCCGCTGGCTTGATGTTGCTGTTCAACAGATGATCTATCGCTAGGGTAAGTGGACCATGTGGTACAGCTTTCTCCATGTACGAAGTATCCGGAAGCAATAAAATTCTGGCACCACTGCGTTCAAGAAGCTGAAGACGGTATTCCTCAGGGTACGATGCGTCCACCGGGCAGTAAATCGTGTTGGCTTGCATGGCAGCAAGCATTCCCACAATCCAGTTGCTAGATCTGTCTGCCAGGACCGCAACGACTGCCCCAGCGGGTATGAGGAAAGTAATGATGTTCGCGATTTTATCCACACGTTCAGCCAGTTGAGTATATGTCAGTTCCTTCTCCGCGGCTCGAATGGAGATTTCGGGAGCATGTTGCCAGGCTGAATATTGGAACAAACTGCTGATAGTTTGTCCCGTGTTTCGTGTGAAGCTGGAGGTTGAACTGCTGTTCCCGGCGGCCAGTATCTTCTCGCGCATATGTGAGGGAAACTTCGAGTCGAGACACTGCTGCACAGAGAGCTGTCCACGAATGAGGGAGTGCAAGATGCTCCCATAGATATCTGCCATGTCTTGCACTTGACTTGGTGAAAACTTATCGGTCCGATAGAAGAGGCTGATGCCTCCATTTGGGTCGATGACCAGGTTGAGAGGGACATTTGCAGTGTTTTTAAATGACGGCTCTTGGAGGCACTTTATGGCTGTTGTTCCTTTCCTAAGCCCACCATCTTGAACGGTAACGGTGGTAGAAAATGTTGGTATGTTTGATGGAATTTCTGACACGTGAACACTGGCCAGGTCTTGGATTTCACAATGAATCTGGTGCAAGAAACTCTCAGCAGACAAGGACCTGTCAACCTGAACAAGGACAGGCAAAGTTTGTATCAACGGCCCTATCATGGTGTCTGCCCACGAGAAGGGGAGATTGCGGCCTGAGAAGACACTTCCGTACACGATTGTGTCCGAATTGGTGTAGGTTGTGAGAAGCAGTATCCATGCAGCATTGAAGATGGCCGCTGGGGTGACGTTCACAGTGCAGGCGTATTCAATGACTTTCTCCCGATCTACACCGTCATGCACGGAAACCTGAGCATGACCAGCTTGACGTGGGCTAAGACTGGTGTTAAGAGACGCTATGTCGCCACATGCATCAGAAAACAGTGTCTTTCGGTCATTCCAAAAGACCTGGAGGTCTGTATTCGTTGCATGTCGTAGGTGCTCCATATCCCGCGCCGCAACTGTGAAAGGGAGAGACCCTTCGAAGGGTTGACCTTCAAGGGCGGCATCCACTTTCTGGAAAATCAAGGAAGCTGAAAATCCGTCGACCAAGGCGTGATGTACAGTCCAAACCACGGTGATTTGACCTCTGCTGAGCTCATTGCCTTCGTAGTGTAGAACAGCAAAATTACTGCTCAAGTCGGCACGACGGAGTAATCTCTTCAAGGTCACCTCAATATCGTGATGGGATTTCACCGTTGTCTCTTCCCAATTGAACGTAGCTTGTGGCAGCAGCTTCTGGGTAGGCTCCTCCGTCGACCAGCTGAAAGAAATACGAAACATTGGCTCAACTGAGACGACGGCCTCCCATGCCTTTTTGATCCGGTCAATATCAGCCGTAGCATAATGAGAAAGGTGTTGCACATAGTTCATCTCCGGGTTGTCCATCGTAGGTAGGAGGAGGGCCTTCTGAAGTGGTGTGATCTTTGACTCCTGCTGACACTGTAGACTGGAATTTTGCAAGGGAATATGCGATCTCTGCTCAATACACCGATCAATCAACGATTGGATGGACGGTTCCAAGAGGACGTGCCGCACAGGCACTGTAAACCCATATTGACGACATAACGAAGATATCTTGATAGCGGCCAAGGAGTTGATTCCATAGCTGATTGCAGATTGCTTGACGTCGATCCGGTCAATCGAAATGTTCGCCGCTAGAGATAAGGCTGTTATTACAGCTTCGCTAAGTGTTGAGATAGGAGATATTGGATTATCCATCGTTGAGCCAACAGATTTTGTGATGATTGATTTCAAGGCCTTGACATCAGTCTTGCCGTTCATTGTTGGAAGGGATTTCAGAATTAGGAGGTAGTCCGGGACCATGTAAGCTGGGGAATTCTTTTTCCAGCTGGCAAGCAGACTAGTTGTGTCGACGGTACTTGGACCAACTACCGAGACTAGATGACCATTGAAAAGAAGTGAAAACGAGAAGCTGAGACGGTCGTCAAGCTGCAACACCTTGGCATCAACATCCTGGGCGAGGTTGACAAGAAATCCACGAATCTTTGTGATCCTGTCCCTTCGGCCAAGGAATTCCAATTCGCGAGAGCCCGAATCTGTAGCGACCCACTTGGCCATATCGCCAGTGCGATATACTCTCTCACCCCGGTACAAGATGAACTTTTCATTGTTTAGATTTTCGTCGTCCCAATACCCACTCGCAAGGCATCGACCCGCGACAAACATCTCGCCTTCCACTCCGAATTCCTTGATCAGCTGCATATCTTGATCAACTAGCATGACAGAAGACGATGGAATACATTGCCCAAGTCGAGTGGTATAATGCAGTCCGGTCTTGCTATCTGTTTGAAGGGCGCCTGTCAAGATGGTACATGTGGCCTCTGTTGGCCCATAGGCAATCCAGATTTCTGGTGTTGTTTTTCGCCAGTCTGTGATTAGCTTTTGCGATGGAGTCTCGCCACCTAGCACAATTCTTTGAAGTCTGGGGTAATGGTAAACACCACTTGGTGGAGTCAACACATCGAGGATGGAGGGTGTGACGGCAAAAATGTTGACTGTCTCTGCACGATCTTGCATGTTGAGTGGATTTCCAAGAACAACTGTTCCACTGTTGCAAAGGGTACTGAAAAGTGCACCCATGAAGGCTGTTTATTTGATCAGTAATAATACTTTCACTAAATGAAGTAGCCACTTACCGTCAAACGCGATAGAGAGTACAAGAAGCAGGCGATCACCTAGTGATACTCCGAAATTGAATTGTGGAGAAGAAACCAGGTTCATTACCGAGAAATGTGTCAAAACCACTCCTTTTGGTTTGTCGGTTGTCCCGGAGGTGAATATAACGCACATTGTGTCTGTCTGACATTCGTCGCACCGAGAGACAGCAGCGGTTTCATTAACGTCCCAGTCTCTCATGCTTTCCACAGAAACACACCTGATTCGCCGATTTTTTATGTCAGGCCGGTCTCCAGTGTATACAATTACGTCCGCCTCGACTTTGTTGAGAACATAATCGATCTTCTCTTGGGGCCATTGAGCGCGATCGATGGGCACATAAGATGCACCAGCTTTGAGGATTCCAAGAACGCCTATCACCATGTCAACGCAAGAACTTGCTAGCAACGGAATGGGCTTTCGTTTCTCGATGCCAACACCGCGGAGACGGCTGGCTAGTCTTGAGGAATCGAGGTCCAACTGTTGATATGACAAGCTGGAGTCCTTTCCATCTTCTACTGCAAGTTGAGAAGGGCTCCTTTGAACGGAAGTGCGAAACAATTCCAGAATGGAATGTAAGGTCATTTTTCTGAAAAAAAATATTAAGTGCGACAAGAAAAGCGACAAGAACCGTGAGCAGGCGCCCTTCAGTAGAATGTCCAGTTCATTACGATATCCTCTTAACCTCATTATATATCTATCATGTAAGCTCCCATGAAGCCCCGAAACCCCGGGACCCAGGAACCCGATCAGAGATCCGTAGAATGTGGTGATGATCAGGTTGCAGGAGTGGAGAATGTCATTCCTTGCGTCTGCATGTTTCAATACGTGCTTGGTCCAAGGAATTTAGACAAAAAGCAAGGGAATGAAGCTAGTCAGTGCACAGAAAGGGGGCGGCAGCAGATGTGTCAGGAAGTGTGATATTGGTACGCCGCTGAATGGTATGTGGTTGCTAGATCCCAGGGAAGTCCAGACCGCCAGTTTGGTTCTCGAACGACAGCAGGCTGGTCAGTTGCTTGATTCCAAATCATTGGGTGAACCCATATCTTGTCATAGTTTCGTTTCTTTAGTGAGCCACTCTGGACAACTCAACTACTCACTTCCGAAAATGTCGCACGGCTTCTATCCTCCAAGGGCTATTCCCCTGGACACTAAACCGTTGTTTGGTGACACTATAGTTACAATCGAGGACTTTGAACCCACCGAACCCTCCCACGCTCTTCCACACCTTAGCCCCGAAGATGCCGGCGCCATAAGAGAGTGGAATAAAACTATTCCTAGCAAAGTTAGCCTATGTGTGCATGACCTCATTCAATCTCGTGGCCTGTCGCAGCCAGAAGCTGTGGCAGTTTGCGCCAGTGACGGACAGCTCACATATCGTGAGCTGGACATCATGTCGTCCGCGCTGGCGACTCAGCTCGTCAATTATGATATGGGCCCAAATCGGATCGTACCCCTCATCTTCGAGAAGTCTATGTGGACTACCATAGCTTTGTTGGGTGTCATGAAGGCAGGTGGAGCATTCCTCCTTGTCGATATTGCCCACCCAGTTGCACGGCTAAGAGAAATACTTGATATTACTACTGCAAAACTCGTCATTGCTTCCGAGACGCAGGCTGTGCTTGCTCGACAGCTCGATTTGAAGGTGGTTTATTTAGGCGTCAATGTGAATGCACCAAACAAGACTGAGTCATGCACTCAGTTGGCGCCAGTCCCTCCCCACCGTCCTGCCTACTGTGTTTTCACATCTGGTTCAACCGGGAAGCCGAAAGGCTTCTGCGTTCAGCATGATGCTTTTGCGACGATGGCTGCAGTTGTCCCAGAGGCCTTCGGCCTCTCTTCGACTAGTCGTGTGTTCCAATTCGCCTCTCATGCTTTTGACGCAAGTGTTTTTGAGTATCTTGCGTGTCTCGTGATGGGTGGCTGTTTATGTATCCCTTCCGAGTCTGCTCGTTCGAGCTCTCTTGCCGAAGCCATCAATGTATTCCAAGCTGATTGGACCATCCTAACTCCATCCGTGAGCCGCATTATATCACCTGCCCAAGTGCCCACGCTGCGCACCCTCGTCATGACAGGGGAGCCTATGAGAGAGGATGACGTTGAGAGATGGTCTGGTAATCTGAGACTTGTTAATGGATATGGACCTTCGGAGTGCGCTGTTTGTTGTTCTGTCTGCCCATCCGTCACTTCTGCCACTGAGCCTGGTCAAATTGGCCGTGCACTTGGAGCTGTCCTATGGCTTGTCGACCCGGAAGACCACGAGAAACTGGTGGAAATTGGTGCAGTGGGAGAGATTCTGGTTGAAGGACACACTGTAGGAAAGGGGTATCTTTCCAACCAGGAACATACATCAAAGAGTCTTATTGACCCACCTTACTGGCTAACAACGTTCCGCCAGGCCCCATGCAGCCAAGTATACAAAACTGGTGACTTAGCCGTGTACCTCCCGAATGGAACGTTGCAGCTTCGTGGAAGGAAAGACACTCAGGTCAAGATCCGAGGCCAAAGAGTAGAGTTGGTCGAGGTAGAGCAGCGACTGAGGAACCTTTACCCTCGTGACATGCAGGTTGTGGCTGAAATAGCCAAAACAGCTCAGGAACCAGTACTCGTGGCTTTTGTGTGCCATTCCAAATCTTCAGAACCTGGCAATTCTATTCTGAGCCCGCCTAGTGTTTCTTTCCATGCCACGGCCCAGGAAGCCGCGAACACGTTACGCCAAACCGCACCTGATTACATGGTTCCCTCTACATTCTTCCCCGTCAACTTTATTCCAACCACCATTACAGGCAAGACCGATCGCCGGCAGCTGCGGCTTGCGGTGGAAAGACTATCTCGGCTGGAGCTTGCTGAATATAATGCTCCTGCCGCGGCCCAGGACAATCGACAGCTCGTTTCAGACCCGACACAAATAGCTTTGCGAAAGCTATGGTGCCAGGCGCTTCACTTGGATGGTGATGGTAATGACATCGGGCCGAAGCATAACTTTTTCCATCTCGGTGGCACTTCAATCGATGCAATGAAACTTGCGTCTTTGTGTCAAAAGAATGGGTTTAAAATCCGAGTTTCAACCATTCTGACCAACCCTGAGCTCGACAAAATGTCCTCAATGATTTATAACCATCATGATGAAGGCGAATGGCTTGTCAACCCGATAAACTCTGTACAGGGCGTCAAAGAAGAGCTGATCCAAGCTAAGCTTGTATCCTCGGCGGATACGGTTGACATTTTCCCCAGCACTGAATTCCAGAGATGGAATTTGCAACAGCCCTGCGATCACCTCTCTATCCGACTTCCGGCGGCACTGGATATCTCACGCCTAGAAGCTGCGTGGAAAAAAGTTCTGAAAAGACATGCAGCCCTGCGAACGGGATTTCTGTCCTGGAAGAAACACACATTCCAGGTTGTCCAGCATCATTTTGAGCTCTCTTTGGAACGAATTGATGTTGATGAGGATCTATCCTGCGCCATTGAAAAGCTGATTCGTGAGCCGTCACGCCAGTTCCCATGCCCTGGAACACCGCCATTCCATCTCACTTTGATGTCGAGCCTTCAACATCGGGTCCTCTTGGTCCGTATAAGCCACGCCCAATATGACGGGATCTCATTGCGGATTCTTTATCGCGACTTAATGACTGCCTATGCTGGGAAGGACCTGGTGCAAGGGACAGACTTCCCTGACTACATGCGAGTTCGCTGTGCTCAAGGCACGTCGAAATCGTTCGACTACTGGCGCAAGGTTTTAGACGGGGCCACCATGCCAACTTTGTGGCAGCCCCGCCCAGGTCCACCAGGCTGTCTCTCTCTCCACATGCAAGACATACAACTCCCCTTGCCCCCCACGGGAATTACTCGTGCCACCTTACTTATGTCCGCCTGGGCTTGGGTTCTGGCTGTCATCACTGGCCGATCGGACGTCGTTTTTGGGTATGTATCCAGTGGTCGGGACGTTCCATTGGATGGTGCAAATGACTTCATTGGCTCGGCTGTCACTACGGTACCCTTGCGCCTCATCATCCAAAGATCGTGGTCAATTGCCGATTTCCTCTGGGCGATTCAGATGCAACGGATATCGAACGCCCAATATGAAGTCGTGGACTTCGAGGACATAGTTCTTCAAAGCACATCATGGTCTGCAGGCACGCAGCTTGATAGCGTGTTTTCCTATGAAGATTTTGGTGCAAGTTCTGAAATCTTGCTTGAAGGCATCCACTGTCCCTCCCAATTCCATTTCCAGAAAGCGCCCACTGTACCTTACGCATTGATTAACCCCCAAGAGGACGCCATTAGCGTCAGGGTCGCCGGCCGCACAGATTTTCTTTCCCAAGATGAAGCGGTGAGGCTTTGCGAAATGCTCTGCACAATCGCCATCCAATTTGCGAAAACACCCGATCGGGCCCTGCCGTGGGAGAGTTTGGTGGAGGCTCCACCTCCAGCAAAGGGTCAGACATCGTGAGATGCGATCGATCTACATTATAGAAAATGACAGCATTGTTTACGTTTCTTTTCAATTGTTGATCTCACAGTCTCTAGATCTTGTTCGGTAAACTGCAAGGGATATATGCAAGCCAGGTGGAATGACTCTTGAGGTCTCATTTGACGAAGCCAACCTAGTCATAGCATTTAGCCGAGAATTGCTAGCTCCTTAGCCAATCGGAATAATACCAGTCGCGAGATCATGGTGCAGTCTAGCTTTGTAGATCACGCTTCATTCTGTCAGCGTTCCTTCCTTCCATTGCTCTTTCAGTGTGATTTTGTTCTTCGTTGGGTTTGCATTGTGTTACTACAGTCTATAAATTATTTTAATTGCGCTGAGACATACACTTATCTGCAGAACTTTTGATCAGCCACATGACCAGGAATCGATCATCTACTCTATAGACCTTGGTATATATAGAGCTCCTTCATTCTGCATCATCCCTTGCGGCCCCCACCCGCCCTCATATTGGTGATGGTCTCAGGCTAGCGATTAAGTTAACATTCTTTTTTTTTTTTTTTCTTTTTCATTTTTGAGATGCTTCCGTATGATTCGTGGCAAGTGTATGATTTTCGACTGTAATGCTCCGCAGGCCATCTTCTAGATTCACCCTGACATGAGTGCTGCATTTCGGATATGTGACCGATGTCGATTGTAGCCAGACCGACATTTGATGGCGAAGATCAGCGGAGAGGCTCCCTTATATGTCCATATCCGCCTTTCCTGTCGTCGACGTGCCCTCAAATCGCTGGATTTGGATACCCTACTAGTTAAGCTCTGTGCCGACAATTGTCTCAACCATGTTCGACGTGAAACTACCCCTTGAAAAGGAGACTACGTCACCTTTTTTGGACCAAGCATTGCGTTCTTGGACGAAACTGCAAAAGTGTCCAGAGGAAACTTCTGTTCTTTTGGATGGCGAAGGTTTAGATATACCTAGCGTTGTCGCTGTTGCCAGGTAGGCTCAGATTCCAGCTCTTGTCAAACCAACCTAATTCTTCCTGCTCAGATATCATGGGAGAGCTGCTACCAAATTGGATGGCAATATTGTCGAAAGAGTCAATTCAAGTGTGAAATGGCTCCGAGAATACCTCGCAAAAGGCTATGATGTCTACGGTTGGTCAACACATTAATCTTACTTTGGAAATATAGCTCATACTATCTAGGTGTGACCACCGGGTTTGGCGGCAGTGCTGATTCGCGCACTCTGGATTTCCACGGCCTTCAGGCTGCTTTGCTACAATTAACGCAAACGGGGATTCTGACCGAATCCGACTTCTCACCCGAAAAGGCTAACTACGATACTGGATTCCACAGCATGCCAGTCACCTGGGTGCGAGCCACGATCGTTGTGCGTTGCAATCACTTGCTCCGAGGGCACTCTGGCGTGAGATATGAGATTATCGAAAACCTCCTCAAGCTGCTGAACCTTGGAATGACTCCAATCGTTCCACTGAGAGGTTCAATCTCTGCATCTGGAGATTTGATGCCATTAGCCTACATTGCTGGTATCCTCGAAGGTAATCCGGATATCAAAGTGCACTGGGATAAGGATGGGCAAGGGACCACGACCGTCATATCTGCACCGGAAGCTCTGAAGGTTGCTAAGTTGGATCCGATTATCTTGGGCCCTAAGGAAGGGTTAGGCCTGCTTAACGGGGCGGCAGCGTCCGCAGCAGTGGCAAGTCTGGCCTTGTATGACACCAATCAACTCGTTACCCTCTCTCAAGTCATTGTTGGAATGTCCTGTGAGGCGCTACTAGGCAATGCCGAAAACTACCACCACTTTATCGCTGCCATCCGGCCTCACAGCGGTCAGCTAGAGATTGCTCGAAACATTCGACACTTTGTGCGTGGTTCCTCCCTTCTGGAAACCTCTGAAACCAAAGACCGCACCCGTGCCGGTCTATTCCAAGACCGCTATGCGATTCGTGGTGCGTCACAGTGGCTGGGTCCTGGACTCGAGGATCTTCTTCTCAGTAACAAACAGATCAATGTTGAGTTGAACTCTACCCAGGACAATCCTGTGATTGACACAGAGTCAGGTGAAGTGTACTCGGGATGCAATTTTCAGGCTGCCTCAGTCACAACAGCAACAGAAAAGACGCGCCTAGCGTTACAAATGATGGGCAAAATGCTGTTCAGTGTGTCTACCGAGCTCATCAACCCCGATTTGAACCGAGGACTACCTCCCAACCTCACGGCTGATGATCCAAATCTCTCCTTCACCATGAAGGGAGTTGACATCAACATGGCAGCCTACATGTCAGAGCTTGCCTTTTTGGCTAATCCAGTTTCATCGCATGTTCAATCAGCAGAGATGAGTAATCAACCGATCAACTCACTTGCCCTGATCTCCTCGAGATATACCATGCAGGCGGTGGAGACTTTATCCCTGATGTGTGCAGCCCACCTTTACGTTGTCTGCCAAGCTCTTGACCTTCGAGTCCTCAATGTCCAATTTCAAGATGCGATGGATGAGGAAATGGAGAAAATCACCCGCGATATTTGTGATCAGCTTACCAGCGAGCAGCTAGGCTTTCTCCTGGCATCTTTGTCAAAGGCAGCTCGCAGCTCCTGGTCTACCTCCGCACGGGAGAATCTTCAGCTCCGTGCGCAGCTCCTTGGAAATGAAGTCGCAAATCCCCTAATGACCTTTATGCAGAAATATGGGTCCAGTTCTTCTCAGTATCCGGATCGTCTTTCTGCAATTGTAGAAGTCAAGGCCCGTGTTTCTGCTGCTTGTGAGGCCCTCTATGCAACAATGCGAACAGCAGCCTACTTGGAGCCGCAAACCGAAAAGTATCTTGGAGATGCCTCCAAGCTACTCTATCAATTCGTTCGACGCGAGCTACAGGTTCCCTTCCATACGGGGCTGGCTGAGCACCCAACTGTGGAAGAGGGACTCAAACTGAACCGGGAACGCAAAACAATCGGGTCTTGGATCTCTATCATCTATCAAGCCATTCGCGGGGGCCAAGTTAGGACTACACTGATGCAACTGGCGGATTGCTTCCATCATTGCCGGGAGACAAAGGTGGTGGAGTGAAGAGCGAAAGGCACATCAGACCTTACCCTAAAGCGCAATGCTTGAGCTTGCTCCGCTGAAGACTTTGCTCTTTATGCTAATTGTTTAAGTGCCCTCCTAAATAGATTGTTGCATAAAGCATTACATTTTTAAGATAGTCCTTTCAACAATGCGAAACTATCTGTTTTAGCTCTGGCGTGAAGCTCTATCATACCGTACTCATTATGGTACCCTACACAAGTGGTTTTGATCCCAGTTTCTACAAGGTTATGTACCGAGAGTAGTAGCACTCCCCATTTCGGGGCTGTTACTATAGCCATCTGGCGTAGGCAGCTACTAAAGCGCTGTCAGTTCGTAGGTAGCTTCCTTGAGTGGAAGACGTTATTACCGCTCCCACAAATCACATCTACAGTACCTTCCTAATATGCTCATCTGCATTATACGAGATTTCAACAGCTTCGAGGAATATCGATGTTCAGTGAGGCAAGGAATTTCGCCTCAGGAAACATTCCTACATTCTTTTCACGTAACTCGCTCGCCCTTGTGAGCTTTCCGATGGCCAGGCTTGATAGAAATAAACTTTCCTGAAATCAAGGAAATGCCCTACACATCCCTTGCATTGGTATCTGCTAGTTGACCACGCCATGGGTCTCTTGAATATTTGAACATTCAATTCATTGGATCTTGAACTTCATGACAGCCCACTTCTCCTTACAGGTGATATGTTCAGCTATCTTCATGAGCATTGCTGATTCACTGCATCCGAAGGAGACCTTTGCTCTGTTAGTTTTAGATCAATTGTAGCTACCTACTATGCAGGGGGTGCTGGTTTGGTGATGTGGTATGTTCGTGAACCAAGACTTTTCTGATTTCCGGCTCGCCAGCGGTCATATTTTCCATCAGCACCCGTCACACTCCAGCGCATTGTGACTTTCAAAGCAGAGATGTTGCTTGTTCAGGTTATCCTCATATCCGTGCTTGCGGTCTTGGTCTGGCACAATAAGTTCCTTGCCAAAACTCTGAATACCATCATTTCAGCGCCTATTAATGTAAGTCCCACGTTGCTATTGTCCAGAATCTTGATTGACAGAGACCTTGTTAGGTCTATCTGTGCTGGAAGCACCCGGTCAAGTCCCTGAACAAACGCACGAACATACCAACCTGCCCATTCCAACTTCCAAATGGGCAAGGGAACGTCAAATTTGCGGAAGGTCGAGCCTATTCTCGCGCATGGGCAAGCACTTTTGGCCAACTATATCGTATCTGGGCTGGTACCACCCCTGAAGTGTATGTTTGGCACAGCCCCTCTAAAGTAACAGCAAACAGAGATCACTGACAGCTTGGAGGGTCCTCACCCGTCATGAGCATATGCCCGTTGTATTCAAAGACTCCCACCTACACACCAAGTCCTTCAATTTTGACGCTGGTTGGCTGTTTGGCGAGCTTGTAGGGAAAGCCGTTGGCCTTCTGAGTGGTGAAGATTGGAACCGGGTGCGAGACGTCTTTGCTCCTAGCTTTCATCGAGCCAAAGTCGACGAATTTCTGCCGGTCATGCAACGACGTGTCAAACAATGCCTTGATGAGCTGCATGCATCACCTAAAGTCCACGTGAATGGGGTTTTGACCGTCAGTCCGGCGGATGATCTCCGATTGTTATCATTTTGGATTCTCTGTGATATCCTGTACGGGGACATAACGCCAGATATGGAAGCCAACTTGCTCGAGATCGTGAGGGAGAGGGAGCAGGTCTGGGCAAAAGTTACTGCTGGGGGGCTCTCCCGCCTTTCCATCGGGCGACACTTGCCAACTGCTTCAAAACGAACACTCAAGCTCTTTCGCTCACACTGGTACCAATTCAATCGACAGGCTTGCAATCGTGCCCGCCAGTCCTTTGATGGAAAACCCCCAGTCTGCGCTTATTATGAAGCGGTGGAACGCCAAGAGCTCACTGAGAGAGAAATGCTCGATACCATGGATGAAATCCTGTTCGCCAACCTTGATGTGACAATTGGCAGTCTCTCTTGGGTGTTGATATTCATGGCTACTCATTCCAAGATTCAAGATGAGCTACGAGAAGAGATCCGCAGAAACTTCTCTGAGGAGTCTCCCGCTCTCTGGGATCAGTACATCTCGCGATCATCTACACTCTTGATGGCATGTCTTCTGGAATCAGCTCGTCTACGACCGATTGCGTCATTCTCTGGCGCACAAAGTCCACCGACAGACCGCGAAGTAGACTCGTACGTTATACCTGGAGGAATGAATGTCACAGTGGATATCCACGGCTTGAACATTGACGATCCCTCTTGGGGAGATGACCGCGATCAATTCAACCCACGGCGATTCCTAGATGCAAAAAACCAATCCGCTTTCCGGTACCGGCTTTGGCGATTTGGGTTTGGTCCGAGACAATGCCTCGGTAAATATCTCGCTGACCTGTTTTTGAAGGTTCTCTTGGCCCATATTGTTGAGAATTACCACATCGAGATGAAACATTCCTCGCCTGTATCTTTAGATGACCTGAAGGGGAATTCGGCAGGTTGGATCAATCTCGCTGCGGAAGATGTCGTCTGGGTGCCCATCAATCGTCATTTTTGATCAGTTTAAATAAGTAGTAGCATAGCTGTTCTTTGACCAGTGCCACTATAAATCTCAGCACTTGATTGTTCAGTTTTTCTATCTGTAACAACATTTAATCCTTGAATCTTGATATATAGAGAGGGAGAAGGATCTTTGAGAATCATGGGTTCTGTCTAGGAAGAGGGCAATATTATAGCTCCAGAACAAAGATCCGACAACGAGCGGTCGAACAAAGAGGTCTATACTAGCCAACTGATCTGTTATCTTTTATTTGGCCAAACGGGCATCAGGCTAAAGGGGCACCAGGATAAGTGGGCAACAATTGTCTGACTATTGTGCATTACTGTTCTGAAGCCTATCGATGAAAGAATAAAGACACTGCGTTCAAGCAAATAGGCGCACGTCCTCCTGAGCAAGTCTAAGATCTATAAGCTCTGCTTTCTCAAGAAGTCGCCTTCCACTGTGCGCCAAGAGACTGCTTCAAGCCTTTGAAGTCGTTCACCCGGTGCATTCCTTCTGCAGGAACGTTGACTGGGATATATTCCTTATGAGATAGGATAGCTTCAACAACAATAGGAAACTCCTCGTATGCAGACGACTGGCAATCGTGCCCAAGGATCCATGTTGGCCGTGGAGTTTTCATCAGGTCCGGGTTCTTTTTAATTGCATCCCAATCTGGCTGATGCCATGAATCGTGGTTCTCCTTGCCGCCGGTTTGGATCAGGGTCGCTCGTTGATGCCTGCCCAGAAATATTAGCAAAATGAACACGAAATTAAAACAAAGGGAAGTATCAACCTGATCTTTTCCGCAGCTTGTAAGCCGAGGGGCACGTTCTGTTTCCCAGCAAGCTCTAAAGCAATTGACAACACAGCCGCATCCTCTATGGCCTGACTCGCGCCTTGACCAGCCATAGGAAGATAGGGATGGGCAGCGTCTCCTACCAAGAGAACTCGCCCTGCGGGCGATAGCCATGTCTCGAGGGGAGGTCTTGTGAGGAGTGGGAAATTGATCGCTTTTCCAGCCGGTGTCCGCTTGATTATCGGAGCAATCCGGTCCCTACAAGGCCATTCCTTGATCTGCTCAAGCACATCTTGGACATTAGCCGGGGCGGTCCAGGACTCTCGAGCATTGCCGTTGGGGTCTGCATGGGTAAAAATCCACATCACAGCCTGACCCAGCTTCACAGTGCACATAGTCAACTCGCACCCCTTGCCCACGAATGCTAATGCTTGGTCAGTTTTTCCTGCGCCGGCAAGCAACCAGTTTGCCTCGGGGTCTGAAGCAATCTCATCAGCATCGAAATATGCCCGGAATGCAGCATATCCCGAACTCACGGGCGACGGATCCATGCCCGTGACGAATCCTCGGGCTTTGCTATGAACACCGTCGCAAGCAATTACACAATCCGCCGACATCTTCAGATCATTGACTATCACACCGGCGCTTTCGCCTGTCTCGAAGTATTCTGACACTCGCGCATTGAACTGGACTAAAATTCCGAGCTCTTGTGTGTGCTGGTACAGGATATTCGCGAGGTCGCACCGGTTCAAAAAAATCCATCTCCTTTTCGGAACCCAGTCATCTCATTCGTCACGATGAAATTCCCCGCCTGGTCGTGTATATCGACCGCTCGGATATGGCTCACCTGGGCCTCGAGCTGCCGGTGAACCTGCCCATTTGTTCCCCATTTTGAGACAACACGGGCCGCGTTAGTTCCAATTCCAATGCAATCACCTTTTTTTAATTAGACGCACTCTTGGTCGGATCGATGTATATTCAGGACTGGCTCACCTTGAGCTCGTGGTGAGGAGGCCTTTTCGAGAATCGTGACTGAGTGACCTTTGCGATGGCATTCAATGGCTGTAGCTAATCCTCCAATTCCCAACCCAACAATAATAATGTTTATTCCACTAGATCGAGGCTCAGCGATCGCGTCCGGACCGCGTACCGATGATACCGTCATGAGGAGGGCCAACGCGATGTGAGATATTTTTGATGGAGGTAGAAAAGAGGGAAGGCTGTCAATTAAATTGACTGCGTTGTTAGGTCTAACAAGGCACGCTAGAAATATGCAAGGGTTAAGGAATTGCATAAATTGTGGCAAATGCCTAATCAGTCCACCCATACCTTGGACGGCTATTTTTATGGATAGGAGGAGAATTTCATCACACCGCCAATTCTACAGAATTCATTGGATGTTGATATACCAAACTGGGACAATCTGAACAGGCGCAGCAAGCCATGCGCTATTGTTGTGCTTCCTTGAGTCGTATCCTCCCGGCAGACTTGACAGAATAGCATTCCTATAGCCGAAGTAGGTCCCGAGAAGTCTGACTGTTGGTACGGCGACAAGGTGTTGTAGCGTAGCATTTGCATCAGGCGGATTGTAAGGAGACCAGCTGGGATGACGGATGTCTACTTAGTCTACTTGCTTTCGTCCGATTGTTGTCGAGAGGAGGTGACCTTGATTCAAATTATTGTTGCCGAGGCTTAGGTTTAGATAAAGAGTCATAAGGTGCTGAAATCTTCAAAACAGCTAGGAACGGCGGCCTTCAGCAATAAGTGAACCTAATTTACGGTGATCAAAGACAAATGTTCAATGCTCTGCTATTGTAATTGTGTATCCTATAATGTGCTATAGAGAGGTCTCAATCCTATGTTCGAATGCGAAGTTTTTCATTCAAGGAAGCAGATCCCCTTCTGCTAATTGATTAAGCTCCTATTGTCGTCCTTAGCTTTGAGTTCGCCTTTCGCGAGAATAGGTGAAATTTCGCGAAACTAATGCAGTCTTCACTTTCTAGTGGTATCTCATGTGAACTTTGAAAGGGTTGGACTCCGACGAATGATGTCTTGATATATATGGCAAAGCAAAACAAGAGGTGGACTCAGCCAACATCAAGCTTACAAAGGCCGTCAATGCTAAGGTGAGCGGTCTGAGCTAATTGGATCATAAGCTAAATACAGAGCTAAGAAGATAAATTGGTTGGAATTGTAGGCTGCTGGTTGGTAGCCCTACTATCCGCGAGGCCCTATCCTAGAGCGCAGTATTGATACTTGACCTTCGCTTAGGAAAACCGCGCATAAAGGGCGCATAGAGGTATGCTTTTAGCATCGCGAGCTAGGTCTATAGAAAACCTCGGTTATGTAAATATAAAACAAAAAACAAAAACATACAACAGTGAGGATTCGCTGGTGGTCACCCACCCAACTACTAACTCACCGGCGTGTGGCTTAAGTACGGCTGAGCGGACGGGAAGCCCTGTTTTCCACACCCTATGGTCGTATGTGTTGAGAATATACTAGAAAGGTCTTATAATATGTCTCGCAGCCTATGTGAGACTGCGAGGCGACTATTTCGCATGTGTGAACTGGCACGAGGCTCGGGCCTCGCAGTCCGAGGTCACATTACCTCACATGATCCTCCAGTTGTATGTAAACAGCCTACGGACTAGAGGCTGGGGTCTTGGATGCCAGCGAATAGTTCAGCATTGAACCACAGTACTACCTTCTCCATTCTATTTCCCGAATCCATCTAAGTCCCAAGACCCTCGTAACGGGTCTTACAGAACTATACTAAAGGCACGGTTACCTTAGGTCCGTCGAGCATTTAAGCAACCGAAATTTATTTTTCCCCCGTAACTATTCGAATTAGGCCTAAAGATTTAGGTGAGTCTAAATGAACTGTACTCGGTTTTTCCTGTATGTAGTGGTTATCATTTTGTGGGATAGATGGTTTCCCAAAGGTCCGACGGTTCGCTTATAAGCCTGGCTCTCTCGTCTTACGGTCTTGACGGAAGATATAATCAAGCCCTAACCTCCTATCTAAAACTCATCTCTAGTAGAATTAGACCTAGGGTGATTATAGGGAGTAAGGACCGCCTGTTCCCATTAAATTGCACGGTTCGGTAATTCTCTATACAGACGCGAGATGGCCTGTACGTCTAGTACATATAACATGAGATTTGCTCTATATCATTCCAGTCAATGAAGCTCCTAGCACATACGACCATAGGGTGTGGAAAACAGGGCTTCCCGTCCGCTCAGCCGTACTTAAGCCACACGCCGGTGAGTTAGTAGTTGGGTGGGTGACCACCAGCGAATCCTCACTGTTGTATGTTTTTTGTTTTTTGTTTTATATTTGTACTTCTATAAACCTGGTCACGACGTCGGTAAGGTCTCAGGAAGGTCTCCCTGGTGTCGACGACTACGGAGCTTTTTATCTTCTTACTAGCATTTTTTTTTTACCGGAATTTCAGATCATCGTCCCTTCCAGTATCTATGAGGAACATCGATTGTCTTTGTATGCTAGGTAGTGAGAGTGGACAAGATGAAGCTATTGACTAAAAGACCATGAAAATACGCTCAACGATCTTACTCTACCGATCATTAAGTGAATACCAGTGTTGACGTTCTTCCTACTAGATATTCTTGAATATTTGCTTTCTCGGCCAACACAGAGGACGAGACGATTCCTCTGCTGAGTTTCTTTTGTGACGATGGCTGGCGATGGAGAACAGAGATGGACTACGGAGCTGTTGGATAAATGAATGGCAAGACAGTCTTGCAGGCGTCTGGTGAGCTCAATCAATAACAAACTATTTCGAGCCAAATTTCTACTACGAGCCAGCTCTGACATTATGACTATCACCAGGAGGTACTACTCAATGGGCCTGGTGGTCTCCTTGGTACAAAGAGCTTCTGGGCACCGGGGCGGGTTGTACTTATATCGACCAGTCGAGAACATTAGGGTGCACAGTCGCCTCCGATGACCAGGAGGTCTACACAATTACCATGTGTCCATACAGCTTCGCCCAACCAAGAAGAAAGGATTCCCTTAGTGCTTGGCGCTCTAAGGAGAAAATCATAGCCGACAACACACCACTGCGTGCAGCTGGTTCAGTACCCGGTACTTTGATGCATGAGATAGCACACTTGGTCACGAAACATGGTGAGTTGGCCTTCTGCTTTTTGCGCGATCTTCAAACCCCGTGACTGATAATCATGAATTGGGTTAAAGTTGTCATCGATGCGGCACTCGCCAGCGGGGCTACAGCTTATTACCCTACAAATGCTGCTAAACTTGCCCTGGAATCAAAGGCGAAAGCCGTTAAGAATGCTGATACCTATGCATGGCTTGCCACCTCTATGTATCTTGATCAATGTGACTGGTCATGAATGATCTGCGCTCAGAGCGCCAGCACCTCAAGTGTCTCTAAGCGATCAAGCAATCAGACCAGCACTGATATGTCTCTTATGCGAAAATCAAACTGACGCACTTTGTTCCCTTGTGTATGGTCAGGATTGCAAGGTGATCGGGAGTAAGCAATATGTGCTATGGTGAATACTCAAAAGATGACTCGAGGAGGCGCTAGCGGAGGCGCTCCAAGTCGATGTCGAAGCTGGAGTTCGTTCACGAACTGCCAAGGTGTACCAGATGCAGTGTTTTAAAAGCCGAGGTGGGTTGATAAATGTGAGAGTCCATTGATTCTGCTTTCAGTCTATCTATCTTTCTATATGTCGAAATGTGACCTCTGTAACACGTTCAAAAGGAAATTGTTGTTATCCCGTGCAACCTGCGCTGCCTTTCTATTATAAATCACCGGAATCAGCTTCGAGGTCTGCCATATCATGGGGCAGGCATTCCATCGTGTTAGGAGTTAGTGAAGGAGGCTCTGGTACGTAGTTCTCCGGTACATAATGAACAACCTCCACAAATTCAACATGCAGCGATCCATACCCGATCATCCCAAGATCCTCCAGCTGGCCAAAGAAATATAACATAACGTCCCAAGGTGGCCTCCCGCGTGGATTTTACCTCATCTTTTCTTTATAGACTCGTTCTCCTTCCTCGTTGACGAACTTGAGGAAGTAAACAAACCGCCTTGCAGTTTGTCCCCGGTATTCACAAGTGCCCTCTTTCCACATTATAGGAATTTGGCCCTCAAGCGCCGCCGAGGGATATTGAGCTGGGTTTTCCCCATTGATGTGCCAGCAAGGTAACCCTCTAAAATTTTCAATAGAGGAGATAGTCTCCTGATCTAAGACTACAGGGAAGTAGATTGTCAGGACCTCTTAAAGCATTTGTGGAGAAGAGATCGGGTGGGCGGCTATGATATGCCCCCCAATTAGGTAGCAGGCAGGCAACTTCTTGGCTCCATGAGCGAGTCGCAAGAGCTTTATGTAATCTAAGGCAAAGTTCTGAAGTACGAAACTCTTCCCTGTCTCTACTGGTTCTCCATTCTAGTAGTTTGTTAATGTTTAGACATTCAGAAGACGGCATAGCAAGCATCTTTTCACATCGAGAAGGTAAGACTGCTTACCGATAATCAACCACTCAAAATCCCTTGGCTCATGCGGACGGCCTCGGGCGATACCGATGCATTCTTGGAGTTTTTGGATCTCTTGGAGGGTAGCTAAAAGTTCATCGCTATTAAGGATAATACCATTGGGTGGATATTTAAGCGATATCCATTCTAGAAGTCTGCGGCTCTGAGGTAGCATTTTCGCTGGATATGGATCTTTGGCGTTTGTATTCTTGATAGTGTTGTTGACAGCATGCAAGTCATTCTGTTTCTTTGATGCTTGTTTCGTTGTAATCTTCTCGGGATTCTTTGCACTGGCACGTCCGGCCGATCGAGTAGTGACAGGCATAGTGTGGGACAGAGTGTGAATGAGTGATTCGAGATTGTTTCGGTACTTAAGATCGGATGGTTTCTTTGGCAGGAGCTTGTCAGGGGCCAGGCGATGCCAAGTGGGGGATGTCTTAGAACCACCAGCAGGACATTTGCAACCGAAGCGGAGTCTGAAACGAAAGTGGGAAATTAGGTGTGGCGTCGAGCGGCGTGTCGCTGAAAGCTACAGTGGAAAGGCGACCGTTTCTAGTGCCAGAAGCTGTCATTTTCGGCGTCATTTTCACTGGTCCTTATATTCTATATGTAAACTAGAATTCAAATATATAAAAACACGCATGGCAGAAATAATTAATGCCTTACAAACAACAGAAAGTCAGACATAAAAATTACTGAATCGCCTACATTCACAATAACGAAACCCAAAATCAAAACCAAATAGAGTCTACGAACCATAAAGAATGCAAAAAATAGTAATAATAGATACTTGAATGTCTTGCTAAGATGCCGTTTCATCAATATGAGTCGACCTATGTAGCCGGAGTGATAACCGGAGATGCAAAGACAAATTAAGATAAGAATATGCACTGCAAAAGCGTAAAGCTCGAAAAGTTCACGAAAACCTCCCCCCGCCAAACCATATGCCTGAGAACAAAAAAAGTGAGAGAAAAGGAATAAATGACCATCCTCCAACGCCGTTACCGTGCGCGCGGCGCAACCCTGTTCGTATGCACGAAAGAAGAACGTTTTTTTTTTCAGTTACCCTGACCACCAGAAGGAGGCTGAGCACCGGGCATGGTACCCTGGCCCATCATGAAACCAGGCGGCAACATGGGCATGCTGGCGAAATTGAAGCCATAAGCAGGAACGGCAGGCGCGACACCGGGGTTCGCGTTGGACATTTCAGGCTCATTGCCCATTGGTGCACCGTATCCCTCGCGCTCACGACGGCCGCCAAAGCGAGTATCATGGTTGGGGTTAGGGTTGGTACGTGTGGAGATGGGGCCACGCTTGCCGCCAGTGTCGGTTGCGATGCGGCGACTGATCGCCTTGGATGACACACCAGCGCCAATTTCAATGTCGGGCTCTTCAACAACCATGCCGGATTCGATCTCGCGACCGCCAGTACCTCCGTACTCGGCTGTGACCATCCACTTGCGATCAGCCTCTGTCAAGCGGTCAATCGGGATCACGCTGACTCCGGTTTGGTAGTCGCTGCAGTCACGGGGGCCAAAGCCAACACCCCAACGAGTTCTCAGTTGCATTTCTCCGGTGCGGTAAGATTCCATTCCATCGCGTGCCTGGGTCGCATCCTTACGGCTAACCATCTTGATGAAGGCGTGGCGCTTGTCCACGTTGACAATGCAGGTCTGAACGACTCCAAATTGGCCAAACAGCGAGCGCAGGTGAGATTCTGAGGAGGTGACACCGCCAACGAACAGAGTTCGGCTCAACACCTTCATCATACCCTGACCAATGGAGTAGTCCCATTCGATGTACTTGGGACCGGGAGGCGGCAGGTTGGGATCCTTGTTACGGGGAGGGGAAGGCGAACGACGTCTAGCACCGCGCGCACCACCAGGAGGGCTGCGCTGACGGTACTCATTGCGACGGCCGCGTGCATCGCGCGGGTCCCCGCCACGACGACCAGGCGAGTCCCCGTGGTATTCTCCGTACACGGGGCTGTCACGGCGACGAGAAGAAGGCGAAGCAGTGCGGCGTCTGTCCCAGCCGGGAGAGCGAGAACGACGACGGTATCCAGTAGGAGGAGAGCGAGGGTACTCGCGGCCTCGGTCATCCATGTTCTGAGAGTCGGGACGACCCCATCCTCCAGCATTCGGTCCTTGCATCTGAGGGAATCCAGGCATTGCAGGCATTCCAGGCATGCCTGGCATACCGCCGGCGCCATTTGCACCGACAGAGCCGAAGAGTTGGAGAGCGGTTGCCCACTGATCTTGGGGAATGCCCTGAACGATGAATGTCCGAAGGAGCTCAAGTTGAGCAGCAGAGTTCGGGTCGAGTCCGGGCGCGGCAGCCTGAGGAAGCATCGCAGCAAGTGGGTTTGCGGCGGCCATCGGGTTGGGGGTTCCACTCTGGCTCTGCGGCTGGAAAGCATGGTTCTGGGTCATGCCGGACATGCCCGCGAATAGGTTGGCGGCCGGGTTGGCACCGTATGGGTTGAGAGCGGCAGGCGCCTGCGAAGTGAAATCGACTGGTGCAGCCGGAGGGAAAGCGCCCAGAGAGTTGGCTGGGGCAGGAGCTGACGGCGCAGCTGGTGCGGCAGTGTTGTTCTTGGCCATGTCGGCCAAAGCTTTCAAAATGCTCGAGGTATCCGGGGCGGCGGCTGACTGCTGAGGGAGTCCAAGTGGGTTCGCGGTCGGCGCAGGGGAGCCCTCGGGGGTGTTCGATTCGACGTTTTGAGCCGCGTTCAACTTGTCTTTGAATGATGCGAGCATCGGTGCCGGGAATGTGGCACCACGTTCCCAGATATCGACCAACTTCTTGATTTTGTCCTAAAACGAGGCATTATACGTGAGCTATGGTTCCTGATGGTTGTGTAGGGGCGCGATGGCCTCTTCAGTCTGAAGAGTATTGGGGGAGGTATGATACAGCATGTACGGCATGCGTGAAAGAGGTTTACCCTTCTTCTCCCCCGCCAAAGCTGTGTGATATGATGTTTATTGTAATACCAGGTTTCTATAACATACCTTTTGATCCTGAGGCGCGTTGTTAATGATATCATTCATGAGAACAGGCAATAGATCGGTCACTCGCTTGACACCGGCAGCAAATGTTCCATCAGGCGCATCACTGCCTGGAGTGTGGCCAGTCTTGCGTGCAGCCTCTACCCATTGTCGAGTTACTGAGTCTACGACATAGAGTACGCCGAGCTTGTGTGAGCCGGGGGCTTTCTTGAAGTGTGTGTAAATCTTCTGAATAAGAACTGATTCATTCTGTAGGTCATGATTAGCACATAGATTAAACAAAGCAGGTCGGGATCGAGGAAGTGAAAGTCGACCGAAAGAGGAAAGGCGTACCTGCACGTTGGCTGTGCACAAAGATGTGATGCCACCAATCTTGGATCCTGATACGCCAGGTGGCTTCAGGGCCAGCATGGATTGGAGAAGATTCTCCAGTTCAGCTACTGCGGAAGACATAGCTGAAAAAGGCTAAAGAATTTTTTTTTCACGCGACAAGAGTTGCGAGAGAAGGAAAGAGAAAGAAGATATTTTGGACCACGGGTTTTATGCAGTTGAGTAGAATCAATGAAGATTCGGCTTACTGCGAGAGAAAATCGCAAATCCCTCAAGTATGGCAAGATATTTTGTTTTAAGCGGGATCCTGTCGGTTCTTCACTACAGACTCCACGAGCGCATTCACTGTCGAACCAGAGAACTGCCGCCTACAGCTGAGATACAGCCTAGCGATATTGTATCCAGGGGGTAAAACGTTGCCTGGCGCCGAGTACGAGAGTACGGGGGGAGTACGGGAGATGTACAGCCTAAAGCGTCTTGTGCAAGTGAAATCCCAGGGGAAAAGAAAAACCAGATAACGGGTTTACGCGAGTCCAGAGTAAATCAAGATGGACTGGATTCGAAAACTGATGAAAAGAATGAGGGTTGATGATGATGAAGGTAAGAAAGAGACATTCAAGGAGAGAAAAGAAAAGGGAGACAGAGTCTGCAACAGATACGCTAGTCCTATCATGGACATGTCACGTGGTGATTGCATCTCTTGGTCGATCTGGTATGCCGTAGTGCCTTTTGGGGGGGCTTTTTCTGCCAGAAAGCCCCAGTTGATTGTTATTATGAAGGTCAAGTTCAATGATTTTGAACTTCACCAATTGAAGTGATACTTGATCTGAGTGAACCTTGAATTACTTAGTGAGATACTGGTCTCACCATTACCGTGCTATACTTATTTAGTTCTTTCATTCTTTGTACTTCTATTTAGGACTAACTACCTAGTACATATATATTATATCGGAGCTGAGTACACGCTAAAGGTCTATTCTTCAACCATCTAAAGCAGTGGATACAATAATCATAACATATGGGGTTTTTTGGGAGAGAAACCAAGTTTCTTCAAAAACCAATGTCAAAGAAAGTATAAAAATAAAAACCACCAGGGCAATAACAACGAGCCGAGGAAGCCGTGGACATGTCATCCCTTTTACCAAAAACGTGATCTTACTTGATGTACTGCCCTTGGATTCCGCCCTGATCCGACCTCGGTGAACCATTTTAGTTGAACGTTCCGATATATAACGAGATACCTAATGTTCAGTTGATCAACTTTACCTTTGTGTTCGAGGTCATGGCGGCATCAGGTGCACAATGACATAGCTATAGAGATCCAGGGCTACATCTGATAAGACTCTCTTTCAAGCCGAGGACTTCCATCGGACTGGCGGCACGGAAGAAAATGGCGACTTGCCGACGTCACTGCCAGCTACCCCATAGGGTATAGAACCGTATTTTCCGTACCGCCTTCGTCATGGGAATTTCAGTGCTGTATTAAATGTATAAATTGTCTTTGGTATTTGCATGTGTATATCTATATATATATAGTACGTGAATACATTGTATGTCTAGTATCCGCTAGTATATAAACTACATTCACTTACATATATGTACATATGTATAGTCATATACTACTACAAATACTAAGAACACATCTCATTAAGAAAAAATACTAGCGCATAAGTATATCCGAACGCAGTTGGGGCTGATCTGCCGGCAGCCCGAGCCCGTGCTTTTCCGTACCGTTGGGGGAAAAATTACCGTCAGCCAAAAGAATTGAGCACGGCGTCCCGAAATCAGATACCGTACCGGCTGTAATACGGCCAAATGGAAAAAAAAGGAAAAATTCCAGGGCCGCAAAAGAGCTTCTCCCCGTTCTTTCCTTTCCTTCCTTTTTTCTCCCCCAGGCTTTGTGTCCATTTCTCTCCATACTTCCATTTCGTATTATCCTTTTTGGTTCGATATGGCTTCTTCCCTCAGAATCGGTACTACCGCTCTTCGGTCTTCCATTGCGAAGCCGATGCAGTCCGCTGCCTTCAATGGCGTGCGCTGCTACTCTTCCGCTAAGGCCAAGGTATGATGATATACAGCTTCAAATTTTCACAGCTTCACAGCTTCACAAATTTTCAATGGATAGCTAACTGGTCTCCCAACAATCTAGTCCCTCAAGGACACTTTCGCCGATAAACTTCCCGCCGAGATCGAGAAGGTGAAGAAGCTCCGCAAGTACGTGACCTGCTCTACCTATTTGCACAACAATAACTGATCGTGGTGTTCTATCATCTTAGGGAGCACGGTAACAAGGTCATTGGTGAGGTTACCCTCGACCAGGCCTACGGTGGTGCCCGTGGCATCAAGTCCCTCGTTTGGGAGGTAAGCTGAGAAATCTTACCCCTAGCCCATGACGCAGCTAATTTCGATTTTTTTTTAGGGCTCCGTCCTTGACTCTGAGGAGGGTATCCGTTTCCGTGGCTACACTGTAAGTTCTAATTGATCTCTGTGTTCAACAAGAGAAAAGGGGAAAGTAAAACCAGTGTTGTTTGCTAACTGTTATCCCTAGATCCCCGAGTGCCAGAAGCTTCTGCCCAAGGCCCCCGGTGGTGAGGAGCCCCTCCCTGAGGGTCTCTTCTGGCTTCTGTTGACCGGTGAGATCCCCTCCGAGCAGCAGGTCCGTGATCTGTCTGCCGAGTGGGCTGCTCGCTCCGATGTCCCCAAGTTCGTTGAGGAGCTCATCGACCGCTGCCCCAACACCCTTCACCCCATGGCTCAGTTCTCTCTGGCCGTGACCGCTCTCGAGCACGAGTCCGCCTTCGCCAAGGCCTACGCCAAGGGTGTTAACAAGAAGGAGTACTGGACCTACACCTTCGAGGACTCCATGGACCTCATCGCCAAGCTGCCCACCATTGCTGCCCGCATCTACCGCAACGTCTACAAGGATGGCAAGGTCGCCGCTGTCCAGAAGGACAAGGATTACTCCTTCAACTTGGCCAACCAGCTTGGCTTCGGCGGTAACAAGGACTTCGTTGAGCTGATGCGTCTCTACCTGACCATCCACTCCGACCACGAGGGTGGTAACGTCAGCGCCCACACCACCCACTTGGTTGGCTCCGCTCTGAGCTCCCCCATGCTCTCCCTCTCCGCCGGTCTCCAGGGTCTCGCCGGTCCCCTCCACGGTCTCGCTAACCAGGAGGTTCTTAACTGGATCACCAAGATGAAGCAGTCCGTTGGTAACGACATCAGCGACGAGTCCATCAAGGACTACCTCTGGTCCACTCTGAACAACGGCCAGGTCGTCCCCGGTTACGGTCACGCCGTCCTCCGCAAGACTGACCCCCGTTACGTCTCCCAGCGCGAGTTTGCCCTCCGCAAGCTGCCCGATGACCCTCTGTTCAAGCTGGTCAGCCAAGTCTACAAGATCGCCCCCGGCGTTCTTACCGAGCACGGCAAGACCAAGAACCCCTACCCTAACGTCGATGCCCACTCCGGTGTCCTCCTCCAGTACTACGGTCTGACTGAGGCTAACTACTACACCGTCCTGTTCGGTGTGTCCCGTGCCATTGGTGTCCTGCCCCAGCTGATCATCGACCGTGCTCTCGGTATGCCCATTGAGCGCCCTAAGTCCTTCAGCACTGAGGCCTACGCCAAGCTCGTCGGTGCCAAGCTCTAAGCGCAGAACTTTCTCCCCAAATCTCTTTTAATTATCGCCTTGGGGGCCCGTGAGGACCCGAGTTAGACATTTGTATTATTTCCTTTTGTTTGACCGAGAGAGTCTTTGGTTATTTTTATGTATGATAGGGACTTGATCGGTTCGAGCGGGCCTTGTAACAGAACTTCCATGTCAATGATTCATCTCCACTATAGTCTATTTTGTGTGTAGTTTATTTTTATTTTTATAGGTCCACAGTCAGGGCTGAGATCTCCATTGTAGCTACAGAGTCCGTATATACTATATGTATTATATGCACTATATTACTACATATAGTAAACGTATGTATAGTATACACATCATTTACAGAAATAGCAAAGGTCATGATTGATGATACAGCGTAGATATCCAACGGTCTGACGACTACTGGTGTTGAATCGAGAACAAATGTTGTTGGGAATCCACTGCTCAACCATCGATTTTCGTTGACCCACACTCGTTGCCAGGGGGAGATTCTATTATTTGACAGAGTATACAATGTATACAACAAATACAAATTGTTTTAGAAGGAAGAGATAGAAGAGATATTTAGCAGTATTTATATCCAATCAAATAATAAGTTTAATACTATAAATTGCCTTCTTCCGACAAACGGAATTATTGATGGACTGCTCCGGCTGGTATGGAGGGTACCCAGTACCCAATAGCATGAGTGGGAACCGTGGAGATCGGACGTACTAGGTACCAAGATATTAATCCCCCAGCTTACTTACCAAAGCTCTGCTGATTTCCCCCGTCCCCTATAAGACATTTGGCTTTCTCTTCTCCTCTCCTTCCCCAGTTCAACTACACATTACGGACTTCTATCCTCCGACTTTTTTTTTCCAAGTCTTCTTCCCCTCTTAAAACGCACGAAGCCCCCTACATCCCTTGGTCAGGGCCCCTTTCAGCGACAACATCATCCTAGAATGTCTACAGCAACTCCATCCGCGGCCTCGGCCCCTAAGCTCGAGAAGAAGCCCGTCAAGTTCAGCAACCTGTTGCTGGGCGCTGGATTGAACTTGTTTGAGGTCACTTCGTTGGGACAGGTATGATATACTCCCTTAGCGGATAATCTCTATTTAGCAATAGTTGATGCTGACCTTTATCCAGCCGCTGGAGGTGATCAAGACAACCATGGCCGCAAACCGAGGCGACAGCTTCGCGGGCGCTATGGGTCGGATTTGGGGCCGTGGCGGTATCCTCGGTTGTAAGTGACATTCCTTTTTGTTTTTTTACCCACCCCCAACCTCCTCCGACTGGCGTTTCTTAGCGCGGGGAAGGGACCCGCAATGTAACACCGGGCTAATTGCGGAATCGGATGTTTAGACTACCAGGGACTCATTCCGTGGGCCTGGATTGAGGCATCTACTAAGGGTGCGGTTCTCCTGTTCGTCGCCTCCGAGGCCGAGTACCAAGCCCGCGTCCTTGGTGCTGGTGACTTTGTTGGTGGTATCAGTGGTGGTATGGCTGGTGGTATTGCTCAGGCTTACGCTACTATGGGCTTCTGTACCTGCATGAAGACTGTCGAGATCACAAAGCACAAGATGGCCGCCAGTGGTGTTAAGCCTCCCGGCACCTTCCAGACCTTCATGGATATCTACCGCAAGGAGGGTATTCGCGGTATCAACCGTGGTGTCAACGCTGTCGCCATTCGTCAGACTACCAACTGGGGTTCCCGCTTCGGTCTCTCCCGTCTGGCTGAGTCGGCTATCCGCAAGGTCGCCAACAAGGAGGAGGGCACTAAGCTGTCGGCCTTTGAGAAGATCTTGGCTTCCAGTCTTGGTGGTGGACTCTCCGCTTGGAATCAGCCCATTGAGGTCATCCGTGTCGAGATGCAGAGCAAGACTCCTGACCCCAACCGCCCCAAGAACCTGACTGTCGGCAAGACTTTCAGATACATCTACGACAACAACGGTATCCGCGGTCTCTACCGTGGTGTCGCTCCCCGTATCGGTCTCGGTATTTGGCAGACCGTCTGCATGGTTGCTCTTGGTGACATGTGAGTATTCATTTCCCCTTATTTTTCTTTCATGTGAAACCTCGGGCTAATTTCTTGTTTTTCACCGAACAGGGCCAAAGAAGCAGTCGAAAAACTGACCGGCGATTCTGTCACCGCGAAGCACTAGAGAAGGTTTGAGATACCCTTCTGCTGTGTAGTGGTTTGGGGGAATTTTTGTTGTAGTCGAGATACAACTTTTCGTATAGCTTCATAATATGTCTGGACTTAGGACAGACCCGATACCCATTGAATACACTTGCGGTTCATATCAATATATTATTTACTCTCTTCATCTATGCCATTGTAACAATTACCTTAATCAACCATGACTTCCATCTCGTCTGTCCCTATAATATAGTAAGTATATCATCCTCTCGGCCCGTTCTAGCACCGCGGCGCCCTTCAATCCGAATCGGGAACACAATTCCGATTACAGGAACAGAAATCCCCAGCAACCGGAGCAGCCCAATGAGAATAAATTAATTTCCGATCCTGTGAGATTCCAATACCGACAACCGACCAAATTCCCGCCTTTCCAACAAACCTCAGACTGAACCAGAATCATCCGATGTCGGTTGCGCAAATCGGCCTTTTCGGTCTTCATTCAACCGGAACTATCCAAGGCCTGAAACAAGGCCTGAAATCTTTGAGATCATCCTAGGGTCATTCCGAAAGTTCGCGCTAGATAATCATTAGAACTTGCATCATGCATGATTGCTATAGTAGTAGTAAGCGCTAAGACCTCGGCTGCGAAAGTGCATAGCGGGCAGGGGTAGATTGAATTATTTCTGGGATTGTTGACTGAAGATGCCTGACCTAAGTATAACAGAGGTTATGTAAACAAATAGGCGTAAAAAGAGATATCAGGGATTATATTTTGATAATGGTTACAGTACGTCGGAGGAACGGTGGAAAGTGGTCAAAATCAGGCATCTATTCAGGCAGTACGGAGTACTCCTAGAAATAGTTAACTAATTCAATCTAACACCTGGCCGCTATGCACTTTCGTGCCTCGGCTTATGAAAGACCTTGGGATATCTGCTTGCTCCGTTTACCCGTCGGCTATAGAATTCTAGCCGTTTGCCATTTACCTTAGGGCGAAGTTATGTGGTCGGTTGTTTGATATTACACATGTTATTCTGGATGTTTGTTTTCATTTTAGTGCTTTCACTTATGGAGTCATATTCTACTGATCCTTTCATCCAATTGGCAAGATGGCCGAGTTGGTCTAAGGCGTCAGGTTAAGGTCCACCTTAACTCAATAACTGTTCTCAGTTTCCTGATCTACGTTGTAGGCGTGGGTTCGAATCCCACTCTTGTCATTTCTTTTTGTTTTTGTTCTTACATGTTGGACCTATATAACGTTGTGGTGTAATGAGGGCTTCATCTAATTATTTTTTCATTGTAGGGTAGGTTGTGTGAAACTTGGATTCTGTCATAATCATAATCTAGAAGTCATATTTCATTAGTTCCTCCATGCTTGTAAATCGGCTTTATGCTAGAAAGTACATAGCTATTACTATAAATAGGTGTGTATATATATATAGGTGGAATATATGTTTATAGTTGTCTTGCAAGTAAGTGGAATCGGAAGTAGAGAGCTAGAATGAAATCTGGAGGAAGACATAGAACAACACGCAGTGACCGAACATAGAAAAGTGATGAGAAAGAAAGCAATCATAGGAAAACAGTGACCCACTAGAAGCCAGGGGAGCAATACGTCCTTAGGTATCCTCAGCTATGAAACTTGTGTAGTAATGGTTTCATCAGATCTTTTTAAGGCAATTACAGGTATCAAGTCCATCCCATCCTTCATCCACCCTAGCAACACAGATGTTTCTCCCAGATTATATTGAAGCAAAGCATCCTCATCTGGCGTTGACGAAGGACACGCCATACAGATAAAAGCACTGTAACTCCTCACTAGGGTATTCTGGTCTTCAATCTCTAACAAAGTCCCAATACTAGCAGTGATGATCCCATAAGACAAAGCAAAATCAACGATACAATGAGATCGATCAAAGAATACCCCAACCAGCTGTAGATCTATTGAGGAGGCTCTTGTGGTGTCAAATATGTATGTCTCTCGTTAACTGCCATAAGAAACTACCTGGCTCAAAACGGGATACACCACAAGAAGTATGAAGTATGATAAAGTACCGACGTGGGACACTCAGCCAATAATATGATCACTGGGAACTGCATTGAAACGACCACAATACTCGTAATGATTTTGAAATGTTCCACAGGAACTATAATTGGCTTCTGCGAGCATGCATATTAGAACGCTGCTGAGGAAGTGATAACTGAATATCTAAGACCACACTTAAACATTTCGGCCTAAACTGTGATCCTGCTACTCGGAGTGTTGACCTTGACCTAATTGTCGAATTGGGTACCTTTACTCACTGAGCATGACAGCCCCAATCCCCTATCTACACCGGGTCCAGTTGTGCGGAGGATGAGACTACCCGCATTAGCCATGCGTTCAGCACCTTGATCTTTGCTCGCTTTTTCGTAACGTGCGTTCCTAAACTTGACGTAATCTCGTGCTAATTGATCCTTTTACCGATACATCTCTTGAGCCTTGGGGTTACGAGGTCAGATATATTGATACTCGACCGATACCTATCATTCACCATCTCATACCCTAGCCACTTACTCACTAGCTAGAGTGCAATTAAAAAATTGTCATGTTGAATCAACATATAATGCACACAATATTTATAAATTGGTCGACTATATAGTCAATTTAATATGCCAGGTTGTGGACGACCAAAATTAAAGCAAAAATTTTCACACATCCGCTCGCCGCACAACCACTACCACACTCAAAAAATAACAACCCCAATCACTTGTTTCATTCTATATGGTTCATATGAACAAAAAGCAAAAAGAAATGACAAGAGTGGGATTCGAACCCACGCCTACAACGTAGATCAGGAAACTGAGAACAGTTATTGAGTTAAGGTGGACCTTAACCTGACGCCTTAGACCAACTCGGCCATCTTGCCAATTGGATGAAAGGATCAGCAGATTGTGGCTCCATAAGCGGGCAGTACTTGGGACCCTTGTTATTAGACACGCTCCAGTTAACTAGTTATTAAATGGATCTTGGGGTTAGATGTCAATATACCAAATTTAGTAGCGTATATTGTAACTGGACGTACATCAAGCTCCTCACTGCTATGTACATCATGACGATCTATTGAAATAGATTTGTTATCGAATCATTATTTTCTTGTCATTGATCAGTCGTGATGCTAGGTTCTAGCTTTTATTATTACGATATACTTTACAGCCATCTCATGCCGTTCACATTATTTGATACAATTTGGGCCCTCGCTTAATGATATTGTGAATTGGCGACTGTCAGCTAGCCTCTGATCAAGATTTATGTTATCGATGGAGCTTGCCTGGGATGCACTACGGTTAGCATTGTCTTCTCAGAGCCATTTGTCCATCGATGAAATGGAACGTATCGATGATCTGCTTATTAGCTCTCATGTATGAACAATCAAACTAGTTATTCATGTCATACTACCGAGGTAATAAGTACCCTGTCGATATCAGGCTTCTCGCGTGGATAAAGCAGCCATGTATGGCCATGGCCATGGATATAGTCAAGATTCTAATAAAGACATGATATCTACATATGCTACCTATATGTCTCTCTCTCTCCCTCTCGCATGTCCTGGTTCTGCTTCTGTGATGTCAAAGATATCCGTAGGCTGGTCAGTATTGTGCTGCACTCTGTAACATTGTGTAGTTATCATTTTGGATCTTTTAAATCTTTTACTTTATTGTTTACGGAATCATATGCTCAGGTCAAGACCCCACAGTTCCACTTAGTGTAACACTTTATCTAGCTTGATCTGCAGCGAGAAGAATCAAAAGCAAAATAAAATGGCAAAGGAATCTCGAAATATTCCCACAGAAACCTTCGGAAGGATTGTGTTTGTAGCTAAAGAGCATAGTTGTTAAGCAAAGGAGAGAAAATGCACATAACACCGAATGAAACGCCAGTGACCCAAAAAAACAGTATCACAAGGTCGCGAAAGCCTTCTCGCCCGCCCGTTCCTCCTTTAGTTCAAGTCAATCAAGGGAGTCGAAGAGCAAGGCGAGTGTGAAAGACTGAACAACATTTACAGGTCACCGAAGGTGTTCTCGCCCGAGTATCTAACCATTATGTTAGTATGATTTCATGGTATAACGCAAAACAAAGAAGAGAAAAGGCGAGGGAAAAGAAACGTACGTGATGTATAAGAACCCATCTTCGTCCTTGTGTTCTTCGTAGATGCTGCTCATGAGTGCAGCAGTGGGAGGTAGAACCTCATCCACGAAAATGAAGATGGCCTTCTCGGGGGAGAGCTTTATGCGTTTGCGGATAACGTAGACGAACTGTCCCACTGTGAGATCGGCTGGTACGAGGTACTTCTTCTTGTCGATAGTGGCGATGTCGGACTTCTCAACCTTTTCACATATCACCTGTAAATGGAACGTCCGTTAGCTACCGAACAAGCGGTGAGGACCTGGTAGGATGGTTCAAGGCAACCACATCACCAGGCCGGAAATTCCATTCTTCAGGTCAAGAAACTCACAGGGATACGGTCGGCATATTTCTGACGAATACGTTCGGCCTCAGCCTTGCGCTTCTCGAAAGGGTGTTCGTCCTTGAACTTGGATCGCATCGTGACTGATAAGGGTTGATAAGTAGAGCGGGTCGGGTGGATAGTTGGATCAAGATACCAGAACGGCTCAGTGAGCTTGATAGAAGTAGAGACTTGTTAATAGGAAGCTTTGGAAACTTGATGTTTCTTGAGTACAGAAGAGGAGAGAGAGATAGATGAAGAGGGGTGATAGAGGATGACAAGGCGATTCCCCCCCGCTGACGTTACGGTAATACCATCACGGGATCCACGGGCGGTGAGTCGTAGTCACGCGGCAGAATCAGATGTCCTCTTCTTATATGAATATTAATAATTTAGATTTGAGGGATATCTCTACAACGATTGATAATACATATCCTTCTCTAGTCTGCTGCTCTTGAGTGACGTGTAAGCGTCTCACCAATACGAGCACTGCTACTGGAAGCTCCCGGATGCTGCCTTCAGACGGGAGCTTATCGTGCTTATCTCAGCCATGCAAACAGTTCAAACTCTCAGTCGTACGATTTGAAGGTTGCGTGGTATATGGCTAGATGATTTCTTCATTTCAGCTTCTCTCGCAGCTCTTTCATTGTACATTCTAAACTATCGCTCTCACTAAGCTCTGAGCGACTGAATTGTTATCTTTTGTGCTGGCACCCCTTCGCGCCTCGCGTACCCGATCCAATTACGAACATGGCCACCAGATCGTACGCGCCTCTACGGAGGTCACTGGCTCAGTTATCTGCGCGCAACACTCGCATTTCTGGCCATCGCGCTGGATCTTCATTCCGTGGCTATGCCACTGAACAAAAACCGCCTCAGTCGAAGCCATTCACCGTTTGGAGGCCCTATCTGAGGCTCGCCTTTGGCGTGCCGTTCATCGGCGCAATCATATACTCGATGGTAGGGACTGGTCCTTTCCAACGTGGAAAGAAAAAATAGCATGCTCATTCATTCAATTCAGATGACCGAAGATGTCACAGAACTCGATGCTCCATCCATGGTCGAAGTGGATGAGGCCCTAAAACAAGCGTCGAAAATCAACGAGTCCTCGCCGATGCGGTTGCGCATGGAAAAGCTGATCAAGCAGCACCAACAAAAGATCATTGAAGAACTGGGCAGAATCGATGGAAAACAGTTCAAGACAGATAGCTGGTCGCGTCCCAATGGCGGCGGAGGTGTCTCGTGTGTGCTGCAGGACGGAAATGTCTTCGAAAAGGCAGGCGTCAATGTCTCTGTGGTGTACGGCAAATTGCCCCGGCCTGCCATTGAGAAGATGCGGGCGGATCACAAGTCATTCGTTGGTTCAGATGTAGATTCCCTGGATTTCTTTGCAGCCGGTCTCTCCCTGGTCTTGCATCCTCACAACCCCATGGCTCCAACGGTGCATCTCAACTACCGATACTTTGAGACCTCCGACCCCAGGGATCCTATCAATGGGGATAAGAACTGGTGGTTCGGAGGCGGCACTGATCTGACCCCGACCTACCTCTTCCCAGAAGACGCCCAGCACTTCCACAAGACTATTAAGGATACATGCGACCGTCACGACGCCACGTACTACCCCAAATTCAAGGCTTGGTGTGACAAGTACTTCTACATTCCTCACCGCGGGGAGTGCCGTGGTGTTGGAGGTATTTTCTTCGACGACCTCGACGCCAACTTCCTTCAAACTTCTGCTGGTTCATCCTCCAACCCCCAGGAAACACTATTCTCCTTCGTCTCAGATGGTCTGGCGTCTTTCCTACCATCCTATGTACCGATCATTGAGCGACGTAAGGACGAACTATACACCCCCGAACAAAAGCAATGGCAGCAGCTACGTCGCGGCCGCTATGTTGAATTCAACCTTGTCTACGACCGCGGAACCAGCTTCGGTTTGCGCACGCCGAACGCCCGCGTTGAAAGTATCTTGATGAGTCTGCCCCGTACCGCCAGCTGGGCCTACATGGACCCAGTCTCCGGTACAAGAACAGAGAGCATGAATGTGGATGAAGATGATCTGGCAGAGGACAAGAAGAGTGAAAGAGAGCTTATGGATGTGCTGCGACACCCCCGGCAATGGGCATGATTCATCCATGTGCCATGTTTTATTTGTACTATCTAGTTTTCCTGTTATCGAGGGCGTCGATATGTCCAAACTCAGTGTATATTATATAAAAAACTACCTCGATTCCAATTCAAGTTTTGTGAGTAACCATGTACCTTCATGAACAGTCTTATGTAGACGAGACCGGATCCTTTGATTTTTTTCAACATCCGATACTCAAAATGCCTACATACAAAGGTAGGTTCTGTTTGATGTGATTGGCACTTTTGACTATTTGTCGCACAGCGACCCGAACTCGTGGTACTAACTTCAGAAGTTCTTAACTAGTGTATCTTTGTGTGGCCTGACCAGCATATTTGGGCTCTATAATGTTTCCGTTTATCTAGCCTCAATCTGCTCACTCTTTCATCCAATTGGCAAGATGGCCGAGTTGGTCTAAGGCGTCAGGTTAAGGTCCACCTTAACTCAATAACTGTTCCCAGTTTCCTGATCTACGTTGTAGGCGTGGGTTCGAATCCCACTCTTGTCATATCTTTTTGTTTTTACTACATTCACATCATTATCATATTGTTTGTATGTAGGTGCTGGAAGATACATTTTTGCATGATATAGCAAGGTGTGGGCGTGGAAGCGGTCGATTTTAAATTCTACATAAAGCAGTGTCGACCCATAGGTTTGTGGGGGAAAAAGGCACAATCAACCTAATCTGAGTAGATATGAACAGGGTAAGTAAAGCATTATCTTGGATTATTGTTTGATATTGCTAGGATACATTAGTGAAAACTATAGTATGGATTCTATACTATACATTCGAGTGTGGAATCACACGGGTCTTTCGTATTGCCAGATGTTAATAACATCTACTTTTGTTGGCTTGTTTCGATCATGCCCAATGAACACACAGAGGATGTCGGTGATATATATAGCACTCGACTTTTATAGCCGCATGGTTGACTATACCCGTGAAATTTGTAAGTTTTCCAAGGTTTAGTGATAGGGCTAGTCTATACAGTATGTTTCGAAACTGGTGCGCCTACCTACACTCTTCGATTGATTCTCCGACCCTGATGCTGAGACACACTAATCTAGATCGGGAGTTTTTCCGGAGCACCCCTGTCAGTTGAATGTGTATTTTTTCTTACTTAGATTACATTGTATCTTGAATCATGTATTATCTTATAAATAACACATCTGACATCTCCCTACCCCACCTTCAGATCAACCTCCCAAAGGACGGTGTCTCGAGCATGAAACACGAGTGGTCGAGCCGAGATGGCGCCAAACCTAGCCCCTTCTAAAGGTAAGCCTATCTATGACATGATCCACAGAGGGGACCTATCTATATCGCAGATGGCACAGGCTGCTGGCTGCAACAGGAGTACCATCCTGAGAATCTCTTCCAAGATACGGATGTTCGGCAGCGTCAAATCACCGTCTAACAAAGGCGGACGACCTCGTAGCATCACTCCAGTCATGCTCGAGGCTTTATGTGAATATTTACTTGAAAAGCCCACTCTGTACCTTGACGAGATGGCGATCTTTCCGTGGGACGAACCGCCATTCAAGCAACGAAATCGAGCATTAGCCGCGCTCTTACATCCAAAGGCTGGTCTAAAAAAACTGCCCGAGTCAAGGCCCGAGAGCGCAATTCAGACCTGCGTGACGAATACCTCCACTTCATCTCCGACTTCAGTCTTACCACCTTGTCTATGTATATGAGTCTGGATGTGATAAAAGGATAGGCTTTAGGAGAACGGGTTGGTCCCCACTAGGTATAGCACCGGTCCAAGTATCTAGCGATATCAGATACTGCCTGCGTATGCCCAAGATGGCATTGTTTTATCTCGAGTGTTCCAAGGCTCAACTGATGCGTCCGTCTTTTGAGGATTTTATTGCGCAGCTTCTCAAGCGGCCCGAGCCGAAGTCTGTGTTAGTCATGGACAATGCATCTTTTCATCACTCAGAGCGAATAGAACAGATGTGTTCAGAAGCCGAAGTAAAGCTGGTCTTTTTGTCCCCATATTCTCCAGACTTAAATCCTATTGAGGAGTTCTTTGCTGAGTTGAAAGCCTTGATTCCGCGAAATTGGCAGTCTTACGAAGAGAGCCCGGATCAAGGATTCGATACCTTCCTCGAATGGTGCATTGACATCGTCGGTGCAAGGGGGAAGAGCGCAGAGGGACATCTTCGGAACGCAGGCCTGACCATAGAGGAGATGTAAAGCGGCTACTTCTCATGATACACATTCTACGCATGGTATGTTCCACACTCAGTCATTTTCACGGGACACCGGCCTCGCCGTCGACCTACGCTACATTAGCTCCAGCCACGAATGCTCTGTGCAAATTTCTACACCATACCAAAGAATAGACAAAATCTAAATTCCGCTGCTATAACGCAGCATCTAGGTTATATTATTTTGCTTTCCAAATCTGGAAATTCTTATCTCTTCCGTCCTGGTGACTCTTTGCAAGTACAAGTTGAGTTATAGAATCATTGATCACACAATCGATTCCCAACTCGCGGCCACGCCGGACGATCCAGCCGTTAATATACTCAATTTCCGTCTCTCGGCCTTTTCGAATATCTTCGCGCATACTACTCGAGTTTCGTGCTGTTTTGTTAATCGTGTCCAATAAAACATTTTCAAGTAATTCAACTGAGAAATGGGCCAGATCGCGTGGCAAGTTCTGGAGCTCGGGAAGTTTCCCATAAACCATCGAAATTTCTTTGAGAATGCGGCAATGCAGAGGCCAGAGGGCACGATTATCCTTGATGTCACCGTTTCGCACATCGAGTAATGCCGTTAAAGGGTTGAGCACGCAATTCGCAGCCAGCTTCAGCAGCTGCTCTCGAAGAAGATGTGGCCACTCCATCTTTTCACAACGAAGGACGGGAGATTTAAGCAAAATATCCAGTAGGAACTGAGGCTGAGATGGCCTCGAAGAAAATTCTTCATTCCCTACAATGCCCACGGCAGCACAACCATTTGAACTCGCGAGAATAACCTCGGTCGAAGATCTCAGATAGACCCCATGGCGCATGATGCCAAAGATGTACGTTGGTCGCGTGGAAATATCCGGAAACATACGCCTGTTGAGATCTTCGACCTGACCTAGTCCATTCTGAAAGAGACAAATTGTCGAATGTGACCCGAGCCGATGTCGAATAGGCTCGAGGGCAGACACCGTGGCGGATGCCTTGACAGCAACTATCAAGTTACAAATCGGGTGAGAGTCCCCCGATTCTCCCAGCATCTCTGCGTCAAACTCCCCTTCTTCTTGTAGATCGCCATTTTCTCCTAGTCGTAGACCTAGCTTCCACCCCTTGGAGGCTATTTCTTCATAGAGATTTGATCGATGGACAAGTAAAGTGACGGAAGGTGGGTTGGGAAGAGACCGAAGAGAGTGGGCAACAAAGCACCCAATGCTGCCCAGGCCTATAATATGGGTTGTCTGAGCTGAGGTCATGATGACTGCGAGGAAAGGAAAAATTTCCTCAATGATACAAAAGCAACACGGTAACTAATTACCTCTATTGCCGATGACTAGAAATCTCGGAGTTCTCGGCGGCGCCGCGGAAAGACGCGGTGTCGGAGGTTCTCCGACGATAAGCCGATAAGCAGCTCGGTCATCTGGCCGAAGTCCGATGATCGCACTGCCGCGCCACTCATTTTCGGACGGTATATCGGACAAAACTCATCATAGATCAGTTCAACTCGGTAAACAACACATAATAACTGTGATAATTGGGTTATGTTCGCCTTACTAAGAATAAAAAATTTGGTCAATACCCACACCGGCAACGGATCGAATGCCGGCCTGTCCAAGCCACTAGTGTCAAAGACCTAAGAATTTTCCAGAAGCTCGAATTGGCAGTCCAGGACAGCCAATCTAAGACGACAATGAAAAATTCTGTGTAATAATTGCTAGGTTGAAAAAAACTTGGTAGGGGCTTTGCGATGCTCGATTGATTCACATTGAACGAGTTCCAATTTTACTCTAATATCTTTTCATTTTGAGTTGAGCGTGCACGAATCGAAATACAAAGCCTCTAGAGGTCCGCATCATCCCTGTATGTATATTATCTGTCTTAGTAGAATCAATAAGATAATCTTTTGCATCTGGAGGTCATGACAGTGTTGCGCATAGCCTTCTTACCCCTGCAGGTAGCATCCGAATGTTCCTTCCAAGCTCCTGGGGTTCTTATAGTCCATTACTGGCTGGGGTAGTCTGCAAGTCCATTTTTGAGGTCAGCTGTGTTAGTTGTTTCCTTCGTATTCCAATACCTGTTTACGTTCATTTAGCTACTCCATTATTTCGCGGATGCGTAGAATCAACGTACTGCATGTGCCTCTGCAGCAACAAATACGTTGCGATCCATATTTACCATCTTTCTCCAATTAGCTACTACCCACAAGTTTACCGATGAGCATCAGCTGGGTGACCTCGCTGCTCCGTTCATACTTAACAGCTATGGCTATGGTCCCGTAAGTCTTCATCAGCAAGGGCGCTTGCTTACGTGCCAACCGCGAGTTAGCACGAAGGCTCAAGTAAAAAATTCCAGAGGATGACAAAGACAGGTAAGGGCAAATTAGATGAATGATTGAGATAGTGCCGTCAAACTTTTACTAGACTGTACCGAAACCTGAGTACACTTGGGGACAAATTTTGCTCGAAGTGTAGCACTTTTGTTGTCTCAACAGAACATATAAAACACCGTTCTTGCAGAAATAGAAAGGTTTAAGCGTCGCTGATTTCTCGGTCATAGATAGCCCTAGCCGTTTACAGAACTGCAATACATTCCATCTCAACATCGGTGCCAAAAGGCAACGACTTAACAGCCACACAGCTGAGATTACAACAAGTCAGAGATATTTCCTTCATATCCCAGTGGGTCGTACATACGTTCTGCAGGGTTTCACTTCATCCACAAAATATTTCTTGTAAACCGAGTTCATGGCCGCAAAATCATCCATGTTGGCGAGGTAAACATTTATCTTGACAGCTTGGTCGAGACTGGTGCCGGCAGACTGTAGAGTACTGGAGAGGCTCTGGAGGATACGTTCCTAAAACTTGGTGAGCGTCTTGACCACACATTAAGATCAATAAGGTGTGCTTTTTTTTGTACCGTATGAGCCTTGACATCTCCGTCAATCAACTTCCCTGTTTCAGGGTCAATCGCAACGATCCCAGAGCAGTACACAACTCCATTAGCGATGACTGCTTGCGAATAGAGGCCCTCGTAAGGCTGGGGTGCCTTATCGGTATGTGCTGACGTTCGTGGAATAGACATTTGATTGAGAGAAACGAGATGTTAGCGCGAACAGCGAGAGTTTTTGTATTGTTGCATCATAATTAAAAAAAAGCCCCGTTCTGCGAGCGACGTCAGGGATTTATGTCACATTTTTTTACACTTCCCAAATAGGACGTCTGATAGGTATTTGTCAGCAGATGTCTTCCAGCATCATTCACCGAACTGAAGCTTGCTACTACTATATTACAAATACTGGCAAAGAATATCTTCTATACAAGCGGGTCATTGAATTCTGCCAAGCACCGACGTCAACCGTTGTCGACCGATGTCGGTCGATTCAAGAGATTAATAGCGTCAATTAAGTATTAGCACTTTCGTTCCCAATAAAGGTGTCGACGTCTCCCGCTTAACCGTGGACTTCCTTTCCTCGCTGCTAAGGGCACCGCTCTCATTTTGACAATTGGCTTCTCCTTTTTCTTCTCCCTTGGCCATTCCTTTGAAATTTTCAATTCAAAGTCAATTTTCCCGTGGTTCTAACAAGGGCACTTCATCCCTACTCGTCTTCAATCTATTATCCCACATATCCTGAACTATATCGCGGTGATGGCGTTGAGTCTTGATTACGTGACACTTGATGTCTTTACATCCAAAGTCTTCGGTGGGAATCCATTGGCCGTTGTTTTTCTTCCGGATCATTCCTCGGAACCCATCACTCGAGACCAGATGCAGGCTATTGCTCGTGAATTCAATTATTCAGAGACAATTTTTGTCCATCCCGTTTCTTTGATGGCACCTACAAAGCGCAGAATCGATATTTTCATGACAACGAAGGAACTTCCGTTCGCAGGTCATCCGACCATTGGTGCCGCATCATGGCTTCTTCGTTTATCGCCATGTCGGGAAGATCAGTCTCGGTTTGAAGCCCTTACGACTAAGGCTGGTGATATTCCAATCTCACAAGTCGCGGCATCTTCTCTTGTTTCAGCCTCTGTTCCACATGAATTTCACCTTCACAAGGCGCAATTTCCGCTGTCAGAGCTTCTACGACTACATCCTACCCTCGGTCCGTTCCTACAATCCAACGATTACGGAAATATCGGCTTCCCTGTTTTCTCTGTCGTCAGGGGTATGACAGTGATTCTTGTTGAGCTTCCGAGTATCAACGCTTTGGCTGCCGTAGACATGCCCATCGGAGGTGAAATGATAAAACTTTCTTCTGCTTTGAATGGGGGCTATCTCGATGCTGGCTGGGATGGCGAGGGGCTCATCAACCTTTACTTCTATGTTCGTGATGTGCCTGATGGTGGAAGGACAGTTCTTCGTACGCGCATGCTTCTGGGAAATTTTGAAGATCCGGCCACAGGTAGCTCTGCCACTGGCTTAGCAGCATACCTCTCCTTGGTCAGCCAACAGCCTGATGACAAAATCGTATTTGACTATGACATTGTGCAAGGAATTGAAATGGGACGCAGGAGCGATATTGGCGTTCATGTTGTGCTTTGCGATGACAAAAGAGGGATTGAGAAAGTGGAACTCATCGGGAGCGCCGTCCAAGTATCCTCAGGTCAAATTCGCTTGAACTGATGTATAGTCCTCGTAGGAAATCGATGTTGAGGAATGGCGCCCTAGATGCCTGGCTGCCCAGGTGCCCCAGGCTACAGTATTGCTGGTAGGCATCTGTCTCATCATATGCTGCGGTGAAATTGAAGGATTAGATGAATGTACTCACACCCTGACCGGAAACCGCCAGCTGTTGAAAACTGTCTTGCAGCCCACCGGCTTCTCTCCTTGTGTCTCGCTGTGTCGGTTACGAAGTGGTGGATGGTTTACGAGGATCATTTTGTAAAATCTAGTCTGAGAGTAGTGAGAAAGGCTATACGAAACCCCTCACAAACCTTTTTATTTTAATTCATTACTTGTCGATAGCTATTGATAAGACTTCTAACCATTCTATATCAATTTCAAAGAGATGTAACAGCTACATTGTTGTCGTATCGAAAATTACGTTAAATTACATTGCCATGAGCTAGGAACATATATCTCTTCATTATTAGCTAAATTAAGTTACCCGAAATTCCTACGTCGCCGAGATATCGCCTAGAAGATGCCATGCTATAAGAAGAAATCCCTATAGATCACCGTTGTTGAGACATCAAGTTATAATTTATCGCATTTAGTATGGTGTTTTGGGTGTCCAGCTGGCTTATATGTCCAGCTGGCTTATATGTCCAGCTCGCTTACCGAATACGTTAGTACCTAGCTAGTAGTTAGAGGACGAAAAACAAAAAAATATGACAAGAGTGGGATTTGAACCCACGCCCCTTTCGAGACACGGAGACAGTTGTGATACCATCGGGATCAGGTTGACCTGAACCGTGCGCCTTAGACCAACTCGGCCATCTTGCCAATTGGATGAATGTGACTAGAATATCTAATTACACAAGGCAAAAATAGTATTCACGAGACAACTCCAAGTACCTCTCAGAAAGGGCGAGGAAAAGGTGAGAGCACAACGAGTACATTGCAAGGGTTTCCCGGAGACAATATAAGTGGGCCACAAGGATAGTACGGGACATCTGGACCGAAATTTTAGACAAAGCTGAAGTTTTATGGATAGGGCGAGGATAAGCACAGAACGATACAAGGACAAAGTAAGGACCCCCGGGGATAACGCATCTCACTGACCCTTTCAGCTGGAGAGCTTAGAACCATTTATATAGTAGATACTATTTTGCCGGAGGCGGTCGTCAACGGAATATGATCGCCGGCTTGAAAGCACCGACCACTTGTCATCCAGTTCCGCCACGCAGAGCCCACACTTGCACTGTTTCTTTGCTCCCCGAAAAATCCGGAAAGGTTCATGAGATGTGGATGAAACCCCCACGGGAAGGTAGGATCCAACAACTCGACGCAGTCCAAGCTAATACAACGTAGGCATGCGAAAACCATTATCGATACTGGATGCATCAACAAATCCCTGGAAGATGTCAAGCGCGGACTCAGCCTGGCATTCCAGGCCCGACTAGATGGAACAACAGATATTTGAACGTGAAAAACCAGGAATATGAGAAAAGCTGGCCTTACACGTTCGCCGCTATCATGCCTAAGTATATTTTTCACAGGGTAGCCTGTATATACAGTAGACTATCCCCAGGTTTCCCAGAAGCTTGTGTTCCCTTAATATTTGCCGTTGATTACACATACCCTTCCCAAAGACAGGCGCAACCACCTCGCTTCCTGACATGGCGAGTATACATGCAAGTAGACGAGGGCTAATAATATTGTTGGGGACTTTGGCATCTTGGTCTTGTTCCTGGGGAGGTGTGGGGGCTCCCATGCCGCAGTGCAACTCCAAATCGTGGAGATAAGGATCTGGCGCTTCTGACGCTTTTTAGCTTCGTCATACACCACCGCGATATTCTCGATCCCTTCAGAGCTCTCACGTCTACCGTCGTTTGTTCCAACGCCATAGCCAGGATCGGAGTTGGTACCTATCGGAATCTCTGTCTCTGTATATAATATATCCCATGGAATAACCTTACTCAGTTCCTGTGGTTCTTGATAAGCTCTATTGTATAGATTGGTCAGGAGAATAGGATTACTTACCACGGATATTTCAGCCATCGATTTGAGCGTGTAAGAAATTTCGTCCCCAATCCCAGGCCAATTGTCTTTGGACGGGGCCTTCGCCAGAAGCGCTCGCATGTACTCCCCCAAAGCTGTCATGAGCTATTATTGATTGAGTTGCGTTAGAATGGGCATGAAATTAGATTCTGGTGAGCGTGTTCCTACATCGTCGAAAGCAGCGCCCAAAGCTTATCTATCGTCATCCGTCCATGCTTTCGTTCGATTCTTCCATCGGCCACTGGAGAAGAAAGATAAAGCCCTGGAGAGATTCGCTGTCAGGGTCCTGATCGCACCAACCTCTTTTGCCATACCGTCTCGATATCTTCCTGGGCTGTCCTTCTGATCAGCTATACTGCATGCATGTAGTGCACCTACAGGGGCCCTGGCTAGCTTGAACTAACCATCCTGGGTATTTTCGATGGTGTCTGTGTCTTTTTCGATTCTCAGGGTAGCGGCGCTGAGCTTTTTGGCAAATCGAGACAGTTTGACTGGGGTTGAAGATAAGATGGGAATCGTGATGGGGAGGGTTGGACCTTTATGATAACAACGTTGGCAGAGGAGAGCGTGAAATCCAGCTAGCTCTACTCATTGGATGACGCATCCATGCCACCTAGCAAGGTCCGTGTAGCGAATAGGAAGACCAAGTGTGCACCTCTTTTGCCCCTCAGTTCAGCTCGAAGACCATTCAAGTTCTGTAGGTGGAGTTGAAAATTCCGAACAGGCTCCAGTCTTAGGCCAATCTGTGCCATTCAGATTCTTTAAGGTGCTATGAGTAGATAGACTCCCTGTTGATAGAATGATAATGAGGTCTTAAGGTTCAGAGGGTTTTGGGAGGTTCTGGATTTTGTAAGATCCCGGACGCTCTATAACAGTAAGGTAAAATACCCAGGTGTTTTCATTTAGAGTGAAAACATCTAGATTCTGCCCTGCATAGACTCCATGGGCACCTCTGCACTATTTTCTGGCGGCACCTGCGGACGGTACTGTATCACAACCCTCAAATTTACATGTACACCTGGGCATAATAATGAATATTGTAGGTAATGCAGTGGCATTAAATAAAAATTTTTAGAATTGCAATACCTCACAAGAAGAAAAAGTAGGTAATGTATATGTTATAAGCTCCAAGCATAAGCTCTAGCCAAAAATTTCATAACTAATGCAAGGAACAACACAGAATTAGCTACTCTCTATTAATTAGACCATAAACTTATTGTAGCACTTATCGTGAAGAAATGTACCCTTGCTGAACCTCTCAGGCAGGGGGGTGGTCCAAAAAGATGAATAGACTGAGCTCATGGGAGAATTCGAGTTTACTCCTCCATTATATGTGGTTGATTCTCAACTTTTCATTTAGCACTAGAAAGCCCTGATTTTCATTCAATTGGCAAGATGGCCGAGTTGGTCTAAGGCGCACGGTTCAGGTCAACCTGATCCCGATGGTATCACAACTGTCTCCGTGTCTCGAAAGGGGCGTGGGTTCAAATCCCACTCTTGTCACATCTTTTTTGTTTTTGTCCTACTCACTTATATATGTAGCTCAACTGATTGTTTTTTTTTGGACTTTGTCTTGTTTGAAGACGGAGTTCTTGATAAATTAAGGTTGTCTGTTGTACATATGCAAGGGGTGGCGGGGACAAGACCCTCGGACTAGCTGAATCTGGTCAAACCGGCTTGAAGAAGTTCTGGGATGTCATGGCATGTAATTAAAGTAGCAATGGACGATGGTGTAGATATTTTGAGTTGAAGTTAAAAAAACGTCAACCCAGGTTGACTCAAGGAAAAGGATAAACGGCCATTAATAACTGGTGATAATTGAAAGTGAGGACCAGACCTCACATCCACAGGTGATAGGACAAGGTATGGCAAAATAACAATCAAGAAGTAATCAATGTCTACCAAAAGAATCGAACCAAAGAATAAGGTACAATTGTATTACAGTCAACTACACCCTCAAAAGAACAAAGGAGATATCGGCAATGAATCTAGGCACAAATGGTCACATCAAATCCAGAATGAAGGAAACGGACTTTTCCCTCTCTACAGTGTAATGTATACAGGGATTTTAAACGGTCAGACCGAGGTCCTCGGCGAAGGGCAGCTGGTGGATGTCACCAACGCTGACAAGGGTGGCCTTGCCAGTCAGGAAGGTGTTGGCAACCTGTAGATATTCGTTAGCTGGTTGAGTGGAACATGGGGAGATCTAATCAGTAACATACCTCCTTGACCTGCTGGTCGGTGACCTTCTCGAGAGCCTGGGCGATCTCGTTGATCTGGTAGGGCTTGTTGCCGTGGACGAGGCCGGAGCCGGTAGCCTCGAGACCAGTCTCAAGGGTCTGGACGGACTCCAGAGCACGGAACTTGGCAAGAGAAACGGCCTTCTTGATGTCCTCGCTGGCAACCTCACCGGCGGCGGCCTTCTTGAGGGCGTCGACGACGTTCTTGCTGGCAGCGCTAATCTGGTCGGCAGCACCGGTCAAGGTGACGGTGAAGAGACCGGCATCAGAGTAGGCGTTGTTCTGGGTGGAAACGCGGAGGTGGTTGAAGCCCTTGGTAGCCTGGGACAGGAGAGAGAAACCAGGGGTCCACTTGATGGTGGACTCGCCGCCGAGCAGAGCAGCCAGAACCTCGGCCTCGGCCTTGTAGCCGGCGGTACCGAAAGCGCTGGAGCCGGGGAAGGCGATCACGACGGAGTTGCCGGTCTTGGAGGCAATGCGCTGCTCACCACCGTAGTACTTGGAGGCCTGAGTGGGCAGGACGCTGTATTTGCTGGAGGCGTTGCCGGTGGAGGTGCCCTTGAAGAACTGACCAACCCACTTGTTGAGCTCAGCGGAGTTGGGGCCGCTGGCAACAAGAGCAATGTTGGACTTAGCGTAGGCGCTCTGGGCGAACTGGGCCAGGGCATCGCCCGAGATGTACTTCTCGAAGGGCGAGGTCTGGGAGGGGGTGATGGAGGCACCCAGGCCGCGGTGGAAGGCGACACCGTGGGCGGCATCGATGGCAACGGTCTCCGGGTCAGAGTGGACGATCTGTTGCTTGTACTTGAGGAGCTTGCTGACAACCTCGTTCAATTCGTGGTCTGATATCATCGAGGGGTTCGAGTTAGAAAAAAATGATGCTCGGATGCGCTTTATCAGTTCATGAAAGGGACCACTCACCAGCAAACTTGGTCTGAGTAGCGACCTCAGCGAGCAGCTCTGTGAAGTAGGGGAGATCCTTGGCAAGGAACTTGGTCTTGAGGACAACATTTTCGCGCGAGTGTGTCGACGAGATTTGACCGCCCAGCAGCTCAGTCTCCCGGGTGATCCGCAAAGCAGACCGCTTGAGGGTAGTCTGTTGAGGAAACAAGCGGTTAGCATCGATGAACGTAGCCGAGATGACTCAATTGATGGACAAGGCACCGACCTTGAAAGCGAAACGGTCAAGGGCATCGGAGAAACCAGGGAAGGGCTGGTAACGGGAGCCAGCCTTAGCGACCAGGGCCAAAGTACCGGTAGGACCCTCAACCTCACGGTTGGCGAGTTTCACACCGGAGGCCTCAGAGACATCGTACTGGAAGGCCGGGTTGACCGCGGAAGCCATGGACCGACGGCCGGCGGACAACGCACGCGGCGCATTTCGGCTGAGAGAAGACCGCGACAGCATCGTCGCTTGTGCCGAAAAGATATGCAAAGGGAAGAAGAAGAAATAAAAACCCGAATTGGGTTTGTAGAGGGGGGCAATTGAAGCGGGGAGGAGGCGGGATGCGGAGAGAGCAAGAGGGAAGAGGCAGTTTGGAGGTCACGAAAAGCTTCAAGATCCCGGTGCTGTTGATTACTCGGATTCTGATTGGTTGGAGTGACGAGTCGGACGGAACCGGAGTTACTTTTGTTCGGTGTATAAGGATTGTAGCCCTCTGTTAATGTAGTTTTTAGTATTATAAGTATAGCAATTATTAAACCAATTGAATAGTAAGCAAATCAGTTATTGAATTTGTATTCATGAGCAATGACTACTTATACTCGATCAATGTGTTCATCAACTGGAAATTCCTGTAAGCGGGCATACCCGGATCACATGATCTACAAATCACGTGAAGATCAAACCGATAAGCAAAAAAAGAAAGATGGAGGGACACTTGCATCTCATTCGTCGCGCATCAGAACTTTCGGACTTGCAGATCTCCTGCTAAAGTCCTCCATGAACCGGTGACCTCAATTTTCCAGGTTTGCAGGCCCCGTGGAAGTTCTGCCTTTTTAGCCCATCATGATGATGTCCCAGGTATGCGACATGCGATTGTCCACACCAAAGCTACTTACTTACGTGGGATTTAGTGCTCCGTGGAGCTCTGCATGCTCCTGATCGAAGACAACTTTGGAGAACTGTTTGCAGTAAGTTGATCTGCCTCATCATTCAGACCGTGCAAATCCTCGGCTTGTATGATTCATTGCGACAGCGAAGCATAGAACTGATCAGTCAACCTTTCGCAGCGCATTTTCGCAGTCCTTCAACGCTATGAGAGACTCACACTTCCTCGACTTAAATTTTACGCTCGCCTGACCGATCGCCAATTGCATCATGGACTCTCTGCTATGATCCAACACCACCTCGTCTACCATTTCACTTCCCTCGATGATGGTAATACCTATTACGAAGCCAATCCACATGCCGCATACTACCTTGTCCGGTCCGGAAAGATTCTCCAGCTTGTTGAAAGCCGACTAGGAAAATATGCGGCCCAGATCTTGCAAGCAATCATGTTCCACGGCCATGCGTCGATCGCCCATCTTGAGACCCTCCCCGAGCTCCAAGCCAAAAAGCACATCACCAATGGGGTAAACCATGACGAAGAACATGCCGAAGAAAATGGAGAAAACATAGAAGAAAATGGGAACCATGAACATAATGGCGTGTCTAATGGCAATCATGCTGTAAATGCGAAGCCCCCGCGTTTTCACCCTACCCTCAAAAGTCTTGCGTCTCATGGATACATCAATAAGGTTCGGGAGGCGCACTTCCAGAGTCCTAATGATAACTTCCTGGATGCCCAGCGCATCATTTCCTCAAGGCCAGATGTTAAACAAATGAAGGGCAAACAACAAGCCGCCGAGATCGAGGAGAAGTCAAGAACCCTGATCAAAGAAAGAACCGAAGGGGATTTGAGTCGTGGTCTCATGTTCAATGGCGTCCCCCAAGGCGTCAAAAGGAAACGAGACCACGGAAATTCAGAACCTCACCAACAGGTGAATGGCACCAACGGTGTCAATGGAAACCATGGCAATGACGATGATGAGGAAGAGAACGATTGGTCTGAAGATGAAGATGGTCTCGATTCGATGCCAATGGATGTAAGATTATCATTTTCTCAAGTGTGATTACAATCCACTTACTAACATCCACCACAGTCTCACCTCATTGTTCGAGTGAACTACGAGAAACTCGATGTAGCGCTCCGTAACGCACGATTCCTCGAACTGGCCGAGCAAGACGCATCTCGTGCTACCACCGAAGTTTATGATTGCTTGCTTCGGCGCATTGAATATCAAACAACACGCTGTCGAGATACATTTGAGATTCCACGCGAAGGAGAAGAAGGCGAACAATATTCTGCCCCAATTCAATTGAGTGCAATTGTTGCAGACGTCGACCCGCTCCTGGATCTCTCAGGATGTATCGGCCCCATGGAACCATCGGTTGTGACAAACCGAAGTGGGAAACGGCCCTTAGACGACGAAACGAGTGGAGTGAACGACGATGATGACGAAGAGCCCGCAGGGAGCCGTGCCTACGAAATCGACCAGCACCTTGGTATACTCTCGCAAGCACCCTTCAACCTTACCACAAAGCATGTAATTTCCGGTCTACCCACATGGCGAGTTGGCTTCCGAGGTCTGGCTCGCAAGCTCCGCCATTTGGAACTCGAACGCATGATTGAATCACGGTACGGTGATGTGGCCTTGCGAGTGGTCCGTGTGATGCATGCCAAGGGCAAGCTAGACGAGAAGCGACTGCAAGACATCAGTCTCCTTCCTTTCAAAGACCTACGCCAAACACTTTCCAGCATGCAGACGGGCGGATTTGTCGATCTACAGGAAGTGCCGCGCGATGCGCAGCGCCAGCCCTCCAAAACCATTTATCTGTGGTACTACGACCCGGATCGGGTCTGCAGTAGTATCTTGGAGGACACATACAAGGCGATGTCCCGATGCCTGCAACGCATCAAATTTGAGCGCGAGCGCGAACGGGATTTCCTTGAAAAGACGGAACGAACCGATGTCAAGGGCCACGAGGAGGAATTCCTCTCCGAGGCTGAGCTTGAACATTTGAAAAACTGGAGGGCTAAGGAGGCCTTGCTGCTGGCTGAAGTATCTCGTTTGGATGACATGGTTGCCGTCTTCCGCGATTATTGAATTACTTTGTCATAGAGGCTTGGAGCGGGAGTTGCATACACATGAATGGCGCATGAGCGACGAATTGATACAAATTACATTCATATTTTTCTTCAGGGTTAGTTTAATGTGCATGGGGTTTAACTGTGTTGAACCGAATCTCAAGTTAAGGACTGATGATGTAAGGTCAGTCAACTTGAGTGTAGCGGGGACACAAACGGGAGGAGGAAGATAATTCATTCAGAGCTAAAGCTATTGCTAGATTAAGTAATGATGGATGCTAAGCCCTGGCAGGTAACAGATGCAGCCTGTCAGGTTATATGAGGATCTAAGTCAAGACTTTTAACTTCCATATCTTTAATACTTTAAGTATAAGTAATGGTCGGTAATAAGATGGGGTAGTCACTAGACCATGAAGGGAGGGCCTAAGGGAAAGTACTGTGACATGAACAAAACCAAGTTGATCAAATCACGTTGAATTCTGAACAAAGCCAATTAATAGCACACTTCCAAAATAACTAGTGCAAACACAGCGAAGTATGAATGTATGAAAGTTTGACAATATTGAGGATGCAGTTGGTTACCTTATTGTACTACAGCAAAGTGACCAGAGACTGTGAGCTGTAACCATTAAACGGCAATGATATTTTGAGCATATTATTAAATATTTGGTTGAATCTGTCTGAGTTTCGTTGTTAAAAATTACGTACAAATGTAGAGATATGGCTTTTCTTTATATATACCCGTGGACAGTGTATAACTACACCATGAGATCATCTAGCAGGTTCCACAAGGATCGGCATCATGTGCTCCCTATGCATGAATTAGCCAAGTAATTGGCAACGGAAATAGTGCATATGTAGGCAGCAAAGAAACAAATATTAATAGATGTATGTTTAGGCAGTGACTCAAGACTTAATGTACTACATTCAAAGAGAGCACGATTAATATAAAATAAACAAACATTCCCGAAATAAATCCAAGAAGAGTCAGGATTGTCATTAGATCAAGGTATGAACCCCTACGTCAGCCCTAAGCCCGCCAAGATGTACAATTAATATGGAGATTACAATGACGCTGGCGCGACGCCAGTGGCTGCCCAATCCCTGCCCTGCTTGGTGTATACCTTGCGATACTTCATTTTCCATAAATGGCTGACACCCCGCCGTAGATCTTTCATATTCCCATTCTCCACATTTACAATCAAATCATCATGGCTTACCCGTGGATTCACGCTGTCCGCATTGTTCAGGCACTATTTGGTGTGATCGTGATCGGGTTGACAGGATATGGTGGGTTCCATAACAACCTTTGTTGTTTCTCAAGCTCCCAGTATGAAAGCTAACCGTCTCCAGTTGTGTCAACATACTGGTATGGCTGGGGCTGGTCGGATACCGTGAACTTCCTCCTCTTCCTCGGCTGTTGGACCGCGTTCGTGGCCGTGCCCTACCTCGCTCTTTCGCCGATCTTCTTCCCCCGGCTAGCGCACCACTTTGTTATTCCTGCTGTGGAAGTGATCACCATGATCTTTTGGTTTGCAGGGTTCATTGCTATGGGCGCTCAGCTCCCCCCGCCGCGGTACTGTCACTACCATGTCTGTAGCTCACTCCAGGCGGCAACGGTATTTGCGGCATTTGAATGGTGAGATCCCTCGTTGAGATGCAAGAGTATTCAGAACGCTAATCAGTGTCTTGGCATATAGGGTGCTTTTCGCGGTGACCACCTTCTTTGCCGTTCTTGATGTGAAGAATCACCGCCGTAGCGGGGAGAGTGCGAAGACACATTCCAATGTGCATGTTGGGGTTTGATCCGTTTTTCAATATTCCAGGAATGAGGGATGTCACGTCATAATGGAGCTCTTTTGAAGTTAGGTGTTTTTGGTTGCGGGATACCCTAGTTATTTGATGACAGTGCATGGGAAATGAAGAGAGATAGTAATATGAACTAAACATAATTCATTAGTATTGATCTTTCTAATGGATCTCTATACAATCTATAATGACAATCACCTCATGACATAGATAAATGTAGTGTCATTCTTATTATTAGTTCTTATCTCGGGGGCTCCGCAAACGGCATCACCGAACCCACCGAGGCACCGTGCCAAGTGAACCAGCCTAAGCAATAAGCAGCTAAGGTTGATATATTATTGGTCTGCAAATTATTGGCTTTCAAGCCATCTAAGATCATTTGTATAAGGTGCAGGGTAGAACCATAAGGAGAAGGTGTACCAGACCGTGCGTTGATCCTTTATAGATAGGCCACGTTCTCCGTAGCGTCACATCGTTTGATCAGGGGGACCATGCGTTGATAGCAATCTACATTAGAAACCAGAATGACTGATATGTGATATAGTATACTCCCACGTCTATGTTAGTAGTCTCTAGTAGAGTAAAATACAGTATCAAATTTCCACGGGCAATTTCTCGCCACCAAGAAAACTCTTCCCGAGTTCCACCATTTAGCCGGCGAATACCTTTTCTTCTAGAAGGAGGAGAAGGCGAATATTGTCCAAAAAAGTCAATTCCACTTGAAATTAAATAGAAAGAATCAGAGAGCCTAGATTTCTCTCTCTGTTCTTTTTGTTTCCCTTTCTCTTGAATATACATACATGGTGATTGTACAAGTCTGTACATAGGGTTTGACAGTGGTGGTGTGTTCTCCACTTAAAAAAGAAAAAAGAGAAAAACCCGTCTTCGGAGTCACCCATTTGGCCTGATCGAGTGGAGACTCGCTGCGCGCTCTATTCAGATCCTTTTCTCCTGGTGTCATCTCTTCTGAAAAGTCCCCCAAACCTGCATTTTCAGGATGGCCCGGGACGAGTTCACCAACGCTCCAACTGAAAAGAGCAAGATGAGCTCAGAAGCACCGGTGACGCATGTCCAAGCCCAGGATCCTGTCGACACCTACGATGTCGATTATGAGAAGCATGGTGCTCAGCGCGAGGCCAACCCGCTCCCAGAGCTCAAGCGGAAGTTGAAGAGCAGACATTTGCAAATGATTGCAATTGGTGAGTGATTGAGTCTGCTATTGTCTGCGCGCAGAATCCTCATGCTAACCATTGATCAAAAGGCGGAACGATAGGAACCGGTCTATTCATCGGTAGTGGCACTGCAATTGCCCATGGAGGCCCCGTTGGCGCTCTCATCGCGTATATTTTTGTCGGAACTATTGTCTACTCGGTCATGACCGCCCTCGGAGAAATTGCGACCTATATCCCCATTCCTGGTGCTTTCACCTCTTATGCTGCTCGCCTCATTGATCCCAGCTTGGGCTTTGCCATGGGTTGGATCTATTGGTTCTCTTGGGCATCGACCTTTGCTTTGGAATTGACTGCAACCGGTCTGATCATCCAGTACTGGGACGACAGCATCCCCATTGCCATCTTCATCGCGGTTTTCTGGGTGTGTATTATCGCCTTCAACATGTTGCCTGTGGGCTTCTATGGTGAAATGGAATTCTGGTTCGCAAGTATCAAGGTTCTCACCGTCATCGGCTTCATGATCTTCTCTATCTGTGTCAATGCTGGCGTTGGTGAGAAAGGGTATATCGGTTTCCGGTACTGGGTCCACCCAGGCCCCTTCGTTCCCTATCTGATCGAAGGCAACGACTCGCTGGCCAAGTTTGTTGGATTCTGGTCGACGCTGATCCAGGCCGGTTTCTCTTACCAGGGAACCGAACTGGTTGGTATCGCCGCCGGTGAGACCGAAAACCCCCGCAAGACCGTCCCTTCGGCCATTCGTAAGACTTTCATTCGTATCGTCTTCTTCTTCATCTTGACTATCTTCTTCATCGGAATTGTCGTGCCCTCTAATGACCCAGGCCTCTTGAACAGCCAGGGCAGCGGTGCTAGTGCCAGCAATGCCAACGCCTCTCCCTTTGTCATTGCGGCCAACCTTGCTGGTGTCAAGGCTCTCCCCGGAATTATCAATGCAGTCCTCTTGACTGTGGTACTCTCCGCGGCCAACTCCAACGTCTACAGTGGCAGTCGTATCTTGGTTGGTCTGGCTCAGGAAGGATTCGCCCCTCGTCACTTCAAGACGACCTCCAAGGGTGGTGTTCCTTACTGGAGTGTACTCTTCACCGCAGCCTTCGGTCTGCTCGGATTCCTGAACGTTTCCGACGCCGGTAGCACAGTGTTCAACTGGCTGCTTCAGATCTCCGGTGTCGCCGGTTTCATTACCTGGTGCTCATTGAACGCTTGTCACCTTGCCTTCCAGCGCGCGCTTCATGCCCGCAACATTTCCCGTGATATCTTGCCCTACAAGGCCATGTGGCAGCCCTGGTTCTCATGGTACGGGCTGTTTTTCAACTGTTTGATCATCCTGACCCAGGGATTCACTGCATTCATCCCCAACTTCCAGGTCAAGGAGTTCTTCATCAACTACCTCAGTTTGATCCTGTTTGTGGTCCTGTATATTGGACACAAGATCTTGTATCGCACCACGTTTGTCAAAGCGATCGATGCCGACCTGGACACAGGCCGCACTACGGCCGACAACGAGACCTGGGAGACTATTGAACCGACCACATGGTACGGCAAGACGTGGAACTGGATCTGCGGCTGATCGGAGACTCGGATCTTGTACATTTTTGTTTTGCATATTTTCTTCAGGGCGTTGGGTCATATAGCATATAGGCCTTTGGTCTATAATCTCCATTCTAGTTATATATCATTATCATTATTATATACATACAATAAACAATAAATATTCACTTCCATACATACTTGAACGAAATCTTGAAACTCGGTCTCCATGTGAAAAATAGTGCATGTGAGTTGTGCAAATGTTTTTGATGTGTAAGCACAGCGAGGTACATGACACATTATGGGGTTCGTCACTATGGGGTAGGTACCCGAAACAGCCGAGGTTCGAGCCTCAGTCCCTTTTTCGGCTCATGATAACTTCAATGGAGATTTGTCCAAAAAGGTCGGTCGCTCCGGGTCGTTTCTTTTCTCCAGTTTTCACCCCCACACTCTTTGCCCCCTATATTGGCGGATAACTCGGACCATTTTTCTTCTTCTTTTTACTTATAGATTTTGGTTCAACTCTTGCATAAACCACTTCACACCGTACACCGGCTGTGATCTCAGACATGTTTTTCTCACAACCCGCCCACCTCGCCAAGGCCGAGGAACTCAAGCAGGCGCCCCCAAAAGGCGTGGCCTACTCTGTCGCCATTCCCGGCACTGAGCAGCCCGGCCGCAGTCGGGTATACCGAGCATGGAATGCGCAGAAGGAGCTTTTGACCACACTGGACCCCCAGGTATGGAGAGAGAGAGATAACCAGATAGCCGAACGATCAGCATTGACCCGCTTCTAGGTCCTCACGGCCCATGACATGTTCGAATCGACCGCCAACCGCCAACCCAAGAACCACTGCCTCGGATGGCGTCCGTATAACCCCACGACCAAGGGCTGGGATCCATACCAGTGGCTCACATATGAGACTGTGCAAAAGCGGCGTGCCGCGTTTGGCGCTGGTCTGGTAGAGCTGCACCAGAAGCACGACTGTCACCGCCCAGGCCAGTATGGTGTTGGTCTCTGGGCGCAGAACCGCCCCGAATGGCAGATTACTGGTGAGTTGAGTCGCGAAGTTGAGGATATTGGACATGAGTCGCTAACGGGGATTCATGTATAGATTTGGCTTGTATTTCCCAATCACTCTATTCCGTCTCGATCTACGATGTCCTGGCCCCGGATGCCACCGAATACATTATCAACCATGCCGAGCTGAGCTGTGTCGTTACCTCTCTACCGCATATTCCTACTCTGCTCAAGCTTAAGTCCTCCCTGCCCAACTTGAAGATCATTGTCAGTTTGGACCCGCTGGATGGCGATGATCAGAACGGTCACTCCAAGCGCGCCCTGCTCGAGTCTATGGCCGCCGGTCAGGACCTCACAATTTACACAATCGACCAGGTTGAGGAGCTGGGTCTTGCTTCTGGGCGCGGATACAACGCTCCTTCTGCCTCTGATATTGTTACTATCAACTACACCTCCGGCACCACCGGACCTCCCAAGGGTGTTGTGTTGACCCACGGTAGTGCCGTGGCTGCCACTTCCTGCGGTCTGGCTACCATTGGCCAGGCTCGCGGTGACACAATGTGCTCTTATCTTCCGCTGGCGCATATCTATGCCCGTCTGGCAGAGCACTGTGCCTTTTGGGGAGGTGCGCGAATTGGCTACTTCCACGGAAACATCGTAGAGTTGGTTGACGACTTGAAGTTGCTGAAGCCTACCGGCTTCATGTCTGTGCCCCGTCTTTACAGTCGATTCGGCACGGCGATTCGTGCTGCGACAGTTGAGCAGCCCGGCTTCAAGGGTGCCCTGTCGCGACACATTGTCGCAGCCAAGACGGCCAACATGGAGAACCCCGATCCCTCCAAGGCGACCATCAAGCACGCCTTGTATGATCGCATTTGGGCGAAGAAGGTTGCTGCCGCTCTCGGTCTGGAGCGGGCTAGATACATGGTGTCTGGCTCCGCTCCCCTGGACCCAACCCTGCACAACTTCCTGCGCATCGCAACCGGCACCGACGTTGTCCAGGGCTACGGTCTGACCGAGTCCTACGCCTCCGCCACCGCCCAGTCAACCTACGACCTCACAACCGGCAACTGCGGGCGCCTCGCGCCCTGCACGGAAGCATGCCTGATCTCCCTCCCCGACATGGAGTACTCCGTAGACGACAAGCCGTTCCCCCGCGGCGAGCTCCTGCTCCGCGGCAATAACATGTTCCGCGAGTACTATAAGAACGACGAAGAAACCTCCAAGGCGCTCACCGAAGATGGCTGGTTCCGCACCGGCGACGTATGCACCGTCGACGCCCAGGGCCGCTTCATCATCATCGACCGCCGCAAGAACGTCCTTAAGCTCGCCCAGGGCGAGTACATCTCCCCCGAGCGCCTGGAAGGCGTCGTCCTGTCCGAGCTCGGCTACGTCGCCCAGGCCTACATCCACGGCGACAGCATGCAGACCTACCTGGTTGGCATCTTCGGTGTTGCGCCGGACCTCTTCGCTCCGTACGCCAGCAAGGTCCTAGGCAAGACCATTGCCCCGACCGACCTGGACGCCATCAAGGAGAGTCTCAAAGACGACAAGCTGCGTCGTGCCGTGCTGCGCGATCTGGAGCGCGTGGCCAAGAAGCACAAGTTTGCTGGGTACGAGCGCGTGCGCAACGTCTCGCTGCAGGTTGAGCCGTTCACCGTTGAGAACAACCTGTTGACTCCGACGTAAGTTTCCTTCCTTGCCTATGGTGTATATTGTAGTGCTTGGGTATAGAACATTGCTAACATTCTCCTTTCTAGTCTCAAGCTCAAGCGTCCTCCCACCGTCAAGGTCTACCGCTCCCTCTTGGACCAGCTCTACGAGCAGGCGAACGAGGAGCAGTCCGCTCCCCGAGCCAAACTGTAGTTTCTTTTCAGCTTTTTTAGCTTTGCTTTTCTGGGTTGGAAATTGGTATTGTCCTTGGGTTTGTTCCAGCTGTACATAGGAGCCGTCTATACACTGTAGTATATTGAAGCATTGTTTATAGCGTGTTCACTTTCATGGGCTTTCTAATGTTGATGCTGGTAGTCTATAGTTTCACCTTAACTCAAATATGATATTGATCATTGCTAATTAGGCAAAAATTTATTGGACAAAAACAAAAATATGACAAGAGTGGGATTTGAACCCACGCCCCTTTCGAGACACGGAGACAGTTGTGATACCATCGGGATCAGGTTGACCTGAACCGTGCGCCTTAGACCAACTCGGCCATCTTGCCGAATATGGAATTATTCGAATGACATGGCTATATGATCCAGAATAAGTCCGATAGGTAAATTTTGGAAGAGTGCCAGGTTGAGTGAACTACCTACCTAAGTAAGTATATAGATAGTGATATATAATACAATAGCTATAAATATAATTTATACCTTCACCTACTTTGCGTAGCCTACATTGTAATACTGCAATATTGTCTACCTTAAGCATGTCCATATAAAGTTTGACGAAGGTCATCTCAATGCAATACCCCTGTCAAACTATGCCCTGTGGCGTAAAACTAAGAAAGAAAAAAGAAGCCTCGGAGCATAAACAAAAAAGCAATTGGGAATAAGAACTAAAAACTAAGAAGAACCTAGCAAAGCACCGTGAACCCCCCTTTTCATACGCTCATACCTCATATTCATTATCATATTCATTACCTCAAATCACCGATCCAAACTACACCAATAATCCACCCGCCAATCCGTCAGATTGCGCGTCGGCAAACCCCAAGTCCGCGCCAGCCAAAGCGCCAACCCACCCACAACCCCGACACTCCCAACAATCTGCACAAGCACCCAACTCCTCCTTCCCAAGTCATCAATCCAGTCCACCACACCAAGTGGGTCCTGCGGACTAATCCCAAAGCGAGCGTGAGACTGGAACGGCTTCGGATGCCAAAAGCCCGGCGTCTGCGCAAGCGGCACAAGCGACCCATCGACGACACACTCGCCCAGCCGCTCGGTCAACCAAACGGCTCGCTCGCCGCGCGCCAGCTTCGCATAGGCGTCGCGCTCGTTCTGCAGGCTGCGCTGGAGATCGGTCGCCCACTGCGCGAGGTGAACCTGCGCCACGCGCTCCTCGTTACGAGTGTGGTCGGTGATGCGGGCCATGGCGTAGCTGGGCGAAGTGGAAGAAGAAGAAGAAGCCGAGACGGCTTGCCAGCTGCTAGAGAGAGAGCCAGACCCATATGCGGACGGAGCCGGGCCCGGACTGGCCAATGGGATTGAGGGGGGCAGGGAAGAGAAGCCCGGGCGTTGCTGGAGGAGTTTCTTTGCGGCGGAGTGGCGGAGCCACAGGAGGTTGTCTGGGTCGAACATTTTGGTGACTAGGGTGGGTAGGTCGGAGGGGAGAAGGGGCTGGACGTAGTCTGGGCTCATGAGCGTGCTTGCGTCCATTGTCTCTGTGTCTGGGGCTTCTGCTGAAGAGACGGCGTAGGAGGACTGAGAGGCTAGATCCTTGGTTGGAGAAGCGCCGAAGAGAAAGGGGTTTAGACCGGCTAAGCGGGATTTTTCATGGAAGGACAGTTTTAAATCGGTTATTTGGGCTGGAGAGAGGGTGTCTGATTTGGATATGAGTGGGATTACATTGCTTAGCTCGCTGAGCCTGCGGATGCATTCCACGTCTGTTACGAGGGTGTCTGTATACAGATATATTGGTTAGTGAGGGTTTCCTGTGGAAGCCAAGGATAAACCTGCCATTGGAAATCAAATATAAGATGACATCCACCTGGGATCCACCATTCCCGGCTAGTAGGTTTTGGAAATCAACACTAGAACTGTTGAGCGCATTGATGGCACGGAGGAATTGGTCGCACATATATTGAACCGTATCGTCCGTTTGGCCACGACTTGAGTTTGTGTCAACAAAACAGAGGTTCCTCTCGAGCACGATTTCCCCGAGGCTTTTCCGGCGTTGGAGCACGCGCGAATCTTCCAAATCCGACCACCATGACGGATAAGGTTTGGTGCTAGCGTATATTTCGGTGGTCGAGGTTAGTGTGCGATGCGTCCGAGAAGCTCGACGTTCTAAAGAGTTCACGGGTATTGTGTCGACATGTACGATATCTTCGCATGTCTGGACGATGGATTTGATTAAAGAAGTTTTTCCCGAACCTATTTTTTTTTGTTATGTTTGTTAATTGGCCTTCCGTATTGTAGAACTAATTTCATTGGAAACTTACCAGGGGCGCCCGCTAAAAGAATCTTGAACCGACCCATAGCTTTTCCTCGCTCGGTGAACGGTCGACGACTAGGCATTTTGATACTTGGCATGATAAATTGGGACGCCCCACCTGCGGCGATACGTGGGGATCCGTGCACCCTTTCCTCCTCATCTCCAGATGCGATTGCTTGGCTGTTGATTTCATCTGTGATAGAGATATCATCCAGTGGGTGTAAAGATTGATTGGAAATTGATTTGGGACTGCTGGGTAGGGATGATGGGTCGTCGGGGATGCCCAGTGTCAATGGAGTTAAAGGCCGAGAGACTGCCGCCGGAGATGCCTGCCCCGAAAGAGTGCAATGATTGTTTGGGTCCGCCTTGAGGGTCGACCGGCGCCGTGCGGGGTGTTCAGAATCATCGGACTGCTTCAGGCTGGGAAGATCGTGGGAAGTAAATTCCGAGTGACAAAGGGTGTCCTCCAGGCTTTGCACCCCGTATATATTCTCTTTCGCGTCATCGGGTCCATCTAGAGAGGTGCTTGATTCTAGATCCGAGACATGTGGATTGCGGGACAGAAAGAAGCTCGTGGGAACGGGGTCGGGAGAATGGTCAAAGGATGGTTTACGAAACGGATGATCCGGAGTAGGTCTCATCATGAAGACATGTCTCTATCAATATTGTTTACAGAGAGTAGTGAAACGAGGTGATAGTGATACACAAGAAGTGCGAAGTCATTTGTGCTCAGGTAAGCCAATCACGAGATGACCGTAGATTAGCCCCTCACTGGCCTGAGGCACATCTGCATATCAACCACATGATGTACATGTAGGGTAAACCTAAGTACTGAACTATGTTCTAGAGTATTTTATATCGGCTTGTTATTGCTTAGAGTGCTTATATTTAATTATACGGCGGACTCCGTAGTAGTATCCAACTAGTAGCCATTCCCCATGAAATATTACCGTAGTATCTCCGGACACCTGTCTCTCCGTACTCCGGGGGTTTTTTAATCTCCACTCTGTGGGTTAACTGGGGCCTGGACTGCAATGTACCAACCGTGTACAGCCTGTACTTTGTACAATACAATATATCACCAGGCAACTAGACCGTATGAAATTAAATTTGGTACTTTTTGTCACACTTCTTCATCGGCTAAAAGTATTGGTCGCGATTAGCGCGAAAAAAAAGAAAACTAACATACATTGTACATTAGCGCAAAAATATACAATACTATAGTAGTGTTGTACCTAGTACTCCGTAGTGTACCTAATTAAGTAGTGAAGAGCATGTACCGTGTCCGCCCGAAAAAAGGCTGATCTCCACCACCTCAGGGCAACTTCTCGGTGGTTCAGACTTCTGGTTCCCTTGGGATTTCTCTTCGGTTCAATATCACACTCTTTTCCCCTCCTTTTCTCCGATATTGTTTCCCCCGAATTTTTTTCTCTCTTTGAACATGAACATGAACTATTGAAAGTTCTTTTGCCTTCTCACTTGTACTGATCTCTCACTCTCTATACCCGGCATCCGGCATAGCGCAGGAAGCGCAAGAACGACAAGATGGAACAACCAGCCATGTCGTGGCCGGAACAACTCCACGAGAATACTCTCATTACTGCGCCAAGTGAAGAAGAATTCTCCAATTATCTCGATTTCAATATGCCGTTCACCGATCTCGAGCACGGACCAGGGCACATGCAACATTCCCAGTCTCTACCAACCACTTCCGCTCCAGACTCCATGGCTCATCTGCGGTCAAATCCCATGCAGTACTCGGGCCAAATGGAAGGCCTAGCGATGGATTTTGGTGGCCAGGATTCCGCCCAGTCCCATCCTCATGGTCAATTGCCTTACTCGACTCCTAATATGACTCCGGGCTTCTGCGCCCAGGAGCCCTCACCCATGTCGCAATCACACCATTACATGCAGAATCAGACCATGATCCCACCCACCCCGAACAGCATTGAGATGCATGGAAATGCCGCCCGTTATTCCCAGCGGGTGGATGGAACTCCAGATATGTACGATGGATATTCGCGCATCAACGAGGAGCAGGTGAGTTCAACTCCAACTCTCATAGAATGTACTTTCTTTTGACTAACAGGCCAGGCTCTCTACACCCCTCTCGTTTCGCCAGCTATGACCCCCCTGGAGAACCAGTTCCGACTTCCTGAATACACAATCCCCGGCGAATACTTCACACCTCTCACTTCTCCCGCCCTAGAGGCTCAGAATGCCGACTCCAACAGTTATCAATACCATGCAAGACAGGTGTCGGATGTGGGCTTTGTCCCCACTACTGCAGACATGAATTCACTTGCCGCAACAGCGGCTCCAGGCTCCCCCAGCACCCTAAGGAAACCCAATACCCGCCGGCGGGGATCGACGGCCTCCAATCGATTGAGCACCTCACGGAAGGTCAAGCAATCACCGAACATTCTGGCCCAGCGCAAGCGCAGCACCCTGGCTACCAATTCAGAGGAATTTTACAATAGCCTGACTCAAGAACTCAACACGAACCCCACAAGGTTGCAGAACCAGGACATCCGTTCGCTGCAAACCAGCAGCAATGAGGCTTCCGGTCAAGACTCGGTTTCCCCAGAGCCACTGTCGGAGCCATTGATGCCGCCCCCGGCTCTACCTGCCCCACGGGTGTCTCCCGCCATTACCCCTCACTCTTCTTCTCCCGGCGGCGCTGCCACCCCTGCGCTGCTAATGCGCATCCAGCGGACCCAGCATTCGCAGGACCCCTCCGGTCAGTTCCGCGGCCAGGCCCAGCTTGCGCAATCCGATTTCCCAGATGAAATCATGGAGGATATCTCTCTTCCAGAGGCGGCTGCACCGCAGCAGCAGCGCCCAAAACCTAACCGCATCGATACCGCCATACGAACCCCGTCAATCTCCACCAATGGAACACCGTTGTTGGCCCCTTCGCCTGCAGCGTACGACCAACCCCACAGTGCCTCCATTGCCCCCAGTCCACGCACAGCCGCGATGCCATCTCCCAGCGGGCCGGTTCCTCGGAGATCCGAGTCCAGAGCCGCGTCTAATCGGAAACGAGGCAGCCTGAGTTCTACACATGCTAGCCCGCAGCTGCGACCTAAGATCAGTCCCAGCATTCAGCCACTCATGAAAGGTAGCGAGGGTGAGCAATCCCCACTCCAGTTTCTAGGCCCTATACTAACCCTATTCCAGGCTTGTCTCAAGATGCTCTTCACCTGGCATCCAAATCCAACTATCAACATATCCTCGACGGCACTCTTCCATCTGGTGTCAGCTATCCGGAGGCATTGGCCGAGAACCTCAGCTCAAAACGCACGAACCACAAGCTCGCGGAGCAGGGCCGCCGCAACCGAATCAATAACGCGCTCAAAGAGATTGAGCAGCTCATTCCGCAGGAGTTCATCGATGCCCGAAATGCTAAAGAAGTCGCGGAAGGTGGAGCAAAGATCAGCGAGAAGGAAAAGGAGAAAGAGAAGGCCAACCAGACAATCAGCAAAGCCACTGCCGTGGAGATGGCCATTGATTACATCAAGGCGCTGAAGACGAGCCTGGACGCGACTACTGCTAAGTTGGCTGTGGCTGAGTCCCGGCTGTCGGGCGAGAAGGAGCCATCCAAAGAGGACTCTACTCCTACTTCTACCAAGCCTCAAGAGGCCAACGGTGTCGCCAGTACGGACACTACAAGCTCGACATGATCAGACTGTATTCTCTTTTAATTTGCAATTTCTTTGCCATGGTTACAAAGTTCTATGGGAACTAAAATGGGTATTCCCGGGTGGATGTTTGCGCAAATGTGCTACGATCTATTCATGTGATTTGATAGCGTCGGTGTTTTGATATACGGAGTGGCTTGGTTTTGCTCTAGCTTTCTTTCTAATCTTTCTGTATGTAAATAGATTTTGCATATTCTTATGATAATGCTTCGATGTAGTTGCATGATGCTATGCGAGCCTTGTGTTATGTGTATGCAGTATGAGACTCGACCTCGAGTCTATCCTCAAAATCTACATATCCATCGCATGCTTCCATTGGCAGGGAACGTATACAAGAATAGATATCTTTGATTCTTTGACTAGTATATTCCAACACAATGGGATTCTCAAAGAACTTGAACTCACAATGCTCCAAACAAAGATTCGAAAGAAAAATGCCTGAAATCAAAGACCTTGTTCTCGGTCAAAGACAACCTACCCAGCACACCCCATCTCGCAGTATTTAAGCACCTCGAAGCCCCGAGTCAGCCAAGAGTCCAAACAAGAGCATCCTCATACCAGCATCCACAGCCCTATCCAAAAACCAGGCCAGTCAAAAAACCCCACCACTAACACCAGCACAATGCCCACCCGAACCGTCTTCCTCAACGCCCAAACCATGGAGCCCGTCTACGCACCAGACTCCCCGATACCAGGCCGAAAATGGTACACGGTGCGCTTTCTCCCCGACGAATCGCACTTCACCGACGACGAACTAATCAACCTGTCCATCCAGCGGCTGCGCACAGGAGCATACCATGTCGAGGACCAGCCCCTGGCCCAGCTTCGCGGGATGCACATCTCGTATCCGGTCATGGACAGCCCTAGGCTCAGTGGTGTGGAAGTGGCGATTGCTAGTGCGCGGAATTGGCTCGAGGAACTCCTCGATGGGCGCGCTATTATTGACTTGGAGTATATTTTTGCGTTTGCGAATAGACCGGCGCCTTTGCGGGCTAGGTATATCAATATGTAGATATTTCGTAGGTGGGTTTGGAATGATGGGTTGGGTTGCTTTTTGTGATATGTTGGTGTAGATTTGTGCATCTAGAGTTGAGGAAGTATAGCAATTGAGATAAGGTTATCACCTAGCAATGTGTCTGTATGTCATAGAAAATTAGTGGCATGGTTGTATTTTGTAATTAATCACAGATTCTACTGACTGCTTTATGGTTTAGAGATGATAGGTAGATCCCTAACCACTTTTCCAAAAGCCCTTGGAGAAGATGTTCCATCAAGATCCCTAGGCGACCTAGAGATGTCTATTAACTTAGACCCCAAGTCAAAACCAACGCCATTGTCTATATATAGGAAGGTAATATCAGGATTAAGTCATTAATATAGCGCGTTAAGCAACTCCTTTGTTGTGTTCTTTATTCGAGTTACGGATTGCATTGGACTAAAGGCTTTCTTTAGTGCGTTGGATACGGCCATTGACGCTATAACGCCAGAGGCTCGAACAAAAGGCTCGCATAATGGACCCAAACAAAAGAACTGTCGCAATCGAGCTCAAAGTATCACAAGTGAAAGTACTGCGAATCTATTCCTACCGAGTTTTGAAATGGCCCTCAATCCCAAGTTCAGTTCATCCACCGCAGGACTACACACCATAGCGAGCACATATTATTATCCCGAGCCACCCATTTACCTCTATAACAATCAGCAAGATGCCACGTCAGACCAAGAAAGGGAAGCCACAAAGTCATCAAGGCAATTATATCTCGGTATAACTTGCGCCTACCTCGACGCGAACAAGTTCATCTAAGATTATACCTTATACCTCGCCTCTTAGAGTGGTCAGTGAAAAAACAGAGGAGCTCCGCACTCGTCTCTGGTCAATTCGTTGTGTCCCTCTGGTGAGGTTCCGCGAACGTTCTTAACGTTGACCCCAACCCCGGGAGTGAGACGAGGTCCTTTGCTTTTGGATTGGCTGAGAGTCCACGTCATCTTCAATACTCCGAGTGGTCAAAGACGGGATACTTCTAACTGGAAGAAAACTCTATGTGCCTAATGAAGTCACTTCTCATCGTCGGCAAGAGGACAGGCCAGATGAGCGGTAACGATACCAGCAAGCTTCTAGAGTGAGCCTGGTGAACACCAATCAAAGCCGCCGATTTTGAAAGTGAATAAGAAGAGAACTCGAACTTGTCGTCATTGCAAGAAATGAGGCCACATTGTGGCCAACTGAACTTCTGTTTTCGCCATCCCAGACATGGCTAGCATTGCCATTACAAGGTATGTACATGATCTTCGTAAATTCTGCCCGCTCAATGGCTAATAGATTCAAATTAAAAGAAAGAGACCCGTTCTAGCCACTACTGCAAGAAGAGGGGCCATCAAATGGCCCAGTGCCCGACGGTCATCGCCATTGCAGTATGCACTCCAAACCCCCCGAAATCCTAGAATTATGCTGACCTGACACTCCAGAACGGCACGCTGGGGATATTTGCGGCTCAGGTGAACATAAATCCAGTATGCTTTTACTGACGTATGGACTGGCTTCCTGCCTGCGAGATGAAAGTGATCCCAGTCTCGATCAGCCACTTCTTAGATCCAATTGATGAGAGCCTCACTTCTTCCTCATGTCCAGTTTGAATATGATTTTCACTCCCAATCACTTGGATCGCTTTTGCTCAAACCGCGGAGGGTCGAGGATCCAGAGATAGTGTGTAGCTGTCTTGGTGCAGAGGTATCAAGACTGGGGTTTCAACCTTCTCAGATCTGGTGGTCCGAGAGGGGGAGCTTTGAGGCTGATAGCTTCACGTCAATACGGCTGCAGGATAGTTGTCGAGGCCTAAACTGGGACGGCTAGATCACTCCAGGTCGCAGACAAAGGTCGCAGCGAAACGAAATCCACACTGGGGAAGCATGGTCCTTGACTACGAACTGATCCTCCGTGAGTAATCACGCCACAAGGTAATTCATCCGTTCAATTGTCGTGAATTTGAGATATGCAGAATGCTAATTGATGTTTAATAGCCGTTTTGAACGCATAGTTCAATATTCCCTAAATTGCTTCAGAATCTATCTTTGTCTACAATTCTGACAACGGCCTCTTTTCTCATATCCGCAGGTGGCTAGTTTTTCCTCTCTTCGTGCAGAAATAGATTCATTGTTCTATCAATCTCATCCTCTTCGTCCCATTTCCCTGTGAATCTGCGTTAGTCCATTCAAGATACGTCTCGTTCTGCAGTTTATCATGAGGAATTCAGGGTCGTGGTACCCTAGTAGCTTCCCCCAAACCCATGGTGGTTCATCTTTCGATATTTTCTAAGATCAATCTATTCGAATCCATATAATTTATGGTGACTCGTATATGCGGTGATGTTGAGTAATTCACCAAAGCCAAGTCTTGAGCCTAAACGGCTTGAATGGGTATATCATGAATATAGGACATTGGTTCCGGCTCACAATCTCCCAGGGGATTGCATTATAGCCTGCAAAGTTAGCCTGATTATTTATATAGATCTAGCGTACACAGTATCTAGATAGTCTGAAAATGCTGATACAAGTCTTAATCCTTCCCTTTTGCTGTCTGTACCACAGACCCGTCAAGCTCCTGTGGCCCCCATCCAGCTAACTCGGCATACTGATGATGATCCGCTAACTCTTGCCGCCGGCCATCACCTGGCAACTCAGCTTGATAACCCTTTTCGTCACCTGGTAACTCAACTTGATGACCCTTTCCGTCGCCTGGTAACTCAACTTTTTGACTGCTTGCTAGCTCCTGCGACCAGCCAGCACCTGCTACCTCGGACTGCGGACTCAAGGCATAGTCCTGTGGGTTGTTATTGTCCGCTCCCATCCTTTCGCCTGTGGTATCAATCTGAGGAACATTCTTTTGCTTCCGACGTCGAAGACACCAGAAGACTAGAATGCAGATTATGATTATCCCGCCCACAGCAACGCCAGCACCAATCCCCGCCTTGGCCCCAGTGCTCAGACCACTGGTTTTGTGTGTGTCGCGAATGTTCAACCCATATATTGAGTCTGCCGTCACAGCGAGGTTTTGCGCACTTTGTACCGTGGTCGTGAGCATTGTGATTGTGGTGTGTGTGGATCCTCCCGTTGTTTCGTGTGTCTCGGCGGCGTAAGTGAGTGTAGCTGCATCTGAGACTGTCGACAAACATCCAAAGCCGCCGCTTAACCAAAAGGCATCACCGTCATCACCAAGGCTGTATGACACCCCATAATCGCTAAATCAGTGCCCGGTCAGCAAACTTCTACTTTTAGGTCTATATTTGCCCTCTATACGCCAGAGCTCAGAAAGACTTGCGCAGCACTTACGAGGGGCAGCATGCAGTCCATGTGGTAGAGGCCGTGACAGAGGTAGTAGCCACTTGCCATCCCCCGGGACAGGCAAAAGGGGCCAGGACCTCGACTGTCTTGAGACTATTCGCTGGGGTCCCCGCAATCAGGTCATCGACTGTGCTGGATTCAAATTGGAGATAGGAGATGTATTCCGTGGGATAGCAGGTTGTGCTGAGGTTATGGGATAGCTGAAAGAGCCCAGACCAGGCGTTGATCTCATAAGACGCCGAGGAGTTGGAACCGCCCGCGCTGTTGCCCACATAGAAACTGGAACACGCCTGGGGAGCCGTGAACGGCGTTACCATGGGGATGAACGACAGTGTAGTGCCATTTGTGGTCATTGGCGCGTATGTGGTTGTTGGCGCAGCCGTGGACGACATAATTATTGATTATGGGAGAGGCACCCTGGGCCCTATGGGATGGTCAGGGGATAGAGACAGTGAGAGAAACCCGAGGTCCAGATGTAGAGATTCAGAAGAAAAGTGGAAAACGACCAAATCAAATCAAATGGACTAAGCTAAAGCTCGAGCACTTATCGAATCTCCACTGCGGATGTCTGTGGAAATGATCATCGAATCAGTCCAATGGCTGTCAATACTGGAGTTGGGGGCCAAATTACCCGAATCTAATTTGTGTTTCACGTACAATATTGTACAAGGGGGTCAGAGAAGCTTTCCTACACTGTCACCTGCATATTCGTATGCATGTTGTATGCGTACACTGGTATACTATATCGATTCTAGTGTTTGGTCAGTCTCAGTTGAGTCCAGTCCTACTTGGATCATATGATCTCTTTTGCAAGGGTCTACCTATAGTTATATATATATTCTTGGGTTTAGTACGTATTACGCCCGGTAAGTCGAGCGACACTGTTGTATCATTTGGTGGCGGCTTCTAGGCGCCATATACTCCGTATGATGTATGAATATCGTTATCAGTTTTCCCCGGGGTTCCCAGTCCCCTTCAATCACAAATATATGTGCCGCAGCCAGGGGTCCGGGTTCTACAGCAAAGCAGGCCTGCTTTGCTGTAAAATCCAGAAGCGTCTAGCAGGGCAGCAAGGACACAGGCGCAGCATCTCTCAGTCAGTCTGTCAATTACTACGAAGACGTGCTTCGCCAAAGTGTCATATACATATTGCGGTGTTACGTGGCATTTCTGACTAGCAGAGACGGCACATAGAGCTAGGAACTAGCGGGGCGGATGGTGGAGTCATCCAAAACAAAGATCCAAAAGTCGAGTAAGCGGACATTCTAGATCAATAGAATCAGGTTGCAAAAGAGAATGATAGAGTGGCCGGCGACTGAGCAACCTCTTATTAGCCCGGTCAACCTAGTCCGTCGCAGATCAACAAAATTGAATATGAATGAGAAACGGCCGCGCATTGGGCGGCCAATTCTCGCTTACCGGGTAGTGCATAGTCGGTCTTGTTTCGACCCACGGGCTTCATTTCACAACTCCTGGGCGTGTGACTCAGTGGTAGAGTGTTCGCTGTTAGTAATCACCAATTTCATGTCTCGTTAATTCATCACTAACTCAGTCTTCAGTTGCATGCGAAAAGTCCGGTGTTCGATCCACCGCTCGTCCAATCATTTTTTGAAGTTTTTTTGCATGTAAAATTTTGGATTGTGTGGCGGTTTCAGAGGATTAACCATTCCGAAAATCATGTTACTAGCTAGTTCCTTCTCTTCCTATTCTCCTTCCTGAATTTCTATGTCTTTGACGTTCTTGAACATGTTCCAGCCCCATGAAGTCCGCCCATCCGCCGAATATAATTTCCTACTTGCGCTTATCAAAGCCGATTATTGTAAATATTCATTAAGAACTTGCTAGAACCCATCCAACAACACGCAAAACTATTCAAACATGGCTGATTATATTGAGTCTAAAAATGTTGAAGTGATACAGATGCAACCGGGGAGCGGATCTCGGCGGCGGAAAGGGGCCGCCCGCCGAAGCCCTAAATCATCATGCACTTCACGCAGCGGTCGCACCATTTAAGCATACAACCAATACAAAGCTGAGAGTACCTACCAGTGCTTATAGGGGTATGGACTATACATATTATAGGAGAGTAAGGACACTAGAGAGTAGGGACACGCTGGAGAGCCAACGGCGGAAGAGCAATGCGCGCGACACCACTCTCGATGTCGCAGGTAAATTCGGGGTTTCCTTTCTGTCATTTCCAGTATATCCGTGCGCCCATTAAGGAAACAACTAGAGTATTCTTGATCACCGGATGTACACCCTTACCGTTCAAAAATTCCGGTGCTATCAGGAATGCCACGCCCTAGAACTTCTCACGTTTACAATTCGGGGATTATATTCCCTATGCTCGTCTACGGTGCATAGCGGCCAGGGGTCAGATTGAAATATTTTTGGGATTGCTGCTTTAAGATGCCCGACTTTGACAGAGACGATGGTAAAATGAGGTATGAAAAGAGGTATGAAAAGAGGTATGAAAAGAGGTATGAAAAGAGGTATGAAAAGAGGTATGAAAAGAGGTATGAAAAGAGATATAAGAGATTATAATTTTGATATTGTTTACAGTACGCCGTATGGAGCGGTGCAAAAAGCGGCCAAAAGCAGACATATCTTCAAGCAGCAATCTTAGAAATAATTCAATCCGACCCCTGGCCGCTATGCACATTCGCACTCGTCAATTTCTATTATGTATCAAGTCGTCCTATCGTGGAGGTACATAATATGTGATACAGCAAGCATGACACTCGCAAGAAGTAGATATTGGTCGACTAGCTGATCTTTGTTTCATCTTGGTGAGGGTTCTCGCGTCCAAAACTCCCAGCCTTCCCGATTGTCTTGCACTCCCACCCCAACTAGCTGGTTGATACCTTGAACGCCGTCAGCATTCTCAAACAGCTTCTGATCAATCTCATCGTAAGCCTTTCCATCAGTGCCATTTCGGAATACGGCAGGCCAAAGTACCCCAACTCCGTCGGCACCGAGGATAGTCTCATATGTTTCGAATCCTTCTACAGTAAACTTCCGCTCAAGCTCTTCAATAGTTTGGTCTTCGATGTCTGGCCGGAAAAGCGTCATAGCACATCCACCACCCCCAGCACCGGTCAGTTTTGTCCAACCAATATTCGCGTAATCCACGAGCTCGCGAATACGCTCTAGACTAGGATGAGAGACTCCTAATGAAACCAGCAGCCCATGGTTCATGCCAATCAATGTTCCCCAGTGTCCGAGAGCATCAGGGTTGCCGCTACCAGAGAGATCAGGCGATGATATTAGCTCCAGTGCAGAAGTTGCAATTTTGCCAATTCCGTCTAAGATTATCTCTGTTATTTCGGGGTGGTTGGTTTTAAGTGTTTTCACCTTTTCTAGCTGTCTTGCAGTGGATCGTTCTTGTTGAGTGTCCACGAGAAGGAGTGGTAGTTTCGGGAACAGGGTAAGTGGAATGACGCATGGTGGTCCAGAGGCGTTTCTTTGGAACATCACAGCCTTTCCACTCGCCGAAACCGTATTATCTACCCCACTAGGGTCTCCATGTATACATAACTCGCCCACGAATGCCCAGCGATTGATGTGCTCAATTTGCATCTCTGCTTCCTTAAGGGGCTGATCAGGATGGGGTCCAGCAAGGGCCCGTATCTGGAGAAGCAGGGCTGCGCTTAAGCACACGCAAACACTGGCACTGCTGCCTAGACCGGCACCGATGGGGATGGTAGATCGAAGGGTGTAGATGAACCCAGGACTTTTCGAGGAGCCTAGGGAGAGGAAGAGGTAGAGGAAGGCAGTCGCAGACTTGATGTGGATTTTTCGTTGCTTCTCTGGAAGGTGCTTCGACACGGCCTCTGCATGTGGCATGATAGCTTCCAGAAATTGGGAGTCGAGGGAGTCGACAACAGAGTAATAGGACCTTTTTTTGGAAGGTTGCTGGAAGACATTCCATGGCAGAGTGTCGATTTCCCAAGTATGGTTTAAACCAATGTCCCTGAAATTCAGTTGGACGGTACGTCGAGATTTGGAGAGGGTAGTGACGAGGAGATATGATCGGAGAGAGATAGCTGCGGCAATAGCGGGCTTACCATACACTGCGGCGTGTTCACCGAAGACAATGGCTTTTCCTGGTGCGGACACCATGAAGGTGGGTGCCATTGGCGATGAGAGCTTTCTCCCCATGTGGACTGAATTGCAGAACTTGGCTGCTAGTGTTTGTTGATTTGTTGGTGTTGACATCTCCAGGGCTCACGGAGGGGTTTACTTTTTCTGGTTCTACACCGCATCGTGTCACTATTGCTCACCAATCACGAGCGTTTGCTTTCAAGGTTTATTTCCCTTCTATTAGGGCTAGCTGGAAGTGATAGAGGTAATCGACAAGGTGACACCACAGAACGAACCATTGCTATAATACATAAAAACCGGCAGTTTTGCCGAGAACTCGCAGCTGGAGGGAGTACACATATTTACTTAGGGGTATGGGGAAGCTTTCTGTGGAATTTCTGCCTTACGCTCTCTTGGCTTACGGTTCTTTTTTGAATTTTGGGCAGTACAATCAAGCATGTAAAAAATACAGTGGTAAATAGGGCATGTAGTTCACTTGAAAGAACACCCGTAACCCGATCTCTATATCGCATGCCATCGCAAGAAGAGATCGTCTAGCTAGCACTTGGACAAGCTTTGAAATTCTTCCACCAGTGGCGCGTTCGCCTGGACGATGTAGACCTATCATCGTGAGCAACCGTCTAGAGGGGCATATCTAACACACCAGCAATACCATATCTGTCTAGATCTGAACCTACCTAGGTATCTTCGAGTCTTAAATATCTAGTCTAGAATCAGCTTATATGGAAGCTTTCATTCATGATATACAGTTCATACGATAGTACGCTTGATGATCTTGGCCTACGATTACTATGTGGATCAAATAGAGAAAGAATTGCTCTCATTGTAGAACACCTAAATAATAAAAAACACAGAGGGTCATATCCCGTTTCCCATTTCCCGTTAGACTTTAAAAATTAGCAAGAGCGAAAGAGTTTGAGCACGTTAATCTAGTCAACCTCCTCCATGGTGCTCTCGCCGGTAGCCTCGGCAGGAGCAACAGCCTCGGTCTTCTCCTCGGAGGTGGTGTCCTCGTCGATGTTGAGGCCGAGGGAGACGAGCTTGTGGATGCGCTCGGAGAAGCTGGCGGGCTCCTCGATGGTGAATCCAGAGACGAGAAGGGAGGTCTCGAAGAGCAGCTGGGTGATGGACTTGACGGTGCGATCGTTCTCGCCGTCAGCCTCGACCTTCTTCTTGAGCTCCTTGATGATGGGAGACTTGGGAGAGATCTCGAAAGTCTTCTTGGAGGACATGTAGGAGGACATGGAGGTGTCACGGAGGGCCTGGGCCTTCATGATACGCTCCATGTTGGCGGACCAACCGAACTGGCCGGTACGGATGGCGCAGGGGGAGCCGACAAGCTTGTGGGAGACGACGACCTTCTCGACCTTGTCGCCGAGAACGTTCTTGAGGGCCTTGGCGAGCTCCTCGTACTCCTTCTCCTCAGCCTCACGCTCGGCCTTCTCCTCATCAGTCTCCTCGAGCTCGAAGTCCTTGGTGATGTCGACGAGCTTCTTGCCGTCGTACTCCTTCAGCTGAGTGAAGGCGTACTCATCAATGGGGTCAACGAGGAACAGAACCTCGAAGTTCTTCTGCTTGAGGGTGTCCAAGAAGGGAGAGTTGGCAACAGCCTTGATAGACTCGCCGGTGATGTAGTACATGTTCTTCTGGTGCTCGGGCATGCGAGTGATGTAGTCGGCGAGGGAGGTGGCCTCGTCACCAGACTTGGTGGACTGGTAGCGGAGGAGCTTGGCCAGAGTGGGGCGGTTCTGGGCGTCCTCGTGGATACCGAGCTTGATGTTCTTGCTGAAGGCCTGGTAGAACTTGTCGAACTGCTCACGGTCCTCGGAGATCTCAACGAAGAGCTCAAGGGTCTTCTTGACGATGTTCTTCTTGATGACCTTCATGATCTTGTTCTGCTGGAGGGTCTCACGGGACAGGTTGAGGGGCAGGTCCTCGGAGTCGACGACACCCTTGACGAAGCTGAGCCACTCGGGGATGAGGTCGGTAGCATCGTCGGTGATGAAGACACGGCGAACGTAGAGCTTGATGTTGTTCTTGGTCTTCTTGGTCTCGAAGAGGTCGAAGGGAGCGCGCTTGGGGACGAAGAGAATGGCGCGGAACTCGAGCTGACCCTCAACGGAGAAGTGCTTGACACCGAGGTGGTCCTCCCAGTCGTTGGAGAGAGACTTGTAGAAGGAGGCGTACTCCTCAGTGGTGATGTCGGTGGGGTTGCGAGTCCAGATGGGCTTGGTCTTGTTAAGCTCCTCCTCTTCGATCTTGGACTCCTTGACGGTCTTGGTCTTCTTCTTCTTCTCCTCCTCCTCGTCATCGACCTCCTCGACCTTGGGCTTCTTCTCCTCATCTTCCTCCTCCTTGGTCTCAGCCTCCTCATCGGGGACCTCAGTCTCGGTCTCCTTCAGGACGTGGAGGTAGATGGGGTAGGAGATGAACTCGGAGTGCTTCTTGACGACCTCCTTGATACGGGCCTCGTTGAGGTAGTCCATCTGCTCATCCTTCAGGTGGAGGATGATCTTGGAACCACGGCCGAGCTGCTCACCCTCGGTGTCCTCCTTCAAGGTGAAGGTACCGCCGGCAGCGGACTCCCAGATGTACTGCTCGTCATCGTTGTGCTTGGAGACAAAGGTGACACGGTCAGCGACCAGGTAGGCAGAGTAGAAACCGACACCGAACTGGCCGATCATGGAGATATCAGCGCCAGCGGAGAGGGCCTCCATGAACTGCTTGGTGCCGGAGCGGGCAATTGTACCAAGGTTGTTAATGAGATCCTAGAACAGATGAACATTAGCTATCATGATCAAAGGAAGATAAAAAGGATCAAGTAAACTCAAGTGAGAAGACTTTTCTGAAGTGAAACTTACAGCCTTGGTCATACCAATACCGGTATCACGGATGGTGAGGGTCTTGTTCACCAAGTCGGGAATGATGTCGATGCGCAGATCCTTGTTTGAGTCGAGCTTGGAGGGGTCGGAGAGAGCCTCGTAGCGGATCTTGTCGAGGGCATCGGAAGCGTTGGAGATCAACTCACGAAGGAAAATTTCCTTGTTGGAGTAGACAGTGTTAATGATCAGCGAGAGCAGCTGAGAGATCTCAGCCTGGAACTCGAAGGTCTCAGACATGATTGCGGTTTTTAATTCTGATAAGAGAGATGGGTTAGATGGATGGAATTCAAGCAATTGAGAAGACAGAAGTTGGATGTAGATGGAGGAAGTTGATATAGCGGTGGGGGAGAAGTGGGAGAAGAGGGAATTGATAGGTTGAATAGATGGGATACTCACAAGAATCGTTAAAGAGAAAGAAACAAATATTAAGAGAAGCTTTGGGGGGGAGAAGCCAAAGCAGAGAGATAGATGAAAAAACGAAGAGAGAGAGAGAGGCGGGCCAGTCTTTGGTTTTTGTGTTTCCAAAATTTCTGGTGGAGAGTTTCTACGGTGATCCAGCAACTTCCACCTTGTCGGTCAGGCAACCTCTCCTGCAGAGTTCTAGAGTCTTCTGGAGGCAATTCCTCTATATCATTGGATGTATTTTTATGTATATTTTTATATGCTTCTATACACACAGTATGTTATTTCTGTTTTGATTAACCTTTGAATTGCCCCGGACTTTTCCTTAATTCTGGAGGAGATCCTGGGTGGATGCCTGAGGCATCAGGCTCTCTAGAATCTTCCCCGGACTGAGTCATCTTCTATCAAGGTCTACGGGTAACTACCTACAACATATATACATACATGTACACATGTACACAATAGGAGAGCAGTGATGCATATCAATCAGTTCTAATTCCATATTGGGTAGGATACAAGGTTCCCTCATTTACAAGTCAAAAGTAGCAATGTCCTCATAGTCAAAAGAAATAAGAAAAAAAAAGGGAGCAAAATACAAGAAAGACCGGGATGGCGCACCACCGTAAAACCCTGAAGTTTGCTATGCTAGTAAAAGAACAAAAAAAAGATGCGATATAAGTCTTGCAACATAAAAAGACGAACAAATCATGGCAAAAGACACAGAAAGAAATGAATATGGTGCAAAGGGGATTCGAGCAGTCAAGAAAAACCACCCGAATCCAAAAAGAAAGAATCGAAAGAGAAGAAGAAAAAAAGGTTCAGGTTAAAACATAAGTGCCCAGAGGGAAGGAAAGAGACGCAACTTTTTCCAGCCAACCCGGACCAACCGCTAATATGCACTGTGACGGGAAAAAAGGGGAGGCAATAGTCACGTAACACATGTCATTAGGAAGAGACGGGGCAAAAGAAAAGATGGAATCAAAATCGGAGTAATACAGATCCTGGCAAGGTCATCCGCTGGGAAGTCATATACGGGCTATATAACTTGAGACCGGCGTGAGAAGAAGAACGTAGAGGATCATCAAGATCACGTTGAAATTTATGCGGCCTGGGCCTGGGTGCTGCGGCCCTTGGCCGCAACGTTGCCACCACGGCCACGAGGAGTGAAGCTACCACGGCCCTCACGCTGGAAACCACCACGGCCCTGGCTACCGGTGCGGTCACCACGGCCACGGCCACCAGCACCACCAGCACCACCACGACCGGCAGGGAAGCCGTTGCTGCCGTAGGCGTTGCCGCGGGGGCGGCGCTCTTCAACGAGGATCTGCTCGCTGCCAATCTGGTGGGGGTTGGCGGCAACAGCAGCAGCGTAGCCGGCGGGCTCGTTGAATTCAACAAAGGCGCAGTTCTGTAAGGGTTATTAGTATCGAATTGAGAAACAAGGAATTGAGAGAAAGAAACATACCTTGGGGCGGCTGACATCGAAGTACTTGAGCTTGCCGAAACGAGACAAGACGTTCTTGAGCAGACTGGCATCGACCTTTTCGTTGACGTTCTTGATATAAGCAAGGACAGTCTCCTCACCAGCGCGGGGCTGCGACTTCTTGTGGTCGGAGCCAGCGGTCTGCCATCCGGCATCGGTGGAGCCCTCTGGGGAACGAACAGCTTCGGGAGCGGGGGTGGCAGCGGCGGGCTGAGTGGCTGGGGCATTTTGAGCAGCGGAAGAAGCTGCCTTAGGAACAGGAGCAGCAGCAGCAGCAGGGGCGGCGGCGGCGGCAGCAGCCTTGGAAGCAGCAGCAGCCTTGGCAGCGAAAGAGTTAGTGGCAATGCTGGCCCAGGTCTTGGGAACAGCGGGGGTAGGAGCAGCCTCCTTCTCAGGGACCGCCTCCTCCTGCTCGACAGCGGGAGAGGGCTCAGGAGTGGCTGTCTCCTCCTCGTTCACAACTTCAACAGGGACGGCGGGAGCAGCGGCGACAGGAGTCTCCTCCTCGGCGGGGGTGCCGTTGGTCTGGGGAGCAATTTCCTTGGACTCCTCAACCTCTCCGTTGGCCTCAACCTCCTCGAGCTTCTCGTCAACCTTAGGGACGGCGGCTTCATCAGCGACCTGGGCTTCCTCAGCAGGAACAGCGGGGACCTCGGCGATAGCCTCGGGGGCTTCGACGGCAGGCGCGGCGGGGGTAGGCTCCTCCTCGGTCTCCTCGACCAAGTAACGGAAGATGTCGTTGAGCACATAGTAGCCGTTGGGCTGCTCGGCGAGGACAAAGGTCTGCACGAACTTGCGGGAGGGCTCGGAGTTGTTGGAGATTTCACCAATAACAGAGACCAGAATGTTGTCGAAAGAGGCCTGAGAGTCGACGTTCAGGACGCGCACCTTGCACTCCTGGAACTTCAACTCCTTGATCTTCTCACTGATAGACTACAATTGTGGGGAACATGGTTAGTCAACATTCGTCATTGGAAGTTCGAATCCAACCAACCTTGGTACCGATGATAACGGGGACCGGCTCGGCCTCAGTGCCGACGACCAGCTGGGACCGACGGGAGTAGAAGAGGTGGAGCTTGTCAGGATTACGGCTCATGGTGGTATAGTACTGCTCGACGAAGTACCAGCCCACTTCATCCTTGGAGATATCATTCTTCTGCTGGTCGGTTGGAGTGACAGTAGTAGGAGTGGAAGACTGAGCAGGCTGGAAGCTGGCAGCAGTGTTCATGGTGACAGAAGCGTGGTTGTAAGACTCGGGGTAGCCGTGCTGGGCAGGGTAGTTGCCATTGATGGGAACTTGGTTCATGTCGGCCATTGTGTAGGATTGAGGGGTTTTAGCGGGTTCGGGTGGAAAATGAGATTAAGAGTAACCGAGCGCGGCGGAAATGATGGATGGGACTATAAGGGCCGAAAAAGGGCTTTTTGAACGGTGGGGGCAGACGACAATGGGACTAAGAAATGAAGTTCTTTTTCCCCTCGCTTCACTGGATGTTCATTAGCAATCTGCTTTCACACGATGGGTGATTGAAAAGTGGACATGTGGAGATCGGGACTCACAATGCGAAATGGACCAAGCACCAATGCAATCAATTGAAGAGAATAGAAAGACTAGGAAGGAAATAATAGAGAAAAGGGCAAAAAAAAATGGAGGACCAAAAAAAGGGCGCTTTAGATTGCGGATAGCGTTGGAAGTATAGCTGAGGTGAGGATCAAAAGACTCTGCTCTGATCGGATATGGAGAGGCTTGGGAAAAATGAAGAAGGTCGAGAAAATGTGGGTCTTGAATATTGGGGGACTGGAATGGAGGAATCGGGGGCAAAAAAAAAGAAGTCGAAGAGATGGAAATGAAGCTGTGGGAAATTCGCCTTCGAAGAAAAAGTGACTTCCTTCTTTGACGGGTTTCGCGTGGGTTGGCGGTCTACACCGGCAGAATCATGTCAAATATAAGCTTGGAGTAATCTATTTATTGTATACGGAGTATATATATGTAGTATGTAAGAACCCTTTGAAGATTTAAAAGACTATCAGTTAGTGTGTCGATGGTATGATACTACATGCAATTTAATTGAAAAGTGTATGATTTGCAGAAGTCAAGACTTCTATCTCCACATTGAGTCTACAATCGTCTTCTACTAGTAGGTTGATGATCCACCACATAACTAACTACTGTGTGATATTGTCTTGGAAAATACAAATAACGTGGAGAAAATACCAACCCGGTTCAAAGCCCCATATATGAAGCTCATTATCTGTAGAGCATCCAAAATATATCAGATTGTGTCATAAAAACTAAACAGACCTCCAAAGGACAACACCCAATAGAGGCCGCCCTTTCAGACTTCCTCTCAATTGTAAGTTCTAAACAAGGCGGAAGAAAGCTTTGAAACAGAGCATCCTACTGACCAATCCTCCCAATGGACATTCCCAAACCCAACAGCATCCAGGCCCAAAGATCAATGATTAAATCCGTAAAATCAAAAACGTGCGGACGTGAAAAATGTAAAAGGTCTCATGATGATTCGACGTATGTGACAGAGAATAAAGATCCAAAAAAGCACAAAACACAGATCCATAGTAAAAGAAAGAATTAATAGCGCATCTCAAGTCAAAACGCCGCAAACTGATCCGAAAAAAAGAAAGAAGGGTATGATAGGACGTGAAAAGGTGCTCGGTAAAAACGACAGCAATCATGAGAGCCGTGACGACCCGGATGGCATAATGAAAAAAAAAACACAGAGTAGAATAGTGGGCGATAGACGGTCACGCAGACGTATAGCGGGATCAGTGAAGATATTTTTCTTAATTTTCACATTCAAGGCGAAACAGTGGCCTCGGACTTCTCGGAGAGAGGCTTGCGCATGACAGCGTCCTGGCCAGTCATCCTGCGACCCAGAGCGCGCTCGACCTTTGCGCCGAGAGCGAGCTTGTTCAGGTTGTCGGACTTTTCAGCGGTGGGCACGAATCGCTGCTTGGTGAGGGGCTTGTTCTCTAGGCGCTCGAAGCCTTCGTGGAGGTGGGAGATGTCGGCGATTCTGGGGTCACCGCTGGGAAGACTGCTGTTTGTACGATCGGAGGCTGCAAGCGAAGGGCTACCGCTGATGGTAGAGAAGCGCTTTGAGTTTCGGTTCTGCGGGAGCGTTAGACTTGAAGAATGTGAATACCCCGGAGAAGGGAAATCGTACCGAGTGAGCCATGATGGGACGCTCAGAATCAAGAGAAGTTTGACGGGCCATTTTGTGATAGGCGATGTGGTTTAAGGGGAGAAGTCTGCGCTGGAGGGAGGGGCAGAGTTTCAAATGGGTGGAAGACCTGGAAAATTGACTTGTTAGGAAGGGGTCTAGCGCCTGACGATCAGAGTTGAGGATACACACAATTCTCCTATTATTGTTCCAAGAGGAGCAAAATAGTAAAAGTAGAAAAGCAATTAGAGTCAGGAGGAAGAGACGAAACAGTGGGTCGTATGCTTGACAGTGGAGATAATGAGAAAGGGGCTTCGGGTGGAAGGGGGTTTTTGTTTCTTAAAGGATCGACCTATAATCGGTAAAGTCTTGTAAAGTGTTAAAGTAGTGCCTAAATCAGTAGGAGAAAATGATTCATCCAATACCTTAATACTCTAACAAGCTAATACAATATTGTATAATACAAGAAAACCGAGGTCTGATGTCAACACTATGGGTTGCCACCTTATATCGCCACGTGCCGCCACGCGGTATCTCGGTACTTTCTTTTCGACTTTATACTTAATTTCCACTCTCCCCGCATAGCTGGCTATAGCTATGTTAGAATATCGTAAGTGAAATCCTAACACAATGTCTGATTTCGATTCGTTTACGTAGATCTGGAGACATATACAATATTGTACGTATCATATATCGGCAAGGGGAAGAATATACCTACCTGGGTACCTGGACTTATTTACACAAGACATATCGGCAACACAACATCCTGCACCCCTTTGCAAAACATTGTCACGTTTCAGAATTGAAATAGGGCTTACAATACTACCTCCCCAGTCTTGAGAAGTCTTGGCGTACTGTTTAAAGATTGGTTAAACTAGTTACTCCGTACTCACTAACCATATATCACACAATCAACTAATGTATACTCCAATTTTGGAAATGAGTGTCTATTCGGTTCAATGTATATACGTATATCCAAATAGTTATCTTTAAAACTCAACATGTCCCTCCATACGAAGTATACTAACTAAAGTGGCAGATATACTCCACACCGCGTAGATTCTGCCGGATCTATATTGTACTTCAATTCCACAAGTCAATATTTCTCTATCAATCCTTACCCTACCAACATATCAACAGTTCTTTCGTTATGCCGAAGCACAAGTCCTTCATAAAAGACACCAAGTCAAAGAAAAAGGCCGCCTCAAAGCAGGTAAATACTATTGTACACCCCACAAAAAACCCATGATCTCATAGATTTTGATAGGCACCTGTGACTGCCGATGATTTTCTTGCTGGTGTGTATCCCACATGCTAAACTTAGCCACTCCTAAAACCAGTATACAGAATATTAACAACATCCCAGCTGGCGTGGAGCTAGAAGAAGCCGGCGAGAAATGGCGGGCCGGAGATGCGGCCAAGTCAATGCGTTTCTTTATGCGCGCTATCACCAACTATGACGAAGGCCTGCAGAAACATCCCGGTACCTTCGATCTAGCCTATAACAAGTACGTACAGTGGAAATACTAGTGAGAAAACTCAACTATTTTTGTATTTCTATTTATATATGATGATGTGGGATGATGATGGTTCAACATGACTGATCAACTCCACAGAGCCCGAGTCCAATATGAAATCACCCAGCACCCCAAGCTAGCAGCCCAGTTGCCCGCACCGCAGGGGAGATCCTGCAGGTAGCATTGCAGTCCCACCGGGATGCATTGGCCCTGGAACAGGACAATGCTGACGTGTTGTTCAATTCGGGCCAGGTGCTCACCAGTCTGGCGGAGTCGATGTCCAACTCCAAGCACCCTGGCGACGAGCAGCTGATGCAGGCAGGAACCTATCTGCAAGAGGCCATTGAGCTGTTTCAGCGGTGTTTGATGGTGCAAGAGATGAAGTACACGCAAATGCAAGAGGAGATCGAGCAGATGGAATCCGGGGATGTACCACCTTCGGTACCGGAGCCGGAGGCTGTACCACAGCCGGAGCAGGCGCCGACAGGACCCGAAGAGGGGCAAGAGCAGTGGGCGATGATTGTTGAGCCCGTCACGAAAAACACACTGGTTGATACGGCTGTTGCCCAGTTGGATACTTTGACTACCCTGTGTAACTTGTTGACATCTAACCCGGGTGCCGGCGGTGTTGGCTGGGTGCAGGAGTATTCGTCGGAGCTCGTCCAGTCCCGACTGCCTGTTTATGTCGAAGGTTCAGACAGACAGTATGAGGCGGCCTTGGCGCGCGCTAAATTTATCTGCGCCTTGAACGATTTGCTTTACCGGGGTGGACATACCGATATCCAAACCTACCAGCAGGAAGTTGGACAGGTCTTCGGGCCCGAGTTGGATGTGTCTGCGGATCCGGAAGGGTTGTGCGCAAAAGCAGAAGCGCTCACGTCACTCAACCAGGCACTTTCTGACATTCCCCTGTCAGAGGATGAGGAAGCGTTCGAAAGTGCGGTGGCACTGCGCTGGAAATCGCTCTCGACCGCCCTCGACGCATTGACGGCTGCATCCAAACACCCTGATGCTTATGACCTGCCCAAAATCCACATCGGACGTGGAGATGCAGAGATGCACAGATGGCGTCTTGGGCGAGCTCCGTGGAACCACGCCATGGCAAAGCAGAACGGTGCTATGCTCCTGCGCAACGCTCAGACGTACTACCGTGGGGCAGCTGCTCTCGCGCGACGCGACGGAGCCGCAGAGGAAGAACGCGATGGAACCTGCAAGGAAGCGATTGCCGCGGCAATCGAAGGCCAAAACACGAAACTCGAGCAGCTCAAAACCACAGTCCTTCAGCAAGTGGTCGCTGTGGCGCAGGACATGGTCGAAGATGGAATGGTTGAGGGGATGGAGTTGAGCGCCCTGATCTCGTGAATTATCGAATATCACAACACTCTCACAGACCCGGACGGGCACGCACTTCCTCGTCCATTTGAACGGCGTCCTGACGAATGTGATGCTCTTTGCTGAACTGCGTAGCCGCCGCGGCAGCACCCTCAATATCCGAAACAACCAATCCCAGGCGCGATAAAAGCTGCTCGATCTCCAGTCTCTGTGCCTGCACAGTCTGCGCCAGCTCCGTATTTTCTGTATTCGTAGCCTCAAGTCTGGTATTCAGGGTCGACTGCGCTTCCTGGAGGAACGGCGTAAGATGCGCTTTGTACAGATCTTCAGCGCCCAGTGTATGCGGGCTATATAGTCAAATAGTCAGATATCTTCCCCCCAAAAATACAAATGAATCTAAGCGCAATAAAACATACACTGCTCGTTCCTGTATGTCGTGGTTCTCGCCGCCCTGTTCTTTCCTAACCCTTGCATCCCCAACTAGCCGATCTAGCTCGTTCAAGTGCGGAATTGCATCTCTTTCCGCGATAATCTCCTCAAATTCCGCCTTGGCATTCGCTTCCAGCTTTGCGTTCAGCTGTCGCCAGACTCCCTCCAAACTAGCCGGGACATGGCGCGCAGGCGTGGGGAAACAGCCCGCAAAGTTTGCGTATGAGTTTGCACGCAGCGTACGGGCCAACGCCTGGTCGAAGACTTGGGTTAAACGTGATGCGCGCAGGCCGGGGGTTTGAGAAATTGGTGCTGGCGGGGGAGGGGAGGGCGACGCAACGGGTTGTTGTTGGTGGGAGCTTGATTCGGCCATGATGGGTATTTCTGCAATTGAGGCTGATCCCGGTGTTGGAGAGACCTAAATGGCCTGGGATGTCGAGCGTGTGCGTGTGAGGCTGTTGTGGTTCTTCAGGAATTTGGGATCTTGCACAGAACCCCATTCAACGCGACGCGCCGGTCACGTGCTCTATAGATCGGTTGACGGTTTTATATGAATTTCTGCAAAATTGATGGATTATGATTTGGATACTTCATCAAATTACTAGATGATAGCAGTATAGGTATGTAGATTACATCAAGTCGTGAAATGCATGAATAAGAAACGATAACCTCCAGCCCTAACCCGATGGATCTAAGCCCAGCCAACTCTGACGCCTGTTCTCCTCGTTATCGAATTTCAATAAATTGGGAGAAATGGAACTATGAGACCCTTTTCGAAAATGAATGGGTGGTAAACTTTTCATCGAGGATGGTATATGCCATGAGCATATGCGATTATGCATGTCGGACCAGAGTGATTTGAACGCTGGCCATGAGATAGAGACGTATATAAGGCTATTCCAAAACCCTTGCAAGGGAAGGACAAAGCTGGATGCATAGTTGAGACCGAAATTGAAATCGTTGGGGCGAGCGAGAGAGTATACTCGGTTTATCGTCGAAGGAACCTGCAACATTGGATAATCAGCGCTCGGAGATTGAACAATGATTAGGAGTAAGAGTCTCACATACCCATGTAACAAGCAATGCAATAAAGAATAGCATGGCGTATTTAGTATATGCCCAGGTAGCAGAGTTAGTCTCTGTTGAAGTCAATCTTCGCTGTGAGTCCAACCCATCTGGCCTCCCTTTGCCAGAACTTTCGGTCCGAACACCCGGATCAAGCCGTGAACTGGGACCTTGAGGTATATTTGCCTGATTTCCACCCTCAATAGTGACCGTATATGACCTAAAAGCAGCAGACGGCAAGCCGCGCGCACCCTCAGCCGATAAAGAGCGACGCACAGGCGTCGAACAGGCAATTTCACTCGTTACATGGATGCCAGTCAACATGGCAAATGGAGATTCCGGGACTTCAGTATCGAGCGAGTCGATCCCGCCGACGTTCCGCAGCTGGCGACGTTTCTGATAGATTACCGTTCCTGCGCGGAGATAGATGGCGAAGGTCAACGAGATGATTAACCAGACCGGTCCGTAGAAGGTGGCAATGCGGAGAAAGTCCCATTTTATAGAGACCCAGCACCATAGCTGCAGAGAGGCTTATATTAGTATCTCGCTAATAGCTAGGACGTTCTGGTCTTACGATGGCAGACCCATATATCCGGCCTCGGGCTTGAGTTTGGATGAAGAAGTATGCGAAGGCTGGAAAGAATGGGATGCCATAGCAGCAGAGCACGTATTTCCATTCTAGTTGGCGCAGTTGCTCGGAGTCATATTTGTGGAAGAATGTTAGGTAGACGTTACATGCCATTGCGAACGTCCAGAGTGCGTCGGCGGGCATGAACCTATGCTTGTTTGTAAGTGACCGGCGGAAACATCTAGTACTAACAAACCGACCATTGAATTAAGAAACCTTGGAACTGGCACAGCGAGCTTTCAGTCCCCGAATGAATACCATTCGATGATATGATGGTGGCTATATTGGCCATGATGTTGCCCCATGATGCATAGAAAACCAGTCGGTTGATAGGTTTACGAAACGAAGGCGACCAAATAAAAGTAGCGACTATAACAAAAGTTCCAACCAAAGATACAGTCGAGCAGGCACGCTCTGTGGCCGTGAGAGCCAATAACTGATGTTTTGAAAGCGGCATGGTACCATGATCTATGTATGCTTTGCTGTCAATGAAGGGCATGTCCACAAGGGTATATCTCCCAAGCGGCAAATAAGAGCCGAAATGATCCGCGTGGTTCAACAAGATCGAGAAACCCTCGTGACAGATCGAGGATTCAGATGATCTAAATCCACCCTTTGGGAGGGGAATTCCAAGTCGAGGGCAAAAGCACAATATTTTGAGACGAGTATGGCCAAAGACCCAATATCAGCTGCCTACCCCCGCAAAAGAGAAAGCAAAATCAACTGTAAAATAAAAGCAAAACAAGTCCAATTACTCCGTAGCGGGATATCATTTTCATTGAACCCAAGCCAAGGAACATGCTAGTCTAATTTGATGCAACAAAGACGCAACAAAAACCGTCTTAGACTCAGACCACCGCCAAGAAAAAGTGTAAGCCCAAGGCAGGGTATCTTTTAAATGATTTCTCCGTCTCAGACGTTGGACGGACAGGGCTAGAATCAGGAAACCGGCACTCCCCGAGAGACATGCGAACGATTCCTGGCTGGGTGGCACATAGAACGTGCAATCTCCCGGGATAGGCGTGGTAAAAGAGGGGATTGGACAAAGAACCAGTAGTGTCCTGCATCAAGCCTCGGAGACATGCTGTTTGTGCTACTGGATGGGCCAGAGTTATTGTTGAGGCCTGCAGCCAGCTCACACCCCGCATTGGGGATCTAATAGAATAATCTGCGAATGGTGATTCTATTGGCCTCACTGGTGATATATACAAGGTACCAAATGGTCGTTAGGGGGCCTTATGGCCGTTGTGGTATTATAGAATCAATCCGTGTGTAACGCGATGTTTTCCCCCGATGTTTCCACTGCGAACTCATTAGTCGCTAGTTGGTGCAGGGAAGGCTGTATTAGAATATGGATAACTGCATATCGAAAAAAAGAAAAGTAGGAATAGGGTAGAAAAGATTCTCGAACGCTACTAGTAATATAGCCTTTCTCAAAAGGGTTGTTCTAGCTAGATAGGGTACTTTTGACCAGTCAGAAACCTACATATGTGCCTATGTACACATATCAGGTAGCCTTGAGCTTATTCTGTGAGAAGCAGTCTTGGCTCGTGTACACAACCAGCAGAAACAACCAAAAAACAGTTGCACCGACAAGCCGAGATAATCCCGATCGTGATTCAAACGACTTTTGAACAAGACTGGCTTGTCGCACTTACTAAATACAGATTGGAATGGTAGTATTCAATTGAAACAATTGAATCTTTCAAAAAACCAAAGGTCGATAACATTTGTACCACCTAAATCTGGCAGAGCTGCCTCAAAATAAATTCAAATAAAAAGGAAGTCAGATTAAAAAAGAAGCAAAATTCCTGCATCGGGTATAACGCCGAGTTCTCCCATATTCACTTTGTCTAATCTCGCTCGTCATCTCGTCATGCGCAGTCTAGACCATTAATACGCAGGCTGCGGGGGAATCATGCCTCCATACCCAGCCATCTGCTGTTGCTGGTGTTGCTGCTGCAACTTAGCCTGGATCTGGGGCAGATCATGGAACCAAGGGTGCTGGAGAGCCTCGGTGGCGCTGATGCGCATCTCCGGGCGGAGTTGTAGCATACGGTTCAAGAGGTCCATCCCGACAGGGTCCATTTGAGGAATGATCAGAGACAGATCCTGGGTGGCGTATATATGGAAGTTGGATTTGTACTCGGGCAGCTGGGAGATACCGGGCCATGTGCGTTCAGAGGGTGTTCCCATCAGACGGAAGATCTTGATCAATTGATCCTCGTTCGTTGTGCCGGGGAACAATGGCCGCCCTGTATACATTTCTGCCATGATGCAGCCGGCGGACCAGATATCGATGCTGGTATTGTAGGTACGGCTGCCGAGAAGGACATCTGGGGCACGGTACCACAGAGTTACAACTTCGTTGGAGAAGGTATTGACCGGGATGCCGAATGCGCGAGCCAGTCCGAAATCACCGAGCTTCAGCTGGCCCTTCTTGTTGATGAGGAGGTTCTGCGGCTTAAGGTCGCGGTGGAGGACACGGTTGTCGTGGCAGAAGGCGATGCCTTTGAGGAGCTGATGCATGAAAGATTTGACCGTGGCAGGGTCCAACTGTCCGCGATCACCGCGGGTGTCCATATACTTCTTCAAGTCGCGGTCCATGAACTCGAAGACGAGCATCAGTTTGTTCTCGGTGTGGATGACATCGTAGAGTGAGACAATACTCTCATGCTTCAGTTCTTTCATCAATGAGATTTCGCGGATTGCGGTTGACGGTGTGCCCTCCTCCGAATCCAAATGAATTTCTTTCAAAGCGACCATCTCGCCAGTTTGGCGATTGCGGCCTTTGAAGACCTGTAGTATTCTGCATCAGCGGTGAACAGCGGGGATTGGGTGGCGATGCCAGCATTGTACAACGTAGATATAGAGAGACGGAGGGAGCAAGTAAGGGAGAGAGAGATCGGGGACATACGGTAGCATAGGTTCCTTCACCGAGCTATAGACCAGACAAATGTCAGTGAAGATCCATGACGATTTGCGACCAGAACAAATACCTTTTCCAGCTGCTGGAAGGAGCTGGGTTGTTGGGATTTATCCATTTTCTGTGGAACTTTGGACGCCGATGGGCCCGATGGTTTTTTAGAGAAAAGAAATGAACCTGGAGAGACAAGACTTGAAGCGATCTTAAAAGGGTGAACGGCAGGATCCCTGGGACGCTCCATGCTGAAACGTGAGGAGGAGCCCCGCGTTGAGCGGCCACTTATCGACTTTCGGCTGAGTTAGCACAGGCTTACTTGGATGGTGCTAGTTATTGTATTTTCTGTTCTATTTTCTAGTTAGTTATTTCAATATTGATTTCGACACGTTTTTACTCTGGATGATTTTGGTGAGTGTCATATTGCCAGATTTCTATTTCTTTTTTTTTTTCTTTGAAATATAATTTATAGAAAATTAACTGGGAGTTGGGAGGCAACAATCGGGAGGATAGACTGAGATGGATGACTACATCGAACATGAGAAGATGTTGACGATGATTCATGCTCTAGATCTCCAAAAAGCATGGCTTCATTCCTCACACCCCCAATATTGACAATGCCAATAGGCATGCCTCGTTTATGTGCTCGTTCCACCAAGCGCCACGCTGAATAAGTTGCCAGGCTGCTGCCGAGGATGAGGAGCCGCCCAGCATCGTCAATCGCCTCTTCAGCGGCGGTCTTGACCACGGGATCGATATTTTCACCAAACATAATCACAGCAGGTTTCAAAATGCCGGCATTTGAAGTCGGCAAGAATGCACCGTCGCTCTCTACCTCTACAGTGGCCCGTGTGCCATCGTCCAAGGTAGGAGGATTTTCCAAGCATGTCGGACAGGGAGGATAGCGGAACGTTGAATAAGGCGCTTCAGCCAGATCAACATCACCATCCGGATTTAGCTTCAGGCCTTTCCGCCGTTGCTCCTCCGGATTATCGCTATCGAGCGCACCTATCTCAACCATACGAGCCAAGAACGCCGACCATGCTGGGTTGAGCTTTTCCAATGATGCCTGGAAGTCGGCACGTGGAAGTTGGCTTCGGCAGCTGGTACAGACGACCGATCGCAGGTATCCGTGTAGTTCCAGGGTGTTCAGATCCGGGTGAGCGAGGGAATGGAATGAGTCAACATTCTGCGTCACCACGGAGCTGATGTACCCTTTGTCACTGAGACGTTTGATAGCCCAGTGTGTGGAGTTGGGGTTTGCTTTCACCAGGCCAGGCCATCCGACGAAACTGCGTGCCCAGTACCGTTTGCGGGACTCATGTTGGGAGATGAACTCGTGAAAGTAGATTGGACGATATGATTTGTTTCGTCGGTAGGTACCCTGGTCACCTCGATAGTCTGACAAGCCTGACTCGACGGAAATACCTGCGCCGGTCAGTAGTACGGTTTGAGAATTGCTTCCTACATCCACACCCCGGAGATTCAAGGAGGGTGGCGCAGTGAAGAACGAGGCAACGGCGTCAATGGCACCTGCAAGGGTTTTTGCAGACCGAGGGACTATAATAGCAGGTGGTAATGGTCCCGTGAAGGGGATTCGAATAGCAGGCGTCGTCATTAGGGACGCATCATGATCCGTGATGTCTTGGCGGAGTATAAAAAGAGCGGAGTTGGTTCTCCAACGATTGCGTAGGCGGTTAATGCTTGGCAGGATAAATAAGCGGAATCAAGGGCCCCGAGGGTTTCAAATCTGAGAGATTTGAATAATATGAAATCTGATATGAATAGGTTGTGATAGGCCTCTCACGACAGATCTGAGCATTTGAGAGTATCGGAGCAATGAGAATGACGATATTCACGCGAAGTAATAAAGAATACAAAGACTCACATTGGAAGATGAGAACCGAATATCAGCACATTGAGGAATTCGGTCCGATTACATGATATTACCCCAAGAGCTTCAACTTCTCTTTAGTTTGTACAATTGTGTTGTATCTTTGTATTCTTTTGCATAATTTACACGAAAAGAACACTTGTCCAATTATCTTTGTTCCCTTTTTCTTTTAACGTCGAGATGCCGCTGACGCAGCCCCTGCGCAGGCTACGTCCTCTCCACTTAAGGGTTTCCAATATTGGATCTGCTCAGCGGCGCATACTTACTTCCACTCCCTTTTTAAGAGACGCTTCCTCCTTTCTTTTTCATTCCAGACCTCGTTCCATCCCTACTTCACTCGCTATGACCCAAACACGAGGCCACGGCGGCCACAGCCATCATCATCATCATGATAACACCTATTTGACCTCCACAAATAAAAGCGACGCTGGTGTTCGCATTACACGGATCGGTCTCGTCGCAAACCTGTGTATGGCAATTGGAAAGTTCATCGGTGGGTATATGTTTCACTCTCAAGCTTTGATTGCCGACGCCTACCACGCCCTTACCGATCTCGTGTCCGACTTTTTGACCCTGGGAACTGTCGCCTGGTCCCTGAAGCCTCCGAGCGATCGATTCCCCAATGGTTATGGAAAGATTGAGAGCATTGGTGCTCTGGGGGTTAGTGGCCTATTGCTCTGCGGAGGAATGTTTATGGGTCTCAACTCGGGACAAGTCCTGCTGGCTCAGTTCTACCCCGAGATAGCTGAAACAGTGGCTCACACCGGGATACTGGGACATGGTCATTCGCATAGTCACGGCCCAGTTGGTCCTAGTATTCATGCTGCGTGGCTTGCCGCTGGCTCCATTGTCATTAAGGAGTGGCTTTACCGTGCTAGTAAGTACAGGAAGAGGAGTTTATCCACCAATTGACTGACATCCAATCTAGCTATGAAGGTTGCCAACGAGCGCAAGTCCTCGGTACTTGCATCCAACGCCATTCACCACCGCGTTGATTCCCTAACGAGTATTGTCGCCCTTTTCACAATTGGAGGAAGCTATGTCTTTCAAGACGCCACCTGGCTGGACCCGGTTGGTGGACTTTTGATCTCCTTGATGGTGGTCAAAGCTGGCTGGGGTAACACATGTACTTCTCTTTTGGAATTGGCGGATACCACGGTCGACGAGGATGTCCGAAGCTCCGTGGAGGCCGCGACGGCCAAGACCTTGAAGGAACTCGAAGACGGCCATGAAGTGATTGTTCGTGACGTGCAGGGCATGAAGTCTGGCCAAAACTACTTGATGGATATTGAGCTGGCTGTGCCAGGTGCTTGGGCTGTCAGCCGATCGCATTCTATTGAAGCGGCCGTTCGCAAGGCTGTTGGATCCGATGTTCGTGGTGTGAAGCGCATCAAGGTCCGCTTCATTCCAGCGGAACACCAAGACCTCACCTTCTCGGATGAATTTGTTGCGCGGGACATTGGAGGCGATCCTGAAACACAATGTCATGATCACGGCCATGATCACAGTGACCACAGTCATGATCGGAAGCGACAATAAGCATCTGAAGACTGGACGGAATAAGATAGGAACTGCGATGATACCCCTGGGGAATCTGTACTATGTATAGATTGAATACAAAGCATGGTAGAACTCATCTGAACCTCTACACTGTATTCTTGTACAATTTTATGGCAATTCAAAACAGTTCAATACCCAAACTGCTCCGATATAGGTGGGGGGAGGCTATTCTACCGATATTAGCAGAGTCTCACCTATTTACCCGGCTCGGGCTTGACTTGCTATACTTGACAATGCCCACTAATGGAAAACATAGTTATCTTCCCTTTTTACCGTAATTAGTGCTCGGTAGAGATTTCCAATAGTTTAGTTAGATTCAGTTCTATGCAAAAAAACAAATCTACACCTACAATATATGGAAAAATAGATGGTAACGAGGCAAAAAGGAGCAACCCGGTTATACTCCCCTCTTTACATCATAGCGGGCTCATCTTTCCGCTTGCACTTCCTCTTTTTTTACCGCCCCTCTTGTGACTTATACATTTGTCTATAAAAGTTTTACATTCCCTTTTTCTATATCATTGTGTCTTTTTTGCATTTGCTGCTTTCATTTCGTGTAAACGTATTTGTGACAAGTTCACAGCTATGACGTCTAACAGCCCCCTCTATATCGGGTTCGATCTCTCGACACAACAGCTCAAAGGATTGGTTGTCAATTCTGAGCTCAAGGTGGAACATGTCGCGAAATTCGACTTCGATGCCGATTCACACGGATTTCCGGTCAAGAAAGGTGTTCTGAATAATGAAGCTGAGCATGAGGTCTTCGCCCCGGTCGCTTTGTGGCTGCAGGCATTGGACAGCGTGCTAGAGAGCTTGCGTAAGCAAGGACTTGACTTTAGCCGTGTGAAGGGAATCAGTGCTGCTGGCCAGCAGCACGGAAGCGTATACTGGGGTCAAAATGCGGAGCAGCTTCTCCGCAATCTAGACTCGAGCAAATCCCTCGAGGCACAGCTAGAAGGTGCTTTCTCACACCCATACAGCCCCAATTGGCAAGATTCCAGCACACAAAAAGAATGCGATGAGTTCGATGAGGTTCTCGGAGACTCTGAGCATCTGGCGCAGGCGTCGGGAAGCAAAGCACACCATGTAAGAACCCTGAGTCTATCTGCATACATGTGGCAACCATGCTGACTTTATCATTAGAGATTCACAGGTCCCCAAATCCTCCGGTTCACAAGGAAACACCCCGAAGTCTACCAGAAGACATCCAGGATCTCACTGGTGTCCTCCTTCCTGGCGTCCCTTTTCCTCGGCCATGTAGCCCCATTCGACATCTCTGACGTATGCGGAATGAATCTGTGGAACATCAAGAAAGGCGCCTATGATGAGCAGCTGATCAAGCTCTGCTCAGGCGTTTTTGGGGTCGAGGACTTGAAGCGAAAGCTCGGTGAAGTACCGGAAGACGGAGGCCTACACCTTGGCCCCGTTCACGCATACTTTGTGAATCGATTCGGATTTAGTCCTGATTGCACAGTCATTCCCGCAACTGGCGACAACCCAGCGACCATTCTTGCATTGCCGTTGCGGCCGTCGGACGCAATGGTCTCCCTCGGCACATCTACAACATTCCTCATGTCCACGCCTAGCTACAAACCCGATCCCGCTACCCATTTCTTCAACCATCCGACCACCCCCGGATTGTACATGTTCATGCTGTGCTACAAAAACGGCGGTCTGGCCCGTGAGCACGTCCGAGACGCGATCAATGAGAGCCTGAACGATACCCCTGCCCAACCGTGGGCTAACTTTGACAAGGTTGCGCTGCAGACTCCCCCATTGGGCCAAGATAATGCATCGGACCCGATGAAGATGGGTCTGTTCTTCCCGCGACACGAGATTGTACCAAACATCCGCAAGGGTCAATGGCGCTTTACATATGATCCCACTACGGGGAATTTAAAGGAGACTACTGAGGGATGGAATAGCCCGGCAGACGAGGCTCGTGCCATTATTGAGAGTCAGATGATCTCGCTGCGTCTGCGGTCTCGGGGCCTAACTCAGAGCCCCGGTGACGGGATCCCCTCTCAGCCGCGACGAGTTTACCTTGTTGGTGGAGGCTCGAAGAACAAGGCTATTGCCAAGATTGCTGGCGAGATTCTTGGCGGTGTTGAGGGTGTGTATCAGCTTGATGTTGGTGACAATGCCTGTGCTCTGGGTGCTGCATACAAAGCTGTGTGGGGTATCGAACGACAGCCCGGTCAGACCTTTGAAACATTGATCGGTGAACGGTGGAAGGAGGATGAGTTCATTGAGAAGATTGCAGACGGTTACCAGAAGGGAGTGTTCGAACAGTATGGCAAGGCTGTTGATGGGTTTGAGAAGATGGAACAGCAGGTTTTGCAGCAAGAGGCTGACAAGAATTAGAAGTCAAGTAATTTTAAGTAAAAGTGTATATGATTTTATGATCGTCTATATGTATGTACACATAGATGGAGTTATTATACACATGTATATACTTACTACTTGGGTGGTTAGATAGTGCAAAAGCTTAGTAGACCTAAGTAGCGGGCAATGACGACAATCAAAAAACAACTGTGTGCACGCAACCCCTTGCCCTATTCGGTCAAAGAAACAAAGTAAATGAATTCCATTTGAGCAAATAGCTTACACTTTTGCTTCCTGCTTCTTCCTCTACTTTTTTTTTTTTCGAATCGTTGTTTTTGTTTGAAGCGAAAGGGAGCCCCGGAGAACTGGAGAAGGCGGAGCACCCGATTGTTCGAATGATATCCTCCACCGAAAAAACAATTTTAACAACACACACCTCCCCCTCGTTTCTTTTCACCTTCCCCACGCTCTGAAGGGAGACTGGCTTGGAAGATGGAAGAACAGGTGAGTCTTGTCCAATTTATCCCCAATACTTAATCCCCAAAAATTCTCACTCCCCACCCCTCCCCCGCCGCTTCAAACATCATAGCCCCTCCAACACCTTGAACTCCCAACAGGATGATGATTGACATGTTACAGGTAGCAAATGCCATTGAGATCGCCGGAAACCCGTCCTCCGACCAGGCTTTAAAATCGCAAGCTTTCGACTACCTTAACCAACTCCGCTCCGACCCCTCCGGATGGCAAGTCTGCCTCTCCCTCTTCACCAAGACCCCACAACAGCCCGAAGTCGTACGGCATGTCAGCTTGGAAGTTGTCAATAGCGCCGCCCAGGTCGGCCTGATCGACCAGGCCTCGCTCGCCCTCGTTCGAGATAGCCTGCTCGCCTACATCCGCCAGACCTACGGTCCCGAAGCCACGGCTACCCCAGACGCTCCCTACATCCAGAACAAAATTGCACAGACAGTCACATATCTCTTCTCTTCACTCTATGCTGGTGGATGGGAGTCCTGCATCGACGATCTTCTTGCCTTGACCAACAAGTCCGCAGGCCGGGACAACCAGCTCGGAGTTGTGTTCTACCTACGTGTGCTGAACTCGATCCACGAGGAGATTGGCGATGTCCTGGTTTCGAGATCTCGTGGGGAACAGGACAAGGCCAATACCTTGAAGGACCTCATCCGTGAGAGGGACATGCAGAAAATTGCCAATTCTTGGCAGGAGATTTTGGCTGTCTGGCGGGAAGGCGACGACTCCATTGTGGAGATGTGCCTGAAGGCTGTTGGCAGCTGGGTCAGCTGGATTGACATCGGGCTGGTCGTGAACCAGACCATGTTGGACTTGCTGTTCCAGCAGCTTGGACGAGCCGAGAAGCAGGAACTCCGAGAGGGTGAGCAGCGGGTGCGCGATGCTGCCGTGGATGTTTTCACCGAGATCATCGGCAAGAAGATGAAGCCCGCGGATAAAATCGAGATGATTGTTTTCTTGAACCTGGACTCTATCATTACCCAGCTGTCCAACAGCCCGCCCTTGCGCGAGAGTCGCTTCACATACAAGTACGATACTGATTTGGCAGAGACGGTCGCTAAGCTGGTTAACATCACGGTCATGGATATTGTGCGGGTATTGGACAATGATGCTGGGCCCGTCAAGGAAAAGGCAGAGAACCTCTTGCAGGTGTTTCTGCCGCACGTGCTGCGATTCTTTTCGGACGAATACGATGAAGTTTGCTCAACTGTCATTCCTTGCGTCAGTGACATGCTCACCTATATTCGGAACCTCGCCAAGGCAAACCCATCCTTCGAAGAGCGAAACAAGTCCATTCTACTTCCTATACTGAAGGCTATTGTTGCGAAAATGCGGTATGATGAAACTTCAAACTGGGGCGACGAGGACGAACAGACCGATGAGGCAGAGTTCCAGGACCTCCGCAAGAGACTGGGTGTGCTGCAGCAGATTATTTCCGCAGCTGACGAGGGACTTTACATCAATGCGATCTCAGAGGTGGTGGGCACAACTTTCGAGAACCTGCGGACATCTGGGGGTCAGCTCGACTGGCGTGATCTAGATCTTGCACTGCATGAGATGTTCTTGTTCGGTGATATGGCTGTTCGTGGCGGCAGTCTTTACAACAAGGGTGCTCCTACTGGTATGGCTGCGACCCGTCTGATCGAGATGATGTCTGCAATGGTTGAAAATGATATTCGATCTTTCACCCACCCCGCGACGCAACTTCAATATATGGAAATCTGCGTTCGCTATAGCTCCTTCTTCGTCCACCACTCTCATCTCATTCCCGGAGTTTTGGAGAGCTTCCTTCAGCTTGTGCACCACCCTGTTCGCAAAGTCAAGACCCGCTCGTGGTATCTTTTCCATCGCTTAGCCAGACAGCTGCGCAGCCAGATTGGCAACATAGCACAGACCGTTGTGGAGGCGCTGGGTGACTTGCTGGTCATTCAGGCCGAGGTACCTTCAGAGGGCGACGACGGCGACGAGATGTCTTCTGAAGACCACGAGCGCAGTGGAGACGTCGTTTTCACCAGCCAGTTGTATCTTTTCGAGTCCGTGGGAATCATTAGCTCGACCCCCAGTATCACAGCAGACAAGCAAGTACTCTACGTCCAGTCTGTGCTGAGCCCAGTCTTCGGTGACATGGAGCGTAACTTGGAAGCTGCCAAGAACAATGACCAGCGGGCGCTGCTGCAGATCCACCACGATATCATGGCTCTTGGAACTCTTGCGAAGGGATTCTCCGACTGGCAGCCTGGCAGCGCTGGCTCGCCATCTGCCCATGTGCTGCCTGAGGTCTCGGCGGCTTTCGCCCAGGTGGCTGAAGCAACTTTGGTCTCTCTCGAATCCCTCAAGAACTCTTTCAACATTCGAACTGCCGCTCGCTTCGCGTTCTCCCGGCTCATTGGTGTTCTCGGTGCGCAGATCCTCCCCCAGCTGCCCCGGTGGATTGATGGCCTGTTGACCCAAACTTCGTCGCGCGACGAGATGGCACTGTTCCTCCGTCTTTTGGACCAAGTCGTTTTCGGATTCAAGGGCGAGATCTACAGCATTCTCGACACCCTCTTGACTCCCTTCTTGCAGCGCGTGTTCGCTGGTATTGCCGAGCCAACCATCGGCACCGACGACGAAATCCAGCTTGCCGAACTCAAGCGCGAATATCTGAACTTCCTGCTCGCAGTGCTAGGCAACGACCTGGGAGCCGTGATCATCAGTGAGAGAAATCAGTCCATCTTTGAAACTTTGATCACGACCCTGGAACACTTCGCCAAAGACATCGAGGATTTGACCACTGCCAAGATGGCATTCTGCGTGTTGAACCGCATGGCGAGCTGCTGGGGCGGACCGGACATTGGCTCTGCGAACGGCACGGCACCCACCCAGGCCGCACTCCCCGGCTTTGGTTCATTCATGATTAACCGTCTCTCACCGCTCACCTGGGCGCTTCCGACCACCCCATCATTCAACCCTAAAGACGCGCAGGCCAAGCAGGTCCTTGCCGAGGCAGGCGGGCTGCAACGCATCATCTACTCCAAGACAGGTATGGAATATGCGGAATACTTGCGCAGTCAGGAACTACCCAACATGGGCATGGGCGCCGAGCTCATCGAAGAGTTCTTGAACGCACTGAGCCAGCTGGACGTGAAAGGGTTCCGGCAATTCTTCCCGGTATGTATCTGACATTGGTGTCACATTTGCACAACGCCCAACCAACTAACCTCCAATCTCCAGTCTTTCATCCAACGATTGAGCGCATGAAGTTTCCTTTTCTCTTTCTCTCTATCTGTTTTCTAGATTCCCCCATTCCATATTTACGTTTTGACGCGACGAGGTGACGTCCATCCTCGCGCCTTGTGACTTCGCCATCTTCTACACGATCTACTTCATCCCCAAGGATAACGATATTTTCTGCGCCCAGCATGCCCAGCCAAACGAGCTGGATACGAGAGGGAGCAAACCAAAAAAGCACAAAAGCACCCGATCTTCGAAAAGTTCCGAGTAAATACCGTTCATCATTACCTCGTTCCCATCTCAATCTGCTCTGCTCGTGCATTCGCATTATGGTGTTCTCTTGTATCCCCGTCCCCACTGGTGTTTTCAATATCACAAGCCATGCTATGCTCTCTCTCTCTCCTATGATATAAGATAAACAGACGGGATTCTTCTTGTGTCTGTTGGATTTCTGTTGACTGTTGGGTGTGCACTGAAGTAGGTGCACTGAAGTAGGTAGATAGGAAATGAAGTGATTGAGCTGTCTTAATGAGTACCTCAACTACAATTGTACGCATGGAAGCCAACTTATACCTAGATTCCTCAGTATCAGTATGAATATTATAGCATTGCACTTTTATTGTCGAACCGCGCTTCAATCCACCAGCTTTTTATATCCTAGACCTAACAGCCTGGCGCTCACTTGAGCGAGAAACCCAAATCAGAACATGTTTACAAAGACGCATCGATCAGAGCAGCACAAGACATATATAATTCTTTTTCATTGAGATCGAAAGGGAAATCAGGAAGTCAGGAGAGAAGAGAACACACTATGCAAAGAGATACTTAGCCGCATGCTCGATATGGTCATCCGCAAAGGAAGCCATAGTATAGTACGAGTGGTCGTAGTCAGGCTGGTAACGGATGTTCAGGCCGTTGATACCTGCGTCGCGAGCCGCAGCCTCGAAGTTCTCAGGCAGCAGTTGACCCTGCTTGTAGAAATTGTCGCCGGTGCCCTGGGCGTGGATGAGATTAGATTTCGGATCGTAAATCGTAAGTTGTAAACAGGAAGGTTGGGGAGACGCTGCACATACCACGTCAATCAGAATATCTAGAGGACCGCCGGCCCACTTCTTAATCAGCTCCGTGGCATCATGCTGCTTCCACTTGTCCTGCTGGTCATCGCCGAAGTAGCCCGAGAACGCCTTCTGGCCCCAGGGGCAGTTCGTGGGGTTTGTGATGGGCGCAAAGGCTGAGACGGACTTGTATTTGCCTGGGTTGCGGAGGAACTGGGAGAGGGAGGGGTTAGGGGTTTTTGCTATAAGGAGGGAAGGATATTCTTTGCAAAAAATGTAAAACCAGGATACGGTCGAGCTAGTTGAAACATACCAAAGTCAGAGCGCCGTGTCCGCCCATACTGTGGCCGGTGATGCTAACCCGGCTCGCATCCAGTTGATCGGGGAATGCATCGAAAACAGTCTTGGGCAGCTCTTCAGTGACATAGCTGTACATGTTATAACCGGCGTTGTAGGGGGCTTTGGTGGCGTCGACGTAGAAGCCGGCACCGGAGCCGAAGTCGTATGCGTCGTCCTCGCCTTGGATGTTGAGTCCGCCTGTGGGTAGACGTTAACGATATGGTTTTTTGGTTTGTTTTCTCTCAAAAACGGTGATCTAGTAATCAAGACGATAGACTGGATGGAATCCATGAAATTGATGCCCCAGGATATGTAACAACAAAGCATAGGTAGACCTACGTGGACTGGTATCCGGGTAGAGCACGGCAATGCCCTTCTTGCTAGCACCGTGCTGGAAGAAGCCCTTCTCGGAGCAGTTCTCAGCTGTACAGGTCAAACCAGAGAGATAGATCAATACCGGGACCTTCTGTGTCTGGGCCTGTGGAGGCAAGTAGAGGTTGAATTTCATCTCGCATTTTGTAGTGGTGGCGGCATGACTTAGTTTGAGGAGCTTTCCGCCGAAGGAAGCAATGGTTGCAGTTGTAGTGACGGACATATTGTTTTCTTAATGAGTATAAGAAAATTGTATAGGATCTGGGGAGAATCGAGAGGAAAAAAGAAAAAGATACGGGAATCGGAAGCTGAGCCGGTTTCTGTAGTGGGGGGAAATTGTCCCGCATGAGGGGAACTGGGCCCGGTATTATTTTCCTATTGAAGTATACAAGTACTATATCTCACGATAGATGTAGATATAGTAAGATACAGTGAGATATAAGGATAACTAGCATCATACACACATATAACTCCTAAGATCTATACACTTTAACTATAGCTATCGCTAGGGATGGGAACCTCGGGCTACTAAACAATGTAGAGTCTAGGCCTTGTTATAGCATCCAATCTTCGACTCAAATTGCCTCTTTTCAGAAACACACAAAGGTAGCAGAGTCATGGTTTTCGTTACAACAGGAGGTTAGCTGTGGCAGACTTGCAATGTAGGTGGAGGGGACATATTCGCTCCAAAAGACTGACTCTGATGTATGTCTGAATTCTTTTCCACACACGATCTTTGCTGCCCAAAACATGTGCGCCTAGTGTCCTCAGATATTGGCAGAGATCCAAGTTCTCATTGGTTGATGAGCTGCGCATCAGCTCTGCTCTAAATATTCAGCCTTACCATGCACTTACTGCATCTACTGATATACTGCACACCCAGCACAGCCGCGAGAAACCACAGTAGAAAGTCATATCTTCATAAAACCCGATAAATACAATGGTATATATACAAAATAGAAGAACCAAATTCTTCACTCCAAAAACACCGGAACACCGTAGACAACCGGCGCCGCACCATTAAGGTATTTCAACACACAAGCGCTCCTCGAGCGAGCTATAGCCGTATCAAGGCCAACATCCCCCTCATCACGCTTCTTCTTTTTCTCTCTATTCTCCTTCTTCTCTATCAACCCCCAAGCATCAAAGGTAGTCGTGGTAAACCGATCAATGTCACGATCTGTGACATCCCACAGCGTGGCCACAAGTGCCGGGCTGCCAGCATGCAGATAATTCATCGGCGTACCATAAGGCTCATACTCGCCGGCTTCGGTCAAGTGGCCACTGCTACATCCCATAAGGAACGCAACGGCGCACTGCGTCAGCCGCTTGACCGTGCGTCCGCGGATGTATTGTGCTCCGCTTCCGTGGCCAAAGTAAAGGAACAGAGCCTTCTTCTCTAGCGAGTCGCGGAATTCATCTTCGGAAGGTTCGCGCTGCACGATAGCGTTCCAGGACTTGAATCTTGCGAGGTCCTGTTCGAAGGTCGTTTGGGTTGTGCGTAGGTCACCAGTGGGATTGAGGACAAACGCGCCAGAGGTGCGGTCTATAACGGCTCCGGAGGAGGACTTGCGGAATTGGAGAACTCGGTCTCGCAGGCATTCAAGAGATGGGACGCGGCAGACGGGATATCCTTGGAGGCAGGGAAGCGACTCCCACGGGAACAGATGGAGGGCTTTGTCGAGTACAAGAATTGTGTGCTTGGGTGGCCGTGTTGCGAGTTCTTCGCGTGCAGCTTCGTGATAACTTCGCAGTGCATCTAAGGTATCCACGACCATCATGTCAAAGTCGATCTCATCATAGGCGTTGCGCTCGCCCTGGAATTGCAGTATGTCGACAACGAAGTAGAGAAGATCCATGAGAGTGTCTTCAGGCTCTTCCTCCTCCTCGAGATCGCGAAGCCCAATGAACAAGTCCACAACGTTCTGGTGCAGTGTGAGTCGAGGCCCAGCGGCTTTGCCGCCCTTTTGCCGAGAAGGAAGATGCTTGTCGAGAAGTCCCTGGAAAGTACTGGCAAAGCGGACCAAGGCAGTGGTTTCCTGCGAGAGCGGCGAGAATACACCCCGGAAGCCACCAAACCAAATGTTCTCAATGTTCTGGAGGACACTTTCCATTCGACGATCCAGCGCTTCACGGGTCTTCCACCATTCCTTCTTTGAGACCTTGTCGGTTTGAGCCTTGGCTGCATGTGCACTCTCGTTGGCCAACTTGATAAGTTCTTGCATTTCTTGTTTGCCATCCTCGAAAGTAAACTGCTCTTCCTCGTCATCTTCTGAGTTTCCTCGATGGAGAGGAAGTCGAAGAAGGAAAGGAGAACGGTCTTTCTGCAGCCGCGAGACCACAAACTCAGTCTGATCTGCACTTAGTGACAGAGAGAGAACATTCCAAGATTCGGGCAAAATATCTACATAGTCTTGTGTAAAGTTGGAGCAAAGATCACCATCCAACTCGACGGCCGAAGGGAAGGAAGTTGGCCAGAGAAGAGGGTCAGCATGATCGGCCAACTGGCGATCAATATCAATGGCCATGCTTTCGCGAGCAAAGGCACCAACACGTCCAATTTCTAAAAAAGAAAAGAATGTTAGATTTGTGTGGGCTAATACGCATATTGCCGAACTTACCATTCATGTTCGCAGGCGACTGAGCCAGGTTGGCGGGAATTCCAGAAGAAGTCGCATGCGACAACATAGATATCCTGCTCATCAAGCGAGATGCCGCGTGGCTATCGAGCGTTGAACCGAGGATTGTGGCATCGGAGAAAACACTGACAAGACAATCGCTCGCCTTTGACAGCATGACCGAGAAGTCGTCGCTAGCCTTTTGGGCCTTGGTGCGAGGAGCCCTGGCTGGCGCCCTGGTCTTCCTCGTCGAAGCTTTCGTTACCGGCACACTGGACTCATCCGCCTTACTCGGCGACTTGAGTGATGGTAGCGAGATTGTAGATTCGGGAAGGACACAGTATACAGCATGACTGGCAAAACGGCGGATTGCATCGGCGAGTAGATGCTCACTCTCGCCTATCTCCAAAGCAATCTTGCTTTCCCGGGCCACAGCAAACTGTCTCGCTTCAGCAAGGGTCTGTGCCGATCGCTCGAAGTCGCGTAACTCCCGAAGGCAGTCGGCTTGTTGTCTGAGGATGCTGCCTTTGAGTTGCAATATGGATTTGGATTGGACTTGCGGGAGAGCTGGCTTCGGCGCTGGGGCTTTCCTTGCTAATTTGGGCGCTGCGGAACTAGTTGCACGGGTACGTCGGGTTGTAGTCGTGGTAGGGGTTGGCGTCCGTCGGCTGCTAGATCTGACCCGCAACTTGTCCATCTTGTCTTCAAGCTCAGAGATACCCGATGCCTCCGAATTGGCCGGCGTATCTGCGGAGGTAACAGCCGTGATAATCTTGTCTGCTTCAAGAAGAACGCGAAGTGCCTTGTCATGTGCGCCTTGCGCCTTGCACAAAGACGCAAGCGCCATTTGGAAAGACACGGTCTCAATGCTTCTCTGTGTCTGCTTTGACGACTCAGCAGCAGCAGAAAGTTGATCTTGACCTTCGTCTAGGTGGCCGCTCAGAATCCAATGGCATCCAAGTTGGGTCTGCGCCGCAAGTAGCCGTGCATTTGCATCGAGAGTCTTGTCAATCTTCAGAGCTTGTTCGCCGTAGTAAATTGCATCTTGGAACAAGCCATGGTGGGCGGACAAGGTCGCAAGGTTCAGCAGGCAGGTATGATGAGAGCCGAGATGCGGCCAGAACGGCGCTCCTTGGATATAGCTGGCTGACACATCTGGCGAGGATCCATTTTGGGAAAGGTCAAGCTTCGCCATTCCATCAGCAACAGCTTCGACGTCAGAGCTTGCGGCCGCGGCTAGGGACTTGTCTTGCTTTCTTTGGGCGAGCCTCTCAATCTTGGCCCAGATACGACAGTTCAGCCGCACGGACAACTTTGCGAAGTAGAGAGCCTGAGTCGCGGAGCCTTGGGCGGAGAACAGCCTGGACTGGACGAAGGCGGCGTCTGCTACCAGTCTTTCCCATGAAATCTTAGCCAGAACAGACAAGTTGGTGAGTTCCGCTTTGTGACTTTTTTCGTACAAGGATCGTGCTGCAGAAAGAACAGTGGCGGCTTTGTCGGGTTCCCCGGTTTCCAAAAGGTATTCTGCCTGTGCAACCTTGTAGGAAATGGTAGCAATAGAGGACACCTTAGTTTGCGCAAGATACTGCTCGCCACGTGATAGAAGCTCCCCTGCCTTCTGGCAATATCCAAGACGGCAATTTTGCAATATCAATCGGGAGAGAATGACGATGGCATCTGAGAGGTCTCCTGCTTGTTGGAGCTCTGCGGCGCGCAATATCAGCTCAAGAGTGCAGAGTTGAGCTTTCCAGAGACCATGGATCTCCGTGTAGTCGACCAAAGCCTTCAGCTGCAGGACCCAATACTCCGTGTCACTGATACAAAGCAGCAGGGTTTTTCCATCCGGACACTTGCGAGCTAATGATGTCCAAGACGCAAGCGTGTCATCAAGCACACTTGTGTCAATCTTGCCTTGGTGGAAACCGGTAATAACGCGCAGTGAGTTCCTGATATGGATCGCAAACGGGGCGATGTCAACGTCCTCCCCAACTTGTAAACCACGGCCCAGGACCTCTGCCCCTGCCTCTAACAGGGTTTCAATCAAAGTTGGATCCAAGGAAGTAGGATTCTCAAGTAAAAGACGCAAAGAAGAGAGAATAACACGGGAATGGCGGATAGGATAGAGTTTGAGGGGGTATAGGTTGAGGAGGGAGGAGACGAGTGGACTAAGGATTGAGCGATATTCTTCTTCGTTTGGTGAATGGTTGTGCATGTCAACAAGCAAGCTCATCTGCCACTCCAGAAGAACAGCCCGCTGCTCGAACACCAGATCGGTGTCATCGTACACAGCAGATGATTGAGATCCCTTTCTACGCAGCTTCATTTTCAAAAGTGCAGAGAGTACACGCCCCAGCATGAAACCGGGGCTTTTGGGATCCTGGCTTAGCGAAGTTGGATCATGTCCTCCGCTGCTCTTAGCAATTTCCTCCAAAGCTCCGGAGAGGATGTACTCCTCAATCGATTGTCGGAACATCTTCTCAGAATCAGTGTACATACTTCCATCAACGTACAGATGAGCCATTCTCTCGAACTTGAGAGCTGCAAATGCCGTGTCACGCTGGGAGCGCGAGCAGCCTGAAAGTAGCTGAGTAGAATGTTTAAGGAGAGGAATAAGCTCGCGGTATCCATGACCAGACTCTTTCTCTTTGATATAGCGAGACCAAAACAGATTCGAAAGCTTCACAAGTGCCATGCCAAGGTTTTCTGTGACTTCCATGCTTCGTTCATCGGGAGATTCGATGGTTGTAAGCAAGCGCTGGCAATCGGCCAGGATGGGGAGCATGTCTTCCCAACGTGGTCTCTGAGACATGATCGATAGTTTACCAATGGCGACAGTTGAATCGATGGCTGCGAGAATAATACTTCTGGAAATTGAGACACGGCTGTTAAACATCTCGATATCTTTTTCATCGCTCTCTTCCGTTGGCTGGCGTCCAACATAGCGTCTAAGGAACCTAAGGAACGCTTGCAAGTATTCTCGGATTTGATTCGCAACCTCATTTTTCTGGTTGTCTGATTCAATGCTCTTTGCGATAGCCTCGCCAAACCAGGCAAAAGCAAACTTCTTCAATCTCGCTGCTTCCACAAGAAGTTCATCTAGATCATTTGCGCTGCCTCTAAGCTGCAATCCTAGTGCTTCAGTCGCCTCTGAGAGAGATTGCAAAGTTCCGGGTAGAAACCTTTTTGAGGTCTTCAAGGCCTGGAAATGAACAGATGCGACTTTACACCGGACTGTCGCAAGGGAAAGGCTCTGTGTTTTTGAAAGTGGACTGATAGCTTGTGTGAAAAGTTTCATGGACTCATCAAAACAGCCCGCGTCGAAAGCAAGCTGGCCCAGGAGTGTCATTAGCTTGGCAGCTTGTGTAGCATTTTGCGTCTCGAATGACTTCTTCTTGATCTCTGCAATAGAGGTCTGCAGCCTAGTGACAGTTTTGTAAATCATGGCAAACTCGGTTTTCTCGATTCCTTTGCTGCGATGAGAGAAGCTGCCGAAATAACGAAGCAAAGGATCGAAGACTTCTTTGCTCTCATCACACACATGGCCAGACAGCTTCCAGCTTAAGCATCGGACCTCGAGGGAAAGCAGCTGTAAAGCCAATGAAGTGGTAGGTTTCAAACTGTTCGATGCCTCATCCTTGGAGAGGGATGTTCCCGAGCAAAGCGACAGAATCGCATTTGACAATATCTGCAACTGAAGAGCAGCCTTGTCGTTAGATAATTGGCCAGATTTGTATGCAGCCAAAATAACCTGAGCAGGACTGCTGGAATCGGAAAGTTGCAAAGAAGGAAAGACTTTTTGTATTGTCGAGGCCCTTTGATCCGCGGCAAATAGTCGCATCACATTTGAGTGGAAAGGCACGAGCAAGCCGTATAGTGATTTCGCGTTCTCAATGTGGACAAAAGTCAACATATCCGACATGCGTTCTTTCGCAGCTTCTTCGTCCGTTGCGTCCTTGGCATCTGCGGTCTTCTTCCCCGCCTTCCCACCATCCAGGTGTTGTTGGATTCTCCGTTTAAGCAGTCGGAGCTCTTTGTATGCCATATCGTTCAGTCCCAGGGTAATTAATTTTCCCGCAAGAACGCAGAGACCCTGTTCCAGCTGCATCTTGGGGAATTGGTCGTTTCCAGTGTCATTCTTGAGTGTGCGCAGAGTCGACAAAGCAAGCCTGGCGCACTCGCCGGCCGATGTGATCCCCGCATCGGCGCCTTGCGTGTCGGAGCCATGCTGGCGCTTGGTCGTGGATGTTTTGGCAGCGTCTGTGAGGGTCTTTAGTGTGGCATTGAACACCTCCGTAGCGAAGACAAGCTTCTCCTGACAAGACAAAGCCGCGTCGTCGGCCAAAGACTGCATTGCAGCATCATTATTTGCGGGGTTTGCTTTCGTTGCGCGGGAAGTTCTCCCCCGACTCGGCGCTGTGGGCTCTCTTGTAGATTTTGTTCGTCTCGTGGGTTTCTCGGGCATCTTTGGCGACCCGCGGAGGAGTGTTTGGAGGGACGACACGGTAACGTCTGAGCATGTTGTCGTTGAGCGGAGAGCCTGTTTTATAGATTCTGTTAGGGAGCCGGCGGGCAAGACGGTGACCGCCATTTTTGTTTTATTGGGGCTGCAGGACTGAGGTCATCGCGTTGAAATCGCTTTGATGTGCAATCGCTATCAGACACTCTAGACGCGGTTGTCGCAGCAACAATAGCACTATACCGCATTGGGAGTTGATAGCCTTATCGCCTCAGGCAATCACGACCTCAACTTTTCCCGCTTCGGAGAATACGCCCGCAGCGAAACACACAAACATGGCTTCAGCTTTACGATCCAGAGTCTTCGGGCTCGCACGACCCATCCAGGCTACCCCTTCAGTATCAAATGCCACCCGGCAATGCCGCGCTCCCTCCGCGCGGTCATACTCGACCTCCGATCACCTGCCGAAGATCGCGGACTCGTCAGTATGGACGGCGATGATTCCCAAATTCATTCGCAATCGGGGCGCGCGCAAGAGTCCCAATAAGGAAAAGTCGAAGGAATGGAACCCGGCTACGTTCTATATCATCATGTTTACTTTAATCGGCTCGCAGGCCATTCGCATGATCACCCTGAAGAACAGCTATGGCGCCTACACTCGGACAACAGATGCGAAGATTGAGCTTCTACGGGAGGTAATCACTCGCGTTAAAAACGGAGAGAATGTCGACGTCGAGAAACTGCTGGGAACTGGCGATGAGGCGAAGGAACGAGAGTGGGATGAAGGTTTGTTAAGCTCCGAGTGGTTACTTTCGATGCTGGTCTGGTACCTGGACGCTGACTATCTGTGCTTCTGTAGTTCTGCGGGAAATTGAAGCCGAGGACTCATTATGGCATCAGAAGAAGACTAGCCAGTCACAAGCGGCGGAGCCTCAAGAGACCAATAAAGAAGAGAAGCAAAAACAATCCGCGGAGCCGTTAGCAGAAGACAAGGCCGATGAAACTGTTAAGACCGAGACTACGAAGAAATTGAGGTTTTACTGAACGGCTGTCACTTGGGATCCGTGGACAAGCCTCTTGCATGAGAACCAATCGCGAGGCCTTTGGGACTATGGATCACAAACACGTTGGGGTCTCGATGACTCTGGCGATTTCCGGCGAACTATTCGACCATGATCAGATTTTGCTGGTTACTGTCTTATCTACAAGCCTGGACCAGCTTCGGGTCTTACATGTCCTACACATCTGAAGCTACTTCGTGGCTGACATATCCCGATATAAATGTAACATTACCTGTACAGGGAAATCTTTCCTCACGTCAGATTGCGATACCCATTTGTTATTCTGCAATCCTACTTCATGTATATATTTCCAAGAAATGAGAGAGATATGACCCGAAAATCAAAGCCGCGGCACACCTCACATCACCCATGGTGCTGTCCAACTCACCGAATACGTCACTTCTATATTAACCGACAGTCAACTACATCTCAACACCGAAGTGAAGAATCAAGAAAAGAATCAACCCAAAACAGATCTAGATTGATAGATAGAAACAGCTCAACCAGGGCCCTCTATGACAACCCATACACACCCTTCTTTCCAACTCTATTTGCTGTTGATACAATGCACACACAGGCGAGTTCCGAGAAACCATAGATGCAAGGGATGCAAACTCAAGTCAAGCCCAAGAAACAAAAAAGAAGGCGGACAAGAAATGAGAATCCGAAAGAAAAACGAGACAGATCTCAAGCTAAATCAACAGAAAGAAAGGCCGAATCCGAGAGATAAATGAAGAAAAAAACATCGCTATCAAAAATGAAAATAAAAACAGACTCAGATTGACAGGTATCAATAGAGCCTTACTTCTGGCTCTGCATGAACTTGGGCCAGTTCTCGGCCTGCGGAACCTTCACGCGGCCGATGTTTTGGTCGAGGTCGAGAATGAGCTTGAGAGCATTCCTTGACCGGAGGTAGGGCAGAGGCGCCGTGGCACCTTGGCCACCGAGACCGGGCTCGACATGCCCGGTAGGAGTAATTGCGTCGCCGTCACCTGGCAGTGGCAGGGCCTTCTGCAGGACTTCGTATGCGGCAAGAGTGAAGCCAAATTGAGGTGAAGAGCGCATGATACGGGCAGGACCGCCCTTGAAGAAGGCAGCCAGACCTTCCTCCTTCCAGACGGTGGCGGCGCAGTGGCGAAGGCCGTTGTACTTGGTGTCGCCCTTGCGGGCTTCGACCTGCAGACGGGTTTTGATGACGTCGCAGGGGGTGGTCAGGTAGGCAGCGGGCATACCGGCGATGGCACCAGCGGTGAGGAGCTGGACGACGCCGAGCTTGTTGGTTGCGGTTTCGCCGAAGAAGTCGGACTTCAGGTGAGCATATGTGGGGAAGTAAATGGCGGAGAAGGGGACGTCGCGGAGGAGACAGGCGCTGGCACCCTTGTACAGGCCGACCAGACCCAAGTTCTTGACGATCCAGAGAGCGGAGCGGCGGGGAGCACCTTCCACGTTCTTGGCGATTTCACCTTGAACCTGCAGGCGAATCTTGACGATCTCCAGAGGGTTGGTGAAGACGACTTGGCAGGCTCCGGCAGTACCACCAGACAGAACTTCGTGAGCGTACTTGATACGCTTGGTGTCGTTGTCTGTGAAGTAGCCACGGACGAGATCGTTCACCGTCAGCTTGATGGCTTTCTCCGGTGCAACACCAATCAGCTGGGGAATAACACCGGAGTAGAGGCCGGTGAAACCCTCGTTGCGGATCACCTTTCTAGCGCAATCGAGGGAGTTGTTGTACAGCCTCTCACCGGGGCGCGAGGAGCGCTGGTTTTGCAAACGGGTCTTGACCAAGTCAATGGGGTAGACCATGAAGGCACCAAAGGCACCAGCGATACTACCAAGAGCGAAGTGATGCACGGACTCCAAAACACTGTGCAGCAAGCCCTTGGTCTTTTCAGCAACTTCCTGTCCTGCGGCCACAGCTTGGCCAGCCGCAATTACAGGAATACGCCATGAAGCATCAATGACCTTAGCGAAATCCTTCTGAGAAAGACGACCTGAAGGCGCGTCCAGACCAGCGAAATGGAAGAGAATATCAGCTTCCATAGGGGTGAAGAGAGAGAAACGGGTCGTACGAGCGGCCTCGTTCAGGAAGTCGGAGCGGGTGATCTTGCCATCGGTGCTCTTTTTGGTAGCCTCGCGAACAACAAGGTCGATGATATCCATCTCGCGCATGACGTTCTGGAAAGCACGCACATTGGCGTAGGAGATGCGGTTGCTGGTGGAGATATTGCACAGGGTAGGCAGGTTCTCCAGGACATGGTCTGACAGCTTATGTTTTGAGGTCTCGAGAATAATGCGCTGGAAATCCTCTGGCTGAATGAAGCCATCACCGTCCTTGTCGAAGATGTGGAAGGCTTGTCGGATGCGCTCACCCTGCAAACCGCGCAGCATCTGGGCAAACTGGGGGTAGGTCATGTCATGGCGAGTCTTGGTGCGACCACCGTACAGGGAGGCCCATTCTGAGTTCCAATCGAAGGGAATGCTGTCGGCACTCTTATTCAGGTTGTACAGGCCCTGCACGGTGTCAAACTTAACGGTACCGGTCCCATCGAAGTCGAACAGGCGGAAGGCGATTTCGTACTCGGCGTCGGGTTTCGCGAGGAGGTTTTCGAAGGAGGCCCAGTCGGAGATGTTCAGCTTGCCGGTTTTGCGTCGATCCGCCACACTGAAGAGGATACCGTATTGTTCGCGCTTGATCTTGTGCTATTGGGAAAGTATTGGGTCAGCCCCAAGCTTCTTCGCTTTCAGGAACCCAAGGTACTTACGTAGTCCTCCTGCTTTGGTGCCACGGCGTTGATGAAGTGCTCCTCGTTCATGAACAGTTCACCATTCTCGTCTTTTTGCGCATGACGAAGAAAATTGGTGCGTGATTGATGAGACAGGTGAGGCTGCTCGGAGCTGCCCAAGAATTGTTCCTTCACTGCTTCCGTAACGCTAGCCATTTTGTCCTGTTGATTGAGAGGAAGTCTCAAAAAATCCACCGCACAAAAAACTGGGGGAAGGGAGGGATGGGGAGTGGAGTAAAAGTTGAGTCAAAATAATTAAGGGAATGAATACACTAATGAGTTATGTTTTGTATAATAATGGCAGTGATTACCTTAACTACTATACACAATACATAAACTACAATAATGTATTGGTTTAAAGGTTTTAATTGGGCTTGAGTTTCTATTTTTTTCTTATTCTTATCATATTCTTTACACATAATTCTGGCTCTTTGGCCACGCGAAGATCTAAATTTTCACCCCTGTGAGGCTTTCGTGATTTACCCGGGGATCGGTCTTGGGGCCGAATTACCCCCTTGGAGCACAGATCTCCGCATACAATCCTCCTATTGTAAGTACATTGTATTGGATATGGAATGGTTCCTATGTCAGCCTTATATTGGTACTACCTCTTATTGTTCGAGAACTTTTTTTTTTCTATTTTTCTGTTGTTTTCCCTTGGTTTAACATATGTTCGCCACCACGAGCCACGGTAAGTATGACCCGAACCAGCGGTATAATTCAGGGACAACAACTTCGGGGGCAAATAGACCATATTATACGGAGTAGTACACAGTCAGCAGTCGGCTTTGAAAACATGAACATGGTAATCAATAGTGTAATATTGTAATACTATGCGGGTTCGATCGAGAATAAACCGGGTTATTGCGTTTAACCTGTCACATGGTCCCGGTGAGTATAGGGTCTCCGAGTTCGGTGCGGAGGAAAGTTGGAGACGTTGATTGATCATTGGTCCATTATGGTCTCTTCACCAGCCTCCAGCTTCACTCGGCGCAACTCCGGATTTTGTGTTCTTTTTCTCCGCACAGAGCGTACATATGAATATTGCAGTTCCCTAACTACTACATCGAGATTCATATAATCAACAGTTCATGAGCTTGGTATATAGCAGGTCAATTCTGGCTAATACTCCAGATGTATGCGAACATTCCTCTATATGATGTACCCTCTACCCGTTATCCCGCGCATAAACTTGCCTATTTCAGGTACTCCCCATAGTCTTCCCCATAAATGCACGGTTCTCTATAGCTTTCCATAAACTCAATCAGGAATTGGAGAAATTGTTGCATCCAGCTATAGCTCCATGCTGGCAATACTACATATGTATTTATGAGAGTAAATGAAGGTGACCAATAAACTATCTACACCTGCATATGTAGCGGTGTGTCATGGCCCGCTGCCGGACCTCGCGGGTACTTACTCTGACATCAGTCAGTTATCATTTGCTTCACCGGAAGCCAAGCCTGTCAATAGTGCTTCAGGAAACTGACATGAGGTGGCTACCATTACCTTCAGATACAATTAGTTCATGCGAGTAATAAGTCCATATGTCAAGCCAATTTAGCCATGTTCCATGTTAGGCCTACTTATATCGGACCTTTGAGTTGATTTTGCATAGAACCTTCTATCATCGAAATCCAAAGATGAAGCATACAACAACAATATTCTATAACTTCAGCAGGCCAAAAGTGATGACTTCCAAGATTCCCTTGTCGCTATTTTGTATAGCTACAGATGTATGTATATATGTTTTACGGACCCATAAATTTCCCTGCACTTCATAGGCTATCCACCTCACTTTGATACTAGACTCGAACAGCTTACAGGTGAAGACCTCGGTCCAGTCCTTTGTGGTTCTGATATGCGTTGTTGATCTACAAAGAACCAAAAGCCTTCTATGCCATAGGCATCCTCTTTGATTATTCCAAGTCCCTGGGTTTCGAGTATAGCAAGGACAGCAAGAACAGCGTGAACAACGTGGACAACAATGACGGCACGTATTCCATATCCTCGAAATTAACATCAGTTTATATATAAACACTTTTGTTTGCCATCTTAACATAACCATCATCTCTCAACACAGCTTCCCTAAGGACGAGGATTTTCAAGGACCAGCATATCCTTCTGATCCACAATGGTCGGGAAGGTGGAAAATACGCTAAAAACCAAGAAGGTCTTGCACGGAGCCTCACGTCCCCAGACAAGCGCCCATGGTTCATCCGGACTGTACGTTTCATGTGGTAGTTAGTCAGTTTCTCAGCTCTTCTGTACATGTCTGATATACGATCTTGATTGATCTGGTAGGTCTTCAAAATCAGGCCCTAGGATGGGCATTTCACTCGTTTCTCATCACTATTCAATCTTTTTCTTTTCAAGCTCTTCCTCCTTACTCCGGATATAGTAATGTTTTGGTAAATATGTACTCCGTAAACCATGTGTCGTGGATTTGTGATCTATAAATAGAATATATTCAGTGCCATTGGCCACGATATTGCGTACTTGAAATAACCATCGAGACAGCAAAGAGTGATATATGCACACAACCTCTCGAATACCTAGGTAAGATCGTCGCCTTTCCCCTGGGCACGCAATACTATATTCTTAGAGTGTCTGCTCCATACAACGATTTACCATTATATGTCTGGGGTCTGGTGGCAGAAAACATATTTCCCCAACCTTGTCAAATGAGATAAGCCAAGAGAGAATTCGATAGTGCGTATGTGTGGGGATTCATTGCAATATTGTGTCCAAAGCTCAGCCCAATAATGTTTGGTGGTGATTCAGTGAATAGTTGCCATTTCTAGTCACTGTGATACCGCGGAGGTATCACGACTTGCAAAGTAGTCGTCACATATATTGTATCACTTAATATTGCACAATGAACATTGCACAATGAATATTGACTTGTAGTGGTTTGCCTCTATTGTTGGATTAAGCATCGAATCACGCAGAGGTTAAAAATCAATTCAACGCAGAGCGAAAATATAGTCCCAAGTGCACAGCGCTGCATGGCAATTCATAGCCTGTTTGGACACCCTCCACATTCGATGTATAAGAATGGGGTCTCCAGTGTAGATGTTGATTGGATATCGAAATGGAGGCTTCTAAAGTTAGAACACTAAACTGTGATGGATTGGTGATAGTGCCATGTCATGCATATAGTAGGCGCTTAGGTACAAGAGGAAGTTGTTGGTTGGTCCAAGCCCTCACTTCTCCCCTCTTATATATACCTAGTCGCCCCTTTCCCCAATCTCCCAGGAAACTATTTTTTTACATTGTGTTTGAGGTTTTCTATTTTTGTTTTTTTCCCCTTCTATTTCTGTCTTGCGCTTTGGCTGGTCCAGGTGGTTTCGTTCAAAGTTCTATCTAAATCGCCATCTACGTCAATTATTTGTTTCTCGCATTTTGGATATCTTTGTTGATCAAAGTCTCCTGTGCAAAGTAACTACTACATCACTTTTCAATTTCGAACCTTTCGAGGTTTATCAATTCGTCGTTATGTACAACTCTGCCCGTGTCATGAAGCCAAAGCTGTCTTTGAGCATCTCTGCTGCGCAGAATGCTACCCGGCCTTCTTTGTCACTAAAGTCACCAAGTGCTATGGTTCGCACTCCCTTCTCGCCAATGTCCACTGCGAGCCCAACCAGCAAGATATTCTCGTCATTGCAAGTACCAACATGTGGATACATAAACTCTTGCTCCGCGAAGAGCATCCTTAAGAAGCCGAAGCTATCCTCGCCAAGCGCTCCCCAGGAAAGTGCTGCTCAGAAAAACGTTCAACTGCAACAGACACCGATTGTCTACTGCGTGACACCTATTGAGAATCCTGACGAATATTACGGCCAGCATGTCAAGATGACCCGAGAGGAGCGCCGATGGAGGGTTCAACAGTGAGCCGAGTTTCGAGTTTTGTAGCACCAATTACCGATTATTATGACCAGTTACTGTGCATCGCTGGGTTCATGATCAGCCAGAAGCTAGGTATGGTTAGGGGCATATAATTTGCCCCTGCAATGATGCCTCGATGCCCCAGCCCTTGAATCATCCTCTAAACTTCAAGAAACATCTTCGATATCGGTACTTATGGAAACGACAAGAATTGGTGCAACATGTTACACTAAGCCCGAGTCTCGAGACTACCTTTGGGCTGGCTACGCTTGTAGTCCGCACGTTCCTGGCCCAGAGTGTTCGCTATGTACAATATATCTTGGTAACGACTCGGGCTGTTCGATACATCATACTACACGCCTGCCTATGAGAGAAGTGATGAAAGAGTGGTTTTGAACACTCAGTTTTATGACGTTATGATGCGATCTGGAGGATTTCTTTAAATAAGCTTGTTGAATTCAGACATTCTTTTCTTGCACGCAATTTCAATAGCTTACCCTTATCTGCCTTTTACCAAATATTTACTGAAACACCAATTGAAATGACTCTATATTCTGTAGTCAGCGATATATGGTATAATACGTAGATCACCACATATTGCCGTTTTTGTACACGTATTAGGGCACCGATCGAGGGCTTCCCCGGCCCGTGCGCGTTCATCTTTTCCGCCCCTGTTCCCCGGCTTGACTTTGAGCACCTCACCAATGTTATTCTCGGCGAGTCCTGCTGCGACATTACGCAGGTCAGCACTAGGCGGTTTGAGGACATGTTTGGCCTGCCGCCGAGGGTTGCTTACGCTCGCAATCGAAACATCATGGTAAGCAGAGCGCTAACTTCATCTAAAAGCCCAGACCAATCAATCTAATTGCCTGAAACAGTGATGATACCTCAGTTGCGATCGTCGAAAAAACAAAGAAAGCCAACGGCCATGCAGCCAAGATTCATTTCCTCGAAAATATAACGGCCGACACGCGCGCGCATCGTGGTATCCATCCTATCATCGCTCTCGAATCCCACCAGGAACATCTCGCAACCCTTGTACAGAAAGCCCTTAACTATCTACCTAAGTCACAATCAGGCAATGGCCTCAAAGTATCAGATGGATCCAATCGCTGCATACCGGATTTTATATCTGCGACCAGGGGCCCCGGCATGCGATCCAACCTTTCCGTTGGTCTCGACACCGGAAAAGCGCTCTCGGTTGCATGGCAGATCCCCATGCTCGGGGTTCACCACATGCAGGCACATTTGTTGACGCCCCGGCTCGTCTCATGTTTAGAGAACGAAGCCAATCCCAATCCCGACCCCCAGCAATGGCGCCTGAATTCCCCTTCCTATCCATTCTCGTTTCCGGAGGTCATACTATGCTGGTTCAGTCCTCGCGCCTAACGGAGCACAAGATCCTCGCCACAAGTGGAGATATAGCTATGGGGGAGGCTCTTGATAAATCCGCGCGAGAGATTGTGCCCGCTTCTTTGCTACAGGATGCTAAAAGCACAATGTACGGCAAGACGCTGGAGAAGTTCGTCTTTCCGAATGGCAAGGCCGATTTTGCGGACTACAAGCCTCCTGGAACTCGTGGCGAGGAATTGGTCAAACACACGAGCCAGTGGGGTTGGTCTCTTACCACCCCGTTTGCGAATACGCGGACGCTGGAGTTTAGCTTCTCTTCGATATCGAGCATGGCTGGCAAAATCATCACTAAAAGTAGTGCGAGTGCCGAAATATCGCATGACGAGCGTGTCGCTCTGGGTCGGGAAGTCATGCGTGTTGCTTTCGAACATCTTGCTTCGCGGACTGTCATTGCCCTGGAAGCCCTGAGGCCGCATAACACCGGCGAGGATAAGATCAAGACCCTTGTTGTTAGTGGTGGTGTTGCGGCCAACCAATTTCTCATGAAGGTGCTCCGGTCGTTCTTAGATGTGCGCGGGTTTGAAGAAATCAAGGTCGTTGCTCCGCCTCCGTATTTGTGCACTGACAATGCAGCTATGATTGGTTGGGCTGGAATCGAGATGTTTGAGGCTGGGTGGAGGTCCAATCTCAGCTGTCGTCCTTTGCGGAAATGGTCACTCGATCCACAAGCCGAGGATGGAGGAATCCTCGGCCCTGGAGGCTGGATTCAATAGTGATCCCTGACGTTGGATGGCAGTGGCTTCAGATCTGTATAATTAGTGATATACCCCCTTGTATAAAACTGTGTAAAATAGGCACTCTCAACCTCATACGTCCAGTCCATAATCACATACCGAGGAAACAGCACATTAGGGATTGTAATGAAGAAATTTGAATAGGTTTCATAGTGCATTATTGACATGTAAGACCCATAATCATCAGAGACGCCTATGCCATGTAACCTCCGAGACCACTTATCACCCATGCATCCTCTACTGTGGGGTATCGAAGATGCGCCGTTGCAACCCATGAAAACGAACCAAACTCGCGACCGGCAGACTGTGCAATACAAGTATTTCGAGGAAAAAAATTCGTAATCGTCATGATCAGCCGCCGACAGGCGGGCCACCTCGCTGTAGTGTAGCAATCTGTTTTCGAAGCTCTAGGAAGAAATCCTTTCCGTTCGCCATCAATTGTGCTGCAGAGAATGAACGTTATTGACTATTCAAGGGAGCTGTGATCCTGTTATATAGAAAGACACTGTACCTTTGGGGCCCGACGTAGATCGTTGGTTTGCGCCGTCCTTTGAGGTGGCTTTGTAGGGAGTGCATGATTTGGTTTCTGTGGCGATAGCGCATATGTTAGGTTTGGTCAGGTAATAAGGCATAGAAAGAGCGTACCTCTAGGTCCTGTTGAATAGCAAGTTTTTGATCAGTCATGTTCTTGATATACTAGATGATGCATACACCTACCCTTCTTTAAGATGTTCTTGACCTCCGCAGTGTTGAAGCCCCGTACAGGGACATGCTGCTCCTGTGGAGGCTGCGATGCTCCCCACGCATTGTTATTCTCGCGTGCGCCTCCTTGTCCAGCTGCCTTGTCACGGTTGGCGCGCTGGGATGCCTGGCGACTGGGTCCGCCCCGCCATCTAAGACAACGTTTAGCGGAAGCTCTCAGATGGGACAATGTGTTGTGGCAAATGCGTACTTATTATCATTGGGACCGCTCATATTTGGGGATATTATGCAAAAAAGAAAATGTCGAGTCTAAACAAGGGATTGTCGTAAGTAGCTCAGAAAGGAAAGGTGTGGATAAGTCGCATGCGGAGAGTTGGAGTTAAGATTGGCGCCTAAGGCCAAAGTTCAGCTCGGGTGGCTCCGCCTTGGATAAACACATCATCGCGACTTTCAGCCCTGGAGCATCTACGGGCTTTGACGTTATTTGCGTCTAATAATTGTTTCTAGTTGGATGTCGCATGACTGGCGGTTGCGATCTATACATTCCACGAGGCTCTGTTTGAGTTGGCCTCAGACGCGACTTGAGGACCCCCCGTCGGATTAACAATCACCAATCCCGACGATCAACATACAGGTCCGAAAGTTGGTCGACAAATGGCGCCAGCTGTCCGACATTCAAACTCCGGTCGACCACCACGCAGAAGACCCCGATCCTCTTTGAAATCATCAATTCGCGACTCCTCCGATTCCCCTGAGGGACCTCTTTCCAAGAAACGAAGGTACATTCCTGGCGGCCCTGGTGGAGGTGGAAGGTTTATCGAGGTCGACGCTGCAGCTGCTGCAGTCAACGCTGTTCAAGGAACTCCTAAGAAAATAACTGCCCCACGACGCCACACTACCAGTGCCCGAGGTCGGCCACCTCGCGAGATGGAACAACCACTGCTAGCCCCTCCGCCGCCACCCATCATCCCAACAACACCACCCTCCATGTCGCGTCCAAGGCGCGAAAAGAATCAAAATCGCGGTCGCTACCCCTCATCCACGGCTGCTGCTCTTGCTCTACAACAGGGCGATGGGTATAAACCACGGGAAGAGCGTGGGTGGGAAGAGTTCCACCCTGACTTGGACATTGATGGCCAACTCGCCGTCTTCACTTCGGAGGAGGTTGATGCCCAGGATACTTCCATACACAACTTGACCCTACAATCACTAGCTGGCGTGACGATTTTAGACCATTCAGGGTCGCCAGTCGTCGTCTCTAGTGAAAACGCTTCTCCGATCCCACTCAAACGCAGACCTGGTCGTCCGCCGCGTCGCCCGGAAGCTATTCTCAATGCGCTTCTCGCCCAGCAAGGGCATAAGAGAATCCCACCCCCGGGCCCCAACCCCCGAGAGAAGCTAACACTGCCGAAGCCGTCGTTCAGATTGCGCGACCCTTTCACATTTTACGAAAAGAAGGGTATTGGCCATCAGAACTATGTTGACCGAACTATGGCAAATGTCGGATACCAGGAGAGTGATTTGTTCCTCCGCCACGACCGACGCTTTATTCGAATGACCGAAGGCACACAGGAGGACGACCTCGATGTCATCCAACCTGCCATGACAGATGGCGACGTCAACACAACGATTGGACGTGTCGAGTATGACATGGATGAGCAAGATGAAAAATGGCTGGAGGAATACAACGCCAAGCGCCGCGAAGACCAGCTTGAACCCATCAAGCCTGCTATATTTGAAATCACCATGACTAAGATTGAGAGGGAGTGGCATGCTTTAGAGAAGCGGATTCCGAAGCCAAATCCAAAACCACCACAGACTGGACGTCCTCGCTCTAGCTCCGCTGCAGCAGTCAATGGTGAAACTGCTGGACCCGGCGAGGAACAAGACAGCAAATGCGCAATCTGCGACGACGGCGACTGTGAAAACTCCAACGCAATCGTTTTCTGTGACGGGTGCGATCTTGCAGTGCATCAGGAGTGCTACGGTGTACCCTTCATTCCAGAAGGCCAGTGGCTTTGCCGCAAGTGCCAATTGTTGGGAAGAGGCTCCACGAACTGTATATTCTGCCCGAACACCGAAGGCGCATTCAAGCAAACAACCTCTTCAAAATGGGCCCACCTCCTCTGCTCTTTTTGGATTCCCGAGGTTTCTATCGGGAACCCGTCACTTATGGAGCCGGTGACCGACGTTGAAAAAGTCCCCCGTAGTCGCTGGAAGTTGAACTGCTACATCTGTAAGCAGCGGATGGGTGCATCTATCCAATGCAGCAATAAGAACTGTTTTGTCGCTTTCCATGTCTCCTGTGCGCGCAGAGCCCAGCTATATCTAAAGATGAAAGTTGGCCATTGTCTCATGGACTCTCATCTTCTGAAGGCTTTCTGTGACAAGCATGTTCCGCCTGAATGGCGACTTGAGCACGGTACTGATGCCGCAACTGCTGATGCTATTGAGTACTACCGCAACACCATGCAGGGTCGCCGCTGGGGAGATAGCCAAGCTGCGGCACTTTCTATGGGCCCGGCACACCCCACCGAGGGAGGAGACGATGATCGCACCCTGACTCCTCGTATCACTTTGACTGTAGGTGGTAATAAACGGAAGCGTGTCCCCAGAATGATCTGGAAGCTCCCCTCGGGCGCTCCGGTGATTCCTCAGGTTGTCCTGAATTCGGTTATTGCTTCTCTCGGGCGATTTACAGTTCGTCAGAGAAAGCAATATGCCGAAGATGCATCCAAGTATTGGACCTTGAAGCGCGAGGCGAGACGTGGAGCGGCATTGCTCAAGAGACTTCAGCTTCAGCTGGAGACCTTCTCGTCCATGGAAATGACACGCCGAGACTACGTAGCTATGGGTGTTCCTGGATACAGGCGTCTGGAGCGTCGCATTGAATTTGGAGAGCGGCTTTACAAGGATCTTGATCGACTGAGAATGCTTTGCGACGAAGTCAAGAAACGAGAAAGGGAGAAGTTAAAGGATGCCGAGATGCTTCGCAACATCGTCGATCTTGTTTACTTCCCTATTTTCCCACTACTTTGGCCAATCTTTGAGAAAGCACAAGTGTAAGCAAACTCCTCTATTTTCTTTTTTCTTTCTCTTCTGCTTTTGAATTCACACTGACTTTATTCTAGGCTTGATTCCAAAGGTGTCTTTGCCGCGGGCTTGCTGTCAATTCGCGAGAGACTCAAACGACGATTCTACCCATCCGTTGCCACATTCTCTTCCGATCTCGCCAGCCTTTTTACATCAGAAATCGGAGTGGGGCCTGCTGGCGACACCGCAGAACTCCAGGCACAGATCAGTGGACGTGCCCCAGAGCTCAGTTTGGAGCAACGCGAGAAGAGAAAACTAGCCAAACGCATCATCAAGGTCATTCAGCCTTCCCTCGAAGATGCGATTCGAAAGGAGAGCGAGTTGAACCGCAAACCATTCGAGAAAGAATTAAAAGAACTGGACGTGATTCTTGACCACAGCGTGATGTCTCGCAGCGGTGATAGCGTTGAGCCAGAAGGCGACTCCGAGCTGCCTGGTGACCACGATGCTATGGAGGGCGTTGAACAGACTGGTCCTACGACAGAAGCTCCATCCGATGCCCAGCCTGTTCCAGACCAGGGACAACCCGAAGCTAGCGCAGAAGATATGCCACCCACGGAAGAAACCACAGCGAATGCCACGACATATTACCGACACCCGACACCTATTTTGACTGAGCAGGATCAACAGCTTCCTTTGGCTATGGGTGGTATCCAGTGGTACATGCAGCCATTCGACCCGGTTGGAACGACTGTTCACGAGGAACGCTGGACCGGGCGTGATGTTATGCGTGGCATGAGCGAAGAGCTAAGTGATATGGATGAAGAGGAACTGGAAGGATTGAAGGACTTGGTGGATGATGGAGATCTGCCGAGCCAGGCCAATGGTGTCAATGTCAATGGCACCAAGGGCCCGACTGCCTCACAGCAGAATCAGCGTCAATCTCGACGTCTGCGAACTCGTTGATCATTGGCAATGCGGCGTATGGTATCCTGGGATTTGATTTTAGCGTTTATTCCAAGGGAGTTTCATGTGTTTTTGTAATTTGACAACTGAAGCTTTTAATGATTTCACTCAGTGCGCGGCGTAGATAGTGTTGACCCCAATCAACGGATTACAAGGGGAATGTTTAGACTATCGTAAATACTTATTGATCAATACAACAAATGCCCCCCTGCTTCAATGGCTTTCTTTGATACGAAGATTTGAAAGAGTTGTAGCCAAGTTGTGAAATAGTTGATGCCTGATATTTCGGGTGCGAAGCACGGGTGCTTAGCGTTATCAGCTTCCCGACTTCTTTCTTCCTTCTTCCATTCTACACCCATCAGTCCTTTCATCATGGCTGACTACGAGAATGATTCTAGCCGCTATGCGGGTAAGTATATCACATCATTTTGGTTGTGCGCACGGAAAGATGCTCATTTAATAAATTAGACGAGCCCCGTTACGACCGCGATCGCAGCGCCTCCCCTCGCGATGAGCCCCGAGCCGACCGCGACCGCGCTCGCAGCCGTTCACCCAACGGCCGCTCCGATGATAGGTTTGTATTTCTCTGATATTTTCTATCAAATCTTATTCTAATTAAATCTATTTTGGCAGAGCTCCTCCCGCTCGCAAGCCTATTGAGGAAGAGGATGAAGGTGCCCTCAACAGCGGTTCCAACCTCTTTGTCACTGGAATTCACCCTCGTTTGACTGAATCTGATATCTCCCGTCTCTTTGAGAAGTACGGCGATGTTGACAACTGCTCAATCATGTTGGACCCTCACACTAAGGAGTCTCGTGGATTTGGTTTCGTGAACATGGTCACTGCCGAGCAGGCTGACGCCGCTAAGGAGGGTCTTCAGGGTGAAGTCATTGAGGGTCGCACTTTGAGCATCGAGAAGGCTCGCCGTGCCCGTCCCCGTACCCCTACCCCCGGCAAATACTTCGGTCCCCCCAAGCGTGGTAAGTTTCACCAACTCCTTGCGTCTTGCGTAAGCTGACATTTCTTTTTTCCAGATGGCCCTGGTCCTCCCGGTGGTGGTCGCGGAGGTGGCCCTCGCCGTGATCGTTACGATGATCGCCGCGGTCCCTCCGGTGGCGGCGGTGGCTGGCGCCGTCGCGATGACGACTACTCTCGCTACGGTCGTTATGACTCTTACAATGATCGCCGCGAATATGGCCGTGACTACGGCCGTGACTACGGACGTCGTGACTACGGAGGTGGTGGCGGCGGTGGCCGTGACTATGGCCGTCGTGAATCTCGTGATGACTACGGTGGTTACCGCGGTGGAGGTGGTGGTGGTGACCGCTATGGTGGTCGCGATGACCGCTACAGCCGTGATGACCGCCGCGGCGGCGGCGATGAGCCCCGTGGTGGAGGTGGTGCCGGTAACGGTGGCTACTATGATCGCGACGCCAACCCTCCTAGCTTTGACGCTGCTGGTCCTCCCCGTGAGGCTCGTGACCCTTACGCTGGCGGTGCTGGACGTTCTTACGAAGGCCAGGCACGCAGCAGCACTGGCGGCGGCGGCGGTGGCGGCGAGGATCGTTACGCCGGCAGGTAAAGTGTTTCCCCTTGTTTTCTAACCAAAAGGAGAGAGACTGGTCTTTGAGTGTCTCCTGGTTCCTGGTTCCTTTGTTTCACCACATGCCCATTTCCAATCCACTTTTTTTGTTGCTCGAAATTGTTTTTTTAATGCGGGATTTGGGCGACGGGCCGCGGGGCGTCGCTGTCTTTTTGTGAATTGCTTTCGCATCTCATCTCGACGATAATCGGGACCACCATCGGCCTGCGACTCGAAAACTTCATCGGCTCACATTTCGGTTGCTTCATGATGTGTCTCTTTTATGTCTTTTTGCGACGCGACTTCGGGAAACTTCTAGCGGCAAAGGAAAACAAAACAATTATCGCTGTAATTCGGTTATCTCATGGGTCAGCAATTTCGTCACACACCTACAACTCTACACCTTCACACACCATCTCCAGTAACGGCTCGATTGTATTCGGCTCCTCTAAACAACTGAATGATCAATTCGCCCTTCGCCAAAGCCGTCGACTTTGCGCTTGTAGTATCCTTAAACTGCAGGTTTAAATCGGTGATAACGGAGTGTTGACCCAGCTTTGGTCAATCACAAGGTAGGATTTGTTTCGCAAGCTGACCTATCTAGGTTAAAAAAGTACTTGCCGATTGGCTCTTTGTTCTTTTTGGCCTGTCACAGGGTTCTCGCAGACTTGGCAACTACCATGTCTTGAAATCAATATCTACATACATGTGTGTGAAGCTACTTACGAGGCAGTATGTCCCTAGCCAAGCTCCTATAGACTCAAGCTCGGCTTGATCTGGAGCTTTGGCATGAGGTTTACATGCTTCATAGCAGAACCGCCCAGTATGATTATGTTCAGATTTAACGCTTGGTCACATCAGAGAGACCCTGGGAACAAAGACTCGGGTACCTAGACTTGAGGTCTTTCAATTGTGTTTAATTGATTATAGGTGGCTTGGCCCGTACCATGGCCCCCTGTCTTTGTTCCCAGAGCGCTTTGATAATGATCATGTGTTGCATGTATAGGCTTTTGGTATCCCTGTGGCAATATAGCAAAATCATTTGGCTTTTTTCTACCTGTGGTTGTTAGGAGCAGAACTTCAGACAGTCAATTGGTGATCAAATGCCTTCATGGCGTAGAATTAGGCCTCCGGTGTGGTTGAAATATAATACAAAGAGAGATGAAGCAGTGCTGTCTTTGCCTCTGTATAGCTTGCCGCAAAATGATAGCTATAAAGCAACACGTTGAGCACGGAATATGCACTTGGAACAAAAGTCAAACAAAATCAAAGAACAGCCCCAGACCAGCTGATTTAGCGCCGTTGAACACCAGAGACAATTAAGCCTTTCTCTATTCCCCTCTACTCCGATTCCTTCTTAGTCTCTCCCTCTACTTCACTGCTCTTTTGAAGCAAGAATTCACCAAGCACACGAAGAGGATTGGCAGGTCTATAAATTGCGAAAACACCAAATTAGTATGATACCCAGCGACAAATAAGGTTAGCTCATGGATTCGACCCACTGTTCCCTCGCAACAGACTTCATCCCCTCGAGTAGATGCGGCACAACCTTTTCATTCAGATAGACCCGGGCAGGCGCACCGCCGGGACGGACCTGACCCGCATTGATGTTGCTCAAATCGCCCAGAGGCGTGCTAGCTCCGTTTGTTTCACCCATTGCGGTGGGTTTCGATTGCGAGTGTGGTGCTGCCAAGGATGGTGGATCTGCTGTCACAGCTCTGGGAGGGCTGCAGAGGTTAATCGAAACCTGGGGTTGTGTAGAGAGAATGTGAGAGTAGGAGTAAGGTTAAAGGTGGGATTCGGAGCGGAAGCTGTGGAGCTCGGTGTCGATCTGCTGTGATAGATAAAAAATAGTGAAGAGCCTTACTGCTATAGATGTCATTCTTATGAAAATAGCCGAGGGAGGTATTTATATTTCTTCTTATTCATTTGAGATTCTCTGCTTTTTCTTTCCTTTTTAATTTTACAGACCAAACTACCAACCTGTAACTAAGTTGTGCTGGAGATATACGAGTGACATTGAAGACAAACGAGTCAAACATCCTTAATAGAGCTGTATCGACCACGTGATCTCGCGCTCCGAACCTGTTGGCGCGACACGTCTCCGCGAAATCGAGACATGAATCATTGAGATAGGTTGCATTCATGGACCGCGATTATGTCCCTGTTGAATTTCTGGGACACAACACGTCCCTTGAAACGCCGCCGAACCTCTGAAAAAGAGGATGCCATTACAGATGCAGAGGTCAAACAACCTAGTCCAAGTCCTTCAATCACGGGAGAAACCCCTGCTGCAGATAATTTAGACCATATTCCCAACAGTCAGACGGACCTCGAAACTTCCCTTCCCGAGATTAAAACCGATGAAGATGCGATTGAGGAATATGAGGCCTCAAAGGACTCCCATTTGGGACTACACGTGAGATTGCGAGATGGAGCCTGGCAGAAAGGCCAAAGCTCCATCTACGTTGATGCTTTCAACCTGGCACTGGAAACTGTGCTAGATGAGGAATCCCATCTGTTTAGCGTGCCCGAAATGGAAATATTCGCTCAATGGCGGAAGCTGTCCTACGAGTCTCAATATCTGTATGTTCTTGTAGATTGCCTCAGGTTCTGTGACAATGTTGACAATTGACCAGTTATGTCCGATTGTTCCTTCGCAAGACCTCTGCATGGCATCGTATCACCAAATTGAATTATTACTCCGATATATCAGATTTGTTCTCAGTTGCCGAAGACCTGCAGCGAGACCGGGACCTGCCTGATTCAGAAGTTGGACAGACATTCAGGTTTGCAGAGGGAATTGAAGAAATAAGAACGCTGGAAGAGGCTTCGTCGCTTCTACTACTGGAAGAATTGAAGATATTTGCGAAAGAGGCCAAAGTTCAAGGCAAAAGCAAAAAGGAGCTTGTGGCAGCTCTTTGCGAAACGAGCCAGATCCAGACCGGTCTCAAAGGCGCGGATAATAGAGATGCTCATTTCACCCAGAAGATATTGGAATACACAGGTGAATGTATCAGGCTTTCATCAGTACCTCGCGCCCTCTTCGAGCGAGTACACCTGGTCTTCTACCGCTCCACAGAATGGACCGAAAAGTCCCTCACAACCATTATCCTGGCCAAAATGACCAAAAGAAACTTCCCTGAATACATCGTTTGCCGCTCGAATTCCATCTTCGCGTCCAGAGAAGCACTATTGGAATTCGAGTCAGCCATACAAACTCAATTTACCGTTGACAACATTCTCGAATTCAATGGCCCGCCCGCCACAGAATCACTTCAACATATCATTGATCTAGCGAACAAATTCCACCCTCGATGGAAAGAGCTAGTTAAGCAGGAGCAACAGAAAGAAGACAGTATTTACGAAAGCGGCGAAGGCGCCTACCTCCGTCGCTTTTCACCAGCATGGGTGCTCACAAGAATCATCCACAAAAGTCTCCAGCCGCTCGCTCGGTTCAAGGAGCATAAACGCGAGCATGAAGTCCTTGAAGAACTTCTTTCCCAGCGCCTCTTCCACGCTGCACGCCGCGGCGCTTGGTACCAACGTAAAGCATTACTAGAAGAGCATTACATGTGGGCGCTTACAGCGGCCGATGGCCGCAGCGAGGAGGCCCAGCGCAAGTACTGGAAGAGAATTGCACTACGGACTTGCGAAGCGGGGTTGGAAGACCCTCTGTGCCATTTGATCTTTCACTATGACTTACAGAAGCGAATCACTAAGTTGGAAAAGGCGCTTAGGGTAGTCAAGCGCGAGCAGCATGAGTTCGGGCATGTAATGCTTGGGAAACCAGCCGAGCGAACGATTGAGGGGATCCGTGTGGATACGGACGATCTTCCCCGGAAAGGAGAATCAAAGAAAGGCAAACCGACTATCTGGATCGATGAGAGAGAAGGGGGCGAGTGTAGGGTTGAGAGTATGTGCTTGAGCTGGTATCGCGACCAAGGCTGGAAGGGATATCACTCCGAGGGTGGTATTGTGCGGACGCTGGTGAGTGAGATCCCACACGGCCGGATACTGCAGGAAACTGACCTTGATGAGCAAGTTTGGTTACCTCTTCTACGACATACTTTTCACGTACGTGCCGAACGTCTTCCAGACGGCATTCCAGACCTGTCCGCTTGATCTGCACACGGATGTATTCTATCCGTCTCGCGCATCGGAGATCAACCACCGCTTGGTGGAGATTACGAATGGCGATGCAGAGCGCATTGTCCGTGAGATCCATGGTCTGCACTCGGATGCGCAGCCCTGCGTTGTTGGACTCGATTGGTCTTTTGATCTGGAGGACTTGGTGGAGATCGTGCAGTGCTTCCGCGGCGAGGCGCTTGCTACTATCTGTAAGGTCATGGCGCAGGAGTACCAGCAGCGTGGCGGAGGTATCCCGGACTTGTTTCTCTGGAATTATGAGACAAAAACTGTGATGTTTGCTGAGGTTAAGTCGGAGAACGATCGTTTGAGCGATACTCAGCGCCTTTGGATCCATATCTTGTTGGCGGCGGGTGTCAAAGTTGAGCTTTGTAATGCTGTTGCGTCGAATCAGATCAAGGGTTAGGTGTTGGAATCAAATGATACCATGTAAATATTAGTCTTACGATTTCATGAATTTTATACTATGCAGTTCCTCATGCAGTCTTTGGGGTGATTGACCATACAGCGGAGTCAGAATTCTATCTATAGAGTATAGGCAAGCTGACTTTGTATAGTTCTGGCTAGGTATAGTTTCTTGCATCCTGTCTCGACTCTATGGAGCACGCGAGCATCAACAAGTGCTGCTCTATATCTACTGCGCGGAGATGCCGATCTAGAATCCCAAATACGCTACATCTACGAGAAAGATCTAAAGCGTTCGTGAACAGGGTATCAAATAATCGTAATCCTTTTTGTTGTATCTAGAAGAAGATAAACCCCCAGATACGGCGATCACGACGATCCAACGGGTTTCCTCCATCACCACACATCCTCCTAAATACGCTTATGCGACAAGGGTGGAAGCGGTGGCGCTCTCGTAGCGCCAGGTGGGGGGCAGGACACCGACGGTCTTGTAGTAGCGGGACAGACGGTGGATGCGGGACTCGATGAGAATCAGGCGGAACTTGGAGTCCTTGTCCTTGCGGTTACGCTCAAGGTGCTTGCGGACAGCGACGGCCTGGGAAATCAATGGTTAGCATATTCTGCACAGGCTGCAATGCAACCAAAAAAGAGGGAGGAAAAGATTTTTTTTTTCTTTACCTTCTTGATCAGGAAGTAGAGGTCCTCGGGGAGTTCGGGAGCGAGGCCTGTATTCCAATCTCTCTGTCAGTCTAGATGTTCTTGACCAAGCAGAGGCTTAATTGCTGGTGCATTTCTGCGACCAGTGTCTGGGAGAGAGTCGATCATTGCGCTTCGAGACTTGATGATTCTTTTACCGAACCAGAAAAGTCTTTCCACGCCAATGTTCGCTCTCTTCACCTGACGGGTGTAATTCTAACGAGGGGAGTCGTACCGCTGGACTTCAAGATACGGAGGATCTTGTTACCTAGAGCAAAAAGCATGTTAGCAAATTTTTCAATCCTTCCATTTTCAAGGGCGCAATTTTTTTTCGGAATTCCATACCAGTAACAATCTTGACCTGGGCAACACCGTGGGAGTCACGGAGGACAACACCGATCTGGGAGGGGGTGGCACCCTTCTTGGCCAGCTTGCAGATGTGGTCAACAACCTGGTCGGGGGTGGTCTTGAGCCATGCGGGAGGGGCGCGAGAGTAGGGGAGAGCGGAGGAGGCAATGCCCTTGCCCTTGCTGTGAAGACGACCCATTTTGATTTGGTGATGTGTTCCGGAGGAATTGTCGGTTGGCGTGGATGAGAAGATCGAAAATCGCTGAAGTGGAAGTGGAGGAGGGAAAGATGGGTCTGTGTGGGGTCACGTGATCCATTCGCTTATTTTTGGAGCAAAACTTCACTTCCTTTTCTTTCGCTTTTCCTTTCAACTTCAACCATCTCAACAATCTCAAGTTCGCTTTTGAATTGACTGGAATCAATGTGTTCTGGTTCAATTTGAGTCCGAATTTGTGTTTTTTTAACGCTTATCGACAACCAATTCGATGACTCGCCACCAATATCAGGTCAGTACACTACTTTTTTTTATGCTCAACCTTCTACCACCTTTTTTTATCATGATGATACAACGCATTTGTTATTACTTTATTTTCTGGTACCTCTTATGTCAGCGCTAGCGTTTTCGGACGTTAGCACGATGATCTAACTGGACTTCTGATCAACTCTTCTTCCACTTGAACACTTGTGATTTAAGTTGCTGGACCGTTTACTAACTACGGTTATAGGCATTGATATCTTAGTACAACTCAGAATAATGAATCCGAATATAATTGTTTCACTAAAAAATCTCTTGACCGTATTCCGTACATTCTCATCTTTGATATACAAATCGAGCTTTATAATATACAAATATTCCCATGACAACATAATAGTATAGTTTATTCATCATTGACAAGTTCAAGACCGTAATCGCTTCGACATTCTCCGTGTTTCCGTAGTTTGAGCAACAGGAAATATGTCGTCGGCCTTCTTTCGCTTCTTGCTAGGCGTGTTTGCAGCATGCTCTGGTACATCTTCAACCTTGAACTTTACATCGACGTCTTCTTCCTTTGACGTCTTCAAAGTAAGGCCAGTGGTCACTTGCGTCTCAATTTTAACCTCGGACTGTTCTTCTTTGACACGCACATCAACCTTCTTTGTGGCAGCAAGCTTGTCTGCAAAGGTGCGTAGGTCCGCAGTGAAGAGTACACTATGAGCCCAACCAGCCTCTTTGCCCCAAAGTTTGCGGAAATGATTGGCAACAGCATCATAGGTCGTCTTGTTCAAGGTCTTGTTCGAGCTTTTCGCAAATTTGTAGTCTCGCTGGGCGATTTGCCACACTGTAGCTAAGGTCAGATAAAAGCCATACGCCGTATCGAGAGAACTTACCGTGAGTATCAACGGGGACGGACTCTCCCCAGCCTAAGCCCATGAGGCTGACACAATCTGATACCTTTGGGCCGACACCTTGTAGCTCAAGAAGCTTCATGTGGGCCTCCCGGTATCCCTCTCGCCCCTCTGGTTTCATCTCACCACTGGGCTTTGGCTCCACGCCGAAGGCTGGACACTCGGGGTTACTTAAACTGTCAAGCCAGCCATTCTCCCGGTTGGATACCATGACAGCAGTTTGGTAGATGTATCGAGCACGGTATCCAAACCCTAAGTTGCGGAGGTTGCTCTCCACATCTTTGCCTGTCAATGCTTCGGCGGGAGGGAAGTCATGATATGTGCGTCCTTCAATCGTAGCCACAGGCTTTCCATAATGTATGCATAGTTTCTGGACCATTTGCGATATGCGTGCAATGTTATTGTTGCTGCTGCATATAAATGACACTAATGCTTCCCAGGCATCTTGACGAAGAATTCGAATTCCCGTAAATTGAGCAGCCTTTTTCTTGAAATTGGGGTCATTTGATGACCATTGGGAGTAAAGATCGGTCAAACTAGGGGTCAGGTTGAAGTAATGTTGAATTATGCGGGCCAGATGCTCATTATCGCCTTGTTCCTTGCCAGGAGGCGAGGATATTTGGGTTGATGGCTGGACAGAACGGTAGTATAAACAGCTCGAATCTTGTTTGAGTGAAACTAGGTGACCATAAAGAACACATCGCCATTCTTCACTTTCAGGGAGGTGCTGCCATCTAGTGACTAAGGGTCAGTCAAATGCAAGATGCAAATTATGGGAGACTCACCTGAATGATTGGCCACATCTAAGGGTAGTATTGATGCAAAGCTCACACAGACTCAATGGTAGCTTGCGCCACTCTGACAAAAGACTTGCAGACATTGTTGAAGCTCAATTGTTTGATCAGACAAGAACGCCCGACTGTACAATCACTACCTTGGCCATTTTCTGCCGGCATGATATTAACACTGGGGCGGTGACACAATCACCGCCTGCAGCTCCGGGTCATGAGTTTTCCCCTTCACTGGCGGCAAAGCTTCATTTCTCATCCAAGCTCAACATGAACGGTGACACCTACTCATCCAGAGGTAAGGATCTCTACTGCTACTGCTAGAATATATGCTAATTACTTCCAGATACCGGCCGTTCGCGCGATTACTTCGTAAGTTCCAGCTACAATTCCGTCGCAACCTCGGCGACTAACTCAATTTCAGCGCGACGAGCGACGCGAATCAAACCGGGGTGACAGAGCCGAACGCGGTGACCGTGCTGAGCGCGGTGATCGAGCTGAGCGTGGCGACAGAGCTGATCGGGGTGAAAGGAGACGTTCCCGCTCGCCTCATCATGGATCTCGAGGCGATTCGCGCCGTGAGCGCGAGGTGAACACTTATTCTAGCAGCCGCGACTACCGTGCTCGTGAGCGCGAGGATCGATACACCGGCCGACGCGACGATCGAGAGTGGGACCGTGGTGACCGCGGCGAGCGTGGTGCCGACCGGGGCGATCGCCGACGCCGTGACTTCGATGACAGACCCCGTCGAGACTTGTTTGAAGACCGGCGAGGCGGCGGCCGTGGAGGCGGTGACCGCGGCGGTGGTGACCGTGCTGGTGGTGATCGCGGGGATCGTGATAGAAGAGAGCGCAAGCGCAGCGCTACACCCCCGCGCCGAAAAGAGCCCACTCCTGACTTGACAGATGTGCCTTCGCTCTTGGTCCGACAGCGTCGTTTGACTCAATGGGATATCAAGCCTCCTGGATACGAGAATGTTACGGCCGAGCAAGCAAAAATTTCTGGTATGTATGTGTGATCGACCATCAAAAAGCTGTCTAACATCACTAGGAATGTTCCCTCTTCCAGGAGCTCCTCGCCAGCAACCGATGGATCCCAGCCGCATGAAGGATTTCTTGAACCCGCCCACCGGTGAAACCGAAAACGCCGCCCTTAAGCCTTCCAATTCTCGCCAGTCGAAGCGTCTGTTCGCTTACAATCTCCCGAAGGGTGCCACAAGTGGTGCCGTTATCGCTTTCTTTAACCTCCAGTTGAACGGTCTCAACGTGATCCACAGCGCTGATCCCTGCATCTCAGCTCAGATCTCTCAAGATCAAACATTCGCACTCTTGGAGTTCAAGGACGCGAACGACGCAACTGTCGCTTTGGCTTTTGATGGAATTACCATGGTGGATGGCTCAGAGAAGGGACTTGAGGTTCGACGACCTAAGGACTACATTGTTCCCAATGGAAGCGCAGACCAGCAAGTCCAGGAAGGTGTGGTTTTGAGCGAGGTGCCAGACTCGCCCAACAAGATCTGCGTTTCTAATATTCCCGCCTACATTCCCGAGGAGCCTGTCACAATGCTGCTCAAGTCATTCGGCGAGCTCAAGTCATTTGTCTTGGTTAAGGATGCTTCCACCGAGGAATCTCGGGTAAGTCATTGGAGTTTCCCCACACTCAAACACAAGGAGACTAACTTTACAGGGAATTGCTTTCTGCGAATACCTCGACCCAGCTGCCACCCCCATTGCTGTCGAAGGATTGAACGGCATGGAGCTGGGTGACCGACACCTGAAGGTTGTTCGCGCCAGTATCGGAACCACCCAAGCCTCCGGTCTGGACATGGGCGTCAACGCCATGCAGATGTTCGCCAAGACCACATCCCAAGATCTGGAGACTACTCGCGTCCTGCAGCTGCTCAACATGGTCACTCTTGACGAGCTTCTTAACGACGACGATTACGAAGAAATTATGGAAGACGTGGGCGAGGAATGTGCCAAGTTTGGCCCGATCATTGGAATGAAGATCCCCCGCCGCGGCCATGGCGCTGGCAAAATCTACATCAAGTACGACAATGTCGAGTCAGCTTCCACCGCCCTCAAGGCGCTGGCCGGGCGGAAGTTCTCAGACCGTACAGTTGTTGCCTCGTACTTCGGAGAGGAGAACTTCGATACCGAGGCCTGGTGAACTTGATTTGATGATGTGCCTTTCTATTTTTCTTATTTCTTTTGATGCAGGCGTGTTTTATTTCTCGGGGCCAGTCGCTTTAGGAGCAGGGTGGATCTCAAATGTGTACCATAGCAAAATGCTCACATCAAACTCAAGTCAATTGGATTGATCACTCGACTTTGCGTATGTCAATATGTTGGAATGTAGATAGTGGAGTAAATTCCACCGTGCTGCATGAATACTCAGTAGATGCATGATTTACTTATTACTTAGTGGCTCTATATATCTGCATATTTGGCAAACGACTCCTACAATTTCGAAACAGCCATTGAGTAGAACATGGTCATAATTATCGTTCAGGTGCTTATGAAAAATAGTTGCCTGTGGGACGCCTTTAAAGAGAGCGCCAACGATATCCAGGCACGACATCAGGGCGTGACCACTCCACGGGGTGTCTTGCGGGAGAGCTCTGGAATGGTAATAAACGAATATTATGGCCAAGGCGTTAAAGTGGAAAGGTTCAGCACGAATACAGCCAGCTCTTCATATTCGGAGAGGAAGCTAGTCTCCAAAATGGCAACAGTCCCCATCCACCAGGCTCGCCGCGACTTGCCGCAAGCCCTAATTCTACAGTATAATTCAACCTTCAAACATGTCGCCCCTTTAGCTATAACCACAACAATTCAACACCGGACGCAATGCATACATATGTAATTGAAAAAGCCCAAGGCACCAAGCAGCCAGCCTTAATACCCCTCCCAACCCCAAGCCTCCCCTAACTGCGCGCGCATATTATGCGTAGGATACCCATAATCATCCTCTAGTCTCACAAGCGCCCCAAACAGCGCCTCCTGCTCAACCCTATCCACAAACCGATCCCCACACATGCCAATAGCAACGCTCGCCGTAACCAGTCCAGGCGGACTATGCAAATTCGACATCGCAATCCCACAAATCCGCAGCACGATCCCGCGCACCTGCGCATCAACAGCCCGCATGGCCGTCCTCTGTCCGGGCCCAAGGCGCGGTAGCCGCGGATTATACACAGCGAGCAGGATGCGCGCAAGCTCGAGATGCTGCAGGCCCGCGACGTGGCAATCATTCAGGTACCAGAGTTCCGGGAAGACCTCGCCGCGGCCGGGGTCGGGTTCGCGGGCGTACACAGGGTTGAAGGATGAGGGGCCGAGGTCTTGCCAGAGGGACTCGAAGGAGACGAGGGTGTCGTAGCGGGCGATGCGGGATTCTGGAGAGGGTGGAAAGGGTTGGGATTCGTCTTCTTCGTCGGAGCCGAAGCAAAATTGGAGGACGTCTGCGCAGTGGATTACTAGTCTGTCGGCCCAGACATAGTCGTCTGCTGGGACAAAGGTGCGGTATGGTTCGCAGGGGCCGAGGGGGAGGCGGAAGGAGCGTTGTTTGGAGAAGGCTGTTATTATTTCTTGGCGGAGGGCGATCCAGTAGGCTGCGTGGCGGAGGCCAGTTCCTGATACTGCTGAAATTGCTTGGGCGTCAAGGAAGATTTGAATGCCGCGGAGAGCGGATTCGGTGTCTTCGCCCATTGTGGGGACTTTGGGAGTTGTTAGTTGGGGATTGGGGGTGGTGATAGGTGTGGGATGCTACTGACGGTCTACTTCTTCGTAGAATCGTAGAATGACGGCTGCTGCTAGGAGGTTTTCGTCTTGGGTTTCTTGAGAGTGGTCGGATAGAGAGACGAAGTAGGAGATGCATCGGTTGTGGTATTCAATGGCAGTTTCCGGTGTCAGCTTGGGCAGGTATTTGCCTCCATATTTCACTTGATTCCCGACATGGTACTTTTTGGATCGGCTCAAGTGTCTTGCTGAGACTGTGTATATTGCGTTGAGTAAAGGCGGACATGTGAGTGCTCGTACTGGTACGGTACATGCAAAGTGCCTTTGTCCATCGCATGTATCAAACTATATGAGCTGATTAGAACATAGCGACAAGATGTTCAGCATTATCACTCACCCAGTGACCGAGTTGGACTACAAAATAGCGCATCAGACAAGCCTCATGCTCGTCGAAATTGACCAACCCAGTCTGTGTAGCAACGGAGTTATCTGTTACTGGAATTGCATGACTGGTAGGAGAAAGATGAATGGAGGCTGGAGATATAGAATAGCTGTTCGTGGGTGAGAGATAGGGGTCTGATGAGTAGGTAGTCCCGTTGGCCTGCTGTGAAACCCAAGGACCCGATGAAAACGATCCAACTGCGTCATTCGTGATAGAAGACTCTGTCAATACGCGCTGCTCGGTCACAGAAGAAACACTATGATGCCGCTCTAGTGCCCATGGGGTGTCTTCGCCCAGTTCCAGGGAATAGTCTCGGGCAACATCGGCTGTTTCGTCGACATACTTGTAATCTACAGCGCTGCATCAGCTACAGTCACAAATATATTTCAACAAGCAGTGTCAAAACATGGAAAATCAGGCACAAGTTTCGAGTTTGACTCAAATCAAAGAAGATAATCCAACAAAACTACTCACCTTGAGCAATCGGAACCCAGACCTGATCCTCGGCAAAATCGGCGTCGTAGCGGGCACTGGAGCCATGACGGAACCCGGATGGGACAGTCTGCCAGACACACGAGGATCCCGAGCGTCTGCACCGAGTACATGCCGGCTTCTTGCCGTCACCTGTTTTCGGTCAATGAGAAATGAGAATCTCGGGATTGATGATAGTATGCCGATGGCAATCGGACTTACACTTCACATGTCGATCTGACACATCGTTAGCAATTGCCCAGATGGATGTAGGCTGTTGTACAAGGATCCAGGGACTTACTACGGCATGCCTGGCTGTTTCACAGATTAGTTACATGTCCAAGTGCTTCAGTGGGTCTATTTACCAGGGTATGGTCTTGCGCATCGTATGATTTTGTTTATAATCGGACTATATCCGGAATCAATTGTAAATGTAAGGAGAGTCGAAAATCGACATGGAAAGAGAGAAGTTGAGGGCAAGTCTCGGCGAAGCGAACCCTAAACTGCGGGGAAAACACGGGGTTACCCCGACTTTCCGTTTTTGGTTCTTTTGTGTACTACGGACATAGTATATACGTGAACAGTACATATGAAATTACATATATGCATTGTATAGCATAGTTGTAGATCCAAAATGGTAATTGAGTCGGATAATAGATTTTGGAACAGACTGTAAGCGCATTATGAAGGGCATCTCAAGGTTGGCATTTGATCTATAAAATTACCTGATTAGGCAATACTCGCCCATTAGGTATTTCCCTCCAAATGAAAATCACTGAAATATTCACAGCCATATCCACATTACTCCTCACTGTTTGGGTTTCTCTCAGTATCAAATAAGGATTAAAGAAAAGGAAACACGAACGTTGAAAGTTGAAAGTTGAGATGTGCGGGGAAATGCGGAGTTCAGCCGAAGCAACCATCGCCGAAACCCTTCCTGTTCAGGTGTGATCGTCGTTATACAGCTACACCTATACAGCTGTAATTGCAGCTGTGCACAGCTATATTCAGAAACAGAAACATCCCGCGAGACAGAAGCATGGCTCGATTAACAACCCCCAGCTATAAAGAAGACTAAGAATCCCAGTATCCCAACCTCCAATTGCTTCAATTGAATTTTCTATCTCAATTACCAATTAACCCCCCTCCACACCTCCACAGTCCATAAAATGTCCGACAAACTCCAGGTAGCAGTGGCAGGCATTGGCCGCATGGGCATGCGCCACGCCCGTCACTTCGCAACCCTCACACCGCGCGCCGAGCTCATCGCCGTCAGCTCGCCCGTTCAGGCCGAGCTAGACGCCGCAAAGAAAGAGTTCGGTGTCCGCACATACCTCTCCTTCGACGACATGCTCGCCCAGGAAAAGACCCTCCAAGCCGTTGTCGTCGCCAGCGCGACGACCGTCCACGCCGAACAGGCCATCAGCGCCATCGAGAAAGGATACCACGTTCTCTGCGAGAAGCCGCTCAGCACAAGCCCCGAGATTGTAAGTCCAATCACCTTGCCAAACCAACCCCCGCCTCAACCCCAAGCACACCGTCTATATATTCGGGACTAACCATTCCAACCCAACACAGTCCCAAACCGTCGTCGACGCCTACCGCACCTCTATAAAATCCTACCCTTCCCAAAAAGTCATCTGTGGTTTCTCGCGACGCTTCGACGCCTCCTACCGCGATGCCTTCGCACGCATGTCCAACGGCGATATCGGCACGCCGTCCGTCTTCCGCTCGCAGACATGCGACAAGCTCGATCCGAGCGGGTTCTTCGTTGCGTATGCGGAGTTCTCCGGCGGGATTTTCGTCGACTGCTCCATTCACGATATCGATCTTGCGCTGTGGTTCTTCGGCGAGGATAGCCGTGTGAAGAGCGTTGCTGCTGTTGGAATCACGGCTGTGCAGCCTGATTTGCGGAAGCATAATGATCGGGATAATGCGGTTGGGATTATTGAATTTTATGTATGCTTTCCTTCCCTTTCTATTGCTCTTCTTGCCTTCTTGGATATGATCCTCAACTAGAATCGGGTGAACTGACTTATCATAGGGCGGCAAAATCGCTCAACTATACTGCTCACGCATGATGGCGGCCGGCCAGATGGACTGCACCGAAGTTTTCGGCACGAACGGGCAGATTGCGGTTAATACGCAACCGCAGTCGAACCTGGTTAATCTGTTTGAGTCGACTGGAGTGCGGCGGGAGATCCCGCCGGACTACTATGGGCGGTTCCGGGAGGCGTTCATTACTGAGGCCAATGAGTTCACGGCTGCTTGTTTGGATGATCTGCCTCCACCGATGTCGTTAGAGGGTGCTGTTAAGGCGGTGCGGATTGGCTCTGCTTTGCAGGAGAGTTTGATTTCTGGGAAGAAGATTGAGTTTGATGAAAGTGGGGAGAGGATTGAAGCTGCTAGACTTTAGAGGGTGCTTTTCTAGTATAGGGAATTGATATAGACTTGTGTATATGCACCTATATAGACAGGATAATGTCTGCCGGGTGGCGCCTTTTCTATCTGGGCTGCCGCCGCTTTATGAGGGCCTTGCCCACAAAATCATGCGTCATATCTATCAGGCACAAAGGAGACGGCGAAGGCCATCCCATTAGGGATAGTCCAATGAAAGTTTCCTGTCTTTTTCCAGTACGGCGGCCGACTCGAGCTCGAAGTCTGAGCTATATAAGGACACCATATCCCCTTAAACCAGCTCTCTCATCATCTCATCCAAATTCCTCCATTTCACTAAGCTGCTTCTACAGCTAGCATTCTAGCAAGGTTCTTGATAATGGAGCGAATGGACTTCTTCGTTAGACGCGATGAGATAATCAAGGAAAGGCGCCGTCTACTACAAGAAAACAATGGATACGTCCCCGGGGCCCATAGGGAGGAAGACGGCATCCGAAATAAAGACAAGAAGCTCGACAAGACCAAGCAAATACACCAAGATACGCTGGACCTCTGGCTCGAGTACGTTGACGGACCCGCGAGTTCTTAAAGGAAGCTGACTTCACTCATAACTTCACAGCAGAAACAAGTAATGAATTCAAACATTACAAAATTGTTCCCAGATGGTTTCCTCCGAGCCATGATGATATTAAGGAATTCATTCGCTGGTGTGTGAGTTCTGCTACGGGAAGACTCAGCGAAGGCAAACAGCCAGCTGTTAGAACTGTCAAAGCGTGGGCGGAACGATTCTTTGGGGGTTTTCAAAGAGAGCACCAAAACGGAGGTACCCAAGGAGGATAGAAAAGAAGTATATGATGTGGGATTTTTATATCTCTGTCATCAACAAATCACTAACTCTACTCTTCCATGAAATGCAAGGATCAAAGATACATTGACAACAGAAGGCATTGTCGTGAACCGGAAAAAGCAGAAGTACAACGTCAAGAGCGATGACCTTTTGAAAGTTGTCTCTTCAATTTGGCAAACTGACCATCAACAATTTATTCCCGGGCTGACCAAGGTTTCCATGCTGTTTGCTCTTCAATTACACCTTTTCACGGGGGCAAGAGTCGGAACTTCTATGCCTTCTGATAAGAATCAACACCACAAAGGCCTTCGATACGAAGTATGTATGAACGGTCTCTGAATTTCATTTTGTTCTAGCTTTTGAACCAGGACATCAAGTAAACATGTTGTTACTTGACCTGTGATCGGGACTCGAGTACTCCTATGTCACGAATGGGGTCGCTCGTGTACTTCTCCGCATTACGTACGATGATCCTATGACAAGGATCTTTGACACATATAATCAATTTGAGTATCATCACACGCATTCAAGTCTTCTGGAGCACCAGTCGATACAAAACAAGCCACCAGATACTGTCATATTAACAGAGTTCACCCCCTTTAATGGATTTTTCTTAAATGTCATTGGTGAGGACTAGCCGAGCGAGAGAAAATGTGAGAATCAGATCCGACACACATCCTTAATGTTGCTGATTTTGTTCAGCCTCTCGTTCAGACCTTCGCCCAGCTTAGATACATCGTCTGCAGACATAGAACGACGAGCACTGGCAGCTCGGCCGATAGCCACTGCATCTGTAAGAGCCAATGGGGAGAGAACAAGGCCAAAAATAGCCAGTGGTGCGTTAGCGGGGTCGTCAACGATGGTGTAAATGTCCAGCGCGACATTACCAGTTTCACCCAACAGCGCGACAATTCGGCCAATCGTTGCCATGGAACTGACAGCACCAGCAATCTCACCAACGACGGGAATAAAGAAGAAGATGGCAGTCAGGAAAGCCATTAGAATAGCCTCCCGCTGAGCCTCCTCGATTTCCTCTCCAATTTCCTTGACCTTCTCCATGCTATCAACGGCATCCGCAACCATAGAGATTGGAAGCGACAATGCGTCGACCAAATCATCAGCATCGATTGAGAAAGACCCTTTTGTCATAACATCCAGGGCCCTAGTCATCTCAGAGCTGAGGAGTGTGACATTCTTGTGAGCGTCTGACACAACGTCTTTCGGATTGAGTACGTCTTCCTTGTCGTACCCATCGGGCACAGGGAAGTTGTAATCCCAATCTCGGTTTCCACATTGTTTGTCGCTAGGCGCACACTCATAATGATGGACATCTTCCCATTTGATGTTCTCCTGAGCAATGCCTTTCTCGGTATACAAGTCTGCCCAGAAACTCTTGGCCTTGGAGGCCACCAGATGCCAGTACACCGACTGTGACCAATGCGAATCTTGTGGAGGTAACTGCGCACGCAACGAGTAATCAGGCGGACATTCCTCCGTCACGTTCTTGTACCTGACCTCTGCACTTTCACAGTAGACCTCGGGCTGGTCACAAATTGAGTCCCAGCCATTATCGTAATCCTCGCAGTAACGACAGTAGACGTCGCTGTCTTCCCCCCACTGGCTTTCACAATAGTTACAGGCGGGAACCTCCTCGGTCACAATGCAGGTGAAGTATTTCGAGCCATTCTCGTACATGAAGCTTTCGACTTGATCCTTTCCACTGTCGACCACGGCTTGAGCGTAGTAGTCGAAGTCTTTGTCATAGTCGTCTGCTATCATGCTGTCATAACGTTTCAAGGCGTCATCAAGAGTGTCTTTCAAGACCTTAAGTATGTATTGGGACACACAGGCTCTAGGTATCTTGGCTACGTCGTCTTGAATGGCCTCCAGAGTAGTGTATGACCCTTTGCATTCAGGCAAGGCCGGGATTGGGAAGCCATCGTCCATGCTGTCGCCATCTGGGCCTGCTAAGTCATCGTCTGTGTATTCCTGCAGATCGACTGCCCAATCAATGGTACCGGCAAAGTTCATGCCTTCCCAGTAAGAGCGACGGGTGCCTTTGGTGGCTGGGGACATATACGCGACCCATTCAGTGTCTAACACGATCAGTAAGGATCAGTAAGGGCCAAGACAATCATGACGGAAAACGTACCATCGTACACCATAATGTCACTGTTGGAGCCCCCATCGTGCCAAGATTTCACGTTGGTGTTCAAGCTTTTGATCCGGCCAAGCTCAGCATTGGATATATAACCAGCAGTATCTGTACAGACACCCTTCTTTGCTTTGGAATCATATCGTGTGCCCTCGTAGTTGCAGTCAGGTCCTGTACAACCCTTCTCTGACATCTTGAATGACCGGCCGTAGCTTGACTCGCCGACAAAGATCTTATTTGTCGAGACACCCGCCTTGGTGACTATTCAAGTGGTTAGGTCGGGAAGAATTGTTATCCGCTATAGGAAAACATACTCATAGAAAGTGCGTATTCAGTCTCGGTGAGATTGACTGCAGAGTCAAGTCAGAGATCTGTAGCGTCAATTTTGCCATGTTCTATCGAGAGCATACCATGACTGCGAAGACAATTTCCCTCAAGACAACCTTCTGTGGCCCACTGGTTACCAGCATCCCATTGTCCTGCATAGGTTAGCTCTGTTACTCGACCGAAGAAAGAATCCAACATACCGTGCAAGTCGTACGTCATGTAAACAATGTAGTCAAGCTGCTTGGCCATGTTCTTGATGGGAAATGATTTGAGATACCAGTAGGATGCCGGAGCGGCAATAGACAAGGTATATCCTGTCCCTAATTTGGAGCGCATAGTGGTCAAAAATTTGAGATAATTGGGGCCATCTGTCGCAAAGCCCGGAGGAGTGCCATCGATATCTGTAGCCTATAAAATAAATTAGTTACTTTCGACGTAAAGTATTGTGGATGAGACTTCTGCATACCCCTGGGTATTCCCAGTCAAAGTCCACGCCATCAATGCCCTCATCCTTCACAAATTTGGCAACATTAGTCGCAAAAGTGGTACGGGCCTCGGGGGTCGCCATTGCTTGTCGCAAGATATCATATGTCGCAGGCTCTGTCGAGTATCCCCAGCCACCGAACGAAATGATGCGTTTAAGATCAAGCTCTTTGAAGTCTTTCCATTGACCAAACGTGTCATTGATCTTGACTGTCCAGTCATTCGAATTGATTCCAGCGAATGCCCAGTGCATGTGCGTGTAACTGCCATCGGTATTGGCGTTTTCTGCACGAAGATTTAGACAATCTCGATCAAAGTTCCAAGTTTCATAATAGCCAACTCGGCCATACTGTGCTGGAGCAGTTCCTTTGTTTGTAATCTCTGTTCCACAGGAAGACACACAACCGTTCTGATGAAGCGAAGTTCCTGGATTCTTGGAAGGCCCAGGCTCCTTGAGACAGAACTCCTGAGTAATACCACACTGGCCCCATATGTTGCAGCACACATTCAGCGGGCAAGGGTTCAAATCTGCAAGTTCTGTATCATCGGTAGGCTTTTGGGAACCGGGCTTGGTTGGCCCACACAGGGCGTTGGAGATTGGAGCCGGCATGGGGGGCTTTCCTTCACTGAGGCAAATGTTGATGTGAGCATCAAGATCCCCACACCCGTTCCAACCCCATGTGGTGCCGTTGTTGAACTCGTCAATTTTCTTTTCGGTCAACCCATATGTTGCAGCGAGTTTCGAACAATCATCGCCAAGCTGTACGGTGTAAGTGTTGCAAGTGCCGTCTGCTTCAGGCTTTGGGGTGATGTCCGGTAATGTACCAGCAGTACAACAGACAGGCTGACCTTGCGCGAGCTTATTGCAAAAAGTTGAGCCCGGGTTATACTTTTGGAAGGTGGCTAGACTGATCCCACATCGTGAAGCCAGGGCAGGACAGTATTCATTTGCGCCCACCCGGATTGTCGAACATTCTGCTCGTGCTTCTAGATCACGCTCAGCTGCTTGACTGATTGGCTGCAAGTCTGCGGTAGACTCCCATATATGCACGTCTTCCCAGACGGAAGACGAGTCCAGTCCGCTGACACATTCTGCCTTGGACCAAGAACGAATGGCGCTCTGCACTGAGGCGACGTTTCCCGATGTATCAACAGCAAGACCCAGAACATGATTCGAGTTGCGCTCATCACCGCACAATTGAACAGCCATGTAGCCTGCTGGGTTGGACGTCTTGATGTGATCAACGAGCTGGGAGACCAAGGGCTTGACTGTGCGTTTGTCAAATGAGGAGCCCAGGTAAATGCCAGCTGCTGTGCCATTGGAGTATGAGAACAAAATGGAGGAGTCACAGTTTGAGTCGTCTTCCAAGTAATGCTGCAGGCTCTCCAAGGCTACCACGGCACCATCACCAGGAGCGTCGCTCGGGCCCTGCTGCCCATATGTGAGGGCAACCTTGGTAGTAGCAGTAGCAGCTACGCACCTGGGATTTGCGCGCTTGGTCAAGTTTTTGGCTTCGCCAGAAGCTTCAAAGAGCGCATTCACAGTGGTGTTGGCATTGCGGCTATCACCAACTGTGCATGCATGCAATCTGACACCATTTCCTTTGTCAACAGGCTTGTGAATGCCCACCTCAAAAAGCATTGGTTGACTGCAGACATTCAGACGATTGACTGAAGAGTACACAGTCCAGTTATTGGGCTTGTTGTCCAGGCAGGCTGCCGGACAGGGATGGAGTTCCGAGTAGTAGCTGCCTGGAGTATCAACTGGGACGATATCTCCAAGTTTGAGAACAGCCTTTCCATTAATATCTTGAGCGGCGTGAGAAAAGATCAAAAGGTTGATCCACACTGCTAAAGCCAACAGATGGTGTCGGAGCAATGGGGGTCTCATGATGAGAAGAAACGAAATGTAAGAAGTGAATGTGGTTCCCGGAAAAGAAAGAAGATTTAATGAAAGACTGTATAGGGATGTAGAAGCATAGAAGAAGACAGAGGAAGGAAAAGAACGAGAGTGGCGATTGATTCGTAACGAATGTGAAGTGGTTGTTAGGCGTAATCCTATGATAGTGGCCGAGCAAGACCTTTATGGCTCATTGGGTCGACATGACTAGGAAGCGAGGAAACGCTTTTTCTTTTTGCCTCTTCGGCAGTTCCTTCAGAGAATCGGGATCCTGAGTAAGTCCATTCTCGTGTCAAGGTAACATCGTCTTCTTTTTTTGGACAAAACTTCATCCAAGTAAATTGCTATTAGGCTTAGCTTGGGGGCCAGACGGCTGAAAGTGAGATAGGCCGAACAAAGCCTAAATTAAACCTGGATGTGGATTCATCTAATGCACAAGATGAAATTACGGAGTAACTAGGGTAGCATTGTGGCTTCAGGGGCGAGGACCTCATATCCGACAGGCCTAGGTAGCAATTGATAGTGGCTAGAATAGGTGAGGTCTATATGGCCGTCATTTCCTACCCCCAATTGGTATTCGTATTCAACCTCCCTTTCTGGAAGACCTGCTTGAGTACCTCTCGAAACTATGAAACTGTCATATATTGTGACTGTGTCTGCCCTGATTGCAGGGGCCTCCGCAAGAGGTATTAGAGGTGCTGCAGAACGGTGAGTTGAAACACCCCGTGTGAATGTTTTATAGTGACTAATTTATGTTGACAGTGCTTTTTACTTTTCGACCTACGTGTCAGAGGAAATTTTTACAGACGCAAGCAAGCGCACTGTCGCCACAGGCTGCGAGGGGACCCGGACAGGGCTACGTGGCCAGCAAAAGCGCTGTACTTTCATGGAATTCTGTGATCATCTTTGGCATGAAACTGCAATCTCATCAACCGGTGAAATGGACAAGAGGCCCGATATTACGAAGACGTATATGGGAACGGTTATCGACCAGAATAAGCTCACTCTCCGCAACTACAGCCCAGCAGCAATGCGTGAAGGCATCTCGAACCTGCGAATGACACTTGACAATGGAAAAACCGCAAATGTCCCAAAATGGGGATACACCGGAGATCTGAACATTGCGAATCTCGTTGCGGGGGGTACAGCTGAAAATTATTTCGACAAGGTGGGCCAGGAGTTCGCTGAGCGCTACTGGAAGGCCAAGACGGAGTTTGATCTGGTCTCCGAGCTCACGGGTGACAATAAGCTGAGTGATGAGCTAAAGGATTTGTTCAAGACTTGGAACAATCATGCGGTGGAATCGTCTAAGATGTCCTACGCATGGCGGGAAAAAGACCTTCGAGGGCAAGAGATAGGAGCCATTAAATCAGCTCTCAAAGCAAAATATACCGACAAGGAGAAGAAAAAGCTGATCTCGGTTGAAACCAGGATGCTTGATGCGAGCGAGGTGGTGTGGGGAGAGCCTTACAAAGTGTATGACAAGGATGCTACGGCCACCAAATTGGCATCCACCGAAGGGCTGGGTTTGACCAAAGAACAGGCTCTGGCTCTGCTCACAACTGTTTACGACGAACTTCAAGAAACGAATCTAGTCAAGGAGCATCAAAGGGCCTTGGCGGGGGCCAAAAAGGCAATGAATGTGGCGAGCAGCGGATGTATCTAGACTGAACCCAATTTTTGGTAACAATTATCAAAATGATTAGTCTGAGTTCTTTTCTTTTATTGAGAAAATGGACGGAGTACTCCGACACCATATATTCCGAGGTTATAGGAGTAGGGGTTAGTCCGATCAGGTTAGGGTTAGTATATCCGACTATTTTACCACATGATCAAGCGACTTTGTTAATATTATATGACCACTATCTTTTACTACCCATCTATTTCGATTGATCATCCAAAAAAAATTATGGATAAACTAGGACGGCTGGATACACTTCCCGCCGAGCTTCTCAATGCGATCATATCGCACTTGAGAGATCGTGATTTGGCATCTCTATTAGCCACAAACAGACAGCTATACCACCAGCTTGACCCAATCTTCTACGGCAGAGAACATGTCATGGACCTCGCAATGGCCTGGGCGTGCTCGCATGGAAATTGCCAAGCCATTGGTCGCCTAGTCTCCTTAGGTGCATCCCCTAGCGTGGTTTCTGTGAGCACTGGTTCTTCAGGGTGTTACATCAAAATATCAACTTTACATCTGGCAGCCACTAAAAAGCAAATTGAAGCTTTCCAGTACCTGCTTGGTATTGGCGCACGGCTCGATCATCATGATTTGGGCAAAGGGGCCATCCCTCATTTCGTCAGCCGCATTTGCAGCCCCGCACAGGATTGGGCTCTGCTGCACCTCTACCTGGATGCCGACCTCGACCATCAGCTTCGTATGGGGCACTATCGGCACCATCCCCCCTCTACCGTACCTTTGCTTGGCATAATCTCCCAGTCGGCGTTGGCCTCTCCGCTGGGTCCGGTGCGCCTTTTACTGGACCGCAATGGTAACCCCAATGAGATATTCTCCTTCTATGACAACCGACTGGTGACTCCCCTGACTGTGGCAATTCAGAAGGCCCACACTGATGTTCTGGATCTCCTAATCGAGAAAGGGGGAATTATTCATGGACCCCATGTTACTCGTCCTGTCCGTCAGCCTTGGCATATTCCCATCATGGCCGCTGTGGCATGCATGTCAAGCCAGGGGACAGCTATGATCGAGCGATGCTTACACCATGGCGCAGACATCAACCATTCAGCACCTCTGATTTGCGAAAACAGCTACAATGGTTGCAAACAATACCACTACATGAGTCCTGCGCTTGTCTATGTTGATTCCATTCACAATTGGGACGAACCGATGCATGCCTTGCACCCGGTCGATGGACTCGTATTTCTGGCTAGCCGAGGGGCACTCCTTCAACAGCCCATTCCTATTCCAGATCGTGGAGACCTGGAGCGAATACACAGTGCACCTTGGGTGAGGTGCTATTGGAGCCCTTCCCAAATGTGCCTGGACTTCATCCTCGAGAAGTGGGGACTAATCAAATTGGTCACGAGTCCAGGTCTTCTCCTGGCTGTGCAATATCTGCTCCGGCATGCGGTCAGCGTCGGCACGCTTGCTGAGTCCCTCGCTTCCTACGACTCTAAACTTTCGGTTTTTGGGGATACACTAGTCCAAGTTTCAGCGGCATGGCAAGGTCTCTTGACTTATGTTCTGGAGGATTTAAAGGTGGATCCTACCATACTATTGGGCCAATACATCCTACAAAGGGGCTTATGCATATGGAATAAGCCCTTAGAGAAAATTGGCCGCGCCACAATTGAGCGGCTCTTGGCGTCGGGGGCCAACATCAATGCCCGCATGGGGGCCGAGGACGGACCAACGGCTTTGCATGCGGTATGCAAAGCCTTTCACAAAGAGCTCTTGACATTGGAAAAAAGATTTCACTCTTATTATTGGAGGGAGAAGCTTGATGTACAGGCCAAGTATCTTGAGTACTTGGCAAGTCGAGGAGCTGATTCTTCCATCCGCATTGGTGATCAAACAGCTGGTGAGGCGCTCCTAGTGAATCAGGCGGATATGCCATTGGCGGTTCGGCAAAACATGTTGTCTGTCTCGAAAATTATGCAGGAGGGCAATGTAATTTAAAATGCTCGGCTAGTGAAAAGTTAAACGATCGCTATTTCTTCCATTTCTGTGATTAGACTTCCGCAAAGACCAACCCAACAGCCCATTGATGGGTGCTTCTGGGGGTCTCATAAAATCCCAGTGGGCTTCTACCCCGAGCCCACAGCCCATGATCCTAAGAACCGGGCCCAAAACCCGGCTCATTTGCGGCCTGGGGCGGGTTAGGATTTGTGGGCTGGCAGTCTACTGTATCTGTACATCCGGGACGGGCCGAACAATATCATTGTAGTAATAAAAACATTGAAAGGGTCACAGCGTAAGTTTCCGCGATCCCGAGGTTAAGAGGGGTCAAGCCACGGACCCGGGGGCCCGGAGCTGCCAAGCCATCCCTCGCCACGGACCCGGGGGCCATGCCAAGCTATCTTTCTGTCCTCGCAGGGCTTGGCATGGCTTGGCAGGGGGCGCTCTCTTCTCTTTCTTATCATTTCTCGGCTCATCTAACCTCCGTGATCTTCTGGGCCAAAGGTGGAATCTATTTCTCTCAAATGACGGTTACATCGTTCCTATTAGCGCTGGATTCAGATGTCAGGTCTGACTCTCTTTAGTGTTGTGTCAATTCTGTACTCCGTACTCGGTACACAAAAGACATCTAGCTCTGTAATTGACTCTACTAACCTCGTTCAAGGAAACTAATCGATATTTCAGCCATGTGGGATTCAGTGGAGAAGACTTGAACGACGGCGATGTCCATAAGCGTTCTCCATAAGCGTATAAATCACAGCAGGCGACCACGACAGAAAAATTTCCCTACAGGATAATCACTCAGAGCATCAACCATTATGCTTTCGTCTAACCTGTATCTTCTGGCCACGGGCTTGACTCTGTCAATAGCTTTTGCCAGGCCAAATGTCGTCCGCCGCGACGAGACTCCCCAGTTACCCTATGATCCAAACACGACTCCATACTGCACATGGTGGGTAGACGATGATGGCTCAAGCAAGTGCGCTGATATCCCTGGCTATTGGGCTATATCGATGGCAGACTTTGTCCGATGGGTAAGTTGCTTTCTCCGAACTATCTATGTCTAATGTCTGATCTCTCCAGAACCCATCCGTCGGCAGCAACTGCGCAGGATATGTTTCTGGCAAGTCTTACTGTGTCGAAGCATACGGAGAACCAGCTCCTGGTACTGGCACAACTACTACTAAAGTCACAACCACTTCAAGTGCCACTACTTCGAGTACCACCACTTCAACCACCACTACTTCAAGTACCACTACTTCAAGTACCACTACAACTGGTGGTGCCCCGGGTCCTACCCAGTCAGGACAAGTGGCCAACTGCAACAAATGGGATCTCGTTCAATCCGGAGATACATGCAGCGTCTACCTGGCTAAGTATCCCGGCCTTACCTTGGCCAACCTCGTTGCATGGAATCCCGCCATTGGGTCCCAGTGCCAGTCTCTTTGGGTAGACACATATGTAAGACTGGCGAATTCAATTTCCACGGAGTAATGTTAACCATTTGAGCAGATATGCACCGGTGTAACCGGTTGGTCCCCTAGCACGACCACTACCAAGGCTACCACAACCTCTGCAAGTCCGACCAATGGTATCACCACGCCACAGCCCATCCAGCCTGGCATGATCGCCGACTGCAACAAATTCCACCTGGTAGTCGAAGGCGACGGCTGTGACTCAATTGCCAAAGCAAATGGCATCACTCCCGCCCAATTCTACGCGCTTAACCCCGCGTTAGGAAACAGCTGCTCCGCCTTATGGCTTGGCTACTATGTCTGTGTATCACGCATCGGCACCGCACCCACCACAACCAAGGCTACCACCACCACAACAAAGCCAACAAATGGTATTGCCACTCCAACCCCTATCCAAGATGGCATGGTGGGCAACTGCGACAAATTCCACTTGGTTGTTGAGAACGACCAGTGCACCACAATTGCACGCGACAGCGGAATAAGCCTCTCGCAGTTCTACTCGTGGAACCCCACTGTAGGCAAAGGTTGCGAGACGCTCTGGAATGGCTACTACGTGTGTGTGAAGATCGTGGGTGTTAACCCCATTACCACTACCACCACTACTACGAAGGCAACCACCACTGCCGGTAATGGAATCGCTACGCCCACCCCAATCCAGCCCGAGATGACAACCTCGTGTAAGAAATTCCACAAGGTTGTTGATGGGGATCAGTGTGGGACCATTGCATCTGCAGCTGGTATCTCGTTGAGTCAGTTCATTTGGTGGAATCCGAGCGTTGGGGGCAATTGCAAGTCATTGTGGCTGGGATACTGGGTTTGTATTGGAGCCTGAAGAAGGGATCAATATGTTTATCGGAATCTATGACAACTAAGATGTAATCATGTTGAGAAAAAGAAACTGAGTACATAGAAGGGACTGAATCAAAGATCTATGGTGGCAGTATTTGTAACGCAGTAAAGAGGTTAATGAGATGCGAATCCCGTCAAAAATGCAAGATACTAGTGCGCGTAGAAGGCCTACGATAATGAGGTTTTTTATACATGTTTTCGTTCTTTGCTGCAACCCACCTGAGCATAATCGTATTCATTCTGCGCTTGAGACCGCAAAAGAAAAATTAATAAAGAAAACATGGCCATTGTGCTAATTTATAGCATGTAAATACTGCTAGAGTGGATGAGTTATGACTGAATTCAGATATATTCATGTCAACTTTTAATAGAAGAGAGCTTCTGTTATAACTAACTATATAATAGGTTACTCCGCTCATAAGACTTGGATTGGGTCACCTGGTATATATCTGTGACTTATGAGCGCCAATTCCAGAAAAACACTGCACTCAATCTGTTCTAAAAAGCTCGCAAAAGACAGACCTAAAATGGGGGAAGATTGCCGAAATTATGAGCTGTCTTCATGAGACCTCGGCGAGAAATGTTTGAACTTTGGAAATTCTCGCTTGAAGAAGAGGGACCTGTGTCCTTATATATGGATTGGATCTATTAGTCGCATTTCTCGCGGATGAAGATGATTTCGCTTCTCGTAACTATTTTCTTCTCACCAATCACTTTGTGGCGGCAGAAGAGTTTGGAGGCTCCTAGGAATCCCTATCAGGCTTCATCTACTTAGTATAAGGTATATTATGGGTGCTAGTGAGATTATCGTAGGCTAATGAAGGACTGAGACTGCAATCATGGGAGGCTAGACCATCCAGTAGACATGATCGGTACGTCTAGAACGATTTTGCAGATGTCCAGATCGCTAGACTTGAAGTCGTATTCCCAGGAGTAAGCGGCAAGTACGATCAAAGATCAAGCGAGAAAAGAACTAAATTAGACTAAGACTGAATTTACAATATGAACCATTCAGTTAGGTATTTCTGAGATAATTTTAGATATTAAAATATGAGAGTGGGTTATTTTCCGCAACTACATAGAGACGGTAACCTGGATGCGAAACTCGATGAGTTGAACAGTGGTATAGCCGCAGGATATAATATCGCTGAGTGTGGCCCCACTGTGCAGCTGGAGGTGAAACAATCAGGATCGACCGCCATGTCATCCTTTCTTTGAGAGGACGACGGTCAAGTGTGTTGGTCGAAGACTGCATTGGATGGGGCTAGTGTGGTGCATTTTATAGAGGTGAGCTGCTGACTCAGGTGCTGACTTAGCTGTTCCGCTTTGCTCAGTGAGCAAATCATCTGGCTTACATAACAATCAGGTGACGCTCAGGGAGCAATTTCATGCTTATATAAGACCCAAGGGCGTGCTCAGTTCTACTCAGTGAGCATAAAGCGGCATGGGGTGAGCACTAAAATGGAAAGGGAAAGCCAAGACTTGTCAGACATTATCCTGTCTATATGCAGGGCTTACGGGGCTGTTACTAGGAATACGGTTGAGGATGATCATACAGTGGTTGAGTTGGGGGCATATAGAAGAACAATTTGATTACTGCCTACTTCCCCCAGAGCCAGAGAGCGTCATTGTAGTAATACTAATGTTGATGTCCACAGAACAACCTGGCCGCTAATTGTCATGTCTTCATACATTCATACCTCGGTATTAGGAACACAAGAACCAGAGCTGCATGACACCAGTATTCAGGTGATGGCTGCTCGTCTACATCCAAATAAAAGAAAGCATCTACTAGCAAAATATAAAGCTGGAGCGCTGAATTGACTAACACATGGACATGTGGCGAACAACCAATGTCCCAAAAAGTAAGAGGGAAAAAAACGAAATGAGCGGGTAATAGGGCACACGGAATAGAGCAAGACAAGATATGGCGTAGCAAAAAGTACATCACAAGAAGTGAAAAGGTCCCAGGCTGACCCTCGCAGGATCGTATTATCAATCAATTGGTAAGAAGAAAAAAAAAACCATTCTTTTTCGGTGCGTGGGCCCATCCAGTGAGAAGACTGCGTTAATGGGATGGTAAGGGAGTGTGATGGGTGACAGTGGTAAAAGGAAATATTCAAACGAGAGTTGGAATCAGTTAAATGCCAGGCGTATAGGCAGCGGCGGAAGAATTTCACAAGACATGGACATTAGCGAAGCGAGAAGCCCTTGCGCTTTCCCTTCTCTTCGATAGGACGGCCGGTCTCGAGACGGCCCTTTTTCTCCTCGAGTTCTGCGCGCTGGCGATCTAGCTGGTCCTTCATCTCGCGATGCCGGGCATAAAGTTCGTCTTCGCTCTGCTTGAGCTTGCTTTCTTTCTCGGCAACCTTTTGCTGGAAAACCATCTTCATCTCGGCTTCCATCTTGGCCAGCTTCTGCTCGTGCAGGGCGCGCTCCTCCTCCTGCTTGACGGCAGGGTTGACCTCCTTGAAGACGCTGGGGTCCTGGGCAACACCCATGAGGGTGAGCTTGTCGGATCGGTAGTTCTCGTAGAGGAAGTTGTTGGTGTGCTCCTTGAGCTCCTCCATGTGAGTGCGGATCAACATCTGGCGCAGCTTGACGAAGTCGCAGTGCTCCTCGTTGTCGACCTCGATAATACCCCAGGGGTAGCTACGACCACGGACGCGACGGCCATCGGAGGTAGTCACCTCGGAGTTGGCTCCAACGACGGCAAAGGGAACCTTGGACATGATCTCCTGGTTCTCGGCGATAGTCTCCTCATCGTCAAGCTCGTAGCGGGGTCCCTCGAAAATATGGATGGAGTGTTGTTGGATATCAGCAAGGATCTAACGAGGGGATTAGCAAGTGCAATTCAAACTGAATCCACAAGTGACCGGAAACATACACGCTGCTTGAAAAGAGCAATCTCATCGTCGGTCAAGGTATCAGCCTTGGCAATGACGGGGATCAGATTAACCTTGGTGTGCAGGCGGCGCATCACTTCAATGTCCAGGGGCTTCAGGGAGTGACCGGTGGGCTGGATGAAGTAAACACAGGCGTGGATACGGTTGTCGACGATGTTGCTGCGGTTGACCTTGTTCTCAGCCTCGAGGTAGGTGTCGTAGCGCTGCTCGATGTTCTCGACAATTGGGCGCCAGGAGTCGTCGTTGTTGACAAAGTCGCCGAAGCCGGGGGTGTCGATGACGCTCAGACGGAGACGGACACCGTTCTCCTCAATATCGGCGCTGGTGGATTGGATGGACACGGTCTTGGGAATGATATCGGCATTGGGGCCAGTGCGCTCCTTAGGGGGGTAGAGGGAGGTGTTGAACAGGGTGTTCACGAGGGTCGACTTTCCGAGGCCGGATTCACCTGGTGGGGGATGAGCTTTGATTTATGTGGTTCCTTTTTGTCTCACGTACCAACAACCATCACATTGAAGTTGAAGCCCTTGCGGACACTCTTGCGGTGCCATTGGTTAGGCAGGTTGGCGAAACCGACGTAGCCTGTCAGCTTGCGGCGGACGACATTCTTCATGTCGGTGGCGGCCTGGGCTGCGGCCTTGGGATCACGGGAGGTAACAGTCTGGTTGATTCCGGAGCCCATTGGGTTGCTGCGCTCGACAAAAGGCGATTCTCTACCACTACTGGGAGTAGGTGAGTCCCGGGACGCGACCGGGGACGCGATGGGAGAACCAATCGCAGGAGGTGAAGCTTCAAAAATCCATCAGTAACTTGAAGATCATGGGCTGTATTCTCCTAAATGGAGGCCAACTTACACATTTCTAAAGTCGGAGGGTTTGAAAAACTGCTAATTAAAAACCCCTGTAGATGAAAGTCAGTTGTCAATCTCCAGTGGGGTTTGGTCACGATAGGGGGGGGAAATATTCGTGGAGAAGGAGAGCCGTACCTAAGTTGATCAGAAAAAAAGGGGGATGCTGGTTGTCAAGAACCAGAAGCGAGAGACAGGAAAAGAAACTCAAGACAAGAACTTGAGGAAATCAACAGAAATGAAAAAACAGAGAGAGAGAAGGATGGAACGATGGTGACTGCCCTGGAAAGAAAGGGGGTCTCGGGCCCAGCTATTCTGGAGTTGGTTTGGATCCGCGTAAGAAACTCCCGTGATATGTACAATATGTACAATTTATATAGTCTATACTTGTTATTCCTACAATATTGTACTATTTATTGCTTCAATTGACTCGTCTAATATCTTTTTTTAAAAAAAATGGATTTTCTCTTAATTCTCTAAGATGCTTCTTGATTTCGGGTTTGTTGTTTTTGCACATTGTTCTTTGGACTGCAGTTCGCTAAATAAATCAAAAATACTACTGTTCTAGTTTGGACTGGAAATATAAGACTTTATATAGTACAATGGCAAACTACATGACATCGACAACAAAGTACATATGTATGTGTATATATTTTTTTATTGTTTTTTATACTTCTGGCGTATCATATATTCTGTATGTTGACAGATATACCTGTGGACCGTTGATGTTCTCCTGAGATCAGGGGGTTGAAAGTCCCCTTTGGCCAATCAGGGCTCATATACGAACTAAGCTCCACTATCTCAGGAACTGAGTACAATAACCAACTATACAATATTGTAGTTAAGTACGAAATACATACATAATATATTTACGTATTTAGGTATATTGTAGAACGTGTAGATAAACTGGATATTTGAAAGTCGAAGCTTTACATCTATTGAGCCATTTTACTCTTTTTCTTGGGACGCTCTTCCTCCTGCTTGTCTTCTCCACCAGAAGCATCGGCCATTTCCTCGTCATCATCACCGCTACTCTCGTGGTCTGAATCAAACTCTTCCGCCACGTCAGAATCCGAAGATGCATCGAAGTCTTCGTCAACGGAGGACTCATCTTCATCTGCCGATCCACGATCAGGGCGGGCTTCGTCATCACTGGAGCCCATCATATCATTGTTTTCAAGCGCAGCAGCAATAAGACCAGAAGCCTAGAATACAATTAGTATAAATTATGACAGAGGGAAATAAGATACGTACTTCCTCGGCCATCTCGTTCTTAATGCGAATGCTCTTGGCCTTGAAGAAGTCCTCCAGGGACTTTTGCTCCTCACTGTTCACATTAGCAAAGATTCCAGATAAAACAAGTCGGAGTACCTACCGATTGATGTTGCTGAACTGGTGTTCGCCCAAGCCACCCTTCAGACTGACAGTGATGTCGAATGTGCGGCTGGCGGAGACAGCGCCTCCGACACGCGACATAGTAACAATAGCAATGTTCTCCATTTGAATGTAAGTCGCGGGCTTGGGGACAAACATAAGGCTCTTATCCAAGAAGTACAAGAGACCCTCGTTGGCTTTGATAGAACATTTGACACCGTGGTGGCCGTGGTGACTGTAAACACGATTAGTACTGGTTACTGTCACAGCTGGGGATGTATACTGACCTGAGGAAGTCCTTGGAAGGCATGATGACCTTCTTTCCGGACAAGCCACGGAAGACCTTGGTAACCACTTGGTGGATCGGCTCTTCATAATGCGGCTGCAACTTGTCCTTGTACTGACTCTGCATGATATCCCTGTGAGGTTGTTAGCCGGGCAACTCCAACTCCAGGGGCAAAGAACTGACTCTGTCATGTTTAGCTCGAGGCTGATCTCCTCATCCAGCTTCAGCTGCATAACAAGGAATGGGTAACGTGTCTGACCCTGTCGTAAAGGAGGGTCGAGACCAAGCACAATAAGCGTGTGTGTATCGTCGTTCTTGGGGAGAAGGAAGAATTTCTTAATGGCCGAGTACTGAATCTTGTAGTCATAAGTCTTTCCGCGCAACCGGAAGGACGATTCGTACATGTCGATATCGAAACGTCCTCTGGGTGTGAGATGGAGCACATCGAGGAAAGTAGCAAATGTGTCACCGGCCACATCTCCAATCTCAGCCTTGTCCATGAGAGTCTCGTAAAAGAGATTGGCGGCGTTTTGTTCCTCGGCACCTTCATCGTTCTCCTCTTCCTCACCATCTGCACCCTCTGCATCCTCAGCGCCCTCAGCCTTCTCCTTCTTCACGGCGGTTCCGGGAATATAGAAACGCATTTCAACCAGCTCGTCCGGACCTGCGGCGGCTTTGCGGCCTCGGTTCTTTGTGCTTCCAGGTTTTCCGGAGGCATCGTTTCCATCGCCGGTAGGGAGTGCGAACTCAACGGCGACCTCGTTTCTTCCGGCTAAGTTGGTGTTCGCGATTTCAGAGTAAGGAACTTCGAAAGCGGGTCGGTTTTGGACATTGAAGGCCAGTTCGGCTTTTGTGAATTCTGTTTTTCCCCAGTTCCATCCTCGTAGAGCGTGTTCGCGAGTCTCCACGTTAATGCCGTACCAAATCTTAAAAGCCTTGCTCAAGCGCTCTAGGTCCTTCGGGGTTATCAGTATGCGGGTCAATTGTCGCAGCACACTCACTTAGACATACCTCTTGCTCAAAGCCATCCAGTTGAATCACTCCTGAGTTGCGCGACAGGATCTTGAGCTCAAAGCCTTTCGCGGCACGACTCCATTGCGCTGCGCCAATGTTGCTGCTATCGAGTGTGAAAGTGTCGCCACCGCCGGAGGGGCGCCAGCCTAGACCACTATCAGCGAGCTTGCATTTTCCAGGCTGCTTTGAGAGATCTAGGTAAATGTTGTCGAAGCTCTCCCTGTACCTAGTCAGTGCCGGATTAAAGGATTGCCATAAAGAGTCTTACATTATAGAGCTCGAAAATTTAAGTCAGTATGGGAGAAAAAAAACCAAGGCCGAATGAGTCAAAATGCCTGGGGATAAAATGAGGATGATGGAAGATGCGAAGCTGGATTGCAAGCTTTCAGAATTTCAGTTGGAGTTCGCGTTGCGGCGCGCCGTAGGGAGGCCACTTTCACTAAAAAGGGCTTAGTGTTGATGCCTGAGGCAGTCAACTTGAAAGAGGATCTATCTCACTTATCAAAGTCTCTTTTCTCTTCATTCTGTAAATAGTTTCAGGATAACGGATAAGTATATGATTTGATGACATTTTGACTAATTGGCAAAGGTAGCTTGATATCTTTTCTGAGGATTTTGAGCATTTGCACCGTAAATCCTGTAAGAAATACACGTCAAATTGTGCACAAACCCAACCTTTTAAATATCATTTTTTATCCTAAAGACGGTTGCTAGACAATTCAACATGCATGTTAGCTGCAATTAAAATTGAGTGATACCCAAAAATGCTGCAGGCACCTTGCTGAAGTTCTCAAGGTTGTTCCAAGGTTTGTTTGGATATTGGCTGCAGCTAAGACAAACATCTGAAACTGGAAATATTTTGGACCTTGCAGATGTCAGAACTGACAAAACAATTGCGATTAAGCTGGTACTTAAGGAATTTCCTTTATTGTTGGTTCTGGTGCCATTACTTCAGTACCTTGATGCCCAGGTGTGGGTTTATAGAATAGAGTAGTATTGTAGTGTGGGTGTGAAATTAGTTGATGTATACAATATATATCTAGTCCCCAAACCCAAAAGAGACCTGAAGCAAGACCTAAGGAAGCGAGACTACCTTGAAACTTATACACAAAGCATAAGTATCATCCTATTTACTAACAATGGATTTAGGTAGAAATGTTACACTGTATGGTAGTATACAATTTATACCGTTCCCAATGTCAAACCATGATCCAGTGGGTTCCAAAAAGACCAATCAAGCCCCTCTACGTTGAAGAACTGCGTGTGCACCATGCAAACCGAGTTACCTCGTGGATCTCAGTTCTATATTAAGCGAAACCAGCGGCGGGGTTTTGGATCAGTTCTGCGACAGATCCACTTGGTCTAGCTTAACGTTGGATGTTACGATCGATGTAATACTTTTTAATATCAGTGGATATACAGAAGAAAGAGATAGACAGAGCACATGAACGATCAATAGATACGGATTTATCCCTATACATATACTACCTAGGTGTGACTATGACATGTTCATATATAAAAGTTGAAAATGGGATATGACTTCACCGAGAAAGGCAGTGCAACAATATAAATACGCTACATCATTGTTTTCTTTACCGGCAAATGAGTCGTAACTGTGGATCCTTATTCGACTGATAACACGGAAATTATATACGTAGGTACCCAAATATCCTTATTGACATAGAGTAAAATAACAGTTAATTAATTGTCAATACAACCAATTTGATAGTCAATGGATGGAATTTTGTACGTACTTATATTGTAGAAGTAGTGTAAATTTCTCGTTGTAAAAAAAGATCATCAAAACACCTTAATGTCCCATGGTTCAAAGGTCTCCACATTAAACGGAAGGCTGGGAATCCGATACCATAATTGGTTGTTAACGAGTCATCTAGTGCATTAGCGTGGATTTAGACCGAAGAGGTACCAGTATTTGAGTACGAGATTGGTAATTCGAGGTAATTCGTGTTATTTTCATTTCGCAGAAAACGTAAAAGTAGGACCCCCTGGGTCTTCCATCCTTCTTCACATCCAGTCATTCGTTGATTTCATTAATGCAGTGAGGCTTCGGTCTCGAGCATGATTCACTCATTTACATTCCTTTTCTAAGATTTTTTTTCCTATGCCACATTCTTTACATTCCCTTTCTTTTCCACGCGTTGCGGCCTGACGCCTCCTGAATTCCGACTCGTCAACTCTCGCTTCCCTCGCTTCACTCGCTTAAACCATTACTACTGGTAAAATTCACTTCTTTAGCCCGTCGTCGCTCCCAAGACAATGAGGGGTTCTTCATTGTTTGGGCCGGCGACCGGCTGGCCCTCTCTTTTGACTCTTTTACCGACCATCAACGCCCTGTCATTCGAGTCGGTCTCGGTTCCGGAACTGGACCTGTCCTCGCTGGGACAGGTATCAATCACTGGTGATTTTGATGGCGTCTCCTTGTATCAGTACAAGGGACAAACCGAATCTATTGCTCAAGATGGCACCCAAGCCCTCCTGACCCCGCTACCGAACGGCATCCTCACGGACCTTTCATCGTCCGACGCGCAAATCTTCGCCATGTGCCCTTTCACTCAAAAAGATGGCACCTTCTCCGGGATCTTTGTCGGTGGTAACTTCACCAGCCTAGGAGGAGTTGACTCGCCCGGCGCTGCGCTTTTCAATCTCAATACTAGCAAGGTCACTGCCTTGCCGGGTCTATCAGGCTCGGTAGCTGCTGTGATTTGTGATCAGGAAACCAACCGGGTCTATGTTGGAGGAGATTTCGCCTACGACAACACAACTAACGCTGTTTCGTGGGTGCCTGGTGATGGATGGACTGATTTGCCATTCAATGGCTTGAACGGTCCCGTTAGCTCGATCTTAAAGGCGGACAATGGCCATATCATATTTGGAGGATCATTCGACGCTCTCGGAAACAGCACAAGCTCTTCGAATGAAAGGCAAATTCTCAACCTTCAAAATGCGACCGTCACCTCCGATGCGGACTCATCCCTTGACGGTTACTCCGACCCCCGTAACATTATCTGTTCGACTAGTGGCAAGGCTGCCAGAGGCAGCACATATCTTCTGCACGATTATGCGCCAGGATTTTGGAGAGCGGACCTCGGTTTCGATTTCTTCCCGACTAAGATTCGCCTGTACAACACTCATTTGGATGGACGCGGCACCAAGGATTTCTTGCTTCGAGCTCTGCCCGACAATGGTATCATGAATTTGACTTACACTGACGAGTCTGGAAACAAGGCCAGCTGCGACTCGTCCTGCCCGCTTTCCAGCAGCACCAGTGAGAAGTACCGCGAGTTCACCATGGTCAACCCTGTCGGCATGCAGGGACTTCAGATCGAAATTTTAGATTGGTATGGACAGGGAGCTGGCCTAAACGGCATTGAGATCTTCCAGGACCAAATTCTCACATACGCCATCGATCAATACAACGAACCGACATGCGCAGGCATTGAATACCCTGCCAAGTCAACGCGGACTGGCGAGTGGACTGTTGAGTCCGGATATGTGTCTGCCAAGGTGACAAACTCTGATGCCTCGACCACTTCCGTCACTTACGAGCCCGACATCAAAAAATCCGGCAACTATACGATCAAGCTATACACACCTGGCTGCACCCAGGACAACACCTGCAGCTCGCGGGGTATTGTGAATGTCACTGCTACTCTTTCGAGTGGTTCTGACTCAGCCCAGCCGGACCCGTCGTATTTCTCCCAGACTAATAACTACGACAAGTATGACATCTTTTATACTGGTTACGTGGATGCCAACAGCGATTCTTTCCGACCCAAGGTCACTGTGCGCGCCAAGGATGGCCAAGGAGATATCACCATTGTGGCGTCGCGTGTTCGCTTTGAGCTGTTGTCTAGCACAGGCGGCCTCAATGGACTGTACGATTATGACCCGACCTCCAAGACCGACACTACGGACCTCACCAACTCGGACATCAACAAGGCAGGCACTTCGCTCAATCATAACGCAACTATTTCCAGCATCAAGGAGCATGACGGCGTATACTACGTCGCAGGTAACTTTTCCGACAGCAACATCCATAATATCATGTCAATCACCGATGGAAATGCCACTGCTCTGTCTGGTGCTGGGTTGAACTCTCCAGTGCTGGCAATGGCCGAGCTCGACAATGTTCTCTACGTAGGAGGTCGCTTTACTGACACCTCAGATGGAGGTGTGAACGGCCTGGCACACGTTGCTGCGTATTCGTTCTCTTCGAACAAGTGGTCTGCGTTGGGTGCAGGACTGAACGGTCGAGTCAGCTCAATCTGGCCTGTTGAGTTGAATGCATCAACCGCGATCAATGAAACTATCATCGCTGTGAGCGGTGACTTTGATCAGATTCTTGCCACCAATGGCAACCCTGCAGTCTCAGTCGCTGGGTTCGCCATCTGGGTCCCTTCCCACAAGGACTGGATCCAGAACCTTAACGTTACACAGATGGAGTTCGGTGGTCAACTGTCCGCTGTTGCTACCCACAACAAGACCCTCATTCTGGCTGGCAACCTTGCCACAAACGGTATCACCGCTGGTGGTGCGGTATCGTTGCTTGACTCCGGGGACTCACTTGTTCCTCTGTCAATGAAGATCAACCACAAGAACTCGAGCACAGGCCTCATCACCGGCGCTTATGATACCGATTCGGACCGCAACCTCACCATCTACGGCGGTCACTTCACTGCCGCTGGTAGCAATGGATCTTCCATCGAGAATATTGCCATTCTTAACGGCACCGATGAGACCATCTCAGGTCTGCCGCAAGGGATTGACAGTAACTCAACATTTGTTTCGATGCTCGTGTACAACAACACCCTCTACGCCGGTGGAAACGTCACTGGAAACATCAGTGATACCTCGCTCGGTGGTCTCGTGGTGTACGATTTGGCCGACAAGGAATACGCATCGATCCAGCCGTCTTTTGGAGGCCACAATGTTGCTATTAACTCCATCGTGAAGCGCCCGAGCTCGTCTGATATCTACTTCGGAGGAAATTTCAATTCTGTTGGACAGTTCCCGTGCCCTTCTGTTTGTTATGTTGATTCCACCACCAATCAGTGGAATCGCCCTGGCTTGTCTTTAAGTGGCACCGTTGTAGAACTCCAATGGGCCGGCCAAAATTCCTTGATGGCTGTGGGTGATCTGAAGGTCGTGAACAATGAAACCTCAATTGCGACATACAGCACAAAGTCCGAAGAATGGACCGCTTTCACTGGAGCATCCAAGTCAGAGATTCCTGGAAATGTCACTGTATTCACTCCCGCCAGTGAAGACTTGTCAAAGTTCTGGATTGGTGGCACGTCCACCAATGGCTCTGCTTTCCTCTTGAGCTACGATGGATCTAAGTTCCAATCCCCTGGAAGCATCTTCTCCGAGGGCACCATCATTCGCGGCATGGAAATTCTCCCTGTCAGCAAGGATCATTCCGCGGCCTCTCTATTGCGTAAAGACCAGACTCTGTTGATTATGGGCTCTCTCGTGATCCCTAGCTTTGGAAACGCATCCGCAGCGTTGTACAATGGAACTGATGTGACCCCCTTCATCCTTTCCTCGCAAGCCAATGGCCAGCCGGGTAGCATGTCCAAGTTCTTCTCCCAGAACCAGAACACCTACACCACCACCAGTGAGTTTGCCTTACTTGTTGACCCCGATCGCACTTATGCTAATGTTTTAATCTAGCAAAACACCATTCTAATGGTATCGCTGTGTTGGTAGCCTTCTGTTGTGCCCTCGGCTGCGTCTTCCTCATCGTTCTGGCCGGTGTTATCCTGAACAAGGTCCAGCGCCGTCGCCAGGGCTACGCAGCAGCACCCCAAACCTTTGGCACCGACCGACCATCCGATATGCAACGCTTGCCACCAGAGTATCTTTTCAACTCACTCCGCCAGCCCAACCCCGGTGCTCCTGCAATTTAATGCCCATGTTCGTCCTCGCCTCAAAAACCCTTAAAGCCTCTGATTTTCTTCAGGGTTGGCGTTTTTGTTTTGTTTTTATCACAAGCAACGTTGCTATACCCAGCCTCCTTTAATGTCTTATTCTATTTGCCCTGTGTGTGTCTTGCTTTTATTTTCGCGCCGGCCATATCGCGATTTACCTTCTTACCGCTTTCTTCTGGCTTCTGGCACTTGTGTCCGATAAAGCCTTCGAAAGATTGCCTTGTGCATATGCCTCTCTGATCTGATGTATCATATGCTTTTCCAGCGATTTTTTTTTTGTCACTTGAGTAGATGTGTGTTGCTCGAACCGTTGAAGGCATGTAGATAGCCACGCTTAGTTCGTGGAAAATGACACAATTAATACAATACCCTTTTGCTGATGAGCTTGACTCCCTCTCTTCGCAATGCCCAATTATAACAGCTTCAGGTGAAAGACTGCTCAGGGCCTGCTTATAAGTAAGGGGCCACCAACAAGTTGGAAGGCGTAGATACAACGTACAGCAGATACCAGTTGTTGACCCTTGAGGTTTGGGCCATTCATAGCGCGCTGAACCTACACGGATCCTTCAAAAGTCGCGACTTTACTTGCCCCCATGCGGTGGCCCTAAGAAGTCCAAGGCGCTTTGGAAATTTGGTCTGTCCACTTCGATGCCCAAAATATACCAGAGCACATCGTCTGATGAGAGTATTGAATACACGTATACGTCACGTTGGCTTGCATGTTTTGTTTTTTCCCGGTAAATAATAGGCCGGACGAGACATATTTGTGGCTCATCCCAGTAGCTACTATATAGCCAGCCGCAACAATTACGAGATAGCGTGCCGAGCCTACAAATTTCTGGCCTGGCTTTCCCACTTCCTCACTCAATCTCACTTGCCTCTTCCCCATACTTTCGCAGCGCCGTTCCCCTAATGTGACGGACAAGGATCATGGGCAAAATCTCATCTTACAGCGATGTGATCCTACCGATGCAGGATCCCTACATGACCCAAATCGTCGATGGAAGAAAGAACTATGAGTATCGAAAATATCGCCTCAGACTCAGCGTGAAAAGAATCTGGTTGTATCGCACTGCACCGCACTCCAGCATTATGCATGTCTGCGAAACACTGTCCGCGCAGACGCGGAACTCCGGTAATCTCCCACTGGACAAAAACGGGCTGGGTAATTGTGAGTCCAACACTAGACATAAAGACTGGGATGGCTACGATTTTGCTTACAGAATGGTCACTGTCCGCGAGCTTCGGCAGCCGATCACGTTGAAGGAGATGAAGGAGAAGCATGACTCTAGAATAACTCCCAGGGGTCTTGTCTATCTACCTAAGTCGATGAATGATAGCGTTGACTTGAAGGAACAGAAATTAGTAAGAAACTCCGGGGTTGATTGTTCAACTTAATGTTGAGCCTAGGCTAACATAGTATAACCAGTTGCTCAATAGGAGAAATAAAATCTCTTGTATGCCTTAGATCATACGGTAATTGGGGTAGAATTGGATGACTGGAAGTCAAAAGGCAAAGGTTTACTTGGGGCGTTATGTAGGATATCAAGGATAACCTTAAGATGGTATAGCAATGCCTAAGAGTGAGTCTCCTAGGCCCATAGTATAACTAACAATATCTACATATGTATCTATCTCCAAATAAATCAATCAATTTACATCCATCGCCTATACTTAATATCTAGACATTTGATATTTAGTACTACCCAATGTGGTTAGTGGTCCACCTGACTTAGGCACTAGTCTTTTGTGGGGGCCCCAGGTCACCTGTTCTCTCCCCGCAAGTCGATCTCCAGGTTTTCAAACATCAACTTCTTGCATGTCGCTACCCTGTCGCATTACCATTTCGGTATGCGATCACGAACTGGCTGGTAAGTCCATGCTACTCGAAGGACGGTAACTGACTAACACGATACAGTCTAACGTGTCGAACTCGAAAGCTGAAATGTAGGATTCTTTCTCCGATCTCGTGCCAACCCTCGAAACTCCCTACTAAATCATTCACAGGCGACGAAGAAAAGCCCGAATGTTCTCAGTGTCGCAAAGGCGGTCGAGAATGTCGCCCAAGCGAAGGTGTCGTTTTTCGCCATCAACAGAACGCGTCGATGAACCGCAACCTGAACCAATCACCAGAAGGTCGCGGTAGTTTGAACGGCTTCTATTCATACAAAAACACCTTTGACAAGGACAGTGTGTGGTTGGATGTCCCGAAACATGGTAAGGTCCCTCTGAGGATGAATATTTTATGCCGGATATTGTATGGCGGCTCACATCTTTGGCAGTCATATTCGTCGACAACTCCGATCCATACGCCGAAGATCTCGAGGCCTCACTGGCGGAACCGGGCAGTATAGCACTGGCGCATTCTCCCAACCAGAAATGGGGAAGTAGCGGCTCGCGGGCGAGCGATGCCGAGACACAGAAATTGGAAGCCTTGTCGGCGATCGCAACACACGATCGCTTCCCCTATTCTCCCATGGAGCATTCAGTCTCCGATAATACCTCTTATACCTCTCCAAACCGACACCGCAATACGCTCCCCCCGACTTCTCCCTCCATGTCGCTGTCGTCCACCAGCAACAATACCAATATTAATTTCCTCCTCAACCCTTCACACTCGCTCTCTCCTCCCATCGACCCAACTATTCAGTTATCCGAACGAGGTACTGCACTCCCAACAAGACCGGCTGCTTTTCAGAGGAGTATGAGCCAAATGAGCATGAGCCACACATTAGACGACAATGCAGAGACGGAGTTCGAGACAGCGTTCTTCCTGCGACATTATTCCGAAGGCCCGGGACTTTGGTATGTTCCCATCGCGTGTATTATGTGAGATAGGTGTATTGACAATGTTTGCAGGATGGACCTCTATGACCTTGGGACATATTTCGCATCATACGTCCCCGTCCGAGCAAGAACAAATCCACTCTTAAAATTCGCCGCTTGTGCATATGCCGCCAAGCAACTAGGCCGAGTGAAAGGTGTCAAGGCGCCCATGGGCGGAGTATGCACCCAGCAAGCTGCTATGGAACTGTGGCCTGAAAAAGACCCTGATTTCGCCTGGTACGGGGCCAAGTATTATGAGAAGGCAATCCAGCTCTTAATGAAGGAGCTGCAACCCGATGCCGAGGGCCCGCCGCCATTGAGCACACCCGAGGCATTTGGGCAATGGCAGGCTTCCGAGCTTGTGGGCGACACCAGTAACCCACGTAAGCGCCGGAGACGAGTCTCGGATAGTCGACTTTCGCATGGAGTCCATTCAGACGAAGTGCTAGCGGCGACGGCTATCTTGTCTGTGTACGAGTTTCTTGATGCGGCCGGCCCTGCGTGGAATCGCCATTTGAGTGGCGTTAAGTCGCTGCTTGATGTCGCCGAGGTGGGCATGATGCCTGTTGAGCAGCGCTCGTCTCCTGGGGAAAGCTCTTATCAGAATCCCACGCCGAAGAGATCGGGCCTTTCAAAGGCTCGGAGGGCGACTTTTTGGAATTTCGCGAGACAGGACTATCTAGCTGCTTGTGAGTACTTATAGGGGTTGATGAATGGCCTCTAGAACGGACGCTAACATAACAGTCATCAACGAATGCCATACGCGACTCAACACAGACGACACGGTTCTCTGGACCGAAGCTGGTCTACTGCTAGATAACGCAGGTTATGTCCGAGCCAGCAACACGGGCGCAGCAGGATACCCGGAAGGCGAAGACACCATGAAAGAAGACCTGATCAGCAACAGCCTCGTCTGGATTCTGTCCAAGATAGTCAATTTCATAAGTTCCGGCGACAACGTGCAGCTAACCGACAACCGGTCGATGACAGGCCCGCTAGGCGTCTCGCAACAGGCCCTCCTAGAGCACTGGTACCGACTCGAATCCGAGCTCGACGCGTGGTATAGCGGCGTTCCGGAGACTTTCCGGCCCTGCGCGCGAATGGACCCATCCAAGCTATCGCACCACCGCCCGGCCAACGAAAACGAGGATATCTCCACATTCCAGGAGATCTGGTTCAGTCTCTCGATGTGTGCTTCATCCATGCAGCACTACCATATGGCGCGCATTCTGCTGCTAATCAACAAGCCCCACGAGTCGACCAGTCGGCGGAGTACAATCGCACTGCGCTTGCAATCATACCGCTCCATCGAGGCGGAGATCGCGTTCCATAGCCGTGAGATCGTGGGTATTGGGCTCTCCCGCCCGGATGGAAGCGTCAGGATTAACTCGCTCCAGCCGCTTTTCGTTGCTGGTCAGTGTCTGACTGATCCCCGCGAGCGGAGGACGACCGTTCGTCTGCTGAGAAGCATTGAGTCGGATCTGGGTTGGGCGACTGAGTATCGCGTTCAGCAGTTGCTGAAGGAGTGGGGGTGGGATGAGAGTACGAGCCGATCGCTTGGGTCGGGTTCTTGAGGCTTGGTGGTGGCCTTGTCTTATGCGACAAGGGTTGAGCTCAGGAACTGTAGCATCCACAGCCGATCGAGAGAGCATTGCCGGTCTCTCCTCGACCAGCCTACGTCCTGTACTGGACATCCGAATACGCCTTTGGTAGTTCAAGAGAGAGCGCGCGCGTGTGTGTATCAGTTGGACTCTCGGATTTAGACCGGCGTGCCACATCCCCACCTCCCAGCTACCAAGCCATGTCGACTGACATGTCAAGCGACAGTCGGGGAATCGATCCGTCTTGGACAGCGAAGGACATCAAGCCCTCTAGTCTAGTGCCTGACCACGGACACGAGTAACGAACGTTCATGATATGTTTCGTACAGTAATTATACTATAATATAGTGTACAATGTGCACTGTGCACATTGGCAGAAATGAAGCGAATAAATATCCCACAGAGAGAGAAATAATCAGAAACAAGGATGTAACAGTGGTTTTAGCACATGCGCCGAGCCATCGCTTTTCTGCAGTGGGCTTCGGTTCAGTTGCCTCTCTGTACAAGTGGGATGGAAGCCCTCCAAACCTTGTTTATTGAGATTTTGTTATACTCCAGGGCCCGTCAATAGCCGGACTTAATTGTATCGACAATATTGCACGGACCTTAAGAAAATCTTTGTCCTGACTACGAACATACAATGTTGTCAACATGGCATGGCGGGGTCGGGTAGGCACAGTACAGAGTACCCGTGAGCATATTAAGAATGTCCCTCATACACCCAACCATCCGGAATCACCCTAAACTCTTCACCAAAACAACACTAAACGCACTAAACACGGTTACAGCCCTAAGAGTCGAAAAAGCACAAGATGCAGGTTTCGCGCTGGGCATGTTGTCACCGAATCCACTTACCCGCCGATTCACCATCCCGGGGGGCAACTTATCCGAAGCTGATCTACTGCCGAGAATTGGAGTCGAGAATATCTCGGGATGATAATGTCGGTCAACCCGGATGGAGAGAAAATATATGGGCCGATAGATAAGTACGGGGAATGTCTCTCAACTCTGGTGTTTGGTACACTGCCTGCATGGGATACATACTGTGTAGCTATGCTTCTGCGAATAGAAAGTCTGGCGATGGCTGCAGGGTTGGTAATGCAATGATGGGGTCACTGCGGGGAACGGTTGGAAATTATCTGGCGAGTATGGGGGTCAGGGGTGAGGGTGGGCTATTGGGGACTGTGGATTATGAGTTGTTAAAATAATGTGTAGATGACGGAGATCATATGTTGTATAGCGTACTGTATACGCTATATCATGTGCATCTACGGAGTACAGGAACTCATGATTTTCGGCGCCACTATCAGGTTAACGTAGTAGCCAGGAGTCGGATCTATCCGCTAGAGGTTAAAGAGCATGCAGATCATCCGTTCGGGTCGTGAGGCGGCCTTTTCAAAGCGTTGAACCCACCGAGACGGGTGTGGCCTGCTTTCTATGGGGAACATTCTTGCAGAGGCAATCCATCCTCTACTACGGAGATGAGCCAGACATAGGGGCTGTCCTGACCGACAATTCGGGACACCATTTGCTCCCCGTGAGCCCTGGAAGTGTGCAGACAGGCTACTTCGATCCTCCCCCTGAATGCGAATAAGAAGCTCTGACTAGCAAAGACTATCAAAGTCAAATCCCACAGTCAAAAACTATAGACGAGTGAGCGCAAATCATCTAGGCAGGCTTGTGCTACTGGTGTGCCCCTGACAAGAATACACCAGTAGTAAGACAACATCGTCCTGTCACGCGGAGAGCCATCCTTCATTCTGGAGAACACTCATCTCAGCACGATGACTGCTTCCACAGCCAGAAGCAGATAAAATTTAAACCAGATATCGTCAAGAACAGCGAATGAAATGCGTTTGTTCACGTCGGTATCGCCGCAGAAGGACAATGCACTCCACTCGAGGCTGCTAGCAGGTGAATTTCAAGAACGACGACATCCCTGTGTCACGGGAGATAATTTGCCTTTGGATAAGCCCTGCACATATGAGCATGGGGGAAATGTTAGAAAGGAGCTACTGGTCGGGGCTGTTCCACTGCTTGGCAGAGGCGTTGGACCCGCTTTTGATGTTGGGGTCGCGGAGGTCATGTTACCCACGGAGATTGAAGATTGAATGGATGTTCGAGATCAGAATCTGAGAGCACTGACCGGTTTGCTAGGCTGCGGGGTCTTTGGATGGTTTGTGGCTGGCGCTTAGTGGGATAGGCACTGGGGATGTTGTGATTAGAGCATCATATCGTAACTTACGGAGTACTAGAAAGATCATGACTCCACTAGAGCTCTATGATCACCGAACTGGCCGTGATCATCTATCAATAGAAGATCCGTGGGGGCCAGGACATGGACCAGATAGGACCGTGAGGCTGCGCCCGTCCGCTGGGACTTTTGATCGCTCGATTCGAGTCATGTTGTTTACCTCTTGGACGTGATAGATCGCAGAGAGACTTGCATCTTGAAAACCACCTGATTGGTGTTATGTTGATCCAATGCTGGAGGTGATCACAACGGGAAATGGATGCTGGCGGGTGATTGGTTGGATTTGATGCGTGGGCTCTCGGGACGGGTGGTGACACTGACCAGTGTGCGGGCAGGTCAGGAATTTGTCTGTGGGATTTGGTTCAAGGAACGCAAAATGGTGTCGCAAATTGTGAGAGGGCAAGTACTTGGCAGGGGATCTCAGCTTGCAGTGTTCGGCTGTATAATTGAATTTACTGTAGGTCTATGCAGTAGAGGTGTATCATTATCCATATCTCAGGGAATGACTGACTACTCCCTATACTGGCAATCATTACTAAATTAATCATGATTAGTGTATACATTTATTGTATTAGTGTAGGAAATTAATCTAAGTTTACCGATTTAATAAACATTAACTCAGTTCAATCTGGACTCGACTAGACTTCTGTTGAGAAAGCACTAAAAAACACTAAAATCCCTAGTTCTCTCAGAATCCGAGGCTGAGTGACCTTGTAATCTACGTTACCGGTAATAATTGTTCGAGATTGTATGCGAGATCTAGGCCAATTTCTATAGAGGTGGCGTTCAGTTGTGCTATTTATTCTTTGTACAGAATACCGTAGCATTGATGAGTCGTACTGATGTTCCACGGGTTCTTTTGTTCTTCTACCTTTTTCCTTTGGAATGTGCAGGACTATCCTAATGCATTGATTTTATTCTTGTATGAGTTAGTTACTGGTTCGGTGTTTTGTCCAGTTGATCTATTACTGAAGTAGGCATGAAGATCCTTTTACCCGTTTTCCTCGCTTCCATGTTCCGTGTATGTTAACTAAGGTATTCTCCATAACCTCCCCTGTACTCCGTATTAGCCAAGACTCAGAATTGACTTCTCGAGGGACCGTGTTGCAGCCAATCCCACCGTGGCTGCCATGCGCTCGTGTGTGGTGGGGGCAAAAAGCAGCGGGCCTTTTTTCCTTTGGTTGGGGCCTGCAGGTCCAACATGCATACTTCTCTCTACTCCCGTACAAGTATGTATACCCCATTTTTCCCCATTTTTCCTCCTGGATTAGTTTTATATTATTCAATCTCCTTTGCGCGAACCTCCCTCGCGCTGGCGCGTTAAGTGATTGATATGGTGTATTTCTTGCCATAATGGTGAACGCCCTGAATGGAAACTGCCCGTCTCCCTTTTTACAGGAGACATTATTCCCTTCCGTCGGTGGATTTATCGATGGCCGTTATTGCGAACAAGTGACTCTCGGCAACAGTACTTATTCTTGCTGCTTGCCATGCCCTCTCGCTGAATGGCGATATGACACTGGTTAGTTGACGGCCGAAAAGCATATATGTCCGAGTCAATGTCTAACATCGAACCCAAAAACACATAGACTTACATGCTAAAATCGATGTCGCAAGCTGGATCAGTGTCGCCATTCTCCCTCTGTGTATTTTCCTGTTAGTTTCATATGCCGTGCTGCCTGTCAAATGGACTCATCGTCATTACTTGAGTATTTGCTTTACATTGGGAATCTGTTGCATGGAGGTGCGTTTGATATAGTTATCCAATGCATCTTGGAACCTTGCCACTAACTATGCATGCTCCAGATTGCCTTCATCATCCCTCTCGGTGCTAAACCAGAACAGTGTTACAATGCAATCACCCCCAATGACATGCACTCTGATCTTTCGTGTGCCTTCTCTGGCTCGCTATTGCTATTCGGTGGTTGGATGGTCGTTATATGGAGTTTCATCCGCACCCTCGCATTCCACCTCCAAGTATGCTGGGAGGTAGTCCTAGGGCCGAAGTTCATGTGGATAGCCTTTGTCAGCGGATTTGGTATACCTGCAATCGGACTCGCAGTGATGCTCGTGCTCACAGGTGTATCCTTCCGATTCGGAGAAATCTGCCATATCAACGTGACCAACTCACTATACGATTACTGGATCCCAGTCATGATATTCGCCGCTGCATCCCTCTTCTTCCAACTATCGACAATGATCTACTGCATTCACATCTATCTCCGCTCTCTCTTCGACAAATCCGCCGCCTCATCAACAGGCAGCTCCGGCCTCCCCTCCTACACAAGCAGCGTCCGCACAGTAACAGCCCGACAAGCCTACCGGCGTGTGCGCCGCGTCCTCCAGCTACAATGGCGCGGCGTCGCCCTAGTCTCCATCATCATCGCCAACGTGATTTTCTTCGCAGTCGTCTTCATCAACCTTGACAACGCCGTCGCCCCAACCGCCCGCAACGTCAAAACAGCCACCCCCTGGCTGGTGTGTCTCGCCACAACCGGCGGCGACAGAGCAAGCTGCCGCACCTACGCCGAGGCCATCGGTCCCAACGAAGCCACCCTCCTAGCAGTCGTCATCCTGCTCTCCCTGGTCGGCTTCTGGAACTTCATTCTTTTCGCCCGCCCCTCGATGTTCGTCGGCTGGCTGGATTTCTGTCGCAGCAGAGTTCGCGGCCGCAATGAGTTTGTGTCCGCTGATGCGAACAGCCGTTTCGCTGATCACAAGGGCTTCGAGATGCTGACTACGACCGTCAAGACGCCGGAAGCTTTCATGCGCTCGCCAAGCCCTACACAGATGGATGCCCAGGACCGCAGCCGCAGCCCCATGGCTAGTCCGAGTCCGACATTCGAGCGCGCTGTTCATCTCGGCCAGGAGGCCCGATATGTTCGTCCTTCTTTGAGTTTCTCGGGGCCAAGGTCGCCTAGTTCGCAGGCACGCGGATGGGACCATCAATCTACGTTTGCGCCGGGTCATGAGCGAGAATAAGAGTTGATGTTTTTGAAATACGGTTTCTATGTTTCCACTAGGTATTGACTATTACCAAAAATTTCCGGGTTTACTAGCCTTTTATTTGCCTCTTTTTTGGTTTCTTTACTTGCATGGCTCAATCTATTCGACTGGGCATTATAAACACAGCGAGAGGCGAGAGGCGAGAGAGGCGTGTATTCCGTTCTTGTTTTTTCATTGCGGTGTTACAGGGGTTGTCTCACTATTCTTGGCTAATTATCGTCTGCAATTCCACGCGTATGTATGCGTACTATGTATGACTATGTATGTCTATGGATCCGTTTCAGACGTACCTGGGCAGTGCCCACAATTACATCTAATTTAATCTTTGAATCTTTGTACCCCACTATACAAGATACATTGTACTATGATGATATCCAGAAATCAAATCTATGCCATCCCCGTATATCAATTCAAATCTCAACAATTCCAATTACCACAGTCTCCATCTCAATCTAAATTGCAATATCACCATCAACCCATCCCCGCATCGGTATGCCCGTAAAACCCCATACCACCTATGATGCAATGCACTGATACGACTCGCTGTCCGACCGGACTGCGACTGCGACTGTGGATCTGGCCGTGCATCCCCGAACACGACCTTGGAAGAATACAGGGATGCATCCCTACCATACCCAAATACATACACCGAGCCCTAGATGGGAAACAGAAAAAGGCCGTGCCCCGGCTCCGGCACTGATCAATCGAGGAAGAATCTAGAATGGTTTTCCCGAGATTGTAATTTCCAGCCAGTCAGAGTGTAGGCAGGGCATCAAGGGTTGCCAATTACACCCTACTGTACTCCGTATACGGAATACACTCTACTAGTGCACTGTAAATCCAGGCACCATCCACCTTTACCAGTCTGAAACGTAACGCAAAACACTCGGCCCCAACAGGGTAAAATCGCCGTTCCTGCATAAGGATAGGGGTGGAGTCGGGAAGTCGTAAGCCCCGGGTGCTAGTGGCGCTAGTAAGCTTAGTGTTCGCGTGGGTATTTTGTTTTTTATCTTGAAGCAGTTAGTAGTCAGTATCTAGGTGAGGGCAATAATGACGGATAAATATGATGTGAGATTGATTTTTTTTCTACTCCGTAAGAGTGTTTATATTACGAGGCTGGGTTAGTTGCCCTAGTTTCTTCTAGTAGGGGCCAGGGTTCCGGGGTCGGGGAGTTTAATAGATTGCGTAGACTGTAGAAGGGCATTCGATAGCGAGCAATACAGGGAGGTTTTTGGTAGCGAAGATTTGAACAGAGAAATTCTTGGAGCCATTGACTTATTTTTGAGAATAATTCTGTATGTTTTAGTTCTACAATCTCTCAACTATAAATTGTTGATAAAACGGAACGAGAGGCCGTGCGAGTCAACTCTTATAATGGTACCGAACCTAACGATCCCCTGTTCGTTCCTGTGGTCTAACCCCATTGATCTACCATGTCAAGTTCCTCACACAGATGGAAAGCAGAAAATCCGCGGAAGTGGGGTGAGCAATTAGTCGACTTAGTGTACCCCCGGACCCTTCAATAATCCTGGCACGAGCAAAAGCACGAGGGTCGAGACACCGAATTAGCTCTAGCTGCCTAGGTTCATTCCAACGTAGCTCGGTAATATTCCACAAGCGGAACCCGATCACGATCAGGTCCCTGGGGGTTTATGATGCCTACGTTGTAGGGCGCGGCACTTGGATTGCGGGGTTGGGAGGGGAAGGATTTTCGGCACTTGGACTTGGGTCCGGGTCCGGCATGTGTTGGAGGAAAATGGGTAGTGGGTTTTCGTATACAACGTACTCCGCAGATCCATATGAGTTAGTATATTAGTCTGGGGACAGAGTTCGTGATAGTCACGGTTGCATGCGAGTGGGAAGGTGTTTTGTGGGGAAGTCAGGAAAGTGTTCCTGTCCTTGGGTTAGCGCTAGGTACGCAGCCTCGTGGGATGTGGACCACCGAGGTAGTTGGATATACATGTGATTGTTTTTAGATTGGGGTTTTTGTGGAGAAGCTGGCTTTTGTAGGTAAATTTACACTTATTAATGTAGATCAACACTAATAAACAACCCCATAGAAAACAATAATAGATCAGATATTAAATGGCACCTTCATAGTCTAAGAAGATAGGTAGAAAGAGGTGGATAAAAGAGGTAAAAAGAGAGATGGGGAATTACAAATTTGATACCAAGAGTGATTTGTCGAGAAAAAAAAAATAACGAACATTGATTGGAGCAATTGATCTAACCATAGGCCATTGAAAAAGAAGCTCTATCATACAGCCTGTTCCGTTCTCTAACTCCCTTAAGTCTCTGCCCACCAAAGACTGATATAGAACTCTAAATGCTCCTAACAAATGAATCGGTGTGAGTTGGAATGAATCAGAGCAAACAATGTTCTCATGTCTTCTAAAGCAAAAAACAAAAGTAGAAATTTCCGTATAACGCTATCTCTAATCTCAAAAGCAAGCAATATACGTAACAGCTCAACCAAAACTATAACGCTCTTGCAGATACTGACTATCTACAAACCGCCAGCAGCGCAAATCTTCTTTGCCTCAGGAAGACGCTCCGCGTACCGACTAGGATACGCCGAGCCCTGCACCTTCTGGCAAAGCTTCCCAACCTCCATAGACTTCCAACCACTGATACCCTTCATCTTGGCATAGAACTGCCCAGCGGACCTTGCGGCATCCATATCGGCCGCAATATTGGGATAGTAAACAGCGCGCTGCTGGAAGATTCCAACGCTGTCGTAATCGGAGCCGACCTTGTCATGCGGGTAGTTGAGGGAAGCCGGCACCTTTTTGTTGGCATAAATATAGATACTAGACTGTGAAAGCGTATCAGCATAACAGCACCTATTTAGATATACTTAGGTATGGATGAGGCATCCTGGTCGAAGCTTACCTCAACAAGCGCAGTTGCGATACCAGCAAGACAGCCCTGGCGGCCCAGGCCTTCTTTCTTTGCTTCTCCAATAATGGCCTTCGCATGCTTGGATTGGGTCGATGTCAATCCGGGGAGGTTGCCACTGCTGCCACCTCCACTGCCGCTCCCACTGTCGTCGCAGTTCTTGGTAACATAGCTGCTGCTTCCAGTCTTGACGTAGTAGTCAGCAACATAGCAGCCGTCGGCAGTCTTGTCCCAGATGCTGTCGCCTTTGACATCAGTGCCGGGTGCTTGGCAGGTGATGGAAACATCGGCTCCCTTCTTGTAGCTCTTGACTACAGAGTAGGATGTTCCGGGGCCAGAGCGGCAATTGACGCCATCGCCGGTGATGGGATAGGCAGTGACAATCGGCGCGATGGCGGCGAAAGTCAGAGCGAAAAGGGGAGTGAACAGCATGTTGAGAAGATGACTGGAATTGACTTGGAGAGGGTTTATAAAACCGAGGCTGTAGCTCTATATTGCAGATTGGTGATGTTTGTGCTGTGAGTTGATGTATAGACGAGTTTGGCGGAGATTCATCTAGCATTTTATACCCCTAGCATCTTCATTCCGGAGGCTCTTCGCCCTTGTTCGTGTTTACTTGGACCCCAATATCCTCGTATAGGAGCGCGCGGGATGTAACGAGGATGCGTGCCATTCGTATTCCCAAATTCCACCCAAGAAGCCTATATTCAGCTAAAGTTGCAGAGAACTTATGAATGTAACTATTTTCGAACATCTAATCTCGTATTATTCACTGACGAATCTCGTGTTATGCAAGTTTTCGATGCTGTTAAGCTTGATGGAAACATCGGTCGATCTTGGCGCTCGTGTTCCTGAAGCGTTTCCTGTCAGGGCACCAGATGTCCGCCCTAAAAATAGCAGGACTATCCGCAGATTAGTGCCGATATATGCAGATCATCTGTGTTTGTGTCGAGGGTTGATCTTGATTCGATGTTAAATTCCCGGCAAACTTAGTGTATACTACATCGTAAAGCGAAGGGAAAATGGGGATGATTTAGGTATTGAATCGGCGTTCACTGTGTATTGATTGTGCTTCCGTGGTTGTTTTTTTAAAATGCGCAAAGCTGTTAGTATTAAGTCAACGATGGGATTTTTAAGAGACCTTTGTTTGGCGACAGAACCCAAAAAGTCCGGGATATATGCTTAGATTCAACCAATAATCGTACCAATCAGAGCTAAATGCAAGTTAGTCCGTGGTGATGTGTTTTCGGTGGAATTACCATTTCGGGTGTGATCTGTTCGCCCCGGGGAGACTCGAGCTAAGAATAGTATTGAGAATGTTGGTACGGTCAAAGAAAGAGCCATGGAGGCTGATGGACCAAGAGTCCAAGAATATACCTTGGTTTGCTTCAATACCGTTGATCAGCTAAGTGGATTATTGGTCCACAGGTACACAAGGCATTTGCTTTTCGAAGCGATGATTTTAGGGATTAGATATTCGCAGTCGGAAATTTGATTTCTCACTCTGTTTGTTTCAGCAAATTAATCTTCATTGTAGTAATTTCATATTTCTGTACCTAGGTAGTTTGTCTACATGTGTACCCAGTCTATGTTTCTATATCAGCAACTCACAATCGCTTATATCAATAAGTGCCTCAGGCAATTAATTTTGCTGCTTTATTTGCAGCTACAGGTATATGTATGTTTTTATCATCTAACTACGCAAGTTTCCCTTGAACATGAATTATAGTGCTTAGGTCGAATAAAGACAGCAACATACCATAATATTATTCTAATCTAGTTGGATACTCGAACTACTGGAGAAACCTGCAAATGTATGCAAAAGGCCGAACCCTAGTGCTGGAACTAGATCTACTTAAGCGGGTCAATCACACCGACTCCAATTGAGATCGAAGACCAACAAAATCGTCATGATATATCGAGTCAAATGAAGTAGAAACATTGGGTTTAAATCTTCAAGTATTCAAATACAAGCCTAGTAGTATACCTTATAACTATATATTTACTGTAACCAGTATAAACTTGGAAAGTTGCATCATTATCCAAATACCCGACGTCACGAAGGCGGAGAGAGCTCTGTGTGCGTGTTAACTTGTCTCCCCGCCCCCAGCCACCGTCTTATCTCTTTCCAACACATTTTCCCTTTTCTCTTCTTCCATCTTGGAGAACTTGCTCGCATCATACTCATTCAGCTGGATAAAAATCATATACCATGGCTCCTCCTCCTCCTTCTACCTTGCCGCTGGGTGAGAGACTGAAGGCTTTGGCGCAGACCCTGCAGTACGTTCAACTATTCTCAATGCTTCAATGCTTGATGTACTAGTACTAACAACACTTATAGGTTTGCTTGGTTCGTTGGGTAGGTGAACCTGCTAAGGCATACATGTGAATCTGATATCTGAATTCAAGCTCACTGACAATTTTAGACATGTGACACTCTTGCTCTCAGTCTTCCGCTACTCCTTGTCTTGCCTCTTCTTCAATTACTACTCTTCTTCGGCCCAACTCGCTTATCGCCTGACCTTTATTTCGGCTGCCGTTACCTACGGAATTGTTGTGTACAAAGGTCACTTTGCCCGAGGTGTGCAGGGCACCCCTCTGGCAATTGTGCTGAAGCTCATCTCTGATGAGAATGTGCAATACCTTGGTAAGTGATAAGTGACTGCGACAGCACCAAAACCAAGCTCATACGTTTTCTAGGAATGGCTCTGGTCTGGCTTTACTCGCGCCAGCTTATCTTGGCGCTTCTGCCCTTCAGCGTCTACTCGGTCTTCCACGTCGCAACCTACAGCCGCATGTACCTGATCCCCACCCTGCAGCCCGCTGCTCCCACCGCTACCCCAGCCTCTCCTACCTCCCCCAACTCCAAGCCTGCCGCCAAGCAGTCTCCCCTCGCCGAGACCATTGGGCGCTTCATCAAGCAGTACTACGATGCCAGCATGGGTGTCGTTGCCACTCTCGAAATTGCGCTGCTGCTCCGCCTCGTCCTGTCCGCTATCACTTTCTCCAAGGGTAGCTGGGTGCTCCTGATTGTCTACCTGTCTTTCTTCCGCGCTCGCTACGCTCAGAGCTCCTTTGTGCAGCAGGCTGTTCGCCAGCTCACCGCCCGTGCCGATGCTACTCTTGCCCACCAGAGCACTCCCCCTCAGGTTCGCCAGGGCTGGGAGGCCTTCAAGGGTATTGTGCGCCAGGGTTACGAGGTCACTGACATTGGTCGCTACATCTCTGGCTCTTCTGCCCCCAAGAAGGCGCAGTAAATTGCTGGGCCATGCGCCAAACACCTTGCTTTCCAAATTGGAGCTTCTGGCGTTAGGATGGAGCTTGACATTCGGCTTTGAGGATTGCTGAACGGTGGTTGGTGTACGATATCACGGATTTATCTTTTCTATTGGAATGGTTTCGTGCGAGCGAAGAACATGGGGGATGGCAGAGTGGAACCCCAGGGTTCCGACTGTAGAAAACGAAGCGGTCGTGGAGGTGTTCCGCTATGATGATGCTATACGCAACGACTTGTGTTTTATATTTCTAGAGTTTCGCGATGCATAGTCTCTGTATTTGCTTTGCTCTTGCCAACATACCTTGTTTCGGATTCATTTTGTTATTTCTATTGTACAGTGCCCTTCCAGATGACTGTAGCTGTCGACAGTTGAACCTTTGGAAACAGCACCGAATGAGAGGTTCAATTGAAAGTGCGCTTCAATGACTATCAATTTGCTGATATATAAACATCGACAGCTGGTCTCTTCGAGGATACTTATGCTATGTAGACCCTGACCTAGTGACAATAATATTGATTGTAAGAAAGTGCAAGAAAGTGCAGCCAGTGGCCATGCCATCCTCAGTGTAAGGCCGATCTAGGAAGTTTGGGCTGAGGGAAGGAGCCCTTGAGACTACCATTCATCATCCACACTGATCAATCATAGTCTCAGGTCTCTAGTTCTTGAAGAGAAGCATGCTACCTGAATATTTTTTGAGGGTGGGTAGTTTAATATTGTAATAACTCAGGCAGGTGAAGTATAACTATGCATTGTAGATAGAGCTGTAGAAGGTACAACACACAACTGTCAAACCTAAGAGCAAAAAGGAAAAACAAGCTGTCTACCTTTATGATCACTCAATTCTTAGACCTAATTATTCCGACATTAATATCAAAAGTAATCTACCAGAGCGGTTTAATCACTCCAATGACAGAATATACTGATGCCTGAGGCGACAGGTCGGGCTTGGCAAAGAAAGGCCGATCAGAATTTTGGCGGAACAAACGATCTCACAAACAAAACTAATCAATCGCTCCTTGATTTCTTGTCATTCTTTCTGATTATTGTCTCCCAGGGGTGCTACTCTCCCATCCAATCTTTCAGCACCCCCTTAGTCCCCAGTCTGGTCCCGACCAGTTCCGGGATCGCAGTTTCGGCGTGATATTGCCATGAGTTTGACCTCGCGGGTGTTTGGCCTGTTCTCGACAGCGAATTCAGACCCAACTGTGACACCTGCGGGGGACTCACCCACCTCGACATGGACACAACCCACTCCCACCGGGGCGATTCATGATGACCTTGCGCCGGTGGAGGAGGAATCCCGGCCTCCATATCTACATGTGCGTCTTCAGTGATATCATTGGTATTCTTGCATCGGGCAAAACTAACGTGATTCCTCGTTCATAGGCGATGTTGGCTGGTGGTACCGGAGGAACATGCGGCGACATGTTGATGCACTCGTTAGATACCGTCAAGACCCGACAACAAGGCGACCCGACCTTCCCGCCGAAATACACCTCGATGGGTCAATCCTATGCGACAATCTACCGTCAAGAAGGGTTCTGCCGCGGTCTATATGGAGGAGTGACGCCGGCCCTTCTCGGATCGTTCCCCGGCACTGTGATCTTCTTCGGAGTTTACGAGTACACCAAGCGTTTAATGATCGACTCGGGGATCAACCCCAGCATCGCATATCTATCAGGCGGTTTCTTTGCCGACTTAGCTGCGTCCATTGTCTACGTGCCATCCGAAGTCCTGAAAACACGATTACAACTGCAGGGACGACACAACAACCCACACTTTAACTCGGGCTACAACTATCGCAACATGAGAGATGGATTCCGTCAGATCGTCCGCCTAGAAGGGTTTCCAGCATTATTCCACGGTTACAAAGCCACCATCTTCCGCGACCTCCCGTTCTCGGCCCTTCAGTTTGCATTCTACGAGAAAGAACAATCTTTGGCTAAACAATGGGTTGGCAAACGGGATATTGGATTAGGCCTGGAGATTTTAACAGCCGCCACCGCCGGCGGGATGGCTGGTGTGATCACCTGTCCCATGGATGTTGTCAAAACGCGGATTCAAACCCAACAAAACCCGATAGCAACCCCAACTCCATCCGGCTCGGGCGCAAAGCATTGTGTTGAACATGTACCCAAAGAAAGTCCCCGACCACACGCGCCGGCATCATCACATTCCCATACCCCTCGAGCACACTCACGGCCGATTTCCACCTCGGGAGCGTCCACATCAATTCCTGCACCGGGCACACCACGACTCGACACTTCATCGGTGTTCACTGGGTTGAAAATGATTTACCGAACGGAAGGCATTGCGGGGTGGTTCCGCGGCGTGGGTCCACGGGGTGTGTGGACAAGCATTCAAAGCGGGACTATGCTGGTGATGTATCAGTATCTGCTTAAACAACTCGAGGCCCACCAGATTCTGGAAGAGCGGGCTTTGTAGGATATTTCATTGATCTGGCTGTGTTGCATTTCCAGGGTTTCTTTTCTTTCTTTCTGTTTCTTTCATGGGGGGCGTTGGGAGATTCTTTGTCCCAATTTGGGATGTCATGACCCTACTTTTGTATACTGTTCCACTCTTTGTGAATTAGACCTTTTAGACTTGGCTATGGCCAATATGTACTATAACTTGATTCTCTTTCTACTCTCAATTGCACATATATCCATGGATCTGTGTGTATATCTATATATATTTACAAAGGAAACCTTAAACGAGAACCACATTAGATCTTTCCTTGTAGTATAACTTGAGTTAATATAAAAGGAATAGATATTTATCAACCTTGGAGACCGACTTCAAAATAGTTGAATTGATGAAATCTAGCAATGCAGCCCTAAAGTAAAGCAACAAGCAGATCAAGAAAAGCAAATACAAAGGAATGAAAGAAAGTGGACGCGCTAACCCGTTTGTTTTGACGATCGGCAGGATGTAAACAATTACCGGCCAAATGCACTTTCTCCCCTCCTTGCATCTTCCTTCCCCCGGATCTTAAACATTACTTTACTTTATACTTGTATTTCCATGCGCATTGGTCCAATTTTATTAAACAAATCATGTCTGCTGTTGGTCTACCTTATTTGAGAGCTTTGAGAAAGCCAGAATTGGTGGACATCGCCGAACAAACCGAGTTCTCAAAGTGAGAGACAGAGTTGAATACAGTCGCATAGGAAGATCAAAGCTGACATTCAAAATCCATGATAGCCCCGATGATTACAACAAGAATGACCTCGTTGTAGCTCTTGATAAGCACTTGCGCAACAACCAGAACATCTTCCAGGGCCTCGAAAGCCTCTCCGGCTACTATTCCCGCTTCAGTACGCCCTCGCGCAAAGGGATTTCGCCCGCCAAACGCGACGCTTTGAGGACTCCTGCCCGGCGCCAGCCTAAGCAAGAGCTCAAGGAAGAGTTCAGGTAAGAATAGCGCTGATCTGTAGATTACATCTCCCGGCGCAAGGTGTTGCGCTCAGTCCATCGCCCGTGTACTGACTATTGTCTCAGTGAAACGGAAGATTTGGTTCCCACCAAGATTCAGGCCAGCTCACCTGTGGAAAGTCCCGTTAGACGTACGAGTGCGCGCCAGACGCGCCCAACACCCAAGACTCCCCGCGTGCCATCGATCTCCGTGGTGGAGGATGCCGAGCCAACGCTGCCCGCTTCCCCAGCTGTCGTGACTGAAGTAATCGACAATCAGACCCGCAAGCTGCGCCAGGGACTGGATAGAATATGGGAAGCATCCGGAATTATTGATCGGGCTCACTCGCTGCGGGACAGCCTCAGCAGCCTCAAGGCTCTGGAGACTATGATTCTGCTGTTCGAGTTTGGTAACCTGATCAAAGCCCGACTTCCTATCCGCTACCTGACTACAATTCCGGCGATTCAATATACCCACACCCCGGCTCTGCGCCTCAAGGTCCCCGATCTATTCCAGCTCCTGGAAGGAGACTTCTGGATGCCGATTTCTTTGTGGTTCTTTGTTGCCTTCTTCTTGCCTTTGGTTGCTTCCTATTTCATAAACTTGGGCGCTTCCCGGGGGCGCGCTACTCGCGACAGGTCCACTTCTTCGCAGTTTGATCCGCTTATTTTCAATATCGCGAAGGCTTTGCTGGTGCACCTCGTGTTGGGCAAAGAGATCCACCTTGGCCTTACCACCACTTACAACATCCGGAAGGTCAAGAATGCTGTGCTTGGTGGCGAGCAGGGTATGATGATCGGTACTGCTATTGGAGCTGTCGGTGCCCTGTACGAGGCTATTTTGCAACGCTCGTGATATGCTGGACTTCATTATTGCGGCGCTGTACAGATGCTCTGGGGAGAAAGCATTGCAATTGCGCTAGGTCGCTTGTGACTCGTTTTGTTTTTGTCTTTTTCTATGGTTGTTTTGACTGTTTCATTGGTCCTTAGTTAGTGACTGGGACATGGGTTATGCGATATGGATTCTTTTCTCGCCATTTTATTTATGTCTTCATTGGTCTCTCATTTTAGCCAGAGAAGGCGCCTTTGGGGTTCTTGGTCTGACTCTTGTTTTATTTATTCCTCTAGGGGCATTTCCTCTTTTCTTTTCCCGCTAATGACCAATATATCTCCAAGTGTACCGTCATTAAAAAATTGGAAATTAGTGCATAAATTCCCTACTATTGTGTTTTATACCTCCCAAGCCTCTTCTATGCAATTACCTTTCACTATTTCTCCTTGTGTTGTTGTGTTGAGTTCCCTCACTTCTACCGCTGTACGAAATGGTAAGGGAATCTACCCAGGCCACGAAGTCTGATTATAGATTTACCATTCAATCTTGAGGCCATCGAATATTCAACCAGGAATTTCAGCAATCTATGATTTCTATATCTATCACATCAAGCACGCTCACGATCGCCTCTTCAGCCTCTCCGCCAACTCTAGAGTAAACAAAACAGGAACCGATGTCTCAACCTCCACCTTATCAGCGCGAATATGATTGCTAGTGGATATCTGCCCTCCGATCTCAGTATGCCAATCCTCAACATCCCATTCAAATCCATGCGTCGTGATTGAAGCAGGCGCTGAGAGAGGGATGATCCCTATATTTTCTTCAAAGAAGTACTCTGGTTCCGCATCTTGTCCCAGCTTCCGTTTCTTCGCTGACGGTGATGTGTCGGTCTCTTTAGATCCTGTCACCGTAACATCTGCTCGTCTTGTCGCAGGCGTGTGGATTACGTTCTTCCCTTTTTGGATGATGAATGTGATGCTCTCCTCGGAAACGAGATACAGGTTTCCGCCTGCGGCGGGTTTGTTGCTTGGGGAGTTGCTTTCTTTCTCGCGGATTGTACATTGCGTCTGCGTCATCATGTATAGATGATGGACTTGCGAGAAAGCTTGGTCCACTCGGCCGCCGAGGCCGCCGAGAATCACTATCTCCAGGGGTAATTCATTTGGTGGAGGTACTGATGTGCTTTCGGTGGATAGTGTGCCATTTGATCTTGTTGAAACATTCTCTGCTCGGGGAGAGGCAATGATTTCTGCAGCGTGTGCATTGAGATATTTTAGGCATTTGGTAAAGTCTGTGGAATATTGATCTGGATCTTCGAGAATAGATACGCCAAGCTTGTCATAAAACTCTCTAACTGTTGGTCGGATAGAATCCAAGTCGCCCATAATGGCATCTGGTAGCTATGTATCTGGTTAGCCTGTTATCATGGCTAGGTGGTTTGGCATTTTGCGGGAACTCCAGATTGTAGAATCATATATTTGTAAATTCATGCTAGAGCTCAGAAGGTGTTGCAGAAATCAAATTGGTTAGATATGTCTTACGTTTTTAGATTCTGTTCCATCGGCCTTCATCATATCATAAAGTCGGTTGGCACCTCCATCGGCACAAATAATATAAGAAGCTGCAACTTTTGTTTAGAACACACTTATTATTTGCACTGATTCATCATGGAACTTACCATATTTGCTTAGAACTCCAAATGCTTTCTCATTGATTGGTTGATTGAGGATCAGCAGGGCATAAGGAGAAGGACTTCCGGAAGCACCAAAGAATCGACTGGGATCCCACTCCATTTGGATATACTAGAAGTTCAATTTCAGGCAAAAAACTCCAAAGAAACACGAAAATTGAACCTGCAGAGAGAAAAAACCCAAGGCCGAAGATTGTCGTGACGATATAATTATCAGGACGCAAAGCTGCAACGTGACTGGCTGGCGCGGGCAGACAACCTCAGGCCAAAATCCACATCGACTTTCCAACTTCTCCATCCCGCGATTGTCTCGATTCCCCCTCTCAATCCCTTCTCGGAGGAACTGTCGGTTAATTCGATTGATTCTCGATTTCACAAAATGTTCCGTCCCGCCGCTCGAGCGCTCGCCCGCGCGCCCACTGTCGCAGCCCGTACACCAGCGAACAGGCGATTGATAAGCACCGGTCCGTCCAAGTCGAGAAGCTGGAAGAACACAATCTTCCGCTTGGGCTTGGCTGGTGGTGCTGTCTACTACTACAACACTAGCAGTGTTTTCTCCGAGGAGCCGAAGTGTATGTCTCGCGCTGGTGGATAGTGCCCTTGTTCTTTCTTCATTGCCGAGGATGCAAGCTGCGACAAGCCCATTCCTCGATGTCAAATGGGCACTCTGGATCAATCATCGCTAACTCTAATTTCCTCTTGTCTTAGTCTCCCTTCTCTCTTCGATCCGCAAACAAAATGGCGAAGACGCCAATCCCCAGACCCTTGACTCCATCACTCCCAAGATTCGACAAGAACGTGCTGCTGCGCAGGCCCAGAAGAACGAGTCCGCCGCTTTGGAAGGTGGATTAAACCCCCAGGAGCTCCAGGAGGAGGCTGGTCAGGAGGCCGCATTCAACCCGGAGACCGGCGAGATCAACTGGGACTGCCCATGCCTCGGAGGCATGGCCCACGGACCCTGCGGAGAGGACTTCAAGGCCGCTTTCAGCTGCTTCGTGTACTCCGAAGAAGAAACTAAGGGCATTGACTGTATTGATAAGTTCAAGTATGTCACCTCTTGATTAGTTTGGGGGAGTGTCGCGTGCTAATAAGTTTACAGGGCCATGCAAGACTGCTTCCGTCAATACCCCGACGTCTACGGTGCCGAACTCGAAGATGACGATGAGCCTCAAGCCGATGCTCCCGCCCCTTCTGAAATTCCCCCTACCGCTGCTGAGCTAGATGCCTCCTCGCACCCCGATGACAAGCACAGCCGTGCCAAGGACGTCAATGAGCAGATGAAGGCCGAGACTGCCCAAGTGGGCGAGAACCCCGAGGGCGATTCCCTCATTCCCAAGGCTGCGCACGATACCGAGGATATGAACCAGACCAGCAAAGCTTAGAGCTGACCTCTGAATCTTGTTTGGCACCACCCTTCCATAGAGACAGTCTACCGCTTGTCTTTTCTGTACTTCACATCAGGGATAGGATTGGAGTTGTGTATTATATAGACCTTTTTGCTATCTCTCCATCTCCTGTTTTACCTTTGATGCATCTTCCCTGATCTTTCAGCATTTCCATTCCCCTGATCTACGCTCCTATGTGTTCTCTCCATACTTTTGTCAATGTGTAACTTAGTGTATTGGTACACCTCATATCCTGTCCCTCAGATAAGTTCCAAACAAAAAGAAGAGGGGAAATAGAATAAACTTATTGCACGACGGCTATTATTTAGATATTCAGTGTTTCAGATGGAGCAGATGTACGTATACTTGAAAATACCTAGGTACATATTGTATGGATAAATAGCTACAGATGTAGACATTGATGTAAACGAAACTCCGATAGGAAATTCTAGCAAAAGCAGTAATGCATAATCTCAATCTGATGTCCAGAGTTCGCCTTTTCGCCTGCGTCATGACGAATGAACTGAACACCATCCCATCCCGAGAACTCCTACAAACCTATATTTTCTTTTCATACCTGCACAGCCTTAGACTGACCCGGCACGCATTGCTCACTCTCCAGACAATATTCCTTAGTGACCCGGATAGCCATGGGATCCTGCTTCGAGGAAGCAGGCGGCTCAACACCCATGCTTCCGTCCAGAATATACTCTTCACTCCCGACATCCGAGACACGACTCCCCTTCCCAGTATGCAAATCACCATCCATCTCAAAAGCCGGACTCTTGCGCGCGCGCGATGAAACAAACGTCTTCGTCTTTCCTGACGCCTTCGATCCAAAACGGTTATAATCATCACTATTGTGATACGGGCCCTTGGAATTCTTGCGGTTTGTCGAGCCCAGCCAGCGCGAGTTGCGGAACAGCGGTTTGATACCTGGTAGGGAGACGACGATTGCCGCGACGAAGCATTCGCGATCTGCCCAGCCGAGCGCGGTGCCCAGATTTGTTATTGATAAGAGGGAGTAGTAGGCACGAAGGATAGTGCAGATCATAATGAAGATGCCTGATGAGAACATCACTACTAGGATGATTTTGCGTTGGAGGGGGACTTGGAGTTTGGCGAGGATGGGGATTGGGATCAGGATTATGCAGGCGTCGGTCCTGTTTGATTGTTGGCTTTGATCTTTTGGGGAGGGGAGGGGGTGAATTGTTGAGGATGACTTACATCACGTTGAAGACTGCGATCACGATGTAGAGAGGACTACGGAGAGTGCATTTATCTAGATTTTTTTGAGTCGGTGCGCAGTAAGCATGGATAGGGAAGACTCACCTCCTGCGTAGGGCTTGATTTGCCAGTTCTGAGTAACTGGAGTGCAGAGGCAAATGTGTGTTAATAGACATGCCAGCCAGGTAACAAGGCAGAATCCAGATGCTGCTGTTACGAGGTGACGGTGCCATGTTCCTTGTCTGTGAGGCGTGAGATTATACTCGATGCAGATATAGATGGGCCGATGTAGGGTCAATTGACATACGTGAGTTTCCAGTAGAGGCAGAGAAGAACACTCTTTAGACACCAGATATAGCAAATGTACCATATCCAATTCATAAAGGCCAATTTGGAGCCGAGAATCATGTCGGCGACTTTGCTGTCCGGAACAAGCATGGCAGTTTGCTCGTTCAATCCAATGTTGTTGCCAAAAAGCCCTATTTTGATCGTCAGCTGAATTGTACAAAAAGTCCTATCACTCGCGCATATTCACTTAGTAGATGTATGATCACTGTTTGCATAGTCCAGAATATCTGTTTCGACTCCGTTAGAGAAAATTAGGCATTATCTGAACGAGAATTCATACCATGCCAGCAACAGCAAAAACATCATCTATCTGAAGCCCACGAAGGCCTCCCAGGGTCAACCGGGCGTATAACCGGACACACAGAAAGGTCATGCCAATGCCATATTCGGTGAAGGTTTCAATAGTCAAGCTATCGGCTAACATGGCGAATGATCAGAGTAGAGATCAGAGCCGTGCATCAATAAAAAAAAATACAACATGGGAAGAAGAGTGCAAACTTTAATGCAAAAAGGGGATTCCAGTATTAGTATAAATCAGCCACATATAGCGGGATTCCCGAGTTAGATCTATCACCTTCAGTACCCTGTAAATGTATAAAGGTAGAAGAGCAAATATAGGCAACTGTGCCCCCCCCCCAATTGCTTCAATGTGAGATCAGCAGTTCAGGAGACACATCCGCTTTGAAGGATCGGGTCGATATAGCTACCTAATCCACTAAACCCGAGGAACTGGTCTCTAGGGGAATAGGACTATCCTGATGATGATCAGTGCTAAACTACAACGTCTTTGATAATGTTTGATTTAATCCGAGGCAGAATATACTATGGAAACTACGCACCATCTCTCATCAACAGTGTATATACATACATCGTAAAAGCATGTGGCAACGGAGCTTATACCAAAAGAGGTTTGACAGGAGAATTTGCAGGGGTTTAACAAGCATCTACATAGATCGCATTTGACTTTTTTTATTCACAGCCTGCTTAGGTCAATGGTCTTGACTTTTCTGCATGTACAGAATGGCCAGGATGAGCGGCGAGGACGGCACGAGGCGTCCTGGCTCTAACACTAAAAGGCTATAATATGGAGTCTAAGATTTATCAAATTTCAGAGTCAATAAAGACGACAAATTCGTTGCACTTTTCTGGTGAAAGTGGGTTTAGGGTTCCACTGCAGGATCCGAGGTGACCAGGTAGTGTATCCACCATGATGTTGCACATTATCTCCAGTACTTGTCCTGCGATGTTGTCCAAGACGCCGATCAAGGATTTAGTAATGCACATTTTGTCCATTTGTCGCTCATCAGAAGCGAAGGATTGTATTGGTGGGGTCATCAGAAACATGCAGTTACTTCATGCAGTAACGATAGGCCTGACAGTTTCAAGAATGCGGAGATTGGCCGGGATCGTCGTACTTTGACTACAACGTATAAGGATCTGAAGCAAAAGTCGCCGTGGAGACTTTTTGAGAAAGAATGGGCACAGCGGACAGAGTTACCTGTGGTCTGATATCATTGCTGCTAAACCATTATTCCGAGAACCACCTCAAATAATATTAAGGTTTATGCGAGGCTGACTAGATTGGAGATTTTTAAATTCTGAGCAAGCAATACTCACATAGCTAAATTCACCAACAATGGATATCAAAGTCGCTTTAATCACAGGTGGAGGTGTGATCAATCATATAACCCATGCAAGGAGCAACCAACTAACACCACTTCCCAGCCAGTGGAATGGGCCTGGCCGTAGCCAAAGCTCTGTCCGGCTGTGAAACCTGGGACATCCACATCCTTGACATCAACGAAGAGCGCGGAGCCCAGACAGCCAAAGAGTTACCCAGAACAAGCTTCCACCGCGCCGATGTGACCAAATACAGCGACCTTGCAGCAGCGTTCCAGAACATTTTTCAGAGCACCAGTAAGCTAGACTTTGTATTCGCAAATGCTGGTGTCATTGAGCGAAACAACTTCTATGCTACACCACAAGCAGAGCATATCAAGGATGTATGCCCGCCACCGGAGCCGGACCTGCTCTCAATTGACGCCGATCTAAAAGGCGTCGTCCTCACATCATACCTGGCGCAGCATTATTTCCGCCACTCGCCTCACAGGGGCCAAGGTTCTAGCCTGGTGATGACCGCCAGCTGTGGTGGACTATACCCATCTTTCTATTCGCCGTTATATTCTGCAGCTAAATGTGAGTTGATCACGCCTACTCCGTCCGTACCTTACAATGCACCTAATTTGTACCTTGTAATCAAATGATATCGCTTTACCGTTATGACCTGTCAACTGGAAGAACCCTGCACACCAACGGTCACGCACTGACACATCCTCAGTCGGCGTGATAGGCTTCATGCGGTCGATCTCAGAGCACTTCCGCGCACACGGGACCCGCGTCAACGCCATTTGCCCGGGCGTTGTACGCACCAACCTTGTTGATTCAGCCGCCTGGGATAGTTTCCCACCGGGCCGGTTCATCGAGGTGGATAGGGTGGCCCGCGTGGTCCTCGCGCTTATGGAGGGCGGCGAACCGGCGGGCCAGGGGCTGACCGATACACCCGGTAGACATTTGTCTCTGGCAGAGTTGTATGGAGTTGCGGTGGAGATTTCCGACAGCGGGCTATATTTCCGCGATCAGCATGCTTTTTGTGATGAGGGCATGCAGGAAGTTATGGCGGCCACGGTGGTCGAGAATCAGGTGGGTGCTATTCTTAACGGTGATTAGACGGAGACCTCGGGCGTGCGCGTTTTGCTCGGCATGCATATTATTATAATCGGTTGGATGATCGGGGCCACCTGCATGTATGTGCTTAAGTTATATTCTGCAGGTAAACCTTGGAACGTGAGTCGATGGCCAAGCCCTAATGCTACTATGTTGTTTGTCTCCACATTAATTTGAATGATCCTTCGGTCTGCTTTCATCTTAAGTGCTTGGCATTGGATATGAAAATCAAATTGCTGCCTGATGTATATAGTGCATGGGTTTTATTGGAAATCTAATTTTGAGCTCGAACAAGTACCAAATAGCTTGGAGTAAAGAAGCGAGAGAATTAGAGTCCATAAATACCCCGAAGAAACCCCGTGAAGTCTCTCTCTGCGGCACACTTTCTTCAAACTTAGCCCCCACGAGAACTACGTATATGCATACTCTTTACTTAAAGTGTAATAGACACTTGGCTGACTCCACCTGTCAATAGACGGGAGGCTTAGGAGGCGTTTAAACGACTTGATGCACGCAAAATGCAGATAATCAGACAATGACCCATTGGACTTCCCAATCACAAATGATCTGATGTAATTACACCACTGCATGTTCAAGTCGATATATCGAGTTTAGGCCGATCAAATACAAAATTGCAAGATATATGCTAACGGGCCGCCTAGGACAATGCCGCCATTGTAGTGGAACAGACACGGGTCATTAGAAGGTTAATGAGTACTTTTGACTAACTAGACTATGCTTGGCCGACAAATTAATGAGAAACCACTCCGTACTTTGTTGAGAAACATATGACAGTTGGCAGCTCACATTTCCAGCTGTCACAGACCCACACGGAAGTGAGAATCCCTGCCGCCGGGCAGACCCCAATTCATTATTACTGGCCAAGACTTATTTGATAACAGTTTCAATGAAAAGGCGAAGATCATCAAAGGCGCTGATCCTTCTTGCGCTATTTTTTATGGTGCTAACTACTTAGGGGGAACGGTCGTCCCGGGCCTTGAATGTCTCGATTTTCTTATGGAATCGCATCCGGCAGCTTGGAGTCTTCGCCATGCATCATGCGAAACAGTGGCTCCCAGACAGTGGTGGCCCGCTTGGTTATATGGCCATTTCCTGGTTGGGGCATGTGGTAGAATATCAGCTTGTCGGCCGAGCACTCTAATAGTTCACCCGCCATGCCTGAGGAATCTTCCAAAAAAGTTTCAAAGCCATTGAGGATCGTTTGCACGGGAGTCAAACTGAGCCAAAAAATTTTTTTCATTAGCATGCAATGCAGTCTTGCTAAAAAGCAAATGAACTCAGTCGAAACTTACCATTCAGGAGTAACAGCGGCAATCATCTCTGGTGGCACAATGGGTGTGTTCACAATTCCTGGCATGACGCAGTTGATGAAAATATTCTCCTTTTGCTTGAGAAGTGGCGCAACACCACGTATGAAGTGGTTGACGGCGGCTTTGGTGCCACAGTATACTGGGTACGACTCGTGGGGGAAAACAGCGCCAATACTGCCTGTCACGACAATGCGACCCCCTGGCTGCGGGTTATGGCGCATGAAATGGACAGCCAGCTGAGTACCATACACAACACCCTTGTAATTGATGTCCACAACAGACATATCTGGGCACGGTGGAATTTCGTCGACGCCGCTTCCCTTCGAATCATAAATGTAGATAGACGAAGTATCGACAATACCGGCATTATGACATAGTGCGTCAATGCGGCCCCAGAGTTGGTGAACTTTGCGAAACCCATTTGCATACTCTTCGTAACTTGAAACATCTGCTGCGAAGAAGCTGGCTCTGTCTTGTGGAAGATCTTTTAGGAGGGCATTTCCAGCTTCATGGCGTCGACCCAAACAAGCGACCTTCCATCCTTTGGTGCAGAGGTCTTTGACGAGGTCGACTCCCATGCCGGACTGTTGTCAGCCAAGTTAGTTGTCAGTGCTTGCAAGCAGTACTAGCCATGGTCATATTGTACTAACAGTGGCGCCGGCGACAATTGCAACCCTGGGTTCGAGATTCGCGCCCATAGTGTCAGATAAATTGTATTACTACTTGATAGTTGGAGGTTGGTGAAATTATCTCAAAAGGTGGGGTGAAAGCCACATTGCATGCATTTAGCACGATTAAAAATACAAAGGAACCAGAAGATATCAACGGAGTGTTTTCGGCAATTTGCGACTCAATAATCTGATCGCGGAGCTTGTTTCTTGAATCAGAGAGGGTTTAGTAGTGTATGATAGCGCAAGACGATCTTAGACTCGGCCAGTCGTAACTGACTTGGGAAGCACTAAAGTAGCCTTCTCCATCAGGATTCAAAGTGGGAATTTTCCACATCAACCATTGGTTCAACCTCACTGTTCCAGGCTCAAAGTATCGTATCACAGTTTGTGCTACTAACAAGGGTGTTGCCATGTGCTGCTTCCATGTGTGAGGACCCGCCTACTCGTTATTAACTTACCGTCAAATTGGTTGAAATTGTCCCTCTTTCCCTCTGATTCTCTCTGTGGCGATTTATTTCCCCCGCTCAGTTGCACCATGACTGTTGACACTGAAAAAGATCCTCAAGCTGAATCCCCGGTGGTATCACCAAGATCACCCTCGAGTCTTTCAAATGAGTCTACCGAGCCGGTAGTTACTCTGAAGACATGGATTGTTGCTTCGGTATTACTTTATGACCTATCAATTGCAGAAAGAGGCTGATGACGGGGTAACATAGATTCTTTCCTGCGGTTATGGCCTCTCGTTTTGGCCTATACCGGTTGTGGCTGCCATTGGAACCATGATCTCCGCTGATATGGGCGATTCAACGGGATACATTTGGTTTGTTCCAGTACATATCGATTCTTTCGGACCGTTGAGACATTCCCTGAGCTGATAAAATTACAGGCCTGGACCATCTCAATCACCTGCGCTTTCTTGATCTTGTATGTTTCTAAAACGCCGCCTAACCCTAACTCTATGATACGATGCTCATGAAATGGCGCAGTGGTCCAAACACCGATCTTTTGGGTCGACGCTGGTTCTTAGTGCTGGGAAACTTGGTAAAGTCCTCAAATACAACTTAGCGGACGGTAAATTCTAACCAAATGTACCATAGGTATGCTTCGTTGGCCATATTGTGGTGGCAACAGCAAAGAGCACAAATCAAGTAATCGCTGGCCTTGTTATATCGGGATTTGGCGGCGCAAACTGTCAGGTACGGCTTGAGCCCATGGACTCTGAAAGTTTCCCATCCGTATAAATTAACAATGATTCGCTATACAGATGGCTGCATTTGCACTACCAGAACTTCTTCCTAATAAATGGAGACACATTGGAGTGGTAATCGCCGATTTCACAGTCTACGTGGCTGTTATTGTAGCACCGGTGACAGCACGATATGGCTACGAGCTCGGGAACTGGGCATGGAACTTCTGGGGCGTGGCTATCTTCCAAGGCCTATCGTTCTTCGGCTTGCTATTCCTTTATTATCCCCCCAAGCACCCGTGAGTCAATCAAAAAAGAAGTCCCCTGGCGTTGGAACGCGAAGAAGAAGCTAATATGTCGAATAGTCTGGGAATCCCTTATAAGGAGGCCTTTAAATCTCTCGACTACCTGGGCGCCTTTCTTTTTATCGGCGGCGCAGTCCCCTTCTTGATGGGAATTGTCTGGGCGGGCGTGTACGAGTCTAATGACGCTCATGTTGTCGCTCCACTAGTCGTCGGGGCAGTCCTGCTGATTTGCTTCGCACTATGGGAATCTTTCGGCAATCTGGAATACCCGCTCACGCCAACTTACGTATTTGCCAGCTCATGGGGCCGTGACTTCACAGCACCTGTAATTGCGCTGGGGGTTGTCAACATGTTTTACTATTCATCCAGCATTTTGTGGCCGCAGATGATTACCGTCTTTTACACAAATGGCGGTGCGGACTGGAAGTATTCCGTTATCCTGTCATTACCGCAGGGGCTTGCTATCTTCTTTGGGGCCATGCTTCTCACCTTCTTCGGTAGTAAACTTCGACACTGGCAGTGGCAGCTTACTGGATCAGTGTTTGTTATGGTTGTCTTTGGGTCTTTGCTCGGTCTTGTTACTCCGACTAATAAGGGTACTATGATCGCTTTTATTTTCCTCTCTCAGGCTGGGTTTGGATGGGCTATTTATTTGAGTATTGCTATCACTCAAATGGGTGTTGATCATAAAAACCTTGGTGTTAGTGGCGGCATTTCAGGATGCATTCGTTTTGCCGCTGGAGCTGGTATGTGTCATGCTCTGATCTGAATTGAGCCGTACTAACGTCCTTTTCAGTTGCTACGTCGATTTACCAAACCGTTTTCAGCAATACCTTGACTAAATATACAGCTATATACGTTCCTACTGCTTCAATTGCAGCTGGACTTCCAGAGTCTGAGGTCAAAGATCTGATGTCCGTGGTTTCTCAAGGTGCCACTGCAATGAAGGCATACAGCCCTGCCATCGTGGCAGCAGCAGAAGCGGCTCTTGGCCAAGCCTACTGCAAAGCTATCTTGTAAGAAACATACTTTCCCACAAAAAAGTAGAACAATTTGCTAATCATGCCCCATAGTGTGGTTGCCATGGTATCAATGGCCTTTGGTATTTTAGGTCTTGCAGCTTGTCTGTGCTGCAAGGATGTCGATTCTAAAATGACAAACAAGGTAAGTAATGACTATGACTTATCTCTTTAACTGTCATTCCTCAATTGTAAGGTGGTACTGACGGGATCTTATCAAGATCGAGGTATACCTCGAAAACACAGATCTCTCAGACCGGAACAAACATCACTAGATTGACATATACGGCAACATCCTATTCTCTTCATATTGTTTGATAACAATGGGCCTGTCATAATGAGGGAGAAAATGGAAACAAAAGCTCGGGTTGGTCAAGTCGGAAATAAGAAATTCTAGCAAGAGCAATAATGTATAACCTCATCCCGAAAACTCATACAAGAAAATTCTGCATTCTTATTATGTCGGTACAATGCACTAACTTTAAGCCCGAGCAGACAGCCATTACAACCACTGCACTGTTAATTGGTGAATATGTATGGATTGCTGTATATGTATGTAGGTGCTTGGGTTGTACAACACAATAACGTGCGGACCAATTACCCGTTTGTTTATATATCACACATCTTTAACGTCGTGAAACCATGTCACCAGAGTCGCTCACAACAACCAAACGATGAGACGGCATGAAATAACTAAACCCTGCCCTCTTAGCCTCTCCGATCCACAGCAACGTTGGCATAGAAGGAAGCCCACTCAGCTCTGCATCCGTCGTGAGCTCCTCGATGAATCGACTCCAATTGATTCGTCTCTCTGCAGGGTGATTCACTATCCTCAGTGCCATCTTGTCATTTGGTTCGAAAACCACAGCACAAATCTTCTGGACAGTGAGATGCATTGGAATCGTATCTGCCCAACCCGCAAGTTCGTTCATTGCCGGGCGAATACCCAAATTCCTGACCACCCCAACGAGCTGGCTCACCATCTCGTCAGTTTCGGGCTCAGCAAGGCTAGGGTCGGGTCCCAACCCAGGGACAGGCACTGGACGATGTAGAGTGATAGGGAGTTGGAATTGCTCCGCGACGTTTCTCAAGAAGCGATCCGCTGCCCATTTGGATGCCACGTAGCCATCGCTACCGTCATCCGGAGGCATCAAAGGCAGGTTCTTGTCACTACTGCTACCTTTCTCGTAAAGCCTTAGTGCTGCCTGGTCTTCGTAGATGCGAGCCGCACCTGACGAAAGGAAGTGGAGGGGGATGCGACGATGCAGCGCGAGTCGTGCAATTTCTTTCACCGACAGGAGGTTGACATTCCGGAGGACCTCATAGTCGTCCCAGAAAGATCTATTGGCGGCGAAGTGGAGAATCACATCACTCTCAGCGGCGAGATACTCGAACTCCGTTTGGCTGAGTCCTAGGCCAGGGACAGCAAGGTCTCCAGCGAAAACAGATATCTTTTCGGAGGATGCTGTCAGATCGTGCATGTCATTCCCAAGGCGCACAAGACAGAATATCTTTGAAACCTCGCTGGATTGAATGAGTGATGGAAGAAGATGTCTTCCGAGATATCCTGTTGCACCAGTCAAGAGAACTTGAAGCCCTTTCTGTTTAGAACTTTGTGCGATGTGTGGTTCAGGTCCCACGGCGCTCGAGAACTCGGTTTTCCAAGCTTCTGGAATGAAAATTTCTGCATCCCAATCGATACGAGATGAAAGGGTCGTTTCAACCACAGATGCCATGTCTACGAGCCGACCAGCGTTCATCAGCTCATTCAGCTTTGGCGCGGCCCTGAACTCATTCTTGATCAACCTCTGCAGCTTGACAAGAAGCAAAGAGCTTCCTCCGACGTGGAAGAAGCTTGTTTCAGGACTAATAGCCCGCATGTTAGACATCGGAAGCACGATTCGCCAAAGGCCTTCGAGTTTCTGTTCTGTTTCGGTCATCTCTCGATTTAGCGAAGGCAGTTGCACATTGGATGTGTTCTCGAGGGATAGAGCCTGGATCGCTGCCCTGTTGATCTTGGAGTGGGCAGTCAGCGGAATCTCATCCAATGGGATCATCAAGGCAGGGCGCATGTATTCCGGCACGGGGAGCGTTGCTTGAAGTTGGTCGATAAAATCCTGTCTTTCGGTCTGGACATAGTCACTGGAGAAAACCACATGAGCGACCAGGAACTTGTCCTCTTTTTCTTCTCTCAACGTGACCACAGCATACGTCAAGACTCCATCAGAAGCTTTCACCAGGGCGTTTTCAATTTCCCCGAGCTCAATCCGGAATCCTCGAAGCTTGACCTGCGTGTCTCCATCCATACGACCGGCGAGGAATAGAGCCCCATCAGCTCGCAGGAAACCACGGTCTCCTGTGCGATACATATTCAACCAGTTATTTGAGATGAAATTGCTATTGAGTTGCGCAAAAGGCGATGGCAAGAACTTTTGTCGCGTCACAGAGTCCAGACCGAGATATCCCGCTGAGACTCCAGCACCACCGACGACCACTTCTCCCGGCACCCCAATGGGCACTGACTGAAGCTGATCGTCAACTATATAAATTGAGTAGTTTGGTGCAGCGAATCCGGCAGGCGTTGGGTACTTTATCTCGGTATCTCGGTAAGGGATTTGACCATGAGAAGTACAAGCAATCGTTGTTTCACCGGGGCCATAGTTGTTGAAGATCTTCAGCGAGGGCACCGCGAGCTGACGGAATTCCTGCACAAGACGGTCGGAGAATGGCTCGCCCCCAAAAAAGGCATACTGCCACTGAGAGCAGCTCTGCAAGTTCTCCTTCGCAAAACGGAACCACATCTCGTACTCTGACGGCGTACCCGACGTGTATGTCACTCTTTCCTCAGTCATCAGCCTAGTTATTTCAATAGGGTCGCCACGTTGAGCGGATGAAGCCACCAGCAAACATCCTGCGTTGCAGAGCGCGACAAAGGTCTGCTCCAGCGAGAAGTCGAAGCTGAAGGCGCTTTGCTGGAGAACCATCGATACAGCACCATTTTCAACATCCAATTGCTGCGAGAAACCTTCATTTTGACTGACGAGATTAGAGTGTTTGATCAAAATACCCTTAGGCTCAGAAGTGGTCCCACTTGTGAATAAGATCACAGCAATCGAGCCGGGCGAAGACAGGTCTTGCGTACGCTCGGCTGCTTCAGATCTGGTTGCAATGTGAGAGACATCAATCACGGTTGCCCCGGCAGCTTTGACCGCGCTAACAGTCTCGACTGTTGTTTCGTCGATCAAAAATGCGGTCGGCTGCGCGGCCTTGACCGCGCTGTGAATTCGATGAATTGAGTTGCGAAGGTCAAGAGGGAGATAGGTAGCGCCAATCCGGAAGATAGCTAACATCGAGCAGATCCAATCCGCACCGGGCTCCTGTAGTACACCTGCAACCGATCCCTTGGAGACTCCGGCGTTTGAAAGAGCCTCAGAGATGCAGTCGATGCGACGTCCCATTTCCTCGTATGTGAAGCTCTTGCCGCGGCCGTCCTTCAGCGCTGGCTTTGAGCCGTGGAGGCGGATCATGTCATCGATGCGCCGGACAACCGTCTGAGGCCACCGAAGGGAGAGTGCGGCTCCTATAATAACCATTAGTAATGAATAATACCTCCATACATATGCAAAGGGGAGCTCTTCACCTGTTCCAGCTTGTAGCACTTTGGAGACATCTTCAGTTGCCCACACCGGGGCAGAATTGATCAACACGTCACCACCAGACGCTCTTGTGAATGACTTTAGAAGATTAACATAGGCTCTAAGTAGTAGCTCTGTGTGTTCCGTAGTGTACAGAGATTGTTGCAGCTGCAATGACAGTAGAGTATCACCATCAGTATTTTCGAGTATATCCAAGGAGATATCATAGCCCGTGCGAGGGTGATACCACTGTTCTCCCTGAGCCTTGCAGTTGGCAAATTTGGCTCGCTCCTGGGTTCCCTGGCGATAGTCGACAAAAACTTGGAAAATGGGCGGCGCATTGGCCGAGCGATTGATTCCCAGCTCATTGAGAAGTACATCAAAGGGGAGAGCCGAGTGCTCAAGGACACCGTAGACCTTGTTTCGGACCGTCTTGACCACCGTACCAAACCTGGAATTGACAGAAGCCCTGTCAAGTCGAATGGGGAGCAGGTTCAGGAAAAAGCCGACCGTTTCCATGACTTCTTCGCTGGTGCGGTTGGCATCGGCAAGCCCGATGAATAGCTCGTCGATGCCAGGCAGCAAGCGAAACAGAAGAACTTGCAGAACTGCTGTATATAGGTGGAAGTTCGTCGAGTGGTTCTGTCGAGCCACCTGCTTGATAAGAGCGGTGTCCTCTGGCTGAAGACGGATATCAGCGCGGCAGGTACTGCAATGTGGGTGGTTAGCTACTTCCGTCCTTCATAGGCATATTCGTCTTGCTACATACCGGTAGATTGTCTGTGGCTGCCTCACTTGCACCTTTGCAAATGAAAACAGCTCGATTGGCCGAACGTCTCTTGGAATGATCTTCTTGTAAAACTCGATGCTCTTCTGGAATCGACCCATCGCGTGGTCTTGGTGCTGTTGTGCCGCAAGGGATCGGTACTGAGATTTTTCTGGAAGAGCTGGCAGAGTCATCCCCAAATAGGCCTTCTCGAGGTCGGCAAAGATGACCTGAATGCTGATGCCATCAAGGGTGATGTGATGACTACCGACAATCAACCAATGTTCGGTATCCGAAAGCGACAAGAGAACGAATCTCATAGACTCCCAGTCGCTCAGGTCCCAGGTATGATCGCGCATTTCGTCCAACGCCTTCTGTGCCTCGGATTTGTCAGATATGCGTCTGTTCTCAAGCCTGATCAAAGGACGAGAGAGAATGCCTTGGGTAGGAATATCTTCATGCTCCCCTGACCAGAAATAGCGGGTGCGCATTGCTTCGTGTCGCTCACCGACGCGTTCAAGCGCCTTGCTCAAAGTTTCGGTCTGGATTGCGCCAGAGAGACGGATAGAGAGAGCGACATTGAACGTAGTTTTATCTTGGAGAGCATGGTGCAAAAACCAGAACCTTGTTTGTCCAAAGGACATGCGCTCAGTGATCTCAGTAGAGAATTTCACGTGGATTTCGCGCCATTCGCTCTCAACAGAAGTGCCATCAGTTGATGATCCGATGTTCTCACTCTCATTGGATGGGCTGCTCGTCCCTTGTGTGCTCGTATTGCCGGCAATCAACGACGGGCCCACTTTCGAATGGTCGGGTTTCACTGTTGGGGTATTGACTTTTGTCTCCTGTTGTGCTGGGGCAATAGTCGGCCTCACCCCGCCCTCGGCCGACAACTGAGTGATGTCAATGATGGTGGCTGGGATTTTTTCAATGCTGTCGTTGATCAAACCAGCAATGGTGGTACCTCCGAGGATCTTGAGGACCGGTATATCAACATCGAGCTCTTTCAAGAACCATGACCGAATGTCAATTGCGATCAGGGAGTCAACTCCAAGTTCCACGAGGGCACTGTTCTGTTCGACTGCTTCATCCGAAGGGATCTGGAGAAGCTTCTTCACACGTGCGGTGAAGGAACCTGAAAATATGACATTCACGGGTTAGCCAAATTCTCGTTAAAGTTTGAGGAACACTTACCTTTGAGAGTATCCGCAACCTGGTCCAAAGCTTTTGCCTCTTTGAGTTGAGCTCTCACTGAGACAGTTGAAGCAGTGCTAGATCCTTCCTGCGTGTTAAGGCGCTCGAAAGTGAGGTGAGAGAACTTCAGATCGTTTCGATATTGGTCTTTGGTCAGTTCGCCAATGTACACAGGGCTCAACCCCGTAACAACTTCCAAGTTTTCCACGGAGTCTGCTCTGCCAACCTTGACAGCCTCGGCAAATATATGGTGGAGATCAGATTCGGACACGCTGGTGGCGCCGAGGCTTGCAAAATATTCTGCATCGAAAGTGTCAGACCGACCAACATGCCCAATGCCCATCAGTGCGCTGAGGTCAATGATCGAGGCGGCTACGCCGCGTTTGCGCCGTTGGAATGCAAGGGCTGTCATGTACATGTTCGCGGCAGCGTAGTTGCTTTGACCGCTGTTTCCGAGACACGCGGTGAGCGAGGAGAACATGATGAAGAACTCCAAGGGTTTGTCATGGAAGATCTCATCAAGCAGCTTGCTGCCTTCAACCTTGGGTCTTAGAACCCGGTTCATGCTGTGCAAGGTCATCTCGTCGAAGCGCATATCATCCACGATAAGGGCTCCATTTGCTATTCCCCCGATCTGGGGCATGCTGCGATTAATCTCCTGGAGGCATCTTTGAAGAGAGTCTCGGCTCGTGATATCCCTGGATTGCCATTAGCCAATGCGTTGATTGATGAGTTGGGAGAAAGAAACAGAAGGGGATGACATACAACGACAACACGCGAACGCTTGTACCGCATTCCTCGACGGACCGAATAAATTCTGGGTCAACCTTGGGATTACGGCTTGTTAAGACGATGCAGCCAGCACCACACCGAGCCATCCATTGACAGATTGACTGTCCAACCTCTCCGGCAAGACCAATCAATAAATAAGTCCTGTCGGAGCGGAATATCACTTCATGGTCCACCGGTCGGAGACGGATTTGGATTGTTGGAACAGTCCAATCTACGATCTGAAGTGGCTCCCTTCTCGGATTGTGCCTCCCTACATCGCTCAGTAGAATGGAATCCGTGGAGCTGATAGGTAAACTATTTTCCATCACAGATTTCCACGCCCTTTGAAGGATGTCGCCCGATTGAGATGGATTGGCTCCTGGACGGGGGGACAGCTCGTTTGTGAAGAATAAATCTGCATTGGCTACCACACAGCTAGCAGACAGACAGGCTGCCATGGTTTGCGTCACTTGTGCGTCGGGTCCATCGGGAGCTGCAAAGTTGACAAACACCGATGTGTCTTGCGGAAGCTTCTCTTTAACAAGGCGCGCAGGAAGAGCGCGATGAATCCAAATCCAATCTGCTCCGTCAGGTTGATGACGACATGTCGTAAACTTGACATTGACATGAGCGTTGTCAGCTGCCTGAGAAATAGCTCCCTTGACCAAGTTGTCGGGGTCGTGAATTACTACAGTGCTTGCTTTGGATACAAGTGAAACAATCGCTTGGGCGACCAGCTGAGCTGCGACCGAGAGGAGAGCCATTCGACCAAACTCGAGAGAAGACGGAATGTCCACCCAACAAAGTGGTTCGACTGGTGCAGGGGATTCCGAGACCCGAGTCAAGGCGATGACAGCTGACTTGGAGTCATCCTCCTTTGTTCCGGTACAAAGCATAAAGGAACCAATTGATTCAAGATTTATAAACTGCAGCAAGGATTGGCGAATACGGATCATCACAGGAGCGCCGCTGGATGACTTCGATTGGGTCACCCTCAACGGAGAGGCCTCTTCGAGCTGGAAAGAGTCGCCGGAGCCCACAAGCTTCACATTTGCCTTTGCCGGGTTGACTTGTTCAAAAATTGCACGACTTGATGAGTTGACTCGGAGATTCTGCATCACACTCGGATACAGACGTGGAATGAGTGTCTGCTTGTTTTCTATGAAGACTTCTGGCTCAGAAGACCAGAGTAAATCTTCAACAGCGCCTTGCCTGGAAAAGTCATCAATTAGTTGATGTCTTAATACCATCGTCGAGATAACTGAGCCGGTCTCCTTGTCCAAGACGTCAAGATCCAAGAGCTGCAGGTTGATATTAGGCTGCTCGAATTTGACGACTCTCCCGATGCCGAACATCATGTATGAATACGGCTGCTCAGCTCGGGCGCCTTTTGATACCCATACAACGTTCCTCGCACATCTCCACAGTGCTTTGAGCCCTTCAATCTTTTCCTCGGTCACCTGTCGCATCAGAGGCTCGTCCAACTCAGACAAGCTCAGAACTGTAGCACCGTCGGGTATAGTAACAGTTTTCAGGGACTCGATAGAAGGAAGTCGGACGAGGGAGGAAAATTTCGAGGATAGTGATGCCGCAACTTCTTCAACAAGCTGATAAGTGGCAAGGGATCTACCTCCGATGAGAATCAAGGGTGGTGTCCCTGTGGCGTAGCTGTCTGGCAGAGAGGCTATGGGATTTCGCAGAAGCTCTAGACGGTCATCAACAGCTTGCGCAGCCCAGACTGCAACCGCATGAAGCTGGTCATAAATAGGAGTTGAGGTCTCAATGCCGCCAAACTGGCACTTCTTCAGAAGCGAGTCCCAGTGGTCAAGGTTGAGCATTGGACCGTGTGGTCGGCCACTGTTGGCTGCAATCCACCATCCAGGGAGACCACCCATGATGACTCCGTTGCGAAGAATCTCGTTTGTAACCGTCTCAAGGTTTACAAGGAAGCCGCCTGGCTTCAGTAGCCGGCGAACATTTGACATCATATTTTCTAGGGGATCAGCAACATGGAGGACGTTCGACGCCAGTACCATATCATAGCTTCCCTCGACAAAGCCTTGGTCTGCAGGAGTACGTTGCATGTCGAATGTCTTAAATATCATGCGATTGGCGTACTCTTTGAACTTTTCTTCGGCTTCCTCGAAGAATCCACTGGACACGTCAGTGTATGTGTATGTCGAGAAAGCAGATCCAAGTTTTGGCAGGATAGCTTGTGTAGAACCACCGGTACCAGCTCCTGTGTCAAATATGTGTTAGAATCTTAATGTCTGATATGTTCCACAGATCGGACTAACCTATCTCGAGAATCTTCATCCGAGGGTATCGATGACTGATTTGCTTTGCCATATTGGCGAGCCACCAATTTGCAGCCTGAAGACCGACTCCTTCTTTGTAGAAACGGCCAAGGAGGTCATCTTTGGTCATGTACTGGAGAATACTATCCTTTTCTCGAATAACTTTGGGAAGGCTTTTGCCCGTAGACTCAATTAACAGTGCATCAACCCGATCGTGATACTTGTTGGTCAGCTCCAGGATCTGCTCATGGGTGTCTGAGATGCACTCCTTCTCAACGCAAGGATGGTCTCCTCGGGCCACTTTGTCCACGATATAATCTGTCCAATTCATCAGGTGTTGATGGTGAGGGAGGGCATTTCTGCGGTCTTCGGCGCTCATTTCAGAAACGCGACGAAGATAATAGAAAGACAGTCGCTCCATATCCTTGGCCATTTGCAGCTCATCATCATTGAGGCGTTCACCAAGGGCTGCGAGCACACCATCGGGAGCAGCTGGGAGGTATTCAAATTGGGAAAACAGTGCAGCGTCATCCTCTGGTCGTGCAGGGGTGAAGGGCTTGAGGCTGATGCCCTCAATCTGCAAGAATGTATGCTCGCCAGTCTCGGTGAACAGCTGAAGATCAGCCTTGATAGAAGTGGACTCCTCATCTCTGACTGTAGTTTCCCAAGGGACAATTAGCTGTTTCCCTGATCCACTGAGACGGAAGTGGGGATTGAACTCGAGCGAGTCGATCTGGACAGGAACGTGAAGGGACCGCAAACTTTCATCACCTGGGTAGCTGAAGGCAGCGAACAGGGTCTGCAATGCGGTATCCAACATCCCAGGATGCAGCAGAAGCTGATCTTCCCATTCGGAAGCAGCTTGATCAACCAGAGTACCATGGGCAAAACCCATCCTGCGCTTGATACTCGCCATGCCGCGGAAGGGCTCAGAGTACTCATAGCCAATCTTTCGCAGCGCAGAATAGAAACGGTTGATGTCTACATCCACCAGATTGTAGTACTTTGAATGAGAGCATGCAGGGAGGCTATCCACCGAGGAGCTGCCCAGCTTGACCTCAACGCGCCCTTTGACGTTGGACGCCATGGACCGATCACCCTGCGGCGTCGAAAAACAGGTGAAGTCGGCCAAGATATGGCTGGCATCTGATTCAGAGATTTTGACACTGAAGAGAGATTCAATGCTTGCATTGTCATCGTTGAACACGATCGCACGTTCCAAGATCACATTCGTGATACGGAAGTGGGCAATTTGGCTTTCTCCGGCCAGTGCTTTCATCGCTTCGAGGGCCATGACAACATACCCGGTTGCTGGAAAGACCATCTGACCTTGCAGCTTGTGCCCCTGTAACCATGAAATCTCAGAGGGTCTCAGGATGTTTTTCCATTGTGCCTCAGTGGATGTTGTAGTTCCGACACAAGACGTTCCCAAGACCGGATGGGGTGCAACCGTGAGCTGCTTTTGAGCTCGCGAAATCCGAGATTCGGCCCAGTATCCATGTTGATGATTAAAAGGATAGCTTGGGAGATCAGTCAAGAGCACTCGGCAATCACTGTCAGCATTGAAAACTTGATCGAAGTTGTCAAATTTGACAACGCCAGCACCGAGATGTGACCACAAGAATCCTAGAGCTGTCGACAGTTCTTCCACATCATCCTTCCCACGAGATAAAAGCCCTGTATAAGGGAGCTGTACACTAGCCTCTGCTAAAGTATCCGAAGCCGGTCCCTTGAGAGCAGCATGGGGACCAATCTCGATTGCAACGTCAAAGTTATTTCCGTCCTCGAGGGCAGCCATCACTGCAGAGGAAAACAAGACTGGCTGAACCATATTGCTAACCCAATACTGCTCAGAAATGTTGGTGGCGCTCATGACAGTACCTTTCCAGACACTTGACAGCCACGTGGGTTTCTGCCCTGTGGGTTCCAATTTCCCTATGCTGCAACGCTGAAGAGACTCGAGGTAAGGCTTTGCACAAGGTTCCATATGTGCCGAGTGGTAAGCCGTATCAACCTTCAAGCGGCGTGCGAACTTTTGGTCGCCCTTCAGGAGATCAACTGCCGTGTCAATGGCCTCTTCATCCCCAGACAAGGTAAGGCTTGATGATGAGTTGTAAGCCGCGACTTGAACACGGCCATGCAGTTCCTCACGCTGGCAAAATTCCTCAGCATCTTCGGGTGATGTCCCGACAGCTGCCATGGCGCCTTTGGCTCCACTAGGAGAGGATGCCGATTTGGCGTGTAATCCACGGTAATACGCGATGCGAATGGCATCATGAGCAGATACGAGCCCTGCAGCGTAAGCCGCACCGATCTCCCCTGAAAAAATGTCAGCCCTCTACTCGTTGGATCAAGTAAATCACTGTGCCACGTACCAGATGAATGACCAACTACGGCATGAAGTTGGATACCAGCAGCCTGAATTAGGTTCACCAGAATGATCTGGATAGCAGTGCACAGAGGCTGCGAGATGGCTGCCTCAGCAACGCGGGACGATGAGTCCGCTGCTAGAAGTTGCTCTCGGATCGTCCACTGGGGCCTGTCAGACTCAGGAAGACTGACCAAGGATTTGTCTAGGTCAGCGACAAGCCGCCTGACAAACTCAGATGATTCCAACAAGGCTGCACCCATTCGAGGCCACTGGGCTCCTTGTCCAGTGAACACAGCCAGGGCCCGGGGCTTTGGCACATAGGGATAGCGAGTGTCTAGTTTAGCATCGCTAGTAGATTCCTCGAGACTCTGGCAGAGAGCCTCGACTGTAGAGCCTGCAATAGCTTTCCTGTACGTGAGAGTAGACCTGCGCTGTTGAAGCGTAAATGCCAGATCGCGCAGGTTGGTTTTTGAATGGGTCTGGAGGTACTCCAGTTGTTCAGTGAGCATGGCTTTAAGGGAAGCTGCTGAGTTTGCAGAGAACAGAAGTGGTGTGCACAGTGTTGACTGTGAATTGGTGAGGGCCTTGTGCATCTCGGGGATATACTCCTCAACAATTGCATGTGCATTCGTTCCACCAAAACCTGCATAAATTAGACGTTAGCATCCAATGGACTAAGATATTCAAATACAAATAATTCATTGAACATACCAAAGCTATTGATGCTTGCTCTTCTAACCTGACCCGGTGCAAGAGCCGGCCACTGTGTCGCGCGCACCGGTACTTCCAGTGAGTTGTAAAACGGAAAAATGTCAGGATTGAGGCTGTTGAAATGCATATTTGGAGGAATGGTAGCATTCTGTAAAGCGAGAGAGGACCCTATCAGACTCGCCAGACCAGCCGTGCCCTCAGTGTGACCAATCACTGATTTGATGGACCCGACGTACAGTTTATCATGGATTGAGTTTCCAGAGAAGAAAGCCTGATGGATGGCTTCTGCTTCTTTGGGATCACCAGCCTTCGTTCCAGTTCCGTGGGCATGGAAGAATTGGGGGCGATCCATAGGGTTGTTCAAGTCCAGACCTGCTCGTGCATAGGTAGCGCGAATCAGGTTCGTTTGAGCAGTACTGCTGGGGACTGTTATGCCAGAGGTACGACCATCTTGATTGACACCGGTTTCGCGGATGATGCACTCAATGTGGTCTCCATCTTTCAGGGCCTGACTCAATGTCTTCAGCACAACCGATGCAATTCCTTCACCACGACCATATCCATCGGCCGAAGAATCCCACATCTGGCATCGCCCTGTGGGGGAGAGCATGCGCAGATTACTTTCGGCGACGTATTGTGCTAGTAGATCACCAAGTTAGCATCAGTTTCTCTAAAACACAATCAACTGGGATATTCCAATTAAACATACCTGGGCTCAAGATTAGATTTGCCCCTGCTGCAATAGCTATGCTTGACTCCCCACTGCGCAGAATACGCACGGCCTCGTGTACAGCAATGAGACTGGATGAACACGCAGTATCGATTGTCATAGACGGGCCGTTCCAGTCAAAGAAATATGATATGCGGTTCGACATGATACTGCGGGCAGTGCCTGTGCCGGTATAGGTAGGCATTTCGTCGATATCGGTCTGCACCATGGTAGACCAGTCATCACACATAAGACCGACAAAAACAGCGGTCGAGGAACCTCGTAGCTGCTCCATAGGCAGACCAGCAGCACAGAGACCATCGTATACGGTTTCCATGAGTAGTCGTTGCTGGGGGTCGATGCTCTCCGCTTCTTTCGGGGGAATACCGAAGAAGTTTGCGTCGAACTTACTTGGATCTTCATCAAGAAAGTAGGAGCTTTGGACGTTGGTGGTGCCGTGATGGATCGGGTCGGGATGATAGAAGCCTTTGATGTTGAACCTTTCTTCCGGAATCTTGCGAAGTAAATCCCTAGGGTTTTGTAGGAGCTCCCAGAGTTTAGAAGGGGTATCGCAGCTGCCTGGAAACCGACAAGAGCTTCCAATGACCGCAATTGGCTCAATGGTAGAAGGCATGCTAAGAGTTGAGCTCAGAAAGCCTTGAATGATATGATATTGTTGGGAAATCTTAGGGCATAGGTCTGGCGATGTATACTTAAATATAAACATACATCTGACATGCACTTTTGAAAATTTCCGTTTCATGTAACAAGACTAACGTTGAATACCATTGTATCTAAAATTTTCGTATTCATTCTGTATGAGAACTAGATACAGATACATAGACCGGTTGTTTGTTTTGGAGGCTGATCATTATTGCATTTACGGAATGGATCTGTCTGATCCTGTGGGTGTCTGGCACCTTTGATTGGCTTGGATGGCGCCACTTATGCTTATGTTCTCTACGTAGATCCTGCCCAAGTAAATGTCAATACTTGACACAAACGGTTGAAAAGTCCCAGGAATAGCATCAAGACACGACAGAGAATCGCTGTTGTGGATCTAGTACGTACATCTCGCAAAATTCGCCTCATGCCGTGGTCCATAGTGTATCATTTTTAGTCTTTAGCGTTGTTGAATGTGGAGGTGCGGACTTTGACCGATCATTTCATAAAGCAGCCTCCAAAATCCTCCTATGAAGATCTTTGGGGCCAAAATTCGGCCCGCGCCGCCCCCAATGCTACTTCGCCTCCTAGTATATGTTGACGAAACCGCCACAATATGGGATCCATACTGTATTGGTCTTAGTCGTGAGCGTTGTTGAGTGTGAGATACGAGGCTTGAACCAATCATCCAATCACCCCATACCACAACTGGCCTTTAACTACGATGTGGATATGTCAACAGGGGTTCCAGCATAAACGAAGATCTACAGTAGAGTTTCTGCAGAGTCAGCGCTCACCTAAGCTTACACTTGGAGCAATTTCTGCAGGCGCAGATCCATTCTTCATACAAAATCGTATGCGTTGACAAATGTACTCAGGCATTTTTCCTCATTCGGCAAATGGTCATAGTGAAGATGATCGTTGATGAGATTCATAGACACAGCCAATGTGAGGTACCTACATTGAGATACTATGCTTGGCCCCCATCAGATAACTGCAGCACATCCAACTTGCGTTACATTTAAGTGTCTCTAGTTATTATCTCGAATAACACCAAGGAAATCAAAAGTTATATTCTTTATCATTTCCAACAATCACTCAGCTTCATACAGAGACCTTACTGCAACCATGGGTTCCAACGAGAAATACGAGTACGTCTTTGATGAGACGGTTGAGAACCAACGCCTTGCTGGCCAGCACCAAGCCTTCAAGCTTGGAATGGGTAAACTGGTCCTGGCACCTTTGCAAGTATCCCAGAAGAATCTTAGAATTCTTGACGCCGGAACTTCTGATGGTACACTTACTTCTGTTCATTTCCCATTGGGAAAAGAAGGCGTTGTTACTGACATATGACTCTATCATAAGGCTACTGGCTGGACGATTTCCGACCTTCACTCACTCATCCCGAAACATGCGAGCTCGTCGGTATTGATATTACGGGTGAACGGTTCCCTCAAAACCCTCCCCCGGGAGTCAAGCTTGTGGTACAAAGCTCCATGGGTCCTTGGCCCGAATCGTGGCTGCAATCCTTCGACCTCGTACACCAGCGACTGACACTTTTCGGCGTCGGAACCAAGTCAAAGGACTGCGTGCTCGAACTTATGAAGATTGTCAAGCCAGGCGGTTGGATTCAGTTGGTTGAAACCGAGCACAGCTCGCATGAACCGAATGGTCCTCAGGTCAAGCGGCTGGGAGCTCTGATCGGCGAGCTTTCCGCCGGTATGGGCTCCGACTTGAGCTTCAGAGGTGGTGCCATGGAGTCGTGGATTAGAGAAGAAGGCTTCATTCGCGTCGGCACAATGCTAGCTCCGATTTGCCTGGGTGCGGCCTGTCCCGATCCCAAGCTTCGTGAGCAGACCGTTCAGGCCTACTGCTTCACTGCCACACAGCTTCTGAAAGCATGCAAAGGTTAGTCGAAATTTGTCGTTGATCAAGTGATACAGTAATTAATTCCAGTGCTAGGCTTCCCGGGTGGCTTAAAGTGTATGAGCGAAGCTGAATCTGAATCATTCATTTCTGAGCTGGCAGAGGAGCTTCGCGAGAAGGGTGGATATTTCCCCCTACGAATTGTGTGGGGTCAGCGACCTGAGAGTGTTTGACTGGACAACTATCCTCTTGGGCAGCATACAACCGTGCACAGGTGATGATCACATAAGCTATATAAAATACAAAAAATACAAAAAATACAGTTGTCATACGACGTATGTGCTTTGGTGTAATTTACATATTAGAGCTAATTAATTTTAGTAGTGAGTTTGGGGGCCAGGAGGTGTCGTAATTTTGAGTATTCACTGATCATCTTCATCTATGGAGTACAGTGGCTATCACTATTGGAAAGTACGCGGAGGGATATATTTTTATACTAGCCGCCCAATGGCGATCTGCGAGTGATCTGCGAGGGCGAGGCAAGCAGTGTTACTCCGAACCTTGAGTACAATAATGTAAGATTCGTTTTTTGTCCACTCGCAGTCCTTACCCCTGGTCACACTTTTCTTTTTTTCTTCCAAGATTTTGTTAGTGATTGAAAATCAAACATATCTCCCTTCCCTTTGACACCTTTCTCCTAGATATATCACTCACTCCTAGCACTGCATATAGCAATGTCGAGCGAGAATGAGGGGTCCAAAGACCACACCTTACAACAGGGCAGTAATGGTGATCACCCTGTAACAGATGATTCTATAATTACGCCTGGGAAAACATCCCCTGCGACCAATTACCCATCTCAACCTATCGCTGAGATGGGCAACAATGAGCCACAATGGTTGGAAGGATTTCCGCTGTTGATTATAATGACCGCCATCACCATTGTGTGTTATTTGATGTTACTTGATGTATCAATTGTATCGACAGTATGTGAGCTCCTGCGAGATTCCTAATAATCATCTCTAATATCACTTCCTACACCTAGGCACTTCCCGCGATTACCAATGAATTTAACTCCCTTCCAGACCTTGGTTGGTATGGAGCAGCCTACCAACTTTCCAAGTAAGCCAGCCTGATTAATACAACTCTTCAATTGTCTTGTTTCTTACCTTTCTGCAAGTGCTGCCCTTCAACCATTGACCGGCAAACTCTATACAAACTTCACGCCCAAATGGACTCTCTTGGTCTTTTTTTCCATCTTCGAATTAGGATCTTTGATTTGTGCCTTGGCGACATCTTCAAAGATGCTTATTGTTGGTCGAGCCATTGCTGGGATTGGAAATTCTGGGATTCAGAATGGATGTGTTACTATCATCGCTGGAATTGTTCCATTGCAGAAACGCCCGGCCTTGCTTGGTGTCGCGATGGGGAGTAAGTGAAAGAAAAGAGTTCACGAGTCTGTTATCAAGGCCAGACAACTAACGGCTATTGAAGTCTCTCAACTAGGTCTCGCTTCCGGGCCCTTGGTAGGAGGGGCGCTGACTGAATACACAACCTGGCGATGGTGTTTCTGGATTAACCTACCGATTGGAGCAGTCGTAGCCGCGTTGATTATCATGATTCGCATTCCAGATCCTATCCCTAAACTACCTCCTATCGCCGTCCTTCGCACTCTGCATACAAAACTGGATTTCATTGGATTCGCTGGTTTTGCAGGAGCTACTATCATGTTGCTCATGGCAATTCAATTTGGTGGCAACCAATACCCCTGGGGTAGCCCGACTGTCATCGGGCTGTTCTGCGGCTCCGGCGTCACTTTCTTCATTTGGCTTGCCTGGGACTGGAAGAATGGAGACAACGCTCTTATCCCACTGGCACTAATGAGCCAGAAAGCTGTGTGGTCTAGCTGCGCTACATATGGCTTATCGATGGGATCGCTATTTACCACTTCATACTTTCTGCCAGTGTATTTTCAAGGTGTTCTAGGAGCCTCCCCTCTAATCAGTGGTCTTCAGCTACTTCCGAACATTATCCCTCAATTATTGATGGCTGTGCTGAGTGGAACACTAGGTACTTGGAATTCGCTCCCCGGGCAGAATTCTGAACAGCATTACTGACTCGGCCTTGAATTAATAGTCTCCAAACTCGGATACTACCTACCATTCAGTCTGATAGGGGCAGTATTGATTTCCATAGCAGCCGGTCTCATCTCAACGTACTCGCTCACAACACCCCTTGCCCGAAGAATTGGTTTCCAGATTATACTGGGCGCTGGCTACGGTCTCGGGCTGCAAATGGTAAGTTTAGCACCTATTTCCTCAATATCTCGTTCCAACCCCAACTCTGACACATCATTCACAAACAACAGCCAATGATCGCCATCCAAAACTCCGTCCAACCGCAGCAAATTCCCGTCAGCGTGGCGATGTTGATGTTTTGTCCACAACTGGCCGGAGCCTTACTCGTCAGCTTTGGGAATACCATTTTCTCCAACAGTCTCAGAACTCTAATCCCACAATACGCCCCCTCCGTCGATCCCGACACTGCTATCGCTGCGGGGGCGACGGGTCTTCGGAGTGCGGTCCCGTCATCCGTCCTTGAAAATGTCTTGATTGCTTATGCCAAGAGTGTGGATCGTGTATTCTACTTGGGGGCCGCTTGTGGCGCTTGCACTTTTCTCTTGGCATGGGGAATGGGATGGAAAGATATCCGAAAGACCAAGGAACCGCAGCCATCTCAGCCGCAACAAGCACAGGAACAGGAAAAGCCTTGATCCATTGATCACCTTTCGGTGGCCATGGAACTTGGTAAATTTACTTTCATTATAATGTAAATCAGCCGACTTACTTTCACATGAAACAAGACTTATTGAAACGGAAACAATTGATGCAGACTAGTCAATAGCGATGAAAATTTTAGTCCACGTTTCAGAAGTCTAGATTGAGTGAATGCTCTTTCTACGACGTGCCAATGAAGTGAAACCCCTCGTATGCAGCTGGATGCAACATCAGTCAATTGATTCAAGGCGAGGCTCGTATATTGGTGCATGATACTTTCAGATTTAAGTGAGCATTAAGCATTCCGGCTAATTCTTGTTTTTCCCATTGCTGATCTACTTAAGTTGCAGATCGTCAGATTTTAGTGTGAGGGCTTGGCCCCACAGTAAGCTTCGAGCCCTTTTAAGGAATTTAGTAAACATCAAGCTATAACTTGGATGCATCTCGTAGGATGTCAGATTTTAGTGTGAACTCTAGGCATCCCCCTTGTACTTTCTTTAGAAGTACGCAATGGGCATTTGCTTATTGCGGTTACCTCTGCATATGAACCTTACCTATTGCACTATTGTCATTTGGGGCTGAAAGAGGCACTGCCTACTTGGGACTAGCGCCCGTTAATTGCAAATTACATCGTGTAAATACACCAACTAGCAGTCCGTCGTACGAGTAATACTCTAAACTATACTGTATTTTTCAAAACAAGATGGTTATCATCACCGTGGTGTATAAATGGAATTGAAATGTATACATATGTAGATGATACACCACGTCAAACAGGGTGCCCACCCCAAGATTCATTCTTGTCTTTCTGTGCACTCTCTCCATCACCCTAAGCTCGGCGTGCCTTTGTCACACCCCTCGTGGTTAAGTCTTGTGGTTGAGCAGCAATGGGTGCCTTTAGTATCTTGGACCCCATCAAAGCTAGGCAGAGTTCAGTCTCAACACTGGTTCTCGTTAACTCTCTTCTCATCTTCTTTGGCTATTTCATCTTCTCCCGTGTGGTTCTCTTCATTCAACGACGTCGGTTCAGTAGCCAAAATGGCTGCAAACCTCTCCTTGCACGATACAAAGACCGCCTGTTTGGACTTTCCTTCATCATTGAAAATGCCAAAGCCTTCAAAAACAAAGCCTACCTCGACAAATTCACCAGCCGTTATTTCAAGATCGGACATACTCACGAGGTAGTCGCCATGGGTGGCCGAGGCGTTTTCACCATCGACCCGGTCAACATCAAGACCATGCTATCGTTGAAGTTCAAAGACTATTCACTGGGAAATCGGCCTGCAATCATGGGCCCACTGTTGGGACGGGGGGTGTTCGTCACTGATGGAGAAGAATGGGCTCATTCGCGAGCGCTCCTGCGCCCAAGTTTTAACAAGTCGCAGGTTGCGGATCTGAGCATTATCGAATCTCATTTGCAGGAACTACTGCGACAGATCTCTTCATCGGAAGCAAAGACGATTGACTTGCAACCGCTATTCTTCCGGTTCACCATGGATTCCTCTACAGAGTTTCTGTTTGGAACGTCGAGTCATACGCTGACAGAGGGTGGTGATCAGATTTTCAGTGATTCATTTGTGTACGCTTTGAAGGACATCTCTCTCGGTTTACGGTTGGGCCCTTGGGAGAAGTTTCGACGGACGGATCCCAAAGCGGTTGAGGCACACCAATTCTGTCGACGATACGTTGACAACTATGTTGATCAAGCATTGGAGTATCGGAAAACCGGCAAAGATTCTGCACATGAAAAGAACGAAGGCGAGAGAAAGACCTTCCTGCGGGAGCTTGCTGCCGCCACAGATGACAGGGAAAAGCTACGCGATGAGCTATTGAGCCTGCTTCTCGCTGGCCGTGACACGACCGCGAGTCTGATCAGTAGTCTATTCTTCAGCATTGCCAAGAGACCGGATATTTGGAAAAAGCTGCGAGAAGAAGTTGCTACGGAGTTGAATGGCCAACAACCGGTGTACGAGCAGTTGAGGAACCTGAAGTATGCCAAGTATTGTGTCAATGAGAGTAAGTTGTAACTTGATTCAATGCCTATGTTTCTATTCACCGTCGCTAACCAGTTTCTTGGTGATATTGCAGCCCTTAGATTATATCCACCTGTCCCGAATAACGCCAAAATGGCCATCAAAGACACTATTCTACCACGGGGCGGAGGATCCAATGGCGATGCACCCATACTCATCAAGAAAGGTGACTGGGTTATTTATACTGTTTATGCCATGCACCGTCGAAAGGATCTGTTTGGCGAAGATGCCGATGAGTTTCGTCCGGAACGCTGGGTGAAGAATGACTTGACTTGGGTATGTTTCATCCCATTTATCTTACTCATATTTAGACACAATACTTACGACGCACCATTGTCATAGGAATATCTACCATTTAACGGTGGTCCGCGTGTCTGTTTAGGCCAACAATACGCCCTCACCGAAGCAATATATGTATTGGTGCGTTTCGCGCAGGAATTTGAGGAAATTGAATCCAGAGATCCGACACCTTGGACTGAGGATCTTACTTTGACTGTTAGCGGTGCCAATGGAGTGAAGGTTGGTCTCAGGCGGAAGGTTTAGTTCGAGTCAATTCCAAATTCATGGTAGATATAGAGACGCGGGGCTTTCCCATGGTTTATTGGTTTACCGTACGGGACGTGGAAGACTGATGACAGAAATGGATGATTTAAGAAATAAAACATCTTTTGTCTATCTAATCGCCCTAGTCCGGAGTTAAAAAAATCGATAGGCAAAACCCCATACTCCAGGCAGATTCGCCCAAAATGTCTTAGCGCCATGTCTGCCTGGAACTAGCGTGTGCCTGCCTGGGTGTTGAGGCCGTATAAAGCAAAACGACAAGCCCTCCTTTACCTCTCTACAACAATCTACAATTGCCTCAAAATGTCTCCAGATTTTAATCCGCAACTTCAAATGCCAGGTTTCAATGTGAAGTTGAACCATCCACCTGCTGTGAGGATTCAGAACTTTCTGAAAAGGGAAACGTACGCTGACCGGCCAGAAAAACGTGCTCAACCGGTGGATGGATGGCTTTCCCAATGCGTTGGATATTGATCAGCTGGACAATTGCTTCCCGTCGTATGTGTGTTTGGTACCAAGGGTGAACTCTCGAATTAATGATTCTCTGTAGCAACCTACAGATCCACCGAGATATTCTTATGATGCGAGTGATGAATACCATCACTGAAAAGCCCCAATGGGATCAAAAGGTGGGTTTATACTTGTTTTTCTATATGTGGAGTTTTTCTGATCTTCGGTAGGTTTTTGATGAAGAAATCACGACCAAATGGCGCAAGGAAATCGCCCAGAGTGATCAAGACATCACACCCAAGATGATGGACTGGGTCATTAAAGAGCTTCAATGGAAGGCCGGCTGTCTCAAAGAAACGGGGTTTCTCCGTGTCTTTGATGCGGGCGTGGTCAAGTCCGATACAGCCGTGTCGAAAGATGTACAGCAGGCATTGAAAGAAGCTGTTAAACCTTTCGAAAACGTCCCCGAGGACCAAAAGGACTACCACCCGGGCTCTGATAACAAGGTGGTCGACCTAGTACATCCCTCGTTGTTCCCTGTGATCTATGGTCAAACTCGTGTTCTTCCAGACAGAGTTATTACCCTCGATGACTGCCTTAGCAGTGTAACCCAAGGAGATGTTCTCCCCGTTCCTTCGGAGGAGGAAACTGTGTTGGTTCAAGATCGGTCCCAATGGTCCTCCAAGACAATCTTCAGCAACAAGTTCCAATGGCTTCCGTGCGATGTGGAACTTCTGGATGATACACGCTGCCGAATTGTGTCATATATCAATAATGCCCATCCTGTCCACCATAAAGGTTTGTATGAAGTTGTTGAGAAGATAATTGCTCGGACAATTCCTCTCTGGAACAAAAGCCTGTCCGAATCAGGCGATAAAAGAATCCCGTGGGAAAGCGTTGAATATGGCGAGCACCCAGATCCTGAGCCACAAGAGCCGGAAGGGGACGATCACGATGACGAGGCGTTCTGGCATATTCATCAGCAATGGGCAGATACTCGACCTATCATCCTTCCTGAGCCGGGAGAATTTGCGATCCCGCAAGAACGGAAAACCCTCGATCTACGAACTCACTTTCCGGACACAAAGCTACAGGTTATTGTAAAGCTGGCGAACATTGAACTGACTCCCGACAACCCCTCGTACGAAGGTGGCACTTGGCACATTGAAGGACAACTGGTGAGACTTCTACGCTTCCTTCTTTATTGGCTGTAGATCCTAATTTGAGCCAGAATGAGCGCATCTGCGCTACCGCGATCTACTACTATGATAGCGAGAATATTATCGAAAACACGCTTGCCTTCCGCCAACGGGGAATGGAAGACATGATCGATATCGGCTATGAGCAGTGTCAATTCCAATTTTTGCAGGCTATCTACGGCTTCAATGACGAAGTCATTGGTAACGGCGACACTAATGTCACCCAGAACATTGGAGCCGTGGTGTGCAAAGAGGGCCGGCTCCTCACCTTCCCCAATACTGTCCAGCACCGGGTTTCTTCATTCTCGCTAGCTGATCCGTCTAAGCCTGGTCATCGCAAGATCCTTGCGCTGTTTTTGGTGGATCCGCACCGCCGTGTTATATCTTCGGCCAATGTGCCCCCGCAGAGGGACGATTGGGGTGACGAGAGACAAAATGCTGTGGACCAAGCATTGTCACAATTGCCAAGAGAGCTACGGGACATTGTTCAGAGTGATATGGAGCCCCTGATAAGTATGGAAAAGGCCAAAGAGTATCGGCTGGAGCTTATGGAAGAGCGTGGGCTGAAATCGGAGGAAAATAATGAGAAGTTTGAGATAGGCGACTTCAGTCTTTGCGAGCACTAGTTGGATTGGGATTCCGATATTGTTTTCAGACCCTTTATCTTTTTTCCTCTGTGTCTTTCTTAATATCCTTTGAATCATAAACAAACATCAAATCATCCAAATCCAGTATAGCGAGGCGAACTCAACATGAAACAAACAGAAGGATAACTGGATCATGCCTTGGTAGCAAGATGCGCAGTTTCCCATTCCAGCAGCGTGCTGTCATTAGAGACAGTCTCAGAATGACTGAGACCTAGAACTCGTCGCTGCTTAATTATGCAGGTTCGAAGCAAATTGATTGCTTTCGCATGCTGGCCTGTACATTTCCAAGTGAAAGCTAGGTTGGCCATGGTCGTCAGCGTGTCAGGATGGTCCGCGCCGAGTTTCGTCTTCCTCGTCTCCATGACCTGCACTTCGAGCTGCTCCGCATCCTCCCAACGGCCCTGGTTCCAGAACGTCGACGCCAGGTTAGCCATGCTTGTCAGCGTGGAGGGATGGTCCGCGCCGAGTTTCATCTTGCTCGTCTCCATGACCTGCACGTCGAGTTGCTCCGCCTCCTCCCATCGGCCCTGGTTCCTATACGTTGACGCCAGGTTGCCCATGCTCGTTAGCGTGGAAGGATGGTCCGCGCCGAGTTTTGTCTTCCTCGTCTCCATGACCTGCACTTCGAGCTGCTCCGCATCCTCCCATCGGCCCTGGTTCCTATACGTTGACGCCAGGTTGCCCATGCTCGTTAGCGTGGAAGGATGGTCCGCGCCGAGTTTCGTCTTGCTCGTCTCCATGACCTGCACAAAGAGCTGCTCCGCATCCTCCCAACGGCCCTGGTTCCAGAACGTCGACGCCAGGTTAGCCATGCTTGTTAGCGTGTCGGGATGGTCCGAGCCGAGTTTCATCTTGCTCGTCTCCATGACCTGCACAAAGAGCTGCTCCGCATCCTCCCAACGGCCCTGGTTCCAGAACGTCGACGCCAGGTTAGCCATGCTTGTTAGCGTGGAGGGATGGTCCGAGCCGAGTTTCATCTTGCTCGTCTCCATGACCTGCACGTCGAGCTGCTCCGCCTCCTCCCATCGGCCCTGGTTCCTATACGTTGACGCCAGGTTGCCCATGCTCGTTAGCGTGTCGGGATGGTCCGAGCCGAGTTTCATCTTCCTCGTCTCCATGACCTGCACAAAGAGCTGCTCCGCCTCCTCCCATCGGCCCTGGTTCCCATACGTTGACGCCAGGTTGCCCATGCTCGTTAGCGTGTCAGGATGGTCCGCGCCGAGTTTCGTCTTCCTCGTCTCCATGACCTGCACAAAGAGCTGCTCCGCCTCTTCCCACCGCCCCTCTAGTCGGTAGGCTTCTGCTAATATCGCGGTGCTATCAAGGGTGTCTTCATCTTCAGCGCCGCCAATCTTCATTCTCTGCTTCCTTGACATAGCTGCCATATCCCCTGCAGCCGAAAAACTGCCACATTCTATCGCATACCACGCCCCCTTGTAGAGTAGCGCCGCCCAGGTCCGGAGTGAATCTTGTGATTTCGGTCGATGTAACACGGCTGACCTAACGTGTGGAAACAGTGACCGGCATCTCTCCCAATTCTCATATTGACCGGTCGGGAATTCACTATATAAGCTCTTAATGAAACGTTTCTTCCACTCCTCCTCCTGGCCATAAGTTTTCAACCATGCGCGTACTGTTAGCTGCACAAGCCGATGCATTGTAAACACCATGCTATCATCACCCAAAGTAACAAAGGAATAGTCTCTAAGAATCGCAATGTCGCTCTCAAAATCGTCATCTACGTCGGTTTCAAATGAGCAATCCGCATCCTCATCACTTGATCTATTCCCAACGTCTTGCGGAAAATCCAAAGGTTCATGGTTTCTGTCTATGTCTTGCACCCTTAGAAGATCCTCAGGGATCCCCTGCCAGTCGAAAAAGCTCATAAGAGACAGCAAATCAGCGGCAGACTGCCTGATCTGTCGAATATGGTCGAACGAAATTTGCCAGGTTAGTAGGATAGAGTTTTTTGCCTCCCAGTCTCGATGGATGTGTTTTCCCTCGTGGTAAAGAAGTTTCATAGCTTGCCGATCACTCTGCCGAAGCTTTTCTAGGTATTGCGATACCGAGCATCGCGGTAAACGGTGGGTGATGTAGCTAGCCGCTTGCACAATCGCGAGAGGCATAAACTCAAGTTCCTCGACTAGCTGACCTAAGTCCGCTCTCTCTATACCAGAACCTACCTTCTTCTGTATCAGAACTAGTGCCTCGTCTTTAACCATTGGTTGCACATCGATCAGGTTTTTCATGTGGCTGGCGATTTCTAACGCTACCCCTTTGTTCCGGCTCGTAACGATAATAGAGCCATTTGAACTTTCGAGCAGGTACCTGAGCGGTGGCTGCGTTAGGGCATGCCTCGGTGCGTTTGCTTGGGCCTCCATCCGTAATGGTTTGCGCAGGAGCTCGTCATCATCGACATTATCCAGGACAAGAATCCAATTTCCGATCTTCCCATCTTGCAACCAGTTCCCAAAGAGTTGGAATATATTCGAGTTGCGATCCTGGCGCCCGGGAATCTTAGCACGGTCGGCAAGATTGCGCAGACTTTCCTCGCAGCGCGCGGCATTACTCGCGTGCACCCAGAAAACCCAGGTGTCAGGCGATTGCTGCCGGACTCGGTGGCAATATTCGATGGCGAGTCGAGATTTTCTTTGGCAAAGTCAGTCAGTCTTGAAAAGACCGCTAAGGGCTGCCTGGACTCACCCAACCCCCCTAGGCCAACGAGAACTATTTTAGACCCTATGATCGAGGATTTTTCGTGGATTTGATTGAGGAGTTCATTGCGACTGACAAAATCTGGATCATGCGGGAATGGCACGGTCGACAGTGGCTCTGGGTGGGGTTCCGGTTGCTCTAGGACGGAAAGCCACTGTTAGTCCTCGACTCATTGTTTGGTGAGTAGAAACTCACCAGATGTATAGTATATGGGCCCGTGGCTGGTACCCACCTGTAACCCCTGATTCTGGTCGCCAAACGATATAGAGGTCATTATCAATATACGGTGCAGACGATGTTTCAGTTTCGGGTACAAGAAAGGTGCTGGGCCCCCATTGTTTATGGCCTATCCTCAGCCTCACTCTCAGGTGACTTCGTGGGCACTGCCGCGCTATCCAAGCAAAAGGTCTATGCGCCTGTCACTCAGCCAGTCAATATTGAGTTTTGCCGCCCTGCCCCGTCCTAAGTCCTGGCGCCGTCGAGTTTCTTCAAGCCTTGCAATTGCGCAATTGGTTTAGCGAGATGATGGATCTCGTGGACTTTTTCCGCTCCTAAGTGCTCTATGCCATCTTGAAGTAGTTCGACAAACTCATTTTCTTTTGCCTGTTGTTTCTCTCCAGAGTTCTCTATCTGGTTGAATAAATTCAAGCTTTGCTTTCGCGCAATTGGGTTGATGACGCGGTGAATCTCATAAAGTCTTGTGGCTCCTAATTGTTTTATCCCAGTTTGAAGTAGCTTCACAAACTCGTCTTTGATCTGTCTAGATTCCTTTGTCTGGTCGAATTTCTGGTTGATGTCGACACCGCTGTGAATGCCATTGAACTTTCCGGTTCAATCCTCTCATATTTACTTGTGATGGATTTTTGTCCGCAAAATAAACACTAGTTGTTGAATTGAGACACTATCCTCTGCTGCTAGAGAACAGAGCATTCTGGCGAAAAACAAAAATTGTCCATAGTATGCATATGCATTCGTGGCCTTAGTCCAATGAACCTTCTTCTTCCGTACCAATCAAACACTGTCATTCCATCCCTAGAACCGAGATTGGCGTGCGATCTTCGTTGAGAGCAACCCATCGATGATATCTTCCGTAACCACTGTTATTGATCTTGAGTAGCCATACACAAAGTTTGCACAAAGGAAACCGGAGCATACAGCCGTCTCCCCGAAATCTTGCCATGGGTTGGGCTTGGGCTTGGTAAGTGGTACAAGAAGCGGTCCTTGCAGAGACAGGAGTATGCTTGGTGCAGCGGCATTCAAAGCCGGGGTAGAAGCCATTAGCGAAACTTGCCATGGGGCCTGGCACTTTGCATAAAGTGCGAAAGAAATACCGTAGAATATGACGCTCACTGGGTTGAACCGAGAGTTCAAGGCATTCAGCATTCATAGTGTCATGGCAACCTTACAGAAATGAAAGGTGCAGACTGCTGTGTCGAGTGAAGATATGAACATATGTCCAGATAGCGGTAATAGTGGTGGCGGTCGTTACCAGTTGACATCGCTGAGCTGGAGTTTGCGAGAGCGGAAGGCGGACCTGTTGGCACCGGCTTTGTCCATTCGTTGGCTTGCTGGGGTACGTTTCTCCTGGGTTGCTGCTTTACGATATCTCAGTGGGGAGTCCTTTCGGTTATCATTCTCCATGGGGTAATTCTCACTCTCGGTTGGTTCGGGTTCATTGGAAGCCTCGTAGTTTAGGACCAGATTTTTGATGCGTTGCTGCTCTTCGCGATCGGCTTGTTGCTGGCTTCGCATAGCAATGGCAAAGGTCGAGTCCGATGGGAGATCGATAGTCCGGGTCTAGATGGAATGTGTTAAATCGGCCAAGATAACGTTTGCTCAACGCAAATACTTACCTGTTGCTTGTTGCCCTTCTTCGTCATCAGGGAAAAGGCCATTGTCGATGGTGGGACTAATTCGGCTGGGACTGGCTCCGGACTAGAATCACTGGGCATGTTTTCACGGAGAGGACGCTTCATGGGCAGGGGAATGTCAAAGACGGTCTTGCGCTCGAATCGTCTCGAGTCCATGCTTTCGGCCATCATCTTTTCGTATTCTCGATCAAACTCAGCCTCGGTCACAGGATCTCGCTCCTCTTCTTGGCGCGTGACGACAATTTGCTCGTCCTCATCTTCGAACTCGCTCTCGCTTTCGTCATTCGCCTCTGCATTGGGCCCAGATGCCTGTGACTGGTTAAAAAAATGGAAGTCGTACACGGGGGTTGGGGGACCTACTTCGGCCTCATCGCTAGATTCCTGGTCTTCGTCGATTTCGTTCACGTCCTCCTCAAGGTCCTCGTCAGACGAGCTGCTTTCCGCCTCCTCCTCGTCAGCTTCAACGGGTCTCTCGGAATCCTGGACGTTGTAGTTCAGGGCGACAGCCTCGCTGAAAATGCGGGTCGCTTCTTCGGCATCGCTCGCAAGCTTCCACTGCGGGCGGATAGAGTGGTAGGTATCCTGGACAAGGAAGTCGACATCCATGGGTAAAGGATCCTTGGTGAATAGGTAATACTGGAAGAAAGCAAGGAAGAAATCTAGTTTCTTCTTGGCTGAACCTCGGTCGAAGCAGTGGCCACATGTATCAAGAAGGGTGCACGCTAACCGCAGGCGGAAGTAGTCATCTGGCATGTCCAGCATACTGATTCTTCCAGGGACCGGAGTACCGCCTTCGTGACCAAAGGTAATAATACGGTAGAGTGTATCGAAAATGACTGGAGAATCAATCATCTTGTAGTTATAAAGCTCACCCAGGTACTTGATTTCCGCAATGCGCTTTTGGTTAAACTTGAAGTCGTTCTGCTCAAGACCGAGCGTTACCTGCTCCAGAACGTTGTCGACAATGCCGATGACGAAATCTTGGTGGTACCGGTACAAAGCGCTGACAAGAATAGCTAAAAGGTGAATGCTGCCATACTTCACCTTGACCGGTTTGCTGAACACACGTTCTAGAATGTCAACGACCTCACGCTCTTCCCAGTGAAGTTTGCGAATAGCCTTCAAGATTTTGGTGTAATTGCGCTTGTTCATATCTAGGTAGATTAAGCGACGAATGTACTGCTCCATCGGTGTGCGTTCCTTCTGCTGGATCGCTGGTCGTGGCGGTGGGTCAACGTAGTAGATGGCATTTTCGATGACCATCCGCTCCTGTTGGGCGAGGTGTTGAACAGTCTTCTTTCGGCTCAGAGTCTCAAGGAAAGAAGCCATCCGTGGGGATGTTTCCGGGTTGCGTAGCAAGTAACGACCACAGTTCTCGAGCAAATGACCGATGATCTCAATGTTCATGCGCGAAAATTCGTCGAGCGAGACTTTGAAGCAATGGAAGATGATATGCTCCGGAACAACGCCGAACTTGGTTAACTCGGCCAGGTAGCGTACATTGGCCATGCGTACTTGGCCGAGGAACTCCTTCGACTTGCGCCGCTGTAGACTTCGGAACTCCTCGTCGAGATAAGCGGTTATTCCTTGCGGGATATCCGGCAAGTACTGTCCTAGCGTGGCTACCAGGCGGGAATAGAGAGGCAAAAGATCGATGCGACCTTTGGGGATGTCCGAGACGGCTTTGACTAGCCTGTTTCGTGATGCTTTAGAGTTAACCCAGCAGAAATCCAGAGCGAACTGGTCGACTTGATCTTTGGTCTGAAGTTCAGGAAGCTTTGCGAGGAGAGAGTCCACCTGCGCGCCAACAGACTTGCTGGCAATGGCGGTCGACTGGTCATCCGTTTCTGCGACAGAAGTATCATCCACCGGCTCGGCCGTGGAGTCAGCTGGTTCACCATCTGGCTTCTTTTTGCCCGCTTCCTCGGCCTCGCTCTTCTTCTTTTTGCCATCTTCAAGAAGCATGGCTGGCACCTTGCCCTTCAGGTCGACTAGATTCTCGTAGAATCGTCTTTCTTCTTCGTCCTCCCAAATTCCAGCACCTTCGCCCTGGCCTCGGAGATAATCGGTGGTCTTCACAAGCCCAATACCACCGCTTGTTGAAGCATCGGTGGTCTCCTTCTCGGCGATATCGGGCATCTCAGTACCGAGAGCTTCACACAGCACCTGAGTATTGGCTACAAGCTTCTCCAGAACCTTAGACTGCTTTTCGAAATTGGCTTGGCGGTCTTCGAAGATCTCGCCGCTCTTCACGTATGCCTCGGCATTACGGCGATTTTGCTGGGCCAGCGCTCTCTGGTCACGAACCACATGAGCCTTAACATCTTCAAGATATCGACTCAGGATATTCCTAAACCGCTGCTGGGTCTTCTCTGGGGTCAAAGGCAGATCCATTTCTGCGGAAACATCATTGATTTCAGAGGTCTGCGCATCCGCGCCAGAGGAAGTTGCGCCATCGGCCTCAACAGTCTTCCTGCCATCTTCAGCAAGCTTCGCACCAACGATATCCCAGCTAAAGCTCTTAACGAACAAGACTGCCAGGGGAAGGTTGGTGTGATCACGGTCATGTCCGAGCAACTCCTTAAGAACCTCTAGTGGAAACGGCTCAGCTTGCTTGTCCTGGTCTTTGGATCCAGCAGCGGGCGTCTTGGCTTTCAGCGGGGCGTCTGGCGCTTTGCTGCCGATTCCAACACCGCCCTCCTTGCCCTTCGCGCCCAGATCCTCAGGCCGTTCAACATCATCAAGTGTCTTCAACACATTGACCAGCCAAAGCTCCGTAACGACACGGAGAAGAACGCGGTGCCGAGACAAACGGTCTTTCTCTTCGCGTTCGCGAATTTCCTGGCTGAGGGCCTTGAGCTGCGCTTTATCCGGTGTGCTCAGCCCCCGGCCGAGTAGCCAACCGATCTGGCGCGTGAACTCCCATGGTCCAAACCGCTGGTGCAGCGCGCTGACAACCTCTACTCCTGCGGCTATTTCCCCGGGGGATTTGAGTTTGCAAAGGCCTTCGTAGCAGGCGGAGATGATCTCGGAGAGGTACTTGTGGAGGGAGAGTGTGCGGATATCAGCGAGGAAAGTGGAAAGGGCGGAGGCGCTGATGCCTGTGCGAAGTCGCTTGATAAAGGCAGTGTTTTTCTTGAGCGCTGAGTCGAGGGACTTGCTGGTGGTGAATACATCTGTTCAGATCATTAGAACCATCTCGGGAGGTGGGCTGCAATGGGATTTCGTCATAAAGGGAGTTGGGTTGAAATCTTACCAGTTTCACCCGCCCAAGCGCGCTCGTTCAGGTCACGAAGCTCCCCTAGATTGAGAACACCATGTTAGTTCCTTGTCTGCTAGGTGAGATCTCGATCGTACTTTTCCGCTGGCGATCCATGGCCTTCTAATAGATTCAATCGTGGGGTCCTTTCTGAATGTCCGAAGGGAAAGCGCATAAGTGACTTGAACGCCACATTGGGGAAAAGAAAATACAAGGGGGATTCAAGCAATATCTCAAGCTTAACGAGTTCGCGAGAAAGATTAAGCTGAAAGGTTCGCAAAGGCGGTTCCAACAGGCCCAAGGCGGTGCGGAGTTGATGCCGGAACTTTTTGCTTATCCACTTTGCTTGTGCGATAACCTCTCTTGCTTCACATTCACAACATTGTTACTCTACTATCCTTCATCCTTTACGGTGATTTGAGTTGCTCTTCTAATCGATCTCATTTTTGATATCTCAATTATACAACATTTCATCCTGGAAATTCGACGTCCAACCATTTTGCCTCAATTTGAACAATTTGAGCCTAAACCCACTTGTAGCTCCAAACCTATTTGCTCCCCCACCATACTATATCAAAAGGACAATCGTCCAACTGCAGTTCCCAAGGCCCTAGTCCCCACTATGCGCTTCTGTAAATCCCATCTCCTTTCCCTTTTCAGAATCGAGTAATCGTTCCTGCAGCTGATGTTTGTGGTCCTGGCTACTCCAGCTCTGCCGGCGGTCGAACGTCGGTTTCCACGACTTCTCTGGGCCTGTATTGTCTTGAGAAGTTGATGGCTCAGTGGCATTAGTTGAACTGAGCTTTTGAAAGAATGGAAGAGTCATTGTTTGTTGTAGTTCATGCCTGTCTGGCAATGAACCTTGATCGGGGGTGTTCGATGTCATCTTTGAGTGAGCGGGTATAGGTAGATCAGATGAAATATAGGATAGAACAGAAATCCATCTGCAAGGTGGGTTGCTAGTTATTGAGCTGAAGCTGTTTTGCGGTGATCTAGAGAAGAAATCTGTGGGCAGGGCGCTCTCACTCTTATACCCCTCTTATTCTTATACCCCTCTTCTCGTAGGACAATTCAAGGTTTCAATGGTGCTCACGGGTGGCGATAGGCGGGTGAGACCTAGAAGACCGAAGACCTCTCACAAATAGTGAAGTGATTTATCTGCGGGCGGGGTGCAGATGTGACACGCAGGTGGCAAAAGCATCATACTTCGGAGTTTGACCACAACGTAAGTTATTGCCATGAAATGGCTGACAATCCCTTGTAGCTTGATGACGACGCGCTGCATAGTCTTCCAAGGTTGTCAAGGGCTATATTTCAATTGTATACTGTACTTGAACATGATATTCATGATACTTGATCATAAGGTCTGATACAACAATGCCTTGAACCCTGCAACGACGATATTTGTGCACCTGAAGATCCATGTCTCAATCGCCCTGTTTCTCTCTCCTTTATATACGCAGAACATACTGTCAGCTTGGATAGTGTATAGGGTATGCTATATGTATTATGCCGAGTGGATGCAGAGGTAAAGAATCTAACAAAATGAAATTCACGAGCTAGCATACAAGTCATGATTGCGTTCAACCATCGAAAAACAAACTGAGGAAATAAGAGGAACAACGAGGCAAAAGCAAAGGTAGGGTAAGGTACAAACAGTCCGAGCCATCATGAGAGAGCAATGTCAAAAGCCGCTGGTTCGAACAAAGCTTTTGTCCAATGTACACATGCAATCAGGCGATGTAAATTCCGACACTGACAAAGATAGTCGATGAAGTGACTCTTGACTGCCACAAAAAAATAAAACAAGTCACATCACAAGTTGGAAACCAAACTTGAGATTTCCAAGGCCCCGCCAAAACAATATACAATATACAGGAGGCTTTTGGGACACCAAACAAATCGTACACCTCGATGCTGGATGAGGATGCATGATGAAGCAGATATAAAATAACCCAGGCAAGTAAATAATAAAAAATAAACAGAGGTCGACAATAAAGAATTAAAATCAGGGTATGCCTCACGCCACGCTATGCGGGTCTCCCTGGAGGTGGGAGACCAAGAATCACTGCAAATATGTACTGAGAGAGTCCATCTGAGGGCAGAGGACTTGGCTTTTTCGGTCAATGATTCATTTGGGTTTCCGCCAGAAGTATTGCTAGAGAGAACATATGTAAGTCCAGGTTCAAATACATTCACGAATGTATTGGGAACAGGGGTCACAAACCTTGTGCTGTTTCCGACAGTTGCGCAAACCGGGTTTCCGAAGATCATCCACCACTGCGGACCGACGCATCACATCGTCATCCTCGTCAGGAACGTAATAGTATTCACTCTCAAGCGGTTTGCCAGCAGCATCTTTGCCCTCACGGGCGACTCTGCCGATAAACTTGGTCGAGGCGAGAATGTTGCGGATATCAGATTTGGAAGGGCCGGTTACATTCCCATGACCAGACCTCCAGTACGCGGGAGGGAGGTTGTTGAGGATGGTTGAAAACGGAGTGGATGACAGTCGGGAAAAGGCGAGTTGGTTAGCAGCATGGTTGCGGACTCTCTCAGACGCTTCATCAGTGTATAGGGTCTTGGTCTCAGTAGGCTCGGTGTCTCTTTCCTCGTGCACGGTGGCGGGCTGTCTAGGGGACCGGAGAGGTTGGAGGGGCTGGGCAGGCAGCAGGCTGCGAGGAGAACGAGCAGTTTGAACAGGAGAATCCCCTGCTCGGAAAGAAGCCATACGAGGAAGGAGATTCTCTCCGAATGGACCGAAGGAATGAACAATTGGGTCATTTTCTTCGTCATTGTCGGAGAACTCGTCGTGTCTACTCAGGTCACTCAACTCACTTGCATGTGATGTATGCAGCATAGCGGTTGCTCGGCGAGCACTCTGGGATGTCACGCCGGTCACTGTGTTGTGACGCTTCAGTGGGGAGGGCTCATCTTCGAAGACCACTACTGCGGCACGGGATCGAGGTGTGAAGATGGGAGAAGATGGGGGGATAGCAAGTTTAGCAGCAGGAGATGGGGACACAGGTGATGCAAGACGCTGACGTTCTAGAAGCGGGCTTTCCTGCAGTTCTCGTCGAGATTGGCGGCGCTGGGTTGGTGTTGCCTCGTCACTGGTTTGCTCTGAGTCGGTGGAAGGGCAGTCCCTTGTTTCACTGCGAGGCCACTGAACCAGAACCCGAGCCTCGTGAACATCTATCATGATATCGGCGTCCTTGATGTCTGATGTGAAGGTTTTACCCTTGGCCAAATCATACTTTCTCCCTTGGCAGTGAATCTTGATCCCATTCCATCCCATGCACACAATCTCAACCCTATCCCGATCGAACGGATTGGGGGCAGGTTTATATGTAGCTTTGACATGAACGCGAGAGATCATCCGGCTAGCAGCCAGCTGATGATGACACGAAACGCTAGATCGCCCCATGAGAATGGGCTCTCCATTCTCCCGCAACATTATAGAAGGGACGGCCGACAAGGGTGCGCGTTCGAGGGTGGCAGAGAAGGATCGAGACAGGGATGGTCGGGAGGTAGCGACGCCAGGTGGAGGAGGAGAAGACGACATGATATGAGTTGACGAGGTCGGAACTGGTGTGGGATACAACGAGACTTCTGGCTCGCGTGCTACACGCTTTTGTCTTGGGAGTGAGGGCGACGAGCTCGGCTCAAAAGCAGGCAGCAAGGCCGCTGGACGTTTGACGCCAACAATAGAGCCGACTCGGCTCTTCAATGGAGAGGACTCCATGGTGATATAATGTGACAGAGTTCACACGGGTTCTTACTCACGAAAAAAGGAAATGAAAAAAACCCTGAGTCGAGGTCGAGGACCCGCGTCACGTCGTGTTATGTTAACACAAACGAGGAAACTAAGAGAATTATAGAGGACGTAAAAGAACGTCTAGACCTCCCCTAACGACAAGGGTGTGGTGGGAGGGAAGAAATTGGTCAGGGAGAAAGGAGGAGATGCATTGAAGAAAAAGGTCAAAAGGTGTGTGGTGGTGGAATGCCCTGGGGCGGAGGGTCTTTCCTGCGCGGAAATGCACGCTTACAGCCCGAGACGCGTTCGATAGGCGCCAACCACACTCCACTACAGAATTTTGGATTTAGTTACTTTTCTTAAGCTGTAGTGTGATTTAAAATTACTGTATACATTAAAAAATAACGTGAAAGGGCACAAATTGAAGAATTAATTGAACATATCTGTACCAACTTTATACGGTCTATACGGCGTCCGGCGCGCTCGCGTCTTAAAACACGTGACGCGATGTACAAGAACATACCATTCAGGAATTGGTAACCATGACTCCAGAAAATTTGACTGTTATTAGTCTTTAGCCCAAGAATTTTCCTAAAATTAGTATGTGGCATATCTCACTCTTCATATTTTAACATGCACAATCTACTTGTCTTGTAAATCTAGCAGAAATCAGCATTGTTCCCAAGAACCTCCCTCTCAAAAATTCCCCTAGTATTGATACTAGGGTACTGTATACAATGTTCTAGCACTAAGGAGAAGGGAAAAAACGCAAAGCCCCTCTGTCTCCGTACCCCACTAACAGTCATAAATTCGATAAGTTACTTGCCAACCTCTCGCGTCTCCCAGCCCCCATGTGGGATGATATCACTTTGACTCAAGGGAGTTTTTGTCAGTTCTAATGGCATTTTTCTGAACTATCTAAGCTAAATTTCAGCAAGGACCACTATCAGTACATGACAAAGCACTCTGGTGTCACTTGATCTTCTTTACACGTTCGGGTGGGGCCTCGGTCGTGTTTTTTAACTGCCTAAGTAGGTACTATGTTTTTTCTTGTACAATTTACCTTGTAGGTCTTTGAGATCCCCCAGCTATGGCAAAACATGTTCATATGACCATACTTAGTTATCAACCCTTAGATATCTTTCTATATCTGTTGTGCATTTAGACCTCTCGCTCGATATTTTCCTTGCATCCCATGTGGGTCTACCAATGTAACACCGATAGAGCTAGGTAACTAAGGTAAACGGTAACTACAAATTTAAATCCGCTTAGAAAAAGTCCACTGGTGCAGGACATGATATGTCTCTATATAGCATATCATCATAAAAAGCTCTGGCTTTAGTGCCTGTGCGGTTGATACCACCTGTTCTGACGATTGCTTCCCCGTTTTGATTTCTCGGAACACACAAGTGTGTCGCTTACATATTTGGATTCCGTTCTCTGGGAAATTTTACCTCTCATCTGTATTGTGACTCTTTTTCACCGTAAGCTGTTATACCTAAGTATTATCATCAGGTGTAAGAGCTTACCTGCAGTTAAAAACACTTGAAGTCTAATTCAAGAACTCGAGCCTTTCGAGGTTGCCATGTTTAATGGTCAATTAATAGAATGATATTTTTGTGGTCGAATTGATATGTAGTCTGCTACAGATTTGCCAGGTAGAGTCTGCAGGGTGGTTGTGCATGTTCATTATACCAACGTTTATTAGGGCTCTGTCACAATATATATCGGCACGTGATGGTGTTAAAGTGTGATATATATCTTTGTTCTGAAAAGGCTCCCAAATGAACGATATATTATAGGTGACGAAAATAACTGACTAGCAATCCATGAAGAAATGAGTCAGATTGCGCAAAATAAGTAGTGATGTTGGCATTGCAAAGCTTCCAGCTAAAATAATGAATTCACATCAAACGGCGTAGGTGATGCGTCATATACTCCATCAAAGAAACCTGCCCCACATGAAATAATTGACCGATCCCTAACGTTAGATGAATATATGCATAAATATGGATTCGTTAATGTGAGATGTGCATGGCGCTGACTGAAATGCTTGAAAAAACAGGATTGTCCCTAGCCTACAGGCATCAATACCACTTACTTGCTTATTGCATGAGGACCTCAGCTTGGACTAAAATAGCGGGAAATTCTTAATAAAGAAGATTGCGGACTTGGAAATGTAGTAGATTTTGCCAGACCAATTTGCCTACACCGATTCAGGTGGTGTCAGTATTGGGTCGAAGGTTGTGATACATGGACTGAGTTGGAAAAGAAAATCATCCCAGATCCCCGATGCACTGATCCAGATATAGTACAAAGCCCAGCCATACTGGAAGACGAGGATGAAGCTCAGATGAGAAGACTCAAAACTCAAGCAACCAAGATGGCATGCAATGCAAAGGGAAAGAAGGATGGGTTTAGAATCAAACACTGGCTTGTACTTGAGAATAAACATAACTAGATCTAACAGTTGAGTAAAAAAGTAGGGCTGCCATCAAGGTGTCCGACCAGGGGAACAATGTGGTCATAAGAAACAGAACAAAAGAATGCAACTCGGAGTGGATTTCGGGCCCAGTCACAGATAAGACAAAATAGAACTTAAGATACACAGAATTGAATAACGACCCTTCAGGTAAGAAACCGTGATATAAACAGATGCACATAGGAAGGTGAGTAGAGTACGATGGCTCTTCTCATCCTAGTGCATTTCGACAGGGAGAAGCTGGTCGAGGTTTGTGTGGCGCTGAAATGACTGCCATCACCGAAAAGGTGACGGCAACATTTAATCGTAGAAGACGTAGTAGGCGTTGCCAGAGGTGACGCCGACCTGGAAGAACGAAGTGTTAGTATTGGGGGCACTAGAATCCTGGAGGAGAGAAAATTGACTTACAGTGCAACCGCTGTTGCCACTAATGGCACCCTTGGAGTCATAGAAGGTACCATCCTCGTAGCGGCACTCATCGCTGAGGTTGTCACCGACAAGCTTAACGTTGAAGTCGAGTTTCTTGGTAGTGGTCGGGGTGTTGGGGAAGATGGACAGGAACTTTCCGGAGCTGGTGTAGCCGACACCCAAGTTGATGGGAGCCCAGTTACCGATGGGCTCGGAGCCATCACCCCACTGGCAACCCTTCTCAGTTGACACACCCTTGGGGTTGACGTAGTACTGGGCAGAGGTGGCCTTGCCCTGCCAGTTGAAGTAAGAGTCACCGTCGGGGCAGGTCAGGGGGTGAGTGTTGCCGGAGGAGGCGGCGAGAGGAACAGTCTCGGATTCGGTACCGGGGTAGTCAGTACGGCAAACGGCGACGTCGGTGGACATTTGATTCTTGACGTGGACACCGCCAACGCCAGCAATGCAGAGCTGCTTGTGGCTGGGGTTGGTGAGGTAGAGCTTGCTGTTCTTGCACTCAAGACCACCAACAGACTGACCGGTGGCTCCTTGGGTAGAGGGCCACTGGGACTTCTGGTAACCAGGGGGGCAAGCGTAAGAGCACATGGCACCACTGTGGCACTCATCGCCAGTGACGGCGGTCACGATGTCGCTGACGAGATCATCCATAAGAGTGATGTACTGGATACCAGAGTAACCACCGAGACCCAGGTAGTCGAGGGCGACAGCACCGTAGGCTGAGGGGAAATCACCGCAGTCAATCTCTCCATCGGGGAAGTCAGCGGTGAGACCGGTGGCACCAGAGCTGGTGGAGGAGCTCTTGGAAACGCTCTTAGCAGCGGCAGTCGAGACGGAGCTGGAGGTAGTGGAGGAGGGCTCCGCAGTGCTAGTGGAGCTGGCGGGGGTGATAGCCGCAGCAGTCTCCTGGAGGATGGCGGGAGCAATGGTGGAAGTCGGGGTTGGGGTCGACGTGGAAGTCGAAGTAGGAGTAGGGGTGCTGGTGGAGCTGGTAGAGGAAGGGCAGGCGGCGGCGACAGCACTGTCGAGCCACTCGAACTTATGCTCAGCGAGGCCCTTGCAAGCATCGTCGACGCTGATGGCCTCAGGGGAACCGGACTTGGAGGGATCCATCACGACGAAATCGTACACAACGGGGCCGGGGACCGATACTGTTTCGGTCTCAGCAGCACGCTTGTGGTGGTGAGCGTGTCCATGGCCGTGGGCGGTCGCAAGGCCAGCCGTGGCCAGCGCGGCAACGGTGTTGGTGAACTTCATAGTATCGGTGGAAATCTGTGGATTAACTCATGTTAGTCGCGCGCAGTCAAAGGAATGATTGTACCGTCGCAAAGTGCTCCATTGGTTCCTCCGGCGAGTCGTGTTTCATCACGATCCAATTCACCGATGGAGCGCGTTTTGGTCCACATTGGCGTGTATATTGCTTCCGTGACGGACAATTCAATCGCGATATTATATCATAACATATCAAACACGGAGATCGAGGAGGACTCACATCACTTCTAAGGCGCGCGTAGAGAACCGAATAAAGGACAGTGCGTTTTTTCAAATGAGTGTATTAGAGAGAAAGAATCCCTCTGGTCGGATGAGAAAACTGCGAGAAAAGGAGCTGCGACTGGAAAGACTGGGGAAGAAGAAGTTCAAGGAGGATACACAAAAAGGAGGGGGGTGAGTCGGTCTGTAGCCCAATTCGGTTAGGCGTGATATTGCCAATAAAAAAAGGGGTATTTTGGAGTTGTATACCTGTACGGAGGACTTGATACTACATGAAAATCTGTCTCCCTGGTGGACCCTGAAATGAGTCTCGATTGTGTCTATTCTTGGCATATAGATTTGTATTCTAGACTGTTATTCATTATTGACTATATCTATTCATTCATCTGATATACAATCGTTATAGAAGTAGGAACATTGAAGTTCTTGCTATTGATATAGGGTAGCGCTTACCTACCAAAACAATAGGTACATCAGAGTCGTAATTTTGTTTTGGTCAAAACGAGATTAAAGTCACCAAGGGGCAGCCAATCAGAGCCCGACAAAGCTCTCCATGGAGATCCAGAATCCAGGTACACCAATCAGAATTGACGTGGCCCCTGCAGGCATTCCTGGCGTATCCATGGTCACCAACATTTCGATCTGATTTTTATTACTTCCAACGGTTGTAACTCTTAATGCTATGTTGTACGCGCTCACTCTTAGAAACTATTGAAGTTACTTTGCATCTTGTATACATTTCCTGGCTATCAATGCAAAGATGATCATAATCTAGGGGTATTGAAACCCAACTTTCCTTCCAATCCCCCTATCCCACCCCTAACTGATTGCCCAGCTTTTCCAAGGCTGGCAGTGCAAAATTAACCACGCAGGGGATTTCCCCTGACAGTTTATGACGCACGGTGTCTCGCCCTATTCGTATTCCGGCCAAATTGCACTGAAATTCCAGCCATCGAATCAGACCTGTATTTCGATGCCTGGTTGTCTTTGTTAGGTGAGATAACATATTTATTTAGATTACTTGGCGAAATTACCCTCGTATATGCTCCCCACTAATATGGTACAATGTCCACGGATACAATTCTGTCCCTGCAACATTGTATATTGTGAATAGCAGCGAACAGTGCTCCTCCGCGGCAGATGCGTCCTAGCACCCACTGTTTCAATAGTCGTTAGAATGATGATAGGCGAGCTAGAAGCCGATGGACTTGCCGATCCACAGCAATCTTCATTCCACAGTGGACAACAAGCACTCATCCGCGTCATAGCATGTTTTTCATGTTACTAGCCGCCCAGGATTACATACAATTTTCACAATATTTACAATGTCAAACATATCATCGTATTGATCACCACTCGGAACAGTCAAACTTCCAAAAACGTGGACATCTTCCCCCGTTCTCCACATTGTATATCATCCATCGGCCATGGAAGGCGTCTGATGAATGTCGAACAAATAAATTCGTGTCGTAGTTTGATCCTCATAATAAGGCAACAACCCTCAAGCGTAATATGCTCCTCATATGCTCTGGGTTTACAGCCAAGTATTAGTTTTGCTTGTTTTTGAAATGATAATGTAGGTCACGCCCCCAAACTTCCGGTTTGTCGAATGCTATTGACCGGTGCCTGCTGTAACTTCAAAACTAGAGACTGTCGAGAGCATAAGGTGTCGATTTAGATTTTCATGTCTGTAACGTTTCCCGACTGCACAGTACAGTATGAAAGCAATATATCCTAGCCTCATTATTAGCCGGATATCTTGTATCTGTTGTTCATGCTGGTCCAATCAACTCAATCCATGTACCGAAATATCAATAGATCGTGGGGATATGCTTGCGCGGCTTCCATGTTAGCGGATTTTGACGTGATCCAATTTCTTAACGCTCAAGCATTTGGTGTTAAGAATGGGACCCCAGGGCCTTCGTCGGCTTACCAAGGGACCACCGTTCATGCCATTTGTTTTATATTAATTAACTTCCTCTTTTAGTTATATATCCGAGCCTGCTGCCCAAATTTGGATATGCTCACACGCTTCCGACTGTAGTCCCTGGGGCTGGAGATTTAGTTAAATAGGCGGCTTGAATAATATACCTAGGTCGCTGTCAACACAAATTCGACCTCACTAATTTGCTTTTGCCCATCCTCTTTGTGATGCGAAACAATGCAAGTGTTGCAATTTGAGGCATACAATGGTTCCTTCATCGGTAGCTCCGACACGTAGAAATATTGGTCTCAAAATTGACTAATAATATCTCTTGTGCAAATTTGAAATCTAAGTTGCAATCCGATGGCTCATTGATTGAAGAGGATAGAAATGGTGATAGTAGTAAATATAGCGGAGTAGTTATCAGTGATAAGTGGCATAGGATAAGGCGCCTCAGGCAGTGTGGACTGCCAAGCACGGGCAAACTGCCACCGCCTTCCGAAATTTTTTTGAGTCCCGATAATCGTCGCAAAAAAATTGGAGAAGTTCAACGAGTCTGCAATTTATCAAAATGGGCTCCTCTACTACTCAACTCACCTCTAAGGTGACCTCAGGCTCGCCTTATCAACTTGACAAGCCCCAGGTTAGTACCGATGACCCCTCGAGCCACAATTCCGCAAAATACTAATCGGAACTAGACCCTCAAAGCTTCCACGGCGTTGTTGAAGCACATCAAGTCCACCCAACAGGAACAGGAGAAGACTGCAACCAAGAAGACCCTGATTGGTGATGACGATTCCGATGATGAGAACGGCGCGACCAAGAACGAAGCCGTCTGGCTCGTCCTCACCACCAAGCAGCATGTGGTGGATAAGAACCGCCTGAAGCCTGGCAAGATCGCCATCCCGCACTCCCTCAACACATCCCCTTCGCTCAGCATTTGCGTGATCACTGCCGACCCCCAGCGCGGCTTCAAGGACATCATCGCCGACTCCACCTTCCCTCAAGGCCTTTCCTCCCGCATCGAGAAGGTCATCGGTTTCTCTAAGCTCAAGGCCCGCTACCAGAGTTTCGAGAGCCGTCGTCAATTGTTTGCTGAACACGATGTTTTCCTGGCAGATGACCGTATTGCCATGCGCCTGGTGCAGACCCTCGGAAAGATTTTCTACAAGTCCAGCAAGCGCCCAATCCCCATCCGCATCGCCGAGATCGAGAGGGTTGACGGCAAGCGTGTCAAGAAAGAAAAGAAGGCACCCAATGTTCCCACCGATAAGGACTTGAAGCACTCTTCATTCGCCCCTCCCCTGATTGTTGCCAAGGAGATTGAGCGAACCCTGAACTGCGCCCCTGTGCAGCTCGCGCCATCCACCACAGCCGCCATCCGTGTCGGCTCGTCCAAGTTTACAGCCGAGCAGCTGTCCGAGAATATCGCAGCCGTTGTCAAGGGTTTGACCGATAAATTCGTGGCCAAGGGTTGGAGAAACGTCAAGGGTTTGCACATCAAGGGTGCTAACACAATGGCCCTCCCCATCTGGCTTGCCGATGAGCTGTGGGTGGATGAATCTAACGTCCTGGAGACTGCCCCCGAGACAGACCCTGCCAACTTCCCCAAGAAGCGTAAGGCCGCTGGCGACGCCAAGCTGATCGAGGAGAAGAACACCAAGAAGACCAAGTCCGCGGATGATGAGGAGGAGGCTGCCTCTGTGGCTGCACGGAAAGAGAAGCTCCAACAGCTCAAGGCTCAGGCTCTTGAGGATGGTGACACAAGCAAGGCTGCCGCGCCGAAGGCCGGTGGCAAGAAGAAGAGAAAGTCGACTTCATGATGGTTATAGCTCTTAATGTTTTCTGCATGTAAAGGTATTTCTGGCGTACAAAATATCACGTGTGTCTATTGTTTCGCTCATTCTACATTATGCCGTAATTGGAATCAAATCACCAGTATATGTAGAGACCCAATACATCCAGAGATCTACGGTATAGAATAAGCAATAATATAACAAAATCCAATACTTGATCCTTCTCGTCGCTGCGTCATGATCTGGTGGACCGATCAGCCTATATGAATACCGCATTAACCGAGTCCGACCTCGGGAGCTGGTCTTGGCATGCCGACGATAGCCACCGAAAGTCACATCACCGTCAATCGCCGAGCTGCGATCTTGTTCTTCTCCCCCGCCTGGAAGAACAACGACATTTATACCACCAAGTCGTCACTATGATTCCTCTCGCCAGGCACTCTGTTCTGCGGGCAGCCCGCTCCCAGCTCCAGCCCACCCGCACGCTGAGCCAGTCTTCGGCGCTCGCCCGTCTTCTCTCAACTCTCGCCGTTCTTGAGCAGCGCAATGGCAAGCTGGAATCTTCCTCTTTGTCTGCAATTGCGGCTGCACAGAAGCTTGGTGGCTCAGTAACGGGTTTCCTTGCTGGCTCCGGCGTGAAGGGAACCTCGGCTGCCGAAGCTGCCAAGATCAAGGGCATCGAGAAAGTGCTGGCCGTGGAGAATGACGCATACGAAAAGGTACAGCCCATCCGAACGACCAGAATATTGCATATCATTAGAAACTTTAGCTAATAGCACAATCCGTCAACTTATAGGGCCTCCCCGAAAACTATGCCCCTCTTCTAGTTGAGAACATCAAGAAGGGCGAATTCACCCACATCGTTGCGGGCCACTCTGCCTTCGGCAAGAGCCTGCTGCCCCGTGTGGCCGCTCTCTTGGACGTGCAGCAAATCTCCGACATCACCGGCATTGAGAGCGAGGACAGTACGTGGGAACCCGAAGGCCGCGGAATTTGACATGTGATATCAGCCACTGACCATCAACTAGCTTTCGTGCGCCCCATCTACGCCGGCAACGCCATTCTTACCGTCCAATCAACCGACAACATCAAGGTGATCACCGTGCGAGGCACTGCCTTCCAAGGCGTCGAGACCGAGGGCGGCTCCGCCGAGATCGTCGACGGCGTGGACCCCAATGTCCCTGCGACAACCGAGTGGGTGTCTGAAGAGCTGGCCAAGTCCGAGCGCCCGGATCTTGCGACCGCTACCCGGGTCGTGTCTGGAGGCCGTGGCCTGAAGTCCAAGGAAGAGTTCGACCGCATCATGCTTCCGCTGGCGGACTCCCTCGGTGCTGCCATTGGTGCCTCGCGTGCTGCTGTTGACAGTGGTTTCGCTGATAACAGTCTGCAGGTTGGTCAGACCGGTAAGAACGTCGCTCCTCAGCTCTACCTCTGCGCCGGTATCTCGGGTGCCATCCAGCACTTGGCCGGTATGAAGGACAGCAAGGTTATTGCTGCCATCAACAAGGATCCTGAGGCTCCTATCTTCCAGGTTGCTGATGTTGGCCTCGTCGGTGACTTGTTTGACAAAGTGCCTGAGTTGACTGAGAAGTTGAAGAGCGCATGATTAAGTTGTGCAAGTTGTTTCTTTTTTTGTATAGCCTATCGAGTAGGTTGGTGCCGTTTTTGTACTTTGAATGAACCGTACAGTATACCATTAACTAGAGAACTGGGGCCAGACCGGTCTAGTCTAGAACACAAATCCTTTTATATTGTTTCATAGTGCCAGGGTACAACTATCTTAGAATCTTTGATGTAGAACAGCCATAGAGTCATGTACACAAAAACACGTTCTTCTCCCTTTTTCACTTTCTGCGGCTTTTTACTAAATACTAAGACTTGATTTCTAATGAACAATAATTATAAACGACTATACAACTATGGAGTACAAAGCGTTGATATAAAAAAGCACTTTTCAACCTAAATGGGACTAGCGCGTTTTGTTAGCACGCGTCGCGTCTCTAGAGGGGAATTGTATCGGAGACCAATTTACGGCAATAGATGTCTGGACGCTTGAATGATTCCCTCGTCACCAATACTGTCTTCATTTGATCCTGCCCTTCATCTTCACTCCGAAGGTCCTGAAAATACTAATCCACAATCCGATTCATTCTCCGACGATCTCGAGGCAATCAACCTACACCGTCTCGAACAAACCCGCAACCGAGTTGTAATTCAGCATCGCGCGTGGGATATATCAGATGTATTTCGCAGTGAGGACGACATAAGATCTGGTATACTGTCATTGGCACAAACTGACCGAGTAGCGCTAACTATCATACAGTAGATACGCCGACAAAAGCCTCTGTTGCAACTACCAGACACTTTTCTCGTACCCCGACTCGGTACAATTACAATCTACCATCTTCTCCACCCATCCCAAAAATGCCATTCATCTCATCTAAGAGTGCGCTAGCGCCGACGTCTGGTAATGCAGCGAATGATGCGCAGAAGAGGAAAGCTGCAGAGGGAGGTTCACAGTCGACGGAGCCAAAGCGGCAGCGCATGGTGGGAGGCTTTGTCGATGACGATGACGATGACGATGAGGAGGAGGACGGTCTTGCCGCGCTCAGAGATGAGGAGTTCAAGAGCCAATACGACCTTCCAGAGCACTATCAGGAACCTTCCGCGGACCTCGCTAGTATAACGGCACCGCCCCAAACGAGTTTCAAGCCCAACAACATAGCCGACCCTATGCCAGCAGCCCCGAGACCAATATCAGGACTGACGTCCCGGCCAGCTCCAGCAGCCCCAAAAAGGTTCCAGATCAAGACGTGCTCTGGCAAGACCCACAATATCTCGACAAGGAAGGCCCAGCCGCCTGTCTCCTATGAACAAATGATCGCGAGCCGCTCCGAATCGGAACCCGGAAAGGCGACAAAGAGTTATTACGGTATCGACATCCACAAATTGCTGGACGAGGCAGCCAAGGAAACCAAATCCTTGAAGACAAAGCCTCCCCCACAAGTCCGACAATCCATTGAAATAAACACCGGCAATGCAAAGCAGAAGAAAATAGATTCCTTAATGTGGACAGAAAAATATCGTGCTCGCAAATTCACGGATCTCATTGGCGACGAGCGCACTCACCGATCAGTGTTGCGCTGGCTCAAGGGCTGGGAGCCGATTGTGTTCCCTGGCCTGGCCAAGTCTCGACCAAAGAAACCTGCTCAGCAAGAAGAAGACTTCATCCACCGAAAGGTTCTCCTATTGAGTGGCCCGCCTGGACTTGGAAAAACAACACTGGCACATGTGTGTGCCAAGCAAGCAGGTTACGAAGTGCTTGAGATCAATGCAAGTGATGACCGCAGCAGAGATGTAGTGAAAGGCCGCATCCGTGATGCCTTGGGAACAGAGAACATCAAAGGCATGAACGTGGAAGTCGGCGAGCAAAAGGTCCGCCGCGCCGGTAAACCCGTTTGTGTAGTGGTGGACGAAGTTGACGGTGTGACTGGTGGTTCAGGAAGCGGTGGTGAGGGTGGCTTTATGAAGGCCCTGATTGACCTTGTCTTGTTGGACCAAAGGAACTCGAAGCTGTCTTCAGAGGGCAACAATGGCAAGAAGCGCAAGGGAGATACCTTCCGATTTATGCGGCCATTGATTCTGGTTTGCAATGACCTTTATCATAGCAGTCTTCGGCCTCTGAGGGCATCGTCTATCGCAGAGATGATCAGTGTTCGCCAAGCTCCATTGGAGAATGTTGTCCAGCGAGTCAAGGTCATTTTCGGTCGCGAAGGCATTCCCTGTGACAGTGACGGAGCTCGGAGACTCTGTGAAGCAGCCTGGGGCATGGTGAGCAGAAAGCAGCGCAATTCCAAAACCACAGGATCCGCTGAGGGTGATATTCGAAGTGTGCTTGTTGCCGCGGAATTCGTGGCGCATAAGCTTCGCAACGAGTCATTGCCATCCTCTCTCAGATTGACGAGAACCTGGCTGGAAAGCAAAGTACTGAACGCCTCCACTGAGGGCAGTGCATTCTTCAAAGAATTGAGTCGCGGGGGAGTTCGTGAGATTGTCAACCGTGTTTTCACGGAAGGTGCTGGTTTCTCAGATGCCCCAGTCGGCATGAGCTTCCAAGATAAGTTTGATAACGGGAACAGCCGTGTTCCAGTCGGTGTGGCGGATTTGCGCAAGCGCCACGCAATCAACCGATTGAGGGAGATGGTAGATTCCAGTGGTGACCATGATCGCTGTGTATCTGACTGTTTTGCTTCATATCCCATCCAGCAATACCAGGATGATAATTACTTCTCCAAACCCAATGCTGCCCATGACTGGCTTCATTTCCACGACTTGGTCAGCTCAAAAGTCTACTCATCCCAAGAATGGGAGTTGATACCGTATTTGAGTCAGGCGGTTGTCGGATTCCATCATCTATTTGCCACAGCCAATGGCAGGACCACCGACGATGACAAAAACGACGGCGACGAAGAGATGGAAGAACCCCACCCTTTCTCAGGCCCCAGAGCCGACTTTGCTGCATTTGAAGCACAAAAACAAAACCGTGCTGCCTTGACTGCCTTCCATGCCTCCTTCTCAGCGCCCATGGCCCGCATGTTCCGTTCGAGCGAAAGCGTGATCACCGACTTAGTCCCCCACCTGCTTCGCATGCTATCACCGGACGTCAAGCCGGTCATCGTACGCGGAAACGGGGATTCAAGAAGCACAGCAAGTGTCCGCAAAGAATCCGAGCGTGCACTCGTTCATTCCGCCGTGCGTGTCATGAGTGGAATGGGCGTCTCATTCGAAAAAGTTCGCGTAGAACACGAAGGAAGCCATGGCGGCTGGGCATACAGGATGGAGCCGTGAGTAAAACCCTAAGAATCCTACATTGACCAAGCTAATAAATAAACCTCAACAGGCCGATCGATTCCCTCGTCCTCTTCTCGAAAGTCAAAGGCCTTGAGTCATCGGGCACAGCACCGGTGCGCTACGCCGTCCGCCAGGTCCTTGACCAAGAACTTCGCAAGACGACAACTCGCACCAAGTCTGACTCCAGTGCATCCAAACTTGCTGCTAGGGCTCCTGGCAAGGCTGATGATGGTGCAGCTAAGGCAATGCGCGAGGCAGCCGTCAAGCGCGACTTCTTCGGTCGGACACTCGAGCAGCCGGCGCCACAGTCGAGTGATCTAAACGGCACAGAAAACTGGGCAGATGAGTCGTCTAAAGCTGGGCGGAAAGTCTGGGTTACTTTCCATGAGGGATTCTCCAATGCTGTTCGAAAACCAATATCCATGGGAGAGCTGCTAGCTGGGTTGTAATATATGCATTAGTCATGGATTCTTTCAAAGCGTTTGTCTTGGTGTACTAGGGTTATTCTGTATTTGTTGCATACGTTCATAATGATCACAGTTTGATTACGGGTGTGAATAATCTTGGAACAAGCTGTATGAACTACGTAAACTCATAAAGACCTTGGAATTTGGATAAAACTTTTCAATTCAGAATACAAGCTTCAATATTGGTACCCAAGACAACACGGAGTATCCTCGGGATACTAACAGGTTAACAAGCAAAGCAAAATATTAACAAACCCAGGAGGTACAATCGTGACAGTCGACCCCCTGTGTTCGTTCGCCAGAGATACAACCCCGCAACCCATCAGTAAAATGCAAGTATTAAGCGCAGTAGGTGGTATTCATATCATTCCATCGTTGATGTTCAAAAAGCAAAAGGGCAAACGCCCTGATCTAGGAAAGAAGGCATCGGACCCAAAACAAAAACAAAAAACACCCCGTAGACAAAGCAGATCAAGCACGTTCGAATAGAGTATGGCCGCTCAACGCAAGGCGAGGTAAGTAGCGATAGCCTCTTGGTGCAGCAGCTTCTGCTTGGTTTTCTTGTCGATGTTATTGTTCTTGGGATCGAGGCTTGAGGCAATTGATGTGTTTGATGTCTTTGAACTCAGCGAGTACCACTTCTTGTTCTTGGTTGGCGCGTCTTTGAGGGTTGTTGCGTTAGAGACGGTCGAGTGGATGGATGATGCGTCTGACATGGTCTTGGACGATGTGTTGGAAGACATTTTTGAATGGGGTTGAGGGTTTGAGGACTGAGTATTGGTATGGAATGGTGTTGGAAGAATAGTAATATTGGAGGTTTTGTTGATATATGTTCAACAAGAGACAAGAGTATAGTCTCGGAAGGTACAATGTGAATCGAATCTGATGTGTGAAATAAATTGAAACAGTTCTGTGATACTTCTCTCTTCTTTAAATATCATGATCATCTCACTCGTTTACTCCGTGACTCCGATTTTTCTAAAAATGAAATGTCATAGCCTCAGGTCTAGAAACGAAAAAGACGTCAGTCATCGATGATCGATGCCTTAGGTGGGCCATCGGAATAAAAGTTCGGAGTTCAGGATTTTTGGGGCTTTTTTTCTTTTGATTTTGATTGGCAGTAGAATCTTTAGAACAGAATGGTCTTCTGTAGATAAAGTAGGAATTAGGCTTACAATTCTTCTCTCTTCTCTGTTAACCAATAGATGCATGCACTATCTATACCCAAAAAATGACACCGACAACGCGGGATCCTAATTCGGTAAAACTTTCATAGCCGCAACTCTTTAGCTCGTAAACGCTTCCTCGTTGAGAAACATGATGCGAAAGGGCGCGGTCGGTCATTTAGCGCTTGCGTGGCTTGGGCGTTGGCTGTTTCGATGTAAGCCCTAAGGCTGTACTTTATCGGACTAGAATCTTGGAAGAGGTTTACATGGCAATCTCGATCACAGCGTATCACAACGTGCCACCGCTGTTTTTGACAAGAACTCTTGTGTGACACTGTAGCACAACCTTGAGTTAATTTTAACGTATTATGCTATATGGGTCCAAGGGTAATCATGGATCTCGATGACGATGCTTAGGCCGAAATAAAGTTGATTTTGATTTCCAAGCCTCTAAACGCGCAAATAACGGTCTGGTATATTGAGTATGAAGGTGGCTTACTATGACTCAAAGCGGGTCAGATGCATTGCACAGATTCTTTGGAAATAACCGAGGGTTTGGGCAGTATATGATATGAATAGAACTCACATGTCAGTACATATGTAGATATATTAATTCTGATTGGAAATACACTATTGTACATAGTACGGAGTAGATGAAGGAAAGTCGTGACATTTTACTCCGAGCGTTACTCCGATCACCATTTTTTCATTCCGACAACCTATAATATTTTGGCGTGTAGCCACCTACTTACGGTGAAGAAGTATCTATGGATATAGAGAAATAGGTATATATAAAAGTCTAGGAGATCACATTGACTTATCTCTTAAACTACAAGTATCTTATTACCAATTGAAAAGGCACTAACGTAGATGCAATGATCGGAGTACAGTTGGTTAACTAGCAGGGATATCAGTCCGATAGGCTTTTGAGCACATCAACCTTGTTTTTACTTCCAAACAAAACCACAGCCTTTTCCCGATATCCACCAGATTCAGACCATGACTATATAATACATATGCAAGTTTGAAAGAGTTCTTTCTTTTCTCTTCTTAGTCCTGTACGCCCTGCAGCCTTGGAACCAGCACAGATATCCACAAACCGATCCCTACAAATATAGTGGGGTTGTGTATTTGCTGATGTCCTCTCTGGGGACCATTGCAGGGGTATCAACTTGATCAATGAAAACTTCATTATTCAATCTCAAGGTGATCTCTTTGGACCTTGAAAACATGGCCGATCAAGATCGACATGATTACTAACATTGCTAGCGGGAAACTGATCCGTGAGATCATCAAAGCAACGTTCGGGGTACCAGGAATCAAGATGGTGAATTGGACATTATAAAGACAATGAAGCTGTCGAGCTGCCACAGCTACATATATGCGGAACATTGCAATCGTATAGCAAGGAAACAATGGAGTCCTCGAGGCTAAATGAGACCCCTCGGGGACCTGGGGACCCCCGGACCCCCCTTACGGGGCCATTTGTCATCACGGACAGTATGAATAATCGACAATATGACCTCAAGAATTGTGGGGGTATGGAGCTTTAAAAGCGACCCAATTCCCTTGAGAATTAAGATTCAATTCTTGATATTACATCAACTTCACCTCCAAAATCCTGCATAATTGCAACAATCCCTTCACCAGACCCAAAAAGCCAACATCATGTCTCTCAAGCCCATCACAGTTTACGGCCATGGCCCCGGCCCCAATCCCTGGAAGGTGATCATGGTCCTAGAGGAGCTAAACATTCCATACACCCACGAGATCGTCGATTTCCCAGACATGAAGAAAGAGCCATTTGAATCAATCAACCCCAACGGCCGTGTTCCCGCAATCAAAGACCCCAACACCGACATCACACTCTGGGAATCCGGTGCGATTGTCGAATATCTGGTTGAGACATACGACAAACAAAACACAATCAGCTTTGCGACTGGTTCCAAGGACTACTACCTCGCCAAGCAATGGCTGCATTTCCAGGTGTCCGGCCAAGGCCCCTACTTCGGACAGGCGGTTTGGTTCACCCGATTCCACTCCGAGAAGATCCAGAGTGCGATCGACCGCTATGTCAATGAAATCCGTCGTGTGACAAGCGTGCTTGAACGCGCCCTCCAGGGCAAGCAGTACCTTGTTGGCGATAAGTTCTCCTTCGTCGATGCCGCTTTCGTCCCCTGGTATCTTATTGCCCCTTCTGTGTCCGGGATCGATATGGAAAAGGAGTTCCCCAACACTGCGGCTTGGCTGAAGCGTGTGCAGGACCGCCCTGCCATTGCTAAGTCGGTCCAAGATCGGGCTGAGGCTATTGCGAAGCACTGAATAAATCCCATGCCGGGAGGTTTTGGTTAGGATCGTGGATGCGACAATTGGATAGATCCAGATAGATAGAATTTTACTTTGGAATATATAATCCACATCATTACAAGGCGTTTACCCATCCTAGAGACTTGTAGAATTGTACTTTCCAAAGTTAAGAAGACTCTAGGAGAGCAAAAAAATCAGGGGGAAAATAAACAGTACATTCTTCTCAAGATTATGCAGACAGAATCGTTGCCTGAGCTGCTGGAATGCCGTTTCCTGAACTCGAAAGCTCACTTGATTGGAGGTCTACCTTCATCTAGGATGATAGTAGATTGGCCATAATGGCCCTGATGCTTGTTTATGGGGGAAATCTCATTCCCAAGCAATGGTCTCTTTGTTTGCGAAATCTCAAGATTCCCGGTTAGCCCTCAAATTACATACATCGATCTCTTTGTGTTCATTGAATTTCTGGTCATTCTCTTTGATCGGATTTTTTACCTACAATTCCACTATCTTTTGTCTTATTTTTGACTCTTTTCGAGGTTTTCTTTGACAGTAGCTTTAATTCATTCAGCTGAGCCTGTCCATCTTGATGCTTACTGCGCTACAATGGACTATTTATATACTCTCAAGGATTGAGGACCACTGCCTGGTTAGTATATAATAGACACTTATCTCCCTTGGGTTTTGCCAGTACATTGGCAGTTTCGGCTTCAGCAACATCCGAAATATAAGTGATCTTTGAACTAACCTCTATCTGACACACAGCAAGAACAAGAATAAAGCAGAGACGAAGCCGACAAGAACACAGATATGCCGAAAAGAATTCGCTCCGATAAAGACCCAGCGTTGCCGCCATCACCTCCAAAGCGACGTGCTATTTCTCATACTAAGAACACATCAGAAAACATAGAATATGTTCTCAGAAACACAACCCAAAGCATACCAAATTCTCTCGGGGCTAAGAATGTCTCTGGGTGCTCTATCGAGTTTTTAGATATCGGACCCTACGATGTCTTCATGGACGGTGAGGACCCCGTGCGAACTAACCATGCCGTCCTTCGACTCACTTTCCAACATGAAAAAAGACACGCTACTCCACATGCCCCTGCGAAGACGAAGGGGCTTATTCTAGACCTTACGCCCAACGGTAAACAGGCAGATCTCACAGCAGAAGGCGAGCTAATGGTTATTACTTTTACATATACAGGCCCACACAAGAAAGCACTCGGGGCTTTGAAATTATCTGTAAATCGCGGTAAGAAGGTCAGGGATTTTCTACGGGTTATTCGAAAATTTGACATGATTCCTTGTGGATTCAGCTATTCATATACGAATATACTAGAATGTCTTACTGGCTGCAAAGACTTTGTGTGAGTTACTCCGTTTTCGATGATAAAACTGATGGTCATATGCTAATTTACTACTTATAGGTCCCAGCTAGTTTACCACCTGGGCAAAGCTAGAGTGATCAAGCTCCCAGCTGATGCTAAAAAGCTGCTTTATAGTAAGTTCAATATAAGATATTGCCTCGGGGGAAAAGAGATGTATAACCCTGTGAAATATGCTGCGTTCAATAAACGGTATTTGCATGTGGCCATTGATGGAATCGATTATTCGGGAGATCGTGAGACTTTGAGCCAAGAGCCAGGTGAAAACAGTGTTTCAGGGACAAAAACATGTAGACTTTAATATCAGTATTCCATGATACGCACTGTCAAAGTAGTCGTCGATACCAATGGGTGACTATTCTGACTCGACTCGGATAGGTTCATAGCTATAATTGAGTACATTACGTAATGTAATGCTTTTTTTGATAATCAGAGTAGAGCATACGGAAGGGCTGAGTTGCCCTTGGATTATAGGCTTCTATTTAATGATTCTTGTATAGAACAACTAGCTACATATGTATGTAGTTAGTAAGTAGAAGAACGCGCTAATGACTAAAGCGGCTAGTGGCAATTCAGTTCTTGGCGCTCGCCCGTGAGTTTTGCGTGTCGCGACCAACCTCCCCCAAGTACCCCCTCAGCAACCCGTCCAATAATCACTTTCGGCCTCCGTTTCCATCTCACCTGGTCGTAAGCTACACAATTAATAGCTATCGGCTGCTTGAACTTGCAACAATATTGCGCTTTGCGAGGATTGGAAGACGGGCAAGGAGTTGACTTTCTACCGCGACAGCTGCTTGCTTTCTTTGACCGATCATGGATGAGACTCATATGAACCAAGCTGGCGTTCCTGAGAATGCACAGTCGTCCAGTGGTTTTGATGGAGCAGGACCCCGTGACGGTTCAGGTATGCCTATATCTTGAAACCTTCAAGTTGTATCGAATGCCAAGTTGCACCGAATGCTAATTCCATGGACAGAGGCGCAATCGCGCCAGATTTCACCTCTGAAGAAATCGGAAGCCACCGCTGGGTCCGACGACCCGCTCGATGCCCCCGCCTCACCTAAATCACAGAACGGTGACAATGAACCAGAAGACGAGGAAATGGGCGGCACCGAGATTGATGCTAAGCGCGACACCGAGGGCTTGGAGGATGCTGTGGGCGAGTCGCACCAACCCGGAGAGGGTGCTGATGGACTTGATGATGCCGTAGGAGAAGACCAACCCGCGCCAACCAAGTCTTCCCTTGAAGCCGCTGCGCGCGAACAACTCGTCACCCAAACACACGCTATTATCCTCCCCAGCTATGCGACATGGTTCGACATGAACACCATCAATCAAATTGAGAAGAAGGCTCTCGCTGAGTTCTTCAATGGTCGCAACCGTAGCAAGACGCCTGCTACCTACAAAGATTACCGAGACTTCATGATCAACACTTATCGATTGAACCCCATTGAGTACTTGACCGTCACTGCTTGCCGTCGCAACCTTGCGGGTGATGTGTGCGCAATCATGCGTGTTCACTCATTCCTAGAGCAGTGGGGCCTGATCAATTACCAGGTGAGTAGCTTTGTTTCTTTTGCCCACCTGAACACACTAACCAAAAAATTTTGCAGGTTGACCCTCAAACGCGGCCCTCCAATATTGGTCCTCCATTCACCGGTCACTTCCGCGTCATCGCCGATACTCCACGCGGATTACAGCCATTCCAGCCAGGCCCGAACCACAGTGTCACATCAGGCAAGGCTCTTCCAGCCACTCAACGTGCGGCATCCTCCACCCCTGCGTCCAAAGACGATTTGAATCTTGAACTCCGTCGCACAATCTACGATGAAAGAGGCAAGGAAATCACCCCAGCCGATGATAAGGAAAAGCACACAAACGGCGACTCAGCAAATGGCTTGGACCTTGCCCAAGAATCCAAGAAGAAGGCACACTGCTTTTCTTGCGGCATTGATTGCACCAAACTCCGATTCCACTATGCCAATTCGGCTCCGACGTCAGCCCAAGCCAACACACCAGACACCAAATATGATTTGTGTCCTAACTGCTTCCTCCAAGGAAGAATGCCCTCAAGCCACAGCGCTTCAGACTTCGTTAAGCTCGAGGACAAGAGCCACTCTCATGTTCCTGACAAAGATGCTCCGTGGTCCGACTCGGAAACAATCCTGTTGCTAGAGGGTCTGGAGAACTTCGATGATAACTGGGAACAAATTGCGAACCACGTCGGCACACGATCCCGAGAAGAGTGCGTGATGAAGTTCCTGCAGCTGGAGATTGAGGATAAGTATATTGAAGACATCCCTGAGCTACGCTCTGGCGGTGGACGTGACCCTATCAGTCAATCCGAAAACCCCGTTTTATCTGTGGTAGCGTTCTTGGCCCAGATGGCAGAACCCTCAGTGGCCGCTGCCGCGGCGGGACGGTCTGTCGAGGAAATCCGCAAGGAGCTCCGTAGCCAGTTGGAGAAGGGAGGCGCCAAAGGCAAAGACGCAGTCAAGACCGAGGATTCCATGGACGTGGACTCTGTGCGCGAGGCCGAGAACCAAGCTGCCGAGAAGCCCAAGGAGTCTCTCGGCACCATCGCTTTGGCTGCCTCTGCTGCCCGTGCTGGCGCGCTTGCTTCCCACGAAGAGCGTGAAATGACCCGCCTGGTGTCCGCTGCGGTCAACGTCACCTTGCAGAAATTCGAAGTCAAGCTGCAGCAGTTCAACGAGATGGAAGAGATCATCGAGGCTGAACGCCGGGAGCTCGAGCAGGCGCGCCAGCAGCTATTCCTGGACCGTATGACCTTCAAGAAGCGTGTCAAGGAAGCCCAGGATGCTCTCCAAAGCGTCAGCCTTCAGGGCTCCAATGAGCACACAAACCAGATGCTGGCCGATGCCGCCACCACGGGCATTGGTAACCACTACAGCTTCCAGCCCGTTGGCGGTGATATCCGGGCGGGCACCCAGCCTCTGAGCGCCCAGAGCGGCGCCGACTACAAGACTCTTGACCTGTAGCTTTCTTCCACTTCATGTACGATATCCCCCCCTGGATCTTCGAAGAAAGGGAGCCAAGGGAGCTGCTTTTAGTCTCGCTGAGTTATGATATTCTGAAGTTTCTGGCCAGGAAAAGGCGCACTTTTTGTTTTTCTGTTATTCGCTGGAGTTCTTTCTGTTAATCCACCCTCTTTCCAGAAAGCGGATTGTGCTTAGGGGGTGAAACTAGGGGTTGGGACTTTCTCATTTTCATCAATGTGTTTATTTCTAATCATACGTCCTTGATGTGATTCTTCTTATATTACTTTATCGTAGAGCGTATATTCGTACTCAAATCCGTTCGAGCTGTGGTTATGGACATGGTTTTAATTTCCTTAACTTGGTTCCTTGTTCGCTGAGTTTGTGTTGCTGGTCATCACCACAACCATCAAGACCAAAGAATCTGATTTTATTCAGATGATTTCAACGACAGCAAGCCGTTGGAAAGCTTGATTCATTCACTTGATTCGTATTTGGGTCGTTTGTGAGGAGGTATTTCGATTTCCTCCTTCAAATCGGCGAAATCGTATCGATATTGCTCCCATTCGCTACGATAGAGAATCTGATCACGCCAGTCAAAGGGCCTTTCTCTGAGCGCGCGCTTTCGTTGTCGGCCGGGCCTTGGTTGTCGGTTGGGCTTACGCTCGACTTCTTCTTCTTCCTTCATGGTTTTGTCGGGGTTCATTGGCCCAGATTGATCCATGAGCCGCAGGAACATCGCCTCTTCGCGACGGCCAGTGGCTTCATCTGCGGCATTTGCGTCCATTTCTTCCGGGTCAAGGTCAAGGTCATGTTCCAACTCGTCGGAGGATGCCATTGGAGATGAAAGTTCGGACGATCCGCGAGAAGATGAAGAATCAGCAGTAATGTCTTCTGGCTCACTTTCTGTCGCTTGTTCAACATCCTCATCGTTTGAGTCGTCGTTTTCACTACCATCCATTTCTTCATCTTCTTCCTGCGCATTTACATCACCAGCAATGGCTGCACCCTTGCAGTACCTCTTCCATCCGGGTTTGTGCATGAGTTCCTCAGCTTCATCATAGGTGAATTGCCTAGGCACCCAGCCTTTGCGATGATGGATGTCCGCTATGACCAATTGGTTCCGGCGAGCTGTATCCACGAAACTGGGCCGGCGATGTTTCATGTTGAGTATTTCGATGGCAGCCCTCACGTCCGACATGCGAATGTGATTTTTTCTGTCGTGACCCTTGCGAGTTGCGCCGCGCAGTCTTGTCATTGCAAAAAAGATAGATGACTGGATCAGGCGCCGCGTGACGCTGATAGCAAGAGAGTAGAAGTCCACAACACTATCCGCAGTCATGGAAGGTGTCTGATTTTGGGCCGTGATGTTTTGTTTTGAGTTGGCGATGTTCTTCCAATGGTCCTCTGATTTTGTACCACCAAAGTTCATAAAGAGCCCTTGAGATAGTCGTATCCAATCAGGGATATAGAACATAGTAGCTGCAAGGTGGAGGTCACCACGGACTTTGCCGTCATGCTTGCCGTCAACCACGTTCATCAAATCTATCGCAGCGGCACTATCTACGTTCCAACGGTCTCCATGTTCCATTTTCCCAAAATGCGCTTGGGCAAGAGACTCCTTTAATACCAAAACATCTGCATAGTCGTCGAGCAGTGTACAGCATTGCTGGCTGATCTCTGTGGCTGCCGGGATATCACCAAGCAAAGGCATGCACCCGAGTCTCGGATCGAAGCGATGCCGGGCCTTTAGAGCTTGGTGTAGACTTTTGAGATATTCCAAAACCTCAAGCTCGGACTTGGTACCGACTGCAGCTGCAATCTCTTTGATGTTGTCCCTGCCTTTGCGATCCAGCGCATTGAAAAACAATTCCTTCTCGGTGGAAGTCCAAATCACCGAACCAAACTGGGTGACTTCAAATATCTCCTGTCCGCGCTTTGACGAGGCGTAATCGATCTCGCGTTGGGATTCCGCAAGAAGGTGGTTGTAGGTTCGTAGAAATGTGAGCGACCCAGGCATCCGCGGCTTGCGCAGCATAAGCGCATCGCCAAGTTGGCGTTCGACCAAAAGGTTCTTTTCATTGTGTTGCCGTGAAGATGTATCTTTGTTGGGTTCTGGACTCGCAGAGCGTGTGGACGGCGAGGATGGAGAGTACTCCTGGTCGGACTCATGCCCGGCAGTGTCGCTCATGGTTCGAGCTGGCAGATTCGCAGCGCATGCGGACCGATCTGTAGCAAAACATCACAGCTTTCCCCTTTTTCGGTGTCCGGGTCATTCAAGAGCCGTAGGATTTGAACGTAAAAAGTTGAGCTGCAGAGATCCACTATCGAGCTGCGTGTTATCGATAAGAATGTTTGCACTGTTTTGCATTTGCTTCACTCGCCGGGGAAAGTCATCTCATTTCCTGCATGGAGTTTCTACGCTGTGCTTCGCGATTGAGGCTCCCAAGGAGATACTTGGCGAGGAATCTGTTGCCAAATCCTTTGCGCTATGCGCGTTTCAATTCTACGGGGGCACCAACCACCCCAGGTATCGTGCTCCGCGACTACCAAGAGGAGAGTATTCAATCCGTTTTGAGATACTTGGGCGAAGGCCACCGGCGCTTGGGGATCTCTCTTGCCACAGGAGCTGGAAAAACAGTAGGGCAAATGATTTTTTTCTTCTTTCCCAGAGCATGTTGCTGATTTTCCAGGTCATTTTCACACAACTTATCAGCCGAATTCCTCCTCACGATGCGAACGCTACTAAAACAATGATTATCGTTCATCGACGAGAACTTGTTGAACAAGCCGCAAAGCACTGCCGTCTCGCATACCCAGATAAAGTCGTTGAAATCGAAATGGGAACAAATGTTGCGACTGGGGCAGGGGACATTATCATTGCGTCTGTTCAGACATTATCGCGAGGGCGCATTCACAAGTTCGATCCAAGTGCATTCAAACTTGTCCTGGTAGATGAGGCACACCATATTGTTGCCCGATCATATCGCGAAGTTTTGGGTCATTTTGGATTGAACGAACCATCCGCGAGTGGCCCAGTTTTGGTCGGCGTTTCGGCCACTTTTTCACGATTCGATGGACTTAAATTGGGCGCTGCCATTGACCACATTGTATACCATAAAGACTATGTGGATATGATTGGCGAGAATTGGCTAGCAAATGCGGTCTTTACAACCGTCAAGTCCGGTGCCAATTTGTCCAAGGTTAAGAAGGATAGTTTTGGGGATTTTGCCCTAGGGTCACTTTCAGAGGCAGTCAACACCGCAAGCACCAACAACATCACTGTTCGGGCATGGATGGCAAGCGCCGAAGATCGCAAATCTACGCTGGTCTTCTGTGTCGATATCGAGCACGCGCGACAACTTACCGCTGCCTTTCGCGATCACGGTGTAGACGCCAGGTATATCACCGCCAGTACCTCGAAGAGCCTCCGCGCAGAAGAACTCCGAGCCTTTAGGAATCAGGAATTTCCAGTATTGCTGAACTGCGGTCTGTTCACCGAAGGCACAGACATCCCAAACATCGACTGTGTGCTTCTGGCTCGACCTACCAGGTCTCGGAATCTGCTCATTCAAATGATCGGGCGTGGTCTTCGACTATTTCCTGGAAAGAAGGACTGCCACATAATTGACATGGTTGCGTCCCTGGCAACCGGTGTCTTGTCAACTCCAACATTGTTTGGCTTGGATCCCCATGAAGTTTTGGACAACGCCAGCCTGGAAGAAATCAAAGAGAACCAAGGAAAAGCAGCTAGCCAACCAGAATCAAGCCCCGAGGTCTCCGAGCCCTACGATGGCTCGGACAATGATCTGAAACTCCAATTCACCACATATGACAGTGTTTACGATCTCCTAGGAGACATGCAGTCCGAGAGACATATCCGGTCATTCAGCCCGCACAACTGGGTGCGGGTTGGCGATGACAGGTATATGCTCACTGACGTCTCGGGTTGGATTACCATAGAAAAGGAAGCCGAGATCTTCACGGCACACCATGTCATGAGGTTTAAGAGCCCGACAACAGAAGCACTGCAATTCACACGCCCACGGAAGATTGCCACTGGCTCGGACTTGGAAACTATCGTACGGGCAGCGGATACCTATGCCAGTAACAAATTTGATGAACACTATATCGCATCTTGGAAACCATGGAGACGGGCTCCAGCCACGCCTGGACAAATCAAAATGCTGAACGGAGCTCGCATCCGAGAAGGCAAGGTTAAGCCGGAGGATCTGACCCGCGGCCAGGCGGCGGATATGATCACGAAGCTGAAACATGGAGGCAAGAAGCGTTTTAAGGATATTGAGGTTCAAAAGCGGAAGAAGCAGCGACAAATGAGTGACATGGATCAGCTGCAAAGCAGAGGGAATGTTAAAGTCGGACCAGTTGAGGCTTAATAGTATATAGAAGCATGATGACTTCCAAGTGCTTTTTTGGAACATGTGCCTAAATACGCTGGGCTGAGACACACTTCAATAATAAAAAACCACAGCAATGATGAGTTAAATTGATAAAATTTGTTACTAAAACCCTAAGAACATGGTCGAATGGAACCCTCACTAGAAATTATAACCCAACTTCCCACAAAGCAAGCAATCAATGATTGCTAGTTACCTGTTCATAGGCTTTCTTCCGTATACAACAACCCTGCTGAAGGTCAGTGATCCACTCCAATAATCCCAACCACAAGCCACAAAGGCACTAAACCAGACTCACTCTTTGACATAAGCATGTAAATACTTATCCCTGAGCTGCTTCTTTACCATGGCCTGGAAAATACGTGCCGGCTCAGCGCCCCAACCAAGAACTTGAGTACAAAGCCTCAGTCCATAAGACTCGACGGCTTGTTGAACCATGACAGCCTGGTATTTCCCAACTTCCTTGAGATAAGGATCCCGCGGCCAAGGTGAGTACGGTAGAAGGTAAGTAAACTGCTGTACGTCCTCGAAACCAGCATCGATCATCCACTCTTTGAGCTTATAGTAAATGTTAAGTTCTCGGCCCATTGCCCGCCCGGCAGTGTCGAGGGCTTGCAAATACTGAATGAGAGGCGAGTCCATTTTCAGCGTGCCATCGTCACTCCAGGCCCAGACGGCACTTTCTTGAATCTCGAAGTAGCCGCCTGGTTTCAGGTGCTCGAAGATTCGGCGGAAAATCTGTGACCAGTCTGCTACGCATCTGGGAGAGGATGAGATCAGTGTGCTTGAGAAGATTGAATGAATGACAGAAAGCGGCTTACCCAGCAAGCAAGCGTGCGTGCACAAAGTCGAAGCTATTTGGCTCGTAGAGCCATTCTTTTTCGAAGTCTTCGACGATGAATTCCACGTTCGGCGCTACCCAGTTCGGTTGGATGGCGCTGATATCATTGCCGATTACGTGTGCTCCTGGGAATTTCCTGTGGTTGGCGTTAATGCGGTGGGATTCAAAAGGAACTGAACTGGTCGTGGTTCATACTCGGCAATATCAAGAGCCCAGATACCTGTGCCGGTTCCGAGGTCTAGGATCTTTTGTGGGTTGGTGACTGGTGCTTTATGGAGCTCTCCCTTTAACAGCATGAGCCATCTTGAGTAACTGAAGGTTAGAATCATGTTATCAACTAAGAGATGCAAGTTTGGCTGACATATGATGCGTCTGTTGAAAACGTCAGTAATTTCTAAAGGCAATATATGGTGATTAATATTATACCAAGTCCATTCGATCTTGTTCCTCTTCATCATTTGGCATCCTGTTCAAATCAGCGATCTATTGCTGTCACACAAAACAGTAGAAGCGATACATATAATGACCCTTATAATGAGTTAACAAACTATCATTCTGAGGAAGACCACAAAACATACAGTCCGGCTACTGTGATACCGCCGACCATTTTCATATTCGTATTCAAGCACGCTCGACGAAAGAGAGGTCATATCCGATCCGTCACTCCCAAACTCACTACTTTCATCCTGTTCACAGAGTGAGCACATGGAACTCGGAAAGTCCGGCGTTCGGCCGCACATACGCTAAAATCATCTGCGACAATAGGGCCAGTGGTGTTAATTGGGGAACTTGTTTGATCGTTATGTGGAACTTGAGCTTCAGGACTGTCAGGAACTTCTTGCGGAACAACCTCTGGCTCTGCTGGAGGTATCGTTGAACTCATAATGGGCATGTAGAGGGAAGGGTTGAACGTCCGCTCTGCGGTGGCGAAAACCTGGGTTTTAATTATGCCAGTTGTCCCTCTCCCTTACTCTGTACTTCGCACCAGGCGCACCCCAGATCCAGATGTGATAGGTCTTCTCTCAGTTTCAATATTTCTTTGTTAGAAGTTCCCGATTAGGGCTTTTTTCCTGTCGGTGAGGTTGCAGGATGCCAAATTTCAATTTTTTTCGGATGGAAGCAACCTCCGTAGATGATGTACAGCGGGATTGCACCACGTATTCTATAAATATTTTGAAATAGACACATTGATAGTCTCTGAATAATTTATTTTGCTCAATTGTGTAGTGAGTCTAATTTTGCTCCTCGGGAAAGCTCAGTAAAAGCATTTGGATGTTAAACCGCAAAGTGCATGCTTGGGAACTAAAATAGTAAATTGAACGATAGTTCCAACAGCTTGGCAGCCAGTGGCAACGAGGATAGGGATCTGTGCAGAAATGAAAACAAGTCAGCATTACAGGGCCGAGACAGAAGCGAATATGTACTCCGTACAGTAGTTACTTGATGTTGTGCACTCCGTAGTATCTGCCAAATCCGAAAAATCCAACCCCACCACGTTGGTTCAGTATCCCGCATATTGTGGGGAGACCCGTTAACCAGCAGAATCCTTTAGATCATGAAATACTAGGCTGGCACGTATGTCTCTCAACAAGAACAAGTCTCTTTCACACTAAACAGAGAGAATCCTTCGGGACGAAAGCGCTGTCGAGTTTCCACATTGTGGACTTTTGCAAAACATGGCGTAAGCAGGGGGTACCCTAGCCCCGTCTTTGAAGCCATACATGTTATACAACACTGCAAACCAGTTCACAAACACACATTGTACAGCAAATTGCATAAAAGGATGGAACCTGAAATTCAGATGCAGAAATTTGAAACAATTTAAAACGCACTGGTCGACAACTCATTGGAATAGCCAGCGCGAGCAGCGAGGTGGGGAGGATTTGACCCACGACAGAGCAGGGACTGCATTGATATGCAGTCAGCCGCTAGACTCTCAAAGATGTCTCAGTTCATCTGACTAAAGAAATCAGGCTTTGACCAAGAAAGCACTGCATTCTATGTCTTGTGGATTTGAACTTGAAACCAGGAAACACGGAAATTTCGCCCTTGTAAAATGTAGTCAAAGATAGCGAATGTGATCATTCTCTTCTTCGAAAGTAGCCTCCTGTCTGAGCAGACACAGGTAGCTCGAGTGGCCGGTTTTTACCTTCGCCCCTCGATCTCCATAGGAGCTGTGCCTGTTCACACCACTGAAAATGGTCCAAAAAGCCGTCTTGTGCGTACACTTTATCTCGAGCCTCAAACTCCCATTCCGTGCCCCTAGTGCCAATAATATCTTTTTCGATAGCAAGCTGGCATCCGGCGCACGAGATTCCGCGTTCAACTCTGCCAGTTTGTTTGTCGTAATAAGGAAGTGCACATGACCCCATAAAGTTGAATTTTTGATTTCTGTCAAAGCTCACTGGTTGAGCTTGCGCAAGTGCATGCGGTTGCTGTCTGCAAGCCAAAGTAGCCTGGTGAAGAGAATCAGTTGGCCGGATTCGGCTTTCTTCATTCTAAATTGCTTTTTGACTGAAGCGAGAGTCCGCATTTGGGTTTCCGGAGACTCGACCAGGCATTTAATACAGCATCGCTTCCAAGTTAGGAGAAATATAAATCCACCGAATTCGCCGCAGAAAGTGCAGGCCTTGATACATAATGCGTTGTGAAAGTTGAGTAGAGAAATGTCGAGAGCAAGTCGTGTTCGTAATAAGGCGCAAAAAAGGTTCTGTCCATGCGAGGCTACCCTCTGATACTGGTTAAGAGAGTCTACCATCTCTCTTGATCTGAGACTTGTTTGTCGAAATTTGAACAGAGAATGCATATCCAGACGGTACAAGGTGTCAAACAAGAGCTCGGGGGGTAGCCGGTCGAGGGAGCCGAGTCCAGCTTTCAAATTCCGCTGGAAGGGTGTTGCGATTGACGAACGAATATCGACATGTTCACTAGGTGAGTACCAGATCACGGAGAGACAGTAGTCTCTGCGGTGGTAGGAGGTGGTTCGAACAATGGCGTCGGCTTGTTCTTCGTCGAATCGGTATTCGGTGGCAGAGCAATGTCCATACGGCATTAGGATATCCATTCTCGAAGTTTGATGGTACGCCTTAGTGAAAGGGGTAGGCCTCGGCAGGAACTGTTAGGCTCCAGTGTCCCCCTAAACACTCGGCAGATGTGTCGTATTAAATGACGCGATATATAACGACGAATTTGGATCACAGACCTAGAAACCATTGCACGGGATTTCAATCTGCTGGCATCGAGAAGGAAGTCAGTCCGAAATTGGTACGGATAGTGGGAAGCCTTTAATGCCTCGGGATTTAAGAACCTTTGTCCACTTCTAACCAGAAGCATCAGCGTTCTGGGCGATATCGACAAGATGAAGTCAGGTAAAGATTGGAGAGTTGCAAAGTGAACTTCGACTTCTCATTGTTAACCGAATCTAGACCCGGTATGTGGCGAATGGTGAACACAGGCGAGCTTCAAAATAGTCAGTTGAGGGAAGGCAATGCACTCAGATTTGCGTTTCCCCAATTGTTGTCGCACGCTTGGCCATGAGTCACCTGACCAGTAGAAAACGTCGTTGATAGTTTGACGGGACTGTGACAGTATGGATGGTGTCAAGACTGCGATCTTAATATATTGTTTACAAGTCTACAAGTAGAGGAAAGCAGTAACGAATGTTTGAACATTGAAATGTATTTTGTCCTAGCAAAGCGTATGAAATTCATCAACCGATCATGATATGCATCAATTAACACAAAGAGCGACACTCTAAATGTCCTCATCAGAGAAGACCTCCTCACCACGCTTGCGGCGGGCAGCACGGTCCTTCTTCTTCTTGCGGAGCTCGGAACCTGAAAGATGACAGTTAGCAAAAGTCTTCGAAGTAAAGATGAAAGACAGTATGACTTACCAGTGAGCTTGACCTTCTTCTCAGTAACAATCTTGTTACCCATAGCATCGAACTTATCCTCATCGTCATCGTTCTTGGCATCAAGACGAGGACCAGAGCCCTGACCTTGAACCCAGTTGTGACCGGAAGGAGTCATCATACCGTCGTTGACGGCCCAGACTTCCTCAGTAAGGTGCTCAGTGAACTCGCGAGAGTGAGTAATGATAACAACACCACCCTCGAAGGACTTGATGGCCTTGGAGAGGGCACCGAGAGAGTCACGGTCGAGGTAGTTAGTGGGCTCGTCGAGGACGATCAAGTGAGGACGCTGCCATGAGCAAGCGGCGAGAACGACCTTGACACGCTGACCACCGGAGAGACCAACCATGCGAGAGTGAGAAACCAGCTCGGCATCGAGACCGAAGTTGGCGCAGTGCTGCTCGATCTCCTTGCGAACAAGGGGACGGAACTGACCGGAGGCGAGAGCCTCCTTCTGATCAACCTCAGCGACCTGCTTGGGGTGGGAGACAATGATCTCGGAACGGGGCAACCAGGTGTTGTCAGCGGACATGAGGGGAGTCCACTTCTCGGACTTCATGCCGATGTTGTCACCCAGAGACCAAGAGATCTCGTACTCGTAGGTGTTCTTGAACTTGCGGCGAGAGTGAATGCCGATGACACGACGGAAGGTGCCCTCAACCTGGTAGATCTTGTCCATAGCCTTCTCATCCTCCTCGGTGACGATCTTGTTGGCACGGTCCATAGTCTCACGGTCCTCACCGGTCTGGAAACGCCACTGGATGTACTCGGAGGGAGTAAGGTCGAGGTGGTGATCGATGTGAGCGAAAGCGTGCTGCTTAATGTAGGCAATACGGATGTTCTCGTGCTGGTAAACCTCACCAGATGTGGGGATGAGTTCACCAGTCAGGACGTTGACAAGAGTAGACTTTCCGGCACCGTTGGCACCAATGACAGCGATACGGGAGCCGAGGGAGACCTGGAAGGTAATTCCGTGAATCTGGGGCTTGGCGGTACCGGGGTACTGGAAGCTCATGTTGGAGACACGGCAAATGGCCTTGGACTTGGTCTTGACACCCTCAAGGAAACCGGGCTCGGGGAACTTGAACTCCATCTCGGAGGCACCGAGCTCGTAGTAGGACTTGGCGGAGGGGACCTGCTTGACGAACTCGCTCAGGGTACCGCGGTAACGGCGGAGCTTGAAGCGCTCGTAGTGGACAACGTGCTGGATGACGTTGTCAAGGAACTTGGAGTCGTGGGAGACCATGATGGAGGTGCAAGGAGAGGTCTTGAGGTAGTTCTCGAGCCAAGCGACGTTCTTGACGTCCAAGTGGTTGGTAGGCTCGTCAAGCAGCAGAATATCGGGCTGCTCGAAGACGGCACGGCACAGAGCAAGCTTCATCTTCCAACCACCAGACAGGGCGGAAATGAGACCTTGCACTTGCTGCTCGGAGAAACCGAACTCTTCGTACAGACGCTTCTCGACATCGGCCTGTTCAGCGGTAATTCCGACCTCAGCCAACTTCTTCATGGTCCAGGAAATAGTGGTCAACTCAGTATCGGCGGAGTCGAGATCGTGCTCGACGTAGACGGTCTTGACCTCATCCTTCTTGGGGAAACCCTCGAGCTGCTCGTTGTTGATAGCGCGCATGAGGGTGGTCTTACCGGAACCGTTGGGACCGAGGAGACCGTAACGCTGGCCACGCTTGAGGCGCAGGTGAGTCTGGTTCAGCAGAATCTTGGCACCGTAGGCCAGGGAGAAGGTGCAGTTGCACAGATCTTCACCCTCCTCCTCATCAGAGGCGACGGCATCAGCAGCAGCGGCATCGGGGCAGGCCTTCTTGCGGAGGGTCTCAGCGATAGACTTGGCATCTTCCTCACCAACAATGGCGGTGATGAAGGGCAGGGTGTTGGTGGTCCAGATGACGTGGTCGTTCTCCTTCTCGTCAACGAGCTGACCACAGATGGCAGCAACGTAGTTGATGAGCTCCTCGGAGGCAGGGATGACATCCTTGTGCTTGGTGGCAGTGAGGATCTCCTTGAGGATCTCAGCGACAGTGGAGATGTCACCGGCGCGGGAGACCTCGGGGATCTTACCGTCGACGACGTGACCGACACGGCTCAGGGTGTCAAGAGCCTGCTTGGTCTTCTCACGAGCCTCGGGGTCGGCAAGGGTCTCGTAGTTCTTGTTCAAACCCGGCAACATCTTGGGCAAGAAAGGAGCGACAAGCTGGGGGTCCTCCACCAGCTTACACATGTTGTCGACAATGACAGCGGTCTTACGCTTGATAGCGGTCTCACGCTCGACGAGACCACGGTCCAGCAGGGGAACCATGATAGCGAGGGTAGGGCCAGTAACATCAGTAACGAAAGTGGTGGCACCGAGCAAGTGAACGGTCTCGGGGACGTTCTGGGGCTTGGCGATACACTTGATGAGTTCGGGAATGAAACGCTCGATATCCTTGTTGACAATCAGACCGCAAACCTTCTCCATAGTGGCGTAGGCAGCCTTCTTGATCTCGGACTTGGTATCCCACATGGCCTCGGAGATGACGGGCAGGAGAGTGGGGACCTGGTAACCGAGCTGCATCTTGGCAGACTCAACGAGCTGGTCAATGCAGTCGAGAGCACACTTCTTCTCAGTCCACTTCTGGGCGTTGGCGAGGGAGTTGAGGATAGGGGTGATGATAGCCTTGACGGCGTTACCGCTGACGGCCTTGACAATGGCGAGGGCAGTGCTGTTGGCGGCGTCCTTGACAGCAGGGACCTTGTCACCGACGGCGGCAAGGACGGGGCCGAGGAGAGAAACAAGGTGGGGCTCAACACCGGCGGCAATTGTGGGGTGGAGAGCGATAGAGCGGATACCCTCACAGGCACGCTCACGGACGAGGGGCTCCTTCTTGTTGGCGAGCTGCTTCTTGAAGAGCTCAGCAGCCTTCAGGGGGAGAGTCTGCTCGGGGATGGGACCGCTGAAAAGGTGGGCAATGTTGCCAGCGGCGGCGTTGGCCTCATCGGCGGAGGCAGCCAGGGTGAGGCTCTTCATGAGTCCCTCAAGGACAGTGACCGACTCAGCGGCCTCCTTGCCAATGGCGGCAGGAGATTCGACGTTGGCAGCAGGCATTTTTGAAGAAATTTTGGCGGTTCGAAAAACGAAAGGGTATTAGAGGCAAGGAAGAAAGAAGTCTTCCTTTTTTTTTTCTATGAGGGGTATCGAGAAATTCTTTTTGCTGAGCAGGGGGCCCAGTTGCGTATTCGCAAGCGCTCAAATGTGAGAGCGAAGGTTTTCTATTCTGTCTAAACAGAAAAGAAAATAAAACAATAAAGAAAGAAGAGGCCGACCCTCGAAAAAAAAATATGCAGGAGTGGAGGAGGGGAGGAGGATAGAAGGGGGGTGAAGATATTTATCGTGTGGCTCTGCGGCAAACCCTACGAAAAAAAAAAAAATGGCAATTCAGAATTTTTTTTTTCAATCGGCCATTGTCCCGCACTAGTGCCGAGTTAGGATTAGTATGTATTTGTCCTTTTTCTGATTGGCTCATCTACTGCTTTCGTCCAAATCTATCTCTTTTGATTGGTTTAAATCCGTTGCCTGGCGGACTTAGGCTTAGTTCCTTGAAATTTTTAATATGAATTGAAATTTTTATTCATTGATACTTGTATTCCTTGAGATACCTACAATATGTAATTATTGAGGATACAGTAAATTTAAAATAAAATATTGTAGCATAGAAAAAGATAATTTGTTTCAATACTAACTTCAGTGTATTTGATATTCTCCTATAACAGGAATGTCTCAATCATCATGTGCTGTACATTGTATTTAAAATTAAGTATCGTGGGGGCTCAGATATATAGACCCGAAGATAACTGATAGTACTACCATCCATAGATATTACTATTGTCATCCACTACATGTACATATGTGCATATGTACATTACTCTTAAATGATGTTTGCCACTCCTGGTCGGGTGGCGCAGCCGTTACTTTCCTCAAATGCCTTATTTTTAGAGTTGGGTTTGTGATTATTTCGATTCTCCGTATCGTCCCGTACCAGGGCTCAAAACTTATCATGCCGGCGGCCGTTTGAGACTAGTTCAGGTGTACATATGTACATTACACGTACGTCAGAGCTGAACATCACCCATATGATCTCAGCCAGAGTTCAGTCAAAATGACTACCTATGTGCCCAGTAAGCTTACGGCGTTTAGTGAAACTGAAAGCACTCTTTAATAATGCCCTAAATGTTGTACAAAGTACAATGCAGATTAATGCGTAATTCGTTTCACCGCTTGATTTATCTTATCGCTTATCGCGCACATGTGTTATACAAAAAGCCTCACTGGAGCGACTTCAAGATCTATGTACCACTCTGTGATTACATGGAAATTCTAATGCTATTTTACTACTAATTCCACCTAGAAGCTGAATATTTACCTTATATGTATCCAGTTGACTGCCTAAGTGATCTTTTTGAAAGTTGATATCGCCCTTATCCCCCAGCCAAAAGTGGCAAAAACATAAAAAAGTCCTAAAAACAAAAAAACCACCTACGTATACATGTACGCTTGTTCTCATTAAATCGAAATTAGTCCAATGTCAAAGGACCGAGTCTTGCCTCGGTTTCGGAACTCTATCGTCCTTGCTTCACTTTCCATGGATAACTTGAAATTCTTTGTCCACTTATAGATCGGGACTTATAGTTCCGACTAACTATATGTGATTCGTTCTCCTTTTCCTGGAACCCGAAACTAAAATTCTTCATTCGATTTTTCTTGCGTGGCGTTAGTCCGCCACTTGACTACTCCCGTTCTATATGTAAGATTTATACACCTAAATAACCAACGGCCATGGTATCTATCACACCTCGGTCCAAAGTAATAGATCGATAGTAGTAAGGGTCATATTATCACGTGTAAGATATTGTATCATCTTACGATATAACATATCGTTTCTGACTCTGGACTCCGTATTCATTCTAAAACCTTTATTCTTATAGTGGATCCATACCATCTGACGTGCCCCAGTTGTTTATTTAATGGGGCATGGGGCGAATCTTCTTCTTCTAGCCGCTCCTTGTTAGAACAGCGCGTAGGTCTACGGAGTAGGTTAGCATGATATGCATCTCTTCCGGACAGACGGGTATCCACCCCTATTGAGTCAAATCCGGGGAAGATGCCGTGTAAGGAGGCACCAGTCACTATACCTATACGGTCTTTGTACGGAGTACTCCGTACTACTCCTGAGGTCCGTACTGTAACAAGATCTGACCCTTTCATCCTTTTCAGAATGTAATACCGTTTCTTTCTCTTTGACCTGGCCCCTTTTTTTGCCCAACTTTGTTTACCCAAGCCCCCTTTCCTGGGCGTCGCGCTTAGGCCCTTGTTGGATACAGCGTACATATTCCCCTGTGTAGTCTCAGGGGGCAGATCTGAGCTGACGGGCCTATCATCTTGAAGAAACAGGGGAAATAAAGGGGTAGGATGTGGCGGCCTATCAGAACGTCGGTTTCGTGTAGAGAGTGTTTGAGGCTGGATTGGAGAATGTTCATTGTGTACATACTGCCCACTGAGTAGGCGATAGTATAGAATCAAGCAAGGGAAAATAACAGCATTGGTGGATAGATCACTAGGTATTTTACTTGATGTCTGATCTGTCGCACGAAAGAGTCCTGGTGGCCTCGTGCACTATCTGAATTGATAGGTCTGGCTGAAGCCAGACCCTTGATTTAAGATGACTGAACATTATGCTACGCAAACTAAGGTCAAACTTTTGCATCGCGGGTAAAGGCATAGAGTAAGGTAATTAGTATGTGGGTGCACAGCTTTATAAACCAAACAAAAACACAAAACTGCCGACAAGTCCGTGAACCAACGCGCAGATCTATGTCCAGACCACACTCGAAACAATAGAACAGAACACAAGGAATATACTCAAGAGGAATATACAAGAATTCAACGCGACCAGGCAGATATAAATCGGGGTCGGAATGGTCGTGTAGCCTCGCACGACTCCACATCGATAACTTCTGCTGGGCAGTGCGACAAGCAGTGTAATACAGAGAGGGTGTTGGCCGTGAATTAGAGAGAGGGCGATGATGGGAGAGAGAGAGGGCGGGACAAGGAAGGGGGATAAAAATAATCAGCAGAGAAAAAGAATGCCAGGACCAGGATCAGATTCGGTTTAGGATTGGGGACCAAGGCAGGAACAAATGGGTCATGACCCTCCACATCTATATCATATAACTAACAAGAAAGAAACGATGGGATAAAGATCCCGATGTCTGTACAAAAGGGAAACGCTTGAAACTCCAGACCCATATGCGCGGCGCAACTCCGTAGCAAAAGAACGAAACAAATAAACAGTAGAACAGAAAATTACTCATGGCTCCTTCTTAACGTGACTATTCCCCGATTCGGAGGGGAGCTCGTCGCCGTCGATGATGCGCCAGAGACGGCGGGGCGAAAAGTTGTTGCCGAAGAGGTAGATACCGACAAACCAGGCCGCGAGGAGATTGGCAAGGTGGTGAAGGAGATACGCGTATGAGACGCCGTAGATCGCGGAGTAGATGGCGATGGCGAAGAAGATCATGGAGGTAATGTATCTGAACCTGTTGGGGTGTTAGATTGATAACAAGGGAGCCCGATGATATCTTATTTGCATACCTGGTTGTGATGCGTGGAATCATAGCGCCACTTGTCATGGTTTCGACGAGTATGAGGAAGGGCATAATGGATAATACGTTATGGTGGGATGAGAACGGCATGAACCAATGCACAACGAGGTTGTGGGCCCAGACCAGGAGGACAAGCACATTGATGGGCAGAATCCACAGCATCAGAATCAAGATGGAGTGTGCGTAGTTGTCGAAATTCAGATGCGAAGTGGATCTTGTTTCCTTGGCATGCCATTGTGCCCGCACGCATGTGGCCAGCTGCACAATGCAGGCAACCATGTAGGCGAACTGGTATGGAATGACGGTGGACACAAGGATCAAAAGAATTGCAGTGTGAATGATGCGTCGTCGAGGCGTTGGGGTGCTGAAGATCGGGAGATTTCCCCGATCCTCTCGTCGAATGTAGCCCGACTTGCTGTGCGAAGCTCCGTATACCCAGGAGAAGATGTTCACGAGGGCAAGGGCGAGGTAGTTGACAAGCACACAGACGCCTACACTAATGAGACCAAACACCGGGACGAGGAACCAGAAGAATGCATCTTGAGACCCAAGTAACAGATCGTTCTTGGTGAAATCAATTGGAGTCTCGGTCGAGTTCGTTCGCCAATGAAGGGTTTCATCGGTTTGAGGCAAGGCCTTGGAAGTAGCCAAGGAGGAGGCCAGTAGCGACATGGCTACCAGCAGAAGAGGGAAGGAGGATCGCAGTGCACGGTCAAGACCATCGGTGAAGGGAATGAAGTAACCAGACTCGTCGTAAACCTGGAACTGTTTACGGAGAACCAGAGCAACCACAAGCAACGGGAACGCCGCAAAGATGGTCCGGTACCGCATTACTAGCTCGCCAAGACTGCTGGTGAGATCAACTTGAAGCGAGATATCAACTGTCGAGCCGGAGCTTGGATCCGTCCACAGCTGGAAGGAAACACCCCCGAGAGCAGCCTGCTCGCTGATCGCTGGTGGCATGAAGGGAGCCATACCGTGCAGGTTGACGTTTACCTCATTGACATTGACGAAGAACTTTGACTCATGAGGATCAGAGACGGACTGTCGGAGCAATGGAGCAAACAGCTCCTGCTTTTGGGAATTCCGCGTGATCTTCAGACGGTAGTCTAGCAAACTTGAGTGCAAAGCCGGAATCTTCACCTCAGTCAGCATCGGCCGATTCGCGGGGAGCCGCATCTTCAGACCAGCACTCAACAAACCGCCCAATCCCACCTTAGCCCGAATCAGGGCATCCGAGCTGTCCGAGAACTCGGCGACAAGGAATCCTGAGGTCGGGACATTGGCTTTGTCCACGACAGCCACGAATTGATGTTCTGCAAGGCCCTCTAAGTCATACTGGAGGTATGAGAATGGCGCAGTACGATCATAGGCATATTGCGACGAGCGGGTGGAGGCAGGCAAATGAATGCTGTCTTCAGCCGCGCTCTTGCAGGCCAAACGGGTCGAGCCCACGGTGCCACCGGAGAAATCCAAATTCAAGGGGAAATTGGTTGAGCGACCATTGGATAGCGGGAAAACGCTACAGAACAAAACTTCGATGTTGCCATTCTTGTCCAACGATTGGTCCGTGAGCAAGGTGAACTTTTTGCCGGAAACACCTTGGGGAGGAATCGGCAAGAGACGCACATCTGGACCGTGTTGATGGCCCAGCTCACGCAGGACCAGTCGCTGGCCTTGAGCAAGGATGGTGTTTGCATTATCCTCCAGAGTCAAAAGCGTGTTCGCTTCCTTTTGAGGTAAGGTCCGCTCAGCTACAGATTCTAGACCGGTCAGGTACCGCCGCTTCAGTACACGCATCCGCTCTGCCCGCGGTTTTGTCTGAGTAGGGCGTCGTGCATCGACGATCTCGAACAAAGATTTGATGATTGCCTTGCGGAATTGGTCGCACCAAGTGATCGACAAGTGGTCCATGCCAATCCAGACGTCTGGAATAGAAGAGGTGAAAACAGTGAATCCGTGCGTCTCGGGTACAAGAGAGGAAATACTGGCATAGTCGGAAGGAACCACAGTGTCCCGAGCACCACCGGCGATGGAGATAAGAGTGACATGCCACAGCGGGTTATTGTTAGCCCAAGTCTGTGCATATGCGTCGCGCCAATAATCATTGATCTGCTTGTAGGTATGGACGATATCGGAGTCGAAAGAGACCGGCGGCTTCGCGTGGGGTGCAGACATTGTGATAATCGTGTTGACCGAATTAGCCTGGTAGTTGGCCATGGTCAAAGAAGTTCGGGCCACAATCCCACCCATAGAGTGTCCGATGAGAATAACAGCACTGGGATCTGGTAACCCGGGGTCTCGGCGTGTCCGTCGGGGGTCATGGTAAAGTGATAGAATGTATGAGATCGCTTCGTTCACGTATTCCGCCTGATCCAGCAGAGTCTGTCCATGGAACGCCGCCATATCTTCGTTGAAGTCGACCATAAAGAAATCCAAGCTTCTTGTTCCAGCCGCATGTCGGCTTTCGTCGTGTCGAACCACGTCGTAGTAATGTCGCGAGGCCTCGGCGGCCAGGGACCGGACTTGTCGGTAGCTGCCAGCGTTTCCGGGTAGAAATAGAACAGGTACACCATTTAACTAATCATGGGAGTCAGCAAAGAGGAAGCGTATCCACCAAATCCGGGGTCTTCATACCCCGATGTTATCCTGAGTGTAGGGATCCACGCCTTCCTCCCGGTACAAGAAGAGATTGTATTTGCTTGCGAATCGGGTGTGTTCGGTATCGAATTCCAACATGCGAATGAAGGTCGGGCTCATCATTGGAACACCGCATCCATCTCCACCAATCTGCCGACCGGTGAACGATTGAACGATGGAGATCAAGAACGCGACGGCAATGCATGTCGTGAACGCAGTCAAGATGGAACAGGACCAAGGACTGCGCAGACGGGATTGGCGCGCTCGTCGACCTTCAGGGGAGGGAACCTCCATGGGGAGCCGAGGGGAGCCCAATGGCATGGCTTTGGTATCGTTGGAAGGTTGGGAGGACGGGGTGCGCCACATGCTCGAGTTTCGGGAGCGCGGCGTCGCGCTGCCGTCGCGGCGGAGGTCAAAGCTGGTGCCGCGCTGTGCTATTTGCGATCGCGAATTTTCGTCGATGGCATTCGGGCCATGGTCGTCTGTTCGGGAGACCGAGGAATCTTCGTCCTCGACAGGGGATCCCGACGAGCGTCTGTGCATTGGAGAAGGCGGAGCCGGGACTTCATCCAGCACACGAGACCGACGTTCTTGGCGCAGGGGGTTAAACCTCGCAAGAGAACCCTTAACGAGTAAGGAACGAGGGGAGAAAGGGAAGGGGTGAGAATGCGGAAGATCAGGAATGGAAGAGAGTTGGGGAGGTTTGGGGGGATTTGGCGCTTGGCGGAGAAAATACGTCCCTGAGTCCCTTGTCCCTAGGTCCCTGGGGCAGTTCCTGATTTTGATTTTTTTGTGGGTACAGGTATAATTGTTAAGATGAATTAATTCTGATCTTAAATCGATAATTTCCTTACAGGATTGTCTATGGTTTTCGTTTCGAGATCAAAGACTATCCGCCTTTTTTTTCTTGCTACTGTTCTTTTGGACGCAATTGGCATTGCAGGCTTGGCAATGAAACTTACTGCACTAGGTAAGATCTATGACTTCCAAGGTTAGTACAATCATTTACCTACTACATAGTTAAATTTAGGCAGAATTTTAGATAGAACAAGCTTTTTTTACCGATAAACATCTGAAATATCACAGGTAAATACATACATATAAAATAGTAAAAGTAGTCAAATCTTGTCTCGGAACGCAACAGGCAGCCGTGTATCCCAACTTGAGGTTCCTGCAGGACGCGTATGTCGTAAAGCTACTCCGTAGTGTGAAGTGCTTATTGATGGCTTGGCTTCGCTATATTTAGGATTCACCAGTATTGTATACAATATATAGTATACTTCAGTGCATACAATATTATATTCTTGACATGCAGCGTACATTTGACCTACAGCGTATATTTGACCCTTTAATCACTTCAATATCAGGAGAAATGGCGTGACTAGACCCTGGATCCTCGGGGCTGTGCTGATACCAACTTGACCCACTATATTCCCCAGAGCTACAAAGTATGAGTCCTCTTCTATACAAGTAAATCAAAGCATGTAATAACATGGACATACTATAAGGTATATTAAAAGCCAGGTTGTTTACGTACCTATGTAGTATGTAGTATCTAATTAAAAGCTGCAAAAGTGCGGGGTTTACCACAGGATATAAAACACAACTTCACCCTGTGTGACTACTTTCTCTTCACATCACTCCTTGATGCTACAAACTACACCTACCCTTAATCCCTATACAGCATCTATATAACAGGTGGGTTATAACTTACCCAGGTACCATCTCTACAAATAACATGATGATATTCTTCAACCCAAAGACAGACTCGTGAAGTCTGGATGAAATCAATTAAGCAGACTCTGACCCTTCTTGACAACATACCCAGACGCATATCAACTCTATTGAATGGCATTCGCTGACCTCCGCCTGATTACCCATAGGACCCTACTATAGAAGATAAACTTAAACGTGTTTACAAGGCTCAAGCAAAGAAGGAAAGAAAAGGTTGGTGATTAATTTCAGGCCTATTCAACTATCTCACATCCATTCTAGGATTTCAATTCGTGTCAAAGTGAGCCCATTTCAAGGCTCAACCAAAGCCATTCTGAGCCTTCGCCTGCATATCATATCGTGTACAAGGACTATGAGACGTGCGAAGCCCGACCCTTCTCTGCGTCATCCCCATATCCAACCTTCTGGTCCATACCACGGTGAGCTGCCACCTCCTGAAGGTCGGCATCATGCTCAGCATCGAAGTTACGGCCCAGCCGCTCCGGCCCGGCAAGTGTAATCAGAATAACATAAGCGAACACACAGCCCATGAAGATACATATGACCTTGCCGTACTCGTAGCGGTGGGCAGATTCTTTAGTTGGGGGCAGTGGGAAGCGTTCGCCAATAGTAGATTCAATGGTCGAGCTAGCAGAAGATACTAGATTGCCGAGCTGGTAGGCTGTTCCGACAGCAAAGGTGCGGATGGGACCTGGAGATAGCTCCATAAGGTGGATGGGGATTACACCCCACGCACCCTGCACCATGAACTGCTCAAAGTAGGCGGCAGCGATCACATTTTTGTTTTGGACGAATGTGTAGGGGTAAAGCAGGGCGCCGCCGACGATGCTGATTACGATGATGGAGAAGCGGCGGCCGAAGATCTGACTTGCCCAGCCGCACAAGGTGCCACCTGACAAAGCACCCAGATTGGCGACAACTTGTGTTACGGTGACTGCATTTTTCGAGAAGTTGAATTGGTTCTCCAACATTGTTGGATAAAGATCTTGGGATCCATGCGACTAGTGTCCACGTTAGTCTTTTGTCTAATCTCACAAACTAGAGAGAATGGTCAGTTGGTTACTTACCATGAAATTGAACCCGGCCATCAAAAGGACCAAATAGATAAGCATAAGCCAATGACGCTGCAGTGCAACTTTGCCCTCTGAAATAAACGATGCCGCGACACCTCCACGCATCTCTTGGCGTGCTTCCTGGCGCCGACGGAAAGTCTCGGTCTCACCTAGGAACAACCGGAAGATGATGATCAGCACCGGTGGACCAGCCGCAAACCAGTACAAGGGCCGCCAGCCATGTGAGGTGGTATCGACAAGCCCACGGGCAAAAGCCGTGGCGAGTAAATATCCAAAGGCGTAACCCTGTTGCAATAGTCCCGAGACAATACCTCTGGCCGCTGGGGGACAGTCCTCTAGCGCCGTGGCTGCCGCATTACCATACAGGCCACCCATGGCGATTCCAAACAAAGCGCGACAGGCCAAGAACTGTTTATAGGTTTGACAGAAACCAGCGCCGAGCTCCAAAACAACGAAAAGAAGCTGGTTGACAATGAATGGCCATTTTCGGCCCCATCGATCGGAGGCAATTCCAAAGGTGATCGCACCGACGGATCGAAGCATAAGCACCAATGTAATCCCCCAGGTAATATCGGTAACGGATTTATCGAATGTTTTGGCAAGCTGAGATGTTGTCAAAGACACTGTAAAAAAGTCGAAAGAGTCCCAAGACCATCCCAAGAACGCCACCTAGGAAGCTTAGTTAGCCAAGAGCCAAGTCTTATTATTTGCGCGCCCAGCCCTATGATCGACATACGGTGAAATTGAGCCACTGGGTTCGATTGAGCAACGTCAAAGCTTTGAACGGGTTTGGCGCGGGATTCATTGGAGGCACGAGGGTAGGAATGCGGGTCGCGATGTAACGCCCGATGCTCATATGTTCTTCGACATCCGGCGAAGATGCCTCGTGTTGAGGCTCTCGCTCACCGGCCATGACTATTAAGAACCCCAAAGCAGTTTTAAGTGAGAAGTATGCTGAGATTGGCAGGTGCTCTAAGGAAGGGGAGAAAAATTGATAAATGGAATTTAAATCGATACGAAGGGCCCCGGGGGTCAAGCTCAACTAAATACGACCCTATGACCATGCGACGGGACCCCCGGGTTTAGAGCTAAACCAAGACGCAAAGAAGCAAATGATTGAATCCACGGGACACCGACAGTCTGAGACCCCACTAAATACAAGGATGACATCCGATCTCATTCGCCTAACATGCGGGTAATCCTAGAGAGTCGGGGCTGGGCACGAATGATTGTGAGAGATCCAAGCTGAACCGCCGATCACGGTACGCTTTTGTCCTTCAGAAAACGTGTAGTCCCCATGGGGTTAGCAAACTCTCATATCTACGTCCACGGCATGATAAAAATCCGAGCAAATCATAAACATGGTTTAAATGTAAGGCACCCGACGTCGTACCGTAGACTTTCTTATTAAGATATTGAGATTGGTTATAATCACCGCTAAACTTTGCCTTCATGTTTCAACCAATATTTTTTACAATTTAACAATTTAACAACTTAGTTAACCTTTTAGTTCTCTGTTAGCAGGTTAGCTTATCGCAAACATATTTGTCGAACATATTGTGTAACAACTTTGTTTGGACCGGCCAAGACTTATTCCGCTATACTCCGTACAATATTGACCTGACCCCAGATCACTCCACACGCCCCATGTTAAACAGAATGGCCCCCACAGTAATACCCCCGGACTACCCCTCTACTACATACACATGTTAAATCTTCTTGCTCGTCAATAACAATATTATTAATGATATAGAAAATCAGAAGTGATATTTTGCAAAATTAGACACGCTATAATTAGCCCACCGCTAAACCTCGGTATACCCATTAGGCCAATACTATGCTTGCTGACTTTTTGCCGAAACGCACATCTCGGTTGGATTTTCGATATTGTGCAAACGAATACGTAGGTATGTGAAGAGTCGGCTGGTGCATATAGATCCTTATTTGTGCTAAAGGCAATTTCAACTTATCCAATCACCACACATCACACTTTGTCCCGATACTCGGCGGCCCGGGGTAAAAGCTTGGCGGCGTTTCTACGGAACTAAGGCTTCGGATAGGCTTCGGTGGCTTGAATGACCTTCGGACGATGGCCGATGCAACTAGATCCCGACGTAAAAGAAACGGAGCGAGGTTCAATACTTTTTGAGGCAACAGATCCGACAAAGCCCATAGGTTGGAATTGCCAGATAAGTAAGTACGTATTGATAAGTGAAAACCCCCGCAAACTCCGGAGAACGCCAAGAACTGGAGTAAGCTACCATATCAATCTCGGTGCTCCGCGGGTCTCATAAAATGCTTTTAATATGAAGATAGTATGTCTGCTCCACTAGGTATATAGCATCTTCAGGACTCAAACCTACGACAGCTTCCGAAGTCTTGAGAGTAGCTTTTCTTGGCGGCGGTGCCAATAAATGCCACGCCATTGGCAGAAAGCTTTTTATGACTACGTTCAGACGACGGCGATCCATGGCATTTGAGCCGGAGTTTTTGCTTTTGCGTTTATTTTGCTATTGGTACATTCCCGGGCATATCGTCTCCACTCCTGCAGTTTGCTATTCCTCAAGCGGGACTTTGGAACTTGTCAATCTTTATTTAGGCTATGAGGGGTTGTGGCTGTGAAAATCGGTATCTTGGTCTAGTCCAATATGCCTGCGGCGTAATTCTCCAGCCACATTAGAATGTTTGCTATGTCTTTTCACGGTTGTCGTATACTTCAAGGCTGGAGTTGGATTTGAGATATCTCCATGGCCCTGTTGAATATAATAAAGCGATACATCCTTCGAAATTTGAGGGTTTCACCCAAGTATATCAGATCTACATGTTCTGCTGTGGTTAGGTACCAGCAAGGTCCTTTAGGCAGGAAATTAATAACTATGTCGCTTAACAACCTTCACACTTCAACTCTTGAGATATGGGATTCGACCTGGTTGGGGATGCATATTCTCTGGTATAGGATCTCAGCCCTTTAACCTCTATCACAGGCAAGAAGGCTGTCTTCACCAGGGTAACCCTGGAGGAATATCAGGCATCGCTGCCGAAATCGCCCCAAATGGATGGAAAATCAACTGTTCATTGAGAGTCCAGGGTATTACCTTGGGGGAAGTTTTAAGCCTAGTCTGAAGCTTGTTGATTCTGAGCCAACTAGTGGGCTGGATTTGTGACACAGAACGCTGGGGTTTGGACGGAAGGCTCTATATTACACTAAACTGATGCTTGACTGTTTGTCACCACGCAAATGAGCTTGAAATGCAAACAATAATAGAAATTTCCGAAGTAGGACTGCTCTTCGATTTCGCACAGAAGCCTCATTGCAGGCAAGCTTGGCGCTTGTTGGCTCTGATTGTAGATGAGGCTCCCAACCTTGGAATCAGCTATAGAAAACAAAACACACCTACGTATCGGAATTCCTTTACAAATTGATTTCGGTGAAAGTGCGCCTTTTATTCTCTTATTCGTAGGGTATTAGTGTACACCACAAAAAGAGCCTTTCTTTTTGCATCCAATAAGCATGGAGAAAAGCCCAACTCTATATGCGGCCGATAGTAATTTATCAACTTAGGTAGACAGATATATAATATTGAACTTCAACCCTGTCAAATTTGGTAGCAAACCAGTCAAAAACCCCATGAATACTAGGCAGCTATGTACCATCCCTGATGAGCTCAAGGAGTAATAACTAAGGCTGAAACTTGGTGAGGTTGACCATGAGCGCCCACGTTTAGCTGAGAAGGACAAGCGCCCACCTAGAAGAGAATAGTACTACAACGTACAGAGAAAGTAAAACAACCGAACTGGATACCCGATATAGAAACAACGAGCCACAATCTAATTTCAGTTGAAAAGGAGGCTGTGCTAGTAAAATGACAGGAGGCGGTGCTCTCATTCCGCCCCGCGCGCGTCCCCGCTGATGCCGTATTTATTGTCAGCGCATTCCCAAGTCTCACTTCATCTATCCAATTCCTAAAGCTGCTACTCCTCAGTATTAAATCATACTTTTATTCCCAACTTATTGAGAAAAAGACACCCAACCCATCATCCTTCATCATGTCGTATTACAGTGGTCCTCCGCAAAATCAACAAGGTGGTTATTATGATCAGCAAGGCCAAAACCATTATCCTCAGGGCCATTCTCCTCAACCACAGCAAGGCTATTACCCACCAGAGGTACGTATTTCAATCGGGCTGATCCCTCGTTACAACACCCAACTCTCACCTCTCATCGTATCTACCACGACCATACATAACTAACGCATCCGATTTACAGGGCCAGCAGGGCTACGGCCAGCCTCCATATGGCCAAGCGCCTCCATATGGCCAGTACCAGGAGGGCCACGGCCAGCCTCAATACGGCCAAGCACCTCCATACGACCAGCAGCGCCAGGGACACGACCAGTCTCAGTATGGCCAAGCGCCTCCATATGAACAGCAGGGTCACCAGTCTGGCCCGGGTTACCCGGCCCAAGGTGGAGGCGCAAACGCCGACTACTACGGCGGTGCACCTGCACAACATCAGCAGGGCCAGCCTGGCGCTGTAGGACCAGAGGGTGACAGGGGTCTCGGATCGACACTGCTGGGTGGTGCCGCTGGTGGCTTCATGGGTAATAAGCTTGGTCATGGTTTCCTCGGTACCGCGGGCGGTGCTGTCTTGGGTGCGGTCGGTATGAACATGGCAACCAATGCGCTGTAAGTCTTTTCCCTCCTTGATGTGTGTGGGGATTTGGAGACTGACTTGTCTTTTGCTGTAGTGGAAAGGAGAAGAAGAAGCACAAGAAAGACAAGAAAGACAAGAAGCATAAGAAGGATAAGAAGCACAAGCGCAGTAAATCTAGCTCGAGCAGCTCGAGCAGCTCTGACAGTGACTGAGTTGAAGCTGAAAAGGTTCAATGGCCATGGCCACTTGTCCCTGAGTCCTTCTTTTCATGTATATCCTGCTTCTTTTTGTATTTCTGCTTACCGGATTGACCAGCTTGATAGTACCGTTCCACATCTGCGGTAACGGTGAGGACCTTGACGCGTTACGCTTATCCTATATATCCATGTATTCATAACGGCATTACGGCCCCTGAACAATGTTAAATTGCCGAATGGCGAACACAACCTAGAGCTCAATTTGGATGGTGACATGGCCGATCAGGCATAGAGTCCGAATATTATATTCTGATTATGTTTAGTATTGTGTTATTGTGGCGGCATGTGCGCCTCGCCATGCTTTCCCGTTGGTTGGAAGAAGGCCGCTGAATCAACACTACCGTCCAGATCAGCTGACAGCCGTGGAACTTCCTTTGGTGTATCCCACACAAAGCGCCATCTTTCGGTTATAGGGTTCCAGTATTGACGAGGCACCAGGGAAGAAAGACGCCGCCAGTGACGCCGCATGAACCTGGATGTGATAATATGTGGTCGGCCATTGGCATATTCCGCAAAGGTGTTTCCTTTCTCAGGACCTTTGGCAAGCAACTGAAACAGTTCGCTCTCGGATTTTATTTTGGTCTCAGATATTACCTTTCTCCGCTTGACAGGTGCCCACTGCACAGTTCCCGAGATTAAGCCATCAAGCATTTGTAAATCTTTCTCTGGTAACGGTGGAAGAATACTGCTCAATGTAGCATTGTACCATTTTCTGCGGACATTCATCTTCCGACACTCAGCTAAGGGTTTCCCCCAGCTGTTTTCCTTGGGAATGGGTGGTGCCAGGTGTTTGATCAAAGGCCTGCGGCGTGTCGCTGTGACCACTGCGTTCTGCATATGAGAGGCTGCAAGACTCTTGACGATCGCTGGGGGCTCCCAGCCATCATGGAACTTGACTGGTTGGGAGATAAGTTCTTGAAGTGCGGCAGTGTTATTTGGGATTTGAGGCTTTAACATTTCTCCCAGTAGCTCATGGCGCCTCCTCCCGGTGCGACCGTATGATAATGACAGGACTTTCTCGAGAGGACGTGAATAGCCCTCATTGGCTCTTCGTAAAATCGAAAAAGCATTTCTTGCTGTGTGAGCCGCTTGAGGACCAGCCTTTGAGCGAGAGGAACCAGCACGATATCGGGAGATGACATGATCTCGCATGTAGTTGCGGGCGATGGGGTCAGGAAGGTAGGTACATTCTCGCAATGTGGCACGTAGTAACTGGCGCCATTGATGTGGCTTTGACAAATCCTTTAGCCAATGTGTAGGTTGTGGTCTGGCCATGTTTAACCGTTGTGAAGACAAGCAAGAAGAAAAAGATGTTCCAATGGAGAAACGCGAAAATCTTGGCGAAATGCGTATCACGGGAACTCCGACGCGCCCTTTTTCGACTTCCACCAAAACCCCGCGACTTGGCCTTACTTTGCATTGAGAGCCTCTTGAATCTTGATATTCTGATATTTTCTTATTATTATTAATTTTTAACTTGGCATTTTCCTTTTGGTCACTTTGAGACCTTGAATGGTATTTGGTTTGGCTTGCGGTTTCCCTTCAGAGGGTTAGCCACGCGCCTCATTGAGCTCGCGTCATTCCAATCGACATTCGGTATCCTCCCCTTGCTACTTGATTCAGGCGTCATTGCCCGATTTGGTAGGACATTATTAGGGGGAAAAAGACAATGTCCTACTCGCAGGGTAGTACAGGGTCGAATGGAATGGCCTATAACATTTTGAATGCTTCGATGAATGCCTCGCAATCCCTATCCTCCACCCCTCGCGCAACTCCTCCGCCCCCGAAAGGCTCGCAGATGTCCTATTCCGGTTACCCAAGTGGACTCCCACGATCAACAACAACTAGCTTTGGGGGATATGATGGGTCGAAGGATTATGGTTCTATGTCATACCAGGAAGAGCACAAACCACAAATTTATCGGGTTCGTGATCTTTATATCCACCCACAAAATACAAAATACTAACTAGTCTCCCAATAGGCCGTCTATTCTAATATCGCTGTCTATGAGATGGAAGTGAATGGTGTTGCTGTTATGAAACGTCGATCCGATTCTTGGTTGAATGCTACCCAAATTTTGAAAGTTGCCGGCGTCGTGAAGGCAAGACGAACGAAAACACTCGAAAAGGAAATTGCGGCCGGTGAACACGAGAAGGTTCAAGGTGGTTACGGAAAATACCAGGGGACTTGGGTCAATTATCAACGGGGTGTGGACCTCTGTAAAGAGTACCACGTCGAAGAAGCCCTCCGGCCATTGCTGGAGTACGACTCGAACCCTGACGGCTCCGGAACTCCTGCCCATGGAAATATAGATACGCCCACCAAAGAACAAGCTATGGCCGCGCAACGCAAGCGTCTCTACAATGGCGGAGAGAGTCGAAGTGCGTCGCAGCCGCAACAGGGAACCTTTTTCCAAAATATCTCGCGTACCGCTGCCACTGCTGTGAACGCTCTCAGTAAAGCACGCTTCGACTCGCCTAGCTCGAACAGTCGTCGTCCTAGCGTGATACGCAAACCCTCACAACAAATGAGCAGCCAAGAATCCGGACTTCCATTCAGCAGCCAACAGAGCATGTACAGCGTGTCCGACAGTGGATTTGGAAGCCTGCAAAATCGGCACCAGATTCAAGAAGACCACGACGACTCAGCAGAACCTCCTCGAAAACGCATGCGTTCTAACTCACACCATGGCCCACCCATCGGTCTTACCCGCGAACCATCCAATCTATCCATGCATGAACCTACCCCCACTGAACCGAACGATTCCTTCTACCAAGACATGGATATCCCCCCTCCTCCCATTGATGATGGCTCCAAGCGCGGAGTCGAGTCACTGGCTCCCGCTTCTACCCCCGAGCGATTCCAGAAGATGAAGCTCATCATGACACTGTTTCTCGATAAGCGCACGAAAGACTTCACCAATCATCCTGCTTTGGTGCAATTAACAGGTGACGACCTTGAAATTCCTCTTGACGAGTACCGCAACAGTGCACTTCACTGGGCAGCGATGCTCGCGCGCATGTCACTGCTCAACGCACTGTTGGCCAAGGGCGTGAGCATTTCACGTGTCAATGGTGCTGGAGAAACTGCACTGCAAAAGGCCGTTGGAACACGCAACAACCTCGATTATCGAAGCTTCCCTCGCTTGTTACAGATCCTCGCCCCGACGATTGACATGGTTGATTACAGCGGGCGCACCATTTTACACCATATCGCCATGATGGCTGCGACTGGTGGCGGCGGACATGTTTCCGCAAAGCATTATCTAGAAGCTCTTCTTGAGTTTATTGTACGACATGGAGGCATGGTTTCAACTACGAATGGAACTCGCGAGCCAAATGGAACTCCCAGCGTTGATGTCATCTCTTTGGGACGTTTTATCTCTGAGATTGTCAATGCGCGAGATGTTCAAGGCGACACGGCTCTCAATCTGGCCGGACGCGCGCGCTCAGTCCTTGTTCCACAACTCTTGGAAGTAGGTGCTGATCCTCACATTCCAAATCACACCGGTCTCCGCCCGGCTGATTACGGAGTTGGTGTCGACATGGTCGACGGAAATGCACAATCTCAGCAAACAGTGAATCGGAATGACACCTTTATTGATCAACTGGCCAAGTCAAAGAAGGAGATCCTCGAGGGTAAGCAGCTTCCACTCAAGGTGCTTCTTTTTCGCTAACATCAGACTCAGCGGCAATGTCCCAAATCAGCGCAATGGTGGAGGAAACACTGGGTGGGATCGACAGAGAGCTGGCTTCGAGCTTAACACAAAAGCAGGAAAGCTTTGACCATTGGCATACGAAAATCCGTGAGTCTGCCAAAGCTCGGCAAATCGAACAAAAACAATACGATGAACTTAAACGGAAGGTATCTGAACGTGTGGAACTTGATCGTCGTATCAAGAACTTGGAGCGGTCATCCGAGGGTTTGTTGGTTACGGTGAAAAACACACCAGGACTAGACGCTACAAAAACAGTCGTTGTGGGTCATGCCGACCGAGATTCTGGGGTTGACGTTGCTACATTTGACACACTGTTCTCTGAGAATTTCGACCCAGCGTCCGGATTTTCACAACAGCAGGTCGCATTCTTGGCTGCGCTGCCAGCGACAGATTCGCTCAGACGCCAGGCTCAATGCTACAAAGAATTCAACGCCGGATTACTAGCTGAGGTAGAAGGTCTGAAGGCCAAGAACGCAGTTCTCGGCCAGAACTACCGTCGCATGGTGATGGCATGCACGGGCTGGACGGCGGAGCAAGTTGACGAAGCTGCCGAGGGGCTCACGCAATGTGTCAAGGATTTGAATGACAATCCCGTCCCCGAAGACGAAGCTATTGAAATATTGATGCGGGATCGCGGACAGGACTGGTAGTCTGCGTTTGTCTTCTTTATTCTCTGAGCGTTTGGCAGCTTATTCGGACGGCGTTGCTCTTTTTGTCTTGTATCATACAAATACCCTGGTGGCATATTTCTCACGCCCGTTGGCACATGTCTTGTTATTTATCTGAAGAATACAATTCTTGTACACCCCACGCTCTAAGTTCCGTCCTGACTATACACAGCTTGTACAGGCTAAATGTGGCGAGATTAGCCGGATTTTGAGATGGCTCTCGGGCTTGGTGGCTTGCAGCACCCTCGTACCACCTGCCAAGCTATGCATTTATCCAATTCCCCGCGTCAGGTTCATTGTGTTGACCAGACCGGATGAATCCTGTGAGATGGAGTATTTAAATTTCCATGGCATTCCCTGCGCCCCATCTTCGGTTATCTGACCTTTATCCACAATTGCCATCTTGAAGCTAATTCGAATCAACAATGGCTACCGGCTTTCTGCGCGTAAAGGGAGACACTATCGTCGACGGGGAGGGGAATGGTCTTGTTATGCGAGGAGCTGCCCTCGGCGGATGGATGAAGTACGCCAGTATTCCACGCGTGGTGTCTTCTATACCCGGACTAACAACTTTCCCAAAGCATGGAGAATTTCATCACAGGTTTTGCAGGCCATGAAGCACAGCATCGCGCTGCCATGCGTCGAGTCCTCGGACCAGAGAAATACGAATTCTTCTTCGACAGATGGCTTGAGTACTTTTTCACCGAGACCGATGCTAAGTTCTTTGCGGAGCTCGGGTTGAACTGCCTACGGCTGCCATTCAACTACCGACATTTCGAGGATGATATGAATCCCCGCGTATTGAAGGAATCGGGATTCAAACACCTGGATCGAGTCGTGGACCTGGTCTGTCTATACCTATGTTCTTACGGCATGAGATGAACTAACAATATGAGTTACGTAGTGCGCAGCACAAGGCATCTACACCATCTTGGATATGCATGCCGTCCCTGGTGGCCAGAACCCAGACTGGCATTCCGACAACCCTACCGGCTATGCCGCATTCTGGGACTACAAGGATCATCAAGACCGGACTGTTTGGCTCTGGGAGCAGATTGCGACGAGATACAAGAATAATCCATGGGTCGCTGGTTACAATCCGCTCAATGAGCCATGTGACCCGGAGCATGTACGACTACCTGCCTTCTATGCTCGCATTGAGAGCGCAATTCGCAAGATTGACCCCGACCACATACTGTGGCTCGATGGGAACACGTTCGCCATGGAATGGAAGGGGTTCGACGTCGTGTTGCCGAACTGCGTGTATGCCATGCACGATTACTCTGTGAGCTTTCCGTCGGAGATATGACCAACGCTGTGCTAACTTTATTTTCTATTTAGTCCATGGGCTTTCCCACCGGCGATCGATACAAGGGAACAGCAGACCAGAAAGCACACCTAGAGCGTGGCTATCTGCGCAAAGCGCAGTTCATGAGCGAGAACAAGACACCCGTGTGGAACGGGGAGTTCGGGCCTGTCTATGCAGACAACATATCCGATCTTGACGCAGAAACAGTTAATCAGGAACGATACAACCTCCTCGGCGAGCAGCTGCGCATTTACGATAAGTACAACATCAGCTGGTCGATCTGGCTCTACAAGGACATTGGTCTACAGGGTATGATTTATACGAACCCCGAAAGCAGATGGAACCAAAGACTCCGGCCGTTCCTGGCCAAGAAGAAAGACTTCTGGCTGGATAAATGGGGCCGTCGGCCTGCGCCTGATCCTGAGGCTGCGCTGAAGCCTTTGGTCGATTGGATTGACAGTGTCAGTCCTACTGCTAAAGAGACTTACCCCACTTCATGGAACACGGAGATGCATGTCATGCGGAATGTGTTTAATACCTTCTTGGCCGCATCTTTTGTGGACGAGTTTGCCGAGTTGTTCAGGGGAAGCAGTGAGGATGATCTTGATGAGCTGGCTAGAAGCTTCCATTTTGACCGCTGTGTGCAGCGTGAGGGATTGAACCGGATCCTCAAGGACCATGCACATTCGTCTCTTTGAAAGGGTTGAAATAGTAGGTAGCTAAATAAAGGGAAACGCTTCGTCCAATTGGCAACACTGTACCCAGAATTTCGATGTAATAACACTAAGTACTATACTAGATGCTGAGGGGGCACAATATCCTTCTCATGCTGAGTATTCCACCGTTTCACTTTTCGCCTCTTCCATGACCTCAGCATCGCAATCCGCAAACGCCTTATCGCCGAATGCAACCGCGATCTCCTCAAGGGTATGGTGTGCTGTCTCAACATAATAAAAGTGAACAAGAATAGCCGAAGAGAGACAAAACCCTGCAATCACAAGGTAGAAATAGCCATGTATGCCGGAAAAAGCATCAGGGGACACCATGCCAATGATGAAATTGAACACCCAATTGCTAGTCGTAGCCAGAGCCATGCCTTTGCTGCGGCCCCGCAGCGGGAAGATTTCCGCAGGCAACAGCCACGGCATTGGCCCCCAGGTGAAGCCATAGAGGATATTGTAAAGCATCACGAAGGCATACTGGCCATTTGCTTTGGCTTGGATGTCTATGTCGATTTCAGTGAAGACGCAGACGATGCCTAGCAGTACGGCCATTCCGAGACCTGGTGGAATATTTGACTCGTTAGCTCAATTAATCAAAGATGAATACCATTTCCTGGTGAAGTGCTTTGGGATACTGACCTCCGAGAATGAGCAATGGTTTCCGGCCCCACCTGTCGGCTAACCACCAAGTAACGATTGTTGCGGCGGTATATGGAAGAGCGTTTGCAGCTGTATATAGGAGAGACTTTCGGTTGTCATACCCGGCAGATGAAAGAGTGCTCGGGAGATAGAATGAGATGATATTGATCCCGTTGATCTGTGCGAACATCTGCACTGTGATTCCAACAATTGTTCTTTTCCGATACCGAGTGAACATTTCCTACAGAGGGCATTCGTGGTCAGCGGTCCGTATATAATGGATGGATACAGGGTGTCTTACCGTCCAACTGGACTTTCCCAGGTTGCTTTCATAGATCACGGCTTCTTGAATTTCAAGGAAAGTTCGTTGGACATGTTCTGCTTGTGTGTCGCCGTTGGAATGCAGGTCTGCAATTGTTTGCAGACTCTCGTCCACAAACCCATTGATCGCCAGCCACCGCGGAGTTTCTGGTAAAAAGAACGACATGCTCATCAAGACAAAGGAGAGGACAATCTGAATGATGAAAGGACCTTGCCACGATATGTGTTTCGGCAACAAGAAGTTAAACCCATAGTCTACCCAACACGAAAGCATATATCCTGCAATCAAAAAGGTGTACTCAATCCCAACCATCAAGCCTCGGCGATGAGCGGCCGCAATCTCTGTTTGGATAATAGGCACAGTCATGGATAGGAATCCTACACCCACTCCTTGAATAGTACGGCCTGCGATGAACGTAGCAAAACCAGGCGCGGATATCTGAATGAACGAGGCAAAGAAGTAGATGAATGCTCCGACGCGGACACACTTCTTTCGACCGATCATGTCCCCAAGTCGACCTGCTACCAGGGCTCCCACCGCCGCTGCTGCTTGTAAACAGGCGACGGAAATTCCCGTGATGGAAGGATCAACTCCGCCTGTGGTTCCATCGGCCCCTCCGTAGTTTTTGAAAAAGCGAGACACGAAGACCTCGTTAACCAACAGTCCAGACATGATTCCTGTTTGTTCAGCAGCTAGTTTGGCAATTTTTTCCATGGAGTCTCACCGGAGTTGTATCCGAAAAGGGCATCGCCCAAACTGCCAAAGGCACAGGTGGCATACAGCAAGATTTTACCTTTGAAAGGATATCGAGCGGATATTTTCTTAGGTTTGAGCTTTCTCTCTAGCCAGCCTTGTTGCTCTTCGGCTTGTGCGGCGACGGCAAGGGACCGTTCGCGGATAGTGCTGTTCGGGTCTACCCCGGAAGATTTGGTGGCACTCATAGTGCCAAACAGAGACTGATCAACACGAACACGCACGGTGGATGTAGAAAGAATGGAATATCAACTTGATCAAGAAAATTCCGTGGTAACATTCATGGAATAGCCGGAGGGCAATGGCTTTATTTCTACCCCGGACCCTGTCCCGTGGGGAAAAGCCATCTTCTCCAGAATGACGGGGAAATGAACTCTGCATTGTGTAACAATGGGGTCGACAGTTCGGTATACGCCCGAATTCCATGGGGTCTCATAATGGCCCGGGATTGTCATTGGAGGATACGGGGGCAGCTAATGAATTTGGTTTCTGGGCATGCTCCCGAGGCCGAGCCGGTCGTGAAATTTGACCTTATTATTGACGATTTCACCCGGCATCGTGTAGTCAAATCTAAGGTGTACCTTTTAGTTTGTCTATTGACTGTTCCGATTGGTTGAGAAAAGGGTCGGTTCCGGGATAGTGGGACTATCATCTCGGTTCCGGTGGCGAATATCACGGTTCCGGGATGAAGATGGAGTAGCATATCCCGAACAATGGCTCGGCTTGGGAGCTTGCGGGATTTAAATGCAAGAAATCGATCTCGGAACCTATAAACTGTCAGTTGGAGAATACTGGAATGGATTCGAAATTCAAATGATGCTTTCATCATTCCAGCCCTAATCAACATTAGTGTTAATTGACTGTATTGTTTGACATGGTGAAATGGTTAGTATCCCGTATACCAGTACAATTACAATATCGTAATATCAGTCCAGTTTGGATGTCGGAAACACCCCGACGATTATGGAGTCTTCCTTATACAATTGGCCGAGTATCCGCCGGAAGAGACTTAACATGTCCCATAAGCGCCAAATCCACAGACTCGAATCTCGGATGATGTGACTGGACCTCAATGAATCCGGAATATTTAAAGCTCGGTAGATTCCTGGGTATTGGTATTGAATTCAATCATATTAGCACCCGCAGTTATGACTATCATGAAAGATGCTCAGGTTAGTCGAACCCGGGATCAGAGGCTAGGAGAACAGCTGTATAATGACCCTGCTGACTTCAATAACTTTGTAGAGACCTAACCAGGCGTTTGTTCTACACCCAGGAGGCACATTTTCATTTGAAGAACGCAGCAAGCCCACACTCCAATCTTCCCGAGATGTTATAGTCCAAGTTATGGCAACAGGCCTTTGTGGTTCAGACGTGAGTTACAACTTCCGATTTCCTCGTATTTTCGGTGTTTTAATGCGCTGGAAGCTAACAATCATTCCTTTACACACAGGTCCACTACTGGCAGCACGGCCGGATAGGGCGATACGTCGTTGAAGACCCCATAACGTTGGGCCACGAGTCAACCGGGATTGTGATCGAGAGCGGAAGCGACGCTCAAGGTGTAAAAGTCGGAGATCGTGTCGCTCTAGAACCAGGAATCGCCTGCAACACCTGCACCCATTGCCGCAGTGGCCGCTATAACCTCTGCCAGGCCATGCGCTTCGCCGCAACGCCCCCATACGACGGAACACTCGCCAGCTATTATCGCGTCCCCGCAGAATGCTGTTTCAAGTTGCCACCACATATCTCCCTGCGAGACGGCACTCTGATCGAGCCTCTCAGTGTCGCCGTGCATAGCTGTCGGCTGGCAGGCAACATGCAAGAGAAATCAGTCGTCATATTTGGAGCCGGGCCGGTTGGCTTGCTCTGCTGTGCCGTTGCACGAGCATTCGGCGCATCAACAGTAGTCGCAGTGGACGTTGTTCCGGCTCGGCTAAGTTCTGCGGTCAAATATGGTGCTACGCACACATACCAAATGAGCAGCGAAGCGGCGGACAAGAACGCGGAGGACTTGTTGACTGCTGCAGGGCTGCAGTCGGGTGCTGATATTGCCTTGGATGCGACCGGCGCAGAGCCCTGCTTGAACTGTGGTATTTTCGCCCTCACGCAGGGTGGAACTTTCGTTCAGGTCGGCTTGGGAAACCCGAATCTTTCCCTCCCAGTTGGTCAGATCTGTGATAAAGAGGTCGTGTTCAAAGGCAGCTTCCGATACGGACCTGGGGACTTCGAATTGGCTGTTGGATTGCTGGAATCACGTCGGGTCAGGCTGGATGGCCTCGTCACTCATGAGTTTCCTTTCGGAGAGGCGGAGCAGGCGTTCAATAATGTCGCCAGGAGAGTTGGGATTAAAAGTGTCATATATGGTCCAGGTGTTGATGAAGAAGTTGCAAATGCGGCTTCAGTATAGTGGTCAAATTGATGATGGCATGCATATAAAGGGCCTTTAATTATCGATGATGTTTGAGCGCAAACGCCCTCTTGATCCCATTTGTTCACAAATGTCCCACATAATTACCAATTATCTTTCAACTCCATTCCACGTCATATCCCATAACCAATATAGCCCCCCTTCAGTGCTATCCAGGTAGGTGTTTTCAACGATGCCCCGAGAGACCCCGGGCATGCTCCAATCATCCGGGGGCAGTTGCCATGAGCCATGGGACTGCGTGTTTGATTCAGCCAACTCAAGGTGTGGAAAATCATCTGCACCAGTAGTAATAGTGGCTGAAAGTTCCCCTGGGCCCAAAGCTAGATACCATACTGCATGAGCAAGATCTTCATCTTCAAATTATGGTGGAGGTAATAATAAAGCTTACCATATTGGACAGATGTCAAGCTATTGTTCAGGCGATCAGCCCTGCTGAGATCCGGCAATCTTTGGTCTCCCGCAAGAGGTTTACGTGAGTCCAGCGCTGCATCGAGCGGCATTCGAAGCGTGTCCTCAACGGAGATCGAGGATGGGTTTGTCATAGGTTGCATAGGGAGTTGACTTGTTCCTGTGATTGGAGCAAGCATGGTAGCCGATTCACGACGGAGGAGCATTATAACGACATTTTTCAACACAGCTGTGCTTTGTTTTGATAGTGCAGACCGTCTCCCAAGCAGATCTTGCAAGCGAAGGATACGAGTAATGGTTCGTTTCACTTCCTGTGCAGTATCTGAAAGAGGTTCAGAAAGAGCCATCACAGCCAACACAATTGCAGCGTTGAATAAGTTGATGGCAAGAAATGCAACGAGATGGCTGTCGGTTGCGAGCTGAGCAAGAGTAGGTAATTCTGTCACCCTTGATGTTCTAGTTGCCGCTTTCATCCATAAATCTGGGCTCGTGGTTTGAGTGCTGGGTAATGTAGGTTCCGAAGGTAAGCTCGGCTGGGCGACGGAGGGGCCTGTAGTCGAATGATACATCAAGGTATCTATATCGCCTTCCTTGGGCGTTCGTTGATCCGCAGTATAGAGGTGATCGACCTGTCGCGCTAATAAGGGTCGATGCAATACAATAAGAACATTGTCATATGTCAGTTGCAGCGACAGAGACTGCAAGGCATATGCTCTAGAGCTCGGTCCTCCATTGGGATCAAAGTCTCGATTGAGATTCAATGCCAAGTGAACCGGCAGGCAGGATCTCCATCTCTGTAGAGCTTGCGTGACGTGACCGACCAATGAAAAGTATGTATCTCCATCCAGTTTCTCGGTTCTGAGCATGCGTGAACCGAAAACAGTTTTGAGAGCAGGCGATGCAATCAGGTAGAGTTGGTTCAATTCCCGCTGGTAGGTTGAATAGCATATGGGATTAGCCTGTCCGGAAGATGGATCAACAAATTTCGGATTTTCAAAAACGTCTGCTGGCATATTATGATTGCAATCTTTGTCATTGATACTTAGCGGTCGGCCATAAGTTATTGACGCAAACCTGTCCCATGTGTATATCGTCCACCAGACTCGTTTTCTCTCCTCAACATCATCAAAGTCTCCACGCAAAAGCCCTCGATGCATCCCTAAAGACTGGGACATTTTGATGGTCGCCCCCAATAAAGAAAAGGAGAGATTCGGGCGGCCATGATAGACATGATGTGATCCTAGGAGGATACAGGTTTGAGCGGCAGTGACTGAAGGTGTATCCATCAATTCCACCAGATTTGACTCAACAAGCTTCACCAAGTCTGCACTTAATTTTCCCATGTCATAGCTGCTGTCGGTCATATCAGTGCCACTCCTCTGAGATCGATACCACGATGCCATTGCAAGAATCATCGCTAGCAACATAAGGAATGGCCTCTGTGAGGGGTATGCAGAGCCATCCGCAATAGAAAGGAGGCACTTCCGAAACTTAGGCTCATAAATTGCAAGAGAAAACCAATGTACGGCATCGAAATAATCTTCCAAGAGGCTGTATACAATTTCCACGGGAGGCAAAGGCTGACCCAGGATGGCGGATATTGGAACTCGTTGACCAGTTGTGGGCGAACTTGTAATAGGACCCCCAGTACTGGCCTGGTAGCCAGGAATGGCAGAAGTAGTTTGCTCATCAATGTGGTGGCTCCCAAGTCCACAGATTCTTCGAGCAATGCCTATAGCGGACTCGGCTTCACCACATTCGAGAGATTTATCCATACTTTGCTTGTCGGCGGGGAAGACATCATTATCCTCCCGAGAAGGCGCAGACACACTTTGGTCACGCATGCTTATATCATGCACGCCTGCATTGTGCGCAGGGCCATTTCTGCCCGGCCACTCTCCATTGGGAGTCACTGGCGTGATATGATTTTGGCGTCGACTCAATGTGTCTTTTTTTGGTCCAAGGCGCCTAATCCACGTAAGCATTGAAGAAACAATCCAACAAGTTAATGTTCCCGTGAAGCCTTACTTTGGCAAGTCTGCTCTCCGTGGACGGGCTGGCGATGTGAGTGGTCGACAATCAACATTGGCCCGGATACACACTGAACACGGTCGAACAGGATCACACTATATGGAACTCAGTATTTTCCTCATTGCTAAAAGCTGATCGAATCACGATCAAGGTATGGTTCTACCCGAGATTTATGGCGACGACATCTTTCACAAGCGCTCCTCACTCTGGTTGGCAAGGGTGACCGGACATAAGAGCTTTCAGAGTTAACTATATGGTTCATGATACAATGGAGGTGTCCGCGAAGTACTGAAGTCCATGAAGTTGTAGAAATGTCGGATATATCAGGCAGAAATAAGACTTTCGGCCAAGAAACTGGTCACGTTTCTGCTTTATTGTATCGTAAGAGGGGGTTTAAATGGGAGTTATCTGGGACTTTAAGAACTCATGTATAACTAATTCATACATATGTGTCAAGACGATAACATTCTATTCAGAGTCAACACATAGCCTCCAGGGCTGTATCAGGCATTGGATTAATAATGTGATATGCCGACGCGTGGCAATACTTCCGGTTCCTGAACATTCGACGAGTTGTGTTCTAACACCACGCACTGCTGTTATCCGCACACTATCGATAAGCAAAAAAATCGAAAAAGATCGCGGGGTTCATTCTTAACTTCATTGGAGAAAGTTCAAGATGGCCGAACCTTCTGTATATCCGTCCACACTGGACAGTGCCTTCGATGGCGCATCGCCCATCAAAGACCTCTTCGACCCGATCCGATTGACGTCAGACAACATCGTCCCAATCATCAACCTGCCCCTCTCTCAGCAGGTGTTGGGTCATGACTCGAATGAAGCTCTCGCACAAGTCGCAAGCGACGAAGTCTCCTACACCACGTTTGTCTCAGAGCAGGCCCGTTTGGCTCTTCAAGCCACCGATGACCAATCCACGGAACAGAAGCAATCGCAATTGTTGCACCTTGGTCTAGCAGCTTTGTTCAGCTTTCTACAGTCCAACGTCACCGGACCTCCACTAGAATTCAACTCAGCCGAGACCGTGTTGCCTTCCTCTCTTCGAACCGACCCCACAATTCTCAAGGCTGTGAGGGCAAAGATTATCCGTGACCTGTCAGTGGACGGAGAAGCAGCATACAGGCTCACACCCAACCCCGAGTTGTTTGCTGTCGCTAAAGCCCTGCTGGTCGATGCAGCTATCGATGGACCACTGCTGGCAAAGACTGCACGCATGCGAACCAACTTCCTCCACCAAAAGATGCTCTCGGAGGTTACGAGCACCTTGCAAGATGTGATCTACAAAGATGTGGAGGTTCTGGACAAGGCCGAGTTGAATGCCAATGAGAGGAGTCGCTTCTTGTTAGAAAGGGCCATTATCCACACGCATCATAGCTTCGATGTAAAGGCACGCGAGGACATTGACCAGGCAGCCAAGGTACGGAACTTTGAGTTTGCCTTGACCGGTAAGATGGGCAAGCGCACAAAGTTCCAAGATCGCGATATCAGTCAGCTGGTGGTACTCGCCAAGAGTGCCGATGAGACATCACAATCTTCCGAGCCCTCCGGTCCCAAAAAGTTGGATCTGAACGATGACACACTTCTTGAGTCCATCTCTTTCTCTGACCAAAAGCCCGACGAACAATCTTTGGCAATTCAGGATACAGTTTCAGCTTCCTTGTCTTCTATCGATGCCAACAACCAGCCCATCCTCAACCCGGTGGATTCAGCAATTTTGCTGGCCCTGGCATCTGCTATCACAAATACCGCCCCCGAGAACGGTCTCACCCGTGAAGAAACAAACCCCTACGCTATTAGAGTCCTTGAAGGTGGCAGCTCCAACTGGCAAATTTATACACAGGCACTTCTGGTCCGCAGTCGTGTAGAGGGCTACCGCTCGCGTACAGTCGAGCGAGCTGTGTTGCAGATGCAGGCATTGGTGGATCAGGTCATTGCAGACACCGCAACTAGCGACGAGGCAGCCCAGAATGAATCAGGCGAGCCTTCCACTTTCCTTCCGCGCCCTGAGCAGTCCGAGTCTGCCCCTGCCGCTGACCGACTTGAACACATCTGGATTCTCAACTTCTCAACTCGATGGAGCCTCGAGGCTGAACTTGCTAAGCGCTGGGTTGACTTGGGTGGTCTCCGCACCGCGCTCGAAATCTACGAGAGACTTAGAATGTGGGCTGAAGCCGCGCTCTGCTACGCCGCCACCGAGCGTGAAGGCAAGGCAAAGAAGCTCATTCGCCGCCAGCTCTACCAAGCTACTGGCCCAGATGAAAATGACGAAAATGAACAATTCGAGGGACCAGAGCGCTCGCCATTGCCTGCAGATGCACCGCGTCTGTTCTGCATTTTGGGAGATATTGACAAGGATGAAACGCTTTGGGAGCGCGCCTGGGAGGTCTCGGGTGAGCGATACGCCCGTGCCCAACGCTCTCTAGCTCGCCACTACCTCACCGCCACCCCACCGGATCTGGAGAAGGCAGAGGCATCGTACAAAAAGAGTTTGCACATCAACCGTCTGAATCACGGCGCCTGGTTCGCCCTCGGATGTGTGCAACTTGAACTCCAAAAATGGGACGAGGCAACCGATACATTCACTCGCACCGTTCAGCTAGATGACACAGATGGTCAAGCGTGGAGCAACCTCGCAGCCGCGATGCTTCGCACTTCCGCGCCAGAATCTAGCCCCGACACAGTGGACGAAGTCACAGGCGAGACCCCTGCCGACGTAGACCCCTACAAGCGTAAACGCGAGGCCCTCGCCGCGCTTCAACGTGCAGCACAGCTCAAGGGAACTGACGCCCGCATCTGGGACAATGTTCTGACCGTGGCTGCTTCTATCCCGCCGCCGGCGACGCCATTCCGCGAGGTGATCACCGCCCAAAAGCGGATCATCGAGTTGATCGGTGCGAAGAACGGTGAGAAGTGCATCGACGTGCGTATTCTGGGCTTGCTGGTCGAATTCCTCAACACGGCTTTCGATTACGAGGATCTCCTCATCCGCTCTGAGGATGCGTCCGAGGCCCCGATTGTTCGCACGGGCACACTTGCCGGTCAGATTCTCTCCCTGGTAGACGACAATGTCGTCCCGCTCATCACTCACTCGGCGGTTTTGTGGCTCATTGTTGCTCGCGTTGAGGTTTTCCGTGGTCGTCCGGCTAAGGCATTCGAGGCTCATGAGAAGGCGTGGCGTGCTACCGTCGCTGCTAATGCTCAGGGTGCTTTCCAGATGGGCGATGAGAAGCCTTGGCTTGAGGTTGTCCGTGCTACGGAGAAGCTTGTGCGCGATGGATATGCCAAGTTTGGTCCCATGGACCGTGAGGGTCAGACGCTTGCGGACGATCAGGAGGCCGAGCTTGTTGCTAAGGGCTGGCGTTTCAAGGCCAGAAGTGCTGTTCGAGGTATTTTGGGTAAGGGTAAAGACTTCTGGGATGGAACAGAGGGATGGGATCGTCTGAAGGAGTTGCAGTCCGAAGTTACGGGAAATTAGTACATACGAAACTGGATGGTGTACACGAATCATAGAGAACCTGCTCATTGCATTTTGATGTCTTCATGTTTGAGTTTAGCAAATACCAAAGCAAGGGATTCATCTGGCTTTTTGTACCCTCGGTGAAGTTATCTCGCTTCCATTTTTCTCTTCACCATCCCACAGAAACTTTCAAATAGAACGGTGTCCGTCCCTTGAGCCCACCGCACCAAAGTCTGAACCTTCTGTTCCTCTGGTTTGTCTCCTTGGGTCAGGCGTAGATACACACGTACACCTAGTGCTACTTTGTCTGGAATCTCCTTCAACTTGACTGCATTCTTATCCCCGGCAAGCTTCATCTTCCGCCGCGCCTGTCTTGACCAGACATTTTCGGAGGCGAATCCTGTGCCCGCAGAACTATGCTGATCCCAGCTCCAATACCAAGGTAGAGAAGCGAGCTCTTTGTTTAGGATGACACTGGATGCATCGATAGACGTATCAGCTGGAAGTGTGAACGTGTAGTCAGCTGGAAATGGAAAAAGACTTTTGGGCAAACTAGGGATTCCTCTCGCCACATCCTAGTGTTTGATTAGATTTGACAACCCACGGACAGTTCAGAAACCGGGCAAAGATCTGACTTACCATAGTAGGTCTTCGATCTCCCCAAGACCACGCCAATGCCCACCGTTTCGTCTTGCTCCCTTGCTCAAACTCGGTGACCGCGAAATTATGGTTACCGTGCTTGACCAATGTCTCAACAAGAACAGAAATGCTGCTCAGCTTTCCTAGCATGGATGTATACCACTGAATGCGGCCACGCAGATGCAGGCTTTCGTCGATCATTTTTCTCACAAAATCAACTTCCCCACCGTGGGTCACCATTTCCACCTCGGCGCCAGTGCATGCCTGGATGCAAGGTAAGCACAGTACATGAAGTTTAGTTTGTGCCGGAGGCGTGATTGTCGTGCAGTAGAATCCAAGAGGAGGATACCACTTACTGAAAAGGGAGGTCGTTTTTTCTGTTTAGCGCATTCAATTAATTCATTGCGCGATGTGTAGAAAGGTGGGTTGCACATGGTGAAGTCGAGGCTAGTGAGTGGTCAGAGATAATCTTTGCTGGACATCCCGAAAAACCTACGTTTCATGGCCGAGTTTCTCGAGCGGAAAGAGTGGGCCATCGGGATCGGAATTTATAATTCGAATCCGTGAGTCGAGATTATTCAAGGTAACATTATGCTGAGAGGTACGGAGGTTGTCCGGGTCAATATCTATCACGACGATCAGTGGATGCTGAAGATTATCGGTCACAAGAACATACCAGTGGCTACAAACTTCCAACCGGGCCGTGTTGTGCAGCCTAAGAGAGGGTAAATCCCGATACATCCCGTTCCGCTGCACCTTGTTAGACAAGGTTCGGAGAGGGGGGACCGGGGACGGACGTACATGTCAAGGCCGACAACTTCTCTATCTCTATCGTACCCCTCACTCAATCCTCCTGCAGTCGAGTCGATAAGGGCTTGAAGCCAGAGAATGTAGTTGAGTCTAATCTGCGCGTCAGACACATCCTTGTAAAACTGATGTCGTCAGTGGCGACGACATACCTATTTGGAACCTAGACGCCGGGTCAGTCTTGCGCACACACAAGTGATAATATGTACATGCATACCGGCGGACATAGCCGATCTTCGGGAATTTCAACTTTAAGATGAAAGTCCTGTTGCAGCAGGGTTGTAGTGAGCTGGCTGCACGCCAAGTCAGATCCACTTCCTCTCGGGATGTCAGGCACTAGGCTCCGCTGACTTACCGGACAGCGGCTGGATCGGTAAAGTCCAGCTGGTTGTTTGGTTTCAAGCTATGAACGATCAGTACTAGTGACTTGCATGGTTGGCACAGGCCATTTCACGTACTACTTAGCGAAGTCGCGCGATTGTAGCGCCAAGGCTGCAAAATCAACATCTTTCTTGTAAAGGTTGTGGGCATGTTCCATGATTGAGTTTGGGGTCCAGGCGAGGTAGGATTCACTTTGTGGGTCTGCACATTGCTTTCGGGCTTATCTGATGAAAAATGATGGTTGGTTACAGAAGAGAAATCAACCCCGACGGCTTAACATTGATTGACGTATCATGTGACTAAATGGACCCTGATTTCAGCAAACTTGTAAGTCCTTGGGTAAACGTTTACCATTATGCAACGACTTTTGTTCGGTAGTAAATGTTCTTTTTGATTGATATCTACCATCCATCGTTTACAACAGAAGTTTGGAACACACATTGAAAAGCCGAAAGCCATGAAGATGCGGCCATATTTCAAATATCTAAATATATGTGCAGCCAAAATAATAACAAATATTCGCCAAAAGTATTCAAGAAAGAAGTGAAATCATATATGCACCGCTTTGCACCAAGAAGTCAAACCCAAATCATCAAGTCATGAAAGTGATGGGTTTCGGTGCCCAATCTATATCCTTTTTTCCACCTAAAATCCAGAATATCCAAAATATTCCAATATTATCTCCCATCGAAGTTGTTGAACTCAGACTTTGTTCTCTTTCTTTTGGAATCGCTCGTGTCGCTCGAGACGCCATCCATAGCCCCACTTCATCTCAACCATCAAAAGGGGAACCATAGCAATTGTAATGCCAGCGAGCATGAGGAAAGCATACTGAGCAGTGATTGCATCAATGATGGGCTGCACAGCTGCAACACCTCCAGCGCCAATTAAACATCTCATCAAGTTGTTGACAGCTGTTGCACTGGCACTAGCACCAGGGTACAAGTCAATAACCAGAGCGCTGTTGATGGTGAAGATGGCGGTGGAGCCGTAGGCGATGATGAACTGCAGGATGATGGGGACTGCAAGATGGGCACGGAGAGAAACTCCATAAACAGCGACACAAACGATGAAGATAGCAGTAATCCACCATGTGTTGCGCATACGGGCGTACTCGATGGGGAAGTCGGGGTGGGACTTGGAGTTGATGCGCGTGTCAATAGGAAGGTTATGTTGCTGGCAGTATTCGCGTTCGGTCCGCTTGTGGTTGTAGTCCATCAAATAACCGATTGTGTAGGAGCCAGTCATGCAACCGAAGCCATTTCCAAGGAAGGTCAGGCCGACCTCCATGGAGTTCAAACCGTATTTTTCTTCAAACAAGGCGGAAGTCGAGGAGGTGACCATCGACCAGACGGTGTACACGATACTGCCGAAGAACAAGGTGATGAAGACATCTTTCTCGCCGAGGAAAGTGAGTGGTGCCAACACGGTCTTGAAAGTAACCTTGGCCTTCTTCCCTATGGGTGCTGAGCTCTCTTCGGCATCTTTTTGGCCGGTAATTGAGTATATGAATGGCTTGTGGATGCCTTTGAGGGGAACAGTGCCGTTTCCAGCGATCGAGCGAAGTGTTTCCGGTAGGAAAACCAGGATGGATAGGAGACTGATTCCAGATACAATCACTAGGAACCAGAAGATAGACCGAAACCCAAGATATTGAGATAGGATACCGCCAAATACTGGTCCGACTCCTTGGCCCAACATGCGCACTAAGTGATATTAGCTTGGAGCATACAGTATTTGAGCGAATAACTTACCACCACCGAAAATTCCAATCAAGCTGCCTCTTTCCGCAGAGGTGGTGATATCGCCAATGACACCGGCACCAATGGAGATAGTGGCGGCACTCCCAGCGGCCTGCAAAGCGCGGAAGGCCATGAGCTCGCCATAGTTGTCAGAGACAGCCAAAGCAATGTTGGCAATGATGTATACACCGAATGTTCCAATAAAGATTACACGACGGCCCAATACATCGGAGAATGAGCCCCAAAAGCTTGGGGCAATGCCCTGCACAATCATGTATATCGTAATGGTGAGGGTGGCTAATGACATTGAGACGTCGAGCTCCTGCAACGGTGTGAGCGTCAAATTGTTGCGATGATTGTTTGAACAATGAACTTACCCTTGAAATATCCGAAAGGGCAGGGAAGTAAATGTTGGAAGATAACGGAGAGAAGATGGCAGCGAGAGAGACGATGCAAACCATCTGCAACTTGCGAGATCGAGGGAAGACATGATATGGTGGTGGCGCGGGGGTTTGACTTTCGAGGTTGATCGACTCTGCTGGTGTTGATGGTACACTTATGTCCTTCTCGTCCCGAGGTGAAAGGTTAGGGCTTGAGTCAACAGAACGTGTGGTAACCCTAGGGTCTTTGAGTGTTTCAGTCGAACTGAATTGAGACAAAGTCATGATGGATTATTATTATAAACAATAAAATCACGTTGAATATATCCAATGACAAATGATTATTGACAACAGAAGTGGGAATATAATTTCATCGGGCTAAAGAGTTTTGAAGGTCTAGAAGTCTCTTCCATGGAATCCAAGCACCCTTTTGTATCTCAATTCTAGCACGAAACCCCTATAGCGGCTATCATTAAAAAGAAAACACAAAATATTCAGCGGACCCATGCATCTGAGAGTCAACTAAACGTGCTCCACTGTGGGTATGACCAGTGGGGCCACTACACCCTCCCCTTGATGGTTGAAAATGGCAAGGATCCGACTGATCTGGTAAAATCGACGTCGCTCAATTTGACACGTACGGGTCATGATCCGCACTTGGAATACTCAATGTTCTAGCTTGAAATTCCTTAATGACACACATACGAATGGTCTATGTATGTCTCTAGCGTGCACTGGTCGTGTATCTACTGTGTCACCTCTAAGCCTCTCTGGCTGACGTCTACCCTAGGGAAAGCGCATTCTTGAACTCCCCACGAGTTATTCGGGTGCATGTTTGACTACAGGTGAACAGTGCTGTGACCTAGACTTCGTAGGGCGAATTCTATTACCCACTGTAATTCCTGTTCCAAAACGCGTGTACAGTACATTACAAATGATCTGCATAGCATGTGCAGCACAAGTCTGAATTCAACCATTAGATTTCCAATCGGAGAAAAAGCAAAAGGCGTCGGAAGAAGAAGGGCTCTGATGCTTGCTCTCGATCTAATCACTTATCTTGTACCTTGCAATCTTGATCCTTCCCGATTCCTTCTGGGTGCCGAACACCTGCAGGCAACTTAGGATGTATGATAAGCTAAACAATTGAGCTGATCATACTTGCGACGCCAAGACTTGGCAGACTGGATATCTTGGATAACATCTAGACCGTACCTGTAAAAGAAGAGCCTGAAACTCGAGTTCTTTTTCCAGAGCTCGAATTCCCCACGTGTGGAATATTACCCAGTGTGACAATTATCTGTCAACCGAATGCCAAGCTTCGTCATGTTGACTATCTGTCATTGCTTCAGGATGAATCATTGGACAAAAAACGCCATTGACTTACGTAGACATTCTCCTTAGATCTATAATCTGTATAGGGGTGTTGACCCTTGCTTCTCATAGAGCCCAACTCACCAATGAGAGCCTCGGAAAGGGGGCGGCTGGGTACAGGGTTTAAAACCTAATGACGGATGCATTGTGATTTGAGATAAGCATTACCGGCAAGCTATCTGACCAATGTAGCTTCAATTCCAGTTCGGAGTGATCATAGGTGGACCGGGGGGTGAGGAATGCATCCAAGATTTCTAGCTTTGACGCTTGACAAAAGATACAAGTGCATAAATGGTGATTGTCGATCCTCTTGTACAAGTTGAATTAAATTTCTTGTTTTATTATTCTTTTTATCTTTTTTTTTTATCTTTCAGTACTTTGTTCTTTTAAATGGCTTGAATATAGTTTTTCTATCAGGTCCACTGATGAGCACTAATGAAGCCACGCGCAAACCCGCCTAGATTCCATAGCGGGCCTGCCAAGACCTCGTCATCGTCTGCGATTGATCGTTGAACTGCAAATCCTCACGTATTGAACGTTCAATCTCATACTTTCGGAGTGTTTTTTCCCTCGGGATTCTACAGCTCGGTTAAGGCTGATCAAGGCTGAACAGGGCTGGCTAAGGCTGAATGAAATTAACTTGGCAATTTGAAAGATCTCAATTCTGCTCTTCGGCCCTCAATTTTGATGCCCAACGCCAAGCCCGTTGTTGTATGGCGAAAGTACCCTTGTACTTCTTCCTAAGTCTCTCAAAGCCGCGACCGCCGCTCCGAGAGGGTCCCGTCTCTCCATTTCTCGGGTAACCGAATATATTACTCTGTTTTAGTTGGTCGCATTGGTAGATTGGCCCGACATCCAACCCGGATTGAAGGTGCGACATCTCCACTTCTGATCAACATAGGGGTCTGGAACTTTTTCTCTCTCTGTGTGTGTCGCTTGAGTTATGGTTGCAGTCTGACTAGTCTGGCTCTGGAAACCTCCGAATCACATCATCATCCATACAAGCAGCAGTCTCAGAGTGTAGGTTGAGGTCCCAGGCTACTGGACCCCGAAGACGTTAGATGGTGATATTTAATCACGTACAGAATTGATTACCCGTCGTTTTAGGACAACGCACTGAGAAAATATACGTTATACGGATGAAGGATATCAACGGGCGTCTCCTCAGTTTGGTAGATCCCGGCCCCACCAAGGTGAGAGGCGTGTTAAGAATTAATCTATAACGTTTGTATTCATTCACCTATGCTTTTCATGTGATTCCCTCAATCCCTCCAATCATATTGTAATTCACAAATCAACCAAGGTGGCTCTCATCAGATAAGACCTTTTAATTTGTATTCTCTGTTTGATTTCTGTATTCTTATTTTATTAGCTTCTGTTTCAAATGGTGACTGTCATGTCAGGGGGATCTACTGAGATCTGCCAGAAGTCAGTGAGAAAGCCACAGTGGAGAGAAGCTATTGTTTCACGGAATTCTCCAAAATAAACTATATGGATGAATAGTAAATAGAATAAAAGAATATATCTGCCTGTATTACGAACCTATGAGGCTGTGTTCAATCTATTTGGCATGGTGCTTCCAATAAAGCGCTTGGACCAAGGGATTTGCAGATCTAACGCAGCCCCTGTCTTTCCCGACGGACTCCATCTAAATAGAATCTTGGCTTACACAAGCTGATATGAAGCATTCCAGGGCGTTCCGGGAAGAATGCAAGCTAGTCTCACGCAAAAACTAATGCCGTCACCGCAGAATTCAAAACTCAAAACCTCACTCCTGTTCAATTCGCCAATTATTTATTGAATCTACCTCTTGGTCCGCGACAAATGTCAGGATCGTAGCTCCAAATGAGCGAGTCCACTCCACTAAGTTTCAATTTTGGGCAGCCCAATAGACCTGTCGACCCGAAATGAAAGTTCCATACAATGCAATATTGTATGGAACCCTGTGGACTGGGACACGCGCGGTCTCTGGCACGAATGCAAAGGGTTGACCCTACAGGGCGTCTCAGAACGCCCCTGATCGTCGACATATGAGCATTGTATGTGGACCTGGCGATTGCGTGAGATGAGCTGTGACCATGGGAATTGCAACTCGGCGAGGTGATGTGGGTATATGGATGCATATGCATATCTCCAATAATGACTCGGACACAGTTTTTAATGAGTTATACTACACTATGCCAGGTATCAACTAACCAGCAAATCAAAATCTCGGCTGCTTTACTTTTTCCTCGTGCTCATCTAACTCGTGCATACCGTTGGATAAAGATCTTGGTCTTCTTGGCATCGCAAAAGTGAGGACTTGGCGTTGTGGGCTTTGTCGGACCTCTCGGGACGTTTGTAAACTCCATGCGAGACGGTGTGAAGGATTGCAAAACTGGTAAGCTAGGGTCACTAAGGTCATCTGGAAAATTGCGTACGTATATCTTGTCGGTAGGTGTAGGCTGCTAGTCTCATGTTTCTTCTGTTGAGACGTTCGTCAAAGCTTTCAAATTATTCGTGAACTCAATCAGTAGTGAAGCTCTATACCTTCCTTGCTTCAAGTCTAACTTTCATCAAATGGTTTCTATACATTTGTCGTTCGTGAAAACCAAGGCTCTTCTAACCACAATAATGAGTCTAGAGAACGGTCCATGGATATCCTCCAGGGCTCGCCGTGATATGACGTTTACACCGCTGCTTGCACCTACTTCATATAGAATCCTTGGAACAAATTCCAATTAACCTATTGCCCCAATTGCAGTACGTCCCGAAACTGGTGCAATTGCCTACACTCTTTAAGTGATTATTTAGCCCCACTGCCAAGAAATGCTAGTCTATATTTGGGATTCTTCCGACAGCTGCATGGGTATTTCCTCGTACGAACGTTACATAGTAATTTCAAGTATGTATTAGCATGTAAATTTCAATACATGTGACACCTTCATGCCCTACGACATGAGGGGCCGCAACTTACTGATGGGCCACCGAGAGCCAACCAAACCGAAGGGGCATGCATTAGCTCCGAGGGTCACGTGCAACGGAACAGGTACCCCAGAACTACGGGCTGAGAAACACTCAGGACAAGGCGCAGGAACAGGCGTTCTTTCTACCGTCACCTACATTACTGAAGCAAATACTACTATAGCATATAAAAGAAAATCTGGTTATACACTAGAACCTCAATATATCCGTTAAAGAGAAGCCGGTTATGAATATCGACGATCTGTATATTGTCCTCCACCACTATTGGATAAAAGATAAAACACCCTATTCTGACAGAAGACAGATCATATAGCTAGTGTATCAGTATATACCGGTAGTCAACCAGGAGCTTTGGTCTATATTGAGAGAAACAAGAAAACTAATATCTAGTATTTCTTCGGTTATATTGATAAAGATAAGATAGCACCTAAAGATCAATAGAACCTAAGGCATAAGAATCTGAAAACTCTTTATTGCAGGCAAATTAGTTTGATTCTGCTAGTAGGATGTAAGTGATAACAACCCAATCTATTCAGAAACGTCGCTTCGGAATTTTGAGCGAGATACTGTCGATAACTTTGTCGAAAAGATTATTATACTTTGTGGGACGATGATGCCCTTTGCCATGAGTTTGGGACCCAAGGCCGAGTGACTTTCTATGATCGTGCGAATCCATCTGAAACTCTGCTAGTGAACAGCTTGGGGCAAATGAGTCTTCAGGATACGCAGACACCCCAAAGACCGGCGAACACTAGGCATGGAAGACGCAGAGGGCAAGCGAGAGGAGCAGCGCAGAGACAGAAGGGGGATGGCACTTCACGAAAACGCAATCGAGGCGCCGACCAATTCTGCGTGCACCACGTGGCAGACGAAATACAAACACCGGTGTATGCAGTGGAGTTCAAAGCGCCGCACAAGGTGACAATCCCCGAATTTGTGGCGGGTTTACACCAGATGCATCTGGCCCAGGATGTCATTGACAAGAATGGCGAAACATTTGAATTGTATGCTACCCGCCTCGTCGCCGCCGTGGTCACTCAGATTTTCTCATACATGATTGACAGTGGAGTTCGATACTGCTATATCTGAACGGGAGAGGCTTTTATTTTCCTTAGGATCCCAAAGAATGACCCCACAATTGTTCAATACTACTTGTGTATCCTGAATCAAGACGTGCAGGCGGGTGAAAAGAACGAATGTGGCGCGTGGAAAACCCGAATAGATTACTGAATGAGCATTTGAAACTCCATAGAAAAATCTGAGTGGGCAAAAAACCGGATCCTGCCAATTTCTCGTATGCCTTGATCTTATGCTCATCGCTACGAAAGCCTTAAAGTTGGTCCGCTAGATAACGCCTCTTACACACTACCATCTTCCGTCGTAAACCCCGGCTTTCTCCTCTTTATTTCCACATTAACGGACGGATCTGATATGAGTAGAGGACCATAAGTCATCACCCTCGCTTTTGGTCCGATTGACCTGAAGTCGTAGTTCAAGAGCAGGTGGCAGAGGGTGATTTTGAGCACATTTGAAGCGAAGAACCGGCCTGGGCACGCTGAGCGACCATGTCCAAATCCCATATGGTCAGGAGCGGTAGAAACGAACAGCGCTCGGTTCCTGGTCTTTTGGTCCAAGCTTTCCCTCATTCGGAGAAACCTACGGCCATCAAAAACGTCTGGCTGAGGGTACACAGAAGAGTCCCACATGCGGCTACATGACACGCTTGACAATGTTCCCTCCGGTAGTAGTGTTCCATCACGAAGTCGAACATCCTCAAGAGCAAGGCGCCGCATCGAAACTAATTTAACCGAAAATTGATTAGTACTGAGGGACTTCAATGCCCACTATTTGTTATGGATTGATGGGTGGGACAGCAAACCTAGTGATAGTGGCTTCAGCCGTTGGCTTTCCTTCATCACGCTGTCCATGAGTTTCAGTTCGTGCAAGGCGCCTTTTTCCCACCCTCGTTCCTTGATGACAGCAGTCACCTCTGCTCTAAGTTCATTAACCAATTCATCATCCTCACAGAGGTCAACAATTAACTGAGTCAGGAAGTCTGTGCTTGTAGAGATGGCAGCTCCAGAGAAGGCGAGTTGTACGACAACCGGATTATACCCCGATTGCCCTGCTGCTTCCTCTGCCCATTGCATCACGTCAGAGAAGACCAAATGCGGTTCAGACTTTCGTTTCTTGATAGCATCATGGATGATTCTCTGTGCTTTGTCGAATTCCGCTTGCGTTTCTCGGCATGGTTTCAGCATTCTCCACACTAAGGGGACTAGAAATCTTGGCCATGGACGAACTGCTTTTTCTGCAGTGAAAGCGTGGGCGGTGTACTTAGTCAAGACTTGCAACCAAGTGGCATCGCGGCATAAATGTTCGCCGACAAATACCCGTGACGTGATTTGCGCCAAAATCATCATGATACTATCTTTTAGTGGAACTCTGCGCCAATCTTGATATATGTCAGTGCTATGATTCTTAGATTTCTGTTTGCGTGTGGTTTAGTCCATTACCGTTGCAGTTGTCCCAGTGCGCTCTGAAAGCGAGCGTTGCCTCCTCAGCCAGCGGTATAGTCACCTTTTCTAGAATTCGATTAGCATCAAACCAATGTATGAATAAAGATGCCGAAGTCATGTGTCATATAACATTTGAACAAAGGCGTGGACATACGAAGAGTTCGTGTAAGTTTTGTCCGGATCATGAATGCTACAAGCTCCCCATCTTTACAAGCACCATTGAATGGCTGGAAACAATCAAGAGCCACGCTGAACTCCTAAGAAAAAAATTCAAGAAAATTCATATCAGCCTCAAGTGTTTGAGCGAGTGAGCGCAGAGTATACCCCTTAGGGTTTACCTTTTCAAATCCCTTGGCCAGATTCAGATTCTTATTATCGTGGATATCATCTGCGAATTTGGGATTTAAGACGAAGGAGATGCCACCCATCGATGCTAGGTGAAACCCAGTGGGAGACTACAGGGAGTAGTCAGATTCAAATCAGCTCAATTGTGCGATCAACCAAAGGGGAACAAGTAGTAGGGCCAGAAGGCTATATGATGCCCTTTCTTCATGAACCCAAAGAATCTCAGGGTTTATAGCTAACCTTAGCTAGCCCATCTTGAAGCAGCCTGAACGCTTCTGTAACATGTAGACGTAGGCTGTGTTTTTTTGGTGCTTTTTCTGACCGATCATCGTGGACAATCGGGAATTGAGACAATGGTTGGGGTTTGAGAATGGTTTGTAGCCAGCCGAGTCCGATGATAATCGGAATGCCAAACCAGATAAGGTAGGATAAAGGAGCTTCAAGGAACGCTACAGACATCGTGGTTGTGAAGGCACGATCGAGCAGTTTTTGACTTTCAAGTTAAGACAAGTGATGACCTGGAAACTGTGTTATAGGTATAACACCCGGGGGCATAGGTACAGACACTAGATGAAGATTCCATACAAGCCCTATATGGGTATGAAGAAACCTTTAATAGTCCCCCCTTGCGTATCTCAACAATTTTCTAGGTATTTAGCGATGGCTCAAGACTCGACATGATGAAAATAAGCGGTGAAAAGATTTTTGATGCTTGAAAAAAGCACCTTCCCTCCCTTGCAGTTACAGTTACACGAATTGTTAATTAATGCGATCGCAGACCCTTGATCGGGGCCGTGTTTTGTGAATACGTCTTTCGGTCCGTCTATGGATAAGAGCTATCAAAACTTTCGCCAACATCCCCCAAGTGATAGATCAGCGAAGGACATGACATTATCTCATTTAAGCGAAGCTAGGACAAGATAAAGGGGACATAGAGTTGATGTAAGGGATAGAAGACCACATTTCTATTCCATGTATGTATGTTAGACTCTGCTGCTTTAGGGAAGAAACGTGCAAAACAAAAGTTGCCCGTGGTTTACTACGACCCGACCCAACCTACGAGTCGGGTTTCGTGGGCGCGGGCGGGTTTGGGTGAGGCTTACTCGGGTACAAGACAAGCAAGTTAATTTACCCAGGGGTGGACAAATGAGCGGTCACAATCAGCGCGAGACTGAGGCAGGTGAGAAAGCGAGAAATTGCAAATACGTTAAGCAAGGTAAGCAAGCACTTTATATAAACTTTCTTTAGGTTCGAAATCTTGCAATCTATATCAAGGCGAGCCCTTAGCGCTAGGCTTCGGCGATCTTTTCTCGGGCGGCTTTCATTCTTTCCAGTTGCTGGATACGAAGGTTTGTTGCCGAGAGATTTACCGAGAGATCTTCCCCTGGAGTGGGTGATCTTGCTTGGGTTGAGGTACCCACAGCGGGGGGGCTCCGGGCCGTAGCGGATAGAGTTCGGCGGGTGAACCATCCTTCCTTGGGTAGTCAGGTGTAGAAGGATTAGAATTGTTAAGGCAAAAAATATTGACTAGGCAAGGTTGAAGATGTCTCACAAAAGTATGTTGCAATATGGACAAAGACTATTCCTTGAGGAATAAACCTATTCCTCAATTGCACTGCTTATATACAGGAGGGGGCAAACCCCTGACTTAGCGAGTCATGCAGCTGCTTTCCAGGGCAGAATCGATATGCAATCGGTGCCATACCGCCCTGGTCTGACATCTCGATTAGGCCGTAACACTAAGCTAAAAAAATTTCTCCAAGATATCCTAAGATAGGGTCAGTATCAGTATACGGCGGGGCCGATCACCCCTAGGGACGAGATCTGTCTCCGTTTTCACCTCTACCACCCAGTCTGCAAAGTTCTTACCTATATCACCCACACTCACCTAGCGTAAAGCAGTCACCGCTCTAGTATAGTAGGGCTTCACAAAGTGTTAACCATGCTGATATACTGGGGCTTAAATGCGGCCAGTAGTCGGTGGGTGCCGTGTTCAATCTTGCTCAGTCTCGCAAAACGATAGCGAGTCCCCTAATAGTCGAGTTTAGACTAGTTAACACTAGGCCAAATATAGAGAAAGCTATAATAGTAAAGCGTATCCAAACTATATTCCGGGTAGGAGAGTTTGTTATTATGAGTAGGCTATGTTGAAGCCATTTAGGTGGTGCCTTGATTTAAATTTCATATAATGGTAGAGTTAAAGATAAGCAGTATCACAGAAGGTCCGTCAAAGTCCCTTGGCATATTTTATATATGCTCTGTAGCGTCTGTGAGCGGAGCGTCCTATCCAGATCCAGGCAACACCTAGTGCACCTGAAGAGGCTTTGCATTTTTCGTTACCACTTTATCACAGAAATTTATGGTCCCGCACTAGAAGTATTGGACTTCCTAGGACCAGAACTTATGTCTCCTGGGTGCAAAAGTGCCCTAGGAGATACATCGTGGCTCCTAGAGCTCCTAGGAGCGATCGCGAGCAGCAAAGCGCTTATCATCGGAGGAAGTGAAACAAAAAAGAAGCATGTTGTGAGCCAGCCGCAGCATTCAGGGTTGCTCATGGTCGCTCAGGGAGCAGCTCAGGGCGGTGGGGGACTAACTCAGGTTTTGGCTCCGGGAGCCCGAGGCGGCAGTGTTACCGTCACCTATATTGCTAATACAGTTATAAGACTTGGCAGCGTATTTTAACCAAGGTAAATTACGGTATCAAGACTGGTACAGGAATATTGTTATCCCGAATATGTTCCAAATAGGGTCTAGCGCTTCTTGGCAGTTGGGCTAAATAGTCACTCAAAGAGTGTAGGGGTTGCACCAGTTTCGGGACGTACTGTACTATCAAACTATGATAGTAGAATTTAAGTAATTATCTTGTTTTTCCTTTTTTACCCCTCGGGTCTTCTTAGGTGCGGATGTATATATATCAAACCTTGGCTCGGGTGCGCCGCTTCAGATAACGAATTCAGAAAGCATGAAGAAAGAGGATCGATGTAGCTAGTGTTGTGAGACTGTTTACATGTCATCGTATCTATTATATCCTATACCTAGGTACTATTTCATCTCCTACGAGGTTAAGTTGTTCATAGGTTCAAGTTCATATGGTTCTTACCTTTCGCCTTCCAAACAATTGATCCCTGACACCAATATCATGATGGCATACAATATATAAATATCTTCCATTCCCAAAGGATAATTTATTGAAACATTTTTTGATGATGCCTTGCGATGTGCTATAATTATCTAGGTATTCGCATATGCTAGGTAAAAGCCAAATTTTTGTTTAAATCAATAATTTTGTGCAAGAATGTGTTATTAATATCAACTGAGAGCTATATACATTTGTCAAGCCACAACTAAACAGAAAGCTTCTCTCAGAGCCCAGCTGCCTGCCTTTGTGACCGTATGAGATGTGCAGGGCAAGCATAGGCTCCACATCGTGGATTTCCATTCATCTTGATGATAACGTCGTTCGCATATTGCACGAACTTCCAAAGCTTTGACTTTGACCAAATTTTCATGCACAGACTGATCAGAATCTTGACGACACGGAAGTCACCCCGACGACCAAAACATGGGTATCGGTGTTTCAGAATAGATGTACCACGCCCCAACCAGTGATAAGGTCACGGGGGCGATGGTGGGTGAGATTCAAGAAGTGGTTTCTGGGTCACCAGCTGAGCGAGGCGAGACACACCACGTATAGTATAGAGGTCGAGATTAAAGCGGTGGCTCAAGCCCCATGAGGGATTGCGAGTGGGATCGTGCGTGGTGCTCATGGATAATCCCATTTGCTTCTCTCTCTTATTTTAGAGGAGCATAGATGAAATGACACACAAGCGATTGAATGAGTTCAAGCATGGAAAAAGGCCCATTCTTAGGGATCGCTTTGCTTAGCGCTTGCCGCCCCTGGATTTGGGCTTGCCTTTTCCCCTTCCACCCATCATACGGCGCCCGGAAGCCTGAACATTTGCAATGTCTTGCTTGTTAAGGTTCAAAGTGCCTCCAGAGAACTTGCCGACGGAGGCTCCACCAATACCGCGCTCTCGTCGCCCATTGTTGCTCGATTTGGATACTTTGTTGGGCTTTTCGAGAATGATGCCGTTCTCCTTGGCCTCACGGCGGCGCTTGTCTTCTTTTGTTGCAGCCTTGGCCTTGATGCCTCGTCGGTGTGCAGTTGGCATTTTGTTTTGTGCATACAGCGAATCTTTAGCACCGAGTGATTGCATGCGCAGATCCAAAGCCTTGAGGCGGTTTTTTCCAGTGGGGGCAAGGTCATCGGCAGAGTCGAGTAGGTGGGACTCTGTGAGGAGTCGCTGCAATGCAAGATCGTGCCTCAGGTTCATCACATCATGGGTGTCTTCCTCTTCTTCCTTCTTGGATGTAGGTTCGGGATTGGCGTTGGGCTTATCCACAGAGGACAAAACTTTTCCACTCTGCAATGTATTGTGTTAATAACGAAACAGTACGTAATTGTGACCGATCACGTACCATGAACGCTTTCCAGGTCTTCTTGTCCATCCTGTCTTCCGGCGCAGCGCGTGCATCTTTATGCTCAACCACCTCGACTTGGTTGCTTTCTTCACTTATATCGGACATCCCATCCCAATCGCCCTCCGACCCGGAAATGTCGGAGTCATCATCTTCTTCATCCTCGTCATCATTGGAATTTGAGGTTTTGGCAGCCTTGGCGGTAGGAGCTGGCAAATCGAGAGGCTCGAATTGCGCTTCGAATAGTTTGCGGAATACGTCCTGCGCATTGTCCACGGAGGGAGGTGTCTCTTCTTTAGCCTTAGGCTTGGAAACCACGGTGGTCTCTCTCTTGCGTTTTAACACCATTGTGAGTATGTGAATCAAATTATAGAATAAAAACAGTCGCGGCTCGGCCCAAGAAGTTTTTCGACCCCAAGATCATCATCACGTGCGATAAGAACGATAAGCCCCTCGACTCACACAGCGTCACCGAATAAACTGATCTTCAATTCGCCAGAAAATGACCAAATTCAAGCCGTGCATTGACCTACATTCAGGTCAGGTCAAGCAGATTGTGGGTGGTACCCTCAGCCAGGTAGCTGCAGACTTGAAGACCAATTACGTATCCACACTTCCGGCTAGCTACTATGCCGGACTTTATCAAAAGCATGATTTGCGCGGCGGACATGTCGTGAAGCTTGGACCAGGCAATGAAGAGGCCGCTCAGGAAGCATTGAAGACATGGCCGGGTGGGCTGCAAGTGGCTGGAGGCATTACAGATAAAAATGCGCAATACTGGATCGACCAAGGCGCAGACAAGGTAAGCTGGACTTTGTACAATTGAGTTTTCCTTGATTTCGATCGCACTTGGTCGAGAATTCAACGTCAATATTTTGATATGTATTTGCGTGGATTCCTGTTTGCTTGCGCTGCGTCATAGTCAATGTCGAATGCTGCGATGCTAATCTTGGAATGCGGGATACAGGTGATCATTACTTCATTCCTCTTCCCAGAGGGCAAGTTCTCTCTTGAGCGGCTTCAGTCTGTACTCTCAGCCCTGGGTGGTGACAAGTCCAAGCTGGTTTTGGACTTGAGCTGCCGCAGGAAAGACGATACCTGGTTTGTCGCGATGGACCGCTGGCAAACCATCACGGAGATGGAGATCAACCAGGGTAAGACTTTCCAGTACTTACCTCGCTTTTGTCAATTCTTGATTTGTTGACTTTTTATAGAATCTATCTCTTTCCTTGAACCATATTGTGCTGAGTTCTTGATTCACGCTGCAGATGTAGAGGGCCTGCAACAAGGCGTCGACGAAGAACTGGTCTCGAGACTGGCTGAATGGTGTACCATCCCCGTGACTTATGCAGGTGGTGCACGTCATTTACAAGATCTAGAAAAGGTTCACACAAGTAGCAAGGGAAGAGTGGATTTGACGATTGGCAGTGCACTAGACATCTTTGGTGGCTCTGGGGTGACGTTTGATGAGTGCATTGAATGGAACAAGACACATTAAAATAGAATAAACATGACGATTAAATAAAATGAATACACAAAAGATCTTGAAAGCATACAAGTCGAACAAGGGAGAACAGAGGTGGCAGTTCGGGTCTGGGCTTGTCCGAAAGCGGCTTAGGGGCTTCTATCAACTGAAGGTCCGCCCGCCTCCGTATCTCGAGACTTCAACCTCAACTGTACTAGCCGTGCGCCTCTTTTGTCTTCAACGCCTTCGTTCCGATTAATCTGCTCTGGAACTGTTCTCTATCTCCCATCGCCAAAATGAAGCCCGTCGTCTCCGCCTTGAACGCCTGGTCATGGTACGTTCCACCCCGGATGATTTGCATCGAGTTTCGTCATTCTAACACATCACTTGTCGGACAGTGTCATTATCTCCCTTTTCGCAATCGTCATCCTCTCAGTTCTCGGCTCACTGTACGGTGTATGTTCCCCCGATCACTCTCATCGAACTATCAACCCGCCCAAAGACCCGTTGTCTAGGCATACGTAATATCCATGAATGGGGACCAGGCGCTAACAAGAAATTCTTGGATACAGAGCAACAACACTTCATTCACCGGCTCAGAAGGCGAACCAGAAGATGGCCCCGCAGTTGCTGCTTCTATTTATACCGCTGTGATCGTTTACGCTGTTCGTCGCTCCCCCTCTCATTATCGGATGGGATTAGCTGTTGCACGAGGAATCAGTTACTGACAATTTGCTATTTTCTTCGATTTACAGGGATTTTTCGTTTTCTGCGGTCTCCAGGCTTACCTTCACATGCGAGACAGCAGGGGAGGCGCTATATCGCTGCATTGAAATTACTATTTGCTTTTAATCGTTGTTCTAACGACACCACTATCGGTCGATTTCCAGTTCTTTGGGCTTATATCTCGGGGCTTTTTATGGGTACAACATGGTCTGGACTTATTGGATGGAAGGTGCTTCAAGGCCGAGAGGCAGCTTTTACTAGCACTGAGCCATCAACCATCCATGTCTACACCATGCAATAGACCTGGATTCTTTCATCTTGCCAGCGAGCGAGGTCAGTCTTCACTTCAAAGGCGTTGCGGGGCAGGATTCCCAGTAATTTTTTTTTTTTGCTAGAGGACAAAGATGGCAGAACTGTGAATTGTACATAGACCAATCTCAGAATTATTGTCAGCTCTCTGATATCTTGATAAGTCCTTTGAGTGCATTTGAAGAAATATAAAACTTGGTATAGACATTCAATCATTTGTCCTTCATTGAAAATGAAGACAGCTTTTTTTAGTTAGACCGCCAACGCCAGTGGATGCAGAACCAGATACTGAGCTCTCAAAGCCAGTTGTTTGTTTTTATTTGGGTCATCAAATTCCTTTACTCCTCATCTTCCCACGGGTCCAGCATCTTGGACATGTAGGGACCGTCGAGGGTATATCCGAGACGAGCATAGTAGTTGCGCACACCAACACCAGAGATAACACTAATCTTGCGACTACCGTGTTCCTCACGGGCAATGCGTTCCGCCTCCTCCATTAACAGGGTTCCGAAACCACGGTGCTGGAATTTGCGCGCATCACGTCCGTGAAGCGGGACGGCCGAACCATAGACGTGCAGCTCGCGGACGATACTCGTCTGCTGGCCGGTGAACTCAGGACGGAAGGTGTGGGTGTCACTACACTTGCGCAGACGAAGCAAACCAATGAGAATGTCCTGCTTGGGGTCTTCATAAGCCAAGAAGGTCTCCCAGCCACCGTTAGCAGCGTAGTCACGGCGGATCAACTCGATTTGCGATGGGCGGATCTTGTTCTTGACCTCGTTGATTCCGACCTCTCGGGTGCGAACGTCACGGCAGGTTGTACCGAAGTCCTTCATGCGTGCCAGCGCCAGCTCGCGCAAGTTACCGTTCTCCACACCAGAGGTAACCAGAGGCATGGGAATATCACGCTGGACTCGGTAGATACGGGTCCATGGGGGAACAAGAGCGAGGATACGTGCGACGAGGTCAATAAGTGCGTTGGGGGTATAATTCTTGTAACGGCCGGTACGCCACAGCTCGTAGAGACCGGTGCCTCGGATGACAAGTGTGGGGTATAGCTTGAGGCCGTCGGTACGGAAGTTGGGGTTCTCGAAGTACTCTTGGAACTGGAAAAGGTCACGCTCCATTCCGACATTTGGCAAATCGGGCATCATGTGGCTGACAACCTTGAAGCCGGCATCCTTGGCGAGTTTGAAAGTCTCAGCTACCGCCGCGACAGTGTGACCGCGGTTGGTATCTCTTGCAACATCCTCGTATAGACTCTGCACGCCAATTTCCAACCGCGTGCATCCGTATCGAAGCATGCTGTCCAGATGTGTATCCAAACAGTAATCCGGTCGCGTCTCGATTGTGATACCCACGCACTTCACATTACTCATTTCGCCGGCCTGCACGGCCTCATCGACATTGTCCGTTTGGTATCCGCTCAGTGCGTTGTGAAGCTGCGAGATGAAGCTGTCGCGATAATCTTCCGGAAGCGACATGAAAGTTCCACCCATGATAATGTATTCCACTTTGTCGACGCTGTGGCCGAGAGATTTGATTTGGTCCACACGTCCTCGCGCCTGCTCAAATGGATCGTAACGAGCGCGGATCGCGCGCATAGAAGTTGGTTCATATCCAGTGTAGGACTGAGTCGAATATTCGAAGTCGGAGTCTGGGCCACCAGGGCAGTAGACACAAATGTTACCGGTATAGGCGATATGGGGACAACGGTGGGGTTTGCACATAACCGCCACCACAGCGATACCAGATGAGGTTCCTAAAAATGAGGAATTAGCAAAGATTCAAGGCTCCCACCTGAGAAATGTACACGCACGAATGGGTTTCGCAATCAATTTTGGCAGGATATATTTTTTGTAGTGTTCTGGTACTGCGGCGATGATCGCCGTGAGTGGCGGTTGAGAAGACAAGCAGTGCTTGCTCGAAAAGGTACCGCGCAACTTGTTCAGGTTCAAATCCTTCTTGGGCTTTGTCGAGTCCCTTTGCGACTCATAATCTTGAATGAGAGCATTCGCAATGTCTGAACATGCTCGCATGAACCGTTCGTTCTCTGGCACCGATTTTGCGTTCTTTTTGGCGGCCCTTTTAGTCTGCTGTGTCATAGTCATAGTAGCCATGATGAAATCAGAACTGACGCCCTCAGGCGAAAGGTCAAAGAGTGATTTAAGAGGTATTAAATAGCTAAGTCAATAGCTACTTGTAGTGGGGGTTCGATGATTAGATAGAAAAAAAATGTTGTAGTCGCCGAGGCCTTTGGCCGAACTCTCTCGGGTCCGCTTAAGTAAAATAATTAGTCCCGAGCGAAAACTCCCGGGCGCGCATCCCGAATTATCCTTGCTTCACCCCGATTTTCTCTCTTCCGCTATCACCTCTCCTCTCCTCTCTTACACATTTGCAGTCATGCAGGCCTTCCGCCGTAACACAGTCTCGGCCCTTCGCAATGTTGGCGCCACCCAGCGTCGGACTCAGGCCACCTCTGCCTACGCCAGCACTGTGAACAACCTTAAGATCAACAAGGACACCCGTGTTCTGTTCCAGGGTTTCACTGGAAAGCAGGGAACGTGAGTGCAAAATCCGCGATGTCCCTGAAATTTTGACGCGCAGTGGGCTGATATTTGACCTCGAAACAGCTTCCACGCTGAGCAGGCCATCGCCTACGGTAAATCTTGCTCTCGATATGATCGCAACGAAATAATAGCTTACACAGGACAGGCACCAATGTCGTCGGTGGTACCAACCCCAAGAAGGCCGGCTCTATCCACCTTGACCGTCCCGTTTTCGCCAACGTCAGCGATGCCGTGAAGGAGACCGGTGCCACTGCCTCCGCCATCTTCGTTCCGTATGATTCTTCAATTCCTGCGAGATAATAGAATATCAGATAGCAGTGCTAACTGTACACAGCCCCCCTCTTGCCGCTGCCGGTATTGAGGAGGCCATCGCCGCTGAGATGGGTCTCGTTGTTTGGTACGTGTCCAGACATTGAACTTTTTTACCCCCTGCAAAGAGCTTTAACTGACGGTTTTTGTTTCATCTAACAGCATTACTGAGGGTATCCCCCAGCACGGTACGAATCTCCCGGACAACTTGTACAGCTTGGAAAGCGCGCGAGCTAATTGATCGTATATAGACATGGTCCGCATCACCGACATCCTCAAGACCCAGAACAAGACTCGCTTGGTCGGCCCTAACTGCCCTGGTATCATCGCTCCGGTATGCTCCCCCCCCAAACAACGATTGACGATCATTTTGAACGTGCCCGATATTCATACAAACCGTCTATAGGGTCAATGTAAGATCGGTATCATGCCCGGCTTCATCCACAAGCGCGGTCGTGTCGGTATCGTCTCCCGCTCCGGTACCCTGACCTACGAGGCCGTCAACCAGACTACCATGGCCGGCCTTGGTCAGTCCCTTGTTGTCGGTATCGGTGGTGACCCCTTCTCCGGCACCAGCTTCATCGACTGCCTCAAGGTCTTCCTCGAGGACCCCGAGACCGACGGTATCATCATGATCGGTGAGATTGGTGGTTCCGCCGAGGAGGATGCCGCCGAGTACTTCAAGGCCAACAACATCCACAACAAGCCCGCTGTCTCCTTCATTGCCGGTATCTCCGCTCCCCCCGGCCGCCGCATGGGTCACGCCGGTGCCATCGTCAGCGGTGGTAAGGGTGGTGCCGACTCCAAGATCGCCGCTCTCACCGACGCTGGTGTCATTGTCGAGCGCAGCCCTGCTTCCCTCGGCAAGACCCTGCTTGCCGAGTTCGTCAAGCGCGACCTTGTCTAAAATTGTCGCTGATTTCGATGCATCCTGTGTCTTGTTTTCCGGGTTCATATGGTTAAGACTGGGGATTTGAGGTATATCTGCCATTTATACTGTGGGGTTTTATGGGCTGTTCCTTATAGGCTGCTCCTGTATTCTTTTTCTCCTTTGTGTTAGAGACCCTCGAAGTAATTATGTTCTTGTAACTTTTACTGTGTGCTGCTTCTGAGTAAATGGTAAAATATGAGTATGTGACGCATGTGACGCAATATGCACAGCTACTGCTATTCCTTCAAAGTCCACGACCGAGACTTTTTAGACGGTGCTTCCGTCACTGTCCATGTTGAGCGGTCCTCCGACACATCCCAATATCGTGCATCAACATAATAAAACACATGCGCCCAGTGTTCAGCCTCTTCGTGGGTGATCAGATCAGGTTCTATGAAAACCATCCCGGCCCATCGTTCATTGATACGAGCCACTGCCTCCGCCCTCGAGCGTCCAAACTTTTGTATTTCCGAACTTAATTCTTGAAGAAACTGGTAAAGTGCTTGGTCTGTAGTCACCAAGAACTCCGAGTTTTGTACAACTTGAACTTGGGTCGACTAGATATTGGTCAATATAGGGCTTTCAGCGCAGAGGGTGGGCACTCTTGCCTGCTCGCTGCATTCCGTAGACAATGAACCGCTGCCATGGATATATTCTAGCTTGCATATTTCGGGAGTACTGCAATGTTGGTTCGACATTGTTATTGCTGAAATTTTGTCTCTTATGCCCCGGCATGAGCTGGTTAAGTACGGTTGCAATACGAGATGCGGCGAGCATAGCCTCAATAACTACTCCACTAGGACAACAGCTGGATCTGCAATATGATGTCTAAAGCTTGTGCACTTGATTAATAGATCACTTTGTTTGAGAGGAAGATGCCTAGGTGGTGACGTTTTCGGGATCGTTTTATCTAGAAATGTTAGGTATGTTATCTGGTGCTTTGATCATTCACCGTCTTGTCGTATAGCAATACACATCAGCTATTTACCAGTGATGCACTATATGAGTACACCTCTGTGGGGCCTAAGACTGCCTAAAAGTAGACTCAGTCCTTGGAAGATTGAATATACTTGTTGTGTTCATGAAAAACCAGATAAACAAACCAATTGAATCTAAGATATGAAATGAATACTTCCAAGAGTCGCTAACCATCACTGTGTACCTAGATGCAAAGACTATATCTTCTCCAACGCCTTGACAACCTCTTCAGTTTTTAATACATCGGCAAATTCACCCTCCAAGGTAGCCAAAGAAACCTTATGAATGATCTCCGCATCGATACCCCCTTTCCCAAAGGTGGCAGTCGCATCATCAACAAGTACAATACGACCCTTCTCAACATTCAGCTCATTCTCATGCGTCCCGTCGGACCTCAGCCGGACCGGCCCATCCCCGGGATACCGATCCACAACTCCCAAGTTAGCAGCCATGCGCGTGGTGGTCGATACACAATGATCAGTCGTCAATCCAGCAATGATGAGCTGGCGGAATCCCTTTTCACGCACATGGGCCTCAAGCCCTGTCCCAATGAAAGAGGAATTGACGGTCTTCCAAAACACAGCCTCCGAGCCATCCGCGGCTGGCGCCGCGAAGTCTAGAGGGCGGATGCCCTGTTCTGGGTGTAAAGGGTGCAGTGGAGACTTCGGGGACGTGGAGGAGTGGAAAACATGGATTACTTCCAGCGGAGTCGAAGATGATGATTTTGCAGCTCTGAATGCCGAGAGAAGTGCTTGGGTGTTGGTTTCATATTGCGGGTTGGACCGCGAAGGGCCCCAATGGGAGAGCGTTGATGGATTGGTGAGGCCCTGTTGGTTGTCGATCAGGATCAGCGCGGTGGGAAGGGAGAAGTCCAATGCCATTTTGAGCGGGATTTTGATTTCTTGGCTTGATGGATTTGGGAATGAATTGTTCGAGTGATGTTGGAAATATCAAGGGAATTTTCTTCTGCGAGGCTGTTCGTGACTCACCTCCTGGGCACCCCGCTACGCTCGGTAATCAACTATGGCATGACTAGTCTGTCAAACCCCTGCAACGTTGTCTCTACGGGTAATTGTTGGCTGTTGTCTAGCTTGGTATACTTCATAGTTATTTAGAACTACATTTTTCTTTCGTGGATCTTCGTTTAAGCTTTCTGATGCGGATACACTATGTATGGAATAGTGATGTGAAGGAATGATGGAGAATCGTGATGTTCTGAGATCTCCGAAGAAAAAGCTCTCTAGCTATAGCTAGGAAGGCGTGAAAAAACATAGATAAGCAAACATGCGAATGCGCAAATAAGCAAGTGTTGCTATATCCATCACTTTTTCCTCTTATTCGCTATCTCAGTACCATGTCGAACTCATCCCGTTGATTTGAAGCCTCACATCCCGCGTCACTCCATGTGTGGAAATAATTCGCGCTTCAGTTGCATTTCCCTCTGGAAATATCTGGGCAGTCAAAGCAACCTCTCCCTGACCCCCCAAGACCTCCACACTAGACCAGTCCACAAAGACTTGCAGGTTAACACGTTTTTCCGAGTCTGCGGACAGCGGTGCATGATACAAACTACCGAATGTTTTGTCAAACGATACTATCCCAGAGCGTTGTCGATCAACGAAGACCTCCTTGCTGGTAAAATTGTACCCGATAAGCGTTTCTTGCTCGAAATCGGAGCTGGCGCGAACAGCTATGGCAAAAGTTGATGCCAAAGAGTCATTGGAGTCATGATCCGAAAAGCTCAAGTCGATCTTGAATGCCTTCCCCGGGGAGCCAAGCCTAGTTGATCCTTCTGATACAGATTTCCAGAAGTGCTTCCCACTCTGGTGATTGACAACACCCCGCCAGCTCTGATGAGGTTGTTGAAGCAGAGTGACTTTCTCGTCAACCATCTTCAACGACAACTGACGAGGGATAGACATTGCACTTCGCCATGGGTCTGTCGGGATCTTCGCACCGTACTGCCAGTTATTCATCCACCCGATCTGAACCACGTCACCTCCAGAGAGTCCATTGTAACTGGCCGCGGCATAGAAGTCCGGACCCCAATCCATCCAATTGGCGGTGCTATTACCTGCGTATACGCTAGCGGGATCAGCCTTGAAGCTCGTTCCGTCGAAGTCGCCGATGAAATATTGCGTGCCTGAACCGACCGTGCCGGGTGGCCCGCCAGGATTGAGTCCCAGAACCAAGACCCATTTCGTGGCTGATGGGTGTCCCTGGACTGGAATTTTGAGCAGATTGGGACATTCCCATACGCCGCCTACTGCATTGTAAGGCCCGAATTCGCTAGCAAGAGACCATTCTTTGAGATTGGCTGAAGTCCAGATTAGGAGTTTGTGGGCTGAGGCCAAAGCTGTGACAGCAACCCATTTCTGTGTATCTTCGTGCCAGAATACGAAGGGATCCCGGAAGTTTGGAAATTCCGCTTCGTATGGGGAGGGTGGATTGTGGATCACAGGGTTCTCAGCGTCGTATGTTGTCCAGGTCTCGCCCTCGTCGAGACTGTAGGCGATGGACTGGGATTGCTGTTCTGCACGAACGTGTTTCCCGCTTGGGAGCGTTTGAGAAATTGGGTACTTTATAAAAAATATTTGTTAGTCTCCATGAGTGATGAAATGAAACGAGCCATGCGATCATACGGAAGACGTATACATGGCGACCAAAGGGATTTTTCCATCAGCCCCGAAGCCACTTGTGTTGTTCACATCTGCTACTGCACTTCCTGAGAAATACATTTCGGTGATAGTGTCGGGATATCCACGAGCAAGTAGAGCGACGGGACGCTCTTCCCAGTGGGCCAAGTCTCTACTCGTTGCATGGCCCCACGACATGTTCCCCCATTCGATTCCACCTGGGTTATATTGGAAGAAGAGATGATAGGTGTTATTATAGTATAGGAGCCCGTTAGGGTCATTCATCCAATTGCTCTTGGGGGAGAAATGATATTGAGGGCGGAATGGTTCGGTATAGATGAGGCCGGATGCCGACCCGGCGAGAAGACCTAGGGCCATAGTAAGGAATAAGCCCATGATTCATTTGAGTGAACTCTGTACTCTGTATGCACAAGAAACAAATTCTATCAGTATCTCAATATTTATATGCGAGGGAATCCCCCATCCCACATTTCATACATCGTTACATACCCCACGGGGAATCCACTGCTCTGCAAATCTTCGGAGAAATACAACTCTCTCGCCCCACATCCTGGTCGACGTAGCAAAAGAACCTGCATGCCCGGGGCTAAGTCGCTGAAACTCAGAAGTAATCTCGGAGTTCAAGACATTCCCTGTCTTATTCGGGCCGTAGCTTTGACACCCCGCACATACCATGGGGTATGTGCACGTAGATTATGATGTTATTGAAGGAACCGGAAAGTGTGACTCCACAGCAAACAAGATGTGATGGAATGAGGGGTTTCTATCATTGAGACACCGTAGATTTCGGTTTCATGAGACTTGATACTTGATTCTGTTGCTATAGGGTCCAGAGACTTGGATACCTGGGAGGCAAAATGGCCTCTCTCTCTCTCTCTCTCTACCAAACCAGCTCATTTCAGATGGGTCACTCCTTGATATTAGAAGTCACGACCTGGCCGTAATTACTCGGCGCAACACGATTACAAGGCACGCCGGAAGTATCCTGTCCAACAATGTTTGCACATTGATAAACCTCGTCCTGCAGGGTGGTCCCATACATCGGCAATCCAAGCGTGCTATTGACTGATTCAAGCTGAACGTTCTCAAACTTGATACCCGGGCACGGGTGCACATCAGAGCAATAAATCGAAGCACCAACGTTATATCTCGTGGTAGCCTTGATATTAGACCAAGTAATATCGGATATTGCCATCTTGGACGTGTTGCAGTATTTGCCATCTGCCTCGGTGTAGATGCACTGCGAGATCTGGATCGGCAGGGCGACGTTTGTCATGTCGAAGTTGCGATATGTTACATTTTTGACCACGCCGCTGCCACCACCGCCGGTGTCGCCGTTCAGGTTGTCATCGTTGATTATCCCTTGCCAAGTCTTGATGAAGGCGCCTTCCATACAGTTGATGCACTTTACATCCTCGAAAGTGACGTTCTCAACATAGTCGGGCATATCGGGGTACTGGCCGACAGAGCCGATGGTCATACCGAAGTTATCGTAGCAAGTGACATTCTTAACGAGCAGATTTGTGGTGTTCCCTTTAGCTGCAATACAGTCGTCTCCATTTTGAACAACGGCGTTCTCGACAAGGAGCATATCGCTGTTCCACGAGTCATAGCCGTCGGTGTTGACTGTTCCCCATTGGTCGTTGCTTGTTGCGTTGACGTATAGATTTGTGATTGAGACGTTTTGGCTGTAAGTGACGAATATTGCCCAGAACTGTGGTTGTATGATTCTTAGACCATCCACGAGTAGATTCTTAGATTCAAAGAAAGTAATACTGATCGGCCGACCTGGCTGGTTGCTTTGGTTCTGGTTTTCGGTGTACCATGCCTGACCTTGACCATTGTACCAACCGCCATCCGCACGGAAGGTAACATTTTCGCCGCCGAAGAGCCAGGCGGTTGACTGGTTCTGGAAGACGACGTCGTAGGAATGAGAGAGCCAGTAGGAGATGTCGGTCGAGAAACGGAGCTCCCCTCGAAGAGTCACGTCGCAATGGGCTAAATTTGTTGTATTCATCACTGAGTTGATGTTGAAAACACCATCAGTGAAGATCACATCGCCATTTTGGCCGCAAGTTGCGAAGGCCTGGTGGATTGAAGGTGCATCATCAATTGCCTGGCCATCGTGTCTGAGAGACTCCGGATATAGATAGCAAGTGGCCTTTTCATTGACCATGGTAGTGACTACATAGCCAGCAGCCGTGGCAGCTAGTGCCACCAAACGCAATAACAACATTTCAGACAGTACAGTGATATCTTGCCTGGTTGGCGTACTTTTTACTCTGGGAAGCTTTTGTACCGAAAGGCATGTTTCTATCCCAGGAGCACCGCGTCACACTGATTAAATTCCTGACTCATTAAAACATCAGGCCTATGAACGTCATGAAACTCCGAGTAAACAAAGGCCGTGATGTTACATCTTTCCCCGCATCGGGAAATGGACCAACCCCTTGATCGCCGGTTTGTTTGTTTCTCACGTGATTACCTTGGCGCTATTGGCGCAGATGACACTTTTTTATTCAGGCCATGAGGCCTGAAGGTGAAGCAGATGATTGGCGTGGGGGTAAATGAAGGATCATCGGCCATGAGGTGGAAGTATAATAGAATAGCATCATCACCACGAGACCCACTTACCGCCAGGTCGCGTGGGTTCAGGAACACAATATGCGGAGAAGATAGGGATTTCTAGGTAGAAAGAAAGGTCTGGAGAAATGGACAGTGTGTAAGGAATATTGTTTTGGGTCAAAGTGTCGAGTGTCGACATTCATGTTCAGGAAGGGCTTGGAATGCAACCGGGAAAACGGATTATACAGGATAGTATGGTAGGGCATGGTCTTCTGAGCGAAAAGAGAAGCGAAACGAGATTGCTGCAGATCTGGTCTCGGCAAATTCTATTGAATATGAATCTCTATAAACTTTTTGGCGAAGTGGTAGGATAGCATGCGAGGAGAACCCCTAGTGTAACAAAACGGCGCAAAAAATTCCCAAAGCCGAAGACTTTCATTCAGTTTTCTTCGAAGACGGCTTGGGGAATTTTCGCGTCCGACGGCGGAGCATCTCCACTCGTTCTTCCATAGTCCAATTAACTTGATCACCGATGGGAATCAAGCATTTAGCCAAATACTCGTAGTTCTTCCGAAGTAGGTTCACGGTGATGAAGATATAATCAACGTTCCGGAAAACCAGAGCGTCTTCTTTGGCGTATCGATCCTTTTGCTTGAGGAAGGCAACGGGGTGGTCTCTCCAGTGGCGACGTGGGTTGAGGTGATGAGAAGTGTGGTATCCATCATTGAATGAAAATCGATTACTCTGTTATTTGTTAGTTGTACTCTGATGATCGAGCAGAAAACAACTTACCGGAACATCAATCAAGGTTATACTCGACAGATAATCCGAGTCAGGGTCGGCCGGGTCCACAAAAGCATGTTGTCCCCAGTTGCCGACCATCAAGCCCAAGCGCATGACGGTAAGCGGAAGAATAAACACGAACGTGGTAGCTCGGGCATTGACATAATTGTACATCATATAAAGGGCAACATAGTTGCCGATCTCCCAAAACGCGCATTTAGCAGCATATTTGTACTGTCCTTTTCTCCAAAAGTACATGGGTAGTTCCAACCAGACAAAGAAGATAAAACGGCCAACATAGCAAAGGAAGTCGGGAACGCTATCGCGGTCATAATACATCGTTGTGCTCAGATCATCTCCACCATTGCCCTCAACGTGATGGTGCTTGATGTGGTGGTAGAAGTATGAGTTCCATGTATGGCCGTGCATCGGGTCCAAAAGGTAGGGGAAAAGTGTATCGATCCAGTAAAGTCTTGATGTAAGCACTCCATTCATATGGATGTGCTGATGCTTCATCAGGGTAAAAGCACCACAATAAAACAATTGCATGAGCCAGTGCAGGACACCGTGGAGGTAAGAGAAACGGTAATACAAAAGTGCACCACTAGGGACAATGGTGGTGAAATAGAGAATGAGGTGTGTAACCATGACCACGTCGGTCTGGAAACGCACGATACCTTTTGCCCAGTTGATATATGGTGTCAGCACATACTTCTGGATAGAGGCGGGTAGTTTGGCCCGCAGCAAAGGGGTATCCCAAAATTGGGAGACGGTAGGATCGAATTCCACATGAGATGGATCATTGAGATTCTCAAGTCTTTGGACTGTCTCTTCGGCGCTCAGCTTGTCTTCCAAAGGCTTGGCGGTGGTATTGCCTGCATATGTGTCAGATTACTCCTTAATGCACATGCAGGGATGAACTTACCATCGGAGCTGGGAGTCGGTTCAACGATAGCATTGATCACCAATTTATCCTGGTAGGTAAGCTGGGGATCCGTATACGTGGATGGATCCATGATGTCTGGTAATCAAGGGGCGACAGCCTAGTTTTTGGTCAATCCTGTCGATGCCGTCCGATGCCGGGCGGGAACATACCCGTGTCGGTCAAGAGAGCGTCCGGAGATGATTTAGTTATTTCAAATCAATTGATAAAGCCCTAGAAACATTTTACAAAGATAAAAGGTTGTAACCGTCTCTTGAGCAGTAATCATCCCATTAAGACAACGCGTCAGGGGCCTACGCGAAGAGATTTCGGGAGCTTTGAACAGTGGGTCCGGGGGCCGTCGAGTTATTTTAAGAGCAACAACACCATCGTCTGTTTTTCTAAAGTATCACAATAGCTGTGGCATGTCAAAATAAATCTTTCCATACTTATCCGGAAAGGGTCTCCAGATTTAATGTGGTCTGATCATCGTAATCATCTATATGCGCTCGATATTTCAATTTCGTCACATGTAACCATCCATCCCTCTTGAACACAGAAAATCAACATTCTGTGATACTGAAAATTGGACAACTACGTAACAACGAATTGCGGTGAGATTTTTGTTTCTCAACATATATAGTTCTATATAGAAAGTCGGTAAATATACATGTATTTATGACCGATGTTCTTATTAGACTTCTACAAAGCCCCAAGGTTGCGGTCTGTGAAAGTTCAATTCTCAAAATCTTTGATTTTTGTGCATACTATCCATAGTTAGTCCATTAAAATTTATCAATCTATATCAATCTATATCAATCTATAAATTTTAGTAATCAGTATAGGATGTTCTGTGACTACTTCCATGATGATCATCAATTTCAGTTGTTGAGATAGCCCCTGAACCTGCAGTGACCGCCATCCCTTGGTGGAACGGGTGGCGCCGAAGGGCTACCCACGTTGTAAATGTCCCTCCAGGGCTTGAACTTTGAACGTCTCGGGGCCCATATGAACGTTGCAGAGCAGAGTTCCGTTCGAGGCATATTCGGCCGAATTGGCGTTAGGACTGAACCCGAGAACGAAATTGCCGCTGTCCAGGATTTGCATTTATCCGCTGTTATCCGTCAAGACCTTGTTCGGACTGGTGTATTCCTACACTAGTTGCATCGTCGTGTTTTCTGTATCCAGAAGTACTGTGATTCCCCGAGTGAGACCTGTGACAGTAAGACCTGGGCAGTTCCCGTTAACGAATATGGATATTCTTTGCCAATTATCATGGAATCGAGCATGATGTTGACCGTTAAATGTGACCGCGACGCCCCCAGACAGGTCTTTGAACATTTTCACTTTCTCACTACCTTTCTCACTAAGCTTCCAGATAACAGCGCCGGTCTGCCCATTCACATAGACCACATAGCTCAGCGTTCGACACCAGATGAGAAATTGCCTAGTGTGTCTTTTTCGATGCTGTTGATATAGAATAGGGCCACCCCATGCCCAGGTCTATTCGGTATTGGCCGTGATCTCCATGATCTATGAGCAGATGACTCCTGAATCCCGCTGAATAATTGCCTCTCCTCCTAATCCGCTTACACATTTTAACCCTGAAGTAAGCTCCGCCCGAAAGCTACTTGCTATACTGGATGAATCCGAGAAGAACCGCACCGGGGGGGGAGGGGAATAGGGTGGTCGGCGAGTCCGATTGGGCGCGCGAACTTGCAGGGGCGACGGTGAGAGTAAGCAAAATGACCCGATCTCATATTAACTAACCTTAACTTAATTATGCGTGTTACCCCGAGTAAAAACTATACCAGGCCGAAAATGCGATGCGAGCTGTAAGACCTGCATGCAGAACAACAAGATTATAATTGAGTCTAGCTAAGTTATATGAGAATTTCATGAATTAGAGATAAGACTTGTTTGAGGTGCAGCTCCTTGTCTCCAAAGGGAAAGATAGGTGTCTCTGTATCCAACCAATTGTCAGCAGTCTGCATCGAACACGAGGCTTTGATTAAGTGGCGTCGGGGTAACGGCACAGGATTGGCTCCATTTATGACCTTAGATCGTTAGCATGTACCTGATTTGGTCCCTGGATGCACAAGGTCCATCTCTTAATGCATAACTTATCGGTTAAATTTACCAATTTGATAGTAAGTACCTGTTAGTAAATAAGCCCAGCTAAGCATTCTTGGCGATGTTAAAACCCGCCTGCTCCATCATGAATCTTGGCCATGAAATAAATCATCAAAAGCTTTGACAACTTCAAATTATGGGTGTCATGAAATCTGCCGCCCTGGCACAGGCTCTGTTCTTGTCTCTGGCCTACGCTGATGCGTCAAACCTGAATCCCAACGGCAAGGGCTGTGTCGATCCCAGTGGCTATCTTCAATGCTATGAAAAGAATGTCAACCAGCTTACACAATGCATGATAGATGCAAAAAAGACCTGCTCCGGGGATTCACTCCCGGAGTGTGAATTGGCCTGTGGAAATGTTCAGTTAGCTGCGAATATTGGCTGTTGGCTGACGAGTTGCTGGAATCAGGTCTATCCACCCCTCACTCTTACCCGTCTCTCTTCTAATATCGGTATCATAGGTGTACTCATGTGCTTACCAGGAAACTGCGCTACAATACCTCGACGGTGCAGATAGAGTACAAGGCTCGCTAGATATCCCTTACTATCCAGCACCAGATAATGCTCCTGGCGGATGCGGTAAGATGCCGATTTGCAAACAAAAGCTTGTAGCAGCCAAGATGCACGCACTGACAAGTTTTTGAATGCAGTGTGTAATCTGGGCTACATCTGGGGAAACTTTACAGTGATTTACCCAAGCCTGAGCTGCAGTTCATATGACATCGTCTCTTCCGGTACTAGCACTGTCGCCAGCTGTGAGTGTTGTTTGGAGTCATCCATATTGTCCAAGTGAGTCATGCACTAGTCCTGCGAGAATCGTATTTCTCCCAAACGAATTGAACCATCAGTCTAACCAGATGACATTTTCAATGCATAGCATTATCGATACATGTCCCCACAACGACCTCTCCGACCTTCCCATCGATATAATGCTTAACAGCTTTGAAGGTGGCTATAACCTGTCGGCGTCCGATCAATGCTCCGTCCTTTCCGACGGTACCGGCAGCCAGTGCACCTCATTCAACTTTGACACTTATGCAACTAAGTGGTACAACCCAGGGCAACTTCCCTCGGGATTTCCGGGAACAGCGTCTCTCTCAGAAACCACCGCCGGGGGAAGTCTGACAAGTGCGCCAGAACCGTACACATTTTCGCTCTTTCCAGCTTATACCTCCGTCATTACCCCGGCCCCATATAATGCGAAAGCTGTCACTGCGACAAACACGGGAACTGCCGTTGAGACCGCTACCGGAACCGCGACTACAGGGAAAGGCTCTGCGAGCTCTGCGACGCCTAGCAAGGGTGCTGCAAGGAGTCTTGCATCTCCTATTAGCTTCAACTTTGGTGTCTGGAGTCAAGCTGTATATATGATTGCCTCTGCATTTTTGTTGGGTGTAGCATTGGTCCTGTAGATGGCCCAACACAGGCAATTTCTATTTCATGCTGTTCCCATGGAAGTCCATGTATGGTATAGCTCATGAGATTCTTGCATATATGCAATGACTCTCGAATGATCAATTTAATATTGAAAGATTTACCTCATGTCAATTTGGTATTATATCGGCTAGCGACCGAGAAGCCAGCCGCAGCAAGGCCAATTTGAGCAACATGCGTTTGCGCTTGATGGTGCCGGTGCTGGAGGGGTTCAAACGGGAGTTATCTTGTAATATGTCATTCAGCCTGGAGCCTAGTCAGTCGATGTTTTGCTCAGCAGGGCTCTTGGCCGGATTCCTCTATGACGCCAAGCGTGCGTTATCTGATCTGATCCGCAAAGATCGACAGGTACTGTGCCGATATTGGCTCGGGCCATTACAGCTATTTCAACGCTAGTCAAATTGAAGAAGTATCGTTCATGAACACATTCATAAATGGATACACGACCCACTATATCATAAGGGCAATCAACGTGCCAACATTGACCAGTTCTTCCGCAAAAGAAAGGCCCCAACTCCCACAGCTAGGCCTAGCCCAGTCCATTGCACGATCGTGCGGATTGCACCAGCCATTGCCAAATCCATGTGGTGTTGGAATTCAGCGGTCGGGTAGGCCTTAGGCCAAGATTCATCATCGGGCACGGGCTCATCGAGGAACTCGCACAGCTCCTTCCATCCATCCTTTCCAGTTTCGAACTCCAAGAGTCTGCTTTTAGGGATAGCGGCACGTATCTGCTCATAGTGGTCAAGGTAAGCCTGTTTAACAACTGCCTCTTCATAGTTGTTTCCGCAAAAGATCTTCCACACAAGCTCCGAATTCCGAAACAGTGGCCCGAGTACTTTGGAGTCCATATGTTGCCAAACGCGAAAGAACGGAATTCGCATGAACTTGAAAACTGTCGCATCGGCCGATTTATGCCACGCGTCTACATCCCGGTTCGTCAATATGATTTTGGCATCTGGGTAGGCTGCGGCTAGATCTTTCCAGAACAGACACGCTGGAACGTCCAGGACGGCGTCATATGATCCGATCAAACGATCAAACTCCTCGGTGCTGTATGCTGGTTTTTTCTCAGGATGGGTATTGAAGAAATTACATTCCATTGCTTCGATCCAGAGATTGAAGTCGCGAGGGGGGTTCTTGAAGCATTCTGAACCGTGGTAGGGGTTGTATCCAAGTTTTCGAAGGGCGATGGTCATGGCTGAAGATGGGGTCAAGTCAATATCGACCTTTAATCTCTCGCTTTTACCTCTGCTCACAATTTGTGCCCGTTCTAGCCATACCCATACACAATACACGCATTGGCTTGACGCGGAGATCGGGCTCATTATCAATTAATCGTGACATGACTGTTTGGTTGACGAAAATTGTTTTTGAGGTTCTTGTCAAAGGAGGGGTTCCCAGCTTTGGATACCAACATCTATTATATATGAGAGAGTGAAATATGAATGGGGAAGAGAAATATCCTGGATCGGAATGATGGGCTGCATGGTCACACGACATAATTGTCAAACTGTAATTTGCCACGTTTGCGGAGAAGCAGCAAATTATCTGCACCGCCTTTGCTTGTGTATATTTGATACTCGATAGATTTTCCAGAATCGCATGGTCGATGCCTCTAATACTTGGATGATACTTAAGTCGGTTAGCTCTCACTGCGAATGAACTTTCTTTATGTCCGTAACCACCATCTCAACGTGACAGCTGCATAGCGTTGTATTCATATTTTGAATAATTTGTATGTGAGATACTAAGCTGCCCTATGAAAAGTTCTGAAGGCAAGTTCAGCAAGGGTAGATCCTTCTAATCCGGGCCGGCAAGCAATGGGCCCAAAGAATAACACGTCCGGACTCCAAGGTTACACAATATCAGAAAAAAGAGCCCAAGATCTAGTCCACTGGAGTTTTGAAGGCCAGGATAGCCTCTAAAAGGCGAACACTAGCTCTTTAATCTTATGATGCCTAATAATTGTATAAGCTGGGCCTGTGTTGTTTATCCATTTCAGCAGGACCGCTGCTATTTCGGTGCCCCACGTCCAACATTTCTATCACACCCAAGTACCTTGAATTCACTTTCTCTGCTCAGAGCACTGATACGTCATCACATATCTGCGCCCCTACAATGGAAGAAAGGTCGGAGAGGGTGCCTTGCATTTGCGTAATGGTAAAGGAAGAACTATCATAGGGGAAACCGTTACCAAGGGCCCAACCCAAAATTAAACACTAAGAAGAAAGCTAGTGACAGTCCAAATTCAGAGGGTTGGCTACAACCCCTAAAGACCCACAGAGCCACTTTAGCCAACTGTCACTCACAAGCGTAGCTCTGCAGATCCACGTGATGACTGCAATCCCCTGAAGACTCGCAAGGTTGAATCAAGCCGCTGAGCCCTTTTCGGTACCGTACTGGTAGTGAGGAGCATCGGTAGTGTCGACATTGCGCTTGGCTGGCTCTTCTTTGCTGTACCAGTAGTGAGGAGCACCGGCGGCATCTACTGTGGACTCAACACTATACTGCGAAGTGACGTCCATAATTGGGCTTGCATTAGCTACAGTAGCAAGCCCCGCAAGAATGACGGAGGAAACAATGATAGAGCGCATGATTGAGAGCTAAAGTGCACGGCCTTTTGGAGACATAGGAGCTTGTAGAGGCCACTTAGGCACAGATCTCCTTACCAAGAACCTAGTTGCCGCTTTCTAACCATTTTTCCAACCGCGCTCCTTGACATCAACATCTAAGCTCGACTCCCTTTCATGTTCTACTTTTGTTATTGATGGATAACAGCCCGAGCCACTTATTGAGGCTTTGGAGGAATTTCCGTACGCCCATATATTCAAAGATCGACGAAGAACCCATGCTAGGGACTCCGCACATGGTGTGACAAAAAATAACGATGGACCATAGGCGCCGTTTGGGACAGGGCAGTCTTTTGTGTTAACTGCCATTCTAATCTTCTCATTCCTTGCCGGGATGAGGTTCAAACAACCAAATGATCAGCAATGTGCAAAGCAACTATCGATCTACTGTTAGTCCCCAGTCTCCCTCCATTGGGACAATTGACTCATTCCTCTCTAAGCCCCGCTTCTTAGCGCTGTGGAGTACGAAGAAGTCACATTTGACGGGTCTTTCAGAGGTAGCAATCGATTTAAAGGGCTTCCAAGTCCAGAAATTGATGCAGCCTGGAAGAATATCACGAACTGTATGTTCCGAGAAATGAAAAGCGACAACAGCCAAATGGAAAGATCCCATCTAATAAATTTTAGTGAAAATTTTCAAAGTGGATGTTCAGAATGCCTCTTCGATGAGAAAGAATATAACCACTCTTGTGGAAGCAACAGATTCTGAAAGTCAATGGTTTACAGGCAATTTGGAAGTATTTCATCAGGTATGTTACTAGAAACGAAGAATACATAAGATGAGGCCCCTGTTACTAAAAAATAAATTAGCTCCATTGCGTGGATTTCGTTCGGCAATACACGTACCAAGACTATAATAACAGTTCAGAGCACAAGTCACCCTGGCTCTCGGAAAATGCAGAGGTTGTTCGTGTTCATATTGGTAAGTCATATCATTGTTGCTTAAATCTCATTTTTCCTGTCGGTGGAAGCTTACCAATAATAGATCACTGCCTCGATATTCTCAGACAGGCCATCCAATGTTATGGCGATACCACTGTTATCACATTTGATTGGATGAAAAACCGATCAACCCCCTATCCTAACTTCTACACAAGGCATAAATGTCGGAAGCTTGGGCCGCTATCTAATTGGGTTACAGAACATCTAGAGGGCAACGGAGAAGAATGGCTTGAAAAGCCCGATGGTGTGTGTACCTGAGATTGAACATGAACATGGGCACTAATACTGAATTTCAACTAAATGAGTCTTTAACCCCAGAGCTAAGAGTAAACATCTCTTTAGTGACTGATAAGGGGTTTCTTTTATTATTTCCGGATAGGCAGCTACCGTCTTCTTTATAGTTATTAGATATCTGGAGGCGGAGCTTCTTGCCAAGACGGTATAGGTAGGCCCTCATCAGCAGCTGCTTCTCTACTGCTATCCAATCAATACCAGTGCCCTCAAAGCGCTTGTTCAGATCACAAATGGGAGCTGTCATCTACAGATACCAAAAGATTAGTAACATTCAGTCTCACCCATCGGTTGCGGGGTATATTCCGCCATAAAATACCATCAGCCTCCTCCTTTAACCGTTCCATCCAAGCAGCAGCAAGTATAGGTCTTGTTCCATGTCCTTCAAATCCCCATGGCAAAAGCAAGCAACGAAGCGACTACGGCAACGAGGAGCAAGCGAAGCGCGATGCCGAGGCTATCCAACTATTTTAGTTGCAGCCCTGGAGTAGCTTATCTCCCTGTTGCCTAGCGCAGGCACTCTTACAGATCTTTATACACCAGAGCAAGGAGGGTTGGTTGATCGCAGAACTACTGTCATTGCCAACTTCGTCCGAGGTGGATTCCCGTCAATTGGCGCACCCCACGACCGAAGGGCGGTGTGGAGTGGAGATTTTCCTACCATGGCTCCAACTTATATAGTTCCTTCTGGCATCTAACCCTTTTTCTTTTCACTGGTGAGTATCGAGCACATGCTTTTAACCAACATGGTTATACACTGACTGAGAATCTTACTAACGGACTGTGCTAGTGGTCCATAATGGCAACTTCACCCAAAATCACCACCCAATACGCTTCGGAACAATTTGTAGAAAGCTGCGGGGCCATCCTATTCGACTTATCGGTCAATCAAAACAAGACTGTGTGCCTTATTCATTACCGCGCGAAGAACGAATGGCTTCTTGCCAAGGGACGCCGCAACTGTGGTGAATCCAGGCACGAGGCCGCACTGCGTGAAGTCGGCGAAGAGACCGGCTATCGAGCCCACCTCTATCCCGTCAAAATGTATACCCGTGCACCTCCGATCGACGAGCAGGGCCACATGCCCGACGAACCTCGATCTTATCCAGATCTCACCGAGCCATTTATGGTGACTATACGGCAGTTAGGCGGTGACAGTGAGAGCAATGTCAAAATCATTTGGTGGTATATCGCTACTCTTGATGAAGGTGAAGTTGCTGGATCGCGTGACGGTGAAGATGAGTTCACGCCAGTGTTCTTTTCTTTGAAAGAGGCAGTGGAGAAGCTTAGCTTTGAGAATGATCGTGCGGTCCTTCGGAAGGCGGTTGCATTAGTGGAAACTTGATTTGGTCAATAATTCTCGTAATTTGATTTAGAAGGGAAAGCGGAATATTGTCGAAGGATCACCCGGGACCTCGGCCCTCCGGTCCATTTGAATCGAGTCAATATGGTGCGAAGACCAATATGGATGATGGTGTGAAAGTACAGGTACATACCACTTCGCTTATGCAGGCATCTTGGTCGAGTTTGAGGTAGATACATATAAATTATTGGTCGATGTGGGATGATGCATGGGCATTGATATTCAGAAACTGCCCAGGTGGTCCTGGATGATTATAGCCCCGAGGTAGGACATTTGTTTGCAGGCTTATTTTCTGCTGACACATGAATGGGGGATCACTAACATCAGTATAATATAGAATACATTTGTATCTCTTTGGAGAGCCGGATTTGGTGTAAATTTCTGCCCATGAACTTGACTCTGAGGTATGGCAGACTACAAGATACCTGATTACTGTTTCTGTGGGAAATGCAGGGTTTAATTGAGGGTCCGATAACCCCTACCAAGGGTGCGCCGATAGAACTGGATAGCTACCATGAATGCAGTCAAAGCACTGCCCCTACGAGGGATATTGTTGGCTGCGAGACTTCACATAAATTTCTCCCAAGTCTTTATGACATGAAACTAGCCCTTCCACCTGGAGTATCATAGGCCACAAATCAAGCACCAAAGGCAGGGCTCTGGCACCGACGGCGACACAATTCAATAGGATGTGTCTTAGCTATTTTCGAATCAGTATTCTTTTCCCACTCGGTCGATGGCACGAGCACCCGAGAGGTCTCAGAAAACCAGGAATGGTGCATCATTAGCCCAGCCCAACCCGCCTAAAGGCGACATCATTGTTTCGAGGACTTTCCATTTTCAGGTGGTCTGCGATACTCAAATGACGTGAGAAATCGACATCAGCACAGGTGAGTTTCTTGGCTATGGCCAACCTTGGTTGCAACTGCACATCGTGATATCGGTGGACTGAAGAGCTTGGGGATAGGGGTCGCGGTGGAAGGAGCTAAAGACAAGGGTGACTGACTATATTGGGTGGATATTTGTGGTTTGAAAGGCTCACTTGAAAATTTAAAGTTTCTGAGAATTCAGAATTACTAAAGAATAGTTTGCAAGATCGGAAGGGCGCAGAAGTGCAGCTTAAGTCGTGTAGGTCGCAAATTCTTTACCTTCGGTATACCCGAGATATGACATAGGTTTGCGGTTGTGGAACAAGTCTATTTTTCTTTAGCTATATTTATGTTCGTGCTACGAAGTACTAACTATTTAGTATATAGTTGTGTATCTTAAGATTGAAATAGGTTGATGCGACCTGGAAGAGTTACTAAATAGAGACGGATCAAGACCGAGAGAGGCATGTGGATTAGGCAAAATGCCTCTAAAACTAAGGGATTTAGTGAAAATTTTGGCTTCCTTTGTTCTCTTTTTCAGTTCACATCTGAATACTACAATCTTGTACTACATGCCTGATGTAGATGCATATCTAGCGCTTACCACTAAGCAAATTCTAGCATATGGTCTGAGGAACAGTATGATGTCTTAGATTATATAGAGATTCAAATGAACATCAAAAGATCATAGATGATCAGCGGGAGGGAAATGTCTCACATCCCCACTGCCAAATTCATTAGTTTCGCGTAGTTCCTCGCAACCCCATGCCACTAAGGCTTGATCTAGTAGGATTTTCGCCACCTCCGCACCTCACTGGTGCAAAGCCACGTTTAGCATCTCCATCGACATCATCATCAAAGCACGATGTGATGTGTTTTTCTAGTCGATATTGATTTCCCCGGGTCTTGTTATTGTGAGCCGTACACCTCCGAATGGAGGAATGTAGACGGAAAGGAGCTCGCGCTGACTTTCCGCTAGGGTTTTTTTTTTAGCAAAAAAAGAAAAGCAAGGAATTGAAGAATCAGCCGAAAATATCGTATGTTGAATGATGTGCTGTATCTCCACTGTACGTGCACGAGGGAACTTGAAAGAAATCCAATTGTGCATAAATATGTGTCTGCTCCCTACCTTGAATTGTTGACCAGCCTTTTGATTTTCGAACGAAACCTTCCACATCCCAACTTAAATTCACTTTGCCACTTCACTCAAAAACTTACACTTCACAACACCTGCACCTCCCACAATGAAATTCATCACCTCCCTCGTTATGCTGGCAGCCGCCGCCATCGCTGCACCCATCGCTAGCTCTTCACCCAAGCACTTCCACCTTAAGTCTACAGGCGCCACCAACGCAGAACACAACAACCTCTACGTCTACGCATACCACACGGGCGCAGGCCTCAACGACGCCGTCTTGACCTCAGACATCAACACAGCCAGCTCGGTATACCTGAATGGCACCAATGCCCTCTTTGACCTCAAGACTGAATTCCCCTGGGGAGTCGTTGCCGTCGGCGACACCAACTATGCCTGTGAGTACCCGGCCCTGAAAATCCCGGTTTGAAACTGGACTAACAGAAAATTCTTTCAGCCTGGGAACCTATTCTGATTAATGCCGGCCAAGGCAGCGATGGATTTTCAGTCAAGGGCAACAACTTCCAATGGTCGGAAGCCAGCGGCTTCGGTGGATGGCTCGGTAAGATGATCCCCCGCATATCTTTTTCTTGTTCTTCTCCACACGGCGATCGCGTTACGTTACTAACCTTCAACAGTTTGTGACTGGTATCACAACGCGCCCCAGCTCTTCTACCTGAACCGCTACTATAGCGCCACTATCCCCTCCAGCTGCAGCAAGGTTCAGCTGCAGGCCGAATACATTAACTAGATATGAGATTACGGTCGCGTTGGATTTGGATTCCTTTTTTTACGGCAATTATGATCAATGCCCAAGAACTTAATGTTTACTACTAGCTAATAGCAATTTTGAGCGATAATGAATGAGAAAATACTTTCGAGTTTGGAAATTGAATGCTTATGCTTCCGTGCTATGGTAATTCTGCTAGTGAAACACGGGGATATCACAAAAACACACTAGCAGGGACAAAAGGGTGGTGCAAAGCACCGATCGCATCATATCGTGATTGAACGTTAAGCTTTTTTTTGTGTCTTCTATGGAGCACTATGCTCATGAAGCCATAATCCCCGGGCTCGGGCCACCGGGGTTATCGTAATAGCGCTTATCCATGCCCGCCTGCAGGCGAGCCTCCTCGTTGAACGGCCCCCGGATCGGGCCGCTGAAATGCTTCTTCACATTCGCCCGGAAGACCTGAACGGGGTCCGTTCCTTCTTGGTCACAGATCCACGTCAGCCACCGGTGTCCGGTGGTGACATGCGTGATCTCATCGTTGTGAATGACCTCCAGTGCCTCCACGCTCTCTGCGTCGCCGGCCTTGCGGAACTTCGCAATAGTCATGGGGTTGACGTCCAGACCGCGGGCCTCGTGCACCAGTGCGATAATGCTGATTCTGGCGCGCAGGTCGTACGCTGTTTCCGTTGCCGATTGCCAAAGACTGTGATGGACTGGCAGCGAGCCGAAAGCAGCGCCCATTTCCTCTAGTCGGGTGCGGAGGAGAGAGAAGTGCTTGGCCTCGTCGCTTGCGACCTTCAGCCAGTCGTGGAAGAACGCGCGCGGTAGCTCTTGCGAGGTACCTTCTGTTTGAAAGGTCGCGAATCGAATGCAGATATCGATTGCTAGATCGATGGCCCACAGCTCGATGTTGGCTAGTGCGTGCAGCATGGCGATCCGGCTCTTCAGGGTGCCACCCCGTCCTGCTTTGGGCATTTGCCCTGGGGTCACGGTTTCCATTTTCTCACGCGGCGGCTGGTCGGGCGGGAGAACAGTGCCTCTGCCCAGTGGCATGGGCGAGTCTGTGCCTTCTCTAGCTGTGAAAATGGAGAAAAGATGTGTAGCCAGTTCAATCTTGTGCTCGGGATTAGCAGTATTCAAAATGTGAGCGGCCCAGTCGCATAGCGTCGCGTCGTCATTAAGATACTTCGCCGTGCCGGGTTCTTCGCGGCTAATAGGCGTAGTGGTAGGATTCTCCACAGGCCGCGGATGCTTGAGTTTGACCTTTTCACTGACAGGGTCGACGCTGGCAAGCGAGACAGTGCACCCCTCCTCGGTCGGGAAATCGAGTGAAACAAACTCGCCCCGCACATCGACCGGGAAAGTACAGGCTTTGATGCCGACGCTCGACTCTCCGGTCTCTACGTTGAAATCGTAGGCGTGCCACGGGCAAGACACGACATATGCGGAATCCTCAATATCGACCGAGGAGTCTGCCATGGGTCCGCCGGCATGCGGGCATTCCGCTTCCATGGCGTAGTAGGACCAGCCATCGCTGGTCTCGTTGACTTTCAGATTAGATTGGTCAATTGTCGGTAGGCGAAACAATACAAGTTTCTTGCCTGTATCCAGCCGGACCACATATCTGGCCTGAGTAAAGTCAGACAGTTTGCCACAATTAATCCACATTGTAAAGTTGGCTGGAAGAGTCGGATGTGATACATATCTTGAGGCTTTTTTGGGAATCCAAATTTCACGTTCACGTGATTCATTATTCTTGGCGCTATATATACCAGGAGCTCCAACTTTTGTCCATTTCTTTGTCCACTGTACATCTTCGTTTTAGTTCGGTTGAGTCAGAACTTTTAAGATTCGTGGGCATCACTATTCAAATATTCGTTGGATTTTTTTCTAAAGAGCACATCGCTCAACCAGATACAAAAACAACTAGCTCCCCGACCAGCTTAGTTGTTAGTGTCAGAATAACTTTGACAGTTAGCTATACCCCTGTCCTCGAAAGCCTTAGTTCATTGTATAAGTCGCGTTGGCGTAGTACATTTCTCTTTTACACTAATGAATCAACCCTGGAGTTGGCTAGACCTCGAGACCTTCGCAGGTAAGAAAAAAAGGGATGGAAGAACAGAAATCTTGGTAAAACGGCTATAATATAGGTCCTAAGCCACAGGGTCATTTACAAAATCTCACACTGGTTCTAATTAAAATATGATAGGTCCAGAGGTCAATGCGAAGGCTTCACAGTGCCTTTCTATAAATATCAAAAGCCTCGATCCTCCTGGAGTAATAGAAAACAGGGAATAGGAAATGAGGAGAAAAGCGGTAAGCACATTTTGGATATATCTGTTGGAGAACATGTAAGACTGACTCGCCAAAATAAAGGACAAACAAAAAAAACATAGCTAGCGGCATCAAACGTAGGCGCCTAGCTCGCTAACCACCTATAACTAGCTAACTTACAATTCCTCCGAATTTATGCACGTTGAACGTTTTACCGTTTAGTTTCACCAATTAAACATGATGTAAAGAAGGTGTGTGTGGGCCTCATTTCTCTTCACTATTTCCCCCTAATCTGTTGTTCTTTGATCATTTTTTCTAAAAATTAAACTAAATGATTCTTCATGCCTAAGCTATAGCTATAAATTATATAAGTCCTTGGGCCTGTAGAAGCAGTTTTGTATGAGTTTCGACAAAGAAAGCAAACAATACCACGTGGCTGCGTATTATATCTTTCCATTGTCAACTTTTGTTTACCTTTTCGCTTTCCTCTATCAACACTCGCTGCACGCTTCTTCACGTGAAACCTTCATTGCAACAAACACTGATCGACTATGTGAAAAACCAGCAGACTATTTGCTATAATGTAAGCAGCCCAGTCCGATTTGGCGGTACAAACTGACTCTATACAACAGGAAAACCCTAACTACGGATGATAGAGGCTGTGACAGCTCGATCAACTGGGGAGCATATCGGGAGAACGCCTATGATCAACTACCACGATTCGACTCACTTCCTCACGGTGGAATTGCATTGATACGCTCCTACCAGACTGTCCTTGAGAGGAATGAAACATTCACACAATATTTCACAAAACAACACCTCGAAAGCTACGATGCAGAGGCAAACCTGAGGGAGCAAATGGGCATTCCTCCGTCTTTCTCTAACCCGGAGGATACTGCAAGCGAAGCGGGCCTAATGCTTAGCTGGGTTAACATTATCCGCCAGGGTGATTTCGAAATGCAATCTGATGGTTCTTTTCTCTGCCGCACACAGGGAAAGGTTGTTGAAATTGATAAGTCCCTGCATACTGCCATCGCTATCTACCGATCCATGCATCCTCTGACTAGCAATGCGTGGCCAAGTCACGCCGACGTGGATAAAGAGACCAAGATAAGTCTGGCAATTGAGGCCGATATCATGGAAGAGTTTAACAATCAATCAAAATGTCCGTCCTTGCTAATACATATACTCCATTAAACCGTGAATACTGTGCAAACTCATACTAACTAACGAACAGATTTGGACAAATTGAAGCAACTTAAACTTGCACTGAAGAGACGCCGGAAAACACTACAACGAAGTGTTGACCCACAAGCGTCTGCGAAGAAAGGGCAAATACCGCAAGGACTTCGAACCCAATACTCGACCCCATCCCAATTACACCCCAAGGTAACTGCTGAGCCTCATGATAGCCTTACACGACGATCATCAGAAAGCTCAGACGTGTCAACTGGCAGTGACATCTCCTTTACTGGTGGTCGCAATGGCCCGAAATCCATGAGTATCGACTCAAGTGACGCTCCGGATCTGAACATCACTGCCCGCACAGCAAACGATCAGAGCAAGGAAAATGAAAAGGAAAAGCCAGCATCTGCTTTGGGGAACGGAAACCAGGAGATTATCTTCATTGATGACAGCAGCAGCGTGCCATCAGCTCGAGTCACCCCAGTCAATGACGATCGGGGTAATATATCTAGCAAAGCCCTGTCGACAAAGCGTTCGCTCCGGGGCATTGACGACGAGGGCGTCACGAAACAATGTTCGAAAAAATCAAAAAGTGAGAACACCACGCCACCTCCAAATTCCGATACCCTAGACCAATGCAAGAAACCGCGGATGTTGAGCGAACAACCCCGGGAGTCCCACAAAGCCAAAGAGCGAAAACGAAAAAGGAAAAACTTCACTGAGTACGAGAAAGAAAATGCCCCAGCTTGGTTGCGAGCCCAATACGACGCCCACAGGCCCTCCGGTGAAATCGAGCGCGCATACGTCGATAAATTCGGCGTCCGCCACCGCAGCTCAACTCTGAAAAGCTGGCTAGAGCGAATGGAAGAACAAGCCCAAAATGCCGAAATGCAGCACCAATTGCCCACAGTTAGATCCCACCCCGAGAGCCTGATCGTGAAATTGAAAGTACATGTCCCAGAGCACCTTCATGCTGGATTCTTCAATGACACCCCTTACAGACTACTCCGCTCAGGCATGCGCCCAAGCCGCAGGCCCGCATAATGCCAGCAAGTGAAGGTGCTGATCCCGGAATCTTCTCGCCCGCCTACTTCTTCCCTTATCCTGAACCTGATTATCGTTTCTTGGGGGAACGCCGAGCCTCCTCCGCTGGGTACAGTCTGGATTTGCCCCGTCGACCATCTTTGCTTGGTAGCCCCTCGATCAAAAGCGGTCTGCCGAATGTTTAGTCTCAATGATGGGCTTTGCAAACTTTTTATCTATGAGTATGTACTGTGGTTTTATCTTAGCGCTGTGTCTGTTTGACTCACATGCTGACAGACATTCAGTATCATCTTTCACCGGTGATATTTCATTCTAGCGTCTACATTTCTCAAAGGTCTCTTCATGATTTGGATGGACGATACCAGAGTTTTTTTTTTCCTGTAATAGTATTGTGTTATATTACAAGCTGATTATCTTGGAAGCTTTTCTTCATGGAAAGCACAGACGTGTGTTGTTATCGGTCGAATACTTAATGAACTCATCGGAAATTGCATTTGGACTTATAGTAATAGTGTAGCATGAATAACTGTCCCGACATGAATAACTGAAAATTAGGATGAGTAGAAATGATCGGAGTAGGTCGCAATGCAGAGTGATGGCGGTAGGTAGATTTGATTCCGGATAGGCGAGGGCGAGAGAGCCTTATATATAGCAATACCTAGGCTTTATTGAATGGTGTCTAGCCTTCTAGGCTTGTCAATCACTGTCCGGTCAATTTTGTAAGAGAACTTCTCAGGCCCCGCACTTTATTCTTCAACAACCGCCACCACAATTGCCAGTTACATGTGTATAACTCTAGAAGCATATCCAGGTATAAAAACAGCGCTTAAGTAAAACAGTGGCTTAGAGGTCCAAGGCCTCACCGGTGATAAGTTTCAAGGGGCTCCTCGTGTGCTTCAAGCGTAAAAAGCAGACTGAGGAACACCGGTGCTGCCTCGTAGCTATCAAAATCAATCGGGCCTGTGACTTGACAAACAAACAAACGACTGGCGCCGAGGCTAAGGCAGATGTAAAACACTAGGGTTGTCTTGTGAATAGGCCATTAGGTAAACGGGTTGAGGCTATGGCTTTACAAGTCATCAGATAAGCTAGATCGCGTCAAACAGCGCATATAGATTATTAACAAAGAGATGCATAACTCTAAGAAAAAGCCATCTAAACCATAGGAAAGGCCCTAAAAAGGAAGGCTATAATAAATGATGTGGTTCTACGTGATGTACTTGGTCACTTTGATACCTAGTGGGACGCCCAATAAAAAATAAATGGTGTTAAAGAAGTGCACCGTAAATAGGTTGGGGCTGTGACTTTACAAACCAACAAATGGGTGATAACGCGTCCAATGGCACGCACGCATAGACAGAAACCGCGCTCACAAAAAGCAACTTAAGCCGCAGGATAGATGCTAAAAGGCTAACCGCTAGACCTGATACCTTGCTACTATATGTTTTAACAATTCCTTGGAGGTCAGGCCTATGCCATTAGCTTTTCACTTCAACCTCAGGTACCGAGTTCTTGATATGTCCGCTGTCCTAGAGCCATCTAAATGTAATCATCGCAAAACTGCAGCCAATATAAAGAATGCTGCTCTACTATGAGCGCTCTACAGTGAGGCAAGATAATCTTATGACCCGGGAAACCACAAGGGGGATTATGGACCGAATTAAAGGCAAAGTATTTAATACCAAATTTATCGAATGTTTGAACTTAGAAGAGGATAACAGGCATCAGAGGCTTTTGCAACTATCACCTACAAGGGATACCTGGAAGAATAAATGTGGACATGACAATGAGGAAGCTGCTACTCTTGAGCTGTCCTTATTGCGTGGACAATAGATTAACTAGTAGATTTGAGCCCAATGACTCAGTGATTCGTTTAAAGCATGAAGGTATGCATCTCTCAAAGCATCCATCAAATATAACATTCTTTCAAGTCCAGCAAAGACATTACAAGTATTATCAACAACGATTACGACCTCTAGAGGGCGAGAGCAAGACCCAGAACACCGGCAGCACCAGCAAGACCCATGGCAACACCAGTAGGGGCCGCACCGCCGTCAGACGTAGAGGATGCGGCAGAGCCGGAAGAACCAGCAGCAGATGACGAAGCAGCGTCGGAGCCTGTAGCAGAGGCGGAGGTCGAGGTGACGGTAACTTCTGAAGTAGACTCACTGGCAGATGAAGAGTCGGTGGTAGCGCCTGAAGTCGAGGCGCCGGAGCTTGAGGAGCCAGAGCTAGAGCCAGTGGCAGTAGCCTGGGGAGAGCTAGCAGCGGAACCGCTGGCACCGGAGCTTGTAGCCTCGGCGGCGATGGAGGAGGCGAATGAAGGGTAGTAACCCTCAACAGCGGTGGTGACGTACTCCTTCACGCTGTCTGGAAGGCTGCTGTACCAGGTGGGCCAAGAGTTGGAGACGAAGCCTTGCTCGACCTGCGACAGAAAGGCAGCTGTGTTGGTGGCCTCGGCCCAGAAAGAGCTTGGGACGGCGGTTGCGATGACTGCGATAATAGATGGGGGAATGTCGTATGGGGAATCAGTGTCGTCTCCAGACTCAAGGTTGTTGCTCTCGGCGGGGGCGGCAAGGGCCGCGCTCGCGAAGAGTAGGGCTGCAAGAGACTTGAATTGCATTATAACGGGTTGCAAGGGTATATATTGTATCAGATTTAGAACAGCGGAGGAAAATAGACTGAGAGATGGAAAAGAAGAGACACGGGAATCTGGGGGTACAATGCTTAAATACGCCCCCAAATCTCCAAATTCGAAATAAAATAATCGTGTAGCTGTGAGGCTCTCACTTGCTGAGCCCAAATCCACTCAAGACGCTATGTTCGCTGGTTCCACCATCAATTGCCAATCGTGAACATCGCCCCCAAGACCGCCGATCAACGATCAAAACAGGAAAAAGTGCCTAGCATCTTGACAATTCTGCGCCCTGCAAATTTGGGGGCCATGTTTTGGTCAAGTCTATCTCGCACGAGGTTGGTCGAAGTCTCATTTGCGCATCAATTCGGAAGCTCCAAAGCAGACTTGAAGGTGCGCACGGGGTTAATTGGTTATTCGTATGCCAAGTTGGTCTTCCTTTAGACCGACGCACACCTTCGTTTTGATATGCTGAGCATACACAACACTTGGCAAGCATGACATCATTTTTCGAGTGAGCCCTCAGAATCCACTGCTGCCTTGAGTGTACAACGTAATTGGATTGATTCACCGCGGTCTGTCCCGACAGTTCATTTCAAAATTATATTGAAGAATTTCAGAAAGTCCAATATATTGAACTGGCATGACGATTCGGCAATCTGCCAACGAATAAGGTTGATAACGATCAACATAGCCCATGTGTTCGTCGTGTAAAGGATATAGTTATTTATATACATTTGCACCTTCTCAAGAAGAGAAAATCACTTCACCTCATCGAATTCAAGCCTGAAATAGACTTTTGAATAACTTCAAGTGACCACTACGTCTTTCAGTTCTCGGCTTGCGTAATAACCCTTGGCCATGATTTGTCTGACGCAATAAACAACCCGTATTCGAGCTCATGCTTGGGTTTTGCTTTATGGAATTTATACCTCTTCAATTATGCAAGTGATTTTGCATACATCTTATAGTAGTGCAAATTCAAAGGACTTCTAGTGGGACATACTGATTCAATCTTCTGGAGGAGATTCAGCATCTCCACACGCTTGTTCAACCACATTCCAATTTCAGGGTGCAAAAAATTGAACCCAGTCCTTGTCTGCGGGGGCAGTGCATTTGCAGTGGCTTTGCCGCTGATGAAAATGACTATCGCTTGGTTCTACAAAGCAACCATGCTATACTTGACACAGTTTCCGTAGGGTCAAATAAATCGGCCTCATAAATTCACCATCTAGCCTTCATCTATTTGCTAAAGGGTGCTATCCCTACGGCCGAACGCGATCGGGAACCCGTCTTGGTCGAGTTGATCGACGAAAAGTGATGAGCTTGAAGCTCCAGAGACCGGAGCACGGTTTGACCGCCGGGCAAGTGGGGGCGATTGACGCTGCGAGGGCGTTGTTGGGGCATCCGACCGTCCTGTTAGCGTGCCTGCAGGTTCGGTGCGTGCTTTTATAGTCGACTCGCTGGTAAAATTCCTAGCCGATGAAGAGGAAAGGAGAGCGCTGAAAGAGCCATTGCATCGACTATGCCTGTGTCAGTGAACAAACCACAGGAACCAGGACTTTGAGTTACTTACACCACTCGGGGTTGTTACAAATGGAAGAAAACGAGACTAATGGACTCTGAATTTTCGTCATGCTGAGGGGAGCTCTTGGCAAATCCGATATACTTTATTTCAAGACCCGTGCCTTCTAGTCCTATGAGATGGAACCACGTTAAACCGCGGTCCTGCATGACATTCGGTGCTTTTGCCTGGATGAGTAGAAGCCCTAGAGCGCAGATGAGTGAATGGGATCAGCGAATTGACTACTGGTTATTCTAACCTAAAAGAGTTGAAGAATCTCGGAAGAATGATATGCCTCTCTCAGGGCCGCCAAAATCTTGCACCATCGAGGACATTTTACTCATATAAGAAGAAACGTAGAGTGGCACAGGATCAAAGCCCACAGGAGCCGGTCATCGACACATGGAATGCACTCTTTCCAACAGACTGTCAGCCCCCACCAAGGACATGTAATAGTCTCGCAGAATCAAAGGTAAATACTAGTACTCGTCCTGAAGGACAACCAAGACATATTGTCGACAGTGACACGGCGGAAGTAAGTGAGCGGTACTCCGGTGGTAACCATACCAATTCCTTTGAGTTCCAAGTGATCCATCTACCATCGTCACTTATACTATATCCCTCAAATCTCGGCACTTCGGCATCGGTCCCGGTCGCTCTTATATCCGAAATTGAAGGTAAACAGATGGTACCATTGTCAGTTTCGAGATATGAGTTGGTAGTGTCGAACGATATTACATTAACTTTTCTTTTAACACGAAGAGTCTGTAGGCACTCGCCGCTGCTGACATTCCATACATGAATGAAACCGTCGTCTGATAAGACATTGACTGAAGCCGAGGCGATGATCTTAGAATCACGGGAGAAGGTGACCGAATTGACCAAGCCACTCTTGCCCTTGAGGGTCCGGATATATTGGCCGTTGCTTGCATCCCATACCGTGACGTTCTCATTGAGCGAGCCCGAAGCGATGTACTTGAAATCATAGGAGAAGGCGACCGAGCTAACCAAGCCGCTATGGCCCTTGAGGGTCCGGACGTATTGGCCGCTGCTTGCATCCCATACAGTAACGGTCTCATTGGGCGAACCAAAGGCGACGAGCTTAGAATCACGGGAAAAGGCGACCGAGTTGACCGAACCGTTCTGGCCCTTGAGGGTCTGGAGGCATTGACCGCTTTTAGTATCCCATATCTTAACGGTCTCGTCGCACGAAGCTGAGGCAAGGAGTTCAGAATCATAAGAGAAGACGACCGAAACAACCGGGCCGATATGGCCCTCAAGGGTTAGGAGGCAGTTCTCGTTACTGGTATCCCATACCCTGATAGTGCGGTCGTACGAAGCTGAGGCGAGGCGCTTAGAGTCATGAGAGAAGGCGAGGCGCTTAGAGTCATGAGAGAAGGCGACTGAATGAACCCGCCCGCTATGATCCTTGAGGGTCTGGGGGTATTGACCGCTGTTAGTATCCCACATCTTAACGGTCTCATCGCGCGAAGCTGAGGCGATGAGCTTTGAATCATGGGAGAAGGCGACTGAGTTGACCCAGCCACTATGGCCCTCAAGAGTTTGGAGGCATCTCTCGTTACGGGTATCCCACAACTTGATAGTGCGATCGTACGAAGCTGAGGCGAGGAGCTTAGAGTCATGAGAGAAGACGACTGAACTGACCGAGTCGCTATGGCCCTTAAGGATCTGGAGGCATCGGCCGTCCCTGGTATCCCATACCCTGATAGTGCGGTCGTACGAAGCTGAGGCGAGGCGCTGATAATCATGAGAGAAGGCGACTGAATGAACCCGGCCGCTATGGCCCTCGAATGTCTGGAGGCATTTCTCGCTCCCTAAATCCCACACCTTGACGGTCTCATCGTCCGAAGCTGAGGCAATGAACTTAGAATCATAAGAGAAGACGACCGAACTGACCAGGCCATTATGGTCTTTAAGGGTATGTAGGCATTTCTCGTTACTGATATCCCACACCTTAACAGTCTCATCGTACGAAGCTGAGGCAAGCAGTGTAGAATCATAAGAGAAGACGACCGAAACAACCGGGCCGATATGGCCCTCAAGGGTTAGGAGGCAGTTCTCGTTACTGGTATCCCACACTTTGATAGTGCGATCGTACGAAGCTGAGGCGAGGGACTTAGAATCATGAGAGAAAACAACCGAGTAGACCGAATCGCTATGGCCCTTGAGGGTTTGGAGGCATTTTCCACTGCTGGCATCCCACACCCTGATAGTGCGGTCGTGTGCCGCCGAAGCGATAAGCTTGCGTTGGCGGGAGAAGCCAACCGAAAGGACAGAGCTTCTATGGCCCTCGAGGCTCTGGAGGCAGGCGCTCCAACTCTCCTCCATTCTTGGCTTTCTAGTCATCCACACCGGTTCTTGTGATTTAAATTGAATTCTTGTTGCGCTCCCGGCCGGACTAAATATCAGTCCTGAAGCGTATACTTGAAGTGGATAATTCTCGATGGCTGTTTTATGGTATAGGATAAATCGGCATGCATCTTGAACTCTGTCAATGAGCCGTGAGTTCTCCTTTGTTTTCTAGAATAATAATGTTAAGACAGCTCCTTAGTTGCACTGGTGGAGACTGACCTCTAGCAAATTCTGGAGCCTTATCATCGAAGCTACTCCCGCTGACAAGCCTCTTAACAGACTAAGGGCCTCGAGCCAATGCAGGTAGTTAATATGGAAGAAAGTGCCAACAGATCCACTTTCTTGGAGGTCGTCCATCGCGTTGTTGAAAGGAGAGCACCTGTCTAGATGATCAACCCAGTAGGCACACGCATAACCTATTACGGCTAGCGGGTCTGAATCTGGCTGGCTAACCTGGTCGACCGGATATCCAGGCGAGATTAGGTTGTAAATGTCGCGCCTTAGCGTCTTGCCAAGAGCCTGCAAAGACCTGGAAAATATGGAATAGTGCACCATGTCTTCTCCTTCGGGGAAAATAACATTGGCTGTTCTTCGAAGCAGAAAGTCTTTGGCTGACTGATGAACTAGAGAGACCGTGCGTCCTGGGAGCATCAGGAAAGAGCCGCAAAGCTGTATAATCTCTATCAGAACCGAATCATCCGCGATCTCATCAGATAAGTCGATATAAGACGCTAATTTGTCCAACGTGATAGGACGGTAAACGCTTGTGATAATGCCGAGGAGAGACTTGCAAATGTCAGCATCATATGACTCCCTGATTTGTTCAATGATTTGTTCAAAAATTCGCTCATAGAGCTTATCAAGACCAGAAGGGAATTCTTCTAACTTCTTCAGAACGTGTCTTCTCGAGACATTGGTGAGTTCCTTGCAAACCAAGGCTACCCAGAGGAAGGTACCATTTGCTTTTGACAACAAGTGTTGGGAAACAGCATCACGGATTTTATGGTTATATTTCTTCTTTTCTGTCAATTCCTGGACCTTGTGGTTGACAAAGGTTGCGACAGCCTCATCCATAGACGTCTCATTCAATTCCAGCGAGAGCTTTGTTCCTTGGGCCGCGGTGTCAAGAGTACCTTCGATGTTCGGCCAGTTGCGGCTCGAGACGATCCATTTGACATGTTGATATGCAGACGATTTCTGGGCGACAAAATCAAGGAGCTCTTTCCGATGCGTTGTACATTCGTCAAGAGCATCGATGATCAAATAGGTGGTCTTTAACGCCGGGTCCTCGAGGATACTAGTGAGCATTTCTGACAAAGCTTCCCACGCATTCACATCCTCAAAGACCTGCTTCCCGGCCTTGTCGTAGTGACGCCGCACATGGGAAATGAGAGATCGCTTCTGGTCAACCAGCATAAAGATCAGGCCGCGAAGGACTGCAGTGGCGTTGTTTATCCTTACGTCGGCTGCCTGGCAGAAAAAGAAGGAGACGAAAAAGGTGTTCAAAGCGGGCTTCTTCAGCTCATCGATGATTCCACACAACAACATTGTTTTTCCTTTTCCCGGATCCCCTTTAATCCAGAGCAGTTGTCTCTGTTGCTCATAGCGCCAGCGCTTGAAATCAGCATGGTCGAAGATCCAGTTGTACACGTCTTTCAGTAGTCCGCCATTCTCCCTTTCGATACGACTCTAGTCAAGAAGAGGATTGGTAGTCTGCAGGTCCTGTAAGCAGGCTCGGTCGGCCAAAATTTGATGGTCTGATATAGGAAAATGCAATTAGTGCGTCTTCTCCTGGCATGGCTGTTCTTTAACCTACCCGTGATGAGAGTAAACTGTGCAGTGATGAGGCCACTATTCTGTCCTACTTGAAGGCCAGAGTTTGAGTCACTAGTATATGTTGCAGAATCCATAGCCATCATGAGATAGGCGGAATGATTTTGTCTCATGAATGAGGTAAAGGACACGATGAAGTCAAGGCTGACCGGTTAGCCCCTCTCTTAGGTGACGCTTCATCCTAAGCAACCGTATATATCAAGGGAGAGTCCAAAACTACAGCCTCGCTGACCGATAGTCTCTTCTGCAATGAGTGTAATTGACAACTTGCGTCAATACCAGGTCCAAGATAAGCTTATGATTTGGGAGGCTAGACAATATCCCGTACCAAGGAACGATAAGTAATGAGGTGGGGTAATGAGGTGCCGCCTGAATTAACGATACGCTACCTGTAAGTGAGGGGTTATAGGCAGGGTCTAGCAAATATAACAAGGATACGATCGCTTTTCTTAGGCAATCATTCATTGCCGTACTGAGATATTGCGTGAAATGTTGGTCAGAGGTAAGCTGACCGTATGTGGTAAGGCCTCGTGCAAAATACAGTTCAACAAAGAACACCAGCCTTCAAATGGCACCTCGGCTTGCTTAAGACCCGCAATTCGCCCACTAGTGGGCCCATCAACAATTTAAAATACAACAGGCAAGTTTTCTCAGAAGCCAACAAGGAGAGAAAGGAAGTTGGAAAAGAACAAAGAAGGAATGAAGGGGATACATGCCACCTTATCTTAGAACCTATATTGACTCTTGCTTCACTAGCTAATTTGGTCGGGAACCCAACTGTTTTTGGCTGTAATGATGATATGTGCCAGCCAGCTTGATCCGAAGGTTCTTCCCCTGATAAATGAAAAACAGATTGCCCAAAAGAACAACTGTTGAAATGAGTCCAAATGTCACATAAAACCAAGTAATTCCCACCCTATTACACCAAGGTTGAAGCGCAAAGACAAAAACCGTGGATATCAGGTTACGAATAAACGTAACTCCCACGACTGAGTCTGCAATAATCTGCCATAAATCAGAAAGTCAGTAATTGAATTTCCGATTATACTCCAAGTCTTACCTCTGTATATGAATCAGTCAGATAAGTCAACGCAGCACCACTAGCAGGAACGATCCCCACTGCACTGACACCAAGTCCAAATGCAGGAAGAAGCCAATGGGTGCCGTTATTTAGCCCAATGCCAAACATGAAAAGACCAGCAGGAACCAACGGAGTAAATGCAACTGCTAGCCAAAGTCGCATCTCAGGCTCGAAAATGCCGCCGTTTCGCCTTGCAAGAGAGAGGGCTATGGAATCACTGAGCGGTCCACAAATCACAGCTCCTAGTGTTGTGCCTATGAATGGAGGCAGACCCATCAGTCCAATTTGTGAGGCATCGAAATTGTATGGCGGAAGTGTCATCACGGATGAAAGTGTGGTCACTGGTACCGTCGTGCAGGCCGTCATGACTCCGTATACAACTGCCATGAAGAAGACACCCGGGATTTTAAATAGAATGAGAAAGGGTTGGTAGCAGTGCTTTGCTACTTCGGAGAACGGGACTGGAGAGTTCGTCCACAGTGCGAGCTTCTGCCAGTAAGTTTTTTCGGGAATTGATCGGTCAATCTGAAACGCTTCGCATGTTGGTTGACTTTCCCCAAACGCGTCGTGATTCTTGATAGTCGATGTCTCGAGATCCTCTTTTGTAGGCCGTGGGTTAGGGTCCAGCTTATCCTCAACGGGAACCCCATCAATAGATGAAGCATCGAACATGGTTTCTTCGTAGAGAAAAACGAACGCAGCAAGTCCCACGCCAAACAGTATAGCCATCCACCACCAAACCCAGCGCCAACCTTGAGACTGTGTTATAAAGCCGCCAGCCAGAGGCGCTAGTGTTACCCCGACGGTCATGAACCAGAAGTAGACTGTATTGGTGAGGCCCCGCTGGTGAACGAAGTAGACATCAGCCACAGTCATCTGAACCAGCACTTCGGCAAGGGCTCCAACGATGCAGCTCAGGACATTGACCAGCATTAGGTCAGTGACCGTCTGCATCTTTGCAGACCACACGCTGATCCCACACTGGATCGCGGTACTGAACACGTATATTGGGCGTCGTCCGTACTTGAGAGCAAAGGGTACCAAGAAAAGACCTCCGATGCAGAGGGCGCCGCAGCCTGCGGCATAGCTATCGTTGAGTAAAGCGTAGCTAAACCCCAGCTCCAGGTTTTGCGGGCCCCAGGTCACTGTTGCCACGTCGATTCTGTTTTTGTTTCGTTAGCAATCATGCGTTGAAAGCAGTTGATGGGCAGAGGCTCACAGGGCAAGAACCATCACAACGTAGTAAGACACAAGTGCGAAATTCAAGTTTTTGCGCCATAGAGGCCAGTTCTGGTGTGGTGAAACGAGTCAGCGGTCGAACTCCCATCCCAGCCTTCATGAGGAGCTTCTCACAAGCGGATCATTGGGGTCTCTGGTAGGCCTCGGCTGGAGAATCACTTCAGAGTCTCCTCCTGGCTGCGAAATATCTATGGCACTGTCAGTGTGTGCTACTTTATCGTTGGTTGCGCGGACATAGAGTCTCGATTATGTTCGCACCTTCAATTCGAACCGTTCCAGGCGGCCAGGCTGGATCAACAGAGGACTGGTTATTTGACATTCGGTAGAGTGGTTGGTCAAGAAGATGGAAGGCTTATTTAATAGACAAGATGTCAAAAGACGTAAGAAAGTAGGAAGCAGTTATTCAAAATCCAAGCACAATAGTCTCGATTTGTGTCCGCTAGTCATTCCAACGCTGGTCCTGGGCTCATTATATGACTTTAGTCCTGGAACCACAGACCTGTCAATAACGGGTGCGATTTCACAACGTGTATCTTATCATGCTTCGATACGGTGTTGGCGTTCTGCAGCCATTCACATCTGAAGATAGGGGCTCAGGGTGGACTGCGCTTTGTCTTGAAAAGGAAGTTTCAAGCAACAGCCAATCACCCGGGGCAATGGGTGCGAGCTTATCAATGTCGCAGGTTCCGTTGATCTAGAATGCGGGGAAATAATGTTAATTTAACGAGAAATGCTCGGGGTATCGGAGTTACCTAACTTCTGCTATCAGTGATGGTTTCATTAGCAAAACTGTAGCCTAGATTCCCAGGCTCCAGATACTTCCCTGAGCATCGGATAGGCCCATTGATCTACACAGCGGGTCTCCAATATTGTATCAACTATACTACCTAGTCAGAGCTCTGCTATCACACAAAGTTTCCTACTAGATGGGCTCATATCCGGTTGATAGAATTGTTCATTTGCGGTAATATCAGCACTTCAATTATCATTGGTAGTGTGCTCATGTCCTTCTGCTAACAGTCTAGGGACCTCACAATTATGGCAATCATCTAGGAATGCGAAGTATCGTCCGAAATATTCTAGAGCTCTAGTGTGATTGAGTGTGGAGGTCGGCTAACAGAATAGCCAATGGCGTCAAATTGCGCCGGTCCGCTCTCAAGAGAGCCCCTCAAGTTCCACTACTTCTGTCCAATCACAGCTCAGTTTATTGGCCGGTTCTCGCGCAGGGCGAGAAACGGGAAGATCTGTCGGATGTATCATGGCAAGACTGTCCGGAATCTTACATCCTTCGATGTTCTCAAAAGGAAACTTCTGGAGAACTCGGGGTCTTGATGATTCCGACATCCCCGCAAAAATAATACATAATCCAAGACCGCATCCTCCTCAGTTGCACTATCTTCACAACCACAACCTCTGAGAAACATGTCATCGGTTTTCAAAAACGGACGCATTTTTGTGCCACAAGCCTCAAATCATGGCGCTGACTTCGCCGAGGGAATGATAATTGAGAACGAGAGGATCTCCTACGTCGGCTCTCTCGATGAGATTACCATACCAGAGGATGCAAAGGTCATTGACTTGCAAAGCCGCACTGTCATCCCGGGCTTCATCGATGCCCATGTACACATTCTACACTACGGACAATCCCTCCATAAAGCAGATCTCATCGGGTGCACCTCTCTTGATGAAATTCGCGAGACCATCAAGTCCTACGCCGAAGCTCACCCCTCTATTCCTCGCATCTTCTGCCGAGGCTGGATTCAATCATCCACCAACGGAGTCGCATTAGCTAGCATGCTTGATGGGATTGACTCACGTCCTATCTTCGTTGATTCTTTTGACCTTCACTCTATGTGGTGCAGCTCGGCTGCTCTCGACGAGATGAAAGTTCACACTGCACCCGATCTTCCCGGTGGCACAATCCATCGCGATGAGAATGGGAGAGCCTCGGGCCTACTCGATGAATCTGCTCTCATGAACCTTGCATGGCCTTACATAGAAAGTGTCACATCTATCGAAGACAAATTAAGTGCATTGGACACTGCGGTCGCTGCATACACTGCTGCCGGCTATACTGGATTAGTAGATATGGCCATGGACGAAAGCACGTGGGAGATCTTGAACCTGTATCGTCGGGATCATCATATCCCATTCCATATTGGTGCACACTGGCTTGTTCCCTTCTCAGCAGATCAAAAAGCCAATTTCAAATACGTCGACCGAGCAATCGAATTACACCATCAATACAAGCAGCCCGATTTCTGCATCGTCGGAATCAAACTCATCTGCGATGGCGTGGTCGATGGATGTACTGCCGCCCTCCTCCAGCCCTACACCGGCAAATCGGATCCCGTAGACCCTATCTGGCCCGAGGACATGCTACAAGAAGTCGTTCAACGCGCCGACTCGGCAGGGATACAGTGTGCAATCCACGCAATCGGCGATAGAGCAGTTCATCAAGCAATCAACGTTCTCTCGCGGGTGGGCACACCGGGCAGAAGACACCGAATCGAACATTTGGAATTGACGACTTCCGAAGATGCCAAACGGCTCGGTCAATTAGGCATCACTGCTTCTATCCAGCCTGTTCACTCCGACCCTATGCTCTTCAAGGCGTGGCCGGGACTAGTCGGCCCCGACCGCTGCAAGCGGGCATTCGCATACAAGGACTTTTTGGACGGCGGGGCTCCGATTGCAATTGGCACTGATGCACCTACGGCGCCTCATATGCCCTTCCCGAATCTTTACAACGCTACGACTCGGCGGTCGGCACTTGAAATACAGAGCGACAATACTGTCAATCCGCACTTTGCGCTGAGCTTGGCTGAAGCGGCGACTGCTGCTACTGCCGGTGCTGCCTACGCTCGGTTTGCGGATGGTTGGACTGGGAGTCTGCAAAAGGGACTCTATGCTGACTTTGTGGTTGTGGATATGCAGTGGACGCCGGAGAAACTACTTGGGGCAAAGGTCTGCCAAACTTGGTATCGAGGGAAGAAAGTATTTGATTCTTAGATAATTCGTGTGATGGAAGGATAAATCTCGGGCCGCTCTTATGATGCCTATGCGCTCCTCTATCATTACTATTTGGACCATCATAATGACATCACCAAACACCCGGGTAAAGAAAGAAAAGAAACTAGAAGTTTACAACTGTATATGATTGAACAGCTATTTCGTATCTTTACACATTATCACCTGGCAGAAGCTATTTGTAAGTTCCAGCGCTACAATCCCGGTGTACACCTCACCAGCAGCATCATATACACAAGACCTACCGATCTACTCTCCCAACACTTCAGGGTGTGCCTGAAGGCCACGGTCGGCAATCGAGTCAGAGAGGAAAATATCTGTGGCGTGTAAGCATGTGTATACAAATCTAAACCAACACCGATCACAGGAAACGTACTATGATCTACCTCCTGGTGGGACCAATGTTCTGTATGCTTGTGCAGATCATCCAAAGCATGTTGATGAGCGAGCTCGGAGCACATGGCATGCGGTGATCTATGTAATGAAAACGATAAGTCAGGTATACGCAAACTTCAACTTAATATGTAGACAGATCTTCGAACTCACGGTGCGACGTCTCTATCCACTAACTCTTTCACATCCTGCTGGACTTTTTGTGGCTGCTCCGCGTATCCAAGGGAGCTGCGGCGCTTGGCGTAATTGGGGTCTAGGGGGTTGTGGTCGATAGTTGTGGTGACCATGTTGACGATAGTAAAAAGTGTCCTGACGGTGGTAAAGTGTATTGATTGTAGTAAAGTGGTAGATTTGGGTGGAAAAAAAGACTAGTAGATTGAGATAGCCTAAATCAAGTTCAAGCGAGAAACCCGATTTAAATGAACCTGGAATGCAAATGCGGGGGCCATTACATTGGACCATTTGCCATGTCATTGCTTGGGTGTGGCGGATCTATGATCTAAACACTCACTGAGCCACCTATCAGGGATGAAGATACTCTTATCCTTGCTCTAGACCAAATAAAATGTCAGGCAATGTATGGTGATTCGCCAGTTGAAATCGAATGGGGGTATGGGCTCATTCAATGCTTGCGACTTGAACAAGGGCTGGGGTTACACGAGACAAACTGTAGATCAAGACCAATTTGGTATGAGGTCAGATGATGCCCGATATTGTCCGGGGTATGATGTGTATGGCAATTGATGTTTGGGGTTACTTGCTTGTGTTAAGTGACCAATGATTTGTTGGGGGCCCGGCTTTATGCAAGTGACGATTGGGAGGCTCAATGGGTACTAGCATGTATTGTCTGTTGCTCTATTTTTCAGCTGTAGCAACGTCAAAATTCAATGCGGTTGGTTCGTATCTCTTAATCCGAGTTAACTGTATTGGACTTTCAGTATCTTGATATTATTCTATATAGTTGTTGAGAGATGGACAAAGAGAAGCTAAACATCACGAATAAACCAACTAATAGGCTTCTAGGCTGAAAGCCTCGATATGTTTTGAGGTGTCGCCTGGGCGATGAATTTAGTGCACTCTTTTGAACACAGATCCAGTTGCCGGGAACTCAACGCTGACGAGTCTTTCATCAACCAGGTTGAAAATAAACTCATCGGTAGGACCCGCAAAGTCGAGGTTCATCCACGTGAACGAGTTGTCAAATAGGCCACCCTTGCCACCTTCGATGGCTGCACGAGGTTTAAGCGGTGGCTCGGGCTCTACCATACGGTGCGCCACACGTATGGCGCCCTTTTTTCTGTACAGGGAAGACAAAGATCTGGAGAATGAAGTCAAACCGGTCGGATAAAGGCGCCAGTACGGACCATCCCTGCCGTTGATACCCTTGACCCAGAACGACTTCAAGCCGAGCCCGGGCCGGCCTCTATCGACGGTCAAGGTGAGGTTAGTGCCGGGCGAGGTACTGTCCACAAATGTGCCGGCGAGATTACGCTTGGCATTTTCTGTCGCGGCGAGCTCGGCAGCAGGGATGAAAGTCTCGCCCACCACGTCGCGCAGGGGCCAGCGAGCTGGTGTGGCGGTTGAACCGGCAACCAAAATAGAATATCCTATACCTTGATCCGGTGACAGGGCGAAGATGGCGGTATAGTCAACGTTTCCCCCGGCCTTGGTGTACAGATCTGAAACACGAGTCCGGTTTGAACCTGGCGTGACGGGGATCTCGAGACGAGAAATTTCCCACGGCGCACCGACAAGTTCGACTAAGCTTCCAGTTCCACTGCGGGGCTTCATCCATTCGGATACCGTGGCCGGAGAGAGGATTTCAGAGTTCAAGATGGAAAGACCCGCGGCGCGAAGGTCTGCGCCATTGGCGTAAAGGCTGCCCGTTCTGCAGGGTGGATCAATACATACTCCCGGGATCATTCAGGGGAACAGAAGAAAGGAATGTAAAAGAAAACTTACGATGCGACAATTTCAAGATCAACACCCCATGATGAGTTCTTGTCGATGATGGAGCGATCGATAACATTCAGGTCAGGACCCTTGGGGATGGTCGTCGATGTGCTGTCCATCCCCAGTGGATCGAATATAACTTCTTGGATTGCCTCTGGGAAAGACTTTCCCGAGAGACGTATAAGTACTTGCCCCAAGATAGCAAAACCGCCATCGGAATAAACGGCATTTCGCCATGGAGAGATCACTGGCTTCTTTTCATCACGGAAGAAGGTGAGAAGATCTAAGTACACCACTATCAGTGATTTCCCGATCCAATCATTTGATTTGACTTACCTTCAGAGTTGTAATTGAATGGGTCTTTGGGGTCGACGTATTTTTGCAGGAAGTCTGGTGGAAATCAGCATTGCATTCCAGAAAGTCACAGGGAACATACCCGCAACACCACCAGAGCCGGCCTGCTGAGACGCAAGTGCTCCAACAGTAATATCCTCCCACCGAATCTTTTCCAGGGGATCATTGGATGAATTTCCCGCCAGTTCAGGAAGGTATTTCGTCACAGGATCACTGAAGACTTGTATGCCCGCTTTGGCGATGATTGCATAGACAGTGAAAAGTTTTGTTACGCTTCCAATACGCGATATCGTCTTGTCATCAAACGCCCCGGATGTTACAGAAGCTTTGGAATTCTCTCCCACATGGGAGTATCTGTAGATGGAGCGATTTGTTGCAGCCGAGAACACGTCAATAGAAAATGCTAGATCCGTGCGATTAAGCCTGCCACTTGAAAAGAGGCCGTCAATGATGCCCGGGAAATTCAATTTGGCGTTCGCAATTGCAATCGAGTTAGATGGGTCAAAGTTGGTAAGGAAAGTTGGGCCAATTAGTGGGACTTCATCTGTTGCGATGATGCGTGTCGTGGAAGCTGCCGCAAATCCCAATATAGATCCGACCAGGGCTTTGTTGAGAAGCATTGCGGTATGTTCGGCTCGATTATGGTAAGATGGGTATTTCTGGTTGTCCGAAGGTTGGATGGGTCAGTCTAAAGCCCGGGGATAACTCTGGCTTTTATGTTTGAACATTCATCGGGGGCTGCGATCGTCATGATGAAATATTCAAGAATATACACCAAGGATGGGCGTCGGATGGGCGTAGGCCAAGCCGCTGCCTTTCCATATACGGAAAATTGCGGCGCCATGTGGTGGAAATGCAATGGCAAAGTCTAACAAGCAGGGCTGATCCTGCCTTGTCTCGGTAGAGCTGAGCCCCAGATTCGCGATATAGAGTCATCAGAATGAAATGTAGATTGGTGCGCTTACGCTTGGCGTGAGTTTGTTTTGGACCCCAAACACGACGGCGCACCATAGATCCCGAAACGGAAACGGCTAAAGCGATTTACCCGTCTCCAGCTCTGTAGATCGCCAATGCTTCGCCTCTTCTCTTACATTATTGTAGTGTAGTGATTCTTAAATTTATCAATTCTTATTCAGAGAGAGAGATTGGAATTTGGAGAGGTACATATGTATGAAAACATCAACTACCTTTAAAATCGGCAATCATCCTAGCATGATCATGTATAATTTGTTGCTCTTTCAGTGGCAATTAAAATCTCCCCATTGCCAACCATTATTCAAGGATTCGATATAAACCCAATCCTTGTTTCTACTAAAAAGGTTACTTTGGTGCGATGAGTGGGTCGTTAGACGAGCTCCTTGTAGCAGATGAGGGCTTAACATTTCAGTAGCACATGAGTACCATGACAGCGCCAAGATCAGACTTCGGATTTATAGAACCCTGCTAGGATCGACTGCGCTGTAAATGTTCTTTGAGTTGGTTGGTTGAGCCACTGTAGTCTCACTGGTAGCACGGCGGACTTTGTCAATAAATATGTGAGGCATTATCTTCTAGCCTCTCCTCAATCTATTACCTTTGAAGACACTAGGCTCTCTCTCTTTCCATCCTTTTCACTAGTGGTTTCCCTGTAACCAAATTTACTTTAATCACAGTATGCAGGAATCTCACTATACTAACTAAATATCAATTAAAGCCCAGTTATGTAGCTATTAAAGCTAAGTCTCACGAAATGTTGCTACGACCGTAAATCCGAATCTAAAGAGAGCTTGTAAATATATCCATGGATTGAGTTCTAGAACTTCTTCTTGGAGAACAAAGATACATCAGGAGACATGAGGTGGAAAATGTACTAATTAGACTGCATATGTGAGCATAATCCTAACCCATTGCCCCTCACTTGCTCTTCGCTTTTCATCATTTGCTTTCTTTCTCCCTTTCTTACCCACCTAGGTATTTCATTGTTCATGTTCTCCGAACAGAGCGACCAGGAAGAATGTCACATATGCCACAGCGTGTGTACGCGAAAGTCCTACTAATTTTCCCAAGTTGTGGACTGACTGCAATCAAGTACAAAGAAGCATGGTCTCAGCTTCAATGTCGATCCTTCAGGGTCCACTGTAGCTTGGCTGCCAGATGTGGTCTAGAACAGTGACTGATTAAGATATAAAGATCGCAAAACGCGGCAAGAAAATGATCACCAGAGCCGAACCCCGACTTTCCACAAACCTAGCCCGACGGAGCAAGTGGTCGCACACGATGTGAAATGTGTGGGGTACAGGAGATCATTCAGCTAATTACTGCACAATATTGCAATCAGAGTTCAAAATAGACCCATTCACAGCGACATCACAAACCAACCACGTTGTGCAATATTTAAATCGACCTCCGGGTTAGTCGCCACTAGTCCCAAAACGGTTATTGTCGTGAGAACCCAGTCTCTGGTGGAGAGACTTCTCGGCAGAAGATGGCCTGTGGAATTTTTTCTTCTTTGATTTAAGTGTGCTCCGTCTCGCTTTTTGTTTTCGATATGTGTGCTGGAGGATCAGTGTGATTGTGCGCGATCTATACCTTGGACGCAGGAAAAAGTGATATCATACATACCCTGAAATCGGGTAGCAACGGAGGCGAATGACAAAATATTCGCGACTCAACAAAATTTTGAAGAGGCTCTTTGAGTCGAAGGAGGAATGGTGTTCACACGGGGCGATGTCTCTGGTCATGTTGATCAGACAATAGGTAAATAAAGAATCCCAAATATTCGGCAAATATTAGGTTGTTGACAGATGATCACAGATCATCTAGATCATAACAAGAACGTCACAATTGTGGCTTGGAATGGACATCAAGATCCTGCAAACCCATACAACTGGTCTTTGAGACAAAAATGGACGTTAACGGCTCTCGCTGTCTTCACTACCTTCATCACCATGATGAACGGTACGATCATCACAGTAGCCCACGAAGCTATCAATGAGCAATTCAATATCTCAGATGCCAACTTCCCTCATTCATACTGGCCTGTCACATCATGGGCTATCGGTGGTGGCTGCTTCTCTTTGCTGGTTCTTCCGCTGATGGAGGACTTCGGTGTACGATGGGTATTCTTGGGCACATATCTAATCTTCCTCTGCTTCGTGGTACCCCAAGCGGTAGCCCAGAACTTTGCCACATTAATTGTGACCAGATTCTTTGCTGGAGGGTGTGTATCAATTCTCGCTAATACCTCTGCCACAGTAATTGGCAATCTATGGGACACCGAGCGGTCCCGCAATATTCCCGTCAGTCTTTACATCGTCGCTTACCTGGCTGGAAGCAGCATCGGGCCTGTCATCGGCGCTGCCATCTTTCAGGCCCTGTCATGGAGGTGGATTGGTTATGTCCAACTCATGTGGTACGGGGCTTTCTTCCCGATGTACTTTTTCTTGTTCAAAGAGTGCCGTGGAATTGCAATCTTGGGACAGCGAGCCAAGGCTCTGCGACGAGACGGGAAGAGCGCTTATACCCAGCACGAGATCGATACGCAAGACCAGTCGATACTGAGCATCGTGGGTCGCAGCGCAAGTAGGCCTCTCGTCCTCTTTTTCACCGAGTCTGTGGTTTTCGTGTCGACGTTATGGTCCTCTTTCACCGTCGGGACGCTCTATCTGTTCACCCAGTCCGTTGAACAGGTGTTCGCAGACCTGTACGGCTGGACACCCGCGCAAGCCGGATATCTCCAATCGGCTATTGTTGTTGGAGAGTGTCTGGGCTGGGTGATCACCTTGTTCTCAGGCAAGATATACTTTGACTCGGCATCTCGCAATACCGAAATCCCGGGCACCCCCATCCCAGAAGCTCGATTGTACTTCGCGATCGTGGGGGGTATCACTGGGATATCGGGTGGTATGTTCACGTATGCGTGGACCTCGTATCCGGACTTTCCGTGGATTGCACCCGCTGTCGGTCTTGCCATGGTGGGAGCGGGCAGTGTTATTGTCGTGACGGGAATCTCCGACTATGTTGTGGACGCGTATTCCAAGTACGCAGGGAGCGCCATCGGAATCATTGCCACCGGCGAGAATATTCTGGCGGCATTCTTGCCTCTGGCTACTATGAGCATGTACAACCATCTTGGCATCCAGTGGGCCAGTACTTTACTAGCCTTTATTGCGTTAGCCCTATCTTTTGCACCAATCTTAGTGCTTGTTTGGGGCAAGGATATCCGAGCAAAGAGCCCGTTTATGAAGGAAGCGATGATGGAAAAGAGAAGAAAAAGTATCGACTCTGTTTGAGAGGGTTTTAAATGTACATACTTAAAAATCTGCGTATTTCAGTGTGCTTGACAGATTAGTTAGCCTTGTTGACTGGAAAATGAACAATAACAGAGCTCTTGGCGGGTGGGACGACGCGTGGGAGTACACATTTATCAAAAACGTCGGAAAGAGAGCAAAGTAGAGATCCTTAGCAGATCACCTCCTCAAGCGCCGACCTCATGCAGTGATGCCTAATCGGTCAAGGGCTGTCTCTGCGTGGATTTTGCGATGTTCCTTACAATTGCAGGGATCCATGCGGGGCTACTACTGCCTGACTCGTCCGTCACCATGCATGCTCGCCAAAATTCGGCCTGTTCTGCAACCAAATTCCTGGCCCAGCATTCCATCTGTCACTTCCCGATCCTGAAGACTAGCAGTTGGCCAGAATGCCTCGATCGGCTTGGCTGCCATGGAAGAAAAAACAAAAAAGCGTACGGTTGTCTAACCTTAGTAGCTGAAATCGTGCTGACCAGTACCCCTCCACAGCCCGCCTCTAAAGCAAGCGACCGCAGTCCCTTACACCATTGTCCAACGGGTGCGTCGTCTAGTAATACCCAACCAAGAATTCAAGAGGATGATCCAATCAAAGTGATTCTCACAGACGAAGAAAGAGCGAATCGGGTAGAAAAATCCAAGGATGCTTCCATAGGAAAGGGACTTTGGACTGAGGCTCGTAGCCGTTTAGATCCAGACCGGTTAGTTCAACTGGGAAAGCACATTGATGAGGACAATAAGGGTCTTCAGAAAGCTGCAAAGGCAAAGCTGGAGGCTATTCGATCATCTCGACTGAAAATCAAGATTGGCCAGAATAAAGAGCTCGTGGTGAGAGACGGAGTCACCAAGGTGATCAAGACAATTCTTAGCTACAGTGATTTGATATCAGCGGCCGTAGCCGCAGAGCCTCATGCCAGTCTTGCTTGGGGAGGTGTTGCCGCCCTTTTACCGGTAAGTCCCCAGGATCTACAGGCAAGTTGCGTGAGTTCTAATATTGAATAAATATGTAGCTTCTTTCAACAGCAATGTCGCAGACAGAAACTGCGCTCAATGATTTAGATAAGATTGCGACTCTGCTTGTGCGATTCCGTGCCATAGAGGTCATGTATGATCTATCGGAACACCCAGAGGAGCGATTCGTAGCTCCCCCTCAGATTAAAGAGCTTCATGTCCAGCTAAGAGACCATACTATTGACCTGTACACTCAAATACTTGAGTATCAAATTGATGCGATAAATCATTTCTCACACAGCAAGCTTCGCCGAACGGCTAAAAATGTCGCATCTCCGTCACGGAGAAGCGTCTCTGATATCGAGACGACTGCAGATAATGCCAGTTTGACTCTGCAAATTCTGGACAGTGGCGCTATGGGAAGCCTTGGCCCCCAGTTATCATCTCTCAGAGAGGATTTCAAAGAGACTCTTGATCGTATGGCAGAGATAAACACTAATATCCTGGTAAGAGGCCGTTGGCCCAATCAATCAACCATATTTCTCTTGGCTCACCACAATGAAGGATATTTCGAAAACCAAGCGCATCCGAGACCTTCCTCTAGCGGCATGCGCAGCTTTCAATGAAGGCCTCGGCGGCTCTATACCAGATTTATGTTATGAAGACACCAGGAAAGAAGTGTTATACATCATTCACAGCTGGGGAGAAGGCCGCGATGGAGGCAACAATTGTATCTTTTGGCTAAGTGGAATGGCAGGCACTGGGAAATCAACAATTGCTCGGACCGTTGCACGCGAATTCAACGATAAGGGGCATCTCGGGGCCAGCTTTTTCTTTTCAAGGGGCAAGCAAGATAGAGGTGAAAGTGAAAAATTCTTCTCGAGTCTTGCTCGCGGTCTTTCCGCAACGATCCCTGGATTCGATATTTGCTTGTACCAAAGCATTCCCGAATACGATGAAATACATCACAGGAGCTTGAAGGAACAATGGAACACACTTATCTTTCAGCCCCTCAAATCTCTGGCGTCGTCATTGCTGGTGCCCCTTCATTTGGTGCTTGTCATAGATGGACTAGATGAATGCAAAGGTACCAAAGCCGTTCCTGCTATCATCAGTCTTCTTTTGGAGGCTCGATCTCTCGAGCGGATTCATCTGAAGATATTTGTCACCAGTCGAAATGAGAAACACATTGTTGAAAGCCTTATAGAAAGGTCGGATGTGACTCATTTGTCGCTGGAGGAAGGCGTGGGAGCAAGGAATACCGAACGTGATATTTCCATCTACGTGAAATCCATGCTTTCGGAGATTGCAACCGAGAACAAGTTGATAGATTGGCCACAGGAGGCACAAACCGACCAACTCTTGCAATTTTGTGGCCGGTTATTCATCGCTGCAGCTACAGCATGTCGGTTTCTTCAAGATAGCCACTTTCCAGAAGAGAAGATCGTGTCATTTCTCAATACTGAGAGAACATCAAACTATGGCACAGGTCCTCTTGATGATATGTATCGGCATCTTATTGATGCGGCAGCTGATTGCTCTGACAAGGACACTTTCATCGAGTACTTCCCTATTGTTGTGGGGACTATCCTTGTCGCCAAAGAGCCAGTCTCAGTATTGGATTTGGAAAGTCTACTCGGCTTATCCTCCAAGCTGATCCATTTTATACTGGACCGTCTGAGATCTGTGTTGATTGTTCCTGCTAATGCTCCCATTCAACTCTTCCATCTTTCATTCCGTGAATTCCTCATTGATAAATCAAGATGCCAAGATAAGAGATTCTTTATTGATGAAGACAAAGTCCACAGGAGATCATTTGAATACTGCTTGAAACTGATTTCTGGGTGTATCAAGAAGGATATATGTGCAATAAATCATCCAGGCACACTCCTTTCCGAAATCGACAAAGACAGGATCTTGGAACATGTTCCTTGGGTTACTCGATATGGCTGTCAATATTGGGCTTCACATTTGAATGATGCCAGTATTACCCCATCAGATACTGAGGCAATTGACATAGCCTTGAAATTTCTTCATGACCATCTTCTGCATTGGATCGAAACCCTGGCCCTTCTCGGAAGAATGGATGACGCCGTGCATGGAACTGCGAACTTGAAAAGAATTCCAGTGGCGAGTAAATTCTAGGCTTTAGCGTATCCTCTGGCTAACGAACGGGTAGGATTCCAAGCATCGACCCTTCACCTTTTTTGTCAATGACGCCAACCGATTCGTTCTTTACCATCGAGCCACCATTCAAAAAGCACCACTCCAAGTCTACTACCTGGCCACATTCTTCACACCCACAGATAGCCTCATACGTGATCACTTTTCGGAGCATTGTCCAAAATGGGTACGCAACCCTCTTGGCTTGGAAAGCAATTGGGGCCGAGAAGAACAGATTTTTCCAGCCACGAATACAGTTAAAGTCATAGCAATCTCATTGGATGGGAAATCGGTGGCATTGTTCGCCCATGGTGCTAATGCCATCAACGTCTGGAATGTGATTACTGGCGAGCTACAGTACACATTCCACATAAAGGGGAAGGAAGAAGAGGTAGAATGTTTGTTGTTCTCCGAGGACGGGACTGAATTGATTGCTATCCTGATACCCTTTTCTTATCCCCGACATAATGATGGTCACATGCTGAAAGCCTGGAGTCTTGTAACAGGGAAATTCATGACGACCTTGACGAGGAAACAGTCTGATTTGCTTTCTCTGACAGAGATCCGGAACTGGTCCTTTCTTCCAGGCAAGCAAGAACTCTACACAATTTTCGAGCCCGCGTTTGACCCCATCTACGAAGTGGCCCTCTCCGCGGATGGGACAACGATGTCTCTTTGTTGTTCATCATTTGTATACATTGGCAACACTGACACCAAGTGTATAACGCACGTTTTGGATTTGAGCATGACAGTAAGGGATGTACAACTTTCAGCTACCAGGGCGGCTATCCGGATCCAACATCTCCCCGAGGAAACGGATCCCGTCATAGTGTGGGATCTTATCAATGACAAAGAGATTGACATCGAAGTCTTCAAGAATCAACCAGTCCAAGATGTTGAGCGTTTCGGCGAGCGATTCGGGCCTCAAACGAGTTTCGCTCATCGGTTTTCCCTGTCTCCCGATGGAATCAACCTTGCTTATGCGGATGAGACTCGCTTCGAGATATGGAATCTCGATTCCAAAGAGGTGAAACATTCCATGAGGCACCAAGGCCAGATTACTCGGCTTAAAATATTCCCTGATGGAAGTAAATTGATGGTTGCTGGATTGACGCCCAGCGCGCAACTCTGGGACTTGGAACAGCCGGACGACTCAATCGCCCCGCGTTCATATGATACATATTTCTATCGTGTGCTGCTCAGTAACGATGGAGCTAAGGTAGTATTATCCGCAGGTTTCCCTTCAAATGACCCTAAAATTTGGGATCTTGTGGAAGCAAAACCTACTTTGGAAGACCTTGGGTGGCTTCGTGAAACTATGATCTGTGATGATGTCATAGTCGCACGATTATCGCCTGGAGATAGCGAACAAGAAGAAAATAACGAGCAAGAAAAGCAGAGCGAGCAAGAGGGCCTGTGGTTGTGGAGCTTAGCCCGGGATATGGACCTTGAAATAAGAGGCACGGTCATTCCAACATCGAGCTCGCACTTTGACAATATCTCTTTCGCTATTTCCCAAGACAGAGACAGTATCGCCCTCATAAAAAAAGATGGTGTCCTCGAAACTTGGGGTTTCTCCCAAGATGATCGTTCTTGGAGGCTGCGTTGGAAGAAGGGTCCTGGAATTGGGATTTCGAAATGCCCTTGCATCACTTTCTCCTCTGATGGAGCGCGAGTGCTTATTTGTTCCGATTTTTTCGATTCGCAACATACTGATGGTTGCAACATAACTGTTTGGTGTTTTGAAAATGCGAACTGCGAATTTGAAATCCATGAATCCAACGAAAAACTTAATCACGCAACCCTATCTCACGATTCTACCATGCTGGCAATGGGTCTCTCTACTGGCGTGAAGATATACAATCTGCCGAACGAGAACGCCAATATTCTACTAGTGCGAGAGGGTGTGCCATGGCTTATGGCCTTTTCACCACAAAATACCAGGATAGCAGTCGGGTGGAGCAGCGGCGATGTTTCCATCCATAACATAGCTGCGGGTACTGTTGAGTGGGTATTTCAAAGTCAGCCCATGCTGGTGAATGTCTTGAGATTTTCCTCTGATGACTCGTGGAATGAAGAACCGTTCTATACCCTCGATCCCTCTGGTGAATGGATTCTTCATGACAATAAAAGGGTTCTGGCTCTTCCGGAGAAGTTCTGTGAAAAAGGCAGCAATCCGAGGCTTGTGGGAAGACAAGATTACCGGGCTAATACCATGGCTTTCTTCACTCGCAACGGGCGTCTTGCAACGTTTCTATTTGATGGTGTTCCTAGCTTTTGATATAAGGTTGATTGATGTTTGCTTTCTTTACTATTATACGGCCACTCTGCGTCCTTCAGATCAGGCAAAGAATAGTTCAACAAAGTCCTGCTCAAAGATGTGTTGTGCTGCACGAGTTTCAGACGAAGGCCAATAATCAGGCTGGTGAACATGTGCCGAATTCCCTAAAGATAGCCCAAATACGACGTAGGATGGATAGAATTCGTTTCAGATCTTTCTAAACAGAACTATAAAACCCACTCGACAACCTAGACGTCATATCTGCCTCACGAAACCCCTGCATGAACAGGAACATAGGAGCCGGGTGGATTCCCCTATAGCATTCGAAATACACAAGACTTTTCATTGAAAATAACACACTCGGCAGTGTTCACCCGATAACAACTCTGAGGGGCAAGAAAATAGTGGAACTCAATTATAACAAAAACAACAATATACTTTGGGTCCAGGGGAAGTCTGCATAGAAATCGAAAAAAAACGCACCGGAGATATTCCGGATTGCGGTTTAGGACGGGCAGGGCGCCACTAGCTCGAACCGAAGTTCTTTCCCTCTTAGTACGATTTTGTATCCGTTCTATTCTTTCAGATTCTTCAGAGAAACTTGTCGGGTTAAATGGCTATGTCGATTCTCCGGGAGGATCATAACCCCTTAACCACGGACCATCACGAGAAGTGGTCCTCGGAGAAATAAAAAACTAACAACAGATAAATCAAAATAACTCAAAATAAACAAGCTCACTCTTGATGCAATGACCACGCTAGGCTTGAGAAATAATTAGCCGAACTAGTCCTGATTCTCCATGAGTAGGGGGTGAACATACTAACCAAACGGACTAAGTCAACCCCTCCTCTCGAGTTCCTGAATATACGTAAAAGGAGGTCGGCCATTGTGATACTCTCCTTCCGCATGAGGCTCCCTGCAGGAGAGCAAAGGTTCTTAATAATAACGGGGCGCAAGACTAAAGGGCAACATCCCCACGTTTCTCGAAACGGCTAAATCGTCGAACTTCTAGATCGTTTCAGGATGGACGATCAAACGGGCTCGAATCATAGGATGCCCTGTGCAATGGACTGATTATCAGAGTAGTCTACTGTATCTGGCCTAGAGGGTCGTATCTGACAATCGCAGCTTTTCCAGGGGCAATCCTGGTCACAATTGAAACCTCCAGCCAGAGTCTATATTGTCGAGAATGGGAATGGGGACTCTGGACAATGGGCCTTGGACAATGCTCAGTCTCAATCAGGTAGGGCTCCGCGAAACTTGGGTCATTGTTCTCCATCTACTCCGTATCCTAATAATACCTTCCTGTTCGTGATTTGGTTGGTTTTTATGGTTGACTGGGGTCTTTCTGGAGCGAGCTAGATGAAGTTTATCGTGATTAATATGAGGCTTTTGTTAGAGATTGAGACATCTTGATACAGATGGATCTGATAATCGTGTAGTTGGATGAAAATAGCATCAATGTAAGGTAAATCTCAAGATACCTACTGTGTAACGCATCTCGGAGTGGTTCGGGTGTACCGAGCTCATGTGGGTTACTGATCTCAATGAGAAAAATTCGAGTGAATATATCCATAGAATAATGGATACGATGGGGAGAGAGAGAGAGTTCCACTTAACACATGATTCAAATGTTCGGCTATAGAATATTGTAGCCAATGCCAAGCTATGAATTTTGCCCTGTCGTCCCCAGCCTCTTGATAATAATGTACCGTGGAATTGTTACGGTCGGTACTACATGTGGCCTGGACTGTTTAGTCAATTTATTTTATTTTATTACTATTTACTATGACACTGTAAAAAGTGGACCAAATTCAGGTACACAAATATCAGTCAGGCTTGTTTTTGCGTTGCGTTGTTAGCGTTTTAACGGTCATTGTCAGATGTATCATTTTCGTACTTGGTGTATATATCGTAGGGAGGATATTAGACATGTTCTATTTGATCTGTCCATTGATTTTTTCATATTTTCAGGTTTTATCTTTCTTTTTTGTTTACAAATGGGAATCATAAGTCGAAAATGCCGGATCAGACGGTCCAAGGCTACAACCGTTTATAACACCGAAGCACGGGTGGCTCGGAGAAAATATCAGGAGCAAAGAATCCCAAAGTGGGACGGTTTCAGTGGCTGCATGTAAGCGCCCACTGAGATTCTGAAACGAGAAGGCGGGTGCTTCAGGTCCCGGCGCCAGTTTGATGAGCCTTGGCTAAACTCCACTCTATCCCCGTTGGACCTTCAGGGCCGATTCCTTGTCTAGAAGGACCACTGAAAGGGGTAGGTGATATGATTATCACTTGAGCGTCATGCAGTCTGGTCACCAGAGTTGAGCGAATCATTATACAGAAGTATAGACTCCAGTTCATTTCTTCAGAACTTGCATAAGATGTAAATAATGTAAATGCAATCTTGGGAAGTTGAATCAATCCAATTAGATCCAGATACTATGTATAGTTATAAGAAGTCAACAACAGAATATACCTAGGTATATACAAGTCCTATTGTAGTCAACAAGCTGAATTATTCCAACAAAAAAAGGTAGTGTCAACAATGAGTTATGTATGCCTTGCGGGCTAATCCCGGTTGGTCCGTTCGGACTGGTAATTGACCGATGAGATACATAGTATTTTTGATAGGATTCGGGGTAATCTATGTAATCAACAAGCCAATACCAGATGACCTGGATTTAAATGAACCTTTTGCAGAGCAATTCTCTACTATGACTAAAGGGAATTTACTCAAATTACCAAAATTACCAAAATTACCAACAAGCACCAATCATCAAAATTACCCCAAATTACTGAAATTACTCAAATTTACAAAAGTTACATACTAGGTCAGCGTCCATGACCGGTCAGGGTCTCTCCCAGGGCGCTTCTCATTCTCTGAAATATTATTATTAGACTTGAATGTTCCTTTTCCCCCTTCTTCTTCTTCCTCTCACATCTGACACTTCCTTCTTCACCTTCGTTTCTTTCCCGCTGCGCGTGAATATTCCACAGGGGTCTTTTACCGGCTGGTCCAGTTCAATCTCTCTCTTTCTTTGTCCTTTGATTGTCGTTTGAGGGCCGGTTCCTCTCACATATCTACATCGGATTTTCATTATCTGTTTGATTGATTCCGATCTTGTGTTCCCAAAACCATCCAGGTGAGTGGGATCCGAGGTCTTGCAGTGTCTCAGTCGCAAGTCGCGATGAGTCGCAGAGAGTCGCAGACGGGTCCTTTGATTGGCTTCAGCTCGTCTCTTTGTTTGCGCATGCATTATGAAGCAGTCACTTCCCGGTCGGTGCTAACTTTGAAATCATCCATTACAGTATCCTTGACGATTTCTTTTTCATCGCAAAGAAGAAGAAAAAGAAGGGAAATAAGAAAACAATGTACCCTCAACCAGGTGCCCCCATGGCACCGCCCCAAAAACCGGAAACCTTTATGCTTTCGACTGAAGCCCAACAAAGTCTGCCGCACGATGCGCAAGTCGCACTTCAACAAGTGGATAACCGTATGTCATTTATTCTATTGGGTGGCTCTCCTGCATCTAAGCAGTGTATTGACTTGAGCCAGTGAAATACTTCCTTCTGTCGGCTCCCGTCGATTGGCAACCGGATCAGCTTATTCGGCGTTTCTTGCTTCCTACCGGAGATTATGTCTCTTGTGTGCTTTGGTTAGTCTCGCTCTCGAGAGTGAGGGCCGAGGGCGTTAACTGACAATCGCATTAGGAGCACCCTCTTCCACATTTCCGGTACCGATATTGTCCGATGTCTCGCATTCCGATTCCAGGCCTTTGGTCGTCCAGTGAAGAATTCGAAAAAGTTTGAAGAGGGCATTTTCTCGGATCTACGAAACCTCAAGGCCGGGACTGACGCGACCCTGGAGGAGCCAAAGAGCGCGTTCCTGGACTTCTTGTACAAGAACAATTGCATTCGCACGCAAAAGAAGCAAAAGGTGTTCTTTTGGTACAGCGTACCTCACGATCGCCTCTTCCTGGATGCGTTGGAACGCGATCTAAAGCGCGAGAAGATGAACCAGGAGGCCACCACGGTCGCAGTCAGTGAACCGGCCCTGTCTTTCGAATTCGACTCCTCTCAGTCTCTGTATGAACAATTGACCAAGTCACAACAAGCGCATTCCTCCTCGTTTGCTGCCCATGCAAGTACGACATATGGCCAGCCCAACTCCCCCGTGGTTCGGACCGTTGACGCAATGCCTCCCCCGCAGATGGCTCCCCCAGCGATTCCTCTGATTCAGGACGACACTGGGCACCCGATGTACAGCCACCCGCAGATGTCTCTATCGAACAATCTAGTCCAGAGTATCATTAAGCGTGAGCAGGAGTACGGGCCCATTCAGTATGATCGCAACGGCATGCCCATTCCCCGGGTGCACCAGCGCCATTCCTCCATGCCGACTTTTTACGAGTACTCGCCAGCGCCTTCCTTTGTATCTTCCCAGTACGAGGATTACAGCAACCGTGGTCTGTCTTTTGAACCTGTCACCCCGCCGCAGCATTCAACCGGGATGGGAGCGGAACCGGCTTACATCGCCAACGAGGATACCGGTCTGTACACCGCGATTCCAGACATCGCCAACGGACCCGCCTATCACCCCATGATGCAGCTACCGCCTTCTAACCTGGCGAATGCTCATTACCAGCCTGCGCCTCGGTCTTTTTCGTCTCACTCGTATCCCGTCATCGAGGGATCCCCGACATACAAGCAGCGCAGACGTAGGTCTTCGATCCCGCCCAACAGCGGGAACGTCGCTTCCGGCACAACCCATATCCAGTCTACAACTCCGGTGCCCCAGTCAATTTCGTACGCTGCTCATCGTCCAAGTGATTTGCGGCGCTCCGTCTCTTCCTCGGTGGCCCCAGTCGCAGAGGGGGATGAGTCCAGCCACGAGCTTGCTCGTACTTACCCAAGCGCGATGCTGCCCCAAAAGGATCTTCTCCGAGAGATGTCGCGCCACGGCACACCGCTACAAAACTTGGACCAAAGCAATGGACAACATCAAGGCTCAGTGGTGAACCAGTCAGATGACTTGGCACCCCTACCAACCGGCGCTAACTTGGAAACCGCCGTTCAAAACACTACTTGTCGGTCCGAGCGCTCAGCGCCTGGTCCAACTCGCCGAGCCAGGAGTGCAACCATGATGGAGTTAGGACCTTATCCACAAAAGTCTCACTCTTGCCCAATCCCGTCATGTGGCAGACTCTTCAAGAGATTAGAGCATCTCAAAAGGTAAGCTTACTTCTATCTCTGCCCCCACGTTGGTGGGGCCGATCTGCATTACGATCGTTTCGAATAGCCGCCGACTAAACCCTGTTTACCTAGACACGTGAGAACACACACTCAAGAACGTCCTTACCCTTGCCCGTACTGCAGTAAAGCCTTCTCCCGGTCTGACAACCTTGCACAGTAAGCGCTTGCTATCATCTTTCAAAGAAAAAAATCATGCATACTAACCTCCATTAGGCATCGTCGGATCCACGAAGCGCAGCAGGATGGCGAACCAATCATCCCAACTGACGAAGATCTGGAAAACGACGAAAACGATTTCGACTCCCCCAGAGAAGATATGTCTCCACCAGAGCCTGCTCACACTATGATCAACATGTCAAATATGACGTCGATGCCAGCTCCTATGAGCATGCCGTCCGCTATGTCGGGCATGGGTGCTCCCCACATGATGGCTCCTCAACTTCTTCGCCAACATATGTGAGAAGTTTATAAGTAGAGTAAGATGTGTCGATCACATCGCGGCTTCTGCGTTTCATGCTTTCATCGGGGAAGTTTCGCGTATATGTCTAATTCTCCTTTTTTCATCGGAGTCTTCGGGGCGCACACAGGCGTCTACAGTTCGGGGTTTATATCACCTCCTGTTTAATGCATAGTTTTCACTCGCGGGGCTCGCACATACCACGACACATTCGTGGATAGCCCGCTTTGCTTTGTCTTGGCATGCTTTTTTTTGTTTAATTTGGGATTTGGGCTATGGCTATCGAACACAGTGTATTATTGGTGTCGGCTGCCCTTGCGTCACGAGTTGGGTCGCTCTGGCAGTCAATCATTTCATATTGCCTGGCGGGCACGGGCACGGGCACGAGAAACGTGACTATTGTCATGGGAAATAGGGAAATATCCAGGTTTGCTTCTTTTGGACCATCAGGTATTGTCCATGGAGAGCGGCTGGAATGGAGGGTTATTCCGAACGGCTTTTATCATATATAGACAGTGAGATATTGTAACTACCTTGAATTGAAATCAGAAAAACACTCTTTAAAGCACTTTACTTCATTTCCTTCTCCGTTGTCCAGATGAGTATGTGGTAATAATGCGAATATTACCTAGGTATGATTCTATAAATGGCTGTCACGTGTGGCGCTGACGTATCTGGGGTCCTTGCGAGGACTGAGCACCTGCAGTTTTGACACATCTCCGTGATCAAGTGGTCTATATCTTGTCGAATAATATATACCTCTTCGCGTCTATGCAATGTGCGGCGCACACGTATTATTTGTTATTGTAAACCCATCCATCTGACAACTCATTTCCCCACATTTCTTCGAACATTCGATCCACATCGACATTGTTTCATTCATTTAACCAACAAAGCACATCAACATCCACTTGAATCTCGATCTTGAACAACTATAATCAGTGGGACTCTCAGGCTCAAGATCCTAACCCATCACTTCTATGACTCATCCCGGGCAGGTCACACCAGCGCCCCTTGATCTCGGCTTTCTAACCCTCCGATCTTCCGATGGGAAATTCGGCCGATAAACCCGTCCCTGTCTCCTTACATGAGGGATCGCCTTTGATGACTGCTACTCGCCCCGGGGATGAGCGTGTATCACGACGCATTGTCGTCGAAGAGCCGTCGAAGAATGTCTGGTATTTGCTTTTATTGACTCTTTCTATTGGTGGGTGAGTATTTCCTTGTTTAATAAATGCAAATAATGTTTATATATCCGTGGCTTTGGATATTAAAATTTAACTTGGATTCATGCTGAATTCCTTGGTAGGCTCCAGATTGTATGGTCTGTTGAACTTTCAAATGGATCGGTGAGTCTGTCTATCAAACCCGCAATGTTGCGTTTCCTTCAATATTGCTTCACCGGGGCACCATGATTTAATAACTTAAGCCCGATCTGTTTATCAAGCACACTAACATGAACCTGTACAGCCTTTTCTCTTATCGCTTGGGATGAGCAAGTCGCTTCTTGCCTTTGTCTGGATAGCCGGCCCTTTGACTGGTGGTCTGGTACAGCCATATATTGGCATTAGAAGCGACAACTCTCGAATGGCATGGGGAAAGCGGAAGCCATTCATGGTTGCTGGCAGCGCAGCTACGATCGTTGCATTGCTAGCTCTGGCATGGGTCAGGGAGATCGTTGGTGGTTTCCTGTCGATATTCGGCGTCGATGCAGCCTCAACAGGCGCAAAAGTTTCTATCATAATCATGGCTACGATTCTCATGTATTGCCTTGATTTTGCTATTAATACTGGTATGTCCCTCTTCATGATCGCCTCAGTCTACTTGGCTCATAGCGTTCCCACAGTGCAAGCTGCTATCAGGGCTTTTATTGTCGATAATTGTCCAGCTCATCAACAAGAACTGGCCAACGCGTGGGCTAGTCGAATGACAGGTATTGGCAACATCCTGGGTTATATCTTTGGTTATATGGACCTCCCAAGGTTTGTTCCTTTCCTAGGTAATACCCAATTCAAGGTCCTTTGTGTCCTTGCCTCGATATCTCTAGGTGTTACCATTGGGATCAGTTGCACGTACATCAAAGAGCGGGACCCCCGGTCAGATCCGCCTGTGGCGGACCAGCTGGGTGTTGTCTCTCTTTTTTCGGCAAATCATCAAGTCGATTCAAAATCTGCCACCACAGATCGCCCGAGTCTGTCAAGTCCAGTTCGCCGCATGGGTGGGCTGGTTCCCATTCCTGTTCTACTCTACGACCTACGTCGGACAGCTGTATGTTAATCCGATTTTTGCCAAAAATCCAAATCTCTCCAAAGAGGAGATCGACAAGGCTTGGGAAGATGCCACTCGAGCGGCAACACTTGCGCTGCTGATTTATGCGATTATCTCTTTCCTTGCAAATACCCTGCTGCCTCTGTTCGTGGTCCCTACGTACGGTTCTACTCCAGCGACTGTCTCACATCGAAATTCCATCGATCGTGTTCTTGATGAGGACATGGCTGAACGGAGATTATCATTTTCAAGCATGCCGACAGGTAATGCGTCCGAGCCACTTCTCGACCCATCCCAGGTCACACAGGAGATAGAGGGCAAGCCGACATGGCTATCACGTCTACAGATTCCAGGATTGACACTTCGCCAAGTCTGGTTTCTTTCCCACCTGCTCTTCGCAGCCTGCATGTTCAGCACCATCTTCATCTACTCCCACCAAGCCGGGACTGCTTTCGTCGGACTGGTCGGTATTTCCTGGGCCGTTGTCTTGTGGGCGCCCTTCGCTCTCATCTCAGCTGAGGTGGCTAGGTTAGATCCATCCAGGCACCATCACCATGCTAGTCGGACTGAGCCTGAGCGCGCAGCTACCGAAGATCAGGAGGATTATAGTACCATGGGTAGCGTTAGCGGCAGTGATGTTGAGAATGGCCATCCCAAGGATTATAATGAGGGCGGAGATGTTACGCAAGCAGGCATCATCCTCGGTTTGCACAATATGGCTCTTTCCTTGCCACAAATTCTATCCAGCCTTGTCTGCAGTGCTATCTTTAAGGCTTCTCAGAAGCCAAGGGGGGAACCTTGGGATGACAGCGTTGGGTGGGTGTTACGATTTGGTGGGTGCGCTGCTTTGGTGGCTGCATGGTTGACTAGAAGGGTTTCGGATGGATCGAGGTAAACTTGGAAACAGATCTGCTGGTTGTATTTTGTGACTTGGACTCCCAGCCATCAAGGCATTCTGCAGGGAACATTGTCGTACCAAATATGTGGGGTCCCTTTAATGCAGCTCAGAAGCTTGAATCATGTACATTTTGCATTTTAGCCCTGTGGTTTAGTAATATGATACCATATGACACAATAGCACAGTATTTTATGAGTTGTCCAACCCCTTTGTTGGCTATTTTGGTGTCTATCTTGGCAATTGCGCGGCACCCTGAGGTTGGCCCACGTGTAATATATCAGTATTACAAGGACGTTACAGTTACAGTACGGTCCATTTGTAAAGCTCTTGACTGCCCACCTCCATAGTATTTTCTTACCCAGCCGCAGGCGTATTTTACAGTCCCATACATTACTCGTATCGAGGCCATCTGTCCGATGCAACTCTAAGAGTCCGCGTCTCTAAGCATTGCCCGATTCGACCTTTGTCGCAGCCTCTCAATTTCCATTCAGATTATGTGTGCTTTGTCTTGGCATATCAAATTCACGCGAGTGAGCTGCCAGTCATCCGCACTGGTCCTTGATACTTCCTAAGGCGTGAGCCGCAATGGCTACTCAACTCATGAACGATGCCTTGCACGGCCTACTCCGTATGTCGCTCTCGGTGGTCCACGACCCTGCGCTTGATTATCCCTCTTCAGACACTGGCTAACATATCTATCTCTGTTCTAGGAAGAGCCGCTGAGGACTCTGATCCTGATGGTACGCGTGCCTAAATTACCCCCTCACCCCCTCTCGTCCTGCCGCTGCGCAATATACAACGGTGAACTAACTATAATGGCCCATTACAGATGCTCCCGAAGCAGGCTCAAAGGAGATGTCGAGCTCCTGGGCATTGTTCATTATGATCATGCTCTTGATGTTCGCCCTTTTCACAAGTTACATCCTCCAGCAGAAGAAGATCCAAGCTGTCCATGAGACCGTGTTATCTATTTTTGCAGGTACGCCATAATATCGAGCTATGCGGGCGCTTACTGGGCATATTCCAAGCTCAGATGTCCCGATGAGCTCGGCGCAAGTTATTATCGAGATGCTGACGGTCGTCAGGGATGTTTGTTGGACTGATCATTCGTTTAACGCCCAAATCCACCCTCCAAGATAGTGTTGCCTTCGACTACCAATTCTTCTTCAATCTCCTCCTCCCTCCGATTATTCTCGCGTCTGGATATGAACTTCACCAGGCGAACTTCTTCCGCCATATCGGCACTATCCTCACATTCGCCTTCGTCGGCACTTTTATCTCCGCGATCGTACTCGGGCTGGTTCTGTACCTGTGGACACGAATCCCACTCAACGGTCTGAACATCTCTTTCGTCGAAGCTATTTCTGTCGGTGCAACACTCTCCGCTACGGATCCCGTCACTATCCTAGCAATCTTCAACCTCTACAAGGTCGAGCCGAAGCTTTATACTATCATTTTTGGCGAGTCAATCCTCAATGACGCGATTGCTATTGTGCTTTTCGAGACGGCACAGAAGTACGCCGAAAGCGCGGCTGGTACTTTGACCTTCCTCAACTTGTTTGAGGCCGTCGGGCTGTTCTTGCTTGTCTTCTTTGGTAGTATGGTGGTTGGCATGTTCGTTGGAATCGCCACCGCGCTGGGTCTCAAGTACACCCTAGTGCGGCGCATGCCCAAGATTGAGAGCTGTCTCATTATTTTGATTGCATACGCCAGTTATTTCTTCTCCAATGGCGTGCATCTCTCAGGCATTGTCTCCCTCCTCTTCTGTGGAATCACCCTCAAGCATTATGCCTACTATAACATGTCGCGTCGCACGCAGTTGACAACCAAATACCTATTCCAGGTGATGGCTCAACTCTCGGAGAACTTCATTTTCATTTACCTTGGTCTTGACCTTTTCGTCGAGGCCAATCTCCAATTCAACCCACTGTTCATCCTGGTGGCGGTGTTTGGTATCTGCCTTGCGCGCTACCTCGCGGTGTTTCCGCTTTCCAAAGCTATCAATTGGTTCATTCGGTATCGCGCACGTCGCCGTGGCATTGAGGTGCCCGATGAGCTACCTTTTGCCTACCAGGCCATGCTCTTCTGGGCTGGACTACGTGGTGCTGTCGGCGTTGCGCTAGCAGCGGGTCTGACCGGTGTAAATGCTCCAGCGCTCCGTGCAACGGTCCTTGTTGTGGTCGTGCTCACCGTCATCATCTTTGGTGGAACCACAGCGCGCATGCTAGAAATTTTGGGCATCCGTACAGGTGTGGTTGAGGAGCTCGACTCGGATGACGAGTTCGATATAGAGGTCACCCACGGCGGTACCTACTACAAACGGTCTGGCGCAGCCCTGGGTTATACCCCACGGCGCACCGACTCGACCATCCCAATGGATGGCCTCACCACAGCTCCGCGTGCTGGACTCGGGGAGCGAGCTGATAGCTACTCAAGTGGAAACAATCGCCGCCCTGGCCCCCCATACACCCATGCCCGGATGTACTCGGCCGCCTACAGCAACAAAGATCAATCTTGGCGTGACCGCCAATCTGCCGCAACATTACTCAACGGCGGTGCTGACCCGAGTCCTGGAGATGGCAGTGACGACGAGTTCGGTCTCCCGCCCACAGGCAGCAACCGCAATGGCCCCACCCATCCCGACGAGTTCGATCTCGACATCGAGGGCATCTCCGACGACGACCTTCCACCCGCAGCAGGCGGAGCCTCGCGTCTCCGACGCTCTGCCTCCCAGCCCCCTCGCCCCGCAAGCGTGCCATCCCCTAACGCGGCAGCATCTACCAGTGTCTCGCCCTCGCGCCAGCCCACGGGTTTCACTGCTCGGGAGGCTTTACGAGATTTGTTCTCGGGTGGTGCATCGGGCGATCACGCGGCTTGGTTCCGGCAGCTCGATGAAGATTATATTAAGCCTACCCTGTTGCTGGATCAGTCGAATCACAGGGGACCCGGACCTGGTGCTGTTTGAATGGTACCTTGGAAGCATGGCTTCCATATGTTTTTTCACCTGGATGTATATTTAGCCTTGTTTGATTGGGTCAGCATTCCATGTTTTGCTTTGCATTGGCCGTAAAGCCGATTGGTCGAGCCTTTTAACGACCTTGTGTAGACGAAATCAAATTTCAATATAAAAGCCAGAAAGAACAGTAAATGTAGAATGATAAATTCAGACAGGCGTAACCTAGATAGACTAATTGCCCCGCCCTTTCCTTTTCCCGGGGGTCATACAGACTTGGAGGCCACCGGATCGTATTTCGAGACAGGCCTATTAACAGCCCAAAAAAAAGCCCAAAACCTTTCAGAATCGTATAGACTACTCCCTACACAGCATAGCAAGATACAAAAATCAACCAAGCCAAGATAAACGAAAGCTTCGCCCTCCTCGTGTTCTTATCGCCCACTCAGAATAACCCTAGCTATCTTGAGAATTAACCTTGGAAGTAAGACGCCAGCCTTTTTCGGGGCCTACTTACGAAGAAACCGGAAAGACTCTCAGCCACTGAAGCCTTGGATTGGCTTTCAGGTCATACTTCCACATTTTTATATCATGTCTTCTGCACCCCGCTTTGCAGTCTAGCCTAGGTTTATCTCCATACCCGAAATCGAGATATGGCCTCGACAGACTGTGCCGTCTACCCCTCAACACCGTTGGGGTCAGAGAGATAGCTGATTGTCTACTGGAATTGGAGAGTGTCTAGAATACGATATTTGCTAAATTGGCCTTTAATCGTATAAATGATATCTCTCTTGTCTGTGCCACCTAGCTTATTCTGAACTTAACTGTTAGTCATAGCTATAAATGCCTTTTTTTCACGCCTTTCTCTTGATAAATTCCTTCGTGTCCCATTGTGCAACGTTAGGCCACAACATCTGACGACCCTACCACGACCATGGCAGATTTGATGGAGAAAATAACTTCCCATAAGAGCAAGAGGCGCGATTCCAGCAATACGGGCCATGACTCCAATATCCAGGCTGGGGATAGTGAGCTTCTGGGTGTGTATATCGTGGGCATTGCAGGTCCTGAGTAATGGCTGATTAAGTGACAGCGACGCTGGGATATAAGCAGGAGTTGAGGCGACACTATTCTACCACCCAGATCTTTGCTGTTGCGTTTAGCATCATGGGCCTCTTGCCTTCTATTGCATCCACCTTGTCGTTTTCTATGCCCGCGGGTCCAGTGGGTATGGTTTGGGTAGGAATTTAATTCTCTGTGATGATCCCCGGTATGCATAACTGACCGATTGGATAGGGTATGTCTCTACACCTTGGATTGTGTTGGGTTTGAGGTTAACTCTCTTACCTACATAGGGTGGTTAGCTGCTAGCTGCTTTATCTTCATCGTGAGCTTAGCAATGGTAAGATCTACCTGCTCCGGGGGCCGATTTAAGTCACACGAAAGCAAAACAAAATGACTGACTTACTCCGAATCCAGGCTGATATGGCTTCCGCAATGCCCACAGCCGGCGGCCTCTACTTCTGGACGCACTACTTCGCCGCCGAGAAATGGAAGAACCCACTAAGTTTCCTAGTCGGATATAGCAACACCATAGGGCTAATCGGCGGCATCTGCTCAATTGACTGTGAGAACCATAACCACCTGCCTATGCTATGCCTATCCCAAAGACCAATCCTCTCTAACACCCCATTCCAGATGGCTTCGCCAACATGCTCCTATCAATGATCTCCCTAGCCCGCGACGGTACCTGGTCCGCCACCCGCCCAGTAATCTATGGCACCTACGTAGCAACAGTCTTCGCCCACGGCTTCATCGCCATCTTCTTCGGCCGCGCAATGCCAAAAATCCAATCTGCCTGCATCTTCCTTAATATCGCCCTCGTTGTGGCTACCGTCATCGCCCTGCCCCTCGGCAAAAACAACTCCAGTCCCCCCGTCAACCCGCCAGCCTACGTCTTCGGCTCCGTCCAGAACCTCACCACCTGGCCCGCCGGCTGGGCGTTCATGCTCTCGTGGCTGTCTCCGATCTGGACCATCGGCGCCTTTGATTCATGCGTGCATATGAGCGAGGAGGCTACGCACGCTGCTCGCGCTGTGCCGCTCGGCATCATCTCTTCTGCTGGTTTGTGTGGGATTCTTGGGTTCGTTTCGTTGGCAGTCATCGCGGCTTCGATGGATACGGATATCGATGGGATCTTGAATTCGAAGTACGGTCAGCCTATGACACAGGTATGTTCTTCTGCTGTGCATTGTGAGACGCGTCTGATAACCGGTTCTGTGGGCAGATCTACTACGATGCTCTCGGCAAAAACGGCGCTCTGGGCTTCATGGCTGTTGTCATGATCGTTCAATTCTTCATGGGTCTCAGCATTGTATGTTTCAACCTCCAACCCATGTTCTGCCCCGTGCTATGAGATCTATCGTTGACAAAGCCCTAACCAAGGTCCTCGCCGCCTCCCGACAAAGCTGGGCCTTCTCCCGCGACGGCGCCCTGCCATTCTCCTCTTATTTCCGCAAAGTAAGCCAGCACAGCCTAATGCGCTACCAGCCCGTCCGCATGGTCTGCGGCGTGGTATTTGCATCCGCAGTCATCGGCCTCCTCTCGTTGATCGACGCCGCCGCTGCCAACGCCCTCTTCTCGCTTGCGGTGGCAGGCAACGATCTCGCCTGGCTGACGCCTATCCTGGCACGCTTGGTTTGGGGCGGTGATCGGTTCGTGCCGGGTGAGTTTTATACGGGCAAGTACCTCAGTAAGCCTATTGGGTGGGTTGCGGTTGTTTATATGGTGTTTGTTATCGTTTTGACTATGATCCCCACCGAGGGACCGGATCCGTCAGGTGAGTTTGTTTGCAAAGTGATTTGGGACTTGGACTGATGCTTTGCTTGTCTAGCGGGGACGATGAACTATACTGTTGTTATAAATGGGAGTCTTTGGGTTGGGGCTTTGCTCTATTATTATGTACATGCTAGAAAGACGTTCAAGGGACCGCAGACTACTGTTAGTCCTGAGGATGTGGGTAAAGCCATGGAGAAAGATGGGCAATAGAGTTTCAGCGAGCAGTGAGTAGCTCGCGGGATTAGATATTCGAGAAGTGTCACGTACATATTTTTTACTCTGTCTTGACCCAAACAATAGCTACAGATAGTCCAGTTTGAAGTTTGTATTTCAATTATCGCTAATCACCTATGTAAGGCACTAAAGGTTCCTCAATATAAACATTAACTCCTGGTCAAGCAAATACAACTCATTCTCCTTGTGCAGGGCAGATAGTGAACAGAATGCATCTACTCCGGCATTTCGAGGACGTAGCGGCCAGCAATCTTGCCTTGTTCTGTGTGCAGGTTAGTATACGAAGTTCGGACAATCCAAGAAGATTAGCAACATACCCATAAGCTTGAAAACCTCTGGCAGCTCTTTGAGAGGAACAGTCTTGAAAGGCGCTTTGATCAATCCACGAGCATAAAAGTCAACGGCCTCAACGCCATCCTGGCGGTTACCGACGTAACTGCCCTTGATGTTGATCATCTTGACGACGGTGTCGAAAACAGGGGCCTTGAGGGATGCACCGGCGGGCAATCCGATGGCAACAATGGTGCCGCGAGAGCGGGCATATTCAACAGCCTGCTGGAATGGCTTTTCTGAAACAGCGAGCAGAAGAACAGCGTGGGCGCCCAGGCCCCCAGGCGTAGCAGCCTTCACATCCGCAACAAGGTCCTTCGTCTGGGTGAAGTCGACGTAGGCCTAGATAACATTTAGCCATAATTCACCCTACAAGATACCAGCAACGATCAGCCTACCTCAGCGCCGAGCTTCTCGCACATAGCCCGCTTTTCTTCGCCGCCGTCAATAGCAATGACCCGCAGTCCCATGGCCTTAGCATACTGCTGCGCAAGCGATCCAAGACCACCACCAGCACCAACTATAGCAACAGTCTGGCCAGGACGCGCACCAGACTCCTTGAGACCCTTGTAAACCGTAATACCAGCACACAGGATAGGCGCAACACCATCAAGCGGGACATCCTTGGGCAAGTTGGATACATGAGCAGCCTTGCCAACAGCATACTGCTGGAAGGTGCCGTCGACGGTGTATCCGGACAGCTGGGCGTCGGGGCAGAGCGGCTCATCGGAAGTCTTGCAGAACTCGCAAGCGAGACACGATCCATTCAGCCATTTGATGCCGGCATGGTCGCCGATCTCGATGCCCTGCGCCAGCTCACCTTTGGCGACAACGATGCCGGCGCCTTCGTGCCCGCCCACAAGTGGATAGGGCTTTAATGGGAGTGGCCAGTCGCCGTTCAGGGCGTGCAAGTCAGTGTGGCATACGCCGGTGTATTTGATTTTGATGAGGACTTCGTCTGGGCCAGGCTTGGGGACGGGGATTTGTTTGTACACAGGTGGTCCGCCTTTCTTTTCAATTACCTGCGCCCACTGCGTGTCTGGGATTTGGGGTGGGGACATTATGGTGGTTGGGGTTGGGGTTGTGAGGTGATGGAGTTGAAGGTTGAAAAAGGTGAGAGAGGGAAAGAGGAAGAGGATGAGAGAGAATTGTCGAGTTGATAAAAGGACAAGTTGAATGTAACACAGAATTATTCCTGGAAAAGTTGGTGTCGCCCTTTTATGTCTTCTTCTTGGCTTCTTAGATTCCCTGCTTGGATTGCCTGACCATGACGCTTTCTCTTCTCATGACATCCGATCCCTCTACAACGCCTCATTCTATTATCCGGCTTTCCGGTACCTTTGGTTACTGGGTGGCTTATCAATCTGAATGGGCATAGGCAGATATTATTTAGTCTCTACAATGGCAGTTCCGCTCCGGTATTGTCCAGCCATCTAGGCCAGGAATAACCAGAATAACAGGATTTCCCCATATCACATATCATATATTGCGTATTGCGTATTGTATTTATGATATACATGATTCAAGACATCACGTCGGTCGCCGGATTCGGGGTAACAGGATGGCTAGGCCATATTCCAAAGGATCGATCTCACTTGCGGGAAACAGGAACCCGCTCAATTGCATCTCCCCCTCATGTGAAACACACACTGGAATGGGAAAATATCTGGATAAACTGGGAAAAACCAACGTGTCAGGATGTATAGGATGTAATATGCACTGATTTTCTATCCTTGGCCACCTAATTTATTCTGGAATGAGGGGAGTGGAGGACGTCACCATCTTTGGGCGATTATCTCCGACATCAGGCCATACATTGGATCCCTAAGTAGAGATTCAGTTCATTTGGAAGACAGGTTCATGCACTACTAATGGGTCAATAGTTTAATTTGATCTCTAATATATATCTAGGTAATGTAGACTAAAACTATTATTATATGTCACCTTGGGGGAATCAACCTTGATCTTTAGACCGGGATTTGATGCGGAGTACTCAGGATGGCATATTGAAGTGAATTTAGTCACAAACATACTCAGTGAATGAAGGACAGTTGCTAATGGGCTTGAATCTTACATTTTCTAGTCATTGATGGTATTAATATGAATGTGATATTCTATAGTTCTATGTATAGCTAGTATGGCGGTTTTACAATATCTCGGCTTTAGATACACGGATCAGCCCCCGGCCACGAAAACTGGGAATGTGGGATTCAGTTTCTCTTCTTTTGGCCCTTTTCTGATGTGATGAGCCATTTGACAGGGATTTTGAGAGTAAATGGCAGAAAGAATAAAAAGATTAGAGGAAAATATATATATGATGTTTCAACTTCACGGTTTCACCTTCACCCGGGGGTTGGGAGTGTGAGTGTGAGATGAGAACGAATCAGAACACCCTAAAAAAGGAGAACAGAAGGCAGAACAATATCCCAATGATCGTAAATCGGAGATTTGAAGCAAAGAATCAAACAGTCCAATACAAAATAATTGCTTTACCCAGAAGAGAGAAAATGTTCGGATCTAACCCCCGGGACCGGAGTTGAAAACAAAAGATGAGAGGAAAAGATGGGAGAAATGAGAAGAGAAGACGAGAGAGAGATTGTCAATCACCACCAAAAATGCCCAGTGACTTTCTCCCCTTTCACAAGTCTTTCTTGTCTACATTTCTATCTTTCTCTCTCATTTATATATTCATTATTCCTCTTCTATCAAAAAAATTCCTATAATATTTTGTATGGTGTTTGTGAGATCGTTCTCATCCTCACCTCCCCTGCATCAGCTCCGCCTAGACCCAGCCGCGCATTCTCTTTCTTGGGCTCGGAAACTTCTCCTCTGCATCTTCCCACCAACAAACGAATCCCATCTCCATCAGGTATTTATGTCTTGCTTTCGTCCTCCATTTCCTTCTTTCATCTAAGCTTGGACTTTGAAACCATTACATGAACACTGACGTCGCGTCAGGCCTGGGAGCCCCTTGTCTCTAGTCGAGAGTCGCTGGTCTCTCAATTCCAATCCTTCGACTCTCAACCCTCGACGCGCTCAACCGTCTCCGGGGACCACGGGCATCATGACGGGCGCTCCGCCATATAACGCCCAGTCCCCGACTCAACAGCACCGGTATCCGGCCTACACCTCTCCCAACAAGAACCCGTATTACCCAAACAATGAACAACCGCAATATCACCATCCCCCCCAGACTCCCCCGGCATTTGCCCCAGCTCCAGCCGCCGTCGCGCAAAGTCCGCACTTTTCCCACGCGTCCCCGATGCCAGCTACTCTGCCGCCGCCCTTGAATGGTTCCGCGCCACATTCAGCTCACCCGGAGCCATCGCCATACCCGGGACACACCGCGGGTTCGCAGCTACCACCGCTGACGCGACCCTACCCCGGCTCTGTGATGGCCGGGAACGGAGCCTCGCCCTACGGTTCCGCAACACCCCATGGCCATCCCTCCAATCACCCAGAGGGCCATTCGCAATCGCCCAGAGAATCCCAATCCCCATACCGCCCGCGAGGAAATGGCGCTGGCTATGGACCGCCGATGATGCGGGAGAGACCGGCGTCGCCTCACGAACCCGTAAGGCTCTCACCCGGAACTTACTCATTGACCCGCAATTGACTGATCAATTCTGTCTCATTTAGAAGCCTGCCCGAGCCGCCGATCCCATGTCGTTTGCCAGTATCCTCTCGGGTCCATCGGATGAACAGCCTGCGAGAAAGCCGTCTCCTGCCCCGGCCCCCACCCCCGCCCACATACCACACGCTCCTCCTCCTCCCTTTGAAAACCGCCACTTGAACCACGGGAACCACGGGCCAGTACCTGCAGTTGTGTATCCAAAGTCAGAGCCCCGATTTGGCTTCGACAAGCGGATGGATGGACCGAGAGCTCCACCTGCCACCAATGGGTTCACCAAGCCTGAAGTGGAACACTACCCGCCTGTTGTCCGTCCCCCGCTTCGGAAGCCTTTCCCACCTGGCGTGGATCTAGAGCAGGTCAACCGTGCTATGGCTGAGATTGATAACGCCGAAAAGAGCGATGTCGAAGGGCCTGGATTTGCCGTTGAATTGGAACGGTACAAGGAGAAAGGCTACAAACGGTCATTGGAGAGCAGTCGGGCAGAGCAAATCCGTCGCAAGGTAAGGACTTATCAATATCAATCGGATTGTCCCTTCCATCGCCACATCACTAACTCTCTGTTCTAGCGCCGTCGCAATGAGTTCTTAGTCGACCTAGGCAGATCCTTCGAACGGCAGGTTATTCTTGGCAGCGAACGATTCCGAGCGCGCAACGAGGGTGCCGTCATTGCCGAAGTTCAACAAAAGGAGATCCAGGACGAAAAGGAGCGCAAAAAGGACATGCAGCGGAAGCGCCGTCGCGAGAACACCGTGCGCCAGGAGATGCAAAAGAAGCTGGAGGCCGAACGCAAGGCCGACAAGGCTCAAGAACCCAGTGAAAAGGCCAAGTTCCTGCGCGAAGCTGAGCGAGCCCAGAAGAAGATTCGCACTACCAAGCGCGCCTTGGAGGGAGGCGATGGTCAGGACGAGCTTGGTGAGGTCGGTCCGATTGCTCCTAACCTCGAAGGTGGCACGACGAGTCAATTCCACATTGCGCAGAACGATCCTGCACGCCGCCGGTCAGGCCGCGCCGCCGGTCCAGTCACTCGTCCGAAAAAGTCCAAGGAGCAAAAACAGGCCGAGAAGGATCTCGCGGAGGCCGCCTGGAATGCTGGGCTGGATGATGATCTGTATCTCACCCCGAGCACGAAGAGAGACCCTCGGCATTCCAAGGAGGGCACTCCCATGTCACAACTCAACCACGACAGCAAGGGCTACAACCAGATCTATGAGCAGATCTGGCGTGATATTGCCCGCAAGGATATTCCGAAGGTCTATCGCATCAAGACTACTTCTCTTTCCACTCGCCAAGAGAATCTGCGCAAAACGGCCCAGCTGGCCAGCAAGCAGTCCCGCAAGTGGCAGGAACGCACGAATAAGAGTACCAAGGATACCCAGGCCCGTGCCAAGCGAGCGATGCGCGAAATGATGACTTTCTGGAAGCGCAACGAGCGTGAGGAACGTGACTTGCGCCGTCTGGCCGAGAAGCAGGAGCTTGAATCTGCTAAGAAGGCCGAGGCCGATCGCGAAGCCAACCGACAGAAGCGCAAGCTGAACTTCCTTATTTCGCAGACCGAGTTGTACTCCCACTTTATCGGGCGCAAGATCAAGACCGACGAGGCCCAAGGAGATGGTGCCGTCGCCGCCACCGGCGAGACCGTTCAACCTGGCAAGCCCGGTGCGCACACGATCAACCTTCCCGACAGTGTGGCCAATCTCAATGCCAAAACCACTGCATTCGAAGACCTCGATTTCGATGCCGAAGATGAAACTGCCCTGCAGCAGGCTGCCATGGCTAATGCGCAGAATGCTGTGCAGGAAGCCCAGGACCGTGCTCGCGCGTTTAACAACCAAGCAGAGGGCGACAATATGGCCGCATTCGATGACGGAGAGATGAACTTCCAGAACCCGACCAGTTTGGGTGACATCGAAATCTCCCAACCTACCATGTTGAATGCCCAACTGAAAGAGTATCAGCTCAAGGGTCTCAACTGGCTTGTCAACTTGTATGAGCAGGGTATCAACGGTATCCTGGCAGACGAGATGGGTCTCGGTAAAACTATCCAGTCTATTTCCGTCATGGCCTACTTGGCAGAGGTCCACAATATCTGGGGTCCATTCCTGGTCATTGCGCCAGCATCCACCCTACACAACTGGCAGCAAGAAATCACCAGGTTTGTACCGAACATCAAAGTACTACCCTACTGGGGTAATGCCAAGGACCGCAAGATTTTGCGAAAGTTCTGGGATCGCAAGCATATTACATACAATCGCGATTCCGAGTTCCATGTTCTGGTCACCTCGTACCAGCTTGTCGTTCTTGACGCACAGTACTTCCAGAAGGTAAAATGGCAATACATGATTCTGGACGAAGCTCAAGCCATCAAGTCTTCTTCCAGTTCGCGATGGAAGAACTTGCTAGGGTTCAGCTGCCGCAATCGTCTTCTGTTGACCGGTACTCCGATCCAAAACAACATGCAAGAACTGTGGGCCCTGCTCCATTTCATCATGCCCACTCTGTTCGATTCTCACGACGAGTTCAGCGAGTGGTTCTCCAAGGACATTGAGTCGCATGCGCAGAGTAACACCAAGCTCAACGAAGACCAGCTCAAGCGTTTGCACATGATTTTGAAGCCTTTCATGCTGCGTCGTGTCAAGAAGAACGTGCAACAGGAACTTGGAGACAAGGTCGAGAAGGATATCTTCTGCGATCTTACATACCGCCAACGTGCCCTCTATGCCAACTTGCGCAACCGTGTCAGCATCATCGACCTCATTGAGAAGGCTACCACCGGCGATGATACGGACAGTAGCACCTTGATGAACTTGGTCATGCAATTCCGAAAGGTTTGCAACCATCCCGATCTTTTTGAGCGCGCGGAAACAAAATCCCCCTTCTCCGCTGCATCATTTGCGGAAACCGCCTCCTTTGTGCGCGAAGGGCACTTTGTCGATGTTCGTTACTCAACACAAAACTTGATTGATTACGAGTTGCCGCGTCTTTTATGTAGCCCTGAGGGCCGTCTGGATCTTCCTGGGTCCAAGAATCCGCGCGCCGGCTTCCAAAATAAATACCTGTCAGAACTCATGAACGTCTGGACACCGGAGAACATCCACAAGAGTGCGCGTGAAGATGGCGCATTCTCGTTCTTGCGTTTTGTCGATAGTTCCGCAGGCGAAGCAAGTGAGACCGCTCGACTTGGTGTCTACGAGCGCGCAGAGCGTCGCCGCAGCAAGCCGAACAGACTCTCTCGCTTGAATGTCATTTATGACGAGAGTGAAGACCCAAAGAACTCGGTTTTGTCTCACTCACTGTTCAATATCGTCGATCGTGACGATCGCCAGGCTGTCCGCGATATCACCGTCGAGGGCCGCATGCGGGATCTCATGACTGTCTCACGCTCATCATTTGAAAAGCAAGGCCTTCACCTCATTGAGCCATGTGCTGCCCCTAAGGCTTCGGCGCCTCCCATTGTCATGTCTGCTTCTGGACAACAAGCGATACGGGAATCAAACCAAGCTTTGTTCAATACATCTGTCCGGCAAGCATTGTCTGGAAACCGTACAAGGCAACTAGAGGAGCAGATCCTGATCAAGAAGCTGGATCCTACACCTTACTCCCACCCTCCGATGCTGCCTCCACCTGTCTCGCTCAAGGGCCGCTACAGCCACATCGAGGTTCCCTCGATGCGTCGTTTCGTGACGGACTCCGGCAAGCTAGCCAAATTGGACCAGCTGTTGCGCGAGCTCAAGCCCGGCGGCCACCGTGTGCTTCTGTACTTCCAGATGACACGTATGATCGATTTGATGGAGGAGTATCTGACGTACCGAAACTTCAAGTACTGTCGACTGGACGGAAGCACCAAGCTGGAAGACCGTCGCGACACGGTCGCCGACTTCCAGTCAAACCCCGACATCTTCGTCTTCCTGCTGTCCACTCGTGCCGGTGGTCTGGGTATCAACTTGACGGCCGCCGACACGGTCATTTTCTACGACTCCGATTGGAACCCGACCATCGATTCGCAGGCTATGGATCGTGCCCATCGTCTCGGTCAAACCCGCCAGGTTACCGTCTACCGTCTCATCACTCGCGGAACCATCGAAGAGCGCATCCGCAAGCGTGCCTTGCAGAAAGAGGAGGTGCAGCGCGTTGTCATTACAGGTGGTGCCTCTGGCGGCGTCGACTTTAACACACGCGCTCGCGAGAACCGCACCAAAGATATTGCCCTGTGGCTTGCCGATGACGACGAGGCCGAACTCATCGAGCAGAAGGAGAAGGAGGCCATCGAACGCGGCGAAACTCTCGGCGCAAAGGGAGGCAAAAAGGCCGCCCAGAAACGCAAGCGTGATCTTACGCTTGATGATATGTACCATGAAGGTGAGCATTTACATTCTGACACTGTCCACTGACTTAAACTTGAATACTAATTTGAACTAGGCGAGGGTAACTTCGACGATGCTAGCGCGAAACCCTCGGGCGCTGCCACGCCTGCAGAAGAGCCTGTTGAGACCCCGTCGTCAACGCCTGCCAAGCGTGGCCGCGGCCGCGGCCCTGGCAAAGGTACCTCCAAACGTGCAAAGACTACCAAAGAGCGTCTCCGTCTGATCGACGGTGACGGTGGCCTTGATTAATCAAATGTCAACTAATGCAAATTCAACTCGGGGCGGCGTTCATTTCAGTTTTTCTTTGTTTTTCTTTTTTTTCTATTGTCCTCACTGGCTTCCTTTTTCTTTTCTCTCTATGTTTTTTTCCCTCTTATCTTCTTGATTGGCAGATATATGCACTGCTCTGTATTATCATACAACCCCTGATTCAGTTCTGGATATCGATGGACATTTCCAAATACTGATGGTGATGCAAGGATGAAAAAATGTTTCCTACGATAGACTTGACCCTGGCTTCGACATTGCCAGGCTTGGTCTGGTGTGTTTTTTTACTTTCCATTTTGATTTTTCCACCTCGCTTGCGTTCGATGTTCAAAAAGGCGCAACTCTAGTTTGGTTATGAGTCTCAATGTATTGATTGATCCGATGGTTTGGATACCCTCGAAATGAATTCACAGGAATCGTAGTAGCAAGAAGTAACTAGCAAGCAGTACCTGATCTACACATCACGAGCCATTCTGCATGTACCCTACTTCCCAACAGCCCTAACACCCAGCAAAGCCTCCGCATTCCCATACGCAAACTTCTCCAAATCCTCGCCCGTAATCAGCCCACTCTCCTTAACCCTCTCAAAAAACTCCGCCCCAGTCTGATTATCCGAAAAAGGATAATCAACAGAATAGAGCACCCTCTCAATCCTCGTCGTCCTCAACAAACAAGCCAAAGGCCCAAGACTAAACATCCCACTAGTCGTAATCCAAAAATTCTCATTCCAAACCTCCTCAAACCCCCTCCTCAATCCCCACCTGCCAGCAACCCTAATAACCCTCTCAAGCTGAAACGGCAACATCTCACCCATATGACCCAGCACAATCTTCAACCGCGGAAACTCATCAAACAACCCACTCGCATAAAGCCGCAGCACATGAACAGCGGTCTCAGAATGCCACCCCCACCCAAAAGCACTCATGGAAAGCGCAACGCTATCCGCATAATTCCCTTTATAATGCTCCAACATCTCATCGCTGGCCCATGCAGGATGAATATATAATGGAACATTAAGTTCCTGCGCCTTACTAAACACAACCCGGAACTCTAGACCATCGTAGAACCGTCCATCGATATGGTTGTCTAACAGCGCCCCGACGAACCCATGCTCTCTTACGCACCGCTCCAGCTCTGCTGCTGCTGCTTCCGGCTCGGCCATGGGTAGGAGGGCGAAGCCTGCTAGGCGTGTCGGATGCGCTGCTATCGCGGATGCCAAGGTGTTGTTCGTTTCTGTGCATAGGGCGGCGCTGTATGTCCCCGGTGCGTGGGAGAGTATCTGGAGTGCGACGTTGCCGGCGTCCATGTCTTGTAGTCTTTCGCTTGAGAGGGATTCGAGTTTTTGGATTGTTGGGGCTGGGAAGCTGGCGAAGGGGTCGTGGGGTGTTGAGGCGCGGATGGTTGGGGAGACGTAGTGCTCTTCGAGGGTTATGAATGGCATGGTGATGGTTGTGATGGGGGTTTGGGTTGTGATTGTTGGTTTTGGTTGGGTTTTATGGTAGGTGGTATAGTGGTGAGGATGGTTCATTGGGGGTTTTGTCTGTTATATGCATGTTGTAGGATGCGGGCTCGGGCTTAATTCTTAACTCCTGGGCTTGGTTCCTAAATCCGGAGTTGTAGATGACGTTACGCGGGGGATTTGAAATCGTTGTTTCTAGATGTCCTTGTTGGAGAGTGTTGAAGAGTGTTGAATCAGGCTTGATAGACATTTGTTGAGAGGACTACTGTTGAGGTGATATAAATGTAAGATAAAGGATGCGTGTTTGAACAAAAGAACAGATATATGAAGTCTTCGTAAACGAAGAGCTTGTCAGGAGCCAAGTGACTCAGAATAATCGTTTATTAGAAACGCGACCTGTAGAGCCCTGATCTACGAAGGGTTTTCGGTATTCTTTGGTTATAAATAGTTACGGAGTAGTTAGCTAGGGCTTGTGTGAACAAGGTACTTGTTCGATATTCTTGCACATCTTTCAACATAGAGTAGACAGGTGTGACTAAATTCTTGATATCGTTCTTAATATCTCTTTGCTACTTTTTTTATACTGCTTATTGATTCTATGCTAAAATTCGGGGTAAGAAAGCGTCCGAAAGCCCTACAACCCCCAAATACGGGAGCGCATTTCAACACCCAATTCTTTTTCTATTCTAGAACTTACATAACACTTACTAAATATACTATCATCCATGGATAGGAGAGTTCTAGAAGAGTAATTGAGGTTGATTGAACAACAATCTTAGGATTTCCTTACCAAACCCCTCTGAATTTAAGACCTCAATGGTTGTCAACTTCCCATTAGACAACAGAGTATCCGTGAAGACCCTGATTCAGTGGTTTACTACGTCAAACACATAATGAGCACGCACACTTAAAGCGCTTTTTAAGTTTCGCCCTTTGTCCTGTCTAAGAAACTAAGTATGCTCTCGTATATGGTATCCTCGGCAACACATACAATGTTGCCACTTCGGGAAGGGACATCCGTGCCTGTAAAAGCGTTCCAGGGTTGGCCAATCAGATGGCCTCATATGTAAGCCGTAGACCCGGATGACTAACCTCCCCGCCCAGACCGATTCTCCTTTGGTTCCGTCTGCATATTTTTGATCTGTACATTCTCTCCTATATTTTAAGGAGATTTCTGTTCGGTCTTTTTTCTTTCTTTGCTCAATTGCTTTGCTTCAATCATGGAGGCTCTCTTGCAGCAGTCTCGCTCTATGTGCCCATTCCTCAAGCGGACATCCCCCACCACCCTCCGCACTCTTTCCACTGCTACTCGTCCCAACACCAGCCCCGGAGGCGGAACTATGTCCAATCTCCAGGTTCTGGCCCGCCGCTGCCCCGTTATGAGCAAGGCTTTGGCTGTGCAGAGTGCCCGTCTCAGCGGCACCAAGCGCTTCACCTCGCGCGCCGCCGGAGTCGCCGCATTCCAGCCTATGCGGGTTCCCAATGGCAAGCGGGAATTGCATAGTTCCGGTGGTCACCCCGCCAGTCTCGCCTCCGGGGGATACGAGAAGAATGAGCGAGGTAAATTGAATTTGTGAGGCTCGTGCTACCGCCTGATTCTAATTTGACTACAGAGCACCCTAGCCTGACCAATCCGCTTCGTTCGTCCCCTGCCGCTGCCGAGCAGGCCGCCCGCGTCCCCCGTGCCCCGACCAACAAACCTTTCAGCTACAATGGATTCTACAATGCGGAGCTGGAGAAGAAGCACAAGGATAAGTCCTACCGCTACTTCAACAACATCAACCGTCTCGCCAAGGAGTTCCCTCGGGCCCACACTGCCTCTGCCGAGGAGCGTGTGACCGTCTGGTGCTCCAACGACTACCTCGGCATGGGGCGCAACCCGCACGTCTTGAACTCGATGCACAAGACTCTGGATACCTACGGAGCTGGTGCAGGTGGCACCCGTAATATCTCGGGTCACAACCAACATGCTGTCGCATTGGAGGACACGCTCGCCAAGTTGCATGGCAAAGAGGCCGCATTGGTCTTCAGCTCATGCTTCGTGGCTAACGATGCTACTCTAGCAACCTTGGGTAGTAAGTTGCCCGATTGTGTCATCCTCTCGGATAGCCTCAATCATGCCTCCATGATTCAAGGTATCCGCCACTCCGGTGCGAAGAAAATGGTTTTCAAGCACAACGATATGGAAGACCTTGAAACCAAATTGGCATCACTGCCTCTAAGTACCCCTAAGATTATTGCTTTTGAATCCGTGTACAGTATGTGCGGATCAATTGCGCCTATCGAAAAGATCTGTGATCTTTCCGATAAATACGGTGCCATCACCTTTTTGGACGAAGTCCACGCCGTGGGAATGTACGGGCCTCACGGAGCTGGAGTTGCCGAGCACCTCGATTATGCCAAGTGGCAATCGCAGGACTCTGCGTCTCCGCAAAGCACTAAGGGCACAGTCCAGGACCGCATTGATATTATCACCGGTACCCTCGGCAAAGCCTACGGCTGTGTTGGTGGCTACATTGCCGGCTCTGCGGCCATGGTTGACACCATCCGCTCGCTCGCTCCCGGCTTTATCTTTACCACTTCGCTCCCACCAGCTACCATGGCTGGTGCCGACACCGCTATTCAATACCAATGCCAGGAACCTCGCGACAGAGTCCTTCAGCAACTGCACACTCGAGCAGTGAAAACGGCTCTGAAGGATCTCGATATCCCCGTCATCCCCAACCCATCCCACATCGTTCCCCTCCTGGTCGGCGACGCCGAGTTAGCCAAGAAGGCATCCGACAAGCTCCTCGAAGAGCACGGAATCTACGTCCAGGCAATCAACTACCCTACCGTTCCTCGCGGCGAGGAGCGTCTGCGCATCACCCCTACTCCGGGCCACGTGAAGCCCCTGCGCGACCATTTGGTGCAGGCTGTCCAGGCCGTCTGGAACGACCTGGGCCTGAAGCGCACCAGCGACTGGCAAAGCCAGGGCGGTTTCGTTGGCGTTGGCGTTGAGGGTGCTGAGGCCGCCAACCTGCCCATCTGGGAGGACGCCCAGCTGGGTCTGCAGGCTGGCGAGAGCCTTGAGGATGCCGTCGCTCGTGAATTCAACGACGCGGCTTCCCGCACTACTGTGCCGCCTTTGAAGGCTGCTACTCCTCTGACCGAGAAGGCTTACTCGGGAATGAACACCCCCATCGGTGTTTTCTAGACCATGGGACTCTCTTCTCGGTTTTTGGGGTAATCGCTCTGCGTTATTCCCGTCCATTCATTTCATATAATATTTACATACGGACATCTTAACATATGCATCCGTCTACATTCAATCACAACAACCTATCTGCTTGTGTCTGGTTCTGCTCTAAACTTGTAAAATGTTCTTGAATTGTAGTCTTAACTTGCACCGTTCGTCTTGTCTTTATGTGTAATTGACTTTGAATGTGCCAACCAACCCTGGTATGCTCTCCCTGTATCAAAATTGAACCATTCAGCATGGCCTAGATAATTGGACTCAAATTAAATAAGACCAAGGGGGCACTGTTCTCCCGAGGTCTGTGTGGAGCTTCGGTGTGGCGTGTAGGATATATATATGAGCGTCCCGAGGTCCGCTTGATAGGAACAAATCCATTTATGAGCATGAACGAGCTCTTGTTCTGCGCATCTAAGTCCAAAATTAGACCGTAGCTTTTACAAACTGCTTACTACCTTCATATATATTCAGCAAGTGGGTGAGATTTCAAAGAAAAGAATTTCAAAGAAAAGAAGGCTTAAACATTGCACATGACAGTGAGGATTCTCTAATCATGGAAAACCGATAACATCTATATCCAAAGCTCAGCGGCTAGCTAGAATGAAGAAGACAGTGGTTCAATAAATTCTTTTGGCTATGTAACAGTGTCTCATTGATATAGAAACAGATAAAAATGACAATTTTGACCAAAAAGCGCCAATGAACGTGCGTCAAGAGCAATGAAACTATACCCAAGACCACCAAACACCAAAACTACATACATACATACATCCATATATGCTTGTAAGTACACTACCTACGCCCACCACGGCTAACCTTAGGGAACTCAACCGGAATACGAAGTCTCGCAACGCGACGAGCATTAGCCTCAGCCCGCCCACCCTTGATATTCCACTTGGCGAACTCCGTCTCCCGCGGCTTGTCCACGCGACAACCCAGCTCCTTGAAGTAGTGCGTGATGGTAGTCGGGTCCAGACGCAGATCATCACGCAGATCCGAAGGATCGGTCGCAAGCTCATTGGGCGCATTACCGCCCAGCGAGCTGGATCCGCCGTCCCGCGCAGGCTGAGGCGGGATATGCAGTGACAATGCACAGATGGTGGTCTGCAGGAGGGTGAAGTCGAGCTTGGAGACGAAGCCGCCGTTGGGCGCGAAGCGGCGGCGCACGGCGTCGACTACAGACTCCGGCAGGAGGTCTGCAGAGTTGGTCTCGGCAACGGCGGCCTTGCCGGTTGAGCTTGAGCCGGTTGTGTTGGAGAGGATGCGGCGCAGGTCCTCGCGGGGAGGAAGACGTTTGGAGCCTGGTCCGCCGCCGCGGGCGTTGGCGCCCATGCTTTTCAGCGAGCGGCCGAATTCGATGAGCAGCTGGATGAAGCGCAGGACTTGGAGGTGGGTGATGTTGTCGGAGTGGACGACTGGGCCGACGCGGTTCGAGACGTAGCGCGAGACCGTCGTCACGCCTAGACCGGCTTCCACTTGGGACTTCCATTCTTCGACGCCGTTGAGCGCGCTGAGCGTTGCGTGGCTGCCTGGTACGAGGGATTCGATTGTGTACACGTCCGAGGGGTGCGAGGCAGTGAGGTTGGGGGTTGGGAGGGGCTTGGCTGCTTGTACTTCTGCTTGTACGGCGGTTTCCTTTGCTCTGCCGGAGGTGGTGTTTGTCGGCATTGAGGCGAGGAGGGCTGCGCCTGCTTGGGAGACGGTGCCGACGGGGGCGTTGGAGAGCTGGGCGTTTTCGGCCATGGATTGCACGGCCTTGCGAGACTGTTTTGTGCCGAAGGTGTTGGTGAGAGCTGTACGCTGGGCACGCATGGTCTGTTGCTTGTCAGTCTTCTGTTTATAGATGAGGTTCCTAGAGATTGAATTTACCATTTCGTCTTCAGAGTCTGGTTCAACCTTACGGCTTCGCACTGCTCCTCGCAGTGTTGCCCGTCGCACCTCCACCATTTTCCATGTGTTGTTCTCTGGGTCAACGATTGCGACGTAGTGCTTCAATTGTGAGTCGGCGTCGTCTCCTGTGCCTTCACGGCCGACGAAGTCCATCTTAGCATGGTCTGAGGACTGCAGCAGAATTTCTGACGAGACAATGCTCGGGTTCCGGTTTGCTGCCGCAGATTTGGGGACATTGGTGCGGCTTTTGATGTATGGGTTCCATGTGAGGTTATTCGCGCTTGAGAGACCGGGAGTGTTGGCTGTGAGGAGCCAAGGCTGTTAGAAATGTGCTACAGCATATCAAAAAAAGCTTTACACTCACCAATCACTGGTGCCAGCTCGCTCTTATCTTCAATAACGCTGGCAGCCAGCGGGGGCAGCGATTGAAGAGCGGGCTTCTTGCTCGGACGGTCATTGCCTGTGGAGCGCTTTCGCTTCTGATCTGTTTTAACTGACGGCATTATGGCGTTAGAGCTCAGAGACCACAAAAGACCTGAGCTGTTGGAGTCGAGAATCGGCTTTAGCGCGGTGAAATAAAATTGTCTTGACTTGTCTGGCAGAAAAATTTACGATCATTGACCCAACGGGCGGTGAACAGATTGGCGCACAAAGAATATTGACGTATTGACGTATTTCGAGCATCAGATTGTAAAGATCATATTCTTAACGGCGCAAAATATGGCCAAAACAGGTGAAGCCTACAGATTTACAATTACTGGAAATATAAATTGTGCACTCATCAAGTCATCGATTCATCTGAGTAGCTAAACCAAAGACCTCCGAGCTATTCCATGGATTTTGTTTTGATAAACTCCCGGAAGTAACCTCTCCACAGCTTTTGACAAACCCGAAGGCAGGCCGTAAAGCGAATGAAATTGACCAGTCACCCCAAGCCGTGCTCAAAAGATCAATGAGAAACATCAATCCTCCAACATCCAACTAAACACAGGAGCCTCTCCGAATAATAACCATGCCTGACATCAAACCGTAGACGTGTGAATGAATCCGAGGTGTTGGAAATATGGTAGACTGTTTGATAACAGCGGATTCCGTCGTCCGATTTGCGATTTCTTCTAATGGGGTCGGAAATCTGGTCCGGGCAGGTAACATCGTTGAGTGAGAGGCGTGTCTCGAAGAAACAAAAGTAACGTCGAGTCGTCAATTGTCGCATTTAGTGTTCAAACATGAGCCCGATCATGGTGCGCTGAGATGGAGGGGGCGAGTAGTTTATTTGCTGATTGTGATGTTAGCAATGCGATTCAATTGGAAGCTCAATGGCAATGCCATCAAGCACTGAGATAGAACTTACGATCTGGCACGCATCTTTCTTCTCTTGCGCTTGAGACGGCGAACGCGCTTCTTTCTCCACTTAGCTCTCATCTTCGTACTGGGTATTAGGTTAGCGCATGGTCTGTGTATTAGATTATGAGCTCTGGAAAGCTACTCACGATTTCTGCGAGGATGAAGAAAGATAGTAAGAAGAAAGATGAAGTGTGGGCGGCCTGAGACGCATTTGAGTGCGGTGCGGCTGACTCAGCCGCCTCGCTTAGTGAGTCACGTGTGGATCCACGGGTCATGGAAGTTCTTTCCATTCTCGACCACACATGACCATGCCAGCTGCCATTTTGGGAATTTTGGGAAATTGGTAGGGCAACTCGTACATTCACACTTGGGTAGCTCAATCAAAATGACTATGATCCACTACTATACTAGCCTATAGCAATGCCACAATGATCTCTCTCCAAGCTTAGGAATCCATACCATCAATTATAGGGAGAACACCGTCTTATTACCAGCCTTAGTTACGCGAACTCTTGTGCTCGTCGATGCTATAAATGTACATGACCCTTCGTAGCTCTCCTGGATTACATCATATTTTCTGGGGCCGCAGCAATTGGCGAATTATATGGTGGTTGATATAGGTAAGCTTAGATATTGACATCATCTCAATCATCTCAATTGTAGCCCTAAATATGTCACTCTACAATATCATTGTACACAACAAATCAGATCGTGTGCAATTTGAATTTTGCCAATGCAATTATTTGGGTATGCCCAATTGTATGTTTATTTATATAGCATTAGTATATGAGAAGGTTCGTCACTCATAGAGCTTGCAAAAACAGCAGACCCACACGCACAAAAGTGGGATATATGAAAATCAAAGTCCCAAAACCATGAATCCAAGTCTCAGTATTGATACCTATAAGTTGGTGCCAGATCACCGAGGTATTCCTGTTCTTCTTCAGGAATAGCAGCAGGGTCAACCGCAGCCCTATCACGCCTCTGGTTCTCGAACCACAGCGCGAGCGCATAAACCACGCACATCGCAGCAGAGAAGCACACGAAGGAAAGACAGATGATGTACCCAGTCCGGTAATCAGTGACGCCATTCTTCTCGACAAATGAATAGGTGGCGATGATGCCACCAATATTACCAAAGCCAACCTGCCATGCGGTTCCCACGCTGCGCCGATGGTGACCACCCAAGTTCATGGCAAACCAACAAACGATCACAGGCATGGCGCTGTAGCATCCACTGGTGAGCAAGAACAGCGCACCATATTGTACGCTTGTATTGCCGTGGACGGTTAAGAGCATGATGAATCCGGCAAGAGCCACGGCCATCGGTATCAGAGTAAATGCAAATCGGTGACGCAGTTTGTCAGAGCACGTGGCAACAACCATCGAGAATCCGAAGGCTGCGGCCCAAGGGGGAATCGAGTAGAGTTGGGTTTTGATGTTATCGTAACCGTAAGTCTTGATAATCGATGGTGCAAAGTAGGCGTATCCTGTAAAGTAGCATGAGTAACTATTCCAGCCAAGCGAATGAAGCACAATACATACCATAAGCGGGAACAATCAAACCGAAGTACATCAGGCCTCCAATAAAGACTTTGTCTGGGAGGGAGTCAGTGTGCTGTAAATGACAAGAAGATCTTGCGCTTTACTTACAGTCCTTGAAAACGCCGAGGACTTCACGCTTGCCCATGCGAACATTGTGCGCAGCTTTACCGACATCCTTGGCCAATTTCGCGCGCATAAACGCACGCTCTTCCTCGTTCAACCATTTCACGTCCTCTGGGAAATCAGCAATGAAGAAGAACAAGATGATGGCCACGACAGCAGTCAAAACACCCTCAATGATAAACACCCAGCGCCAGCCACGGTAGCCTCGCATGCCCTCCATCTTTGCAATTCCACTCGCAAGGAGGCCACCGAAGGCACCGGCCAAAGTGGTCGAACTGAAGAAGAAACTGAATCGCTTCTGAGCTTCTGAGCGCTTATACCACATGCCCATCAGATAGAAGCCTGGCGGTTATCATCAGCATTTGAACCGAAGAGTTTGCTTTGAGGTTGCAGGCACTTACATCCTGGGAACATGCCGGTCTCGAAGACACCCAAAAAGAATCGAGTGGCCATCAGGCCACTCCAGTTAGATACGAGGCCCTGGAAAATCATCACGAGGCCGAACATGAACATGCAGAAGGATACTATATTGAATTTATTAGCAAGCTGCTCTCGCTAAAATCGACCGCAGTACAAAGGGATCAAGGTACTTACGCCAGACATGAGGCTTGAGCTTTTTCAAGAGCACGTTTGACGGGATTTCAAAAATAATATAGGGAACGAAGAAAATAGTGAGCGCAGTGTTGTATTTTGTTCCCTCGACGATGTCCAAGTCTTCCTTGAGTCCGAGAATAGCGGCATTGGAAATATTAACTCTGCGCGGCGACGATGTCAGCGTTTTTCCTTTTTTTAAAAACTAATCTCGCGACTGTATCAACCTTACCTGTCTAAAAACGCAAGAAGGTAGAGAATGCAAATAGCGGGCAGGATGTGCCAGTCGACCTTGGCCATCAACTTGCGCTCGGTGGTTGTCGTCAGAGGAGGCAGTTCGTCTGTCTGCGAACTAGCCTGGCTTTCGCCATTGTCAAAGGGCTCTTTGATTTCTGCGGGGCAAGCACCCAACTGTCAGCCTGTGTGTCGGGCGGCAATGCGTGTGCCCGAGAGGTCTCGCGAAAGCAATGAAAAGGAAATCCGGGGTAAATGGAAGATCGCATCGGACATACCTGTGCTCCCCATGGTTGTAGCAGTTGCGCGAACACAATGCGCTATATTTATGAAGGCGATCGGAAAGGGGGAAGAACTTGTGGAATTGGGAAAAAGAACTTTAGAGTGTCGGCTTTCAAGATGCAGATCCCCGACAGTTGCAGGGATGAAAATGTTACCCGAGGCTAGATCAATGCGCACACACAATCTCCTGGAGTTCTGGGAAGCTTGCACAAGCAGAAAGGAGTAAACAAGAGAAGAAAAAGAGGATAGAAGAGAAATTCCTTAAAAATTAGCGACTCATAGGCTTCTCCAGGTTGAGTCACCGTAAATTCATCTCATCGAAGCTGTAGCTCCACCCAGAGGCCGATCTCGGCCAGTAGTGCGAAATCGTTTTCTATGCTGTGACTCTTAACACGATGTGATTTGTTTATTTATTGATCGGCATACAATCAGCTGAATCGACTTTGTGCAACCAATCTAGATTTATTGAATTTCACCTTATCTTGCATATACATTGTTGTACAAGGCAAGAACTGTTCGCTCAAAAAAAGATCCTCGGTTCCCCGCAAAAGGACTAAGGGGCCAATGACTAAATATCCATTCGTAAATCTTGGCTGCAGCGCGGGGGTTACATTGGATTTTCTTATACATTTTTTCACGAACAAAACTGTCATTGGATTCTGTTTCTCCAATTCACTTCACTAGTCCAAAACCAGCTACGTTGTGCAAACTATTGGACGCTGTACAAACGACAAAAGCTGTACTCCGTATCCATGTAGATCGGAAACCCACTCGTGGGGCCGTTCAAAAAATGCGATTAAAAATGCTATCGTGGTGGCAATACATATGAGAATTGATCATATTCTACAATATTATGCCATATATGTCAGAATTAGCAAGGATGCGTTGCTTAAAAGAATGTCTCAGCTTTAAGCATTGTCCAAAAAGCGCAAGTGGGTTGCTCGAAACTGCAAGACGAGCAGCCCGCAGCTCAAGATGCATACATATATTGTATGACGTGAGACCAAACTCCAGAGTTCTTGAATTTAGTATTATGCGATCCTTATATGAAGCAATAAGCAAGAGAAGCTAAAACCACGTAAGCCCTAATGCCCTCAGAAGCAAAGAACCAACCAAATTATTACCAGCGTGCCTGGCTAGATCACCAATAGTAGAACAAAGAAAATGAAAACAAAATAAAGCTCTATTCCACTGCTATAACCTCCATCTGTATATCTGGATTTTCCATCTTCGAGACTAACACCGTAGTTCGCGGCGGTGCAAAAGGAAGTTTCCGTTTGTACACAGCCTCGAATTCCGGCACTCCATGGGCAGAATCGGTAACATAGACCTAAACAGATAACTATCAGCATTCACACGATATAAGTCCCCTTCCAGGACATTAAAATACCGTAGTTTTCACAATCCTATCCAACGAAGACCCCGCCGCCTTCAGAATCGCCTCTATATTAAGAAAGATCCGCTCGGCAATGACGGTAGGCGGCCCGATAACAAAGCCGACACGAGGCGCGGCTGCTATTTGCGCCGCTACATAGATCGTTCCATTGACTTTGAATGCTTGCGACTGTTTGTTTATTGGTTAGATGGGGTGCGTTAGCTGGCGGGTTTGCATTGCGCTTACCGAGCGGCTGGGTGCTATCAGGTCATTAGTAACGGGAGACGGGGTGGAAAGAGGTCTCTAGTAGAACATGTGCACTCACGCTCAGGGGCGGCTGTTGTCCGTATACATTCGATTGGAGGCCTGCGCGGCGGGATGCTGTGGTAGTCTGGTGGTGGGTGCTCTGGTTCCTCGGACATGGATTGTGTCATTTTGTCATTTTGGGGAAAAAGTAAAGTGTTGTCGCGTGTCCGATAAATATAAATAACTACGGAGTAAATTATCAAGAAAAAGAAAACTTTGATGTATGGCACAGGTGGCGCCCTTGTTGGGGAGTAATGTGAGGGGATTGGGTGGGCCTATCACGGACTTGTATAGCGGCACGGGTTGGTTTGGTTTTGCTGTTAGTAGTTAGTTCTCTCCACAATATGCACAACAGAAGTCAAAGGGGCAGACATAGTGTCGTTGCTAGTGGTTTTGGTTTGTTTTCCTTCTGTACTGCCTGGTATTAATTTTTAAAAGAAAGGGGGCCAGATCAAATAGTAATTGCTTATATGAGTTAAGATCAATGCCAAGAATACTATATCAAACTTTATATCCTTCGAGATGATTGTTCAAAACACTCCCGTCCCGTCGGTAGAGCGCTAAATACATATGTATCAAGCGGCAGGAAGCACCCAGGTCGTCACAGACTGACTGGGAATATTACCGCTCCACTGCTGACCACTATTGGTCGACAAAGTAACATAAACATCATTGCTGAATGTGTTCTCAATGACAACCGTCCGAGTTCCATCGGGGTTCAGAGAAGCAACCGACTGCACACCGCCACCACTGGAGTAAGTATAGCTCCCAGTGCCACTCAGCACGACAGCACCGGGTGGCATGAACTTGCTGAACTGCGCCATCATATAGTATGCCGGATTGAAAGTGTACCCACCGTTGGCGATAGTGACAAGGCCCTGGCATGTTGCACAGCCTCCAGTCGACAAATGAGGTCCGTCTTGGTTATCAGTGCCCAGTGTCCAGGCAGTAACACCCGATGCCCAGTTTTGCAATGGGCCCATGGTGAAATCGGCCGCTTGGTTCCATGATGCCGACGCCGGGGTCCAGCATTCAGTCATATATTGCTTGATGTTGGGGTTGGTCTGATGGAACTGCGTGAGGACGGTCCAGTCAACGTTGCTCGCGTAGCAGTGCCATGCGACTGAGTCGACATATTTGCTTGCTCCGTTGACGACGTTCTGCGGGTATGATGGTACATCTATCTCGTCAGTTAGAGGAGGGGTTCAAGGAGAGACAGCGCAAATCTGGAACACATACCGGTGTTGTGGTCATAGGCCCAAACCTTGGTGTCGAGGCCGGCTGAAGCAAGAGCCGGACCGATGTAGTTTTGGATTAACTGTGCAGACTCGTAGTCAAAGACATACATGGTCGGGTATCCGGACTGGCTGTTCAAAGGCTCGTTTTGGACCGTGATCGCATCGATATGCGCCCCGAGCTTGGCATACGCCTGGATGTACTTGACGAAGTACTGTGCAAACGCGCTGGCATACCCCGTGCTCCCGGTGCCCGCGCTAGTCAAGTACCCATCGTTCAGGTTATTGTTGTTAGTATTGCCATCGATAACCCCATTCAACTTCATCCAACCAGGAGCACTCCAAGGCGAACCCAGAATCTTCAAGCTCGACTGGAGAGACTTCATCTTAGCCAGCAGGGTAGCCATGGCAGTTCCACGGTCGCCCAAGTTAAAGCCAGACAGCGATGGGTCGGCCTTGCCCCCATTGTCATCGTAGGTATAAGCGGGGTCGCCAGATAGATCGGAGGCGCCAATCGTATGGCGCATCAAGGCAAATCCAGCGCCAGCACCGGTCATGAGTTCATTGAGCAGTTGCTGTAAGGTGGAGCTGGACAGGGAGTTGAAAGAGCTGACGGTCGCGTCGGTGACGGCGGCTCCGAAACCCACAATTGTCTGCTTGTGCCCGCTAGATGTATCATCGATGCTTAGCTTCCAGGTTGACTCAGAGCCTGGGCTGCCGCTGCCTTGGACTGGGGCTGCGATCGAAGAGAGCTTGTAGTTACCGCCGGAATTTGAGCAGTAGGCTGAGGCTGAGGCCGCTCGCTTTTCCGAGGCATGTGTTAGTCCCGAGAGGAGGAGCAGAGGAAGAAGAGAAATAATCATATTGTATGACACCTCAGGTTGAGGGAATGGAATCTTCTTTAAGAAGGATTTGGGACAATTGTAGACTTTCAATTCAGGAAATTAGTTACCTTTAAATACTTCGCTCAGAAAAAACTAGTTTGAAGATTATATCGAACCATTTCCCTAAAGAGGAGCAAATGCAACTATTCCGCAGAGGGGAAATACTCCCAGACCCTGAGACGCCTAATTTGCTTTTTATAAGCCGGCAATAAAACCGCAGTATCAGTACACTAATGAACGCCACAATTAATCGCGGCCTTTTGGAAGAAGGCCTCTGAAGCTTGTCTCATAAAAGTATAGCTGAGCCGTAGGGGTTTTCGGGGCCGTTTCCCATCTGAGTATGGGCTGCTTTCCATCTTACTTTCCCCCGCATCTTGCAGGGTTTTTTATCACCGAAGCTCCGCGGACGCTCTCCATATGTAGATGGTTGTTTCTTCACGGGGCTAAGTTGCCATCGGTAGTTCTGAAACGCCCGTGGAGGCGCTTTGTGGAAGCTCTGATCTAGCGGAGATCAGAGAGCGAGAACGACAGCCACCAACGCTATACATAAAACGAGAGATGAAGGGTAATGTGGGTCGGACTTCATAAGAAATATGTTGTCGCATAATTTGTTTGTTCGCATTTTGTTGTTAGAACGGTGTTAAAGACAAGCTTTGAATTCAATTGCTTTTCTTTAGTACACACATCAAGTGGTTGCAGACATATACTACTGCCATTGAAGATACCGGATCACTAAGCTCCGATTGTCTCATTTTTTCCAGCCAAGAAAATTCTCAAGAGAGGATGATAGGTCACTTGTATGGGATATGTATTTTGTACTGTGAAGAGTGATACACTGAGTCAGCAATGTACATTAACACATCATATGGTAGCAAGGCTGCACAGCATGTAGTGTGTCTTTAGAATGATCTGGAAGATCAATTGATGAGCGAAAATCTGAACAGTGGAGTATATTCACGTTAAAGAAATTGAAAGAACGAAAAAAAAAGTGGAAATGTTAAGAAATAAGAGAAAACAAGTCACCTTGCAGATACGGAGCATGTGACGTCACCAAGTTCTTTTTATAAATCCTTCCCCTCCATTACCGTCTTTTCTCTGCTTCATATTCTATACCAATAACAAAGTTTCATACATACAACTCAATTAATTGTCATAATGAGCGGCCACACTTTCCCTGTCGATCTTAAGCAGTTCAAGCATTTGAAGCTTGACCCGAAGACCCCACAGTTGACCGCTCAGCAGAAGAGCGATCTACTTCACAACATCAATGTTTTCAGAGATGCTCTAGTTGCATTCACAGCCACTGGCTCCGCCCGTGGTGTCTCAGGCCACACTGGAGGTCCCTTCGACACAGCTCCTGAAGTCTGTATCCTGCTTGCCTTCATCAATGCCAACCCTAATAGATGGGTCGATGCCTTGTATGATGAGGCCGGCCACCGTGTCGCCACACAATATTTGCTTGCCGCCCTGGATGGCAAGATTGAGCCCGATCACTTGCTGAACTACCGTGCTGCCGACTCCCACCTTCCCGGTCACCCCGAGCTTGGATTCACCCCCGGTGTCAAGTTCAGCTCTGGTCGTCTCGGTCACATGTGGGGAATGGTCAATGGTATTGCTATGGCCAACAAGGATAAGAACGTGATTATGTTGGGATCGGACGGATCTCAACAGGAGGGTAACGATGCCGAGGCTGCACGACTCGCCGTCGCCCAGAACCTGAATGTTAAGCTGTTCATCGATAACAACGACGTCACTATCGCTGGACACCCCTCGGAGTATCTTAAGGGCTACGAGGTTGGTCGTACCCTCGACGGACACGGTCTAAAGGTCGTCAATGCCGAGGGTGAGAACGTGGATTCTTTGTTCCCAGCTATGTGCGAGGTTGTCAACCACAACGGTCCTGCCGCGGTGATCGTTAACCGGAAGATGGCCCCTGGTATTGAGGGCATTGAGGGCGAGACCCACGCTCATGATGTTATTACTGTTGATGTCGCCCGCAAATACCTCACTAAGCGCGGCTACAGCGAGAAGCAGCTCGCCTTCTATGACCAGATCAAGCCTGGCTCCAACCCTCACACATACAAAGGTTCCTCCAAGGAGAAGGGCGGAAACCGTACGATCTTCGGTGACGCTGTCAACGACATCCTTGACAAGCTGAGCAAAGAAGAAGCTCGGCGCCGCGTCATGGTCATTGACTCTGACCTCGCAGGCTCCACTGGTCTCAAGGCTATTGGCGCTAAGCACCCCGAGTCCTTTGTTGCATCCGGCGTCATGGAGCGAGGTAACTTCTCCGCAGCCGCTGGATTCGGCTTCGGCAGCAATGGCGAGCGCCAGGGTGTCTTCTCTACCTTCTCTGCTTTCTTGGAGATGTGTATTTCTGAGATCACCATGGCCCGCCTGAACGACTGCACCGTGCTATCGCACTTCTCCCACAGTGGTGTCGATGAGATGGCCGATAACACCTGCCACTTCGGTCTGAACCACTTCTTTGCCGACAATGGTCTCATGGACGCCGAGAGCACCTCATTGTACTTCCCCGCCGACGGAGAGCAGATGAAAGCCGTCGTCAACGAGGTCTTCTGGAACAAGGGCCTGCGCTTCATCTTCTCCACTCGCTCCAAGGTTCCCTACATCTTGAAGGAGGGCACCGAGCAGAAGCTGTACGGCGACGGCTACAAGTTCGTCCCTGGCAAGGAAGAGATCATCCGCAAGGGCTCTGCTGGCTACATCGTTTCGTACGGTGACATGCTCTACCGCTCTCTGGACGCAGTCGAAACCCTGCGCGCCGAGGGTCTCGATGTCGGTCTGATCAACAAGCCTACTCTCAACGTCGTCGACGAAGAGACCATCAAGGTCTACGGATCTTCACCATTTGTTCTAGTCGTCGAGTCCATTGCTCAGAAGACAGGTCTCGGCTCTCGTCTCGGTACCCACCTCCTCGAACGCAAGTTCACCCCCAAGTTCAAGTCAATTGGAGCTATCAAGGAGGGCTGCGGTGGTTTGTACGAGCAAGTCAACGCCCAGGGCCTTGGCCCCAGCGATATCATCGCTGCTGTGAAGGAGGTTTCCGGAAAATAAATATGTCATGTTTGATGTGGAACCATAACGACTTTTGATATGATAATAAACTCTTTCTTATTTCTTTTACATCTCATCTTACAGTAGTCTTAGAGATCTAAATCGCTCAATTCCGCCTCGTATGAGCAAAGCCGTACCTGGCCAAGACTAAACATACTCTGCTCTCCTTCCTCAATTCGACTGTCGGCAATCAACGGGATATGCCTCTCTCTAATCGAGTCCCCACAACTACCCGCCCATCACAGCTATCATTGTCCTGGTATCCCTCAATGCCTTCTTGGCATGTATGCAAATACTGTTTTAGAATTATTATACCGCACCGACACAACCAGAACACGAGTACAGGAAATGCGATGACAGTTGGACGTTCATCAATCATCTGATCACTCCTCTGGTATTCCTGGCTGGCATAACTGACCCCTGCTACGGTTGAAGAAAATCTCGAGGTGATGCAGAAAATAATTAAGCATTATAAATGGACTGGCCTGACCCCATAAGTCTCAATCAGTAATATACTCAGGCACAACATTTGGTAAACAATCTATCGATTCAGGGGACCAGAGTATGCACTAGCATCTAAACCGGCTAATATGGTAATTTACACTGACAATGAAATGTTGTCGGCAGAAATCAGTGACCAAATTTTATGGGTACCAGATCGGTAATATCAAGACTTTTTCAATAGATACCAAGAAATCGATAATCCTGTAGGACATACTGACAAAGAGTAATATGGATTTTAATGTGAGGTGTCTGATATTGATGCCTCAAGAGTTCTTGGGCAAATACTTAGAAATCCACATGCAGGGCCACCACCTGGTCATACTCATGACGGAATATGACGACCTTTCCTTTCATAGCCACCTCAAACTAAACTTCATTTCCTATGATCCATGGCAAGCAATGTCGTTTGCCGTGAATATAATTAGAATGTCCATTGCCTGATCCACTGGTCCATCAGAGATTCGGTTATAGGTTCCAGGCTTCTCATGGTTTGGCTTGATCGCCTGGAATATTCTGTACTTGGCTTCAATAGAGTCCTGCTCGTGTTCTGTAACCCATGGTAGAAATCTAAGATCTTGAGGGAGGGCATTCGAGTAATTTCATCGTCGGAAGGATCTTGAATCTGATCTAGCACATCAAGCCATTCTTGCAATTCAACTACCTTCACTCCGTATGCCTTCGTCACCGCAGGAAGGAGAGTCTCCCAAGTTGTTGTTGATGGGTTTGCCAGGTTGAAGTACGCCGGTTGATTGCTCGTATACTGTTTTGCGTGATCCGTAATAATTTCAAGAAGGATCGTGGCTAGAGTGTCCTACAATTGTGATTAGTGAACTTGAACTTCTGAGGAATCAATTTGTAACGTACGACAGGGATCCAGTCCACGTTCAACCACCCAAGATCCCGTGGAGCAAGCCCAATTGCCTTCGAGGTCTTAATGAGAGACGGAAGCCACTCATTCGTATTCCAGTGACCAAGCTTCGTTGTCGGCCCGCCAAGTTGTCCAGCTCGGTGAATTCCAACAGACAGGTCAGAGCGGGAGGCGGCGACGTCACATATTTGTTCCGCCACAAATTTGGACTCGAAATAGCCCCGCTCTGGGACAGAACGAAGATCGAGCACAGTATCCTCCGGTAACTGCTCACTGTGATGCACACTCCAATCTCCCACGGATTCGATCGAAGAGATAAAATGTAGATGAGGGTTGTCTTTGCTTTCTAAGCAAAAGTCGATTATTCGACGAACTCCTTGGATGTTAGGTTCAAATGAGTCGAGTTTCTCTGCGAAATTGACTTTCCATGCGTTGTGTATCACGATGTCCACAGTTTCCGAGAGTGCACGATAGGTATCTGGACTAAGGCCAAGATTTGGCTCGCTCTCATGAGCGACAAGGTACTGAACATCTACCTCATTTCGAATAACGAGGCCCCTTTCCTTTAGCGATCTGACTTGTCGATCCTCCGCTCCCGCATCCCTAGTCAAACAGATGATCTTGGAAACTCCCAGATCTCGACTCAGGCCGTGTAAGAGATAATTTCCTAATGATCCAGTAGACCCCGTAAGGAGCACGGTGCGAATCTGAGACGGCCTCACTCGCTGGATAGAGGGAGGCAAAATGTTCTGGGTGTACTTTTCAATGAGTTCATCAATTATCATACTCCTGCCTTGATTCCTTTGGCCATTTTCTCCTTCCGGGTCCACTTTGCTAACACTTCTGAGTGACTGCATGTACGTTGACAGCTGCCGAATCGTGGGATGCGCGTAAATATCTTGAGACCCAATGTTTGGCTTTGGTTCCGAATCGTACATGGATTGGACAGCACTTTGTAACATTCTGGCCAGACGTACGACCTGAAGAGAGTCCATTCCGAGAGAAAAGAGGTTTTGTTCGTCAGACAATTCTCGGACTGATAGAAGGTTAGAGACCATTCCGTTGATCTGCAAAGTGACTTGCTCATCACTGGACCAATCAACGTTTTGACGCAACGAGGTGTCTTCTGACTTGGAAAGTAGGCGAGATATGTCTGCCGAATACTCTTTTATGGTACCCTGTCGCTCGGTAAAACCTTTTGAGGTAGTTCTGAACGGTCTGTCTTGAGAAGCCACGAGAATGACGGACTTTGAAAGCTGGGCATAGTCAGGTGCGTACCGGTTTGCATCTTTGACACTTTGCCATAATCTTTCAATCAACTGGTCATCAGAATCCTTATCGCCAAGAAGGGCCCAATTAAGTTCAAGAATAACACCAGGCAAGAAGCTCCCTTGGCCGACGACAAGGGCGCGTGATACTAGTGGATCCATTTCAATCTGCCTCTCCATGTTGATCGGGTTGAACTTCTCTCCGTTACTGAGTACAATCACATCATCCAGTCGTGCCTCCGCTTTCCATAAGGATGGATGCTGTGGGTGAGGAGAGAATACATCCTTTGTTCGATATTCAGATAAGTCTGGATATATGTGGAACACCGGGTGGAAATCCCGAGCTTTCGGTCTAGGGATGACCATTTCGTATAGTCCATCCCCGATTGATTGCATATCAATGCCATATTCTGGGTTCCACTCAAAGTATTCCCATTTCGCTCTATCAGTTGGTGCAAGTGATGAGATCGGGCCTGTTTCAGTAGACCCAATAACGGGGACGACATTAGTTCGCTGAGTCAGTCGTCTGCCCACATCAGATGATAGAGCAGCTCCACCATAGAGTATCACGTCGAGTTTGACAATTTCGTTCAAGAAGGCGTTGGAGCTACTGAGATCCTCAAGAGCGGATGGCGGAAAGGTTGCGCATCTTGCCCCAGATGTAGATAGGGCAGATAAAACACCTTCTTCTGTAATTGGTCCGTCTGGATAATTCACAAAAGTCATTCCATGGCAAATAGACTCAAAGATAGCGTAGAAACCCAAAATATGGAAGAATGGAGCTGTGTTCAACGTGGGACCCGCAAATGCAGCTGGCAGGGCCAGTTTCCGTCCGGGAGGCTTTTGAATGCTTAATAGTCTTCTTGTTGATTGGAGATAGCCGTTTGTAAGATTGACTACCTTTGGGAGGCCTAAGTTTCTTGGGGTCAATTTCAACTTGCATGGAACTGTGACACAGAGAGAGTATTGAAACATACCAGTTGTGCCTGAGCTATGGAGGGCTAGGCAGATGTCGTTTTCGTGCTCTCTGCATGCGCTGTGGTAAATGCGGGAGCTGACAGGAGCCTCAAGAATCTGCTCCAGAGTAGGTATCATCCAGGATTTGGTCGATGGCTTCGCCTTCTCAACTCTGTCTTTCACCATTCGACGTTCTTCGCTGTATATAAATTTCTCACAGCTGGAGATATTCATAAGATGCCTGTTGGCATTGTCTGAATTTCTAGGTGACAAGAGAAGTGGCTGAAACTTAAGTCAGCGATGCCTGAAAGGAGTGTAGGGGGAAGGGGGTCCACAGCGCTTACTATGTAGCCTGTTTTCATGCAAGCTAGTATCAATATCGCATATCGGATATCGTTACCGCCTATATATGCAATATACTCCGCTTCTTCAGAGGGACCAATCGTATCCTCTATCCAGCAGCACGTATAGGTCACGGCTTCGGCCAGATTCTGGAATGTAACGGATTGCCATCCCCCATGATAGTCTGGATTGTGTGAGGGCATGATTGCAAAGACTTTCTGCGGGGATTCGAATGCAACTTCGTCAACTAGAATCGATAGAGTGTGACTGGGTATACTCGTGAGTTTCGTTGTAGTTCTCGAAGTGAATCGTTTTTGATTCCAACTTGCGATCCAGTTCACCAATCGTGTAGGCTTCCACCCACGAATTAGTGGAAGTAAACCCTCCCGACTGACCAACTTTGTTCCCATAAGCATCAATAATGCAACCGAGCCAGCTAACCATAATAATTTGACCTTGCCAAGATTGAATTTCTGAATGGGAATAGACATGTTTCAGGATGGTGCGTTGTAGGATTCGAATCCGAACTCACAATTTTCTCGAGTCCGTCGAATTAGCGAATAAGTTCTTTAAATATTATTAGTCTCAATATGGTACGTCACTTGCGCATTCGCTGGAAGTACACTACATCATTCTATTTTGCTGGAAATGAAAATTGTAATACTAGTAGGTATGTGGTCGTTATGCAGGTATCCCAGAGTTGATCCTTGCATCAAAATTCAACTCTCAGACCCTTTTTAGCCGTCGATGTGAAATAGATATTTATGCATACGATGCTGTTTGGACCGCTGTGAAACACTGGTTTTATTGATTATCGTAAATCTCAAAAGAAAATTCAAAGATCATGTTTCCATCAATTTCATGGCACAACCGATTCTGCGTTTTCAAAACAAAAGCAAAATATACTTTATTGGATCTATGTGCGACCGTTTTCTATTTAATACAGTGTAATGAGCGTATGTGTTCGAATATATCTGACGAACAAAGCCAAAAGGACGAAGAAGCATGTATTCTGACTCGTGCATGAAAGGAAAAAGAATCTCTGTCTAACCCAACATCCTCTTTGAAAGTGTGAACAGAAATAGCTGTCTATAGCGTATATACACATGTATCTATAATCTAGGAAAGACAGTGAAAATGAACCTAAAATGCTGTCTTATCCCACTTTAAAAGTCGAAACCGAATGAGTATCTAGCAGCAGAAACTCCTGATATTTCGCTCCATCCATGAAATTTCCTGGGTTGCGAGTTGAAGCATAGTGTGATACCCCAAACCTATTTGTTTTCGTCCTTTGTATTCACCCAATGGAGTACCCCTGTGAATTTTCCATCCTCGGTTGCTTGATCAGAGACAAAGTTGCAACGCCGGAATGTATCAAAAAGTGACCAGAGGAACGACTGACTTTTTACCTCACGATATTGCCTGCCGAGAATTGGTCGAACAGCATTGGTGGCTTCTTCTGCTTTGTAGAACGGGATCCTCGGGAACAAGTGGTGTATAACATGATAATCAACAATATCGTGAAAGAAGTGGCGTCCAATAATTCCAAAGCTTCGGTCGATAGTGGAAAGCGCGCCCTTTGTGAACGTCCACGCTCCTTCTGCATAGTGTGGGACAGATGGGTGGGTATGGTGAAGATAAGTTATAGCCACTGTGTATAGTTCAATAATGTTAGAAACGAAATACAAAAGCAGGGGAGTGTATAACTTGCCTAGCCAATGGTGGACCCAGATATAAGGCATGAGATATACCAAAGCAACTGTTGCCCACCCTGAGTAAACACCAAAAAGGCACAGCCCAGAAATTGTAATGCAAAGACCAATATTAGAGTAAATGACCAGTGGCCGTTGAGACGAGGTAAAGAGCGCACTATAAGGATCGAAATGGCTTGAGGTTGGAAGAATATGACCCTCTGAACGTATAGGTGCACTTTTCTTTCCCGCCGTGATATTGAAGCAAAGGTACAACTGCCAGCCTATCAATTGGCGCCCTATGAGCTGTAGAGCAGTCGCAATAGGTGTTTCCTCGACTAATGGTAACATCTTGAGCCATTCTGTTCTATACCGTGTTTTGGCCTCGGCTTCGACAAGGGGAACATAGACAACGTCCTTTTCAATATGGCCATGATAACGATGGTGTCGAGCATGCGTGATCTTCCACGAATAATATGGCACCAGCAGAAAGGAGTGCACAACCCACCCGACTATATCATTCACTTTGGTAGATTTGGAAAATGCACCATGTCCACATTCATGACCGAGAATCCATAGCCCAGTCCACACGCATCCTTGGAAGAAGCCGTACCCTAGCCAGGCAAGGATACGGGTCATGCTACCATCTATAGCAGATATTCTCGAAGCAAAATATAGAAGAACTGCGGTATAAATGATATCACGAAGTAGGTATGTTAATGATGTAACAAGCGAAGGGTCGAAGCAAGACTGTGGAATAGCCATTTTCAGTGTTTGGAGATTAGTTTCGTCGGGAAACTGTTCTCTCTAGATTATTGATTTAGTCGTGTTTTCAAATTCACTGGGAACAAATCATCATACCGCATCCCCTTCACGTTCACGCAATCTATAATGCGTCATGGCCAATAAAATCGGTATCAGATATGGAATATATGAGGTATCGTAGATGGAATTCTCTAAGAGCCAGGAAAGGCGTTGATTTTATGAATTGTCAAACGCCGCCTCGAATTCGAGGCAAGACTTAAGTAAAGCTTCTACATTTCATTGCATTCATATTGGAATTATGATGACGCGCTTGGTGACACACATGCCTTATCGCACTTACTGATATCAGAAAGTTGCATGAATGGTTCAATATGACTGGAGGTTGGCGTTAGAAAATCGATCGTGACTAATAAAAGAGTATGAATGGACATATATACGCATTTGAGAAAGGATCAGAGGGCCATTTTTCCTATTCTGTTTATAAAACATGCAGATCAACAGATGACTAGACATCATGAGGCTGGACTCGTCGATATCGATGTGAAATAGTGTTTGGTGGTCGACCATAACATCTCCTCCCTGAACAAAATGACACAAAAATAGATGATTCCAGCGAATCACGTCAAGGTAATCAGATGAATCGTGTTTCACAGTCCATATTGGAACCTAGAGTCGGGGGTGTCTTGTGCTTGCGTAGATCAAGATTTCTTTCACAAGCCCGGCAAGGTATTCAAGTGATCCGGAGGATGAGAAGCTTCATTATATGCCCTTTTTAGCTCCATTTCTCCGGAAAGCATTTGCATCTGCGTGTAAACGACGTCGCATTTGACCGGAGTAGTTCCTCACATACTTGAGACTTTGAATCCGTTATATTGGCCTTTACCAAACGCTGTGCAATCCCCATGCAAGTCAGCATAATGCGGTTGCATATTTGCGTATCGGATTCTGGTAAGGCGAGGCATGATGCCAATACTAACGAGCCTTCCTTTCGAGTGCTGATCTTGTCATGTTCTTCTCAAAACCTGTATATCGTAGTCCAAAGGTCATCGACTTCCACGGACATTGGCCACCACCTCAAGGACTAGCAGCCTCGCCACCTAAATTAGGTGATGCTATCAATACTATTGGCTGGTCCGACATCATTTAAGCCTTCAGAGAATGAAATACATCAATCTGCTAGGGGGTCCAGATCCCGGGAGAAATAGTTAGCCCCCAGGTGTGACTGCCATGATAGACACTGAAGAGGTCTCGGCCAAATCCCGAGACTTTCGTGATATATTGATACATACATATACACACTGCCGGTATTGATCATTCCAAGCAGTATTTTCGTGTATACCCAGCGGGCCTATTCGTCAGATTATACCTAGGTAACTTGGTTGTGGCCTCAGTACGAAATATTTTATGCTTTTAGCTAGGTATTCGAGATTAAATTTCAAGTTGTATTCGTCGACAATGAGATCATTGTTCTGCGGCTGGTCAATCTTCGGCTCTACTTAGACAAGCGCAGATGTGGTCGCACAGCATTTCAACCCAGGTCACGCCCTATGCAAGAGTCTCTGTACAGACTGTGATGATTTTTACAAAATGCAGGGTTTTTATAGATGAAGAATTATATAGACTAACAAAGGGAAGGATTTACTCACCTTAGACTATTATATCCAAGTTTTATTCAGAGGCTGCCATATTTACATTTTTTTCCATCAAGATGAAATTCCTCCCCCGCCTTTGGCGTGGACAAAAAGTCTCCTTCTATCATTCTTCCACCTCATACCAACTTGTGCAAAATGATGAGGGCCCCCAAATATCATTTGCTGAGCTTTGTAAAGAATGCACCCCACCATTCTGCTCGCTAACACCCTCGCTTTTTGGTGGACACCTTCAAACCGCGTGGACTCAAATGACAGAGGACAGAGAAGTGCCGGTTTATTACAAGCGAAAAGTATTCGATTCGAATCATCCGTCTTTCAAAGGGCAATTTTCTGTCGACTTTATGGTACCTCCGTCCGTTGACGATCAAAACAGTTCTCAAACTAGAGAAGACGAAGTACTTCCTGCCCGTACAAAACTATTCGAGATTGAGGAAGATACAGAGTTTCTGTCAACAAATGCCTACAGCCCGATACTAATCTCCCTTCACGGAATGTCAGGTGGATCCAATGAGACATATATACGGCACGTTCTCGCTGCGATCGGAGCACGGGATGGGGAATGGGCAGCTTGCGTTGTTAACTCCAGGGGCTGTGCCGAATCTAAATTGACGACGGGGTTTCTTTACAACGGACGGTCTACCTGGGACTTTCGGCAGGTTGTGAATTGGCTCAAGGAAAAACATCCAAACAGGCCTCTCTTTGGTGTCGGATTCTCTATTGGGGCAAACATCTTGGCAAACGTATGTATGATCCCTTCTTATGAGCCAGATGCTTGTGCACCATTGTTGCGATATAGATGAAGCTTATGGTGAAGTGGCAATGACACAGTACTTGGGCGAGGAAGGCAAAAATTGCCCGCTTACAGCGGCTGTTTTGGTCTCTAACCCGTGGAATTTGGAAATCGCCTCACATGCTCTTCAGCGATCTTGGATCGGGTCCGAGATTTACGCAAAGACTTTGGGTCGCAATATGAGAAATATCGTCGAGCGGTAATTCAACTCACTGTCAATCGTATATGCCAAATCTGACTTAATTCACAGACATAAAGACATGATCGCTGAAACAGTGCCACTCGACCAAGATTCCATTCAAAAAATCAAATATGTTCAAGATTTCGACCGGTGAGCGATTCCAAGTAATTGATATTATGAATGTCTATCCAGCTTACTGTGAAGGCAGCGAGATCCAGTGCCCCACATGGGGGTACCCAACAGAAGATGCTTACTACCGAGATGCTTCTTCTGCCAATGTAGTACTTGCTATTCAAACTCCGTTTCTAGCAATTCAAGCGGAGGACGATCCGGTAAGGAATCTAGAATGGAACGCGTGCAACGAAATGCAGACCGATTATAATTTTATTTAGATCTCGACAAAAGACGCGATCCCGTTTGCAGAAATTCGGGAAACCCCATTCGGCGTACTATGTGCAACATCTGGTGGGGGCCACCTAGGTTGGTTTGAGACAAGAGACGAACGTTGGTTTGTGAAGCCGGTGCATAAGATCTACGTCCTCTCACCAACCTTTGGCTAATACCCGCGTTCAACACAGATTACCAACTTCTTGGACAGAATGGCAAATTCGATTGATGTAGAAAAGTCCATCGAACTTAATAGCAACCTTTATCCTGAGTTTGAGGCAAATGGTAAGTTCCTAAGAAGACATATATCACCAATTAAGCTGACAAATCTTCCAGCGCGAAAGCTAGCGAGAGCGAAGCCCTGAAGGACAGGATAATACGGTATTGATGAGTAGTGACCCAGCTAGCAAACCAAGCTGAATCGATAAATAAGCCATTGGCGCTGAACCGTAAAAATGGCTGATCATTTCCAGTTTTCTGATACGGCGTATCATCACATATGAATATTATATCATTGGCAAATAAACCAGAATCTAGATTAACTATGATGGAAAACACATATAGAAAGCTCAGCTAAGTACGGAGTAATAAGAGTTCTAAGTTTAGATATACGATTGAAAACCATGAAAGGCATTATTTGTAAGCCTCACACAAAAATGAACCTGAATTTCCGGATCGAGTTGTACCCAGTAAAACTTTCCATAGGTCTGGGGTCTATGTGGTCCAAGCGAAGTGAAAATCACTGTTGTTGCACAACCGATGTGTTACAACCGAGGTTGAAAAAGAGTGGCCCATCATCTGCGTAGTCAACTATGGCATGTCATCTACCATTCTTTCTGGTCGCCCACATATAGAAGATCACTACACCTGGACATAACATGTTTGATTACCTGTTTATCATGGTTCATCATCCTCATATGACCAAATTAGGTGTCCTACGTTGACCGGCATAAGAATGACGAGCATTGACTGCATCATTCTTCGGATGCGATGTAGAACTTATAGAGAGAAAAAATATGAGAAGCAAAATTGAAATTAATCTACGAACCCAACTTCAATTAAAACACAGCATGGATCAAATAACATTGAACCTAACCAGTAGTTTGCAGGGCAACCCAGAGGCTTTCATTGCCAATTTGTTGGATGAAAAGCCAGAACACAAACATTTAGATATTATATCTTGACTGAATTCCTAATACAAAGTTCCGGAACTGATGAGCGTGTCGCATCGTTTGTCAGTGCTGCACGGGAGGGGGTTTGCCATAGCAACCTTTAGACGCCAAAATACGAGAGCCTCAGTGACCGCCGAAAAGCCATCGGGTATGCTAAAACTGTTCGACCTGGCTTGCAGCGATATGAGAAGTCAGAACTAGCGAAACATTCATATAGTTAAACCATTCTTCGTCATTAGGCAGCTTCGTCAGATGAAGCTCTGCCAAGATTAAGAGCAGCTACCGGACATTGATACCTCCGTTTTAATAATATACGGTATTTTATCCTACACAAGAGCGATCGCTCTGAGATAATAACAAGCTAGAGACGGCCAGTGTGAGGCATATATTCAGTTAGATCAAGGTATACCAGTATGTAAACGAAACTGCTATGAGCCCAAATGAAAGAAGACAGAACATTGAGACTGGACCTAGAAGAGCCATTGAAGTTACAACTGTCATTTTGGGTACCGTGACTCTGGATGATAGATAAGCCACGGAATCATGTACTGGCCCCTTCACACTTCCATGGGTATTTGGCGCAGAAAGCCCATCAATGAGCTTTTTCAATTTCTCTGGCGCTGAAGTAGTGAGCGGAGACTCTCGGTCAAGCACATGTGACACTTCGAAAGTCTTGTGCTTTTGCTTCGGGTGTAATCGACTATGGAAGGGATATGTCTGCACGCAGAACGAGCATAGATCCATATGGGCGCAGATTCTACACACAAAGCGAGAGCCGTCAATAACCTGTGTACAAAGGTCGCACGTAGTCTTGTATATGGGGATGCCAAAGAACGTATCCTGTGACAGATGCAGCTGAAATAGATATTGGGCAGTGTCGGTGTCGCTGACAAACAATAGATAGCGACCTAATTGCTGCACAAGTGGCCATGGGAAATGTAGCCGAGACCGAAGCAGCGTATCTGAGATCTGGAGGATGGATTGATGAACAGCAAGCTCTTGAGTATTATCAGGTGTCCTAACAATTGAAGGGTAGTAGTTATGGATTTGGCGTAACAAGCTTTCATTTCCAACTGCCCAGTCCAGGGTATTTTTGCCATAACCATCTAGAAGAGAAGGATCGGCACCAAAGCGAAGAAGATTTGTGACAAAGTCAACATGACCGAGACAAATAGCCAGATGAATGGGAGTTTGGGAAAGCTTGTCCCGGTTGTTGATAGGGGAGAGGAGCTGAGGGAACCGACGGAGAAGGTTGAGCCTATTTTTTGAAGCGGCAATATGAAGAGGAGTCTGGTCAAGTTCATTTGCAAGCAACGCACTTGCGCCAGCGTCAAGAAGGATTTGAACTTGATTAAAATGGCCCAGATAAACAGCTGCCAAGAGAGATGATCCATATATACCGCCCTGGGCGTTGACATCGGCGCCAGCGTCAAGGAGCATCTGCACGATCTCACTGCGATCCGCGTATGCAGCAGCCTGTAGGGCATTACCGTATTCACCACCCTGGGCGTTGACATCGGCGCCAGCGTCGAGGAGCATCTGCACGATCTCACTGCGATCCGCGTATGCAGCAGCCTGTAGGGCATTGCCGTATATACCACCCTGGGCGTTGACATCGGCGCCAGCGTCGAGGAGCATCTGCACGATCTCACTGCTTTTCCCGTATGCAGCAGCAGCCTGTAGGGCATTGCCGTATTCACCACCCTGGGCGTTGACATCGGCGCCAGCGTCGAGGAGCATCTGCACGATCTCACTGCTTTTCCCGTATGCAGCAGCAGCCTGTAGGGCATTGCCGTATTCACCACCCTGGGCGTTGACATCGGCGCCAGCGTCGAGGAGCATCTGCACGATCTCACTGCTTTTCCCGTATGCAGCAGCAGCCTGTAGGGCATTGCCGTATTCACCACCCTGGGCGTTGACATCGGCGCCAGCGTCGAGGAGCATCTGCACGATCTCACTGCTTTTCCCGTATACAGCAGCAGCCTGTAGGGCATTGCCGTATGCACCACCCTGGGCGTTGACATCAGCGCCAGCTCCAAGCAATATTTCAACAACGCTCTGATGTCCTCCCAACGAGGCTGCTTGTAGAGCACTTGCTGCTCTGACCATTGTTGCTTCAAGACTCACACCTTCAAGCAGGAGCCATTCGACAAATTCTGTGTGCCCATAGCTAGCCGCCTCGATCAATGGCGTTTTTCCTCCTCTATTTATTGCTTCACAGTCTGCAGTTGTCTTACGCAAGATCTTTCCCCCTATTATATGACCGTGTCGCGCTGCTAAATGGAAAGCTGTATTTCCGTCTTCGTCTTTCCTCGCCACGTCTTCGCTGTTTAAAGACATACGCTCTATAATATCAACGAGATTCGCAGCTGCCGCCATATGAATGAGTGTAGTACTTTTCAGAGGGCACGCCGGGTTGAATTGGTCGACGATTCGGTAAATATGGACCCATTGACCTATCACTTGCTGTAGGATATCTTGTTCATTCAGTAGTATGAGCGCACGAGAGTGAGCAGCCTTTTGCGCATGGATAAAGAGGTTGATAGTGGCGTAAGCAAGTAATGGGTGGTTCCGGATAAGGTCCTTTCTCGTCTCCGGGGAATCACTTGAAATATCTTCGCGTAAACGGAGTAAGGCTAGATAAACAAGACAAGATCGGTAGAGATTTGCCTGACATTGTAATATGATCTCTTCTCTTTGTAAGACTAGACTGCTAGCGCCGATGTTTTCTCTCAAAGCAGCTAGCCCTTTTGCGAGCAAGAAATCATTGACCGACTGGTGTACCACCTGGACAGTTACGCTCAAATCCCTGCTTGAGACGACTTCCGCTAACCCACCAGAAAGGGCCTTGATCCTTCGCTTCATGCGTTCGTCGCTTTCAATAAAACCATAGATCTTCTCCCATTTCTTTGGGGCGCGCGTTATTTGGGCATTCTTGCCTGCCAAGGCATACCGCATTTCTGTCACGGTCAGTGGACGCTCTGCCAGACACACCCATTGAAACAGGAGAAACGATTGCTCCAAATTCCGCACTTCTATCACATTGTTCAGGATGTACATATACACATCTTCCAGCCCGACCGGGACCTCCCGTGACCAGCAACAGATGTCATCAAACGACTCCCCCTCACAAATCCTCTGCCTGGCAAGAGGCATTATGAGACGAGCCCATTGGAACACACCATTAGCTTGCTGGATTAGTTTTTCCATCAGAGCCTGTCGCATGTCTTCGCTAGGGTTGTCTTCGACATCTGTCTCGGCAAGTATGTCCTTGATGTATGTAGCAATGTCCTCGTGATTATGCTGTTCGACATGTATCTCCATAGCTTGGGCAATTCCTATGATAGGATAGTGTCGACATGAAATGCAGATTCGAAGAGCAGCGTTCTTTTCTCCTGCTCGGTCAATAAGTCGATGGAAATATGCTGCGAGTTGTTGAGCAGACTCAGCTCCGGTCTCATCCAGAGCATCGACAAAAATCGTTACATGTTGTCGACTAGTGGATTCCAGGATGACACCTGCCAGTAACTCTTCTAGCACCGCTTGTGGCCATTTCCACTTGCCTTCACCGTACCCAAACTGCCTACATCGTTGCTCATAGGTCTCGCGTACCCGAGGGCGTACGGTCGCATCGCGATCAAACAGTTGGTTCAGTAAAGATCGAAGCATGCCTAGTGGTGTACGTTGCATCTCTGTGCCTCGAGCAGTAAAGAAAAAGTCGAGCTGGATGCCCGGTTTGCCGTTCTGTAATCTCTTGAGTTTGCCGTGTAGGAATACCATCAATGTCGATTTGCCGGCGCCCGGTTTGCCCTTGATCCATAGTAGACCGCGGGACTTGCTGATCCAGGATTGGTACTTTTCCAAGTCCAAAATCCATTGGCAGGTATTGGTATGACGTGGCTCGACATTCTCTCTCCGGTCTAGCATCTGCGAAAATGCCAGTGACCTGAGGATCTCTACCACTATAGTAAGTGAAAGTCTCTTTGACAGATACGGGGCGAAGCGAACCGCTATCTACCCTCTGCTGTGGGGTTTCTGTTCGATCTGGCCAGAGGCTTTTGGTCAGCTAAGCTCTGCTAAGATTAGGCTTCAAAAACATGCCGGATAAAACATTGATTACTCCGTGGTTGATCCCAAACTGAGGCCCCGAGCTGTCGTTACCAAAAGAGATTCGATTCATAGTCATTAGGCGGTGCGTAATATGATGGCGATAGTGAAGGCACCAGGCCTCAAAAAGTGGGGGGAATTTCTCAGCCCCATGATCAAGTGACTTTCTGCCCCTGAAATGATGCACTTTTCTCTAGGAGCGTCAGCATGCGCATCTCCCGAGCATTGGGGCTCGGAGACCTACCGGCAAATGCCATCAAAGGAGAGGCTATTTAGTTACAATCCGGATCGTGCACTGGTTTTAGTACTGTTGACCAACAGATGCCCGTTCCCGAGGGGGCAATCGGGAACGATGGTGGAGTTGCGGGATAGCACTGTCTAGGTACGAATTATAGGCCAGTATAATATAATAATCCGGTATTTCACGACACAAACAAGATCTAGATTTGTGATATTATTAGATTAATGTAAAAGTCATGTAGCGTGTCTTGACACCTGGAAGAGAGAGCGATGGTAGGTGGTGATACCGATCTCCGATAGTACTGCGCATTCTACTACGTATTCTGTATTTACTTCACCTTATTGTGTTATCGATTTATCCATGTTGCACTATAAATAGTTTATTCGAGCAGAATATCTGTATAGACATATAAAGACGGTTATCTAAGCCACCTAATGCACGAGGGTTTGCAAGGAGTGGCCTCCATACTAGTTTCTGAAAGGGAAGCAACGACTGTAACAAAACAAGGAATTTGCTTTATTTGTACCAAGATTACAGTTTCAAATACCAGGCCTCAAAAGGTTCATTCAGGGACAGGGTTAGTAGTCAAAGATGAGGGTACGAAAAAATTATACGCGACCGCATGGTTCTCATGGGTAGGGATACATAAGCAGTCTTTGTTCCTTGTTCCTTTCCATTTCCATTTGTCTTTGTCTTTTCTTTTCGCTACTAGACTACAGCCACGATCATTTCCTTATTTTTCATTTTCAAAAAAGAGGTAGGCGAGAAAGACTGTTATGTAAATGCTAATGCAATGCAATACATTAAATCGGATCTAATACGATGATCACCCGGGGCGCCGATAACGATTCGGGAGAGGCGATGAAGTAATGCTCGTTGAAATGATTCACGAACTTATATTCCCAAATTATACATACGCAGGAGAAAAATCAAGGTATGAAAGTTGGAGGTCGGATTGTGTTACTTAAAATGAGAGCCTCTATTCCCCTTCTAGATAAGATCAGCCATAGTATGCCGTACGTTAGAAGAGCAATACGCATAATGAAACACCCCGTACTAAGTTATTTGACTCTCAGATCTTATGCAATACATTCAACTTTACTATACTAAGTCGTGTTCACCACGTAGGGCTTCATGCTGGGTTGACTGCGTGGTCGCACCAACTCACCCATTGTGTCGGTCTGTGCTACGTCTGGGGCGGCTGCTGAAGAGCAAGGATCGACGGACCATGAACCTTATATAGATATGGAAAGATCCAGTACAGGGATAGGTGAGGTTCAATTAGTCAGTTTCATCCTGCGTCCAAATATTTATGGCGGACGTCAGATCAGCTTTACAAGCCTCAGATTTATATGTTTTTCAGGCTGGGGCTAGTTTAAAATGTTTATATGTAAGAAGTGGCAGTGAAACAAATTGAAGTAGGTTAGATGGCCTGCCCTGATAATTTCCATTGTTCTACCATAGAAAGGAGTAGATGTGCCCAGTATGGTTTAATAAGAGCGAGCATGTGCATAGAGTAGGACTGTACAACAGGAATAAGTAAGTCTTAAGATCGACGGCTGCGCCGTCTCCGGTGTAGATGGAAAATAGCTGATGGCGAAATCGCATGTGGTAATTTGGGCAAAAGACAAAAGCTTCCTTAGTTCCTTTCAGCGGGCACCACGGGCGTATACATACTGTATAAATATTCGTTATCTTTTCTATCTGATGTTTCTCCTAGCGGTTAGTGACAATCCAAACAAAGGGTCTTCATTGGTATGGCCCAATTGCATAATTGAATACCTGCAATCCTCGTGGTGTTAGATAAGTGATTGCCTCAGGCTTTTTCCATGGCGAGGAGGGGGCTGTGTGCCCGACGGCGAAAGATAATACTGCGTTGATCGCGCACCTGGAGCTTCATTCGTGCCTGGGGCGATAGCGTAAAAGCTAGTGAGCTTTTACTTTTGCCACGGTGCCATCACAACCTGATAGTGAGTATCCCCACCATGGTAAAGATAGCCAAACTTGAAGATTTCGATGATTCTACTATAACAGCTATCGCCAAGAACAATTTTGGTTGCTAATTGAAAAATCTCAATCACAGTAAGCCTGATCCTGAGAGATGAGGTTTACAAATGCACTCTCCGCCCAAAGTAGGTTCGGCGGAAGGAAGCAAGTGGGAATCCAAGCTAGGCTGAACAGTATACACCAAGGGAACGAAAAGATGCATTCCATTTTTGTGGGAGTTGATCACGCTCTAACAAGTGCCCACTATCTATCATATGGCCTGAACAAAACTAGCTTTTTTGGGTTAAAGAGGCATGCATAATTAAGATGGGGGGTTGATGAGGGACTTTTATTCTGGAAAATAGATCAATTCTGTGCATACGTGGCGTTGATCTGCAAAGCACCATCCTGGAAGTAATAGCGCGAGCTCTATGATTCCTCTCGATGGGGATAAGCCGCAAATTACCATGACATCCCTATCTGCATCAAAGGTTACACACATTTTGTCAGTTTCAAACGTTGTGTTGTGTAAAACTTGATTTGCAAACAAGTATTGGACAAGTAAAAAATCAAATTCGACATCTTAGGATTCTTCTCGATATAGACAAATTACGCACGATCATGCTTCTAGCTGCATTGAAGCCCATACGGATATTGTCAGTTACACAAATGAAGCAAATATTATCTAAGGCTACTTACAGTTGGTCTTGGCGAAGGTCTTATCAATACTGAGGTTGTTTATAAGAGATGCCATTTATTTTTCCAGGAGTAAGCATTGATCGTCCCAAAGGAAGAAGGAACCATCATCATTATGATCGAAAGGACTTACCTGAACCAAGAATTTTATCGAGCTTTCTTCGCCAGGCAGACTGTGTTTCTGACAGGTGCCACCGGAGGGCTGGGAGGCTGCCTTCTTTACAAGCTAGTTACCCAAATACACACTAAGAAAGTATTCCTCCTGCATCGAGCTTCGAAGGAAACAACAATTGCAAAGCTTCGAAATAATCTGTCGACCTACATCGATTCAATTTTAGAGAGCGACCGAGTGACGTTCATTCGAGGTGACCTTCAGGTCCCAGGCCTCGATCTTAGTGAACAAGATCTCGCCATGCTCCAGCAAGAAACAACTCTAGTAATCAATTCTGCTGCGGACACCTCATTTAAGATTGATGCTTGCGAGTCGTTTCAAAACAATTGTTTGCCTGCACTGGAGTTTGCCAAAATTGCATCAAGTTTTCCCAAACTCATCAAGTTTGTTCAAGTTTCCACTGTTTATGCAAACAGCTTTTTGCCGGATGGAAATATCGCAGAACAAATTCATCTGTTTGGTGCAACGGATCTTGATTGTGAGAAAGAGCTAGAGCAAGTTTTTTCCGAGAGAAGCACCCCTAGAACTGGGGATTGGTTATGGCCCTATGCCCAAGCTAAATATGTCATGGAGAGACTTCTCGTGCAAAGATATCCTGAGCTCCCGTTGCTTATTATCCGACCATCCTCAATCGGCCCTGCAATCAAGGATCCATTCCCTCACTTTGGGCCTGACGGATCGAACCCTGTGGAAACATTTGCTATACTATATCTTGCCACCAATGGCGGAACTAAAATATGGCACTCCGCCAAGGATTCAAACAGTGGGACTTGGATTTTGGATGAGATGCCCGTCGATCTGGTTTCAAATACATGTCTTCTTCACATATCACAAGGATCTCAGGGTATTGTACACGCGGCCGCCGAGCTGTACATCTCCAAAACAGCAGATCAATTATTTGCTTCAGCAATACCTCATATTCCGCGAGATATGAGATGGGAAAAGCCTTACTTTCAGTGGGTGACCGATCGACGAGTACCACCTTGTACAATGGCTAGCATATTTGGCTTGAGAGGTCAATCTTGGGTTTTTGAATGTGGTCGATCAAGAGGGTTTAAAGATGTCGATGGCCCGCTAAGCCTGAACATTGATGGACATGACGATCAAGATTATATTCGAGAACGCGTGACTCGTATTATTCCTACTGCTCGTGTCCTCAAAGAGAAATTTGCGTCCAAAAAGCGCGGACAGGTGAATCTCTAGGTCCAAGCAGTGGAAATCGTGGGAATTAGGTAATATTAGAGCATATGACCGCGGATTTGTTGATCTTTTGCGCTATTCTTTTTATTTGAAATTATCGATAAATTCAAATATCCCTAAGTTGCTAATAAACAGTCCGGACATATCACAATGGACGGACAATCGTAGAGAAAGGTGGTAGTTTCAATGTGTAAGAAAGATATGCAGGAGGCGAGCAATTCAATCAACAGTTCACCGATGACAATAGATTCGAGGCCTCAAATATTATCCTGGGAGTTACATCACTCAAAATAATGGATATTTCAAATCAATCATCAACATAGCGACAAGCAAACAGCAACAGAAGAATGCTGGGCCATGAGATTGTTGACTGAGATATCCCGGTGAAGAATTCCTGCTTTCTGCAACGACTTTTTCCATTTGATAACAAAATCTTTCTTGTTTCTGTTACATCTCACTTTAGTCTTGGATTCCTAAATTGCTCAATTTCGCCTCATATGAGCAGAGTCGTACCGGGCCAAGGCTAACAACAAACTCTGCTCGCCTTTCCCAATTCGACCATCGGCAATTCACGGGATATGCCTCTTGTCAATCGAGTCTCCACAACTACCCGCCCACCCCAGCTGTTATTGGCCCGGTATCCCTTAAGGCCTTCTTGGCATGTAAAGCTAGTCTTCAAAAAGGACTAGAGCTTCCAACCTCCAAGCACGCAATCATGTAGCTGAATTAGAAAGGCTTAATGCAACATAAAAACGTGGTATCCAATGTTTATATGAGACCGACAAAACAAAACCTATATAGCTCGCATCCGCCGGTTAGTCTTTAGCATTCCGGAAATCCATTTAGCTTCCACCAGTGGCTTGATTCAAGGTTCCTTCCAAGCCACCTAACATGGCAGAACAAACCTCTATCTCGGCATCTTCCGATACCGCAAAACAGGCCGAAAAGCGCGTATGGTACCGCAGTACTCTATTCAATGCATGCATTATTGGCGGCGTGGGCTTTCTGGCCCCTGGTTTGTGGAATGCCATGAACTCGCTCGGCGCTGGCGGCGCGCAGTCGCCCTTTTTGATCAATGCGGCTAACGCGCTTGTTTTCGGGCTTAGTATGTGGTCCCGCTGCATACTAAATCAACGGATTCATGCTAACTCAACTCGCAGTGGGCTTTTTGTGTCTTTTCGGTGGTCCCATTGCTAACCGTATTGGCTTGAATTGGACTTTGATGCTCGGTGCTGTTGGATACCCTTTATACTCGTATGTTTATCAAAAGCGAGCGAGTGAAGAGGTTACATACTGACTTTGTCTAGGGCTGCTTTATATACGAATAACCGCTTTGTAAGTTGTTTACTTGGGAATCGCCGGACCCATGATTCAGAAATGAGGCTAACTCTCCACTGTAGGGAAATGTTTGGTTTGTTCTTGTTGGCTCGGTATTTTGTGGCTTATCGTGAGTACTTGACAAAAGAGAGAGCGTTGCAAATATTGACTGAGCTTGATAGCGCCGGTCTGTTCTGGGCATCTGAGGGTGCTGTGGCATTGGGTTATCCTGAGCCAACTAAAAGAGGTCGCTACATGAAGTAAGCTTCTCGAATAAAAGAAGAGCTGCATGGAATAAAGATTCTGACTGAAAAAAAGCATCTGGCTTTGGTTCCGTACAGGTGGCCCACTGGTGGGAGGTGCTATTGTTCTTGGCCTGAATCAGTACGTTCTATCCAACTGATTTGAACAAAGACCCTTGACTTACATAGAAACAGCTCCGGTGATGCACACAGTAAGGGAAAGGTGGGGTCGCAAACTTACCTTATCTTCGTTGCGCTCCAATGTCTCTCTGTACCTGTAGCCTACTGGCTCACTCCACCAAGCAAGGTCCAGCGCACCGATGGCAGCAAGGTCAAGATTGTTCTGCAAGATTCGTGGCGCGACGAAATGAAAGAGCTTTGGAAGGTCTGCAAGCGTAAAGAGGTATGACCTGCATCGCTAAGTCGTGGTATGGGTGACTAACAACCAAAGATTCTCTTGCTTCTGCCTGTCTTCTGGGCCGCATACTTCAATCAGTACAGCGGAAGTACGATTTAAGGCTTCTAATATTTACTTTCCAAACGCTAATTTGTTTCCAGACTTCAAGACCTATTACTTCGGTGTCCGGGCTCGTGCTCTTATGGGTTTCGTCAGTATGTTTACAATGATCATCATATTGGCCAAGAAATCCAAGCTAATAAAGCCGAAGGTTACTTTGCCAGTCTTCTCTCGTCCACCATCATCAGTAGGTTTTTGGATTATCGTGGAATTTCAATCAGAAACAGGATTAAGTACAGGTAAGAAAGGCTCACTCAGAGCAAGCTTTCCACAACTGCATGGAATTTTAACAAAAATTATAGTTTCTTCTACGTGATTGTCGTGCACATAGTTGCCTGGGTGTACGCCTGGGTTATTCAAGAAAAGTACACCAAGAACCCACCAACGCTAGACTGGGCCGACAAGGGCTTTGTGGAGGGTTTCTTCGTCATTCTGCTTTGGGGTGAGTTGAACGACGGATCGCCAGTTTGATGCATTTCTGACTCCATATACCAGAATTCTCCCAGCAAAGCCTCCAAAACTTCCTTTACTATCTCCTCTCCACGATGACCGACAATATTTCCGAACTTTGTAGGTAATTGCTGAAGAACTAAAATTATGCGGATAACTAATACTACAACTTTAGCTCGACTGTCTGGAATTCTCCGAGGCCAGGAGAGTTTCTCACAAGCTGTGTCCTTCGGTATCAACACCCGAAACTGGCACGGTGGAAGGGTGCCACTTGCTGTGAACACAATCCTCCTTGGTGAGTAGCATAATAATACCATTGTGCTTTAATTATACACTGACTCTCTGTTATAGGTCTCGCAGTGTGGCCTACTTGGCTTGTTGTCAAGGATCACGTCCCCATCGAACACGATAATGAGGCTGCCCAGTACCCACAAGGACAGGATGAGGAGCATACAAAAGCCAGCATCTCTGTTAAAGAACCATTTGTGGTTGAGGAAACGACCGCCACAAAATGATTGGGCTATTGGAACGCCTCTAAAGCGAAGACCTAATTTACCAGCCGGGATTACATCTCCACGTAGCTTATCCGGGCTTTGAACAAAATTCAATAGATTCATGAATAGACGATTTGATTGTGACTGCAGTATCTCGTGATTCAACATTTCTCTCTAAGTAGCGCTGTTTTCGCCATCTTCGCGTAGCTTCCGTTCCGCTCGACTTTCGCTTGTCGGATCGAGATAAGCTAGACCCAATAAGGGTGTTAGTATAGATTTATGTGCTGTAGTCAAGTCAGATGAATCAGAATGCTCACGTCTTTCGCCAAAAACCGTAGTTCGGATACCTCGCCGGAGCCCTTTGTAAGTGCCAGGGATGACTCGATGAAGCGTACACCTAAGGGCGCATAAGTATGTCGCCGTGAAGAGAACTTGTTTTAAATACCGATTGTCCCACATAGCAACGCTCCCAACGGCCCATTTCCAGCGAACGTAGTGGTCGTCAGCCGAGTGGATGTGATACGCTAAGAAATCGAGAATCTTGTCTGGGGAATCGTCAGTTTGTGGTCCTTTAGCTTTAATAGACCTTGCATACCAGACTCCAGTTTTTTAAGTTCTGCAAAGCCAGTCACGAATCCAGGGTTGACATTAAGGGCTTTGAGCTTCGTGACTGGATGCGTCCGGACAGCCGGGTGATGTGTATCAATTGGAGGGCGGTTTGGACCCGCGCCCCATAAGTCAAGAATGGTATCATCTTAGCAATCAATTAGCTCAAATTGACCTACAATAAATATTTCGAGCAATGACTCACATTGCAGCCTTGAAGTATGCACGGCGTGCAGACCATCAAGGAACTTCTTGTATGCATTGCTCAAAGCGTCGTACAGACCATATTGGGATACCTATGGGTCCGGAGGTCAGTATTGAAGATCGCTTAGCCGGTTTTATTGATGACTACCCAGGCTGTGTCGCCTCCAACTTCGGGGTGCTCTTCCATTCTCAAAAGAGAGTAGGATGGGGCTACAATTGATTAGATGTTGTCCTTGAACGTAAGGTTTCATACTTACGGTTGATCTCAAATGAGGTGTCGGCATGGAAGTCTCCACTTGGCTGCACATTATAAGGTTTCTATTAAGTATGAAATTAAAAGGGATAGTAGAGTATCATACCCAGGGTGTGTAGCTTAGAATTTCCCGATGATCTTCACGGCTACCTTGAATGTTCACAAACTTCGAGCCAGATTAGCATGGCCAGAGTACAGCCGTTGCCGGGAAGGGTTAGGGGGTGATGTACTTTTTGATCCTAATGAACATTAGCAAGGCCGAAGCAACATAATGCACAATAGTCTTCCATTTTACCTTCTGAGCTGGGTGTCGATCCAAGATCCCTACATATGCCAATCAACAACTGGAAGTGACCATTACCGAAAGCATCCTCTTACCATAATGCTGAAATAGCTCAACTTGCTTCTCAGTCGTAAGGTCTTGCTCACGGAAAAAGACAACTCCACGCTCATTAACCAGCAACGCCAGTTCATCTAGCTGATCACCAGTCAACTGGGACAACTGCACGTTCTCAAGAACGGTCCCAACTGACTCAGTCAGGTCAACTCGCTTCGCCACGGAGAATAATGATTTCTTTTCTGGATCTGCATATAGCGCCCGGTCCTTGGGCGGGGTAATAGGCTCCCGGGGTGGCTCGGGAGGGTTGTGGTTCTTAATCTTGTCGTTAAAATGCGGATGCAGTGTGATCGGGAAGCCCGAATCGGGAGAAATATGTTTGCGTGCTTCTAGATGAGCCATAATAGCAGACACCAGTGTTCGGTCTCAAGGTTGAGTAAGATGGGTTTTTAAACGTTGTACGCTCTATGTAAAAGTAAGAGCTTCCGGTGCTCTTATAGTCCGCTCAGCTCATAGCCGACCCCGATTGCGTCAAAACGCCATGTAATAAGCTTCCCGACGGTTGCTGTTATATCCAATCAGTCTTGCTGTTCATACCTCCAGACTATGGTATTTCGTCGAGTTCCATGTCGAAGATGTGGGGTACGCTCACGCCATAAACTGCTCAGGAATTCTCTGATACACCCGTCTATTCCATGAAGTTTGTAGCATATATAAATAGACATAACATTCAGCGTGCTGCTACTATTACTATGGTGAACAAAGAGCTGGAAACATTGACCACTCAGAGAAATGGTCTTTCCATGGGCTGGAGTTGAGAGAAAAGTAATTGAATTTGTCTATAGTATATTACATGTACAAATGGCATGGGTTCCCCTTCAGGGGGCAGGACTATCATTGGAAACATCCTTGTCCTGTTTTCCCTTGACAGATAGCCACTCCATCCCAAAGATGCCAAAGATACCAAAGCACGAGAGAGCAACTCCTACATAAAAGGTCTGATCCAGAGCTTTGTTGTAAGCGAATAGCACAGCATCGAGAAGTCCTTCAGGCACTTGAGCCATAAACTCCGTGGCCCCGGCTGCGATAATGGCGCTGGCGTCCACATCTGGCGCGTATTGAGCAACATTCGTCTTGAGCTGGTTGGTGAACACGTTCTGTGCGACTGACACGAATACTGCGCTGGCGAGATTCTCTGTGAAAATAACAACAGCAGTACCAATGGGGATATCCTCCAGTGCCAGGGCAGTTTGGGGTGCAGAAAACGCGGTTTGAAGACCACAGCCCACGCCAGCTCCGAGGAAGACTTGATAGCCAATCCATTCTGCATGACCGGAGTCCACCCTCAATGTGGTGAGTAGACCCGTTCCGAGTGCCATGAATATCACTGTCAAATAGGCCCATTGGACGTAGTACCCAATCACCGAAGTGAGACCCCCAGTCATGAATGAGAAAATGATCGAGCTTACAACAAGTGGGAGACTCATCACCCCCGACTTGATTGGACTAGCTCCCTTTATAGCTTGGAACCAAATTGGGATCTATATTTTCAGTCAGTATATTTCCAAGAGAAACTCCAGGGACAGTACATACGTAGTACAGCATCGTGAAGAACGCAGCACAGATGCAGGACCCAAATAAGGAAGAACCCCAAATATTTCGGTTGCAGAATAGGCGTTTCGGGACGGTCGCAAGTTCTCCAGAGCGAAGCTGGATGAACCCAAAGACCAGAAGTATGGCAAAGGCTACCACAAACAAAGCAATGATGCGACCATTGCTCCAGGAGTATTTGGTCCCACCCCACTGGAGAGCAAGCAGCAAGCATATAATCCCAGGTAGCAGACACAGAGTACCTGGGACATCCATTTGCTTAAGTTGATTCATGAAGCCGAGGTTACCGGCCTTACTCCCTTTGAATGAAGAGACAAAGAACAGGATGACAAGACCGGCAACAAACCCAAGAGGCAGATTGATATAAAAACACCACCTCCAGGTAAGTTTGGCATTGTCGGTAAAAGCGCCTCCAATCAATGGACCAGCGATGGCAGAAAACCCATACATAGAGCCAAGTGCTCCGATCAGAGCAGGTCGCTGGCGCGGAGGCACCGAGTAAGCAATCAAAAGGAATGAGCCATTAGTAACACCACTGCCACCAATGCCGGCAATGGCTCGTCCGACTATCAGGGCTGTGGAGGTGGGGGCAACACCGCATATCAACGAGCCAAGCTCAAATATAAACAGCGATGCAAGATAGATCCATTTAATCGTGTAGAACGTGAAGAGCTTTCCCCACATCAACTGAAAGGCACAGACTGTGAGCATGTAGGCACTTGCATACCAGCCTACATCCTCGAGAGCGTGAAAATCATCGGTGATCTTGGGAATGGCGCTGGAGATGATTGTGTTGTCTAGACCCACTAGAAACATGCACAAGCTCAAGCTGAGGACGATGAAGATGAGCTTGACTTTGCTAGGGTACTGTTGTTCATCTGCATCATTGGAAGTTTCAATGTCTTCGATTGATGTCTTTTCACCTTTTTCATCATTTTGGTTGTTTGGTTTAATTGTCTGTGGAAGATCTTGCGTAGAGGGATCATTGAGGCTTTCGTCAGTGGATAGGGGGCTCTTCATGACCTAAAGCGCTGAAACAGAAACAGTAAAGATTTAGCGATGAGGCTTTGCTCGGTTGTATGGAGTGCACTGAACATAGTGACAGAAGAAACGGCCAAGCCCATCAAGCTTTATATCAAAATCTTCAAGGTCGAAGAGACCTGTACAAACCTCGAAATGACCCCTTGTTGCGCCAAGACATGAGTCATGTTTACTCAACATGAGCACCTTCAACCTCATAGCGATTCATTATTGTCATGTTCAACCATCAACGATTTGAAATGCCATTCAGTGTCGAATTGGAATCACTTGACAGTTGTCCTAGTATTCCCCTCGCAGTCCATCCACAGGTATAACTCCGCGAATAACTCCCCGATGGCTTCAACCATATCTAAAGAAATTTGTAGATCAAATCGACCGTGACTTCATAGAAAATAATGGAATTTCCCACCAGTACAATGTTGTTTGTACAAAAAGTCCACCGCTGGACTCCAAATCCCCACCTTTGCTCGATCCACTTTGGCCCCGCGGAAATCCCCGGCACATCTTTCATCTTTCGTATTTCATTGTCAACCCTGCGAAAGGACTGGAGATTGGAAGCCGATTAAAAATTGAGCCAAGAATCTTGGTATCAGGTATCTCACTCACGATCGTGTCGCTAATTAATCGGTTGGGTGAATCAACCCAACTTTGACGCATATTATTCGAACCTTCGCCGAGGGAAAGCAACCGCGGGGATTCCGATAAAGACAAAGAGCATGGAAAGTGGCGAGGAGCGACCGTATCGCTCTCACACGAAACCGGCATGCATTCCCTGCCGGCGCAGAAAGTCGCGATGCAAGATTGAGCCCCACACCGAGGCATGTTTGATGTGTCGTGCCCACGGAACAGATTGTACATTCCCGAACGGGCGAGCAAAGGCGACACCCCAAAAGAGGCATTCCGCAGAGACTGCGCCGCTACGTCCACCCCCGCTCTGCGGACACCAGTTGCGGCTCATCTTTTGCATGAATCTCTTATGGCGCCGTCGCCACAATCCTCGACTCATACACAGGCCCAGAATGACCAGGATACACCACTGTCTCTCGAGGCTGATGATGATAACCCGCATATTCTTGGCCCGGCCGTGACCGGGGACAACCATGTTCTGGCGGACTATCTATCAAATATCTCGGGCGGCCAGGGTATACGTGAGATAAGGCCTGTTCAGCCTGGCAGTTCCTCCTCGCCCGTTATATTCACGAAAGTGCAAAAAAGGCCAGTCGGTCTTATGGTCAATTCTAGCCCGGCGCTACAGAAACTTCAGACCATCGAAAAGCTTGTTGAGCCGTGGGGACCCCACCTGATTGAGCTGTGAGGCAAGCCCATAACTATTACCAACTTGTTCGGAACATAAAACTGACAACAATACGCAGATATTTGAGGAAGGCCAATCCCTGTCTCCCACTACTCGATGAAAGCTCATTTCGAGCCCAGTATATAAATGCCAGACATCGCATCTCCCCTGCATTGCTTGCCAATTTATACGCTCATTCACTGACCTTTTGGCAACATGACCCTGTTCTAGCACGAGAGAGGTGTCCAGATGCTCGCTTCGTATGGAACCTCGCCATTGAGGCTTCATACTCCGAGCTACACGCGTCGGCTGGTATATCGACCGTCAAAGCTCTTTTACTGGACGTAGGAGGCCGACCGACTACGTCAATGACTGGCAACGGCGTTAGACTTAGCTCGGCTATTTCTTTGTGCCATTCGCTTGGGTTAAATCGGAACCCGCTTCCATGGGATATACCGCAGGCGGAGAAGCATCTGAGAATGAAGATCTGGTGGTCTATCTTGCTTCATGATCGCTGGTACGTTATGAACCGTGAGGTATCCGAATATTGCGAATCCCAAATTTAAATGCTTTGCAGGTCAAGTCTTGCTTATGGTACACCACCCCATATAAGACGTGCACAGTATGATGTACCGCTACCGATACCAGAATACCTATCCGACTGGGAGCAATACCATGAAGCAAACTCTGTTTTCATTGAGCTCATGAATCTGACCGATGTACTCGATCACTGCCTGGAGCACGTGTACAACATTCGTATTGAGACTCAAGGGCCGACACGAAACCTTGACTTAGATCTGAATAAGTGGGTGGATTCACTCACAGGGGATATTCGGAAGATTATAATCCGCGGGTCAAATCTCGACATTCCTGGTGCTTCCAACCTCCGCTTAGCATACTTGGCCACGAGGCTCTTGTTGAGGCGGATAGAACTCGATAGGGAGAGACAATCACAAGAGCCTAAACCAGAGCAAATGGCAAATCGGATTATGGAAGCCCGCAGGACAGCAGAAGACATAGTAGTGCTGGTACAGGAACTCGGCGAGGCACAACTTGGTGACTTTTGGCTTCCAGTTGTGGCTTTCACTTTCTCTTCAACAGTCACGTTCCTGATTCGATGTGCGTTGGAGACAGAGCAGGTGGCTGGTCTTTGTTACAGTGCATCTCTGAGAATGGCCAGTGACTTTTTAGATTCCCTGCGATCACACCAGAAGCGCTTTGGGTGGGATTTGGCCGATATTTGCTTAGCACAGCATTCGGAGGTGATTCAAAAGTTGTTGAGCTCTGCCCCATTGATTCAGAACTCTGATGGCACAGATGTTGAGTTGCGCCAACCTTTCATGCCAGATATGGCCTTTGTGGACGAAATGTTCCCAAGTATCTGGGACACACTACAAAGTATTTAATCGAGTTTTATTCGAATTCGCATGTGAATAAACTCTAGTTTCACTTATTTGCACGGTCCATTCCGGCAAAGGTCCACCGCGGCTGAATACTATGATAGGGCATCCGTTGGCCGCGGCTCCGCGGCGAAAGCAAGGCCGATGAGGAGAAAGTACCAAATATGCTATTGATTAACTGGACGATCGATAGATGATGAAAGCTACAGTTAGTCAATAAGACGCCCAGAAACCCGCCATTCTAAATCCATCACCATATCAGAGGTGGTATTCAAACACTATCACATCCCAGTCAGCAGCTTCAACCTACATCATGGCACTCGGCATTAGAGAGCAAGTCCCAATCATGCCTAAAACCAATGACGACAATCCTCGTTTATACAGCGATGTCAATCAAGACGAACTACAAGCCAAGAGCTCGAAATACCTTCTCAACTATGGGACCAAGTTCAACAAGGATGTGATATGCGGCAGCAAAGGTTTATACGTGTATACAGCCTCAGGACATAAAGTGCTCGACTTCACATCCGGGCAAATGTCATGTCTGCTGGGCCACGGGCACCCAGAGATTGTAAAGACGATCGCAGACCATGCCGCATCTCTGGACCACCTGTTCTCCGGTATGGTCTCACCACCGGTGATCAGTCTAGGCGAACGACTCTGCAATCTTCTTCCCGCCGGGCTCGACAAGGCATTCTTCCTGTCCACTGGGGGAGAAAGCAACGAGGCCGCCATCAAAATGGTCAAGGTGTACACAGGCAAATTCGAAGTAGTCGGATTAGGCGCCAGCTGGCACGGCGTGACTGCGCAAGCGCTAGGTGCCCAATATCACTTCGGTCGCAAGGGCCAGGGACCGCTAATGCCGGGCATGTTGATGCTCCCACCCCCCAACGCATACCGGTCTATCTTTCGCCGACCAGACGGATCATACGACTGGGAAGCCGAGATGGAGTATGGCTGGCGTATGATTGACATGCAGTCATGCGGCTCGTTGGCCGCCTGTATAGTGGAATGCATCCAGTCGTCTGGAGGAATGCACGTCCTTCCACCTGGCTATCTTGCTGCTCTCAAAAGGGAGTGCGAAAAGCGCGGAATGCTTTTGATTGTCGACGAGGCGCAAACGGGTGTCGGTCGCTGCGGAGACCTGATGGCTATCAATCATGAAAATGTCGTGCCTGATATTCTGACACTCAGCAAAACGCTTGGCAATGGATTACCGCTCAGTGCGGTTGTAACGAATGCGGAAATCGAGCGCGTGTGCGCTGAAAGAGACTATTGCTTTTACACGACCCATGTGAACGATCCACTTCCCGCTGCTGTTGGCGACAAAGTGCTTGAGATTGTGGTTCGCGATGGGCTAGTTGCTCACTCGCGTGCGATGGGCAAAATCCTCCATAACAAATTAAACGCCTTGAAAGAAAAGTATGGTTGTATTGGCGACGTGCGTGGGCGTGGTCTCATGGCTGGCATTGAGATTGTTGAGAATCGCGAAACCAAGACCCCTGCGTTGGCTTTGGGCAAGGAAATTGGTGATCGGGCCTATGAATTAGGCTTGTGGGCCAATCTCAGTAGCCATCCCAGCTTTGGGGGTGCCTTTCGCATTGCCCCGCCAATCACTATTACGGAGCACGAGCTACGGAGTGGCTTGTTAATATTGGAAGAGGCTTTTGCGACGACGCCTGGTACGATGGCTAAGTGATTGTGAGTGGCCCGGTTGGAAATTTCTGCTGCAAAATGTCTTGAAATTTCAATAGTTTGACCACAGTATCTTGGAAATCAATAGTCACGGAATGTGTGAAACTTCCTGGAGACGACATTGTAGATCGGGGTTATATCGGAACATTGCATCACTCAACTCTGATAACTCCACTGTGTCGATATGAGATCATTTTGCAATATAAAAAGATATCAAACTCTGCATCTTTTCGATCGCATGTGATCGAGGGAATCTGTTTCGCCATCAAATGTTTCAATTGCCTACACGATCCAGACTCTATGGTGGAGCGATTACTAGGTTTGAACATTTTGGGTTGAGCTCCACTATGCACTGTGTTACTATTGGTTGAACTGTAATTGCGATCATCTTATTAGCCACCTATGCTAGTAGGCCATTTTGGACTCACCCGGATAGTGGAGTCGGAACAGACTTTTGGTTGGCTTTAAATCTCTGGTTGTGCGCATGGCAACCAAGCGGCCAGGTCATAGAATCATAACATCAATTTCTTTTACTACGCACGGAGTACTCCGTATGAGATACCGCGCATTCGAGCCGATACACTGTTGTGGAGAGGTTGCCTCGTGTACCATGTCGCGCTTTGGAGGTTGCATGACGTATTTCATGCAATATTAGCACAGGTACCATGTTGAAAATCTCAATCTTAAAATGTCTCAAAGACAACTCAGGAACAAAAGTGGAAACCATGGAAATGGAGCGGATACAAAGATCAGTTCCAAGAAAAAAGTTGAAGAAGTGTTGTGAAGCGATAGGACCCAGGATCTTATTTGCAGGGTCTTGCTCCCACTGATCCACCGATCTAACGCATTTCAGACTAAGGCGTGGCTTATCAGAAGATTCATTGCGCGTAAAATAAGTAATTGTAAAATCGCACAAGCTTTTCAAGGTTCGCTGTCTACTCCACCAGGGTTAGCCTGTTTATTCCTTAATCTGTTAGCCTTTAATACATTCGCGATCCACCATTTGACCATGTCAACTCTGGACGTCTCTCCTTGTCGAGTAACGCCATTATGCAAGGCTTGTCTGTTACCCAGATCTTAGGAGCAACCCTTGCGCTAAGCGGCTTTGCGAGCGCATTGTCACCGCGCACCGAAATTAACGATTCTTATGACTTTGTGATCGTGGGCGGAGGTCAGGCCGGTCTTGTGCTGGGCGCTCGCCTTTCTGAGGAATCAAACCACACCGTGCTGGTTCTCGAGTCAGGCGGAAACGGAGACGAGTATCGAACGCGCATAGGTACGCGATTCTTACTCATTGTCGCGGACTTTTCACTTCTAACAAAGGAACAGATACTCCTGCATACGCATACTTTGATTCATTATGGACAACTCCGTTGAATTGGGCATTTTACACTGTCGCTCAACCTAATGCAGATGACCGTGAGATCTTTTGGCCTCGTGGAAAGGTTCTTGGAGGTTCGTCTCTTTCGAATTCATCAAAGACACCGGGAAACCAAACTAACACTGGAATATAGGAAGTTCCGCCATCAACGGGTTGTACATGACCCGTCCAGGCAAGGATGAGATCGAAGCTTGGAAAGGCATGCTCGGAGACATGGATGGAGCCGACAACTGGTCCTGGGACTCGTTCTACGCTGCTCTGAAAAAGAGCGAGACATTCACTCCTCCCAGCGATGCTATCGCTACACAGGGCGGCATCACATGGAACTCATCAAATCATGGCACCAATGGTCCGATTCACTCATCTTATCCTGACTAGTACGCTCAATCTTGCATTTTGATACCGTGATAAAACTAACTCTTCCAAGCACATTTGATCAAGTGGGCGATTGGTCAACATCTCTGCAGAGCATTGGAATTGACATCTCTGGCAACATGTATGGTGGAGACAACTGGGGTGCTGAAGTCTCAACCTCCTGTATCAATCCTTCAAACTGGACCCGCTCGTACAGTCGGACCGGATATCTTGACCCGCTTCCCGATCGGACCAACTATGATGTGTTGGCTAATGCCCATGTCACTCGGCTGATTTTCGATAACTCGACCGCTTCCACCAACCTGACGGCTAGCGGCGTTGAGTACACATCTAACAACGGAACGACCAAGTCCACAGTAAAGGTTAAAAAAGAAGTTATTCTCGCCGGTGGAAGTATCGGTAGCCCGGCTGTTCTGCTTTACAGCGGTGTGGGCCCCAAGGATGTGCTTTCTGACGCTGGTGTTGATCTTGTCTCTGAACTCCCGGGCGTTGGTCAGCACCTTCAGGATCACTTTGTGAGTACACCCACACATATTCACGTTGTAGTAACAACGTAACTAATTGAAACAGAGCGCTACTGTGAAATGGAGCACCAATGTGGACACTGCAGGGTCTATATGGTATGATGATGGTGCTGACAAGAACAACTCCAAATATCTCACGTATATCGACGATGCTGTCGCCTATGTGAACGCTACTGCGCTCTATGGTAGCAAGGTTGACGAGTACGAGAAAAAATTCCTTGGTCAGATCGACCAGTACTCGCCGAACACAACATATGATGACGGAGTTATCGCCGGCTACAAGGCAATTTGCAACACGACGGCGTCCAAGATCTTTACCAGTCCTATTGGACAAATTGAGCTTTTGTTTATGAACAGTGACGCAAATGGCGATGTCGGTATTACTGCTGCACTTCAGCACCCGTTCAGTCATGGTCGAATCTACATCAACTCCTCAAACCCGATGGACTACCCCGTAATCGACCCCAATTATTTCGCCAACCCAGCTGGTATGTTTACGTGAACAATAAACAACTTATCCCCACGAAATTGACTTTCTTCCAGATTACGAGATCCTCCTCGAGGGAATCAAGATGGCCCGCTTACTAGGCCAAACCAGCCCAATGAGCAACAATCTCACAAACGAGACCTCGCCGGGTTCATCGGTCCAGACCGACGACGAATGGATCCAGTGGCTGCGTGAAGAATCAAGCACTGAGTTCCACCCGTCTTCATCCTGCGCAATGCTGCCCAAAGACCAAGGTGGTGTGGTGGACGCTAACCTTCGCGTCTACGGTCTTGCAAACGTGCGTGTTGCAGACGCCAGTATCATCCCTATCGCCCTGTCGACTCATCTGATGTCCTCAACCTACGGTGTCGCCGAGCAAGCGAGCAAAATCATTCTCGAGTATTATAATCCATCGACGTCGACTGTTCCCGCTTTCAGCGCGTCGAATATCACATCTGCCACTGCAGCTACTTCGACGAAGAAGGGCAGTGACAAGAAAAATGACAGCATTAAGGGTATCGGAAGGGCATTTTCGCACATGTGGATCTCTTTTGCGCTCGTGTCTTTACATGTTGGAGTAGTCTTCAACGTTCTTCTCTAGGTTTTTCTGGGTCATTGTGGTTAATTTCTCTCGATGCTGGTTATAACCGGCCTTAGCATTACATAGTTATGTACCTATTTAGCGACTTTAATTTAGGTTTAGATTATTGAATGGCTAGAAATGTTGTATATATGATTGTGGAATGTTCAAAGTTTCAACGAATTTCCGTGGCAAATAAAGGATTAGATCTACTCGTGTATGTTCTCAAACTTTGTTCTCAAATTCTACGAACGCCCTCGAGGCCCAAGAGAAAGTTATACGTTGTTGGCTTGGGCCGGACATTCCAAAGACCGTGTCCCTCCTCCCGCGGTGTTAATATAGTCCGCAAAGGGCTCGGAGCCGACGAGGTTCCAGACTTAACCTATAGACACACTTGACAGATCTACCTCGCTTAAAGACACTAGAAAGTGCCGGCTCTTTAGCTATCTAATAATCTCCGGCTTTTGCTACCCTGGATTCGACCCATTCAAACGCGGGGGAAATCTGGGGATCGCGAGCGAGTCCCGGAGTACATGTTGCGGATTAGTAGAGCTCAAGTCTTGGAATCTTGGCGATTCTTCTTCTCTCCATTTTCACCACGAACTTCGGCATTTCTCAAGCCTACCTCATGAAGCAAGAGCAGAATGAGACGGACTCTCTTCATCCGCTTTGCCTGGCCTGTATTGGGTATGAATGGCCTTGGCCTATGGCGCGTTAGTTGCATGTCACCACCGGCTCTTCTCTGTCTTTCACGTATCGGGTGAATGTATCGCCACTGTTTATTGCCATATCCTTGCTATTCATACACACTTCCCTGGTCGAGTTATCAAGATAGGTTCCCCAGCTCAGAGCTATGGCAATCTTTTCAAAAACCACGAAGGCACCTTCAGCCCCCACCTTAAATAAAAGCCCAGCAATTCTCACGTTGGATACGTTGACTTCCTCAGAGTGGTTGACCAGAAAGCCCAGGGGGATTATGCTGGGGATACAGCCAAGGTCGACCCTGCGGAAATCAAACTCGTGCGCAAATTGGACGTCAGAATCATGCCCATTCTGTGGGCAATGTACTTCCTGAACTGTGTAAGTCTATCTTCCAAATGAATTGCCCACAGATCTAATGCAAATTGAACCAATATTGACCGCAATGCCATTGCCAATGCACGACTCAACAATCTCGAGGAGGGTCTTGGTCTTGTTGGAACACAGTACACACTTGCATCTCGATCTTGTTTGTTGGGTATGACGATTCGATTTTTATCCCCAATGCAGAAATCACAAAGGGCCAACCTGGTTTGGTCACGCGATGGCGGACCCCAGAAAACACGCCAAATTACTCATGATCGCATCCAAAGGGACATGGTCGATGGGCAAGGAAAAGCTGGAGCTCCAACAGCCGGGGAATCGCTCGTATAGTGTCAGCTCGAACGGATCGAAAACCACGAGATAAGGCGGGAAGATGGCGCAAGGCGGGTGAGCGGCAATATTGAGGTGCTCAATCAATAGACCTGTGAGTGAGAAAGTCCATTTCTGACGTAATGACCACGAACTGTGAGTCGTTTGAGTTTCTTTAATAATTCTGGAGTATTTCGCTAACAAATCTTCCACAACCCACTGAAATCGTAATCCATGCCGCATGCTTGCCAAGCATCTAGACCGAACGTGGAAAAGCCCACAATTAAACCGTCTTCGAGATATCACGTACACCTAGGGGTGGATTCAAGATAATTAATAAATATCAAAACAAATTATACAAATAACCTTGGAAGTGGGTGCAAAGCTGGGGAACTTCACCCAACTTATAATGACGATATATTCAGATCTACATGCTATGTGGTTTTAACGCAGCTCCCCAGAACAACAAGTTTGCTCATGCACTATATGGCTCATATTAGGTTCTTAACACCGGTCAAGCCTAATCAGCCTATTTCTCCACTTCCAAGTCTCGTGCAATTGCCTGAGGCGTCCTCCAATTTTTGCCCACAAGCAAAGCAGGATGCAGACCCGTCAAGCAAATACACGCAATTGATACCATAGCTCCTTCGAGTATCATCAATGCTACCTCGTTGTTGGCCAGTTTACTGTGGAAACCACCCTCCAGCTCAGCTACTCGGAATGCAGATCGAATCAATATAGTTAGAACGGCAGAAGCCAAACCTGATATTCAGCCTTGAGTCAGTCAAGTACACATACAAACAGATTCTGAGGCGATATACATACCAAGCAAGAATGATCTCCGCATCCAGCTTGACCGCCGTTCCTGAGTGGGAGAATGCAGACGTCTTCCTCGCAGAACTCGAACTCCATATTCAATTGCCAGCACAGAGAAAACAACCAAGGATGCAACTTGAAAGACCAGTCCAGCGATCATGATGTTGACACCAGTATCGCGAAGTGACTGTTCATCGGCAATTGAAGTGACAGCTCCACCGGCCGCTTGCAGGACAAGAGAAATCAGATCACAGGTCACAAACAAGTATGTATACGTTCTCGGTTTCAAGCGCGAGAATTCCTCGCCATAAACGGTAATAACACGGCCAAGACATAGGTAGATGCCAGCTGTGAAAAATGCCGGGGCAATAGTGAGACATATCAAATAACTTAAGTATCATGCTACGATCAGTACGGTTCGATCATGTGGTAGTCTCAGCAACTTACATCAAAAAGGCGTCAAAGCTGAATGGTTTATTGTGTAGAAGGATTCGGCCCAAATATCCCAAAACCTCCAATATAAGACCGGCGACCATTGGCAACATGAAACTCCAAGATCTATACATAACTCCCGCACCGATCTGCCCGATAAGTAGAATAGCGAAAAGAGCAAGGTAAAAGATGTTACCGGCCATGTTGGGCCGATACTCGACGTAAGCATCACTCAATGGACATGTTTGCAAAGTGCAATTGTCTGTATCGGACATTATGGCTATTAGAAGGAAGACTGAAGTAGAATGAATGATTTTTGAAATGAAAGATTGTTGTTGCTGAATTGGATTGATGTAAGCCGATTAATGATAGATTCGTCACTATTTATGTACAGACCCAAAATATTCACCGCTGCCTATCCGTAATTAGTAGTCATTGCGAGGCTGTGTTGGTATTTTTAAAACTTGGAATTGAAGTAATCTCACTCCCAGATCCTTTGATCTTGTAGTCAAAACCAATGATCAACCTCTGCCACAAAATCGATACGATATAGTGGATCTGCAATGTAAGCCGCTGCCTGATGGAAACTTATGCCAAGACTTGGAACTTCCGTCTCCATGTCCGTGTCCGTGTCCTTGTCCTTATCCTCTTCAACTCCCATCTCCTTGTCCTTTTGCACTCTTCAATAACAACAAAGCAGGCTATACTGAATTTGGACAATGGCATCTACGTTGGGCCACATTAGAACTTGTCAAAATTGCGCTCGCGGCAAAATCCGATGTATCCGAGCTCCGGATTCTTCTATCTGCGATCGGTAAGTTATCAAAGTCAATCCTCAACTTTTGTACACATATATAACCGTATGCTAACCTAAGCTGTTAGGTGTCGCCGTCTTGATAAGGAGTGCTATTTTCGGCCCGCTCGGTCTCGCTATAATCCTGCCAAAAAGGGAACGTAAGGCGCCCACATTCCATCTGATTCGTGGCAGTGAACATAAGCTAAATGAACCTTAACAAATCAGACGAGTCGAGGCTCTCGAAGCAAAAGTGGATCAGCTTCTAGCAAGAGTTGTCAATCAACATATTCAACCCCAGCTTGATGTTCCTACAACTCTGCCTCATCCAGAGCGTGATTCTTTCCAAGATAAACACCAAGATGTTATTGCTCGCGGGGTTGTCTCGTACGATGACGCCCTGAAGCTTCTTGAATCATTTAGGCAAAATCTGATGCCATGTTTTCCATTTGTCATTATCGCACCGGAAGTGACGCTAACTCAACTACGAACGGAGAAGCCGTTTCTGTTGCTGGCTATTCTCAAGGCCTCGTCATACAAGGATGTAGCTGCTCAACAGATTTTGGAAGAGACTTTCCAAAGAGCGGTTGCTGACCAAATGATCTTCGCCCATAATCCATCTATGGACGTATTGTTGGGACTTCTTGTGGCTTTAGCTTGGTGAGTCCGGTTTATGGTGGCTTTATTGAAGATGACACTGCTGATTCCAAGCCTCAATACCACAGGTTGCAGCATGAGACTCAGCATGAGAGATTTTCCAGCTACCTTCACTTGGCTTGGAGTATCGTTGGAGATTTGCGGCTTGATCGAGTCTCCGAAACCCATTGCTCCTATTCTCGGATGGCCATGAGCAAGCTCTCGTCAGTTCAAAACAGCAACAGACATTCTGTGAATGAGAGAAGGAGGGCTCTGGTTGGATGTTACGTGCTTTCTTCATGGTCAGTGATAATATCCTTGTTCCCCATATTTTACTGACCAATTATGGGTGTGTACAGTCGCTCGACAATATTGCAAAAGGATCGCATGATGACTCGGTTATCATATGTTGAAAAGCATGCACTTGAATTACTGTCGAATGCCGAGCTTGCTAGTGATCGCTACTTGATCCACTTAGTAAGATTGCAACAGATCTTTGAACGGATCGATGACGCTGTGGTCACTGCTGCGAACTCAGTACGAGAGGCCGATATGCATGCGTTTCAGGCCGAGATCGACGAGTACAGAACGACTTTGCCCGCAACTTTCTCGGAAAATTGTAAGTGATGTCGGCCATCAGTCAGATCGATGAGGCTGCAATTGAGTCTAACGTCCACGATATAGCACTTCTACAATTTCAGCTACACACCCTACAGCTATTTCTCTGCCAGGCTTGTTTATTTGAAAAACATGAAACAGCCACATTTTTCCCCGGTTCTCGCCACTATATGGACGCCGGGCTTCCACCACATCTCCAAAGTGGTCACCAACCATTAGATTTATCACCTTTCCAGGTCGAATTTCTCAATCGTGGCATGACCGAAGCAAAGAAATTCTTCGATTACCTGCTCAGATTTGCTCCGGATACTTATCGACTGATAAGTCATACCCAATGGCTTCAAACTGGCTTCAATCTGGTTCTGGGTTGCAAACTTGCCGTGACGGGGGCGAAATATGCCCCGCGAAGTCCACATGTTCTTGCACTATGCTCGGCTCTCAACATGCCGCAAGTTCTGCGGGCCGTATTAAAGCGCATCCAATGGCTCAGCAAGGAGAGATTGACTACAGATGGGAAGCAACACTCCAAATACTTCTACGAGGCATGGCTGTGGCATATTCTTGAATGGTTCGAGCAAAAATATCATCTGGTACCCTTGGAAGATACGACTCAGGTGCCTACAGGATTGTCCGATAGTCGTCTCAGTTCGTCCGTTTACAATGGCCCATCCGCGCAGAATGTACCGCCGACAGGCGAAGATTATGACGCCACACAAGGGGCACAGGCAGATGACACTGGTCTATGGCCGGACTTCCTCTGGAACATAAGCACGGATGACATACTTAATGGGTACATGGGGTTTCTGGATATGCCCTATCCCACGTTACAGTCTGGAGATGAGATGTCACTACCATGACAACAAAAAAGGACACGCGATATATGAATTCACAAAGCCAAAATAAAGACACTAGGAGCTCCACTCCGAATAGGCATCACTTCGGTCAAAGATCTGTTGCTGTTCATACAAATAACCCAAGCTCAACAGGAGCCGATTTGATTTGGTCTTCTTGGATCTCACGGAGCAACGCATTGTTAGGATAGTCCTCCAGATCCAGGTCCATGTATCCGCTGGAAGCCCATTTCCTTCCTGAGACGAAGAAGGAATGCCCATTGATATTTCTGTCGCTGAGAATTCTCAACAGACATTGAGCGGCATCTTCTGCCTGTGCAAATTGTACCCCGACACTGGAAACATGCATGAAAGCATCGTTTGATAGAATGTTTGTTTTCACATACCTTATGACTTGATCAGCAGTTGTACAAGGAGTGATGAAATTGCGGTGCTCACCATGGGGAGATGACGTTGACCCGACTGCCATAGAAGAAAGCTGTTCTTCTCAATGAATGCATAATTCCACGCATGGCCCACTTGCTCGCACAATATTGAGGCGCCCGCGGACAATCCAAAAAGGCTGCTCCTGATCCAATCAAAGTCAAGGACGTATCCTTTTGCTCGGGTGAATTTTGCGTGCCATTTTGCCGGATGAAATAGTGCGCGGCTAATTTGGCGGTATACAAAGTACCTCTGATGTTGACATCAACAACGCTCAAGTCAGGTTTTTTCGGCTCCTGGTGATCTCCAGAATACGAAAAAACATCATCGGGGCGATGAATGCCGGCGTTTGCGATGACGTGCGAGATCGTTTGTGTTTCGGAAAAAAGTATAGCCTCTTGGAAAAGCTGGAGCTGATCATCCCAATTGGTGATATCGCAGGAGATAAACTTGACCCTTTGAAATAGACTATGAGCAAGATCAAGCGTAATGATTAGCAGAGACATGCCCTTACCCATCAAGCTCTTCTTCTAACTTCCTTCCCTTCTCTTCATCGGAATCACCAATGCAAACTCTGGCTCTGATTATTTGGTCAATCATTCTTTCTATCAATTATGTCATCCTTGATACATACCCTGCAGTAACCAAAGCACGAACATAGGCTTCGCCTAGGCCATTGGCGCCTATTTTCTTGTGAGTGTTTTGGAAAAATGAACATGAATCGGTCGCCATACCTCCTGTAACGATTGCGGTCTTCCCCTTGAGTAAATCCACGTCAAATGGCTCGATGCAATTAACAGGCCCATTGTGTGTATATCCCTGCATCCTTTCTGCGGGTGCTTGTATGCGCACTTTGTTGAGATAATAATGTAATATTGATTTCGAAGCTCACGGAAGGAAATGCAAAACCAGAGAGGGCTTTTAATAGTCTGATTTAACAACAGATAATTATGCATCATCTATCAATTTGGCTACCTTCGAGCCTGAAATTGCTTTGTCACACATCCTGCAATCCATGCAAGTTGCTTACATCTGAACCAGGGGTTCGACACCTGGGCATTTGGCATTTTGGACCCACATTGTCATCAAGACAACCAACAAGGAAGTTCAATCGCCGATCTTGATAACCTCCCGCAGAACGTTTGGCTGCTAGTCACTTCGGGTTAGGAGGCGTCAGCGTCTTGCAGTTCCCCATACTTGGCTAATAAATGGGCGTCATCCTTATTTCTTCTGGCATTCAATGGAAGCTTTCCTCTACCCCAACGGCTATCACAAGACGCATTCTGCTCGCTTTTGCTTATATTTCTTCGCCATGCTACATCGCAAATCAGGGATACAGCAGGCAGAAGCCGGTTTTGTTCTATGCCACTATGCTTTGACATAAGTAAGGTTATAAAGAGGATTCATCATGCCAAGTGCCAAGGTGAGAGACTTGTGGGTATTCATATCTTGGTGACGCAAAAGAGCTTACTGACTTCAAGATGGTATCTAGGTAATCTCCGTCGGAGTTAATCCAAGGCATATAAAGAAGCAGCTCGCCATACTCCCTCCTGGAGTCCTTAGAGCACGATCAGCCAAAGATTTATCCTGTGATCTCTTTCCATCCATCAATTATGGCATTGAACAATTTGACCGCTATCAACGCAACAATGCGAGCCGTTGTTTGGCAGGGCAATCCCTATAATGTTGCGGTCGTCGATTTGCCAATGCCTACAATTATCAACCAAACCGATGCGATAGTTCAAATGTCCAGAGCCGCAATCTGCGGCTCGGACCTGCACATCTATCGAGGAACAAACGAGGGCATGCCAGCCCCATTTGGACTTGGTCACGAGGGAGTAGGCTATGTATCCCAAGTTGGGGCTGGTGTTGGCTCCCTGAAAGTCGGAGACCCAGTCATCGTTCCCTTCACTGTTGACGAAGGACACCTGCACGCGGATCTTACCTCCCAGATGTATGCTGGGTACGGTAATGGTGGTGATATAGGTGGAACACAGGGTGAGTGATGATGATGCCTGATGCTTGGAATAAATTCGATATTGACTTACACGTCTTCTCCAAGCCGAATACCTGCGAGTTCCCTTCGCCGATAACGGTCTGATTCCAATTCCTTCTCTGGAATATACCAATCCGACCACCAACGAATCCGTCTCTCTGATAAACGACTATGTTATGCTGTCTGACATATTCGCTACCGGTTGGGCGTCACTCGATTACGCCGGTTTCCAACCCGGCGATACCGTTGCCGTGTTTGGCGCCGGGCCTGTAGGCCTAATGGCCGCATACTCTGCCATCCTGCGAGGCGCATCAAACGTCTACAGCGTGGACTACGTGGACGATCGACTGCAACTCGCCGAATCTATTGGAGCGATTCCAATCAATTTCCAAGATGCCGACCCTGTAGATCAGATACTAGCACGCGAGCCGGATGGCGTTGCCAGAAGCGTCGATGCAGTTGGGTATGAACAGGTCAATAGAAACTTGACTGTGCAATCGGATGTCATCATACGCAACATGCTCGCTGTGACATCTACGGGCGGTGGCATGGGAACTGTCGGGGTTTATAACCATGAATCGAACAATACGGCAACTGCACCGCGCGCTGCTACTGTGCATACTGACATCAATTTCTCCTTGTCGGATTTCTTCTTTGGCGAATTCACATGGGGGGCTGGACCTTCGAAACCAATTGAGCTCGCGCCAAAGCTTGTGCACCTCGTTGCATCGGGTAAAGCAAGCCCTGGATTCATCGTGAGTGATGTGATCAATATAGAAGAAGCCCCGGAGGCATATGCGAGGTTTGAGAGACACGAGACAACAAAAGTTGTCATTGCCTTTGATTGATCGCCGGTCAGCGTGTATATAGATCTGGTGAAAGCCATGATTCGACATTTGGAAGCAAGAACTGGTTAGTGAACTAGTCTCTATTGAGTTATTAGGCTAGTATGCAAAATCCAGCTCAAGTCGAGATAAACATCCTCTTTGTGTTTATGAGGTACATCACGCTGCTCACATAGTGCTTGAAGGCAGCTATTTCCCTCAAGTTCACAGGGTTTAACAATTTCATCTAATTTAGCATGGTCAAAATCGGTTTCCAACAAAGAGGCTTTTCTCCTCTCCTCCTCCGCCATATATTAGTACTCTTCATCAAATCCTCGCATCCCACAAGCAAATATCCCCACTTATCTAAGAAAGCCGGGGTGACTTCCCAGTTCTCCGGTTCCCAGGATGAACCCCACACCAGCAAGGTGGCTCCAGTATTCCTCGTGTCCCAAAACGCCATCAGGTCGTGACACAAGTCATCATCGTCAATGACATCTTGGACGGCTATGAGATTGTCCCGCATGTTCGGGAAAGGGAAGAAGTCAAGCCACGGGTGATGAGGGATGCGCCGCTGACATTGTGTCGGCCGTAGACTTGGGGGTATTAAATGATCAGGGAGTTGAGGTGTGGGCATATTAAAAATGGAGATATTGTCATCTCGCTGTGTCCATTCCATCGTCATTCCAATGGAATGGATGTTTTCGATAATTGCGCGCTGAATGTTGAGTTTGGACAGCGAGAGGAGGTGGTCGATTGTAGGGGAGTTGCAGGCGTAGCTTGTCAGCGCGATGGATTCGAATCGGCGCATCAGTGAGTGGATTTCAGGTGGACCGATGCTGCAGGTGAATCCCGTTGCGTCCCGGTCGATCTGGATCGGCGGCGCGGGACTAGATATTATTGTCGCGGCATCGTTGTTTTGTATCTGGGCTTGGGTCGCTGTGTTATGTTGCAGCCTCTTTCGTATACCTTATGATATCAGGGTCAAGATTATATTGAATTGCAAGTATGTGGCTTACGGTACGATCTCTGGTTCAGACGATTCTGCAACTTTCTTCGCTCAACTCGATCGATAGTACCAGTCCAATCATCCTCAATTCGGACACCCTCCTGCTGTGGCATTGGGCGCAAAGCAATTTCTTGATTATCAGGCATGTTGACTTGCAAGGATACTACAGAGGCGACATCCTTTTTTAAAAAAAGATGTGACATGCTTATGCTAAGGTTCATCTTCATTGGCTCAACCATGGATCAAAAGAACGCTAATGCAAGCTGCTTACACCCTCTAACCGGAAGGGGATTAGTGCAGGTTTGACCCTTGGATCGAAATAGCATCTAGATGTTGCGACCGGAAAGTTCGGTATTTGTAAAATACCAACCCAAATATGCAAAACCCTACTCCGTAGACGGATTGCAATGGCCAAAAACCCGCAAGTCAAATCAAAAAATTCCCAGCTCAAATCTTCACCTTCCCGCCAGGCGACAACAAAGCTCCATCCTTTCGAACAGCAAAATCCTTATCCTGCTCCCACCCCATCCAAGCTCTAAGAGTCTCCTCGCCTCCATGCCCAGGCAAAAGCCCTCCACCAGTCCACCCGCCCTGGTCCGCCTGTATAGGAGACGCAGGTGTGCTCGCCAAATGAACGATCGGACGTTGCTCATACCCAGTAGTCTCAAGCTCCGCCTGTTCAATGACGGGAGTTGCACAGGCATCAGTGCCATCAAATACAACCTCCCACTCACTACGGGTCTTCTCTTTAAAGCGACGCGTAAAGATATCTCGGAGAGCAGGCCAGTTCTCACGGTCCTCGCGCCTGGGAAGGCTCTTCGGATCCAGTTCCAATCCGCGGAGTAGCGCGGCGTAGAATTGAGGCTCTAGTGCACCAACAGCAAAGTATTTTCCCGCATCCTTAGTCTCGTACGTATCATAGTAAGGACAGCCGCTATCAAGCAAGTTTTCACCGCGTGGACCCGCCCAAGCGGGAGTTTTCTGCGCGAGCCGAGGGAATGTAGCAAGGTATGCAGAGCCATCAACCATATTCGCCTCCACGACTTGGCCGCGCCCAGTGTGGGAACGCGAAATCAACGCTAGAAGAATACCTTGGAAGCAGACTGCACCGCCGCCGGCAAAATCGCCTAAGATGTTACCTGGCGCGTAGGGCTTTTCGCCTGCTCGACCCAACATGGAGAGTACGCCTGATACGGCAATGTAATTGATGTCGTGGCCAGCCATGTCCTTGTACTTGCCATCGCGACGGAAGCCCGTCATTCGCGCGACTATAAGACGTGGATTGTGCTTTAGGAGGACCTCTGTCGGGGATAGGCCGAGGCGTTCGAGGACGCCGGGGCGGAAGGGGTCGATTAGCACGTCTGCTGCGGTGAGGAGACGGAGGAGGACATTGCGTGAGCTGGCATCGCGCAAGTCTAGAGTGATTGATGTTTTGTTCCGTGTTAGTTGGTCTGCACTCACTGCTGAGGGTCGGTCGATGCGTAGGACTGAAGCGCCGTAGTCGGCTAGCAGGAGACCGGCAAATGGGCCTGTGGATATTTGTTAAAGTGGAAACATTTCACTGGGAAGATATACGCACCTGGAGCTAGCCCAGCTAGCTCAATCACTTTAATTCCCTTCAATGGAGCAGACATTTTGTTACGGCAGCAGCGCAGAATTAAAGGTGAAGTTGTGATTATTTAAAAGTTCTCCGCAACCGAGGTCCGCTGGCTATGACGATTGCGGGGGAATTGGGGACATGTGGAGAGTATATTGTTGTCCACTATTCAAGAATATTTCATGATTGTAAGAATACGAGCTAGCGTCTTGTTAGATGCAATGCGTGTCGGTGTTTTTTCCATCGGAGTGCACCGATTATCTCGCTTTTTGGCTTGGAGTAACCTCGGTTCTTCGACACGAGTTGTTCACTGCGGCGGTGTCCGTGGCAACGAGAGGGCAAATTACAGTAGTCGATATTTGAAGTAGATTTTATTGCACTCTAGAATGAGAATTAGAGTTTCTATACAATTATTTTAATCTCTTGCAGATGAGTATAGTAGGAAATATACGGTTGTAACCGATGCAGGGAGTGACAAATAAGGGGCTCGACAGAGACATCTTCAAGGGATATCGTTAGGAAATAGAGAAAAAATTGGATTCGACCACTCTTAAAGCTTCAAATTGAAGATAAGAGGGTCTCGTCGAGACTGGCCAGCGTAAATCACAAAAAGAGGCCAAGAGGTATTGAATCACGCCAGAGACCAGCGATCAGTGAGAAAGAATATAATAAAACAAGATCGTAATTAGAAATAATCGCCTCTAGCAATTACAGGTTCTTGAATCAGCATCGTGAGATCGATCATACCGCGTAGATGAGATCATGCTGACCAGGCAAGCGAGGTCGCTCACAGAATCATGAACATGGAGAGAGCGATGGCGAAGATGCCACCGAAGACACCGGTAACAGCCTTGGGGGCGGCGCCGGTGTAAACGGGGGAGACACCCTCATCAGTGCTGCTGGGCACCTCGGGGGTGTTGGTGGCAGCGGTGGCAGCGGTGGTCGCGACAGTGTGCACAGCCGACACGGAGGCCGAGGCTGAGGGGTGGAAGACCAGAGTAGAGGAGGGGCGGCCGGGGCGGAAGCCTCCAACTCCAGTGCCAACAATTACCTTGGAAGAAGCAGCAGGGGCCACAGGGGCGACGCCGGTCACTGTGACCTGGGGCTTGCCGGAACCGGAGCCCTGGCCAGAAGAACCAGAGCCGGAGCTACCGTTAGAACCGGAGCCAGAGCCCGAGTTGGAGCCAGAGCCAGAGCCAGAGCCAGTAGCGGGAGCAGTGGCAGTGGTGATAGGGACAGTGGCAGTAACGGTGCTACCAGTGGGACCACACTTGGGGCAGAAAGTCACAGTGGTAGTGTAACCCTCAGGCACGGAAGGAGCGGTGGTCTGCGCGGCAGCCTCGGTGGTGACCGGGGCAGTGACAATGGGCTTGGTGAGGGTCACAGTGGTGGGGGTAGCAGCACAGTGAGTGCAGACAGTGACGGTAGTAGTCCAGCCCTCGGGGATATCAACGGTCGAAGTGGCCGGGCCGGAGGTAGGAGCGGTCACTTCAGCGGTGCCAGTAGGGGCGGTGATCTGGGCGGTGCCGGTAGCGGTAGCAGTGGCAGGGGAGTTACCAGGGCACCAGGTGGTGGTAATGGTGGTGGTGATGGTGGTGAAACCAGTGGGGCAGATGTCGGTGTAGGAGGTGACAATGATGGTAGTGATGGTTCCAGGGGCCTCGGAAGGAGTGGCAGTCACTGAGGGAGTGGCAGTGATGGTGACACCAGACGAGACAGTGACAGAGTTGCTGCCGGTAGACTGGGCGCCAGTAGGCTGGACACCGGAAGACTGAGCACCGGTAGGCTGGACGCCGGAAGACTGAGCACCGGAAGACTGAGCACCGGTAGGCTGGACGCCGGAAGACTGAGCACCGGAAGACTGAGCACCGGAAGACTGAGCACCGGTAGGCTGGACGCCGGATGAGCTGGCAGTTCCGACGGTGGAAGAAGCACCAGACTCAGTGGCGGAGGAAGAACCAGACTGTGTGGCAGAGGAGGCACCCGAGGAGGCACCCGACTCAGTGGCGGGGACAGAGCTGCTGGAGGAGGCGGTAGGCACCAGAGGAGTAGAGCTGGATCCAGTGGGGTGAGGGCCGACAGGAGAGCTAGGAGTGGGCTTTCCGGTAGAGGAAGCCTCCACAGAGGTGCTAGGGACACCGGAAGAGGACTGGACAACGGTAGCAGAGCTTGACTCGCAAGGGGTCTCGGAAGGAGCGGCAGAGCTGGAGGCGGTCTCACTAGCCGGGGCGGAGGAGGCAGGCTTGGTAGGGGAGACGGAGGGGATGGTCAGGGTACCGGGGGCAGAAGGAGTCCCGGAGGGGGTCACAGGCACAGAAGAGGACGGCTTCACGGTGGCAGAGCTTGACTCGCAAGGGGTCTCGGAGGGAGTAGCAGAGCCGGAGGGAGTAGCAGAGCTGGAGAGAGTAGCAGAGCTGGAGGGGGTAGCAGAGCCGGAGGGAGTAGCAGAGCTGGAGGGAGTAGCAGAGCTAGAGTGGGCAGCAGAAGATGACTGGCCAACGGTAGCAGAGCTTGACTCGCAAGGGGTCTCGGAGGGAGTAGCAGAGCCGGAAGGAGTAGCAGAGCCGGAAGGAGTAGCAGAGCCGGATGGAGTAGCAGAACCGGAGGGAGTAGCAGAGCCAGAGGGAGTAGCAGAGCCAGAGGGAGTAGCAGAGCCAGAGGGAGTAGCAGAGCCAGAGGGAGTAGCAGAGCTGGAAGGAGCAACGGTGCTAGACGAGACAGGCGAGGCTGAAGGAGTGGCCGAGCTCGAGGGAGGAACGGTGGAGGACTTGACAGGAGAAGAGGTGGAGATCTGGGTCGGGGTAGCGGTCGAGGACGGGGCAGGAGGAGGAGCGCAACCGTATAGGATGTCCTGCATGTGCTCAGTGAAGGTAGCACCGTCGATGAGATTGTTATCAGCAGAAGTAGCCTCCCAAATCATGATACCACCAAACTCCTTAGGGTAACGCTCGATGTAGGTCTCGACGAGGGGCTGGATCTGAGCAGGAGTCAAGTAGTAGCCAGGGTTGCTAGAATCCTCAGAGCCGGGAAGACCAATGTAGAGCTTGGTATCCTTGTTGGCGCTATTGCGGATGACATCAACCCACGCGTCGAAGTTGAACACGCCAGTGCCGTTAACACCGGCGGCGGCAGAGCAGGATGCGGTGTTGTACCACTGCACCCAGAGGAAATCGAAGACAGAGTTGTCAATGGCATCGCCAAGCTGGGCATCGGGGGTGGGGCACTGGGGAGCACCGGAGATGTAGAAGGTCTTTTCAGGGACCTCCTCGTAGTGTGTGCGGAGACGGTCGATCATGGCAGACCATCCAGTGCTTCCATGGCTCTCAATGTCGAAATCGAATCCATCAACCGAGACGTTTAGGAAGGGACGGGGGTAGGCGCCAAGCAACGTATCGGTCCAGGCCAGGGAAGCCTTCTCGGAGTTGTAGGGACCGAAGGAGTACCACAGGAAATCGGCAAACCATTCAGCGGTTGTGTCATCTGGAAGAGCCTGATTGGCAGTACCGCCGCCGATAGAGAGCAGGACCTTCTTTCCAGCGGCCTGGCACAGAGGAATGTCCTCCCAGATCTGGTGGCAACCAGAGAGGAGCTCTGAGCCGGGGAAAAAGTTGCCATCACACTGGTTGGCAAAGTTGGAACCAGGCCATTGACCAGAATACTGGGGGAATGAGTTGATGAAACCAATGTTGACAATATCCATAGTGGTCTGGCTACAGAAGTGGCTAAGACGATCCTGGTCATAACCTTGTCCGTAGTAGACGGCAACATTGTTCTTCGCACTGGCATCGAAAGCAGCGGCAGTCGATGCAAAGAGTGACAGCGCCGACGCGGCGGCAACAGTCTTGGTGAACATCTTGAGTAAAAATGAATGTGATAATTATAATTAGAATGCAACAAAAATCGCTAATCAACCTGATAAAAGGAATGGCAGGTTGGCTCGCGAACAACGAGAGGACGCAGACAAATATCTGCTTGGGTAGTTTCCCAAAGAGCTCAAAATGAGAGTGTTGATGGTCGAAAGGAAAATGCAGCAAATTGGGGGGAAAGAGACTCAAATACACATATCAGCATTTGGGGGTTACTCGTCTGCGCCCCCTGGTGTAGATGCCGACCTCCGATATGGAGCGCACTAATCAGAAAGGAGACCAGTACCATGAAAACGTGGAAATGAGGGTGCGTGATATCCGACCATTCCCATGCTGAGCGAGTCAGTGCCTAGGATTCACTCCACTATTATTTGCAGGGGCACCCAAACATAATGTGGCCTGGTGGGCTCAAAGCTTAGTAGCCTGTTCACTAGATCCGGAGGCCAACTGGAATCGTCCGTAACGGCCACACTAACTGCATGTTCACATAATGTGCAGACTACGGCGCTTTGACAGGTCAAATGACAAACGCGTGGCTCGAAATGCGGTGACAGGCCCAAAGGTGGCGTCAAAGAGAGACATCTCGGCTCGAAAGAATGAGCCAGATTCAGCCAGTTTTAGCCAGAGGCTTGCAGGTTTCCTCCGTGCCTCTCTCGGAGTAAAATTGCAAGAGCCGCATAAAAGAGGCTAAAAGACCCTAATAGACCCTAGCCGCCTTAGCATCAGGGTAACGACTGGATCAAAGAAAGTAGTTCGGTTAGACGATAACCAATCAGAGTCCGTCGTGTAGACTACGGTAGCACGGACACTCCGAGGGGGTCCACCATCCGTTGGCAGAGGGGAAGAGCGGCAATTTGATACTTGGCCATTGAGGGAGGTATGTGGGGAATATTCAGTTGGGAAAAGAAAGACATGTCAAAATAAGAATATCCGCATCTCTTCAAGATGGATTCCACAAGCCCAAGGCGCATTTCGAAAGCCGCAGACTAAAAGAGGAGAATATCAAGGGAAAAGGTGATCAGAAGCGAGCCAACGGCTAAGTCCACGCTAGATTGGACGCTAAACCACACGGGGCCAAAAAGTGGTGTGTTATACTCTCAGGTACACCAATCACAGATGTCGATCCGGGCGCCCGGAGGCCTCCCGGATCAACAATCACTCGGTTACGGTTCCGTACATGTATTTATGTATTAATACATACATCCAGGTATATATGTATAGATTGCACTAACATCATCGGTATCGTGAAGTATTGTGATCTTGATTAATCTCGTTTTGCTTCATCTTACTTAGTTTCTCTTAGCTTACGCCCTAATGCAACTCGAGAACAGGGCCGATACAGGGTCGAGAATCCTTCGATGTGACTCTCCCCTAAAGGTCAGTCAGGGTTTACCATATTGGCCCCCAACTCGTTTTCTTTTTTTTTTCAGAAAAACTTTATGCAAGGTACACCGTACAAGATTCGGAGTTATACCCTATCTGAGCATGTTTTTCCAGGCAACAAGAACACCCCTCATAACACAGCCTAATTATTATTCATTATTGAAGCGCTAGCAATCACAGTTGCATTGGGCATAAGCCGCCACCCCAACTACTAGGGTGGATTTTAGCCGGAACACAACTTGGAAAAGATGGCTAATAATGCATAAACATTGAGAAATCTGTCATGTTATTGAAATTTTCCGGGTCCGATAGTAAATACATAGACCGAGCAAGTCCGACAAATTGCGTAGGTGGAAACTAAACAATAATATATGTGGAGCGTAATTAAAAGATCCTCTCTATGGGACTTCCAGCCTTGCATACACAAAAATCAGAAAAATCGAAATAACGGCGGAGAATCTCCGATTTTGAAACCTAATGTCCAAGTTCGTTACATCATTTGCCTTGTTAAATGCGTTTTTACTTTTATCATTTGCACATAACTAAGTAAACTCCCGGCTTTGTCGCTCGGCGGGTCGGTCCAGATGCCCATGCAATTGCTCAATTTTGAGCCATTTCGACACCGACAGCTCCAATTTTTTATCTTTCTGACGAAACGTTCAAATCACATTGCCGTGTTTAGATAGCATTTTCCCAATCTGGTAAATGATGCAGAGAACATTAGTCATGGACAACGCCGCCAAGCCATGAGATCGAGTATAAGCAACCAAGTGTGAACAGAGATGCCGAGTTAGCACAATACTTAATCTGCAAGATCTTCCAAACAGATCTCCTCCCGTCGACGACGCACCGCAAGCTTCGCCATACAATCCGCCTGCATCCCAATTCCATACTTTCTGATCTGGGGAGCAGTCCCGTCGGCAAGTTTAAATTCATACTTCAACAACATATGACACAACGCAATCTTCACCTCGTTGGCAGCAAAGAACCTCCCCGGGCATGCGTGATTACCATAGCCGAACCCCATATGTTCGGGTGATGCTGCAACCAGGTGGGCAGAGTGTTCGCGACCTGAAACCTGTCGCAACTTCACGAATCGATACGGGTCAAATGTATCTGGGTTTTCGTAAAAGGCCGGATCCCTCATCGAGTCGTTGCTAATCATTAGCGATGTCCCCTTTACGATCTCGGTTCCATCTTGCAGCCTGATGTTATCTGTTGACATGCGTCGGAACGTAGCTTATCACATAATCAGTATGGGATCCGATCGGCACAAATCTTACTTACCAAGACTAAGAGGTTTCATTCTTTGTGACTCCTTCAAAAAGCTATCCATGAGCTGAAGCTTGTACAGAGCAGTCTTCTTCAGTCCCTCTTGTCGCATCACAGCCACAATCTCATCTCTGAGCTCTTGGACTAGCGCTTCCTTCCCACAGAGATCAAATATAGCCTGCGTCAACATATCAGAAGAAGTAATAATGGCCACGGTAGCAAACGCCAACTGCATAATAGCAGGGTCATAAGGGCGACCCTTTGCAATTTCCTCCATCCACTGCGTGGCATTGTCATTGATCTCTGGAACTCTACCCTCCTTCACCGCGGCCTCTTTGCTCCTCTGCCTTTTCTCAAGAACCGGGGTTATGATACTCCGCGCCTCCTGAACCTCCCGTTTGACCTTCCGAGTTGATTCCAAGAACAGAGCAACGATAGGACGCACAATTTCCGGCCATAATCTTAGCGTTTCGCTTGCTCGGAGAACATGGCCTGTGTAATCGGCCGTAACCCGGAGCCAATCTTCGTTTTGGCACAGTTCGTCGCCTAGGAAGACTTTGCATGACAACTGTGCTATAATTCTTTCGATGCTGGCTTTTAAAACGAGGTCATGCCAATCTATTTTCTATTAGCTTTTTTTCTCTCTGCCATCGGCAATTGGGGCGGGTTCGCTCAAAGATATATTTACCCGGTTTATCCGTCCAGTTATTTTTGAGAGCAATTGCAGCCTCGTCAGAGAGTGGCTTTGTGATCTTCCCTACGAAGACCAATTAATAATTTTAGTCAATGAAAGATAATAATCAGTACCGACCCAGAGCCCGAGTAAGTTTGATGCGTATTGTGTCCAGAAATATATCATTATTCATGGTGAATTGGCTAAATGGCTCAAATCCCGGGATATAAGCATGTACTTCTTTTTGCATCAGCCTGGCAAAGCTGAGGGAGGGATGGCTTCGGATCTCATTGAGATATTTTTGAGATAGAACAAGTCGGACCCCATTGTCACAGGTAAGTCGAAAGGCATCGGACTGAGCGAGCCACCGAAATACATTATTAGCCTTGAATGATTATCTTGTAACAGTGTTGCCGTAATAGAAATGTATTACTTTTGCATAACCAGCCTTGAGGAGACTTGTGGCATCATTCACATAACGGATCTTTGCCTTGGAGGCTGTCAGGTCGAATCGTGTTTGAGGAGTGATAAGAGGAAGCGATGATTTGGTGGATGAAATATGGTATACAAGCAACGATCCTAACACCAATGCTCCGAGTACTGGCATCACCTGCTCCCAGGAGTAAAAAGACAAAAGATAATCAAGCATTTTCGCGATGTTACGTTGGTTATTGATATTGTGGAATTTGGCATCAGTGGTTCCAGACGAAGGCCATTCCTTCACTTTGCTCTTTATATATATCCCGAATTCCCGTCGCCGGCTCGCCGGCATCACAAAGAACCAACGTGCAGGCTTAACTCTGCACAATTATTCTTCATAACTTGTCGTTAATGTGTTACAGGAGCACAGTTGTGTTGCACCTGGAAAGGCTATGACTCGCGGGGTAGCGGGCACCGGGTTATCACAGCTACCTGGGCCCATCGTAAGGTAGGTAGCTCCATATTTATTCATTAATCAAATCGTCGGGTGGAACAGTAGTGTCTCATAAATACAATGACAGAAAATGTAGGCAAGTCTATTTCCAAAATGTCCACAGGAGTGACCTAACTATCGAATATCGCGCAGCATGGATATAGGTATGTACGTGGGAAGTACCGACTTGGTATGTTTCTCCCTGACTCTAAACTTTATATGACTTGACGCGGACTGATGACAATGTTAATTGAGCTACTACTCGTCAATTTACTTACAAAATTGCCTTCATCATGTAACCTATCAAAAGTCCCACGTCGGCTTTGTTGCACAAAGTAGCAGAATTATCCGAATGAACGTCATCAGCAATAGCAAGTGTTTGCTGACCACCGGAGGATGTAACTATAACTCTTCCGGGTATGAATACATAAAGTTATGACGAGCAGCCCAGAAGAAATGGTATATTCGAAGATTTTCGTAGAAAAAAGTCCTATCATATATTACGCAGAATAAAGACAACATCTGCAGAGAAAATATCCCAAACTCCACGGGTCTACTTTATTAAATCCCAACAGAGTGGCGCAAATAGTACTATGTGGCTTGTCCACAAAATACCCCGTCCTGAATGCTAAACCCTGCACTTGCAAACATGCCGACCCACATGGCTTCATCGCTGAAAAGGAAATTTGAAGCCTCGTCTATTTGGTTGTTGAAGCCGATCCCCGACATGGGCTGACCATTTGGCGCTATTTGGACAGAAGGCATGGGCAGGTCGTACGGTTGATTCGGCAGGCGACGGAAGAGATGCTGCGGAATAGATGATGGATGGGGAGGAGGTTGTGGATGTTGAAGCGTATGATCTAGGTTTGCGGGGGTGGGTTGTGGCTGGAAAGATCTCGGGGTAGGAAAGGTGTGAGACTCCGTGGGTTGTACAGATGAGGATTGGGATTGGATTGTTGCGGGGGAGTTCGGGAAAGAGGTAGCTGCGGAACCCGGGGCGAGATTGGAGTCAATAAATCCGTGAGCCCTGTCGGTCGCTCGGGGTGCAGTTCGCATTGCAATTGGACGGTGGCGGCGGATCGTGGAGAATTCCACGAGAATGTTTTTGAGAAATTTGGACTGGAGGCTGCAGCTGCCTGAGGATGAGGATTGGGCAGTGAGGACATCTGCTGCGGCACTGATTGTTGCGATGGTGTCGGACTCAATCTCTTGGGTTATGGAATGTGGGGAGGAGAGAAGGAGCTAGTGATATGGGATTTGTGAGAATGATGGTAGCAAAAGCATGCAGAGGGTTCGAGGTTGGAACCATTTACCTTGATAAGAAGGACAGCAGAATAAGCCGTCATGACATGAATGGAATCCTGGCAGAGACTCAAGAAAGATGAGAACTCGGGCATCAAGCGTAGCATGGTCATGGCGCTGTGATAGCTGATCCAAAGCGGGTTAAGATCGCATGTTTCGTCAAACTTGCTTTTCTTCAAAGTCTCCTGGAGCGGAATGGAAAACAGTTGTAAAGATTGATGGGCGCCATAAAATCGGATCAAGAAGTTGTGACAGCTTCCTGGATCTGTCACCTCCAGCCACTTGGCTTGCCACCACTCGATGCGATTTTGTAGAACGGCCAGTGGCCGAGGAGCCGGATACTGACTTCCAGGATTGGGCAGGTCAAAAACCTCCGCTGCCAGCAGTCGGAGAGCGACAAAACTGCAGAGAAGTCGGTCATTGTCGATGGCTTGCGGATGCTTCCACCAATCCTGGATCGACTCAATGAAAGGGCTCCGTTCGATCATCCACGGTTTCCCTGTCTGCAGACTCATGCTAGAAAAGTAAGAAAGTGTGTTTCAGCCAGAGCAGGATATCCTTACCTGCGATCGTACACAAACAGCACCAGCCAGGTGCGCTCGTCATTTCTGATACTTCTTTGCCGGGCTTCGGTGAGATCTTCTGGAGGAGTTGCATTTGATCCTAGTTTATGCCAGCCTAGATCCATGGACATGCGAATGGCAAGGCCAACAGACATCCAGGCTCTTGTATCGTTTGGTTCTTTCCAATATGTGAGGATCATGATAGCCTGGACAGTTTCGGTAGACTTGTCACCGCGTTGGAAAGCTTCTAGGAATAATTTCTCAGCATGTGCATGAAGGCTCGGGTATAATGCAGGTTCAAATGACTTGGATGCCGCTGTGAGAATGGCACTTAGGAGAAACGACGACTTTTGCCGCACATATTCCAATGAATGAAGGTTAGGATCCAGTTGGCTGATATATGGATTTAATTCGGTCATGAAGCTGTTTTTCATCAGAAAATTGATCAATTCATCTGGATGGGTTCAGCCCACCTTCTAAACAAACAAACAACACTTTCATAACCGACAAGACCACACCGAATTGGATCATCGGAGGAGACCGAATCAGCTGGGGGATTGAATGTCGAACCATGATTGGTGCTGAGAATATTTTGAAGCGAAAACTTTCCCTTCATAGCCTGGTGGCTCAAGAGCCCATCGGGCTGCAGTCCCTCCGATCCAGTCCAAAAATCAGAGACGCGCTCATCGCGCGGTGAGCTTGGTTGCGGCAAATCGGCATTTGATCGCTCGGGAACAGCTTCCTGCATATTGGAGTCGAGCGACCGTTTGGAATTGGCCTTGACCAACCTATTTCCGTATGAGTTGATGGGATCTCTGTCGTATGCGCGACCGGTCACATACCGTGTACCGGGCTTTCTACCCCGGCGATGCTCGCGAAACGCGCAGTCCATTGATTTACGCACACAGCGATCACATTTGACAGGGTCTATTGTCATGGTGCATTTCATCTTGACTCGCCGACAAGCCAAACACGCATTGGCGCTATATTTGTTCCGTCAGCCATACCAAGCTTTCAGGGTTCAATGGGGGCTTACCTGGCCTTGGGGACGGACCCATCCTCCTGTGACATAATTCTGTATAATATGTACAATATTTACAATATAGAATAGAAGAAGACCAAGGTGGACCAAGAAGGACACTCCACGGGGCCCCCGAGATCAACTTCCGACAACCCGGGCGCCTGCACGTTCCTCATTGGGTGACTGCTTGTGGGCCGCTTCTCCGACTGCCGTGGCTCTTCACCGGCATTTTAACTTTGGCACGTTCTCAGTTCGCATGTCTTTAGAACACCGGCCACGTTTTCTGTTGGTAGCCGGCTCAAAAGAGACCGGTCGGAGAATTCTTTTTCTGGAATTCTTGCAGGGGTCAACTATAAAAACAAAAGTGCATACTTGAGTTTGAATATATCACGGATTTTTCTATGATCCTGGATGTCGAGTATGCCTCAGATGGCTTCTACAAGGCCCAAGGCGGGCCATGTCAATATGATGGCTGATACCAACATCGCCAACTTGCCCATTGAAGGATTGCGAGCAGTTATGCGTGGGATTCTGGCTAACAGACCAGACTGCATATCGGTGTTCGAGGAGCAGACAAGGCATTATTTGAGCGAAACGGCGTCCCGGTCATCCAAGATCGTCGTCATTGATCAAACACCGGATGGATCTTTCCAAACGACTCCCTCCTTCCAGCAACTCCGGAAACGCATTTGCTGCATGGTAGCGTGTGGTCAGTGTTACCAGGCCCTTCCTCTTCTGCAAGAAATTGTCGACCAAGTCTCAAAAATCAAGGTCGGGTCTGGCCAGTCGGCTATTGTGGACCAGATTGCTGGTGTGGATGGGGATATAATCCAGGCCATTACCGCCGTCCAGAAGACCCTCTTTGTGGAGTCAGGGTCTCGAGGACTCTCTGAGGCTGAAAAAGTGCCTTTGGAGGCTTTGCTAGAATCTCTTACGGCTTGCAAGGCTGCTTGGAAAAAGAACTCGCTACCTTTTGTCCTGGAAAGAGGCCTTGAGGCTACTATAGCTCTGGTTAACCCTTCTTTGGCATCTGCCCCTGTGGCCAATAATGAGTCTTTCTCGGAAAATGCCCCTGGCGCTATTTCAGAGACCTTTGAGATGGCCGGTGTTCACCTCCCTCGTATTTTCTCCGGCTTGTGGCAGTTGTCCAGCCCGGCTTGGGGGAGTGCGCCTCGATCCAAAATCATGCAGCAATTCTCAAAGCACGTCGAGAGTGGCCTAACAGCTTTCGATATGGCTGATCATTATGGTGACGCGGAGATTCTCTTTGTGAGTACTTCCAGAGTCGAGATTTTCATGTCATATCTTAACCCACTTATCCTAGGGTCAATACCGATCTGCAAGCAACTACTCCAACTCCCTCTTTGCTGCAACAAAATACTGTGTCTTCCACCCTATGACAGTGACAGCTGATGTCATCCGCAGGAAGATTGATGAGCATTGTCAAAGACTGCGTGCCGATCAAATTGATCTGCTACAGTTCCACTGGCAATTTGTGAGTAGCAGCCTGACATGGCACATGTCCTTGGTTCATTCTAATACTATCCTTCTAGTACAATGACCCCCAATATCTTGATGCCCTGAAATACCTCCAGCAAGACAGCCGAATCAAGCGTCTGGGTCTGTGCAACTTCGACACAGAGCACATGCAGAAAGCACTTGAAAAGGGAGTCAAATTCTACACTAACCAAATCCAGGTGCATAACCATCTTCACTCTCTGAAAGACATAAGCTAACGACGATAGTTCTCTCTGATCGACTCCCGACCCACAGTGAAGATGGTAGATTTCTGCAACAAGCATAACATCAAGCTCCTTACCTACGGTACCCTCGTGAGTAGGCGAACCAGTTTCGCAGATTGCACACGCTAACCAAACACAGCTCGGTGGCCTTCTAGCAGAGAAGTGGATCGGCCAAGCAGCGCCAGATCTATACGCAGAGACAATGACACCGAGCCTCCGCAAGGTGAGTGCAGATGAATACGATATGAACAAGTTAACTAACGTCGTGCTAGTATTTCGCCATGATCCAAAATTGGGGCGGCTGGGACCTATTCCAAGAGCTCCTTCGCACTCTCCAAACTATCGGGCGGAAGCACGGCGTGTCCGTCTCGAACGTCGCGACACGATGGGTGCTGGACTTCGAGTGTGTTGGGGCAGTGATTGTCGGCGCGCGGATGGGCGTCAGCGAGCAATCGACAGAGAACCTCGCTAGTCTTGGGTGGTCGCTGGACCATGAGGACCAGGGACTTATTCAGGCAATCTTGGACCGTAGCTCAAGGGCAGAGATGTTTGAGACTCTTGGTGATTGTGGAGGGGAATATCGATGATTGACGATTATAATGCTATGAGGGTTTATATAGTCTATGAGAAAAATATATAAAGTACTCTCACTTGATCTTTGCAATATGCAACATACAATATGCAAAGGCCTATTGTCTTTATATCTCAGATCCAGTGGAGTGCACGTCTCCACCATGGCCAGTTGAGTTGAGCTTTGGTGAGATACAAGCCTTCTGCTTGCTCCCTTTCGATCTCCTCAAATTCACCGCGGATATCAATTGCGTCCAGGGGAACGACCTCAGACTTGAGGAAGAATTTGAAAAAGATGTAAAGTGCTGTGTTGCTGTCAGTATAGGTCTTGTGGTTCGAAATCACGGATACATACCAGCGAAAATACCGATGTTCAAGTACGAAGTCAAGAATGTAGATACGGACCATCTTCCCGTGGTGAAAACATCAAATCCAGAAGTCAATACAATCATAGTAACCATGAACAACGTCGCCCAAGCAGTGTAAGGCTGGAAAGGCGTGCGATAAGGAAGTTCTGAAAAGTCAGCATTGAACTCCCCAATAGGAATGGGTGCCATTCTTACCATCTCTCGAATATCCTTGCTTTTTCAAACAAGCATAGAATCGCAAGTAAGTACCCTCGATGACGATCCACCCAATCAGGCCCGCAACAGTGGTGATGTTGACAAACCAGCCGAAGACCGTGGACGCATCGCTTCCCAAAGTCATATACATCAACGGCAAGAGAAGTACCGTCAGGCCGACGGCGTAGTGCGGTGTTCCGAAGCGGTTGCATCGCTGGAAGAACTTGGGTGCGTGGCCGTCTTGGCTGAGGCCGTACAGGGTGCGCGATGCAATGAAAATACAGCTCGAGCTGCTGCTAATAGCAGAAGTGCAGACTACTGCGTTGATGATGTGCGGGACGACAGAGACGCCAGATCGCACGAACGCAATGACGAAGGGCGATTGTTTCGCTGTGCCTGTTGAGACGGTAAGGTCTGGATCATTATAGGGCCTGAAGTGGTCAGATATCTCGTTTTGGGGCTTGTTTGGTACGGGGTCTTACACGATGAGTCCAACAATGAAGATACTGAGAACGTAGAAGACGAAGACCCGGATGAATGTTTTCCGCGTAGCATCTGGGATGATTTTGCGCGGGTTCTGGGTCTCGGCGCCTGCAATGGCGACAACTTGGATGTTACCAAAACTGAAAGCTGACGTCAGGAGGACTTTCCAGAACGCAAGGAACCTTCCTGCACTACCAGTCTCGATAAACTCGTTGAACGCGCCCGGGGTTTTCCAGTAGTGGAAGCCCAGACGCTCCTGGCCCGGGGTGCCACCGAGGTCGATGACTATGCCGCCAATGATGAGACCGATGATCAGCATGATCTTGAGCGATGCGAACACAACCTCGGACTAAAGGACTGTTAGATCCCGGTACAAGTGGATTTTCCAATTCGTTCATTGAATTACAACGTTGACTCACCTCTCCATAGAGACGAACGCCGCAGAAGTTGAGAACAGCGATGACAAGGCCAAACACAGTGATCCAAACTGCAGGACTGACGGATGAATTCCAGAACTGAACAATTGTAGCAGCAGCAGTGATCTCCGCTGGTGCCGAGATAGCCATAGTATACCCTTGACAGAAGTTAGTATTTGGTCATTGCGCATATATTGACTCTCAGCACATACAAAAGTTCCAACCAGTAGCAGCACCAAGAGCAGGCTCTACGAATCTCGTAGCATGACGAACGAAGCCTCCACTGCAAGGCATAAAGGCAGAAATCTCACCAGTGGTATACGAAACACCAGCAGTGACGAAACCCATAAAGATATAAGCCAAGAAAGCACCTGCTGGGCCAGCAAGAGCAATGACCTGACCAGAGCTCAAAAAGAGACCCGTTCCCTATGAATTTGTATCAGTGCGCCTATCGAAACAAGGATAAAAGAGAGAACCTACAATCATGCCTGCGATGGCAATCATGTTGATGTGCCTCGATTTCAGATCCCGTTTGATCTCCTCTCCCTCTCCACAGTCAGGACTGTGAGGTCTCTCGACATCACTGCCCGAGGCATGTTTTTCATCCCTGGCGAACGCCATTACGACAGCGCGCTCAACAAGATATTAAGAATTAGGCGTGAAGAAAGGATGTAAAAGTGGGGTTTCTTCAGTTTAATTCAGCGTCAGCCATATCGCGCTTATCTCGTCAGCGTGGAGAGGAACCTGTGATGAGAATTAGGGGTGAATCCGATCGCGGAAGGTTGGAACACCGACGCGCAGTTGAAACACCGGGCCGCTATCTTCTAGCCGATGCAACTCAAGTCCATAAAAGGAGGTTCAACCGCTTCAAATTCAAGCCCATTATCAAATCCGATGTCGGACAATATGGATGAATCTTTCCAACTCTATGACCTTCGCGTCGAGGTGGTGTGTCCACCGGGGAAGCGAATTATGTGCGGAGCCAAGGAAGGCGATTATTTTACTCTTAAGGGCGAAATGATGTACTTGCCTCCCGGCCAGGGTATTAGTATCTACAGTCTAGGTGAGTTTTGACCTCTTCGGGGAGACTTTGAGTTATCTGTTAACTATCCTGTAGCTTCGGTTCTGCCCTTGTTGGCCTCTAAACAACGAATGACTCACGAGAATGACTGGATGACCACCGATGCCAGCATTGCTTGTCCTGATCCTCATTGTCCCTCGCAATTGAAAATTATTCGGACGGGTATCACTACTTTTAATCATTCGGAGACAACGGTGGTTCCCAAGACTGCTTGAATTGAGTCTTTGTGGTTCACCTCGACCAGACAACAGTCCATACAATGAACTTCACTCCATTTACTCCAAACAAGATCAACACTATTTTTCAAATTTATATCTCAATATTATTCACACTAGTGTTTCGACAAGGATCATGAACACTAGTGGCCCCGCCAATGGATGTAACCCCGCAATGTCTCATAAACAATCGAGTCAGCTAATCGTTCTCTTTCTCTTCTTCGTACTTTTGTCAAGTTAATCCCTGCACGTGCCCACGAAGAGTATAACTGCCTGAAAATTGCATATAACATTGTAGGTCAACCAAAAAAAAAGCAACCTGCACGTGGATTTTAACTAGAATCCCAACAATTCAGTTTCACAATGAGCATTCATAATGCCGAACCCCGGGGCAATCTACTTTATCGCACCCCAAAAGGTCGCATGACATTAGGTGAAGGCCCCATCTACCGAGCCAACGACTCAACGCTCCACTGGTTTGACTGCCTCTCCTCGCCATGCGAACTGTACATCCTCCCCGTAGACCCAGCCACTGGGCAAGCCGCCAGCGAAGCCCGGGTCGTGCCATTAGCCGATAGTATTACTGTCGCGGCTTTTCGCAAAGGCCGACCCGGCTATATTGCTGCGTACTACCAAGGTGTCTGTTTTCTACAAGAAACCGGGGACTTTGAGGTTGCATGTGAGATCATTCCCACTGCGGAGCGCGGTATACGCCGATTCAACGATGGCGCGGTCGATGCCGCCGGTAGGTTTTGGCTTGCAGAGATTGACGTCAAGGCCGTGCAGTATCCTCCTGGGAAGTTACCCGCGGAATACGGCACTCCTATCGGGAGGCTGTGGAGGTATGATCCGGATGGGAGTTTGCATTTGATGGTTTCCGAGGGAATTCTTTGTGGGAATGGGGTTTCTTGGAGTCCGGATAATGGCACAGGTAAGTCGAAGGGAGAAGCGGTGTCGGGAAAAGAAGAGAGTGTGCTGTGAGTGGTGGTGCTGATATTTTGGGTTCCAGTGTACTTGAATGACTCGGTAGGAATGATGATTTACGCGTTCGACTTCGATCTTGAGACTGGAAATATCTCCAATCGACGGGTCTTGGTTGATTTCCGTGCTAGTGGCGGAGAACCGGACGGAATGATCATTGAGTATGCGGTTTTGCGTCTAAATCTTGCCTGGAATATCGACTAACCCACCTCTTCCTAGCACTGACGGAAATCTCTGGCTTTCGCTCTACGGAACCAGCAGTATTGTGGTACTCAGCCCTGCTGGAGAACGCCTCAAGGAGATCAAGTTCCCGGCGAAGTACCCAACTTGCCCTACATGGGGAGGCCAGAACCATGATATCATCTATCTTTCGACGGGGAGGGACAGGACAGAAACCCCAGACCCAGACGATGAAGGTGGCCATATGTACATGCATAGCCCGATTGGGGCCAGGGGCCAAGCTAAATTTGAATTCGGAGGCTGATATGGAGGCTGTTCTAAGTGCGCCATGCGAAACAATCCTGGAATTCATCGTGCAAATGTATTAGATTATGTATAGTTCTCACTGCTACGCAGTTCAGGAAAGCCATTGATACTCCTTTTGTTCTTCTAGCAACTCAGTCACGATTTCATCTCAGTTGGGCGCGCATCTTATATTGGAAGATGTGGCTATCGGCGTTTGTTACTTCTGTCAAAGTCAGTCTTGTATCAACACAGTGGATTGTGGCTGCCATGCAGTTGAACCCACTGGTAGCATAGCGACAAAAGTGAAGTAAAATAACAAATCAGGTCCGAAAGACACGGGCCAGGTTCGGCCCCCGGTTTAGCCCTGGCCCCCTAGTGTAATTTTATGCTCATACAATCCTCGAATTAAGAGAAGCATTGGCCTCGGTCGCATCCCATACATATGTACATCTCCAATCCTATGTGTTTTTTGATCCTCCAGAATCCTGTCAACGCCAAGTTATGACCCTTGCGATTGATATTTACGCCAACCAAACCACTTAGAATCAGTAATAGTGGAGTAATATTACTTTAATTTCCAAGTATATGCAGCACAGTGTCTATATTAGAGTACCCCATCAAGACCAGAAGGCCTTCTGCAGCGCATCACACATGAGAGTAATACACCTCTTGCCTTCCGACAAAGCCCCGTCCATAGCAAGGAACGGATGTGGCATACCCTTCATCACCTGCAAATCGACAGGCACGCCAGCCTTCTGCAACTTCTCCGCATACTGCTCGCCCTCAGTCCGTAACACATCCAACTCACCAACCATAACCAACGCCGGCGGCAATTGTGAATAATCACCATGCCAAAATAGCGGACTGGACTCTGGATCGGTGCGGTCGGCATCGTTGGGTACATAGTGGTCGCGGTACCAGTACATCTTGAGAGCGGGGAGCGCGGGGGTGCGCTCGTACCGCCGATATGACTCGTTGTTCTCGACCGTGGCCGTGTTATCAGTCACGGGGACAGAGAGCAGCTGGGCGCGGAAGCGAACAGGCGGTGACAGGGTTAGCGCCTTGTGAGTCATAATTGCTGCAAGGTTGCCGCCGGCGGAGGAGCCACCAGTTGCCAGTTTGGATACGTCAACTGATAGCGCGGCGGGGCCGTCAGCGATTAGCCACAGGAGTGCTTCCCAGCAATCGTGCACGGCGGCGGGCCAGCGGTTCTCCGGTGCAAGACTGATAGAACTCGGGGATTAGGCTCATGGCTTATGGCGTGATCCGGGAAGTTTCGCTTACCGGTAGTCTACAGTAATTACAACGCAATTGCCGCGGACGCAGAGGTTGGAGCACACCACGTTCTCGGTGTCGATGTTTCCGAGCACCCAGCCACCACCGTGGAAATACAGCATCACGGGCCATCCAGCGGGAGGCGCATGGCCTTTGGGAGTAAAGGCACGGATGAGGATCGGGGGGCCTTCGGTAGCGCGTCGCTGGACGGTGATGTCTTGGGTCTTTCCGACGTTGAGCATGGGACCTGCGCCAGGAATCAAGACACCACTCGTTCGTGACGCATCCACGGGCTGGAGGTGGACTTGTTGGTTATTAATGACATGCTCATTGTAGAACGCGACATACTCCGGGTCCAACAAATCCTTGACGGACTCGTGGAGGGGATAGGGAGGTTGTGTAACGCCGGCAGTCATTGTGAACACAGTATATGAGATCTTTAGAAACAGAGAAGAAAACAAGGAACTAAGAACAGCAGAGATGCTCAAATAAAAGTCGACCCCCACGCCATAGAGTGGGATTGAGTCGGTCAACAATGCGGGGGAGATTCCGATAAGCTGATAAGAGCCCTAATATGGCAATGATCGACTGTTGCAGTGACCCTCTTTCTCCATTTCGAGTCTCCGTTTCCTCCACTTTTGTCCGCTTTTGCCCACTTTAGGTACAGTGAGTATCCATTGAGTCCCCTTGTCAGCCCCGCATCTTGCTCGGCTGTTTACAATCGGCCGCTACCGTACCACTCGTTTACGTATCAGCCGACGTGGGATACAGATGCCGGGTTGATAAAGAGCGCATCCCCCCGAGTCAGGGGGACAATTCCTGCTTCTATCTCAACCCAGTTAATTCTCCAATACATCCATATTCGCCTATCATGTCCACCAAGACCCCTATTCTCACCGATAAGGCCCCCAAGCCTCTCCCTGGCATCTACTCCCAGGCCATTGTCGCCAATGGCGTCGTCTACTGCTCCGGTGCTGTCCCTATGGACGCCGCCACTGGCAAGCTAATTGATGGCGATGTTAAGGCCCATACTGTAAGAACCCAATCGAGTCAATTGATTCAATTGAATTGTTGTGCCTCATTCCCCGATTCAATGCTAATATCCTCACTCCAAATAGCACCAATGCATCAAGAATCTGACTCACATCCTCGAGGAGGCCGGCACCGACATTACAAAGGTGGTGAAGGTCAACGTCTTCCTGTCTAACATGGATGATTTCGCCGATATGAACTCCGTGTACATGCAATACTGGGGCGATGTCAAGCCCTGCCGGACGTGAGTTACCCCGCTCCTTTTTCCCTTATCGTTGGAGTCGTTTTTGGAGTCACTTTATTCCTGCGGCGGTGTGAACTTGCTATCGTGGCACTTCCCCTTGAAGCTTGCGCACGCATATGCATATGTATGCATCTGTGATATAACATGATTTGCTAACGTGGCATATGCAGCTGCGTTGCGGTCAAGACCCTCCCTCTTAACACCGATGTTGAGATTGAGTGCATCGCTGTGCTGTAAATTGACATGTTTTCGCAATTACCTATAGAAAAAATTATGAATGACTATATGACCTCTATTGTTTCACTTATATGCTTTGTTTTGATTTTCCTTCTATATTGAATGTAATGACAGTCCTAGTCCTGACGCGACTTTGTTTGCAGCGAATCTAGTTCCTCGTGTTGATGCACAGCGCGTGAAGCTCTCTAGTCCGCAAAAAAAAACATTCCTCAACACAAAGCGATCGAAGACACTTCATTCAGATGCCTGTCAAATGCGTCAGAATGTTGTGAATCTAGGTCGGCTCATTTCTCGTCCTTACTGACAAGGCCATCCCCCTTCGGATCACGTGGGGCGTTTATGGATGAACCTTTTTGGAATACACGCTCAAACAGTAAGCTAATCCCGTTTGTTGAGTTTCAATACAGACAGAACTCTCAAATTCATATCTTTGAAGACTTTCCAACCGCAAGTAAGTGAAGTTGTGGTTGTTGACCGCGACGTCATCGAGGGATCTAGGGCTGTGACTACCCACAAACCAACTCCTAACCCTTTAACATCCATCAAGGTCAAACCCTTCAATGCACGGAGAAATCATTACCGAACTACTAAATTCCTGGAAAATAAAATGAGCTTCATAACTTCCATTCTCAGGGACTGAAACGAATTGACGTGCGAACAGAGTGATCCACAGGGATAAGGCACATAAACCCTCCTTAGTCCTTAGCATTCCAATTGATCAAGCTAAGATGGACTACCTCGACAGAGGGGATCATCCTCGAGGCCTAGGATTCTTCTCATGCCCGCCCCTCGGGTGCTACATTCCACCCCTCCACACTTTATTCGCGTCGACGCGCTCCAGGGCGATGAACCCTCTATTAAATTCCCTTTTTAGTTCTGTCACGCTCCTCTCATCATTAACCATATGAACGCTCTTCACACTCTCGCTCATGATCTTTTAGTGTGACTGTAACTGGGTTGGACTTGGACCCGGCGCATCTAATACGCCTGTCCTTTGCTTGCGAGCTTGCATTCTCCCTTTCCCAGCTGCCGAGTTCATCAGACGGTTTCAACAAGGCGCCATTCTGCCTTGTCCGTCACTCAAGTCTTTGAGCTGTCGCAATCATGGCATCTGAGTTTTCAGCTACGCCACGGAAAGAAGGCAACTGGACAAAATTGGTTATCTTCATTGCGCTCTACGTACTACTTGTCCAGTCTATCTTGGAATGGGTGCTTGTGCTTTACCTTTACGGCAATGGCCAGGTTGACGCAAAGATGACTCCGAGTGTTGTGCTCGCATTGGTGGCTGTATGTTCTGATCAATACTGTGCATGTCGTACTTTCGCTGACATTTTTCTAGTCGTTCCTTTCCATACCGCTGGTCAGTCTACAGAGCCTGGTCGCCTGGCAGTACAACAATATTGGTGGATTTGGGACCCAAAAGACTGTCTTGCACAATGTGTGCACCTATGTTTTCCGATTGGATCTGATGCTTTGGCTTGCGACCAGTGTCGCTGGTCTAGTGGTCGCTGCGCAGCAGGTATACTGCCTTCCGACAGGAACAGATGCGACCTACTGGAGAGTTGGCGTGAGCTGTGCTTTCCACCGAGCATCTGTCATCGTATCAGTGACTTCAATGTATGTTGCACGCCAAATCCAAAATATCCCTTTCCAACTGACCATTCGCCTGCAGGGTTACTGTGTGTACCATGTACTGTGCAAGGGAGCTGTGCGATCGGCCATATGATGTTTCGCTTCTAGGCATCTACAGGCGCCGGGAAGTCAATCGTGACGGTAGCATCATCTCTGGAAATAGCTGGGATAGCGAAGAAACGCTCAAGAACGAAATTCTCCATTTATGTCGCCAACATGATGGGAGTGGGACCGGGGACTTTTGGTCTCTTGACCCTATTGCCAACAGGGTCAATTGCCACCCCAGCATCCGACACCCTGCCCCTGTTCGTCTGCGACCCCAGCTCCGTGTCAATACCGATCCCGGCTCGACCTATGGTGAGATTGTATCCGGGACGACCATTTCACCGGAGGACACCATCTATCGTATCTCACCTGGATCACAAAGCCTGGCTAGCGAGTTTTATCCTATCTCGCGTACTTCCACCGTATTGACCACGCAAACTGCCAACGAATTACGGGCTCTTCTATCCGATGCACCTGTTCCCAAAGTCCCTGCCATTCCTAAGCAATATGCGGGTCACAAGAGGGGGAAGTCGTCACTTTCTTCTTTGCGACGATTTCTTCCCAAGTCATTCCCACTGTCGCTGCCACTGTCATCGGATCCTCAAATTCGAGCTCTCGCAGACCCGAACACAGCTTCAGATGTCGAAAAGCAAGTGGTAACGCCCAACAGTATGCCAAGGGGCGTTTCTCAATCCCCAACATACGAGGTTGTTACAACCGGCACTCCAAACGCTTCTTCGATAACCCTACTCCAAACTACCGACTCTTCGAACCAACCCAAGCCAGAAGGCGGCCACGTCCGAACAATGACAATGAACTCCGCCGACGCTCCAGAAGTAGTCCCAACAGAACCCGAATCCCCACCGAAAGTGCGCCGCTCCCAAACAGCCTGTCCAATGCCCTCAGCTCGTTCAATCCACCACCCCCATCATCCCAACTTCACCCCAGGCCCACCCCCACCGCGCGCATACTCGCAGTCCTCCAGAAAATCCACTGGCCTTCAAATGCACCCAGTGCCCCAGCCCCAGAACACAACCCACTACCCCCCAGCCCGCAGCACAACCTACCACTTCGACCCCTCTCACGCCCCCCGCCACACCCAAAGCCAGTACCATCTCCACCAGCAAAGCCAGAGCCAGTACTTCCCCCAACCAAACCGCCGCTCAAGCCAACGCCGCTTCGATCCAAGGCGCTCAATGCAGCAGCCTCCCCGCCGCGACGACGTTGAATTCATCTACCCGAGTACCCGCCGTGCGCGCAGCAGCACCCACGGCGGACCCAGTGGCCCGCTCAGCTGTATTCTTGAGACGGCGTCGGTCCACCGTGCATCAGTCGACGAGCATTGCCCTGTTTCGGCGGTTTTCTCCGAGTTGCCGTCCAATCCGTCGAATCTGATTGATCAGGCGACTTACCGTGGTGCCAACCGCACAAGTCTGGGCATTTATTCACCTACATGAGTGTCGGGGATGTGGAGTGAGAAGAGGAGAGGACGTGTTAGTAATTGTGCTTGTCTGCTGGTCGGATGAGCTGTTGGATCTACTGTTTTGTTACTTTAATATTACATGACGTGTATCAGGAGTGGATAGTATGCCCTGGTATACAGTATGCTGGGGTGGGTTTAGGGTTGGGGTCTTTGTTGTGGTTTATTTTTATTTTTTGCTTTTGAAATCGCGTTACAGCTAGCTCTTAGTTGCTTAGTTACTTGATACCAAATTAACTCCATACTAGAATTGAGATTCTCGACCGGTAGTCACTTCAAGCTCGGATTACGGATGGTATTAGAGTTATCATTAGACACTTAGGACAAAAGATCAGTACAAGAATCCATTAGCAACTCGAAGACGAAACGAAACATTTGCCAAGTGGCAATTAACAAATTCGCAATTCGCAATTCGCAATTTATGCATGTCCATGTCAAAGGCAACGCCCAACACCGCTAAGACCAAAGATAAAAGACTCCAAAGCGAAATATCGTACACACTGAGAGCAGGACACTCGAAAGGTTATAGAAAGAAAGGGGAAATTTAATCCCTTGACTCGCCACTCCTAGACTTCTGCTTCGAGACATACTTATAGCGATAAGCCTGTCCACTCTTCTCATCCTTCCGACGATTCTCCTTCCCGCTACCCTCAGCAAGCGGACCAGGTCCACGGCCCACCTCCTTTTCGCCCCAGCTCATCATAAGGACCTTCGCCATGCGATCGCGCTCTTTGAGGAGGAGATCAATACGGCGCTCCCACTCGCGCTCGCGCTTGTCGACGGACAGCGCGATGCGGTGGTCGACCGCAGCGGCGGTTTCGTCCTTGGCGGCGATGACGGCTTCCAAGCGGCGAAGCTCGATCTTGAAGGATTTTTTGAGATGGGTTTCGGAGGTGGCTGAGGTTGAGCGCAGGGTTGCGAGGTCGTTGCGGAGGGTTGTTTCGCGTTGCTCGGCTGTTGTGAGGAGTTGGCGGATTTTGCGCATTGACTCTGCGTGCGAGGCGCGGAGGGTGGAGATTGATGTTGAGTGGGCGGTTTGCAGGCTGCGCAGTTGGGTCTGGTAGTTTGCTTCTAGGGATTTGGCCTGCTCTTCTTTGGACTGGGTCATGTCGTCTTGCGACTTGTTCAGAGCGGCTGTCAACTCGGTTACCCGGTTGGAGAGGCGCGAATTCTCGCTTTCGACGGTCGTGATCAGGGCCTGGGTTTCGGATTCTTGCTTGCGGAGACGGCTCACTTCAGCATCCGAGGCTTTCTGTGCGGCGGTTGCGTCTTGAACTTCTTGTTGCAATTTGGCTATCTCGATCTGGTGCGTTGTGCCAATATCAGGTCGTGGCGATTGCGGAGCGTGTTGGACGTCAGTGAATCTGTCTTTCGACAACGGTGACTGCGGTGCAGAGTCTGGATCGCCAGGGCCCAGGTCTTTGATCAAATCGAGAATTTCGCTGTAGGTGCTGTAGCCGCTAATAGGCAGATCCGCAGCTGCAGCCTTCAAGGCACTTTCTTGTGCTTCCATGTGAGACTGAACACGGGTAAGATTGGCTTCAAGTGTAGTATTCTTCTCTTCCAGAGGTCGGTTTCTTGTCTCCAGATCAATGAATCGTTCCTCGAGCACTTGATAGTTGTTCTGAGCACGTTCTAGCTCTGTCTCCAGCTTTTCATTTTCAAGGCCATAGTCGTCGATTTGGCCTTGGAGTCGATCAATCTCCGAGTTCTTTTGCAGTAATTGTGTCTCCTTGGACTGAGTCACTTCCTTGAGTTTTATGAATGTCTCGTCCAGTGTTTTATCTCGCTTTTCCACTTGCTCTTGGGAAATGGTAAGTTGTTGGCGCAAATGAGCGATTGTATCCAAGCGTTCCTTGTCCACATCACCCTGCGAGTTACGGGCTTGAAGTTGCTGCTGCATCTCGCGAATCTGTTCAAGGAGGGAATTTATATCCTTTTCGCTGGTAGATCGGTTCAAGCGCATTTCGAGATCTTCATTTTGTTTTTGGAGTGATTGGATCTGCTCACGAAGCTCGGCCTCTTCACTGCCGACTTGTTTCAGGAGCTCGTTCTTGCGCTGCAATTCCATCTGAAGGTGGCGGATCTGTTCCCCAGCAGAGACCGCTTCGAGAACTCGAGTTCGATTCTTTTGTAATTGATCCTCTCGATCGTTCAAGGTTTGTTTGAGTTCTTTAATTTGTTCCTGTAGATCATCGCGCTGCTCGTCAGGTTGGTGGCTAGAGGCGTCGGACAACTTGCGGACTGATGGGGATGCTGGATCCTGGGTCTCATCGTCGTCATCATCGGGGTACTCTTCGATATCCTCTAGGTGGTTGGAGCCCTTGGGAGGGGCACTGGGCCTCTGTAGTAGATGCGACGGAGTCGACATGTCTACCGGCGGGCCAAATTCGCTGTATGCTGCTGAATCTGCTTCCTCCTCAATCGCAGGTTGGTTCGACTTTCTGAACGGTCGACGAACTGTTCCGAAACCCACTTCGGCTTCATCCTCGTGTTGCTCTCCGTCCTCGAGATCACCCATCAAGTACTTTTCCATGTTGGCGGTGAAATCTTCCGGTCCTCCAACATCGGACAGCTGATCATTATCCTTATCATAATGTGGTAATGTGTCCTCATTCCCCTCTATAGCAAAATGTCCACTGGGGAAATCACCGAAATCCAATGTGTAATCGGCGAGGCGCGCATCAAGGTCTGAACCGGTTGGGCTTCTTGGACTTCCAGGGGCCGAGGGGTGTGACACATGCTGGTGTTCGTTCTCCAAATGGTCTTCGGCGTCACTGCCGTGGTCGTTGTTCGCATTTCTTTTATCCTCGACGCGCTCAGTCGCTGGTGTTTCGGCGGTTATGGGGGAGCCCAATGGGCTGGATTGTTGCGGTGGAGATGATGGCATAAAGAGAGGTGTCACTAAAGTTGACTGTCCAATGGTGTCATGGGAGGTGTGAAATGGCGAGGTATAACCGGCGTTCGCCATGGTTGCGCACGCGTAGTTCAATGCGCAAAGATGAGCGCTGGCTCAACAAGGTTAGGACAGCCAACACAATAGATATGTACCCAAAGGCAACACTGGATAGGAAAAATGTAAGTTGGGTAAAATAAAGTAATAAGAATAACAAATGCGAAGGGCAAAAAAGACAAGATTCAAAAGCTTCTCGCGATTGACGTGTGTCTCGACACCTGAGGCATAATTGTTTATCCACTTCCTGTTTGGGAATTTTATCTTTTCAACCTTTACTCAGTCCTTCGTTTCATATTGGTCGATATTGATATATTGAGATACTGATATTGTTTCATATTCATTGTCTTGCTTATTGAGGCTCCTCTATATCAAACACTTGTCTTCCACTCTTCAAATCCAGGTGGAACTACAGATGGCTCATGCGATCGGCCACGACGTTCGGCTTCTAGCTCAGTCTCCTCGTGCTCTGCAGATTTTCTCCGAGCGCGATGGCTTTTTGCAATATTCTTGAATCACACAATTGATCAATTTGAGTCGAAAATACTTTCTGCTCAGTCTTACCTGTTTCTCTGTATTTGTGCCATGGAATCCACCGCCTCGGGCTTTGCCACCTTTCTTGCCGCCCTTATGGCCGATTGCTACAAGCTCATCGTGTGGACGGTTCGCAAAGTTCCCGGGATTCGGATGTGCATGAGGTGGTGGTGCTGTAGCAATCCCTCGATTTCTCCATCCCAGATTGGTATATCGCGCTGACGAAAACAGTCGGAGAAGAGGCCGTGACATGACGCCGCTACGGCTGATTAATGCCATAGTGCGATTAATGAAATCAATTGATGTTATTTTAGAAACAAGTACGACTCTAGAAGAGAAAGGTCTCAAGTCACAAGGCAATTAGTCTTGCGGGTGGCCTGCATTTTATACATGGTTTCCAGATGGAACTCATTCTTGCCCCCTCCATCATCGGAGGCAATGGTGGCTAGAATCCTCTTATATCCATTCGCACGCCCGGCGAACCGCTATATGCTTGCTAATGGGATGCATATCATTCGCATATTCGTCAAACTAACCCACATTGATATCACTCTTCCAAATTCAATGAAGCTCGCAATAAATGCTGATATATGTAATTTGCTGGAGCACTGATCCGTCCCCTAGCCTTGATGTCAAACTCATACATAAGTTCTCCCATCAGCCGCCGAAACTACCCTGGATAAAACTCATAGGAATGAGATGCCATGATGTGCATGGCCTGAAAGAGTTGATTTTGTCCTAGTCAAATGTCTAGCTCCAGCACTCCTGCGGCTTTCTAAGGATAGACCTATGACCTATTTTTCTCTCTCTGGTCCTTATTTCACTGGCAACGAACTCCGGTTTGTCTATAGTCTTATCGACTGGAGATTTTGTCTGAATTGTTTGTAGCAATTCGAGATGTTCATTTCCCCAACCGAAAAGACTTTTGAAAGTACCTCACGATACACTTCATCCTGCATACAGAGCGGAACCTGCATGGTACCTGGATCGATGGGGGCAGACCATCATAAGCTGGGATATGATAGTCAAGGCCATTGGCGAAGGCATGTATTGCGAAGAAATCATATAAGACTACTACGAGTCTATCGAAGACCATCCCAATAACATTCTGCCTAGCCCTCTGTCTAGTTGATATTGTAGCCAGCAGCATCCACAATGAAAATTCTCTCTTCATATTCTAATACGGTCCGATTTTTATTTTCCCGAACTTTTGAGTCCTCGTGTTCTAGAACAAGTAAGCAGTCGATTGTCTAGGAAGGTGCATAGCAGGGGTCGGATTGAATTATTTCTAGAATTGCTGCCTGGAAATGCCTGCCTCAAGTATAACAGAGGTTATTATGGTAAAAAGAGGAATTCAAAGAGATATGCAAATGAACATGAAAAGAGATATCAAAAGAGACATCAAGTGAGGGAAAGAGAGATAGAGGGATTATAATTTTGATAATATATAGAAAGTACTCCGTACGGAGTGACTACATTGTTGTTGACTGTAGAAATGGTTAGATCATTCAATCCGACCCCTGGCCGCTAGTTATGCACCTTTGCAATTGTCATCTGATGGCGAAGGGCTCTGGAGACGACAACTTTTTAGGAATTTTTCCCTTTCGAGGCAATCACATACTCACAATACATCATTTGACTTTGCTTAATGATATCAAAACTCTACGAATGATTTAAAGAGAGTTCATACATTGCTGCTTTCTCGTAGCTTAGTAATAATATAGGCCGGGAGGTTTATCCCCGGTGTTCATCCCTACACTGTGTTGCTATGATATTCGCCGCATGATTTTGTTAATTTCCTTCAAAAACTGTGGTATAAAGTCGGAGTTCTCGAGTCTGCTTTTTGGTACGGTCTCTTAGCCATCTCTCTCTTGGCCATCGTTTTCTCTCTCTGGGGGCCAAGTTAGCTTCAAGTGCCCGCAGTCCCCACTTAAGCGCCATCTGCATCTCCCAAAGCAATACCCGTTTTAGAAATCCCAACAACCTTTCAAGCCTCTATTGAATTCATTTCTATCAACATGCCTCCTATCCGAGGCGGCCTCGGCGAGCGCCCGCGAGTGATCTTGTACCACCAAACGCTCATCCCAGGCGGGGGTCAATATGTTTCAATGCTCCCGCTCGTGGAAAACAACACGGGAATCACGCATGTTATTATCGCTGCCTTCCACCTGAATGAACAACCAGAAGCCATCACTCTCAATGACGATCCTCCAGATAGCTCCATATTCGACCCCCTTTGGGCCGAAGTACCCCTTATGAAGCAGAAAGGTGTCAAAGTGATGGGCATGCTAGGCGGTGCCGCGCCAGGCTCTTTCACACGACTCGACGGCACCAGACAACAATTCGAGCTGTATTATTATCCGCTTCTGACCATGATCCGCCGCCATGGTCTGGACGGCATCGACCTCGATGTAGAAGAGGCGATGTCTTTGCAAGGTGTGATCAGGTTGATCGACCGTCTCAAGGCCGATCTGGGCGATGAATTCATCATCACCCTGGCTCCTGTGGCTGCTGCATTACTCGGTATAGGGAACCTCTCGGGCTTCGATTACCGTGAGCTCGAGCAGGCTCGTGCTTCCAAAATCAGCTGGTACAATACCCAATTTTACAATGGCTGGGGCGTCGCCGAGGATCCGCGGATGTATGCTACGATGATGGCACAGGGGTGGTCGGCACGACGGGTCGTATATGGCCTGCTGACCAACCCAGGTAACGGGTCACAAGGCTATGTGTCAGAGGAGAAGATTGGACCCGTTCTGGCAATGTTGAGAGAGCAGTTTCCTAATTTTGGTGGTGTTATGGGTTGGGAGTACTACAATGCGCTTCCTGGAGACACAGCAATGCCGTGGCAGTGGGCTACTCAGATGTCCCTGAGCATGGGTATGAAGGATTTGGTTATAGCGACGCAAGAGCTCATGTCGGCAAGTCCAATGGCGAGCAGTCTCAATAATTTGTTGCAAGATATGATGAATCAAAGACGGCGATAAAGTAAATAGCAATTTAGAGAAATCATGAGTAATATATATATTATGAAGCATTAGCAGGACCCAAATGCATTGATGCCAAGAGCGGGATGCCTGGACCAACCAGACTACGTCATTGAATCAAAACAACAACTTCTATCTTCTTTCTTCTTCGCTTTTGTTTTCTCCTGTAATCTGCGTGTCATTTTTGAAGCATGTGTTGATCGCCAATAAACTCATTGTTGTTGGTCCATCTTGCACCATGACCTCTCTGCGGCGTATTGCTGTAGCCACCAGTTCGGCAACCATCCGGCTGACAGCTTTTATGTTTTTGAGATGGGTATGAATCCAGTGCCAATATATGCTATTACATTATATTGACATCATTTCAGATTCCTGGTCATCATTTTGTGCCACTTATATTCACCTCGCTGGTGGTGTATCTGTCGTCGATCGCCTCCTTGGTCGGGAACCCCCAGCCTCGTGAATACCAGACCAACGGAGCCCAAAAAGGATCAACCAGTAAGACCGCATTACGAATATTTTTAAAGGCCTCAATTTCTGATACTCGACACTCACAGATCGAAAGCAAGTCCCTGGCCAAGCTAAAGCCGGTGATTCCGTGCTCAAGACCCTATTTGGAGGGCTGCCTCATGCTGGTTCAAAATTGCTAACAAGAACGACTATTGTGATTAATATTGTACTGGCACTGTTGGCTCTTGACTTTCTGACTCGTGGATATTTGCTTTATCCCAATGACAACATCGCATTCTCACGTATTGGATATGTCTCCCCGACCACTGCCAACTTGGTCTTACGCGAACCAAACTCGGCCCATTTGCCGGTGACAGTCATGTATCAAGAATCTGCCGATAGCTCTGGAGATTGGTACGAAGAGGGTATTGTTTACAAGTTGGATAACAGCACTGACTTTACTACCGCGGTGACCATAAACGACCTGAAACCCTCAACACAATACCGCTATTTGTTGTCCAACAACAAGTCTGGAACATTCATCACTGCACCAGAGCCCGGCTATCCTGAAGCGAGTCGACTTTCTTTTGTCACATCGAGTTGCTTGAAGCCAAATTTCCCTTACAACATCCTGTCACATCCATTACGTGTCCCAGGCCTCGAGCAGATGACCGAAGCTCTTGCCAAACTACCCGAGCTACTTCGCCCGGCATTCATGCTCTTCCTGGGTGACTTTATCTACATCGATGTTCCCTACCGGTTTGGGTCATCCATGTCCCACTATCGCAGCGAATACCGCCGGATCTACTCTTCCCCGTCATGGTCACACGGGTCCACAGATAACCGCGCCATCGATCTCCCCTGGCTGCATACACTAGACGACCACGAGATCGAGAACGACTGGTCCCAGGGAAACAAGACATCCCCATATCCCGAAGCAGCAGATCCATTCATCCACTACCATGTGCGAGCCAACCCACCTATTCCAACAACCCCGTTCGCCCAACCCGACAACGTAACCTACTTCTCCTTCGCCAACGGCCCAGCCTCATTCTTCATGCTGGACACACGCACCTACCGCACAGAACCATCCCAGGAAAACTCCACCATCCTCGGCCACGCCCAGCTGCAATCCCTGCTCACTTACATCTCAACACCAGAGCAGCCAGGCATCCACTGGAAAATAATATCCTCCAGCGTACCATTTACTAAGAACTGGCATGTCGGCACGACAGATACATGGGGCGGCTTTTTGGGCGAGCGACGCACCGTCTTCGAAGCAATGTGGCGCGCTGAGCGAGACCTCGGTATCCGCGTCATCTTGCTCAGCGGAGACAGACATGAATTTGGCGCCACAAGATTCCCTGATCCTGCTCTGAACCTCTCTATCAAAGATCTGCAGCCTAACACACCCGGCACAGGTCTGCATGAATTCAGCGTTGGCCCATTGAGCATGTTTTATCTCCCGATCCGCACTTACCGTCAGACAGACAACGAGGATGTCGCGGTGAAGTATGTGCCTGAGGGAAATAGCAAGTTCGGGCTTATTGATATTGCTGATGATGTCGAGGATGTGGATCCGGATGCTGAGGCGCCGGTTCCTGTTCGCAGCTCGGTGCTTACTTACTCGCTCTATGTCGATGGTGAGGTTGTCTGGAGGTATCGTCTTAGTGTTCCGCTGGATCGCGATGCGGTTGCTCATGCCTCGTTGACGGATTCTGATAAGGCCTCGCGTCTTCCGTCTGGCCGTGTGCTTGAGGATAAACTTCCGGACTTGAGTTGGAACGCTGTGTTGGGCAGTGTTGTGGGACGGGTGCCAGAGTTGTCTAAATGGGTTGTTGGCAGATGTCAAGACACCTACTTTGACCTTGCGGGTCGAGTGCTTAAGGCCGAGCGACTAATTGACTAGGTGGTTTCTACGGTTCTTTCCCTTAGACCATGAGCCTGATTCAACGGAAGACTAATACCAAAAGGATATTTAGATGTAAGATAGCATAAAATTGGACGAGATGATCTCAAAACAAATCGAAGTTCCATTTTCAGGATGGTATATGTGATAGTGATAGGCTCATTACCCAATTTGTTCTCATGTACAATATAGCGCATAATGCGAAGAGCAACAAGAACGCCAAACACCAGCCCGAATGCTAAGTTGATGAGCCAGCGGTTCGATGAAGAAGAAAGAAGACAAGCAAGAAAACATCAAGAGCTGAACTTAACGTCCTCCTCTTCCACGTCCACCACCACCGCCACCCATTCCGCCCATCATCCCGCCCATCTGGCTCATTAGGCTTTGCATATCCATGCCGCCAAGGTTAGGCATACCGCCACCTCCACCTCCCATCATCTGCATCATCTTGGCCATATCAGGCATACCGGGCATTCCGCCGCCACCGGCACCACCCATGGACTGCATGCGCTTCTGCATAGCAGCCATCTGCTGGTCCTTGTTTCCGCCCTTCATCATCTTCTGGGCCTGCTGCATCTGCTTCTTCTGGCCGCCGACACGCTTGGCCATACCGGCCATCATGCGGTGCTGGGAAAGCACATCCTCGACTTCGCGAACAGTGGTTCCACTGCCGTGGGCGATGCGAACCATACGGCTAGGCTGCTCGACAAAGTTCTTTCCATCGCCGTCCAGCTCGGCTGCGGTCATGCTGTCGAAAATGTAGATCATGCGGCGCAGCTTCAGGGAACCATCCTCATCGTCCAGACCCTGGGTCATGTTCGACAGACCGGGAATCATGCCAGACAATTTGGAAAGAGGGCCCATCTTCATGATCGATGTAATGTTCTCACGGAAATCGCGCAGCGTGTAAATACCTTCCGCGATGTGCTTGTATGTTTCCTTAGCACCGGCAGAATCTTTGGTCATGGCCTGCACGTGCTCAACCAGTCCGGCGACATCACCCATACCCAACAGCTTCTGGACGAATGCGCGGGGCTCGAAACGCTCGAGGTCCATCATGTGCTCACCGGTACCCAGGAAGATAATGGGGGTGTGCGTAGCAGCGACAGCAGAGATGGCACCACCACCAGCGGCATGGCCATCGGTCTTGGTAATGATGATAGCACCGAAGTTCGCGGTGGCCTTGAAAGCCGAAGATTGAGCCTCAGCGGCCTGACCGATTGTACCGTCCAAGACAAGGATGGTCTGGTCTGGCGTGACAGCGTCCTGAATCTGAGTCATTTCCGAAAACAGCTCTTCCTCCTGTCTGTGACGACCACTGGTATCAACAATGATGATATCAAAGCGCTCCTTCTTGAACTTGGCCACACCCTCAGCGGCCACGACGGCAGGATCCGTTTGTGTCAAACTACCGTAGTATGGGATCTTGGCCTTGGTGGCGTTCTGCTTCAGCTGGTCAAAAGCACCAGCACGGAAGGTATCCGCGCAAACCAGAGCTGTCTTGAATCCTCGTGTCTGGTAGTGACGGGCCAGTTTCGTACACGTCGTCGTCTTACCAGCACCCTGCAAACCGACAAACATGATGACATTGGAGCGGCCCTTCTTGGGACGGAAAGAGTCGGCATGGGGGTCGACCAATTTCACAAGCTCATCGAAGACCGTCTTTTGAATCAGTCGCTTCTTGTTCACTGCTGTTGGGATGGAGGCGAAGTTCACGCTGGCTTTGATCGATTTGCGCAGGGTGCCCACGAGACGGACGTTCACATCGGCGGAGAGGAGAGCGGCGCAGATTTCCTTCAGCATATCATCGAAAGCCTGGACATGGATTAGCAGGTCGTCTTGCGAGCACACAGCGATTGGCATACCTTCTCATCGAGGTTGTTGGACCTTGTCAGGTCATTGACGGCGGAGTTAATTCGCCGCCCCAGATCTTGAAGAACCATGGTAAATTTTTGCTTAGAACAAAAGTATCAAAGAAAACGAAAGTAGCGATCGACGTAGTAATCTTTGATTTCTCGAAGGAGGAGGGGTGGTGCTGGCCATCGAAAGACCAGAGAGGCGATGCGGAGGAACCAATCGGAGAGCCCATTGCTCTTACCGCCCCCAAACCACCGCAAAAAAAAAGTTGATACGGCTCGTTGAGATCAGCGCAATCTTTCTATCTTACTTCAATTTCTACCATTCCGCAATTTTATCACAATGCCTCCTGGTTTTTCCAAGAAGCGCAAGGTCCTTGATGGCCTCAAGGGCGAGACTGGCCGCAAGAAGAAGTTTGTGAAGCAAAAGTTCTACCACAGCAGCTCCGAAGACGAGGAAGACGATGATAAATTCAATGCCGTCAACCTCGGAGACTCAGACGAGGAAGGAGGCGTCAAAGTGAAGAAACCATCGACTCTTGACATCCGTATGGAGAAAGCGAAGAAAACCAAGGAAGCACCTGCACCGGAACCGAAAAAGTCAGACGCCAGCGACTCAGAGTCCAACGAAGAAGACGAGGAGGAGCAGGAAATCGAGCTAGGCTCCGATGATCTTGAGGATGATGATGACGACGAAGTCTCTGGTTCAGACGATGAGGACCTCTCCGACTCAGGCCCTAAGGCTACAGGCGCCAACCGCGGCCGTGCCGTCCCCAAGCGCAACGACCCCACCGCATTCTCGACCTCCATCTCCAAAATTTTGTCCACAAAACTTCCTACGTCCGCAAGGGCTGATCCCGTGCTCTCACGAAGCTCATATGCCTCAAAGCTCGCTGCCGAGGCCGCAGATGACAAGCTCGACAAGGCTGCGCGGGCTAAGATGCGCGCTGACAAGAAGGAGGAATTGGACCGCGGTCGTGTCCGTGATGTTATGGGTATCAAGAGAGGACTTGCTGGTCCCGTCGCTGAAGAAGAAAAGCGCGTGCGCAAGATGGCTCAGCGCGGTGTTGTCAAGCTGTTCAACGCCGTGCGTGCGGCTCAAGTTCGGGGTGAAGAGGCGGCCAAGGATGAGCGCAAGAAGGGCACAATTGGTATGGGAGAGCGGGAGAAGGCCGCTAATGAGGTTAGCAAGCAAGGATTCCTTGAGCTGATCAATGGAAAGAAGGGAAAGCCTTTGAACATCGAGGAGGCTTGATTGCTGGATCTACGATTACCCATGGCATGTTTCTGGCGTTCGGAGACTTTTTTTTTGTTATATACTCTTTTCTGCACTGTAATAAAAATTGCTTATGTGGAAAGTTTTGTTTATTTTGTACAGGAGAGTTTCATTTTGCGATTCCGTGCAAGATTACTAGATGTATCTGATTTATAGTACAGTACAAAGTCCCATTAGGAACGATAGCCAACCGGCTGCCCAGGTATGTTGAAATGGGTCAAGGTTTTTGGAGGTTCAGGGCAATGCCTCCCAGAATTTTCGCTGATAAGTTTATTTCGATTCAAAGTCGCTTGCTTGCAGATTTCGCGTCATGGTAGGCAGTCGCACGACCAGCCCATCGAGTTCCTTGGTCATGATCACCTGGCAACCCAAGCGAGAGGTCTCGGTAAGGCCAAAGGCCAAATCCAGCATGTCATTCTCGTCGTCTGATGGCTCTTCCATCTTGTCAAAAGTATCCGGGTCATCCACGATCACATGGCACGTTGAGCAAGCACAAGATCCTCCACATGCACCTGTTGAGGGAAAATGTCAGTTGTATATCGAAAGCCGATGATTGGCTCGACTGACCTTCCATCTCGAGATCATTTGCCTGTGCAATGTCTAGTAGGTTATCGCCCTCGGCAACCTGAAGGTCGACCCTAGTGCCATCCTTGTCGATAAAAGCAATGTTGATTCTACAGGCTCAGTTAGCATACGGCCCACTGAGCGCAAGAAAAGCGCTTTCCGGTAGGCTTACTCTTCTCCGGCCTTTGGCGGCGTGATATGACCGTGCGCGGCTTGTGCGGACACAGAGAAAGCACGACGGGCTGCATTATATCCTTGCCATGGTGACTGAAGACTCCGGTGCGCGGTGTTTGAGCGAGGCTGTGTTGTGATTCCGGTGTTGGTCCATGTCCTCGAGGAAAGGTATCTCCGCGTTTGAGTCAAACAGATATCGGTTTTGGGTACACGGCGCAATTGCAAGCCGACTTCTCTCCAGAAAACCATTTTGAATGTAATTAAAACACCAAAAGACAAAGGGGAATTGAAGCAAAAGAGTAAAAAAGAGGATCCGGGGGAAGTTGGGAGGAGAGCAATTGATCGTCCAATGGCCGCGGAGGAAAAAAAAAGACAAAGGCGGCGTCGGACATTCCAACTGCTCCTCCCGTTCTTCAATTCCCCGAGCTCTCTATTCACCCATCATTCATCATGGCGAATCGTGAAGGGATCAATCCCTTGCGGCCTTACTATATCCCCCCATCTGGCTTATCGCCTGCTTCAAATGCGCCTCCCGAAGTGGCGTCGCCATCATCGGCTCAGGTGTTTGGCAGCACGGCGCGCGACCTCATCCCGGACTTAGGCTATGCCGACTATTTGGATGCCTCTCCCTCTGTGTCCGACTGGGTTCGCGATGCTTTGAACGGGGCACTAGTGCGCTACACTAAAGTCCTCACTGCCCAGCCATTTGATGTTGCCAAAACCATCTTGCAGGTGTATGTCGTGCCTGACACCGCAGATGAAGAGTGGGATCAGAAACCGCCACCGGGTACCGAAGGAAGCTCTTACAACTCAGTAAGGATAGCCCTTTCAAGTCTCATATGAAGCTCCGTTGCGTTTCCTACTCAATAGCTAATCCGAATGCGTATAGGAGTCAGAATCATCTGATGATGAAAGTAGCTACTTCACCTCAGCGGCCCCTCACACCCCGACGCCGAGTACACCTCGATCTCGCAGATCACGACACCACATCACCGACCGAAGTGGTTATATTCGGCCAGAGTCTACGGCAAAGCCTCAACATGCCTTGACTGTGAAAAACCCGAACAGCCTTACAGAAGTTCTTTCTCAACTTTGGACTTCCAGTGGCCCAACCTCCCTTTGGAAATCCTCCAACGCTACATTCATTTACTCCCTGCTCCTCCCGACTTTAAATACATTCATCCGCAGTCTTTTATCAGCAATTGTCGGTCTACCAGAAGAGGACTTTTCCTCGTCTATGACGGCCGACATTCTGACCGTATCTTCGCCCTTGGCGACGCTGGTTCTCTCATTCATTTCATCCTCACTATCCGCCCTGATCCTGGCACCTATCGACACAGCTCGCACATTCCTGATGCTCACACCCGCCACACATGGCCCGCGGTCCCTAATCCGAGCTATCCGTCAGCTCCCAACCCCAAACTCCACGATCCCCTCGCACCTCGTCCCAATCACCGTGCTGCACTCGAGTCTCCCCAACTTTATAATGACCTCGACCCCACTCTTCCTGAAATCATACCTGTCCATCGATCCCCTCCTCAATCCAAACACTTGGAACCTTTGCGCATTCCTCAGCTCAGGCCTCGAACTCGCCGTGCGATTCCCACTAGAGACCGTGCTTCGTCGTGCCCAGATTGCTACCTACACATCCCTGAGCCTACGCCAGAAGTCTTCCGCCGGCAGCATCCGCGCAGCATCTATTGATGCCTCCGATGTAGAGACTATCGTCCCTACACCCCGCACCTACCGTGGTATCATCGGTACCATGTGGCACGTCGTGTACGAAGAGGGTGTTAGCTCCACACCTTCCGACACAGAGCGTGCCAACCAGCTCCTCGGCAACCCCTCTTCCAAGCAAAATCGCCAGAAGCGGCAGCAGGGCCAGGGCATCCAGGGCTTGTACCGCGGCTGGCGGATTGGTATGTGGGGTATTGCCGGTATCTGGGGAGCCAGTTTGCTCGGCGGAGTTGCCGGTGGCAGCGAAGACGAAGTGACGACCAAGGGCGGCCACGGCCGCTCCAGCGGTGGACGATTCTAATCGAACCTACCTAGCTAAGCTACGTTTTGGGGGAAATTCATGAATTTGCACATGAATCCCCCCCCCCCTCATTATCTCTCAAAGACTACAACCAGTCTCCCTTGCGTCATCTTGATCAATTCCGCAATCTCCTTATAGGCGAAGAGCTTGAATTCCCATCAAGTAGATTGGCAACATCAGCCATTTCTCCATGCGCGCGTCTTTGTTTTCGTTCTCCACTCTCTGCTCCCCTCTTGTCTACATTTATACCCCAGGGAAATGCATCCAGGGGTAATGGCGATCGGCGTGATTTATCTTGATTTGGTTTCTTGCTCCCCATGTATAAATCCTCTCTCCCCACATAGCTATCTTACGAGATGCAAGTCAGTGGTCCAGTATCGGCAGCTGGGTATTTAATTAAATTCACGATTGATCATTGCTTTGGATCTCAACGGGTGTAGACATGCGTTGTAGAGCTGGAGAAATCCATTTTGAACAATAATCACAGAATTCTCACCGAGACTTTGTTGGGTGATGCTGTAGTGAGCTCAAATGGGGGTTTGGAATTACTTTGGATCCTTGGTGGATCTACATATACCGTAGTTATTTCTAGCCCTAAATGGCACATTGCAGTTGTAGTACTATCGTTCCATTCATAATAAAACCACGTTGTACACATAATAACCCTTGTCAATAAGAGAAACGCCGCTAAAATCCTAAATCCACCCGTCTAACAGAAGGCAAGATAATCGAAACAAAGGGACCACCAGATCGACCACTGACCATTGAACATCTTCATAGCGGCCAGGGGTCTCTGCACCAGATATGCCAGTGAGATCGAACGACAAAAAAAAATGTTGTGCTTTTGGGTAATGGAGGTCAAGGCGAGGCAGTAAAGCCCAATCCCGTTCTCCGGGGAGGGGAGAAAACGGTATAGTGTAAGAGACATTAATTGCCAAACAAGTCCGTATGATCGTATATGGAGCGTCCGGGTGGGGTGAGGGTATGGGTATCAAAAGCGATCCCCGTGGGGACAGGAATCAGAGAACGCAAGCAAAAACAGTCTTATTTTTCGGCGAAGCGCCGGTCGAAGTACCGCAGCACGCCCATGACGCTCGCAGCCTCGACTTCCATGGCAGCACGGCTGTCCGGGGGAGCGAGGTCACGGGGGTTAGGGAGTGTGTGGAGCTTTGGTAGCCAGGAGGAGAGCTCGTCGCTGGCGCGATTGAAGTTTGGGTGGCGGGAGAGGGTGGTGAAGGCGTCGGCACAGCTGAGCGTTAACTCGGAGGGCGAAGCGGGCTTGGGTGCGGGAGGTTGCGAAGGCAGGGTGGTGTTGTTACGCGAGAGGGTCGTGGTGGTGGGGGCATTTCTTGACATGCAACATCCGCCCTCCTTTCCGCCGCCTCCGCAGCAGCCTCCTCCCGATGGAGTGCCGCTCGCTGACCGGGAGGCTGCCAGCGTCTTGCAAAAAAGGGTGCTTCGGGGGTCGGCAAGACACTGGGCGCAGGTGCCTGGGCCATTGGCGCAGGGGTTGGTCGCTTGGGTTATGGATGGGAGAGTCACTTCTGAGCGGGCGTCTCCCTCGGATGGGGGTGGGGTAAATTGTGAGATGGATTGGATTGGGGCGAGACGGTTGGTCTCGAAGGTACGGCTTCGCTGCTGCTCCTGTGCCGCCATCTCGGCACAGATACAGGGGGTACCGTCCTGGCAGAACCCGCAAGGATCGACGGGTGGCGAGGACACATCGTGGGACTGAGCTGGTGCACTGGAGAACTGCGCGGTGAAATCGATTTCCATCTCTTCCGGATCGGGTTTGATGTCGGGGTCTCGAGTATCGCGTTCGGGACTACCCACTCCGTGGGGTGGATGCCTGCTCGCACGAGATGACTCGTGGGTATCGATCGGCATGCCGAATGCATCTTCAATGCATTGACAGTGCGAGCTAGAGCAATTGTTGCAGCCCAGAGGGACATCCATATGTCCGTCTTCTTTGTTACGGTCGATGTTGGTGCGTTGAACATCCTCCATTCGTGAACTCCTGGTCTTGCGAGGCGGCAAGGGCACAGAGTCAGGAATAGCAGTGACTTTGGTGACAGTAGTACCAGAAAGAGAGGATCGGAATTCCTTGACAAGGGTCTCCTTTGCGCTGCGTTCGATGGCTACCTCCTTCTCCAAGGCATGGCATCGGTCGCGCCACCAACCCATCTCCTCACGGCATTGATCGATCTCACCAGAGAGATTACCGATCTGCTGCTGGAGGTTTGCCACTTGAATATCGTGGCTATCTTCAATTTCCTTCATTTGCTCTTCGAGTTCACTAACGCGGGCGGCCCGGCGTTCACGGAACGCACGCTGGGCAGCGCGGTTCTGGGCCTTGCGCTTAGTCGGCGGGGTGTCTGTAGCAGGCTTGCGGCCAGGCTTAGGGCGCGGTGGGATGACCCATTCTTTCGAAGTGATAGAGCCGGGGGTACCTGGTCCTGGAGATGGGGCCACAGAAGCCTTGCAAGCTAGTGCGGGCGCGGGTGCTAGAGCCAGCGCAGGGGTTCCAGCCAGAGCTGGGGTCATAGACACACCATGGGTGGCCATTTTGACACCAAATTGATGTTCAAATGCTGGTATGAAGTCAGTTGAGAATAGCTAAAGTCGGGCGTGTTCGGGGACGCACGAGCCGTTTCTCGGTCGGAAGAGCGGAAGTGTGCTCATGCGAGCCGATAAGCGAGAGGGGCCACTTGGGAGAGTGAACAAGAAGCTCTAACTGTATGTGTATAAGTCTATTACAACTTAACAGAAGAAGAAGATGATGGTGAAGAAGAAGCAAATCAGTTCACGATAATTTAAAAGGCAGAAAGGCAGAAAAGAGAAGAAGGGAAATGGGGAAAGAAAAGATGATCAGATTAGATTATGTGCTCACATGATTCCGGTTTCGGATGTCGGGTTTCGTATACTAAATGGTTTCTCTTTACCTTCTTTTTTACTCTTCTTTTCTAGGGATTTATTCTCAAATATTACAAATTTACTATTGGTTCAAATTAATTTTGAACTAAGGATCCCATTGGAAAATTTTTATCTGATCCGACCCCAGGACTTTATGTGGAGTTGGTTCCGGGCAAGCGTTGGTGGGCTGACGCAAAGTATATAGTATTTTTGACTCTCTACACGCTAGTAGGGTATTGACGAGATTTCCCTCCCAAATTGCCATTAATTGTCAATGCTTTTCTTCCAGCCTAAGCTTTCATCGAATTTAACATCTACATATTGTGAACGGCCATCGGTAAATGTAGCCGGTACATCATACATAACATTTGCGCATCAATTCGCACATCAATTCGCAATCCTGACTTTCCCCCTGCAGTTCACCGTCCACCCGTCCCGATCATCTATGACTCAATAACAGGCGACACGGATCAGATTATTCCACGGCAAAATTTGCTCGAAGTGGAGTGTCTCGTCAATCCAGTGACCATGGGTGGGCACAACGAGTGCCCCCTACCTTCCGGTCCAGCTATTACCTAGCAGAAACGGCGATTAGACCAATGAAAAGATGCCAATGCGCAAAAGAACTTTTCCCGGGGACATTCAGCAGCGGTGAAGGGTATGGATCGACAAGGGAATCGAATCCCGTAAGGCCGTCTTCGGTCTGATCTTATCTGATTGTCCTAATTCTGCTTCTTTTTCGTGTGCCACTGGTTGAGCAGGTAAAATTGGAGAACGGCCAACAGTTCCTAGTTTTTGTTTTCCTTTTTGGATAACAAAACTCGCTCTTTTCCTCCAATATTGTAAAGTCTCTCCGAAGGTTGCCAAGCACTCCACATAGCAAATTCTTATCAATCAGTGGATTCTTCCTAACCTCACGCCGCGCGGAAGCCGAACAACGGAATTCTCGCATACATGGCCCGATCTGGAGATTTTCACCGTCGTGACATTTGAGACTTATTAGTGACGTATCAATGAAGGTGTGAAAAGTGGAAAGCGTGGTAAGAAGTCGCCACTATTGGATGCGTTCGCTTTCCGGTGCTAGCCATCGCCTTTAAAGGCCCTTTTCGGTGGTGATCCGAGGGAAATATCCACCATACCTGGTCATCACTTTTGGCTTGTCTCAATGTGGTATCTTGCACGAATTGAGTCTATACAGATGGCCATCATCTCTGAACAATTGGCTGTCTCGTTCGGAGTCAAATAAACATATATTGTTGTAGAGCTACGATTTGTCTCTCGACCCATTACAAACATGGGTGAAATATAATAGAGACTGAAAATTTGGACGATTCCGATCAATCCCGACTTAGCTTCTGCACCCTCTAAAGTCTACGAGGTACCATCTCATCTGCAAGGGATGTGGACACCATATGAACTGAAATGTCGCCTCTCTTGCCTTCGGGTGCCTGTATTATTTCTCAGTTTTAGGAAAGAGATTATGTTATGATCTCAATAAGCTAAATTCATGGGTACCTCCCATCCCATGCTGATCATGTTGCATTTGGTGGGTTCGGCTTTCATTAACATCGACATTCGACATTGAATGAGGCGGGTGGAGGCTCACAATGAATTTCTCGCCATACCCAACATAATAATGACTTAAGTTTGGTTCCTTCAGGTTTCGTTCCATGAATTGTGTCATAAAAGCTTTTTTTGGTACTCGATATACACTAACTCGTCAAAATTGATATGTTAGATCACAGGTTCGTGAGCCGAGGAGCCCCGTCAGCTACAGGGCCGGAGTGCTTAGTCTGCACAAAGACCTTCTGCATTCCCATCTCTCGTTTGCTAAAGACGTCATACAGCTTATCCATATCTTCCAAACGGACCCGATGCGTCACCATAGCCAGTGGGTCAATCTCTCCCGTCTGGATCAGATGCATGAGGTGCTCCCAATACTTCTGGACAGGAGCCTGTCCATTACCACAGAGATGGACACCAGTTTGCATCAAAGCCCCGATGTTAAAATGATTTGTCTGAGAATAATTGTTAGCTCTTTCCCAAGTCTCCGTCCAAAGTGAACTCACATATCCAGCATAGACACCCGTCACACCCACATGTCCAAATGGGCGAACGGCAGTGATCATCTCATTTAGAATCTCTGAAGTATCCGTCTCCATCCCCAACATTTGCTCAAAGTAATGCGCCCATCCTTTAGCATATTCACCCGCCGCACACTCCAACGCGACGTCCGGTCCTCCATCAACCATTTTCTGCAACTGGGACGTCACAGACTCACCCTTCGGCAGATCAGTGAAGTTTATGGTTTCAAGTTTTGGCAATTTCGTCTTCACAAATTCCAATCGCCATGCAGCATCGCCTCCATCGATGAGGATCACCCGACTAGCCCCATGATAGAAACTATACTGCGCGCACATCTGTCCGATCGGCCCGGCACCCCAAATCGCAACAACATCCCCTTTTTTGACTCCCGTGTCGACGACGCAGTGCCAAGATGTCGCTAGGACATCTGATACATAGAGCGCCTTCTCATCTGGGACGTCGTCTGGGATAGAGAGCAGGTTCACGTCGCCGTAGGGAACGCGAAGATACTCGGCTTGGCCGCCGGCAAAGCCACCCGTGAAATGGGAATATCCAAACATGCCTATCATCGAGTTAACATAGATATCAAAGCAGAATGAGAAGTTCTCGTGCTCACTTACCTGCGGTTCGTTTGCCGTACAAGGCGTTGGTGAGTGTGTTCTCATTGGTCCTATCGCATTGAGAGAATAACTCTCTCTGGCAATTCCTACAAGTTCCACAAGCAATTGGGAAAGAGACAACGACGCGTTCTCCGACTTTGACTTTCTTGGAGTCCGGGCCAACACTTTCCACAACTCCACAGCATTCATGGCCGAGCACATCGCCTTTCTGTAATTGGGGGATTGTGCCTTCAAACAGCACATTTGAGTTAGTCTTTTTGGGCTTCGCTGATCAGGGTGCAGTTCATACCATGATATAGGTGCAAGTCACTGCCGCAGATGGTGCTTCCTGTCACCTTGATAACTACATCACCGGGGTCGATGACCCGCGGCTTGGGCATTTCCACTGATGACGGCTTGTTAGTTCAGTGCACGGATAAGGTCGCCATGCAGAACATGATCATGTTTCACTTACCCACTTTGACTGTGTTCTTGCCCTGCCATGTAGTGGCCTGGATTAACTCGCCAGTCTCTTCTCCAAACTCGTTGTTGTAATTCGAGACGTCAGTGGTTATGGTCGCATTGTCACCATGGCCAATGACTTTCTCGACCAAGTTTGCTGCCTGTGTAAAGGCCATTGTGTATAATTTTGGATATGATGGGTTCAATGGCGATTCGAAATCTGAGATGTATATTTCAGTTGAGCTGTCATCGAAACACGAACGAGGGCTCCACGCACGGATTTATAATTAGCATCTGAACAAAAGCGCCTTCATTCACATTGATAACCCTGTAATATTCCTTGATAGTTCATGTAAAACTCCAGGCTTTGGTGACATACTTGAAATTGACATCACTATGATGTCGGGCTTTCCATCCTATTGATTGGTGAATGCCGCAAGCTTTGTTACAATAGGAATCATGTGGATACGTAACCTTGGAAGGATAACGCATTGACTACATACCTAAGAGGGGCGGTCATGACGATAGACCGATGACTAAGGACCATGACTAAGAGCGATGAAGCATGTAGTAACTAAGCCTAGGAATCTATCATGTCTGCCCGGGCGAGAAGATGATCGACTGTGCTCAGTAGTCGAATGAAACGAAAAACCATGAACTCGTTGTTAAACGACTATTCTTTAGAAATTGTAGGAGCTAAGAGAGGTTAAATCCGAACTTAGTTTATTAATTCTTTCAGCGAGTTCTATAGTTTTACGAATATTCGCCGTCGCTGTCCTCGTCGGAGCTTAAGGAACTTAAACTTAGTGTTCTAGGTAGAGGTATGAGATACTTATTCGTAGTATTTACTTCAGGATCGGTCGGACCTATGTTTAATTAAGGATCCGTTGGGCTTATGTTAGCCTAGAGCTAATTTTGATTTCTCCGTTGATTCTTCGCTTTGTATAGTGCTGACTTTACGCAAGGATAAGCTGGAGGCCGAATGACAGTGGGTTAAGAGATCGAGAGATCCTCGGTGCTCAGTGCTCGACATGCCTACGGTCCACTCGGATTGCGAGCGGTGTACTTCGATATTCCTTCGTAGTGGCATTGCCTTATCATTTTGATTGTCTCATATAGATAGTTAAGCAGGATGATGTTTCATGACAAATGCCTTATAAGGATCCATATCCTGGAACAGCGGACTTCGGATTTCGGATTTCCTATCTCATCTACAGCTTAGGAAGGCGCGGGTGTTTGTGGTTATACGGTTGCCTAAATGTTTATAAACCTGAAATTTCAACGCGGTCGTAAGTTTCTCAGCATAATCAACATCCTCTTTCCAATCCAAACTGATGAAGCACCCTGCCCAGTTCCTCGCTGGAAAGCGCATTATCGTCGCCGGCGGAAGTTTCGCTGCCCCATCTTTCGTCCTGGCTTTAGACCAGGTATGGAACCCCTCCATCGAGAATGCCCAAGTCGTCATATTTGAACAGAGTGAACGCGAGAAGTGTCTCGAAAAGATCCCTACACGCTGAACATCAACGCAGCCAGTCACGATGATGGATTAGTCACTATTCAATAGCTAGGCCTCCTGGATGAAGTTCTCGAGTACGCATCACTTAATGGCGGCAACATTCGCGTTTGTGGTGACAACTGAAAGTGGATCTCGTCCATAAATCCAAAGGAGTATTGCAGCCTCCCTACAGCAACAGTCCGGATATCTCTCGAGGGGCTCAAGCGCAGACTTTAGGAAAATGCCGAGACAAAACAAACGGCCTTTGAATGGGGATGGGCATGTATAACAGCCAAACGAACCGACGACGGAAAGATGCGAGTTACGGTTTCGAATGGGGATGGGCATGTATAACAGCCAAACGAACCGACGACGGAAAGATGCGAGTTACGGTTTCGAATGACGGAGGCAAGACCACATTGTTCGAGCAATGTGACCTCATCGTCGCCGCAGACGGCGCAGCAAATTACGAGCCTGCTTCCGATCACGCGACATGCAGACCACCTAGATGGGAGCAAGTCGGATTGGTGATGTCGGTTACCTTAAGGGAGGAGTGCCTAAGCCCATCGATAAGGATTATGGCCTGCAACTGGCTCATGGTATTTGCTGTATCTACAACCCCCTTGACAAGAACAGGGTCGCCTGGGCGCTCAGCACGATTGGCCCTGCACGAAAAACTAAGACAAACCTCAACGCAGGTTACTTCGAGGGCCTGAAGAAAGAAGCTCTAGAGATGGGCCATGTGTTTAAAGAACCCTTAAAATCAGTTGTCGAGGCCACAGTCCGAGATACCGAGTTTGTCAGACCCGCAAACTAAAAGGAAGCTTTCCAGCACGATGAATGCCTGGATGGTGTGATGTTCATCGGTGATGCGAACCACATCATCAGTCCCTATGAACTTGTTGGTGCGGACATGGCGCTGAAGGATGGGTGGGACTTGGCGGAGCATATTTGTCGCCCATTTTTCCACCAAGGCTGCGGCAGCTTCCTATAATGCCATTAGTATTCCTCGCTACAACCAACCCTTATTCTGCTACAGTACTAGTGGTGAGAACGCAGAATTTAAGGTGGAGATAGCTTTAATCTTTAAACTTAGGGTACTTTGCTTAGAAGGACATCCTGTGAAGTAAATCATATATTCCAATTTCTGAGTACGGAGTATAAAAAACACATTTGACCCCTGGCCTCTACACACCTTCGCATTCCAGTTTGCTCTTTACTTTGTTCCTAATTATTCTATTTCTTTCTCATAGAATTGCATAAGATTTTATTATCAACGCCAGGTAGATTTATTGAAATTTGATTGATTCCTGTCGAGTCATATTTGACTTTCTGCCTGACGTCGTTCCTGAACCGCATTAAGCGGCGGGAGCTAGAACTATGGTTCCGAATCCGTTCTTTCAAAAATATCGATGCACATGTAATGTAGGCTTAGACCTTTCAAATCTGCAATTATGGACGCTAGCAAACGATCTATGGAATCGCTAGACACGGAGCCACCCCAGATTCACGTTTTGAAGAAACGAAAAATCGACCTAACCAAGGATTTAGACAACGCCAGGAAGCCGTGGAGGGCAAGAGGATCCTTTGATCTCCAATTCTGGACTCAAGCCGTCAAAATCGAAGAAATCAGCCTAGAGAGGTCTGAGTTGTCCCGTAAAATCTCCCATCACCAATTTGAAGGCGATCCGGGCAATTGGTCAAAAACAGATGAGGCTAAGGCCATATTGGAGTCGATTAAAGCCCAGGAACAGTCAAAAAAGATTTGCCAAGAGAGAGTAGATCAGCTACAAAACGCACGAGAAGGAAGAAGCCTGCGCGCTTCATACATGAAGCTTTTCACGACCTCTAGTATGGGACTAGCCATGCAAAAGAATGTAGGCGCTGGCCCGCGAGATTCCAGAGTCCAGCAACAATTCCGCGATAAATTGGTTGAGGCATATGGGGCTCGTCACTCATCAGAACCCTGGCTTTGGTGTTCGATTCTAGGCCGGTACATTGAAAGCGAAGATGTGACAGCATCCCATCTTTTCCCTTGGCGCAACGGCCAGGATACAATGGATGCCATTTTTGGTCAAAAGCGACCTGCAGAGCTATTCCTGCCGCAGAACGGTCTGCTAATCTATAAAGGGCTCGAAAAGTACTTCGACGCTGGAAAATTTGCGATTGTTCCTACTTTGGCAGAAGGGACGCTACTGTCCGAGGTCAAGCGTTGGGTTAAGTGTGATCAACGCGAATATCAAATCAAGATTATAGATCCAGACTGGGAGAAGAGAGACACTAGAGTCGCAAGTTGGTCTGATATCACTTTTGGAAACCTCGATGGTCGCAAACTTGTATTCAAGACCAAATTCCGCCCGGCAGCCCGGTATTTGTATTTCCACTACTGCATGGAAGTGTTACGAATGTGCTGGCAGCACAGCAGTCAAGGAAAATCTAGCAATGCATCGCATTTGCTCCAATCCGAGCATGGAAAGCCATTTTGGGGCACTCCAGGAAGATACTTACCTCGAAACATGCTTCTGGGCTTAGTTGAGGAACTCGGTCATGACTATCGATTCCTAATGGTCGGCGCCACAACCAGTCGATTGGAGGATGACGACCTCTTATTGGGCGCCATGGCAAGTCACGTACAAAAGCGAACCTCGATTTTGGATCGTGAGATTTTTGACCCTCCAGGAAGCGAAGCGTCATGCTCGGAGGGCGAAGCTTCATGCCTGGAAGAGACAGTCTCTACATAGAGAGTGATTGATCTGGCTTTGGGGATGAAGAATCAGTTGTAGCTTTTGGTTTGGTTTGGCTCTTTTGTCTTTGGGATTTTCATAATTACTTCTGGCTATATTATTTATTATTACTTCTGGCGGAAATCACAGCCTTGCGCGTCTCTCTGAAAGACTTTTTACGCTTTTAGAATCTCAGTGTTGGAGCTCATACGCTGTGCTATCTAGCTCGAGGTGCAGGAGATGGCAAGACGCAGCTTGACGCGAAGTCTTTTAATCTTGTTGATTGTATCCCGTCTACTCTGGAGTCTCTCCGGATTTACGGCCTCGGAGAGCCCGTGGACAAGAGAACCCCCTATCTGGATTACGAATCCGATCTAGATGCCAATGCCCTGATTGAGCAACTGGCGCGTGAGAAAGATGCCAAACTGCCAGGACTGAAGATCGAAGGTGTTGAGCCTTGTATTCCAAATGGCAGGACTGTGGATGAAGAGGCGGATGAAGATGATCTAGAACTTTTCTGGAATGTTCCAGATGACAACAGGCTTCATTAGGTTGGTAACGACGTTAGATGATGATATCTATCTAGAATCAATGCTGTCACCAGTGTAAATTTGTCCCTCCGTGCAATCATCTATGTGTGCTAGGACAGAAAATGAGTTACTCTGTCACAAGCCTTATAAAATAAACGAGACAATATACATGGAGTCTAAAAGATCTAGAAACAGCTTATATGACGATCCTCCAATGCAACTGTATTATGGGATGATTAGCCGCTGTATATATATGGTTCGAAGAGCAACCCCAAAGAGGATTGAAATGACCCAAAGCAAGACCTAGAGAGTAGACCAGGATATGCCATGTCGCCAGACATGCAGGGCGGGGATGTATAGCCTGAACGATTCGCGAAGCTATATGGTTTCACTCCAGAGCTGCCTTGAGAATATTGTAATTTTCAAATCCCACATCGTCATCGCTCATTGATGGATGTGCATGGCCGGCAATGCACTTCGACACATAAAAATGTAGTGGGAAACTTGACCTTTTGTTCCACTTACTCTGTCTGTAAGACGCTCTTACAGAAAATTAATTGTTTCAACTTACAATTGAACATGTGTCTCTTCAAATCATTGATGTTTATTACCGCCATTTCCGCGAAAGTAAGCGACAGCATCAGCCCCCGTATTCTAAACTCACCCATCCACCTTACGAATATAACTGGTTGCCTTTTCTTAATGTCACATCTCGCATTGATAGATGATAGCGGGGAAATCCATGATTACGGCAAATGCGGAGTAACCACTGGCTCACGCGGGGCTGAGCTACAGGACCCCTGAGACAAGCTATTTGTCCTTTTCTTCTTCTTCGTGAGACTGGAATTGATATATTTGATCGTACGAGACTCTTGTTAACTAAACTTTCCCCTAAAATCTGCTGCAGGAGACCTAATCCAATACGTGGACCTAGTATCAAGCCTCTCGACTACATTTAATTGGAAGCCATGTCTTCTCCTGGCATTACCAACGAGGCCGAGACCCGTTTGTTCATTAACAATGAGGCGAGTTCTATATTTGTGTTGCACAGACATATGTATCACAATCTGACGCTGTAGCACAGTTTCGAGCCGCCTCTGATGCAGGAACATTTGAGTTGAAATCTCCTGCCACTCGTCAGCCTGTTGCTTTGGGTAGAATTACAGGATTATGAAGCCTTAAATATAACACATACTAATTTTTACCATTAGTGTCCGAGGCAACGGTCGAAGATACAGACGCCGCCGTCGCAGCCGCCAAAGCAGCTTTCCCGGCATGGTCAGCCTTGTCTCCCAATGACAGGGGAGCATACATGATGAAGCTTGCCGAACTCCTTCTCGAATCTCAGGAAGAGCTGGCTCATCTGGAGGCCAATTCTATGGGACGCCCTGTATCTGGATACTGGGATGCAAAGGTTGCTGCACAGAAGTTGCAATATTTCGCAACAGCTGGTTGGGACAACCATGGCCAGACGAGCTTGCATACGCCTGGATTTTTGAACATGACATTGAAACAGCCATTCGGTGTTGTTGCTGCTATCATCCCATGGAATGTGCCTGTTTACTTTTTCATTAACAAGATGGGTCCTGCTCTTGCAGCTGGTAATACTATCGTAATTAAGAGCAGCGAAAAGGCACCCTTGACCGTGAGAAAACCTCGTGACTTTGAGGAAAAGCTCATTGCTAATCCAATTCTCTAGTCAGCAAAGGTTGCTGCCTTGATTCAGAAAGCCGGGTTCCCACCAGGAGTGGTCAACGTCTTGTCTGGCCATGGTCACATCTCGGGCTCTGCACTCTCACACCACATGGACGTGAGAATGATTACCTTCACCGGGTCAGGAAGAACTGGTCGGTTGATCCAACAGGCAGCGGCCAAGTCCAATTTGAAAAATGTGCTGTTCGAGCTCGGCGGCAAGTCGCCGGCTGTCATATTCGGGGATGCCGATCTCGACCGCGCAGCGAAGGAAACTGCTAATAGCCTCCAATTCAATAGCGGCCAAGTTTGCATGGCGAACTCCCGAGTATATGTACACTCTTCCATCTCGGATCAATTTATCTCTTTGTTCAAAGAAAAATTCCAGGCCATTACACCCGGTGATCCCACCCAGCCTCATGTCACCCATGGGCCTCAGGCGGATGAGATCCAGTTCAATACCATCAAGAAATATATTGAGCTTGGAAAGAGAGATGGCAAGCTTGCTCTGGGTGGAGATGAGATTGCCGGGCATGCAGGATACTTTATTGAGCCTACAGTTTTCCTTGAGACGCCCGAAGACGCTCCGATTATGAAGGAAGAGATCTTTGGGCCTGTGGTCAACATCAACGTGTTTGACTCGGAAGAAGAAGTGATCAGAATGGTCAATGACTCCGAGTATGGGCTCTACGCCTCTGTTTACACTCGCGATATTGAGCGGGCTATGCGATTCGCCAAGTCCATGGAGGCTGGCAGTGTTGGCATTAACTGCACTAGCCCAACTGGAGCATTTGACATGCCGTTTGGGGGTTTCAAGGCTAGTGGGATTGGAAGAGAGGGTATTCATTACAGCATGGACTGTTACTTGGAGACGAAGACGGTACTGATGAGAATTTGATTGCCTAAGAATATAGGATTGGTTCACTGTCTGGCGATACGTGATATTGATCTTTTTTTTATTTTATGAGCCTTCAACAAAATTAGGTGATCAATTTCGTATCGTGGGCAGACATCCCTATAATGTTGTTTCGAGACATGGGCGTTAGTCAGGGGAAGCTGAACAGCTGAACACGCTATCGCGTCACCGGACACGGTGATAAGCAAGGGGCGGCTCCGGACTCCGCCTTTCCCCTCACGATTCACACACTCCCCAATCTCCAACTCTTCCTCTTTCTCTCACATACACGCATAAACACAATCTTATAACTATCTCAATAATTACAATATGACCAGAAAGTTCGCTTCGGCTCAAGGTCTCGACATGCCCTGGGCCTCCCAGATTTCCGCCCAGCTGCCCGATTCATTCGAGCCGGTACCTGCATCTCAGCCCGTCCGAGCCCAGGCACCGGTCGCCAATGAGCCCGTCCGACCCGAAGACTACTCAAAGCCATACTGCGAGTTCATGACCTCCAACCCCACCATCTTCCATGCCGTCAAATCCTTCTCCAAACAGCTCGAAGAGCATGGCTACAAGTACCTTTCTGAACGAACAGTCTGGACATCAGAGCTTAAGCGCGGCGGGAAATTTTACACCTCACGCAATGGTAGCTCATTGATTGCGTTCAACATCGGCTCGAAATACGAGAGCGGAAATGGTGTCGCCATTGTCGCTGGCCACGTCGATGCATTGACTGCCAAGCTCAAGCCTGTCTCCAAGCTTCCCAACAAAGCAGGCTTCGAGCAGCTTGCCGTGGCCCCGTACGCTGGTGGTCTTGGTGCTACTTGGTGGGATCGTGATCTTGGTATCGGTGGCCGTGTGCTCGTCCGCGACCCTGAAACCGGAAAGGTTGAGACTAAGTTGGTGAAGCTTGACTGGCCCATTGCTCGTGTGCCTACCCTCGCTCCTCATTTCGGAGCTCCCGCCAACGGCCCATTCAACCCCGAAACTCAAATGGTTCCTGTTGTTGGCATTGATAACTCAGACCTGTTCGAGACTGCCAAGACTGAATCGAGCAGCATTAACTATGGCAAATTTGCCTCAACTCAGCCTGAGAAACTGGTCAAGATTATTTCCAAGGAGCTTGGTATCACGGATTACAGCACCATTGTGAACTGGGAACTGGAGCTGTTTGATACCCAGCCCGCTCAGCTGGGTGGACTGGAGAAGGAGATGATCTTCGCCGGTCGTATTGACGACAAGCTTTGCTGTTATGCTGCCCAGGAAGCCCTCATTGCTTCCTCGGACAGCACATCCACTGGAACCGTGAAGATGGTCGGCATGTTCGACGATGAAGAGATTGGCAGTTTGCTTCGACAAGGTGCTCGCTCAAACTTTATGAGCAGCATCATTGAGCGAATCACCGAGGCATTCGCTAAGGATAACTACGGGCCCAACCTCCTCTCCCAGACGGTAGCCAACAGCTTCTTGGTTTCGTCCGATGTCATCCACGCAGTAAACCCTAACTTCCTTAACGTCTATCTGGAGAACCACTCGCCCCGCCTCAACGTCGGTGTTGCCGTGTCTGCCGATTCAAACGGACACATGACTACTGACAGTGTCAGCGCTGCCATTATGAGCCGTATTGCAGAACGCACCGGGTCAACCCTGCAGGTCTTCCAGATCCGCAATGACTCCCGCAGCGGTGGCACTATTGGGCCGATGACCAGTGCTCAAATCGGTATGAGGGCCATCGATTGCGGCATTCCGCAACTGAGCATGCACAGTATTCGTGCCACTACCGGTAGCCTTGATCCCGGCCTGGGTGTCAAGCTGTTCAAGGGTTTCTTCGATCACTATGAGGCGGTCGACAAGGAGTTTGCCGATTTTTAAGTTGTTGAATCCTGTCCTAGACAAACTATGCGTAGATTTCTTTGGTTTAAGCCTGTCATAGGCGGGTGATTTATTTATGCCGCAATGCAATCGAATTGTTTTATCATAGCCATGGCTTCAGGATTCATCCATTAATTCTCAAGCGCTTGGTATTAAATTATCTGTTTGGTTCGATTGCTGTACCTCGACTATATATCCAAGAATTTCTCACTCACATTCCCATTGATCATACATCCAGAAAGTCTCAAGCAAGTAAAAAAAAGGAGAAAGAGAATGAAAGAAGGTGTATCCCGTGGGTTGGGTGTGGCCCATTAATAATCGTGCAAGAGGGCGGCGTGTAGGTCCCCGATGTAAAGCCCCGAATGCATCTAGATCATGTTTTCCGCGATACTGTCGCGAACATAAAACGGTGTGTGAAGAAAATTGTGGGGAAAACGGTACATCTCGCCCAACCCTAACGGGCAAATGACGAGTATGAAGACCTTGAAGGAGCAGCGCGACGATGCTTTTGAATAGGGGGAGGAACGGAGTGGACTTCAGCCATTTCCATTTCCTCGTCTTGAGCGAAGGGCTTCTGCGCCGGCTTGAACCCACTGCCGGGGACAAGGGCGAGAACTCGCTCTGGGTCGCCAGCCCCGTACTCGGGGTCTGAGTGAGATGCGCCGAGGGTCGCTTCGTCCCCGTTCCAGGTGGAGTTGCGCTGGGTTGTGTCGCCAAAGGTGGGACGGCTGCCGTTGAATGTGCTGATCATTCCCGGGAAGAGGCGTGCGATCAGCGGCTTCAAGGTCGGTAAGCAGGCGCAGATTATGCCCGTGTTGCATTCTATGGCGGACCAGGAGGCGGCGCCGACATTGTCGTCTTTTTGGGTTAGTATTTTGGATGGTTGTTCGTTGTTAGGGCTGGGAGCATACATGTGGGGTCGGAGGAATCTGAGATTATCTTTAGGCTGACAAGGCGGATGATACTAGTGATGCAGACACTATTGATGTTAGTTTGGGATATTTCTTCATCTAGAGATCAGAGAAGACCTTACAATCCACCCAGAGCAAACATGATCATCAACGCAATCTTCTGTCTCCGAGGCAAGTCGACTGCTATCAGAGCTGGAATCGGAATAAGGAGAATAGCAAGATCGGTTGTGATGTGCATGCTAGCATTCGAGAACCAAAGCCCAGGCTGGCTTAGACAATGTCCTTTGATCGAAGCATCCCAGAATTTGGCAACCGGGATACAGTTGAGGAATGCACTGATCACCGCCCAGGTACCATATATGCCGAGGATTGAGATCATGATCCAGCAAATGACGCGCATACGGTGCGTGGGAAAGACTCGGAAATATTGCATTAAGATGGAGGCTTTCGCGCAGAGGACGGCGGCGTTATAGAACGGGATGGTGAGCCAGAATGCCTATGTCGAAGGTTAAATATTACTCAAAATCGATAATAGCAAGTTGGCAGTTAGGGTAAACTTACCTTCATCTGTCTCTCAAGGATGTGTGGTGGGATATCTTTGATGTGCATTCCCATGCCACTGGTGGCTTCGACAACATCTAAACCCAGGAAGACAAAGGAATTTAACTATTCATCTGTATTAACATCTAGTACTTTTCGGCTCAATGGGCGACATACCAAGGCAATAATAACCATCCAGTCATTTGCTTCCACCCGTCTCATAAGCTTGATTCGAGTATACATCCTCAGGGCCACAAAGAAAGATGCCAAGCTGGTAAAGACAACGCTCACAGTCATCGCCTTTGCACCACGAGAAGACAAATATGTTCCATCATTCCCCCGCTGAAATATTACATCTCGAAATTGGAACATGCTCATCTCAGTCGATATTTGAGCTTTAGCAAAATTTTGTTCAAAGAATGGCTACCCCAGAAATGATCTAGATCAGATCTACAACGACTGAAAAAGCCAGGTGCGATCAAAAATAGAACAAATCGGGAAGCAAATTAATAAGAGTGAAGAATCCCTTGGGCCACTAAAAAGGGAAATCAGTTTGGAGGCCGTGTCCTTATTATAATGCCAATCGCATAAATTCATAGGGAGCGGACTCATAAACAATGCAGCCCCAGAAACCCAACGGCCTCAGAAGGAATCCACTCTCATCTGCACCAGGGTACAAAATTCATTAAATATCAGCCTGCATTGTCTCTCCTCGCTCCCCGGATTGGCGGGCCGATACTTAGACATGAGACAGAAGTTCATCCTGCGAGAGGGCGTGTTTGCATGCAGCGCAAGGGGCTGCATACAACAAGTCGGGACCAGAGTTGGCCCCGATGAATCCATACGCGCATGTTGAATGCAACTTTAAGATTTTGTTATTTTTGCTTTTCCATCGTGTTTCTTTTTTCGTTGGCATCATAATACGCGCACATCGCTATTATGGGTAAGGATGGTCCCACATGAATGAGGAAGTAGAGTTTTTACAGGGTCTTTGATATATCGATTTTCTACAGATTGTTCTGAGACTTCAGAAACCTTCGCCCCTTTGCTCTCGCTTGCTCTTAATGGCTCAATTGGTCTGAACTAGACGTTGATCACCGCGACGATCGCATAGGGACGATCCGCCCGAATTACCGATCAAATCAAGTCAATGCATGCGTCATTCTTCTATTCTGGGGAACATAACTGATGTATGACAAAGTATATATACATTGGCAGACTATTGTTATGGTCTAAAATGCTGGAATCTTATTTGCAATAGTGGAAGATGTTATAAAAATCTGATTGCCATGCTGTGGAAGATCATTAGCCGCGGGCTTCTTTCGCAATAAGTCGGGGATCATTTCTTTTCATGTCCGGTCATCTCCGATGGTAACACCGAAGAAGCATTGGCGCTGCCTGTTGTTAAAGGGTATTGCAGTGTAAGTAGACCACTTTCAAGCTCTAAGCCCGGCCAGCCAGCCCAGGATGTATCTAGTGCCTGCCCATTCACTTCGTAAACACGCTTAACCCATTGATCTACGAAAGTCGCCATCGATAATCTCCGCAATTTAAAGAGCTGAGTCTATTGGATCTTTGAGCCTGTTTGGTAGATATGCGCATCACATCTAGAGAAAATCCACATATCATATTCCCATCCGCGGCGTAGCCGCGATGCGGCGGACAAAGCCAGGCAATGAAAATGCATAGCGTACGAGAATAACGAAAGCGAACAATTAACGAGTTGTAAGGCCCAAGCTTTCGAGGACCTAATCTTCGAAACACGCGATCGATCAGAAGCGGCCCGATCGCCTTGACTCTATACATCGGTTGATCGACGACAATACACAATTTCCGCGCCCCTCATCTACCCCTCCTATGGTTACCTTGGAAATTTAAGGAATTATCTTAGAAGATTTTGAAACTGTTTCAACAGTTGACAGAGAAATCATCTGCTTTGTGGAAGTTGTTTCCTTTCGCATGTTAGGGCTCCGTTTAAGCTCGCTTGATGTGCAAGGGGCTGCTCCCTTGCAACCGAACTCTACTACGAATAAATTATTGAGAGCGAGCGAAGACTGCATCTAGAAGTCAAAATCGATTGAGAGGTAAATTCTCCTATTCGTTGAGTGCAGCCACTAGTCGATAGCGGCGATCCTCTTGTACGGGATACCCGTTACCAATTACCCTGGACATGAGCGCCAAAAACTTCATGTGAATGAATATGAAAAATTTTCCGCCTCGAAAATTTCACCTTGCTATAGTTACTGGTTCTATTACCACGCCATACCTCGTGATTATCGGCGCTCAGGGCGGCTTCTACCTATCTTGTGGTCTACTTGGCTCATTCACCACTCACACATCTTGCATAATGCAAAACTGTAAACCGTGCGCTTTCAGCTCGTGGCAATCCCGTAAGAATCATACTACAGCAATTATTAACAATACTCTGAGCCATTGGATTTCTCAGGAGGCCTGTGGCCAAGTATCCCACAAAAGTGGAGTCGGCGAACTAATTGATACATCACATTCAAGCATGGGAATACCTGCACTGATTACCATTAACGCACTTTCCTCGCAGCATGGGAGATATGTAGTTCTTTTGGTGGTACAGCTTTTTTTTTTCTTGCGTTTTGCTGTTGAAAAGGTCCTCTCTTGAATATGCAGGGCGCGAGGGACCCTCGACCTGCAGGTTTCCTCGGCTGTCATGTTGTCATGGCAGCTAGCAGGTCAAAAACTGCCCAATAGTGAAATAAAATACTGTCGAAAGATGCTTAGCTGTCCTCATCATTTCTCAGTTGTTTACTGCGCCTTTTGCGTCCTCTGGTCTTTCTAATCGGGTTCTCGCAGTCAACATGGCAAACTTCCTGAGTCCCACACCACATGCACTCTTACAACCCGGCCCACTCTGACGGGTCTGTGCCTGGTTCAATTCTTGATACCATGGGATGGATGAGCTTACCATCAAGTCTGGTTTGAAAGGAACGTTCTGCTGATGCCCCATTATCTCCTTCTAAGTACTGGTGGACTGACGTAGTGCTTCGATGTAAGCCAGACAGACAGCAGGGTAGATGCCGGTAGCCGGCTCAACACTATGACTCAAAAGAAATGCTCATATCAGGCCATGCTGGAGCATAGAAGCCATCTATTTGTTTGTATGATTTGTGTTGACCGCTGTTTCTGGTGGTCTTTTCGAGGATCTCGAGTCTAGAAGGTTACTATCAAGATCTGCCGATTGACAGAATTCAGATTGCCACCAACATGTCTATTTGGTGAGATCACATCTTCCTCACTATAAATTATACCTCTTGCAACATAACCGATTATGCAAGCAACTCGTTCCAAGATCTCAGGTCCAGATTTTGAACAAAGACACTGTAAATTCAACTTGAAAAAGTCAATTGCCACTCCTTGCAATGTACAAAAATGTTGTTTTCTTGTTTTCTTATTCTCGTCCCTCACAGAAACGCTTTGGATTCAAACTGAGTCTGCATTGGTGCACCTATCGTCATATAAAAAGAAATCTATACTATCTTTTAGTCACATACGTTATAAGAAAGAGGACCAATCAAGGATTTTCCTTGTTTGGCCCACCATTATCTTATCGTCTTAAAGTGCTCAAGATTTTTTGATATGATATAGCCTCTGAGAAAACTACTGTACTTCGGGGAGATGCAGGAACTAGTTGGTCCAGTTTGGAATAATATGCCCAGTCTCAATTAACCCAGTCTGTTAGTAACTGGGAGTGATGAGTTTTCTCGCAAACAAAAACTATACTGGGCTACTCATGTCAATACTTACAAATCTCCTTGTGATGAACATTATCGATATCCAGAAAGATGGAGTTCTCATCCCAATATTACGTGATCTATTGCTGAATCCCTGGATATATATTCGCAAATTGGGTGGGAGTCCGCAACTTTCATGGTATATTCGAGGTAGAAGCATCTTGTAATCACCAACAGGCCTCATACCTCGGGATGTAAATCAAAACAAAGTTCTCAGTAGAAAAGCACAGTGTTCAAAGAAAAAAGTACAATATGTAGTTCTGAAGTAGTAGTAGTACCTTGGAGCTTGTTGGATAGGCGATAAGATAGACCGATAAGGACGCACAGGCCACTTCACAGAGAAATTTCCTTTTACCACATTAAATTGACAAGTCGTCAACGACCTCGCTCTTTCTCATTATTGATTTGTGGGATAAGTCCTAGTTAGCAGGACAATATGGCAGAGACTACTGCCGCTTCCACCAAGCCCGTTCACACAATTGTGCTGGACGCCGGCCCGATTCTTAAAAATACCCCGCCGCTTTCCACACTACTTGCCCAGTGCGAGGAAATTATCACCACCCCCTCAGTGGTGGCCGAAATCCGCGACCCCGATGCCCGCGCTCGTGTTGAAACTCTCTATCTGCCCTTCCTGAAGCAGCGTTCGCCCACCCCCAAGAGCTTCAACATTATCAGCGAGTTCGCTCGCAAGACTGGTGACCGGTCTGTTCTGAGCAGAACCGATATCGAGGTACTCGCGCTTGCATATGAGATTGAGTGCGAGAAGAACGAGGGTGATTGGCGCCTGCGAAGTGTTCCTGGACAAAAGAGGATCAACGGGAAACCACCCGTCAAAGAAGAGCCGACAGAGGCCAAGGATGAACCTGCTGATGTGGAGGCCGTTACCGAGGGCGTGAAGGATACCACCGTCGCAGACGTCCAAGAAGAGCCTAAAAAGGAGGAAGAGGTTACCGCAGTTGAGGAGACCAACGAGCTTGCTGAGGCTGCTGTCGAAATTGCCGACGAAGAGGCCGCTGACGAAGAGGAGGAAGACAATGACGATGCCGCTGATTCTGACGGCGGAGAATGGATCACGCCTACGAACTATAAGAAGCGCCTCGCTCAAGATGACTCGGGATTAGCGACTCTTACGGCTGCGCCGAAGACTATGCAGGTTGCAACCATGACTACTGATTTCGCTGTAAGTATACCCCACCTGGTTCTCTGTCGTATATTCAATTACTAATCTTGCTGCAAAGTGTCAAAACGTTCTGCTGCAAATGAATCTGAACCTTCTGTCTACCACGACTCTTCAGAAGATCCAGCACCTGCGAACTTTCGTCAAGCGCTGTCACGCTTGCTTCTTGACCACCAAGGAAATGAACAAGCAGTTCTGCCCTCGCTGTGGTAAGGATACCCTCACTCGTGTTTCCTGCACCACCACCGCCAATGGCGCCTTCACCATGCACCTGAAGAAGAACATGCAGTGGAATAAACGCGGCAATGTATACAGCGTCCCCAAGCCCGTTGCCGGCAGCGCGAACGGCAAGTGGAAGGGTGGTGGTGGCCAGCGAGGATGGGGCCAGGAGCTCGTCCTCGCCGAGGACCAGAAGGAGTATATCCGTGCCAACGAGGAAGAAGAGCGCCGCCAGCGCCGCGAGCGTGATCTCATGGACCAAGACTACCTGCCTGGTATCTTGACCGGCGAGCGTAACAGGGCTGGCGGTCGTACCAAGGTCGGTGCTGGCCGCAATGTCAACTCACGGAAGCGCTGAGTGTGCTGTGTTGACTTTGCATCTTTGATTACATGGGCTGGAGTTTTGGGGCATGGAAACACAAAAGTTCACTTGGTCAATGCCATGTTTACAGTGGTTATTGGCCTTTTTATGAGGAATGACCATGTCTGTGATTTACAGTTGAACATAGAATATAGCCAATTAAAGGTTTTATGAACATTTAACAAATTCCTTGATTAAACACGAACCTAGATCAGGTATCATATTCTTCCGAATGTCTAGGTGGAGCCCCGACCAGAATATCCAAGGGGAGCAAAACAAGTATGGACATCTCAGCCATCCGTGACTGCAAGAAAAACACCATTCGCCAAAACATGGGCTATGCCCGGTAATTCACTTTTCCGAGTGTCGGGCCATTTAAAGCTGGGCAGCGGCCTGCTGGGTAAGGAGCAGGTTGTAGCGCTTCTTCAGGGTGACACGGTGACTAGAAGAAGTTAGTTCTCAATGCTATGATGGCGCAAAATCCACATGTCACTACTCACCGAGAGTACTTGTCATCGGGGGAGAAGCGAGCGGGGTGGGCAGACTTGGTGACCTCGCCGTTCTGGACCTATTGTAACCGAAAATTAGTCTCATTGCTCCAAATCCAGGAATTCAGAAAACCACATGATCACTGGAAAGCGGCAGATTTCCAGCGGCAGATTTCACATACCTTCTTCAGCGTGTAGACACGCTTGCCCTGGGCGTCGAGAGTGTACTGTCCATTGAAAATTAGCGACTGCTTTCGGACCGAAGGTTTTCGATTTCGCTTCGAACGGTACATACCATAAGATGCATTCTAAGAAGGGCAATATTAGCAGATGAACGTCAAAGAACAACAGTAATCAAAGACTCACTTGGCGGTAATTGGTGATTTGTCGTAGGTTTAACACTTGTATCGGCGATAGAGTGGAGGATTTTTTTTCTCGAAGGTTGAAGCTCGGACCACCCTGCTTAGTCACCCGGTGCTTTTTAACGGAGCTTTCGAAGCGCAAAATTTCCTCTTCCTCCACTTGCAGACAATATTTTGCTTCAAGTTGGACTTAGGTCATTGTTAATGTACGGTGACATGGTTGGCTTTACTAATTGATTCAGACTCAGTTTGGTCTCATTCGGACACATTCAAGGTAAGATGACTCTCCAGCTCTTCTACACTTCCCACACCCTTCACCTTCGGTGATGACACCACTTATTTAGCTCAGGCAAGCGGCACTTTGATTTCTAGCTGCTTGTCGATGATCTGCTGAATTGACTACAACGGTATCTGAGAAGATTATACCATGATGATTCAATCACACGCATACATGTGAAGACCATTCGCTAACCTCGGATGTCTTAGGCTTTTCGAATATCATTTCATTCAATAGTAGTCCGGGATGGCTACTCCAGTAACCAACATGGACAAGCCGGCGGCTACCCAGTCGGAACCGGCAAAGGTTGCCCGTCCCCGTGCACCTCGTCCTCCTAGGCCCAACTTCAGACAAATTCACCAGTTTCCTCTCCCGGTCAATGTACATCATGTTCCACCTGTAATTCCTCATAACCCTTTATCTCTCATAAGCGTCGCTCTCTCGTACCTCACATTCCTTATCTCCCCACCTCGTCGTCAAGAAGTCCACTCGGCCTACTTTGACAAGGCCACTTCATCGATCCATGTTACGGACGAGAAGGCCATTAAAGCCTTGTGGGAGATGGGATTCTTTGGCAAAGGTAGTCTCAGTCGAAGTGAGCCTAGTTGGCTGGCGCGAGAGAAAAAGAGGCGAGGGTTACATGACGGCAAGACCAGTGAGGAAATTACAAGAGCCCGACGAGAGGAGCGTCGTGGACTGAAGTTAGAGCGTGCTCGTATGGAAAAATTGGCCATCGAGGAGATGCTTAAGGCTGAAGCTGCTGCTAGAGAGTCTGGTTCTACCGATGACCCTACTGGGCAATCAACGCCAGACGACACAGCTAATGGCACAGCGACCCCAGCCGAGAAATACTCTCTGAAGAAGGCGAAGGAGGCTAAAATGCTGGAGGCTCGGGAGGCACGCTTGGCAGCTCAGAATGCGGATCTCGAACAGAAGCCCGAAACCGAAACCAATGGAAAATCCGTGCGCTTCTCGCCACTCGTGCAGAAAAAAGAGTTCTCATCAAACTCGCCATTATCTGAAAGTGTCGTGGAGTCACTCGATGTAGACGACTTCCCCAACGAGGAACATTTACAACTTTCCAACGAAGAGGCATTCTTCCTCGCCTACGGACTCGGAGCTTTGCAAATCTACGACGCACCTTTGAGCTCGGAAGACCAATCCACCTCACCAACCCCCATCTCCGCCCTCCTCCAACAGTTCTGCCACCACTCCTACCAACCAACCCGTGAAGGCACCGCCGCCCTCCAACCCGATGATCCCTTCATGGTATCATACACCGTTTACCATCACTTCCGATCCCTGGGCTGGGTCATCCGTTCCGGTGTGAAATTCGGAACTGATTACCTGCTTTACAACCGCGGACCCGTCTTCTCCCACGCCGAGTTCGCAGTCGTCGTCATCCCATCCTACACTCACCCCTACTGGTCCGAAACGGAGGAGCGGAAGAAATATACAGCGGAGAAGCAGGCGAGGAGTTGGTGGTGGTTGCATTGTGTGAACCGTGTCCAGGCTCAGGTGATGAAAAGCTTGTGTCTTGTCTACGTGGATGTGCCTCCGCCTGCTGCTTCCATTGATGATATTGGAGCCTTGTTTGGCCAGTACAAAGTCCGCGAGTTTATGATCAAACGATGGACTCCGAACAGGACTCGTGATTGAGTTTTCTGTAATTTTTTCGATTTACTTGCCCATTGAGGCGGATCTAAGGGCTTCTGATACCCTCTTGCAATCTGGCATTGTCATAGAATACCTGTATTATCATTGCATACTGAGCCATTTAAATGATGCATCATTATTCCATATTTCCTTTTCAATCCCTACTCAGATATGTTCAATCGTACATACACAAATGCTCAACTTGAAGTTGTACAATGTTCGAACGGATATCCTTTTGCGGCGCTAGTCCATAAAGGGTAAGATTACTTAGCACGTGACCGACGCGTTCCGCGTCGACGCTCCACTCGAGTAAATGTTCTTCATTTGATAAAAGGCGTTTAAGGCCGAGAATGCAAATAAGCTTGCCCATGAGGCTGTTGTCGTAATAAAGCAATAGCTTCTGTTGGAATTTATGTCAAAAAAATGGAAAGCCAAGACAGCATCGATTTGGTGAAGTTACAACGCGACGCGTTGGGGCTAGTATGTGACGACCCTGGAGGTTTCCTCACACCTCATTGGACTGACTCCAATATCCTTAGCATCAATTTCATTCGAGCCTCTCGCAGTCTGCCAAAAATATCAACCACGACGCTCTTTGTCCTACACACGAAGTTAACAGCCTTTCCAACGACATATCCAACGGTCATCTCCCTCCGAAATCATCAGACCCCGGACAACCGAGTAAAAGTCGCCACCCTCGGTTTCGATCTCGGCAGCATGAGGCACGCCCCATGATGTCCAACAATACTGGCAATGAACTGGCAATGGGTCCAGGCTCGCAATTCGGTAACATGAGCTCCGCAGACGTTGCTCCGGGGGACACACAGGTCGTTTCACAGTCGGTATACGACAGTATGATTCGGCAAAATGAGGAGTCGATGCACCAGGACTTTTTACAAACAGGGGCCGACGGAGCAACATTGAGGACTCTGTATGAGGGTGATAGCGGGCATATCGATCTCATATCGGAACTGGACGCACACCATGGACCGACCTTTTCCCAAGACTACGACAACGAGGTCGCAAGTACATCCGAACCGAACCAGTCTTCTCCGATGGCATTCGCACCCGATCTTTTTCCCGAATCGCAACGTTTCCTGGCAGAAACACCTGGGACGGTGGTGAAGAGCAATGGGCCGAAGGGCATGATAACCGAGACTCCCAGTATCTCGCGGAATCCACTGGCCGGGGATATCGGGTCGAGTGGTGGCCTTCTCGGTCTGAGCCAGGTATTCGGAGCCACCCAGGCTCCGTCGTCTCCCATAGTTCATGGCCTGCAATCTGAGCTGGCATCTGATCGCCCGTCGCCTAATATCCCCATTCAACGGGCCCGTTTCATGACTGGTGTTTCCTCCCCTCTGGTCGGGTTGCCGGGCCATTTCATGAGAGACTCATCGGAACCGAACTTGAACTATATATCGATGAAAGAGTCTCAGACGAGGCGTGACCTTACTCTGGGTGAGAGGTTGACTCGGTCGGCAGATGACCTCCACTCAGATCAGAGTGACAAGGAATTCTACAAAGAGTCAAGCTTTGTAAAACGTGCGCGGCGGCAGCGGGATATCGATGAGGAAACTGCGGCCCAGTTAAATGGGCTGAGTGCTCCTGCTAGATCTACATCCGCCAGACCACAGACTTCCCCCGAGCAGCCGATTGAACCAGATCAAGCAATGGCGGAGGCTGTTGCTAGCGAGGAGGAAACAGAGCAAGAGGAAGATATTGTTGTACAAGTACCAAGGTCACAAGACGCCCCTCAATCCTCAATGGAAGAGGACAAAGAGAACTACGATGGCCCTCTGGATGCTGCTGCCGCCGCCAGTGCTCACGACCGACTTTCCCAGGCACTTGGGTTTCAACCAATCGCTTCTCCATCTCGCGGATGCTATGATGGGGAAGTTGATGATGAAACAGACGGCCCAGTTTACCTCGCCTCCCATACTGGTGAACAGCCCAACGGTGCGGTGCGCTCTTCTCAGATGATGGTGAAAGACTCCCAACCGTCCCCTCAATCGACGCCGAAACGCATCGATCGCAAATATATTGAGCCTATCTGCCAAACCCCTTCGCCTTCCCGCTCGCGCATTCAATCTCCTGCAAGAGAACGTCTGCGATCTTCACCTCCCTTCTCTCGACCAACATCAAGACATTCGAACACTCAGAGAAATGGCACCGCGTCAATTGCACAAACCACGGAACCCGGTAAGAGTGTATGCCTCATTGAAGCCGAACAAATACCTCCCGGCAACCCACCAGAGCAACGTGATGTAGAGGCATCGCGATCCAGAGCGGAAGCAGAAACTGGAGGAAACTCATCGTCGATGCCATTCGATGTAGTCCAGACACCTGTTCATCAGCGCCTACAGCATATTGGAGACATGGCTCGATTGCCTAGTGTCCAAGAGACAAGCCCCAGTCATTCTCATTTCAACTCTGAGACTGGGTCCAATGGGCTGGGCAATGAAGATGACGACCTTCCGCCCATGTTCAATGGGGCGCCAAGTAACCGAAGCAATAACATCCGACCTAGTGGGCCGAGGGCACTTTCTTCCCCTCTTAAAAAGCTGCTGTCCAGCCCGGGAGGAAGCCAGCGTAGAGCTTTGACCGAGATTGCCGCAGATCTTTCGCCGCAGGTCGGAACTGGTGGCTTTGATCTAGGAATTGGAGTGTTCATAACGGAGGATCAAGAGTTCAATGCCTTGATGGATGGATCGCCAACCCGTCCGAGGAAGAGGCGGCGCGGTAATAATAGCTCAAGTTATATTGCCTCTGATCCTATCATACCTGTCACCCCTCGCGCTCAACCACCTAAATCTGTTACGCCGTTCCATTCATCGCAATTTCGGCCCGCTCCTATCCCAGAGGAGTCGGATGCTGCGGCTTTCTTGCAAGTCCCTGAAACAATAATTCGGAGGCAACAAAAGCCTCCGCGGCGAGCTACCGAAAATGTCTGGGAAATCGAAGGTTCACCCGAGCAGCCAGTTCGCCGGAGATCAAGAATCGGCAAACAGGCTACATCACGGCCGTTGCAAAAGAACCATATTCCTGAAACGAGCTCCGGACTTATAGAAAAACCACAACCTTCGCCTAAAGTTGTGATTCCCAAACCTCCGTCGGCTCCATCCTCTGAAGTCGCCGATGTATCACCAATTATTGCATCTGATGATATTCTCGAGTCAGGGGCAAACACCACCGAAGATCCTCCTACTACACCCCGACAAACACACACATTATCGGAAGACACTGCTCAAATCGCTCCAAGCCAAGTACTTGCCGTTTGGATGGGCCAAAAACGTGCATACTACCCAGCAACATGCTTTGGAACACCCTTGGGAGTACCAAAGGACAAATACTCTGTCAAATTCGAGGATAGTCTTCATCTCGAGGTGACAAAAGGCGCAGTGAAGAGATTCGAGCTTCGGCTCGGAGACGGTGTCAAAATTGATATGCCCAATGTTCCCAAGGTTACCCACGTTGTTCGCGGCTTCGATGACAGGTTGACCCGAGAGGAGCTTGCCAAAGCAGCTGACGATGGTCTTTATCCTATCACTGACATCTATGGTCACTCTACTGTCATAGTCGGCCCCAAGCAACGCAAGAGCTTGCCAAATGGCGGCCTGAACAACAGTGAAAACGTGATCAAGGTGCCTCTTGCTCGTATCTATCTCGACACTATATTGTGGAATCAGCTGAAAGACCGGGCATTCACACCTCGCCCGGCACCTGTTCAGCAAGAGAGCACGGTACATACCCCCTCTGAGAAGTCATCTGCGCCTGTATCCCCCAGTGCTCGTTTCTCTCGAAGCATTCACCAAGCAAACGGCATGTTTTCCGGCATGGTATTTGCAGTCTCTTACGGAGACGACGAAACAACCAAAAGTCGCATCTCGAAGCTGATCGTGGAGAATGGTGGTACCATATTACATGAAGGATTTACTGAGCTGTTCGAATCTTCATCGATTGTCCCCTTTGATACCCCCACCAAAACCAACGCCAAGGACGCAGACCCCAATAGCAAAGGCCTGCAACTCACACCCCTCGCCGAGGATGTAGGCTTCGCCTGTTTGATCGCCGAGACCCATTCCCGGCGCGAGAAATACATGCAAGCCCTCGCCCTCAATCTCCCATGTCTATCAGGACGCTGGGTAGACGACTGCGTCACCAAAGGCCGCGTCCTAGACTGGGACATCTACCTCCTCCCAGCCGGCGAATCAACATACCTCAACGGCGCGACAAAATCCCGCCTCATGCTCCCAACACCCCCATCCACAGCCCGCCTCTCCGAGACCATCTCAGCACGCCCAAAACTCCTCGCAGGCCATTCCGTCCTCCTCGTCATGGGCCGCGGCAAAGCCGAAGAAAAGCGCAAAGCTTACATCTTCCTCACCTATGCCCTGGGAGCGTCCCGCGTCGAGCGCGTTCCCGATCTCGGTACCGCAAGGGCTTTGATAGACTCCCAATCTGATGCTGGCGTGCCCACTAGCTGGGATTGGATCTATGTTGATGATGCGGATCAGGCGGCCGCGAAGTCCATGCTCACGCCTAGAGCTAGGACGCAGCGGATTCATTTGTTTCATGGAAAAAAGAGGAAGAGGTCGATTGCTTCGTCTACGCCCACGCCACCTGGCGAGCTTAAGTGTTCTGCTAGGGTTGTGGGGAATGAATTTGTTTGTCAAAGTTTGATTCTGGGTAGTTTGTATGAGGAGTGATATGTGCTTGTCTTGATACCAATTTCATTTAACATTTTGATTCTAGAATGGATATATTCTAACAATCATCTGTCTGGATCGTTCCGTATTTACTGCCCTTATTTGGAGGATGTGCCAAGGTCGCTAGATAATACACGTTCGGTGACAGGCTCGGGTTGCTGGGTCTTCAATTCATGAGTCATAGCGTCATTCGTTGACTCTTTCACTTGAGTCTCCTGCTTCTGATCCTGCTCTGTGTTTTGGCTGTCAGGAGACACATGTTGAGTGGTTGATTCATGAGAGGAGTTGTGAGGGCTTTCAGTGATAGATTCTACCGGTTCAGGCGCCGATTTTGCGGGCAGCTCTGTAGCCGGTCCTTGCTCAGCGGTAGGCACAGTCTCTTGGATGTTCGACCCCGTCACATCTTGGGTGTCCTCACTCGGGTTTTCAGTATTTCCGGGAGCATGCTCGCTCTCAAGCTCAGCAGCTGGTATCCGTTGATCAGTTGAGGCCGCTGTTTCGGGTCTGGATGGTTCACGCGCATCGTGAATCACCCCCGCAGACGACTCTGTGCCTTCGGGTGTCTCTTCTGCGCCTGGTCCGGTAGCCGCAGTCGCAGAGCTAGAGGCAGCAACCTGCTGCGGCTGTTCAGCAGGAGATTGAACTGAGGCTCCAGTGCTCTGCCCAGGGGTTTGTGCTGGATCCTCCGTTGACTGAACAGATGGGTCAAATTGAAAGAAATCCCCATTCAAAACCGCCATAAGAACCTCCGCTTCAGGCGGCGACGGAATCAACCCATTCAACAACTCCGTCGCCCGAATCCTGCGCCCATACATCTTCTTATTCGCAGCAGCGCGTTCCGCAAGAACACCACCCTCAACCGTCAGCCCACCATACAGCCCACGAGTCTTCGAGTAAGTAAACACCCCAGTTGAACTCTTGACCCCAACAACGCCGCTGGCCTCAGCACTCCGGCCGACGGGCCCAACAGCCATAGAGATGTTCCCGCTTAGGGTCAAAGTACCTGACTGCGTGAACGTTCTCACTGCCGCATCGGTGGTGAGCACGAATATGAAATCGGTCAATTCTGCACCGAATTGACCACCTGCGCCAATGCCGCCCATGGCCATTGCCGATGGAGCGGACCAGCTGCCATCGGGGAGGCGAGCGACTATCAGCCCTGAGCCGAAGCGGACGGAGCCTAGGAAGCCCACTCTGAAGGCTGTGTAGATTGCGATTCCCTGGAATGGAGTAAGGGTTTGTTTTGTGTATAACAATTAAGATAATGTTCGTTGTGTACCTTTGCTCCTTGGAATATCTTACGCGGAATCTCGCCATCAATCTTGAGTCTGGGGTTGATGAAAGATTCGATAATCGCGGCGGCCTTTTTGCACTCGCCTATAGGGCATCGTTAGCTTGTATAAAGCCATCTGGAGCAAAGGGGGTCAAGGACTGGAAAGTGAGGCAGGCAATGGATTGTGTAGTGCGTTCTTCATGGCTTTCACACTGCTGGATAGTCTGACGGAATGATCCAATATGCAGATTGCTAGATTCCACGGGCTTTACACAATGAATAGAGAACAATGTTCTACCTCTACTCCGTAGAAACATGTAAATATGTAATTAAGCAACAACAGCCTGATAGGGGGCTGACTTAAAGTAGCGCACGGACCTGATTAACAGGGTCCTAGATTTTGTTTGTGTCGTACTTTTGGCAGTGAATCACATGCACCCATTACTTTGCGACAGGGATAATATAGGCGTTTGTCCGCCGTCTCGCGGCTGGGGAATGAAAATTGGGTCGTTGATTGTGTGCCCAAAAGGTGATAAATAGTTAGTTACTAGGGAGAACTATAAACAGCACCCGACATGTTCAGGTAGTGTCTCCGTTGCGATGAAAAGATCATCGATATAAGCCCGACAGGACTCGCGGACTTCCCGCAGAATGTTGTCGATGAGCCTTTGGACATAGGTAACAGAATTTTTGTTTCCCATGATGACAACCTTTATGATCTCAACACCGCGATGGCTAGCAACACTTTGATACTTAAGAAAGTCTGGGTGAACCCGGCATTGATGGTACCACGCTCCGCAATCGAGGACTATCAGGAACTTTTTCCCTTAGCAAAGCTCCTTGATGTCGTCAATCGTAGTAGATGGGTATATGTCAGGTTCCATGATAGCGTTGAACCCGCGACTGTCAATGACCGTAGGACCCGGTGGTCTTTAAGTGAACAGCAGACACTGGTTCAACCTGTTGAGAGAGGATCTATTCGCATAACTCGGAGGTGTTTGCCCGTGAGTTCTATTTCTTGGTGACGGCCTTTCCTTCAGTCCTATAAAATTGTACTATACAGCGATCTCAAGGCTGGCCACTTCACTCTAGGCTCATATTGACTTCACTCTAGGCTCATATTGACTTCACTCTAGGTTCATATTGTTATAATCTATTTAACTCAGACCTCTCCAAGCTAGTTTCTTCGATTTTTAACTGCTTGGGTCCAGAGCTGGAGATCAAAGGATCCTCTCGCCTTCCATGGCTCCCTGGCGTTGTCCAAATCCTTGGTCAGATCGATTTTTCATTTCTTTAAAACGTGAAGCTGGGGTGGTTCGGTATCCAGTGATTGCCCAGATCGATTGATAGCGTCCATAATGGCAAATTTGAAAGGTCTACGCCTGCATTGTAAGTACATCGTTGTTTTTGAAAGAACGGATTCGGAACCACAGTTATAGCTCCCGCCGCTTAGTGCAGTTATCCGATCACTTATTGAAGAACGACGTCAGACAGAAAGTCAAACATAACTCAACAGGAATCAATTGAATTATAATAAATCTAAATGGGGTTGATAGCACAATCTTATACAATTCTATAAGAAAGAAATAGACTAGCTAGGAACAAATCAAAGGGAAAATTGGAATGCGAAGGTGTATAGAGGCCAGGGGTCAATTGTTTTTATACTCCGTGCTCAGAAATTGAAATACACAAATTTCTATAGAGGATGCCCTAATAAGCGAAGTACACTAGGTTTGAAGATGAAAGCTATTTCCACATTACAATCCTGCGATTTTACCTCCAGTACTATAGCGGAATATACTATAGACTTCAAGCGATCCTGAATATCGAATCTCGGTAGAAGTAAAAAGAGACTACAAGAGATGTAACTAATGATGGAGGAATACATGGTAACTATAGAGCGGTCTAGAATAGGGCATGTTCAGGCATCAATACTAGAGATCAAATGCATTCGACGCTGTACACCTTCGCACTGAAAGTTCTGTGCGTAAGCAGATGTAATTAGTTCGATGGATTTGATTCCCTGAAATTGTGGCGCTCACAAATATGAGCCATTATGGGGTTAGACACCAAAGCATTTCTCAGGGGTTGATTCGGAACAAGACCTGCATAAATCCTGTTTGGAACCCTTGAGTCTCAATATTGGTAAGTGGCTCGAGAAACCGATCGGCTCGGCTTGAAACAACGGCCCCCCCTGTGGATTAGGTTCACCAGTCCCACATCGCTCGATCGGTTGATCTCAATTATGCCTTCAAAACGTTTACCCGAATAGAGACATGTTGGCATTGACACGCTTTGAGTCTCATGGTCTGTGTTCTTGGTCAGGTACAACATAGTAACGAAGGTAAATTTAAGGTTCATCTAGGGCTGGACGGAGGTTAAGCTTGAATTTGAGTAATTGAATTCATGGATAGCACGTAGAATTACCTGATTTCAGCCATCACACTCCTTGTACTCAAGAATTCGGTAATATAGCTCATTGATTGATGAAACCGCACTAAGTCCCCAAGTGCCTAAATTATCATTACTATTTTAAACCTGTTTTGTTTCCATCCCCCGATTGGTAGTATCAATGTTCTCAGTCACAGTCACACATAACAACTTTCAATTACCGAGGCACCTCAATTATGAGGTTATTGGGGTTGTAGTCTATACATATTGACCCTTGCTCGCTCCCACACTGGACGGTTCACGTCAAAATAGTGATCGAAGCATTCGCTCTAATGCTGCTCCAGGCTGTCCTCGTGTCCCTCGCGCTCCAAGCGAGCAGCGTAACAGCTGATAACTTTGAACGGCGAGCAGCTCCTCTTACTGGGCACACATTTGACTATGTGGTTGTGGGTGGTGGCACAGGTGGCAGTGCTCTCGCAACACGACTTGCGCAAAATGACTTCAAGGTCGCGTTAATCGAGGCTGGAGGGTATTACGAGCTCGAATCTCTCGCAGAGGTTCCTGCTGCCGATGTTCTGCCCGTGGGATCAGATCCTAATACGAAATCCCCCGAAGACTGGGGCTTTGTGACGAGAAACCAACCCGGTGCGAACGGGCGAGCTATCCATTATGCTCGGGGAAAGTGTCTAGGAGGATCGTGAGTATCATCTGATGTGCAGATGGGGGCTCAGAACTGATATTTTCACAGTTCAGCATTGAACTTCATGATCTATCAACGGTAAGTTCTCTGGCAGGGTCATTTGTGGCTTCGCTGACCCTGATCATATAGCCCGACACGCGAGTCCATGGAGCGTTGGGCAACTGCAGTCAATGACAGCAGTTACACTTTCGATGAAGTCCTTCCACTATACAAGAAGAGTGTTGACTTCACGCCACCAAACATGAATTACAGAGCCGACAACGCCTCAGCGGACTATGATGATGATGCGTTCGACTCGGATGGCGGTCCATTGCAGGTGTCTTATGCCAACTTTGCCATGCCTTTCTCATCATGGATGAACCTCGGCATGGAGGCAATTGGCATCGACAAGGCGCAGGATTTCAACATGGGCAGTTTAATGGGAGCTCAGTACTGTTCCTCGACCATCGATCCCTCCAACGAACTTCGCAGCAGCTCTGAAGAATCATTCCTCTCCAAGATCAAACCCAGAACCTTGACAACATATTCCAACACTCTCGCAAAGAAGGTGGTGTTTGACGACAACAAAAGGGCAACCGGTGTTCAAGTGAGGGGGGCACTGGGTAACATGGTCACCATTTCGGCATCGGAGGAGGTGATCATCTCCGCTGGTGTTTTTCAGTCACCGCAGCTTCTCATGGTGTCTGGTGTTGGTCCGTCTGACCAGTTGGAAGAGCACGGAATCGAAGTTATCGCAGATCGACCAGGCGTTGGGCAGAACATGTGGGATCACCCTTTCTTCGCTCCTACATACCGAGTGCGAGTGACAACCTTAACCGAGTTTGCTACCAATCTCATCTACGCAGCGGGACAAGTCGTCGGTGGACTGGTCACCAAGAACGGATTCTTGACAAACCCAGTGGCTGATTTCCTTGCTTGGGAGAAGATCCCACAATCCTTGCGCCAAGCTTTCTCCCAAAGCTCGCTCGATAAACTATCTCAATTCCCCAGCGATTGGCCCGAAGCGGAGGTAAGATGATAACCAAGGATGCAATATACAATGGCCACTAACCAGACCATAGTACATCTCTGGCGCAGGATACATCGGGAATGTCTCAAACCTTCTTACAACTCAGCCTAGAGATGGATACCAGTATGCCTCGATGCTCGGCGTGTTGATCACACCTCTGTCCCGCGGCAATGTTACCATACAGTCGGCAGATACCAAGGACCTACCAGTGATCAACCCCAATTGGCTCGACGACGCGGCTGATCAAGAGCTGGCCATTGCCATGTTCAAGCGCATGCGTCAGGCATTCCAAAGCAAGGCCATGGAGCCCGTGATCATTGGCGAGGAGTATAACCCTGGGCCTGAGGTCAAGTCTGATGCCCAGATCCTCGAGTTCATCAAGGATAATGTCATGACGCTATGGCATGCTGCTTGTACTTGCAAGATGGGCACTGAGGACGACGAGATGGCTGTTGTTGATTCTCAGGCTCGGGTTTACGGAGTCGATGGATTGCGTGTCGTGGATGCTAGCGCATTCCCTTTCCTTCCTCCTGGTCATCCCCAGTCGACAGTTTGTGAGTTTGTTTCGAACTTCTCCCTTTGATTCTTGCTGACCGGATGTGCAGATATGCTTGCTGAGAAGATCGCTGCGGACATAATTGACGGTGCTTAATTGGCTTGAATTCGGTACCAAGAGGATATAGCTCTAAAAGTAAATGGTTTTTGGAGGTTCGTTTTGACCTTCAAAAAGAATGTTGAAGTATACCTACATATGTATATATTAGAGTAGGAAGTGGTCAATATGTGAAATAATAATGGTTAGGAAAGTTGATGGGTAAATGCTCTTTCTATAATACAATGAACACCAGATACAAATCCTCATATCGCTACAGAACCCCAGAAGTTATTGAAACAAGACATTATGCACGCAGCAAATGCCCTTATTTCTTGCCCGTCTTCTTCTTGCCCTTCATACTCTTCATCTGAGCAGCCCGCTCGGCTCTCTTCTCACGCTTCCTCCATGCCAACCACCGGTTGCGGCGGTCATAGCCCTGGGAGGTGATGCCCGCCTTCTCAGCAGCACGACCAATCTCCCAATTGGCCTCACGGAACATGTAACCAGGACGCAGTTGGAGGCCGGTAGCGGCATCAACAGCCTGCACATCCGACACTTGGACACCGTTCTCATCAACAGAAGCAATGAGATCAGACTGGCCCTCAACCTTCGCCTGAATCGGCACATCAACCATATTCAGCTTACGCCGGCTGGGCGCATTACGCGGGTGCGGGAGTTGCTCGTTCTTGTCGAAAACAACTCCGATAAACCGGCGCTTCGAGTGCTTCTGCGGGTCGAGGTAGTAGCGGACGTAGCCGGCCTGGGTTGCGTAGATGGTGTGGTCACGACCCATGCCGCAATTTTCACCAGGGAACCAGAGGGATCCGCGTTGCCGGAAAATGATGCATCCCGGTACCACGTACTCGCCGCCCGAGCGCTTCGCTCCGAGACGCTTGCCGGCGGGATCACGCGAGTGTCGATTGGCTGTTCCTTGGGAGGCGTGTGAGGCGTAACGCACTTGTGAGAATGGGAGGAGAGTGCGAGAGAGAGATGGCGTTGGGGTTGTTTTCGGGAATGTGGATGCGGAGAGTGTTCGCAGGAGGGATTGCGGTTGGGTGTGCGAGTGTGTCGACCGGATTGGGGTAAAGGCTCGCTCCAGCGCTCGGAGAGGCGCTAGCACGCGCGGTTTAAACATCGTGAGTTGTAATTGGAATGTTGGGGTTCAACTTGGACGTGGAGCTCCAAAGGGGAATCGAAAAAGTTCGGAGATGGGCTTGGCGTCACGTGAACTTGGGAAGTAGGCCATCTATACCACTTCGACTTCGTCCTCCACATCCACTGGATCGTGGCCTAATTACTCGTTTTATTTATACGCCATGTTCCAAAGCTGGCGCCAAGCCCTCTGGGCTTTTATTCTCCTTGTATCTGTCGCTCAGGCACAATTCAACTTCTTCGATCAAATGTTTGGAAACGGCGAGCAACAACAACGTCAGCAGCAGCGGTCGCAAAACGCCCCTAGCGATAGCGCCCGATATCAGCAGATGTGGAGAGAAGGTAAGTTGAAAATTTGGTGTTTTTCGTCCATGCTAGCGCATGTTTCAATTGCAAATAAAGCAATATCACTGACCTCGGGAACCTCTACAGCGCAATGCGAAAACTACCTCTGCCCCGGAACTCTGGCATGTGTACACTTCCCACATCACTGCCCGTGCCCTCATCCAGATGTTGAAGAGAAGGTCGAATTTGGAGAGGGAAGTGCTGTCTGTGTGTCAAAGGGCGGATATAAGGCAGGCGAATCCGCGCGCAAAATTGAGTTGGCTCGCAAGGGTCTTCTTTGAGAAGGTTGTACATCTATTGAGATTGGCATGCAAAATTACATCCAGCCACCATCAGGCCGTGGGATCCTGTCATGAAATTTGGTGCCGCTGGTCGGATTGTCGCGATTGATATACCATACCGCTTTGAACATGGGCAGCATTCAAAAAATCACAGATATCTATCATACAAAACTCGCGCAGCTGTTTCAACGAAGAACCATAGAACGGGAGCTGTGGTCAGCCCCAGAGCAAGAAAGGCTCCCACGGCCTATGCACAATATAGGAAGGTTTCTCTGGCGCACAGCGATTTTACTAGGATTGAAAAGCTTCTGTGTCCAATTGATAATGATATGATCAATTGAGCCTAGTATCACGAAAGAATCCACAGGCAGGACATATTGTGGTCTTAGAGCGTAGAGCGAAGCCATAAAGCATAGGATGGATGCCGTTGTTATCTCCGATAACCCCGCGGCAGACCTTCCGTCATAATCTTCGGCTTCGGGATCAACTCTTCATCTTGACGCATATCCCCATCCCGCGTCGTTTGCGATACTTTTACACTTTTGCCCTTCTTGTTGTTTTCACCTGGCTCAGAATACCCGATATGTGGAGTATAAGGCTCCGACCACTGCAAAGGCAGTTGGTTCCAGCGCGCACTCGAGCTCTTTCGAGCTTTAGAACTCATGGTTCTCAGCGGGGTCCCCGCAATAGCATCCAGAGACCAGAACTCATCAAGTCTTCAAAGAAGACTGAACCGTCTCAACAGCCCGATCAACCACAATCCGAACCCGCTGCCCCCGAGCCTCAAGATGCTGCAAATCCTAATTACGACCCTTCACAGAACACTTTACTCTCTCCCGTTTATCTTCCAGAAGACCCCCATGGTGTCCTCAAAGAAACTCATCCAGCTACATCCATACTCGCCAACTCAGGATTGGTGGTGCAACGACAAATAGAAATGATGAATATTATGATGTGAGTGCTGCACAATGCATAATTTCCATATCTATGCGAATTTGTACAATTGTCCTGACATGTCTTTTTTAGTGGCTTTGAACAAGCGAACAAATACGTTATCATGGATGCGCAGGGAAACCACATCGGGTACATGGCAGAGCAAGAAAAGGGACTCGGAAATGCAGTGGCACGGCAATCGTTCCGCACTCACCGAAGTTTCGTGACCCATGTGTTTGACCGGCACGAAAATGAGGTTCTGCGAGTATGTTCTGGCAATGGTAATCCTCCATTGTAGCCTGGCTTTGTGACTGACCACCTTAGTTCCATCGCCCATTCGCTTGGATTAATTCCAAGATTCACGTCTACGACCCTCTCGATAAAGCCCCTAATACCTACTCGTCATCCACCTCTGTTGAGGGCGTCTCACCTGGATCCCTCATCACACCTGGGGGCACATCGAATGCACGTATATCACCACTAGAGTTTGATCAGATGCGAGTCATTGGCGAGGCCCAGCAGCAGTGGGCACCCTTACGGCGAAAGTACAACCTTTTCACCTACCACAAGTCGCCCAATCCGGCTACCGACATGGGAACCAGCAGCTCAGGCACTGATGTTTCACAAGGAAATCAGATTCAGGTACGGCCAACATCTAACCAAGACCAGGGCCAATATAATCAGTTTGCCTATGTGGATGAACCATTCCTATCATGGGACTTTTCCCTGAATACGGCGAATAAGCAGTTGATCGGATCAGTGAACCGCAACTTTGCAGGCTTTGCTCGTGAATTCTTCACGGATACAGGCGTCTACGCAATGCGCATGGACTCTGCAGGTCTTGGCACTGAGTCCTCATCTGATAAAGAAGTCCGTGGAATGACCCTCGATCAGCGTGCGGTTATGCTTGCTACCGCTGTAAGCATTGACTTTGACTACTTCAGTCGTCACAGCGGCTCTGGCGGCTTTGGCGGCTTCATGCCTCTCTGGTTCCCCGGTATGGGCGGGGAGGCTGCCGCTGGGGGCGCTGCAGGTGGTGCGGCTGCAGGGGGTGCCGCAGAAGCCGGTGCCGTTGGTGAAGCCGCAGCTGGAACTCTAGGCAGAGCCGGGGCCGCTGGGGGTATGACGGATGGCATGGCTGCAGGCGTTACGGGGGCAGGTGCCATGGCTGGATATGAAGCGATGCAAAGAGGCTACCCAGCTGATACCAATGCACCGACATCGCCTGGTCAGCAGGGATCACAGCCTACAGAGGCCGAGTCATCTGGTTTCTATGATGAACCTGAAGATCCCTGGGGTAAAGAGAATCCTTGGGAAGATGATGATGGAGGCGATGGAGGCGATGGTGATAGTTTCGACTTTTTCTAAAGTCAATCCCTGTATTTTTAAGCATTTGTCAAGAACGACATTATAAAAGTGAAATTATAGATGAACCCACCAGCCGCCCAAACCCCTCCCCTTTTTCAATGTTCTTTGTTATGAGTAGATAGACTGTACATCTCTATGCCCTGATTGGTGTTATCTCTACCGCCCCGGAATTATTCCATCCCCGACCTACATCCCACCAAATCTCCGCAAAGCCATTGTTGCCACTCCATCACACTCCATTACACTCCATCCAAAATGGTGTCCACCGTCGCCCAGAAGCGCCTATTCCACGAATACAAGAATCTCTCCACCAACCCACCAGAGGGTATCACCGCTGGCCCTGTTTCTGAAGATGACATGTTCTACTGGGAAGCTTTAATCCAAGGCCCCGAGGAAACACCCTTTGAAGGCGGTGTTTTCGCCGCAGAACTCAAGTTCCCCCGAGATTACCCACTCAGCCCGCCGACGATGAAGTTCATCGGCGGAGGCATCTGGCACCCGAACGGTACGTCTCCGAGATGCGCTGGTTACACAAATGGCGAATATCTTGCTAACGATCCCGTTCATAGTTTATCCCAACGGCACTGTCTGCATCTCCATTCTTCACCCGCCTGGTGACGACCCAAACCACTACGAACATGCCTCGGAGCGCTGGTCGCCTATCCAGAGCGTGGAGAAGATCCTCATATCTGTCATGAGCATGCTTGCGGAGCCGAACGATGAGAGCCCGGCTAATGTTGAGGCTGCTAAGATGTGGCGTGATCGCAGGCCAGAGTATGAGGCTAAGGTTCGGGATGAGGTGAAGAAGGGCTTAGGTCTTTGAGCTGGCTGTTTAGTGTGACTTGGTCGGTTCTCTCGTTGCGGATGCAGATTAGTAGCTCGGTCTGCTTGCTAGGCGGGGAATCAGGATTTGATGATTGGCGTCAGGGTGCTTTGGTTTTCTTTTTGCATGGTCTGGATGCTCGGTTTGTATAGCGCATTCTGTTCCTTCGCATTGATAGCGAATAAAATACATGCATGCACTTCTATTGAAGGTCTTTCCTTGCGAATCGAGGAATTTGTCTTCGTTCTGTTGTATACTGATTGTCTTGCCTTTGTAATAATTGACAAGTACCAGAGGGCAATCACTAAATCTATCAATGCGATCTATACTCACATATAGTATATTTATACCTCTTTAAATATACACCAAAGCAACCGTCACTCCTGCCGAAACATCTTGCGCTCAATCCACCCCTCCAACCCACCAACACACTCATACAAGACCTCAATCTCCGCTTTCAAATTCAACATCATCATCCGCTGCAATTCTGCGCGCCACTCCGGCTCGGGGCCATCACTCGCCCATACGGGACTATTTCGCAACATGGCCGTGATCTTCTTGCGGTCTCGCATGGCCAACGGGAGAAGAGCCTTGTCGCCAAGAACCTCCGGAACAGCGATTATATCCGATACGCGCAGGCCGAGCCATTGCAGCCGCGGGATACTCAACCGAGCATTCTCGTGCAAGTGCGCTGCCGAGCCGTACTTGTATGTCGACATGATGGCCATCCCGTGAGGGTCGCCGTCCGTGAGAGCGTAGAAGCGGAGAGGTCTGTCTTGGCTCGATGAGACGTTGAAGAGTCTGCGCAGGAACTGCCGCGTTGACAGGTCTGGATAGCCTTTTCCCTGTCTCGGTGACTCTGCGGTCAGTTGGAAGCTGGGGTGGTGACTGATTGCGCAGCGTGGATGCGACTTACCGTGACTAGGAGCCCTTCTCCCGCTATTGCTCGAGTGTAGTATGCGGAGCGTGCGAGTCGGTGAAAGACTGCCTGTGGATGGAGATGGTCAGGCGATGCTGTGTGTACTATTGTCCTGGAACTCGTACCTCTTTTTCAATTACTAGCACCCATCGAATCCGCGAGATGTCGATCTCGTCGCCATCTTCTATGTGCGGGATCAAAGTGTCCTACCATTGAAATCAGCCTGGGTCTTCAATTCTTGCGATTTATGCTTACCTCTGAAGCGGAATGCGCATCAATCACCACATGGGAATCACGGATTAAGCGAAAGTTACCCGCGACGAGGCCTTTTCCTGCTGCTTCCTGAATGATAGCATGCAATGTCAGTACAATGATGTTGCAGTGCCATATCCTGGGTATACGACAATACTGACCACGTTCAGCGCCGCTCGATCTACTCCGATGGTGTATGCCAGATCATCAACGATGCCATCGACTATGTACTGAGCACGAAAGAACTCAGGGTCGATGTAGTAGATATCCCTGAGATGGTGCTCAGCAAGCCTCCATGACTTCAAACGTTAGTTCATGCACAAGGCCAACTCACCTTTTGGAGATCAACTGCCCTGCTCGAATAGCCTGATCCAAGATAGCCAGGATACGAAGAATGACCGCTGGAAGTAGATACGGATGCGTTAGTGTGTTGTGGGAAGAGCCACCCAGCGCCAGAATATCATACTAAACTTCCAGGCTTCATAGGCCGTCTTCCCGGGCCAAGAGTACGTCCTGCTTGCATCAAATCTTGGGCTTGCCTCTAGAGCTCCAGTTAGGGGGTTGATGATGCAAGATGTTGGATTAGCTCGACGTTTGAGCACGACCGAGAGACGTGCTTCTGATGGCGGCAATGTGAGTTCGTGGACGAGGGCCATCAGGGTTGTGTCGATGTACTCTTGCACTGAGGGATCTTGTCCATCGTCCACCTCCAATGGCTGTGGATTTGATGGCTGGGCCTGTGCCATTGGAGTGAGTTGAAGATGAGATGGATGGGTCTTTTGATAAGGTTGGGCAAGGCAACTTATGCAACACACTCCAAGGTTCTATCTATGGCCGCTACATTTTATCGAAAACATCCAATTAGCCACTAGCTGATTGAAGTAGTAATTTATGTATAAAGTATATATAAAATCAGTGTTTTCACTCTATATCAATGGAATTCTGATGGTTTTAGCTGTAGTTATTTGCTAGGCTGACCACCTTATACCTCAACCTAGAGCCATAGTAGTGTTCATTTACTAACGTTAGAACCTAATTATTTTCCTTTTTGTGTTTTATGATTGATCTCCTAATGAATCAACACAATAATATCGAAACATATCATATTTGCTTTTTCCTTCTGTTGTTTTATTCCTTTTTTTGAAGTGGACAGTTAAGGGGGAACAGTAATCAACCACTTTTCATCTGTTTCCCTTTGACACACACACTCGATTCAAAAAGATCTTTTTACATCTCTTCTCTTGTTCTTCTATACATTTTGATCTTCAAATCAACAATCACATGTAAAGTAAAACATTCTTCATCCTACACCGCAGTCGTGATACTGAGATGACTAAGCTTCCCCGGGTTCTACAGCTTCCCACTTGAGCTCCTGTTTATCTTCTCTGCCTAGAACAATTGGTGTGAACCAATTACTTAAATCATGTCTTCAGCTCCTCATATTGGTCCCTGGAGAACTCCAGCTGAGGGCCATCTCACTCCTGATGTCAATGGAGACCCTCAGACCGACTACTCGCGCTGGCGATTGGTCGATGAAGAAGGCCGTCAAACATGGCGGTATCTCGAATCTGATACCGAAAATCAAGAATGGCCTCAGTCAATAGCTGATAAATACCACTTGGGACTGCCGACAGTATTTAACCCCCTACAATTGATCATTATAGTTGCCCCCCATTCTGACTAGGCTATAGGGTCTTCCAGAACTACCAGAGGCCAAAACGCCATTGGATGCTGCAGAGAACGGATTGTCTTTCTTCTCACACCTTCAACTCGAACCTGGTAACTGGGCTTGCGAGTACGGTGGTCCAATGTTTTTGTTGCCTGGTATCTTGATCACTTACTATGTGACCAAAACCCCCATTCCTCCTGAGTATGCGACTGAGATCAAGCGTTATTTGTTTGCTCGTCAGCACCCAGAAGATGGTGGATGGGGTCTGCATATTGAAGGTCACAGCTCCACCTTCGGTACATCTATGAACTACGTGGCACTGCGCTTGATCGGCGTCAATGAGGATGACCCGCGCATGATCAAAGCTCGAGGTCTTCTGCACAAGTTCGGAGGTGCCATATACGGACCTCATTGGGCCAAATTCTGGCTCAGTATCCTAGGTGTGATGAAGTGGGAGGGTGTCAACCCGGTCCCTCCTGAGCTTTGGCTTCTTCCCGATTGGGTTCCTTTCGCCCCTTGGCGGTGGTGGTGCCACATGCGCCAGGTGTTCCTTCCAATGTCATACTTGTGGTCCAAGCAGTGGTCTCATCCTCTGGATGATCTGACGAAGCAGATTAGAGAAGAGATATACACCCAGCCGTACGATTCTGTTGATTTTGCTGCAAATCGCAATTCCATTCACGAAACTGACAACTATTATCCAAAAACTTGGTTGTTGAATGGGATCAATGAACTATTGGTTCGCGTCTGGAACCCTTACCTTCGACTCCCCAGCATTGTCAAGCGGGCTGAAGATTGGACTTGGGAGCTGATTCGCATGGAAGACGAGAACACGAAATACGCGGGGCTGGGACCCGTCAACAATCCTATGAACATGGTTGCCTGCTTCATCCACGATGGCCCTGACAGCTATTCTGTCCGCCAACACCGAGAGCGCTTGAACGACTACATGTGGGTGAAGGGTGAGGGTATGCTCGCGAACGGCACCAACGGTGTGCAAGTGTGGGACACAGCATTCATCACCCAGGCAATTGTCGTCGCTGGCTTCGCTGACGAGCCCAAGTGGCGACCCATGTTGACAAAGGCTCTGGAATTCCTCGACGCTCATCAACTACGAGAGAACGTGCCAGACCAGGAGAAATGCTACCGCCAGCACCGCAAGGGTGCCTGGCCATTCAGCACCAGGGACCAAGGCTACACAGTCAGCGACTGCACTGCCGAAGGTCTCCGGTCAACCCTCCAACTGCAAGAGATGCACAACTTCCCAAAGCTCATTCCCGAGCAACGACTCAAAGACGCCGTCGACTGTCTCCTGCTAATGCAAAACCCAAGCGGCGGTTTCTCAGAGTACGAGATCACGCGCGCCTCACCCAAGGTTGAGTGGCTCAACGCCGCCGAAGTCTTCGGCGGAATCATGATCAGCTACGACCACCCAGAATGCACAACCGCCTCCGTAACGGCCCTCTCACTCTTCAGCAAATTCTACCCCAAGTACCGCGCCTCAGAAATCCAGGACGCAAAAAAGAAAGCCGTCGCACACATCAAGCACGTCCAGCGCGCCGACGGCAGCTGGTACGGCTCGTGGGGTATCTGCTTTACGTACGCCGCGCTCTTCGCGCTGGAAAGTCTAGCCAGTATCGGCGAGACGTACGAAACAAGCGCAGACTCTCGTCGCGGCTGTGACTTCCTGATCGAGAAGCAACAGGCCGATGGTGGTTGGGGCGAGTCGTATCTCAGTTGTGCGACTCACCAATATGTTCAGCATGAGACGTCGCAGGTTTGCCAGACTGCCTGGGCTTTGCTCGGACTTATGGAGGCTGAGTATCCGCACAAGGAGCCATTGGAGCGGGGTATTCGGTTGTTGATGCAGAGGCAGCAACGGAATGGAGAGTGGTTGCAGGAGGCGATTGAGGGGGTTTTCAATCAGTCTTGGTATGTCTTTTTCTTTTCTTGTGTTGTTTGGGCTCAATTGCTAACTTTTCCAGCATGATCTCCTATCCTAACTACAAGTTTTACTGGCCTATTCGGGCTTTGGGCTTGTATAGTCGGAAGTTTGGGAATGCGGAGCTTTCGTAGACATTTTCGGTCAGATTGATGCCTCATAACCTATATATTTAATTAATAATAGAACATATCATGTTTAGCATGTGAATGGAAGATATTCCACTGATACACCTCAACCATTCCAAGTATTGATGTTTTGACTGTTGATAGATATAGCCTCAGATTCAGTGGTCGATTGTCTTTGTGATGGGGGAGGTACAATTCCCAACACGTATAGCTGCATTCTATTAAATGTAGAGCCCACTAGAACTAAACATCATATTTTCACTACAAAACATTGTTCTGATTGATGTTCTATTGTTCTATTGATAGGTATTGTGACTAGATCACCTGCCTGATATGGAAGTAGATACATGTGACGTCATTTGCATTCTTCTACAGACCGTCTTTCTTCTCACGTGACACTCCGCCCTTAATCCACGATCGCTAATTGGATTAGAATGGAACGGGTGGGGATTGTCGGTTTTCTCCGTTCGATTGGTCGGAGCTGCCTTAGCCGCCGCCGTCGTGATTCCCGCAACGAGCGGGACGGTTTACCTCTTCTGCCCATTCCCAGGACTACGTACCAGGAGACACTGCTAGCTCCAGCCGATATCGCAATGAATTCTGCTACTAAAGGCGACGAGGCCTCGGCCATATCGAACTATCCCCTCGCGATCGAGCACTACACCAATGCTTTGACCGAGATGCCCCGCGCCCCGAGCTACTACATCTCGCGCTCCACTGCCTACTCCCGCCTGAAGCCCGCAGACGGCGGACCGAACTTTGAAGCTGCACTCAATGATGCCGAAGTTGCTCTTCGTCTCGCTGTCGACCGTGGAAACCGTGAGCTGATGATCGCCGCTCAAATGCGCCGCGCCATCGCGCTGTACCAGCTGGGTCGTTTGGGCGATGCATCCTATCTGTTTGAAATACTAGAAGCTAAGGTCGGCTCCACCAAGCCCTCCGACGATAAGAATAAGGAGTTTCAAGCTGCGATGGCGCAGGGCGAGCCTGCCTCCAAATCCAAATATCGTACCGAGCTGCCCATCTGGTTGGCTAAGACCCGCCGACAGAAGCCTGAGAAGCCTGAGGGTGACGAAAAGTGGGCTGTGACTGTAAAAGAGATCCCTGATGATGTTGAAATTTTCAGTGTTGCGCAATTGAAGGATCAGTTGGCCGCTGTCAAGGCTGAAAACACACAAGCATCGGCTCGTTCTGAGGAGACCACTGCAGTCCCTCCTCAGAAGGAAACCCCTGCCACCCTCGTCAACCCGGACAACTACCGTCATGATTGGTACCAAAAGAATGACACCGTTTTCGTGACTCTCCATGTGAAGAATCTCACCGACCACGTCTTTTCCGTCAAATTTACTGAGACATCGGTGAGTACTCCATCCGGATTAGTTTGGGCTCAACGCTAATAAAATCATAGGTCTTAGTGCAAATCTCCCTCCCAGAGGGCCCTGACTTCGAATGGACTCTTGCTCCTCTCTACGGCACTGTTCGCCCCGAAGATTGCACGTACACTTTCACCCCCGCAAAGACTGGAACCAGAATCCCTGGAAAGATTGAAATGAAAATGCCCAAGAAGACGGCTCGCAAGTGGCTTCATCTGACAGGCGAAGCTGCCTCGGATGCTACGGCTCGCGACAACTCCGGCATACAAAGTGCCTCTTCTGCTCAAAGTGCCCCTTCCGCTCCCCAATACCCTACCTCGTCCCGTAAAGGTGCCAAGAATTGGGACAAGGTCGCGGACTCTTTGGGCGATGGGGCAAATGATGATGATGAAAATGGCGATGCTGTCGACGGATTCTTCAAGAAGCTCTATGCCAGTGCTGACCCGGAGACTCGCCGGGCCATGATCAAGAGCTACACCGAGAGTCAGGGGACTGCTCTGAGCACCAACTGGTCCGAGGTTGGAAAAGGCAAGGTGAATGCGGTGGAAGACACCCCTAAATAAGGACTGACTGTGCATTTGCTTTTTACTGGTCTCGATTCCAAGCTGCATGAGCGAACGGTGTTTGCGAGATATCCAAGTCTGTTTTATTTAGCTAGTTGCATTCAATCTACTAGCTCGCACGTTCTGTGTCATTGATCCTGATTGATTCAGAATCTTACCTTCACTAAAGACTATCACGAAAACCCGTCAGCACGAAGACACTCAGATTAAATGGTAGGCTGTCAGTCGGTTAGGGCTTATAGTTGTTGTGTCTTATTCGTCCTCCATGAATATTGTATTGCCGCTCGCCCTCCTACAAGCCATATTTTGCATCAGCTTGGTAGCTCTCTCAAACATTTTAACGTTCCATCTTATTTAAGAATTAGAAGTGTTTCAAGAAAAACCATATGTACAATAAACCAGCTCGCATGCTTAGATAATTACTCCTCGTCGTCATCTGCCTTGCCATCAGAATAAAGGAAGAACTGTGTAAAGATAGCCATGTCCAGTAGCAGTGTGCCAGCACTGCCAACCAACCATGACAGATTAACCAAAACATAGCGACCATACAGCGCAGCCGCCTCCCCCTGACGACACTTAGAATGGTGACGATGATGACCCATACTCATAACCTCTTCAGGAGACCCATTCGAGCAGACAGGCGAGTATGCCAATATAGATAGCACATATGTCAAGTTTCCAATGCAGGCGAAGAGGAAAAACAGAAGCGAGACACCGTCCGTAGACTTGCGCCGGTAATTCAAGAGAAGCTGGGGCAGACGGGACCCCAAGTACAACACCGCGCAGAAGTACCCGAATACCTGACCAAATAGATCCAGAGTGAGGGGTTCCGGGTCCGGCGATGTCTTCGCAGCTGGGCTGACATACCAGCCTAGTACGCCTGCGGCGCAAACCAGAGCCACAGAAGTCAGGTTGAAGAGGATCGACTGGAGGGCGGAGATGCGGCGGCGGCGGGCACGCTGGGCGCGGCTGCGTGCTGAGTCGGATGTGGGCTCGATGAAGGGTGTTGCTGGGGATAGATGCGCGGATGAGTGGAAGATGTCGTGGAAGGAGGTTGCTGAGTGGCGTCTTCCAGCGGAGACCGGGCGCGCGTCCTGGTTCTGTGCAGATGCGCTTCCGGCTGGGTGTTGAGTTTGAGCGTGGGTTTTTCCATTTGATTTTGGGAGGAGGGATGAGCGCTCCGTTGGTGTTGATTGGGTTTCGGCACCACTTTCAACGTCGGAGTTGCCGTTGGCTATTGAGAGCTGTGGCGAAGGCGAAGAAGAAAGCTCGTCCTTGAGATTGAAGCCTCTGTAGTAGAAGCACTGGCCTAGCAGAACTATATCTGCTAGTGTGTAGTACACAGCAAGGATGATCATAGTAGGAAGCACGCCCTGCATGACGGCACCAAGGATGTTGAATACATCGCCAGCCAACCAGACGATGAGGAACAGTAGGGAGAGGCCATCAGCGGAGCCACGACGGAAGTTTTCAATAATTTGGGGAGAGAAAACGACGACCCAACAGGCAATGGAAATTGATCTAATTACATACTTGGTTAGTATATTTGTAGAGATTCCCAAGAATGGAAGTCAAGGATCGGCATATATACTCCAGTTGTCGCACAAGCGTGCATGCATCACTTAGGCGAACAAAAGAATAGCGAGCATACAAGATAAATGCAATTGAAGGAACTATACAAGAAATTGAAGCGCATTGGACTTACCCACAGATGCCACTGAGGGCCTCAATGTTAAAATTAACCGCCTGTGAGGGGAACATGTTCGAGAATCGTATGATTCGAATTCGAATTTTCGGATCTTGGTCAATTGACACAATACAACAGATCCAAACCACACCGAGTTAAAGTCGCTGGAGTATCCAGCGCTGTCGGTCAAAATAAAAACGATTCAACGGAAAATACTTGGAGATTTCCGCACTTGCAAAGTGACGTAAATAGACGGTCGGTCACGTGCTACTGTATTGTGTTGGACAAAAGGCTTCATTGATTTCATAACTATTCCTCGAACACGAACTAATCGCTCACAATGAAGCCAAAAAGGAAAGAAAAGAAAATTCCACAGAACAGGGTATCTCAATTCTTAGAAAAAAGATTCAGAAAAAAGTGAAACAGATCAACCCAAATAAATGCATTCATCTCCATACGCCTCGGCGCCGGTATTTTGTCATAAAACCCCAAAGAAATCATGAAAAGGGAAATGAGACCAATTTTTGCTATACACCACATCCAATCCAAACCCACTCACGCAACGGACCCATTAGTCCCGTTGCTATCGTCCAATGACTCTGGGGGAGGGAGGGGGAAGCCATCGCCACCGCCGCCGGCCGCTGCTTTCGAGAAGCCCTCGCGGGCGAGCATGGTGTTCAGCACGGCGCAGTTGTAGGATGCCTCGCCAGGAGGCACGACAAGGAAGATATAGGTGTTATCCGTGAAGCGGCCAAGGAAGATGTTGAACTGTGGGGTCTTGGTGTGCATGACGACGAAGCCGGCAGATGCAGGCGTGGTGAGCGTGTTGCGGGCTGCGCAATGCTTGAAGGCCTTCATGATGTTGGAGAGGCGTTCGTGGCGATCGTAGATCGGGTTTAATTCGCCAACTTCGGAAGTCACGGATGTGACTGTGAGGAAGGTTGATCGCTCAAACAAAATGACTTCTTCTGCGTTGATTTTCTTTGAAAATGCGTTTAGGAAGCGCTCGATGACGACCAAGTTCGGGATCAGCTTGTGGACGATCCCTGCCCAGGCTTTGTACAGCGATTGGTCCCAGATGCTGCTAGCGAAAGTGTCGACACGGAAGTTGGCCGATCGGCTGCGGATTACGGCGGAGCGCTCTTCGTAGATGCGTTGGCGGTGCTCGGCTTGGATTAGATCCATTTTGTGCACCAGGCAGAAGACATAGGCGTTGGGGCTGAATTCGCGGAGTGCTTCGATTATGGCGTGGTAGGTGTCCAGATCGCGGTCGACTTCTCGGGATTCGATGTCGAAAACGTAGATTAGGACTGCGACGTCGGAGAAGATGTTGCCTCGTTGCGAGGCGAGATAGGTTTCCATGAATGCATCTTGTCTGAGATGCAGGTGACTTGGATTAGTGGGTTGGATCCCGGGTCAAAGGTTGAATTGTACACTTACCCTCCGCAATCCCACAGGTTCAATGTCAGGTTGCCCATGAACTTGACATGGCTGTGCTCGACATCAATTGTAGCGCCTAGGCGCCGGACATCCTTTGCGACATAATTGCTGAAAATGATAGAGCGCATGGACGACTTTCCCGATCCACTCTTTCCCATCAAGAGCACCTTTCTCTTCTTCTTTCGAGCATCCATCATGTCGGTGCTTCTCGGGATTGCCGTTGAGCTCGAATGCCCCGCTCTTGCGGGGACAACTCAGGTCGATCTGGGGGAGAGGCAATTCAATGCCTTCACGAGACTAGGAAAGTGAGAGAGTATCGATTACCAGTTATAAGTCCGATGGGGACATCTTCCTATATTGACAATGGGATTGAAGAGCGGATAAGATGGAAGAAGCTCCAGCCTCTAATTGCGGAGAAGACAGCCCACGTGACTATATCACGTGGTCTTCTTATCTTTATTAGAGTCAACAGGCGCCTCAAGCTCCAACGTTTGGAAAACAAGAATTTTGGGTGAGGTGTAGCTGGAAAGAACTAATATTTGTCTGTCTATATATATCTAATATGTATACATAGCATAGCTGTTATGCCTTCAGAGAAAGATAGTTGAAAATGGAGTTTTGTTTTGAGCTTCAGCTTCCAAGGTTGGAGCGCGGGATGACGTTGTGTCTCCATAAAATTTGAAAATCAGGGATGATCATCTATAAAGGTCTTGTTTATCAGACATTTGAAATATGTGTAGAGAAAAAAGAAGTACAAGTGAACCCTTGCGAATCAGAGAGTTGGAAGAAGCAAAAAAGGCCCAAAATGGACAAGGAAACGTGAAACGTGAAACATAGGTAATAATCGGTCATCAAATGTTCATTTTCATCAGGTAATAGAAAAGCCGACGAGAATAGTATCCAGGCATCCAAGCATCAATTAAAGAGATAAAGGGTATTAGAAGACAGTGCCGTCAGATCGTATCATGATGGGAGGTTCCTTGGTGTTGGGTCTCGAGACTTCCGCAATTTCGCGACCACCCTGTAAACAATGGTTAGACCTGATCTAGCAGAAAGTTGGAGAATATTTCCGAATGCTCACCTTCCAAGTACCAGCCTCAAGCATTTGCGCAAGGGAAAGTTGCTCTCCGGACCCTTTGAGCCCCAGTTGAGAGTTGACCTCTTCTAAAAGCTCGTCTAGGAATCCAACGGTAACAGCTCGCCATTCGACGATTACGTCGTCGTCGGCGGAGAACAGCGGAGCAACCTCGACATTAGGTTGACCCTTGATTCGTGCATTATCCTTATATGCATCGATTCCGCGTTGCATGTCGTCTGGTTTCAGACTCAAGAGTCCTAGATCGATCAGAAGACCTCCGTTTCGATATTCTGGGAGTCCAGTCAAGAGATCGCTGCCGGCGATGTGAATATTCATCAATTTAGACATCGGGACCATGATCGAGTAGCAGAGCCATTGTGTCAGCTTATGGAATGGGACGATGCTTTCCCACTGCTGCGCAGGCGGAGATTGTGGGAGATCTGAGCACTTCCACGCATCTCCAATGGGTACGCCATCAATCTGTGTTCGGGATGAAGGCCAGATCGGAGAGAATCCATCCATCAGCACAGACCACAGGGTTGTGATCGGTACAATAGGGACGGAAGAAGCGAGCGTTGATGGGTGACCAAGAAGATAATCTGGATCCTATTAGCCGCTGGCTCTGCGCAAATTCCGCAGATTCATCTCACCTAGCATATTTCCCGGTCTAGCATCAACACCGAAGAATTCTTGGTTGTTAAGGGCCTCAGAGAGCCGCACCAGCAAGCCCGTGCGGCCCTCAATGCCCGCCAGAGGATTCTGATCAGAATGTTGCATCCCCTTAGCGAGCACATCAGCCGTAAGCTTCTTCAACCCGGCACCATCAACCTGGCAGGGCTCCGTCGGGTCGCTGCTGAAAAGCCCCGACTTAAACATCTCCAAACTGGCCACGGCAAGGCCCTCACTGCGCGAATAGACCTTCCCAGACTCTTTGGAGCGATACGACCATTTATTGCCTGCACCGGCATCAAGCAGCACAGAAACAACGAATAGGTCAATTAAGCGGCGCGTGCGCTCTTGCGCATCAATGCGACTGGGCCACGACTGCAAAAGTTGGTTGACACGCGGTCTCCCGCCGACGTCGAAATGCTGCCAGCGGCCATGTGGCGGGATACTCCCATAGTCTGGCGCATAATCTCTCTTTGGGGATGTTAGTGGGTATGCGAGCACCGGGGTCACCATGATCGCGTACCTTAATGATCGAGACGACATAGGAAGCCGTGGCTTCGAATTTGGACAAATCGACATCGAAATGGTTGAGTTGGTTCTTTTTAGCTTTGTTCAAGATGATGTTGGATCGTTCCCGGACTGCATGGATGCTTCGTAGATATGCGGCGGGGTCCAATGCTGGGTCTGGTGGTCTTGCGATGGATATTTCAGGGATTGAGGCTGGTGGTCCACTGCCTTTGTATGCTGGTGATCTCAAGGATGTATTTGATATCCTTGCGCTGTTGACTGAAACAAATGATCCATTTTCGGTATCTTCGGTCTTGGAATTGCGTTTGAAGAGCCCCATGTTGTCCGAAAAGGGGACCAGTGGGGAATTAAAAGGGGAGAGATTGAAGAAGAGGGGAAGGATTTCAAGTCCATGTAAAGAGTTAAAGGGTAAGGATTTGTAGAGGAAGAGGGTCAATTGTAAAAAAAAAGGGTTTAACCAAAAATAATAATAGTCAGAACTAGTTAACTAACTACAATAATACAATAATATGGTAATAAATAGATTTATTTGATATTTTCTTTTTGTATTGAACAATTAATATAATTTAAACCTCTTTTGGATCAAAAAAAGGCCCATTAGATCTCAAAGACCCAAAAGGCCACACGGGAGAAAGCTTGAGAGGTACCAGGTACAATCCACACCCAGTACTTTAGTATATAGGAATGGAGTATTGGGTACAGGAACAGGTTAGCTTAACGACCGGTGATTTGCCCCTAAAATAATAGCGTCGCGTGCATCCGAGAGAACAATAAACAACTTGTACCTAAGCCCCCCGAGCGGCACACAGCGAACTGGAGCGATTACCGAAATTGGTATAATCAATAGACCCCGCTATGTGTGTTGAAGAGCCAGTCGGAATATAAGATACAGGGGCTATCACTAGCTGTGTTAACGAGATGGACGAATCATACATCAATTAAATGATAATAAAGATTTTTTTTTTGGAAAAAAAACCACCTATGCACTAAGAAAAAAAAACAAGAGAGGGGTTTAAAGAGAGATCAATGCAAGACTTCTCGAGGCGCCGCAGGGTGGTACGTGTTATAGATCCGTTAGCTCAGATATCGATCAGACCTTCCCCTATTTGTACCACTAAATTCTGCGGTACAATATTTTTAAAAAAGAGGATAGAGACAATAATGCACGGGCTAGCGTACCGTTCAAATAAATTGTATTGCGGACCTCAAATCCACTTCTTATTGTGGGTGTACGGTGGTAGCCACTCGCGACGTCAGTAATAAATCTTTAGAGAGATTCCGGGTCCTTTTCGCGTAGATCGAGATTTGCTTTTAGTTTTCGAACTTGGTGAGAATCTGTCTAGGTTTCTTGATTACTCCATTTCTCATTATTCAGGCCGAAGTGTTAACCTACATTGAATATCTACTCTCGGTACGGAGTACGTATAAAGGAATGAAAATCCCGCACCAAATGGTCGGGAACCCTGACTCGTAGAATAATCTCACATGTAGTAAAATCTCCGATCGAGGTGTCGTTTACATATAGCAAAAGAACCTTAAAGAAACTAGTCGTGACGGGTATATTACCCCCTTAGCCCTAGACCTATCAGCCCTAAAGGGCAGGTGTCTGTTCTCACATGTCATATGGTGACAATTGTGTACAATGTTGTATGAACAATAAACCCTGTATCTCATCAAGCTCTGAGTCCGTGGTTTCAGATACTCATTCTAGCCCCTTTTTCGGAATTAATGTCCAGACCTCGATCCTCATTTGTGCATATTCATTATGGAATACTGGACTGCGCAGGGGTTTAAACCTGAAGGATTATGACATGTATGCATATGAATCCTTCTCATCTAATTGTCCTACTGCATACGGAGTACAATACATGACAGAGGGTCTCATCTCCCGGGCCGTTGACCTCCAACCCCCTCCCTTTCCTCCCCGGTTTATACTGCAACGCACCCTAAGAAGCTAACGCGGGAAGCACGGGCCTGGCCACTCTGCTGGGTTCTCGTTTCATGTTAACTCGGACATTCGGTAAATGAAGAAAAAGAAAGATCCATGCCTACAATATATTGCATAATATACAACATACAACATACATTATACAAAATTAGCTCCCTTCACATCAATTACAAAAGACCTTTGTGCGCCATCTTGTGACCGGGTTCGGACAAGGTAAGAATCGGCAACGCCAGCAACTCAGAACCACAGACTGAAATCATTCGATTCGCTACCGCGCGGCTCATCTACCCGAGAGCTCCGCTTTTTGACAACACAGCGGAGCTCTGACTTTTGGTTTTTTTTTTCCCGACACACGAGCGTCTAGAATTGACTTTGCGTGGGGACATGTCCTCCGTTTACTCCGTACATTGGCCGAGAACCTCTCGGCATTGGAAAACATCGCTTGGCTCAGGAGTAGCGTACAATATTATGTGCTGTACTCCATACGGAGTATCCTTTACGGGATATAGCACGGAGTACCTGCATATGCCGTAATTTGACAGGAGATATGCAATGTGAAGGCAGTGCATATGGTATGGCGAGAACTATCATTATTGTACTTTCTACATAAGGATTTCACTCAATTAGATCCATCGAGTACCTACTAACTAGTGAAACTTTTTTTTTTGCTTCCTTTTTGGAGTTCATTATTGATACATTCGAAGCACCCTGCATCGGGGTCAACTGGAGATCTTTATGCAAGGACAGGCCCATTAAGTAACGGACTATTTCCCTAGCGGTTTTGATCGTTGACTAAGCCTAGCTGGGTAAAACATAGGCGAATCCATGGACACGTCTTTGGGCCTCTAGAACCATGATCCACAGAGCCAGCCGCCAATGCCCCACTGACAGATGTCTTCAACTCTCGTGTAGCTATGATGCTTTTGGCAATCTCGTGTCAGCGTCAACCTTAGAATTTTATTAGCCTGGAAGTTAAGATATGAAGCTTTTTTTCGCTTGGTAGTTTTCACAACTTTAATTCTCTCCGCACCAGTACGAAGTGGCGGATTCCCCCTATTTCCTTCTTTGTCGATAACTAGCGAGGGACGGCCTAAAGTAAGTCTCGCATTTCCGTGTCTCGCCTCACTAGGGCTAAGGATGCAATTCCGTAGCCAATCCCATAGCAGAAAGGATGCCAACGACATGCTTGTTGCGTATTAATGCTCCAACTTTTCGGTAGATTCTCGGATCTTTTGTTTTATTATGGTTAGAATCAATTAGGCTCCTTCCAGATCTCATAGGCTAGCTATCTGTCAATTAGTGCCAGGAGCCGATGATCACTTAGCCCAGTAACTACTGTAAACAGCTGCTGCACCTCGCATATAATGGAGTTGGATCTGTTTAGCTTTTTGCCGCTTTGAAGTGGGCTGGATTTGTATTGTGGGGATTTCCTTGAGGCAACTATGGCGGCCTCCGTTCAGGAATCCGATACTATTTTGGACCACTCCAGGGCTGATATGGTTACCGTAGGAACTATGACTGTTCCATGGTTAGACATACAAAAAGGACAGAGTACAGCACAACTCAAAGAACTGAACTTTCAGCTGGCTCTTACGACGTCATATTGTATACATCAGATGCTTCGCACCACCTAGGTCACTTTAGAGGGATTGAGTTTTGTAGGCAAAGCTCTAACATCCAACTATCCAACACTCAATGAAACAAGTGACAATTAAGAAACTCTACCAACTCAAATAACAGAAGAGATGAAGCTATCCAGGATGGATGGACAGCGCGCCCGCTATTAACTAGATGACATAATCAGCTTCATGCGGTCTGGATCCCCCACATGCAGGGGGCAACGGTGTTCTGCATCTCATTGATATCAAACGGGCATTATCATTGATAGTTACTTCAGGTTTCTTTTATCCTGCGAGCTGGTGAGATCATGGAAAAACTTAATCAATTCCCCGGGACCTAATCCTCATTCGAAATCGCCAGACGTCACATCGCCTTGCGACAACCTCTCAACATGGAGGACCTAAACGGCTTGAGCTGGTCCTCCGACTCCAATAATCCAAATAAACCCCCACCTATGAGCTCTGGATATTTATTTCCGGCTATGCCATCAAATGGTGGCTCCGGCAGGTCTACCCCGTTGTCCACCACCACCTCCAACCGCTCAAGTTCTCCAGCGAAGCCCGCCACATCTACCGGAGACAGTTTCGCAAAGCTGGTCTCATTTAACTCTGCGGCTGGGAACAAGAATCTGTCGCTTATGGAACAACAGCAGCGTCTGCAGGAGGAAAGGGCCAAGAAGGAAGCCGACAACCGCAGTCGACTCGAATCGCAATACGGTGGTCAGAACAACCAGTTCTGGGACAAGCTTGAACAGGGACGCACACAGAGCCCCGCCAGTATCCCGACATCGCGATCCGTGCCACCACCCGCGGATGAAGATGATATCCTCGGTGCATTTAGCGCTGATGCGCCAGTGGACGCCTCTACTCATTTCCCAATACCCATCTCCGCGAGAGCGTCGCCCCAAATCGGTACAAACAATCGTCCAGAGCCCCCCAGCGGAGGAATCTCTATGCAGGATAACACAGGGGGGATGGATGCTTTCGATGACGACGATCCATTCGGGCTCAATCAATTGAAGCCCAAATCTGCACCTGCTCCCCCTCCTGCACAAGGTGACGACGATGATTTCCTCGGTTTACTTGGAAAGCCGGTATCAGAGATTCCTCGGCAACCAACTCCTGTATCTGCGACTCTATCTGATCGTGACCGAGAGCATGATACATCTCCCATGCCTTCCAACGACGCCGATCGAGCTATTGCGGAGCTGGTGGACATGGGATTTCCTGCGGATAAAGCTCGCCGAGCTCTTCAAACAACAGAGTCCGGGACCGATGTACAGGGGGCTGTTGGTTGGCTTCTTACTCAGGCCCACTCCGAATCTCGGCAGAAGACTGAAGGACGCAGCAGTGCTCGCCCTATTGACCATTCTGAGAGAAGTGACAGCCGTAATCGCGACAGACCCTCCTGGATGATGGAAGAAAGGAACGACTCTCGTTCGCGCGATAGACGGAGCCCAGCATCGGCTGACAAAGACCCTGCCCAAGTGGCTTCCCAGTTTGGCAACAACCTGCTGAAACAAGCTGGTTCGCTTTGGAAGACTGGTAGCAAGAAATTCCAACAAGCTGTGAATGAGTTCAACACCGAACATGACTCCAATCAGCCACGTTGGATGAGAGATGGGTCTTCTTCACACGACGAGCCCCCTCTACAGCCGCAGCGCCCGGGTCGTCGTGAGCAGTCAGCTCAATCCCACGCGCCGCCGGAGGATTTCACAAACGAAGCCCTCCTTCTCGAGTCTGGCGACGGCCGTCCTCGTAAACCTACTCGCCCTCGTGAAAGCCCACAATCCGACCTGAGAAACTTGCCTCGAAACGAGCAGCCCCCCGGCGCAGTTCAACCAAGGCAGCAAGCAAATTTCCTTCAACGTCCATCCCGACCAAGCTCCCAGGATCCCAGAGCTCGAGTTTCTAGGTTCGCCGCAGAAGAGCAACAGGCACAAGCCTATGTCAGCCCTGCGAGACGCAAGCGGCCCCAGGCGCCAGCACCTCCTTCTGAACCTGCGGTCGATCTGTTTGATTCTCCTGCTCCTACAGCTAGTCGTTCGAAACCATCTCCTCCTGTACAGACTGCCACTCCCCCGGCACGTTCGGCCTCCATCCCCGTACGTCCGAAAGCCCCAACTAGAGCCATTCCTCCAGTATCCGAACAGGCGCTTCAATCGACACAACGCCACCGCGGAAAGGCCGCAGAGTCCTATAAGCGGGGTGACTATGCAGAAGCGCACCAAAGCTTCTCCACTGCTCTCGGCATGCTTCCTGATAAGCACCCCATTACCATCATAATCCGCAGCAACCGTGCCATGACGGCTCTGAAGATTGGCGAACCCAAGTCCGCCGTCGATGATGCCGACATCATCCTCACCTTCATTGGCCCATCCAAGGGTGAATCGGAGACAATCGATCTAGGCAACGGCGAGGCGCCCAAGCCGATGAAAGACTTCTACGGCAAAGCCTTGATGCGCAAGGCCGAAGCACTTGAGCAACTCGAACGCTGGGTCGATGCAGCCCAAGCATGGAAAGAGGCCGTGGAGTCCGGCCACGGCGGAAGCACCAGTATCCAAGGCCGGAATCGATGCGAGAAAGCCGCTGGTACCAGCAAGCCTCAATCTCAGCCTGCAGCCCCCAGAAAGCGACCCAGCCCTGCTCCCAAGAAAACATCCGCTTTGTCGGATCTCACACCCACTTCTGTGTCTGGGACAGACTTTGAAGCTGTCAGTCGTTTACGACAGGCTAACCAGGCCGCTGAACGAGCCGACGAGGAAAAGTTCGCTCTTTCTGAGAGTGTTGATGCGAGAATCGCCACTTGGCGCAACGGCAAGCAGGATAACCTGCGCGCACTGCTGGGTAGCTTGGATACTGTGCTGTGGCCTGAGGCTGGGTGGAAGAAGATCGGCTTGTCGGAGCTGGTGTTGCCGAATAAGGTTAAAATTCAGTATATGAAAGGGATTGGCAAGGTGCATCCTGATAAGGTATGTTATATTTTTTCTATTTGGTTTATTCCCGAGTGTCAACTAACGCTCTACTCAGATCTCCACTACTGCCACTACTGAACAACGCATGATTGCGGGATCGGTGTTTGGAACTCTCAATGAAGCCTGGGATAAGTTTAGGGTCGAGAACAATCTCTGAGAATTGCTATTTCATGTCGATACCATCTGCCTAAAACATTGTTTCTTAGCTTGCATATCATCTCATTATTTAGAAGGCGATAGGATTTTTTATAGAGCATTACGAGTGACCGCTGTCTTTTTATCATACTTAAGCAGCAGGTGAATGCCTACCCTGGCATGTTCTTTCGACTTATACAATACCACCTAGAATCTTTCTGTCGGAAAATAGATCGTATATTCTGCAGATCAACACGTTGGACCAAGCATCCATGTAACACAACCCCTCGTGTGGTGATAAATGTGTGATCGTGCATTAGTCCTGGCAGCTGTACCAAACAGGTAGCGGGCATTGCTTATCCTCTCAACGCCAGTGGACTTTATGACACTTGAAGAAGATGTTTGGCTACAGTACTGTGAGAGAAATGGGCAACTGATGCTATGACGACAAGACTTAGCAGACAGTTCGTAATGAGAACCTGTTGACATGACAAAACTTGACACATGGTTGCGTTTTTAGTCGTGGGATCGTGGAGGTGTCAATGATAAGATGTCAGGTAGGCGTGCTGTGCACTTCTGCTAGTCGTAGGAGGCCCAAAGAAAACAATCGGATACAGAGCAGGATGGGGCATCCCATTTTGGTGCTCTAATTGGCATTGAATCTTGAGCGAAGACCCCTTCTCACATATGGGTAGGATGGAGGTTGCGTCAGAGCTCAACGGTGGGCTGGCCACCCGAGGAGTCTTGTGTATATAGATTGTGAAAAGTGCATAACTATGAACTTCCTTCAGACGATCACAAGTTCTTGAGTGAGCGAGCGATGGCCGCCATGCAGACATCTTGGTGTGGTATTTTATGCTGAATAAACATTCCTAATATACAATCGGCCTCATGCCTAAATGTCTTCGGCCTTTTCTTCGAATACCTCTTCAGGCTTATCCCCAGACTCGGGCTGGGCCTGCTGTTCTTGCTTTTGCTTCTCCTCCCGAAGCCTTAACCTTTCCAACGTAGCTTCCTTCTTCAGTTGCTTTTTGCTAATTTTCTTTGTCTCATCAGGCTTTGAGATCTTGGCTGAAGGCCACTGTTCTCTACACTTTCTCTCGTCTTCCTCGGTCCATTCCCGAGGCAATATCGCAAAGACCAAGTATGAAGTGTGAGTCCTCAGGTCGGCCTCTGATCGGTGCACCAAACGACCTTGAGCATACAAAGGCAAATCGGAGGTTTTATCATTGAAAACCGGTGTCTCCTTCGTAATAGGCACATAGTTCGGCTTATCTCTATTGTGCCGGTGGTCACGGACAAGCTTAGCGTGTTGCTCATCGCTGCGGAGCTTTGCGACTGCCTGCTCAACAGTTTGGGGGAACATGGTTGCTCCGCGCACGCCCTCGGTATCGAGACCAATGCGATCGCGCTTCACGTCAATCCGACGTTGCGCGACTTCCACCATGGAGATGTTGAGCCATCCCAGCTGGCGCATAGTGCGGATTGTGCGCTCTGCCTGTTCAAGGCAGGGGGAGAAAGTGCACAGATAAGCAGGCGATTCGGGATCAAGGGCTGACTCTTGACCAGGAGGGGGGTTGCGCACGAGGTGCTTCAGGGCAAGCCAGGGAGCAGGCAAATCCAGGAAGATTGCATTAGCCTTGGGCGACTTGCCGGTTTGGGGATCACCCAAGAGGAAGCCATGCTCGTAAACGTCACGATGTGTAACCTCGACTAGTCCGTCGAGACCGTGATCTTTGATTTCCTTCTGCACTTTGCCCACGCGCTGTTCGTGGAACTCGTAACTGCAAACCTTGCCCAACCGGCGCCGTTTCGTCGCTTGCTCAGTCTCGGGATAGCCATTGAACACGGCGCGGACAGAAGCATGTGTGAAAGAGCCACTGCCGGCTCCGGCTTCAATAACTGTGCAGCCCGGGCGCGCGCGCAGCCGGTGGAGGATATAGCTGTAATCTGGAGTGTACACGACCTGCGTGCGGTGCGGAAGAGAGAGGGTCCACGCTTCGGGTGTTGGGGCGAGCATGTGTAGGAATCCACTTTCTGCGGCGACGGGTTCTCTTAGTGACGGCCTGTTGTTTTCATCCTCGGTGCCGGTTGGTGTTGCCGAGTCGAGATCGTCGGCCTTGCGCTTTGTGGTTGGTCTGCGACCTCGCGAGCCTGTGTCGACTTTTGAAGCGACAACTTGAGATCCCCAGGGCTTTCCGATCAAGGTGCTATGCGGGAATGAACCATAACGGGTGTTGGTAACCTTGCCTTCGAAGTAGCCTTGATCCTCATCGTCATGGTCGCGGAGAATTGTCGGAACGATTTGGTCGCGACGCAGCTGCAACAGGGCTAGACTACCTGTATCGGCAATGGGGTTTGGAGTTAGAAACGGAGAAGGCATTGTGAATGGAATGGTGGTGAGCAAGTAAAGCCTTCTAGATCTCTTGCCTCCGCAGAAAAAAAGGTTACGATGGCTAATTGCCTAATTGGGCCACCAATTAGGGCACAGGGTTTGGTGACCACCTCCAGCTCTGCCGCCAATCACAGACAGTCCTGCAGTTGATTGATGACTCGATACAAGAGCCCCTCCAAGCGCTTTGTTTCTTTCTTTATGCTCTCCCCTCAATCCCTCTCCCTACGACCCCTTCTTTCATTTTCTTTCTCTCCGTCCAGATCTACGTCGGCTTCTTTCAGGTTCATGTCTTCTCGCCAGCAGCCGCCCTGGCGGCAACCGGCCTCCAGCGCGCAACTGCCCGCATTGAAGGTGTGGAACTCTTTGACCAAGTCGAAGACTCCCTTCGTCCCGATCGACCCTGCAGGAAAGAAGGTTGTGTGGTACGCCTGTGGACCGACTGTTTACGACGATGCGCATTTGGGACACGCCCGCAACTATGTCAGCACCGATATCATTCGCCGAATCATGCGCGACTACTTTAAATTTGATGTGCACTTTGTTATGAACATTACGGATGTGGACGACAAGGTATGGATGACTATAGCGCATATGGATATACATCAGACAGCCTTGAAAATAGTGACTCATTTCTTTATAGATCATTCTTCGCGCTAGACAACAACATTTGTTCAACGAATTTGTCGCTACAAACCCTACGATTACCCCAGAGGTCCTCGAAACTGCTAAGCATGCCTTCGCTGCCTATCTTACGAAAAATCTATCCTTGCTCGACTCCGAACTCCCCCCTTCACAATACCAGAATGAGGTGGAAAAGACATATGCGACTATTTTGAACGGTGGAGCACTGCCCGGCAATGAGAAGGCTGGTGATGATGAAGCTAAGGTCAAAATGCACATCAAGACGGCCGCCTCGGCAGCCAAGGTCATCACGCAGGCTGAAGCTCGTGGTAGTGTTGACCCTGCTGCTTTTGCCGAATCATTCTATAATGGGGCTCAAGATCTTATTCTGCCCTACCTCGATGCCCTTAAGGGTGCATCGGTTAATGCGGATGACCATAGTATCTTTACTAAGTTGACTAAGAGATATGAGGAGCGATTCCTTCGGGATATGCGGGATCTGAATGTTCTTGACCCTACTGAGTTGACTCGCGTTACAGAATACGGTGACGAAATTGCGGCTTTCGTTGAACGTATCGTAAAGAACAACTTTGGATATGCTACAAAAGATGGATCAGTGTACTTCGATATTAATGCTTTCGAAGCTGCGGGTCTCCCGTACGCTCGCCTCGAGCCGTGGAGTCGGTCTGACAATAAGCTAGCCGCAGAAGGAGAAGGCTCCTTGGCTAGTAAGAGTACAGAGAAGCGTGGTGCTTCCGACTTTGCTCTCTGGAAGTCTTCGAAGCCCGGCGAGCCTAGCTGGTCTAGCTCCTGGGGTAAGGGTCGCCCCGGATGGCACATTGAGTGCTCGGCCATGGCATCCGCTAGGCTAGGCAAGCAGATGGATATCCACTCTGGTGGTATTGATCTTGCCTTCCCCCATCACGACAATGAACTGGCCCAGAGTGAAGCATACTGGCACGGACACGGATCCCACGACCAGTGGGTCAACTACTTCCTCCATATGGGCCACCTATCTATCCAAGGATCTAAGATGTCTAAGTCGTTAAAAAACTTCACAACTATTCGGGAGGCCCTCGACCGCAAGGATTGGACTCCTAGAGGCTTACGTATCGTCTTCCTCTTAGGTGGCTGGAAGGAGGGAGTTGAGATCACGGATGATCTCGTGAGAACCGGCAGCTCATGGGAGGAGAAGGTGAACAACTTCTTCCTTAAGGTCAAAGACCTTGCCACTTCCCAGTCATCAGGCACCGAAACCGCGTTCGCTGCCGACTTAGAGGCGGCCAAAAAGGCAGTCAACGACCAGCTCTGCGATTCTTTCAATACCCCGGCTGTTATGCAGTCAATTTCTGAGCTCATCTCCAAATTTAACATTGTCGATAAGGCCAGCGTGCCCGCCAAGGATATTCTGGCCGCGGGCCAGTGGGTTACCTCAATGGTGAACATCTTCGGTCTGAACGGCACTTCTTCGGCCGATAGCAACAACACTGAAATCGGCTGGTCGGGCATCGACATCCCCGTCGAAGCTAAGCCGTACCTATACCCGCTCGCCGCTATTCGAGACACACTCCGTGAAGCTGCACGGTCTTCAGCTGGAATCACTGCAAAGGATCTCGAAGAAGCACTCGCCCGTACATCGACTCCCCAAGAAGCCCCTGAATCCGCCAAGCCATACGCCGATATTTACACCAACTTCCGCGCAAAGGTTGCATCCTTAGAGTCTTCTCCCTCCCAGTCGATCAGCAAAGACGTTCTGTCTCTATGCGATCGGGTCCGAGACATCGACCTCTTCGATGTCGGTGTCTACCTCGAAGATCGGGAGAACCAGCCCGCCCTCGTTCGGCCAGTCACCCAAGAAATGCTTAAGGCCCGGGCAGAAAAGGAAGCCAGGGCCACCCAGAAGTTGGCTGAAAAGAAGAAGCAAGAACAGGAAGCTTTGAAGAAGGCAGAGAAGGGCAAGCTCAGCCATCTTGAGATGTTCCGCACCAACGAATATAGTGCCTGGGATGAGGAAGGCATTCCCCTTCGTGATGCTGCGGGTGAGGAAATTACCAAGAGCCGGTCTAAGAAGCTCCGCAAGGAGTGGACGGTCCAGAAGAAGGCGCACGAGGCTTGGTTGGCCACTCAGGCTAAATAGAGATCACCAAGCCGATCCAAGAAGCTCTGCGAGGGGTGGATAGGCCAGAAGAAGGCGCAGAAGGCTTGGTTAGCCATTAAACAGTTCCTCTCAAAAGAGCATTTGATTTTTGTTTTATCTAGTTTAGGTATTCCTTTGCATCGCGGGGCGTTTCTCGGCATAAACAACTTGACCGGGGCGAGGAATGGAAAGGTGGAGGAATCTACGCAGATATTGTTTATAGAAAACAAAATAATGCATGCAGTCAATCCGAACCTTCTATATGCTCGTATTGATACAAAACTGCCCCGGCACAGAAATAACATCGAAGAAATTGATTATCTATCGGACCGGCCGGCCTCAAAGAAGCATGAAAGGGGGAGCAAAAGATAACGACAAGGGTAGGGGTAGGGCTGTACAAAATCAATCATCCAGACGGGAGAATGTTTCATTGGACGTCCGGCATGCGCATGGCAATATCACCGGACTGTGTGATGTATCGCACCCAGGGGAGAGACGGGTATTGCAGCTGGACGAGGAGGGTCAGTGTCAGGCCAATATAAACCCCAGAGGACAAAGAATGAGGACAGAGTAGGAGCTGCATAACATACCTTCGGTTCGGTGATCTTCAGGTACCGCACTTGGATACCACTGGTTGTGAAATAGGGGATCTCAAACTTGACGTTGATGGGCCTCTTCGATTTTCCAATGCCTCCAGCTCCGCCCATGCTGCCTCCGAATCCACCGGTCATACCACCGCCACGCTCATCGTCGCCCTTGACTGAGGGTAGACCCAGCTCTGCTCGCATGAGGAACTCCTTGCCGCCGCCGAATTGCTTGATCTTCCAGATAATAGCTGATTTCTCGGGGGCGTAGTGCACGGTACCGATATTGGTGCGGAAGCGCGGGGAGTCTGCGTCTTCGGGGACGGGAACGAGAATCTCAACGTTGTTGGCTGTGCTGCGGCGCTTGAATTGGGCCTTGGCCTGTAGGGTGAGGTTAGAAATATGAAATTTCATGTCTGACAGTGCTGTGCGCAATCGATCTTACCTTCAGCATATATTCGACTCGGGAACCCGAGTGTGATTCAACCACACACTCCACCCAGATCAAGGGCTTGACCTGTGTGTTCAGTCGGTAGCTCATGAGCTCAAATTCACCATCCGGGGGAATGAAGCTGATTGTTCGGTCGTTCTCAAAGCGTGAAAGTCGGACACACTGGTGGAACTTGACATCTTCCATCTCGACCGATTTGCCGCGTGTAGCACGGCCCGTGGTTTCGAACATTGCCTTGTCATTCAAGCCCAATCGCAATTCTGGCATACCGCTCAGGTAGCACTTCATCTTGACGGCACCCAGAATCTCAGAGCGCAGGACATTTCCATTTGCCGAAACCAGAAGATTAAGGGACTCGACCACATCCAGGAATACTTCGTTCTTGCGGTAGCGTATCCCCTCACTACGCCAGGAGACGGCGTTTGTAACGGCGATGGGTGGCCGTGCTTGGACATCCAGCTTGTGTGACTCTTGGGTAATGTATCTGGTCAGTGCGCAGGTCTTGTCAGTTATGTTGTTTCACCCTTGCACAAGAATTAAATCTAGTGCTTACTCTTGTAGAATCTTGGTCTCTGTTGTTTGCGGGTATCCAAAGTCCATCATCTCATCCAATAATTCGTAGATGACGACAAAGTTATCCCGGATACTCTCCTCCTCCAGCACCTTGAAATATTCAGTGAAGACCTCCACCAACTTGTGGAGGAAGAGTAGGATTTCGGTGGCATTTGTGTTTCTTTTAGTCAATGCGAGAATATAGAGGTTGCTGTGGCGGATATAAAGGTACTAGACGCAGACACCCCTGTGTCAGTAGATGCGCACAAAAGGAGGGACTCAGGAGCGGGCGTGGCCAAGGCCGAATGCCCGGCGGGACGCACGTTGATTCCCTCGTGGGAAAAGCACGGAGGCACTGCGGAGCTTTCTTCTTCGGCGTCACTTAGGAGGATGGGAAATTTCTCGACCGCGGACATGGGAATGTCCCCGCGATAGTTGCGGGCCAGAAGGGTCTATAGATGGTTAGCGGAGGCTTGTCCCTCGACGCATTGGCGAATGGCTTGGCAAATTATCGCGTCGCCATCGTTTGCACTGTATTCAATGACTTACTTTACCCTTAAGGTCGAGGAAGAAGAGGGCAGAGGCCATGACGTGTCAATGGGGTGGAATAGGTGAATGGGGATAGCGGTATGATCTGGTCTCTCAGGTGGGAAGGAGGGAAATAAACGACAAAACCAGCTTGTACGCCTACTGCAGCATTTTCAAGACAGAATTATCAAAAGAGAAAAAACACAGCAACAGATGAATGATCAACAAGAAGCAGCTTGGCTGATGGTGATGCCCGCCATGTCCCAAGGCCGCTGGAGATATACGCCAATCCCGAAATGGACTAGCGTATAAATTTGCCCATAAAAGGCCTTCGGAATTTTTTTCGGTCCTTCTTTTTTCTTTTCTTCAACGCTCCCAATAGACAGTTCAAGACAGTACAAAGTCCTTGTGGCTTTCTACAGTTAGATGGCATTCTGTCGGATAACTGTAGTGTTTTAATTACTACCTTGCGATACAGAGGCGCGGAGACTACGATCTTTCGAGAGGGTCCCATAAGAACTGGCCGAGTACTTTCACTGTTACTCGGGCGGTGTCAGAGGGACCGTACATACAAATCTCCCAAGCAATTAAATTTTTGAACCAATTTTTCCTTCGTAAAACACATCTATTTCCTTGTAATTGTAAATCTTTCGAAAAATTCGAGTGGTATTTGGTAATATAATCAGAACAAATAGTGAATATAAAAGAACAAGTCTGTTTTAAAAGTACATGTACAATGGTAGAGGTTCCCAGATCGAAGTTCCAAGCCAACCTGCCACAGATGGAAATATCAAACAAGATAACGAACGCCCTGCAAATGCTCCAAGAGAGATCAATGCCCCGAGTTGCAATGTCCTTCGTTAGGCCACTGTCTTGAGTCCCAGAGGTTCAAGTATCCGCTCACGAGCCAATTTAGCGGCAACAACACCACCATTCTCCAAGGAAACGGCACCAATGATAGCGTAGAGGGTATGCGCGAGAACGAGTTCAAGACCGGATGCGGGGAGATCTTCGGGCTACAGGTATAATTGTTAGATGAAAATACGGAAAGACTTCCACGGGACCATATCATACCCTTCTGGGACTCCATCTGATGACCTTCTGCAAGTTGTACTTTTGTCCGAGCTCAGCGAGCTTCGAACGCTCAGTAAGAACCTTCTTGGTCTCAGCAGAGAGATTGTTCAATCCATCGAGAGCCGGGTGGGTGAAAGGCACGCGACCAAACTGGTCCTTTTGGGCAGACGGCACATTTTTCGCACCAGCGGCTGGAACAGTCTGCGCGAGAGCCAGCGAGGCTTGCAGCTGCACAATTCGTTTTCCCAAAAACGCCAATCGATCGTTAAATCCCCGGCGCCCTTGGTCGAAGCTCTTGTGCGTCACTGCCAGCCACTTGGTCTCTTCGGAGAGGAGTTTGTCGCCGCCATTGCCCAGCAAGCGGATGTAGAACTGGTTCAACAATTCCGGGTCAGAGTTGACATGGAACATAGGGCGCTTGGTGTGAAGGTGTAGACTGAAGGGCGCCTTGGCCTGAGCCGGAGTGTAGGACCACCGGGGCTTCGCTTGGTTGGTTTCCTCTGGGGAGGTTGCGTATGTGCGGGATGGGATGATGGATGCAATTGGGCGAGCGACTGACTTGGATGCAGCGCAGGCGCTCCTGGCCACTCGAGAAGAAAGATTCGAAGCCATAATGTCGGTGGTCTACAAACAAGTCAATTCGGAGGTAATTGAACGGAAAGCAAAGAATTCGGCCTCGGCGGTGTGATACTGCCACCTCAGACTATCCCATTGTTTTGACTCGTCAAGGCTTCTTTTTTTCACTGTCTATCTCATTCATTGCAATAGTCACAATTTTTTTATGTTCAGTCTGCCTGTGAACTCAGTTCTCGAATACTTGCAATTTTCATCTTGGCGGTTTGACATACAGTTAAGCAACATTGGCCCGGGAGCAACCGGGACCTTCACCGCTGCTGCCATGGTATCTGTTGCTTGAGTGCTTGACATTTGGTGCATCGGATCCGAAGAAACTTACTGTAACCATCTGCTGTGGGAGCTTATACTAGACGGGCAAATTCGTGGTGATTGGTGGCTGGCCTATACACAACCTTCCGACTTTGCCATGCCTCGATGTATACAATTGAAACAGCATATGACTCAATCAAAATGGAAACTCTGCAGGCATGATCCTTCATTAGCGGTCAGATCTCTTTTCTTTTCTCCGTCATTTCTTCCACATACAGCATACCGCTATTTCAGAGGTCGGACCCAGGCCATTTGGATTCCCGTTGAGCCGAAAGGTCCACTATGCTAATATGATAAATTGACATGCGTTGACTCAATGTATTACCCCAGCTCAAACAAAAAACTAGGGGCTTTGACTGATTTTACCTGCAAGCTCCCACCAAGACACTCGGAGATCGACCTGGACTTAAGTACGAGGTACAAAGCGCCAGTCCCGCAAGTCTCCTTACACCATCCAGCAACATTCTTCTCTGGGAAACAGTGTAATTGCATGAGCCAACCGGGAATTTGTGCTCTTCAATTCTCCATGTTATAGGTCGAAATTCCTGCCAGGTAACATAACCCAGCCCTAGGACTGGATAGCATGCAATGTAAGAAGCAGCACAACAGACCCTGAGCGCGGCCCAACCACCAGGGACACAGGTCTCTATCCGCTGCAGAGAAACCCAAAGAAGGGTTCCAAATGGTCAAGACCCGTTCAAGAGAAGACTCGGTGCTCTTCTTGGCCGTTCCGCAAAACCTGCCGCATATGCAGAACCCACAGCTGCTAGCTACTAGCTATCAGGAGCACGGGGCAGTGCGCCCAGACTGCTCCGTGCGGCTGTTTGCAGTGGAACGCTCGGCTGAGGCGCAAGTGGTTGGCTCAACCGACCCAAATCTCCCCAGACTGCAAAAAATACCCCCGGGCCTGCTGTATCTGGGTACCCTAACCGTGCCCCCTGGAATAGGCAAGAGAGTATGATTTTACCGGGGGGCAAAACGTGATCCACGTGTGCTAGTTTTTGGACCTAGTCCCTGTGTTCTGTAGGCAGGCTTTCTTTTTCTCATGTTGCCTTTGGCGGCCGTTGGAAGCTTCGACGACTTGCATATGCATTCTTCTTGCAACTAGTTAGTTTGCAATACACAATGGTCATTGTGGGGGCAAGGATAGGAAACGATACTAAGGCTGTATGAACAACAGATTCCCGGGTCAGGAAAGATCTTAGCGTTTGAGTGACACAAGAGCACAAAGTGTTGTTTGGCAATCTAGATTCACATGTATATCTTGGAGAACAGGACACGGCTTGTTCAACCCCAAACAACAAGTAATCAATAACGTCGGATAACTAACGAACAGCGGCTCATCTAGAACAAATCCAGTGAAACAGACTTATTCAAGAGGCTGCAAGAAACCGAAGGCTCAGACCGCTGGTGAAACTCCACTGTAATCTGCAGCCTCTGGGGGTGGTCTGGGAGTGGTCCGGGGGAAAACAGATCTACAGCCGTCCACGGACGTTTTACTGTTTAAGTTTTCTCTGAGGGCAGATCATACGTTTACTAGGTGGATCTCTCTGTCTCTCTCTCTCAATTCCCGGCCGATGCTCGCTTCCGATAGAAGAAGAAAAAAAAAAGTGATAGTCACGGCAGCGGGTGTCACCGTCTACGGGTAGGTCTAACGATTTATACATCAAGTCTTCAAGCGGGCCCTTGCAGACTAGCCGAAATATTGCCAGATCCTTACGGAGAATTATCCCCAAGGTCGACGGATAGCAACGGCTATGGTCTTTGCCAAACGGCTTCTTGTCTTGATCTTTGATTGGGATGTTCGACAGGTGGCGGTGTACGACTACGACTTGTGTGGATGGCGCAACCTATGCCAGCTACTTGGGCCTCTGGGGGAACTTAAATAGACGGATTGACCTGCTCTGGATTCGTGTTTTCATCACTCAGAATAAAAGGCTCTTCGTCTTGTGTTTGCCTGTGTTTCGTTGACTTTCATATTTCGTGAACAACACTCGCTGTTAATTTGTACTCTCTTTACTATAATTACCTTCGCTTCGTGGATCTTAATACCGCAATGGACCGCAAACCCCTCGTTATCTCTACCTCTTTGGCAAACTCAGCACCGCTGACCCGCGGAATGTACACCTTTGCCGGAGGCATCCTGGCCAGTGACCACTCTGTGCAAGACCCTCCTTCACCACGACCTTTCCCGCCCAACCCACCTCCGAGTCCAGCTTAAGTGACAAATGATTGGTTATGCTTTTTTTGGCGTTCACAGGTTACGGGTTAATAGGTAAGTGCTGCTGAATATAACCAATCCGATAATCTAAACCATCAGATATATTTGGCGATGTTATGCCTTGGCAGAACAATCACTGATTATTTTCTCGAATAGACAATACTCCTGGGCATTTCAATACGGTCATTTCGATCGAAATTTGCATTGATGTGAGACCGAGACATCATGATATGATGTATTTCTTCAACAATACAACCTAGCAAAAAAAGGCATTGTAACGAGAGTCCCTCTTTAGGATCATAGGGCGACTGGATGGCAATGCGAGATATATTAGTGGCTTTGGGTTTCGTTGAAGAGTTGATATTTCTGAGGTACTTTCTCATTCCCATATCCATCAGGCATGGTAGTTTAATGATGCAATGGAACCATCAAACGAGATACTACCGCATTTGCACATATCCAAGCCCCAACGTCAATTGGCACTTAGTATAGATGGCGCAAGTCCGAGCGAGAATAGTCGATTGTGATCATTGTGAATACCACCTACCGTATAGACTCAATCAATAATTTCAGCCCAACCTTATGGGACAATATGAAGAAGAGAAGAGAATTCAAACAGAAAGGAAGAACCTGCGCCTTTAAGCTTGCGCCCATAGACCAGATTCGTTTATATTTAGAAAAAAATCACTTTAATAACACATAAAGAAACTCGGAGGTATGAGGTATGAAAACACTTAAATCAAAGCAAGACCAACAGCACTAGCAATGCTCAGGCCAACAACAGTCCAGCCAGTCTTGATGATGACAGGGTTGCTCAGGCCACGGCCAAGATCCCACATCAAGTGGCGGAGACCGTTCATGCAGTGGTAGGTGAAAGGAAGGGCGAGGGTGGACTTGAGGATGACCTTGGCGGCGAGAGGAAGAGCACCGAAGGAAGCAGCCATAGAGGCGGACTCGAGGTGCCATCCGAAGGCGGGGGAGACGAGGTAGGCGGTGGCCCAGAGGTACAGGGTGCCGGAGAGAGCGAAGCCGGTGACACGGTGCAAACTACTGCCGATCCAACCGATCTGGGGCTTGTAAATGCTAAGGTGAGGGGCGATGGGGCGGGCCAGACGCTGCTTGACGAGGATCTGGTTGGGGTCCTCGGTGTTCGGGGAGGAAGTCACTTGTCTATATTGGGATATTTCGTTAATACGGGACTGGCGATTGAGCATGACGTATCGTGGGGTGTATAGAATTTGAGCTAGACAATTGCAGATCGTCGCTTTCTCGCTGAGAAACTGACCTCGTTTGAATGTTCTTTCCGAGGGCAATAGCGACGGGGGAAGCGCGCATCATGGACTGCATGGCGAACGGCTGCTGGACGGCAACTGAATCCGGGGATACGTTAGAGAGCAATTTCGATAGAGCGGGTAATGATAGCACCTACGCCGTCGCAGCGACTGCTGGGCAACCTTCTGGGAGAACATTGTGAATGAGTTGAGAGTCTCTGATTGATCAAGTTAAATCCCAAGTTCTTCGCGAATATGATCGGAATCACGGACGACCTCGGGTACTCCTTAGTCAGTGAATTACCCGGCAAGTGGTCATCCAGCCCACCAATCAAATGCCGCCTATTAGTATCCGGAGTATCGATCTTCCCGACACACTACCCGGGTCATGTGACTCCCTCGCCTAATGTTCTCTCACACTTCTTCCCGCTGCGGGCTCCTTTCTCCTTTCTTTTCTTCAAGAGTCTCCGCTCACGTCGTCTACTGGCTCCCCGCTGGGATGATGTCGTCGTGTTTAGCTTTCCCTCACTGACTGCGGCTTTCTGTCGTGGACGCCGAGGGATACAGAGGTTCTCAGAAGGAGAGTCCCGTCGTTAATCGCTCGTTTCACTCTGTCAATGAGGGGAATGAGTTTCATATTCAGGGTTACATACTATATATAAAATATCAATCATGCTTTTCAATTATCATTATAAATTCTCTTTACCTGTAAAAGCTATCCGGTGTAAACATTAGTTGGGCATATGGTCAACTCCCAGGACTATGGTGCTTGCTACCTTAGTCATGTTGAGGCTGGGGCTTTGGTTCGCATATCTGCTGCCTGTCGAGGCACAATCTTGACAGTTCGATAGCTTCTCTTCCTCCATCAGCAGCAGCAAGCATCGATGTTTACTTCTTCTTTGTGCCTCTCTATTAGTTGGGTTCGACTATAATATACCTAGGTAGCCCCGTAAGGGGTGACCTAGCTCTCACCTGTACTACCTAGGTATATAGTTCAAGTACAGCATCTACTGAAAGATAGAGGGACATCTTTTGGCCCATCACCACAAGAAAAATTGACTTCTATTGGACCCAAGGCTCCTAGGGAGCCAATATGGTCGCTTGTTTCCATCCGTAACGATTGTTGGAGCTGTCACAGATCCCTTTTGAGTGGAAGTCGTAAAAGGCAAAGCAAAACGCCAAATTTTTAGTGTAAAAGCTTTGATGCAGTGGAGGATATGTGCAGGTAAGAAACTCAAAAGATTGGATACAATTATTGAGTTTGTGAGTATGCAGTCGTAGAGCATCCGTTGCGCTGAAGCTATGATCTCTGATAGACATTCGGACAAAGTTCAGATAAGCAGAACCATCCTTTTTCTTCGCAAGGTCGTCCAAGTCTTTGAATAAACCCATGATATCGTTAATAATAGCAACGAACATAGCAAGCTGGGTCAGACAAGGGTCATTGATACTGTAGAGTTCAGCCTCCGCAGAGGTCATGCATAGAACCAAAGGCGTGAGAAAACCTATTGTAAAAGCCCTTGTCTTGAGGACTTCCTGTTGAATCTGTTTTGTACAGAAAAATTGGCCTTCAGCGTACTGGTTGTTGAAAAAAAGGTCGAGAGTTTCGATGCATGTTTGTAGGTGGTAAGGTGAAAGGGTTTTCTTCTTGAGAGGTATCAAGTCTTTGGCCAGGATATCTTGAATGTAGAGGGCTAGTTGAATCAATTCGTTAGGACAAAGTCCTTTAAATTGGAGTAGGTCTTCGATTGGGCCATCTCGGAGTATGCTCTTGAAATTGTCCAAGTACATCTTTCCGGCTGTTGTGTGTAAATTGTACAAAAGGAATTTTTCGCTAACTTCATCCATTGGCATTATCCACGTGAGATGACGGGAAAGCAAAACTAGGCGCTCGTAGCTAAGCTCGGGACGAGTGGAACAAAGACGCGTCTAGTCCAGTCCTAGTTGGACAAATTTTGGCCCAAGACGATTGAAGAAGGACCACATCCTTAAGTCATACGCAAGACGGGCTTCAACGTCATTGTTATATTGAAGCACTATGGTGGGCGGGAAGTATAACGCGCAGATATTGGTATGTTTCTTGCTCATGCAGCCTTCTACCTCTCCCCAATCACTCATAAACGTGAACTGAAGGTCAGTCTGATCATGTGTGAAGGATAAGTGCTTGTTGTCGACGTAAATAGGGCGCCTTCCGCTTACGGGCGTCTTTTCGAAGGGTGAAATACCCATACCCAAGGGGGATCTGAACAAATCCATATTAACTATGAATCATGAGGGACTTTTTAACCAACGAACAGCTACTTAGGTTGGGTACATCACGAATTATTTATGTTTCTTCAGGAAAACAGTACAATCGCCCGAGCGCGGGGAGAATCGCAACCCGCATTTGAGAAGCATTGTTGATAGGATGGTATAGTGCATTTACTTAGCCTGCTTTTTAGGTGGTGTGGGGGGACGGAATTGTTATAGCCATTGGTCACGCTCCGTGGAGCTGAGGGCACAAGCCAAGAATGTCCTTAAAAAAATCGGTCTGACTCCAGAGCTGCAGATCGACATGTACGGTCTTGACTGTACGACAGACGAACTGATCATATTTTCTCATTGAATCAATAATTCTTAAAAAAAATAAGCCTTTGACCAACGCATAGCCGAGTCCACTAATACCAGGCTTGTCCTTGTTGTTGGGTATCATTGTCTGCCAAGCCTGCGCAATGGGGTTGTCGCAATAGGGTTGTGACAATCCAAGAAACCTACATTTACCTACATAGTTTTATCTTTAATTAGCAACTCAACTATAACTACTGCGCCCTATAGCCTAATTTTGGTGAGCACCGCAATATAGGTAGGTTGATAGGAGACGGTAAAGACTAATGGTTCATACAATAGCGGCAGTGAAGAGTTCCATAAAATCAATATTAAGATAACTACAAGCTAGCACTGGTTGGTTGTGAAAGTGGTCTTCAGTGTCGGATTCACTTTACATGCCTAAAGCAGAAATACTGACACTTCGACACCTGACTGGTAGAAACCCCGGTCTCTCTAGACCACCTTGGTCGTCGGTTCCTGTCACATGCTGAGAGGGGAATGTTGAGTCTCATGATACAATTGATAAAGTGATATAGTGATCGTATTGACATGGACATGTCCTTTTCAAATTAACTCATACACCTTGAATGTTGATGTTGAACAACTTGATTATTCACTGCATAAATCGTAAGGTTAGCATCGGCCCCGGTGTAATCCAAAAATTGTGCCTCGGCATCTCGGGCCTTCCCCACAAGTTCCGCGGCATAGACATCGGTTTATTATCTGGTCTTTCGCTTTCACTTGACTCGACTAACTGCTATATTTGAGTATTCAGAGGTCAGTAGCTAGTTGCCCAGACACCGTTATTTTTGCTCACTCTATATCTGATTAGATACCCTAACCGCTGCTCATCGTTCACTGTTCCACAAGATGCCTTTCAACACAGCCTTGACACGAAAGCTCGGAATCCGAGGTGCGCTAGAAAGCAGATACTTCCTAATTCAATCAGTCATTAACTGTATTCTCAGTTCCCGTCGTGCAGGGTGGTATGCAATGGGTTGGATACGCCGAGCTGGCCTCGGCTGTTAGCAACGCAGGCGGACTCGGACTTGTACGTCTACGCAAACCCCCCAAACGCATTCAAAACTAATGACCTCCAGCTCACAGCTTTGACCCAACCAACTCCCGAAGACCTCCGCAAAGAAATTCGCAGATGCCGCACCATGACCAAGTACCCCTTCGGTGTGAACCTGACCCTCCTCCCCGCCATGGTCCCACCTGACTACGGTGCCTACGCCCAGGTGATCATCGATGAAGGTATCAAGATCGTGGAGACAGCCGGTAACAACCCGGGGCCTGTGATCACGCAATTAAAGAAAGCTGGCACGATCATCTTGCACAAGTGCACGACGATCCGCCATGCCAAGTCCGCCGTCAAGTTGGGCGTCGACTTCCTCTCCATTGATGGCTTTGAGTGTGCCGGCCACGTCGGCGAGCACGATATCACCAACTTTATTCTTCTCAGCCGTGCTCGCCAGGAGCTCGGCGTGCCGTTTATCGCTTCCGGTGGATTCGCTGATGGCCAGGGCCTTGCTGCTGCTTTGGCACTTGGTGCTGAGGGTATCAACATGGGCACCCGCTTCATGAGCACTGTTGAGGCTCCCATCCACCAGAAGGTGAAGGAGGCTATTGTTAACGCACAAGAGACTGATACCGCTCTTGTGCTGCGTCGCTGGAAGAACACTTCCCGCTTGTTTGCTAACAAGGTGACTCAAGACGCACTGAAGATCGAGAAGGAGAGCACAACTGGTGACTTCAGCGAGATCGGTCCTTATGTTAGTGGTCAGCGGGGCCGTCAGGTCTTTATCAACGGAGATGTTGATTACGGCGTAAGTTGAATTTGTTCCTCGCTATTAGGCATATCCACTAACTATGTGTCGCGCAGGTGTGGACTGCTGGTCAGGTCATCGGATTGATTCACGACATCCCAACTTGTGCTGACCTGCTTACTCGCATCGAGAAGGAGGCCGTCGAGGCAATGAGCCGAACCAAGTCTCTGTACAGCGACGCCCCTGCCAGCAAGCTTTGAGGGGTTTTATTTACAAGGCACACGTGCTTCCGGGCTATCTATGCGTGCGCTTGCTATTTGGATAGACCCATAGATGATTAGTATTTCCGTTTGTTGGATGACTTAGTTTTGTATACAACTTGCACTTGGGTATCATACTCGAATTTAGCCTTACCATATCGTATGCTGATCATAAACCATCAACGTCACTTTCTTCAAATTAACAATTTTGCTCTCGCTCCGAAAGGAGCCCGAGTAGCCAACGGTTGTCATTCCCGAACAAGGTCCGTGGCAGGATCTGCAAAGCATGCAGATCCACACATTCCATCTGGCCAACCTTCAACCATCCCTCCAACCTCCATCCTCCACAAATGATGATTAGAACCTTGATTTCATTTCCAAGTCAATCGATATTCTAATCTGAGATGGTCTTAAATACAGAAATACAAGGTAGAATATTATAGATGATGGTGCAATTCGAGTCCAAGTTCTCAAAGGGATAGGGATCCTTGCGTACAGTCGATCATCTGGGGAATTCTTGAGAAAACAAGCTCCATTCCGGAGCAAATGATTGGATCTGTTTCACTTGCAGCTTTGAATGATTTTCGGCGGGCACGTATACTCTGTGTTACCGCAGCTTCTGCACAAAATTACGTAGGTATTCGTTGGCTCCCAGGGTAACCCTTACCACCGACGTATACTTCCTTGTTGGCGATGCTTTGGCTTTAATGTACATTTCACCGCCACGAAAATGAGGGGTGAAATGAGGTACTGGCTCCAATTTAGCTTAAGATCGAGTCCCACTTATCTATAATTGATTGCTGTTTGTTGCACAGTTCAACTAGCATCACCCGTGAAGATCTAGAGTGACATACCTGGTCCAACCTCCCCCAGCCCGAATTTGAATGCGGCCTAATTTAGCCCTTATCATCACCTCCGGAACAGATTGAACCGTCTCGATTTGTCCGCTCAAATCACCTCTTGCAATAATCTGTTCAACATCCTTTACCCTTCTACACACATCACAAATCCCATCCAACCCATTCCAAACCAGCAAAATGGGCATAATATCTACTCTAACCCGCCGCATGCGCAACAACCGCGTAACAAGAAGGCTCTCAACCTCAAGCACCAAGCTCGAAGATGAAGACTCCAACGACCTAATCAAAACAACCTGGGAAACAGCATCCGCGACTCGCCCAAGCGTCGAATCAACCTCAACAATGGTCCATCACACCCTCCAGGATCCAGTCCTCCCATCAGAGTCCCCAAACAGACTCCGAATCAAAACAGACAACGTGAATATGCGCACATTATTCGACCAAACCCCAATCTCCCCAACAGACCGCGCAAAAGAGGCCCTCTCAAATAACGAATATCCAATCTTCAAATTGGACATGTGTCAATCACCCTTCCAAGCACCGAAGAAACTACAAGATCCGCTGGAAACGAAAGACTGGCGCGGTCGAAGTGCCAGTATCAAAAATGGGGCTCATAAGAGTGCGGAGTGCTCTTCTTCGACCTCGATTGAGAAACATGCAGTGCAGAAGAATAATAGAAGGTCTATGACTGCTCTGTTGAAGAAGCACTGTGGGTTGAATATTCCGCGCTCGTCGCTTTCGATTAAGAGGGGTAATAGTCCGTCGCCGAAATGGTTGGACTCGGCAGATATGAAGGATGAGGGAGAATTAGTGGACATGAAGAATGAGAAGCTTTTGGAGGTGCATTTGCAGAATGGGAAGAGGAATAGTATGTGGCATGTCGGTTTCGGGAGGCCTTGGTAGAGAGAGGGTGGAATGCATGTTTGTTATTAGTTTTCTGTTTAGTATTAATACATTTGTACAGACGGTTTGAGCACTCTGTTTGACTCGATATTGTCGTAAAAAAACTGAATTGTCGATATGGGTATATTGGACATGTGTACTTAACTACCTGAACAAGTGGCTGCAGTTGTTGAAGTGAGGATAGGAAGTCGGCTCATAACGGGAAGCAGGGAGGAAGTACGATGCGCACTACACATAGAATGGTTGAAGATCATAGGAAAGACAAGAGAGGGACAAATTATGCAGAGTGATGGGTTAAGAAGTGTGATTGATGTTCAAGTAAGACGGATGTCAAAATGAGGTAGCTAATGTGATTGAAGGTTGGGCCAGTTCTACAGGAGGGTTACTAGGTCACAGAGGTAAGGATGCAAACGAGTCTATTAGAGTGTTATATGCGAAGTATACCGGGAAGAGGCAGCAGCTCAGTCGGTTCCAACCCAACAAACAAGAGGCAGACGGGGGCCATGCCAAAAAGTCAATCAAAATATAAAGCAAAAAACAGTCTTCTTTCTCCGAGGTGCCACACAGCACAGTTAATGATACACGGACGGCAAACGAACAGGACATCTAACTAATCGAACAAAAGCTAAAAGCCTGCTTTCCATCCCCGAAATCGATAACAGTCCACATCGCCACTCATGTCGAACCCGACAGGAGCAAAGCCCCGAGGGTAGGCATGGCGACCATTGCTTCTTGCATGATGCGAGATAGCAAAGGAAAGCGCTTAGATGATGGAGCCAAGGGCAACACAGGGGAGGCCAAGGCCAACGAGATCGGAGTTCTGTCTTGGTTAGATGAAGTGACATCGATACGGGAGGAAAGATACTCACGGCGCTGGAGGGAGAGTTCTGGCAACAGGCGATGTTCTGCTTGCACTTCTGGTTGATGAGGTCCTGGATGGGGACGGCGATGAGGATGGGGATCTGGAGATCGAGCTTGGAGCACTGATCGAAGAGACCGAGACCATCGGCACCGGAGCCGGAACCGATCAGGTTGCTGAGGGTGCCGCCGAGCATGCCAGAGTTGACATCGGTGGTGTCACCGGCGTAGGTGGCCTTGTTGCAGCAAGAGAGCTGAGCCTGGTCACCACACTTGGCCTGAGCCTGCTTGACGGTCATGTTCTCGGGGACAGGGAAGCGGACGTTGGTGTTGCCCTTGTTTGCGATACCGTTGCCAGCACCAATACCACCGGCGGAGGGGGGGAGGCAGAGCAGCGACAGTGGCAGCGAGGCCGAGGACAATAGCGGAGAGAGTGAACTGCATTGTGTGGATTTGGATTTGAACGAGAGAAAACTCGGAGTGATTTGGAAAGAAGAGAAGACTGGAGAAGGAAAGCTTGAAAGAGAGTGTTTGATGCGGATGAAGAAAAAACAAAAGCAGGGCGATGAATTACCTCGCCTTTATAGATTTGACTGGCGGTCTGTGAGTAGGCCCTGTCTCCATACTTTCAGGGCCAAAGATTGTTTTGCTAGAGTCCTCTCTCCAGTATGCCCCCGGAATGCGACTTGGTAGGAAAGGGAGAGGACGATCACTCCACTCTGTAGGGCTTGTCGACCAACTAGGGATCCCTACGCATTCTCCTGGTATGGATCTACTTCGTCCTAATTTCTCTCTTCACGCGACTAGGAGCCTACTTTGGCATTCCTTCGCCCTAGATCATCTGCTTGTTTTGGCCCAGACTCACTCAATGTCCACAACTAGTCCATTGTCATGTTTGTTGATTCATTTCCCAGTGTCCGTTACATGAGAACAAGTATAACGTGTGATTCAGAAGCCCAATGTTAAACCTCTGAGTCAAAATACCACACACATAAACATTCATACGACGTAAATCTAATCAAAGGTAAGCTTAAGCTTGTCGGCGAGTGGGTCACAGGGTTCTTGTTCCTGGCCGCTTGAATTTCCCAGCCACACAGGGGCTTCCCCTTAGTCAATTTGACCTTTCTCTCTGCACCTCGGGAGCTAAGGCATGCTACGCATAAATTACTCATGGCAAGCATCCGATCTTGGTTAGGAGGCACTCGGAATCCCTTCTCAGTGGTGGATTGTCTCTAGTATGGAGGTCATCTGCAAGGGCGTCCACTATACCCCGGGCACCTGCTGAGCCCGCACGTAGGGGGAATCGAGACACGCCCTTCATTGTTTTAGAACCCTTAAACCGCTGCGAGGAATTAGGCATCGTAACAATAAACACAATAAACATCCCCGTCAACTCTCCGATTGGCGATAGGCGTAGATTTTCTCCGATTACTATGGCGTCGGTGGTTGCAGCCAAGCTTACCCCCCTGGCGGCTTCTTACAGAATCCCAAATCATTTTGTTAGTAGTGTCTCTCTGCATCTATTTTCCTTGGTAAAAGCCCCCAGCCAAGCAATCCATTGCCCCTTGGTTTGAGCATCATTATAGTACTCATTGTCCTTACTGTATGGAGACTCATTTCGCATTGTTAGACCAGGGGTTTTAAAATTTGGAGAATGACCGGATCTCGTAGAGCTCGTTCAATGTCAATCGCAATTTAAATGCTAGGTGAATTCTGCATCAGGAATTCTTTAGACCGTCACTTGATTCTTAGAACAGACATGGTAGTAGAACGTAGCTAGGTAGGTGTTCGGTCGAAATTTCGCCTTTGTACGGTCAAATCTGCCCAGTGTAATTAATTAGATAATGCAAGAGAGAGTTGGCTTCGACATAGGTCGTTTGCTCACATGCAATCACTTGGTATAGAATGCGTAACAGACTACAGAGTATGTCATCAACAGAGTAGTTAGTTTCGGGGAGGAACTTGATGGTGTTAGCTGGGTTCGTGATAACGGTACTTAGGAAAATAAAAGTATAGGCTACAATTTTCCTCTGTTATTCCCTACCTAGCTATCGATCTCATGATACTACCTACATATGTGGGTAACATTAAAGTTGTTGTACACCACGGTATCCGCATCGTTCAAAGTCAGCGTGGATCCAACACCTATCTAACTAACCTTGGAAAATCACCAAGTAAATGAAGCTTTAGCTGCAGAAGTAGGCTGGATTCTATAGCTTGGCTTTGTATATTTGTGATTTGATTCCATCATTTACAGTTGTGCGTGTTCATCAAATATGTGAGAGTATTACCACAATATATATTCAGAGAGGGAACATCACATTAACATTTTTTCCCACCTCGATCAAGTCCAACCTTGGAACTCCTTTGAGGAGAGTACTTATAATTGCAATTAAAGCATCTTTGAATGACTTCATATACCAAGATAGAAACCATAAACCAAATATATCGAATTGGCGCTGTTTCGTTACTCGTTTACTCTGGCTTGGCGGCCTCGACACTATGTCTCCCAAAAAGGAAGTTCAACTTTTGTTTACACCAGTTTGCATATCGCAGATCTTAGCCAATTGAGAGCATTCCTCGTACATTTAGCCCGTGGGATTACATCCTGAGAGCTCCCATGCGGGCCATGAGGCGCCCCTGCACACATACCCCCTTCCTTCGACACCTTGAGCCTGTATCCAATCATATTTTGTCCTGTGTGTTGGGGATTAGTGATTGAACCATTATATCTCTGGAGAGATCACAAGATTGAGATTGTAGTGCGTGAGGCAACCGTAGAGTATGCGTATCACATTTCTTGTGATTGACGTAGCTCATAAAAAGGATGACATTATTCAAAAGCAAGCACAGTCATAGGGCTTAAGTAATGAATAGCACCTAGAGAAAACATAATAGATTAAGCCAAAAAAAGTCTGAGTTCTAGTCTGCTGATGGTTCAAACCAGAATTGGTATAATTTAGTCTATGCACAGTTTAAGCCGTCGATACCCATGGACGTACATATTGCTGAGAAGTAAACAAAGCAGGGACATAGAAAGAATGAATCGATGCGAGAGGAAATACACATGTTTAGTGTTCATGGTGAATCCGCGCTTCAGTCTACTATCCGCTATGTGCACTTCCGAAGGGCTCCAACTTTAATGCCTGCGTCAGGCAAAAGCTTCCCTTTTGGATAATGTGTGACTTTGTGATTAAGCCCCAGGACTGAGCTATCGAGAACTCGTAAGAATACCCTCTAGCTTGATGAATGGTAGGGACCAGCAGGACAGGGGATCAATGAGTTAATAGCACAATTTGATATTGAGGGATAAATCTATATCCTTGATGCCTTCTTTACAACAGATAAAAGAGACGAGAAAAATAGCATTTGGTTCGTTCATTTCCGTGAGCCCAAAATTAACTTGAGCAAAATTTTACTTAATGTAGCATAGAAATACAGGTCCTTTGACCATTCACATCGAGAAAGGTATTTGAAGAAAAGCAACACAACGGCTAATTAAGAGCCAGCACCAAGAACATCACACCAAAGGCCCAGATACCACTGATGACTGGCTTCACTCCAGCATTGGCGTGAACGACAGTTTCAGTAGGCTTGGAAGCGGGCTTAGTGGTAGTGGGATGGTGCCCAGTGGTCTTAGGCGCAATGGTCGTATAGAAGGTAGAAGTGTGGGTCGAGCAGGGGGCGGTAGTCGACAGAGTAGAAGTAGACGTAGAAGACCATGAGTGCTCCTTGTGTCCGGTCTCCGAAGGAACAGGAACACTTGCTGGAGTACCGGCGGTAAGACACACAGAGGTTGTGGAGCTACCAGTGACTGTGTTGAACCCAACCTGTGGGACAGTGACCGTGTGGGAGGACCAGGTGAGAGTGGTGCAAGGAGTTCCAGCAGGCTGAGGCTCAGTGTGGACCGCAGTGGGGACGGGGGTAGGAACAATATCGATAATGGAAGGGTTCTGAGGAACATATGGTGCACAAATTCCAGCGAAGTAAGAAAGTGCAGAATCAACTTCGTGCTTGGAGCTGCCCCAGGCGTGGATGCAGGATTGGACCTTGTCCGTGAACTCAGAAGACGGACAGAAGCAAGCTGCATCGCTGTTGGAGTCACACTTGGGGACGGAGAGCCATGTGTTCAAGCACTTGGGCACCAGCTCGGGGCATGGGGCAGGAGTGGTGGCCGGGCTTGTAGTAACGGGGGCGGGGGGAGGTGGTGGAGGAGATGGGTGACCAGCACTGATCTCTGTAGTTTGTGAAGGACACGTGGTAGTCGATAATGTGTATGTGGAATGACGAACAACAGTAGAGTGAGCAGGACAGTCGGTGACGGTAGGTCCGCAGTTGGTGATAGTAACTTCAGTGGTAGCCCACACTGTAGTCATCGGCTTGGGAGGGGAAGGGACCACCACCACAGTTGTGGGATGATGCTCATGCACTGGAGCAGGGGGCGAGGTGACTTCCACGGTCGAAGTAGTATGATGTTCATGAACAGGGACAGGGACCGTAGGCACGCTGTGAGTAGGTTCCGGCTGAGGTTCAGACCAACTATCAACAGGGACAGGGACCGTAGGCACGCTGTGAGTAGGTTCCGGCTGAGGCTCAGACCAACTATCATCAGGGTGACCTGGATTTTTGGGTCCAGCTGAGCAGTCGAAATTGATTGAGTGGATGTCCAAAGTACACTCGCCGAACTTGCTTTCTTCAGGAAGCTGGAACTTGACGCTGGTTGCACCGCCACACTGCTCGTTGTGAACGTCGGTTCCTTGGCGGGAACTGAAAGCAATCTGGCGACAAGGGCGGCCATGTGGCATCTCGTATGTGATGAGGACATCCGTATCCCGAGAAGTCGACAGGTGGAAAGAGCTGATAGAGAACGGAGAATCGGCAGTGTTTACCTCGAGGGTATAACCATCATCGCGGTTCAATTGTCCACCAATACAATTTTCCTAGTCAATGTTTAGATATATGGATTAGATTTGTGCCAAATCAACTTACATCGGCATCAGATCCCTGGCAACCATTCTTGGCGGTAAATCCAATGAAGTTGAAGCCATCGTAGCTCCAATTGTCTCCATTCCCAAGCTCAGACCAGTCGAACCCAACCTGTTGGGCGGGCGAGCACTGGTTATCAACGTTCTCTGGGCTGGTGTAGCACACATCGGTACCCCACCACTGACATCAAGGATTAGAATAAGGCATAAGTTATCAGAAAGTCAAACCCACAAGACCGGTTGGATGAGCAAGCGTAGCAATGCCAAATAGCGAAATCAAAGCAACTGTTTTCATATTGCCGGCAATCGAAATTGGTCGAGTGAACAAAGGCGGAAATTAACGATAGACAGCAGCCTGTCGTAAAGGTCTATACTAATAGGAACAAATATAAATTGAATTAAAAAGAATGATAATGACTGTTTGTCGGAAAATTAGTACAAAGGAGCGGCGAGAAGGTGAGTTGGCGATGGTTGTCGACTGAATGGATTGGCGAATGTATATTCAACCCATTGGGGCCTTGGCCTTTTAACTTGTTCCTGGCAAAAGATCAGATATAAACAAAGCTATGCAAGCTTCAATAAACCCACTATCTACTTACTCATGTTTACTGTCAACAAACAGCCGGAATGTAAATACATTGGAAGTTATCCGTATGGAGACCTGCAATGACGAACAGAGAGTATCCAACCTAATCCCCAGAGCGAATGCGAGGAATTTGAGAATGTGGAAAATCAAGCTCATGATCAATCAGAACCTGACTAGGCTCGGGAATATTACCCGTTGTTCTCCCCAACAAGTTTAGGGTAGCATTGATGAGCATTGCGATAGAATATCCTCAGCGCCACACAAATCTGGCTCTTCAAATTTGATCAAGAGAAAATGCAAGTAAGTGAATATATGCCCATATTGAGATCAGATTTGAACATATATGCAACGAAAGGCTTTTAGCCAGAACAGATTGTCTGCTAAAACTTCTCACTCGCTACAATAATAGCATTTGATATATTTAATAGCACTTTGGTATACCCAGAAAAGCCAAACAGGATTCAAACTTAGAAAATAAGCAGTTTAATCCAGTGCTTACGATCCTTACCCCTTGCCAAACCTCGATCTAGAACAACGGAAGCTTCGCCTTTTATAGCCCAATACGCTGGATCGGAAGGCCTGTCCAAATCGGCAGTTTCCGAGGGCCAACCAGAATTCAGTCTTCACATTCCAGTAATAACCCTTGCATATTAAGCTATCTTGACACTGCATCATGATCTATCCACAAGAGAGCACATTTTACTTGGCCAAAAATGTATCTGTTGCAAAGCCATATACAAATAAACAACATTAAAACTGTTATCGTTTTCTAGATCGTACTTGCTCAACATGATACCAACAGACAGGCGCAATAAACTGGAGCTAATGCTCCAGTAATGGAAGATCACTTGTAATTGCTGGGATGATCTGCTCGGTACACAGAATCATCAAAATGCGTAGGCGCACGCAGGAAATATCGTGGTTTGAGCATGTGTCATAAGCGAGGGGAGAGGGGGCTACTTCTGCTATATGACCTCTCTGACAATGGCAGAAGCTGTTGAGCTTTCAAAAATGCTCTATGCATGCTTGCGCCACGCTTATCTTGATCGTTAATATTGACAGCACATAACTATTGAGGCGCACTGTGATTGCAGTATAATGAGGCTGTGAAAATCCTAGTCCACGAGCCGGGCCATAGCTAGGCGTTGCTGCCATAAATGTAGTACTGCTCACACATGTACTGCTAACACATGAATGGTTTATAGTTAGTAAGCCTCACAGATATGCTAGTTTTAAAGACCTTGAGTGTGCCATGATTTCTTTACATGGTCTAGAAAGCCTCAAGCGGGCCATGGGTGCCTAATCGACCATATCGACCAACACCATGATGCAGCTACTGTTGTTAAGAACAACACAGTCGGAAAAGACGGCCTTCCACAAATACGCGAACAGTGACAATTATTGTTTAGGTTGAATCTATCCCGTTGAACGTAGAAGCATTACATAAATCTAAAAAAAACTAGTAAATCTCTTCCAGAAATCTATATCTGAGTAGCAAAAATTGAAATAAGACTGCCGTAGTGCAATTATTGAGCAATTAATGGTGGACAGCTATGGGGCACCGCAGGGCGGAGACACCATTATGGATGTTATTTTGATAAAGATCACATGATATTGGCGCTAGTATGTTTTCGCTTAGCGCAGGGAAATCCGCCAATAAGCGTCACCGCCGCTTATATGAAGGCGGTGATACTGAAACCGTGCACGGACCACTCTTCTCGATTGGCAAAATGTCGCGACTGAATTGCGGCTTTCGCTATTCTCATCTCTGTTGCTTTTTGCTCGTTTATTCGAACGACCCAGCATTTTAAACCAGGATGTCTGAATCGCCAGAACCCTCGGTATCTGCGCCGGCAGAGCACCCAACTGGCTCGCCCGCAGCCGCATCACCGCAATCCGAAGAGAAACATGACATCAACAGCAACGAAGAACAGGTGGAAGAGACAGAAAATGAGACTAAACCATCCGATGAACCCGAGAGACAGGCGAAAACGCCGGAATCGGTTGAATCGCCAAAAGATGAAGAATCAGCTGCGCCACCATTGCCCGATGAGGCCCTTCCACCTCTCCCCGAGGAAGCCCCGCCAGCAACACAGCCCGCCGACGATGGATGGGAACCTGTATGGGAACCTAATTTGCAAGCCTATTATTTCTACAACCGCTTCACCGAAGCCACACAATGGGAGAACCCTCGCGTCCCCGAGATCCCCGCCGCACCGGGCACCGAAACCATCCAAGCACCAGTGCCAGAACCCAAGAAAGAACCCGTCCTTGGCGGCTACAACCCAGCGATTCATGGCGACTACGATCCTACTGCAGACTACGCGCGCCAATACGAAGACCAATCCGGCCAAGACCCCAACGCGCTTGGTGTCGATCCCACTGCCGCATATGCTGCCACTGGTACTTTCAACCGCTTCACTGGCAGGTGGCAGGCCGATGCTATCAATCCCGAAAACCACAACGATGAGAACAAATCGCGACGACAAATGAATGCTTTCTTCGACGTCGATGCTGCGGCGAACAGTCATGATGGTCGCAGCTTGCGCGCTGAACGTAGCTCCCGCAAGCTCACAAAGGCCGAGCTAAAACAGTTTAAGGAGAAGCGTCGCGAGAAGAAGGAGGAGAAACGGCGTGCTTGGTTGAGAGATTAGGGGGCCTACTGGTTTGGTTGCATTCTGGGGGTTCTGCATCCGTATGCATTGCCCCTCGCATTTGAATATTGGAGCTTTGTGATACCATCCCACCGGACGTGGGCTTTGAGGCGTTTGAGCTTGGTTTGATCTTCTTTTTTTCCTTCTCTTGGCGCTTCGCCTTGCATGTGGATAGAGGCAGCTTTTTCTGCTGGACTCCACGTTTTGAGCAAAATTGTTTGTACAAGTACACTGTATCAATAGGACCATTGATTCGAAAGCTACACTTTTGTTCAACTGACTTATTATCTCAATTCGTAGCAACAAGCTGTGGTCGTAGTTGTATAATTTTACTGATAACGCTATCATCACATGACCGTGATTTTTTTTGCGGCGAATGCTTCATCGTCCGGCCGCAATGATCCCCGCTAGAAAGCAATAAACAAAAAAAACGAAGGTAAGATTTGATATTTCCCCTGTTAGTTGATTCTAGTCCGGTGGCAGACAAACATCCTGGACTCTCGTCATATATTTGTGGTTGCAATTTGTCCAAAATGGTATCGATGGTCTTATCAACCAGAGAGATCACAAAATATACCTCGCAGAGCATGTTTGCAATTCAAGATTTTCAATTGAGCTGTGCTCGCCGCTATACACTATTTCAATTTCTTCTCGCCAAGTTTCAATCCTGATCTGGAATATCATCACTAACATCTCGCATCAGATATCAAATAAAGTGGGATATCAAAAACAACCCCACCAAAGAAAAAAAATATATTGAACTCTTCAACACACATCATGTCTGCCTCAACAGCACCTAAGACCTCCGTGCCAATTGCACTTTCCGCCGAGGCAGTCGACGATCTGATCTATGATGCCCGAGCAGGCGACCTCGAGGCCTTGAACGCCGACATTGCAGTCCTGGCCAGCCAGCACAACTGCAATGAGTCCCAAATTGTGGCCTCTGCCATTGATACCGCAGATGAGAGTGAGGGCGGCTCTGGATCATGTGTCCTGCACTTCCCCGCTGCTAACGGAAATGCCGGTATGTTCTTTGAACGGGTTACTTGCGATGTCATACACGTTCTATTCCTCTTCCGTGGCACTCTATATCCAAGATACTTTTCTTTCCAAAACAAGTCCAGACAAACAGACTAACTCGCACAGAAATCCTCACCACGCTTCTTCAAAAACTATCTTCCGCAGACGCAGCCCAGCGCTCTGCATTCATCAACCACCGCAACAACTCTGGCAACACGCCTCTGCACTGGGCTGCGCTGAACACGCACCTGGAATGTGTGAAGGCGCTCGTCGAGGCCGGTGCAGACCTCGATGTGAAGAACGACGCCGGTCACGACGCGGTGTTCCTCGCTGAGCGCACTGCTTGGGCTGCTGTCGAGGATAACGGCGAGGCTGAAGATGAGAACGCCGAGACTCAGGAGATTGAGATGACTGTTGGTGAGACTGAGGGCGAGGATAAGTCTGCTGAGGGCCCTGGCGAGATGTCTGCAGGCAGACAAGTTGTTGAGTGGCTTTTGAACTCGGATGTTGCTGCTAGTCTGGAGAAGGGCGCTACCGAGGGCGAGGCTAGTGGATCTGCTTAAGGGCATTTCGGTGAAATTTGAGCAAAAGTTTGAGAAAATTACGCATAGATGCCGATGGGGACTTCTTTTCTTGGAGATGGTTGATTTTTATTGTGAATATTAATGCATTGTTGATGTCTGTTCATTGTCGTATTGAACGACTTTTGGCTTGAAATTCTCGTCTAGTATACATAATATTCGTATGTTCACATTCTCGTTTAAACATCAATCACTGCGGACTTTGCCCGCAATTCTAGCGGAAGATGGACCTCCCACAGACCGCGGAGTGGCCGGATCGATCTCCCGAACTTTGGCATCGAAGCCAACCTTGAAACGTCGGTCTCGCCATACGACCGTCACACCGCCGTACACAGCCATAATCCAGATTGGCAGGGCAAGCAATTCTCGACCAAGCCAGGCGCCAAACCACTGCATAAATGGACGTCGTGTGGCTTGAGATGACTGGGAGCGCTGAGGCCGCGCAAAAAGTGGTGTGTCCTTGTCTACTTCAATACATCTTGCGGAATGAAGCTTGATATACAAGGTCCAGTCGACCAGGACCCAGGAGATCATACCAAAAGCGAACAGCAGGAAGAAGGCGGTCCACGTCCCGAGCTCTGAGGCAAATCGAACACCCCTCTTCTCAAGGTGTGGCGCCAATGCAGTCGTGATACCAAACGCACCGTAGATGGTACATAGAAGTGACTCAGTGCCCGGTTCGACAAGTGTGGCGAGCAGGACGGTAAACTTGCGGACACGCAGCCACCGGACCCGGCGGGCGATGTATGCTGGCACGCTCATATTAGCAACAGGCTGAATAGCCAGATCACCGAAGACCATTGCATGTTTTCCCCAACGTTCTCGGAGCTCCTTCTCTTCCCGCACCTGCTTTTTCCACAGCAGATCACCAATCAGATGATCTTCGCAGATATTATCAGAAAAGAAATCAATTCCTGGTTGACGAGGCTCACCCTCCACGGACGGAGAACTGGTGAGATAGTTGAGATGGGACCGACGGAACATGTTGGATTTGCCCACAATGCAGGGTGAAACGAGAACAGTGTTGATGGCGGTGTACATCTTCGCATGCGCAGAGGAGAGGAACAGCTCCTCCAACCGACCACCTCCAGTGGCAATCATAGCAGCAGGCCCGTCCTCCGGACGAACAGAAGACATCGCAGTCGCGGCATCATCCACCGTCTGCGAGCTGGCATCCAAGAGCGCCTGTCGTTCTGCACGGAAATTACTTTCCCCCGTCACATCGACTGCCACGGGCAGATGGTGCACGAACTTGTACTTCTTGCCTGGTGTTGCGCCGGTACCGCACAATCTATCGACCATGCGAGCACAGACGCCCTTTCCAACCCAGACATTGCAGTCGATGATCCAGACAATATCGCCCTTCGCTTCGCGGTATGCACGGCTCATATTCCGGATCTTGGGATTCGGACCGAGCCTGTACGTATTAGTCTCATCCTGCAAGAGTGGATCCTCATCTTCGATGAAAACCCGTGCGTCGACGGCCGGGAAATCGGCGATCAGCTTGCGGAGAGTAGGGTAGGCGGGGTCATCGCGTGTTGATACACACAGACATATAGTGAGCTTGTCGTACGGGTAGTCTTGTCGGAACGTGGCAGCGAGACAGTCATAGAGGTGTGGCTCGAGACCTTTGACAGGACGGATGACGGTGACGTGTGGTACGTCGGCGGCGTTCACTAGGCGGGACCGATGGGGTTGGCTTAGGAAATGTTTCCATCTGGAAAGGGGGTGAGGTCAGTAGAGTTTCAAAATTGAGGTTAAGAATCTCTCTCATACATCTGGAAATATCCTAAGCTGCACACTCCCAGGATGAATGCGTACCAGATCAGAGCAATCCACCCTGCCGCGACGAACACGGATAGAGTGCCATCACCGGACCTGAGGGAGAAGGAGATAGGCTCTAGCATGGATCTCGAGGGAAAGGCGACATAGACACGGAGGACATTCTAGAAAGGAAAGCTGGTTTTGTGAGAAACCATCGGATACGGGTGGATTTCATTTTAGCGGTGGATCGGCCCGCGCAGGCATATTTCTGTTCTTTACGTGCCTTAATTGAATTCTTGGCATTTCAACGTCGTTGTTTATTTGTTTTTACTGTTTATATCATATTCAAAGCTCTTTTACTTGCATTTTACAAGGCCGTAGAGAATCGGGGGGCTGGAGATGAAGAGCGCCTATATGGGCCAAGCACTTTTAGAGACCAGCTATCCAAGATGGGTATGAAGCTGCCTATTCGGATGTCCCGGCAATTGACATACCCATGCTGTCCAATCATACAAAATTGTACAGTTTGTGCCCTCAATTAGATCGGCCCGAGTAATACAGCCGACAACAAACACGTAGGCCTTCGAACACTACTAGAGAGCTATCCGGATCGACATGCGCATACTGTCCAATTGTGTGTATTAATGTTCGTTCTTGCTTTGTTTTTGAAAGACTATCCCCAAACTCCGAGACCAACCCCAGTAAACCAAGATAAATGAAAACTCCAGAGCCATAAGTTATGGTTTCTTCTTCTTCCGAACCAAGCTCGCATTGAGCACATTGACTCCAGCCGGCGATTGTGCTGGCGCGTCTTCCGCTCCATTCGGTTCTTGGCTTTCGTTCGCAGCGACAGCTGCCTCACCTAAGGACTTCTTTCGCTTGCGGATCAGCCCGAGATCGAGGATATTGTTGGTTTTGCCGGTGTCGGTAGCCGGGGGAGCGTTGATCTCGGCGTTGCTGCCGACGACCTTCTTCCCCCATGTAAGCTCGTCTGCGAGAGCAGCAACTTGATCAACGTAGGCTTTGGTGCTGGCAACAATATCCTTTTCGTCGTAGTAGTGGTCCAGAACGGTGTCCATCATCGTTTTGTAGTCTGCTTCGTTGAGAACAACGTTTCCGCGTCCAGCCTCTGGCCAATCGAATGGGTTGATAATTTCTTCACTCCGGGGTAGCTCGGGGGTAGTTTCTGGGGCCAAAGAAACCGCTGCTGCCGGTACCGGAGTGTCCTTTGCTTCGGATTGGTCAGAGGACTTAGCTGTGATGTCCTCTGTAACTGATCCGGGGACATCTGTTACATTGGGCAAAGGGCTAGTCTCAGCAGAATGGCGGGTTTGACTTTCCATTGGTGTCGAGTTCATGAGACCCGGAGGATTGATAACCAACCACAAGAAACCCACAAGACGACCAGCAGAGCATTCCTGGCGGAAAGACATCATCTCCCAGAATTGGTCTAGGGACTTGACGCTGCGCCAGCGTCCGGCATCGGGTGCAGCGGGCTGACCCTCCTTCTCTTCCGGAAGCTCATCGTCTAGATCGATCAGGAAGCGAGTTTTGGGATCATCCGGGAACCGAGGCACCAAGCAGCGAGGCGGGGCCGAAGGATCGTGGTACAATTGTTTCAGCGGGTAGCCATTGAGCCATCTTGGACGATCCTTTGGATCTGTTTTGGCAGTAGCCGGGAAGAAATTGCGAGTCTCAAAGCGGTCGCAGCTTGGAACGATCAGGTACGCGGTAGCAGAGGCCTTGGCAGCTTCAACCGTTTGATCCAGGGGCTTGGTCTCCTGGAGCGCAGACTCTGGCTCATGCTCACGTAGAATTGGATCAAGAGCGCGGCACCACCATTTGATAAGACCTCTGTCGTCCAGAACGTGTTTTTCGGAGTTTTCAATACTGCCGGGGAACAAGTACTGGTTCTGAGCGCGGGCAAAAAGCGACACGACCAGGCGCACACCGGGTCGTTGGCGCGTCCGAGCTAGGAACGATAGGAATGTGTTAGAGACCAGTCTTAAGATCGAGATTTTGCGTGGCAGTTTGAGCAGATGCAGGAAGCCGGTTGAGTCGGCCTTTGAGATGAAGATGGTGGTTAAGTGGGCCGTGTTGTAGACCATCACCTCCATTCCGAAAATGATTGTTTCACCCTCATCCTTTGAATCAATTGATACCGAGAGGAAGTGATTTTCGCAGAAAGTCAGCTCGGAAGCCTGGCCGGGAGCAGCTGCAAAGAGAGCATCGGATGGAGTGGGTGTTGAGGATACATGGCGGACGATTATCTCAACCCCGGTGGGGAGCACCTTAGCCAAGAGATCTGCCAGATCTACCGAGACCATTCTCGTTCATCCAATGAGAGTCGTGGAAATGGTGATGAGAGGAGCCAAAACCCCTGCCGGGCGAACTTGATGCAAATCAGCAGTCACGTGTTAGAGGCACGAAGTATAAGATTTGGTTTATAGATTGGTTTTCCTGAGAGAAAGATTTAACGACACTGGGTATTTGGCTTTGTTCATCTTTGGTAAACTCCTTGGCAGTGATTCCATTAGTCTTTCTTTATTGATTTGTTAAAGTTCTTTACATACCCTGGCCGCTTTACAATCACAATTCTATAGGAAGAGTTATACTCCAACCAGTGAGTTTCCTAAGTGGTGAGACAGTAAGAATTCAGTCTAAGCTTTGAAAGTAGGCCGGTCAGTTGTATAGGTGGCATTGATATTATAGTCAACAATATGCGATCAGGACTACGTACTTATGTAGACTACCTGAGTGATACAGCTGACGGTGAAAGAGGTCTATTCCACACAGGTCACGACGCTTTCAATATGGGTTGTAGTCGTAGAGTAAGCTTGGAAACATTCAAATGAGACAGGATCACCGAGTGTGGCAGCTTCACCTTCCTTTATCACTATTTCCTCAACTTTCATCTTTGGATTTCCTTCAAATTTTTATCCTCAGAACGACGTAAGCCATGCAGTTGCTACGTTGAGCCAAAGCACAACGATCAAATACCAGCAAAAGCATTGCCAGTGAGTCGACGTCCCGAGATACAATTAGCGATGAGCAGCACATCTTCTACAAGATACTGACATAAGGTAGTACAGAGCCTCAATCCGATTACTCTGAGAATACCTACCAAAATGTCATCCAGACAAAACAGAGACGAGCCAGGCAAGCTCAAAGGTAAGCATACAGTCCTCTGCATCTGCGCAACCTCTCTTTGCATGGAGACATCACTAACCGACCACCTCTAGTGCCCGACCCGAGCACGCTGGCGGACTGCATGCAGGTGCAAATTAGATACGTCTGTGGCCACTCCGTTGGTGGGGAGTTTATCAAATGTCCCCAACACATGCGAACCGAAGATGAACGCTGTTCAAGCCGGATGATTCTACATGTCGATGGAAAGATCTCGTCGCACAAGTGCCGGGCTTGTTTGCGCAGTGAGTGAGGCATATTAGTCCTCACAAACAAGCGAATACGGAGTGATTGATTGATTTGCCAAGACTTGAACGGAAGAGGACGGAGGGTTAAGAGAATTCGATGTCGCATTTATGCAGGAAAATGGTACTTATGATTGAACAAGAGATACCCAGATTGGAATGGATTCGGTGACTGAGGCAGACCTATATGCCTGCATATTCCACGTGCAAATTACTATACTAAGTATATTATGCAGTCTGTGTGTAACCTGATGTCGTGTCACGTCTGATGTCATTTAGAACACTGAAGATACAGCATCTAGATCATCGGCGTTAAGAAGAAAGACTCCTTCACGTAGCAGAGTTCTCCAGACAAGGTTTCGTGCACGAACCGGGAAGTACGGCGTGTTCCAGTATCTAGCTCCAATCCCTCGCTCATTCGCCGTAGAGATTTGATCTCGGAGAGCCTTGAGTTGATCTTCTGTCAGGATTGGGTCGGTGTCTCTGGTAATCTTGCCAACGGCTGCCTGGAAATCGGTTGATGCAACAGGCGATACAACACCAGTGATATCGGCGTATCTGGGATCGTTGAGATTGGCAAGAGGCGCATCGAAAAAATAGTCTCGATCTTTGACTGGAGCTACCAGGTCGAGTGGTGTTTCTCCCGTGCCAATAATGGTGACGGGCCCATTGGTCACGGTCTTGCCGTCCTTCACGGTAGTAAGGTAGCCCTTCTTTCGCAGAGGCTCTAGTGCAGCGATAACGGCCTTGAAAGTCTCGGGGCCAGAGGTCTTCACATCAATGAAGAAATATAGCGTTTGATCGGGAACAGTATCCCACACGCCGCTATTTCGACAAAACGTCAGCAAACATCATGTCGAGTTAGGAGAAAGTCTTCACTTTTTAGTAGGTTCCGTTAAAAAAGGACTCGTCGGGTTCTGGCGCTCCAAGACATCCAGAATTGGATTGATATACAAGTTTTCAAGGGTCCTCGAGTCTGTCAGGGCAGATTGATCATGTCCGACCTTGTTTGATTAGTATAATGCCCAAAAAGAAGGAAAAAAATAGTAGTATCAGACTGATTACACACATATAGAGTGCCGTTGTATAACCAGACATCGGCTTCGGTAGAAGTGCAGCCATGCGAAAGGCCTGAGATGTGTTAGGGAAAATCAGACAACAGGCACCAGGGACTCGGCATACCGGTATAGAAAGGCTCATCTCGCCAGTAGTCACTTTATCAAGATTAGCAACCCAAATGTTGAAATTTAGATATCAGGAGCGGCCCTCTTACTTATGAGAATGAACCGGAATCTAGACCCGCGATTCCAGGGTTAACGACGTTCGGTCCATGGAGAGTTTCCATGTACATCAATTGAATGAAAACAAATTCGCAGATAGACTTACAGGTAACAGATCTCTTGTCAAATCAGTTGGATACCCATAGTCTTTGCTGCCGTGGGTGTTTTTTAGAATGCTCTGCAGGCTGGAGGTGATGGCCCCGATGGCTGGGGTCGGGCCGGCGAGGAGAGCCACAGCGATGCCGAGGAACAACATGAGGACAGAACGCTTCAATTTGAGATATTATCTCGGATTGAGATTCGGTCCATGAATTGATGGAGTGGAAAGATTGTGGAATGAAAGAATTGCAATTGCGATCGGAGGCGGATCTTCGTGCACGTGTTCAAGGGAGGCGTATCATGTCATGGGCTTCAACTCTACACATGTACCTGCTCATCCCTGAAACAAAATAAACAAATATGGTATAAAATAGATCCTGCAGAGCTTGGAAACGACCGATATTGGCGTTATGTATAGAAAAAAATGGCAATAAAGCGATATTCGAGTGATCAGACTTTCTATAAGTGGTGTATACAGTCTACAAAAACCTATGGATAATAGTGTATGGTATTGAGACATAAAGGCTAAGAGCTAAAAAGACATGGAAAATCGCAAGCCTAGCACCGCCTCCAGGCAATCCAAAGACGGCAAAAAGCGAGATTGTCGGAAAAAAGAGGACCAGACCCCTCGTAGAAAAGAATACTATGTACTTGACAACCGTATATCACTAAATCTCGCGCACACTCGGCGAAGAGGCACCAGGCTCCTGCGCTATCGAATTCCGACCCCTCAGACTGAGATTGCCGATCCGTTGAACCAAGTTGCTGCCCACGGCATCGACTGCACCCTTAGGCGCAAGCAAGGTCGGACCCAAGGCGGCTGCTTCCTGGACTCGGAAGAGCTTGATGGATGTACCGTTCCACACTCCGACTGTTCCTGGCGTCGCGCCGGCTGCAGATCCGACGACCATCTCGCTGGAGAAGATGAAGCCCCACAGTAAGGACTCGTACCAGCCCATTGACAGCGCGGACCATTCGAATGATTGGATGCGGACGGGGGTTGGCTCGGAGATGATGCTTTTCACCTCCGGCTCGTCGGCGAACGATGGGAGGTTGTGGATTAGTGTTCGGGCCTCTGGGCTGGTTGTGCTCTGCAGGGCTGCGTCTGGGATATGTGGTGCAATGGCGGAGATGATGGTCAGGATCGTGTGGAGGGGAAGCTCGGGCAACCATGATTCGAGCTGTGGAGCATTGTTAGTACTGAAGTTGATTATCACTGTTGTGGTTCGTAGACTTACCCAAGGCACGGTTGGTGTGAACCCGCTCGCAGAGGGAGTGAACAAAGCAGTCATGCTTGTTTGACTGGTCATGCTGTTCTGTCGAGAAAAAGGAGGATGCCCGGCGGGTTTCTTTCCTCGTGCTTTTTCAGACATGCCCCGGACCATCTGCACTCCATTTTCGTCCGTGGTGGATGCCATGGAGGGCCTGCGAGAGTTCTGAGCCGACGGTGATGATTGAGAAGGTGTTTGTGATCCATCAATATCCCTCTCATCATCAGAATCGTCGTCGCCAATTGCAAATGGGCTGTTCTCTTCCGGAATACGACCTAATGGTGATCGAGCACCTGATGGAGTGTGCAGGTCGTCTTCTGAATGTGAAAGAGTCGGACTCACGGCCACGTCAGCAACACTTCCAGCTTTCTTCTTCTCGTTCTGGCGTTCGATTTCTTGTTGGCCACTTTCGAGAGTAAAAGCCCGCACAGCTTCAAAGCGTTGCTTGTATTTCAGTATGGCATAGACGAGATAAGGATTATCTAGAAGAGTTAGAGAGGGCAGGAGACGGTGGCACGGCCGGGAAAGCAACTTACCGGTGAATTTGTGCTCGAGGATGATATTGATGAAGTCGAGCAATGAGGCAAGAAGCGTGTGGTTTGTCTCATTCGCTAACAAAAAACTGGGCGCAGACATAGAAGAGAAGAGTTGGATGATCTTCGAACAAGTGCCCGGGGAAATGCGTTCGATATAGGGTGCGATGTTGTTAAAAATGATTAGAAGAGCAGGATAAACTGTATCCAAGTTTCCTTTACTGGTGGTGAGTAAGGTGTGAATAGACTACTGCAGTCAGTATTTGGCCGTATGATTTCAATTGGAACAAGACAAACCATGATCAAGAAGTCACCATAGGATCCTCGGAACTTGGGCAGTCGAATCGACTGCGGGAGAGTTTCCTGAGCTTCAAACGCATTGTTCAGACTCTTGCTGAACGTGGGCTCTGCACTCATTGTTTGCAAGATGAAAATGCACATTCGAACCACACCTTGTTTAGAAGCATCTGATTTGTACTCCATCGCATAGAAGATACATAGAACAAGGAAGTCATGGGAGCGGTTGGAGTCTATGATAAAGGACCGGAATCGTTTGTTGCATTGCAAGGTCTCCCAGAAAAGCACCAGCATCTCAGGTGCCCATTTCACCGATCTTTGGCTTCCAGGAAGATATGATGTGGTGGCTTGCATCTGATTCGATGAGTTAGCACATAAATGTGCACGGAGTAAGGACATACACTTACAGGCTGGTTCAGAATTCTTGTCATACCATCCACGAGGAATTGGAAGTCTTGAGGTCTATGCAGCCTTCCAAAGTAATGCCGATAATAGTTCTTTGGTGGAGCTCCACGGCCATCCTCGGGAATAGGGTACATCAAGAGGACAAGAAGGAGTTGCACGCAATAAATGACTAGCATTTGTCGGGGGTCTTTCCAAACCACATGGTCATAAGGAACCCTCCATGACGCAGGGTTATACTTCATTGCCTGTTTATAAATGAGTATGGCCCCAAACGCTCAACTAAATAGACATACCGTGTTTAGTAGGGAGCAAAGAAGAGTCAAGACGGCCTGTTTATCTTGACAAGTTGTGATGTAGGTAATGGCCTTCACGCCTTGAACAGGCAATGTATCTACCCTTGTCAATAAATCCCGCTGTATTCAAGTTGTACGCGTAGCACTCACTTGATGGCAAATACATGGCCTTTCCGGTCAGCGTGAGCATAAGCCGTAGAATCTCACTTCGGTTGCTTTCATAGGCCTTGCTGGTTCCCATGGCCGTATTGCAGCCAACGCCACTTTGCCAGATAGAGAACGAGACCTTGCCCTTTGCAGTCGGAAGTCGGGGAATCGTGAAGTCAGCGAAGAAAAGCAAATCCATCAATGTATCTATCAACTCCTCGGCGAGAGGCTTCACATCTTCGTAATTGTCGGAGGGCGGTGATGTTCCCTCTTCCTGGTCTTCAGGCTGCGCTTCGTCAAAAAGAATCTCTCCAGAGATTTGTGCTTGTCGGGTCTTCCTCTTCCTCCGCGCCCAAAAGAAATTGTCCTCCCATCCCTCCAACTGATCCGCCTCATAAACATAGGGGAGAAGGCGAGTAAGAATGCGGATGCAGTTCAGGACATCGCGCTCGGGGGCAAGATCCGGATCGGGAAACGAAGGGTGGTTTTTCAATAATGTCAGTCGCGACGTCACTGCAAGAAGGAGGGTTTGGAAGTTTGGTAAGGCATGGTCGCGAGTTCGGCGAATGTCAGCCGGTGTGAACAGACTGAATACATCTTCGGTTGATTCAGGAAGTTCCCAGAACTTGTAGAGCAATCAGCTTCTAGGTCATCAAGATAGCGTCTATGATTATCATCGCATTGTAACGTACTCTAGTCCAGTATGGGTCGTCTGCGGGGATCTCCTGTTCCTCCGAGAGGCGGAAGATGCCCTGCTTAAAGACAAGCTTGGACTCTGAGGCCCCCATGGCTGATGCGAAGAGCTAATCAAGCCACTGCGAGCTTCATGCAGTAAATTCACGGCAAACAGGGCAATGTGGTGAGTGTAAAAAGTCTGCTGCAAGTAAATTTGCCAAATGCTGCAAAGTGGTTGGCGGTCCCGAGGTCCTAATCCTTCGGGCGCGGGATCTTGGCCTAAACACGGGGATAGTATCCAGCATAACAGTACCCCGGTACCCCCGGCTACTATACACAATTCTTGCCCTTTGTTCAGTCAAGTTTCTATAATTCCTTGAGTTGCCATATTTGTGATACTCTTTGTGTGTTTTCTTATTGTATATTGGTTTGATCTATGCCTTATACTTCGCATGAACTGGACATCTTTCTACATTTAAAAGAAAACCCAGGACAGACATAGAAACATAGGATGATAAAATGATAAGCTGTGAATTGGTATCCTTGTAATACATTAAGAACGGATGAATCGCTATGACACCATAACCATGACCATGACCCCTAGCGCCTATTTGAATTGTTCGTTTAACCTCGCAAAGATTCACATGGCGCCTCCACTCGCCGAGAGTCGGCGACTTCTCTCATATAACCACTTATTCTTAACTCCCAGATTTCCGCGCTTTCCCACAAGAGGGGAAGGTGTGCCCGGTCCAAGGCTGCCCAAGCTCAATGTAGACTCCCCGAATGAGTTACTACGGGTCAGAGGGGATGCGGATCCAAAGCTGGAACGCTGCAATGATTCCCTGTTTGGATTGCTTCCATTGGAGACAGCCTTGTAAAGCAAAGGGCTTGTGACGGGAGAAAAAGGTGTGCTGATAGAAGATCGTCGCTCTGAAAAGCTGGCGTTGGCAGATGCGGACATAGGGGAGGCTTGTCGGCTTGCTGGACTAGCCTGACGTGAAGTGGAGAGCCGGTATCTGGGCGGAGTGACAAATGTTGTTCCTGGGGTGGCCGGTGGCGTTGCCGAAGGATCTAGGCCAAACAGAGAACGTTGGGTCGGGGTGAGAGGAATATCAGAGAGGTCGTCCTTGGGACGGAAGAGGGGATAAACAGCTGTTCCGATATTGACGACGAAGAAAAGTTGAAAGAGGAACAATGAAATTTCGCAATAAACGTGGTTGCTGTCGAAAATTTGGCGTGAGCTAAGGTTAGGTTGTTAGTACGCGACGCGCATTGACAGAGCCGGTTCACTCACTATGACTTGAACGTGCTTCCGAAGAACCAAGTCATGAGCAAAGCTGACACATTCCAGACAAGCTTGTTCACGTTCTTCTCGTTGAACAGAGCCGCATTCTGGCGTCTAACAACCTGCTTCAGATGAGGATGTCTCCATTTTCCAGGGGTCTCGGGCTTCCCAGAAGCGGGAGCCAATGGAGGGGTAGCTTTGGGAGTTGAAGGGAGAGACATTGTTGCAATTGGTGGTATGCCTGTGTTGGTGTAGCAGGCGAGAAGCAAGGCTGAAGTGAAATGGGACTGAACGATGGAATTGTTGAAATCAGATATTGCTCACTGTTTTTCTTGGGAGGGACTCGACTCACCGATTCTAAATAATTATGTTAGCTTACCTGGGGAAAAAAAGAAACTTCAAATCTGTTAGTTAGTTGTGCGCATAATGAAAAAGACAATGTTCTATTGAGAAGCCATTTGCTTGTGATCTGTGAAGCTTGATGGAGCAAAGGAGTATTTCCCGGGCTTACAGTTGACCCGGGCGACCAGCCAGCAGCCAATCAACAGTCAACCTTATGGTTCTACCCCTCAACGTCATAGTTGAGCTGATTGTTGACACTTCTTCATATTCAGTCCAGCTTATCAAAATGGCTGATACTTCTATTATAGCGAAGCTGGACACTTTGGTGGCCGATGTTTTAGCTGACTGGAACATCTACAGTACTGTTTTCGCCGGTATTGTTCTTGCCTTTGCTGTGTACTCTGTCGCCTCGTCCCAGGATCCAGATGTCCACCCGTTCCTTCTTGCCCGCCAATCCACTGCAGCCCCAATTCGCCAGCAAGGTGAATCTGCCACCTACAGAGGTTTGGAAACTCCGCACGGCTTGCCGCTTCGATTTGGATTGAATGTCAAGGATCCGGGCGCGCCGAAATGGACCGGTGGCCGACGAGGAGATCTCCGCGATATTTGGAAGACAGCTGTCCGTGGAGCTTTAAATGAAGACGGTACCATCTCCGGAAAGCAGGGCAAAATCTACACTGTCTTAGGTAGACAGGCTATTGAGCACTCGTTGGATCAGGTCACCCAAGAAATCAACGTTATTGGTCATCATCTCCAAAATGCCGGTGTGAAGACTGTGGCTGTTTGTCTTACTGACTCCGTCGAGCTTTTGGCTGCAATCTTTGGTATGTTTTTGAGATCTGGCTTGTGGATTGAAATATAAACTCACACAATCCAGCTGGCGCTTTCTACGGATACAAGACCGTCCTCGTACCGCACAACCTTCCCGCCGAGACCCTATCAGCGCACTTGAAACAAGCAGAAGCAGATGTTTTGATTGCCGAAGCTGGCTCTCTCGATCTCTCTCTTATCAGCAAGGATAACACGCAACTTTCGCTTGTTCTCTGGGTTGTCAAGTATGGCAACCGACACATGGATTGGAACGAGGCCCCCGGTAGCGTCAAGGGTAGCTTGAAGGTTGCAGTTTGGCATGAACTGGTCGAGGAGTTCAAGGACCTTGCCAATTATGAAGTTCCCGAATATGACCCAAAAACAGAGACCCCTGCTGTTAGTACTGTTTGGCCGTCTTCCTCTCAGTCTGGTCAATTCATCGACTTCAAGCCGGAGGTATGAACCTACAGGTCTCATTTTATCCCATATTTGCTAACCATCCATCAGAACTTAGTGTCTGCTGTTGGAGCGATCATATCCGCGCTCCCTCGTACCCAGCGCTTTGGCTCATCCGACATCGTTCTTTCAATCGACTCTCTCTCCCGATCGTATCCGCTCTGCACAACCATGGCTGCACTGTTCTCCAATTCATCCATCGCCCTCAACTCTGTCGCCGGAGAGCAAGTCGACTTTGCATTGGCTACTGTTGGTGTGTCTCCTACGGTCATTGTTGCTTCTTCACAAACCATGTCCGAATATCACGATCAAATCATGCGCCCGCATACCGGTTTCATTTCCTCTCTCGGACGTTGGTTGCAAGCACGAACTCTAGAGGCAGGAACCATGCCGACACGCAACTTCTTCAGTCAATTAGCTCGCATTGGCCCGACTGCTGAGCTCTCGCTAGATAGACTGCGTCTGCTTTGCATCACTCATCGTATCGATGCTAGCCCTGCCGCTCATCTCACCTCTGAGCAATTGACCGAACTCAGAATCTTCACCGGAGCTCGTGTGGTGTATGCTTTAACCGGACCCGGTATTGCTGGTGCGATTGCGCAGACAAACGCTTTCGATTACAGAACCCTCACCGGACCAAGCCATTTCGGCGCTCCAGTGAGCAGCACCGAGATCACCCTGACCAACGTTCCCGAGGGCTCTCCCGATGGCGCGGAAGAGGGACAGGTATGTCATGCTCTCCATCATCTAAATCCCTTGTTGTATCTGAACTAATATTTGCGCCCCAGCTCACCGTTTCAGGTCCCGCTGTTGTCGGTGGTACCACTTCTCTTCCAGGCCGAGCCCGCATCAGCAAAGATAACACCTTGGAGCTATCCGTCTAAGGGGGTTAGTCCCAAGTAACTTTTTGCAACATCACTTCTTTTGAGCGTAGTGCATCACATTTTTTTCACCTCTCGACATTTTAGCTTGAACAAAATTGACTAAAGGGTATGTACATCTGAAATAGCACTTAGCGGGTTCAGGTATGTCAGGAAATAAAACAACCATGTTGTGATACAAGGGCCAGCTCCAAAATATCTAGCAAAGAACAGTGTAATATACATGCCAATACGGCTCAATCAAGACTATAAGAAATCACCGAGGTAGTCTCAAGCCTCTGCCTTCAACTGCTGAGCCACCTTGTCCTCAGTCAACTGCTTGTTCTTGGTTGAGTTCAACTGTTCAATCAGAATAGGCTTAAGCTCGTCACAGCGCGCCTGGAAAGACTCAGTCGCGAGCGAGGCCTTGGGCCACTGCAGGCTCAAGCGCATGCCGTTATAAATAGCCAGGTTCTCCTGGAGCCTAGTCTCGGTTTCATAAGGAGTTGAACCATCATTTTTGAAGTTACCACGGGACCAGCTTGCATCAAGCTTCTGAGCGTAGTCACGGATGTTTCTGCTCTCGGCCTTGACGCTCTGATCGGTCTTACTCGGGTCAAGTTTGTCCGACATGGCCAAACCAAGCGCCGCGTTCAGTTCCAGCAACGTGCCGATAACGAACGGTTGGTATTTGGGATCATTGTTGATCCCCTTAGCTGAGTGTTCCGGGGCGTCAAGCAAGAGAGCCACCTGCTGTGCGAGGTTACGAGCGTAGAGGGGTTTCTTTCCGCTCGAAGTTTGCCCGCATTGCGGTGTGGTGGAGTTCGTAGAAAAGAACGCGAGCGATATTCTTGTCGCTGAGACTCAGGCCCGTGCGAGTGTATTGCCTGGCACACTCGACGATCTGGTTGAGTTTGCCGGCCGCGCTGACTTTGCGGATGATGTACTGCCACCGGTTGCTGTTGATGGTATAGTTTGACATGCGCATTGCGCTGACGAAAGCAAAGAGGTTGCTGAAGTCCCCAGTTGCTACCATCATGTCGAGAACAGCCAAGGCCTCCTTCTTTGAGGGCAATTCGTGGCGCAACTTGGGAGTTAGAGTGAATTTTTCATCCTTGTTGATCGTGACAGTGATTGGCTCATGTTCCAATTGCGTGGCGTATTTCGGCTTGAACACACTCTTTTGCTGTCGCTTAGGCAGACCGAGGGGTATGAAAAGGTCATTGCGGAATCGTTCGAGAGCCTCGTTGAGCTCGGTGGAGGGTGTTGAGGTGAAGGTCGGAATTACTATGCCAACCGTCTTCGATCAGAAATTTGTTTCATAGAATGTGAAGCGTATATCGTACCTTTGGAGCCGTAGCTGCGGACCTGCGCGGGTCTAAGGATAGATTGGCGCACTGAGCTAGTGCTCTGGACGAAGAGCCTGCTCATGGCGGTTTGTGCCATTGTACCGTTAAGGAGATTGCGTATGAACAAGAACAAGGCTCAATAGTATAAATCGAAAGGGAGGTATGTTTCCTCGCAAAAAGAACAATGAAACGAAGTCAAGGCAGGCTTGTTGGTTCGGGGAGAAAAGAATCGCGTTGTCTGTAACCCGAACGGGCAAACTTGAGGCTTGGCGGAAATTCTGCCGGTCCGGAGCAGCCAAAACTCGACTCCGACTTTCTCGACTTGACATCCACATCACAACTATGGCGGCTCTACCAGCTATGCGCCCGCTGGGCTGCTTACGGTCCTTGGTGAGGGCGTCAGAGCCTATCCAACCCTTCATCAGCCGTCGATTCATCTCAACAGCCTATTCGAAGAGGCCCGAACGGGTGCCTCTTCCACAGAACATGCCTCCGCAATTCCTCTCTCAGATCCCTCTTCGCTTCCGTCCAGACCCTGGTATGTATCCTGGAATTTACTTCATCGGCCAATTCCAGCTTTGCTGACCGCCGCTACCTTTCAGAACGCGAGCCCCTCAAAATTTACCCTGCTCCCCCATCAGCCCGCAAAGCATGCAAGGATCCCATCGGAGCGGTCACCGAATCGCAATTGGCAGTCCTCGACCCCAAGGGCGAGCGCAAAGCCATGTTCGATTACCGCCGAAACCCGCGCAGTGTCAAGACCGGCGATATCGTACGAGTGACCTTCAAGAACGGTGACCCGTTCAACGGAGTTGTTCTGAGCATCAAGTTGCGCGGAATCGAGACCTCGTTCCTCCTGCGAAACGAGCTCACCCGTGTCGCTGTCGAGATGTCGGTCAAGGTCTTCAGCCCCAACGTCAACAGCGTGGAGATCGTCCAGCGCTCCGAGAAGAAGCGCAGAAGGGCGAGATTGTACTTCATGAGAGACCGCAAGCACGACCGCCGCAGCGTGGAGAACATTGTGGCCAACTATGTTCGCCAGAAGAAGGCCTTCTTGGGCGGTGGCAACCGACGACGATGATTAAGTTAGAGGGCGTCTGGCGCGACACCCGTTTGCATACATGTGGCTGTATTACTATCTATCATTTTGTACTTCATCTGTGTTTATAAATTGCGACACCATATAAATTGCGACACCAAATACACCTTTCGAGCTTTTAATTAGCACTTATCTTCTAGCACATCCACTTCTTTTTGGTTCAGTTGCCACTGGGGACTTTTCCTCTTTTGAACGCAAATTGATTCCAAGCGAATTTGCGCGTTGCTACCAATCTGGTCATCGGCCTTTTTGCTAGATGGATCGCCTACTTTATGCCGGTGAAAAAGCTATCTTTAAACCTGACATCTGGACATCCCGTGTCATGTTCTCGATGAGTAATGGACCCCATACCCTTCCATAATGTCAATGATGCCTAAGTAACAGAGTATAGAAAGTTATTTATAGACTGCTTTCATGTCGATCACATCATAAATTTGAGATGTGTAGTACCATCGACGCTGCCCAATGCACAATTCTCTCGCGGTTTCTTATGAGCGCAGAACTATGTCAAGAGTCCAACATGTGGTCAATTGTGCAAGCATCCCTCCGGACGATCCTTCCAAACTGCAAGGAACCGTCTCATTTGTACATCTTGATGAACAAATATGTCACGCCCTTCATCCAGGATGAGAATCCTTGACCCATTACCGGTATCTGGGCCTACTTCCAGAGTATCAATTTTCCCATTAGCATCTCGCGAGTCGAGGAAGCCTCTTCCCTGATCTGCATATATCAAGACTGCTGGTGCAGTATTAGAGTCCATATGATTGCTGAAGTAGTAATCTTTTTCGAGGAACAGTTGTCGTCCATCCTAGAGACCGGTCAGTAGATGACGAAACCGAGATAGCGCTTCACTTGCAAGAAGTATGGACTCGGCTTCATTTTCAAGACCCGTATCATCATGCGCATATGCACGGTGGAATACAGCCCCGTTTGGCGTGTCCATGGTGTCTAGGAATTAGTTAGCCACTTATCTTCATGAGTAAAGGTTTCTGCAAATAGCTTGAGAGCCTATACCTGATGGATCTTTTTAGTGTAGTGAACAAGGCAGGTTTTGCCTCTACGGGGCGTTACCTTTCTCCCCAAGACCAGGCAAAAAGGGGTTTGCATATGGAAAGATTGCTTTGCATCCTTTATCCCGTCTCGGGTGCACATCTATGCTTCGTACAACCGTCCGAGTTGACCCGTGACCCCCAACCATGTCACAAAGCCAGTTTCTCGCATCTTGTCCGACGAAAATGTGAGTAACCGCATCTCCTCCATACTTGTTCGCTATTATATCACAGCCTCTGGAAATTCGCCTTATTACTATAGAGCCAGTGTTGTATTGAAATTCGTATTGTCCTACCATTCCCGCAGACACCTTCAGCATACATTTATCATGTTGTTTGAATATTTACAACTACTATGAAAATCAGACCCCAGATCATTACTTTAGTATTTTCTTTAGATAATCTAAATATCAATCGGCTTCTTTTCACTCAATTGCTTTCCAAGAAGGAGAGGAGCTATCACAACTTCCCTCAATCCAGCGATACTGACCCGTATATTCCTCGGTTTGTTTCTTCGTTCTCTTTGGTTTCTCCATTCGTGATATCAAAAGACATCCACAGTTGAGGTAATCTTTATCGAGATCGCGGACACGCATTGTTACTGGCGAAACGTTTCCAAAATACAGGCCACAGAATTCACATCGCTAATCTCACATATACTTGAGAAGATTAGGCTAATGTTCTTTAATATTTCAAAATACCTATTTACATGATGCCAACGAGGAGAGTTCGATTCTTAGTAGATATACCGGAAGCTGTTACAAGTGTTAGTTTCGTTTAGCAGATCAAACAATAAAGAAACCACATACTTCAAGTTTTCTCGGTCCGTCAAATCCAAGAATGCGGTTGAATCCAAATCTCTCCCTTCGAGACCACCTTCCATTTGAGACTGAATTCGGTCCCGCTTCTGGTTTTCCCAGCGCAGCAGGAGCCCAAGAATGCTAATCAAAACAGCCTCGATCAAATGCGAGACGATCATGGACCAGATTCCCAGCGGGTAGGTTGGCCTATGGACTTGGTTAGTTATTTGGTTCTGAGTAAATGAGGCTCATTCTTGGAAGGGAACTCACGATTGCTCTGATTTATAGAAGAAAGGGCCGGCAATGTTTCCGGTACAATATCCCAGGAACAGAACTGCATTTGTGACAACCTTCTTGGTGTGGCCTAAATGAATGTTGGTTCAATTTCGAAATAACACTTTCATCCATCGACAATATGGCGATAGAGTACTCACCAGCCGTGTTTGCAATTTGCATACTCAGAACGAGCACAAATGCTGCGTTGTACGGTCCTGTCAGGTAATAGCAAATCAGCCGACCAACGCTGTGTTCAACTGGAACAAAACGCAGGCCAAAGGAGCCAGCAAGGTTTGGAATCAAGAAGATCAGAATGAAAACACATCGTCGATTCTCAAAACGGTCATTAAGGAAGACACATGTCAGAACGGAAATCGCAATGATAAAGCCATAAGGAATCTAAACATGGCACAAATTTAGCTTACAAGCAACAGCTTGCTTTTTTGGTGCGTCTTACCTGCATAAGAGTAGTCACCAATGTTGAGTAACCAAATCCTTTGATAATAATGGTACCAAAATTTGAGATACCACCATTAGGGACATTGCCTGCGTGATTGTTAGTTCATGCCAAACGTTCGATCATGAGAAAGATACATACAAACAAGACCCAACGTGAAGAATATATAGAGTTTATAGTCCATAAAAGCCTCCAGAATCTGGTATGGCTTAAGATTCTTGTTCTCGACACCGGTTTGATTCTCCCGAATCCGCTCGACGGCCATCCGGCGCTCTTTTTTGCTGAGTCCTTTCGCTGTGACCGGGGAGTCAGGGAGAAAAATGAACATGACAATGCCCCATGAAGCGCATAGAGCACCGCTTCATAGAGTCAGCAATCAGGTAAGAAATAAGGAAGACAAAGAAGGTGAAGAATCATACATCACAATGAACTCGTATTTCCAAGAAGGAAGTGCACCGCGAATTTGACCAATTCCGTAGCCCAAAAGCCCACCCAATGCGATTCCGAGACCATTTGCGGTGTACCACAATCCGAGACGCACAGGTTGCTCGCGGCGTGTGTACCACATGCTTGTAATGAGCATAAAAGCAGGGTCAGCGCAGGCTTCGGCGGCACCGCCAAGTGCTCGAAGAACGGCGAGGGTTTCGAAGCTATTGCAGGCAGCTTGGATCATGAGGAAAACACCCCTTCAAACTGATTGTCAGTATGTGACTCCTTGTTCGGATTCTACTTAGACAAACCACATGAAGATGTTGACTCCCAAATATTTTCCTAAAAAGATTGTCAGAAAAATTGACGTAGGGGAATTGTCAAATCTGTCAGCCCTACCGATCGGGAGACGCTGCATCAGAAAATTGGTCGGGAACGCCCATATCAGAAAGCCAAAGTAAAATATACTACTGAGCCAACTGTATTGGGTTCCGTGCAAATTGAGGTCATCGCGGATACCGAATATGGCAGCATAGCTAAGGGTTGTCTGTACAATAGTAAGTAAATTATGACACGCTACCACACTTGGCAAATAAGAGTGAAAAGGATAGCAGAGACGATTGATAGTACTCACCTTATCGATATAGAAAAAAGCATAGCAAACAGCAAGATATGGAAGAATCATGAAGTCGATCTTCCACAAGAGCTTTCTTGCCTCGTCGGGATCGACTTCTTCATGAAGCTCGTCCGGATCATCAAACAACGCCATAGCCGTGTCGCCATCGGCATTTTTGGCGGTCTTGAAATTCGCATGTTCTTGACTACTCTCTGCATGACTGATAGTAGGAACATCAGCGATGTTTCCCTTTGGGTCGGAAGTTGACCCTGGGGCATTGTTCGCCATAGTGGAGTTGGCTGCGTACAGGAAGTGGAGCAAGTGGGAACTGATACAATGTAGAATTGGGATTGATCAAAGATATGTATATAAATCACACAGGGCAAATCCCGAGGAATGGAGACAGGCAGTCTGACATGTATAACAAAGTAATCCAGGAATCCGACAATCCCGCTCACACCATTTCATTCAGTCTTTTCCAACCAAACACCGACTTACTTTTGCTTCCCCGCGATGTACAAAGCTTAATCGCCCGAAATAGGATAGCAAGAAAGAGAAATCTGCGGGGAAGTCTCAGAACGAATCCCCCCACGCCCAGACGGAAAGTCGTATCGGCGCTGATCTGCTGGTCAAAACGTGGGGAAGAAGAGACTTGACTGATGACGATGGAAGTCGGGTTTGCGCCATGAAGCCTTCTTCGATAAGCAGCTGGTACTGTCTTAGCACTGTCTATGGTGTCAAGTCTTATTGAAAGCCAATTTTTGCCTGGTACAAAGCCTGCTTGCTAAATGTTGGGGTCGGTGAAAGTCCGAGAACTCGGGGAGTATGCCGTTCGATCAATGATCTTTTATGCGTTCATTATGCGATCTGTGTACTTTTAGCACATTAATATAGCCGAATATTGGGATATACCGAGGATGGCGTTGATTCTTCAGGGATCGAGCTTTGTTTTAAGGTTCTGTTTTCGGGGAATTGTTCTAGGCTCATACCACATCCCTTGTTGCAACTCAAAACGTGTGGTATTTTCCCGATGCCCTAGCCAGGCTAAGTCATGTTCTGACTCTCTGTCTAGTATTATAGTAAGTTCTGCATACACGTCTCTAGGATGGCCTTTGTTAAGGAAATCCTAATTTCTTATATCTATTTTTCGCCTTCGCAACCAACAATGTGACTCCATCTTCTCAATAGCCAGATCCCAATCAGTGGTATATTCAAAGAAGAATGGCCGATAACCCAACTTCCCACCCAGCCATCGACCAACAACAACGCCCCAACAGTAAGAAAATGTTCTACGAAATGGTAGCCATCTGGGTATGTAAGGGTATGGATCCCCGGCATCATAGATCTACAACACCGTCAATTCTTCTCCAATTTCACAAACAGCCAAACCTACCTGTAGCCACCGAATATAGCTCATACCACCATAATACACCGAAGCGTCATGGTAATACCCATACAAATTTTCAAAGAACACTCGATCAAGCTTATAGTCCCTCCCGGAGTCCGAAGCACTAAGCACAACCGTCATTGGACCCTTGCTATCATGGTGAGGAAAGAAGCCATGGAATTCGTTAGCTGGCACACTGAACTCGGGATTTTGAGCTGTCTTTGCGATAATATTCCCATCCAAATTAACGCCCATCATCTCTTGTCCAACTTTGAAATACTCCGTTTGGTATCGATGCAGATGAGGTGGTGGACCTGACAGCTTGCCGCCTTGCTCCAAAGCCCTTTCTACCTGCTCGTCCATCGGTTTATCGACGGTAGCTCGATAGGTTTGTCGAAAGCAGGAACCTCGGCCAGGGGCGGGTGTCAAGAATTCGGTTGTCAGTATACCACCGAAGCTCTCGATCATGTTCTGACCGGCTGATGTATGTTTTGGTATGATTGGAGTCATCCTGCGGAGTTCAGCTCGAGCGTGTTCTAAGTCCGTATTGCGACAGTCCCATACTGGGTGCATTACATGGGCTAATTATATTTGTTTCTCACAATGAAGAAAATTTGGAAGCACGGAACCCAACAAAATATACATGTACAACCCACATATGCCGTACATAGACTATGACCAATAACGTCTCAGTCAGGAAAAGAAGACATAAATCATGACTAACTGTATGATTGATATTAACTTGAGGTCTAATGGGTTGAGTACCATGGAAGCCTGTTGGGTTATGACTCTTAAAGCTATCTAACCTCAGAAGCGTGTGAGTTGTAATTTCGCAAGGCATAATTATTTGTCTTTGACTCTAGTATATCTAAGTTGTAATGACTATCTTGGATCAAGTAATTGATAGAAAGGTAATCAGCTCAGGGGTATGGACGAAGAACTGAGCATTTTCGTGGATACGACAAGGTTCATTCAATTTTAACCCTTTTTTGTTTCAGACATAATTAACAAACTTTTATTATTCTAGTAGTCATATGCAATCTTCTCTGTCTTTGATTGCAATGGAAGATCCACCGCCAGCCTACCGTCGATTGAAGTTCAAGTAGCGAGACTAAAAAGTGATCAGCATCAAACATTCACAAAAAGAAATAAAGTAGGCTGCGACTTACCGCCAAGAACAAAATAATCAGATTAGACGCGATAAAGGCTGCAAAGATACCTAGATCACGCCACCGGTGATCAAAGGACATGCTGAATGCCGCATAGAACTGTTCTCCAACCTTATATGCACAATATTTGCAAGCCTGCGCCGCGTCATCGACAATGTACCCATTACCCCCGCTCTCAAAAAATGGCTTCATGTATTCGCCGCAGGTAAGATTGGAGGGGGCATTGAAAAGATTCAGTTCGGATTCTGTGCAAACAACATCGCGACCCTCCAGTTCTGTCACGACCATCCCGCCAATCAAGCGAGTAAAGGGGTCAAGTTGGTATAGCCAGGCACGCCAGAAGCCTGGCATTTGCGGTTTGGGAATTGAAACGCCGCAGAAGAGAGAGAAAATAATCACGATCGGGGGGTTGAGCTGAGACGCGATGAAGCTGTTGGGCGTCAGGGCTGAAATCATTTGTCCCAGAGTCACGGAGAACATCTCTGTGATGAGGATTATGAGGAATTGGTAGCCTGCTCGACTGGACTCCGTCTGGAAGCCGGGAATGTAGTACAGCGGGAGGAAGAAGCACACTGCACAGATGAGACTATAGGGGATCTCGGCGATGACCATTGACAGCGCGAAGGCAAACTGGCTGTATGTTTTTGAGGCTGACTCGCGGTAGAAAATTAGACGCGACATGTCGTAGCGTGGCTGGACCATTTGTAGGATGATGGCTGGAAGCACGGTGACGTTGAAAATGACGAAGATGCGGTACTGCAGCGAGGAGCGGGAGTCGTCAAGATTCAGGAAAACGAGACCGGTGATGATGGCAATTACAGCGTGGGTGTAGAGTCTGGTGAAGCCGTAGTTCTTTGAGCGCCAGAAGGAAAGATTAGTTCGTCGGCCTACAACCTTGATCTGATGCCAAAGTGGTGAAGCATATTCTCTTTCCACATGTCCCTCTTCAGTATTCTCCCGGACAGCCTGGGATCGGTTTGCCTTGATTTGGACGATCTCCTCTTTGACTTTCTCCAACTCAGGAGAGGTGCGCCAAACGTCGCCCCAATCGCGATCTCCGATTCGACGTGTTTGGCCAGCACCAATGGCATCAAGCATCCACTCAGCCGGATTGGCATTCTCGGGACAGTCGGCGCCATTGCGGCGGAAGTAATCAAGCAAGATCTCAGAGTCAGGGCCGATGTCACCACAGTAGATGCACTCACCACCACGCTGGAGGAGCAGAAGACGATCGAAGTTCTCAAAAAGAGCAGAGTTCGGTTGGTGAATAGTACACAGAATAGCCTGACCAGCAGCTGCCAACTTTCGAAGGAAACGCACAATGTTCCATGCAGATTGGCTATCCAGACCGGAAGTCGGCTCATCCAAGAACAAGAGGAGTTCAGGCTTTGCCGCAAGTTCAACGCCAATGGTTACTCGCTTCCTCTCCTCAACTGAGAGACCAGTATCTGGAGTGCCGATGATTGCATCGGCCAGATTCTCTAATTCCAACAGACTCAAAATCTCCTCGACATACGCGTACTTTTCCGATTGAGGCGTGTCAAATGGCTGGCGTAGATCTGCTGAAAAGCGTAGGGCTTCTCGTACTGTCTGCATATCCTCATGAACATCAAGTTGTTCGGCGTATGATGTGCCTCGTTGGAATGAAGTGCCCGGGGGCTTGCCATCTACCAAGATATCTCCGGTCACGACGCCAATGTTCTTTCTCGCAGCCAAGACATCCAGCAATGTCGTTTTTCCCGCACCCGATGCTCCCATCAGCGCAGTGAGCTTTCCAGGCTGGACATATCCATATACAGAGTTCAGCAGACGTCGAGTACCCGAAGGAACAGGAACTTCGTAAGAGACATCCTCCCAAGTGAAAACGGATTTCGAGGTAATTTTCAGATTTGAGCCTGCATCGGAATCAAGAGTTTTCGCCTGTCTGTTCGCTTTCTTCTCCATCAATGCCTCATTTAGCTTCTTTCGCTCCTCGTTTTCCTTTTGGAAGAAAGTTATTGTCTTGCCGCCTGCACCGAATTGAAGCGTTTCTCCGAAGTACAAATTTGAAGCGAGGAAGCCAATGATCAGAGCAATCATGATTCCGAAGTTCCGCCATAGGTCTCCGCCGAAGTAGCTGAAGGTATCTGCGATATAGTTGGATCCGGGGATAATTGCAGATCCGGGCTCGCCTCCAGCAAGAGTGCACGCCTGGTTTGCGATGTCGTCATAGCCAGGGCCGGATGGCACGAGTGAATCTTTCGTACATGTGAGAGTCAGATGCCTGAACTCATTTACCATCAAGGACGCAAAACCAAGACCGAAGGGGTTGATAAAGTAGATCCATCGCAGCCATACTTGAGCGCCAGACCATTGAATTAGATATCCGGAAGTCAAGACGAAGAAGGTGATGATGACAGATGCAAATTTGATGGCATAGTCGAAATCAGGGCAGAGACATCCCACGGTCCGGAAGAACACTGTCATGGTCACGTAGCCCTCGAGGATAATGAGAACAAAAATGAAGAAAGCCCCAGCATCGCGGACCAGTCCGCACATGAAGTATACGATGATGCTGAATACGAGAATCCTTGCAACCGCGAACGCGGTATCGACAAGAATCTGCGCGATGAAAAGTGCACTCGGTCTGTAGAATGTAAACGAACGGTGTTTGTTGACGATCGAGCGGCCCAGCATTGTAGACGCAAGTTCCGAAAATGCCTGGAAGCCATTGAACAGTAGACTGATGAACAAAAGACCGCCGCGAGTAAATGCACCAGCACTAGTCTTGGGCTGGTTGAGCCAGACAGTACCCAAGATGATGGCGATACCGACCGAGGTAACCCAAGAGACCGTCAAAGCAAACTTATCTTGCCATTTGAGGAGAAACTGACGCTGCATCAAGGCCCAGATTTGCAAGTGGAAAGGAATAGAGTAAACAGAAGAGTCAGAAGTAAACTTGCGCTTCGCTTCTCTGTTGGCGATTTCGAAATCGTCGTGGATCTGCTTGTCCTTTTGGATCTGGTCGCGGTAGGTCTTCATTTCATGCTCTAATTTCTCGCTAATATTTGATTTGTCGAATGCTTCCACCAGCGCTTCTGGTGTGGATGGTACATTTTCGGCGCTTCTCCCATCCTTGAATTCTCTCTCGAATGGATCAGTACATCCTGTCAAATAGTCGGGTGTGGTCTGACGAGGCTTTTCGCGGTATCCGAGGCCTTCGAAATATCCCCGAGCTTCGGCAACAGGGCCGAAGAATACTTGGCGGCCTTGGTCAATCACAAGCACTTTGTCGAATTGCTTATAGATGTTTTCGGATGCTTGGTATAGCGAAACAAAGGTAGTTGTTTTGTAGATATTTGTCAAAATGCGCAGCGACTTGGCGAAATCAAGAGCCGTGGAAGCGTCTAAACCACGAGTGCTGTTATCCCAGGCTAGAACCGTTGCAGACGTAATCATCATTTCGGCGATTGATACTCGGCGTCGCTCACCTGTTCAGATTAGCTTCTTTCCTGATAGCTTGCATCGTTATAACCACGCTTTTAAGTACCTACCTCCAGAGACACCACGAATGAACTGGTTACCAATCACGGTATTTGCAGTGTGCTCAATGTTGAACATTTTCAGGAGCAAGTTGGTCACTTTCTCTTTAAACTCGGCCTTCGAGACTCCCAATGGTCGCTTGCCCGGGGTTTTGGTATCGAGGGCGAATCCAAGCGTCTGTTTCACAGTCAAGGTGGGCTGATGGATATCGTCTTCTTGATTGTATACGGCTTCCCCACGGAATCGTTTCGAGAATTCGTCCGATCCAAAGGGACCGTAAAGTACCTCTCCGTCTACTCCGGTGTATCCAAATCGTTGGTTCGCGATCACCTTGAGGAAAGTTGTACAACCTGATCCAGGACGTCCCAGAACCAAAACCATCTCACCTGGGCGTGTAAGACCTCGGAAGCCTTGCAGAATATTGAATTCTTTGCCCTTCTTTCCCCACCTGAAGATGTCCATGATTGTTCCGGGCACATTGAGGAAGTCGATGACTGCATCTGGAAACGTTTTGATAAAGGTTTTGACGCCGCCCATTCCACGAACTGTGAGGTTGTTCCAGATAACGCCTAGAAATAGTTTGATGAGCCGGATAATTTTTTTTTGGTTTTTGTTTGGATCTGAAAGTGAGCTAACCAATATGCTTGTCTTTGATGCCAGCTTCTTCTGCAGCGACACGATCACCATGGAGGGATGTCTCCAAGTCCCATGAATCGTCCGATTGGATAGACCCCTCCGCTTTCTCAACATCCTGTGTGGTAGTTCCAATCTTTGATACTCGAGATGCTTGTGTAGACAGCCGGTGGGCTTTATGCGAAATGCTGGAGAATTGTCTGTTCAATTCCAAGAAATCATTTTCCGCCTCCCTCACATCAACACCCGTCTGGGCCGAGGTATTAGGCCGTGTGTTTGAGATTCGGACTTCCTCCAACTGTTTTCCATAGCTGTAGGAATCCAGTGTATCCACGTCAGACTTGGTGCTAGAAGCGGTCGTGGCCAGCTTTTTGCCTGACGCGTCCATTTTGGATGGTTAGATTGAAGACCTTGAGCGCGGCAGTGTTCCGAGATTGCAAACCAACTTGTGCCACTCGGTCTTATAGTTACTCCCCACGAGCGGTATCCCCCAGCGGTAAGTATGATTTTATCACTTCCACCTGCTGTTATTGCATAAAATCAAACGGATGCAAGTAACAAGATTCTCAACGGACCTCAGTGCCCCTGAAACAAACGAAGGGTATGAAAAGAAAGAGAGAAAAAAATAGAATCCACTAAAAGAGCCAAAGCCAAGAGATAGCCCTTGGCTTTAGCCAACGGCTTAAGCCCGGTAACATGGCGAGGCGTGGACATACCTAGTCAATGTCCACCCGGCTCCACCTAGCTAACGAGTATAGGTCGGTCATCTTTTTACAGGGGTCTACAAAATGGCGGTGTTGGCTGTACCTACTCGGAACCCCGATATGTCCGCTGCAAGAATAAAAAGAAAATCCCCGGAAAAGGTGGGGGACACTGCTGGCCATGGACGGGATATTCCGCGGTGGAGTGACCTGATTTGTGCTGCCAAGCCGACGGGCTCCTGAATGGGTTTAAGCCCGACAGCCAGCATGACTCGTGATGACTCTTCTTGATGCATATCTGATTATGATTGATTACGTACAGAAGATTTCGTTCTAGAGCGAAGTTCTGCAGCACGGGACTTTCCCCGTTCATCAGAATTAGTTGAAACGGGAGATTCTGAGGCCAAATAATCAGAAGATGAATAATTAACCAAGCACAACGCCAATTGTTTCGTTGGTTCACTTCGTTCGTATGAAAGTGATCCACGATAAAGTAATGTACCTGTTCGAGCGACATTACCTTGAGATCCATTTCGGTGTAACTGATGATGTAGAAATTATGCCTAGCTTAATTTGTTTCTAAAGGACGTCTATGCCCCTGCCTATTGCATAATGCCGTCAGAGTTGATCACACGATGAAAGATACCTCAGACTCCGCCATGGTTTCTCAAGTCCATAATTGGCAATTCCATCCTCTTAACCTCTGATACAGCCACTATCTCACAGAACCAAAGTAGACCCGTCCTAATTACTAGCCGGCACTATAAGCAATAGTCTTCCCTATCCAGTATCCTTTTGCAGACCTATTCATACCATTCTCGTTAACCTCGGGATATCTTCGAGTCAAATTTGATCTCGCGAACTAGATTCTAGAGTATGCCCAAAGGGGTAGATATGTTGAGCAATTGCTCAATTGCGCAGACATTAATCTTGCCCCATAATAAATCCACAGAATACATTCACGGCCGAAACACAAATTTTAAATCCTCATCGAGTGGCGGGCATACTGACTACCACATGGTGCAGCAGCGATGTACTCCCTTGCATATTCGGAGATTGGGTACCAATCAATGACTGGCATACCTCGCACGGCATCTACGGAAATGCACGAATATGTCCGATTCTACTAGATCGCACTCACCGGTATTGTTTCAACTTCAACGAGTAGGTGTGCCGCGCCGTAAATCTACGACTTTGGGGTGAAACTATTTGGGTCAATTTCCATTGCTCGTTCGTCATTTATACTCATTGAGAACGGCATGGTTTCAATAATATAAGCCAGGTGCAACACCTGCGAGAGTTCCTAAGTTCCCGACATATCAACTATAGCAAAACTTCCTTGATCTTCTCTTCCAACTTCTTCATATCACCACCGACAACCCGACTGACCTCCTTGCCATCCTTGAACACCACAAAAGTGGGCATGGCGTTCACGCTCTGCTCTTTCGCAACGCTCTGCAGCTTGTCCACATCTACCTGGAGGAAACGAACATTCTCGTACTGCTCACTCAGCTTGCCAACGACAGGGGCGACGGCCTTGCAGGGTCCACACCAAGTTGCGAAGAAGTCGACGACGACAGGGCCGGAGGAGACGAGAGCTTTGAAGATGACTTGGCTGTTTGGCGGTATTAGAACTTGATGTATTAAGCGCAAGGTCGGGCGTTTCTTACTTGTCGACCTCAATGACTTTTCCGTGCGACATTGTGGCTGCTGGGCTCGAGTTGCGCGATTTGAGAAAGATGCGGACAGCTTGTGAGGGGTCAGCTCGTGTTCTGTTTGCTTTCTCCTGTCTCGGGGGCTTTCGGGCTTTTCTAGGGCACAAACATAAGTCCTGGTGATGTGATTTTACTTACCTATGTAGATTGCAGTGAGAATGAGAATAGTCTTGAGCTCCATAACAATGATTATTTGCGACTCGGATACTTTGCGGAGACTTGTGGGGCGTTCGTCGTTTGATTATGCCTGGCACGTGATTCAAACTATGCCCTATCTAGAGATATTGAATCACGACATTCAGCCATCTAAAGGGTAATTGGCGATGATTGAGCCTTATATCGATCTTTTTCACTCTGAAATACTTACAGACTATAAAATGACTTAATATGTCTCTAGCCAATCAAAATCGTCCGTGTTCGATCTCGATCTAACCCTTGGAGTCGATCCTGAGATCGATGTCTATATGACCTTATGATTGTTTGGACAGTAGATTTCTCATAGTCCGCTTGCCACTTTCAGTGCTGTTTGTTATTGACTCGTGTGGGTGGTATTGACGATTGCGTGAAGACCAGGTGATGTGGTAAAATATACATCCGACTGATGATATATTCTGGGCCAACTCGCACTTTCACATCCCTTACTAGGTAGCCCTTTATCCTTCATATGAGAAAGGGCTAATAAAGATGGGTTATTAAATATACCGCTTTCATTCTGCTCGAAGGGATAACTGTGGACCGAGACATCAAGATGACTACCAAAAAAGCGGGCCTCAGTCAACATACCAGCCTATCTTGATAGTAGCAGTCTTCGACGCGTCAGGATTATGAACCCGTCAATCCTGCCACCGTGGCTGGGCCTCTAGAATTATTTCTCACTCTTGATTTTAATTTCTCCCATGGATCTTCAATCTCATTATCGCTCACGAAGTATAGTCTAACCCATGGTCAGGGGTTGAAATGGATCAACTAGGCTCCTGCCCCAGTAATCCCAATGAGCTGCTAGTGCTAAGCTTATCGTTGCCAAGCTAAGGGACTTAGGTGTCCTAAAGAATCGCTGAAGCTTTGGGATGTACATTGTATGCTTAACATGTGGAGCCCTCGCCGGCCGGGTCAAACCCAATTCTAGGCTTTAAGCTCAGGACCCACCAGCGATCTATAAATTCCCAGCTCAGATCCATTTCAGATCTAACAGCATAGAGATGTTTGAAGCAAGCGCATTACGGTCATATGTCCATGCTGAAATAGGGTTGGGTTTAATCAAGTCTGAATGACTTCGCGCAACACAAGAGTTTAGGTGCGAGAATGTGAAGCAGACTACGAGCGGTATCCACGTATGTATTCTCATTCACGGATAGAAGCCCCCGAAATTAATTTGACTATTCTATTTCCAAGAGGGATCACATCATCAAAAGAGAAGTGGGTGGGCTCAGACGAAAAACACTTAATATTAATAAATAACAAACGAAAAGCAATTTGGTGCCAGAAACACCCTTCATTGGTTGTTGTTAAAGATGTGACATTCTTGACGATAAGCCATGTACGTATAATGATGCAGCTCAAGAATGCAGGATTGTAAAATCCAGATTCTACCAAAGGCTTCAATCAAGTAACTAGCATATATACCCCTCATATCGGTCGATTCCTCTGTAATAATCATGCATCGCCCAGAGAACACTCCCATCTGTATACTTCCCTTCAGTTTGATCAAGCATGGACATCGCAGGCCCGAAGCCCGAAGCCTTGTGCACCGCCAACTCTGATCAAACGCTTTCCAGTTCTAATAGTCAACGAAACCCGAAACAACATGGCCCCAGCACAACCGGATCAATGCTACGGATTTCGCTGTGGGTCTCGTTCGCTGCATGGATCTCGAACTTTGACAACGGTTATTCCGGCACTGTCCTCATCATGCCTTCCTATACCAGAACATTCGGGACCTGCGAACAAGTCTTGGTACCGGACACCTACGCCGAAGTTCAACATTGCACAATAACGCCCCTACAACAATCCCTCATTAGCTTGAATTACCTATTTATAGCCCTCGGCGGCGGAATATCAGGCCTGACAGGCCAACATCTCGGCCGCAGGGGTTCAATCCAGATCGGATGCATGCTGGCTATCATCGGCGCGGCTGGAATGCTCGGCACCGGTGGCAGCTTCCTTCACTACATGGTGTGTCGATCGATCAGCGCCGTAGGAATCGGCCATCTGATAGCAGCGAGTGTTACCTACGGATCGGAATGCATTGTGCCCAGCAAGCGCGGCCTGTCGCTAGGGCTGTACAATGTCGGCCTTGCCATGGGAAATGCTGCGTCTTCGGCAGTGTGTGCTGGATCGGCACGTCTCGAGCCCTACAATAACTGGCAGTGGAAGACTCCTATTCTATGCCAGATACCGTTGGGAATCATTCTTGGTGCTGGTATCTTGATGCTTCCCGAGTCTCCACGCTGGTTTCTGGGCCATGGTCGGGAAGACGAGGCTCGGCAGTCGTTCGGCGTGCTGTATGGACTGAGCCCGTACTCGCCTGATATCACTGCCCAGATTGACGATATCAAAATCCACCTTGCGAAGGAGCGTGCGTTTTCAGAATCAGTGTCGTGGTATGATATCTACTCCAGGAAGCATATCCGCCGCACCTTGACGTCAGCCTTGATCATGGTTGGACTTTCAATCACCGGTATTCAATTTGTGCAGCCGTATGCAGCCTTATTTCTCAAGGGGGTTGGAATGGGCGACCCCTATCTCATCAACGTCATCATTGGCTTGTGCATTCTAGGGGGTTCATTTCTTGGACCATTCATCGTTGAATACGGCGGAAGAAGAATTGCACTCCTATCAGGCTACACTGTCATGGCCCTGTGCATGTTGATTCTTTCCTCTGTGAACTCATCTCTTGGGACAGACGGCACGGCACGAACAGTCGTAGTCGTCCTCCTGTGTTTGTGGGCTTTTGTCTTTAGCGGAACTATTGCGCCAGGTGCGTACCTAGCTTCTGTTGAGATGCACAGCGTTTCGCTTCGAACCTTTGGACAAGCAAACACCACAGTCTTCCATGGCATATTTTCTTTTGGTGCAACATTTTGGACACCATACATGCTCAGCCCGAACTATGGAGATATGGGTACCAACGTCGGATATTTCTACGCCGGAGTTACCATTATCGTGGCAGCGCTAGTATTCTTACTTGTACCAGAGACTGCACAGCTGACGTTGGAGCAAATTGACGGTTTGTTCAACTCGGGAATTATGGCATGGAAAACTTCAGCTGCCGGAAACAAAGCCTTTATGTTGTCTAGAAAACGAGACACTGGGGATGACCCCGAAGCGTACGGGGCATAGTTTTGAGGGCATCGTTTATAATATGAAGTTCAATAAACAAAGTACATATATCGGATAATGCCTGGCACTCGAGACCTTTCCCCTGTAGTCGTGAATTAGGTGCTTGAGGGCCCATACGTGGCAGTGCCCATCACGCAGTATGATTTACTGGCATCAGAATTGGGGTAGGCGATACCAGGGTTTAGCTGCCGGCAAAGCTCGAGCATGTAGTCCGGGCATCAGCGTTGATAGAGAAGTCCCAATTACAGCGTGGCGAGTGAGCACCGCTCCGACGACGAGAACAGATGTCAAGTGCACTCTTGTGAACTTTCACTTGAACTATACAAGAAATGATAGCGTGAGCGAAAGTTTGCTGCTGACGGAGGGGTACGCATATGGGAAGATGATCTACATCTCGAGCACTTGGGGAATCGGGTTCACCACTCAGAGTTCCGGCCCCAAGCCGGATCTCGTTGCGGCTACAGCCAACAAGACATGCCCCGGCGAACACGGTATATTGATTAATGTGACCGACAAAACAATCAAGGTCTCCCAGGACGTGGTGTGGTCTGACGGTGACTACACTAATCGCACTTGCGCGGTGCTGGCGAAATCCACCCCGACTTCCACGCTGCAACCTTGTCGAGTCCATATTGGCAACACCACTGTCGCAAGCATGGAGGGCTCTCACTCAGCCAGATTATGCGGCGGTTTTAACCCACCGTCGGATTGCCCGGTGCATAAGAGGAGCTCCACGCAACCACTGGCTGTAGCTGGCATATCCTGCTTGCTCGCTACAGTTGGGGCGCTCGGATTCTTTATTGTGTGATTATGTTCTTGTATTAGTCTATCCTTGATCTCCTAATTCGGCTATGAGACCTTGAGTTCTTTTTCAGCCCATGCTTGTGTCTATATTATACATAGCCTGCCTAATTGGATCACATGCGCGCTGCTGCTTTGTATCCACATAATTAATAATTTACTAGCTCGTGTGTTGAGCCATAATTCCTCGTTTGTAGCCCCTAAGGAGGTCTACAAGGGCCTGGCAAAAACTAAGTCCAGCCATTTCGGTAGCGGCGGACGCCACAATGTGTGGACTGCGGTGTGGCCCGGTGCGCATCGAGTGCTGGGCTCGCTACACCAACACGGGGCACCAACGACGATCTCCCGGGTGACGATGAGTTTAAATGTTTGAATCTGAATATCGCGACTCCAAAAATTCTTCGGCAGTATTTGCATTGCAAAACAAAAACAACCCTCTTCCTGTAATGGTATGGATACACGGCTACGAACTTTGAACATGCTCTTCGTTGCACCGAGCTAATTTATCCTCCAGGGGCGCATTCGCATTCGGTGCTAGTTCAGTCGCTCGGTACCGGCCCCAAACCTTTGTGTCGCAATCTCGGAGAGCCGGGACGCCTATTTATTTAATTCGAATGGATTACCGTCTCGAAGATCTTGGCTGCGCTTCTTCTGCAGATCTAGCTGAAGAGCTCAACAGCGGGTCCAAAGATAACCCTGGGAGACACGCGGGCAATATGGAAAGTGTTAGTAGTTGGCTAGTGGCAACAGATAGACTTCGTTGAGGCTTTTATTACTTGCGATCTTAAAAGGTGGAGCTCTAATCCCAGAAAGTATAACCCAGAAAAAAATGACTTCTCCCAATTTATCTCACCGTCCACCAAGCATTCGACTCGCCTCAAAATTGTGCACAACAGCCCAAGCAAAAGAACTCAGTGTACAAAATATCACATCCCAGCTCACGCTGCTACAAGCCGGATGGACATAGACCGTATCGAAGAGCCGTTGAGCCACCTCTCCGTATGACACATCTGGGCCTATATCTTGCAACATCAGAACAGTGAAATATGCCTGCAGAACAACGGACGCCGCCGCAACCCAGTATATGAATAAAGCGTATCGCTTGGTCGTTTGTTCTGCCTGGACTTTTGTTGCAGCACTCTTAGAGGCAGAACTCATTGGGCGCAGCACGCAAGGAATAAAAACTAGAGCATGGGGCGCGAGGAGGATGATCATAAATCGCTTCTGATACGCGAAGATCGGGACAGCGACCGTGTCCAGGAGTGAGAGTACAACTGGAACGAGCTCATATACTAGTGGCGGAGACCACGCGAAGAGAATACTTTTCTCGTTGGGTCGTTGGGACACAGTAATCGCAGCGAAGAAAAGATTCGCGGCAAAAGATACACTGACAGCTTGGGCAATGAGCATGTACACCCAAACACGGGGAATACAATATCTCCGACCTTTAATTATTAATCAGCGAGGCATGAACATAAATTGATGTCTTCAGGACTATCCCCTCGAGTGCTGTATGAGCGAGGTGAATAGATCAAACCTACCGGTGATGCCAAGAAAGACACTCCACCCAATCGTCCACCCAAAGATCTGCCCACTCCACCAAAACCGCGTCGGATTCTCAGAGACTGTCTCCCAAGCTTCCTGGAAAACATACGTCTTCTTAAGCCAAAGACCCATGCGCACGACGAGAGTCGTATCGACACCCGAATACATTAGTCCATCGGGACTAGATGCCCAATTCTTGTATGACCAAACAAACAAACTGATCATATGGAACCATGTAAAACCGAGGCTCAAAGCTGCTAGAGTGGCGAAGCAATAGAATTGCTTGCGCCGCTGGGGTCCAGCCCAGCTATTTTGCTTCTGGCGGGCATGATATCGGACATAGATATCGCGGATTAAGCCGAGGATAAGCCCAGTTGCGAGTGACAGGTAGCCCCAAAAGATTGCGAGAGATCGATAATTGATTGGGGGATTCTCGATGGCATTGAAGTCCGCCATTTTACTAACACTTCTTTGCGAGCGCTGGTCGGAGTTGATGGATCGGAGAATTGAGGCTGTATCTTGCTCTCGCCAAAACACCAAAGCCCACAGAAACCCGCTGAGGGTCTAGTCATGTGACTAGGATGGATCTTTAGGTGGGCCACCTTTCTCGGATAGGCGCTTGGAAACACTCTGACGTTAAGTGTTTTGGACGAAGAAGATCCAAACAGGAAAATTTAGAGAAATAAGGAAAAAGGTTGATTCGGCGTTAAAGTTGAAAGAAAAAATAAATCAAAAATCGTGGTCCTGCACAACTAACCAGATAGAGACTTTGCCAACGCTATTGTTGCGCCACAACCAACATTTTCATGTTTAGCAATCTTCTTTTCAACATTCATTTCTCTGGTCTGCAAGTACCATCAATTTCTGTATCGTGGGAGCCAGAAATTCGATCAGGGGGCCTCTAATCATACACAAGCGAGGCTCGCAGAAATAACATAAATCAGGCCAAGGTAAGACTTGACCGGGCCCCAGCTAGACCTAGGATTGGTCCGGTTCCAGTCCCAGCTTTGAATACTGGCGGTGTTAGAGTGCACAATCTAGCCATTGATGGTTCTTATAATGAACTTGTTGAGATCAAATACGGGAGCTTATAATTCAATCAGGACGGAACGTATGTGGCCACGCTGATGTAGACGGACTACCGGGCGACACCATTTTCGGGAGCAGCAACGTCGGCATTACAGACATTGTCAACGTTGATCAATTGCGCGATAGGAATAGGGCATCTCTGGAGGATATGCTTTAGCGAGGGCCTTGTTGGACTTCAGGAAGTGTGGTGTGGAAGAGAGGTAGCTGTAGAAGTGCATAGAGGCTATATACTGATGTTTGAGAGAGCGGACAAGCAGCTATTTTACAAGATACTGCACTATGAGCCGTGGAATGATGCAGACTAGGTCCGCAGGAGACTCACAAGTTGGGCCGTATGATTTAGAGAATGTTGCAAAGCTAGGGCAAGCGCACCCGAAAACAAAGGAGCGGTACGCTTATTGAATCGAAACCCGTTGGGCCTGACTACTGCCCAAATTTTGATTAGTTCGCGGAGAAATGAGGTTTCTCGTAGGCAGGATCGGCGATTTGCTCAGCATGAAAAAACCCTAATTGCCGAGCGAGCAGCCCAATTGGGAAGGGATAATGAAGAAAATGCATTCAAAGTAAGGCTAATGGCTTCTGGGAGGGGACCGAGGCTATTGAGCCCTATGTTAAATAATATTATATGGAGAGATGACTACTTGAAGATCTAATAAAATATGCATGTTGTGTTGGGGGTAGGCCATTAGTCATGGTAAGACAGCTAAGTCGGGGCTATCCACGTGAGTCTTTTGACCCTATCAAGACGACATCGTTTCTGTGAGATGCAATTATTACATGAAAACTTGACAAAGAGACATTTTGAATATGTAAGATCGTATATTCAGATCCTGCACTTATTCATAGATCATTCGGACAACTCGTAGCCCATGTAACAGCGTAGACATACGTTTGCACATACTCATCAATAGTATTGGGTTCTATGCAACCTATGCCTTATATATCGGTGTTATTACATTATGTGTTGTTTTGTAATAACCATGGTATTCAATCGCTATACTTAGTATTCAAGATGTTTGCATTATAGCGTGTTTCGTATTACGCCCAAAAAGTGCAGGAAGCCGTAGTCGATTATGTCGGCGGCCAATCTCGTGTCATCAGCCTATCAAACTCCCTGAATTACAATAAAGGGTATTTGTTTCTGTCATCAGATCTACAGACTTTCATTGAAGGGTGGTATGGTGTTCTTGTCTGTGCCTGCCCTGTAGGTTCTCCAGACCAGAACGGGCGAGAGCGTGATTCTTTTTAACTACCACTTTTCTCCTCTCTTCCTCTTTCATTCATCCCAGGACCTTTTGGATAATTGAACATCAAGAGAAGAGATTGAAAGGCAGAATAGCCTTACGAATGCCTACTGGTGAGAAAGGTCACTACGTGAGCAACAGAACACGTTAACAATGTCATCTCAAATACAGCAGGCATCAGAACTCAATCCCAAACAAACACTTGTCCTGCTATCTCATCATCAAACACCATGTCATTCGATCCCGGATACGAGGATTCCTCCGGTTATCTCCAAGCACCCATCACCCAGGCCACTTACCTCCCCAAAGAAGTGATGACCAGCCTGATCAGCATCAAAAAGCTGACACCGCAAAGCAGCAGCACAAGCTGGGGCAACGAAATCACCAATGTCCTCCGTCCATTCTAGCTCGAAGCCCTGATCGACTCCAACATCCCAAAACCAGACGCCTCCGACATAAACTTTCAGCGCTGGAAGTACTGGACCGGAATCGTGGCCAACTGGCTGCTTAACCAGGTGGACGACTCGCTTCAGAGAATAGTCAAAGTCCAGACCACGATGCTGACTTACGCGGACGAAGTCTTCAAAACGATCAAGCTGTTGAGCGCGGGCAATCACCGCTCGTACGTGGAGCACGAGCTGGCAAAGTGGCAGAACATGAAGCGCAGCGAACACCAAACTGCCATTGACTTCATCATGGCTTATCAGAATCAGTTCAATCGTCTGAAAATCGAGGGCGAGGAAGAGCCCTGTGGGATGGCGCTTGGAAGACTTCTACAAGAGCTGCAGGGCGAGCATATTCGGATTCATTTCATTCGGGAGGAGGTGAATGACAGGGACCGCCCTATTGATTACCAGCTCTTCAATTACTACTGCAGGCTGCTGATTAGCGAGTTCCGCGCTAACCGGAATCTTGAGTTAGGCTTGGGGGGTGACAATGATGGTTCTGGGGGAAATGGAGGAGACGGAAGTGGTCGCGGCAGTCGCAGCAGTTACAGTGGAGGATCGGCGAGTGGACGGGAAATGTCTTACAAAGGCTGGCGGAAGGGTAATCGGCAGACGAAGCAGCCTCGTTGAATGCTTCGGGTTTGCGCACTAGGACTTATGATTGACTCAGCCAGTGGGGGAGATGATCACCTGTAAACAACAGGGTTGAGAAATCAAAGATGCTATCGGTTGAAGACAACAGAATATCAGAAGAGAGACTTCATAGAGGCGCGGAGGAAGATGCATAGTTGGGTGATATTTTATCAACTTCAAATGAATGTTCAAATAAAGCCAATGAACTTTTTAAAACTGTAAAGTGAATTGATTACATCTGCAATCAAAAGTTGGTATATAAATCACTTGGCATTGACACGAGATAGATATTCACAGAGGAAAGTACTTGTAGAAGACAAGAAGAGTACAACATTGTAATGTTTCCCAAAGATATACAGTGCCACAGCAACAAGCACGCTCAGATACAAACAGAAGAAGGACAAGATTGAGGCGGGAAGAGACCCGTATAGACATCATAGTTGGTGCTCATGTACATGTAAGGAAAGCCCTTATATAGCAAACAGGGTAAAAATAAGTAGAGACTGTGTGTTCAAAGGAATGTCATGGGGACAAGTATTGAGAAGGAAAGCTCTGCTTTTCCGAAGTTCTGTATATCCCCGAAATGTTTGGAAAAAGGAAATGTGAAGACAAGGGATTGGATTTTGGAGTGGGAGGGACTGCGAAGAGACTGTCGGAAGGTGATATTGTTTTTCATATGCAAAAGGTATGTCGAATTTGAGGTAGACGATCACAGCTCGGTTTTAGCCGGCTCGTTGACTTCCCACTGAGCCTTGCGTTTGTTCATCATTTCCTCGAGGACATCGAGGCGTTGGCGCGTGGTACGAATAGCATGGTCCATTTCGCGATCCGAGACCTTCTCCTCGCGAAGCCGAGAAGCTAGCTCACGCTCGTCAGTCGCACTGCCGCCGTGTGACCTCCGACTGGGGTGGGGTTCTGGAGCCCGGTAGGCATTCGGGAAGACCATTCCATCCATACCAACGCGGTCCTCGAGCCAATTCCATAGTTCTGTTTCCTCGCGTCGCCACATCTCCTCATATACAGCAAGTCTTTGCGGCAAGCCGTGGCCGGGACAACCGCCTTGGTGTGCGAGGGATGATGACGAGGATCGGAAAAATGCCATGTACAGCAATATGCCGATGAGGATGATAGCGACGTTTCCGCTCCATAGTGGACTGAGGATACTGGTGAATGGTTCGAGAAGGGGACGAACGGGTTCGAACAATCCCCATGATTCTCTGTTTCCGGTGTTGGAGTCGACGGTGACCTTCAATGAAGATGCGGCAGTAGATTCCCGTCCGGCGGGGTCGCCCTTCTTGCGTCGGCCTTTGCCTTTTCCACCGCCAGCGGTACGTCCTCGAGGGACAACGCCAGCCTGGAGGGATTTGACGAGCTCGTTACCGAAGGTGGTTTGACCGTCAATTGCACCTTTCTCGATAGGACCCTTCAGCCAGCTCTTGCCCGACCATTCAATGGTGCAGGTCATGAGGAAGCGAGTTTGGTTATTGGGAGCCCACGTAAAAAGATACTTGGTCTTGCAAGCGAAAACATTTCCACTGGGCACATCGGGTGTCTGTGTGCTGAGAGTGACGAGGACAGCCTTTTCAAGATCCAAAAAGTCGAGATTCTCGGTACTGATACATTTGGTCTGCTTTGGACCAATAGAGCCATATAGAGGCTTGATGTAAGAATAATTCCTGGTTGGGCTTTCAGTAGTCAGGCCCTTGGCAGTTCCCTCAAACTGTAACTCGCCGGACTTCTGATTGTCAACAAGGAACTTGGTCATGAATTCGCTGGACTCTGGTCCAAAGACTAAAGAGTAGACCTTGCCGAGTGGTGCTGGGATGACCTCGTCCTTGATGACCTTCTCATATTGTCCGTTGGGATCGACGTATTCAGTGGGTGCATGAGTAGTAGGACCGGGGAAGTCAGGCGGTGCGTCCTTAGAAGCACCCTTGTCGCCATTTTTCTTGTCGCCATTGGCGTTTGTTCCTACGGCGGGAGCAATTGCATTTGCAGAGAGATTTGACGTTTTGCGGCTCAAGCCTGCTCTCACTGGCAATGACGTTGAACTAGCGTTGGCACTGAAGCCAGCCTCGAACAAACTATCAGCATTGTCTCCTTCCTCATCTTCGTCATATATCTCATCTTCATCAGACACCTCGGTATCGGACTCGCTCTCCTCTTCTCCAACCTTTTCGGTCTTGTCACCGGTTCCATGGGCCACACGCGTTCCATTGACAGAGCTTTTGATGGAGGGGTGGTTGATCTTCCAGATATTGACCATCAGGTCATATGTTGACTCACGACTCAACAGACTTCGGAAGGTATGGCGGGCGTGGAGTGTTTGGATAGCGATCGCATTGGGGAATACCATGGCAGTACTTTCTTTTTCGACAGCAACAACTTCGTCGAAGCTGATCACCAATGTTGTGACCCATCCCAGAATGTTACTGGAGAAACAGATGTGTCCTTCTGAGATGTATATACGACCAGCAAGAATGATCTCCCGTTGCAGAGCACAGCTGTAATCTTCAATCAGATAATCATCCTCGGGCACACTGCGGAACAACTGATGGAAGTCCCTGTTGCGCTTTTTGCTTGCAACAGCAAAACCAGTCAGTCGAGGAGCACTGGCATTGAGACCAGGAGCTCCAAGCGCAATAGCATTGATGCCAATCGCTCCAACTGTCGATGCTGTGGCTCCCGAAGATCCGCGGTGACGCCGCGCGAGTCTGCTACGGACGCTGCCAGTGCGTTTTATGCCCCCGCTCAGATCACCGTCGACAACACTGCCAGCTGGCGGAGTTTGATCACCCAAGATTGCGCCATCCTTCGGCAGCGAGGTAGTAGACTGAATATCCAAAACGTCATCTGCAGGAGCGCCGACTAATGACAATTCCGAGGGCCTTGCCGACTTGTCGGGTTTTTCATATGCTGCTTGAACAGCACGCGCTGCGCGCTTGTCTTCAAGCTTGGCGGCTTCCTCGTCTCGACGATAGACACCCGTGTTCTTGCGCCTGTCAGGCGTGCCACCTGGCTTCGTGATAACAACACCGTCGGGGGTCGTGATCGACTCGCCGGGTCGGGCATCAATATCTAGATGGGCGAAATTTAAATCTCCTGCTCCTAGGGTCTCCACGGCAGATGGCTTTCCTTCATCGCTCTTACTACCCTGTTCAGATGTTTGTTCAGCGACATCTGTGGAGTCAGAGGAGGATTTATCGGCCTCGGCAGCGGTGGGTTGAGAAGTGGGGCGATTCCTTTGCTGAGTGTTGAGACTGTTGCTTAGTGCGTTTTGGGCAGCGGAGAATACAGAGGAGAAGAACCCATTTTGCTGGTTCGAATTCGCTGTCTTCGCTCCAGGTGTCTTCTCATCAAGTGGTGTTAATGCGGATATCGAATTCGAAAGTTTGCTTGGAACATGAGCTGCAGAAGCCGACCGAACCCGGCGATGAGAAATCATGTTTCCGGATGGGCTGACAGTGGTGACTCCATCAGATATGGAATTTCTTGATTTAATAGATTCGGGTGAGTCTGTCACGTCGTGGGATATAATTTGCGGGGCAAGGGGGTTGAACTCGGTCGGTGTGGGAGGTGTCACGGTTGTAGCTGGTGCCGGAATGGCGGTATGGGGCGGGGTGTTCGGCATCGGGCTGGCTTCAAGCGAGCGAGGTTTATCATCTGTGAGATCTGTACGAATTGGTGCAGGTAAAGGGGGGACATCGTCGTCTGGCGATAGTTGGGCTCGTTTGGACGGGAGACTACCCCGTCGACCGAACAGACTGCGGCTTTTGCTTGACCCAGACTTGACGGATGCGGCTTCGGGGTCATCATTTGGGGCCTTTTTATCGGGGTTAGACGAGCCTTTGAAGCGTCGTCCGGGAGACGCGCTCCGTCTCTTGCTACTTGAATCGTCGGGAACACCCAATGCCAGATTCGATTGTGTTGGAAGTCTGGATGCTCGTTCCGACGAATTCGATTCGGACCCAGTGGCACTTAGGCTGCTGATCGCTGAGGTGGTATCAGCTCGAAGGATTTGGTTGTGGGTGGGATTCACCGTTGTTGTCTTGATCAATGGCGATGAGGAGGTATAAAAACCAGTATGCGAGTTATGCGACGTAAGCGGCGGAGTCCTGCATCACAATAATCGGAAAAGATTAGAAGTAGCTCAACAAAATAGAAAGAAGCTTCAAATTACCCATCTGGTTCAGAATCATCAGTTAATAAATTAATGACCTCACCGTCCGGTTGCTCAGAGCTCCCCGCGACAGACGATGTAGCGGCGGAGATCCCATCCCGAGATTCGTTGGATCGGCTTTCGTGGAGGTCATGTTCCAAGGCCAGAGTGGGCACTGCCAGCTCATCCGTTTCTTTTTGGTCTTTTTGGTCTCTTTGGTCCTTCTTGTTCTTCTTCCGTCTCCGACGCGCCTCGAGTAGTTTCGAAAATCCACTGGGACCAGCCCTGTTGGTATCTGCATCTCCACCCTGTGTTTTGGGTCTCTCAGTGGAATCAAGTGAGGATCGACCATTGCTTCCCATAGCGCTTGATTCTGCTGAGACTGTCCAGGAGCGCCTTGACCTGTTTTCTTTCAGGCTTGAAGAGGAGGAGTCGGCCATGGTTGGAAGGAATGTGGAGGTAATAGCTGGAAAGGCCGATGTGCCAGAACACTACTCAAACTTGTTTTTGAAGCATGAGTTATATTGTAACAAGCTCTCTCTTTCTTCTAGTTGAGAGTAGACATTAAGAGAAAAAAAGGAGAAGTGACAAGAGAGAATCGTTAATGATTCCAGAACTCTCGACATCCCCTAGAGCTCCGCAACCTTAGTCAGGAAATCGCCAAGTAGATCTGGAGAGGGTTACATTTTAACCAACTACGCTGTTCGTCTATCTATGTATTCCCTAAGGTTTATATATATAGTTAATATGAGACTCTCTGTTTTAAGCAGTTAGACTCATGTCAAGGTAGTATACATTACTGTACAGCTACATAAATGTACAGAGTACAGTGTAACTGCATCAACTCTCCGCATCTCTCCACAGAATGTGGATGTGACATTTCTGAATGCAGCCATATTTAGTTTGCAATTTGACTAAGACAAAACCATTGTATTGTATTGTAGTGGACATGTTCAAGCAACGTTTAAGTAACGTGGCTTTGAAGATTATTTGGTACAATCCGAGTTCGTATCAACTGTACACTTTTCTACTTCCCTGCGGGCGCACAACGCCATTCAACCTTGGAACATCTCCCTTCCAATATCTCCTCAACATATCCTGCTCATTCCCATAGGTCCTCTTCAAGGTCATCGTCATGGAGGTTGCTCCTTTGTCCATGGCAAGTCCTCCATCCTCCGATTTATCGGGTTATCTGACCGCGTCACTTAGGCCCACACCCATGCGCGGAACGCCGTTCTGGAAACTCGCAAGGCCAACCCAGTTGCAGCTAGCGAGGAGCATGATCTAGCCGCTGGTGAATTTGCAACAGCTGCACAAAATAGTTCTGACCAAGAGGTGAGTCTAGACTATTTTATAAACCCACACCTTACTTCGTGGGCTGACGTATCCTCCGAACCAGGCGCTACGGACATTACGCCTCCTCGAGACTCACCATAAGAAGCTCGCCGAAATACTCAGGTTTCAACATGAACATCCAGCAGCTACTCTGAGCGAAACACCATCTGTAAACCTAGAAACCCAGCAAGCGGCCGCTGGGCCTGGAAACACAAAGAACACGGCTTCAGGTCAGGATGCTCATAATCTACCACCGAGATTGGCAAGTAATGCTCGATTGCCCAGTCGAGATACCTCCTCGATTGCCAGTAATCTTGCATCTGCGCGAGGAATACCAGCCCACACCCGCCGTGGATCGCCAGTGTCACCAACAATCTCCTCCCACCATGCTGCGGCCAAGATGACGGAGAACCCGACAAAGGCCAAAACTGGTGAAAGCAGATTGCGCGACGTGCCGAACAAAACCCGTCAGAGCCGCATTTCTACACCCAGGCAACCATGGTCTCCTCCCACATCCAGCTCCACCGAAGTCACCACCCAGCAAGTTGCACCTAGTGCAGCTGAGTCTGGAGTGTCCAAAGACAACGCAACTTCAGATGATACATTCAACCGCTTCTATTCAGCCTTTGGTGGACTTGTCTCCAGAGTTTCTGGACCATTGGCATTCGCAGGAATTCAAGTGGGGATAGTAGATCCCGCGCGACCTGAACAGAACCGCAAGTCTTCAGCAGAGGTGAAGCTGGACCGCGATCACGCTACTCTAGATCGATCCATTACTGCAGGCGAGCCCGACGTGAACAAACTATTTTCTCGCGCAGCATTGCGGTCAGTTCAGAATGGCTCTGGAGCAAGTCCCGGGAACCCGGCAGAGTCATTCTACGTAGTCCCAACCACCGGCGGTACCATGTCATATGCTGGAATCCTCACTCGGGCCGAAAAGCAGGCACGCAGAAATAGTCTCGAGGAGGGAGAAGACGACTTCGTGGATGCACGGGAAACGCCCGCGTCTCCTGAAATGCGCCATAGCGCGACTGGCTCACGTATATGGCCTGGTCGCCGCGGTACCTCCGATAAGCTTACTACAGTGCAGAATTCGAAGACAATTGAAGAAATGCAAATGGAGAACGAAGCCCTGAGAAATTTAACAGACAACCTTTCGACGAGACTGCATATGTGGGAGGTAAATGCTCAATCTTCCTCTATGGCCCTGCAACAGTCAATCAGAATGATGCACCACCAGAACTCTGGATCTCCAGCTCCCGAATATCTGCAGGGTGTATCGGCTAACACGTCTCCTGTGGCTACGATGACTGCGCCTCCAGCTGTGACTGATGATGCGCGAATCAAGGAATTGGAGGATCAGATCCGCCGCAGTCAGCAGAAACTGGAGAGCGCTTCTCACGAGAACGAAAAGCTCAAGAATATTCTTGGCCGATACCGTGACCGCTGGGAGAAATTGAAGGAGGGGGCCAAGACCCGGAGAGCAGAAGGTCGTGACAGCCAGAGTAATCAACCCAGTGCCACCAGTGCCACGCAGTCCGAAGCTCCAGGGTCTCCGCTTCCAGGTCGAAGTCCCGCTCTAGGCCAGCCGGCTTCTCAATCTGCGGGTGACAATCCAACATAGTTTCGGTTTCTTCATTGCGGCGTTTGTTCGATTCAGCTTGGTTTCTACATGAGATATCCCACCACTTTACTTAGCTTTGAATCACATTTCATCGTCACATTGCTTCTTCAGATTGACCAGTAGTAATTACAGCTTTCTAGTTTCACACATCTGATCATGCGACAAAGCCCATCTGCAACTTGATCTTTCCCAATATCACACTATTTACATTCAGAGATCCGCCCCAACTTCACATCCACAGGAACTCCACGTCAACCATGAAACCTCCTACCTAACAGTAAAAGTTGAGTTCCCACGAATATCCTCCGAACTACTCCCAACAAGCACAGTAAACCTTCCAGGCTCAACAACATACTTCATCCTCGAATTCCAAACTCCAATATCCTGAATCTTGATCGGAATCTTCACAGTCTTCGTCTTCCCCGCCGGAATAACAACCTTTTCAAAGCCCTTCAGCTGCCGATTGGGCACAACAACAGAAGCAATCTCATCCTGGATATAAGCCTGCACAACCTCTGTGCCCTCCCGCGTAGCATGGGTATTCATCACATCCACACTAACAGTGACAGTACTATCAGACGCCGAGACAGAACTCTTATCCACCTTCACAGCACCATACTTGAAGCTCGAATAACTCTTCCCATAGCCGAAGGGGTACCACGGCGTCGGGTTACCGAGAACATACTGGTGCCCGAAGACAAGCGTGCCGTTGCTGAGCTCTTTGCCAGAATCGCCGATTGAGCGACCGGAATTCAAATAGTCGTAGAAGATTGGGAGGTCGCCAACATAACGCGGGAAACTGACGGAGAGCTTGCCGGACGGGTTGTAGTCGCCGAAGAGGACGTCGGCGAGCGCATTGCCGCCTTGTTCGGAGGGGTAGAATTGTTGTACGAGTGCTGAGGTGCTGTTTGAGATCCAGGTGTCTGTGATGGGCTTGCCGCTAGATAGAACCACGATTGTGGGAACGCCTGTGTCGGCAATGGCTTTGATTAGGGGTCCTTGGGCGCCGACGAGGGAGAGATCATCTACGTCAACGTGTTCGCCCGTTCTGGGTGTTTGTTAGCATTTTTTGCTCGGACAAATCTTGGGGTTGGTATGCTTACGTTGCGTTCAGTCCTTGCCAGAGCTCGAATTGGTCGCGAGACCAGGTTCCGACGACCACGACAGCGACGTCTGATTTCTTGGCTGCTTCGATCGCAGCGTCGAACCCAGACTGGTCATTGCTCCAGCGCTCGCATCCTTGCGCATAGTGGATCTGGGCCTTGTCTCCTACTGCAGCCTTGATGCCGTCTAGTGGGGTGACACCCCGGTACTGACTCTTGTAGACAACGTAGTCTCCATACTATGATATGTTAGCCACTAAGATCAGAGTGATGTGCAAGGGATTGACGAATGCGGACTCACGTTCATAAAGCCATCAGCCATAGGCCCGATAACTGCAATATTGCCCGATTTCTTCAGAGGCAAAGTCTCGTTATGGTTCTCCAGCAAAACGATAGACTCCTTGTCTAGTTCTCTTGCAAGTTCCACGGCCTTCTTACTGTGGATAAGCTTCTCCCACTGATTCTCCGGCGCCGCAGGATATGGATTCTCAAAGAGACCCATTTCAAACTTAGCTCGCAGCAGCCTGGATACAGCAGTGTTTACGACTGAGATATCGAGCTTGCCAGACTTGACAAGCTCTGGGATCTTTTGGAAATTGCTGTTGCATGGTTAGTATATTTGACACTGTGAAAAATAGACCCAGCACCCACAATGAACCACCTCCCATCTCGACGTCGGTTCCAGCAGTCAGAAGCTGCGTGGTAACGGATTCCTTGTCTATGGGATCACTCTCGCACATTTTGAAGTAGCTGCATAGTCTGTCGCTACCACCTGCATCTGTCATAACGAAGTATTCATATCCCCATTCTTTTCTGAGGATCTCCGTGAGGGTGTGGTAATCGGAGACTGCTGGAATGCCATCATATCTGGTGAATCACGTTAGAGTAGGCGCTGACCATGCTTCAGGTGGCGGACTTACGAGTGGTATGCAGCCATGATAGACCAAGCGCCTGCATCAATGATAGCACGCTTGAACGAGGGAAGCCATCTTTCAGGTTGTAAGCCAAATATTCAATCCCTTAGGGTACGACACGTACGTTGTTCGGAGCTCTCGCTCGCCACCGTGGACTGGACCAGTGTTGATTCCCTGCTCCGGGGCACTGAAGCCGGCAAAGTGCTTGACCATTGATGAGACATTTTTGCTTTGTACTCCTTTGACGTAGCTGTAGCCGACTTCGCCGGCGAGGTAGGGGTCCTCGGAGAAAGTTTCCTCGACCTTGAAGATCTGTTGTTAGCTTTGAGACATTGTGTCTTGGTATATAAATTAAACTCACTCGGCCGTATCGAAGCTCACGAGCGAGATCGACAACAGGGGCAAATAGCTGGCTAATACCGAGTGCTTTAGCTTCTTGCCCAACGATCTCTGCCATTTTTTCGATGAGCTATACAATGTACTGTTAGGAATCTTGCAGAATAATAGGCTTGTGTCCAGTTGGAAAAGATGACTTACATCCCTGTTCCACGAGCATCCATATGCAATAGGTGAATTGAAGATGGTAGCATTACCGATCAAGAAGCCATGGATACCTACCATGGAGTATAGTCATTAGCACACGTTTTACAGGCGGATCCTTCTCAATCGCATACCTTCAGTTTGAACAATAGCAGGAATTCCTAAAGTCGTGTTTTGGAGTAGATAGTCCTGGCCTCTCTTGATATTGTCCGAAATCCAATCCCAAGCAACGGGGTACCCAACTGAGAACCGTTAACATATAAGTTCCTTCAGCTGGAATTGACCCCGGCGACCGTGTGTTCATACCATAAAACATCCCTGCCTTCATTTCCATGTTCGCCACCAGACCAGTGTAGTTGAACTCTCCCGATGTTGAATTCATCCAATTCGTGACATCGCCTATTCAACATCAGAGTTAGTACCTTAAGTACCAGGATGATCATGGATCTCAAGAATGATGAAGCACCTTGTATCAATTGACTCATCTTATCCTCAATAGTCATCCGGCCCAGCAAATCCTTCACTCTCTTTTCCACCGGAGCACTAGCATCCTTGTAGAGCGGGGTGGAAGTTGACTTCCCCAAGGCCAAAGCTGCAAAGAGCTGCACGAGCAACAGCCCATTGGAAAGCATATTGCCCACCATTTTGACCACAAGACCTGTCCTGAACCGACGGAACAAAAGTCAATATGCTGATCGTCCCTGAGATTCGAACAAAATCGAATCCATTTTCCGGGGAAATCAATTGCATATAACTATGCAATGTGCGCTAGATACCTCCTCGGTGGAGCTAATGACGATGCGCTGAAAGCCAGTCACGGTGCATGACAAGAGTCCCAAATCCCGTTAATTGAAGTTAATTGAACTATATTAGAGAAATCTGCTGGCTCGCATATTATTTACCGGAAATAAAGCCGTCTTCAGTACTAGAAGGGATCCGATCAGTACAAATGGCTGCAGTAGTGCACTGCTTGGCGTGGTTAGAGCCGAGCTAGCACCATAATGAGACGGAGTAACATCCCCGCCTCCACACTGTTATTAAATTGGGATTGAGGGGTACAGAGGAGAAGGGATTACCGGCTAAATTGAATGGTGAATGAAGAGAGGCTCAGTCTATTTGGAGTAGTTGCCTGCGCCTGGGCAGCTAAACTTGCTTCTAACTTTTTCCACCTATTAGGGCTTCCTGTTCCATCCGGCGGGGATGATGCATCATGTCAGGAGGCTTGGGAAAATATTGCGTTGGGACGGCCAAGATGAATCAGTGTACAAATTGAGGGTAAAAAGGGGGATGAATGGTTAACGATGGGTTTCCCCACTCATTTATGTATACAGTGCAGAACGACATATTCAAAGAAAGTACAGAATAAAGGCCCAACATACACCCGCAGAATGCAATGCCTATTACAAGAAAGTATGGTATCACCAAACAAAAGTCGGGAAAAGAGAAAAAAAAACCTAAATGTACAGCCCGAGTGACCCAGCCACTTGCATGTACTATCCTTACGCATCAGGGTTGCAACGATTATCACTGATCATCTGTGTCGGCACCAGAAGGACCAAGTGAATCGTTGCTTGGGCCAGGCGGTGTTTCGTTTTCTGGCGTTGGCGTTCCTTGCGTGGCAACGGCACTCTCGACGGTCTTGTTTTGTGATTTGCGGAGTGCACCACCTAACCATGCAAGGCCACCACCCCAAGAGTCACTAAGACTGCGGAGTCGGTTCGAACCTTCGTTGGGGATTCGTGTTGGGGCGGTGTAGGTTTCGGTCGCAAGAGCCGGGGTGGAACGACCACCTTCCACAGCAGTGTCGGCCAAATGGGTGGCGGATTGGAGACGAGCAGTAGCAAGCGAGAGCGGTGTGTCGAGGCTAAGTCCATCGGTAGGGATAGATGGGTCTACGAAAGCACCATCAAGCTGACGCCGACGGCCCTGTCTCCGCCTTGAGCGGTCCTTGAGAGGACTGCCGTCACCGCGTCGAATCGAGTCCGCAACCACGGCAGTAAAGCCACCTGATAGTGTGGGGAGAAGAGGCCCAGGGGAGAAACGATGCGAGATGGAGTTTCGCAGTGCGCGTCGCGACGGCGTTTCAAGGACAGGATCAGTCTGTCCGGTTTGGGTGGCCTGGGTCAACACAGTTGGGGTTGAAGCACGCCGCACAACACCAACGTCGCCGTTGGAGGTTGAGATTGGTGTTGTCTCAATGCCAGGCGCAGGAGGGAATTGCAAAAGAACTGTCGATTGGGTCGCGTCAGTTCCCTGCTCCGTTGGAGTTGAAGGGCGGAAAATCTGATCATCAGAGTGGGAAGTCACAACAGGTTGATCGTAAAGTTCTTCCCACGGGTTCGACATTCGGGATGGTGGTCGCAATGGTGAGGTGAAATCAAACGAGGGACCGGATTTCGGGGACTCGGCGGTCAAGGACTCATTATGTGACGAGAGAGAAGCGGAAAGGATGCCTCTGGGAGTAGAACGTTCCTCGTCGACTCCTTCAATTCCTTGGCTCAACAAAGACCCCGGAGGAGATCGCACTGTAGCAAAATGTGCTTCCGTGGAAACATGGGATGTTTTCGGCATTTGATGACCAGGTGGGGATAGATCAATTCTATCATGGTATCTTTCTCCGTTCAATAATCCAATGGATCCTTCTTCGTCATTAGATGAGAATGAAGACTCATTATCGGCGCGCACCCTGCCGCTTGTGATGAAGTAGACCCCAAGGAAGGTCAAGAGACATCCACCCACAAACTTTGTGGCCCGAATAGCTGTAATCGACTCGAAGTCACGATAAAGCACCGCGCTTCCGATGATAACAGCAAGGGTGAAGAGGACAAACTGTGTTGGAATTACCTGTGTTGAATCGAATCTCTGAAGAGCACGATTGATGTAACGAACTTGCATCAAAGCGCTGAAGACTAGGACAAACACAAGAAGGTATGTCACGGGGAATGTGATAACATGCCAAAGTGTACCAGAAAGTAAAGATGAGACACCCTTCGTAGAAAGCGCCGTATATCCGCCTTTCGATAATGGTTAGCAATGAGGTCAAAAAGGAGCACCGTAAACAGGCAACGATGAAGCTCACCAAATAGTGCCACGAGCCCGACATCAATTAGAATTGATCGCGAGCCATATTGGTGACTCGCCCACATGAGACCGACAATCAGAGAGATGGTCAATCCGAGGTAAAGCTCGAACTCCCAGCGCGTGATCATGACCCAAATTTCATGGGGTCCAAACTGCTCTTCAGACGACTTAGCACTGAGAACAACAACGACAGCTCCAGCAACAGAAATAAGCACGCCCCAAATATCACGCTTGCGGAATTGTTCCTTGAGCAGACACGGCGCAATAATGCAGTTCGATATCAAGGCGACAACTCCCAATGGCGACACAATCGACGCCGGTGCGAACCCATAGGCCATGAAGTTTCCCATCTCTCCCACAACCATGAGTACGATTCCGACCCACCAGTATGGTGACTTGAGATAGGATTTACGATTCCCTTCAGACCCATCTTTGCTACCTCCGGAACTATAATCGCTGTCGCGTGCGCTGGAGATACTGTTGCGACCTTCAGTGTGGTCGCCATCATCTCGATAAGGTTCGAACTCGTCCTCGGAGTCTCGGTAATGTCCCGGAGATCGGCCTCTTTGTTCGCCATGAGTGCCGTTGCTTCCATTTGCCCCATTGCGGCTCTTGTCCTGCTCAAATTCTCTTGCGATTCGGATATGCGCATAGCGTTGGATATTGAGGGCCAACGAGATAAGGACGTTGCCGCACAAAGCCGTGATTATACCGATCAGCGATGACCATTGATGCATATCCCCCTCGGTATTTCCATGATGACCGGACGGAATATCGGTAGAGTTGGACGGAACGGCAAAGATCTGGTGGATTGAAGAAGCTGCGTTTGACGGGGAGGTGGCTGCAGCGAGGAGAGAAGGAAACAGGCTTGCTGCCAGCTTCGCTTGTGGCGACGCCATTTTTCTGAAAAAGATGCGCGGTGGGGTTTCAAATACTGATAGGGCGCTTGCTCGAAAGCTTTATTTGTAAGGCGCCCCTATACACCCCAGCTCTCCGGCAGATCCGGCCGATTAATACGAGCCCCCAGATTCGACGTGGAGCATTTGATCTCAGGTTGCAAAATACCGCATTATGATCCGCAGATACTAAGACGCGAAAAGTATCACCACGGAAGTGAGTGAGTGTGAAGAGGTTTGGGCAGGCGGCAATGCACGGAGGCGCGGAAAGATTGATATGTCAGCACCAAAATCCCGGCTTCGCTCCTGGAGCCTACGCGCTAATCAAATCGACACGGCATGGAATACGAATTGAATGTACGCCAAATCATCGTTTGCGCAAGGCCAAAGCTCATGCAGTTGCGCCCATTGCTATCATTGGCGGCCCGGGCGGGCAGTTGGGGATCGTCGGGCTCTTTGGGACGTCATGGAGCAGCAAAAGAGGGGACATGCCATAACGGAAGCAAGGAGATGCGTCTCACCTTTGAGACTCGGGAATTACTACGAGACTATATTGCATAGGAAACTGGGCCGAACCAAGAGATCTTGATTGATCTTGGGAACCGATCATCATTATATTACTTCACATGGACTAGACATTTTCGATCATCGCCTGGGTTTCTTCTTTTCGGGTCCTTTCTCCTCCTCGTCACTCAGCTCCGCAAAGATAGCAGTTGGCTGGGTTTCCTTGTACGCCCTGGTGTATATAGGATCCTTCTCGGCCTTTTCGGCATACTTCAATAGTGCTTCTCGGGGATCTTCATCAAGCCTAGAGCTGAGTGGAATGTTGTCGCGAATGTGCTTGTCATCCGGATTGGTCTTGGAAAACGGTGTCTGCGCTGGCTGGTATGGACGACGGGGGTCTCGGGAGCGCCCGGACGCTGTCAGTCCAACTTCAGGGTGACGAGAAGACCACGTTGAAGAGCTGTAATGCGGGACTCCGTTGGAGCCGACGACGACTGAGTCGCCGGACAGACCCTGACTCAAATCAGTGGTCATGATCACGTCGTCGACGTGGCGGAGTTTAGGCGCCTTAGACATGACCGTCGCTGCACCCTTTGTGGACATAGTAGGGTTGTAGAGTACATGGGTTTCGGCATTGGCTGAGCCCGTCAAGATTTGGTTGAGCTTTTCATGCCACAAAACTGTAATCAAGGGTGATCCAGGTGTCACTGGGGTAACCAGCTCCGGTCTCAAGGTTGCGGGGTTGAGGATATGCAAATGACCAGTTTCAGAGCCTGTGATCACGTTCGCAGATGAGGGAGAGAACTGGATGTTGGAAGTCGGGTAGCGCGAAGATGTCGAAGCATGAGTAACAGTTGTGACAGGGGTCTTAAATTTTCTAGTATCCCACAGCTTGATCGTATCATCGCCACCTCTGGTGATGACAAGTCTTCCATCGGAACTGATATCCAATCCGCTCGTCCAAGTATCTCGGGCATGAGCATCCTTGATCTCCCCACTAGGCCTGGTGTAAGGGCCGTTTCCACCCCACATAGCTAGACTACCATCAAGAGCAGCGCCGACTAGAATGTCAGCACCTCCTTGCTTGGGCGAGCCCCATGCGATAGCCGTGATTTTCGTCCGACCAGCGGAGCCAGCCGCCCGCGACTTGTGTACGATGACTTCTTTCTGCGAGCGACCAGAGTTGGCATCCCATATCCGTATTGTACTATCAGTTCCAGCCGTGGCACATAGATTAAGATTGGAGGGACTCCAAGCACCACAAGTAACTTCGGAGACATGTCCTTTCGTGAGGTGGAGATCTCGCAAGTACGGATCACCCTTCACAAATTCCGTGAGGACCTCGCCATCACGGCTCAGAATACGAGGTTTGGAGGTGGCAGGAATTGCTAGGACGTGACTTGGCGAAAGCGCATTGAATGCGACGAAGTTAACAGGGTGAGTGTCTTGGGCCGCAGACGATTTCTGGGCCGAGGGATCGACGGATTTGAAGGCACGAAGGGTAGAAGGGGTCATCGAAGCAAAGTCGTGTAGTTTCAATGTACAATCGGTAGAACCTGTAATTAGTCGTGCGCCCGAAGGGTCCACCGTCATGCTAGTCACGGCACGCTCATGACTCTTGAGAACAAGCTCATGCGATACCGGGAACTCGTCATCGTCATCATCCGAGTCATCGGAAGAGTCATTGTCGCTATCATCATTGCTGTCTTTTTTCTCATCACCACTTCCTGTAGGCTCTGTGGCAGTAGTTGGTTTATTGCTTTCTAGCTTCGCCACTGAGATATCGACACGCTTAGAGCGGTCGATCTGAGAATCAACATCGACCGACTTGCTCTGCTTCCCAAAGCTTGAGGGGAAGAACTTGTTGAATGCGTCCTCGTCGAATTCATCCATGATTAATGCGTGAGAAACTTTGCGACAGATGAAGAGGCTTCGACCTGATAGTGAGCTTGTTTGTAATGTTTGCAACACGGCCGATAAGCGGTCCAGAGCCCTGGAGGACCGACGATCATTAGTTACTACTCGCAAAACATATAGTTGATACAGATTTCAAAGGATAAATTAGGGAAATTTCTGGGTAAAGAGCGCTTTAAATTTCACTCGTCACTCAATTATTACAATACACAAAGGACATATCTATAGGGTTCCACCGCAAGTAGTCCGGCACTCGTTTTGATTGATTGCCAGCCCTTACAGGTACAGACCCTCCACGGGACCTCCGTCCTGTTTAGTCTTCATGATGCGCTCACGGGCAGCCCGGAAGTCATCCATCTGGACCCGCATACGACGCTCTCTCAGGGCCATAAGACCAGCCTCGGTACAAATGGCGCGAATGTCGGCACCAGAGAGATCGTCCTTCTGGTTGATGAATTCCTCCAGGTCAACATCGTCACCGAGAGACATCTTAGAAGTGTGCAGGGTGAAGATCTTCTTCTTGGTATTTTCTAGGAGCTGTTAGTAAACCATTTCGAAAGAACAATCGCAAGTATAGCACTCACGGTCTGGGTTCTCGAAGAGAATCTTGCGGTCGATACGACCAGGTCGGATCAAAGCCGGGTCCAACGTCTCAATCTTGTTAGTGGCCATGATCACCTTCACATCACCACGGTCGTCGAATCCATCCAACTGGTTAAGAAGCTCCAGCATGGTTCGCTGGATTTCTCGCTCACCACCAGATTGTGATTCATATCGCTTTGTACCAATAGCATCAATCTCATCAATAAAGACGATGGACGGCGCGTGATCAGCTGCGACTGAGAAAATCTGGCGAACCAGGCGGGGACCATCACCCAGGTACTTCTGGATCAGTTCACTGCCAACAATACGCAGGAAAGTAGCACTGGTTTGGTTGGCAACAGCCTTAGCAAGCAGGGTCTTTCCAGTACCGGGTGCACCGTAAAGGATGACACCCTTGGGAGGCTTGATGCCCATCTCCTCATACAGCTCAGGGTGTAGCAAGGGCAGCTCCACGGACTCTCGTACTTCCTGGATTTGCTGCTCCAAACCACCAATGTCCGCATATGATTCTGTGGGCGCCTTGTCTAGCTTCATCACAGAGACCAAGGGGTCGGATTCCTCAGTCAATACACCAACAACGGATACTGACTTATGATGCAAAAGGATACTGGCACCTGGCTCGAGAAGGTCTTTATCAACGAAAGACATGATGGAGACGTAGTACTCGGGACCAGTGGCGCTGGACACAATAGCATGGTCATCATCGATCAACTCTTCCAAGTTGCCGACACCCATCGGGCTGCCTCGCATGTCATCGACTCGACTCCGCTCGTCGGCGTTCCGATCCATCACATCCAGGTCGCCTGTTCGGCTGGCAGGATCCTGGGAGGCCTGGGCCTTAGCTTTGCGCATTCGCTCCATGTTCTCAACATACTCCTCCTCCAGCAGCAGGTGGTCATGCACGCGCTGCATGCGAAGGTATCGTAGCTTGCATCGCGATGTAGGGTAGATGTCGGGGAGCTTAGAGGCAGTACTGGGACCAGCAGCCTTGCGCTTCTTCTTTCCGATGCGGGTGGTAGGTGGTGGGGGAGGCTCGTATCTAGGCTTGTCCTTCTAATGAGAGGCGTTAGTGCCAGTTGCGTAGCAGATGCAAAGAGACAAGACATACCTTCTTGTCCTTGTCATCACGTCCATCGCCACCAGGGCCGCCGCCCATATTAGACTGCTGTTGACCCTATAGATAAATGTCAGTGGATCCGATTCCACATGATCCAAAGTGGTCGAAGGTTGAAACACTCACCATGTTTGTCAGCCACCCAGAGGGAGACAATCAGAGTTCCAAGTGTACAGTCGTAAATTGAATCAAGGTAATGTAGATCCCGAGCTTCAGAGAACGGGAAATGATGGGAAACACGGCTGGAAAGGGATGGATTGTCAGTGCAGATGTAGCGGTTATCGCTCGGGGTAAGATGCTCAGCGAGCTGGAAGCTGTTGTTCCATCACGTGATGTTTCAGCCTCAGGCGTCTACTGCGTCATGTCTTTATTGCCTTAGCGCCTTTGCTCCGTGCTCTCGAATATTTGAGACTCGACGAACAAAAAGGGATTTATACTTCGACTCAACTCTTCACTGAACTCGGTTTCGCACTGTTGAGGACTTTAGAAAGTAGTGCACTTCCCCAAGGTCTTTACTACAAGAACGCAGTGATTAAACCCATCACTATCGTCGAATCCCCCTCATAGTTCCCCTCCATAGGTAAGATCGATGTCTTAGTTTCAGCTGCTCTCTCAATTGCCTTCGGTGAATTGCCACACTGTGCTCTATTCCTGGCCCTCTCTCGGTTTTATTAAATGTCTTCTAACAACACCACCATCCTATCAGCCCAAATCCACCTTCCGCTTCTTCGCAATCCTTTCCGTTGTTAGCTTCCACGCTCTTGTGAACATTGTGTCCATAAGGGAATAGACCTACCGTATCTTTCCTCCACACATAAGCGCCGAGCTCATATCACCACAAACTCGTGTCGGTATTGAACCTTTGAATCGCAATGGCTAGCAACCGTCTTCGTCGGATCGGAAAGGAGATTGCGGATATTCATGCCGACTCCCACTCCCAGATCAAAGCAGAGCCGTTTTACAGCAATGATGATGTGACACACCTCAGAGGATCATTCCCAGGCCCACCCGGAACTCCATACGAGGGAGGCACCTACAACATCGAGATTAAGATCCCCACCGATTACCCTTTCCGTCCGCCTACCATGAAGTTTGAGACCAAAGTATGGCATCCAAATATCAGCAGCCAAACGGTTAGTTTACTTCGGGCAATATGTATATTTAGTGTGTACTGTCAGTACTGACTGCCAATGTAGGGTGCAATTTGTCTTGACACGCTTTCCAGTGCCTGGTCACCAGTCCTGACCATTAAATCGTCTCTGCTTTCATTGCAGTCTTTGCTCAGCACGCCTGAACCCAAAGATCCTCAAGATGCAGAAGTGGCTAATATGCTCCTCAAGACACCCAAAGAGTTTGAGCGAGTTGCCCGCAACTGGGCAGTCATCTATGCTGGCGCCCCAACGAGTGACGATGGCAATGGAAGCGGATCTACCGTTGACGAGGTTCAACTAGGAGCTGTCAAAGATAGTCTGGCAAAGTGAGTGTTTCTTCTTGCTACTATACTGTAATCAGCGACTGACCTCCGTTAGATATGATGGATATAATAAGGATTTAATTGACCGTTTCGGCAGCATGGGCTTCGATGTCGAGCGTGTGGTGGCCGCATTCCGCTTCGCAGGGGCCGATCAAAATGGAGGTCAAGATTACGAATTGACCGAAGGTCAGATGGGTGACATTACTACCCGACTTCTTGGTGAGTGATCGTGACGACTACATGTGACATGCAAATATGTAAATTGGTGTTTGTGACGAAGAACTGGATGGAAAAATATGTTTACATGGAAAATGGGTACATTGCATTGGGTGGGTCATACATGAGAAATGTTCACAGCTTTTGGTCATGTTTTCAATCCAAAATTAGCATCATAGTTGCACACCAAAGTTACATTCGAACTGTAGAATATGTAGTCTGAAGCAAAATTGTGACGGTGTGAGGGCTGTGAGGGCTACGCTTATCGATAAGCTGGAGCTTCAACTTTCGACACCCAAGATGGGATGATCACTCACCTAGGTACTGAGCCTTGATTAACCAACATCTTGAGATTTATAAAGAGAACTAGACTACCGCTCCTTTCAGCAACTTATATATCTGTGACAAGGTCACTTCTGCCCACCTTCCCTCGCACGAAAACAAGACCACCGGTAGCCTTTCAATCTTCCCTGAGAAACCAACAGCTCCGGCATCATGATCGAAGACGACATTTACCGGTCTTCATCCCAGTACCGACTGTGGTCCTACACCGAACCTTCTCTACAATCTCTGCGGGCCACAACAAATGCTGTTGCCAGCGAGCGCGTGCGCGCTGCCTTGCGCAGATCCCGCGAAACTCACCAGTCGACCGCCTCCTCCGCCGCCGGAACACCACAACCTGGAAGCGATATAGACGGGAAAAGCAAAGATGACAGGGAAATTGAGTGCTTGACCCCAGAGGAGGAGCTGGTTCTCGTACGATATTACTGCGAAAAGACGCTGGAACTGGGGGACACATACAAGCCACCAATGCCGACGATGGTTCGAGTACGTTGAATTGTAGAGAGTCTTGTTTCCTACTTACCATGTTTGAAGGAGAGAAGTGACTTCAAAGCTGACATTATTGCGCTCTGCGCATACAGGCCACTGCCATTCAGTATCTTCGCCGGTTCTACATGACCAATTCACCTATGACATACCACCCGAAGTCGATCATGGCATGTGCGCTATTTGTTGCTACCAAAACCGAGAACTATTATATGTCTCTTCGACATTTTGCAGATGGTATCCCCGGCGAAACATCAGCAGAAGATGTCATTGCGCCAGAATTCCTGCTCATGCAAGGTCTCCGTTTCACCTTTGACGTACGGCATCCATTCCGGGGACTTGAAGGTGGCGTTATGGAGTTACAGGCCATCGCCCAAGGCCATGGCCAACCAGCTCCTCATCTACCGCATGAGACTGCTGAAGATCTCCAACAAGGATTGCTATCCATAGCGCCCCCTCCTGTCCCATCCTCATCAATGTCAGATCGAATTGCTCGGGCACACGGCACGACGCGTGAAATATTGAAATCTGCCGCGCAAATGACGGATGCATACTTTTTGTACACACCTTCTCAAATTTGGTTATCTGCGTTTCTACTAGCCGATCGTCCGTTGGCCGAGTTCCTCCTCGATGTTAAACTGGGTGGACCTGTCACAGCAACTATCCCTGAACCTGAAATGGACGAAAATGGACTTGTGAATCCTCTTTACGAGATTCGGTCCAAATTGCACCGTGTTTTGACAGAATGCTCGGCTCTCCTCCAATCATACACGCCCCTCTCATCTGATCCTGCGCAGATGAAGAGCCTCAAGCGCATTGCAAAGAAATTATACCACTGCCAGAACCCAGAGAAGGTGAACCTGAAACGAGAGTCGGCTGCTGTCCAACCTGATTCCGGGGTCGCCACTTCAGAGAGTGAAACGGAGCGATTGGCAAAGAAGCGGAAACTGGAACAGGAGCAGATGGCCCGACAGAGTAACGATGTGTTTGGTCCAGAGTTGGTCACGCAGCGTACCAAGCAATGATGCTTTGATATGCTATTGGAATTCGAACGAGGTCCTCATTATGCCTCTCACCAAAATAACGTGCCGATGTGCCAGACATACCTTGCGGTGTCAAGGTTTACCAAACATTTTAACATTTCCTTGTGCCATGGATGCTTATGACAGCGCTGGCGCTCACTTCACGCAAAACGCCTTCGACTTATATTGGAAAGTTACACAACGCGTGACTACCTGCACGATGTTGTTGCCAGATATTAGATGACTATATTCTACACCACCTGGCCCATTGCTAGTCTACCAAAAGTTCAAGCAACACTCGATATCAAGAGTTCCAAAATCAGAACTCAATTTTGTTCATATCTCATCTTCATTATCCTTCTATAATAAAACTTCTCCTACGAACTGCAATGTCACCCAAAGTCTTGAAGCAGAAAAGAAAAAACTCAATTGAATCTAAAAAGGCAAAGCATCCAAAAGCGCCACAAGCCGATCAGCAGTAACATGCGGCCACTCCTCATCCAGACCCTGCTGAATATGCAGCAGATCCAGCCCAATAAATCCACAAATCTCCTTAACACCGCGCATCCCCCACCGTTTAACAACCATTTTATGATCCCGCACCGGGAACTCGCCAACCTCCCCCAAATACCCAATCTGCTGGACCTTCTCCGCCATCTCGCTGAGTCGCTCGCGGAGATCCTTGAAATCGGGGCTCGGGGACGGGCTCAGCAAGGCAAAGACCTGGCATTGCATTTTGTGCGTGAAAGCTTCGCATATTTGAGTATAGATCTCTGCGAAGTCGTTCGGGAGAGAGCGGTTGCCGGACATGCTCATTTTGTCGATCTAAAGCGAGGTTTATGGGGTTGTGGGTTTTGTGCTTACCTGGCTTTTTGGTATTGGTTGGTTTGGAGGTAAGATGAAGGGTTGCTTGGGGGTGGCTGGTTGGTTTATTTATGCTTTTGTGAAGTTTGACTTGGACAAAGAGGACTTTGACTTTGTTCGAGATGGACAATGGAGGGATACTGAAGGCTTTATTGAGCTTTGTTTCTCGGCGAGGCGCATTCTCTTATGAGAAAGAATAATGTCTTTTTTAGACTGTTCCCATGACCTCTGACTAAAGCTTTCATTGCCGCGTTGACGTGCAATCTTGATGTGGAGTGTAAGGAATATCCAGATGCAGCTGAGCATGCACAGAGCTGCGCAATCTTAAAACGGGTCCTTGCAGGCATATTTAGTAGCAGTAGACTATACAGAGGCAGAGATGGCGGCTGCCTACTTGAGCAGATAATCAGAGTACAGATTCCAGGCAAATACATATTGAGCGTACTGGCATCCCATATATTCACCTCGGAAGAGAGGACTAGATACCCTATCTAGGATGCATGATAAGACAAAAAAGCAAAGAACAGACTGATCGAGTCTGGTCCAATCGGGTAATGATCATGACAGCAACACACGCAGAAGCCCAAGCCTCCAGGGTCCATAATCTAGAAGCGGAGGAAAGGACAAACGATCTAAGACAAAAAAGAAATAAATGAAAACCCATCCCAACCCAAGGAACTTTTTAAAGCGTCCCATTCGGGAACCAAACTTTTCGTGCCCCGATGGGCATTTGTATTCCTTCAGTTCTCGTCTAGCATTTCGTCATCAATGGAAAAAGGAAAGAAACAGAAAAGTGAAAACATAAAAAAGAAGGCTTAGACAGCGCCGGCAGCCAACATCTTCTTGCGGAGGTGGTCCTTGTACTGTCCGATAGAGCCATCCCAACGACGGATGGTCTTGTCTTCGCAGACCATGATATCCTTGGCAATCTTGTCGAGGAGACGGAAATCGTGAGACACGACAACGACACCACCAGAGTAGGCGTTGATGGCATCGGCCAGGGAGTCGATGGTGGGGATATCGAGACCGTTGGTAGGCTCGTCGAGCAGAATCATGTTGGGGGACTCGATGGCGAGCAGGGCGAAGACGATACGCGACTTCTGACCTTCGGACAGAGTGCCCATGAGGGCAGTCTGGCCCTCACCGGAGAGACCGTAGCGGCCGAGCTGCTGGCGCCAGTACTGGTAGTCCTGGGACTTCTCGGGGAAGCGGTCGCGGACGAACTCGAGGGAGGACTTGGTGAGGTCGAGCTGTTCGGCGGAGTGCTGAGAGTAGACACCGAGCTTCAAGTGGGTGTGACGGGAGACACGGCCGCCGATGGGGCTTAGCTTGCCGGTCATGAGGCGGAGCAGGGTGGACTTGCCGACACCGTTGGGGCCGACCAGGGCGGTACGGGAGTCCATATCCACACCGAGGTCGAGGTGCTCGTACAGGGTGTCTTCCCACTTACCGGAGTAAGAGAAGGAGACATCGTCAAAGGACAGGACTGGGGGAGGGAGCTTCTCCACATCGGCGAAGCGGAAGGTGAAGACACGGTCGGCAAGTACGGGCTGGATGAAGCCATCGGCCTCCATCTTGTCGAGAATCTTCTGGCGGGACTTGGCTTGACGCACCAAGTTGGCGTAGGTACCAGCGGAGGCAATGAACTTCTTGATGTGCTGGATTTCCTCCTGCTGCTTTGTGTAGGCCTTGGCCTGGTTGGTCTCCTGCTCACTACGGGTCTTGTGGTAAGAGTCGTAGTTACCACCGTAGTAGAGGAGTCTCTGGCCACGCATGTCCAGCATGGTGGTACAGACACCGTTCAGGAAATCCATGGAGTGGGAGACCAGGACCAGGGTACGGTCCCACTTCTTGAGGTACTCCTCAAGCCACACACAAGCCTCCAAATCCAAATGGGCAGTGGGGTCATCAAGCAGGAGCAAAGAGGGCTTGACGAAGAGAGCCTTGGCGAGGGCAACACGCATACGCCATCCACCAGACATATCCTTGGTCTTCTTGTTGATAGTGACCTTGTTGAAACCGAGACCGGTCAAAATGAGAGAGGCACGAACGTGGAAAGTGGAGGGATCCATCTTGTCCATACGCTGTATCGTAATTAGCATTTATTGTCATTTGACATGGAAAGGGAAAAAATCAAAGATACTTACGTCATACAGATCTTCGAGGATAGGGCTGTCAGGGCCCTCGTTCTCGAGAACCTCCTCAGCCTTCTTCTCCATACCCTCCAATTGGCGCTCAGCCTCCTTAACGACCCAGTCAAGGGCACCGTCATCAGTGGGGGGAGCACCCTCGTTAAGAAGGTAGATATCGATGTGCTCGGGAACGGGGTACTCGCGAGCAGCAATGGCCTTGAGGATAGTGGACTTTCCACAGCCGTTCTCACCGAGGAGACCGTAGCGACGACCGAAGGTCAACTCGAGGGTGGAGTCGGTGACAAGGACCTTTCCGTGGAACACAAGGGAGGCAGAGGTGATCTTAACGTCGCGAGAGGCGGGCAAAGAGGACAGCACACCGGTGGTGACACGATCGGAGAGACCGTGCTTATCCATCTGAGCAGTGAGCTTGTTCACAGCCTCCTGATCCTTGGTGGCAGGGGCATCTGAGACGATGGGCTTTCCATTGGCATCGAGCTCGACCTTGGTGTCCTTGGGCTTCTCGGCACGCTTAGCCAAGCGGGCAGCCTTCGAGGCGGAGACCATGGTTGCGGTTGGGAGGGTATAAAAGGTATAAGAAAAAAATACAAAAAAAGTAAGGAAGAGAGGGGAAGGGGAGGGGAGGAGAAAAAAGTGAGGCAGCAAAAAAGAGATTGAAGAGAAATGCAAAAAGGCTGAGTGGATCGCCTGGCGGGGCGGAAGGAAATGGAGGGGCGCGAGGCAGTGGAGTGTTGTGCCCTTATCGATAGAATCGTTCGACGTCAGAATATGAGATAGTGAAAAAAAGGAATAGAATGAAGTAGACAACCCCTTGATATATGTTTTGAATCAAGTTCTTATTTTGAATTGAGATGAGAGAAGATCCTTTAAGAACTGACGGAAAAAAAAATTCCTCAGTGGGTTGAGTAAGTGGATTCTGATTGGGGCAGACGTCACCGCACAGGTTGACACCTAAGGCGTCAATTTGCCACGTTGATTTGTGCGAATTGCGACTGGACGATAAGAAGTGGTGTACTATATACCACTACCTAGATGTATACTACTATGTACTCGTAACTATGTGCTATATTAACTAAAAAATATCTCAAATTCGCCCACTTATCCTCTCCAAAACCTCTCTCTCCTCATCAGAAACCCACAACCCATCAGGAACCAGCACATCCCCAGCCTCAACAACTAACCGCCTACAAACATCAGTCAAACTATCCTTATCCTCATAATGACGAGGACCTCCCTCCCCCCCCCTTCCTCTCCAGATCCCGTCTAGGCCCAGAAAGCGGCCCAGCAGTCCACCAATACAACGGATACCTCCGCTGAACATTATTAACCACAACAGCGACAACCTGCATCAGCACAGCACCAAGCAACATAACCGGAAACAGGAACCAGCCCAGCCTCGCAGTCTGCTCATTCGTGACTGCCAACAGCGCCGTCGCGCCCGCCGGCGGGTGCACCGTGTTAGTCAGTAGCATGATGGCCGTGGTGAGAGCGCAAGCAAGCGCGCCCCCAAGCTCCGTGTACTGCTCGGCAGCCGGGCTGAGCGCGAATAACTTCGCAATGCTGACGCCGACGGCGCACGCGACGACCTGGCTGAGGATTGCGTTACGGGGCTGAGCGAAGGGCGAGTCGATGGCGCAGAATTCGATCACGGCTGCAGCGCCCTGCGGATCGTTAGTGCTTTGCTCTGCTTTAGTTTTGTCTGTCGTTGCTTTTGTCTTGCTTATTTCTGTTGTGGGGAGTCTAGTAGAAATGTGAAAACGTACAAAACTGCCCACAATGGCAGGCGCGTCCCGCGCTTCGAAGGAAGGCACCCGCTTCGAAACAGATGCGACTAGTGCCACGCCGCAGAAGGCCCCCAGCAGTGACCAGCCGGCGATGAGGATGTTGCCTATTGGTTTGACGGGGCTATCACGATGCCCGAGCATGTGGGCGATGGGTTTTGGGACGAGATGCCATCTTGGCGCGGGCACGAAGGGGTTGAGGTAGCTGTCTATATCGAAGTGCCAGGTTGATGGGGAGGGGGACATCTTCGTATGTCCGGTTTTGTATACTTTGCTCTACTGCGAGTATACTGACTTCCCGCGGTCTAAAGGTGCGCAGTGGCATGAGGGTGTTCAGCCCTATGGTGGTAAGAAGCAAATCTCCCATTATTGCTCACTGATACCTCATTTAGGCTCTTGGACACGCAACATCTTTGTTTCTCCGCGGACTTGACGGGCTCCACGGCACAATGTCAAGGCCAATTTCTCCAATTGCTTACGTCGTTGGGCTTCCACTCACTGCGTTTGTATTTGGTAACAAAAATTCCCATTTGGGACTAGTGGCTTGGTATGTCGTCACTGATCTTTTTGTCTTTTTTTCATACTCTTGAGGCCATGCGTTATAGAAATAGTTTGCAGAACTGTCACCATCTATCTCCTGTGATGATCTTGATATAATAATTGTACAGCATATATCCAAGGTATATTCAAGGCATCTTCAATTTACTCCTGAGATCATAATCATAGCATCTTAAAATTTACACATCCAAGGTTTGACCGGTACGAGAGCTCTCACGAGCCAACTCAATCAAACGAATCACCTCACGAGCCTCAGCACCACTAGCAGGAAGGTCACCCTCGCCATCGAGAGCGCGCACAAGCTTGCGGTAGTACTCAGTATAAGTAGGGGGTTCAACGGTAGGAACAACTTCCTTAACGGGTTTGCCATCTTGGATGGTAGTCAAAGTACCGTAGCGCTCCTGGGGCTCACGACCATAGCCCTTATCACCTGGCATGATACCAGCCTTGAGCTGATCCTCCTGGATATCGAGGTGGTACTAAAAGCAAAGTCAGTATCAAAAGAATCAATAATCAATCACCGTCTGGATGGATTTCCTACCTTCTTAAAGCTACCCTTCTCACCGCGTACCCAGAAGCGCAGCTGCTCATCCTCGGGGCTGACGACGGTCGCCTTGGCGGTGACCATCGTGCCGTTGGCGTAGTGCAGCAGAACGGTGAAGGCATCCTCGTAGGAAGAGGTGTTGACCTCGCGGGCGGAGCCGATGAAGCCGGTAATACGCTTGGGCAGGCCGAGGAGGTACACGGCTTGATCGAGGAGGTGGGCACCGAGATCGTAGATGGCGGCGCCGCCGGGGATAACCTTATTCTTCCAGGCGTGGGCATCGGCGGCGGGCTCCTCGGGGCGGTGACGGTCGAAGTGGGTTTCGTACTCGGAGATGCGGCCGAGGGAGCCGTTCTTGACGAGCTTGGAGAGGGTGACGAAGTCGGCGTCCCAGCGGCGGTCTGTGAATGTTAGTATGGCTGTTGTAAAGAGTCACGAGCTGGGACATACTTTGGAACACGGCGAGCTGCTTGTTGTTCTTCTTTGCAATGGCGACGAGATCATCGGCTTCCTGGGTGGTGGGGGTGAAGGGCTTTTCGCAGACGACTGTAGCATGTTAGCTTGGCTTCAATTGTCGGACTTAGAGGTACTTGCCGTGCTTGCCGGCCTCCAGTGCCAGCTTGGAGAGGGCGAAGTGGGAATCCGGGGCGGTGGTGATGATCACTACATCAATTGCAGGGTCTTGTACCATCTCTTCGGCGGTGCGGAAGGACTTCACGCCCGGGTGGTCCTTCTCAGCATCATCGTTGGGCTTGGGAGTGCGCTGGACAATGGCGTAGAGCTTGAGCTCGGGGACCTCTTTCACGAAGGGAATGTGGAAGATCTTTGCGCTGAAGCCGTAGCCAACAACACCGACGTTGTAAGATTTGGTAGACATTGTGAATGTGAGTGAGTTAATTTGGATGTTAGGAAGAGGAGGGGTGAAGGAATTTATATATGTCCCCGGAAATCAATTGGCGGGGGAACATGGGAAGGTCCTGGCGACGGCAACACTAACAAAGTGGGGGCAAATGCCGACGCACTTCTCGGGTTCCCGAAGTGGCAACCTTAGAATGTTCGACTCTATAAATTTGCATATTTTCATCGGACTACTGTCTGCCTGGACTTATTGGTTGTTTTATTTGGTTTATTATAAATCAATCTACCTAATTAGGTATATATACCATGAATATTCATCGGCTTGTGCCGCATCACTGAGCAACACCCACACACTTGGTCACCTCAATTGCATCCTAAACCAATGACAGTCAGCAAAAGAACCCGGAGAAGGCTTCTATGATACTCACCTGCAATCCCTCAGGCTGACACAAGCGACTCTCATACACCAAGTTTGGATTTCCAACAAATTGAAAAGTGGGCACATCATCTTTCCCCACAAAAGACTGTACCGTGCGTTCTGCCATTCCAGAAGTATCATAGCCCTTGGAAGGTCCATCCTTTGCCGCCTCCCGCTTTTGTTCCACTGAACTACGGACGTATTCCAGATATGGCGGGTTCCCGGGATACAGCACATTATCAGCGGCAAGCACCGAGCCAGGCCCAATAGCCCCCAAATGCTCACAAAGCTTGACATCAGTGGTATAAGCCGGTTTGTAATGATCGATGAACAGAAGTTCCACCTTAGTCACGTCACCGGATGTCAGAAGTTTATGAAGAGACAGATCACTTCGGCCGACGATGATGCGCACGAAGTCGCGCAGGCCAGCTAGTTCAACGAGCATGTTCGCGATCGCTGCGAACTCCGGGTTCAGTTCTAGACTGAGGTAGCGCTCGCCGCCGTTGCGGCGTACCGCGTCACCGAAGAGGATCGCTGAGTAGCCCACGTAGCAGCCGAGTTCGATCATGGTTTTGGGCTTTTGTTCGTCAATTAGGTCTGTGACGATTTTGCCTTTCTCGGCACCCACGTTCATGAAGTGGTAGTCTTTTTCGAATTCATGGATTAAGTCGATAACCTTTTGCGGGCGGCCGCGGATTTCGTCGAGGTTGGGCTGGTTGTAGATGAAGTGGAGGAGCTTGAGCTCTCTGCCTGGTTCGCGCTGGAATACCGTTAGTTGGGTTCTGAATGGGAGGGAGATACGTACGCGGGGATCTTCTGTTGCAGACATTATGGATTTTGATATAATTGGAATTTGGAACTAAAATTCGAAACAAAAAAGCAGTAGCAGTGTTCGACTCAAAGTCAAAAGAAATGCAAAGGTCAAGGCATGTGAGCCATCTGCCGGATTTATACTTAGACTCGGGGATAAATACTTAGCAGAGCATAACCCCGACCGCCACCTCCTCAACTGGACATTGATCGCATAAAATCATGTTCACATGGCGTTATGTGGATTCTCAACTGTCGGAGATGAGGTCGGAGGTAGTCTTTAAGGTAATCAGCGCCGAGTGCAACGAGCATGATATGGTTCTAGTGTACTGATTGATAAGGTCGGAAACCTGATCCCATGGGGAATATGCCGGGAATATACCAATTGTAGGTTAGATCCGAGTAAGCTCAGATCTACCCCTCTACAATGTTTAGAACGGGAGATTTCAAGTTTAATAGATTAAAGATCGAACTTGTTATCGTGTTCATGCATCGCATCGTCACACCGAGCTAGATCTGCAGGCCAAGCCTCCCCCTCATTGACCAGCCACCTCACATTTCTCATTCTTCAGTCTTTTCTCATGTCTCAAACACGCACTCCAAAGACTTGAAGGGTCGAGGTCTTCCTACTTCCTCATGGCCAACGCCCACCTAAAAAAAAGGGTCGCAGTGACCATCAAATCCACCAAAACCTCACTCTCAATAACACTATCACATGCATTGTGGCACCTCCTCCGAATATGTCTTTCTTTCACCCTCATATTCCTCGATAACACCATCCTTGCCCTGGCAGCATCAATAGCATACATCCGCACAAATCGTCGCCCAAAGCGAAGTGTCCGCTTCTACCCCCAAACAATTCTAATCACCGGCATAGGCACGCCGCACGGGCTGAAGCTCGCCAGGGCCTGGGCCGCAAAAGGCCACCGCGTCATCGGCGCAGATGTTACTGATCTAGACCTACCAGTTCGCTCTGGCGGGAGCATGTCGAAAGCTCTAGTGGCTTTCTACCGCATCCCGAAAGACCACTACATTCCGCGGCTGCAGGATGTCATCAACCGTGAAAAAGTAGATATCTGGATTCCGTGTTCGCCAAAGGCAACATCGTTCGAAGACGCGACAGCGCGCCAGGTCGTCGAGAGCCGCACAGGCTGCAGATGCATTACCTTTGACGCGGACCTGGCTGCCTGTTTCGCTCGCCCGGAGTCTTTCCGGCAGTACGTGGCTGATAAGGGGTTCCCGGTACTGGAGTACCACAAGGTCCAGTCGCGCGACTCCGTGCACAAGATTTTGCATCGCTCGCCGTCGAAATCGTACCAGATGGCCAGCGTGACGCCCGCGGCTAGTGATCGCGCTATGCTCTTGCCTCGCCGCACACTCAGCAAGACGTATACTTTGATTAGCGAGATTCAGATCTCGCAGAATCAGCCCTGGATCATGCAGCAGCACTCTCGTCTCGGAGAGCTGTTTGCTGATCTTCTTGTTGTGCGCGGAAATGTCCAAGCGATCAAGGTCCGGCTGTCGGATTCAAAGTCGAAATGGGGTTCGTCGCGTCTGGATGAAGCGCTGGCTGCTGCTGTGCATAAACTTATGCAGAGCTTTGCTGTGAAATGCGGTGTTCGGTTCACCGGTCATCTGACTGTGCAGCTGATGATCGATGAAGAGTTCGACGCGTATTCCGTTCGACACCCCATCTACATCGCTGGCTGCGAGCCCGGCGCTAGGGCGGCCGAGAGTCTATTACACGATGGTGCTTCTCCCATTGCGGGCTATTTATCCGTGCTTCCCTCCAATCCAGTCGACATGGCCGACATTAAAGCAAGATTGGCCTCGAGTCCGCCGACGAAATCACTCGCGCGAGCTGCTATCCTTCCTGCTGCGTTTTTGCAGTTCTCGCTTTTACACTTTGTGCTCACTGTTTTCGAAGTCATGAAATCAGAGCTGGTGCACTTGTTGTTTTGGAAAGACCCGCTGTTCTCGATCCTTGATCCTGTGCCTTGGTGGTGGCAGGTGCATGTTTATCAGCCCTTGCGGGAGATCTGGGTATTGGTGAAACAGATGCGGGAGGCTGGGTTGAATGGGTATTGAGTTCGGGGATCTCTTTTGTATTTTGGCATGAAGAAAAACGTTACGAGCGATGAGTTTCATGAATGAATGATTGTATGGGCCTTAGGCCGATGTACACGAATGAAGAAGCATGCTGCTACAAGTGCACTTCCTTAGTTTCCATCTAGGGTTGCTGCGTGGATATCTGCTCCCGCGCGAACTGGGACTTGGACAATCCTAATTTGTTCGTGCGCACGGCGGCTGCTAGGGCATCCATGGATGGGCGCATTCATGGCCAGGGCACATTCACATCTGCACCTGCCTTGTGTGGACCAAAAACTTGCCACGTCGAGGTCTCTTGCTAACAGCCTTTGATTTTGCTTCCAATGGCAATTCTCACACTTTCCAAGAGACTGAAAGAATGTAATCGAACAAGAAAAGAGACTCATGCTCAAAACAGAGGCTGACAGAGTGGCTCTCGATCAGCAATCCAAGGCTCCAGTCGGACTGCCATTGGGCTGATACTAGGTTGTCAACCTGAAACGCAGTTAGATTATGCTCGACGTAAGATCTTGATGATCCCAATTCTCCAAATTTGACATCTGCAGTCAACAATGATATTGTACATACGCTGTATTTAAAGATGAAGACACAGCCATTGCCAAGAAGTGTGGCGGAGTTCCTAAAATAGCAACTGTCGCCTGGGCGATCAACGGGAGCCTACGTATACCGAAAAATACAACCAAATCCTCGGCAGAACGTTGTAGAACTTGTCAATGTTCATTAATTTATTGTACAATAAGTTCACATTGACTCTTGCACATATTTCCGATCTCTTTTTCCCAAGTGTGACAACATAAATCGTGGTGGAAAAAGAGATCAGCAAAAGCAAAACAAAACACGGCACTTTTTGCGAGCCTAGCCTGACCCGAATCCCCCAGTTCTTCGGTTGTGTCTTCTTCTCCAACTTCGTACCTCTTATGACTTCATAAGTCAATTCTCAACAATCCGGGCGACATATTTAGGGTTGCGACACCCTTGCAGCAAGAAAATGATGTTCCAAATGCCGCGATCATCAGGCGGCAGCAACCTCGGACGGACAAAAAACATCCTGCATTGCATACAAGGATTCACTATCTTCATCGCATGGGCCTTAACCATCGCTATCTGGACAAAAGGTGATGGCATCGATGGCCGAACAGGCTGGTACTGGGGTCTGGTGAGTTTTCCGCGACATAGCGAGCGTCTGACATGCATGACTGACAATCCCAACAGTGCTGGCTGAGTATTCCCGGCCTGATTTACCTAGTCGCAGTGCCTATGTGGCCCCGAGCCCGCCGCTTCGGCAACGTATACGCATTCGCCAGTGTCGACGTCCTCTACTCCATCCTCTGGGCCAGCGCCTGGATCTGTCTCGCTTCATACGTGGCCCAGGGTAAATCCAAGGGTTCCTCAAGCACTGATTCGAAATCCGACTCGAAATCCGACTCGAAATCCGCCACCAAGCGAGCCACTGATACCTCTACCAAGACCGGCTGCGACAACTGGGCATACGGAAACGCGGCAAAGTGCAAGCTTAGCGAAGCAACCACAATCATCGGCGTCTTCATCTTGTACGTAAACCTCCACCCAACTACCAAAACCCAACTAACAAGAGAACCAGTATCCTCTTCGCCATAACAGCCTTCATTTCCTTCCGCAACGTAATGCACTTCCGCCGCACGGGAACCCTTCCCGATGCAGTCTCGGATCCCACTTTCGCGGCCCAAAGCAAAGCCGCCTTCTCCTCAAACCCAGCCCACGACTTCGAAGAAGACGAAGACGACTTCCGCTCCGGCCGCGGCGGAATGGGCGCCTCCTCCCGCGGCGACCAAGATGAGGACTACGCCCTGCTGCAGCAGAGCGAGATTGACGATCTAGGCCATAGCGGCCGGTCCGCAATGCAAGGCGCATACGACCCCACTGCGCCTGCACCGGGCGGTCTCCACGATTACAACACTACCGGGTATGGTGGTGCGCATGGCCAGCACTATAATCCTGCGCCTGGGGATCAGTTTGCGAATGTTGAGTATACTCCCTCGGAGTATACTGCTCCCTCTGGGTTCGGGGGATCGTCGGTTGCTGGAGGGTATGGGAGGCGGCCTAGTTAAGTGAGTTGCCTGTTGCCGGAGGATTGATGTGCTTTTTTGCGTCTGGGTTGGACCATGGAGCGGCGTTGGCGCATCATTTTTCTGGGCTTGTTCTCTTGTCTCATGTTTCCTAGGGTCTAAGGGCCTTGGGATTACGATTGTATGTCCTGCTTTGCCTTGAATTTAGGAAAATATAGATGTTTGCATGTAAGGCTTTTTCCAATTTTATCTTCAGCCACGTTTTGTCTTTAGATAATCGATATCAGCAGTTGAAATGCATGGAATGGGCTTGCTCGTAACATTCAACGTCATGTAACCATTTCATTCTGCTTGTTTCCAGATAAGACAATTGTTTTCTGCCACCGCTCATCATATCGGGGTTTCTGGACAGCTTACCCTCTTCTCCAAAAGACAACAAACCCAACCTCGAGCCTCAATTGAAGACTGTTTAATTGAACAAGCGGAAAGAAACTCCAATTCTAAAACTACAAGGTATGAACTTACCCAAGCCCCATCACCACCCAACCTGCACCGCAAAATAACAACCTCAACACCGCACCTATACTAACCTCAACCAGCAAACCCTCCAATCCACCACCTCAAGACCAGACCACCGGTCCAGCAATCCAAAATGGCCAGCGAAATCGACATCTACAACCAATACCCGATCTACATGGATCCCGCCACGAAGGCCCTCTCCCTCCAAGCCAACAACCTCCCACCTAGCCAAGCAACCACCATAGCCAACGAACTAAAAGAACTCAACGCCCTGCACCGCTCCCTCCTCACCCTTGAAACAGCCAACATCCCCCCACCCCCATTGCCACTGAACCCCAAGCTCAGCGCCCAAATCAGCAAGCTACGCGACAGCGCCAACACAGCCTACCGCAAAACCAACTACGATGAAGCCCTGACGCTGTACAAATACGCGATCGACATGGCTCTTGCCCGGCCCGGCTGGGAACCTGTTGCTGTGGCGCGCGACGAGCTGGCGGGCTTGTATGCGAATCGTGCGCAGGCGTACATGGCTAAGCAGGCTTGGCCGGAGGCGTTAGTTGATGCTAAAGCGAGTGTGGATTCGAAGCCTGTGGGGAACGTCAAGGCTTGGTGGCGGATTGCTAAGAGTTTGGCAGAGATGGGGAGGTATGAGGAGGCTAGGAGGTTTTTGCAGAAGAGTATTGATATTGAGGGGAGGGAGAGTGAGGGTGGGAAGGAGTTGTTGGGTTTGTTGGACGAGGTTGAGAGAGCTTTGGTGAAGGCTTGAGGGAGGTTGGTTTGTTGATTTTGACTATACGATTCCCTTGTGTGTTGTTGGCGTTTTGCGGTTGTTGTATGGGCTTGTTATCTATACTCGGGTATTACTGTTGACTGGGTATCGTTGATATTCGGTTCAATATGTTTCTCTTTCAATACACTGTTGTGATATATCTTAATTTTTCTCTCTCTCGTTAAGACGAGAATGAACCCGAAGGATATTGCAATAGATAGAATAATCCCCTGTGTTGCATTTCCTGCTGTGCGACTGCCTACATCCAGCACAACATTATCGGTTTTGAGTGTCGTTGACAGGTTTGGTGTACCTATGGCGATGGCAAAAATAGGGGTTTATGGATTGCTTTTACATCGGATTTTCGACCTGGAGATTTAGATTTTTGACTTCGTTTATCATCGCTTTCTTATACATGCATGGTCACTGGAAGAGCTGCGAGACTGGGCCAAGATTAGGGCAACACCCACGCGATCTTAAATGTTAGACGCTATAAAGATATAAAACTAATTACCCACAACTAAGTTCATCCATACATCAAACCAAAACACTAGACCCATCACTCTTCTTACAAGCACAAGAGCTCGATCCAGCAGCCACCTGCGTCGGTGCACGCGAGAAGCTAGGCGGGACATCAAGCACAGGGTTACGGTCGAAGAAGTGACGGGGACGAAGGAGCAGCGTCATCGGCTCAGCCGGCATAACAGGATAATCCTCTGGCGCGGGGAAATGAGTGAGACCGAAAGTGTGCCACAAGACAACGTCCGTGTTATCGATGGAGCAATTAGGGCCCGCGGCTTCGATCCACGACGGCAGTCCTTCGGAGGGCTCGCCGGATGTTTGGGGGACGTGACGGCCGGCCGGGTGGATTTGCTCGTCATCGTCTGTGGTAGGTTAGTAAAACATATATACATATATAAATGAGAGGTAAGGTATGATGAAAAACATACACTTAGTGACGTGAACAGCGTGGCGTGCGAAGCCAGCTCGCTTCCAGACCAGTCCTCCTTCCTTGGGGAGGAGGGGAGGAACGTCCCGGCTGACAAGGTTGTAGGAGACGGGCTTCTTGCTGTATGGGTTGAGCTTGTTGGTATTGGCCATGTCCCAAGTCCGGCTTGTAGCGCCATTGTAGTCGGACATTGCCTCAAGGGGAGTAGAAAACTTTGTCTTTTTTGCATAGAAGGCATTCCCGTATTTGTTTTCAGCGCTTCCAACCTCGCCAGGCCCCTGCACGGCATCGACCTGGAAAACGGTGTTATCGGGCCCATCAATATTGGGATCCACGCGCAGACAGAAGAGATGCTGGTGGTTGTGGGCGTTGACGCCGGGGTAGACTTCCGTTCCCCAGCCTTTGGTATCTTCGCCTGGGTTGAGGGAGTACGTGTTTAGGATACCGGTCAGCTTGATCTCCAGCTGGACGGTGCCGTCCTGGTGGAAGATCCAATACACGCAGTACTCGTAGTTTGCTGCGGTGAAGATGTGCGAGATGACGAGCTTGCGGCCGCGTGTTACGACCATGGACTCGTCGCGGAAATCGGTGTGCTTAAACAGAATGCCGGCGTCTTCTTCGTGGATGCAGATTGCGTTCTTGATGATTGCGCTTGCGCCGGCGCGGTTGACGAAGGCAGCATCCATGTAGTGGATTGCACCCTTACAGTCGCATCCTAGGGCTAGGCTGTTGGTCATGTAGCCGCCGCCGTATTCGCCCAGGTCGAATGCGTGCTTGCGCTGGTGCGGGTGCTCCGGGTTGCCGTATGGTACAACCATCTCTGCCAGTGACAGACGCCAGAAAACAGGCCGGACGTTGCCTTTGTCGTTGAATGTGATGTTGTTGAGGACAATGCCTTCCTTGTAGTTGAAGCCGACATGAATGCTCCAGTTCTGCCACTCGATAGTTCTACCCTTGACCTCGAACGAGACGCCTTCTGGCTGGGTGATGTGGATGGGCTTGATATCATTTCGGAAGCCGCCTTCTTTCTCGATTGCCGCTTGATGGTAATTGTTTGGTGGGGCTTTGTTGAGGGGTCTCCTCACCGGCGGCACATCAATGTGAATGATCTGCTTGGTTTCGGCGTTGTAGATAGGGCAGAAGTCCAAGGGATAGGTGTATTGAGAGTCATCTGGGTGAGGACGGTAGTACATGAGAGCTTGCTGGAGACGGACACCAGTCCCGAATCGCTCATCATATCCAATAGTCCAAGCTAAAAAGTAATTGATTAGCCTCGAGCTTTCGGCAAAGGGCAAATTTTACTCACGGTCACAGTATACTTTATGCATATCCTCTTTGGGAATTCCGATAATGCCGCATTGCTCAATGACTTTTGGGTCTTTGCGTACAACGTGCTCGACCTCCTGTAGATCCTCCATGGTGATCAAGGGTTGAACATTGGGCGTATGCTGCCACTGAATGATCTTCTTTTGACCCAGGTCAACAACACCATCATATACCTTGCCATCTGGGGAGATGGCGACAACATCAGCAGCTCTGACAGGGCGAGAGGCATGCTCTGGGTCTGCCACCCAGGCCATCATCTGGGCCTTGCGGGGCTCGTACAATGTGACGGCATTGAAGTTGAGCGAGCCATATTCCTTGCGGATAATACTAACGGCACTGTCGATCTCAGACGCAGAGAGAGGATCCAGAGGATGAGGTGGTGGCGCGGTTGCGCTGACCTGATGGGTCAATTGCTGTAGTCGGTCAAGAACCATCTTGTGTCGAGTATTTCACAATGTAGAGCACCGCAGCGACAATTCGAGTCAAGTACCGCGGTATATGATCAAACAATTTGATCTTGATATTTCAACTCCAGGTCTGTAGATTATTTAAGAGACATGCTATAGAAGGTCACTAATTATATACCTCGATTCGATTAGATAAACCCTACTTGCGGAGACGCGGATCTAATGACCACATGAGGTTTAGCGTGATCTGCTCAGTCCCAAAATAGCAAAAAGATGCTTGTCTGCATATGGATTGGCATTGATATAACAAGTATCATTGCATTTATTCATAGGCGTTTGTCACGCGGGGTAGAACAATGTACCTTGCTATAGACAACTCGATAATTATCTTGAATGGTTGGCAGCTTGGTCTTGCATGCGCTGATCTACACTTCTACAATTACACAGAAGTTATTGGATCTACGAATGTAGGTGATTAATAGAACAAAAACCATAATTCCTTTACACAGGTCATATGCCCGATCTAGCTACAGCAAGAAAGAAAGAAAACGACCTAGATGACAAGAACGAAAGGCACAAGGCCATGATAGAGCCTGTCAACGCCTCGGAAATGGATTCAAACCCAATCATATCAAACGCCTGGCACCTTCCTGCCCAACACCGTCGTCCAGACGCGCGAACCACACACAAGCAATGCCCGTGAAAAGCCGGCGCGAAGACAATGCCGAAGATCGAAGGAAAAAGATCACGATATTCTCGTGCCTATGTACATACATCATATCGTATCAGCCCTAGCTCTGAGAGCTTTGGCTTATGCCCGGCCCATTTGATAGGCTCCCGGGGTTGACGAATTATACCCAGATGTGTGTTGCTGGGGAGTTTGGGCGCCAGCTCCGTGAGACCCGGTATTTGGGGTGCTGGGGGTACCAGAGTAGAGATTGGCACCGTTGAGGTTCGGCGTTTGCTGGGCCATGTTATAGGCCATCGCGGGCATTTGTCCATTGAGACCCCAAATCTGACCGGAGTATTTGCTGTCGTCGATCTCACCGCCGAAAATAAGCTGGCGGGTCTTCCAGTAGATCTCACCTGTCACTAGTGAGTCCGATCCAGCCTGGTGGGCGATCCCGACACGTTTCACGCCAAGTTCATCGGCGATGTCTTGAAGACCAGACTTCTGGCCGAGGTTGGTGAGGATTTGTGCTGCTGCGGGGGTGAGAGGCGAGCCGTTGACGGCTTGGTTGCGTCCGGCGTGCTTCATGAGGTATTTGATGTCGTAGAGTGACGGGAAGAAAATTGTGAGAAGCTTGTGGAACTCCTCCTCGTTTTCGGGGAGTTGGGAGCAGAGCATAATCTTCATCAAATAACCAAAGTCGTATCCGGAGTGGAATGAGACCCAGTGAACGTCATCCAACAATACCAGTCCAGAGCTGATCAAGAGAGCACCAAACTCAAAGGGATCAATGCCGTTCTTCTCATGCATGGCAAAATCGATCCCTGACTTGGCGAGCATAGCTGTTGACTCCTGGGCGTACATGTCACCCTCGAGTGAGAATCGGAAGTTGAATTGCCATGTGCAAGGAGCAGGCACGCCGTACGCTTGGCCGTTTGAATCGGAGCTTGAAGCCGGGGGAACCTCCCCTTCATCGTTGAACAGGGTAATTCCCAGTTGGATCATCTTCAGAAGATCAACGTTGCACCGCAGGGTTTGGTAATGGTAATCCGCTTTGTTCGAGAAGGATCCGATCGGTCGCGCAACAATCCCAGGGAACTCGGTATCCTAGACTTCAGTTAGTGTGTATTTTGTCACCAAGTCTGGGGGGTTCCGATCTGCCCAGGAACCCCACCTAATTGGTTCTCACCATGCTGATATAAGGGTACTTGTCGACCAGCTGACGCAGGACTGCCATCTCATGAGCCAGGTTGTGCTTCCAGACATCTCTGATCCTTGATTTTACTGCACCACCTTTGGCATCGAGTGCTAACCGACCGTCATGACCCTGGTGTAGCTGTGCTTGTTGCATTTGCGCACCGCGCGCGAAACCCATCTGGGCCGCATGGCTAGCAAGGCCAGTGCCACCACCATCGGCACCAGCTCCCGGGAAGCCAGCTACCGACATGCCATTTGCAATTCCAGCGCCGGATAATGTAAAGGGATTAATGTTGGTGTTTGGATTGCCCGCAAAGCCAGGATGACCAAGCGAAGGGGGAGGTAGTGTGTTTGCAGATTGTGCGTGTGGGTGAGATTGAATGTGAGATTGTTGTATATTGTAAGGAGCACCTAGACCAGATGGCCCATATCTGCCGACTGGAGGTGGCATTGTGTTGTCTGAAAGATGCGCATAGATGAAGTGACAGTTTCGTCCCTCGAAGTCCAAGGCGGGAGCTAATGGCTGCCGTATGCGGTTAGCGCGGGTCGATTGCCAAGCACACCTCTTTTCCTCGTCTTCGGCCCTTCTCACTGTTACTTTGGATGATTGCGGATTAGGGTACACAGTTACTGCTCTTCATATCTTTTTCTTCTCGCATTCAAGTCACATTCATCTACACATCTCTCACAATGCCCGCCCGTAACCCCACTGGTTTCGACCTCGCGCAATTTAAGGCCGCGGCCTCCCCATCTTCCAGCTGGGCTAAGCGGGACCCATGGGCTCGCAAGTACGTCAATCTGATCTGAGCTTGAAATCAATTTCAGCGGGTACTAATGGTTTGTAGTGAGGCCTGGCGCTACTATGGCCCCTTCAGCCGCTTCAACCGCTTCAAGGGCCTCTTCCCCGGCTTCGGAATCGCGACTGTTGCTTTCGCCGGTTACTGCACATACGAGCACTTCTTCCTGAAGGATGACCACCATGGCGACGCTCACCACGGTGATGGCCACCACTAAAGTTCTCTCTGGAGACCAATTGAGAATGCCACCGAACTGCAGATCGTCAAGTGGAGGACGTATACCCCAGTCGACAAGAATGAGTCGACTCGTCCCCACAACCACACAACCACAATCAAGATTTGGATGATGGTATCTGTTCTGCCATTTTCAGGTTCTTCCGTCGTTCAGGGCGGAAATGCGGCTTCTCTTGGCTCGTGTGACTTGCTTCCAGATGGCGCTTTGGGTTTGATTTGTCGAATGTACATAGCTTTTGTTCCACCACCACGACGAAATATTTCTTTTCTGCTCGACTGTTGAATTGGTCTAAAATTTCTCTTGATTGATCCGGTAACGCACAATGGTAAGCTCTAGTACACCTTGAGCTTTTATTGCTCCTTGTGTGGATCCCAGGTTCCAGTCTTACTTCAAAGCTATCAAGCGATGTATAAGTCACATAGATACATTGCGTCAGAGTCCAAGAAATGACCATGGGTTGATATATCTGCCTCTCAAAATTTGGTCATCAAGTGGGTTTGATTTTGAACTTATATAAACACGTAATATCATTATCGACATGAACCCCCACTATGCATATTTGGGCGCCCCTCTATGTAATTTTGACCAAGTGACTCAAGTTACTCCTCGAAGACCAAGCAAATACCATCGTCACCGGCAGTGACAATGCGTTGTCCTTCGTAATTCTGCACAAAGCCCATGATGCCGCCAGACTGCTCACCATCCTCGTTTTCAGTGAGAGGCATGTGGCCCTTCCACTCCTGCATCAATCCCTGGGCAGCAGCGGTGGTACCACCACGAGCGTCCCAGCGTCGGACCACGCCGTCCAGGCCAACGGATGTGAACATCCAAGAGCGGTTCTGCTGAGCCGCGGAAGCGGACGCAAGAGGCCCTGAGACAGAGGCACTAAGCTGGCGGTTACTGGGTAGGAACTCAACCTTCACAACGGGAGCGTCGTCGTGAGCACCCTGAATGTGGCGGCGGACAGCGAAGCGATGAGCAGCGTCGTAAATCGCAAGCGAGCCATCGACGGAAGCAGCAGCCAGGAAAGTGAACGGAGGCTGGGAGAAAGAGAGAGACTCAATATTGTCTGTCTGGTTCTGCAGTGCAGCCATAATTGTGCCAGCGGCGGTGGCACCGGCGGACTTGGGGGCTGCCTTGCCCTTGGCTGATGGGCCAGATGCGGTGATGCGGGGAAGACCGATGACACGGATGTTGCCCTCGCCACCACCCAACGCGGCAATACCTCCGCTAGGAGAAATAGCGATGCTGTAAAGTCCACCAGGAACGGCGAAACGCTGGTCATCCGCGGTCAGACCGAGAACGACACTGGTGCCAGCCGGATACTCGATACCTGCAGCGGCAGCGGCGCCGAAGACATCATAAACATAGAAGCTTCCATCCTCGGAGACTGTAGCGAGCAAGTTTCCATCAGATGTCCATGCGCCTGCAGTGCAGGATTCGGTGTGCGAGAAGAAAGTCTGGATGATAGAGATAGGATTGGCGCTGGTATGGTCGAGACGGAAGACCCACGCGCTACCGTCGTTGGCACCGATAGCGATGACATTTTTATGTTCTTCGCTGTTCTTCTGGTAGGGGCAGACCGCCATCCAATTGATTTCCTCTACTTCCTGGGCCTCGCCAAAGAACTCCCATGCGGTTCCGGTCTTCTTGGGTGTGGTATCCCGGTAGGCCCGCAGCTTGCCATCCAGACCAGCCGTGATGACATATTCTCCAGCCGGTTCAGTGAAAGCCACCGCATTGATGGTGTCAGTGTGTCCATCAAGCTTGGCCAGAGGTTGTAGGGCCTCGCGCTCCCGTGGTTGAGGAGTGGTCTCAAAGCTTGAAGGGAGGACGGGCCGGGGTGCGGGAGTTGAGTCGAAAATGTACCCGGTGTCATCGCCTGAACCAGTGACAATAATGTGGTTGTGAACGGGGTGTTGAGCAACACAGAACACTGAGTCTGTGTGCGAGTCGAAGTGTGCAGCTGAGTCGTTCTGGAACGTAATCTCATCTTCAATAGTCATGTTCTCGTCATAGTCTCCATCCATTTCCATTTCATCATCTTCACCGCGCTCAAAGACCTCTTCGGCATCATCTGCCTGCAGATAGTCCTCTTCATTCTCGTGGTTGGGGTCGTTAGAAGACATTTTATCGTATAGTCAGAATGAATAGGCGATAGTCCGGTAGTGAATGTATGGGATGATGAGACTGATTCTTGGTATGGCCTTGAAAAAAGGAATAAAACAAGAGTAGTTCTCGAAAGAAATATGTTTGCAAGCTAATGCTCCGAATCTTTTTTTTCCTACCTCCCCGCTTAGAAATCCACACCCCGCGGCAGATTATGCAGTATCACTGACCGCTTCTCTGACCGCCCTTGTATACTGCTCGACGTGACGCGAAAGCATCGCGATTGTCTTTTTATATCTGTGAGTCTGTGGAGATTGATATGTGACTGCATGCCCAATTTTGCCAACAGACTGTGTCTGTCGAGTGCTTTAGCTTTTTGAATTTTTTTAGGTGCTCCAAATAGCCATGGAGCCCTTACAAGACGATGCGTACCCCTGCGAGCAATGCGACAAGACATTCAGACGTAAACACCATTTGAAACGCCATGTCTTGACGCATTCCCGTCCAGCCTTGCATCTCACTTGTGATCAATGTGGCACAGCTCTCACACAAAGGTGTTATGACCGGGGACATTCCGGCTCGAAGGAGTTCAAATGTCGCTTGTGTCAAAAGTCCTATACGCGCAAGTACGCATTAGTTTCTGCTCTGCAGGCATTGTTTTCTTCTAGATCAAATATATATCCTAACCTGCACATAGAATCAGGCTTTCCAATCATATGAAAAAATACCATCCGGGAGAACGGATTGATATAGAGGTACTCAATCAGAATACCAATGATCCTAGTGCCTCATCGCCGTCGTTGGCGAATGATAGTGGACCTAATGAAACCACCTTAGGCTCAAAATTGCCTGCATCAAGTCATGCCCAGGATCCAATGGACATTTCGCAGGATGTGATTGATATCTCGGACTCAGAAGACGGCGACAACAATGAGCTTGTCCAACCGACATCGCCAGCAGTATGTGCGCCAGTTGCTTCTATGCCAGATGAACAACCTCCAGCTCGGAGTTCTCGCCCCGTTTTCAAAAGGCCAACCCACCACTATGTCAAAGCGTCACTCCCTAAATTGCGGCTTGCTGATGAGCGTCGTCTAATGCATGAAGCTCAATGCAGCATCACAATCGGTGAACCAGCGTATGAAGCAGTCCGATCATTTATCACGAAAGCGAAACAGGCAGATGATCTGCCATTGAACGCCTTGTTGTCAAAACTTATCCACAACTTCGTGCACCTTTATTATCAGCATTTCGATCATGAGTACCCTTTGGTGCACCCACATGCGATGGAATCAGCCGATCATTCCCAGTGGATAGTACTGTTGGCAGTGGCCACTGTGGGAACTCACTATGTCACATTCAGCAACGCCGGTACTTTCTCCGTATACTTCCAAGACCTACTGAGCCAAGCATTGAGACAAAACGTAAGTTCGTCATCTAAGAGTTATCCGTTCCCTGATTAATCGAGTTAGCAACCCCAATCGCCGGAAACAACAACACTGTCTTATGTGCAAGCTGTGTTTCTTTACGATATCTGCCTGATGTTTGATGGTTCGCAAAAGTCGCAGTTGAAGCTGCAGTATGAGCGAAATCTACTGGTTACTTTGGCCCGTGCCTTGAAGGGCGATAGATGCATGACAGATGAAAGCGCGCTATACCCGGGAAATTGGAAATCATGGCTTGCAAGAGAGTCTCGTATCCGTCTTGTTCATTGTGTATTCCGTGAGTGCTCCCCGGAGAAAATCAAATAAAGTATGTTCGAAGCCAATCTAACACTAGGGAAGAACTCGAGTGCTTCCAACTCATTTTATTCGACCGACAACCCATTCTTGGTCAGCACGAACTCCCAGATGAATTTCCCTGCAGTCAAACATTATGGCGGCGTAAAATTCCCAGCACTTGGGTCCCTGAATGTGAGTTGTATCTATGCCTCAAAGAAGCAATTTCTTCGTGTTGACCATATATATCAGCTTATCGAGTATCCCCATCGACTCAGATCGACGTGAGAACAGCTAAGGAAACCATCGAAGGGTTGGATGCTTTCCGTCGAAGCCTTTATATGATTTCTCTTTACAGCGAGCAAAGGTTGTTCGTTGACAAAATGTTCTATTCTTCCATCTTGACCTCAGGAATAGCTTCGGCAGTAGCCAGTATGCAACCCCCCAAAGGACCAGCCTTTCCTGAACTCACCCCTCGGGCCCTGCGCGCAATGATATTCCTGTCAATGGACGATGTGTTCGCAATCATCCCTACCTCTGCCAAACCCGACTACGTCGCATCCCGAGACGTCATCCACCACATTCTCTGCCTGCTACGTCAAGTGTCCCTCCACATGCTCTGGTCCTTCTCCAGGTGGCAAGGCGAAGATACGCAGGGGGGTAGCTTGAAAGCCTGGATGGAAGCCAACCCGTCCACCGCAAGACAATGCCTCTGGCATGCAATCTGCGTGTTCAGCACCCTGAAGACCAAGCTTAAATTCGCCTGCCACGACCCCCTCTGTTTCCTGGTTGCTTTCTTCTATATCTGGGCATTCGATACAATCGTCGTCACTTCCGAACTCAGCAAGCCGAATGTTTCAACTGCCCCTGTTCGCTTGCAAGACACCAGGGAAATTCGAATTTGGATCGACCAAGGACCCAACACTGGCCTGGATCTGATCGGCGTGGGTACTTTGACGGGCAGAGAGAGCTCCCTGCGTTTGCTTTCGCAGGTTTCGGATATTTTCGCGAAGCGCGCCTCTTGGGCTGGCCTTTGTCGAGGTCTTGCTAAGGCTGTTACTCAAATTCTTTCGAGAATGCAAGCGCATCCTCATGGAACCCCCAACCAGGCAGGTGTTTCTGTCCCTCAGCCATGCACACTTCCAGAAAATATCCCCCGGGAAGCTAGCCTTCGGACAGAGTTTTCTCGGGAAGAGGTTTCCCAGGCAGATGATGCTGGAGAAACTGGCACCGAAGCAAATGTACCTGAAGAAAGCATCGAATGAGGCTCGCAATGCTTCCTTTCTCGTTATTCAGCTTGATTTATCCATACATACGCTTAATGATACCCCATAATGTTTACTTCGCAGCGTGCCAACAACCCTACCCCACTCTCCAAACTAACTACCAAAGCACAAAAGGTCATAAAAGCTATGAAATACATATTGCGGGATTCGCTCTATACCAAACCCACCGTCGCAATCCTGAAACTGTGTATACACATCTAGATCTTACTCCCAGCCTTCCTCCGCGCCTCCTTCTCTTGATCCCGGATCAACCGACGCAAAATCTTCCCACTAGGACTCTTAGGAACAGCATCCACGAACCGAACCCCGCCCTTCAGCCACTTATGCCTCGCCTTGTGATCCTCCACGTGCTTGATAAGCGCCCGCGAAACCTCCTCGTCAGACCCCGCCCCAGGAGCCTTAACAATAATCGCCTTGGGCACTTCGCCGGCCCGCGCATCCGGGATAGCGATGACTGCGACATCCGAAACAGCCGCGTGCGCAAGGAGATGAGCTTCCAGCTCGGCGGGCGCGACTTGTAGACCCTGCGCGGGTTAGTAATAGCAACTTTTTGGTGGGCGGTCCGAGTTTTCAAGACTCTTTCGTAAGATGATATTACGTACCTTAACCTTGATCAACTCCTTAATCCGATCGACAATGAACACATGCTCGACGCCCTTCGGACTAACGCGGATAACAGCCTCGTCGCCCGTGCGCATCCACCCGTCTTCGAACGTCTCCTTGGTCGCCTTGTCATTATTCAAATAGCCCAGGACAACGCTCGGCCCGCGCACGACCAGCTCGCCGGGCGTGTCGTAGGCGGTGATTTCTTCGTTCTCGGGTGTCATGATGCGCGCTTCGAAGCCCGGGATCAGGGCGCCCGAGGAGCCGAGGAAGATGTCGTGCGGGTGCGTAGAGCTTACCACTGTGCATGTCTCCGTGAGACCTGGGATCGTTAGTTTTTAGTTTTGGGTTCTAGGCTTGTTTCCAAGGGACGTACCGTATCCTTGGCGGACCAGGACGTTCGGGTATAGCTTGAGGAAATCGGTGGCTGTTTCTACGCCTAGCGGCGCGGCGCCGGTGAATAGGGTCCGCACCGAGCTGAGGTCAAACTTTGAGCATACGTCTTGGGTGCTGAGCATGTGAATGATGATTGGGGGGACCTGGGGCGGTTAGTGGGTGTTTTTCTTTTCATTTCGTTTTGCCTGGGTTGGAGGTGTCTTACCAGGAAGAGTGAGCTGATCTTGAAGTGGGCGATGGATTTGAGGTATGATTGTAATTCGAACTTGGGGAGGACAATAGTCTGGTCGCCGCGGTATGCGCCGGCGTGGCAAATGACTACGAGGGCGTAGATGTGGCTCTGCGGGAGAAGGCCGAGCGCGACTTCGGTGCCTGGGGATTTTGTTCCCCCGTCGTTGCGGTAGCTCTCCTCGTATGCCTTGATTTGGAGAGTGTTCGCGATCACATTGCGGTGGGAGATCATTACTCCTTTCTGTTTGCGCGTCAGTTGATGTTCGATGAAATATGGGAGGTACTAACCGGCAAGCCAGAAGTTCCGCTTGAATAGCACAAGAACGCTGTGCGACGGGCGCCCTCGCCGGCGCTCCATCGCAGCTCCTCCACTGGTGGCAGAGACTTGCCGGCCTGTGCGAGCTGACCAACGGTCTTATATTCAGCTGGGGCCTTTGCACCGCCGAGGATCTGTTCTGGCACATCAATCAGGTAAATCTTGCTCTTGGGGAGACCAGCCTTGGCTGCGGCTTCCAGGGAGATAGACAGGAGAGGAAGACAGGTGACCAAGGCCTTGGCCTTGGAGTCAAGCAGTTGATGCGTCAACTCGGCGGCGGAGTAGGAAGCATTTGCGGGCGAGACAACACCGCCCAGTCTGTGAACGGCCCAGAAGAGTGGAAGGGAATCGATCTTTCTGGGGTCAGCTTTCGGCATTCTTCAGGGGACCTTCTGCGCTTACAGTGTTCAGGGTGAAGACAGCCAGCGTCTTATCCCATTCCGACCCTTCGTTCGGGGCCCAGCCGAATTCCTTGGAGAGACTGCGGGCCAGGTAGTCAACGCGGTTTGCGACCTCGCGCGACGAGTACGATTTCCCCGTGAAGCCGCATGTGTATGGATCGCGAGAATTGGCGTGTGGCACTCGCCCATATTTCTCATTGAGCATAAACTCGCTAATGGGGATGTTGTCTGGAATTGGCGCCAATTGACCGGCGTCTTTCGCAGGTAAGAATACCATTTTTTCCAAATTCTCGTCACAGCCTGACGTCAGAGTATTTAGAGCCGGGTAGTTTTATGTAGATCGAATGTGGTATAATTCGGTATTTCGGCTATTGGAATGATGTGATTAGCTGTAGCCAGTTGGGTGCAAATAAACTATACTTACAGATCAAACAATCAAAAACGTACAGATACAGAGAGAATAGGAAGAAAGGTAGGAACGCGCAAAAGAAGAAAAAAAGCGGCCGAGGGGAGTTTAATGAAGCGTGGAGACGTGCGGGGAACTCGGCAAACCTTGCGAGGGTCTTTAGTCTCCTGTTGTTCGTATTCATTTTCAATACTCTTGGCCTTGGATTTAACCCGAATTTGGGTAGCCGACGGTCTGATCAATCGTGAACCATCCGATTCGGTGGATATTGAGCGATGTGGTGTTCGGAGCTTATACCGCCAAGAGCAGAGATGCCTCGGTCGTTGGATATCCGAGGGCATTGTAGGATACCGCCATACTATGCCATACTATTGGTATATCACAACTGAAAATTGAGGGAATTTGATTCTTGGTTTGATTTACAAGAATCTACAGTAGTGTGTAACGCAAGAGATTACTTCCAATTATTACCAGTGACACTGTCATGCGTAGGCGTAAAAAGTACATCCACATGGATGTATCAGTTCTCGTATGCGTGCGCACATCAAAATTTAAAGTCAGCCTTGGCATGTAGATCCCTCGCTTTTCCCTTTAGAACGATGCCGAAATACTCCCACTTCAAAATATTTCGATTTGTATGTCATTTTCTCGGTCTACCCATATACAATCTAGATCGACTTTAATTACTTGTCGTATTATCCCTCATTGGTCTGGTCTAGCTGCTCAAGGCATACATTTGGGTGAAGGCTCTTCACCTCAGTCTCCAGGTATATCTATATCTATTCCACACCAAAAACATCACAGATTTTCCAATTGCTTCAATAAATCAATATATTCAACAAGTAGCTGGTCTTAAGCTACGAGTCAATGACATGATGTCGATGGTTTACCGCAGGGAGTCTCGGACCTCAACGCCGCTCTGGCAATATATATCTCTGGCTCACCCACCATTCATCTCCTGTCGCTTTCATTACCATCAACCAAAAACCACCAGCCATCGGTTCCGTTGTTGAAACAACCTCAGACAGTCTATTTCAGATTAAAATTATAGATTGAACGCAACAGAAACAGTAATTGGTCCTATATAGGGCTCAATGCCATTGAGCCCCCAAGCTGTGAGTGCCTGACAAACCCAACCATGATATTCCCTTTTGCTAGTCATATATGAAGAAGACCAAAATGACACTGACTCTATGAATCGTAGCTTGTTTGTGTAATTCATGATCAAATATGCCACCGCGTGCTGCTATCAGCCGTCGTAAGGTGGCCGAAAGACCAGTGCGAGCAGGTCGCGTCACCAAATCCAAAAAAGAACAAACAATCATCAAGCGTAAGAATGACTTCCTGCATTTGATGTTAGATCTGACATCATATAGTCTCGCCAGAAAAACTGGAAGCTGCTCTCATCGGCCAACCGCTTGAACAGGTTTATGGAACTCCCCCGGCCTGGGCAGAGGTATGTGATTAGTTAAGACATGATTGGTTGAGTGTAATACTGACCCTATTGCTAGGGACGTCAGCAATTGTGTGATGCAATTCCTTGGTTTCGCTGCACTCAAGGCGCGATGTACCACAGCGAAGGCTTCTGCTATGGTTTTCTCATTGATGCGGACTGTGGTACTCGGACCCATATCGATGACGAAGTAATCATTACTCGAATGTGAGTTTACATCCCTTACGTTCAATTAAATCGTCTTACAATGGTGAGCTCTGAATGCTAATGTGATCAGTGGCGGATGCTGCACCAAGGATTCTGAGGGAAACTTGACTCTCGAAAAGAATCAAGATTCCGATAATGCACTCGTGCAGAGTATAACCGGTACACAGACTTCAAAGCTTGCAGTCGGTCTGGTTATTGGTGAGTTTCCAATGGACTGTTGTTCTGAAAGATCTTTGCTGATCACAATTATAGGAAGCAAGAATAAGATCCTCAACCGCGATCTTCCACATCGCTACAACATCATGGACTGGTTCCGTGTTACCAATGTATGGTTCGAAAAGATTGGCCATAAGCATGGCGTCAAGGTTCGCTTTGAGAAGCTGAATCTTCCGGAGAAGAGCTGGTGGGCAGCAAAGGAGTCGCCCCTTCCCTTGCCCCTCGAAGAGCGAGACTTGCAAACAAAACCGGAAGTTCTCAAGTGTCACCACTGCTCGACTGAGAGCGTGAAAATCTATCGAGAAGGCTGGATGTGTCTTGATCCTGGTTGCATCGATTTCTGGAAAATCGATGGCATTACTCCTCCAGCCGAGCTCACTTTTCATCCCGACTTCCTGAACTTCCGAAGTCCTCCAGATCCAGCGGTCCAGCCTTGCTACAGTCTCGTTCCTGATCTTCTCTCCACCCTAGATGAAACTGCAACAGATGTCAGCACATCACGCATTGCATGGAAGGGAATTGTATGCCCAATGTGCTTCAAATGCATCCGACGAACGTTCTGGAAAGGCTGGAAATGCGACGACGACTCAATTCTCGAAGAAGAATATCGAGAAAGGTGTCCATTCCAAAAGTTCATGAACATGCATCCTGTGCCCCTCCGGGTCGTCCTCGATCATTTCGAGCTGGCACCTATCAAGCGCGCAATTTTGTTTGATCGCAAGTACAGTATCCCGGAAATTGATGACAACTCGCTTTTTCCCTACCGGAAGTTGACTTATAACCTGAATGGAGTTGGTTCAATCACCCACTTTGTATCAAACCGAATGATCAACAGCCGCAAGAATGGACCTGATGACCTTTTCATCAATCTTCAGCGTGATGACCTCGGTCTAAAACGCTTCCGACTTCAACAAAGTCTCGTTGCGGGTACATTGACTTCTCACTTTGCCGTCAACTACGGAATGCCCTACAAGTATGTGGTGTCTGTTGATTCGAAGGGCTTCGATGAAGCCCCGAAGGATATACTCCGAGCTCTGGGTCGTCTGTCCTGGGCGACTGAAAAGGCAGTTATGTCTCCAGGGGACAAGTACCTACCTCCCAACGAACTACTGATGCTAGGCTATTTCGAGGAGATGAAAATCGGGGTAAGTATCAATACCGTAACCTACTCCCGTCTAACATTGCCCTAAGTATCATGACGATGGCGAGTCCTCACTGGGCCCAAGCATCGCCACCTTTTCCCTCGGCGCTAAAGCGACCATGTTTGTGCGTATGAAGTATAAGTATTTCAACGGTTCCACCCGAAGAGCAGATCCCAAGGCCATTGGAACCATTCTGCAGAATGATCCCGTCTTGAAAGACTGCATGTTCGAAGGCGAGCGCCGTGCGCTCAAGAAAAACTTCGATGCTGGTGAAATCTCCCAAGGTGAGTATGACGCTTCTCGGCGCGCGCTGTCGAAGGGCCGCAAGGGCAAGGAAGCTCCTATCACCATTAAGATGGAGCTTCACCACGGCGATCTGGTTGTTATGCACGGTGAAAATCTGCAGAAGTACTACGAGGTTCGTATTTTCTTCCCATAGCAGGCGGACGTTGGTGCTGACTGAAAAAGCATTCGGTGGTGCCAGAGAATAAGTTGCGCTTTGCCTTGACTGCGAGATTCGTGAAGCCTGATCACGTCGATGCGCGAGAAATCAAGAAGGGTGAGTTCTCGCTTACGCCAGATCAAGTCTATGATGGCAAGTGATGGTCGTTCTGCCGAGTTGCAATTTTGATTGATTTATTGTGGCTCTTATATTTTGTTATTTTTCTTTTCCGATTTTGCTTTGTTGAACGTCTGTTGCTAGGTACCTATTACGATGTCTGGATGATGTGGGTTCTACTGCCTGGTATTTACTATGGTGTTTTGCTGGACTGGTTCTTTCGGCTCATACTCAAGGCTTATATGTTTCAATCTTATCGTCAGGGGCTGAGGCCCGGAGTTTTGCTATGTGCGCTATATACCATATTGCTTCATGATTTTGTTCTATTGTCCTCTGCCTATTCAATTTACCCAGGAGAGAATTTTACTGGAAAATGCTATGTCTCAATACCTACCCTTGGAGCTCCAATTTCTAATACCCATGCGTGGTATACAATGAATATGATACATCAACCATTCTAGCCAGTTCGTCCAATCTAATCAAAGCTCCAATTCATCTTTCCTTGAGAACATATCGCACGCCAGACTCCAGCAACGCCTTAGCATACTGATCATGAAGCCAGACCACAAAAGCCGGCATAGGCAGACGCTCCGATGTCCCAAGTCCTTGGAAAAACAGCGACTTGAATCCAAACTGCACGTAATTTTCCTCCGGCTCCAACTGTACACTCAATTCGATCAATGCATCCATCGGTCGGAGCCCGTCTTTTGACACCTTATCGCCGCCCCGGATAAGGATGCGGTCTTGGGACTTTGTTAATACGACAAGCTCATTGGTGATTGTTGTTCCGGGGTGATATTTCGATTCTAGGAGCTCTGCAGGGCGCCAGAGCTCGTGCGCTTTTTGGTTGCTGAAATAGCTGAGGAGAATGCGTTGGAGGGAGAATCCTGGTGATATTGTTAGCACTCGGAAAAACACCACATAAACGGACAATAATTTTCTAGCTATTCTGCAGAGAGGGGAAACGCACCGACTCCTGCCCAAACCCCACCAGTATATCTCTCAATCAGACTTTCCTGATTCTGCAAGAGCGTCGGGTCTATTTGCAAGATTGGAACCCTTCGTATATGCAAGTCATGCACGGTAGGATTGTTGTTCGGGTTGTATTTCTGGTGGTACTTGCTCTTGAAGATCGAATCCGACGGAGAGAGCTGAACCGCTTCAATGTGTCGGGTTGCATAGAAGAATAATGACCCCGAAGCAAGCACTCCAACCGGAACCCCAAGGGCAGCGACCTTTAAGACCGACATGAGAGAAATAGAAATTTAAACATTGAACAGGGCTTCATATTCCCGAATCGCTCAAGCATTTCTATAAAATCCAAGATCGGGATCGGGATCTCGCATAGATGCCAAATCGGTTCGGCATCCGACCAAAAGAGGCAAAATGCAACTGCCGGGCTCAACTCACAGTTGACTAAGCGGGTCTCGGCCATTGAGTTTGCAGAACCCGCAAGAACCGCAAGCACCGAGCGATCTTCATATGCTTTCTTTTCTTGGGCTGGTTGAAAGTCCGCTAGCGAGGCTCTGATTTAGGGGCTTGTCAGATTACTCTATAGATTTAACCTATGCAAATGAGTGACGACACACTGCGAGCTGTAAGTAATGTATCAAATGGTCTTGGCATTTGGGGGATATAAACGCTAATTAGGATTTAGTGCGACCTCTGTCACTCGAGAAAGGTGCGCGGATTAAACGGGGGTTCGTTCAAAAAAAAGAGTACTGATTCGTGTATAGGTGCGCTGTGATAGGCAGGTGCGCTGTGCAAACTGTAAAGATGCAGGTGTTGAGTGTCGGCGTATTAGGGCTCAACGATCTCGTCCTCAACCGTCGTCGGTGTATGTCTCTGTGGAATGGATTTTGCTGGATATGCTGCTGATTTTGTATCATAGGATATCAGCCCTTGGAGAAAGGATATTGACGTTGGAAAGAACAGTTTCCGAGTATGATGATCATCACTTTATTACATTTCCCGTGTTTCTCTCTATTGACACAACATCCAGGGGATTTGAGAATCCAAGCCCATCAAACGGTTCAGGATCTCACCATGCCGATAATGTTTCCAAGAAAAGAAGGTTAGAGGAGGTCTCTTATCCCAAGGATTCTTCCCAATCCCCTCTCGACAGTTGTCCCATCGGATCAACGACTCACCATGCAGAACAAGCCCGAGTCGTTATACAAGCGGAGCTGGAAGGAAATGAACGAATGGACCGTGAGAGGCAGTCGATTCTCAAGTCTGCGCTGCAGTTCGTGGACGTGATGGCACAGGGCAGAGGCGCGTCTGATAAAAGTTCACCGTCACTAGAAGTGTGTCGTGAAGACTCTCAAGATCATGTTGCTTCTATTGCCCCATCACCGGAGTTGTTCTACATGCTTCTTCCAGGTACCATATAGAACGCAAATCGACTTTCGGAGAATGAGCTGACAGGACACTAGAGCCAACGACTTCAATCGGACGTTCCAGCTCTGTACAATGGCCAGACCACATCTCGGATAAGACACTGGAGAAAATGGCTTCTATTATTCTCAGTAATGACGATGGTGATCATGGTCAGGTGTTTTACCAGTATTGCGTGTGCGTTTACGTGAAGGCCATTTTCTTTCTCTTCCAGAAGCCTAGGGTTTACAAGGATCCTCGCATGAACGACCAATTTCTGAAGTCGAAGAAATCATATGAAGTTTCTGCATTTCGGGCTCTTAATTGCCTCAACTTTTTGAATGCCCCGTCTTTGCCTTTCATCCAGTCCCTAATATCGGCGGTATGAGCTGTAATATCGCTTTATGCCAATGGACTCGCACTGATAACTTACAGGCATTCTTGATGCAATACCTCGGCAACATGAGCCAGTCTTGGATTTTGAACTCATACGCCGCTCGACTTATTGTCGCTTTGGACTACCATGCCAGCGAAAACCCGCTTGGAAATTCTGATCTCGACGAAGAAATTCGCAGCGCCGTATACTGGTGCTTCTACCTCGATCGGACATTAAGCTCGCTTCTTTACCGGCCACTCTCATTGCCTGAACTTCGCATTTCTCCTACAAGTCTCATTAATCATGATCAATCACTCCCACACATCCCGTTAATACGTATTCTGTTAGACCTGGCCCAGATTCAGGGTGAACTGTTGGGCTGTGGGAAGACAGGTGATACCCGTCAGATAATTGCAAATCACTCCAGACTCCAAGATAGGATGGAGGTCATACATTCACAATTGGAAGCTGTAAGTAGAGTATTCCTTCATTTGAGCCTTTCCGGTCTAACTCGATGCCCAAGACTCGAACTTCAGCGCCTGATTTCATCTCTTCCGATTGGATTGCTGGTGACTTCTGTTACTATTCTATTCTAGTTGACATTCTTCGGTCGCGTTTAAAACACGCCTTTTCTCCTTTAACACATAAGGAATGTTTATCATATTCTCGCAAGGCTTTGAAAGCTCTCTCTCATCTTCAAAAGAACCTGGCAGACACACCTGGATTCATGGACCCGTACCCGTCCTTCTTGACATGGTCGGTTGTTCGCTCTACTCTAAGTATATGGACTTCCACTGACGCATTTTGGTTCACCAGGACCGTCCTCTTATACCCTTTAAGTCCATTCTTCGTCCTATTCTGCAACATCATCGGCGAACTAGACATGGACGACTATAACCTAATCCAGGAGATCACCCACAGCCTATCGCTGTTCAACGCAAGTCCATACATCGCCAAGCTCCTCAAGCTCCTCGACTCCCTACAGAACCTGTGCACGCCACTAATTGAAGCAAAAGAGCGCATGGGTCCCCAGGCCAAATTGGCCGCTTTGTATCCTGCAATGTCTGGGCTACGCCGTGATCAGCTCGGTACTCCTGATCAATCATACTTGGCCGAATCTCCCTATTTGGAACCTATTGTTGACCCGTATCACCAACTGCAGACGCCCAGTGATGGAGGCTATCGTCCGGATGATGAGATGATGTGGCAGCTGTTCAATAGCCAGCTTTCGCTAGAGTGGTTTGAGTCTGGTCCTTTCTCTTTTCAACAAGGCTGAATCATATGCCCAGGTTTCCGTATAATTAATTGGTTAGATCAAATTCATATGCACTCTACTTATTGACTATACAATGAGCAAGACTACTATATTTCCAGTATTCCATAGGTTTAACTAAGTTTATTTTAAGTAAACGTTTACTTAAAACCTTCTTTAATTTATACTCCTAGCTTTGCGGACCATCTATGCTACCCATGTTCAGCTTATAGAGCTAGTGAGTGGCGAGTGAAGAACGCTAGAAGATCTCCAGACAACCGGTGACACTGTTATTTAGGATCAGTTGTCAGATTTGCTCATGGTGCCAAACAAATCCTTTAGTATTGTGAGGGCTCCTGAACGACCTGAAAAGAAAGAGCGACCGTTCTGGAAATGAGAACATTTTCACCACCATCCATACAAACCATTCGATGGCAGATTCTTTTGGGGGTCCATGAATGCGGAATGAGAGCTAGCCTTTACCTAGGTACTTGATTTCCTCTGCCACTTCTTGGCCTTTCCTTTCCGTTTCAGTGCTCAGGCCTTGCCGCTTTCTACTCACCACGTAGATCTGAGCATGCATCTGAGTCTGATCGAATCCTAACTCATTACATAGGCATCTGATCCGACTCTCTTAACATCAAACTCTTCTAAGCGCCCTGATTCGCTTACTGAGTTTAAGCTAAGCCAAGGTATGAGCGCCTAAGTAAGCTACATTAATCAAATGCAGCACAACCAGTTCCGTTACGTGTACTCCGTACCCCTTCACTTTAGGATAGTAACCATTGTCCCATTAAAAAGCGCCTAGTATCATCAGTATAACCTTTCATCCTAGTAGAATAGCCATTATAAATTACGCTATAACGGAGCTTAGTACTCGGCTACCTAATTAATATTAAAGCCATAGTATGAAAGATCTGCTATATAACTTATAATTTTGATCACCCTTTGTCCTTGTTACAATTGTGACATTTAGGGCTTGGCATCCCCATCTATATGACGCCCTACTGAACATACATTTGCGATGAACTGGGGCATACCAGTACCGTCGCGTCTCTTCGGAAACAATCCGTCTACAATGTCCAAGTGTCTTTTTGGCGCGGTTTGGTAGAAGCACTTTCGCCTGTGAAAAATCTAACCGGAGAACGTTTCATTGCTCTATCTAAACTTGGGTAGTTTCCACACCAGTGGTGCTAAGCAGGTTGCCCTTCATGAGATCATCAAGAACGTCGGGGGGACCAGCATTTTGATGTAACATTATTTTATCAGCCTTACTTTCTTTCTCCAACACCTTCCGTATTATTATTTTGTTGACCGGACAGTCAATGCCTAAGTCTACCGCCCACCGCATAAAGCACCCATTGAGATACATGATCTCTGTTTGCTCGCCATTCCTTAGATCTTGCAGCATTGAAGTCGTATGTGCCCCGGCCCGCTGACCTATCTGATTTATTGTCGTTTTCAATTTAGCAGCGGAAAATTCGGTCTCCAGATCTTCTTTGCTGATGAGCCCCGAGAGAGGTAAGGCTTTGATGATATCTGAAAACTCGCAAACAAGAGCGTCAGAGGTAGCCTGGACTAGGGGATTGGTTGATGTTATGAGGCCTTCGATGGAGCAGTCCAAAAGAGACGTCAGAGGGTTATGAACAGAATTGGTTACAAGCTTGTTCAACTGTTGCTGAAGCAATTCTTGTGGACTCCTTACTGCGGCATTCAGGTAGTAGGCCCGCTTAAAGAGGCTGACCAATCCGTCAGCCCCAGGAGGAGCCTTAAGAGACATGGAAGCTTTGAAAGCTTCGGTAGTTCTAGGAGAGCTACCCAAGCTAATGCTGCCCATGGCCGTATGAGTTGCTGAAAAGAATTCGTTCCGACGAATGCAATGAGTGACAACAGCAGACATGTAATAGGGCCGTACAGATGCGTTTGGGAATAGCTCAGTGTCAAGCTCATCTAGGGAGCCTATTCCATTCTGCAAAAACAAAATGGTGGAATGCCTAGAAAGACGATGCTTGACAAGTTGAATTGAATGGATTGTATGATGAGCCTTAACCGCGACGATGAGAACATGAATAGGTGCTTCGTTACACAAGACGCTTTGAGACTGTGAGTGTTCCATGGGCTCAACGGAACTTCCGGGAAGCTCTCGATACCAACAGCCATCTTGGTAAGATTCAAAGTCGAAGTCAGTCTGGTACTCTGTAACTCCGTTTCTGGTGATGGCGAGTGATGGAGGATGATATTCTTTTGGTCTATGCAGCATCAAATTCAGGCGCGGCCGGTTGGTGACTCCAGCCAGGGAGTGTGCGACGAGGACACCCACACCACCTAGCCCAAGAATATGAATTGTATCAGCCATTTGATGGGCGTTGGAAAATGAAAGAATATACTTCGCAGCTTTGCAGGTGCTTGGTACTTTGTAGTACAAGGCTAGTTAAGTTGATCTTACTCTGCTCTATTTACAGTTGTTCTCGAAATTAGCTTAACAGATACACTCTTCGTCAATCTTTCTGGCCCCACCGCTAAGGCCTTAGCGCAGATCAATTATTGAGCGGGCCGCATTAAATTGATGCACATCGTAAAAGTCACCTAGCAGAAAGTCCAGGATTCAATTGTTAGGCAATCTCCTACATGATTTATAGAGCCCCACTAAAGAACTCTACGGAAATTCAATTTATTCTCGTAAGAGCTCCGTAATTCATATACCTAGATACAGTATCATATCTAGTGCCTTTCATAATGTCTAATAATTTGATAAGGCCTGCTTAATGATTAATCTGCGCTAAGACCTTAGCGGTAGGGCCAGAATGAATGACGAAGAGTGTATCTGTTAAGCTAATTTCGAGAATGACTATATCTCTAGGCATAATATATTTTCATTATAGACCGCTAAGGATTAGAAAAGTAGCCTTGACGATCGGTCCGAAACTTAAAATATCTTATTTTTAGAACCATTCGGCATTTTGCCGATCACTAAGATCGTCTTAAAGGGTGGGCGATAATCATTTCTTCTGGAACGAAGTGGCTGTTGTATAACATAGGAAATGCATATATAAGGGGCAAAATACGAACGCGTATAACTTGAAAAGCCAAAGTTGAATAAGATTTGCACTTGACTTTTCCGTTAAGTGTAGAAATTTCTGCCACTGGCGTTCAACTACTTATCCTTAATTCAGACTATATAGACAATCTAACTATAGGGGGGACTATATCTTATACAATTAGAGATCTATAGACCTCTTATTATTTTTCCTTATTAATAGAGCCGAGGAAATAAATTATTAGCGAATACTACCGTCACCTACCACTAGGGATATAGCTTTTCTTAAAATCGGCTTAATAGATATACTCTTCATCATTCTTTCTGGCCCAACCGCTAAGCCCTTATCAGATTATTAAACATAATGAAAGGCACTAGATATGATACTGTATCTAGGTACATGAATTACGGAGCTCTTACGAGAATTAATTGAATTTCCGTAGAGTTCTTTAGTGGGGCTCTATAAATCATGTAGGAGGTTGCCTAATAACTGCATCCTGGACTTTCTGCTAGGTGACTTTTACGATATGCATCAACTTCATGCGGCTCGCTCAATAATTGATCTGCGCTTAAAGGCCTTAGCGGTGGAGCCAGAAAAGAGTGCGAAGAGTGTATCTGTTAAGCCGATTTCGAGAATGACTATAAGTCACATTGGATCATCCGGCATTTGATATTGCATTTGCATTTCATACAAAAGCCAAATCACTCTAGATTACGGTACTCACACACTTCTTCATATCCGCAATGGATGATACCAAGCTGTTCGATCTGCACGCGTCTTCGGACGACGAGGCCATTCCTCGTGACCTGCAATTTGAAGTTACGTGGGAAGATGCCGATAAAGAGAATCCTAGAACTTGGCCGGTTTGGTATAGGAGCTTCATTGTGGCCGTTATGTCGTTCTCTACCACTGTTGTGTACGTCTGTCTGAATCCACTTTATTTACAATAATGGCACTGATAGTATAAAATGGATCACAGTGTAATCTATTCGACAATATACACCTCCGCCATTGATGGGATGCAAAAGGAATTCGATGTACCAAGGACTGTCGTATTGCTAGGATTGACGACCAATCTGTTTGGTATTGCCCTTGGATCAGTCATTCTTTCCTCCTTGTCGGAAATCTACGGTCGTCGTCCACTATATCTCATCTCGGTACTCTTGTTTGGTGTCTTGATCTTACCCGTGGCTCTCGCCACAAACGTTGAAGCTATCCTTATCAGTAGGTTTCTCGGGGGGTTTTTCGGAGGCAGTGTAATCTCTAGCTCCCCGGGAAGCGTTACTGATATAACGGACGATCGATATCGCGCTTTGGCGATAAGTTGCTGGAGCCTTGGTGCAATGAACGGCCCGGTACTAGGTATAGCTTAGGTTATTCTCTATATTGTATAAGAATTTATGCTGATATGTGAATATTATTAGGGGGTATGATTGGCGGCTTTGTCTACCAGTATCTTGGCTGGCGCTGGATAAATTGGCTTGTCCTCATCTGTTCTGGGTTCAATTTTCTCCTAATACTTTTAGTCAAAGAGACTTACACGCCGAGTCTTCTTCGGAAACGAACCAAGAGGATGCAAGAACAGACAGGTGATCAAAGATGGTGGTGTCAGTTTGATCATAAAGAGGCGGTGACTGGGTTCCAAGTCATCAAGACAAACCTAGCCCGACCACTTCACATGATTGTCTTCGAGCCAATGTGGTAAGCATTCTGAGATACTTTCTATTCCCCCGGGCTTTGGGAAGTACGAAAAAAAGTCAGAGCTTGCACTTACTGTGACTAATAAATGGATGATAGTGTTTTCTGGAATCTTTACTTAGGTGTGGTCTATGCAGTGCTCTTCCTCTGTTTTGTAGCCTACCCGATAGTATTTCAAGAGCTTCGTGGCTGGGAACCAGGCCTTGCTGGACTAAGCTACTGTGGTATTGGAACAGGAACTGCAATTGCTGTGGCATCAGAGCCACTTATTCGGCGAATTGTCGCTATGCATTCTCTAGATCCAAGAACAGGATGCCCTGCACCCGAAGCAGCCGTGCTTGCCGTGGGTATAGGAAGCGTTCTGATTCCACTTGGGGAGCTTTGGTTCGCCTGGACCGCACAACCATCAATGGTCCATTGGATATACCCAATTCTTGCTGGTATCCCCTTTGGTCTTGGTAACAGCTTGGTCTTTATATATGCTACCAACTATATAGCTGGAAGTTATACGCAGTATGCGGCATCTGCACTTGCCGGTAATTCGATTGTGCGATTTGGTCTTGCTGGACTTCTTCCCCTTGCTGGGTCTAAGATGTATAGCACTTTAGGTGCTAAATGGGCTGGGACAACGCTAGCTCTCATCGAAGTCATGTTGATTCCGATCCCTTTCGTCTTCTACAAATACGGCGACAAGATCAGAATGCGAAGCCACATGATCCCCAAGACATTTGAAGGACCCAGATAGCACGATGAAGGTAGGTATCAAAAGCCATTCAATTTCAGATGATGGAACAGGGATATGTATGAGACAAGAAATAAGAAGGTAGAAAGGACATTCATATTCAACTGTTTTTGATGGTCGCTTGGTATCATGTGTTCTAGATTATCTCGTGAAATAGACGGCAATCGCTAGAGGTTTCCCTATAAGCTCAGCCATAATGAGATTTTATATATCAGTACAGTGGGAAATTCAGTGCTGGACCAAATGGGAGATGACTTATCAAGTAACTCAGATACAAGCCTGCTCGACTTTGCACAGTCAAGTGAATAAATCGTAGAGCAAATTGCTAGGGGTAGAGGACATATTTATAGGCTTCTCAGCTTCTGTCAGTCACAAGCTGGGCAAGCAGCATTGAAGGACAGCCATCCTAACTGAGGCCTGTTGAAACCCACGTCTTCTTTTTACCGCAAATATTTACAGCGATATTTTTTACATTTGGGTGCTCAGCGAGAGAGACGAGCAAGTGTCTTGTTGAAGAACAGGATGCTGAGTTGGTCAAGAAACGTTGGCTGACTGTTGAATCTTTCACGGTGGTCGAAAATTGAGGCACTGAGTGCTATTTCCGCAATGACAGGCTCATGTTTCTTGTTCTGATACCCCATCTGTGAGCGACTCAACGTCAAATCGCCAAACACGCCTAATTTCATCTCTAGAAATTATATATTTATTTCCTAGCCTCGCTTTAGTGTTGTGTTGGTTGTGTTAAGCTGTGGATCTGTCCGTCTAGACTGCGGAAAGCGAGGTCACAGTAGGATGTGCGTGCGGGTGCTCGACCCGTCAACCCATTGAAGCTTGGCCCAACGTTGTCAAAATTCAATTTTCGAACTTGTGACAGACAGTAGCTGGTCTTATGATGACGATGTAGGGGGCCTGGCCAAGTGCCAGCTGAGTCTGGGGCGCCGGGGCCCCATGAAATATTGGATTGTTGCGTCCCGTGGTGGATAAATTGATAGATCGACATTGAAATCACAGACACATCATATGAAGCGATTAGGTATCTGTTCAACCAATTTGGTCTGTCCTCCAGTATCATGGTTATCATATGTATAACTATTTAGTCACGTACTTAATTTTAACAATCAGGCCGGTCTGCCTTTTCAAGAGCTACTTAAGTTTTACTGTCCACAATGGCCATCTCTGATACCAAAGCAAGAATACGCACAAATACACCGTACTTTGCTTAGCTAAAGAGGTGTGCACCTTTTTGGCCTAGCGGTCACGAAACAGGCGTTTTTTCTATGCAAAATCTGATCATGATCAATCCGCAACGTCATTGCGCAATGGCCATTGATTATTGACCAGAAAAAGCTTGAGTTGCTGCCCCAAAAATTTACTTCAGATGCCGTCTTTCATTATCCTTCGCCCATCGGAACCATCCAGGGCACCACTGTCTTTGCAAAAATGCTTCTGATTTTGAATGGCGTCACAACCTACCACTCATTGGGCACGCATATTACCGAGCTCGTCAGTGCGAAGACAGCTACAGCAAGCACGTACTGTATCGGAATCCACATGAGAGCGGGAGATAAAGCGGGAGAACCGATGATGATCTTGGGTCATTATGAAGACTGATTGATCAAAGGCAGAGTGGTTGACGGTCTAGACTTTAATGTATGGCGTATTGTTGAGCGTCGAGTTCACCACCATATTCCTCCCACGGAAAGGCAGAAGTTCCCTACTATGGCTTGATCAAATTTTGGTCAATAGAAGCATTTTGCCTTTCGGATTGAAAACCACATGTTGCGGTCTATAAAAAAGCTGGCGTAACGTAAAGGGAGATTTTGAATTGTCTCTTGACTTGTTGAAAGACTTTTGGAGTAATAGGAAAAAACATATAGTAGTCATACATATTCGTAGCAATAATCACCCTGCTCCGGGTTCATCAACTCCCTCATTTTCTTGCTCCGTCCGAGAACACCGAAGCTGAACTCGGTCTCCAGCGTCAACTCCGGTGTCAAGGGGGAATTATACAATGTCATAGTCCCATTAATGGCCCACCGGTGGTTCTTCTCATCTTGAGCCTGCCAGATCGTCCACATTCGATCAACCATTCCATGATGCAACATAAACGCTGGATCTTGTGGCGAGGAGAAGAAGTCCTCCATTGTGCCTGTCATGGCTCTATGTCCGGCCGTGTGCGGCCCGAACTGTCGCGCCCACACTGCGGGGTCCATGCTAATGTCCATTCGTTCTTGAAACGTGATAATATCTGGGGATTCAAGTAGATGGCTGATCGCAGCGGCGTTGGAAAATATTGCCGTCATAGAGGAGTTTATGTGGCGATTTAGGCAATGAGGCGTATAGTGGAAGAGATTCTCGGGTAATTCGAGTGTTGGATGTGCCCCTTGTCGAAAATTGACCTGCATGTTGGCAAAGGGGCCAGTAGTCACGCAGTCATTGTTATCTGGGTCCCCATCACCGGAAAGGGAAGTGGGAGACCCATCAAAAAGAGGACTGGCGGTAAGATTTTGGGCATAAAGAGGCCAGTCCCAATACCTAGATGATATTAGATCCAGCACATAAAATACTGTATAGACAAGGTGTATTGGGCAGAGTTAGTTCACATACGGAAGATATCCTTGGTACGAGCATTCCTGTCTTAAGGCTTGTTCCCAGAGCCAGATAAACTCACGATGCCATGCCAAAAGTGCCCCATTCGCGTGAACACTAGTCGCGTGACCCATGTGCACACTTTGCTTTGCAAAAGAGTCAGCTACAAGTTGATTTTTTCACATTCGTTGGTGTCAGGTTCTACGTACGCAGTGAAATCATCCATCCGATGACGAACGCCAGGGTATTGTTCCGATGGAAGAATTGGAGGGGTGTTTTGCATGCAATGAACGGCATCAATGTAATCCATGCGCGCAGAGCGAGATAAGGTGCCCCTGTGAAATTTGGGGTCAGCTAACAGATAAATATTTCTCCTCAGAGGTTGTCCTTCCGCTCACTTACCACTCGCGACGAGGTGCTCGGAGGCCGACAGAGCAATATCTCGCGTATGCGGACAAATGGAAGAGGAATATAATGTATCTCATTACGAAGCAATCAAGAACACTACACGGAAAAAATCTGGTAATAATGAAGAGGTGCAATGTTTTTGTCCGCCACCTATGTAGAACCTCGCTAGAAGAACTGTAGGATTGCGATTCATACTTCTTATAGGAACGTAAGATCAATACATTTTACCGTAAAGCGTTATTGATCTAGATGCCTCTTAATCTCTTCTAGAAAGAAGGCTATCAGCTCAATGAATTGATATGGCAATACCGTAAAAGACTGTATCTACTAGTCACCCAACCCTTGCGCACGCCACGGCCATGGAGATCAATGAGGAGTATGCAAACAGTCGCTTTCACCTTACAGAGTTAATGTTCCTAGTGTGGACTTATATGGTAAGGATTCCATTCCGTCTTGTGGCTTGCAACGAGGGGAACAAGTTGCCTGTTCGGCCCAGTGGTATTAATTACAATATCTGCAAAGCCAGAAGCCACCACCATATCCACAATTTAATACAATAATTCGTCTCCACTCATAATACCAATTATTATAGGCTCTGTGATGCAAAGGAACCGCAGTCCTAAGGAAACTGACGATGGACCAGTCCATAGAATGACTTGGTTTGACATGTTAGTGATCGCTCACAGGCAGTGTGATATACACCTATGGCCAATTTTCACTGTTCTCGCTCCTCTATCCCCGTCATATTCTTCTGAGGACAAAGAAGTAAGCCCCTTTCCACCGGAAATGGTATTCACATATAACATATGCAGGGCGCGACTCTCTTTGGCAACAGATTATAGAAGTCAATGATTCTTCAGTTGAACAAGATGGTTCGGGAAACATTCTTGTATATGTAATTCAAAGGATTCAAGATAATTAACAACATTAGAATGAGACGCAGCATGGCGGAACATCAGATTCACCAACGCCAGGACTATGCACTTATATTGTGTGTCAACCTTTTGCGCGCTGTTCCTTCGAGTCCTGGACTCGCTTATGATTTTTTTAAGCTCGTATTCTAGTGGGGTAACTGGCCAGGCATCCACTCCATCTAAAATGGGCATTGCAATTCCCCCACTAAACTGGCGCTGGACTTGGCAGTGAATAATGACGGCGCCAGGATTTATGACGTGATACCGGATGGCCAGCTGGCTCTGCTCCTCGCGTGTCCCTGCGACGATGAACCATCCCGGATCTGAGGGTTTTTTTAAGCTGAAGCTTTCCGGTATAAACTGCATCGCCTCAGCAACTGAAGTATAATTCCAAGCGCCAATCCCACTGCTGATGACGTGAAATTTGTTGGAATGCTTGTGAATTGCGTGAGTTTGCTGGCCAGATTCCGAGCTGTGCATTATGATGTCTACCCAAGGTCCACTTTTGGTGCTGAGTTTGAGCTTTCTGTCAGTGATGAAAGATGAATTAAACAGGAGTGGAGATTTCAATTTCTCAAGAGTCATGGGGAAAATTTCGTTTCCAGGCGTCCATTTGTATTCGTTTTTTATCTCGAGAAATCCGGAGGATGAATCTCTGATCATTCAATTCTCTGCCACATCTTCCGCTGAATAAGGGAAGATTTCGGATTCGTTCAAAATATCACACTGGCGGACGTATTTGCTCTAGTGATATCAACATACGGGTTATCTGATGTGTTAATGATACGATTCTGGGTCGCAGGCTTCGATGATGCGATTTCAGACGCATAAGATAGAACTGCAGTCACATTCATGATCTGAATTCCGGCGTGCACTGCCCGCATGGCGTAATTCCCGGAAAGCTTGTTCAAATCCACAAGGACCGAGTATGAGCTGCCAGTAAAGACTGTGATCGCATCCACCTCAGTGAGTTCAATATAGCGGCCATCAACTGCATACACCCACAAAGGATGTTGATCAATAGAAGAGGTCATAAAGTTGGCGCCAGATGCGCTGATGATCTTTTAACCTGCATATCGACTAGAAGCCTCGAACTTAATACCTCAATTTGACCCTTGGAGGCTTTACAACCAGAGAATGTTCCAGGGGGCACTGGGCTATAATTGACTGGCCCAAAGATCCTTCAATTAAAGGCGTGAAGAGGAACTCACGCGATATCTGTAAGGTTTAATACTTCGAAAATGACTGTGCCCAATCACCTAGTTTCTTAAATTTACTCCAGCTTTCAGGACATTTTCTTTCTTAAGTGCCTTGTGTAATATAATCTAACTACCCAGTAATTGACATCCTCCCCAACAAGTTGGGCGTTCCAAACACAGAATTGTGGAATCTGTACAAAAGACCATCGAAGTAATGTACCACTAGCTCGACCGCTAATCCTCGTCCCATTCTCGCAGCCTACCGACGACCATAGAAGCTCTGCACGGGGCTAACACCCTGTGCAGTGCCGATGGAAGTCTCAAACTGAAGTCTCCACCACTCAACCTGGTCACGGTTATCCATGAAGGTCGCGAATTGGGATAGACCGCTGGACTGATCGTCCCAGGGGTTGCTGGTAGCAGCCAAGTCCTTGCGGACCCCGTAGGTTCCGTTGAATCTTGCCTGGTATTCGTCACTGAGCAACCAGCTCATGAACAGCTTAGCGCTCTCGGGGCGAAGAGTGCTGGCGAAGATGGCACTAGTCTGGGGCCACAGCATAATAGGGTCTTCGGGCTTCTTGCTTTTCAGCTTGCCACTGGCGCTAGTGGTAAAAGACAACGAGCGTGTCGAGTTGGCTAGGGCGATATAGTTGGCAGGCTCGCCGGTACCGCGGATCCACTTAACGTCTTGCTTGACCAGGGCCTCGAACCAGTCCCAGCCGTACTTGTTGATAAGAAGAGAGAAGAGGAAGGTGATGGCATCATCATCATTAGGGTAGGTCAAGGCAAGCTTGCCCTTCCATTTAGGTTGAATTAGCTCGTCAAAGGTCGACGGGACGTCCGAGTCCTGCACGCGTTCTGGGTTATAGGTGAAACTGCCAAAGCTGTCTACAAGTCTTGTCAGCGTAAGAGTAGGTTAGGTGTCTTAACAGCGTTTACTAACGGATAAAGGTACCATAGTATGCACCATCGGCATCCTTGACCGAGGCCCAGACATCATTGAAGTGCGGTGGCTTGTAAGGGAGGAGTCGGCCCTCCATCTTCCATCGAGTGAAGTCGTGGAGGGTCTGCAGAACCGCAATATCGGCGCCATCGGATCTGGTCCGCTGATACTGCCGATCTATGCGGCTGTCATGGTACTTGGACACATCGACGGTAAGTTTCAGCTTAACATCCGGGAAACGGGCGTTCCAGGCCTCGATCGTGGGCGTACCCTGGCTCACGGCTGAAAAAGATATCAACAAAAAAAATCTCAATTCCGCAGATCAGGGGCAAACATACCATCACCTCCCCAAAGAACAATAAGTTCACCTTGCTCCTGCTTGGCGGCCTCGTATATCGCATGAAGTGTGCGATTCTCAACTGCCAGTGAGTGGCCTGGATAAGAGTTCAAGGTTGGTGTCACGGCGTGGGCAAGGCTAGTGAGGCCCACAAGGCCGAATGCCGCCTTCATGGTGAGCTTGTGTAGCAAAGTTGCGTAGATAACTGCAGCGATGCAAAGTAGAATGGGATCGGCTGATCAAGGCATATTTATCACTCGAGAACAATGTATTTGTGGCTACAGCGTCTAGGACACAACAAATTCTCTCTGACGATCAACTTAGGTTCTGATGATTTGATAAGTGAATTGACAATAAAGGGGGTCAGGGGGCGTTGGATCCCCTGGAATAACCTTCACAGTTGGACCTGGAGGTACGGGTGCTTTCCGAACTCAGCATTGCCAAGTACTATTGTCATTTCCATCCGTGATTTGATTGGCAGGTTCAATAATATTTTAAACCCGTTTAGCTTGGCTGATTTTCTGGATCCGACTTTAGCATTAGACCTGTTGGATTCCCTGCACTGATGGTATTATTCTGTTACCCTGATACGCACTAATCATGCATTAGGGTTAGACCTGCATGCATAATACTGCGTCATGACCACAGAACTCCATAGCAATACAACTACCATACAAATGCTAAAAGACTTTCCGAGATCCCCGATACGCTAAACTATCAACGGCCCGCGTGCCCGGAGACTGACTGGAATTGTCTTGACCCACTGGAGACTATTTCTGAAGCCTATATCACCCCCTGCAATGGCTATACAGACCCTATAGGTTTTCGAGGATGTGATCTTGCGCGTTGGTTTACTGCCTAGGACAGGTTACACTGATAGAGCTGAGCACGGATTCATTCATTACTTGGAGACTGCCATCTCAGTCATCCGCGAGGTGAAAGATGCTTTGAAGATCGAAGAAATGGACAAATACAACAGCTCCTTCTATGGATTTTTGCCTCTGGGTCGTGCGCCTGCTATTTATACGGCTCCCTTGAATTTCCTCTGAGACATTCTGCCTGAATTCGTTGACCGTGGTGAACAAAGATAGTAACATCCTCATTGATGATTTGATGAGAGGAAGATTAATCCTGATGTATCGGAAGTCTGATAATAATCTGGTTTGCATCCACGATTCACCAGTCCTTTACGAATGACCATACGGTGGTGTTGAAGACCTTTATGGTTTACTAACTGGGTCATATCAAACAAACTCGAGTTTCAACGTTAAATAGCCGCTGTGAGATGAAGGGCCTCCAGTCTCGTCAGTACTTGCAATCCTTCCTCGTGATGTTGCACATAATTCCTAAGCCCAAAGCCCAAAGCCCTCTCCATTTGCAAGCTTCCACTGCGGGGGCAGAGATAGTAGGTGCAAGACTCGTAGCAATCACCCTTGCAAGTGTCACAACACCTAGCCATCTCGCCAACTTGACAGGTGAAATAATCACTGCCGGCGTTGTCTATGAAGTCGTGCGCGGATGATTATGCGTTCGTCCTTTTTGTTCGCGGGTTCCCTTATTGCATTAAAACATTTCATGAATAATACACCAATAGATCGAAACATTACGGTTCATCCTTCTTCCATGATCTTTGGACTTGGTTGGTTCCCGCGGAATGTGAAATGTCCGTAATATTTCCAACATCTGACGCTTTCATGGACTGAAGAACTCCGAAATGCTATTCGGGATGGCCCTCCAATCTACTTTCTTCTCAATTGGAGGTAGATTCACTTTACCTGAGGCATATGCCCATCGTATGGAAAATGCACTTCTTCATATTAGCATGCAATGCTCTCCAGGGATTGTGGGGCAGGGAACAGACAGAAAACATGACAGTCTCGATGTAGTTTGGGTGTGGCTAGAACAAATATTGGTTAGCATTGGGCAGGAAAAATGAGAGCCCTAGCTCTTACTTCATCGCCCCAACGAGGTACAAGCTACCAATCACTCCATGGCGTGTAATTCTTTGGAGAACCATTGGGTCTTGCAGTAATTCATGGACATCCTTGCTCGCTGGGAACAGACGGCTACTGTCGACCATAGCCCATGTCCCTCCAATCTTGTCTCTTGAAAATTATCAGCGCTGAAGGATCAGCTTGAGATTGAAGCTTACATTGGTTGACCTCGTAAGGTAAAGATTTGCCATTCGATGTAAAAGAACCCCTGCAGATCAAGTCGCAACTTGTGGTGTGGCTCGTCGACCACAGAAACGCACCATGCATGTATACCAGGACTGAAAGCATGCCACAAACTGGCTGTATCTTGAATGGATTGCGACCCTTTTGAAAATTCCGGCATTCTCTGCTTTCCACCAATGTTTGTCAGATCGAGGAGGTCATTAATGAGATAAATGACAGACTTGGCGGCTGAATAGGACTTGGTCAGGCATTCCCGGATTTCCACATCAAGTGTACGATCCAATGCAAGCTCAAGATTCTTGATAACAGTATTGAGCGGCGTACGAATCACAGAAGATTCAACCAGCCGTAACGCGTTGAGTTTTGGGTTTCGCATAGTAGCCTCTTTCTGACGCCTCACCTTGATGAATTTACCGTAGACAAAGCACAAAACGGCCGCTGCCTCCATGTCGCTTTCAGACCACTCGCGGGATTGAATCAGAACTGTCTCTCGCCATGCTGTAAAGCTGGCACGGGGCTCTAAGTACCCGGCAGTTTCCTTGCGCTTAGCTATATCATAGGGGTTGCCGCCCCATTGAATATCCATATGTCGGCCTTTTCGAAAGAACACGATGAAGTCACCAGCACTGGTGGATAATGGCATATACAGAAATCCTGATATGATTTTGAGACCAGGAGGATAATGGAAATCGGGAAAGTCTTTTAGAATGTCGTGAGAGGCGAGCACACAGTTGATTCGGCGCACATGTAAAAATCCACTAATGGCGAGGACTTCTTGCGAATGAGTGTTGTCGCCTAATATCTTCGTTTCATCGCAAATCGATAGAGCACCGTAATCCGCATCAAAAAGTTTCAGAAGGCAATGTGACGACGCAATGATACAGCTAGACGGATTTGTACCAGTGGGGATTGTTTGGATCAATTTTCGAGCATTTAACCGAGATATGAAGGTAAGGCGTTTAATGTTGCGTGAGATCGTTTCACCCAGTAGACGGCACATTTTGCGAATAGGAAACGAGACGCGCATTCCATTATCCCCATAGGAATGACAGGAAATCAAACCCCATAGGTCATTGGAAGGGCAAATGCTGATCGACATAGACGAACGGATCTGCATGTTGGCAAGATACTTGATATGGACAGGGGACATGGCACGTAAGTAGGCATATGTCATGTCTAGAGGTGTTTCTAGGTCTTCCAATTTCCGACACACCAGCCTTGCTGTAGCCTGGCCACGATCGTAAAGTAGCCGAACTTTGTTGATCTTGTATAGCTCACGTGCTTGGGCGGGAATATCGGACGCCGGGAAGTGAAGGCCTTTGTATAGGTCAATGCTGATATTGGGATCAAACAATTCGGCAACAACTTGACCATTCCAGCGACTATCAAATTGGTATATCAAGACCCGGTGGAAGCCAGTCAACTCCTTGACCAGGCCTGTAGCAGTGTTGAGTAAGGTGTCAAGGCTATCAGCTAGGCCCAATTTCTCCTGAGATTGAGTCAAGATGCTCAAAACCTCCATTGCTGCCGCTTCGCCCCTTTTTTGACGAGAACTCCGAAGAATCCGAAGTGGCTGGTTGGTGTCTATGGTGCTCGAAGCAAATTGCTCTGCAGTAGGGAGAACGCCAAGAGTGTTGATCGGGCTGAGCATAGTCCTGACTCTCCCAACATTCAATGGATTAACATCATCATCTTCCAGCTCAAACTCGCAGATCACAAGGTCTTTGTGAGTTTGGCAAACATGTGCAGCGCACCATAAATGACGGCTTTCTCCGTTTGACATAACAATAGATAAAGGGAAAACTTCAGGACCATCCACGCCGAGATCATATGCATCACCGCGGACAAAGCTAAAATGTGCCAACAGTGTGACTGCTTGATCAGAGTCCATAATTTCACAAAAGTTCCCTAGTTCAAATAACTGTCTTGGAGAGTAGCCCATAAGTTCGTCGGAATTTTCGCTAACCACACGAACCACAAGCTGGTTTGGGGATTCTTCTCGCAAAACGAGCATCACTCCAAAGCTCTGAATGGCACCTGGGATTCGAATCGGCTCGTCTTCGCAGTATTGAAAAGGAGCCCCAGCTCTTCCTGTGATGATGGCATGACCATTTTGAGTCACGATATGTTCAAATCTCGGAGTGATAAGCCCATAGAAATCGCTGGATGCTGGTGCCCGGGAGAATGGAGCTTGGGCTACAGAGATTTTGGAAGATTGACTGCCCATCTCCAGTGGCTCCCTTAGAGCTACCCCGGAGGTGTTTATCGACATACCTGGCTTTCTACTCAAGTAGCAGCCTGATAGATTAGAGAAGAGAGACAATGTTTGCACAGAAACATTCTTCTTTATAACCTACGCCTCGTGTAGAAAGCGACGTACTTTTGTCCCGGCACTGACGGAATACGAGGGCCGGTCATAAATACGTGTCAAGCCACATAGCTGCCATTCTATGAACCCAATGTAAGCCTGATCAATATTTTATTTCTTGGTTCAAATAGTTCCAAGGCCAAGCAAGCAGAATAACTCAGTTCAACGTTTGGATTGATTCCTTGAGTGGTGTGTTCACATTTCTATGGAAATAGCATTGGCATGGAAGAACTGGATAAGGTATATCGATCGAAAGTATGTTGAAATGCATAGCTTCTCTGGCTTGTTCGTGTTTGCATGTACAATTGCAAATTTGAAGGATGTCTCGTAATCGGAAGCAAAAGAGAGTTTGGATTGTACAAGGATTCACTAAATTACACTTAATAGCTCGACCAACGTCCTAGCAGTGAGTGGGGCGAAGAAGTAAGCAAAGTACCAAGCCGGTGAGCGAAGAATTGATGAAAGTACCAAACTGGTGAAACGAAGAATTGATCAAAGTACCAAACCGGTGAAGCAAGTCTCGTATTTCTTTGCAGCAGCGCACCTTCTCTCAAAGTGAAGAAGGCAAGCTTAACGGACCTTGTAGAAAATACATCGATAATACTACGAATGATCCCGATTTAAGACTGTGTTGAGGGGCGTGCCAAGCGAGAAGTAACAGCGGACCGATGGCGGGCCAACGGGTGAAGGTGTCCGGACGCCCCCCTGTAGCACGCAAGGATCGACAAGACCTCCACCCGGATGAGAACGTTGATTCGCTGATCCTGCCGCGTACAAGCATCTATAGCGCCGGCAAAGGTTAATAGCCTCTATTGTGAGATGTCAAACTTCGGCTACTCCTCTTTGGTTTGCAAGAATGAAACACATATGCTTCAAATAAAGCAGTAGTAGCAAGCAGTAGCCATTTACACACAACGTTATCCAGATACACTCTTGAAGCTTTTATAGTCCGAAAGATATTTCTGATTCGCCCGCAGGAAATGTGATTGAGAAGTAGAACTGCAAACAAATGCTGTACTTTTCTATAAACTTATCAGTCTGACCAGGCCGATCTATCACCTTCCATTGCTAGACAAGACATTAAATCCCCGCATCACTTGCTTCCTATATGGTGTCAGCGAGTCTAATCCACAATACCATGCACAAATGGTTTCGTTCATGCCTGATATTGGATTCATGTACGGAATCTGGCTACTTGTGAGCTACCGCGAAGGAAACGCTGGGATTGAAGACATGCTGTAAGTGCTTAAAACGCTGTGGGTATTATGGAACTAACGATTTGACTCGTCCATACCTATTCTCGCGGGAACAGTATGCCAGCTGAAAGGAATTGGCAAGTTTGCCCCGCTGTACTATGAAATCGAGTATATTTGAGCGCCTCTTTCGACTCTACTACAGAGCGACGAGCGAGATATGAAAACAACAGCCTTGATGTCTCTATGACCAGTAAGAGTCACAGAATAGTACCTGCCAATGTTTGCGAGCTTCTTGCCTCAACACTCGAGTCGCGTCAATCGTGGAGTGCTGCGTGGCAATTATTCCCGGTGGTGGTACCCATACTGCAAACCCCCTTCCGTGTTTTCGAGAAGCCAGCATCAAAGTTACTCCGCAAGAATCCAAATCTGATCGCAAGACTAATATGTTCGCTATCCGCTTCAAGTACGCGACGTTTGCTATGAATATGGGATTGAATTACCTCGGTGCCGGCTTTTCTGCTCCTGAAGACACATTCGATAGCTATCATTCTCTTGCCCAGATTGTACAGGCACGCTGAGGCTGTTGACTCGTTTTCGGAGGCCATAGCAAGGCTCCTTTACTATGATGAGATTCTGTCCACGGCATCTGGGTTTTTCTTCCGAGAGCTGAAGCAGTCCGGGGCTGAATATCTCACGATGGAAATCGACTTGTGCTTTGGTGGAGTCTGCCGTCGCTCTTGGTCCTGGTACAGAATTTACGCTTGATTGTGGATGGAGAGAGGAGATCCTTGCTTGGATCTCTACGAAATTATCGGAATGAGCTATGCCGACTGTAAAATGCCCCACCTTGCTGCCAACCTATCTAGGCATGGGAAGGTCTGTTCATAAGCAATATACCTACCTGGGTAGGCATCACTGGTATCACTGGTATCACTCTATAGAGTGTAAATGCCGCTATGCACGGCCACAGGTTAAAAAGAGCTGACTGTACTTGATCCGTACAGTTCTTGCCACCGACTTAACAGCCACCACCACCATTATACGTTTTTGACATCGTGAATTTGTATTCTGAAATAGTTTCAAGAAAATGAAATCTAGTCATAAGCTTTACTTCCAGATGCTTGAGGGGGTTGCTTCTCTTTTAGAGTGTTAGATAAAAGTTGGGCAATCACCTAGTGCATCCAACGAATGAGGGCTTAACAGGCGATGAACCAAATATGTAGTCGCCATTAAACCCCTGTGATGTATATGGGTACCACTGATATCAGTAAAGCGAGTTTTAGCATTCAAACCTGACATTAACCATACAATATCGAACACACATTATCGTACAATCTACCTAAATCTATCGAGTTACCCTGCATATGTAGTTGTGGATGCAATATGGTGGGGCAAAATACTCAGCCTCTCAGCCTCAGCCTCAGCCTTGCGGCCCCCAAATATGACAAACTGGGCAATTGGATCGTTATAAGCTGCTCCAAGGCGTCATAGTGGGGTTTGTACTCCGTGTACAGAGTACAATGTACAGTATACAATAACTATGAAGTGGCTTGACAACGTTGCATGTTTCTTTAAGTGATGCTTCCACCAGCATTGGGTGTAAACAAATACAAGCAATACTAAAGGGATAGTAAAGTAAGTCGTCTCGCAGAATAGATCCCAATCAGTACGTTATACTATCTCGTGTATAATGAAATAACTGTCAATAGTCCACATCTTGTCAGACAGTAATTCTCCGAATTAAAATAAGCTTAGAACTATTAGGTAGACACGTCAAGATCTATCATATTATCTGCGGTAGAGATACTTGATCTTGGCGGTGGGGATCGGGCGGCAGACAAGTCCCTGGTACCTCGACTAGCGTAGGCGCAGCTGATCCCAACTTCACCTCTCTTCACAATCACAATCCCACCTTTCCCGCATTTCTGTACTCGATTTCTCCATTTTTCCTCCCAGACTACTCGATCGCAACGGTTCATTCGCCGTATGGGGATACTCAGAGCTATCCGGTAGCGTGTCACCGGCCCGCGTGGTCGCACCCCCGTCTCATTCGATTCGATTCAATCTCCTCCTTAGTCACTCGTTTGCCCATTCGAATGTCGGCTTGACCTAGTATTCACCGCACAAATTAGACCCTAGACCCGCGCACACCTGTGAGCGCGTCGAATCGAGTGGAGTTGACACCTGGTGGGACCCCCTCCGCAATTATGGCACAATATCCGAACGGCCAACAGGCATACTATGGCCAATCTCCAAACCCTCAGGTCTCCGTTCAATCATCAACTGGCCGATACGAAAGATATTCATCCCAGAACAACCCTGCGCCAGACCAACATCTACCTCGGAGGATGCCGAGTTACAATGCCGGGGATGATTCTGGATTCTTCAACCCAGCCCAGGCTGAGAATACGAGAGCGACCGAAGGAAACGCGCAATATCAGGGACAATACTTGGACCAAAGTGGTGGCTATGGAGGTGCTGGGCAAGGAGGCTATAACGTTGCGCATGGGGGTTATGAAGATGACCGAGACTCAAGATATTCGCACGCCTCTTCAGATACAATGGCACGCACGTCGCCGAGCCGTGCCTCTTCTCAGACCTCTGCCGGGTCTTACCAGTATCAATACTCAGGGGCGGCAACTTCCCAGTCAGCATACAACCCACAACAATACGGCCTCCCACACACGCAGTCGCAACCAGTCCTCGCTTATAACCAACAGACGTACAACGGCACAAGCCATACTTACGCAGCCCCGGCTTCCGGACACCAACCTTATAACCCCGCGGCGTACCAGTCCACTACATCTTCCGGCCTGAGCTCTCCGGTTCTACCTAGAAGGCAGAGCACAGTTTCGCATTACGGCCAAACACCACCAACCCCACAATTTTATGGCTTTCCCTCCCAACAACCACCGCCTCCACCGCCGAGGGCCCCAGATCACCCGTATGGAGGACGTCAGCCTGTGTATCAGCCTATGTCACCAAATCCTTCACCTTCCTATGTGCCCTCAAACTCCCCTGGCACAGTCCACATGCCCCCGCCTGCAACACGGCCTTACTACAACAACTCTCCGGGAACTGCATACGATATGCCTTCTCCTCAATACAACTCAACGGTCTCGAGTAGTTCATACGAGGAACAGCCACCAACACCTCCAGTCCACCAACCGCAAACAAATGGCCTTTACGCGAAGCGACCAAGTTTATCTCAATCTGGGCCAGGGCGATCCCTGCCAAGTCCTCCAGTGCAGTCAGAACTACCTATAATACCACCGAGGCGAACAGATACTCTGACTCGACACCCTCAATCGCGACCTCTGCCGGGCCCACCCGCGGAGGAAATCGAGAGAAACGGTGACTACGTACCAGCAGATGCTCCCATGGCGTACGAAGATGTCATAAGACAAGACGAGGCGAATTTGGGTGCTCAGAACTTTGCGCGGCGCCACAGTTCAAGAGCATCCCATGCTAGCTCTGCCTCGCGCTTGCGTTTGTCGCCAGATGAACAACACACGCACACTAATAATGGAAATATGGACACCGGCACAGGTCATTACGTGAATTATGACGCCCACAGCGATGAAAGTGACGCCGAAGCCGCGGCTGGACTGGCTATGTTGAAAGAAGATATAGCACGAGAGGCCCGTGAACAGGAGCGTGAACTGCAGCGCACCGAAGGACGAATGCGACGCGAGACCAATGCGTCAGTTCTCAGTTCTCGTGGATCTAACATCTCGCCAAGAGACCACTCCCCCAATCCTGACCCCAATGTTGATGGTGACTTCATTGGCCATGATCTTGAGTTTTATGAAGGAGGGTATCAAGCAAACCTTCACTACGGAGAAGAGTACGGTTCTGAGGACTACTCGGATATTGCAGCGGGCAACAGGTTCCAAGGCACATCCGGCTCCCACAGAAGCTCGAATGTGTCTCCCGACGAACGCGGGGAATATTACGATGAATATGGACACCCGGCCATCGCGTACGCATATGCGAACCGTCTCCACAACATGCTACCCGACGCCAGGGTAGATGCTGGTGGTACAGGAGGGCTTTCTGCACCCGATGCCTACGCTCGACGCATGAGCTTTGACTACGGCGATGAAGGAGAAGCGCCATATGATCAGCCCCATCCTGGCGACCTGTCTGATGATGATAGCCCTCACCGAGCCGCACACGAAGAACTTTTCTTCCACCCCGGGATGCGCCCCTTGCCACCAGCGCCTGTTGAACCTGCTGGTAATGTCGATCTTGTTTCTCAATTAATGCCAGCGGGCACCTATAATCGCCATGCAGAGCAGGATCATCACGACCCCTATTCACTGTATAGAAACCCCTCGCAGCACAATGCGGACTTCGATGGGGATACCTTGTTGAGCCCATCTCAAGTCCCGCGGTCGTCGTCTTTGTCGACTCCTGTTGGACCTCGCGCTGATGCACCTATCAGGTCCAAGACCGAGGCCTATAGATATAAGCAACAGCAGCAGGAGCTTCTTCTGAAGCTCAAGCAGAAGGATCTTCCTCATATCGATCCGGCCGCGGCAGCTGCGGCGGCTATCACGCTGGATCTGCCAAGCATTCCGGCTGGTCGGCGCAAGAGATTCCATCCTGCGAAGCTGTCGTCCGAACATTTCAAGAAATGCAGCGAGCCGTGGGCGTTGAGTTCTCTCTTGTCTTGGATTCGAGATTTGAGCGAGGACGAAACGGACCTCAGAGAGCAAGCCATCGCCGATGCCATGGTTGCTTTGTTCACTCACAAAGTCCCTACTATGAATATTGCTGATGCCGAGACACTGGCTGCTCGAGTCGTGAGTAGTATGCTTCAGGAAGGTGCGCTGGTCAAAGAGGAAGAATGGGTTAAATTCGGCTCGGGCACCCTGTCGGGTGTCTTGTTCCAGATCACTGGAACGGGATGTTACTCGGCCAGGCTACACTTGCAGGAGATGCACATCGAAGATACGGATAGCTTCGGCCGGTGCTACTCCCATCATTGTATGAGAACCTTGAAGAAGGTCAACCTCAAGGCCCAGATGATGGCCCCGCAGAAGAAGGCCGAAGACTGGGTGACTTTCTACAAGGTTCCCAAAGAGGTGTGGGAAGCTCACCCAAGGAAAGAGGTTGATCGACAAAACAACTTGCACGAGATTGTCACCACCGAAGACTCCTATATTGGCCAACTGGATGTCCTTCGAGAGCTTTATCGTGACCAGTTAGCTGCCATGAACCCTCCAATCATTCCGTCGAAACGGTTACCTAAATTCCTGGCCGATGTCTTCGGCAAGGTTGATGCCGTGAAGAAGGTCAACGAGGACTTCCTGCTGGCACAGCTGAAGTACCGCCAAAAGGAGCAGGGTCCATTCATCTCTGGATTTAGTGATATTTTCAGAGAATGGATTCGGAAGGCGAAGAACGTCTACATTGACTACGCCGCAACGTTCCCGACCGCCAATTATCTTGTACGCAAAGAGGCCGAGCGCAACCCGCACTTCAAGCAGTTCTTGAACCAAGCCCGGGAGCACAAATTGTCCAGTCGACTTAGCTGGGATACTTTCCTCAAGGCTCCGATTACGAGAATTCAACGGTATACTCTTCTACTCGCGACGGTGCACAAGAACATGGTCAAAGACTCAGAAGAAAAGACCAATTTGGTACAGGCTATTGAGGAGATCAAGGTTGTCGCACTGGAGTGTGACAACAAAGTAGGAGAGATGAACAAGAAGGCCGATCTGATGGAGTTAGCAGCCAAGCTGCAATTGCGACCCGATATGAAGAAGGAGGTCGAACTTAACCTTGAACACCTGGGTCGCCAGATCATACATCGGGGTGAGCTGCAACGCCCAGGAACACGTACTCGATTCCTCGTCGAGACCCATGCCATCTTGTTCGATCACTACCTTGTTCTTGCCAAGACATTCACAATGCGGGACCGGGCAGTCAAATACGAGAGATATGATGTCTCAAAGCTCCCCATTCCGATGGATCTCCTCGGGTTGGAAAGCACCGATGATGACCCCGTCGTCAAATCATCGGTCAGGGGTGTCTCGACTGTAACGCCCTCCCAAGCAGGCGCCGTCAGTCCTCTGACACATACCGGTTCTGGTGCATCAGGAGGAACGACAACCATTGACAACTCCCGAGACGATAAGATCCTTTACCCCTTCAAGATCAAACATCTGGGCAAAACGGGGACATACACTCTGTATGCTTTCTCGGCCCAAAACCGCAAGGAATGGTGTCAGAAGATCATCGAAGCCAAAACAAAACACGCCGCCGCTTTGTTTTCGCAGAACGCGGAGCCATTCCGGCTCCGTGTGCTTGCAGACACTGCATTCGCTTACTCTGATCATACACCTGGCTCTAAGAGTGTCACTATCAAGGGCACGCCTCTGCACCGTGCAATCAAGGAAGTCGACAAGAAATACGAGCCTTCTAGTCCTCGGCCCCCTCCGGTCTGCAGGACTGCTGTCAACTGTGCCACGGTGTTCCAACAGCCTTCTGGGCGCGTCATGTGTGCCATTGGTACAGAGTATGGAGTTTATATGTCTGAATATAGCAACCCGCGCGGGTGGTATAGAGCAATCCCCATTATGAGGGTCACTCAGCTTGCGGTCTTTGAAGATTTTAACTTGCTACTGTTGATTGCTGATCGGTCTTTGATTGCCTATCACCTCGATGTTGTCTGTCCCGCCAGTGGAAATGCGTCCCAATCGTCCCAAGACTCTGCCCGACGAGCCCCGCAGAAGCTGTCTGGAAATCGTGAAGTGGGCTTCTTTGCCGCCGGTCGTCTGAAAGATAGATACTTGGTCTTGTACAAGAAGCGCGATGGACTCTCATCCACATTCAAGGCAAGCCACACACCAAATAAATACGAAACCAAAATTAACACACAACGCAGGTTCTCGAGCCCGTCCTCCAAAAATCCTCCACAAGCAAAAGCCGTCTCTTCACATCCCGCCGCTCCCAAACCGAATTCTTCCGCGAATACGACGAATTCTACATCCCAGCCGAAACCTACCGAATAAACATGTTCCACTCCTCCCTCGCAATCTCCACCCAAAAAGGCATCGAAGTCCTCACCCTCGACAAAAAACTCTCCTGGTCTGTCCCCGACTTCCGCGCAAACGAAACCTCCGACGCCCAAGACACCCTGCACAGCATCGCCAACCGCATTACCGGCCTCAAGCCCCTGGGCATGTTCCGCATCTCAGAGAGCGAGTTCCTCGTCGCATACCAACAGTGCGCGGTCTACGTCAACAAACACGGTGACGTCTCGCGCAGCGTCGTCATGGAATTCGTCGGCAGCGCGCACACCGCCTGTCTTTATGGCAAATTCCTCATTCTGTTCAATGAAGATTTCGTCGAAGTGCGTAATGCCATGAACGGCCGCCTGCGCCAGGTTATTCCTGGCCATAACGTTGTCTGCATTGATGATGGAAGTAAAATGCCTGGCTCGCTTTCTGGCAATGCTCAGGCTAATACGGGTGGCTCGGGCCTTTCGAGTGGCTTCTCCGGTGCTACTAATGGATTCTCTGGGCCGACGGGCAATACAGTTAAGATCTGTATGCAGCACCCAGAGTATGAGCGCAGTCAGCTTGTTCTGGAACTTGTTGAAAACGAGGGCCAGAAGGACTGAGTGTGGACTGGGCAGTTTGATCCTTAACTGCTTCTTACTTTCGCATGTTCGTTCAAATCTAGTATAACTGGAGCTTGTCTTTCCATCTGGTATTCCGCCTTTCGACTATCTAGTCTCCCTTTTTTTGATTTGATTCTCTCGCGTTATTTTGGAATTTTGTCTGTTGACCATTCCCCTCCCTCACGCCCCTGCTTGTTTTATACCCTTTTCTTCCCTCTTCTGCTTCGTCATCACTCAATACCCTGGTACTTCCACGCGAAGTTCGGTGATGATCGATTGCATCCATCTTGTCAAGCAAGCCTAGCATGTTTGGTAGCGATGCTGTACATAGAAAACGTCACTGCATCTCATGACTTGACGATTCTCTGAATCCAGAACACTTTTTGTGCAACGGCCTGTTATTTTACGAGTTTCTTCTTCTAGTTTTAAGGCTCTTGTCTCAATTTACCATACATTCTTATTTCTACTACTTGGTACACTTTACATAAGATGCAGCATCGATAAAAACAATTAGATCGATAGGCTCTTTCTAAAAGTATCTAAAAGGTGCATTTAATTGGACAGGAGTCATGCAAAGAAACGAGATATCCAATCCGAGGGTTGTAGTACAAAGGCATGCCGATTGAAATGGACCGTTGGTAAACAAACAAAGATGGCAACCCATATATGATAGACAGCATGAAAAGAATCATGAATCAAACTCCACAACCTTGCTAATGACCTCGCCATCATCACGCACAGGAGAGCCCTTAGAAGCGCCAGAAAATTTACGAGATGTGTGCCCGGAAACATTCTTCCCATCCAATAGGGAAGTTCTCTCTTCCTTCCCACCACCAAGCAACTCGGCGTCTTCGAGCAGATCGCGATCGGCATCGCGGACGACGCTGCGCCGCTCCGTATCAGCGCCATAAGCACCAGCGCCCCAGCTGGAGATACCGCCCGCCATGACGTTGCTAGATTCGCGACGGGGGTAGTCGTCCTCGTCGTCTTCATCTTCTTCGTCGTCGCGGCCGAGCGCATTGCGCTCGATCTCGCGCTGCGCCTCATCCATGCGCTTCTTGACTTCGGCGGCCATGCGGATGCCGTCCGTGACGATGTTGTCGAGGACGCCGCGGAGACCTTTGCCTGGGGGGACGATGCCGCCTGAGGCGCCGGCTACCGGGACTGAGCCCGCAGTGGAGCTGGAGCGGATGCTGCCGATGTTGGAGAATGTTGTTAGGTTTGAGGACATGGTGGAAGAGGCGGCTAGGGCTGCTGGATGGGGATGATCGGACAGGTGGAAGGATTGCGGGAAGTAGGATTCGAAGAACTGTTCAAGGAGTTCGTCGGCTAGGACGACCATGCGGAAGGTGGGGAGGGTGATATGGAGGGGGTTGTTAGGGTCCAGGGCTTGATTTGCAGACTCGGACATTGAGGGGTTGTGTTCGTGGGTGTCTGATTCGCGCTGGGCTGGCGAGTCTGGTGCTGACTCCTTGGCCTTGGAATCTCCGTCGACATCAATCAAATCTTCTTCGTCGTCGTCGTCGCCGATGACGAACGAGTCTAGCTTTGCGGTCGCTTCTTCGGTGGCATCTTGTTGGGTTGACTTTTTGTTCTCCAGGTGACTGGGATCGGCATATTCGAAACAGCGGCGAATGAACGCACTGACACTGCCGAGGAATTTCTCGTCAGTGGTGAGTGAGTTCTCACCGCGATCACGATCACCAGGAGAGTTCAAATTCTCCACCGATGGGGTAGCAGTAATTGTGCCCTCAAAGCCTCGTCGTGAGAGGAATAAGAGTGCTTCGGAGATTTTGAGGATTCCCTCGCGGTCAACTTGGCCGTTCCCGTTGTCATCGTATAGATCGAAGAAGTAGTTGATGTTATTCATGATGTCGGGCGAGCCCTTGAGACGGGCTAGACCGTTCACCACGTTTTGCAGGTTTAACCCTTCTTCGGGGTCCGTAGCCCACTTGCGGTAAAGACGTTGCATGAACTCATGGTCGGCTGGTTGCCGGCGGTTCGCCCACAGTGCCGACTGGGCTGCTGATCCTTTTCTCGATGGTCCAGGGGAGTCAGCAGCTGCCCATTTGGATGTAGCGGCAAGGAACTCTCTGAAAGCGTCATAGTCCATATGGGTAGGGCTAGGTCCGAGACCAACGCGGCCAACTTGTTGATCGGCGGGAGGAGCGAGCATCGATAGACGCTCGGATTTCTTCCTCTCTTGTCGCCTCTTTTCTTCTTCGATGATTCTCTGGTGTTGCTGCCATTGATACAAAGTCTCATAGAAGCGATCATATATAGTCCCAAGATCATCCACGCTGAGACGTTTGCTTTCGGGGCCAAGATTGCGGATAGAAGTACGCTTTGCAAATGTCTCAATGTTATCCAACACAGCACCCTTGTGCTTTTCCCGCGTCTCAGTGATCGTGCTGTGGGTGATGCCAGAGAATTCCTTGAAAGCCACCACCATCAATTCCTGGAATCTGGTGATTGCCCGCAACTTAGGGTTCTCTGATCTCGGGTGGGCAGATTCATCTAATCTCGAGAAGTATGATTTCAAGACAGAGATGAAGGAACCATCATCCTGTGTCTCAAGAAGTTCTTCACCATTGACTCGAAGAATGGCAAGACCAACCTGGAAGAGCACTTTAGGGCCTTCCAAGAAGAAGACATCCAGAACACGAAAAGCGAAAACGAGTGGCATAGAGTTGATATAGAGAGAGAGGAACCACGGCAGTGAGACAACGGAGAGTTGCACATCCGACTTAGTGAGATGTTCCCAAAGAACAGGCATTGTTTTCTCGACAAGCGACTCGAATACCTTCTGATCGAGCAGGGTTCCGTACATAGTTGTGGAATAATAGCCGGGTAGGAGACGGTCACATAATACAGAAAGAATGGAGAATGCCTGTGCCTCTGACATATATCTATGGATATTAGCAATCGTATCCAACCAAATTGACCCGGTACATACATTAACAAAGCGGCAACCACAATATTCATGGCCTGGCAGTACCCGATCTCTGGGTCGATCCAACTGTATGCAGTGAGAACTCGTCTCAGTCGACCAATACCCTCTTCACTCTGGAATCCAGGATATTCTGGTAGACTGCGATTCAAGTCCTTCTCGATCTCATCGATAGCCAGTGACTCTTGGCCTTCGAATTTGGCCAATGTCTGTTGATATAGCTTGGGAGCTCTCAGACGAAGGAACAGAGAGCCGGACGTGAGCTCCCAGATTTCTCCTCGTAGCCGATTTGGCAAACCAACTCTGATGAGCTTATGGAAAGTTGGCTGACGGACCAGTGTTGCATTGCGGCCATTTTCTGATGAGAATTAGTCGGCAATCCCACGCTAAACCAAGAAAAAGCATTTTTACCTCTGAAATATTCACCCCACAATCTCATCTTGCTGCGATCACGAAGCTTACGTGCATCACCAGGATAGCGGAATATCAAACCCAGGCCCGCATCAGGGGGTTGACGACCGTCCGTTTCAGTCCCGTCCTGACCCTTCCCTTTCGCGCCCGAGAGTAAATATTCCGAATAGCAATCGGCAACGACCGACCGCAAGCTATCAACCTCCTTCATACCCTCTCGCAGGCCTTTCTTGAGTGTGTCGCAGAATCGCTCGCAAGCCTGTCTGCTACCGACAAGCTGTAGAATGAGGCGCTGAGGGGTGAGATTGGCTTCTTGCTGCTTGTTTAGCAGGCCGTTCCACGTCGTGAGCGCTAAGGAGAATACATGGCTGGCACTGTGGAGACGTTCGACGCGTCGTATACTGGATAGTGGGAGAATAAAGCCATTGCCCGAAGGCCCAGTGCCATGCGTCTGACCGGTCCATGTGGTCGACGCACTTGCTGTAGCGGAAGGAATGAAGCTGGTTGGCTGAGTGGAAAAGCAGATGAAACGTTCACTCAGATGTAAACGGCCCGTATATGTGTTCCCAGCCTTGTCAGCCTTGCGGGAAGCCTCTCCTTGACTCGACGACGAATTGGGCAGCGGAAGAACAAGATCCGCAGTGATCTCTTGCAGCGGGTTCTGGGAATCAGGGAGGCGGAACTGCTGGCGGAACAGCGACGCTTTCGAGGGAGTATCGTCGGATGAGGATAGGGCGGGAATATTGAAGTTGGCCGGATCAATCAGACTCTGGGCCTTCTGCACGAAGGACGACCACGGTATCATGTTGTGGAGGTGAATGGGAGGGGTGGAATTCGGGGGGCAATGTCCTGGAACTGATAACCGATGATGTCGGGATCGGAGCTAGAGCTGGGGAAATTGACGGTAGCTGATCCGGGCTAAGAAAATGAAAGGAAGCCCGTGAGTAGTTGTAATTGAAGCTTCAGGGGCATTGTACAAGCCGAATAATCCTTGGCCGAGGACTAAAAGCCTACTGAACAAGTAATCGAGTCGGTTGTTGTTGTCGGATTGATAAGAGGGGGCATCGTCACAGCAGCTGCACGTGACTGGCGTCAGCTTGGCAGTGACTTACGCGGTATCAACTTGTCTTTATGAAGCAATATTGGACCAGCAGCTCCTTAATATACAAGCAATTTACATCTCGCTCACCTTATGGGGCTCTGGGGCTCTGGAACTCAACCTAACAAGGCCGTACATCTGACCTATATAACAGAATCTATTGCAAGCCTTACAGCTGAAAGAATGTCTAGACATACTTTGGCACAGTGAGCTTTCGTGCCTTAGCCCGAGTAGCGTGACTTTTCTACTACTTGCAGAGCTTTGGGCACCCTGTTCGCTCTAGTTGATGGTCGCCCTCATGTCCCGCCTCTGGCTCTCGAGCTCGTTTTCGTGATACTTGTGGGCCTTAGTTGGATAGCTCCCTGTAAATGTCCTTTCGAAACTGAATACAAGTGATTTTCTTCAAATCCCAATACAATATGCGTTGATGGGTTTACATCAAGGGCCCATATGAGAAGTAGACCTGCTATGCATCTAAATAATTCTCAAAGAACTATCTAGCCCATATTTGTGTTTTTCTAAGACTGACTTCAAGAATATAAAAGACTGGAAGGTTTAGCTTTTGTAGTAAGTTAATCTAGTGATTGAGGGCTTATTTGATAAAAAGCCAAGTAGGTAAATGAGAAGACGGCACCCAAGTTACCCTCCGGAGGAAATATAAATATATAAAGCGACTACAGCCTATGGTAATAGTATATAGTGACTATAGCCCTGAAGGTGCGATTGAACAGCTTAAAGGATATTTTCCAGAATAGGATGCTCAATTTCCAAATCAATTTATCTAGGTATACTTAACATAGTCAAGTAATGAGCTTTTGGTGTTTGGAAGCCACTGATTAGACACTATGCGACTTTCTACCTACGTACTTGATTTACTCTGCCATTTCTTGGCCATTTACTGCTTCAATTGACGCAACCTGAAATTACCAATCTCCAGTCCCGGGTATTACCTGCCCGCGTAGCGAACACATACCCCAATCACCGTACCAATGATGCCTCCGATGATGAAACCCGCCATTATATACATAAGATAATACTTTATCACTCTCGCCTTGGAGCCGTATTTCCATTCTTTGGCGTATGATTCGTTGGTTTTCAGGGCTCGTTTTTGCGGTCGTTCTGGTAATGCCTCGATGTCGAAACTGGTCCTATCGTGTGTGGAGTGCACGTATGTAGCGGGTTGCCCTGTCCCCGTTGTTTCCATGCTTGTAAAAATGCTATATTAACAGTCTCTTTGAGTGAGCGGTCATTCTTAGAGCTTAATTCTGGCACACTCACTTGCTTCGAATTGACTCTTGGTCGCGGCCGGTCGGTTGTTATACCTCGAAAGGTATTACTTTGAAATGTAGCTTGAATTATAGAAGCTCAGTGACAGAAACAACTTGTCAGTTGCGTCGAAGATAATCAACGAAACCCAATTGTCTGGTTCACGTAAGTCAAGTATTCGTGTTCGGAATGAATCCGAAACGAAATGGGGAAGGGCCAAATTTGATTGCAGAATCCAGCTAATACCTGCCGAGTGACGCAACAAGATGACTACTCGTCAGACCGACCTTTTAATTTATGAGAAGCCAAGAAGATCAATGGCCCCGCCAAGAAGATGGCGCATGTTAGCCCTTGTTAAACGGGCGACATTTTCGGGCCAGAAATGGGGGCCGTAACATTGGTTTGCAGAGTCCCCGCATCTTGTGTACCATACTTGATCTCTTAAAAGTACTTTCTGGTCATTAACTGGGGCAATCAACTCTCTTGACAACTAGATCATCGTCTGGAAAAATTCCCCGCCCAAGTCATTGCCTGCTCTCGATTCAGTCCAACCTATCAATCAACAAGTAGCTACAAATCTAAATGTCTTGAATTTTCAAGCCGTTCAACCATAGCCTGAAGCTTCGAGTATTGCCATTTTGGCACGCTCCAGAAGAAGAATAACAGGAGCCAAATCAAACCTGCCAACTTCTGCCCCTTTGAGGTATGGAAGTGCTTGCCCCTCCCAACCTCAACGTTCGGCACTTGAGTCCAGACAGAAGCCACAAATATCTCAGCTGTCACAACCAAAAAGTTGATAAGAAAGAAGAACAGATCATTCATCGGTCGACAAGGCTCTCCAGCCATCCAATCAGCAACGAAGTGGTAAATGGCAGACAGAAAGAAAGTCCAGAACGCAATAAAGCATTTCTCGAAGAACGAAGCGGGCTTGAATCTGAGCAGCCGTCGAGTAATAAGTTTGCCAGAAGAAGCACAGCAAGGTGTGGTTAGTTGGTGCCAAAATTTTGCCCAAAAGCGCCGAACCCCGTAGGCCTCTCCCACGCTGCCGAATAATGGTGGCCATTCCTCAGGAGTGTCAACTCGAATGATGACAACAAAGAATACTGAAAGTAGAATATGACAAACTTCCAGCATAAAGTATGTCAGCCAGATCCAGTATACGGATAAGAGAATCCTGATCTGGATTTCGCGCGGAGTAATCGAAGGCCCATAGTCCGACCAGATTAATCTTCGGATAAAGATCTCTTGAACTCGTCCGAAATCGTGTGAGGTGAAGGAGAAATTCAAAAATACAAAAGGCCCAATGATAAAAAATTGGAGAACGCAGCAAGTGACGGCTTTAAACAGACGCTTAATGATGAAAGGGGCTCTGCTTGTTGAATCTGTATTCTGGTTCCTCGATATAATGGCCTCCCTGTCAAACTGACGCCGTGGGTTCATCCAAATCTTGTATGCTGCATTCCATGGTGGAGCGCCTCGAGGAATATTGATTTTGTCTATGAAGAGGATGCTGATCGCATGCAGTATCCAGATACAGGTGAAGAGTCCCCATAATGTGTTGACGCTTGGAAGGGCGTCCAAATATTGGCTGGCAGAGAGCGATGCGTATGCACTACCGAACAGCAATGGGGAAAGCCATACTCGGTATTTCAGAGGCAGTTGAATTGCAACCAAGAATACCAAGGCTGAGAGACCAAAGAATGCTGGAGGAATGAGCAGTGTGGACATCTTTAGGTTGATGAAGGGTGTAGACGCGGCGACTAAAAAAAAGACACCACCGATTGGCTGACATGGGGCATCAGCAATGTGTGCTCTAGTCTTTTTTCTCTTTCGGGTCAAAGGTATGGCAAGCGGCCTTGGAGGTATCGGATATAACCGCAAAGATGAATTGAGCACAAAGCACAGCTCGGGGCCGGAGTATGGGTTTAATATACAGAACTGGGTAAATTATACCCACCAGGGTATTTCGGCTATTTCCATGGGTCAACTTCTAGCAGGATCGAGTATAAGTCGCACTGCAAGTTCAGCCCTATTATTCCTCGCAATTGATCCCACTGTGAGCTTTATAATCTCCGCATGGATGCTTTTGAACAGCCCAATAACAGGATATCAAAGCGTGAAAACAGACGCTTACTTACTGGAACTTCTCTCAAAAGCTTTACGCCGTCGTCATCATGCATCGCTAGCATGCCAAGCTGTGAATTTAATTTCAGGTACCAAAAAACCATAAGCACTTGCACAATCTTGGTTAAGAGGAATCTGCCAAGAGTAACAATTGCATCAACCCAACAACCCACATCTCACTGCAAGGCTGCATCTGATCTTCCATTTGATCTCATGATCACAAAACAGGCTTTCTTTGCACTTTGAGCCAAGTCAATTATTCTAGCCTTGATGCAGGCTGTTTATATGGTTTCAAAATGATGAAGGAGATATTATGATATTAGAATTTCTAGAATCTAGAAATTATTCACACAATCTTCTTGAAGCACTCTATTGAATATTGAGGATGGTAACTAATTTTAAGAATTCATAGCTACTTTAGTTTTTTTTTCCTTTGAAACAAGAATCGGTACCGAAATAGAAACCTTTATTGTAGTACGTAGGTAGCGACAGACATATTCAAAGCCAATCAAAAAAAAAGAGGTACGTATAGATATGGCCGACCCAATCCATCGTACATGCGGTAAAGACAAGTAGAAATGTACGTTAAGAGTTTGTCACCGCGATCAACAGGGCTTGTCCTGTTTCTAGACACTATCCACTAGGTTCACTTAAAGGAGCTCCTGGATGTAACCCTGCAGGGCATCGTTGTCACTTTCACTCAGGTTCGAGTACTGAAGGCAAGCAGAGCCACAAGGGACAGGCGGACTGTCTTCAGTGAACAAGGTGGCCAGGTTCATGCACTCTGGGGTCACGTTGTCAATCTGATAGGCTATGGATATCGGTCAGAAAGGCTCAAGATTTGGCTTTTGCGAGCTCAGCTGCTTTACTTACAGTTTTCCTCGGTCTGAGTGACCTTCACGTCCGTTTTGCCAGAGTTAGAGTCTTTGCATTGTTGGACGGCTTCCTCAGAGACACCCGGATAGCCAAGGGCACGACGAGACTTGTAGCCAATGGCACTGCGGGCCTTGACCGAGCCATCGACGGGGCTTCTTTTCAGGTTGTCGTTGAGGCCAATGTAGAGCAGGTTACCAGCGAGCTCAGCACCAAACGCTCCAGCGATGAGACCTCCAACCACGGGTGCCGGGCACGAGGGGATCATGGAGATGGCTGCCAGTGCGGCACCAGCGAGAACGACTTTGGCGTGCATTGTAATTGATTGATTGAATGAATGGATTAGGCAGCTTATTGAAGTAGTCAAAGAGAAGCTTTAGAGTGTGTTTATAGAAATCCAGAATGAGAAAAGGCCATTCTTATACCTTTGACACTCCGCTGAAGACCAAACTGGTAAGCATAGTCTTCCTTGAAATGCCTCACCTGTCTAGGATCAAATTCCTTTCATGTCACTGGGTAAAGAAGGACCACAATATGATGTCAATCTGACTATAATATCCCACCACTATCGGCACGAGTACATTGAGTTTGGTGCATAACGGGTTTCATGACTCGTGCTTACATCTTGAAACTCATTAAATTGGTCTAGTACATTGGGGGCCAGCCTGCGGGCTCGAAGGCTAATCTACAGGATGTTATATTGCAGGTAGAGTTACATTCTTCCACCTTGGCGCGATTGAATAGAAAATGGGGGCATTCATAGATTGTAAGATCGGGTTATTTACGGAGGCATCATTCCGTAATCTTCTCAACTTCGGCATAGTTGCTCTTGATACTATTCTCCTAGCCATTCAAAGAAGCAACCCACGTCAAAATGCGATACTCTCACTATTTCCGGTGCTCTGCTTCCTCTTTGTTGCCTGTTGCATGGGGCATAGCACATTTGTTCATGTTATGGAAAGGGGCTTGCGTGATCAGTGGCTCAAAGTATCCAATCATGGTCGTTTCATCCGAGTCAATGGAGCCAGCATTTCGGCGCGGTGACCTCATCTTGTTATGGAATCAGCAAGAGCATATCCGCGCAGGCGATATTCCAGTTGTTTGGTTTCCTGGCCGCCCATTGCCGATGGTCCATCGAGCGATCAAAGTCTCTTACAATATAAAAGATCGATCAGAGCCCGCAAAGTACTTGAGACTGGCTTCTAATAGAGTAAATCGTATGCTAATTTGGTATAGGCAGCTTATACTGACTAAAGGGGACAATAACGAGGTCGACGATGTCTCTTTATATCCGAAGGGCCGGTCATCTGTATATCGGCAGGAGATTGTGGGCTTGGTCATTGGCTATATACCTCACGTTGGCAAGCTCATACTAGCTCTGAAGGAAAGATCCGAGATGCTTTTAATTGCGGTGTTATTTGTTGTTGCTGGCATACTGCTGTAATTACTTTCTAGTCCTTGGAACAAGACTTTTAGTTCCAGTGTTCCAAATATTCAGCTGATATCATAATTCATCGTGCCGCTCACGTTTTGACCTCTTTTTGAATGGCAATGGAATCCATAATGTAAGACCTAAAGCTAGATGTGGGCCTGTTTTGAAAAATATCCATCAACTCATCGAACGGTACATCCACTAGTAATTCTGGCAAATTGCCGGAACAATGCGGATATTAATCTGCATCTGTGTGGACTTTTGCACCATATCTGATTCGAGGCCTCTGTCAAGAACCATCTGGGTTTATAACAGTGGATCAATCTTAGCCAAGACATGTGCCAAGTTTGGGGGCGGGTGGCGGGGCTTGGCGCCTATAATTGTGGCCGAGCAGGGCATTCTGATGGAGGGGCACTGAACCTCAAAGGAATGTCCGGTATCTTGGAGATCTTCAGTGGTTGATTCAGCCCTAGATGATCCACTAGTTGCTCTAGTGCTGACAGCAAATGCGGAGTCATCTGATTACACAGGCTTTGGGCTAATGAATATATCCTCGACGCGCCCACCTTCTGATCCTTCCAAACTCAACTAGCCACTGAAACCTCACCTTGCCCTCTTCATCCTTTACGTGGCATTATTTTGACCTTCGGCTCCACCCCGAGCTCGTTGGCTCCCGAGCTTGTTGGACCCCGAGCTTGTCGACCTCCGAGTTTGCTACCCTCCCCGAATAGTGCATCTCATTGATCATTTATCATCCTCCACTTCTGGCTTATCAACAATTTATCTCGCGGCCAAGGTCTTATTACTGAACTGTTCATTCGCCTTCATGCACGCCAGTCACAGATTTTGAATTTCAATATCTTCAATCATAATGGGCTGGCTAAAAGATCTTTTCCAACGAGCCCCCCAAACCCCCGAAGCGAAAGAGGAGGAGAAAGCGAGAAAGCGCCAGAGTAAACAGCACAGCCAGAAAGTCCGCCAACGGGAGAAAGAGCTGAACCGTCGACCTGGAGGAAAGAAGTTCTTCTGGGGATCCGTGGCTGTCGATACAACACAGAACGCGATTCGCAGGGAGACACGAGGCCCATGATTTTGTAATCTTTGATTCAAAGATTAGAGATACATGAGAGGATCTTGTCGAACAACGTGTTGACTGGGACGGCTAGAATAAGATCCTCATTTCTATGGCATAGCGGTTTATCCGATATCGACCTTGCGGAATGAGGAGGTACGAAGTTTCGGTTGAAACCGATAGGGCCTCAGCGAAAGTGTTCAAATTCAAGAATATGTATATAGGAGATTCATCAATTGAACCCCTTTCGGCTTGGACTTAGGGACGTTCCACAAATTATTGAGTGTCTGGACATCCAGTGCATACAACAAGTAAAATTTTGGGGGCATCAATGGAGCAAGATAGAGCAGGTGCTCTTATGTTATAACCGATTTAAGTAATATACCTGGCTTGATCTGCGGCCGCAAATATCTGTATCGTCTGCCGGATTATTGACATCTCATTAAAATTGCTCATTTGGAAGATATTGGAACCCAGAGCGATACAAAAGAATGGTATAGATTACGGAAACGGCTAATTTTTATGGCAATGGGAATTCTCCCATGAAATGATGGTCAAGGTCGGACTTTGATTGGAGACGAGGCTGGTGGATTCTGCGCCACCCCCTGCCAGGGCAATATCATGAAAGGCTAATTCATGTGAACTCTGGGGAATCCCAAAATCTTGGGTTATTAGCTTGCCAATAGGCTCTGCTGAATGAAACCAACAAATTATTTTTCGGTACGCGGATAGCACTAGTAAAAGAATAGGTTTTCAACTGGATATCATGAGGCTCTGTCTGTTGCCTCACTTGAACTAGTGCTTTCAGGTACGAAGGGACTAGTTATATCACTACAAATTATTCGAGGAATGGGAGATGTAATTGATGAATTGATGAGACTGAATCAACATGAAGTAAACCGCTGTACAAGCTTGACATGGGAATAAACAATACAAAAAGTGACGCAACACATGAAAATGATAGAACACATTTGAGAGACACAACAGGAAGTGTAAAAAAAGCCTTGGAGCAAGCACTTGCCAGTAAGATTGGCCGAGCTAGTCTCGAGCCTCACAAATCAGTCCTATTGACATTGACTTGAAAGAAGAAAAAGATGAGCCCATCCTGTAGAAAGGGTCTCATATAGGAGAATTCGCAGTAGAAACTACGAGCGCCGTTCAGACTCCAGACTGGATTTGGCCTGGTCAGAAGAAAGCACATATTTTTTTCTTTCTTATTTTGTTGTGTTGACGTGCTCTTATTTCTCTCTTCTTGATTGACCAGTACCACAAACGTTGTTATCCAAGGCCATATAGACCATGGAAAAGAAGGTGGAAATCCAGTTGGAGGGCTTTAGCCCTGGGACGAGACATTGTTTTTTGTTTTTTGTTTTTTTTTTATGATTTTGATCCTTGTCAAGTAGAACTCCCAGTCAGACGGATGGGTCGTAGATCTGAAGAGAGCAAATCTAGGCTGGGTAAAATGACTCTGTAGGGTCTTGTTTATTATTTTCATTTTTCATGTTTTTTTGTTGTTGTTGGCCCGTATTCTCGTCAAAGTGCTTAGTGTGTTGAAGAGCGTCAAAAGCGGAAAGTGGATGGAGGACGAGTCCAGTGGTTGATTTATTCATCTAATTTTTGTCGACAGATGCTCGGGGCTCGGAAGGCTCGGTATATTCAGGAAGGACCTCCTCTGAGTAGCGAGTTTCGGCCATCAGACCCTGCTTTTCGCAGGCCTCTCCCTGTTCCCAAGCAGCCTTGTGCTCAGTAGGTTGAGTGCCACGGTAGCGTTGCCAAAGGAAAACAACAGCTTGGCCAACCAACATGCCGACGGCGCTGGCAGTCAAGCCAGCCAGTACGCCGAGTACGGCTGGGACGACGATGAAGTGCACAACGCGAGAGAAAGTGCGCGCAAAAGCGCTATGGTGTCCGTGGTGGTGATGGGGGCGAGGACGGCCATTGTCGGAGAAGCCGTGAGCGTGGCCGTGGCCGTGGTGGCCGCCGGGTCCGAACTCCTCGGCCTCAAAGTTCTCTTCCCCGAAAGGAGGTGGGGGAGGGAAATGCATGCCGTCGGATCCTTCTTCGTGGTGATCGTGAGGGCCGTGAGGATCATGGTGACCCATTGTGTTACCCTTGAATTTGCCGTGGCAACCCTTACGACCAGATTTGGCCAGACCCATAACGCTGTTCTTGGCGCCAGCCAGGAGACCGCGGATGCGAGTCATTAGGAGTTCTTGAAGGCATTTGGTCTTGCCGTGGCACTCCCGCCAGGAAGTGTGCTTAGTAATAGGTGTGGTCTTTTCGATTCCAGCGCGAGCGATGAAAATCTCGCCCTGCGGAGTCTGAATAAAGCTGATGGCGACGGTGTCGACTGGGACGGGGTGATCTTCCACATCGAGAACAGTGAAGCGGAGATCGATGAGGTCGTAGCCGGGTTCGTCATGGGGGCCGTGAGGCACTGGCATGATTTCCAGCGCATAGCCAACAGGCACAGCATCGGAGTGCTTGCCATCTTCATTCTGTTGAATGGCGAGGATCGGAGTGGGAGGAGCCGGTGGGAAAATTTGGCGACCGTTGGCGAGCATACGGCTGTCTTCAACGAGGAAATCCAAGATCTATGATGTTTCGTTAGCAATGAACAGTCAGGCAATGAATCGATGTCAGCCTTACCAGAGAAGATGGTGAGGCCTCAGTCCCGTCGATCTGACCTTCCTCTTTGGTTTCACTGAAAGGACATTCACTGCATGGCAGTTCAAATGCAGCATGATTAAATTCATCCAATTCCGTGGGGTTGATGATCTCAAAACCATCAAGCTTCTGACCCTTGAGTTCCGTTACTGGATCCACCAGCATGGCGCTGGCGCTGGCGCCGAGAGCGGCAGCGCCTAGAAAGACAGAGCGCATGAACATGTTGAGTGATGAGTTAGTAGAAGATGGATCTCAAGAAGCAAAAAAAAGGCGCCGTGAGATGAACAGTTAACTTATCTTGAGGGGCGAAGCAGTGAGATAAGTCTAATCTTCTTTCGGTGGAATAGTGGAGTGGGTGACGCCAGCTCCTGCGCGGCTCGTGCGTTGATTGGTGGATCCGGTCGGCCTGCTGACTGTACAGGCATCAAAGCCGGACATTCGTATTCGTAAAAGCCGCAACCTCCTATGCAGCAGTTGTATCCCCTTTAGGATACAACAGCGTTGTGGTCACTTTCTTCTTTGCTTTCTTGTTTGCTTTTTCCCTTTTATCTTTCTGCTTCATGCAGCATTCGCATGCCGCGATAGTATACATTGTGTGGAGGAGGCAAGTGCAGAGTGGCGTCGAGGCAGAAACAGCCTTAATTGTGGATTGATTTGTATCAACTCCACACAAGGTATACCTTTCCAGGGATTGCCTGGTGCAGTGGGTAGCGGAAACCCCAGAGCCAGACTGCGGTTGATACAAACCGCGGGATCATATATTGTCCTCAGGAATGGTGTCGCTGAAGTGAATGTGTGAATCGTTTCAAAACCGCGGCATCTGCTGTTGTCCCGAGCGTCTTGTCGAGTAGGTGACACTGAGTTGCTGTGAAAAAAAGGCCTGCCAGCCCGCAGAAATCGCTTGTTGTTTTCCTCATTCCATCACTCAGCGTGGATCTCATCCATGTGTCCTTGGGTCTGGTGTCGCCGGGGTGCTGGGATGAAATGATGTGCAGGCTGGCTGGCAACGTCTTGTAGGGTAAATGATGCTATGCTATTATGAAAAAGGCCTCCCAACCCGCAAAGTGTCGCACGTTGTTGTTCTTTCCCCAGCGCCCGGCGAAAAGCGTCGATTTTGTTGCCCGTCGCAACACCCTCCCCAAGGGAACATTTGAGTTGTATCAAAACATTTTTGTTCCCTTTTGTCGAATATATACTAAAGAATTTATACAAAAAAAGATATAAACAAGATTCAAACACACCCCGAAGGTGGAAACTGACAATATTCGTACATGGTGCCAAAGACACCAGACAAAAATAGTCGAACAATATCTCGAAGGGTGTGCACACACAGAAACAAAATAGCAGATGCAGTGGCAGTCATCGAACCTGCCAACTTGCTACATTGTCGATTTGAGATTTGGAATTCGAGACGCGGTCAACTCTTCTCTTTCTGTCGTTATTGCAATCGCTCAGTGAGGGGCCCATTCGTCCCTCTCCTGGCTATCGCTGTACTGCGGTGGAAGCGGCTGTCGTCAGACCAGCCAGCAAGCTGCAATTGATGTTGTTTTTGTTGTTTTTGTTGTTTCCAAACAAGAGGTGGCCCATTCGTCCCTCCCCCGATGAGGTGCACACCTTGTCCCGTCAACCAGGAACGACCCGATCCCTGGCGAACAAACGCAGCAACACATAGATTACTCGGTTCAAAATCAAGATGTTGAATCCATGGTCGTTGCGAAGCTCCTCCAGAAGACGCTCTGGAGCTGCCATGATCTCGCCACAAGTGTTGTTGTTGCTTCCGCACAAGACGAGAACATAGAAAGCAACCACCAATGCCAAGATGGCAAAGACGAAGAATGAAGTTCCTGGGTTCATGGACCTCCAGGAAGCCGATCCCATGCCTCCCACGCCGTACTCCATGGATGCATTCACGGCGGGTCTGGGGGTGGGATGACCCTTCGACATTGATGAATCAGAGGTCGAACCCATTGATCCCCTCAGTGACGCCCGCTGTTCTTCTGCAATCTGCAGAGCCGCGTGGGCTAGAAACTCAGCTTTTATCCCTGGGAGCTCCCCCGCACGGGAGTTTGGCCCAGAGAAGTTGGACGCAAGACGGGAGTCTTCAAAGCTCACCCGCTCGTAAGTTGGGACATAGGAGTCCGCTTTTTCGCCTGGCACATGCGCCAGGATCCTCTCAAGGTGAGAGAGTCCGCCGACTTGTCGGTGCTGCTGGGCATGGGATGCCCATGGATCCAAGCATTCCGGCTCGTCCCCTGCAGCGATGACTTCGTAGTCAACGGCCTCCACCTCGTTCGAAGATGAGCCCTCCTCAACCTCCACCTCGACCTCTGGAGTCGGCTGAGAAACGGCTGGCTCACTCACATCGGATGAAGGTGACACCATCTGCCATGGGAGAACCAATTCCTTCGAAGTAGTCGGATACCCACCTGGCATCCTCCTAACTTCCTCAGTCTCAACGGCATCTGCCCATTCCAATTCCGATGAGTCAGCTCCACTGTAGACTACTGCGGTGCAGAACCTGTCGCTGGCTTGATCCTCATCTTTCTCGGCGGGCGCGGGTGCAGTCAGAGCTGCCTCAATCTGGGTTGGCCTATAAAGGGCTCGCACACCCGAGACTTTGGCAATGTGCTGGGACCAAGTAAGATCCGCATCAGGGAATTCAACGGTGGTTGGAATGCGCAAGGCGACTTCAATTCCAACTGGCTCCGAGCTCACTTCCCCACTCACTTCAGACTCGGTGGTTTCCTCGACAGCAAGAGCCGGCTCAGAAACAGCGGGCACACTCATTGCTGCCTCAGTAGGCACTTTGTCTGTTGGAGCATGCTCAGTTGGATCTGGCGCACTCACAACTGGCGCTTCCACTGTGGTCTCAGTCAAGGGCTTTGCATTCTTCGCAAGATCAGCAGATTCGGTGCCCTCATTCACCATCTCAAGCTTCAATCGCTTCATGCGCTGCTCGTTCTCTGACTCCTTCTTCAGGTCGGGTCCATCAGAAGAACCCCGCAACATGCAGTCCATAAAGATTACGTAGGGGCGCTTTCTGGGAATCAAATTGACGACTGTCCACTCCATTTCCATTTCCAGGGGGATTTTGGCGACGAGTTGTATTTCCCGGGTTGGTGTTTTGTGCACCTCAACATCGGCCTGCACGACAGACTCTCCGGAGATGCTCACGGTGCGCATGTTGATGTCGCTCTTGATGGTCTTGCCATTACACATGCTGATGTTGGGATGCTCGGCCATAATATTGCCATTGTCGGAAGCATCAGTCTGGACAGAGATGTCCTCGAAACAATCGCGGAAGCATCGGTCACGATGTGCCATCTCGACCCAGTCATAGCCATCCATCGCGACATCATCACCCACAATCAGGTGGAACTTCTGAAGCTGTCGGCGACGAACTTCTTCAGTTCCTGGCTGTCCCAATTGGGGTGTCTGAACATCAGGGTTGCCGTGTTTAGGGGGAGCGGCATCTATCATTTCCTGCTCGCAAATTGACCTTTGTTGAATCGGGGAAGATTGGGGGTGCGAGAGGGGCTGCGCCGAGTGTCCCTGGGCCGGAACGGCCTGTCTGGCGAGATTTGACTGACCGGGTACATCGAACACATGCCGAGGCACGAAACGCTGCTCTGCAGGCATTTGTCGAACTTGTGGCTGACTACGGCTGATGCTGCATATCTGTTCAGCTTGCTGGCACAGTTTGGTGTGCACTGTGAGGTTGGTCAAAATGCGATTTTGCAGCTCTCGCTTGGGACCATCGGTGGCGTCAACCGCTTCGCGAATGCACCGCCAATCTTCACGTTCTCTTTGGAGTAGGCACAAAGCTTCGTCCTTTTCGATTTGGCACGTGTCCAGTGCCTTGTTGATCTCAAAGAGGCGGGTCTCAAGCTCCTCGATTTGAGCACGAAGTTGTCGTTCTCTGTTGACGCGTGCGTGGTTCACATGATCGGCCTGGGCGTAGACGAGAGTCTGACGCCGTCCGTTCTCAAAGGTGATTTTCTCGTTGGCGAGCTCTCCAAATCGACGGTTGGTGATTAACGGTGGCTGCTGAGCTGGAGCCGGAGAAATTGGCATCGCATCGCTCATTTCGACCTCTATCACATCTGATGCGCGTTCCGCCCGACCCTGGGTGCGGGTTTTTCCAATCAACATCGCTGTGACACGTTCGGCGTCGGCGAGTTGCTGCAGAGCATTGGCATTCTCACGCTGCAACTGTCTAGCCTGAGTGTGGGCTTTGTTGGCGTTGGCGACTGCTTCGGAAACAGCAGTCGAGGCGCGAACTGCGGACCGAACCATTGGGTTGTTATCGAAGTGGCTCTGTCCGTCTGGGCGAGTGGGAGCGGGGGCTATGACTGGGCTTGCCAGGAGGTAATTTCTGTGAGGAGGTCCTTGGCTGTTGTTGTTGGTTGTGGGAGGAGCCAAGTCGAATGGAATGACTCCACCACGACGTGGCTGACAGTCCGACATGATGATCAAAACCGTGCGAACCGAGGACTAACAAAAAGAAAGTTAAAAAAGATAATCAAAAAAATCATTGAAAAACATGAAAACTCAAGAAAAAGAGGGGTTTCACGAGGGGATGAGGGGCCCTTGTGCCTCGAGGAGAAGACGAAACAAGCTGTGTGAAGAAAACACGTTAGAAAAGGCACGAAAAAAAGATGATTCGAAAGATGGATGAAATTATGGTTAGAATAATAGATTAGATGATAGATAGACTTACGAGTCGCAAAGGCTTAGGCTAGCAAACAAGAAGCAGCAGGCGCAAGGGTTTGGAAAGGAATGAAGTATGGGGAGGGGAGAGGAAGAAGGAGAAGGAAAGGATAGGAAAAATCAAGATATACCTCTCGAAGCTAGGAATCTAGAGATCTCGAAGAACTCTGAAACTCAGTCTTGTTCTTTGTTCTACTTGTGTTGGGGCTTTTATTGTACAATGGCCATTATAACTCCTAAGAGATCTAATTCCTACAACTGTGAATAAAGAACAATAAGTTTCAATGTTATTGAGCCATGAATCTTACGGATATTGTGTCTCTTATTCAAAGCATAAGATCCATTGAATATAAATCCATTTACTGTAGCCACCATAAACATGCAGAAATTGTACTTAGTTCAGAGTTTGGAGGGCTGCCATGTGGAACAAGGTTCATGTGGAGCGAGGAACATGCAAGCGCGGCCCCACCGCGGCCCGCTCAAGGTCATGGTCTGTGCGTCCGGCTTGCTGGATCGCGGGGTCACCACTGAGTCTATGCCTCAACCGTTACAATATGTAAATCCCTGCAGGTACTGTAATAGATTGGTCAAATTAAAGAAAGTAAAAGGGATGAAATTTGCGGTCGCGAGAGCTGGTGAAACTATCCCCGACGAACGGGTGCCTCGCCGGTTGTTCCAGGTCACCAACGGCGCAAATCTGCCAGAGCATAGTCCCTGTGTGCAGCGATACAGACTACGGTCTTACTAGGATCCCAATTCATATATACTGAACATCTAAGCTGACCCACAGAACTCTTCTGTAGGCGGTCATGGCACCGGCCTTCGGTCGCATACGACTTCCCGACCAAGGAACCACTCGAGACGAGACAAACACACCGGGCGCATGAATTGCATTGAAAGCATCGTGCATTGTAAGGGTTTCGAGTGGTCTACACAGAATCTACATATAATCAAGGACCGGACTACGAACGCGCCGTGCATCGTTCAGCAGTCGAGACAAGTGTTCTAGACACGAACTTGACCTGATCTTGGAAAAGATACAACTACATCGAGCATTACCAGCAAATCTGACAGTCAAATAGGAAAGAAGCCACCGACCGAGGTGCCGTGATACATCATATGCGGCCAGCCAGCGTCACACCGACGAACCCGACATGGTGCTGTGTGGGATGAAAGCGTACCGAGTACATCAAGCATATCGGCTCTTACAATTACTTCGCACGAACGAAGCAAATACGGCAAGGAGACAGCAAAGTCGCTATGAAACTGGGTCTGGGGTCGGCGCAAATAGTCTGAGCACGACTTTGGCATCGACGAAGGGGTTTGAAGGGCCACAACTAGCAGCTGATCGGGATTCAATATAACGATTGAATTAGGGCTATAAACTACAAGATAAATATCCAGTTCAGACCTAAAGACGGAACAATTGGCAGTTGCGCGTGGTGCGGCGACTAGTAGCCACTTGAAGCAATACGAGTCCGCCGCTCGTGCGACCGTGCTTTGCTTTATGGGCATCACTCATGGTGAGGACTCAAATCGTACTTGTTATAGGTGACTTGTGTATTCTACGACCAGCAGGGCTGACAAATTGTATGCATAGCGCTATCTGCTACGATGTTTCGACCGAGAAAGCTGGTACCATACTCATTATACGGTAGGGCGCATGTTGAACGAACCAGATAATGGCACTGCGATACCCAGACTAGCAGGAAAGCGTGTTTATAATGAGTATGGATGCGTTAGGGTATGCCTAGGAACATCTCCGGCCCATCTGGAGATCATTGCTGTGATGTACCTAGGTAGTTCAAACCGACCTCGGGAGTCAATGAAAATTTAACTACGAGTAGGCATATGGGTCCTCGTAGTCATTTCTTAGAGCAATGCAACCTATGGATGTATCCTGCGCACAGAGCGGATATTTGGTGTGAAAAACGTTGCAATATATATTGAGGGGGGGGCCATTCCAATCGGTGGACCGAATACACATCTTGCAGCTTAATATTTTACGGAGGCATTTAAAAATCCTAAGCACGAGTTCAGCCGAAGCAGTATTCTCACGTTGAATTTCAGGCTACAGAACATGTCTAAAGTGGTGTGCGACTGTTGAACAGCATGTTCACCGAGTTTGCCAAAGATCCAATTTCCTCTAGACGCGGTTCGACACTAAGCTAACGAAATTCTACAGCAACAGCTTCAAACCGAGCCGCCAATCAATACCACTGGCGCCCCTAGCCAGAGATGATGATTCCAAATCTACGCGCATGCCATTGTCCAGAACAGAGAGCGAAAAACAATGGCTCAGAGCGCGTTCGGTTGAGTCGAGGGTGATGGTTCAAAGCAGCAAGCTTCGGACCCGGCCACGGGTTTGTTGGGAAGGACAAGATATAACAATGGTACTGAAAAACGGTAGGCTACTTCACAGGATCGTCGCCTTAGTCCCAAACCGTAGTGATCTTATGCTCCACGGTGGACCATATCTAATTGTTTTCTAGCTGCTCAGCAAATTGGCTACATGGATCCATACCGTGGGCGATACAGATTATGGCGACCCATCAAAAATGGAAACGGGAATGATCACACGTGGCCTAGGCTGTAGACATTTGAAGTGACATGCTGTGGATAAGGTCGTGGCAGAAGCAAGGGAGTTTGGATGATACGAGCAGCGGGAAGCAGCGCGCCTTTTGTTGATAATTCGGAGATTCCTTTCACAAGGCGACGATAGCTAACCTACAGTGGCTATGTGATTCTGTAGCTTGACGAACCCACGATGAGAGGTCCTCACATATCCTTTGAATAGGTACGAAACGCACCACAAATAACACAGGCACATTACAATGGATCAAGATCTACACACTGTGTTCTGGAGTCGGGAAACTGCTGGCTGGTGGTCGAGGATCATGAGAACCGGTTGATCTGAGGCGTTGGAGAGCTCTGCGTCTACGCTAGCTAAAAAGGAGCTCGGTTTCAGATCAGAGGATAAGGATAAGGCACGATGCGAACGATCGTCGAGCCTGATTATCACACAAATAAGGATGCAAAAGCAGCCGCCGGTTCAATGGGTCAGGAACAGCGATATGGATAATCATGACCAAGTTGAGCTGCCACGAGGCAACTTGTTGGACGATTGCATCCACAACTTGAGGCTGCCAGATCTTGGATTGGCGTGTCAACATGCAGTCCGAGAACTGAACATACCTAGGAGCAGGAAAGTTACTATCTATGAAGCTACATTCGATAAATTGTAAAGCATTGGCTATATTATTGAGCAAACAAAATAATGTCTATATCACATCCAGTGTATTGATATTTAGGGGCAAAAGATCTAGCAGTAAAACAGAAAGCTGCCAGGCAGCAATGGATGACCAATATCTCATATATATCAATCAGATCAAAGCTTCGACTTTTTCTTGCCAGTGACATTTGGCACATCATCTCCAGAAAGTAGGAAGTCGGGGTATGTCAGGCTTCCGCCGGAAGCGCCGCCTGCCGACATACGCCAGTTCGCGCCGTCAACTATCGAAAGTTAGATTCGATCCAGTACTATTAAACTATCACCTAAGGACTTACCAACAAGGGTTTGGCCAGTGACATAGCTGCCTGTATCCGAGAACAGATAAACAGTGGCGTCGGCGATGTCGCGAACGTGGCCGAAGCGACCGAGAGGCTGGGCCTTGGTATAGGCCTCCAGAGCATCCGATGGGAGGAGCCGCTCCAAGCCCTGGTTGAATGGTCAGTATGTGTGTGTCTTTGAGGAGGAATACGGCGAGAGACGGTACTAACCTCAGTCTGTGCAATCGGACCCGGTGCAATGATATTAGAAGTCACGCCGCGAGGCCCATACTCAATCGCAACGCTGTGCGACAAGGCATCGATACCGGCTTTGGCAACAGACACATGAGTCTGGAAAGGCATACCGCGGTAGTGAATGGTAGCGCTAACGAAAATAATCCTACCACCAGTACCAAGAGGCGATGGCTGAACTACTCTGATGTCAGCTACAGTGCAACCCATCAACTCAGGACGAACGCCCACTCACGAGACTCCGAGTCCATTCTGTGCTTCTTCCCGGACTCCTTCAAATACGGCAGTGTAGCCTTGAGGGTATTATACGAGCCCAAGACATCGATATCCATCACAGACTTGAACGCATTCGGCGAGAGCTGCTCAATCGAAGCGAGGAAGTTACCCGCCGCACCAGCACTGCGCAAAATTCAATTAGTTCCATGCCGAACAGTCGAGCCCAGAAGTGCGTGTTGCAACATACATGACGAAGTCAATACCGCCCAGCTCCTTGACACAGCGCTCAACAGCCTGCTGCAGAGCCTCAAGCTTGCGCACATCCACAGCCCCAATGCCAATGACCTTCGCGCCGGGTCGGGCGGTCGCGATATCTTGCGCGGCACGCTCGGTCTTCTCGACGTTACGGCCGATGATACATGCGTTTGCACCGAGGTGCACTAGGGCGCGCACTTGGGCGCTACAGATTGTGCCGGCACCGCCGGTGCAGAAGACTACTTTGTTTGCTGGGTTGTGTTAGCGGTGTTGTGGGATGATGGCTTTGGGACTTACCGAAGATGCCATCCTTCCAGGAGTCGCTCAGGTAGTCGGTTTTTCGGAGTGGCATTTTTGTTATAGCTTTGTGATGGATGCAACAAGTGAAAAAAAGTGTGGGGGAATTGGAGATGTTTAAGGAGGTTATGGGCCGTCGCCTTTTCCCCACATCTGGACCTCGGCTGCAGCGGTTTATGTGCAGAGTTCCAAGGCTGTACGAAGAGACATAATCTCACAGTAAAAGACATCCCATTTAAAGGATTTGGATGACATTTTGCTACATGAGATATGTAGGGTACATAATCGATTGGAAATCAAATCAAAACATGGCTGTGTACCTGTCCTGAATTTGTTTGGCGCCAACTGTCCAGTCGCAGATCTGCAGTAGAAAGTTTGAAGCACTCGTACTACGCAATCAATCTAAGAAATTCAACTATTCTACCAGTCTACACATTAATACTGTGATATCCAAAATCTTTCCGCATACAATGTTCCAAGCAAATCAGCAAAATTCCCTTCTATGTAGAGTCATGAGGGATACCACCACGCTGATTGGCTGGCGCGTAAGCAGAAGTGCGACGTCACCGAAAAAAGAAGTGTTTTCCATCTTCTCATCTTAACGTCTTCGCTCCATTACTCGCAACCCCCAGAATCCTCTCCAATTAATTTCATTATCAAGTCCAAAATCACCAACACATTCTCAATGGCGTGTCCCATCAGCGTCAGCAAATTCGTCGGCACGGTCTCACTCGGTCTGCTTACCGTACGTCAAACTCCCAATACCTCGGCAATCCCTCCATACTAACAAACCCAAGGGCCTCTCCTACTCCACAGCAGCAATCACAATCCCCGCCCTGCAACTCCTCCCCACAGCACCTACAGCTGCGCGCTCCCTGAATGAAGTCAAGCGTCTGAGTCGCCGCTACGCACTCCGCCTCTCCTTCCTCGCAAACTCCTGTTTCTGCTTCGCATGGTGTCTCTCCTCCCCGCGCCGCAGACACCCATACATGGTATGGCTGTGTGCATTCTCAGCTGTCAGCGCGCACGGCGTGGACTTTTGGTTCAACCGCCACCTCGGCTTTAAAAACTGGGTCTCTGCTGTTATTCGGGACGTGTCGCATATCTCACTGAAGGAGTCGAAGAAAGATGAGGACCTCGTTGTTGTCGAGGCTGATGATGATCTGAATGGGGAGACTGTGCAGCGGGAGATGGTTCGCGAGCGTCGCCTGCACTACGTGCGCGCTTGGTTGTCGGGCGTTGCGCTTTCCATTGGTGTTGTTGGGCTTTGGGGGGATAAGAGATGATTTGGTGTACTGGGGGTGGATTAGAGTGGTGAAACACTGGTTGTTGTCCCATGCTTATTTCTTGTTAAATGCTTTCAGCTGCTGCTCGTTGTTATTTTAATGTCGATACCTTTTCTTCTATCTTCTGTTGCGCATTTCTGTATACAGATATATCGACCAAGTTAGGAATGGAGTAATGTCTGAGCCTGGTCTTGGCATATCTGAGCGGCATTTGCTGAGTTGAGCTAACTAGTTAGAGTAAGGCTTAGTTATGCACTGATTATTATGACATTCTCCCAAGTTTACGACAAGCTTACAGCGAACTGTGCGACCTATGGGGAGGTGGCGGCGGGGGTGGGGGTGGATCTGGGGATCGTCACTCCCGATTCCCGTCAGTACTTTCGTCTCGTCCCTATAAGAGACGCTGTAAAGTATGGGTATACGGAAACAGAATCATAAATATATCGTACATCTCAATATCTTAACCGTATGCCCCCTCCGAATCTCCAACCATGCAATCACAAATCATCATTTTCCTCCCACTTCTCTTCATAACACTTCAAATCCTTCTCAGGATAAGCAAATCCCTCATATCCCCTTTGAGATCCATCCCAGGACCCTTCTGGTCCCGCTTCAGCAGCCTCTGGTACTTCAACCGCCTGCGCCACGGCCAATTCGAACACGAAAACATCCAGCTCCACAAGCAATACGGTTCCATAGTCCGGCTCGCTCCTAACCATTACAGTATCAGCGATGCATCCTCTATCAAAACAGTCTATGGCACTGGATCCAAGTTCGCTAAATCGGCCTGGTACGATGGCTGGAAACATCCCGCGCAGTGGACCGTATTTGCAGATCGGGATATCAAGAGACATGGTCCGTATTCCATTCGAGAACAAAACACGAGTATCTGACTGACCGCGTTCCAATAAAATAGCCGGTACCAGGAAGCGATTCACCAGCTTATACTCAATGAGCTCGTTAGTAACCTACGAGCCCTTCGTCGACCACTGCGCCGATCTATTCGCATATCGGCTAGACGAGTTCGCAGCAAACGGGCAAACGCTCAATCTCGGCCACTGGTTCCAATGCTATGCATTTGACGTAATCGGCAACATAACGTTCGGAGAGCGATTTGGTAAGTTCAGTCCTCTAGGCTAGAAAACATCCAGAAATCCCTCCATTAACTAGACTAGGCTTCCTCGACCAAGGATACGACATCGACGGCGCCATAACTGCCCTCCAGAAAATCCTCATCTATAGCACTCTGGTTGGCGTTTACCCAGAGTGGCACCCGCGGCTCTTCGGCATCCTCAGTAGGATCAAATCCTCCGGCGCCGGCGGCAGAGCATACATTAGCAAGTTCGTGCAAGACAAGATCCGCGTACACGAGAAAACGGCTCGAGCGGGGACAACAGAGCCAAAGACGCAGAATTTCCTCGAGAAGCTGATGCTAGCGCGGGACAAGGATCCCGAGAAAGTAACAGACTACCATCTCTTCATTATGGGCCAGTCGAATGTCGTCGCGGGATCCGATACGACGGCCATCAGTCTTTCTTCTATAATTTGGCATCTTGTGAAGTATCCCGATGCGTTGCGGAAGCTGCGTGGCGAGATAGATGAGTTCACTGCTGCGGGGCGGTGCGGTACCACACCGACTTTCAAGGAAACGCAGGAGATGCCGTATTTCCAGGCTGTTATGAAGGAGGCGTTGCGCTTGCATGCTGCTACGGGGTTGCCTATGTGGAGGACTGTTCCTGATGGCGGGGCGGAGATTCATGGGCGGTTCTTTCCGGCTGGGACGGTGGTTGGTGTTAATACTTGGGTTGCACATTATGATGAGAGAGTGTTTCCCGATGCGGAGAGGTTCAGGCCGGAGAGGTGGTTGGAGGCTGAGGGTTCGCCTGAGAGATTGAAGGAGATGAATCAGATGTATATGCCGGTGAGTCGATGCTATATGATTTTGGTATTCTGGTAAGGTTTGGGGCTAATGGATTTCGATGAATAGTTTGGTTTGGGGTCGAGAACTTGTCTTGGGAAACATATATCTATTCTTGAGATGTCGAAGGTTATTCCGCGGCTTGTGCAGGAATTTGATTTTGTGCCTTTGAGAAAGACTTGGAAAACGGAGAACTTCTGGTTTGTCAAGCCATTGGATTTTGAGGTCAGGGTACAGCGACGTAAAAGTCCAGCAGTCTGAGCGTATATATGAGCCGGTTATGACACTTTATACCCTGTGTGTCAAATGCCTGACTAGCGTTGCATCCAAGAAGACGGCAGTATGTAAATAAATGAGTTGACCGACTAGAAGAATGTTGACTGTGACTGCAAGTCGCAGATGCACAAAGAAAAGCGGGCGATATTCTTTCACTCCAAGTCTCATGCTCGCATGACAAAGGTTTACAGGAGGAGGAAAAAGCTTATAGTCATAAATGGCATGGCACATTCACGTCATTCCGAGATTTAACCGTCGATACTCCATAATCAACCCATTCACATCCCCCATATCAGTATGGTCATACCTCGAGGGCTCTTGTATCTCATCCTCGCAGTCATCCCCCGCAGAAGAAACAATCTTAGCAGCCTTGATACGTGCCAAATGCCAAAACTCCGATGCATGGCGCAGAAAGCCCATTTGCTTCCACAAGGTCTCTGGCGTCTGCGGAATGTTAAAATCTTCTGGTACGCGCTGGTCCCAAATACGTCTCCAATTCTCGAGGCCTGTTTGTACAGGTGCTAATGTGGCTTCGAAGACGAGTGAGTTTTGGAGATGGAACATCAAGGAGTGAATTGCTGAATGGGATATTAGTGAATGAGATGGAATACTGGACTTCGGGAATATACCTTGTACTACCGTGAATAGATTCAATGTTCCAAGCTGTGAGAATTCCCGCACCATCTCTTCGTCGATTTGGTTCTGGCAGATCCGTCGTACTACTGACACCATGGATGACCTGTTTCTCCAGAATCGAGTCTTAGTCCATTCCTCCAGTTGAAGCAGGCATTCTGTGGCCGATTCGGCTTGAAAACATGCTTCTGGGCAGGACACGTCCATTTTGAGTTCGGATACCACTACCCGGGGCGGCGAATTGTGGAAAATGACAAGTGCCGCGTCGATCAGAAAGACGAAGATGATAGTTCTGCTCTGGTTATTACAGGCTCGTCTAGACCCCATGATTCCTTTGTGGTATAATCTCACCTCATCAGCTCCTCCTGTTCTGCAAATTCTCGCCACCAAGATTGGGAGTCTCGGTTGATCTCCAAGTGTCGGTGAGAAGCCGTTCCAATCCCGATATGTCTTGCAAGCTGCATGAAGAAAAGAGACATTAGAGCGCACACGATTTAAGCGGAAGAGTCCAATACTCACTGTCACCATTGACGCATGACGATATCGCCGGATCCTCGCCTGTGCTTCTCCCGGCCCCTCTCGCTTCTGTAGCGAGCATACCAAATATCCCGCCTGGATGCTCTGAAGTCTTTCCTTCTTCCAATCCGTGTCATCTTTTCTGCGGGAATAGGAATCTCGGAAAGACTCATGGCTGAAGATGAGCTCTTCGACACAATCGAGCCATTTCCTGGCATCTTGAACGTCATTTTTGCTGGGCGACAGGCAAGCCCCTATCAGGACCATTACGCATAACAATGCAGGGCTTGCTTTGCAGGCATCGAACAGCGGCTTGTGAATGATCGGGCAATTGGGATACCAGAGCGACCAGAAATATTGCAGAAAGCGACGGATGTTGCCGGGTGAGTAGAAATCCTGACACTGGGTGTATATTGCGGGTGACCAATCGAATTTTATCACGTCATTATTTCGCTTATTGGCGATTGTTTTGCGTAGACTTTCAACAATTTCCGTTGCTTTTGTCGTCAATTTATCGCTCTCGGGGTATGTCTCGGTTGTGCTCTGCATGAGACCAAAGTTGTCATTGTAGGCATTTGCGATCATATTCTGACTCCATCGGAATGTTTCGCGGTCAGTGAACGTAGACATTCCCATTGAACTAGTGAAATATGCGAGATGTTCCAGTCTCTCGGCTTTGATGATGTCGGAGTTGATTTGGGAGGAGAACAGAAGGTCCAAAGCTGAGAAGTCGAGTGGGGACGGTATGTTTTGTAGCAGATCCTGTCCAGACTCAAGAAATGAATCGGAGAATGGTGCTATCTCTTTTTCTTTGAACAGAGAACATCTCCAATTTGAAGGATCCGTCTCGAAGAACGAGTCTGTACTTGTATTTCCCCATTCAAGTGAAGAGGCGGCGGGGAATTCTGAGACCTCTGGGCAATTTGGAAGAGGATCAATGGCATTTTTGCTACCGACTAATGGAGCAATTTTCTCGTCTTGAGTTGAGTAGCATCGCCGTTTGACCAAATGCGTTTCGTCAAAATCACCACGCGAGGTATGATCGACGTGTGAATTAAAAGTATATTGGCGAGATTTGCAAGTGCGCTCATGCCGGCGCAGCGAGTCGCTAGCTCTGTCATTAGCTCATAAGTCTCAAGTAAATCAATTTCGCAACGCTCACCTCCTATTAAACGCGTTTCCGCATGGTATACAGACATACGGGCGGGCATTGTTATCTGCCGCAAGTTAGCGATGGGTATTTTGCCTGAAAGTCGGAACATACGGGATACTGCATGCCGCTTTAAATGCTCGGGTCGACTAAACCTCGAAGGGCATACTTGACAGCTATGTTCATTCATGTCGAGTTGTTGAATCTGGGAGATTCGGGTAGAGCGGGCGATCGCTTTACCGAAATGCGGGGAAAGAATTTCAAATCTATAACATTCTTGAAACTTTTTATCATCTAGTTACTCATTTATTGACTAGGCAATCTGCATGAAATCTGTGTAAGTGGGCAAATGGCAGAGACACAAAGAAGTACCTGATTATCACACAAGCGGAAAAAAACTAGACGATTCACGATCAAGCGTTACAGTTGTTAGGTCCGAAATCACAATTTGCCTAGACTACTGCTGGGTATTTTTAGCTTATCTTGCAAACAACCTCGGAACAATTAAATCTTTATCCATGAAGTTGGACTATGCCTAAGATTTATTTCTTTTCACACCAAAGCTTCAACGCCCAAACTTCTTCCAATCCAATTCTCCTCAGAATACCCAACTTCAAGCACGCCCAAGCAAAACCACAATGGATACCGATTCCTTCCACCTCTACTCATACTTCTGCTCCTCGTGCTGTCAACGAATCATCTTGCCGCTCATCTCAAGGGGATTCCCCTCGAGTTCACATACATCGACCTCGTCGGTGAAGAACACAAGGCCGACAAATACATAGAGACCAACCCCAGCGCCAGCATGCCAACATTGGTCGTGACGAGCGCTAATGGCGAAAAAACCACCATCCACCAATCTATGACTATCCTAGAATACCCGGAGGAGAGATTTCCGGACAGATCTCCACTTCTCCCTACTGCATTGCGAGATCGAGTGCAGGTGCGCGATCTTGTGAACATCATCGCGATTGATACACAGCCCCCTACGAACTCCCGTGTCGCGAAACGAGTGAAGGCAATCCGTTGCAGTCTGGGCGATCAGACTGAATTCGTTATACAGGCCTTTACGGATGGGTTCAAAGCCTATGAGAACTTGCTGGCAAAGCAGGATAGAACGGGGATTTATTCCTTTGGTGATACGTTGTCTATGGCGGATGTGGTTCTGGTCCCCGCGGTTGATCAGGCTTTGTTCTACCGATTCGAGCTGGACGGGTTTCCTAATATTAAGCGTGTCTATTCCGCTCTCAAGGAATTGGAGCCCTTCAAGGCTGCAGATTGGCGAAATCAGGGGGACACGCCGGAGAAGTTCCGGAGTCATGACATTTAGCTTGGCTGTCATTCATCGCATTGAGAACAAGGGTTTAATCTGGTATAATCTCTCCAGGTGCGCTATTAGACCATGAGATACAGGGGGGTTGACCGTCGAAATAGTTGTTATGTTAGAGAAGAAAAGGGTGACTCTTTAATAAACTCGCTCATCTTAGGTTCTCCCAGAATCTGCTGACCTTTTCTTGAGGCTACTAAATAGCACTCAGAAATGTATTATGAAAACACTTCTCCTAACCACATCCCTCAGGGCCATTAAAATAGCCGAAATTCCACGGCCACTATCTTTAACCGACCACCAAATTAGACCGTTACAAGAACCCGAGACCCTGGGATTTAATTTGGATGCAAGGCCAATGATCAAAGCAGTAATGAGAAAAAATAAATTAATCCAAATGCGCTAAGGACAACAGCGGAGCTTTCGGAGATGAGACCCTTAGCGCCAAATAAAATGAACAAGATCACCCAAATTTCGTGAAGTCCTGAGTTGATATCAGACTCAAATCTTCGATCATGGTCAACTTTACAATTGTCAACGGGCAAGTCTACACGCCAGGGCTGGCAATTGTCGACGCCCCGCAGCCCAACACGCCCCTCGGAGGAGGCAAGTCAACCCCCATATTTTACCAACTCCCCACTAACTGAAGTAGACAATCTCCAAGTCGCAATCGACGTATCAGGCAATGGCAAACTCCCATGGCCACCATCAAGCCAAACTGACTCTTCTACAACACTCCAAAACATAAACTTATTCTTGACCTCCGAGTCTCTATCACACAATTTCACCATCTCCAACGGCACAACCCCAGCTTCAAAAACAAGCTATGTCGGCCCAGTCCTTGAATTAGAACCATCCTCAACAGTCAAGCATGTAAACTGGATCTGGCCCGAATGTCTCGTCGGCGATGGGTCCGACTCAAAAAGCTCCGCCCGCGGTGCATACAACATCTCTATGCACCAGGCCTTCCGATGGAATGGCACCGATTACTACACGGTGTTTGATCTGCCGATTTCCGTCACCAACAGTATTCCGAAGAGCGATGATCGAATCGACTGCGCTTCACTTGAAAATGACCTTCTTTCCGCGGCTGAAATCGCTGAAAGCTCTGATACGTTGCCTGGGCAGCCGTGGGTGGAGGGTGTGAGCACAACGTCGAGTTCTGCGGCCACCCAGACCGGGATGGGCAATCGGCGTCATTCTGGTTCCATGAGAATTGCTGGTGTTTTGATTGCTGTGTCGGCCATTTTGAATTTCCTGCATTGATGGGTTTCCTTTTGGTTGGTCCTGGATTTCGGAGATCCTATCCCTTGTACAATACTCCCTACATATACTATTCAAAGAAAAGGGTATCATTTCCTTCGCACTTCCACACGCAAGCAAAATCATACATGGCATAGTTATGATCACCTAACTTCCTCATCTTCTGCAATGTCGCTTCCTTCACCCGGATGAAGGATCCTCCCTAGCATCCCTTGTCAGGAAACATGTCTCATCGAACATGTAGCCCTATCTCATTCATCCCTTGATTAACCAATTATCCTCCTAGCAATGTGCAATCTCTAACCTCACAAACCGCTCCGCACTCGAAACAGTACCATGACCATCAGATTGAGCACCACCAATCGCAGCCCGGCTCACTCCCGCCCACACCTCCCATGACGCCTTTCTCCGCCAGACGAGTCCTTCGGAACCGGCTCGCCCGAGCTCTAATATTAATCTTTATAATCTGGACCTCCATCGAGCTCCACCTAATCCAGAGACAAATCTGCGAAGCAGAAAACAACGCCGTGCGCCATCATCCCCAAAAACGAGAACGCATATACATCGCGAGCATCAACTGGAACAATGAGCTTGTGCTGCGCAGTCATTGGAATAAAGCCCTCCTGCGGCTGGTCTCGCAGCTTGGCCCGGATAATGTCTTCGTCAGCATATACGAGAGCGGAAGCTATGATAACACGAAAGGTGCACTGAGAGAATTAGACTGGGAACTAGAGCGGCTGCGCGTTCCGCGGAACATTACTCTGTCGTATGTGACGCACGAAGATGAGATTGCTGCACCGGCGAGAGGCAAGGGCTGGATTGAGGCGCCTGGTGGGAAGACGCAGCTTAGGCGGATACCGTATCTTGCGAGAATACGGAACTTGGGCCTGTTGCCTCTGCACGATCTTGCTCGGAAGGGTATTGTTTTCGATAAGGTTTTGTTTCTGAATGACGTTGTGTTTACTGTGAGTTAGGAATTGTGGTACTGCACTGTTGATATCATTGAGCTATGCTGATATCTCTTCTACTGAGCAGCCAAGCGACGTCTTCGAACTATTGAATACCAATAGTGGTGAGTACGGAGCTGCTTGTTCATTGGATTTCTCCAAGCCTCCGCATTACTACGACACATTCGCTTTGCGGGACAGCAAGGGCAACGAGGCTATCATGCAGACATGGCCGTATTTTGGTTCCGCAGTATCGCGGCATGCGATTAAACACATGGCGCCGGTCCCGGTGACGAGCTGCTGGAACGGCATGGGTATGGATCACTCTTTTCTGTATGTTATCGGTTTTAACTTTTATCTAGTGGCCATGCCCGCGAAGCCCTTCCTCGCCAGCCCACCGCTTCGCTTCAGAGGTATTCCCGACTCACTTGCGACGCTCCATCTCGAGGGCTCTGAGTGCTGTCTCATTCATGTGGACAATCCGCTGTCAGTGGAGAAGGGCGTTTACCTTAATCCTTTGGTGAGAGTCGGATATAATGGTCCTGCGTATGCGGCCGTTCATCCCATGATGAATTGGCTGTCTACTTGGGGGATTCTCCAGGGGCTATGGGTTAATCGTTTCCACCGCTTGTATGACACTTCTTGGCTGAAGGTCGAAGGTATTCGAAAGCGGGTAGATGGTTGGAGGCGTCTGGATTCTAAGAACCATGAAGATGGACATATCTGCATCATCAATGAGATGCAAGTTTTACATAGATATGGGTGGATTCATGTATAGAAGCAGAGCAGTGTAGGGTAACTTTTGATGCAATTTTTCCTCACGATATGGGCACCCAGCGGAGAGGGTCTAGAAAAGACTTGGCGGGGACTAAACAAAGCTTACCTAATTTCCAGTCCCCTTCAATTTCCTGGCCGGGGGGACTCGTTGTAATTGTAATACGGCTGACACTTCGATACCCCACGTTGAAATTGGAAGATGCGCGGTGCGCACATCGGCCCTGGAATAATGAAACTGAACGCTCAGGAAAGAAAAGCTTGCGAAAAGAGTTGAATTGATAAGCCGTTCCTGAGAATGCACGTATATTGAGATAGAACAATGAGGAACCAAATCAACTGGTACTTTATATTCAAGTCACCCGTAGAATGACCGACTAGTGAACCAGATAACCTGCTTAGTCTTCGGGACTATTTATCCCGAAGAGCAATAGGAAGACGCTCACTTTTCAAAATGGAGCAGGCAGCTTCCTCCCAAAGATGACTTAGACTCTTAGACACGAGTCAAGGCTTCTCGTGATGCTCGAATAGCTTGGTTTGGCATCACTTTGCAGCAAAGCCTCTGCCTCGGTGCAAAGCTCCGGATTGTACCGAGGACAACTCATACTCCAAGTAACGTTCCCTGGGATGAAAAGTGCCAATGCTGTTAAGTAAATTCGTAGCTTGGGAGAACAGATCTCTTCATTTGCGATGAAGGCATGCATTTCCTGCAGAAATTTCTTTTCGTAGCCGCGAATGACTTGGCGAGCCCGTTCCTTCGCATCATGTGCAGAGAGATTATCCCGTTGCATGTAGAGCCACACAATATTCGTCATGGTGGCGGGTTGCTCTGAATTCTTTTGTCCCTGCAGTGTATCCCACTCAACATCAAAAGAATAAAAGTCGTTAGCCAGAGCGGCCGCCGCATAGCATAGGCTGGCAATAGGGCCCACACGTTTCTCCTCCTCCTCAGACAAGACAAAGCCCATACCGAATCGCATCAGCGTATCAAACCAGCTGAGTAGATTTAAAGGGTCAATGATACCTTTCATACAGTATTCACGGAAGAGGGACTCACGGGACACCTGCGTCAATAACTCGATATTTAACAAACTCTTCAATGTCGTCGAAGATGCAGCGTTTGTCGTGGGAGGTGATTGTCTCCACCATACTCTTCCAATGTTTGACCACAACTTCAGCACACAACTTATCGGTTGATAAAAGCTCCAGTAGTATCTTTGATTCTATTTTTTTTGATCCGATCGCCGCTCGCATTGTACGGTTTTCGATTTCGCTCATGTCACCTGCATCCTTCTTTATCAATCTCAGTATATGTTGCAATTATCCCCAACGCTTAAGGTTCCGTTGCTTACCCTTGCTTTGAACAAGGGTTCCATAAAATTGTCATCGAGAAGAAAGGCATCTAGCAACGTGAATGCCAATGTTAGCTCGTCGTTTCCGAAACCCATAATCTTATATGAGGCAAAGAACTCACATTCACAGAAATAGGATATGAGCGCTAGTCTTCCGGGTTTGCATAACGGTAGAACGAGTGATACAAAATTCCCGTGGTAGGGATTGCAGTTGGCCCAGCGATCAAGTGGGCCAACATATCTCGCCCAGTCCTCGCGACAGCGAAAAGATCCCTCATTTGCTTTCTGGTCGTGCTTGTGACACCGTAATGGGTATTCATGGCAAAATCCATCTATATCAGAGGTTTGCCGACTCACCAGGTAAGAGATCTCATCCTGGTCAGATTGTATGGAATAGGGAGCCATGTTTTTGAGCTGGACGATCGGTATCATAGGACGACTTTCATGTGTCAGGGAGCATGGTACTATATATTAAAGGAATATAAGGGACACGTGTTCGGTGGGCCCCAATCTCTGCCTTTCACTTTGCGCTAGTTGCGGTGTGCTCTCTGATCAATAGGTTTACAAGGACAAGGGATGGCTGATTCAAGAGCAGATCGCCTTTCATTGAGAAATGCGTTGTACCTTTTGATCACAAGTGGCCAATGCATTTTCCGTTTTTGTTTATTTCTGTTTATTGGTTTTTGGGCGTGAAGTGGTGATACCAATTTCGGGACGTACTGTACCTTGCAGCTCAATAAGTAAATCAATTCAATCACACTCGCTCAATGGACATCAAGTTACTCAGCCGTCTCTCCGTTCCTGTCGACCTTTGATCATGACTGGGTAACTGACAAGTGAAGCCATTGTCTCCATCTGTGACAGGATCATATGATGTGGATCTCTATTCTCGCATACTGAATTTATAGCCAGTTCATTGCTGATCTGGATTCTTGCGGGGGCTTTCCCATTCTCCTTCTGATAGATTTTCGTCGATTCAGAATGAATGCGCCCGATGTGACAGCTATCAGTAGGAAACCCAATGAAACACCAAGGCTAGTTCCGATTTTGCTTGTACTCGACAGACCATATTTAATTTTGGAAGCCGGGATATCTGTCAAGGATGATGTAGCTTTGGAATAACCCAAATTTTTGAAGTGCTGTCGTGGCGCTTGCAGACATTGATGAAGATGCTTTGACGAAATTATACGAGACTGGTGGTGGATCGTCTGTGTATCGTTTCGATGTCCCAACTCAAATGCTGGTAATATTGTCACCAAAAGACTCGCCCTGAGCTGTGAATGACTGGAGTACGAACTGGCACCCATTTACATGTCCGAGACTAGGAGCAATTTACTTGTGAGAAAAGACAGTTGTCTTTTACATTTTTAACTCTAGTCTCTAGCTAGCTAATACCATTTCAATGGCCCTTCTCCCTTCCAGATCCTCGTTGGTGTGGGACTCGATCAATCTATCGATAGATTGATCGATATACAGACTTAAAGCTAAGGTACACATACTGTATTAATGATATACTTGCTAACAAAGATCTATATATACATCTCATACAACTAGCAGTTATAACTTGCACGATGTATAAGTAATTTTAGTATCTCCCTCCCATCTTCACCATCAAACAGGACTCTTGGCCTCTTCCTCCTTCTCATGTTCATCCTTCTGCAAAACAACAGGCGCAGCAGCCGCTTTAGGTGGCGTAGGCGCAATCCAAAACACCGGATACCGGCGATGGAAATTATTGAACAGCAGCGCACAAACCAAAAGCATAACAGAGGACAGCAAGACAACAGGCAAAAAATACCAGGACAGCTCCCAGATTTCCTGATTAGTAGCAGGCAACAGAGCCGTCGCACCAGCAGGGGGATGTGTAGTGCCAGTCAACTGCATAACAACAACAGCCACGGCAGTGGAGAGCGAAGCCGCCAGCCAGCGGAGGGACTCGAAGCGCGCCTGGTCAGGCATCAGACTGAAGAGCTTGGTGATGCAGATACCGACCAGGGCACTGAAGAAGTGGCCGAAGACCAGCGCGCGCGGCTGGGCGAGGGGGCTTTCGATTGCGCCGAAGACAAGCACGGCGGATGCACCCTTTTTCTGCCTGTTAGTCACCTGTTGGATTTTGCCGGTTCGCCTCTTCGCCACTTACATAGGATGCGACGATGCCGGGCACGTGGCGGTCTTGGAAGTAACTTGAGTAATTGAAGATTGCTTGAAGGACTGAGAGGCCGCAGAAGGCGGTTATGAAGGACCATAGGGCGATTTGATATTGTGGAAGTGGTTTGGTTGTTTCGGGGCGGTGGCCTAGCCAGTGGCTCAGCCACCGGGGGAGACGGGCGAGGCGGGAAGACATGACCGCGCAGCGGGTTTTGATATTAGAATTAAGTTTAACGGTTATTTAGAGGATCAAAAGAAAGAAATTAAAAACATTGAAGGCGATACGGAGTAGAATTGGGGTGAGGAGAAAGAAAAATTGGAGAAAACGGGTCGTGCGGAGGAATTTGGGGGTATTTGGTTTCTATGACACATAATTTTATATGCATTATTATTCTTACTATAGCACACTATTTCCTATTAAAGACTATATTTACATTATACGGTTTGATCAGTCACCAATTCCCGACTAACAATGTGCGACTCGCCCAATGTGCCCTTCATCACCAGCACCAGGTCATCGACCGCGGCGAGGAATTTAAGATAAGCGCTAACAGCCACGCAGAAGCGGCGGTAGTTTTCATCGCGGATCAAGTCCATGCTGAGGGTGATGTCGACCTGGCGCGATTGCCAGAAATCGTGGCAGCGCTTCAGCAGAGGCGTAGGGAGGACCTCTGGTAGAGGGTCGCCCGTTTTGAGCGCTTGTTCAACTATACCAAGGACGGCCATGACGTCGCCGATATTGCGGTGGTCCAGGAGACCTGCTTGGCGCGCAAGGCGGCTCTGAAGGTGTTCTGGTAGCGAGGCCGATAGGTAGAGCAGGCGACCAAGGTTCTGATTGAGGTCTTGGCAGAGCGATTTCACCTGGCCTAGACGCTCGCTATCGAATGGTGAGCTGGAGAACTCGAAACGGAGGAGAGCAATGGGTCCGTCCAAAGTGGTGAGAGTTTCTGCGAGGTCGAGAGCGAGCTGTTCTGCTGCTAGACCTTCTTCGCGCCCTTGGCCCCAGCATGAGAGGAGGAGAGCGTAGTGGTCGGACAAGGAGCGGATGACGTTCGAAAGAGACTTGCAGATGTGGCGCGATGCAGACGGCGGTCGAGGAAATAGCTGTACAATCAGTGCTGCTGCGGATCCAATAAGGACAAGAACGAGTCGTCGCCAGAAGACGTTGTATCCCCAACCGGGGTTTCCGTAGGCTGGGATGTGTCTACGAAGTGTTAGCAAAGCACGCCCTATATAGGCTAAATTTACTTACGTATCCTCATAGCTGTAGCCGATGACCAAAATGCAGGTCGCACCAGCCATTATCATAGCCTGCATCATGGCGGGAGGAGCGAAAATCCGTCCCCACATGATAATGATAATTACAACTGCCATGATCGCGGCCAGGCCGTACGGATTCCCAGGACCGTGTCCTGAACCAATATACCACGCAGCGAGACCCAACAGGCCGCCAACGATGGTACCGATAGCTCGGCTGAGGAGGGAGAAAGTGAAGTCTGCCATATAGATGACCAAAGTGGTTTGGCCCATGATAAGAGCCCAAAGTCCCTTCTCTCGATAATAGAACCCCGCAGTGTGAGGGATAGCAGCGGGGATAGCGAGCGCGATAGTAACAACCACCATGCGCAAAGCGAAAAGGCCATCTGGATTAATGAACCAATGATAGGTACCGATGATGGCCTTTCCGATTCCACTACGCCGATTAGCACGGTACCCTCTACTGATGCGCAGATGTTGCTGCGCCGCCTTGGACTGAGTTTCCGCGACATCGGGATCAACGATCGGGTTCGAGGTTGCTGGGATAGGTGCAACGGCGTTCTTACGACGGACCCAATTGACCGCATATCGCAGACCTCTCGGTAGCCACAATCTGACCTTCTGCCGTTCTTTCAGGAGAGCGACGAGTTGGCCCAGCACACGTTCCCATCCATTCACGGCACCGAGGACCTGTTCTTCGAAGATCATTCCCATGGTGATGCCCCTCAATCTGTGCACTGAGGACTCATCGAGGGACTTGAGCATGCCCTTTTCGTCGAATATTTCGCCATGTGTGGAAATGAGGCGTTCTGTAGTTTCCGTGGCGAATGATTCTCGGAGAGACTGGAGATTCTGCAGCGCGGACTGACTGCGCTCGTATAGTTCGTTGAGATGTTCCTTGGATGGACGGCCGATCCACCGCTTGTTGACAGTACCAATGCACTCGGCGACGAGCTCTGTGGCATGTTGACATGCTGGAATGATTTCTTTGCTTGATTCGCGAAGTGCATCGATGGTTTCCGACCGAAAGGATTCATGTTCTGGGCTGCGGAGGGATTGGACTAGGCTGACGCTCTCGATTAATTGGCGCATGCCAACCTCGCGCGGGCGCTTCTTTTCCTGTCCGGTTGCTTGGGACTCGGTGTCGGAATCGCGATCAATGGTAATTTGGTGCAGCTTCTCCAGCTTTGCGTGTCCACCGAGACGGGCGATATGAATCTCGAGCAAGGACAGGCTACTCATCAAAGCCTGACGAATGGGTTGCTTCATGCTCTTCACGTCGTCGGCACCCCACCAACCGACGGAGAAGTCCAATGGTAGAAACGCGATTGCCGGCTCAATGGCCTTGTAAGCAGCGATGCTTTTCGCCTTGATTGCGTGCAGATCTGCAAGGACCAGATCTTCGCCTTTGAGAAGACTACTCTCTGTGGCATCGAGAGGACCTTTGAGTAGGCGTACCAGACCCTCCATTCCATCGAGCACCACATGGGAGGTAGATCGAGGAAAGAAGATGAAGTGAGCAACCAACCCCAGTCCAATACCGATAGCAGCTGGCTCGACTAGAACCTTGGGAATAGTTCCGTTGAATGATGGCAACAGCGGGCCAATAGTTAACGTGACATCGATAATAATAGTTCCAAAAATCTGCAGCAGGACAAATTTGGGATTCTTTGCGCGAATACGAGCCTGACGAGAAAGGTTAGCATGGTCAATCCTGCCGTTGGATGGAGATCTTCACCATCACGTAAATGAAAAAGCAAATCAAGCAGTAATAGACAGCAGTAACACGAGCATCGAGCATAAAGCCCGTATAAACAAGCACCTGCTGAACAGCCGCCAGACTTTGTCCAGTAGCATTAGCCGTACTATACGCGGTCTGCCCAAGCAACTGCAGCCTAGCCTGAGTCTCAATCGCTGGTCTAGCAGCCTGACCAGCCTTCATAGCGACGACACCCCATGCCCAGCCAAGAGCCATACCAACTACAAGAGTCAGAGCACCCAGCAAGAAAATAAACACAATACCGGTCGGGGGCACCATAAACAGCACCAAACTAGATCGTCAGCGCAAGATACCACAAGCAGATGTCAAACTCACGTTGCGAAAAACGTCGCACTGCCAATCGTGCTCAGAGTTGGATTAATAAAGATCAACAGCGACGCAACCCACGCCGCCAGCGAGCAGCGGAAGAGCACTTTGAGATCGCGCGCATTGAAGTGATCCAGCCATCCAGGCAACTTTCTTGCCTTGGTCTTTGCCGGCGCAGAGGCCGGCGGAGATGACCGAGCATCTCGATGCGACTCGGTTTCAGACATCACTTGAACAGTGCATGGAAGCTGCGTTGAAGGAGCAGAAGTTGGGATTATGTCTTAGAGGGAGAAGACGGGAACGGGTCGGAATGAGGGGGAGCCCTGGAGCCGAATAAGATTCTGACGGGCAGAAAAGTGATCGGCGCTATTGATGAGATTATTTAATTTGTTCGTCTTTTGAATTGGAAAAAATTGTCTGGAATGGATGGATCGGCCTTTCGATTTGCCTGATTGTCTTTGGATCGGCGCATTAGATAGTGCACAATTACCCCGGGGCTTTTATGCTAGGGCGTTAGAACGGACTTGAGGGGCTTGGCACCGCGTGCGTGAAAATTGTGTATTGAAATTTTTGAGCTTGGCGGGCGTTTTATTTGTTTCACTTTGGATGAATTAACTGAAGACGTTAATTAGTTAGGTAATTTTATCGACTTGAGATATTTTGGTTCCTCTCAGGGACTATCGAATGTTGTGCCGGATTGGGAAATTGGACGCCGAAAGGGGCTCCCCTATTAATTCTCAGGTACAACGTTATATTAATGAGTCAATTGTCTATGTCTACGGAGTGCGGAGTACTCGTGTCCAAAATTGATGTCATATAACAGTTAGGCAGCTTGCATTAATATATCTCCCGGGTGCATTATGCATGTGATGACCGTTCGGAACGGGAACTCATGGCCTCAGGCAAGAATTTCATGTTGAAGCCTGATATATTAGGCGGAAGTCTCTTTTTTCAAGACAAAATCCAATTGATTTTTCACCTGCAAATAGCCCTCAGAGACTGTTTCAAATTTGATCATTTCACCATGATCAGCTTTGATGAAAACATGGGAAGATCGAGCCTGTACAGCGAGGTGAATGTTAGAACTCGAATAGAAACGCCAATGGATACATCTTCGCACCTGATCCGATGTAACTTTTGTCGATGAGGGTTCTGCTCTTTCGTGAATAAACAAGGTCCAGATCTGCTGGCTTATTAACGCATAGTTCTGTAAAGTAGTAACTAGCCAGTGTGCTTCCTTGTATATATCGGTTGACTCCTGCCCCGATCCTGCTGCGCCGGCTAAGTAACTTTGTAGTCCTGCAAGTCTTGAATCCAGCTCTGGCGTTCCCATAAATATTGCTCCACAGGTTGAGAGTTTGATACTGCGAAGCTTTAAAGAGGCTGTTTCTTGTGCCGAGTTGGAATATAGTAAAGCCTGTCGATGGTTAACGGCAAATTTTCTAGCAGGAATGGTGATAGGTACACTCTTTACTATCGTTCCTCCCAAGCTATGCGCGATGAAGATAATCGGACGGTTGATTGTCTGTTTCCATTTGTCAGTGTGTCCAATTATGAATGTGAGACAAGCCAGTCAGGTTGATACATTTGAGGATGATCTCATGTCCCACAAATCAAAGATCAGCTTCTCGGATACTGATCGCTGGGATAGTTTCTCTGCAAAATTCCCTGCCGCTGATATATTATATCCCCATGAAGCAACTCGAATGTTGGGCATATCAACTGGTAGCAGATCTCGGAGCCAATTTACACCATTAGCTGCTGTCCATGATGTTTCCCGGTGGCCATTCAACCCATGAACAGCGATAATGCTACACCATTGTTAGCTTGCATTGGGTAGACTTGTCAAGACGTTGGATACATACTCAACCTCAATTGGCCCTGGTCCTTCATAGAGCAACTTGAATCCAAGTTCTTCGTTACTCGTCGAAAGTGGTGGAGATGACTATGATGGTGTTTAGAACACATACATATATAGATGTGGCCCAAGATTTGTAGACAGCCTTCCATAGTATACTTACTGGCTTGTTGTTCAGTGATTGATCCCGTCTAAGGGGAAAGCACCATGGCCATGGCATCTCGAGTGGATGACTGTGGTCAGAGTGCGGGGTGAGAAAAAATTCCAAGTCAACCACTTTGAAGTTCGATCTTCTTTTGACGGTTCTATTTTCACAACAGTCGTGTCTCGAGATTCACCATAGGAAATATTCAGAATAATTAATATAGATACATTGGAGGCAGCTGTGCGCTATTCATCGGTGGCACGAGGCTGTGGTTCTGAGTGTCCAGCCTCAAGCATCCCTCCATATACATCCATTGGAGTTATACTATTTCGCACTCCCACAACATGGATTAAAGACCAGTTAAGCTTCTCGAGATCTGCGACGGAACGGTGCGCAGAATACCAGATTTAGGTGATCGACACCTCAGGTTTTCATTCTTGCCTTATAATTCAGGGTTAAATCTTTATTTTTTAAGTTTCTGCACGGCTCAACGTGGCAAATTCTTCCAGATGCGTCTTGTAGTACATTCCTCCAATTCCCCTTTGTCCAAGAGCAAATCAACCAGTTATAATACCCCAAGTCTATGCCATGAAAGCAGATGAGACATTGACTGATTAGCACTTAATCGCGATTATGGCGAATAAGAAAAAATTTAGTCAATCGCCTCCCAATCGCCTCCCAAAAAAGTGGAGAGGCCGAGCTCCGGAGGCATACAACCCAATGAACTCCCCGCGGTGGAGCAAAAGACCGGCGCGAAGACGGAACCCCCAATGTCGTGCTTAAAGCCGATTTAAGATTTGAGAAAAAGAAAAAGAACAGAGTCCCCAACTTCCAAGTTTCATTCTTCATTTCTGGGGCCACACGCGGGGAATCATGGGAACCAACGACGAAAAGTCCGGCTTTAACGACGACAAAGTCCAGTCAGCGCCCGGCGCGGACTTCGACTACGATGTCGACCCCAAAGCCGAGTTCGAGCTCAACGTGGGCGGTCGCGCCGCGCTGCAGCGCCGTCTGCGCAATTACCAGGTCACCATGATTGGTTTCTGCAGTGGTATTGGAACTGGTCTGTTCGTCGGAACTGGATCTGCCTATGCTAAAGCTGGGCCGGCGGGCTTGCTGCTCGCGTATATTATTGTTGGTGGAGTTTTGTGGTGCGTTATGCAGAGTATCGCTGAGTTGGCGACGCTTTTCCCTACCGCTGGATCCTTCCCTCACTGGGCGACCCGATTTATCGACCCGGCTGTTGGATTCTCGCTTGCAATTTCATACGGATATTGTTATACGATTGCTATCGCTTCGGAAGTTTCGGCTGCTGCTGTCATTGTTTCATATTGGACGGATATAACGCCTGCAGTGGTGATCACGGTTGGATTGGTGCTGATTTTGGCGATCAATCTGATGAGTGTGAGATTTTATGGTGAAACCGAGGTTTTCGGAGGCGCTGTCAAGGTCCTCTGCTTCCTCGGTCTTGTCGTTGTCTCCATTGTGATCACTGCCGGCGGTGGTCCAACTGGTGAAGCGATTGGTTTCCGCTTCTGGAACAACCCTGGCCCATGGACAAACTACAACGGCATCACCGGTCCCGCGGGTCATTTCCTTGGTTTCCTCTCCTCTTTCGTCAACGCCTCGTTCAGCTTCATCGGTGTCGAGACCGTCGTCATCACCGCATCCGAATCGGTCGATCCACACCGCGCGATTCCCAAGGCCGCCCGCCGAGTGACCTACCGCATCGCCTTCTTCTACATTCTCGGAGCCCTTCTCATCGGTATGATTGTCGACCCGAGATCTTCAGGACTCACCTCCGGCGATGACAACGCGAACAGCTCGCCTTTCGTCATTGCCATCACCAACGCCGGTATCAGTGCGCTCCCTTCCATTGTGAATGCCTGCATTCTCATCGCCGCCTGGTCTGCCGGTAACTCATATTGCTGGGTCGGATCGCGCATGATCGTCGCCATGACCACAGACCGCCAATTGCCCCAGATCTTCGGACGCGTGGACAAGAAGGGAGTGCCATACGTGGCTGTCATCGCCGCCTGGCTCTTTGGCCCTCTGGCCTATCTGAGTCTTGGCAGTGGAGGTGCCGCCCAAGCATTCACATGGCTTCTCAACCTCAGCACTGTTGCTGGACTGATTGCCTGGGCAACTCTCTGTTTCTGCTACATTCGCTTCTTCGCCGCAATGAAGAAGCAGAATGTGAGCCGAGACACTCTCCCATGGAAGGCACCCTTTCAACCTTATGCCGCCTGGGTGGGTTTCATCGGTTCCACCATCATCACTTTGGTCGCCGGCTTCCCTGTCTTTTTGAAGGGTAACTGGAATACGTCGGACTTTGTTGCTTCGTATATCGGTATTCCCATTTTCATCGTACCTATCATTTGCTGGAAGCTTTATTACCGCACCAAGGTTAGTTTCGGTCGCTGTTTTCATCTTATATTTCTTGTGAGATTTACTAACATCGATTCACAGCTCGAACGATCTGCCAATATTGACTTGTGGTCAGGTCGTCTCCAGGATGGAGAGATTATGCCGGATGAAAATCCGCATAACAGCGCATGGAAAAAGTTCACTGATTGGCTTTTCTAAATGATTTCATGATGTATAATATTTGCATGCCATTTTGGCTATTCAACATAAGCGATGTACAAAATTTCATTGAATATATATTCATTCTTCCAAATGGCATTTTTTTTCGTAAATAAGACATTCCACACACTCATCACTTGGTCTTGAATTGCTCCCCAAGCTTCTTGATATCATGATGAGAAGCCTTGCAGCATCCACCGACAAGGAATTCCTTGAAATTGTCCTTTTCATACGAATCATTGACCACCTGGGCCAACTGGACCTCCCAAGGCCGCTAAATATCGAGTCAGCGAATTTGCCCCCAGGTCCTTATGGCTCAACCTTGAGTACTCACGTTATCACTCACATTATCACCCGCCTCGCTCGGCTTCTCCCAAACCTGCGTCGTAGTATTGTAAACCTCCCCATTAGTCCCATCAGGGTAAAGCACCAAACAAGGCGTCTCAACCCCAGCCTCTTTAACAGCCTGCCCAAATGAGCCCACAAGCCCTGGGAGCTTATGCATCTTAGTACAATTAATCCCCAGACCCCAAGGAACAGGGCCGTCCCCAGGCTTCAACGCCGCCTCAACAACCTCCCTAACCGCACTCCCATCCGGCAACAGCTCATCATCCCTTGGAAAAACACAAGCAATCCAAAACGGCAACTTGATCCCGGAATCACCGATCGCCCTCCTTACAGCCCTCACCTCATCCAGTCTCGGCAAAGTTTCAAACGCAACAAACTCCAAATCCCCCACAACTCCCGCCTCGTCAAACATCCTCAGTCGCTCAAGATGCCAAGCATACAAGCTCTCCTCAGAATCATGCTCTGCATCATAAGCCCCACTATACTCCTGTCCAGGAATCATACAAGCGCCATAAGGCCCAAGGCTGAGCGCGACGCGCGCGCTGTCATGCACTTTCGCGCGGCGAGCCACATCAACCGCCGTGCGGAGATAGGGCGCGATTGCGTCGCGCGGAATCCCGTTTGGGTGCTGCGCGGTCTTGGTTCGCGCAAAGCCAGCGGCGGAGACTTGGTACGTAGCTGTTAGGAGAATGTCGACTCCTGCGTGCCCGAAGTCGCTTTGGCAGGCTTCGAGTGTTGCCGGGTCGCTGACTAGCAGGTGCGAGGCCCAGAGGGGCGTCTCGGATGAGGAGAATTTTATGTTGTATTGGTCGCCTAGAGAGGTGCCGAGGCCCCCATCGAGAATTTGAACGGTTGCCATTTTGGATTTGGGGATTGGAGTTGAATGTGGTTGGTGGGGGTTTTGGGTTTGATATATAAAGGTTAATGCGGGCGTTACATAATCGTCTGAGGAGCGGTTGGGGAGGGTATTTTGGGGAGGAAAAGTGGAGATGAGATTCTGATGCCATTTGTGCTTGGAATTTGCGATTCTGATGTTATTGTATGCATTGCGAAGCTATTATAATTTATTGTTGCTTGATCAAGCGGTGGACACAAAGCCTCCAGTTCGGTTGGTCCGCAACTTCGAACTTGAATCAAGCAAAAGAAGGCTGCAGCTTTCCACACGCCCGATCGGCTAATCGCTCCCTCATAAGGAACTCATATACATGCAACGCCCAGGCACAGCAAGCCTTCCGCGTGTCCTTCGGGTCAATGATCTCCTCAACCCCGAAGGCATTAGCTGTGCGAACGGGATTCATTAGCCTTAGATATTCCTCTTCCAACTCTTTATACAACTCCTCCTTCTTGCCAAGCTTCTCAGCCTCACGCAGCTCGTGTCGATGCCCGACTTCAATACCACCGTCCAAAGGCAGCGATCCCCACTGCCCAGATGGCCAAGCAACCTGCATGACCGGATCGCGACATCCTAACATAACGCCGCCGGCTACACCGAACACACGCCTCGTAATAACATTGAAGACGGGCACGGTGGTGCTAAAGTAGGCCTTCGCAAGTTCGACGCCCCAACGCATCGTCGCCGTGCGCTCGGCGACGGTGCCAATGGCATAGCCCGCTTCAAACATGTCAGCCTGTTTCCAAAAATTGTTCGCTGAAAAGAATTTACTCACGGACGTCCAGGAACTGCAGAATAGGGAGGTTCATCACATCACACAGCTTCAGCAGTCTGGTCAACTTCTGACTCCCGGCTGCATCCAATGCACCTCCATTCACTTCGCAGTTCAGCGAGATCACTCCAACTGGCCGTCCTCCCAGCCTAGCGAGCCCACCGATGGCAGTACGACCCCACAGCGCACCGATCTCAAACCAGGAATCTTTATCAACAACCGATGTGATAATCGACCGCGCATTATACATGCGCGCCTGTCGTCGCGGGATAATACTGCGCAGAGCGATATCTTCACGATTCTCATCGTCCGAGCACGGGACGACCGGCGGTGCCTCACTCCCACTATTCGGGAGGTAATTCAACACAGTTCTCAATTGCTCATAGCACTCAGCCTCATTAGCAGCAAGGTTATCAATAGTCCCATTAGTACAATGGACCATTGGACCCCCAAGATCCTGAAATCCCAAATCTTCCTCAAAAGTAGCGCCCTCCACAACCTTAGGCCCAGCATTAAACAAAGCGCCAATATCGCCCGCCATCACCGAGAAATGGCACGACACAACCCTCGCCGCACCAAGCCCGATCTATACTCAATCAGCACGACCCCTTCAAGAAGCAGACAAAAAACACAAACCGCAGGCCCAACAACAGCCCCCAAATTCGGAATCCCCAAATTCAACTGCTGCACCACATACGGAAACGACGCAACATGCGGCAAATAACTCCACCCCTCCTTCCGAATCGTCGTCACACTGCCACCCCCGGAACTTCCATCAACAAGCTTAACAACCGGCACACGCAGTGCAATAGCAAGCTTCTCCACGTAGACCGTCTTCCCGGTACTCGCGCCATCGGCATGTCCAGAGCGGATGCTGAAATCGTCCGCTGTGAGGAGTACCTTGCGGCCGCGCAGCAGGCCCGCGCCTTGCACATTGTTGCTTGGGATGAAGGCTGTTGGCTTCTCGCGCTGCGGCCCGGTTTTCTGCCACGTTACCGTGCCGGAGATGGAGCCGATTTCTTGGAAGGTGTTTGGGTCTAGAAGGGCTTCTATGCGCTCGCGTACCCATAGTTTGCCCGCTTGTTTTTGGCGGATGTAGCCTCTTTGGGTAGGATTTGGTGTGTTGGCTATTTTTCGGAGGGTTGAGATTTGGGAGAGGACGTCTGAGTGGTCTGATGGGAGAGTGTTTTGCGCTTTTTGTTTTGTTCTTGGTTGTTTGGGGGATATATGGCTTGAGACTTGGTTTAGGCGGTTTGTGGCTTGGTCTTTGCCTTTGATTGATGGGTTGGCGTTGTCTTTTGTCATTTTCGCTTAGTTGTCCTAATTAATTTATTCAAGAATCGATTTCGCAGTGGTTTACTTCGGCTCGTGGAGAATTGGAGACTGTTAAGGATGGAGTCCGCTGAGGGGGTGATGCGGACCTTTTGGGCCTTCCGAGGGCCGAGGTCGCCCACCTTGAGCTATAAGGATTGTCGAAAGAGAGTTGAAGGAAGTAATAGGTTTTCAATTGCTTTTTACAACAACTCCATCTATTTTGAATTAGTATTCCCGTCGATGCAAGGCCCCCCTCGCTCAATTGTAGATAATTACCCCATATTTTGAGCATGTCGTCTTCCCCGCACTCTCCCTTCAGGCGACTGTTGGTCGCCAACAGGTATGTCCCGCTCATAATATCCAAACCATTGCACAAACTCATGAGTTAGAGGAGAAATTGCCGTTCGAGTACTGCACGCAGCAAGAGAATTACCTGATACAATCGAACTCTTCGCTCTCTGCACATCAGACGACCAATCGCACTGCGATCTAGGCCGACCAGACCATGCAATCGAAATTCCATCAGCATCAACATACCTTGACATATCCTTTTTGGTAAAACTTGCCAAAGAGCACTCCATCGATGCCGTGCATCCAGGCTACGGCTTCCTTAGCGAAAGCGCCGAGTTCGCCTATCGCATGTGGCACGAAGCCGGAGCCACTGTCATCGGACCAGGATGGGAGAATCTCGCCCGAACAGGCGATAAACTACAAGCCAAGCAGCTGGCCCAGAGATGCGGGGTCCCGATCTTGCAGTCCATGAATGAAGCCACCGAGAACATGGATGAAGTTCGTGCGTTTGTCAGGCAGGTCGGCTTGCCAGTTATGATTAAGGCTGTGGATGGGGGTGGTGGTCGTGGAATTCGTCTTGTGCGCGAGGAGCATGAATTGGAAAATAGTTTTCAGCGAGCGATTGGCGAGTCGCCTTCCAGGTCTGTTTTTGTTGAAAAGGCTGCTGTGGTTGGGTTTCATCATGTTGAGGTTCAAATCATTGGTGATGGGACTGGGCAGGTGAGGCATTTGTGGGAGCGAGATTGCAGTGCCCAGAGGCGGTTCCAAAAGGTTGTTGAGTGTGCGCCTTCTTTGATGCGCGATAGGGGTTTGGTTGGGAACGTCATTGGGGCTGCGCTTAGGATGGCTGGGGAGGTTTGTTATCGGTCTCTCGGGACTTTTGAGTTCTTGGTCAGTGAGCAGCTCAGGGAGTTCTACTTTCTTGAGACGAATGCTCGCTTGCAGGTTGAACATCCGATTACGGAGTCTATTAGTGGGATAGATCTGGTACAGACGCAGCTTTTGTTGGCTCAGGGATGGTCATTGGCTGAGTTGGGTCTCGGTGCTAAGATTGATCCTAACCAGCTACCCCTAACTCTTTTTCGATCCAACTCAGACTTTGCGCCGAGGACCCAAGCAATGGGTTTGCGTTGAGTATTGGCAAGGTCACTGCATTTAGTGTGCCCAGTGGGCACGGAATCCGTCTGGACACCAATATCGACCTCTCAGGAAGCTCACCGCTAGTGGTTGGATCGAACTTTGATAACCTACTGGCGAAGATCATCGTCACCGCACCAAGTTGGGAAGCAGCTGTTCGAAAGGCCCAGCGGGTATTGGCGGATTCGAGCATTGAGGGCGTAAAAACAAACATCGGCCTTCTAAGAGGGATTGTGTCCCACTCTGATTTTATCTCCGGCAACGTCGACACGCAGTGGCTTGGGCTCAACATTGACGCCCTAATCCAGGAAGGAGAAAGGATTGCGAGCGAACTTCCCATATTGAACCGTCCGGCAGGCTCCTCACAAACGATAAGCCAGGCTTCCCTTCCAACGTCCAATCTACTATTCCGAAAAGGAGATGCATGGTCAATTACCCTGGAGCCTCTGTCCAAAGACAGCGAACAGGCGGACAAAGTTGCCCACCATCTGCTTCTATCTCGTGTTCTACGGAATGAGTTCCCGAACTCGCTCACTGCCGAAATCGAATACACAACGCCAACTTCGCAGACTGCGACTCCTTATCGGATGCAACTCGACACAACCACCACGGCGGCGTCTGCACTAGTATCCACATCGCATCGACGAGGTGATCCAAAGAATCCACACCACATAATCCTCCCTCTTTCCGGCAAATTGATCGAAATGCTGGTCTCAGACGGTGAAGATGTTGTCGAAAACCAGGTCTTGGCTTTCGTCAAGCAAATGAAGATGGAGCTCGAGGTACGCAGCCCTCGTAGTGGAAAGATCAAGTGGGTTTATGAGATGGAAGATGAGGAGGAAGATGTTGCAGAGGGCATGTTGTTGGTTGAATTAGAACCAACCAAAGTGGAAGTACGAGGAAAGTTGTGATCATCAAGTGTGAAGGTATACACTGTGCATTGGATTTTTCCCCTCATAAAGCCATATTATATCTTCTCTAATATAAGCAGCCAATGGGCTTCAAGATCCACCTGCTTCTTCAGCATCATTGGTCTAGTGGTAGAATTCGTCGTTGCCATCGACGAGGCCCGTGTTCGATTCACGGATGATGCACGTTTCTTTTTAATTTTTTTTACTTGATCTGTAATATTCTTGCATATAATTTTGCAAATTATTGGAGATATTTGATCAAACAAAGGACTTGTTCTTTTTCCTCCAATAAAGTCATCAAACAAAATTTGCAGAGGTGATGTTACTTCTTGCGATCCTTGGCAGGTGGTACACCTCTACTCTGACGTCACACCAACTTCCCTCAACCCAGCTGTCTTGTTCTCTTTAAATTGGCAATATTTCAGTATGGATGCCCTGGGTATCTATGTGCTAACGTTCAACTGCGCTCGAAACTTCGTTGATGTCGACACCTTCGCGCCGCACTTCTTCGACGCCCTCCCCGCTGCGGGGAGCTCCGCACCAGACTTGATCGCCCTCTCACTACAAGAAATCGCACCAATCTCTTACTCCTTCCTAGGAGGATCTTACCTCGAACCCTACTTCGATGCATTCCGCCGTACTGTTAAGAAAGCCTGCGCGCAAAAATGGGAAGATGACTACGTGAACTTCCTCACCGACAATACGGGCATGACTGGCCTCATGCTTTTCGCACGCCATGACACCCTCAGCAAGATCGCCTGGAAAGATAGAGCGCATGTGGGCGTTGGCGTGGCCGAAATGGGAAACAAGGGTGCTGTCGGGGCGCGTCTAGGATACCTGGTCGAAGGACATCCTTCCAAGACAGTCGATTTGACTTTCGTTGCGGCGCATCTCGCCCCAATGGAAGACTCATACGAGCAGCGGAACCTGGATTGGAAGAGCATTGTTGAGCGCCTTGTTTTCACGCCTGAAAAGCCCGGACAATCGGATGTGAACGAACGGACTGGGCTTCTGGGCGATGCGGCCTCAGCTCACTTCGAGGGCAGTCGGAGAGACCTCTTCGCGCCAAACGCCTACCTTTTCCTCGCCGGAGACTTGAACTACCGCACATCGAACGTCGGCCCGACGATTGGCGAAATCGCTCAGTTTCCACGGCGGAACGTCGGCGTCGAAGACCCATCACACTATGCCCATCTCCTCAAGCACGACCAGCTCACGCGCGAGATGAGCTACGGACGGACTTTCCATGGTCTATCTGAAGCGCCGATCGATTTCCCTCCTACTTACAAGTACTCCGACGCGGCGCGCGAAGCAGCTCGTCTAGGCGAGACGGCTGGTCAGGAATGGAAATGGTCAAATCACCGCTGGCCCAGCTGGTGTGATCGGATCCTGTTCCTAGAGTCACCGCCATGGATTGGTGAGGCCGGGAAGGTCCAACCGCTCGCGTACAATGCACTGCCTCTCTTTGTACAGTCAGATCATCGTCCTGTTGCGCTGCTGGCGACGGTGCCGCTGCAGAGTTCGGTTACTTTGGACGATCACGCGAGAGCCAGTCTACGAGCTGTGGCTCCATTCTCCATTGATCCGATGTGGGAATCAAAGCGACACATGGCGCGGCGGAAGGAGGTGGTTGTGGGTGCTGTTGCGTATCTGGGGCTGACCAGGGAAGGAAACGGGTTGTTGCTCGTGTCTATGTTGGGTATCTTCGGAGCCTGGTTCATTCTTCGATCTATGCTGGAGGTTTGAGGGGGTGGGTGCCTGGCGTCTTGTTGGAAAGTTAGTCTTGTATTTTTTACCTCTTGTTTATTTGGGCTGTTGTTGGGTCATGCAATGCTGCTCGCCTGAATTGGCACTGAGAACGCCAAATGATGACTACCTTCTTAAACATAGTATGGCCGATCTAGTTTGTTTCTTCTGCAAATATTTGTAATCATCGAGCTCAATCAGGTCCTGTGATGTGTTTCAGGGTTGTATATCTCGCATCAGATAAGCCGGCTATCGGCTTGTGGCTCCAACAATGCGGATGATTTGCTCTTAGCAGCAATCTAAACTGGGCAATACCCTGAGGTCACATGAACCGAGGTGATAGGTAATCTAAAGCAGCTTAGTTGAATTCTGCGAGTGAGAAAGATGGCGCTGTGGCTGAAGGAGACACATATGAGGTCACCTTTCTGTCAACCTCCGATTATCGCCTTTTGCTTCAACCCAGGTGACTAGACTATCAACTAGACTGGGACCATGGGCTGCAGGATTAGGGCTCAGGTCAATGCCACACTTTGCTGTCATAGTAAACTTTGTGCTATATTTACCACATAGTTACCCATTTTCATAGTTCAGTCACATAGTTATAATCCGACAAATACGTTATGTATAGACAAGGTGGGCTGTGAGTGTCTGGATTCCTGTTCTTCGATTGTCTTTCTAGATTGTTTCCACTGTGTCAAATATTGTGTTCCTGATTCTTTGACGGACCGCTACATCCGACTGCAGTTATCCCAGGAATACAAAGCGCTTTTTCTTTTTTTTTATTTGTCGGGAGGGCCCGATGCCATTCTGCACTTAACTAGATCCTAGCATACCTAAACCAATGATGACGGACGATGGTCTGACTTATTTCAACCGTGATAATGCACATGAGCCGGTCAAATGACCCGCAGAGAGCTTAAATCAGCTCAAACAAGGCCACGTCAATTTTCTCACCGCGCCAGACTGTACGACTGTGCTTACGAAGGTGCAAATATGCCAAGGGAACGCGGGAACGCGGGTTTCATCGGAGGCGGTGTGTAGTATAGATGTGATGTCAGGCCATCTACACATAGTTAGTATGTAGTACGTGTACAATATTCTGGATGATTTTCTGGAATCTACGGTGCACATTTTGTTGATTGATTCTGTTACGGCATTGTGTTAAAAAATTTCATTTCTCAATAGGCCAATGCGGAATGTTACATATAATTACCTTTTGTATGAAGGGGGGAAAGAGAAAAAAGAAGAAAAATCCCGGGATCCACAACCTCCACAGGGATGAAAGGGAGAACCCATAGAACGAATCTAGGGCCACGTCAAAGAGCTATTGAATTGAATTGTTTCTAGCGAAGTTTCAAGGGCGGGAGGATCAGCTTCATCATTGGTTTGTACCAGAGATCGATATAACGATCATCTTAAGAATGACTATGGAGAATAATCTACAATATTATAGATAAACAGGGGGGTTACCCATAACTTACGGTATACACTAACAAATAACCTTGGAAGGAATAAATAAGATGTGTCCTTAACAGGGCTCATCAAAAGAAAGTGCAAACAGACCTGAAAAGGAAATCGAGGAAATCCCCTGAGTTCGGGGAGTGGATATTTGGATTCCAGAACAAACCCAGAACAAAATACCTAACTAGGAGGGCCCGAGGCCCCAAAATTAGCATTTCGAGGGTGTCAATTTGAAACCACAAGAATTATAGATGAGATTATATAGTCAGTATACACCCTATCATAGATGGAAATACTCTGTAGATGAAATCTACTTTAGAATAATGCTTACAGTTATACTTAATCTAAGGCTTAACGGTTTTTCCTTGTTTTGAAAGTCCTCTGTCAGCTGCTCCACCTAGCCCTGTAATATATGAGACTACGAGCCCATTCCAGCAAGATCCGGATGCATCGTACCGTAGATGTGTATGTTTTTTTCTTTTCTCTTTTTTTTCCTCGTCTATAGCGAATGTTTTATTGGTCCACCCCCTTCCTGTCGTCATGCATCGAAGACCAGCATATGAGCCGATCACAAACCCGCATCTCCGGGTCAAAGGGATGAGGGATCGACCGATCTCTGCAGCATGACATCCCGTAACCATCTAATTAACTACTGAGTTACCTGTCATGGTACATTGTAATTCAGTGTATGAGAGTGTATACATATTTAATACTGAGAAATTTAGGGTAAAAAAGCCGGGAACTCCGCCAAGTTGTACCCAATGGTGCCCAGAGTCGTCCCGTTAGAAAAAAAAGGATGGCTTAGAGGGTTCGGGCAAGTCACAGAAAGATTAAAGAAAATAATAAAGAAAATAATAAATATATAACTAAGGAATATAATAGAATATAATCCTATAGAAATAATAAAAAATAATATTAAAAACCCCCGTAGGAAAATTAATATTAAAAATCATAAAGAAAAAAACAACCCCAGCAAACGGCCGTAATAATAATGGAACCCTAAAAATTCTACTCCTATCTGACTACAGTAATATAGGATTGTTTGGTCTAAGCCATCTTTTTGAGCCTCTGATATAAACCCTCAGCATTTCCCTCTTTTCTCTTCAAACTAAAACCGGACTTCATCGACTAGCCTTGTGGCTGACTTCTATCCAACAAAACCCTACTTTCAACCTCCCACGTCATCGTGTTGTACTGCACACATTCTAGGCCTGAGCCCTTATTCTCCGTTCCATTTAATCTTGCAAAAGGTCTTCACCTTTTCTTTTTTTCTCTTCTCTTGTCAAATCTTGAGAACAGTAATCGCCTTCACCTCTTTGTCGACACTTCAATCTAATCCATCGACAACATGTACTCCTGCGCGAACTACCCCCGTGGATGTCGAGGCCGCGTCGGCCAACTTGGGGCAAAATGCTCTGACTGTGTTGTATGTTTTTCAACCATATTTCTCAAACTTGACATACAAGAGAGAGAAAAGAAGCGACGTTCAAAAGAACCCCATACTAACCGTTTGACTAGACTCTGAATTTGCGCCGCCCAGCATTTGCCTCGCCATTCGCTCAATCGCGCGAATACAAGCGCATGCTGCCCTCAGAGCTCTTTGGTGAATCCACCCAAGCCTCAGAGCCCCAGCTGTAATGTATGCAAAAGCCCCGGGACGGTCCGGAAAATCACCTAGCTCAGTGCGAGCTTGCGTCCTACCGGCTGGGACTCATTCGCATGATCGACGGCTCCCTTTGTTCTTTTCTTACTCCAACTTCCCAATCATGCTCCAATCTCTATGCATCGCCGGCGTTTCTTTGCCATCTCGTGATTTCTCCTCGATTTCCGTCTCTTTGGCTTCGCTCACTTGTACTCTCCACTTCGGCCGGGCCGACGTGTGATGTACGACTTTTGTTGAGTCTCCAAAATCCCGAGATGCGGATTTTCCTATTTCTCACTCGCTGCGTGGGCTCGTTTTCCAAGAGAGCCCTTTTATGCTTTTATTTTTGCATGCAGGATAGATCGCATTTTCTTTTTCTCGCATTGATACCTACGGACATGGATCTGCCACTGGAGGGCAGTGGCACTGATGGATTGGGCTCTTCCGACCTCCGGTTGATCGACCGCTTCTTTTCTTTGCGCATACGTGTGCTTTGATATTTGTTTGTCATTTGGTTCTGGGCCTTTTATGCCCTGGTTTCTGACGTGGCTTTTCATCCTGATATGGACTTTTTTTTCTTTGTACTGTGATGCCCATACCCCTCTTTGTCCCTTATGCGTTTTCATATGAATCATTCCTCTTCTTACTATATACGTATTAACAGCAATGATATTATCATGCACTTGCTTCTACTCTATATTACTATCACTATCACCAAAATCAACATGTAGTGACTCAGCCCTGCTGGGCCTTGGTCTCCGATTTATGTCCCAATCTAGACACCCGTTCTGCTAAACCTTGTAGTTATGCTTTCGGGGCTAGACCGCCAGACCCTCAGCCCCAATGCGCGGGGCTGTAAAGTGTCGGCCCCATGTCTCGACCCTCGAGACCCCATATGTCTCTCTTCAATGACATACTAAGTAAGATCTAAGCCTGAAACAACACCCTGCGACCTCCAAGATCCAACTTTAGAAACAAAATCTACGCCGACCCGGCCCATCTCGCCGACATCTACGGAGTATCTACTCGGGTACCCAATTACTTACCGCATTGCCAACAACCCCAGCACACCCATGCCCGTCGGGCCGCATACCTGCGTCTTCGCTATCTTGCCGTAAAACAAGTCAGTGACTCATGCTAGCAAGTGACTCACGATATCTAGATCCTGGTCAAACTCAAAACAAGGTGGGACTCAAAACAAGGTGGGATGTTATCCTGCGGGACGGTGAGTGGCTGCAGGTGTCGCACACCGGTCAGGCAAAAGCATTCGTGGGCGGCTTAGTGGCACCGCCATCGATCGGGTATCGGGTTTTGACGGCTCATACCATACCGGGGTAACCCTGCAGGTGCGCGTACACACATCCTCCAGGACAGTTTTCTCACTAGGATTGGGTTGACCGCCGGGCGTGCAATGATTACACTCCGAGGTCTGGCGCTTTTGCAGGTTGTGAAGGTCATGTGGTGTGCTGGCGACGATCTAGACTGAGGCCTCGGAGATTTAATTTTCTGGGCTTCAATACGCTGTACGCGGTACGGAGTACAGAGTAATACTCTGGCCCCTAGGTTTGGACCGTAACCTTGGATCGATAGGGTGCATATGTCACACTGCACTTGGGTCCGGACTACTATCCGAGGAATGGGGAGGGAAAAGGGGGCGTTAGGTATGAAAATCTTTTTCTTCGTCGATCACCTGTTTCACAGGTAGATAGCTCACAATCCACTATTCAAGTCTGTGTGTTTTGTCCACATCTGAAACTATTGGATTATTATAAGCTAGACATTCTTTCTTCGATATGTGTTCTAAGAAACAACAAAATAATGGCTGCCTGAACAACCCAAGAAAAAACCAGGAAATTGGACCGGCTAAAATAGAGCAAAATTCAAAGAAAAATAGAGAAAAATTCAAACATCTCCACATATTGAGCTGGGATTCGACTGTCAGAAATCTGATCCAGTAAATGTAAAACAAAGCCCAATGGAACAAACTAAAGAGCTCTAGTGTCTTTTAAGGCGCTTCTAGCCGATTCTATTAGGCTTCTGTACTGTTTCTCTTTTTGTTCTAATGGATGTTTTAATCCATTTCTTAGATTCCCCCTTTTTTTTTCGCTTGATTTCTCGGTATTTGGGTAATTTTTTGCGCTCAGCCACATAGCGGATCGATCGTTCGCTGTTTCAGGGTAGAACTGTGGGGAATTTAGCACGGCATCTCTCCACTCAATGTCTCGTGCTCTCAAGAACGGCCCTAGCTCGTTTCGAACTTTTCCATTTGGTGGATTCTCGGTGATCATTGAAACTCCCGAGTTTGTCGGTGTGGCGCTGGCCGTTGGATCGTTCCTCGTATGCTGATTTCCATTCCGTGCCGCTGTATTGTACTTACAAGCTCGATACCTAGGTACATGTCCAGCATTGACGTCCGTTTCTCCCGCTTAACTATCTGAGGCATAGGTACCTAAGTAGGAAGTCGATCGGAGATTCGGTGATCACCTCAATTTGTGACACATATTAACGCCAGATTAACTGCACACTATATATACTACTGCATACATCGCTTAATACCCGACACAATGGCAATGTGTCGTGCAGTAGGCCAATTCCTTACAAAAAGCATTGAATCTGAAACACGGAAAGACTGGAACTTCATACGACAATCCAATTGAGAGTTTCGAGCCATCTATATCCAACGCCCCAGCCAAACTATATCCCAGGTGGACCTGAAGTCGTCTATAATTACATCCCGAACACGAACACTTAATATCCCCCGCACGCCCGCCAACGTCGAAACTTAGATCTGATACAAAAGTGTCAAACAGGCCGTGGAGATGTACCAGATCGGATCTTCCGCGTTTCCTCACATATCGGCAGGCCTGGAACGCGCTGTGTACGCGGAAACGGCTGGGCCGGCAAGTTTGGCCCCCTAATCGAAGAGCCGCGCTGGGTCTGGAGCGTAGATCCTGTAATCTCGGGTGTTAAGAGGCTCCGAGTGCATTGCGTGGACTCCGGCATTTGACGGAAATATGTTCGAATAGATTGTCCTCTAGCCGGAGGCTTGCTGCTCGGGTGGGGCTTTTGGTATATAATGCAGTTTCATTGTGACGATCCGTTGGTAAATCATCTTAGGGCTCTCTTGATCCATTCTAATATTACATTTGAGCATATGAAAGTGGCAAATTGTTGAAAAAGCTCGATTTTGAGTTTATCTGTAACATCTAGATCGCACATGGCTCATTCTATACCTCTCCCAAAACCTGCCGACACACCCATTTTGCGGTCTTCGTGTGTAGCGTCCAATCTTGTTCGTCTTCTCGTGGTGTGGTATCGGGTGCTTCGGAGCGACCGCTGGCATAACAAGCTTCACCGAGCGCCTCGAAAACAACAATTTGATCTCTCATATACTGGTCCAAACATGTCTTCTCGGGCCTTATTTTATGTTGAACATTGGCGTCTGGGCTCCTGTTTGAGATCTCGTCGATGAAACCTTCTACGCATCGTTCGACCAGCTCGGTCGCCCCAGAATAGACAATATCATTTTCAGAGATATTCCGCTCTTTGTTGGCTGGGCGCTGCTTTTGCCTTCCATTTGTCTTTTGTCTTTTGATGTGACTGGGTCCTAAGCTCCCGAGGGCGTCATGACCTATTCTGAATCCCGAGGATGTATGAGCAACAAGCAAGATGTACATATGGCTACGGTGGTATGTAGCTTCTGAAGTGTGGATCTTGACAGAAACCGGTGTTTCTTGGCCTGAATCGTTATTCAAGAGATCCTCGTTGGGCAGCGAGGTCTGGGTTGTAGGAAATATGGACGCATCTAGCTTCCTCATTGCCCGGCGCAAAGCTTTTTTGGTGGCTTTCTCAATGTACTCTCGCAGATTATTCTCTGGATTCCCTAGATTACCCGCGCTTATGGTGGGTTGATCAGGCGCTAGCACTGTGATATCGATCTGCGTGATTTTGCCTCGCTTGTAGCTTCTCAGGTCAATTTTTGGAAACCCATATTGATGGATACCCGGTGAAATCTCATTGTGGCTTCTGTCATGCAAAGAATCTTGAGCTCTCAGTGGGTGGATGAGAAAAGTGACTGCTCCAAGGTCAACTGGCCCTGATGACCACCCACGTTTGTGAAGGGTGACAGAAAGTTCTGGAAGCCCTAGTTTTGCAAAATTCGGTACCATGACCTGGGAGGCATAGTCGTATGATGGAGAGTGAGATGCGTTTGTTCCACCTGTAATCTTCACTCTGATGAAGGGAGTGGCAGCCTGAGATCCAACATACAGCAGATATGGATACAGGGCCTGAAAGACAAGAAATATGGCACCAGCTGTCGTGAGATTGATGTTGTATTCAGGTTGCACTGTGACGTGTGATAAATCAACCAAGGGGCCTATGCTTGATCTCGCTGTCTGAGGAGAGAATTTTAAGAATTGAGAACCGATCTCGCCTCCAAATATTTTGCTGCCACTGATTTCAGCTAATAGTTTTACTGCCGCAGTATGAGACCTCTTCAGTCCTTTCTTTCCCTGTCGGTTTCCGCGAACATGATCAACACTGACTGGGCGACCAGTTAGAGCGGACAATCCAACCGCAATGCGAACCAGCTGTCCTCCTCCTTCTAGAGTCCGCCCGTTCAAACAGATATGGTTCGAGATAGGTCGAGGTTCAGCCATTTCGGGCAGGCAAGTCGAAGTCGCACTGTGATTTGGATCTCTTCTGTGATTTTTTCGATGAAATCTCAAGTAAAATTAACACTTGCCTTTGGATCTTATAATTTCAAATGATAGTAGCACCTTGATCTTGGTGCTGATTGTGAGTCAGATCTATCCATACGGGGCTGAGCTCAGGGGTCATCTTGGCGTGACTCATTGTTTCAACCTTCCAAGGTTCGCCCTTAGCCGAAGCTTAGCCTCAACATCACGATGTTTGGATTCTTGCAGTCGCCAAAATATAGTGAAATGAGAAAAAGAAAAGGAAGTCGCGATGCAAGCGTGAAGCTGTTTGGAGTTTGTTCTGAATATGGAAGCTACCTTCTGTGGGAAGCTTCCCATATTGACCATAACATGTTAGATTCTTCCCTCTACAACTCCCTCCATTCAATTATATGTGTAGGAATATATACTCTGCAGAATTTCAAAACATGTTTTCCTCTACATTCAATACTCGAAACCGATTAAGGCGGTCGATGTCAACCCGTTCGATTCAAAAACCACGACGAACAGACCCCGGCAGCGTGACCCCAGATATTACTGTGCGGCATGCTGCTGCTGCTGCTGCCTCATGGGCCATGCGCTCCAGCCAAAGCTCATCTCAGGAGCCAAGAGCATCCTATGATCGACTTGGTGGTCCAGCGAACATTGCCGTTCCTCGAAGGCGTCCTGGCTCAAGCCTTCGAGCTACCGATGATAACACGTCAGTCCGTCATGGAGACTCTTCAACTTTTTCAACGCCCTGTCAGCTCAAGAAGTTGGCTGGGGCATCTGCTCAAAGTAATCGTATCGATGACCCGGCAGCCCTTCCTCCAATCACAGAGTTCAATGGACTCGATGGACGAAACAGCTCAGTTCCCTCCTCATATCGCCGATTACACAAGGCCAAGTCCATGTTCTCGGCCAGGCAACGAGCCTCTCAGACCCCATATGGGGTGCCTCCGCTTCCTTGCGGCGATCCGTCCGACCCCGAGCGAAGTCCCGGTTTTCAGATGCCAAGAACAATGAGGCGCTCAAAGTCCTTTCTTCGGGGAAATAGTCAATCACAGCAGCCCGGTATTAACTTTGGGGCTCATGAGGCAGCTTTCCAGTTGGCTCGCAGTCAGTTTACCAATGAACGTGATGGCGCAGAGACTCAGCATCGTCTGCCGTCTTTTTTGCTCAAGCGGAAGAAGCAGCACAAGCCATTTCGAAAGTCATTCCGTGCCACGAGTGAGGGCGCTGCTCCGGTTACTGAGCAGAACACTGAACTTTCCGATCTCACATCTCGATCTATCTCAAGTTCAATCAAAAGCAGATTGAAACGGGTGTTTGGATTTTCCAAGACAGCGGAACAACATGCGGCATCGCAGAGCAGCGCGAATTGCGATGATAACTTTGCGGTTGCTAGGATTGAGCAAGACACTGCAAAATGTCTCCCTCACGTAAACCCAATGACTGAGTGTTGCACTACCGCCACTTCCTTCCGAAAAGTCTCCCAATCTCCCAGCCGTGATAGTCTCTGCACATCAAAATCGCGCGTCACTAGTTGGGCTGATTCAACCATGGCAAACACTGTTACAGCCCGGAAGCCTGGACACCGACAGTCACTTTCTTTGATCAGAGAAGATGGTGGAGGCTTGAATCAGCAAACACCTCGGACGCCTGCAGTCGTTGAATCTCAAAATCGGAGGGAAACGATTCTGAGATCGAGCCCCCAACACATTGGAATTGTCGACAGTCAAGATTTGTACTACGCACTGATGCAGCAGATGGGCCACAATGCCCTTCCTGATCCCAGTGAGGAGATGGTCTTCGGCACTGTTCCAGAGCATCGCGCGATTCCGGAACGCTCGAACACGGCTTACTCGCAGCACAGCAGACGGACTATTCGTCCTGTTTCAAGTATGGAATCTTCACCTTCACCTGGCTCATTTACAACTGCGCGTTGTGGTGATCAGTCAAGCCCATATAAGCCGTACACTCGTTCGGTCAAGTCCATGCAACCTTCCCGGGGTATATCGGCTCAAGCAACATACCAGAATATGCCTACTGGCTTCGACCAAAGAACGTCACGGTCAGCTTTTGTCGTAGACGGAGACTCAGACGAAGATAACGGTAGTGTCATCATCGCCTGCTTTGATGAATCCCGACGCAACGTTATTTCTCCAAGCATCTATTCCAGAACCACAGGTGGAAACACTCCGGTCAAAGCTGACATTGCCGACATACTAGACATGGATGTGCATGACAGACCAGGGACAGCGACCATCTTTGCTTCACAGCGGACAGCTTACAGTTCGCCCAGGCGTCCTGGCCGGGCCTCATCTTCCAGACTCAATGCGAACCCAAGTGCAGACTGGCAAAAATGGATGAGCTCCCAGATTGACAGAATTGAACAGGCAAGCCCCACGAGGGAGCATATCAGAGAAGATGCACAGTTTCAGGATGATGATGAGGACTTGACCAACATCGCTCGACATACTCTTATCACCAGCCCCGCTTCTCCACTTGGCATGTTCAATACATCAGGCAGCAATGGACATACTCAATGCGGTACACTTATTGAGAAGAGACTCCCGTCGCAAAGCAATTTCTCACGCCCCTTCGGTCAATTCTCCAGCATTCAGCCCATTCTACCACTGCAGGCAGCCAAGTTGGACGATGCAGTGGAGAAGAACTTGGGCAGGTCTTCGAAGGATCTTGTTGTTAATTCAAATGAAACTATCTCCCCGCAGCTCATCCCCAATGCCCGAACTCAGGGCTTGTCGCCAATTCGGCTGAGATCCGGAAACATGCAGCCACCAGAGTCTCCAACCCCCAATCGAGTTGCAACAAAGCGATCTTTTACCAAGGACCAGCAGCGACGGTACTCTGTCAGACGGGCACCAATCTCCCAAGACGGTAGAGCTAGTCAATTCCGCTCCATGCGCTCTCAGCGCGACTACCGTGGGAACAACGAGAACCAGAAACAGCAAGATGAGTATGGTGACATGATGGAGAGCTATCATCAACTTCAGGACGTTCATTCTACCATCTCCAGTAAGCGCATGGTTGACATTTTCTTGGACAGTCGTCGACGGCAAATGGGTGATTCCACTGACAACAAAGCAGCCACCGAGGCTTTTCTTTGAAAGCGACTGTATTTTCTAGTATTGGACTTGCACATTTTTTGCTTTGTTCTGTTTGTTGCTCTTCTATATTATTCTATGAATCACCTGGCAACTCATTGATCGCAGTTGGAAGATGTATGCAGCATCCAGCGGCCAGTATACTCTTTGTTTATTTTATATTGGTGCAATGCAGCATGAATGCTATATTATTACCTTTTTGTTCATTTGATACATAAAGTTAGCAGAAAACCAAACATTATTTAGTTTTTCACTGATTAAAAGAAATTAACCAAGGAAAGTAAGATTGAGCGTATGTGGCTTTCCCATACGCCTTCCAACATATATTTCACACAGAACTAAATGTTTGCTTCTTCTTTCAATTTTCAAAATTGTGGAACCACGTAGTACCTAATAAAAAAAAGAATAAAGATACAATAATCTCTTAAATCTTGAACTAAATTAACAGCCTGACTCCCTATGACTATGATATCGATTGTGGATTGAATATGGAGTATCCGAGTTTTCTGTTCATAAAGCTATAGATGACCATTTCTCACATCAACCAGCCAAGTGGTCGAGCAGTAACTCGACCATTCCATCTTCCTTGGTCTAGTGGTGATGATTTCCGCTTGTCATTAAAACCGATAAGCGCGGGAGACCGGGGTTCGATTCCCCGAGGGAGAGATTTCTTTTTTTGTCTGAATTGAATTATTCAACGATTCTGAATTTGTATCTTTTTTAACCAGTAATAATACTTCTTGGTACGATGAGATTCCTCAAGGAGATCCTGTTGAAGTTAGAATTTGGGGAATATATAACGACATGCTGAAAGTACGACGTATGGTGCTTGGATCTATTTGAATCACCAAAAAGCCCACTTCAATGCACCTCAAAGTGGTCATCTGCTGCAGAGTGCGCGTTGGCTGCATAATCACCCGCAGGTTTCATGAGCACCCCGCCAACATCCGGACAATCGGGGAGCTTTGAATTCTCAGCTGGATTTTGTCTTCATACCTCGGCAGGCATTCTCCGTGAGAAATACCGGATCCCAGACCAATGGCAGCATTTGGAAGTAAGACACATGTAAAGAAAAGTGCAGGATAAGCCACTATGTGAGACAGAATGTGAGTATGCAAGGTTGATGACGCTAAAATTTGCTGGCGCCCAATCCCCCGCTCGACAATGCCGAGGGGGATTCAGCCAAAGTCGAAGGTGACAATCTTACGGCAGAAGTGAGCGAAACTTATAACCTCCTTTAAAGAGTTGAAGTGGGCATAATGGCGGAACAAGAACAAGTGATTAACTTCAAGGTTCTGAAGCTCTATCAATCTTACGAGATCTTGCCCGTATGGAGACTTTTATGGACGATTACAACATTGATCGGCGTCTCTATCGTGACAAGAAGCTTTTACCGACTTTACTTTCATCCCCTTAGAAACTTTCCTGGCCCAAGGCTTGCGGCAATCACTCATTTATATGAGTTTTACTTCGATGGGATTCAAGGTGGAAAATTCATTTGGGAGATTAACCGGATGCATGACAAGTATGGTATGTTGGCCCTGGAAATAACTCACAATTGTATACTGTAAAGTGTCCGACTAACCGAGAAAAGGTCCAATTGTGCGAATCAACCCCCGTGAAATTCATATTAGGGACCCCTATTTCTTCAACCAGATCTACAACACTGGAGTGCAAGATAAAGACAGATACATGGTCAATATTTCCACCGCGCCACTTTCGACATTTGCCACAGTTGATTACCATCTCCATAGATCTCGCCGGGGAATCCTCAACCCATTTTTCTCGAGACAATCTGTGTTCAAGGTCGAGGATATAGTCCAAGAAAAGGTCGGAAAAGTAACCACGCGCCTGGAAACAGCCCACCAAAACGGATCTGCCGTGTTCCTAGATGATATCTTTGCGGCATTAACTGCAGACATAATTTCGGACTATGCGTACGGAAAGAGCCTTAATGTTCTTGATGATAAAAATTTTCGCAATAGCTTTCGAGATGCCCTGACAAGTGGAGCGCCTCTTTGTCACATGCTGCGATTCTTTCCTCTATTGTTGACACTCCTCGACCGCATACCATCAGTTATACAGTGGCTGAGCCCGAGTACTGCGGGTCTATTCGACATGAAGCGGGGAGTCGAACAGCAGAGTAGAGAGGCAATTCAAAAGAGCAAATCTGCGCGCTCGGGTCAATCAGCCAGAACTATATACGATGCTTTGACCGATAGCTCGGTTCCAGCGGAGGAGAGAACGATGGAGCGCCTGCGAGACGAGGGCATGGTTGTGCTTTCAGCAGGTACAGAAACAACAGCAAGGGTATTGTCTATGGGTGCGTTTTATATCTACCGGGACGAGCACATTCTGCGCAAATTACGAGAAGAGCTCGAAAAAGCCCTGCCAACACTCGATGAGAACCTCTCCTGGACCCAGCTGGAGAAACTGCCCTATTTGGTACGTCGGATATTCTCTAGTATATACTCTTCAAGAGAGCCTGTTGTTAACCAATTTGCAGAGTGCAATTGTCAAAGAGTCTCTTCGGATGAGCAGCAGTGTAACCATTCGAGCACCAAGAATTTCTCATAGAGTGCTGGCATATAAAGAATATATGATTCCACCCGGAGTAAGTCAAACGAGCAGAAAGTGAATCGTCCAAACCCGAAATGTTAATCGACAGCTACAGACTCCTGTTAGCCAGTCCATCTATTTTGTGCATACAGATCCTACTGTATTCCCCAACCCGGACAAGTTCGATCCAGAAAGATGGATAAAATCTTCTGAAAATGGAGACCGACTCGAGCGATACCTAGTTCCATTTTCAGGGGGCTCATTCATTTGCCTCGGGATGAAGTAAGTAATTTCCAAACAATCCCGCGATCATCTCCTTGGGATCTACCAATCATGTTTGATGAGCAAAATGACTGAGATTTTGAACTAACTGAACAGCTTGGCTTATTGTGAATTGTATCATATGTTTGCAACGCTCGTGCGCCGCTTCGATTTGAAGCATGAGACAAAGCCGGAGGAAATTAGAATCACACGCGACTTCATTATAGGTTTGCCGGATGAAGACGAGCTCAAGATACGAAGCTATGTATCTAATGTTATAAGAGACTAGGAGGTGAGGATGCACAGCAATTGAATATGTTGTATAGTGAGATCAAGTCTAGAACTTCGATATTATTTCGGAGCCTGGTTTCTTCAGGCTACATAATGTAGATAAACCAAGCGAAAAACAGTAGAGTCGATATTTTAGAGTTTGATAGAAATTCGCAAAGTCAAGAGGTTGAGATAATATGCGACACATACCCCCATAAGGACTAATGTCATGAGGTGGAGCTCATCTCAGGGTTCAGCGCTTGATGTTATTGGAAAATCGTGCTCTTCGCCTGAGCGGTTGAATTGGCGTTCAGCTCTCTAGGTTCTTCAAAATTTTCAGAGTGTTGAGAAAAGAATTATCCCAGAACTCGAGATGACCTTTGGAGTGAAAAGTAGAGGTTTGTTTATTGCTATTTCTCGTACTTGATATATCAGGGTAACTACCCTCGCTGAGCTCCCTGCTCTTGTGCATTAATTCCAAGATGTATCCGCATATCCTTCTCTGCTGACTATTACATTATTTTGATCTACCAGACTGCCCACGGCGGTCCCGTACTACATGGAAACCAGCCACCCCATCATTCGCCAGTTGAGCAACAAGCCCATACTCCCAGTCTAGATACCCCTGCATATCCTTGCGGGCATTGCTAGTCCCCTCATATGGCCTTTTGTATACATCGATTGGCTGAGAAAGCCATCGCGAGTCGGTCTCTAGGGAATGGCCGGCTGCTACCCAGGCTGATGTTCCTCCAGCCAAATACAAGATTTCTCGTGAAAGTAACCTGCGCGTGTCCTCCAGATTCATGGCGGCAACAACGCCATCAGGTGAGGTCAATACAATAGGACCGTCGCCACTGATAGATTTTAAATCGCGGGCAAGCTCAGGCCCAGAGGCAAACCACGCACCGGGGATGTGGCCTTTGCGATAAGAGGGACTGCGCGCAAGATCGATCACAGTTGCTTCTTTGAGGGCTTGAAGGGCTTGAAGATTCTCAACTGTGATAGCACCAAACTCTGCGACACTCCATAAAGGACTCCTGGGAACTTGAAGGTCATCTGGCACTGAATTGCCCTCGAAGACATAGACCTCCCATCCCAGCTGCAAGAGCCAGGTTGCTGTCATTCGCGCCCGCACACCGTCCGAATCATAGAGAACGATGCGGGCCCCTCGAACGCCAACCCACTCCTCAGTGGCCTGGACCAACTGACCACCAGGAGCATTGGAGAAGCCGGCCGGATGCCCGAGTGCGTATTCCTCTGGATCTCTCACATCTAGCAGGTACAAGGACCGCTCTTCTGACTCCGCGGCAAACTGACCGAGCTGAACACCATCTATAGAAGTGATCCCAACGTGTTCAGCCCATGCATCCGCGCACTGTCGTGCCTTTTGAGATGACTCAAGCGAAGGCTGCATGACCCGTTCGGTCTTTCCGGTTTCCAATTCCAACCCCTCTAATGTCCACCCAATGGTCCCATTGCGAAGCGCAAAGACCTCATTCGGAATGTTGGAATGAATTAAAGATTGAGCGCCAATGATACTGCGAGTTCGGCCAGCGCAGTTGACAATGACCCTAGTCCGCGGAGATTGCACAGCCTCGAAAACGCGATATAGTAGCTCTCCCCCCGGGCAGCTGCGGCCACGGGGAATGCTCATCGTACTATATTCTTCGAACCGTCTCGCATCGAGCACAACCACATCACTTTCTCTTTCCAGAAGACTTTTGACTTCGCCTGCAGACAATGACGGGGTGTGATTGATAGACTCGACGAGTTCGCCGAACGCCTTGGACGGAACGCCTACGTCACGATAGACCTCTCCAACGAGGGAGTAGCCATAGAGTCCGCCTTCCAGAATTGACACGTCGCGATAGCCCAGGGCTAAGACCCGGGCTGCGGCACGACCAACGTACTCCTCTCCATTGTCGTAGACGACAATAGGGGCAGATGACCGGGGAACTAGTGATGGAAGCTTCTTTTCTATTTCGGATACTGGCACACTTATCGCCCACAAGGGATGTGACTCGGAATAGCGCTGTTCTTCTCGAACGTCGATGAGGGCGATCTCTTTCTTATTTATCCAATGTTCGCGTAGCTCGCGTGCGCTTATTGTTTTGACCATTTTCCTGTTCGGGTTTGGAGACAGTCCAAGGAGCAATTTTGTATTCTCTTCTTTTGTATCAGCAGAGGGAACACTGTGTATATAAACGGGATTTGGAAGGAAAAGAGAGTTCCTCGGGTGTTTTTTGCAGTTGCTCGGACGTTTTAACTGTGGGGAATTTATCCCGCAACTCATGACGGCCCCGAACATTGAGATCGGGACTTCGCTGGCACTACATTGAATTTTTTATATCCAAGGGCAAGCTGTGCTCCTCTCTCTTGAATTTTCGAATTATGAGTAGCTTCGATTGAAAACAAATCGACCCTATGCCCTCGCGATCAGAAGATCGCAAGCGTTGGCATTACGCCCCATGACATATTGGATCCTCCACAATCACAACTCATTCTCCTTGCAGAGCCTCCAACTCGATTGATGTCTATTTTGATAACAGATGCACATATTTACAAATTTACTTGAGATGGATTATGCCCAAAAGGCTGCTCCCGGCCGCTGTACGACCCCGCTCAAGCTCGCCATTTTAGCATGCGATGACCAATATCGTCACTTCCATTAGGCCCGGAGGCACCTCAGCCTTACTCTCGATGATCCAAAATCCTTCATAGTATGAATCCAACTCGACAAAAGCGAAAATCCTGCGAAGCATGCCGTAAGCAGGTCCACCCCCTGAATCCCGACGTAGCTAACGAGAGACAGGGGCCCGCAAGCTCAGATGCTCAGGTGAAAAGAGCGGCTGCTCCCGTTGCCGAGGCCTGTCATTGCCATGTAAATTCAAAGATGAAGGAGCCCCCGGGAGGCCAAGGAAACGTGCTCGAGAACAAGACGGACCCCAGAGACTAGAGCGAACGGGATCTTCAAGCTCGCATATATCGCCTGTTCTCCCCCAAGATACCTTCAGCCCCCAGGAAGCCATCAATATGCTCATGGGAGCTGGTGAGTTCGACTCATTACCGTGCGAGCTATCCGGAAATTGCGGCTTCGACTCCTCGCACTGGGAAATGCTCGGCAACGGAGATATCTGTTCTGTTCCCCTTCAGTCATGGCAGACGTCGCAACAGAACGCACTGTCTGACACGGCAGTACCGCAAATGGCGCTAGATGCATACGCCTCCCCACTTTCGTTTTCGCAGTCTTGTAACTGCGACGAAGAGGTATCCAGTATAGTCCGGAACCTGAGCCGTGCAAATATGTCGCATGAGATCATCCATACGCTACGCACGGGTGTCTCCCTCGCTGAGAGAATACTCACTTGTCCCATTTGCTATGATGTGTCCAAGCCGCCCCGCGTTACTGTTCAAAATGTGCTTCTTATCGGCCATCTCATGTTCGAGATAACAGCGGGATATCAAAAGTACCTACGATGGCTGAACACACATTGCACAGAGCTCGACATCAGAAATGAGAGTAGGACGGTTCATATTGACTCAGGGGTTGGCATTTCTTCGGAGCTGAGTTTGCAAATCAGCGGTGAGAAATTCAAGGAACTGGTCATACATGGCCTGCAGGCGGATGCCGAACGTCTTTCAATGTTTGGAAAAAAGTTTGCGCTGCGGCAGCGCAATCGACATATCGTTGGCCACGAGTCTTGTCCTGATCCGGAGGGGAGTTGCCGGAAAAAGGAGTATGGGGTTGATTATGACCCGCTTGACCTTTGCCCGCAAAATTCGGTTGCGCGAAAGTTGATTCCTTGTTTTCGTATCGTTGATGAGGTTCGAGGGATGATTGAGCAAGTTGCTGCTGCCGTTGTGTGATACCCGTATTCGTTGACTTGCTTTTTTCCTTTTTCCCAACGTTTTTGAAGCGCATGAGACCGATACATAATGCGCCCACCAGCCTATTTTGCTAACTACGAGCTACTCCTTGCTATACGTTGATGTATCATAAGCGCAAAAGACACGCCGACTACCACTTGTTTCTCTGAATTGAGCACCTCGTCTTGGAGGATGATTTCCTTTCCATTACGGAAGCCGCGAATGGCACAAATGCGCGAAAAGGAGCCAGAACATTAATATTGATTGATATAAAGTATTTAAGAACCTAGCTGTGACATTTTGACTCCCCGCTGTGGCAACCATTCAATTTAGGTTTTCCACTACACGAAGGAATATTTCCAAGCCTACAGAAGCAAGAAGATGTGATCTCAACATCCGCCTCCACCAACGCAAGAGCAAGCTGTTTCTTGATGATATTCGCCTCTGCATGACGACCCAAAAGCCCAAGACACTCGTGATAACCATGCAGAGCCCAAACGTTGTTCGGATGTTGATGCGCCCGTTTAGGTGTCGGGTAAAGGCCTAAGTCCTCAGCATAAGCCTGCGCAGCCTGCTCAACCTTCCCTTGTTCCAGGGAGAGCGCAGCGAATGCATGGCGAGCCGGAAGCATCCACCCCCATGGCTCTGCGAAAGGCAACTCGTCCTCCAGTGTCACTGCATCCCGCAATCTCCTGAATGAAGTCTCGTAATCGCCCCGTCGGTACTCGATTTCGCCGTCCAGCATCGCAGATGCTACTTTAAGGATGTCGGTGATTTTGTTCGGGAAGTCGAGGCGCGTGGGAGGGACGAGTCTAGAGGCGGCTTTGAATAGTTCCCGCTCTTTATCTGCTTCATCGAGATTTGCTGTGGCGGCGTACGCGACGCCTTTGCCGTAGTGTCTCATCACATTTGTGACACAATACAGCTCTTTATCTTCCAGGGGGTCGAGCTTTTTGATCTCTTCCCACATTCCAAACCGAATGAGTACATGGACTCTGACAGCCTTGAAAAACTCCATCCAGTTCGCCAATGCGGGAGTTTCCACCCGAAGAATTTCCTCCGTAATTGTAGCCTCCATCCGATCTGTCGCCGACAATGCCGCTTTTGATTTGCCGCCCAGCATGGCAGCGTAGATGAGGGAGTGGTAGTCGTGTAGGCGATAATAGCTGTAGAATGTCAAGCCACCATTTTGCTGAAAGTACCGATCATCCGCGAGAGTCGCTTTGTAATTGTATTCCACTGCGCGCCGATAGTCCCCAACAAGAACGTCGATATGCGCAGGCATGTGGAATGTATGGCCGGTATCGGGGAACATTTCGCGGATCATCTCCGCTGCAGGGAGCGCAGCCTCAGGAGTGGCTGACATCTCCATCAGGTGAATGTACATGTGTGCGGGCCCCGGATGCTGTTCGACTCCAGGCATTTTGAGAGCTCGATCGAGGATGTCTTTCACTTCGAATACAGGGGATGATGCTATTGGGAGCCCAGTAGACGCGTCGTATAATTTCCTCGGGGCGCAATTCATCAGTGCGTCGGCGAAAAGCGTGATGATGTCGAAATCTTCCCGACCGAAATTCGTGTGTACATCTCTCATGGCCTCCGCGTAAGCTCTGCTACATCCGCCAAGATCCCTACTGGGGTTATCATCGGGATACCGTATCGCATGAGCGTTGATGATCGCCAGTTCCCAATCCGAGGCGTTATGTGCATGGCTCAGTGCTTTTTGAGAAAATATATAACATTGCTTGATTGCATTGATGCGATCCTTCTCATCGAATAATGCCCATGTCTTGTTGTAATTGGAACCGGAACAGAACGATATTCCCCAATAGGCCATCGCGCAGCTTTCATCGTGCGCGATTACCTGTTTGTAACAAGTAATTGCTTCGTCGTGATTGAAGCAATATGTCCAAACAAGCGCTCGGTCGAACCATATTTGAGCCTCTTGAGAATTCGTACTGACTTTGCGACTCAATGTTCCGAGATCGAAGTAGGGGTCGCTTGAAGCTCTGGCGGGCGCATGTTGAGAAGCCATTTTTTGGAGCTATGTCAGCCAGGTACCGAGTGGGATGTATCAGAAAGATTTTTGCTCATACGAAGGAACAATTTCGAATCTAAAGATCACATGAGTTGCGATCGCCACCTCGTGAGGGGTACTGTATACGGAGTCGGAGGGTTTTGTTTAGCGCCGGTTAGATGCGCCATTTCGATTCGGACCATTTTTGTTAAAAGAGTTATAGCCGAGCGCGTCGCTTGAAGTAATTACACGCGATCAATCATGAACATGGCCATTTTTATGTTTCTAATAGCAGAGCTCCAAAGTATAGGCTTCAAAGGAAAGTATTAATGGAAAGAGAAATGTAATATGTTCCATCGAACTTCTATGGTTTGTCCATTTGCTGATCTCTAACTATGTTATCGGCTAACTCTTCTTCTAAAGCGTTTTCAAGTCTTTGTCCACAACGTCTTCTAGAATAGTCTCCCCTCTCTTCTCAGCTGCCATTTTGGCGAGCTTCAACCGCCGCGTGTCACGCTCCGTCTCTCGAGTCACCCACCACGTAATCAGTGTCAAGATCGCACAAAGCCCAACAAGGCCCATGGCCACTGCAAAGGGCACTGTATAGTGCGGCGCGTACTCGCTTCTGAACAATTGCGGACCAATGGCACCTCCAATTTGACCGTAGCTGTTGACGAACCCAATAGAGAAGGCGGAGCCCGTAGCCCGGGAGGTGGTTTGTACTCGCCACGGCCTGTCATCAAGTCAGTTATATGTGGATGTGCATTGAGTTTGAGTGGTTTAGGTGAAATTACCACATGACGGGATACCATCCTGCAGTCAAAGCATTTCCGATCAGTGTGACAGCGTATACTGCACCATTGCTTGGATAGGCAACAAAGACGCCGTAACAGACTAGGATAACCAGCAGGAAGGAAAGTGGGTACAACGGTCTGGGTATCCGACTGCGGTCTGCTGTAATCCCTGTAACAGCAATGAAGAGGAGTCCGCAAACCGTGATAGGAATATTAAGTAGTTGAGCCGTAGCAATGCTCCTGATAAGGTGTCAGCAGCCATGTCCGTCGTAATCGATTATTTTCATCAAAGCGCGGAAGAAAAAATCACTTACGTATAGCCAAGATCGGCAATGACTGTCGATTGGTAGAATGTGACTCCGTTAGTTCCAACGGTGAAAGTAGCCCAAATCAATGTGAACAACCAAAGTCTTAAATCTTTGAGCGATTCAATGATTTCACGGAATTTGAAGTCCTGTTCGTTGGCGCGAGGAGCGTTGGATGGCAGCCGAGCTTGAATAAACTTCTTTTCCTTCACGGTCAACCATTTTGCTGTCTCAGGGACTGTCTCGCAAATTTGTATTAGCGACTGATGTAAAAGTGAAATACAAGAAATAAAACTTACAGTCTGGGAGCAGGAACCAAATAACCACACTGAAAATAACAGTTGCAATGCCTTCAGTAAGAAACAACCTATTGTTCTGTTAGTACTTGCCTCGAAGAGGATTGCAATTAGAGGAGTGTTGGTACCATTGCCATCCAGAGAGTCCTCCTGCGCCAGACACGGTGTCAAAGGCGTAAGCAAGAAGACCACCGAAAATACCGGAAACATTTCCACAAATATCTGCGTGTCGTACATTAGCACCGATTCATTGACTGTGAAGTATACCGAAACTATATCGACCTTACAGAAGTAGAGAAGTCGTAAGGACATTTCGTCAGGGCGATACCAGTAGGTCATCTGAAGAATGACACCGGGGAACTGCCCAGCCTCGGCCTGTTACAATGTTAGCTAATTGTGAGAATTATCTTCGGTCTACCTAGAGAGATCTCCACGACTTTGCGCGAACTGCCAAAAGCACGTACCACGCCCAGTAAGAACCGTGTTGTGAACAGACCACCCTTATTTTTGACAGCAGCATTACACATGAGGACAATACCCCAGCTGAACATAATCCTTGACTGCCATTTTGAGGGAGAGAATCTCTTAAGCAGCAAGTTGGAGGGTGCTTCTAACACAATATAAGGGATCTGGTGCGCCCTCATTAGTATAAAGCAAGGATGCAGACCAAGGGTCTTTCAATCACCTACATAGTAAAGGACTGTCACGAGATTATATTCGTTCGATGTAAGTCCGAGCTGTGTCATAATGTTTTGATCCGTCCCTTTATTCATGATTCGAGCATTGGATGCCTGCAAAGCTGTTAGCTTATTGTGCCGTCTACCAGATAAGCAGCATACACACATTGTTGCTATCCAGATTCTTGAACATGAAAATTAATGAACAAAGCGTCATCAAGCGCCAGTCAATCTTGCGTAGCAATTTCTTTTCCTCTTCTGCAGTGAGCAATGTCCTCCCATTCATTAATTCCGGATCATATCCGTCAATGCTTTCCTGACTCGACGAGGTTTTCGCAAGAACTTCACCACGTCTGGCAAAATGGAGCTCATGATTGTTATCGCTCTCACTGGTGGAGATATTATCGGTGGCTGTGGTTCTACCCAAATCCTTGGATGTAACCCGTTCGCTTTCTTTGTCGGTCATTTTGCGGGGTTGCTGTCAACAGCATGCGGTAGGTCAATTAATATTGCCCTTGACACGCGTGGTCAAATGGAAGCATAATTCACTAGATATGTAGGTCTCTCCTCAAGCTTGGCAAGCTCAGAAACCCCCCGAAAAAGACCAAAAGCTTAGACCAAGCTATAACACGCCAGTATATCTGACATTGTACCATAGCCCACAGGTATTGCAAATAACAAGGGCTAGACCTGATACTGAAATCAAGTGGATAAACAAAAAGCTTTATTCTAAAATTGAAATCCCAGATGCTGAGTAAGGTAATTACTGTATATAATTCTGGTGGGGGAAACAGCAATTACAACTGATCACGCCAACGGAGGATATCATGGTGAAATCTGAATCCCACGCGACACAAAAGCTCACCACAACGAGCTTATCGATATGTTTGTAAAATGCGGGCGATTTCTAAAAAGAGACCAGAAAACTCCCGATTGGAACATAATCCTGAATAAATCGCTTGTCAATCTGACTGCCAAGCCTGGAGCATCAAGTTCGTGATAAAACCCCGATTTCTCATATATCAATCTAATGCACCCCATTTTCGTTGTCATCTACATGATAAATGCCTACTAACTTAAATTGCGGTGATCAATCCTATTTCAGATATTCCATTGTGACAATTTATTATGGCCGCCTTAGCGCCCACACCAACACCAGTGCATACAGCTTCTGATATTCCAACTTATGACCAGGTCCCGGAGACAACGTTTGATCGTGAGTATTTTGTGCCTTTAGTCTAGGATCTACTGTTGCGGGCAACTCCCACGAGGCTGAAAATTGGGGAAAAAACTAATATATTACCTGCACCAGTGGACTGGGCAGACCTCGCTACGTTGGATCTGTCTCAATTTGAACAGCCCGGGGGAAAACATCAATTGGCAAAACAACTCTTCGAGGCCATTCAGAAAATAGGTCAGTAGTAAATTGTTCCATCCTGCCATCTTGTATTTGAATTTACTCTCAATAGGTTTCTTTTATATCGTCAACTTCGGCCTCTCACAGGAGGATGTTGATCGCCAGTTTTCCATTGGCAAAGAGCTGTTCAAGCTCCCAATAGAAGAAAAGCTCAAGTATCGTGCCGAGCTTGAAAAAGGTGGTTATAACGGCTACAAGCCGATGGGGCTCCGAGTAGGTCGAGAATTGATAACCAGTAAGAGGGAATCCTTCTAACTTCCATTGTAGGAAATTAGCCCGGGCGTCTTTGACAAGACTGAAATTTACAACATCCCAAAATTCATTCCCGAACTTGAACTTCCCCAACCAGACATCGTTAATAACAATCGACCTATTATTGAGAGCTTCGCGCGCCACATTCACGATGAAGTCGTGCGCAAGTTGCTCGTATTATTTGCTATTATCCTAGAGCTACCCGAAGACTATTTCCTTAAGGTGCATCGTTACGACAAAAAGAGCGACTGTCATCTACGTTACATGAAGTACCACCGGCGGACGGACGAGGAGAACGAAAAGTCCTCTGGGATCTGGTCCAAAGGCCATACCGACTTCGGCAGTCTGACTTTATTGTTCCGGCAGCCAGTTGCCGCGCTTCAAGTCCGAACCCCGGAGGGCGAGTGGAAGTGGGTAAAGCCGTGTGCGGGGAGCATCACGGTCAATCTTGCAGATTCATTGCAATTTCTCACCAATGGGTTCCTGAAGAGCAGCATACACCGCGTTGTTGCACCGCCACCGGACCAGAGGGATGTAGATCGTCTAGGTGTTTTGTATTTTGTCCGACCGGAAGATGATCTCGAGTTGCGGCCGGTCGTAAGTGATGTTCTGCATCGCTTGGGATATGACCAAACAACAGATAATAGTGCGGTCGGAATCACCGCTGGGGAGTGGGTGAAGGCTAGGGTGGCTAAGGGTGTTGACAAAGGCCTGGCACGGAGCGAGATTGGAGATCAGCCGATTATCGGTGGAGTGGTAGCTAAGTATTATGAATGAGGTCGGCATTTTGCAATAATACTATGGTCCATGACTTGCTTCTCTTTTCTATTAGCGTAAGTAAGTCATGCACTCGAAAGGGGAGTAGCAGACGACCGACATCGATCAAAATAATACAGTAGGCATCGAAAAATAAGAAAAGCTCAGCGCTTGTTAGTGACACTAGGAAAATCATTTTATACCTAGGGACGATGCTGGGTGATGCCTCAAGACCGATGTGCTCTACTTACGATAGCGGCTTTAGGCGACTACTTCGATACCAATCGTGGAAATAGAAAAAGTCGCTGTGACCGAAATCCATCTTTATGAGCACGCTGGGACCTGCTTTTTAAACATAGGATGTTGGGATACGAAAAAACCAACCAAACTTTCAGGGGCATGAACCAGCTTTGGAGCGAATGGCACAATCTTTAGGAAATGATAGGTCATTAGTGATCCTTCTAACTTTTCAAAATCACGGCGCTCTTTGTGGGCCCCTTTTTCGTACGGAGGAATTTGTGCTAAAAAAAGAAGTCCAGTCTAACATTGAGAATAAATAATATTATACAAAAGTATTGCATTATGTGAAATGCTGAATAGCTGGGTGCTATGGCGGTGCCGCAACATGAAGATGTGTATCAACCAAATCAAACCAAATGCCATCGAATCCGGAAACTCTTGATGCCCTAACAAATCTGATGAAGTCCTGAAGTCGTGATGCACTAATAGTTTGAATAGTAAAAGATGCCAAGCGTTCCAGCAAATCTTCGCCGGGCCCTTCTATCTCGAACATGGCCACAGTCAAGGGGAACACTACGGGTAGAGCGCTCGCCTCCTTGGAAGCCGATTTAGCAAAAAACGCCAATTCGGCAAATATATTATTTGCGAGTTTCTGTGCTTCTTCGTCTTCAACACCAAGCGGATATCGCAATCGATGAATCACCAACAATGCCGCCAGACGATAAACGTTCGCCTGGGTAAACATCGCTAGAACGGCATGTTGGCCGTACTTTTCGAACAATTGTGGCGGTGTTTGGGCCCGCCAGCGTCGGATCTTTTCTTCGATATCGTCCATTCGGTCCCAAATGGCCGAAATTGATTCGGATCCAGCATCAACGACTTTTGTTTTCAGTGTATGACTACACTCGCAAATGTCATAGAGGTGAGGGAGAAGAGTAGCGCAGAGCCCGACATATCGATCAACGATGATTCGACGCTGAGGATGGAGGCGTATTATAGGAATTTCGCGATGGAACAGACACTCGACAGTGTCGATGAGAACTGGAGTCATAGTAATCGTATCCATGATTGGAGCTTGGATCAATCGCGGGATCCATTTTTTGGTCGACATGAGCGCGCTCCGAACGATAGCGCGGGCCGTATCCGAGTATGGTGCCGTCAGTAAATTAAAGACATACATAGTCTGGCCTAGGAAGAGAGCGCAAGCTGCATCGTAGTCATGGGCGATGTTAACGCTTCGCAGGCGCTGCAATCCTTTCGCGGCCTTGACCATATCAGGTTCGTTTCGTCGCATTACGAGGGATTTTTGGTAGGTCGTCATCAATCCCAAGAATGCTAAATATCCCTCAGTCAGAGTTGGGGCGGATAAGCGTAGAATGACATAGACTGTCTTTTGCGCTTCGGGAATAAAGCTGGATCCCAGCATGAATGGTAAGTGAATCACTGAAAACTGTTCCACGTCCATTACGGTGCGCAACGCGTCGGACGTGGTTTGAAGCGCAATGGAGGGAACGAGCAGTTTCTCGGGCGCAAATACCATAGTATCGGTACTTTCTGGCGTCCATGTTTGCTCGGTCGCACCAGATGGCGATCTTGAGCATGAGCGTTGACTGAGTGAGGAAGACGAGGCGGCGCTGGCCTCGGAGTTACGGCGTTGTCCAGGCTCAACGCTGGTAGCGTAAACATCCCTTTGGGAAGATGCCTGCACAGCAGATCTGTACTTCAGGCGTTTGTTGCGGCGAGAGGCCGGGCAAGAGGACTTGAGACGACTACATCTGGTGCAGGCAGGACTGTCACCGGTGCATTTCTCTTTATTGCAGTCGTCGCAGGCCTTCGGCACCATTGTTTCGGGGGCGCGCACGCGCAAATCAAGCAGGGATCTACGTAGTCAGGCTCTTTCAAGTCAACGGTGGAAGGACTGAAGCATATGAAAAGAACCTCGGGGTGAGATCGCTTCCCCGCTTTCCCCAGGATTTTCCTTGGCGATGACCATGGCACTGGCCGATCAGTGGACTTAGACTGGTCCTGGTTCATCACATCTAGAAAGGTAGATCATCCTTGTTTTAACTCGTCCGGAGTTCATGAACCGCGTATTAGTCGAATTGAAACCGCGATTCTCCTATCAAAACAAGCCATTTTGTTTGTTTACGGGAGAAACAAAAAGTCCTTTGGCCTCAGGCCTGAGTTTGCATATGTTGCAAACACTCGGCAGATCGTAGTGACACGGCCCGATGAAGCATAGAGTCTGAAGCATCATCCATCTATATCTCTTTATGAAACCCTTTACATGCAATTTGTGTTTGAAAATTAGCATTATCCTTCCAATTTTCACAATGAACCGAATGTTCCTGGTTCTCCTGGGAAAATCTTCCTGTTTGGCTATATTTCACCCAGGGCGCCTAATGTTTCGAACAAGCGGTCAAAATTTATCTTACTAGCACAACTGCCAGTCCCCAATCACCTTCTAGATGAATATATGTATCTGATACTTCTGATACTTCTTCAATTCAGCTCGAGAGGCCTTCGGCTGATGGTATGTAACCTTAAGATTCACTCATATCCGAGGCAATTGAACCTTTCAGTTGACCACGACCCGAATAATAGTAACTATTACTGGCGCAGCGCTCTAGTTTTCTCAGGCAAGGGCTTTAAATTCGGCATCAAGCAATTCTAGCTGTATGAATAACAGCCAGTCAAATCGTCTAAATGACAATATTGAACTTCACCCAGACACCTTGCTCTTTAACATTAGGTCTTGATATTACTCCCAGATGCATCGGTAATTGCAAGCAACATATCCAACGTTGAAACTGTTCTTTTAGGTCGCTTTACATTGATTAATGCAATTCATAAACGGTTATTTCCGTCCGCTTTTGCCTTTGTGACCCGCCCAACGGCGAATGATTTTGTCCACGCATTATGGAATAATGTAGAACCGACCCGCTAAACTAATATATGGCCTATATAACGTGATATTATATTTTCTAGTTTTAATTTTATTCACCGAGACTGGCCATTCAGGGCTGTTTGACGACTTTCGACAAATTGTTGGGGCGGGGATGATGTCTCCTTGGATTGATGGGCGCTAGACTCTACAAAGTACCGACTTTTGATAAAGTTTACCTCTTTGATGATTGGCTACGACGATTAAAAGCATAGAATTGCGGCATCAATATCAACTGACCCCACTCTTAGAGTCGGATATTGTTCTCGAATGCAGTTAGGGCGAATTAGCTTGTCTGCACGCAAATCCGCTCTCATCTGCACGAGCCACTTTTGATGCGGAGATCTTGCCCCTTTTCTTTTAAGCCAAACTCGTTGATTCTCTAAAGATAAAAGATATAGATGCTAAGTTTAAATTCCTTGTTCTATTTACGCCGCCCATGGGAACATCATACATACATTGAATGTAAAACTATGGTTGTATCCTCATAATCCGAGTCTTCCACTCCTCGCCTGGGCAAATTTGCTTGTCTAAAGCTTGGTACTCTTATCACTGGTGGGCTATCGACTAAGCTGCATTTGTATCATTTTATATTAACCTCCAAGCCACAGTCACATCAAAGTCACCATCGGTTATCAAATATCCTCATCGGCAGTGGTTGAAGAAGATGATCACTTCCGCATTGATCGTAATCTTTTTCATTTGGCATGTATACCCTTGTCATTAATCGATAAAACATCTGGCAATTCTACTTAAGTTGCCTTATCACCCCTCTAGACTCCGTCGGAAATCCGAGGAGCAGGAGCTTGTGTCTTTTTAGCGCACATGGGAACAGAGCTTTGAGATCGGGAGTAAGCGCTATTGTACATCCGGAGGTTGTAATGATCTGCTCAGATGGCTGAGGAGAAAAACACCTTATATCAATGTTATCAAATTGTCCGCGTTACAATTCGAGCTTCAATCATACTCGCCAGCACCACCTCCCACCTTTCCGTGGATTTTGGTCTCAAATAGCCAGGATATAGCTCAAGCATCATGAACCATGCGAATTGAAGTCCAGGAATAATTAGTACGAATAGTATGTTGGATCAATACGATCTAGCCTGGCCACTTGTGGCTTGCATCTGCAAGCTAAAATGTGAAGAAAGCGAGTTTCTGCAGCCCGCTATCCTCTCAAACCTGCCTTCTCCACGGCCTCCGACGGCATCAACTGATATGAACTCTTCTGCTATATTTGCAATTAGAATGAGGTTACATCGGCATCGGATATCGTGAACGCCATTGAGCTTGACGTTTTAGTTATCCGGTCTTTTCTGAATTGTCATCGAAAGGGATAAAAGCTATATAACCTTTATGTTTCCTCAGATTAAATCAATATCTCCATCACCAATCTACTTCATTTGCCTCCTAACTCCACATCAAGCACCCTCTACAACAGCCAACCTTCATCATGAAGTTCTCAACCACTATCTTTGGTGCAGCAATGCTCACAGCCTCTGCCATTGCAGCTCCCCTGACTGCTCAACGTCAGGCACGCCGTGGCACTCGCAACGTCTCCCGCGCCAGCCACCCTCCTTACAAGCCAGGCACATCCGAGGTTCTTCATCTGAATGAAACATCCCATGAGGAGTATAGCTCCAACTGGGCTGGTGCTGTCCTCATCGGAACTGGCTACACCGCGGTCACTGCGGAGTTCACGGTTCCCACTCCCAAGCTCCCCAGTGGTGCTTCATCCAGCAAGCAGTACTGCGCCTCTGCGTGGGTTGGAATAGACGGTGATACTTGTAGCACCGCCATTCTTCAGACGGGTATCGACTTCTGCATCCAAGGAAGCAGCGTCTCTTACGACGCCTGGTACGAGTGGTACCCCGACTATGCTTACGACTTCTCTGGAATTTCTATCGCCGCTGGAAATGTGATCAAGGTCACTGTTGATGCTACTTCCAAGACTGCTGGTACTGCCACCGTCGAGAATGTGTCAACCGGCAAGTCTGTCACCCACACCTTCACCGGCGGCGTTGATGGTGATCTCTGCGAGTACAATGCCGAATGGATTGTCGAGGACTTCGAAAGCAACAGCGCGTTGGTTCCCTTCGCCAACTTTGGAACTGTGACCTTTTCCAGTGCAGAGGCTACGACCGGCGGTACGACCGTCGGACCTTCTGGTGCTACTATCCTGGATATCAAGCAGAGCAACAGCGTCTTGACTTCCTCTTCTGTCAGTAGCAAAAGTGTCACTGTTAAGTACGTCTAAAGATGAAATCATATAGTCTTTGGATGAACCCAATTTTTGATCTCCAATGATCGATGGAATAGCAAAGTGGCTGATGGGAAGGAACCGAGAATCTTGCTCTACAGCGGTTTGATGAGCTGTTCACCCTTAGGATGGATATCTTACTGAATTTAACTTGGCAATTACTTTTTTAATCTCAACATATCCGCTTAGTTTGCTTAGAGGCATCGTCTCGCTAGTGTGCTATGTCTGTAGATGGCTGCTATAGCAAGGCTTAGTAGTGGCCAGCCGCATCAATATCTAGCCTTTCTTGTATTAACATCGAAAATTGAAAAGATATCACCTCCAAAGCGTGCTACGGCTGTAAATGTAAATTAATTATGTACAGAAGGCGAGGGGCTATTTTCTCGAGCTTATCAACAATGCATTGTGTTCCCGTACAAAGGTAGCTGCTAAACGTACTTGATTTCCTCTGCGGAGTGGGGGTTTCCTATCTTAGCTGCCATCAGCATGTTGCAGGACCAGTCTCAATGCGGCCAACATGAGTCAAGAACAGCCAAAGAACTCAGTTCGGCACCGTTAAGACCAGGTAAGTCAATTTCGGGAAAAGATAGGCTCTGAAGAGGATTTGGTGCGAGTATGGATAAATCCGAGTCACTGAAGCTGAACGAGTTGTCTGGTACCGTCTCAACTAGACTTGCGCGTAGCCCAAGCTCTTCAAATATTGGATTTTCAGATTCGCGAAAGATCGCTGTACAGGGTGTAGTGTGACTCTGGATTCCTTGCGGGGCTGAATACATGGATTTGGGAGAATCTGCCGGTCTTTGAGATGCCAGGTTCGTTTGTGGATCCGGAGATGCATCTTCAAGCCATTGACCCAATAAGAGTTTGCTATAACGGTATGCGATATGTTGTTCGCCTGTCGCTGCAGCCTTGAGTCTGAAGATGAAGGTCCGCACAAGGGATGTAGAATGTTGATGGGATTCGTGAGAGACTGCACCAAAAGCATGCGCTTTGAAGAGGAAGACGGCGGAGTAAATCTCGTATCTTTTCTCGAAAGGCTCAGCAACTGAATTATTGAAACATTATGTTTGGACCACTAACAAATAGAACCGCACTGGGAGGTAGCGAAGATGTCGAACCGGGTCCATACGCTCATTGATAATTTTAAGAAGATTGCTCGCCGCGTCAATGGCCAAGTATATGTGCCGTCCATCAGCGCTAGCCATGACACTATTTGGAAAGTATGGCGTCTTTGTTGGGCTATGATGAGAATTTGATGGTCTGTCGGTTGCTCTGCAGATAACAGCCTGAAAAGCGAACGCGTTCACATATAACCGCAGATACTCGTATTGTAGACTGAGAAGACATTTTAAGTACGCAGCGACATTCAGGCTGGTCCATGTATCCTCCCAAGCTGTCAGTGCCTTGGCACTATCATCCAACTATTTGGTGTAATCGCCCATGAGCATCAATTGGACCGTGCGGCTCTTTGAGGCGTACAGAATATCATGGACATTTCCTAACAGCGTGGTGAGTTCGACTTGTGCTTGCAGAATGGCTGCATAGTAATCTTCATATGCATGTTTTGGCTGCAGTGTGGGATAGTCATCCGCAGTAAATCGTGTAGAGAGCCCCGGTCCGCGACACCAAAAAGCTTGGCCCATGCGGATGGATATTTGGCGATCCGAGAGATAAGTAACTAGTTGTTGGTTAATAAATAAGGAGTTTCAAGAGCCTTGGAGGTTCCCACATGTCCATGCTAGCCTCTTCCGATCGGATATAGCTTTCTTCTCTCCATTAGCTTCCTTTCGGAAGGAGTATTTATCAAGGTGGAGTAGATACCCCTGTCGCACAGCTAAGCCAACAAGAGTCCATGCTGCGGTATCTTCATTTTCATCACTCGATTGGGCCTTGCTCGAGAGATGGGTGGTAATATGAGGAACCCATTCTGCAAGGAGCAGCAGGCCTTCCACTGTTTCAACATGGCGGGTACCAGAGGTACCCAATACAACGCTCAATATCAAACTTGCATATGTGACCATATACCTCTGTGCAAATTATCCAGGTCTTGTCTGTCTTTTGTTGAAATGGTTAGCACAGCTGTCAAAAGAAATGGCTCCTCCACAGCCGTTTTGTGGACACTCGTTGCCAAGAGAATATGATCCGGGACGATTGGCATAAAGGGGTGGTATCTTTCCGCGTAGCTATGAGGAGTCAACACTGCTTGTCTGCTCAAATGCTTCCTTGCCTACTCTTGAAGGAGGTGATCTAGCAGTCGCGGGTCTAGAATTCCGTCTGCAACAGGCCCGTAGGATTCCAGCCCTGGTCGATCATCTCCATCCGTACAGTTATGGCATTGCCCATTCGTGGGAATGGCACTGGTACTAGTAGATCTCGCTGGTTCTGTCTGGCATATTTCAGTGTGTGCTCGCTGGCAATTTTCGTTGGCGGCCGCTTGTGCAAAAATTTGGAGCGCTTCGAGGGGATTCTGGATTCCGCCACAGGTTCTCCAGGGTGGTCATGATCAGTTTAGTGGTAGGTTACCTATACACACGTAATGGTGATCCCCAACCTTAGACCAGAGGTCATGCTTTCAGGCTTGTGGCGCGTCTTTACTATTTGGGTTTGATATGGGAGTCATTGGGGGTATATTGAACATGGAGACATTTCAAGTGTAATATACCCATTTGCAGACTCGGTATTATTGCTTACAGTAGAAGGGAATATGGTTTAACTGACAGAAACCCTTCTGTTTTGGCAAATTTATCCTCGAATATCGTTTCGGTGATCCAGGCTGGCGCCTTTGCTGGCGCTCTTATCGCCATGTGGCTCGCGAACCGCATCGGCCGAAGATGGTCCCTCATCTTCGCTTCCGTAGTCGTCATTATTGGTGTTGCTCTTCAAGCTGGCGCCTCTGGCTATATTGAGGCTTTGTATGTTGGAAGGTAAGGACCGCGATACCAAATCTGAGACTTGCGTTGGCGAGCACTACTAGGCTTGTTGCTGGTATCTCTATTGGGATTGCAAGTACTGTGTGCCCACTTTACATCTCAGAAAACGCCCCAAGGGGCATTCGTGGTCTGCTCACCGGACTATATCAACTCACCCTTGTTTCCGGTCTAACAGTGAGCCCACCTGTATCCTTGCATTTTCTACGGAGCTAAAAATAATACACAGATTGCGTTCTGGGTTAACTACGCCTGCGAGCGAAGATTGACTGGGAAAAAGCAGTTTATCATCCCTCTAGCTTTGCAGGCTATACTAGAAACTATATTGTTTGTTGGAATGTTACTGGCAAATGAGTCCCCTCGATATCTCGCCCAACAGGATTATGCTGCTGCCCTGCAGGTCTTGGCCAAACTTCGTGCCTTGCCGGTTACGCACGAGTATGTTGTGGAGGAGATGGCCAACACAAAGTTCCAGCTTGAGGAGGAGAGAGAGACTTTCGCGACCTCTTCGCGCTTCTCAATCCTGAAAGAGGCATTTTGCACCAGGTCCTATCGTCGACGGTCTGTTCTGTGTATTACCTTGATGATGTGGAGTAACCTTACAGGTACTAATGTCATGACATACTATTCGCCAAGTATCTTCGCAAGCATTGGCCTGTCAGGGGCGTCCGTCGGGCTGTTTGCAACTGGGATCTACGGCATTGTGAAGGTCATCTGCTGCACTGTGTTTATCATCTTCGTCGTTGATTCCTTGGGCCGACGGCGGTCTTTGCTGTGGACTGGAATTGCTCAATTATAGAGCACTTTCGAATGGGTTTGATCTTTTTGACTGACATCTGACAAGGGAATTGCCCTGATTTATGTTGGCTTCTATATTCGATTTGATTCTCCCACTGAGGGTCAGTCCCTCACGGCATCGGCATACGTTGCACTAGCTGCAATCTATATCTTCGCAGGTGTTTACCAATGTGGCTGGGGCCCTGTTGTCTGGTCCTATTGCGCAGTAAATAAGCCCTTCTTTCCGCTTACAAATCCCTTCTCAACATGACCTAATGATAGTTGTCTCTCATAGGAGATCCCCTCAGCTCGCCTTCGTCCGCTCAACATGGGCATGGCAACAGCATCTCAGTGGTTGTTTAATCTTGCCGTAGCCAAAGCTACACCAAGCATGCTAGCAACCCTTGGCTCTAATGGGTATGGTACATTCTTTGTATATGGGGGCTTCTGCTTTACCATGGTTATCTACATATGGTTCTTCGTGCCTGAGACTAAAGGTTGGATCTCTACATACCGATGAAAAGCGCATCATGTTAGCTAATATAAAGCCATAGGTCTGTCGCTTGAATGCATGGATGAGCTTTTCGAAATGGACACGGTCCGTGGCAAATTTATACCGAGTGGGGTAGTTCATGCCACCGACATGGAGTTTAAACGCTTTGACGATAACGCCAAACGGTCTGTGGACCATATTGAGACCGTCGCTCTATATCATTGATAACTCTAAGCGATAAAGGACGAGTTACGCCAGGCATATTGTGATATAGTTTACACGGGAGTGGTATATTGCTCAGACTCAATAAGCAAACCAGGGTACTCAGAGCATGCTCAGTGAGTAGATCAGTGTGCTTTTGTAATGCTCAATGAGGGCTCAGCGGCGTGATCCGATCTACTCAGTGTGCAACAAGCAGCAAGGCTTGAGCACCAAAACGGAAAGAGAACCTAAGAAGTGGCAGAGGATATCAAGTACATAGGTGTCAACCGTCCAATTCCTCAAAGGGGAATTTATCGACAGAATTGAGTCACTTTGCTACATGGGATGAAAAGAAGTTTGGAAAGGTTATTGATGTATTGAAGAGATCGGATTGTCGTTATCATTGTTTTTCAGGAAATTCTCTTATAGTACTTTGGTCAATCTTATGTTTTAGCGCCCTACAAGGATCCTGAAACGTTTATCCCAAAGGGTTTTCATAGATAGACTTCTTCTCATGGGAATGATCGTAAACACACACATTCGCTGGTTTCAAGCAATATTTGATCGCCTGTGTAGAAAGTGAATACTTTTGACCAATTTGGATTAACCATCTTATGAGTCGTTACAAATTCTTTGAGTAATATCCGTCTTCCATCGAATTGAGGTAGCTTCCCTTAATTTTCATGGTGCATGCAGGTACTAATGCTGGTGGTTAAGCGCAGCCAATGGGGCGGAAAACACGGACAGACAATTTAAACCGTAAGATGCCCCTTTCCCAGTCCCATTTTCTTTGACAGAAAAGTCCATCTCTACAAAGCGATTGGCGATCAAAATGGACTTTCAACCTGGAAATCCTTGGAAAATAAGCATTTTTTCGTCGCTGCTGGCTTCACTTCGTCGCTACTTCACCTCCTCATCATCTTGTCGGCGAATTTATTTTTTCTGCAAGAGGTCCAAGTTCAAAAGCAATGTCCTAATTCAGATTCCAAGTATCATTAGCATACCAAATTCTTCGCTCGATAATGTTGGGTCGCAGGCATACGACATTGTACTGGCGTTCTTTTTGAAAACCTGACCAACCCCGACGGCTCAACTACAAACTTAGCATTTCAGAAGTTTTCCGCGCCGACTATTTCATCAGACTCAAATGTTACTGTACTAGTTCAAGGATTGATGGGAGACCTGGACTGTGAAGTTGCTGATTTGACTGTCAAGGGTTAGCGGTTCCAGACGGTCAAATTTGTCGCGTTTGTCGCGTCGACTAGCAACCCCATCATGCAACATCTCAAATATACATATCACCATTTCATACCTCCCGATTTCCGCCGGAATGCATGAGGACAGTGCGACAATACAAATGGGACTGATGGTAAGCGCATTGTTACGACATGGCTAGAGGTCGACCTTATCCGCAACCAGGACGTCGAAATCATGTGAAACAAAGTTTGGAATGACTCTATGGCATTCAACAACACTGTGAGACGCTCGCTTGTGTTGGTATGCCAACCGATGCTGTGTTCCATGATCCTCCAAGCGCGAAGCAAGGCATCTGGATCCTCCTCAAACGATCAATTCAAAACTCTCGGGTCTCAGAAAGCAACTCTGCAAGGGTTAATCGCCGCTGATCTTGTTCAGCCGTTTATTACGGCCACCGGCAGTTCTTATGGTTTTAGAGCGATTGAAATTGATCAGATGAATATCCCTTTTTCTTTGGATCTGGTAGTTGGTATGTGGCTCACTGGAGCATTAGTCAACGTTAAAACCATGTGGCAAGCTGATGTGATCAAAAATGTGACTATCTCATATTTTTGTGCGATGGCGGCACAAATTCTCAATTTGGGTCTGTCTCAACCACAGGAAACAACAGTCCATAGCCAGGCGACCGTCAATGGGAACACAGTGCTGGTGTCGGAGCTACCTCCTCACCTGTCTCGAATTAGGGATAGTCCTGCTGTGCTGGATGATCTATGTTGCGTCGCATACTATATTCGCTCAATGGAACCCGATTTATCTCTCTTTCACCGTAGCAATTTTAGCGAATAGCGAGGATCTCTGATAGTCCTTCGCAGCACCGGGACAGCAAGATTGGGCGAAATTTATCATCGACTAGCTGGTCGACAATACTAATTGCAATACACCACTGGCGGTACTACAATTTCAAGCACGAGCGAGGAATTTGAGAAGTCAGACTTTAGTCCTACATCTGAATATGTCGCATGGACGCCGTTTCCGGGTCTTATCTCTCGAACACTTGGGTTTGTCGTCATTACAATCATGTTTGCATCCTTAGAAATCGTTCTACATGTCTCTCGGATGCAAACTGGGCTAGGAGACATTTATCTCAATGATTACACTAACTACCTATGGACAATTATTGCTACGTCAGCTATGTGGTCAATAGCTACTTTCTCCTCGGGCATCGATTTTAATACACGGTGTCTTACACCACACGCTCATTTGAAGCGATCAACTGGTGCGACGCCTAAACAATCTTTGCAAGTGAGCTTCCTGCACACTCGGGATTCCGCAATGTTTTGGTTGCCATCAATGCACGGCATTTTGCGGTACTGGCAACCACATTGGCTACCGGGGCTGCCTTCTTTCTAGCCATAGTAATTAGCAGCTTATACTCAGCCGTTGATGTTCTTCAACATATTGGCTCGAATTTTACACAGTATGGAAGCTTTCGAGCCCCTCCGATCTAACCTTGTTGATCACTGCCGTGCTCATTCAGGCTGGAGGGATGGAAATTATATCCCGGAGCCCTTAGCTGTAGGGGAGAAAACAGGATACAGTGGCATGTTCTTGATATATATATATATATATGCGGAGGGAATGTATTTTAGTCCGAATGGGAGGATCAACATACGGTATATAAATAGTCCAAAGCATATTGACCAACTCTTTCATCTAGATCAGATGTATTATCCGACATGTCTTGTACAAGTACTCCGTAGTTATGTGCTATTTACTCCGTAGTTCAACCTTAAACAGTTTAAGCCCACGCCGCTTCCTCAGTTATAGAGATGACCCCGCAAATCCCCACTTACAGATGGACTAGTATATTGTATGGCGTTCTCATAGTGATTTGCGCCATTTGATAGTCAAATCAATAAAAACACGAGATAACCCCGTCGCGACAAGACGACCCATCCATAAACAACTAGTCACTCGCGCGACTGGTTTTTGAGTCGTTGCAAATCATTGGTTATTTCATTTCTCAGGTGCCTAGAAATAAAGATTCGGCCGGTTGGAGCCTTACGATCTGATTGTTCCATATGCGACCGAAATATAATTTTTTAAAGACCAAGTACAATATTGTAATTAGCTTGCAAATTAGCCATAAGCCTATGGAAAGATATTGGACAATTGCTCAAGTGATGGTGATTCATCCCTATTTCTCAACGCATGCCTGTTACTACCGGCTCTTTATTTTTAAAATACGATGAATAGTTCACTGTAGAAATGACGGCAATTAATAGAAAAAGATATCGGGTGTCGGATGACAGTCAAAGCCCGTTGGGGACAAAGAGCTAAGGGCGACAGGGATACGAATCCGCCACAGGATTCATGAGGTCAAAGGAACGAATAAAAAAATGCAGGTTGTCAGTACTAATTCCAATTCCAATCTAGGCCAGCAATTACCACAAAACTGGTTAAATTGTTGGATTGTAGTTTATAATCAAGTGAAACAAGTTGGACTCGGCTTGCGGGAAAATAAATCTTACCGTCATATTTATGGAAATTTGTATAGCGATCGACATGCAAATTTCGTCGAGAGGAGGTGGGTACGATCAAAGATGCCTGCTAAGCCCACTTCGTGTTATTACGATGTTCATTCCACTCCACATGGAGCTGGGATGTGGATCAGGGCGAGATCATAATGGGGACCGCCTTTTGGTGTGGCTTTGTGGCGTGTGTAAGGAGTCCCCAGGGGTTCGCCGAGTCTATTTAAGTGGCGGTAAGCTATGAAAGAGAAGTTAAACTTATTGTGATGTATCTATTGAACTTGGAATAAATTAAAAAAATATATGAGGGGGATCATGACTGTAAAACGAGTTGCCGAGGAGAATCAGGAGTCATGCCGAGGTGGCGGATATTCAGGTACAGATAGGAACAGATAGGAAATGCAATAGTTAAAATATTATTGACACGGGACCAGGAACTTGAATAGGTCTCTTTTGTGCTGGGAGCTAATGCAGATGCTCCATATTTAATAATATTTATCCTGGCGCAGTGCAGATATGCATGAATAAGTACTACTTCGTACATCTACACAATCCTGTTTAGGATACCCCCTGAGCCGAGATATCACGAGCGCACAAATATTCTCCAGATTTATATGGAGCATTATGGAACAGTATGGGGCAAAGTGGCACATTATAGCGAAGCTAGCTCGAACTAGACCACTTATTGGAGCAATCATATGCAATATGTAACCCCTAGCGCCTTAGAAGTGGAGCTATAGTGCAGTTAGGGTTTAGCCATCTGCATTTGTTTGCAGACCATAACCAGACATGTCAACAACTCTCTCCACGACTCATTGGGGCACACCAATCGGAAAGCTATCGGTAACCAAATGGGCTGGTCTCGTCTCACTCAGGTACCCTTTTTTCCTGCCTTGACCTTTGTTACTTGGCAATCTTGTTGTGGTGCAGATCGACGTGTTCTCCCCTATTTGTGAGATTACCGAAATAGCATACCCAAATGGACTCGGTTAAGTATAAGGCTTTTGCCTGCTGTCTGTGATTTTCTTTTCTCCATCTCTTCTGATTGCTTCATTCCTTCCCTTTGTTCTTGGAACTGTCATTCTTTCCAGCTGATATTAATTCAGCGTCCTTTCTTTTAATTCCCCACAGAAGCAATGAAGCAATCTGTCGTCACCTCTCTGGTGGCCCTTGCGGCCTCCGTCTCCGGAGTCCAGGCCACCGAGAGCCTGATTGACCTTCCCGTCAACCTGTGTGCTGCGGTCCTTGGCGAGGCTGAGTGCAACCAGAAGACCACCAGCTCTGAGGGTCTCGTCAGCGTTCCCCTCAATGTCTGCGCCGCAGTCCTTGGCGAGGCTGAGTGCAAGCAGCTCCACGTTTCCTCCAAGCGTAGCGAGTCCTTGATCAGCCTTCCCGTTAACCTGTGCGCCGCTGTCATCGGCGAGGCTGAGTGCAACCAGAAGACCACTAGCCCCGAGGGGCTCATCAGCGTTCCCCTCAATGTCTGTGCTGCCGTCATCGGTGAGGCTGAGTGCAAGCAGCTCCACGTTTCCTCCAAGCGTAGCGAGTCCTTGATCAACATTCCCGTTAATCTGTGCGCCGCTGTCCTCGGCGAGGCTGAGTGCAAGCAGAAGACCACCACCTCCGATGGTCTGATCAGCGTTCCCGTCAACGCCTGTGCCGCCGTCCTCGGCGAGGCTGAGTGCAAGCAACTTCACGTTTCCTCCAAGCGCACCGAGTCCTTGATCAGCATTCCTGTCAACCTCTGCGCTGGTATCCTCGGTGAGGCCGAGTGCAACCAGAAGTCCAGCTCCGGTGGTCTCATCAGTGTTCCCGTCAACGCTTGTGTTGCCGCTCTTGGCAAGGCCAAGTGTGACCAGGTTTCCGGCTCTTCTTCCGGTAGCGACAGCGAGTCCCTGATCAGCATCCCCGTCAATGCCTGTGCTGCCGTCCTCGGCGAAGCTGAGTGCAAGCAGAAGTCCAGCTCCAACGGCCTTATCAGCGTTCCCGTCAACGCCTGTGTTGCCGCTCTTGGCAAGGCCAAGTGTGACCAGATCACCGGCTCTTCTTCCACCGGCTCTTCTTCCACTGGCTCTTCCTCTACTGGCAGCAGCGGCAGCGGCTCCCTGATCAGCATCCCCGTCAATGCCTGTGCTGCCGTCCTCGGCGAAGCTGAGTGCAAGCAGAAGTCCAGCTCCAACGGCCTTATCAGCGTTCCCGTCAACGCCTGTGTTGCCGCTCTTGGCAAGGCCAAGTGTGACCAGATCACCGGCTCTTCTTCCACCGGCTCTTCTTCCACTGGCTCTTCCTCTACTGGCAGCAGCGGCAGCGGCTCCCTGATCAGCATCCCCGTCAACGCCTGTGCTGCCGTTCTCGGCGAGGCTGAGTGCAAGCAGAAGTCCAGCTCCGGTGGTCTCATCAGCGTTCCTGTCAACGCCTGTGTTGCCGCTCTCGGCAAGGCCAAGTGTGATCAGATCGCCGGCTCTTCTTCCACTGCCTCCTCCTCCGCTTCCACTTCTTCCTCCACTGGCAGCAGCGGTAGCGGCTCCCTGATCAGCATCCCCGTCGGTCTCTGCGCCGGTGTCCTTGGCGAGGCTGAGTGCAAGCAGAAGTCCAGCTCCGGTGGTCTCATCAGCGTTCCTGTCAACGCTTGTGTCGCTGCTCTTGGTCAGGCCAAGTGTGATCAGGCTAGCTCCTCTTCTTCCGGCAGCGGCAGCGAGACCCTCATCAACGTTCCCATCAACATCTGCCTCGCTGTCCTCGGTGAGACCCACTGCAACCAGGAGTCCGACTCTTCCACCGGTCTGATCAACATCCCTATCAACCTTTGCTTGGCTGTCCTCGGTGAGGCCGACTGCAACCAGGGATCTACCACCACTGTCACCACCACCGCCCCCGCTGCCTCTTCTACCCCCTGTGACACCGAGACCTCCGAGATCGTCAAGTCCACCGTCATTCCCGGCCCCAGCGGCTCTGGTTCCATCACCGTCTCCGTCCCTGCTACCCCCACCACCGCCCCCGCTGCCTCTTCGACCCCCTGTGACACCGAGACCTCCGAGATCGTCAAGTCCACCGTCATTCCCGGCCCCAGCGGCTCTGGTTCCATCACCGTCACCGTCCCTGCCACCCCCACCGGTGACTCCCCCGTCGGATCCTCCACCCCCGCTGCCTCTTCAACCCCCTGTGACACTGAGACCTCCGAGATTGTTAAGTCCACCGTCATCCCCGGCCCCAACGGTTCCGGCTCCATGACTGTCTCCGTCCCCACCCAGCCTACTGGAGAGGCCACCACCCCCGCATGGACTGCTCCCGCTGCCTCTTCCACCCCCTGTGACACCGAGACCTCCGAGATCGTTCAGTCCACTGTCATCCCCGGTGTTCCCGGTAGCTCCGCCTCCGAGACCGTCTCTGTCCCTGCCAAGCCCACTGGAGAGGCCACCACCCCCGCATGGACTGCTCCCGCTGCCTCTTCCACCCCCTGTGACACCGAGACCTCCGAGATCGTTCAGTCCACTGTCATCCCCGGTGTTCCCGGTAGCTCCGCCTCCGAGACCGTCTCTGTCCCTGCCAAGCCTACCGGCGAGTCCCCCGTTGCGCCTTCCCAGGGTGCCACCACCCCCGCCTGGACCGCCCCCGCTGCTTCCTCCACTCCTTGCGACACCGAGACCTCCGAGGCTGTCCAGTCCACCGTGATCCCCGGCGGCCCCATCGGTGCCACTACCCCCGCCTGGACCGCCCCTGCTGCCACTGGCTCCGTTGTCCCCTCCGGTGGTGTCGGCCCCAAGCCCTCCGGTGCCATGACCTTCAGCACTGCGACTTACTACTCGACCGTCAGCGTCTGCAACGCCGCTTGCTCCGGCTCCAAGACTGCCTCCATGCACCACGTGAAGCCCACCTCCGCCGCCAGCTCCTCCACCCCCGTTGCACCCTCCGCTCCCGCTGGCACCGCTGCTCCCTCCTCTCCTTCCTCCCCCTCTTCTCCCTCTTCCCCCTCCGGAGCCAGCGCCAACTCCCCCAGTGCTAGCCCTGCTTTCAACGCTGCTGGCCGCGCCACCATGTCTGGCTTCGCTGTCGTCTTCGGTGCCGTCATTGCTGCTGCCATGCAGTTTTAAGTGACGATCTAGTATCGTCGACAATACTGATAGTGACGGAACGATTTGACGACTGTCGGTATCGTTCAGCACTTCTCAGCTACTGTACACATTTACGTTTCTTTTTGTGCGGAACATACCCGTCTACGTATATTTTACTTCTATCTTCAAAGGTTCAAACCATTGGTTTAATCATAATTCCACGATATATGTCTCCTCAAATCGCCACTGTTTCCTGCGATTTAGGTCGTCTATGTCTATATGATAGATTTGTTGGTTCTTGCACCTCCATTGAAGAAGTAATTTATTTGTGACATTCTCTTCAATGTACTAGTGATTATTTCAAAATTTACTTCCGACTCATATTTCCATCACCTAAAGTAGCGATGGTTGCACTAGTAGCCCTTGCTGCCTGTCGGGTCAAACCCCCCGATTTAGACCTTTTTATACGGATACCCGCCTCTCTACCTGGACCATGCAAGGGGTGTAAAGATCCAAGTTTTACTGTGATACCTGGTACTGATACGTTCTAGACCGAACATCCTTAGCTCACCCTTTGATTGCATTTGCTCATTGCAATTTATTGATATACTGCAATGTTGGAATCAATATTCATGGATATGATGTTGCCTTTATCATCTCCATCGATTCCGAGAAATGCTGGGGCGCTGCATGACTTTCCAGCTAATTCCGTTTGGCCTGGAACTTCTTATATCGCTATAAGGCAGTGCATTTTCTATTGGTGCTAGCGAGATAGATATTACCCAAGTTCATATAAAAATCAGGTGTTTTACAGATCTCTTTCAATATTTCAAAGCTTCGACCCTTATCTCTTTGAATGATAACGGGATGTTTGATTATGATATTCATCAGCTCTTTTTATTCTTCACAGTCGCCTCTAGGGCGGAGTGAGATATCGCCCACACTGACAATCATTAGTGGTCTGTGAAGGGCTACAGCTGAATTGATTCAATTAGGCGGTGCCTGCATGCTGTTTATCTAAATCTTAGAGAACCGTAAACAAAGGAGCGGTCAACTGCTGTATAGTGTTCCCTAGGGCGGTCAGGCTACCCGTTCGGCAGTATCGGGTGCGGTGTCTGCACGGGCAAAGCCCGAGCCTCAACGTGGCCCTGGCCCGTTACAATACCCCCCTCCTTAGGTTCGGACCTGTAAAGGGTCACGCGGGAGCTCCGGCCGCTGGCAGGGGGTCATCCGTGGCCGAAACGGCCCCGAAACGCTCCTCAAATCTGTCTAGGGCACTACAGTCATCTATAGATGCTAGTGGTTCCCATGTGCATTGCGAGTAGCCAGTCCACCGAACTAGCACCTCTCTCCTAGAGCCTCGACCCACTCTCTTAGTACGGGCCGCTAGGATTTCTTCCACATCGTATTCCAGTTCCCCATCGATCTCCAGGGGTGGTGGCTGCGAATCGTCCACGATTTGCGAGGGAAGCGGGTCATCGGCTGCGGGCCGAATTAGGTCGACGTGGAAAACTGGGTGAATTCCGGTCGGAACGCCCAACCGCACTGTATGGGAGGATGGCACTTCTAGCACTGTGTAGCGGGCATGAAGCCAGTCTAGCTTCTTGTACGGCCGTGTCGATCTCACGTTCCGTAGGTTTAACCATACTTTGTCGCCTGTTTTATACACTGGTGCAGCTTGGCGGGTTCTGTTCGCTTGAAGCTGCTGCTGATTTTGTGCAAACGCTATCGACGCTTGTGCCCACTCGGTAGCGGATCGGAGTCGATTCGCTAGCGCTTCGCCTGCCTCCCCGGGTCCCGATAATCCCTCTTGGATTTCTTCACTCCCTGTCTGTATCGGATCGATATGGTATCCATGTGTAAAGAAGAATGGAGATATTCCAGTTGACGCTGCCTTCCGATTATTGATCGCTACTGCTGCTATTGGTAGCAGCTTTATCCAATCCTCTTGTGTGTAGCAAGTAAATGCTCGTAGGATCTTTTCAACCTCTTGATTCGCTCTCTCAGTTGAGCCATCTGACTGCGGGTGGAAGGCGGTAGATAATCGGCGGCGAATCTGTAGCCTTTCGCACACCCTTTTCCAGAAGTCGCTCACAAATTGGGTTCCCCTATCGCTTGTGATAGCAGTTGGTAAACCGTGGTGTATATAGATATGCACTAAAAAGGCCTCAGCTAACGCGTCAGCGGTGATTAAGTCCATACCGATGAGTATCACGCTTTTCGTTAGCCTATCGGTAACGACTAGGCAGTTGGTCGCTTTTCTCTCTCCTGCAGCTGGGAAACCGGTAATAAAATCCATTGATATCTCTGCCCAGATGCGCTGGGGAATCGGCAGGGGTTTCAATAGGCCGTGTTTTGTCTCCCTCTAGATTGTGCTTCTTCCGCAAACGCCACAGTTCCGTAGAAATTGTCGTACATCCGCTGCTGCTCCGGGCCAGAACCATTGTCGAGACAGTATCGAATAGGTAGCGTCTCGTCCTGGGTGGCCGCTCAAATAAGAATCGTGCACTTGCTGGAGGATTCTTGTTCTTAGAGGCTCAGAGTTAGGAACCCATAAACGACCACGAAACCGTAGTAGTCGACGCTCGTCTAGCTCGCATTCTGCTAGGCTCACTTTCGTGTCTGTATTGGCTGGTATTCGGCGATGTTCTTTCAATATCGCGGTAGAGAAGGCTCGATAGGTTGCGTCAGTCTTTCGGGCAGTTTCCTATAATTGTTGCATCTCTAGGTCCTCGAACATTCGTACGGGCGCTTCGAAGTCTATTTCCTCTTTATCTTCTTTAGGCTCTCTCTGTGGTCTACCAGTCCGGACCGTAACGTCGGCGAATAGGGCCCGAAACCTATGTGAAACGCGCTCGTCGTTAGCGTCCTGCGGCATATCTTGTTCTCTTCGCGACAATGCGTCTGGTCTCACTGCTTGTTTCCCTGGCCGATATTGTAGGTCGAAGTCGAACTCCGCTAGTACATCTGACCATCGCATCTGCCGTTCGGATAGCTGCCTTAACTTATAGAAGTATCGTAGGTTCTTATGGTCCGTTACGATAGCGAATCGTGGGACCATCTTTAGCTCTGGGCGCCATTCCTTTAGGGCTCGTATAATAGCTAGGAGTTCCTTATCGTGGATTTCGTAGTTTACCTCTGCCGGGGATAGCTTCTGTGAGAGGTATGCACAAGGTGCTACGACGCCATCATCCTGCACTTGAGATAATACTGCGCCTGTAGCCCAGCCGGATACATCCGTTTCGACTATTGTTTCTCGTTCCTCTTCGAAATGCACTAGAATCGGTGCCGAAACGAAGAGATTCTTTAGTTCTTCGAAACTCCGTCTGCAGTTGTCGTCCCATTTGAAAGCTTCGTCTTTCTTGGTTAACCTCGTAAGCGGCGTAGCAAGCTCCGCGAATCGGGGTATAAACGGTCGGTAGAAGTTGGCGAATCCTAGAAAGCTTCGGATATCTTTCACAGTCTTAGGCGCCTTCCATGACTTAATCGCTTCGACCTTCTCAGGGTCGACACATAGACCCTCGCCTGCTTTCACAATATAACCCAGGTATTTTACAGCGTGTTGTTCGAATTCTGACTTCTTGATATCGCATTAGAGCCCAGCCTCTTGTAGTTTCGATAAGACTTCGTTCACCTTTCGGCGGTGATCCGCTATCGAACCGTTAGAGTAGATGATAATATCATCTACATACGCTAAGACAAAGTCGTCTAGGTACTCTCGCAGCACATGATTGATATGTCGTTGAAAGGTGGCTGGGGCGCCTGTTAGGCCGAATGGCATAACGTTCCACTCGTACAGGCCGTATCGCGTACGAAACGCGGTCTTATATTCATCGCCTGGTTATACCCGAATCTTGTGGAACGCAGCTATCACGTCTAGCTTCGTGAACCACCGTGCCCTCGACATATTCCGTAGCGTCTCACGAATCAGTGGTAATAGGTATCGGTCTTTAACCGTCAGTTCGTTTAGGCCTCGGTAGTCGATACAGAATCGAATGCCGCCTCCTAGCTTTCGTACCAGAAGCACTAGCGAAGCGGCTGGTGATCGGCTTACGCGGATAAAGTTCTTGTCCAGCAAGTCAGTAAGCGTTTTGCGTAATACTAGTAGTTCTTCTCGGTTCATTCCGTATAGTGGTCCGTATAGGGGCGGAGCTTCATTTCCATTGTCGTCGGTTTTCAGCTGGATCCGGTGGTCGGTTCCAGGGCGATTCGGGGACAGTTCGTCTGCTAATCGTTGGCTAAACACGTCTAACCAAGGCCAGTAATGTTTGGGCAATTTCGTCTTTAGGTCCACTAGTTCTTTTGGTCGTAGTGCCTTCTCAATATCCGCCATCGAAACTCGGCCGATTCGTAGCCGATGGTCGGTCGATGCGTTTTCGAAAATCCGTCCGCATTCCTGTGCACTTGCTTTCTGCACTTGTAAACGTTTAACCTTCTAGGGACCGATAGATATATCTCTACGGTTCCAACACCGCGTTCTGGCTCCTTCCTTCGAGAATATATCGATATACCCTCTATTCGCTAAGCTCTTCCTTTTTATATCCGTTTCCCAGGGTTTCCCTAGAATAAGATCGTCGACTTGTCCCGGGATCACGTACGCAAATACGCCTTTCTACTTATGGCCATGTATGTCGAGGTCGAAGCAGGTAACGTGTGTGATTCGACCCTGTTTCGCTAGCACGCCGTCTAATCTTAGGGGCTTAGGAAGTTTGATGCGCGGGAGTTCAAGAGAGAGAGAGAGTTTTTCATTAATTATAGCGTAGCTATCGCACCCGCTATCGACGAGACCCTTAACGAATCGTTCGCCATTCAGGCACGCGTCGATATAGAACAGTGGTTCGATGCTCTTCTCTAACTTCTTGACTCCTTCGAGCTCTTGTTCGCGACTAAGAACAAGAGCTACTCTTTTTCCAATCCAGATGATTCGACAACCGTAGTGGATTCGGTCTCGCTGGATGACTCTGCGACAGCGGCAACTTCCTCGCGCTTCTTGCTCGAAACGGTCTCGTTTCGGGGCTTTCTCTCAAGTTTGTTGGTGTGCCTCCGGTCCTCGGGACGTCTTGTAGGTTTCAGGGGGCATGATGCGATACGGCATTTCGGTCGCCCACAACGTATACAAAGTCCTTCTTCACGACGTCTGTCTCTCTCCTCTTCGCTTACCCATTTCGCACGTTTGCCAATGAGGTCTCGATCCCGATTCGGGTCTAAATCGGTGGCGAATCGGTTCACCTTCACTGACGTGGGTTGCCAGTCCATTGGATCGTAAGTTTCTTCGATCTGGGCAGTAGCTGCTGTCGCACGTTTTGGTCGGTTCCACATCGCCTGGAACCCTGACAAGTCGGCGCTGATTCGGTGTAGAAGATACACCATTTCGTTAAAGGTGCTCGGCACACCTCGGTTCACTAGGGCTGAATGCGTCTCTTTATTCAGTGCCATAACTAGCGTATGCTTTTTGGAATCATCGGGCCATTGGAGGGCACCCGCATCGGCTAGTTCTCTCTCAAAACTCGGTAAGAATCTTTCAAATGATTGGTTCGGTTTCTGCTTTAGCGCATATAAACGCTGTACGGCTCTCGCTTTGACGTTCGGATCGCCATAGATTCGCTCCAGATACGATAGCAAATCTTCGGGGGTTCCGTTCTCACGTCTCTCTCTCATAAAGGTGGTGGTGTTCTTCAACGCCATCTTTTCCAGGCGAGAGTAGATATATGCGCATTAGTCCGCGGGGGAACCGAGGCACATTCCATCTACTCTCAATTTATTCTCGATCAGGATTCTCCAGGAAGGCCAATCGCTAACTGATCCCGAAAACATCGCTGGATTCGGCAGCATCGCTCTCGGGCGAGAGGTTATAATCCTCTCGCTGTCATCGCGATCTTCTCTCACTTGTTCGACGGAAGGACCGGCAATGTTGGTCGCTTCAGGTTCGGATCGCACATGATCCGGCATCGATTCGCTAGGCGTGCGGTTCTGACTTTGCATCGCCTCTTCTATCTGGTGGAAACGTTGGTCGACGCTTGCCACCATCGCTGCCATCATAGCTTCTAGTCGGGCCATGGGGTCATTTGGTGGGTGAGCCTCGTGAGCTCCACTCGTGGGGTTTGCTCGCTCGTTCGCCATCGTTCCGATGTCGAGCCGCTATTGTTTCGCTGATACTCTGTGGGGAAGAGGAAGATTTAGATATGTGAAGGGCTACAGCTGAATTGATTCAATTAGGCGGTGCCTGCATGCTGTTTATCTAAATCTTAGAGAACCGTAAACAAAGGAGCGGTCAACTGCTGTATAGTGTTCCCTAGGGCGGTCAGGCTACCCGTTCGGCAGTATCGGGTGCGGTGTCTGCACGGGCAAAGCCCGAGCCTCAACGTGGCCCTGGCCCGTTACATGGTCCGCGAAGGCGCTGAAATGCTACTTATCTTACTGCTGCCTGAGATAGCTTGTTGATTAACAAACAAAGGCACGGCTTAGATCTATTCAATGGTGCGAATCCAGTGAAGAGTTTGACTCCCTCATAATCATCAAGTTGATCCAACCTGAACAACCAAGAGACAACCCAACCACACCGCGTGCTGCCCACCCACGATGACGGGAGTCAAAACACCGAAACCTGTAACGGGCCAGGGCCACGTTGAGGCTCGGGCTTTGCCCGTGCAGACACCGCACCCGATACTGCCGAACGGGTAGCCTGACCGCCCTAGGGAACACTATACAGCAGTTGACCGCTCCCTTGTTCACGGTTCTCTAAGATTTAGATAAACAGCATGCAGGCACCGCCTAATTGAATCAATTCAGCTGTAGCCCTTCACAAAACCATCTTGCTAGCCTGCTAGCAAAATTGAGCACAGATGATGAAACTAGGCTCATTCAGCATCTTCACCCACCGGCCTGGAAATTTCAAATTCAGACCTGGAACACAAGCCATCACCTGCTTCAATCGAACAGGTTCGGGTTCTCGCTAGGCGCTCGGATATGGCTAGCGTTGAGAATGTATCTCTGTGATGTCATAAATAGCTTTGAAGTTTCCCGAGTGTTCCTCAACGCATGGACGATGTCCATCGCACTAATCTGCTCAGGCCATGGACTGGAACTTTATGATCCAGACCACGGTCTGTTTGTCCCGAGCACAGCAGATTTTCTAGGTCACGAGACAATTTTAAGGTCATTCGAGAGTGAAGTGATTGCCAAAACATCCCTCCCGTGGAGCTTGTTTTTCATGACGAACGAGTTCACAAAGGATCAAGATCGCGCACTCCACAAGGAAATCAAGACCGAAGATCATTCGCCTTACTGGAAGGCTGGGCAAAAAGAGGTGGACGGTGCGATGGAAACGAACCCATGGAACGGACCCAAACCACCACGGAACCAAAGAGTTAAACTTAAACATACTACGACGTAGCATTGATTTCAAATCCAGCACTAAAATTTTTGCCAATGGCCTCTACCAGGCGGTACTTCCGCAACGAGAAATAAGGGATACCATTCTCACGGTGGCTCAGCAACATGATCCTTTGAACGAACACAGGCAAAGGAGCCTGTTCATTCAATCGACTCCACCCCGCACCACTCAGCTATATACAACGCAATAGCAGTCGTAATCCTCTTCAAGCTGCTAATGCTTACCCACTCGTCAAAGCCGTGGATGTTACTGCTGATCGGACCGTAGCATAAAGCCGGGATTTTGTCGTAAAGGGAATGGATGCGGGTATCAAGATATGCGGCAGTCGTAAACGATTGAAGTTCATCCCCTGTGGCTTGTTGGTGGGCCCATTGAAGAGTTTTTTCTGCCTCGCTATTGGGTTCAAGGACATATCCTTCCGAGAAGAATCCGTTCCATGTCACCGTAGGTGCATTTTTGCTGAGGAAAGCATCGTTGCATGCAACTTTCTTGACCTTGGCTTCGATTTCTTCCGCGGCTGCCTTTGCACTGACGCCAGGGAATATAGCTATACGGAAGTCAATGCGACACCAGGCCGGTACTGATGAAGCCCAGTCGCCAGCATTGACCTTGGCAACATTCAGGTCTGCAGGTGATTCAGATTAGATGGGGACAACGCCGAGAAACAGTTTCAATCATACTCAATGGGTGGTTCTCGTTTTCAAAATGCAGTCTGCCAACTTTGTTCTCATTCCACTCCTTTTCCAGTTCTCTCAATCCTCCTACTACCCTCCAACATGCATCGATGGCATTCGTACCGGTGGACATATCCCTTACATGAACTGGAATTCCCTTGACCTCAATCTGAAACCACAGGACACCTGTGTTTGCACGTACGAGCTTCTCGTCCATAGGCTCTGGAATGATCACTGCATCCGCCCGGTATCCTTTCAAATGGGTCAAAAGCGTTCCATTTCCAGTTGATTCCTCCTCAACAACCGACTCTAAGATTACTTTAGAGGCGGGCTGCATTCCAATTCGGCGAAGGGCATCCAACGCGAAAAGATTCGCTGCACTTCCAGCTCTCATATCAGCGCCTCCTCGGCCATAAAGCCGATCGCCTTCGATATCACCACTATAGGGATCGCGAGTCCAGAGATCAATGGGTCCTGTTGGAACCACATCGATGTGCGCGTTGAGAATAAGACTCTTGCCATCCTTAGCCTGGAATTTGGGTTCATGTACTCCAACAACGATTGGTGCCTTAGAGTGCTCGGCACTAAACCGGCCTGCTCCTTCATGCTGCGACAGGAGTTTCTCGTCCATTTCGAGCTTCACGGGATTATATCCGCGCTCCGAGAATTGGTCATACACCAAGGACTGAACTTCGAATTCTTGACCGCGCTGGCCGCCAGTCCTGATCAGCAGTTGAGTATAAGCAAGCTGGTCATCGAATCCCTTGGCGACTGACTCGGCAATGGACGCAGCTATCTCCGAAGAAATCTTAGGCATTTTGATGTCTTCTTCGCAAATCGAAATTTTTCCAAAGATGGTTATTAAAGAACCTGCACAATTTGGAAATGCCGAATGGACATGTCTTGTCGACTTTCAACATTAATCCCGACACAAAATGCAAGCTTATCTAGTTCATCTTCGGATGGACTTTCCAAAACACGTTAGCTACAGTGCGGGCAGCAAAAGTGGATCTGATGATTCAGGCAGCAATAGAATATTCAGGCATCATTGACCCCTCAGCACTAACTAAACACCCAGACTACAGCATAGCACCAAACACAATAATATCAGCTTTTAAGAGTAAACCTCACCATTGCGAAGGTCGTTCACTGTGGGGGTCCAATTTATTTTGAGACGAAATCTGGTTCAGATGCACTTTGAAATCACAGAGGATAGCCTCGCCTCCGAATATGAGAGTGTCCGCAATATTCCACAAAAAGTTGGGGTAATTCTTGTACTCTTTCTTGGGCTGGTATAGAACGACTTGAAATACTTTAACTTCGTTACTCCCTATAACAATTACTTTTAATGGACTTGGAGAGTTGCCCCGCTGCCCATACAGAAATCTATCGGAAACTCCACCGAGGCTACAAAACCGCATCTTCAGTCCCAGATGTTAAATCATATGTTTCTCGGATTTACGGTAGAAATGTGGGACGAACAGAAAGAATGCATACGTTGTATACCAAAGATCCCATATACTATCACCACATACGCCATGTCCCGCATCCCCACGTCTCACGTCCCACATACCCCAGAACGATGCCCTATATCTGAAATATATGTCCTCTGAACCTATTTCAACCACCGTTTTTCTGTTCTTGTCTGTCCAAAGACTTCATTGATTCTGCTTCCATACCATCAAAATGCCTTCCTGGACACACCTTGTTCGTTTCATCGCTGTCGAGGACAGCCAGGTTCATCTCGGCCAATTGGTCGATACAACCCGGGATGTGGGACTCGATAGCATCGATGGGGTGGAGATCGCGGTCAAGGTTATCGAGGGTACGATCTTTGATGGAAAAGTTACAGAGGAGATTCTGCATGTGAAACAGGTCAGCTTTTTGTCTTCAGCCTTTCTTAAACAGGGACGAATATTGATATACAGCCACTACAGCTCCTTGCGCCGGTGACAAAGCAGCAATGTAGTTATATCCGCTGCCTAGGCCTCAACTATATGGATCATGCACAAGAAGCCAACTTGCCTCTCCCCAAAGCTCCGATTCTCTTTACCAAGCCACGCACTGCTCTCGCAGGTCCTTACCCTGCTACTATCAATATCCCGAAGTGTGCGCAGGATGGCAGCAGTGACTATGAAGCTGAGCTATGTCTGGTGATTGGAAAAACGGGTAGAGACATTCCCGAAGAGGAGGCTCTGGACTATGTTTTGGGATATACTGCCTCCAATGATGTCTCTGCTCGTACTTTGCAAATGATCACGGCGCAGTGGTCTTTCTCGAAAGGTCTTGATGGAAGCTGTCCTATCGGTAGGGAGATTTATCAACTATGTCCCAATTATCGTCGCTAACTAGGGCCGATCATAGGACCTGTCCTCGTGGCATCCTCCGCAATCAAAGACCCACAAACTCTTTCAATCAAAGCTAGTCACAACGGCAGAACTGTTCAAGATGGGAAAACCAAAGACATGATTTTCAATATCAAGAAGCAAATCTCATACCTTTCGCAAGGTACCACGCTCGAAGCAGGAACACTGTTCTTGACTGGAACTCCTGCTGGCATTGGGTATTTCCGGGAGCCAAGAGTTGTTCTCCAAGATGGCGATGAGATCTCAGTCAAGATCGATCAAATTGGAACTCTTGTCAACAAAGTTCGTTATGACAGTCGCTAAAAATGCAATGTATGTATATTTTTAGTTTTATATAGATCATTTTGAAGAATTAACTCTTTATCCGCTTCGAAAATTAAGCAACAGACTGTCAACTACATATGTAGCAACGTAACTATAAAACTAGTGGGACCGACCATGCATAGCATGTGGGACCGATTTTGTGGGACCGTTGAAAAGTGTGCGTACCATTCTTGGAATCCTCGTTAGCATCTCTGCTAAATGGAGCTGGAGAAGATCAAATCAAACTCTTGAGGCTACAAAATCCGGTATAAAATTGAAAGCTAGACAAGTTGATGGTGCTAGGTAGCACGGGGTTCTGACTGCGACGCTCGCTTGGGTGCAGCAAATTCACTGTCAATATATAATGCATTGGTCATGCTAAATAACCTACCACGATTAACATTATCAGGTAATAGGCCGCATGATATATTAATAAACTGGCTATTATCATAATGGTTATCAAGTAAATAACATAAAAGACGTAAATCGCGGGATAAACTTCTAGATTAGGAAACTTGGATCATCCGACGGAGCCGCCTCGGCGTATATGGGTTACCGCTTCCCCCTGCCCTTGGCGACTCACTAGCCCTAGACTGCCCCGTCCCGCCACTTCTCTACTTCATCCCTCGAGCGGTTACCACATCATGACCAAACGTCTCCGGACTCATCGCGAACGCACATGTTCCTGGTGCTTCAAATCTTTCACTAAAGATGAGCATTTTACACGCCATGTCAGAACCCACACCAGGGAAAAACCCTTCATCTGTACCATCTGTAGAAAAGCCTTTAGTCGCCAGTGTGTGCCATTGCGTTTATCTATAGTCAGTCCATTACTGACCAGAAGTTAGTGATTCTCTTCTACGGCATTTGCGATGCCATCGATCATCTAGTATCCCTCCAACTGGTGCGGCCCACAGCACAGAAAGTGATGCCATACACCTGCCACTTGATCCCCACAATCAGGAAGTATTTCCATCCAACCACAACTATTCAATGGGCGTTCATGAATCCCCACCACCTCCAGATGGACGTTCTCCGATGGAAGTGAGGTATCGAAATGTCTCAAATATCCAACCAGTATCCTGTTCACCTGTTAATCTGTCGCAACATCCGACCGCGCTCCGAGCAAATATCGAAGAGTTGACCCAGGAGAGGCATGGAGAAGTAGCTGGGTTACCGACCCCAAATTTGCAGCCTCATATAGGGCGACTTAATTCATCTCTGCATGATTCCGGTCAAGATGAGTCGTGGGTTTTTAGCAACTCGAGTACCCAAATACCCGCATGGTTTGCAGACGACGATTTTGACCTCACAGCTCTCAATTCGGAGATCTTGACCTCGACTGCTAATTGGTTTCCTTTGGAAAATGCTAGCCAGTACCAGCACGAGCACGAGCCAGTAAGCCAGACTTCACGACCGCTTGTGGAGGAAATGCTTTCTTCTCGAGAGGCAAGGGTCCAAATCCATTGGTACACGTTTGTGGGGACGTCGCGGACTGGCCACATCACCCCGGAGGTAGGCCCAGAACAGACACAAGTGGATGAAGCATACCGCGCTAGCCTGGCTGCGAAGCTTCAACCGCATATACCTGTCCTGCCTCTTCCATCCACGGATTTCCTGGTACGCTTACTTCATTAAATTTGGCTTATTCTCGACTAAACTGACTAGAATCTCTGCATTCATATGTACTTCACCAAATTTCACCCCTCATTCCCCATTGTACATGCTCCAACATTCCGGCCATCTTCTAAAAGCTCATTATTATTGCTATCCATCTGCTCCATTGGAAGCCTGTTTGTGGGATCTTCGCATGCGGCATCGCAAGGAGTAAAGATCTTCGAGACTCTCAACAAAGCAATACTATCATCAGTTCGTTGCAGTTATAAGATCCACTGATAATTTTAACTGACTACATATAGTGGGAAAGATATTTCTCAAAAGAAAGACCCGAAACGATTGCCATGATCCAAGCGGCTCTCATTGGACAGACATTTGGGCTCCTATCAGGTGTGAGTAAAACGTATCTCCGAATAGTTCAGTGTCTAATAGGGTCAGAGGCGGAAAGATCTGCTCACTGCGCAGACATTTCATGGAACACTGGTTGCGGTAGGTCAGGCACGACTCGCCATTTTGAGCCCCGCTAATAGATTAGGTAGTGGGCTAGTAGAGCAACTATATCTACGTTGAAGAGAGGATGTGGCGATATAAGCTTGAATGAAGTTTCTCACACACCAGCGAAGGCCTGGAAAAAGTGGATTCAGGCAGAAGAACAGAACCGGTAGGTGGAATGAAGGAATATGTTATATTCTAGTTACTTATCCTACATCTCTAGACTCCTTGCGGGAATACGTATTCATGATGTCGAGATCTCAGAGCTGTTTCTGACAGATCCATATATGCGCCATTCATCCGAAAAGCTTCCACTGTTGTCGGATGACGACCTCTGGGCTGCAACAGTTGAAGACTGGAGCCGAAGGGTCACTAGTCGCTTATCAGACTCCAATGCGCATGAATTCTGCCTGCGTTGCCCAGAGACAACAGCCAACCATGACCTTTTATCACTTTCCACCCCTCCGAACAATGGCCTCCAAGCCTATGTCGAACTCGAAGGACTTGCCGCATCGGCCATTGAAGCCAAAAGTTCCCATGACTCAAGCCAACTCAATTCCCTTGAAGCTGTGTTGATGAAATTTTATGAGTCGCACATCAGATTAAACAAAAGACAGACACCCGATCCGTACTGTCTACTTGTTCTATGGCACTCGATCTTCATCTCATTATACGCCAACACAAACCGCCTAGAGCTAGTAATCGGCAAAGAAGGATTCAATGAGGCTCAAGATCACGTAGCGTACGTACGCTCATGGGCCTCATCTGTTGATGGCCAACGCTGCGCTCTCCACGCTGCACTTATCCTACGCGAGCTAGGGCAGGAGAAAATAAGCACCGAGCCCCCGATGCACATCCCTCGAATAATATTCCGCGCGACTCTTGTTTGGTTTTGCTATACTAGTTTTGGATCAGATACGGCGACCCCGCGTCGGAACATGGTTTTCCCAGAGTTGCAGAAGATTGGCGTTAATTCTGAGACGCTGCTATTTGAAGCGAATGGGTTCAAGCTCTTCCGCCCAACCACGCCGGAGTCAAGTACTTTCTGCGGATTGGTGGATATCTTGCCAAGGATTGGCCATTGGGGGATTTCACAGTTATTGGGTTCAATTTTGAATTTGCTGCTTCCCGACGTCAAAGACAATGAGAGATATGCTAGATAACAGGCGTACTCAGAAGATAATCTACTTCAAAGCTATGTGCACTGCATGTGACTGTATCAATCCAGACTTTCATACTAGGTGAAGCATTAATTGTGCAGTTGGTTCTAAATCTTGCCATTGATTCCATGGAAACGAGGTCGCTAACGCAGATATGCCACCGCTTCAGAAATCACTTTCTCAAGCTGGGAGACCTCGTTGCAAGCAGCATATACAAATCGATCAGGTCGAACAAGCACGAACTTGGCCGCCGCCAGTGCCTTCGAAAGATAGAACGGATCGTATTGCTCCGGCTCCGGTCGTCCACGGCACAATGAGGACCCAGCGAACTCTTCCCCAGTAGCTAGACAGTAGATGGAAGACTTGTCCTTTACGACCGCGCTATTCGAGTCGAGTCCAAACCCCTCGATGAGATATGTAATCTCGTCACCATAAATCTCCCCCTTTGAGATATCCTCAACATCAGACACGGCGTCGCGAGCAGCAGCCAGCTCATCCAAATCTTTCAGGTAGACAAGCAACTGGAAGAGACTCTTTTTTTTCTTCCGAAAATAACATCATCTGAGAAGAACACCTTCCCCGACCCACCAATAGGTTTACAATAAACCTGCGGAAGACAAAGACCACCCCTTAGCGTCGGATCAAAGGGTAATCCGGGCGAGTATTTATACTGCACCAGGCCTTCCTTTCTGCGACCAAGCCTGAGAGCATGCCTCCAACTTGGAACGAAGTGCATGAAATACAGATACCAATCGCGCATAAAGATCTTTATAGGATTGCCTTCTGTCACGAACTTGCCATTTTCGATCGTTGAAGAGAGAGATCTCTCCAGCTGCTGCTTGCGCTCAAGATACCAGCCCGACAACACCTCTTCGTGATTGCTTGGCTTGCTTGATGGTTGGCGTCGGCAGAGTAGGACGAGGCGCCAGGCTAGCGAAACGGCATCACGGAAGCCGGAGGCGATTCCTTGGCCACCAACTAATAATTCTTTGGTCAATATCAATTCATGAAGAGAATTCAGAAATGCTTACATGGTGGGAATACATGTGCTGCATCGCCGCAAAGCACTACACGGCCATGTGACCATTTATTACAGATTCGTGCGGAGAAGCGGAACGGTCTTGATCGAAGGACACGAATGCAGTCTTCTGGGAACTGGATGTCTTGCATTAGTCTGTATAAGGTTAGTATGTTTTTAGTGTTGTTATTCGGATGCTTACCCATATCGACTCCCTGGGTGTGTGATGTAAGGAAAGACGACTTTCTCAACGTTCTCAGCATTGGACATTTGCTCTCCATCCTCGCCAGGAAGAACCACAAACTCAAAGCGCCAGAGTCTGTCGGATGGTGGCCCAAACCGACCACATACAGCGGGGCGCTCCGGATTGCAAATAAACCTGAAGTTCTCTGGGAAAAAGAGGTCATACACTTGCTGAGAAGTGTGTCCCTGTTGCCATAGGGGGAATTCGGGATGCGTCTTCTCCGTAGGGAGTGATATTTCCCAGTTCAGTGCCACCCAGGTTTCGTCGTAGAACGATCTACAGCGCGCTCAGTATTTACACGCAGTGAATGAAATCACAGAGACAACATGACTTACTGATGCGCCTGTTCCATATGAATTCCCAAAGGTTCCAGGAAATTCTTCCTGGTAAAGCCAGTTTTGCCATCAGCACCAACCAGGAAGCGAGATTTTACATTGTGTGTTTTCCCTTGCGCATCGCGGTATCGAGAGTAGACATGATCCCCCTCTTCGCGAATATCAACTATGCTGGAGTTGGTCTGGAGCTGACAGAAGCTGGATGAGGTCATTGCCAGTCTGAGATATTTCTCGAGGATTGGTTGTTTGTGACATATGAAACCAACATGGCCAGTTCCACCCTCAGTCTGCATGGCATATGTTAGCCTGAAAGACATTTACCGAAGTCAAAGCGATATGCACCGTTCCGTAATCCATTTCTAAAAAGGGCTTCTTGTCGAGGACTTTTTCCTTTCCTCCAATGAACTTGAACTTTCGCATGTCTAACATCCCGTTTAGCAAAGGTGAAGAGACAGAACATCCCAGACTATTTATCCTTACAAGTGCCAATTTCAGAGTAAATCTGGTCATAGATGCCAATACCCTGAAGCATTCGAATACCATCCTCGTCTAGCGCAATTCCTCGTGGATCCGTAGTGATTTCAGCCTCCTTCTCAATCACAAGATGCGGAATGGACATCTGCCCGAGATACGCAGACAACATCGCCCCGGTCGGGCCACAGCCACAGATGACCACATCAGTAGTCACATACTCTTCATTGGCCATTTTACTGCGGAGGCTATCTGTTGTTGCTTTCAAATATAAATTAGTAAACGTTTCAGCTTGGTAGGCAAATGTCGCGTCAGAAGCACTCGGTGCCTAGGTTGACCATCAATGTCGGGCGTATGGATTTGATGCATTTAGTTATCCCTTGACTGTGGGATGTTTATGGAATGCTTTATGTCCATGAGTTCCCCGTGCATTGGCTCACATTTGTGAGTATATCCGTATTCCCGCATATGAAGCTGATTCCTGTGGAGTCTGGCGAATAATGTCCCACGGGGAAATGGAGTGTGGGAATGCGGAGGTGTCTAGGGCGGGACCTTTGAGGGACCTTGTGGGACAAATAGAGCCATGACGATAAATATAGAAACAGAATACAAAATGTCCTTTTGAAGTTAATTATAGGTTTTCCAACCCTAGTCAAGGCCAGACATACTGGGCTCAAGTTATCGAAATGGTATGTCTTGATTAATCACTTTTGGATTTCGACACTAACCCAGTGAGTGCACTAGACAATCCAAGCAAACCACGGTGCCTCTATTGCAGATATCATTGCGATCGGACCTGCGTCTGAAGGCGTGCAGGCATGGCGAGAGAGATGCGGAATCAAGACGGAGTCTCAGATCCGTCTGGTTAAGCTAGCGCATATGCGCTACCAACACCCCAATCTAGACGAGATCACTCTCTTCCTCGAAGGTATTCCACTCATTCCTGTTTGACTTGAATATCCCTATTAAAATCACTACAGACTTTGGTATGATCATTGCAAAGAAGACTGATAATGAAATTTGGTATCGGGGCTATGGAATAGACCCCTACGTTTACTATGCGAAGAAAGGTCCTAAGAAGTTCCTCAGCGGTGCCTTTCAGGTTGAATCTTACCAGGACCTGCAGAGGTGAGTAGCGCGAAAACGAGGAGAGAAAAAAAGGATTAGTACAACGCTAATTCTTTTGTAGGGCGACAAACCTACCAAACGCCGGCGAGATACAGGAGCTCAATCATGCCCCGGGTGGAGGCTACATGGTGACTTTAGAAGACCCCGAAGGATTTGGAATAAGCTTATTCTGGGGACAAACGCCAGCTACCCCCGGCGCATATCCAGAGAAGCTCGAGATCAACTATGAGACTGAAAAGCCAAGAGTCCGTAGGTTCCAGCGGTTCCAACCCGGTCCTGCTGCAGTTCATAAGGTGAACCATTTCTTTTCTGTCACTCTGTTCTTTCTGTGTTACTCAAGAAACTAATAAGTTTTCCAGCTCGGCCATTACGGCGTCTGCACTACAAATTTTGAAGTCCTTGTCGACTTTTACACGAAGAACTTCAACATCGTCCCCACAGATTTTCTCTACGTCGAGGTTGAAGGAAGCAAAAAGAACGTCGCGCTGTTTGCCCATATCGACCGCGGTGACAAGCACGTTGACCACCATTCATTCTTCATGAGCTCAAACCCAACAACTCACGTACACCACTGCTCATTCGAAGTCCACGATTTTGACACACAGAAGCTGGGCCACCAGTGGCTTGCAAATAAGAATTATAAGTCGGTCTGGGGGGTTGGTCGGCATATTCTTGGTAGTCAGATCTTTGACTACTGGTGGGATACTACAGGGAACATGATTGAGCATTATGCTGATGGAGATTTGGTGAATGACCAAACACCGATAGGGTATGGACCCGCGGGTGATGAGTCTCTGGCTGTCTGGGGGCCTGAAGTACCATCTTGGTTCTTGCAGTGATAGATTTGTAGAGTAATGCTGTTACTTTGAAGAAATAACTAGCAATCGTCAAATGTGTGTTTTGTTTGGCTTCCTATCTGTTGCGAGTATAGAGGCAATGCCAGTTCAACCCCGCTTTCCCTTTTAAGGCTGTTGTATATGGGCAATACGATAGCTTCAAGATAAATTAAAAGAACTGACAACGCCAGTGTTTTAACTTTACGAGATTCATTCATATTAGCTCACTACGTTCGCAATCCACTATTATAATGTCTATATTCGACATCCTTGACATCAGTATCACTAACATTGAATACAAATGATTAATTATCTGCCATGTTTCCTCTAATCGTATGAACAGTCACATACGACCATAGGGTGCGGAAAACAGATGTGCGGCCATGTTGAGTGTGGCCTACCAATTGCTTTGGTGAGGACTAAAACCTATCCATATCATTAGCAATCCCGTGCCCCATAATCATTCCGATCCCCGCGCCCCTGAGCGCGCTTCTGCTCGTCTTCACTGCGAATACTCGTCAAATATTTACGGAATCGATTAGACATCTCTAGCACCTTTTGGAAATGGGCTTTAGTGACAATCGTCACCAGTGACTCATTATATTCCGGATCTTCCTCGCTCTCGAACTCCGCCAGCGTGATAGCCGTCTGCAGCGCATTGCGAATATCCTGCCCGTTGAGTTGTGTCTCGCTGGTGGTATCGAGAACCCACTTCTTCGCGTCCGGTGCGTTCTGGATCTTACCCGCGCCCATATTCTCTGCGATTCATATTCTAGCAGAGACGAATATTGAAAACTCATTGATTTACTCATCTAGGCTATGAACAGAGGCCAGCAAGCAGAGCCCAGCGGGGGACTAATCCGGCGGCTCAGCGATGATGTCTCGCAATCTTCGCCGGGGGAACCCGTTGATCGTGCTCTGGCGGCCAAGGTGGCGTTCAACCGAAATCGAGAGCAATTCTTCCTTCGAGATTTCGGGAGAGATCGAGGCTATTTTTATCGTTCGATTTTCCATTGCGGTTTGCTCATCGTGGCAGTCGACCTGCATTAGTCGCCCCTAAAAAAAGTACGGCGCTAATTTTGGAGCCGATAAAGGGGGCCTTTCAACCTTCCCCCTTTTGTTACCCGCAATCCCCGTTACATCTTGCAAGAAGACTGCAAGCGACCACAACAGGGCTCAAGTGAAATACCATGAAATCTCCACCACAACCAGCAACAGTCTATGAGTTGGACAAATACGGCAACCCGGTGCTTCACAGCAAGGTTTCCGCGATCAGAGACCGCGTAGCCAAGAGGAACTCCACACCATATACCGGGAACAGGGCTCAGCATAGGCCTAAAAAGTCCCAGGACTGTATTATGGGCGAGTCCATGCGCAGCGGCTCGCTGGATGAGATGGTCAAGGCGTGTGGCCAGAACCCGACGTTTCCCATGACTATCTTCACTAGCAGCCAGGGCACAGATTCAGAGCGTAACGGAGTCCCTGGATGTCGATATAGAAAGATTTCTTTCCTTGGTACATATACGATTTCATTGTGGCCGTAGGCGTGATTTTGAGCTAATAGGGATACAGACGAGACTAAAGTCCTCGGTTCCAGCACAATAGATGATAGTCAACGGTTCGTTCGACTGACCGCGTTTATCACAAAGAACGATGAAGACCATATGGATCCCAAAATATACGTGGAACAACGCGTTTATGAAGGCAGGCACGACAAGATCATTGTCCATGAACTTGCGTTTGGTGGCAGAATTCAAGTTGACAAGGAGTATGTGTTTCGCGCCTGTGGCGACGAAGATAGAATTCTGGGAAAGCGCGATTTGAGGCTCCGCATCGTATCGGTAAGTTGCATTCTCAGATATCCATATGTCCAGGAGGAATCGCTGAATCCTATTCAGCTTGAGCAGGAAAGCTTCAATAACTTCCTGCGGGGTCACACGACCTACTACGGTTACAATATCATAGACTACGTCTATGTAGACGAAGAGAGTATTTCCAAGGGCTTACCGCATGAAGCATGGCGAAATAGGAGCGAAGTACCTTACAAAATATCCTTGAATGGGAAGGATCTGCAAATTCTTCTAGAGGCCAAGCAGGAGAACCGGGAAACGGTGGATGTATTATCGGGCGAGGATATCGAGCTTCTTCGACTGCGTTTTGCCGGGCAAGGACATCCCACCGAAGATAAGGTGAGCGCAGGTGATCTTGATGTCCGTGTTATCTATAGGCCTTGACGTCAGTATGGTGTTATTATAAGTGATGCTTAGGCTGTTATGTCGTATTTGGAAGAGCTTGGTAAGGAATCTACCAATCTAGATATCTCATTAAAATTGAGCATCAGAGCAACACTGTAATATATAAGTATACACACAGATTGGGGCTCAACTTAATGTTGGGGGCTCAGATGCGGGGAGCAAGCGGAAGCTCGACGCATTACGATTTAGACTTTTTCTTAAAGTTGCCTTCATTTTTAATGTTTAACAAAGCATTCATTATGCTAAAAAGAAATTAAATCTCTAACTTCGAATTGGTCTCATGGACTTAATGCAAAATCTTGTAATGGGTCTCGTAAAGTTCCTGGACATGCCGATATGCGCTGTGAGAAGATACCTTACTAAAACGGATGCTACCACCGCAAAGCCAACCGCCCCGCCATAACTAGTGAATCAACTCGGACCTCATGCTGTATCTATAGCCTCACCCATGCCTCCTGAAATATGATGGTCAATAGAATTCCTCTGAATTACAATAATTTGAAGTCAAGATGCGTTTGAATCCTATTCATCCCACTTCTCGGTCTCCATATTGAATAAAGCAGGGCTGCTGCTCCGATCACGCCTGTGTGCTCTCAAGTAGGAAGTGCAGCTAAAACATCTTGTTTTCCAATATTTTTTGCAATATCCTGGACGCTTTCGCCGTTGCAATCCCGAATGGAAAAATCCACCTTGTTGGTCTCAGTGAGCAATTGGATGACATGCAAATCTCCCGTTTGCGCTGCATGGAAGACAGCAGTTCTACCTTCATCATCCCGCAAATTAAGATCAATATCTCTAGTTCCCAACAGTCTCTCCACAATTTGGCAGTGATTGACGGCAATGGCGTGCATGAGAGGGGTTCGGTAATAAGCGTCCTGTGAGTTGACATTGACACGCAGACTGCGCAGAAGAACTTCCACAAGCTTAACATTACGATTTGCCACAGCCCAAGCCAGAGGGCTTGTTCCCACTCTCCTAGCCGGACTTCCTTTGCCCATTGTCATATTCATTTGCTCCTGCCAGGCCATCATTAATCGCCTCTTTTTCTGTTGCTCCAATAACATGAGTTGCATTTGATAGTCTTGGTAGGCGTGGTTCTGCGTCATAACGGGTTCAACGGGCAACTTTTGGGGACCTCCCGCAGGTTGGCTGAAAGGGAATTTTCGTTTTTCGCCGGTTGGTTTGACAGACACTGGAGGTGAATTATTATTTGTTTCTCCTTTATCTGAGCTCTTTTCGCGGGGAAATGGCCCATCCAGGTCAATATGGGGGAATGAAAGGAGGTTTTCGAATGCTGGGCTCCTCCATATCCCGGATCGAATGGCGCTCCACAGTGCGGCGTTGGCAAAGCCTTTGTCAACCCACATCCTTACGAGGGATTGGTCGGTAGACACTTGAGAAACTCCCCTCAATGTTTCTTCTGCCACTTCCCTCGGCGGAACCTCGTCGAGAGGGTAGAATAGGTGCTTGACAAAAGCGAAGTTGCGTGAGTTGAGGCACACCAGTATCATTGGGTCCCAGATCGCCTTCTTAACCAAAAACTCTGCCACTTGAACAAATAGTTTCCAGGCCTCCGAGCTTGGATTACGTTGAAAAAAGTTGCAAAGCAACACCCAGAGTATCGGCGGAGGCTTGGATGCGCGTGCAGTCACATTATTCGAAATCAATCTCGAGCCATTGGTCACATTTGCTCTAATCAATAGAGGCAGAATGGAAATTCCTGCAGCGCCCTGGACAAGGTCGATCACCTGATTCACAAGAGCATCGTCTCCGAGCTGAAGGACGTTTTTGAGTACAGTTTCCAGACGAGCTTCCTTGTCATCAATCAGGAACGAATCGGAAAAAGTCTGCTTGGACAACGTCCGTGCTATGGCCCGGCCTTTTTCCGAGGAGATAGACTCAGAGCTCGCCAGCAGATGGAGAAAAGCAGGCCAGTCATATTTGCCGCATATCATCAATCTTGTATGAGGGTGCTTAATCAAAGCAGCCAGTATTTCCAAATTGCCTTTCTCGGCAGCATTCGTCAAGGGTGTCTCAACCTCCCCATTGATGTTGATCTTGCAATTTGCGTTGGCCAAAGGTTTCTCGCCCTCAAGCAATAAATTCACTAGTCGAAGCCCCACATTGCCATCGGCCTTTGTCGCGAGAAGGAGGGCGTAGTCAAAAAAGACGCGATGCAAATTGAGCTTCTCCGATTGCCGCACAAAGATAAATCTTTCCCAGTGCTGAAAAGCTGCAATCTCTCGTCCCGAGAATCCGTCTTTCATGAGCATCTCAATATCACTGGGTTTGGAGTGCTGATACTTGAACTCTTGAGTTCCAACCAAAAAATCAGCGATTCCATGAAAGCCCAGTGAGATAGCGGTTTCTAAACATCGATGTTGCCTTTCCACTTTGCAGTGTGGCCACAGTAGTTTAACAATATCGATATGCTCCCTTTGAACTGCGAATTCGAGAATATCAGGGATTTGCTCTTCCACGCGAGCTCCTCGAGCAATCAGAATTCTGCATGTATCAGAATGGCCGCCCTGTACGGCAAACCAAAGAAGGGTTTTCCCATCTTTGTCACGGGTGTTGACATCGAACCCCTCGTCGACCGCAGACTCTATTTCATCGTTGCTGCCTTGCCTCGCAGCTTCATAAAGATCCATCTGTCGAGATTTGCTTTTTATGTTCTAGTTTGCGATTTGACTGAGAACTGAACAGGAGATTCGCGGGTGACTTTGTGTGTTTGAAGATTCTTTCCTTCCATTAAGATGGCTATTAAGAAGAATAAAGACAGGAGTCATAGCACTTAAAGAATGTGACACGTATGTTTGGCTTAAAATACAAATTTGATATGAGCGCGTAGAAGGATGACATGGGTAGGCTAAAAAAAAAGGGAGTGGGGGGTCCACTACGGGGATCGGGCCGAACTGACCATCGAATGGTTTTTTGGGGGGGAGGGGTAGTAATATAAAAATATTCTCGACCTTCGCCGCGAGATCTTTATATTGTCTTTAGGTAGAGCTGGAGCAGGCGATGAATGGGAAAGTAAAGCTTATCCATTGAAACAAGGGTAGACGAGTTCGAATACTACACATTGCTGCCCAGTGAACAAGCGAAAGGGTGCTAAGTAATTGGGTGTCAAGCTAAAACGAATGTTTGTCCTGTTCTAGATGATTGCTTTCGGGGCATCACTTACTGGAACAAGCTGAGATACCCATGCCCGTGGATGAGAATGATTGGGTGTCTGGTTTTCGCATTGTTCCGCAACTGGTGACAAAAATACGCGCCGAAGAATCCCATCTCGTCACACCCTGTGACGACGGACTTGCACAAATTTCAGCTCAGCCCCTGAATTCAATAAATTGCTAAAATAAACCCATGGCCACGGAAAGTCGCATACAAAGCTTGCAAAACAAATCGCAATCTAGAAGCTAACACCGACACAAAATACTAGGCTATCTGCATATGTAATTTATCTTCGGACGGACTTACTAAAACAGGTTACGGTGCGGACAGCAAAACAAGTGATTCTTCGTTGGATTGAAGACACCGTTTCTACTCCGTAGAGGTAATCAGAGATAGGTACATAATTCATACTATGTCTGGAGCTTCAAAGAAATAGGTACAAGTTGTTTTCTCAACATCTCTCGATTGTAGCTTCTTGTATGCACAAAGACCCCTTGAGCGTCCCTGAAAGCTTCGCTGCGTCTCAAATCTTTATTTCATCAAGTAACTGGATATGCCTGATTGAGGTTTAAGTTCGGCAGTATCCAAACTTGGAAGTTATATGTATATAAAAGGAAAAAAGTCTCGTATCAACAAGTCCTTTCATACAATTTCCCTAGACTGCAGAAAAAACTAAACACAAAATAGCACCACCAAGAAGACAAAATTATTCATTAATCGTATACCCCAGTACGGGGTAAATTCAATACTCCAAGAGATCAATTGATCCAGCGTATGTATGTATTGAAAAATCCCCGATCTCGCCTACCAATTACTCCACATAGTTCGCAGGGAAAGGACCCTTCTGGCCCCTTAACTCACCCTCCCACCAGTCATCCGTGCTATTGGTTTTGCGAACAACGCGTATGCGATCTCCCTCGCGGAAGACCAAATCCCCAGTCCCCTGGCCGTCAAAGTCATACAAGGCCGTGACGAAGACAGGACGGGACGCTGTCGGGGGTGGTGGCGGGGGCTTCTTCTTGCCTATAGCGGCAACGATGGGGTCAAGGGGCGTAGTTCCTCTCGAGACGGTGGACTGGAAATGATCGATTTTTGGGCCAGCGGGAGAGAACGACATCACGCCTGGTGGGGTTGGCTGTGGGGTTGGCTGTAGGGCTGGCATGATTGGTTGTGGGGGGCTGAAATAGTCTCCACCTGTGGACGCGGGCGGGGAAACAGCCGTGTTGCCAACGGGGATTGCACTGCTTTTGCGGCTCAACGTTGTTGATAGGGGGGTGAAGGTGGGTATTCTGGGACGCATGAAATTGGCGTTTGGCTTGACGATGCTGGTGTTTGAGAACCTCTGCGGAAAGAGGAGAGTGAGGTTGATGAAATATTGCTGGCTGTGCGGCCTCCGATTGAGGGGCGTTTTTTGTTTTCCTGTTGTTCGGATGCTCGACGCATGGCTTTTCCTTGTGTTAAACAGCCGAAGTTTTCGATTTCTCCTCGCACGGGGTTGAAGGCGAATTCGAAGTCTTGCACTATTTGGTCCATGTCTGGTGGGGGCGATGGGAATCCTTCTTCCTCACAGTAGGTGTGAAGAACTGTGTAATAGTGCGCAAGCATGCGGTTTTGAATGTCAACCTGCGCCTCAAGAATGTATGGCGTGAGAGAGAAGATGAGCGCAACTAGTGTTGGGAGTCGCTGTCGTAGATCAGCGTCGGCAGCTTGATACGCCTGCGATGTCATTAGATTCAGTGGTTTTGCAACATTCGAATTTTGAGATATGTACCTCTTTTGTAATCGCAAGCTCTGCCTCTGCTTTGGCCAGGCTTGCATTCTCGCGATCGGAGCGTTTGGGCTTTTTCATGAGACTATCAACCCGGCTTTGGGAGACCTCAAAGTCGGTCTGGGGTGCAACATAAGCATCAAAATTTCTTCTACAATCATGGATTGTGTTATTCACCTTCTTGTCATTGCGCTTTTTGATAGTCTTCTTCATCGGCAATAGGGATTCCTTGGCTTTCGCAGCTGGCTGGGCCATGCGGATATCCACAGCACCAAGCTCCTCCATTAAATCGGTGCGGAGTTCATCGTATTCTTTGCGCAGTCGATTTGTTCGACCTAATCTGACCGAGTCTGTTTCCACGGCTTTGTGATTGGATGGAGTTTCTGAGGAGCCGATGATAGGACCGTAAAGGCCGTCAAACTCATCGATCATACGACTCTGGTAGGTTGCAATAGAGATCCAGGCATCACGCCAGGCTTGGGTCGACTCCGTAATCTAATCAAATGATGGGTGTTAGTAAATGCGACAAGACGCGCGTCGGGGAAAACATTGTTGCCTACCTTCCCTAGGAGCATATCAGCGTCGTCGAAGTCTTTTAAAAGCACAGCGATCTGGCTGTCATCTGCCGATGACTTCGTCGTCATGCGACCAAACCGCCTCGACATGTTTTGCATATTGAATGATGGAGAGGCTCAGAAACTCTGGGATCGAAAGCGGGGAGAGGACAACCTTTGAAGTGATAAGTGAATATAAGAGTTGGCACATACAACGTCGGTGGAAAAACAAAGACGACGTTATATACGATTGAACAGGAACCGATGCCAGTTTTCAAAAATTAAAATCAAGAATTGAAAGAAGAAAAGAGAAGGGGGCTAGCCCAACCCCCTCCATGACACATGTTTTGGCCCCAAGTGTTTCAGCGTCTTATGCGGCTCTCTCGTCAACTCCCCACATATTAATTGGAGAAAGTGGTGTATAGATCAAGGTTCTCATTGAATCATTTGTCCACATTTAGAACCCTTGAGAATAAATTTGGCACAATGAATCACAAAGATTATCGCATTTATTCCAAATGCTATTTGTTGGCCAGCGTTGACGCAGACTTTGGGGTTTGGGGGCCATTGCGAGTCTGAAACTTGCATTGACGCCAAACTCAGAAATGAAAGAAACAAACCAATCAGAAAGGATCCAGAGGAATGAACGCAGTAGTATCAAGAAAGGACCTCGGCCCTTCTTGGTCATCTTCTGTCTTGTTTGAAGTCCACATTGCCTATCCATATCCATGCCTTTGCATAAACACAATGTAAGAATGATATTTACCAAATTTGAGGGGGAAAATGCTTTATGCCTATTTCTCACCATTCAATTGATGTAAAAAGAGGTCAGCCCTGGAGAGAAAAGAGAAGAAATGCAGATGTTTTGACTCCATAGTTCCCCATAGTTATGCCTGAGGCCGAACTTTCCTTATCCGCTTATCGCGTTTTTCAATTAACACGACAACACACGTGAGAGCCACCTGCAAAAGTCGCCTGTAACGCGATGCAATCATGACTGAGCTGGTTAGATCCTGGTGCCAGAATGATGTCTACACCATTGTCGACGCGACCACTTCCGACCTCCCCACAGGTCACCGCCTCAGTCGTCAAATTCCGCTGTCTGTACACCCACGACCTACGCCGCAAGTCTAAACGATGGCACGATGGTAACTTACGATACCATAAGTTCAACAAGCGTGTGATGGTCTATGATGATCAAGGCAATTTTATCGGTGACCACCACTGGCGGTCTCTCGACGAGGTCCAAGATGGCGATGAAATGCAGCTGGACAAAGGTGTCTTGATTGAGGTGGGCGAGAACATGGGAACGACAGAAACCGATATCACCAACTTGTATGAAAAGAAGAGATCCAGCCAGGGCTCGCCACGAAACAAAGATCCCATGTCTCAAGTTCCTCGCGCCTCCACTGCTGCCTCCCCTACTGTCCCCGCTACTGTCCCCGCGCCAATTCGTTGCTCCTCGGCTTCATCCCAGCCCTTCCGCTCCCTCAACGATTTACTGGGCATAAAAAAGACCCCTGTCAGACAATTTGCTTCTCCGTATGAGCAAAGAAACCCTCCCCCGCCAGTTGCAAGGCCGGAGCCTGAACGAGCGCCAAAGCGACTAAAAACATCGTTGGTGCATCCAACGGGAGAGAGAAGCCCACGTCCCCAGAGCCAAGTCATTGATTTGACCGAGCCAACCGCTGGAGTCCAGTCACAACAGGTATCAACCCCTTTGGCAAGGCAAGCAACCAGAATCGGTGGCAATTCAACTGTCCGACCTCCGACAAACCATCAACAAAGACCAGCCCTGTCAAAACTAACACAGCTGCAAAGATCTGGTCCTCCTTCTTTCTCGAGGATCTCGATTCCAGCTTCATCTCCACCGAGCTCCAGTCTACCTACCCCAGAAAATATAATCCGACCAGCGACCAAAACCGCCCCACCTACAAAGCCCTCAACCGATAGACCCAAAGATGTGCCATCTGTGCAGCCTCGAAGACCGATAACCTCTTCGTCAAACCCCATCCTTGTGGAGCCAACGGTAGTAGAGTTGCCCAGGCCTCGGGAGAAACTGCGTGCAGATGAACAACCGACCGTTGGTGAAAATCGGCCGACTAAAGTACAGCCATTCCATCAGCCTCAGCCACAAAGGCTTGTACCGCCGGCTACAAGAAGTCATCTCCTAACTACATCAAACTCTTCCATCACTCAGCCACCAGCAGAGAAACCGGCAGCCGCACAAGCTTCCCGGCCTCGGGGAAGTTTGCGCATGAAGGAAGCACCCATCAACCTCCAGAAGCAGAGACAAGATGTGCCGCCTGCTCCTACGTCGGTCCCGCCGATCGAACCGCAAAGGAATATATCTCCAGTATCAAAAAGCGATCTCTTGACTACCCCAAATTCCTCCACCGCTCGACCTGTTGCTGAGCCTGCAGTCTCCAACAATGTACAGCCTGCGAAGACTGCAGATAAGCAAGCACCCAACAGCATGCCACCTCCCTCTTGCCCATCAACAACAAAGCCATCCGAACCTCCCACGGCGGCTCTCCGAATGAGTATTGGTAAACCACGCAGAAAACTCATGTACAGTGCATTATTACCTAGTGCGTCACGGACACCGTCATCAACGACGTCAAACACGCCACTGGGTAGCGCGAATCCTGGATATGCCACAAACACCCTAGAACCAGAGTCAGTATGTACCCGCCCACCAATCAGTTTTCGGTGCCTAACATTGATACAGGACAGCCTCTGATCCGGCGATGGCATCTGAGCCCACCGGCAGCGAGGAGTTCATGCCTTCCACCTCAACACAATTCATGTTCGACGAAATGCTAGATGGTTCAAGATTCCAACCATCAGCTATCAGAGCGCTGAACGGGAGACGACCTGTTGATTCGCCGTTGCGAAAATCGGTCTCTGACCCCACTGCCTTGGTTGGTACTGGTATCCAGAAACGAGCAAGAAATTCCGTCAACACGGTCGCCATTGCAACCGAAACCGTCGAGCAAGGTGCCTGGACATCTGAGGCATTGGATCTGTTTGACTTCTGGCCTGCCGGACGACCGAAACCGAATGAATGAGACATCTATACCCCGGATTATCTTTTATGACCATGCTCAATGATGCGAACGAATGTATAAAAATGATACCCGTTGCATTGATAAACAATATAACTACCCATCTTACTCTCAAATACAACTCACGTCCCAACAAGCATAATTCTCCAGACTTTCTCACCAACCTCAACCCCTCTTCACCAAAACGCCAGAAAGATAAGGCATAGCAGACCACTCAAAGCTCCTCTCCAATTCAACACTCTCCCACCCATCCCCCCCACCAGCAGCCCTCAACACCGCCTCCGTATCGCGATCCAAAGCACAATCCCCAATAAACCACCTCCACCCAAGCAGCGTATAAACACCCTGCACAACCCTCGCAACAAACGACCCCTTCGCCCTCCTCCACGAATTAACAACATGCTCCGTAACCAGCAGCCGCCCCCCAGGTTTCAACATAGCATAGAGCTCATCAACCGTCTTCTCCATCTGCGGCACCGAACACAGCACCCGCACACAAAGAATCGTATCAAAGATCCCAGCAGCAGGATCCGCATCATACGCATCCACCACACCCGACGTCTTCCGCAGTGCAGGAACAAGATCCGCGGCTGCGACGCCCGTCGACAGGATGTGGTATTTGGAGGAGATGCCCTCTGCCTCGGCTTTTGCGCGGAGCGCGCCGTGCAGGGATGTGCAGGGCTCTGGTCCGTACAGCGCTGTTATGGAGGGGGATGTTAGTAGGGGCATTTGGGTTCCTGTGCCAGGGCCTATGTCTAGGACTACGCCGCTTGCTGTGCGGAGGAGGGGCGGGATCAGCGCCGAGGACCCTACTGGGGGAGGTATTTCGGTGTTGTTGGGGTCTGAGGACATTTGACGGGGGGCTGGGGTTGTTAGCTTTGGTGGTTTTGAGAGGAGTGTGGTAAGGTGACTTACTTGTGAAGTCGATCCAGAATCGACCGAAGGCTTCGTCACGGAGTTTTTGCGTTTGAGTGAATGGGGCTAGGAGTTGGCCTTTCAGAATGGTCTCGCCGAAGACTTGGATATAGTCTGGTGGTTGGGTTAGTAAATTTCATGGTGGATTAGGTGTGTTGATATGTGGGAAGCGGGATGATATATCATATCTCTTAGATGGAGTGCTGTAGAGGATACAATAAAGGAGAAGGAGTACAAAAGAGTAACGCCGAAGATGTACAGCATAGAGCAGCATTGGAATCAAGGTGGATATAAGGCCTCAATCGCATTGAATAAGATGCAATTGGAATCTATGCCACGCGGCGTCTATTCGGAGTCTGTACTTACGGGACATTGCCCAGAGCATGATCCGTCCTGGGTCCAACAACGAGGACATCCGCTCAAAGAGCGGTGGGGGACTTTCGGAAGACATGATGACCGAGGAATGATCAAATTCAATCAATGGAGAAAGTAAAGATGTGGAAGTAGAATAAGTTTAGAAAGTATAGGGCGTGCACGTGACGTAGATAATGAGGTGCTATGCGGGGACTTCGGCGTTTGAACTGCGAATCAGCATCGATGCACGGCAGGTAGTGCTTATGACAAAAAAAAAAAAAAACAATGGACAGACATCAAATCCTACAATTGATTGATTCGAAGATGGCTCAGACGTCCTACATGTCAAGCTTCCAAGTAATCAGACACAATCCAACGAAATTGAGCACTATATCTAGTATCATAGGCAAATGGCCAAAGAGTGGAGCCTGTCGGTATACGACGGCATGAAATTATGAACAGAAACCTGAAAGAGAATATAGGAAAGATCAGATTGGACGATAGAGACCAACTCGGAGTGAATGAAGGACAGAGATGTAGGAGAGATGAAATCTGGTTAAAGAAACGGTGAAGGAAAGCAGGGAAGGTACTGGAAACTTGTCTTAAAGAAACAGATCGAGAAAAATCCAAGCGGCTTTTGACCGATGCAAGATGAAGAAAAAAAACGATATTAGAAGGGATTCTTGGACAAGAGGAAGAAAAAAAAGAGACTCGTATTAGACTCAAGTCGTCTGGGTTGAGGACCTGCCCACAGACCCGCAAATTCCAATCTCGATTCAGTGAGGATGGGGTGAGTGGATGCGATCGACTCGCGGGCTATAGCGACTTGTGCGAGAGAGGGAGCCAACGTCGTGCTTTCCATCGCAGCAAGCGCGGACATTCTCGAGTCGATCTTGTTCTTGAATCTCAATGACATGTCTGAGGTCATCGGCACTTTCTTGGCCGTGGAGACTTTCGTTGTGCATGCTGGGAGATTGGCCATGTCGACCCTTCAAGCTTGCAATAGAGCCCCGGATCGAGCTGGAGATTGTGCTCAGTCGGGAAGAGGAGCGTTGACCGTCGGGAACTTGCAACGTAGAGTTTGGCACGGGGGAGCTCAGTGCTGGCGATGCTCGGCCGCCGGGAGTTCCGGCGGATCGCATCGACATGGCCGAGGCGGCGCGCTGCTGCTGCTTGCGGACCGTGCGGCTGTTGTGGGAGGAGAACGACATGCGGGCAGTTTGGCGAGTACCAGAGTTGTAGCTTGGGGGGTTGAATTCGTCGATATCGTCGAGAGTTACACTGTTGCTGTCTTCGCATTTGTCGTTGGTCTCCCGCAGAAGCAGGTATGACAATGCGTTGAACCAAGTCTCGTGTCTCTGGCTCGTCGTAGCCGTGAACCGAACCCGTCGGCCAGGACTGACAACCTCCAAGCTCCTGCAGTGAAGACCCGGGGGATATGGGTTATCATCGGGGAGCACTCGGACAGCCTCGATCGGCACACTCTTGGTGCGGATCTCACTCTTTCCGGCAGTTTGCGGGTCTTGTGTACTCCAGTACAATGTACGGGTGTATGGGTGGACCCAGAAGTATCGTCGGTGTCGTGTCGAGGACATGTCTGATGAACCAGTCTTGCGAGTATACTTCCAAAGGAACTCGCCGATCATGGTCTGTGTAATAGCCTGGATCATGCGAGGATCAGTGTTGGGCCCGTAGCCCTGTGGCATGGGCCCGGCATGGGGGTTCATATTGAAACGCTCTTCGAGCTCGGATGCGAATGATGACACCGAGGATCGTCGAGACATTTGACTCTGGCTTCCTCGTCTCATCTTGGCCTGGGAAGAAACAGTTCTTGCGGATCCGGCCCGCGCAGCTTGTTCGCTTGGCGTTAACGGGCGCTGGGAGTTCATGCGGTATGCAGAGGCGGGTGCCAAAGGTGGACCCATGACAGAGGTAGGGGATGGAGGCGCCACGTCGATGGATTTCTTTTCGGCTGCCATGATGGCTTCCCGGTGGTCGACAGGCAGCGGGGGATAGGTGCTGACATTGGACAATTGACTGGTGGCGCTGGTAGGTCGGCGGGGCGTTGACTTCGTAGACTGTATCTGTGAGAGGCGAGGCCGAACAGCGGGCTTAGGTGTGTAGGAGGACGCAGTAGTGGTGACCGAGGCATTCTCCTTGGAGCGGTCCGTCACCTGGCTGTCCGAGGATAGCGGGCGCGAGGAACGTTCCAAGAGAATCTGGTCAATCTGCTTCGAGGAAAGAATAGTCTGAGACCCCTGGTCCATGATGACGGAACTAGAAAGCCGTTTAGCAGCACGACCAAGACTGTTACCAGAGATGTCGTTCAAAGCCAGACCAGCACCATTAAGCTGATCACTGTTACCTGCGCCGTCCAGACTGCGAGTGGCATTAGCGGGCTCGTCTTCATGCACAGCCACAACAGCTCCGGTTGCTTTTGATTCCGGCTCGGTCTGAGTAGAGAAGTCTACAGCCGCAGGGATGACACGCAGTGTAGACCGCACTGGTTGGGTTTCAACGGAGCGCACAGAGGAGTACGACAGTGCCGGCGTAGGGACAACGCGGGGCTTCGAAACAATAGGCACAGTGTATGCAGGGTCAAGCAAAGAGACAGTCAAATTGGGCACCTCCCGCTCACGCTCAACGTGTTTGATGACGTCGACGTATTGAATGACAGGCGGCTGAGGCTCAGGAAGAGCTGCCTTGATGGGGGCAGTGGATTGGGTGGTGATAAAAGAAAAGCTCAGCTCTGGAATCTCACGCTCACGCTCAACCTCGACGTGCTTGATGACATCGACGTATTCGATGACAGGGGCCGCCTTGGTGGCCTCCACAGGAGCAGTGGAGTGGTTGTCGATGGACGAGATGGTAAATTTAGGCACCTCACGCTCACGCTCGACGTGCTTGATTACATCAACGTACTCGATGATGGGCTCTGCCTTGACTAGAGTGGCCTTCACGGGGACAGTAGAGTGATTCTCGATGGAAGCGATTGTCAACTCTGGGATCTCACGCTCTCGTTCAACCTCAACGTGCTTGATCACATCAACGTACTCGATGATGGGCTCCGCCTTGGCTAGAATGGCCTTCACGGGGACAGTAGAGTGATTCTCGATGGAAGCGATGGTCAACTCTGGGATCTCACGCTCTCGCTCAACCTCAACGTGCTTAATCACATCCACGTATTTGACAATGGGCTCTGGTACAGGGATAGTAGCCTGGACCGCGTGCACAGGTGCAGTCGACTGAGATGCAACAGACGAGAAGCTCAATTCAGGTACTTCACGCTCGCGCTCAACGTGTTTGATTATTTCAACGTACTGGATGACAGGCTCGGGCACGGCAAGGGTTGCTTTGGCAGGTGTAGTGGACTGGGTGGTGATGGAGGAGAAGGTCAACTCGGGCAGTTCCGGCTCACGCTCAACGTATTTGATGACATCAACATGTTTGATGATTGGTTCAGGCACATGAACCTTTGGTAGAACGGGATGAGTGGTCTGGGTTGAGATCGAAGATATCGTCATTTCCGGCACTTCCGGCGTGGGCAGCTCATACTTCACTGGAGTGGTGATACCTCCGTTGATGTAAGAAACGCTGAGTTCAGGTCGCTTGGGCGCAAGAGGCATGGTCTGTTGAGATGACACGTCTGCCATGCCCATTTCTGGAAGGTTGTGTTGAGCAAGGACATTTTGCTGCGCTTGCTCATCCCAGAGCATCTGAGGCGAGGTAGCGACATTTGCCATGTGGTCGCCATCAGCAGGCGAAGGCTTTTGCGAAGTCCACTGTGTTCCTGAGCTGACCGACTGAGGATCCTCTGCAATCTCTCCGTCTCCAGACTCAGCGACTTGAGTAGCAAGAGCACCAGTAGCAGCTCCAGCAATTAGACCAGCGCCAGCAGCAAAGCCGGCGCCAACGGTTGAGGGCTCCCAAGGTTCAGTCATAACACCGGAATCCACCATGGTGGGTCTGGGCGGCGCGTCCAGCATTGCATCCGAGGGCCTGCGTGAACCAGCAGTGGGTTCCATGCGAGGGGTTGAAGCCTGAGAAGTTGCTTCTCCGTCGTCCTCAGTGCTATCAAGCTCGGCAAGTTCAGCGAATAGGCTCTGGCCTTCCTGGGATGCTGGCGCTTGCTCAAAGCTTTGTGCCAGGGATTCGTGTGCACTCGAAGGGCGGCTCGTGGATGCAAATGTAGCCTCTCCAGATGGGCGAATGCGTCTAGAAATGCTGCGCTTGGACTTGACACGGGGCCGGGAGATGTGCATCTGTGTTGGAGATCCAAATCCTCGGTCAAAGTCCTCCTCGTCGGACGAGGCAGAGGCTGTGCTGTGGTATGAGTCGCGGTTGCGCGTCTTGGCCATAACGATGGAGGACACTCTGTTGCTGTTGCGCGGAGTTGTCTGGACGTTGTTCTCGGTCTCGGTGAGATCCGCTGAATCGCTGCTATCGTCTGCCATGCTCTCGAGGCCGGTTTGGAATGCTTCGCTCTCGGTTGCAGTGGCCCGCTCGTTAGCCGTTTCAAAGCCGTCTTCCGCCTCGGTAGCAGTCTGGTAGATATCACTGGGTTCATCCGGAGACTGAGCGCGGGCTGTAGTAGGCCTCGACGTGACGTGGGTCCGAGTAGGGCTAGGTTGACCAGCGTTGTCTTCCCAATCGGTATCGTGGAGTTCAACGAACGACTTCTCCTTCCGGCCTGCACCCAGAAGTTCTGGACGTGGAGGCTTTCGGGACGAATCAGTCTTGGTCTTTTGGCGTTTGCTAGCCGCATTTGGCACAGCGCTCTCGCGACGGCGAGTCTCAATTTCATCACGAGCATCTTGCAGCATGCGCTTCAGCTCGATCTTTTCAGTCTTTTCACGGTGAATGGTGCTCTTCAGGTTCTGGATCATGCGGTGAGCATGTCCGAGCGAGCTTTTCAGAGTCTCCGATTCCAAATGGCCATGGCGAGGAGTGAACTTGTTGGGAGAAGGCGGCGGAGAACTTTCAGGGGTGATGTGCTCACGCTCATCGTCCTCGTTGCTGTATGAAACAGCCCGAGAGCCCTGGGTTTCATGGTCACGGAGTCGCATAGCAACCGCCTTGGCAAGCTCTTGGTTTTGGGAGGTCATTTCTAAAAGCTTCTTGTGAAGTGCAGACTTTTCCGCGTCGCCGGCGTTCAGGTTCCGACGCAGAAGATTGATTTCGGCATCATTCGCCTTCTGCATGAGGCTCTGATCCTCAAGCAACCTCGCGTTGGCCTGTCTGAGCTCCTCCAATTCTCGCTCCACCTCATGCTTCTCCTCAGTTGACGTAGTCAGCGTGCTGTTGAGTTTCTGTTCACGTTCGGCTGCGTCCCTAACAGCTGCCATCAGCTCGTGTGCCTGCGTTTCGAGAGACCAGTTCTCGTCCTTATAGCGCTGCTCGCTGTCATCAAGTGCCCGAATTCGCTGCGCATAGCCCTCTGCTTCCAACTCAAGTCGCGACTTTTCCAAGTTAACAGACTTGAGTGATTCGTCTCGTTCCGCGAGAAGGGCCTGCAGCTGGCGAACCTGGGCCAAAAGCGAAGTGGAGATTTCAGTCGCAAATTCGATGTCGTGGACACGATTCGACGGCTGGTTGCGCTGCTTGCGTGAAGGAACACTGACTTTGCTTGGAGAGTTGGTCGATTGACTAGCGAACAAAGCGGGGCTCAATGGGGACTGTCATAATCGATGTTAGTTTGTGAATTCGAACCAGTCGAGTTCGGGTTATACCTTTTGATCAAACGAGGGTGTCCCAATCTGGGTCTCCTCTACTCCACCTGCAAGACGCTTAGGTCCCAAAAATGCACGCGCCGACTCACGGCCGATTTCATTATACTCCTTCTCCAAATCTGCGAGCTTGCGTCGCAACGCCGGACCCATCTCCCCGTCATCCTGCTGTTGCTCGACCTCCTTCAGTTGCTCCGACAATTGCTGCTGTTGTTCGATAAGGGCCGTGCCGAGTTTCGATGCCTCCTCCAGTCGACGTTCCGTTTCCGCCAGATGGGCCTCAAGGGCCCGCTTGGCCTGTGCTGGCGAAGAAGCATTGAGGCTGAACAGCTGCGTGTCGAAGGACGAGTATCGGTGGGCGTCGCGGGGGGCAGCTGGCTTCCCGCCATTTGAAACGAAGGGGTCTTCCATGGAAGGGAAGGCAGCCTCGTCGTTGGAAGCGGTCATAATCTGAGATTCGGGGGCATCAAATGGCATCTGAATCCTCTTATTGGCGAGGACACAGTTGCCGTTGAGATATCTGAGATTCGCGCGTTGATCTTTGTGCCGAGTCTAGATCGCGGGCATTATCCGAAGGCCGGATGTCGAGAACGGTCGCAACTTGTCGCTGAGCTAGTCGAGCCAGCGACCAAAAGGTGGTGCGCGCTAATGTTGATGCGATGGAAGTCGACAGGTGGGAAGAGGGGAAATCCCGAATGATTCCAAACAAACAACACCGGGATATCGGGCGAATTAGTGAGATTCGAGCCTGACGAGATGACTGGCCCAGACACGCGCGCAGAGTTACGACCAACCACAACAAAGTGATCGGATCTGCAATGATGCCACAAAATGATCGACGGGGTTTTTTTTTAGAAAAAGAAAGACAAAAAAAAGGAATGGAATGATAACGTATAAAAGAATGAAACAAATAGAAGAAAAAAGGGAGTGTTAGGGAGTGATTGGACAGGTCGAGTTGACATCGGGCGGGGGAGAAAAGAGAAGAGAAGATCGAGAATCCGAACGTGCTATTATTGCCAATTGGCACCGGTGTTTGAGATTCACCCCCTTACGATTTTTCCTAAATTGAAGTTTTGTACAGAGTAGTATAGCATTTTTACTATATAATTTACTATAAGCAATGAAGACTCCAAGGGTTAAGGTGATTTGATCCCGTTGTGTCTTGTCTATTTTCATTCAACGCGTCCCAAAGTGAGGAGATTTGGTTTGTCAGGTTTGCATTAGCTTAGTCATTTTCGAGAGCATTCGAGATTCGATCTGGAGAACCTGGAGATTCTTTGAAACATATATCTCCCCTCCACTACTCTTTTCCTTTGATATCATGGCCGAAGAAACAGTCGCAGATATCCCCCAAGTGGCCTTCAAGAAGCGCTCCAAGGGCAAAGGCAACTTCCGCAAGAAGCCCGCAACGCCACCACCAGCTTCAGACTCCGACTCCGGCTTCACATCATCCGACGACGACGAGGGCCGGCGCATCAAAAGGCGTCGCAAGAACGCAGCCGTCACAGCCTCATCAACAGCAAATGCGAAAAAGCGCACCGAAGAGCCAACAACTGCCGCACCCGCCCCATTGACCAAAAGCAACGATGCGACCAAACACTCCGACTGGTACGACGAGAACCTCACCGCAAAGAACCTACTAGGCACAACCCGGGACAAGCCAGCGACGGGCCTCGAACCAGATGGAACCTACAAGGGCGCAGCCAACTATCAATCATTCATTCAGAAAAATCCGGACGCACCGTCGAAATTCGGCCCTATAAAAGCGCCCACCAATGTGCGGACGGTCACAGTGACGGATTTTGCGCCGGACGTATGCAAGGACTGGAAACAGACTGGATACTGTGGTTTTGGCGGTAAGTCACTCTCACTCGATAGTTTCTCTACAATGCTGACGGGTTAGACTCGTGTAAATTCCTGCACAGCCGTGAGAGCTACAAACAAGGCTGGGAGCTGGACCGTGATTGGGAAATCAACACCAAGGGCAAGCAACTAACCGGCCGGGTGGTTTCCCAGCGCCAAGGTGCGGGCAAGGCCACTGAAGATGACGATGAGGATGACGAGGATGAATTGCTCGAGAGCATTCCTTTTGCGTGTATCATCTGCAAGAATCCTTATCGAGAACCCATTATCACCAAATGCGGGCACTACTTTTGTGAATCCTGTGCGCTGCAGCGATATCGGAAGACCCCATCTTGTGCAGCCTGCGGCGAGGGGACTGGAGGTGTTTTCAACGTCGCGAAGAAGTTGAATGCTTTGTTAAATAAGAAACGAGAGCGGGCGCGCAAGATGCGCGAGGAGGCGATTGCGAATGGGGAGGAAGTTAGCGATGAGGAAGAGTGATACGATATAAAACAGCTGGCTGTATATAAATAACAAATGTAATACGATTCATCATGAGAATGTCTAACAATTATCACGGGAAAGATAAAGACAAAATAGCCGAACTCTAGATTAAGAAGGATGCCTAGGTATCGGAATTCCGGCCGTGTCTCAACTACTGGGTCTGAGATGGACGCTACAACATCATTTGGCAATTAGCGGCTTCTAAATCGTAAGCCTACAGCTCATCGAGGGCCAAGGGATTGAACCCCTCCAACAATCAGATCCTTGCCCAGGTGATTGTACCGAAGGGAGCTAAGGCTTTTTCGGCCACGCGGCAGGATTGCGCGGATAGCGTAATATTTCACAGTTCCCTCGCCTCGCTTTTACTGTAAAAGACTTGAACGAATCACAACGTTTCACTTAAATATTAATATTTACCCACATACGGAGTACATACAGTACAGTACAATATACAAAATCGTAGAATCGAGCTGTCCCCGCTCAAATAATGATTCGGTACCGATAAGCGTCAACAGCGGCTGTCGGGACAAACCATGGGAAGTCGCATGCTGTATCTAACCCTAATGCATCCATTGACCTGCATACAAAGCGCATACCTATAATGGCACATGCTTTGTACCTGTCAGTTAACCATATTGTAGATTGTATGCTGCCAATTCAAGTTCAAAGCTTTGACCTGCCCAACTCGTTAGCTACATCATGGATGATGCTGATCGGCTATGGGTGGAGTTCATACGACCCTTTGACAAGGCCAAATGTTATAATATATCTGCCTGTTCGAAGGAGGCTGTGTAGAAAAAGCAGTGGAACAACCCCACAGTCACAGTGTTACTTTATAGTGTCAGCACTAGTTCAGCAGAAATAACCAAAAAAAAAAACGGTTTACATTATCCAACGCCTCGTGCGTTCCATGGAACAAATGACACGCGTGTTTGCCACTAGGTGGGAACTCTACCAATTAGACGATTCTGTCCTTGTGTTGAGACCCCTTTTCACCTTCTAACTTAAATGATCAAATTTTACTCCGTACAACGGTACTAAAGAAAAGCCAAGCTTTCAGTGCCAAGGGCCAAAGCGGCCCCCTACCCCTTCCCCCGGCTTCAAAGCTCCAACTAAAACAACACTAAAACCACTTAAACCAACTAAGAAAACCCAAAGGACAAGTGCTGAACCTAAAGCTCCCCTGAAAACGCCCCCGGTGGCCAATGATATGAGCATGACCTTTTGTTGTAATTAGCACTTTTTCTCCCCTTCTTTTCTTTCCATCGTGAATGTAATCCTTTTCTTCCCATCGTGAATGTAATCCTTTTCTTCCTTAATTCCTTCCTACTCCTGTACACACTCACTCTGTTGCATTTGGAAAGGACACGCCTCCATCAATGGCTTAACAGTACCAGTCCATCAACAATCACCATGCGAGGCAACATCCGCCTCGCATTAGTTTGCGTCTCTTCCCTCCTCCTCTTCTCCCTCTACCTCCTCCAAGCCCACCTCCAAGACCTCTGCAATCAGTACCGCGCCGGCGCATACGTGGTTGCATGGCTAGACCGCAACAATGCCCCAGCGCCCATCCCCGTAACAACCCAAGACAAAGTCATCGTCATGGCAAAGCTAGAAGAAGAACACACAGACTGGGTCGCCCAAGAACTCCCTGAGTACGCTCTTAAAACTACCATTTGAAGTCAATACTAACTTCTATTCTCAGCTGGCAACGCGCAATCTATACCGTCAACCCCTCTCACGAGACACGCATTAACCCAGCTGCCCTCTCAACCCCCCTACAACAAAGGTCACGAGTCCATGGCCTACTTTACCTACATAATCGACCACTACGAGACTCTCCCGTCGACAATCGCCTTCCTGCACGCCCACCGCGCAGGCTTCCTAATGGCCTGGCACGTCGACGCCCCGCTGCACGACAACGTGCTGGCCATGCGCAGCCTGCAGCTGGACTTTGTCCAGCGCAATGGGTATGTCAATCTGCGCTGCAACTGGAATCCCGGGTGTAAGGGGACGCACCGCTTCAACGCCCATGTCACAGAGCAGATCTGGATGGAGGTCTTTGACGGCACGAGCACGCCGCCGCTGAATATGTCTTCGTCGACGCAGGTCGAGGAGCCGGGGGTGCGCTATGCGAAGCCGGTTGAGATTGGGGCGGCCTGTTGTGCGCAATTTGCTGTGTCGCGGGACCAGATTCGGGCGAGGCCCAGGGAGGACTATGTGCGGTTTCGGCAGTGGGTTATTGATACGGAGTTGAGTGATGCGCAGTCTGGGAGGGTTATGGAGTTTATGTGGCATATCATATTTGGGATGCAGGGTGTTTAGTAGGTTTTGTTTGCTTGATCTCGAGTGTTAGGGGTATTTGCTAACTGGAACAGTTGTCCTGATGAACAGTTGTGCTATTGCCAGGTTTATGGGCAATGTTGAGGCTTCTTTTGATCAGCATCTCCAGGGCTTCTGTACATATCCTGGAGATGTGCGTTATATTTTTGCCGAGTATGCATGTGTATTTGGTCAACATACGCTCCTGCAGTTGGATCACTCGGTTCGGCATATGGAGTTTTCACGGCTTTGAGTCCTTTTGTAATAGAATTTTTGCGTTCAAGCGCGGAGGACAGTGTCCCCATACGAACATACTTCATCGGCTTTGGATAAGTAAATAAATGAAACGTGAATATCTTTATCATGATCTTTTCCTGCGCATTACAAGATTCTCGTGGGATAGCCACCATGTACTTTGTAGTGACATTAGAACTGTATACTATATCTTCGTGTCTCGAAGAGGGTCAGTATGACGATTCGTGTGGCGATATGTTTGCTTGTAAGAATTACAAGTTTACACTAGGTGGGACAAAAAGTTATCGTAGTAAAATGAACCCACGATCCCCTACGTATAAAGTAGGTCCTCACTAGTTTGCATATATATTATATTACCTGACCTAAGTATTTATCAGATTGCTCTATCTACATGTCGATCTTATGAATTATTACCGTAGGGATGTAATCCATAGAGAGATTGTAATTCTTAAATTTAGCTCTACATAATGAAAAATAAACGAAAAACCTTATCAATTCATTTGCTCGCATAGTCCAGTGGTTAAGACGTTTGCTTTACATGATTTCTACAATTTCGTACGAGTTATATACGCAAAAGATCGCAGGTTCGATCCCTGCTGCGAGCAAATCTTTTTTTATTTCTTGGCAAATAATTAACTTTTACGCTTTTTTTGGTATCCTTCGTTGGGTAGAACTTTTCGAGTACAAAAGTTATAAACAAACCCGACCTTAGCATAGGTAGAGGGTAGGTGACTCATTATTCGACTGATGATATATTTCTATCTACACGTAGGTAAATGGAAAAAATGACATACGAATCAAGGACTTATTGTGATTTTTTTGACTCCTAAGCGAAATGGACTATACTTTCAATTCATCTATCGAAGATCAACTCCAATCCTCCCACTCCATCGCTGTGGGATCAGAGCCGAATATTACATTAGCACCGTCGAGTACATATGCTTAGCTTATCTTCCACAGAGTTAAACATTGAATCAGCTCCCGATCGTTTGGTCCGACAAGAAATCCACTTACATGGAAGCACAACAGCGTGGTTCGACTGGAGAGGAGAAGAAAAAGAAGAAGAAAAAGAAGGAGAGAAAGCGCATGCGGGAAGAGGTAACGCACTTCTCGTGGAAGGTTGCTTGGGCTAAGGCTGGCGCTGAAGTCAAGGTATCTACCTCCCTGCCCCATTTCACTCATATTGTTCCTTTCACCCCTATGTTACTGGGATTATATCGAACCCGTAGCTGAAATTCGGGTTGTATAGCATGAGTTCACCAACCGGGGAGGTTTTATGTCAACATATAACCGGAACGATTTTCTGAGACGGAATCACCCGTTATCTGCCATAACGATGAGAAACTTGACCTTGCTTCAATCATCTGCATACGGAGTCGACCTCACAAACCATGGTCAGACTCATCATCAGCTAGTTGAGGAACGCATCAAGGATCCAGATGAGGAGATGGACATAGATTACTTGAGTATATTCCATTTCATCCTCATCATATCCTATACTGTGAATGCACGTTTGCTAGCTGACTACACAGACAACATCCAGCTGGATGTGCTTGATGATTCCCGAGCTTTCTTGAGATCCAAAGTCAAGTTTCTCCTCCTATTCTCATTCCAGTGAGTCCTTACTATGTTCCATCTTCTCGACATACATATATACCATTTACCAGTTCTCTTAAAAGCTTGAACAGCCTGCTCGAGACTGAAACCCAAGTTTCTCCTCCTCTTCCAATTCCAGCGAAAGCCACTGCTCATTTGTTTTTTGTTTTCTAATAGTTCGACACCGATTATCTTTACGGAGTGTTCATCGTAAATTCATTGTTTTTTTAGGTAGAATTCGTAATTCATTATTTGACTGATGATACATAGTTGAGTCCAGGAATTGTGGATCAAAGATCCCAAGTCAGGCAGGTTCGGTTAGCCCCGGCAAACACCATGTAATACGCCTAAATCTTTTTCTCAAAGAACTGCTCGACTCGTTCCACAAGGTCAGCTTTCTTTCCAGCAGTAGCACAGCCATGAGAATGCAGGAACTCCTTGAGCACGGCCACCGTAAGCTACACACAATTGTCAGTTCCCCTCCTTCAAGATAGAACCATCGGTGCTTACCTTAGCCACAGCCCCCTTATCGAAACTCTTCTTCACCTCTTCTTCCACCCCGGAGGAACCAAGTTCAACCTTTGGCCGCTTTGAAGGAGGCCCATCCGCATCGTTGGATTTGGGACCTCGTTTCACCAACATCGAAGTGGCCGCGGTTCCGCCAGACGTCTCCGCCACATGGGTTTTGACTTTCTCGGCCCATTCTTGAACATACTCGCCAGCGCGCTGTGACGGAGGCATTAGGTCAGTATAGACTCGTAGCTTCAAACTTTGGGGTTCAACCAACCTTGTGAATTTGTCGGTATTTTGGGATAGTTCTGTCGTCTGGCTTTCCAGGGTGATCTTCATCCAAAGCGATGGCTTGCAAAATGCGATAATGCCACTGGAGCGCTGTTACAGCCAGTCAGTATAATTTCCAATAGAGTGTGGCATTCAATCTTACCAGGATTCGGGTATTTCGTAGGATCGTAAACAGCCTTCGGAAGCTGAAGCTGCTGGATCACATCGCGCATAGCGGTTATTACTTCATCTGGTGCTTTGTTGTAATTGGTATCTGGAATTTGGCGAACATCATCCGCAAAGGGAAGCGGGATGATCCACATCCCAGGCGGAATCTTCTGCACCCCATTCTCGTCGACTTTCTCCTCTCCGGCAACCATCGCAGCCAGAACTGGTGAGGCGTTCTTGCGAGGGATGAACCACACCAAAGCCAATTTTTTGGCACCAAGGAGTTTCTGATGCAGAGCAGAGAAAACACGGGTTGAGCCAACGTAATCCTCCTCAGAAGGATAGATGAACGAGGGATGCTTGACATTGGCCCAGATAGGGAGGGCCGAGAGTGGCTTGAAGCCAATGATTCGGATCACCGGATCACCGAAGGATCTTAGAGCCATTGTCTCTTCAGTCGTGAATGTGACTTGCTCCCCACCAAACTTGTAGGCCTTTCGGATATCGGCTTTTTCGACTGCCTGCGCAGTATCGTCGGCCATTTGAGTTGTTATACCCTTGGCAATCTGAGCAGTCTCGCCTCCCTGCCAGACAAAACAACTCCGGGCAGGCTCTTGCTTTTTGAGGAGTAGATATCCATTTACAGAAATCTTGAAATCCGGCCCAATTTCGAGGGGTACATTCGAGAACAATGAACGACGAGGAACTGATCTGGATTGTATGCTAGACAACAGAGAGTTGAGCAGGGACAGGCCGTCGCCTTTGGCCGTCGCTGTGTTGGTGTCCGGCTGCAGGTACACAGGGGCATCTCCGTCACTGGGCGATGTTTTGTAGATGATATCCTGTGATGTGTGAGTGTGGGACTGCAAAGCAGACTTGATGACTTACGTCATAGAATTTGGAGGTATCAAACTCGTGATCCGGCTGAGAGATCGGGAACAGTTCAATATTGACACCAAGATCGTACAGATCTCTCGCGCGTACTGTTGCAGCAGAGCGCATTGCCTTGTTCTCTGCATGAGGGTTATCACTGTCGGTTACGATGAACAGCCGACGGGATAAGAAGTTTGGAGCTTTGGAGGTAAATATTTGGTTTGCACAGAACAACACATTGGCCATGGACACCGGCTCCTTAGATGGCTTCAGTATATTTTGTGTGTCCTCATCACCTGCTTCTGGGGCTGCCAGAGACCGCAGGTGCTTGACTTCCTGGGCAGACGGAATATCGAGGTCCGTGTACAGGTAACAGTGAGGATATGAGAGATCTCCACTCTCATCTTCACCGTAGAATTTGGATGACTCTGTCCCATATAGCATAACTCCAATCATATCATGAGGGTTAGAGATAATGCGTTGTTGCATCAGATGGTACGCGCATTTCAATGCAGCAGACGCGGGCGACTCATCACTGTGTTTCTTTGGATCAGGCGATGGACGTGGTTTGAGCATCGAGCTACTGATGTCTATGGCAAATAGCACCGCATCTTTCACCGATTTAAAGCTCTGCCAAGGCAACCGTCAACATTTGGTAACTATATCTTGGCCTTTTATACTTACGGTCTCGTCGACCTCTTCTTCCTCGAAGTTATCTTCTTCACGCGCGTAATTATCTTCAGCCATAATTGCAAATCACCAATCGATAATGGAGAATATGTAAAAGGGATCAAATCTCAAGTTCACAATTCCATCACCAAGACGCGTTACAACACGAAAGTCAGGTGACGCTGATGCCTGAAGCTGCTGACGTCCCCCGCACGATGATTGGTTAGCGTGGAAAGAGGAAACCGGGAACTTCTAAGCTCCGGGGCGCAGGTTGGACAGGTGTAGGATTTCCAAGTTTATCGCCAATTGATTTTTTACTGTTGTTATAATCTGTTCTCGGAGCTATTGATACTCCACCTCAATTTCATAATGGCGTTCCGCAGCCCTTTCGCAATTCCCCGTCAGTTGTTAACTGGGGCCTCTCTCGGTGCGCGATCAACGATCGGCAATCGGTTGAAATACACCAGCCAACGTGGACTCGCAACGGCGATACCGCCGGTAACACAGAATGCAGTGGGCTCCAAGGGCCCGACGGCCATGGTATTCATGAATATGGGTGGGCCTTCAACGACAGATGAGGTGGAGGATTTCTTGAGCAGATTATTTGTACGACGCGGCCAACTCCTGCAATGTGAAACAAAAAAGCTGACATACTTGATCACAGGCTGACGGTGACCTCATTCCTCTGGGACGCCTTCAATCTTACATTGGACCCCTTATCGCCCGCCGGAGAACCCCGAAGATTCAGAAGCAATATGCGGAGATCGGTGGTGGTTCACCCATTCGGAAATGGTCAGAGTACCAATGCGAGGAGATGTGCAAGATTTTGGATAAGATTTCCCCGGAGACTGCACCCCATAAGCCATATGTTGCCTTCCGCTATGCCGCGCCATTGACCGAGACTATGTACCAACAATTGTTCGATGATGGTTTTGGACAAGGAAAAGGAGGACGTGCCGTTGCTTTCACACAATACCCACAGTACTCTTGCTCGACAACTGGAAGTTCTCTCAATGAGCTGTGGAAGTGGCGCAATCGTTTAGAGGGAAAGCGTGCGAACGGAGAAGGCAGCGAGGTTGAGCCAGCTGGCGGGATTCAATGGAGTGTCATTGATCGCTGGCCCACTCACTCTGGTATTGTCGAGGCTTTTGCACAGAATATTGAGGCTCAACTTAAGACATACCCCGAGGAGAAACGAGACAAGGTTGTACTGCTATTCTCAGCACACAGCTTGCCTATGAGTGTTGTCAACAGAGGTAGGTTACCCCAGCTAGGATTTATGCCGTTCATATGCTAATCACTCGTTTTTCAGGGGACCCCTACCCTGCCGAAGTGGCCGCAACCGTGCACGCCGTGATGCAACGACTTAAGTTCAGCAATCCCTACCGCCTGTGTTGGCAATCCCAGGTTGGACCTAAGGCGTGGCTCGGAGCCCAGACTAGTGATACCGTGCAAGAGTACGTCAAGCGGGGCCAGTCGGATTTGATCCTGGTTCCTATTGCGTTTACAAGCGACCACATTGAAACACTCTATGAGTTGGACTTGGAGGTTATGGAAGAAGCCAACAGCCCTGGCGTCAAGCGCGCAGAGAGCCTGAACGGCAACCCGGTCTTCATTCAAGGCCTTGCTGAGATCGCCCGCGACCATCTGCAAAAGGGAGAGCTTTGCTCTCGCCAGATGACTCTGCGTTGCCAGGGCTGCACCAGTGAGCGCTGTCTAGGCCAGAAGAAGTTCTTCGCTGGCCAGGAAAATGCCTCCATGGTGATATAAGCTGACTGGGCTTACAATTTGTGTTAGGGTTGGGTTCATATTTTTGAATGTATGTGTAAACAGCACTGGGAGGTGTTGGGGCGTCGATTTACTATGAAACTTCGAAATTCTGTATATCAAAAATTTAATCATATTTAACAAATATTCCACCTCAATATGTTGCCAATGATGTGATGTGATGTGATGTCGGAGATGTCGGAGCTAACGATAAGGAAAAAGGAAATGAACCACTAGCACCCCCTCAACGAATCAATTTGAGATATTGGTCCGCGTATTAATTATTACAAATCAAGTATGCAATAAACTTGGCAAACTGCGTTTCATTAATATCCACGACCTACACAGTGTAGGACTCATATCATGGAGAACGAAGAACTCTTCGCGAACGAGCCCGAGGTCGATGCCCGAGTGCGCGCCGGAGAGCCAAGTCAAAGAGTGACTGAGAACACGCGCCTATTATCCGAATCCGATGCAATATCGCATCAACAGCCATTCTACCTGACAGATACTCGGCCGCAATGGAGAAGACCGAGCGTAAGTGGTGATTCAAAGCCTAAAACAACCCGTTTTAACATCCCTGTAGATCTGGTGGCTGCTTCCCTTCGGGCTACTGTTCACGCTGGGTTTCGGCGGACTTGCCGTTCCAAAGATTAATTTGATAATGTCGCTCATTTGTCGAGACTATCTTGCTGAAAAGAGCACCCAAGATCCTGATTTCACATATCTCCCCGTTCTATTCGGCGAGCACAACCCGCAATGCCAGATCCCGCAAGTCCAGTCGCTTGTCGCCCAGTTTCAGCTCTACCTCAATCTTGCAGCTGGCATTCTATCCGCCTTAGTAAGTCCCCGTCTCGGGCATTTGTCCGACCGCTACGGAAGGACCAAGATGATTGCGCTGGGCGCGATGGGCGCTGTGCTCAATGAGGTGATCACTGTGACAGTGGCTACATGGCCAGACAAAGTCTCAGTGAACATGCTCCTCATTGGATCCGTTATGGATGGACTGGGTGGATCCTTCACCGGCGCACAGGCTTTGATCCATTCATACGCCTCTGACTGCACGCCAATCGAGAAGCGAAGCGTAGCGTTTGGTCTATTCCATGGTGCATTGTTCTTTGGAATCGCAGTTGGGCCTGGTGCTGCTGCGTTCTTGATTCAACATGGAGGTACATTGCTTGTTTTCTACATTGCGCTTGCATTCCACGCCACATTCTGTCTTTCGGTTTTCTTCATCGTGCCAGAGTCTTTATCCAAAGATCGACAACTTGCCGCGCGCGAGATGCATCGCGCCAAAAATTTGGATGTCGACTCTCCCAAATGGTATTCATGGCGTGTCTGGAACCCGCTGAATCTGATTACCCCTCTTGCGATCCTGATGCCTGCCGTTGGACGGCCGAGTGTCTTGTTCCCTAACCGTCGTGGTGCAAGCCCGGCTCTACGGCGGAACATTGTTCTCCTGGCAGCTATCGACACTGCTGTGTTTGGAGTCGCGATGGGAACTGTGCAGATCATCATCATCTACGCCGAGTACATGTTCAGCTGGGGTAGCGTAGAATCTAGCCTCTTTGTCGCGATCATCAACGTGGTGCGCGTGGTCAATCTTTTTGTTGTGCTTCCAATCATCTCACGGCTCTTCCGCACCCCATGCAAGGAAGACGGACTTATTCGTGGGTCTGACAAGTTGGACGTTGTTTTGATCCGCACATCCATCATCTTCGATGTATTGGGCTATGTTGGCTACGCCCTGTCCCGACACCCATTGGCAATGATCCTTTCTGGGGCCACTGCTGCACTGGGTGGTATGGGCTCTGCAATTTTGCAGTCATCTATCACCAAACATGTTCCACACGAAAGAATAGGTCAAATGCTTGGTGCCACTGGCCTTTTGCATGCTCTTGCTCGAATTGTTGCGCCTACTGTCTTCAATCTAATCTATAGTATGACTGTCGCAACCCTACCGCAAACAGTTTTTGTGGCCCTTGCAGTGGTCTTTGCCGTGGCATTCTTTATGAGTCTCTTCATAAGACCACATGGTATGTAATTGTCCCCAGCTCGTACAAAATCGGTACTAATCGCTGTCATAGTTACCCTCGAAGGCGAACCCGCCGACCTCGGAGCCGAAGCAAATGAAGACGGCGATGATGAGGATAATTCACTCTTGCTCGATAGAGAGTAAATATATATAATCAATTGAGACTATTATTCAAATACCCTAACTATCTACCTCCAGCTTTAAGGCTTAGATTGGTGTATGGACAAATCGTATGATCAGGGGATTCAGGGCAGACTCCGGTGAGCGGCACCAACCTTCCGCGCAATTTGATTTGCATCTGCGGAAAAAAGAAGTTGCTCCGAGTTTACCCTACACTCACAGCTCAATTGCCCGGCCAAACATCTAATATTTGATCGTATTTGAGCACTGGAGCTATTTTAACTTCATCCGCTTCAAACATACTTCCTTAGAACTTTCTCTGCTAGGCCACTCATGCACGACTGGTGATCCCGTGCGCGCAACCCGCGCTCAGCATCTGCAACATGCTTGCCCGCGCCGCCAAAAGCCCGACCATCGTCCCCTCGCGAAATGCTCTCCGAGTGCTACGCCAATTGGCCCTAGCCGGCTCAACAGTCGGTGGGTTCTGCACCGTCGCAGCCTTCACGTACGAAGCACATCGCCGGGTCCGGATCGCCGAGAAGATCATCGACAACAAAAGAACATTACACAACACTGCACCAAACTACGATGCAACTTCCGCTGCCAAAAGATTAAAGGTAATGGTTGAAGCAGCAGAGTCAGGCGAGTTCATGGGCATTGCGTCTCTCAAGTCAAGGAACCGGAACCTACCTGATGGACCAGATGAGCCGATGTCAGAAAAAGAAACAGAAGCCGCCAAATATCCGAAGCCCAAGCCCATGATATCTTTAGAAAAGCACCATGCTCGCTTTAAGAGTTCGCTCTTTGGGGACCATGAACCCAATTCATTCTACCACAAGAAAATGCTCGATACACAAAGCTTGGCTCGGAATACTGAGATTTTGGCCCAGGAGAAACAGCAAGCTGAAAAGGCACAAGAGAACGGGACGCTCCCCCTGGAAGCAGAAATTCGCAGATTGATCAATGAAAATCGGGATATCAATGCCGCGAATTTGTTCTTGGCGGCCACCCAGTATACAGAGGGTATTTCGTTGGAACGGAGAGAGCTTGCATGCTATATCTTTACCGCGAATTGCATCAAAGGAAACATGTTCGTTGCTCGAACTTTATTCCATCGCTTGGACAAGATTAGTTTCGTCTCAGAGGAGATGTGGGCCACGCTGATGCATTTACTCGCGAAAGAGGGCCACATTGACTCTGTTGGTGTCCTCTACGATAAGTTCAGGACGCGTTTTATTGTTCCCACGCATTTATTGGAGGTTGTTCTCCGATGCCTCATCGAGTCCAAACGGTTGGACTCCGCAAAGTACCTCTTCTTCCTGCGCTTCAAGGATGACCGTGACTGTGGGCTGTGTGGTGCTTATCTTGATGGAATATGGAGGAAGACCAGGAGTATGGAGCTGGTTTCTGCACAGCTCAATCTAATTATTGGCCGTCTTGAATACCTTGGCCGAAAGCCAACTGAGAAGCTTTTCAACCCAGTGGTCAAAGCCATGGTAGAAACAGGCAGAGCCGAAGAAGCCGAGGCTTTGGTGAAAACAATGGGGGAAACCTATGGAGCCAATCCTGGGTGTCGTACAATTGGTTTGATTGTTTACAGCCGAGCCCTCAAGTGTGAATGGGACAGAGTTATGGACGGAATGCGCGCAATGCATGCGCACGGATACACTTCCAACAAAAAGGACTTCACCATCGTGTTTGATCGCGTGTTCCTGGAATACTACCCCACCCACTCGGCTGATCAAATCTTCGACTTCCTCATCTCTTCTATCAACGATTTCGATATCGTACCGGACAGAGTCCTCCACCGACACATGCTTGAGGCCATCATTGAAAAGGGCACCGAGGACATGATCCATACGATCACGGATATGGCCAATCACCGCCAATGGAATACTGGTCTCAACGAGTCTGAAATCAAATCACTTGTCAAGTCTCGACGACTCGCAATGACTGACAGCCCGGTCGGAGTCTGGCGGATGATGCAAGCCGCCAAGGGCTCATCATCACATTCCGCTTCTTCCCGGCGAATCCTTGGATCTAGCTCCGAAACTTGGGCGGTGCGCGGGGAGAAGATTGCTCCAATCCACGTTCAAGCCGAAGCAATCTTCCCTAAAACGCTGCGCGATATGGTGGCCTCTAAAAGCGCTAGTTCGTACGTTCCACTTCACAAGCGAATGGAGCACTGCATCAACATGGGACAACACACTGAGGCTTTGGCAATATACGATCATGCGAACAAGGGTGGTTTCATTATGAGGCCAATTCATTTGACATTGGCTGTCATCGCTGCGCTCCTTGGATGCAAAAAGACAGGTATCGCGAACGCGCGACGCTTAATCACTTCCGAATGGGGCTACTGGAAGAGTGTTCCTTCCCTCCGCTACTCAAAGCGTTTCACTGCATGGACTCCACTCTTCTTCCAACGAGTCATGAAGGTGGACCCAAGGGCTATCGGGCGTGGCGGCTTGATCAAAATGGCCATGTTTGAATACTACACCGTATGCGCCAACACCCACGACCTTCTCGTCAAGCACTTCTGTGCCGCTTCCTCCAGCCGTTTCCTCATTGCAGAGGGAAGCCCACAACTCGCCGTCGATCTCCTCACCACAATCTATCAATCTCGCTGGCGCATCTCCCACGGCTTTGACCAAGTCCTCTTGAAGATGTTGTTGCGTGGTTTTGCCACACTCCGAAACCTCAAAGGTGTCTGGTGGTGCGTTTTGACGGTGCTTTCACGCAACGAGCCTATCAAGCAAGACTTCGTTACAGAGGCCACCGCCCAACTGGGCACACTCGAAAATGCCCTGTCATCTACTGCATCTGACGAAGAGGTGAAGCAAGTCCAGATCCTCCGGGAGGCCGTCGAGGCGCTGGAAGCCAAGCTTCAAGGCGACCCGCATTGGACAACCATCAGCGGCCACCCGCAGTGGAAAAAGTCGAGACGCGCTCAAAAATTCAAGCTCACCACTAAACAACATCTGCTTCCGACTAAAAGTCTAAAGCACTTGGTAATGAAATTTGATGAAGAGCAGGAGTTGGATTTGTTACTGCAGCGCAAGCAGTTTGGCGTCGTTGAACATAAGAAGTGGTGGGCTGAATCTAACCTCTCACGACTACACTCTGCGCCTGCGGAGGATTCTCAGTATCCATCATACGAGAGTGAGGCTTGGGATGGCCACTATGTGCCTGAGGCGTATTCCGGTGACTACCACCTTGAATTTACACCAAAAGGGCAGCTTGGGCATTGAGAATGTGTATAATAAATGTAAATATGTACATTATAACTGATTTGTATCCAATATATTCAATATAAAATGTACGACATACATACGTAGCCTCGAAGGATAGGGCTGTGTGTACAGTAAGTAGATGCGTGATGTTGGGTGCGGCGTAGAATTCAGTAGGCGGAGCGAGACTTTCACATGTCACGCCACCCACCCCTTTATCAAAAAACATCAGCCCATTGAACCTCATCTAACTGACATTTCTTTTAATCAATTGCTTCGCTCGATAATGGTATTGATTCTCTTGCTTTCACGAATTCCTCTCTTACCCTGACGAAACACTCTCTTACAAAATGACATCAATCAACGGCGCAGTTCACTCGCCGGCCGCTCAACGACGTATCGAGCACCATGAGGCCGACGTCGTAATCGTCGGCGCAGGAGTCCTAGGCTGCGCACTTGCAGTCGCATTTGGAAAGCAAGGACGCAGTGTTATACTGTTGGAAAAGTCACTAGAGGAACCGAACCGCATTGTCGGCGAACTTCTTCAACCGGGAGGCATGCAAGCGCTCGAGAAGCTAGGATTGTCGGATTGCCTAGACGATATCGATGGAATAGATGTGAAAGGATACTGGGTCTCATACTTTGGCCAACCCGTCCTCCTCGAATACCCCAAGTCAAGTCCCTCGTCACCAACGCCTCTAGGACGGGCCTTCCACCACGGCCGATTCGTGAAAAAACTCCGACAAGCCGCTCTCGCCTGCCCCAATGTCACCGTGGTCGAAACCAAAGTCACAGGCCTGGTCACTTCGTCGTACACTAAAGAAGTTCTCGGAGTCGAGTGCGTCACCAAGGACCTGAAGGATTGCTACTTCGCCCAGCTTACCGTTGCTGCCGATGGCTACGCCTCTGATTTCCGTAAAAAACACCACCAATACACACCCAAGCGTCGCTCAAAGTTCTACGGGCTGGAGCTGATCGATGCTAAGCTGCCCGAGCCTAATACCGGCCATGTTCTCCTCAGTGATAACCCTCCGGTACTCATGTACCAGATCGGCACACACGAAACTCGAATCCTAGTCGATGTCCCGGATAATTTACCCGCGGCGTCGGTGAAGAACGGCGGCGTCAAGGGCTATCTTCGGAATAATGTTTTGCCCAAGCTTCCAGATGGATGCCAGGCGCCTTTCGTAGATGCGCTGGAGAAGGGCCAGCTTCGGTCAATGCCAAATTCGTTCCTGCCTGCTTCGACCAATAAAACGCCCGGCTTGATGATTCTGGGCGATGCGCTCAATATGCGTCATCCCCTGACGGGAGGCGGTATGACGGTTGCTCTGAACGATGTCTGTGTTATTCGCGAGCTGCTCAGCCCTGAGCGTGTGCCTAGCTTCGGCGATACACAGCTCGTGCTTAAACAGCTTTCGATCTTCCACTGGAAGCGAAAGAACTCCTCGTCTGTCATCAATATCCTCGCACAGGCCCTGTATTCACTTTTCGCTGCAGATGGTATGTCCATTCCGTTCTAGTTTTTGCTCAATTGGTATCTAATATTCTATAGACCGAAGCCTGAAAGCCCTCCAACGCGGCTGTTTCCGCTACTTCCAAATCGGTCCCGTCGGTGGTCCCGTCGGACTCCTAGCCGGACTCATCAAGCAACCTCTCGTACTCGTCAGCCACTTCTTCTCCGTTGCCTTCCTCTCTATCTGGGTTCTTCTTTGCGACACTCCCCTGACCCAACTGATCCTGTTCCCCTACCATTCCTTTATGGTCTTCTACACAGCCTGCATTGTGATTTTCCCATACATCTGGGCGGAAATCTGGTGCTAATACCCTCTAATATTTCAACATCGCCCCTCCTCCCCTTCTTTCTGGTTGACATATTGCCAATCCAGACTCTGTCTTGATACACCGGCCATGAGCCTTATGTGATTTAATTATGCATTACCCTGCGAGTTGTACAACAGATGTACTATATATATATATATACCACCATCTCCATGATAGATGATGCAATGCCAATTCATTCCGAGCTTTCTCTCCGCTAAAAGCTTATACAAAACAAACCTCAATCCTTACTCCAGACTCCAAACCCCAAATCCCATTATCATCATCATACTCAGACATACATGCATTTGACATATGCCCGACCAACACCCACAACCAAACCCCAAACCAGCACATCACCTCATCTCACAAACAAAGAATAAAAAAGCATCCCGAAGCAAAAAGAATGCCCAAAATACGTCAACAAATCGACCCAACTCGGCCCTGTTGCACGCGCAAGTCCAAAAACCGACATGACGGCAAAAAGCATATGCATGGTGCCATGGCTGGCGAACGAGATGCATTCCTGGACCGCCACAATCGCCATGTACAGAAAGAAGAAGCAATAATACATGTACATTACAAGGGATGCGAATAAGAAGAACATGGTTCCCGTTTGCCTTTATATCTTCGATTTGTTTTCGAGGGTCGGGGACTGGTATATGCGAGTTGACGCTGGAGTGTGCGAACGGGGAAAATCGGCTTGCGTGTCTATGTGTGGGTGTAGGTAAGTGAGAGAAGGAAGAGAGAAACCCTGAATTCAATCATCTTTTATGTATGTGTCCTTTTTCTTTGTTATATTCGACATGAATAGTATCAAATACTAAAGAGCAGGGCATTCAAAGAAAACTATATCGAGCGAGGTGTTTCGAAAAGTTTTTGGTTTGTTTCTCAGTGGCAACAGTTAATTTCTCTTTTGTACAGAACCGCCGAAAAAAAAAAGAAAAAAAGAGGATTCAGCATACAGAAAACACAAGCACTCTAACCATTCAATACAAACTCCAAACTATAGAAAAAGTCGTCCGCATAAGGTGTTCGGAAGTGAACCGGCCAACTTTCCCGATGGCAACGAATGCATGCAATGAATCCCTAGGGGATGGAAAAGGAAAACGTGATCGGGGAACGTGAGGTCGTTCGACGTGTGAAGGCATTGAGAATCGGAATTGGAATCTGGATCAGGATCAGGATTGGGGATGCGGGGGTCCCAGTTTTCAGGAGGGAATGGGTCAGCCGCCCTTGCGCAGAGAATCGTCAGCCGGGATGGGCTCGCCGTTGCTGCGAGGATCGACGGATGACTTGGTGTTTTTGCGGTTCTTTTTCTTCGTCATCTGCCAGCCGTGATCGTTGCCATTGGCCTGTTTACGGGGCGGGTCGGAGTGTTTCGAGGCGTTGTGGGTTTCGTGGCGGCCTTGACCTTTTGGTTTGGCTTTGCTGTGGCCGTTGACGCCGTTTGACTTCTCGGACTCGCCATTTGCGCGGCGCTTGGAGTTGGCCGTTTGGTGTCTCTCGTTTGCGGGCTTGTCGCTTTGGCTTGCGTTCTTGGGCTGAGACTCCTTTCCACTCTGGGCTGTGCCGTTCTTCGGCCGGTCCATTGACTTTGCGGGCTGGGCTAGCTTTTCGGAGTTCGACAAGTGGTAATTCTGCAGTCGGCTTGCAAGGAGCTCAGTCTGGCCGTTCGTCTCTTGTTGCTTGTCCCCATTCGTGCCGTTTGTGCCGTTTGCATTGTGGCTCTCTGTGGATTGACGTACGAAAACACCCGAGTGGTCCATGCCAAAGGGTTCCGAATCCTGGTAATCCTGAGACAGGGAATCGGAGTAGCTGGCAGGTGTATTCATGTCATGGTCATCCGATGAGGTATAATGACTGACAGCACAGAATGGGTCAAGACCAGGTGGATATTCCGAAGTACGGGGTTCACTGGGGCGCACTGAGCCATCAACGATCAACGGGCCAGACATGACTGGACGTGGAGGTGGTTGCGGCTTTGAAGAAAGGGTATTCTCAGAATGATTGGTTTCCGAAGACAACGATCCCTGTCTGTACTCTCCCAAAGGAACCGGCCCATATGCATTGGGAATAACCACAGACATCGGCGATGTCATTGGCTGCGGCAATGGCGCTTGCTGATAGGCCTGGATCTGCTGATTTAAATAATAACCTAGCACGTCTTGCGGCACGGAGTCGGAGTGAGATCCATTGCTGGCGAAGCTGTTTGATCGAATTGCATTATCCTCTGCACCGCCTTCCTCGCCTTCTGGTGACTCGGTGGCTGGCCTTTGTTTTGACCAGGCCTCCGTAGCTTGCGGCATCGTGTACAGAGGGACATAATTCGGAAGGGAGGGTGAGTTCAGTGGCCGCGCAGGCTGCGAGTGAGCCCGAAGAGACTTTGGAGAGCCGTTGGCAGCTGATAGTCTTCGAGAGTTGCGACGGGTATCAGGCATGGTGCTAGCAGCAGACGGAGATGGAGGATTGGTGACGGTGCTTGTTTGTGAGCCTGCACCCACTGAAGCATAACTGGGATTATAAAGAACTTGCTGTCGCTGTGTTGGGCTGAGAGCTGCGTTGAGGGTGCCTGCTCTTGCCCGTGGATACTCATCCGTGAGGTCTTGCTGTTGCGGTACTGGAAACTGGATGAAAGGCTGTCGGAGGAAGACAGGTGGCGGCCGCCCAGTGATCAATGCCTGGTTATGCAATTGCATGCGCAACTCTTGCTCCTGCGCCTGCAAAAGCTGGATTTGTTGATACAATTGGTCATGCAACAGATACTGGGCCTGTTGCTGGGCCTGCAATGAAATGTCCGGGGTAGTGCCGGAGTTCGGTTGCCGGAAATTTGCCTTGTTCCCGGTATTTGACTGTCGTCTCCCGCCAGCAAGCCCACCCCGTGGAAACTGATTATTATATCTGCCTCCACGGTTTCCTCCCCGTCCGCCGCGTGACGGAAGGGAGGGGGTAAGTGTTGGCCGAGGCTGCGGTGGAGGTCGCTCCCACGTTCGCTCCTCTTCTACCGGGAACTCAAATTGAGCACAGCACTCCTCCAAGTCGCCCTTTGCCACGCATTTGAAAGCCCGTCGCATCTCCAAATGCAAACCTCGGAATGAGGTATCATCAGCTGTGTTCCCCAAGTTCCTCATCGTGTTGAATGGTTCCTCCACGCAGAGGCGATTGTTCATAAGCAGGTGCCAGTTCTTAGCGACTTTGTTGATCAACGTGCCTTCACGTACTGATATAACATTCGTCTCATAATCAAGTTCGTGACCGTAATAACGGAAGAATTGGAAAAGCAACTCCCCGACTGACTGCTTGTTCTTCCGGCCAAATTGGGAGAGTGTAGCAATATCATCGTCGAACGAGCACACCAATCCGTCGGAAGTGAGCCGCTTTTCATGTGGCCGTGCTTGTAAACTTGGAAGAATCGGTGGGTTTCTTGTCTGCAAGAAGCTAATAATTAAACAGATCCACGTGTAGGAACTTAACGTGCCTCCAAGGGCTGCATCATTGAGAATCCGCCGTTTTGTCCAATGTTTCACGGTCATTGCCAAAGGCCTCACGCGCTCATCGACTTCCACATAGGTTCGGATCATCCGGGTGTTCTCCAACGCCAAGGTGTTATTAACATTCATGTCGCAGGCCAGTCGAAGCTCGGGGTCCCAGATCTTCACGATAGGGACCTTTGCATGCGACACACATACTACTCGTTCCATTCCATCTGTTCAAGTTAGCCTGCAAATCCTTCAAATGATGTCCACGATGTTCCTCACGTTTTGCCAACACTTCAGCCAAGCAACACACATTCTCCAATGACTTGTAATTCGTTGTGATGCAAATATCCACTGCTGCACGTTAGTACTTGTTCACACTTTTCTCTCCAAGACTCCCCATGTTCCACATACCATCCGAGTCGCTAGAGCACAACTTGTTCCCTGACGATCCAAAGATATTCGCCTTGATATCATGACCAGGCCATTGATCATTAAAAAGCTTCTCCAATTTCCGAACGAGCTGTCGTCGCCGATCATCACTCTCCGCAGACGGTAATAATCGATCATAGAGGTCCATGATATCTGCCGACAATTTTTTCTCTTCCTCCGGATCGAGAGTCTCCTTCACTCCCTCCCTCTCCTCGGGCAATATATCAGCTCCCAGGCTATACGGTATCCGCCTCCGAAAATAGGCCATGGCCGTCTCATATTTACAGCCACCGAGGGGCTTCCGGGGTAAATGCGTCGCTTCGGAGTGCGTCGATCGAGGAGAGGTGCTTCCGCGGGCGGGGGACGGCGATCGCGAGTGAAAGGAAAGTTGGCGCGCATGTTGGTATGGGGTTGAAGGAAGGGAGTTGGACTGGTGGGAGGTTAACGGCGGCCTCTCAGGCTCGTCGGATGGCGGCATCCATGCCATCGTGGAGGGCCCCGACGCTATCGGTACGTCACCGTGGGAACACTTTGCATTCCCATCGATGTTTGCGACCATATAGCAAATTCGCAACTCCCACAATTGTGGTTCCTTTCTCGGCAAAGAGATTAGAATCCACGCTCCGCACGCACAATATAATTTCCTTTCAGTCCGCTTGTGCACCAAACGGGGGAAGATATATTCGTTTGGGAGGGTGTTGGGATTGCACGGGGTGACACGTCTTTTCGTGAGGCTTTCGTGGGGCTGTCGTGGATAGGTGAGGCGGGTGGATTGTCGTGCGTTGGTCGTGGGTGGACTCGCAAATCACCTCGAACCACAAGTTCGCGAAGGACCGAATTTTTTTTTTTTCGGTTAGGTCAAAATGAAACCAAATTGAAGATGTAATAACGCAATGCCTCAACCAGGAGAAGAAAAATAAGACTCAGTAAGAAAAAATACAATAGAAAAAAGAAAAGGTCTTGAGAGGCGAGATTCGAGGGATTTAAAGAAAGCGATCAAAGAGAACTTATTGAAGCATACAGCTCCAGAAGTAAATCCGTAGGAGCCAGCCTGGGTTCCGAATGTCAAGATTGTTGTTAGAGATCGTAGAGATCGTAGAGAGGGGAGAGAGGTGAAGATGAAGGTCAGCCCCTGTCGGCGGTAAAGAGACACTGCCGACCGTCCCCTCCCACACTTTATATGCAAGTGCGTATATATTCAAAATATGAAAATCTTGAGATGAATTATATTGTTTATGACCATATGAGCTTCGGTAATTCCCTTGACTTTTTCTTTTTTGTCTTTGCAAACTGTGTTGAGATCGTTCAAAATGTACATATGTTATACGAATAGCATGACTCTTTTACCCTTTACAGACTATAATCAAGGGCTGACACTCTGTTCTTTGTATTGTCTTCCTCGCCTATCTCTGGGCCTTAGGCCTTACGCCTTACCCTGATATTTATTTCGTGAAAGAGATCCCAAGATCTAAAAGAGGTTGCAATATTACCTATATGCATTCATGCAGGTACCAGGTTTCCGATAATCGATAACAAATATGGCTTTTGAACATAGAGATCGATATGTACGAAGTACATAGTTATACGCCCAGGTGTAGTCATAACTTAAGAAATAGTATCAAACTCAAACCTCCAATACATTGTGAATATAGATATATATAGTTATATAGGAGTATTTCTCTCCCCCTTTCTCTCCTGATCGTCGTTCTTCAACTCTCCACGCATGGCCCTTGCACGTGCTGTTCAATATAACCTAATCCAGACCATCTCAAAAACATGTCTACATCCAAATTCTCAATCGAGTCACCGCACCAGAAATACTCTATAACACCCGACTCTTTGTCTAAGATCTGGGTCCATCATTGGACTGTGCCATCATCCCCCCGGATTCGAAGCGAATAAATGATTCCACAGTAGCCTTTGTTACTGCCACGACCACATTAGGCATTGAGGCTTGAACGCATTTCTTTGATCCTGGGCAATTCCATGGCATGACCCAGGCCTTCAATCCATATTGGGCCGAGCACAGTCCATGTATGACGAATGGGGAGATATCACGCTCGAGACTACATGGTTAAGGTAACGCGGAGGCATATCGTGTAAGTGATACTAGGTACATATCCGGAGGGTTTGAGGTTGAAGTGTTCCCGCACCATCATAAGAGTTGGGATCGAGGAAGCTAGGTGGTCGATTCGCTCCGATGGAAATATTTTGCCCGTTGGACATGCGGGGAGACCTCAACAGCCCGGTTGAGTACAACGAGGGGCGCGGACCTTGCGGAAGCATATCAAATACCTGTGCCCCACCTCTCTCCTGAATTGGCCGATGGTCATAGCATTCAAACTGTATTCTAGAATGTTACTCTTGCATCAGGGGAGTATACAGTAGAGTATATAGTATAGCATAGAATGTATATATGTATATATGTATAATACAAAAGACTATAAAAAGATGTCAAATAGTTATAGTCATATTTTCATTCATTGATATCTGGACCGAGGCTCTCTGCACCCGTGGACGCTTATATATACTTATTTCATGCATTCATTCTGGTACACTGTACTTGCAGATCTCATTCTAGATTTGTCTAGGTTACTCTCTTGCAGCTGGCGTCCAGAGAGAGTTCTTGGCAGGCTGACTGCATGCGAGTGCAGCACCTATTGCAGTTGAGCATCATCGTACGTTTACATTGCCGGGGATCCCTTGCTCGTTGGCTCAGATTATATCGTGCCATAAGATTTGTATTAGATCTTACTTGAATTTGGAAGTATAACGGGGGGAGAGATACGAAACATTAGAACAATGACAACAATGACCATGTTTAGATATAGTATGTACCAATCAATGTAACTATAGTATCACTAAATATGAACAGTATAATTTGAGTTACCACCTACGTTATATGTACTATCATTGTAATGCTGGTTAGTAAACTGTTCAACTTATCATACACGAGCTCGACGCTTAGACACCAATCTCCGGTGACCGGCCCCATCAGTGACGAATGAGAAGTCTTGGGTTGCCGGGAATTGCCGCGTACTTGGATTCGAGGTACAGAATGAAAAAGGGAATTTGTATTAAAAGCCATATGTATTGATTCTTGTGATACTATATAGTATAGATATATGCCTAGAGACTGAAGCTACCTACAATGTTGTAGATTTACCTATATTTATCAGTATATGGAGCATACAGAAGAGTAAGAACAGGTAATTAATGTGTAAAAAAAATGCATAACTCCTTTTTTTCCTCCCGTATTTCCTAACGTTGATTTTTTACTTGATTAAATATTAAATATTATTACTTTACATTAAGCAACCCCCCCCCTCCTCCCCTCCATAAGGTAATACACAAGGACCTCCTTTTCCTCTTCTTCATCTTCGCGGTAACCTTGGAGGCCTATTTCCCGTAAGTACTTCCCCCCTATGTTCATATCCATGCGCAAATATCATATGCCCTATAATCAAGAGAAGGAACCAAAGAAATAAAATAAAAAAGAAATCAAGTTTGACCGGGCACTTTTTACTTGATTTCCAAAACTCCAAACCCTCACTTTCTTTATATTTTTGACTTCTTGAAATACTCTGCATCTGGACAACTGTTTAAACCTTGGCAGTGTTGTGTGTGTGGACCGAGAACTCACTTTTTTTTTTTTTTCGACAGATCGCCTCAGACCGGATCATCTTTGCCGCTTTCCCCTGAACACACTTTCGGTTCTTTTGATCTCGACAATGTCTTACTACGAACCTCAGGGATGGCAAGCACCTGCTGCGCGCCAGGCTTCTTGGGAACAGCCGGCGCCTCCCTCCCGGTCAGGTATGGGATGATTTTCAAACCCGAACCAGACACAAATTGACCTCTTTACCTCCGTACAGGCTCCAGCTCGGTCTCCCAGCGCGAGGACATCCCGGCCTTCTCCTCCCAATTTGACGGTATGGACACACCTTTCGAAAAAAATAAAATTCCCAATTGCGTTCGACTCGAAATCCGGAGACCCAGACCCCGGAGGATAGAGACAGCGGATGAGAGACGGGCAAAATTTTGGAATTAGAAAAACAATACCTCTGTTTGGACACACGCTGATCTTTTTGCAGAGGTCGATCGTGCGATCGACAATCTCGTCAAGAGCGGGAAGCTTTGGAATGCTCCTCGGCGGGATTCGATGCCCATGATGATGGGCCGGCCCTACCCCGACTACGGTATGTTGCGGGCACGGATGACACCCAGAACGCGTTTCTGACTTGTCTGACAGACCCTCGCATGGGTGGTGCCCCCCAGCGACACCATTCGATCAGCGAGTTCGATGGCAACAGAATGCCCCCGTCTGGAAATGCCCAGGGGTTCTATGCCTCCCAGCGGTATCAGGGTCGTCCCAACGAGGTGGAACAGATGATGCAGGCGAAGCGTCGGATGGCAGCACAGCGTGAGAGGGAACTCCGCAACTATCACCAGGAGCAACAGTACAACCGAAGTACGTGGTAGCGTTTTGTCTTCTTTCTCTCTCTCTCTCTCTTTCTCTTGAGCCTTGCTATATTCCCCTGTTGGCTTTATCCTTTCCTGCATTTATGTATCCGTCCATCTTGTATAATATATATGGTTTGGCATTTTTGGCATCCCTCCTGAACACCGTGTTTTAATACGTTTTTTTTCCAACTCTCAAGGCCTCCTCGCCGAAATGTCTGCCTCCAAATCGGACCGCTCCACCAGCCCAGCAGCCGCAAGCGAGGACAGCCGCCGCGACCTGCTCGCCCGCCAGCACCGAGCCCTGTACGGCAACGAAAGCCCCGCCTTCTTCCCACCTGGCCCTCTGGATGATAACTCACGCCCAGATAGCCAAGGCCAAGGCCACGCCTCCCCCGCCGTAGACCCCTTCGGTCTGGCCGGCGATGCCAACGCCAGCGCAAACTCCCCAACCCACCCCCAACCCACCTCCTCGCCCTCCTCCGCCGTCGCCGTATCCGCCCCCTCCCCAACCGACTCCCCCCGTGCAATGTCCGGCTCCGGCTCCGGTCCCGTCGGCCCCATCGGCTCCCGCGTCGGCCAGCCCTCACCCCCGTCAAACCCCGCCCTCAACAAGCGCTCCATCACCCCCCTCCCCTCCCCGCTAGGCCTGGGCTTCAAGCCCACAGACTCCGCCCCGACAGAGCGCACTTCCTCCGCAGGCCCGGCCCCCGTCGTGACATCCACCGCACCGGCTAAAGAACCTGTTGGCGGAGCCGGCCTCGGCTGGAGTAATGGCAGTGGTGTGTGGGGGTCCAAGAGCGGACTCGGCGTTCCAGCTTCTGTGTGGGGTTAAAGGGTAAACTGACTTGTCTCGAAGGTGCATATTGGACATGATTTTGGCGGTGTCATGAAGAAACTCGGCTTTTAGGGTCGAGGGGTTTCTGTCTCGCCCTGCCGGTTATCTTTTTGCGCGTTTTTGGGGTTCTCGGATTTCGGTGTCGGATCGGGGTTGGATTTTTATCCCCTGGTGTCTGGATCTAGGATGATTGCCTCGCGGCCAGCATGGTTTGTTTTGATTTTGATCTGATCTTGGATACTTTGCCATCTACTCTGTGGTTTTTCACTTTTTGCCCCTGTGCAGGGTTGGAAATATTGGCGCTTTTTCTTTCATTTTGACGGGGCTTCATTTCTTGGTGTTTGTTGTGTGGTCTCTTTTTGGGGTTTGGATTTGCACTTTAACTCTTGGAGACATTGATCTTGCCTGTTTTACTATTGTCTGTCGGGGAGGCGAATCGAGGCTCAAAACGGACATTTTGGTTTTGGTTTGGATATTGGTCTTTTAATTTTCGTCTCATATCTAGGTATCCTTTTCTTTGGTATTTGATGGTGCCTGGTTCGCAAGTGGATGTAAAAAGTGTTGCTGGTGTCTGTTATCTTATACTTTAATGGATTCTGGGTGTTATATTGGCTTGTCTTTCTGATACTGGTGTCCACAAAGGTCTCGCCCGTTCAATGCCATGGTTTGATTTCGATGTAAAGTTGTTCTGTCCTTGGTTTCGTGGAGCTTGGCATGTTTCGCTGTGGTTTCAGGACTACTCAATTGCCCGGGGCTTGCTTGTGGATCATTCAGATTTGGATCTACGAGCAGTATGCAAAGTACGTTGCACGAGAAATGAAAAAGGTTTAACGTTGTGAGACTTCTAATTGGATCAATGTAGTCTAAAGAGACCAAAATAGCAAATAAGCAAGGTATCAATCGTTCAAAGAAATTAAGAATTATGGCAAGCGTCGAGGGAGCACACAACCAGAACTGTCCTCCTGAGTTGGATGTCGAGGCCATTTGCGTACCCCTGTCTGCCATGGCTGGTAGGGATCAGGGTGACACAGGGTTGCTGTATATTCAACTACCCAACACCATGATACGAAATCCAAGCTTGCAAGGCGAGGCCACATCTATAACCTGCGCCAAGAAGTTGGAATGCAAGATCCACCGAACCAACAATCAAACAGAGCTGGTGTTGGTTGTAGTGTGTCCAGCTGCCTGATCACTGTATTCAGCGGCAGTAGGAACGACGTGCTCAATCTTCCGCTTCGCAGTGAAGATGCCGACAACACCACGCTCCTGGTTAGATCCCAGCCAGGGCTTGCGTGCTTCACTGAGGACCTTCTGACCAAGGAAGTAAATGAGCTGACCGATGATAATCAGAACAAAGGCAATCGGGTACATCCAGTGAATATGATAATGGAAAACCTCAACACCAATGATAACACCCCAAAAGTTCATGGTCAGCATGGAAACGTTGAAGAAGGCGGCCGACGAAAGACGGAACAGCAGTGGAGCAAGACAGTAGAACAGACTCAGACACAGCGTGTAGCCGGTGAGATATCCGCCGACCTTTCCATTCCAGTGCGCGTTGTCAAAGGACGTCCGGTCGAAGATACCAGCCTGCACACCGTTGATGATCATGCCAAAAAATGCCATTTGTCCAAGAACCTCGTACACAGGCCTCTTGCTAACGAAGTACTCCTCGCCGGTGTTGGTGAGGCCGTAAAAGGACGCGCCCAGCAAAGCGAACAGATCGCCCTTCAGCTGGTTACCCTTGGAAATGTCGCCGCCGTTCGTGCCAGTGATGTGGTCCGAGGCAATGAGGATGCCCATGCCACCAATGCAGATCACAATACCGGCCACTTGGGTGATGTGGTAGCGCACGCGCAGAAAGATAAATGAGATGACCACGACTACGACAATGGCCCAGAAGTTGATCAGTTGCGCGCTGAGCATGGTTGTGTATTGGTATGCCAGCACAATGAAGTAATTGCCCTCGACGTCACAGAAAGCGAGAATGATGTCTGGGCCTGTTAGTTGGGCGTGGAAGGGCGTAGAGAGGAAAGCTTACATTTCCAGCCGTCACGGAGTACCAATCGGAGCCAGCCCTTGAACCCGTAACGGTACATCGTATAAGGAGTAAAGATAGCGTTCAAAAGTACGTAGTTCAGGAAAGTCTGGAAGGCAGGAACCGCCCATTTCTCGTTGCCGAGCAGGGTCGTGAAGGTACTGGTCGAAGTATTGGCAATGGCGAGGATTTGACTAGAAACGAGTTAGGGTTTGGCGGGGTTTGACTTGAAGGAAATACTGCTCACCCTAGAATGACGGTGATGTAGAACTCCTTGGTCTTGAAATAAGCCAAGAATCCCTTCTTCTGCTCATCCACTTGGTCCGCTGGCTGTTCGGCCCGCGACTCTTGTCGGGAAGAGCTTTGCGCGACCGCCACAGCAGCATCCTTGGGGAGTGAATGGGCGGAAGAAGAGCTAGCACGACCGGCATCGTAGTCTATGCCCCCTGCCTGGACGGTAACCTGATCCTTCGACTCCGACATTACGAGATGAGGTTCGAAAGCGGGGTTGGATAATTAAGTGCCGATCGCAAGGCAAACCAGTTGCAAGAATAGGATTGACGATCACAGGGAGCTTTAAAAAACAGAAACGAGCGCAAAACTCCCGAAGTCGCTCGTTATTGAAACGTTCAAACCGAGAATGATAATGAGAAGAGAAACTCTGTAAACGGCCGCCAGAAGAAAAAAAAGCGCCATGGTCTGGAACCTTTCCTAATCGGGCTATCTCTCGATAAGAATTTGCCCCACTGGGTACATCTGGGCAGCCAATCAGGAATGATTATTACCAGAGCTACTCCTGCCTCATGGCTTCGCGGCAATATTACAATATTACAATATTGTACGATGACGAGTCATCGACAAAGTGATGATAATGGCTTCAGCCCTACATGACGATTGGGTGTTTCGTTTTATTCTCAAAGCAACTGATACCCCGAATGAGTACTAACTGAATACTTCCCGAATTTCCCCGGATTACTTAGTCACCTTCGTGGGCAAATGGAGGACACTCTCGCAGAAACCCTGAAGCGTGTGGAAAGTATGGTGGACTCATTGAAAGCCGATGTGAAGGTACTGAAAGAAGAGCGATAGACAACAAATACCCAGCTCTCCCTCATGGCAATATTACGATGACAAGTTACGACTCTCGATACAGTATCGTCAGCCTAAAAAGGCATCCTTGAACCGGCTGTGTGTGTGTGTGTGTGTGTGTGTGTGTGTGTGTGTGTGTGTGTGTCTGTGATTGACGCTGCTTGCTATTCCGAAATATGGGCCATTATGCCTGATCGTATCATACAACCGTGACAGCGGCCGCGGGTGAAGATAATCTATCGACTAGTACTTCAAATTCCTGTGGGAGTTTCCCAGAGCATTGCCCGAAGCTGTGGATCTGTGTTTGCCAGCACTGTGTTTTAAGACACTGTCCAGCGCGACCAGTTCTCTTTTAGACTCCAGTCAGGCATCCAGTCTATCTAGCCACCAGGAAACTTTACAGCCAGATGAGCCTAGTGATGGACAGACCCGACCCTCACTTTTAATTTCGATGTCCCTTGCCCTGTTCTATATTTTTTAATGGGACATGCTGCAATTGGAAATATTCTTCATGCCTGTGGATGCGCCGAATCCATTTGATAACGAGTCCGTGATCTTCGCGATGCCGATGATCCTGTACGGGCAAAGGTCGGAAGTGGTAGTCAACATCAGCTGGTCGATGCCTTCCTGCCAGCCGACCTTCACTTTTGATTCATACTAGAGTCATATTTCAGATTTGAGATGATGATATAAAAAAACATAAGCAACAGTCATACCGGGAAGTAAGAATCAAAGAGCGAACTCTACCTCGCCTGGCCCGGGGGCCAACATGGTTGATGAGTCAGCACTTTCCTTACTTGCACTTATGCGGGAGATCCGGTGGGATATGCAGAGAATATTAACAATTTGATCAATATATGGATTGGAAGATCCTAAAATATCCATTATTACACGAGTGATGTACTTCTATATTGTAGATATACATAATGTTGTACATCGTACAACGTTGCGGATAAGTACGATCTGTATATAGAACTGTGACGCCATAACTATGGCTATAACCCCTGATTAGCTTGTCGATCATAGAAGAAGATTAGAAAGGATTTTAGAATTCAATACTCCGTGCACTGTACATTCTTGATTAAAACTAAAAACTAAAAACATAAGTAAGTTTATGGCATGATAAAAATAGGTGAAGCCATATACTTCGTATAGCCTACATAATTCTAAAGCAGGGAGTTGGAATTCTGGAAGATCCGGAAGTTCCCACTTTATTCCCGGTCGCGTGTTGTTCGAAAGAAAAAGAGAAGCTCTGGTCTCAAGGGGAAAAGGAAAATCTTAAATAAAAAACACAACCTGCCGAGGCCGTCAGGTGGACCTTCTCGATCGTCATCCCCTCCGCAGACTCTTTCATCATCTTTGGGACACATCTATCTCCACCTTAAAACACATTCGACTTCAACCTAACTTACTTTCTTTTATCTTGTTCTCCACGGCTTTCTGTTTCTGTTTTTAACTTATCCTTGGCCATTCCTTGGCTCTCCTCTCGCGCCGGCTCTCATTCAGGCCCGGGGTGACGAGACGCCCTCCCCTTTCCCGCCCGACCATGGCGCTGGAAGTACAACCGCCCGACGGTCGCAAACGTGTCAAGGTCTACGAACTAAGGGATAATGATTGGTTTGATCGAGGAACCGGCTTCTGTACCGGCCAGATCTTGGGAGTAAGTCGCGCGTTCCACTTGCGCGTTGGGGTCGTGCGATGGTTCATCGCGCGCCACAACCAGCGCACCATCGACATCTCACTGATCGCATCCATCTAGGAGGAACCTCGCATATTTGTCGAATCGGAAGACGAGCCCAATCGCGTATTGTTACAAACAAAGATCACCAAGGACGATGGCTATCAAAAACAGCAAGGTACCTGATTCCGATCACTGCCGATGTGTCATCGTTACTAATGGAATCGCGCAATCAGAAACTTTGATCGTTTGGACTGAACAGAATGGAACGGATATGGCGCTCAGTTTTCAAGAGGCGGAGGGTTGTGCGGTCATTTGGTGAGGATATTTCCCCCAAGAATAACAATAAAATCTTTGCGCGTATCGACTAACCCATCCCAGGGACTTCGTCAATGCCGTTCAACAACATCTCTTGAGTCTGACCTCGGGTGGTAAGCCTGTTGCGCGTTTGAGTGTCGACATCTCTAACTATTTTCAAGATGACGCCTTGTCCGATGACCTGGACAGCTATCACTCCATCGTATTACCATCTCCCGACCTCGGCCATCTCACAGAAATCGAACAGACCACACGAGCCGCGAGTATGACACAAGCCGGCCGAGACGCGCTCTCCAAATTTATCATTCGCGATGAATACATTGCCAAGTTGGTACCGCTAGTGTCAATGGCCGAGGATTTGGAGAGCTTAATCGACCTCCATCGCCTCTGCAACATCATGAAATCCTTTATCCTCTTGAACGATAATACCATAATCGAGACCGTTGTCGCGGATCATGTCATCTTGGGAGTGGTCGGGGCTCTGGAATGTATGTTTCATGGTCTACCGTGGAGAAGGCTCCATGCGCTAACACTGCAACAGATGATCCCGAGTTTCCCACGCACAAGGCAAACCACCGACAATACCTCGCAGATAAGTCCCGATACAAAGAAGTGGTTCCGATCAAGGATCCGATCATCCGCCGCAAGATACGAAGTACATGGAGACTCCAATACCTAAAGGATGTGGTGCTAGCGCGGATTTTGGACGACCCGACATTTTCAGTGCTCAATTCCTTGATCTTCTTCAACCAGATGGAGATTGTGAACCACATTCAATCGAATGCGCCATTCCTGCGAGAGTTATTTGGCGTCTTTGACCCGAGAAACCTCGATCAGAGACGCTTCGATCAGAGACGCAAGGATGATGCCGTGCAGTTCCTTCACCAGTGTGCTGGCATCGCGAAGAATTTGCAGGCGCCATCGCGGGCTCAATTGTTCGCCAACTTCATTAGCCATGGTCTGTTCACCGTGATTGCATTTGCCGTCAAGCATCCGAATCCATCCATGCGCACGACTGGAATTGATATCTTGGTGGCTCTGTTGGACCACGATCCCGTCATGATGCGAGGCTACATGCTCAAGGCTGTCAATGAGAAAAAGGTTCCCCTCACAGACACCTTGATTGACCTTCTTCATGTGGAGAACGACCTCGGTGTCAAAAACCAACTCGCCGATGCTATTAAGATTCTTCTCGATCCTCAGATTCCTCTGCAGGACCCGCTTGGTCGGGCTGGACCCGATTACTTCAAAGTTCGCACCAACAACCTTCTTTCCGATGCATTTGTTCAGCAGCATTTCGATGAGTCTTCAAAACGGCTTTTCCAACCTCTCAAACAGCTTGCGAATCGCGCAGCCCGTAAGTGGCCAGTTCGGATCTTTAGGGATCTTTTTGAGGATTCTTTTGCTAACACTGCCCCAGTTAATGATTTAACATTCCAAGAGGTCACCCTCTACTCCCACCTTGTTGATATCCTCACCTTCTTCGTCCGCCAGCACCTCTTCCGCACTCGTAACTCCATTCAAAGTGAATCTCTAGCGCCTCGGGTCGCCCAGCTTCTGGTGGTCCCCCAGAAACACCTGAAACTAGGTGAGTGTGTCTGCGCTTTGTTTTGGAGGGTTATAGCTTACCATAATCGCAGTCGCCCTCAAATTCTTCCGCACCTTGATCAGTCTCCAAGATACCTTCTACCAAGCGCTCATGACACATAACAACACATTTGGATTGATTCTCGATATTGTCTACGACACAATGCCCCGCGACAACCTGCTCAATTCGGCTTGTCTTGAACTTTTTGAGTTCATAAAACGGGAAAACATTAAGCCCTTCATTCTCCACGTGGTCGAGAAATACCGCGAGAAGCTCGAGAGCATCACATATGTTGATACTTTCCAGAGTCTGATCCTTCGATACGACCAGATGCAGGGCTACGGCGCCGAGGCCGACTCTGCCTTGTTCAGCCAAGATGAAGGCAGCACACCGCGCAGAATCCCCATTAATGGCCAGCGCTGGCAGGGCGTGAGAGACCTGGACGCTGCGGAGGAAGATTACTTTAATACATCCGACGACGAAGACGAGGTAAGTTCCATTTGGGATTGAAAACATTGCAAATGACTAACAAGAGAAGATAAAGTGGTCACAGGACCGCGAGACTATCACAGTTGGAACTCCGAACGGCTGCACCTCCACAGTCGCCAAGCCATTAGTCGATTACCCTGATGATGACGATGAAGATATCATGGACACCAAACCAGAAGGGGCACAATCAGAATCCAACACAGCCGAGAACGACGCTCCCTCCCCATCAGCCCAGACACCTCCACCCGAACGCCTCGCCGAAAAGCGGCGCCGCGAAGAGGAAGATGAAGACGAACTTGTCAAGCTCACAGCAGGCCCCAAGCGCCGAAGTTCAACGAGCAGCAACGCCGGCGCAGGCAGCATCCTCCGCAAAAAGAGCCTCTCCGGTGCCCCAGCTGACAAGAACGCTGCCGTTCTGGGCGTCGCGCCCAAGCGCATCGCCATCAATATCGGTTCCACAGGGAAGTTGGAACCCGATCCTTGTACGGAGGTGCAGAGCAACGAGAAGGAGAACCCCGCGGAGAAAGACGAGACTGAAGACAATCAGGGATAATAAATATCACATAAGCCTGGCGTTTTTGTATGCTTTTATCTTTTCCATGATACAGCGCGGTCGCTTGTTTTACGGTCCTCGGTCGATATTTGTGGGTTTGCAAGCTAGCGTCTTGTACATGCTGTTCTGGCAATGCATTGGATCTGGTTTCTTGTGTCAAGACTTGATGAACTGGATCCTGGTTTGGAGCAAATATATCCTGCTATTTTCTCTATCTCGACATTGCTGTATGTGTGTATATTTCCAATCACGCTACTCTTGGTATTCGTAGATATGGAGTTTAGCTCAAGTTGGGAGATGTGCTTAGTCCTGCGTATGTCCTGAAGTCCATGCATGGTAAATCTTTAAAACCCCCTGGACTACATAAACGCTTATCATATCGCCCACAACCTTGTGGTCTGCATGTTGTGTGTCGTGCCTTTGCCGAATCTCAAAGACATCCATAACTCTTTTGTTTAGGAGTATGGATATAATTGATACCTACATATGTACAGAATAGCGGTGCAGAGGCGAGTTCGGTAAAAGGATATGCGAAGCAGCCCATGAAATATATATGTAGAAAAATACGCGAGAAATACCGAGATTATTCACACAAAGGATAACCAGCCTTCATGAGACAGGAAACAGAGATTTCATACTATTAGAATCATCAAAACTCTTCCACCCTGCCAAGTTATTCAACGCACGAACAAGATAATCTCCCGACCCATCCTTCCCCACGATCGCAAGCGAATCAACAAAGACAACCTCAGGCCTCAGCCCATCCCGACAAGCCCCTGAAAAATCAAGCCCTGCAAAGTCAAACGTCGTCCACTGCGAAAGCAAAGCAAGCGCCATATTCGCACCAGCCCTCGGCCAGAACGCCAGAGCCTTGCAGAGATTATTCTCCGAGAGACTCAGATTCTGCCGCGCAGACTCCCGGCTCTTGTGCTGCGTCGTGGTGAGGTGAATTTCGCGCGCAATGCTAGCAAGCGAGTCGGCTTTTAGCTTCTGAATGGAAAACTTGCACCGGATCGCAACGATACTGCAGTGGATATAGTATGCGCCAGTTGGGGGGTCCATGAAGGGCCGGAAATGGATGGAGCTGTAGAAGTACACCGGGCCTTGCGGTTTCGTCTGTGCGGAGTATATTGTCTTCAGATATCAGGCTGTGATGATGTAGTTGCGGGTTAGGGTGACGTCTGTCGTTTCGTAGGCTTTGAATTCTGCTTGCGCTTTGATGCATAGAGTTTCTACCCAAGCTCTGGGGAGATAGATGAATTTTGTCGTCAGCGTGTCGAGGAGGCCGAGCTTGACGGCGATCATCGCGGATAGGATGCGCCATCCGGCACGTGAGAGCTCGAGGAAGCCACTGTTGTAGCTGTGGATGTGTCGCTGGTAGTATATCTGTGATTTTGCTTCAGTGCATGTTGGCTCGTCGGCTAGTTTGTCTGAGATGCGGGTTCCTTCCGCGTCTGGGGAAGGGGCGAAGGCTGGGGTCGGTCGGTTGGATAGGAGGTTGCTGTATGCTTTGACTGCTTCGTAGCAATCGGCGCCATCGCAGAGATAATGGGTTATTGCGAAGGCGAGAAGGGGGCATCTTGGAGGATGGTGACTCGGAGTCTGAAAATGGAGTCCGGGCATGCAGGTGCATCAAATATGAATTTATCGTCAACTTCCCGGACTTCTGGGGTTTGGGTGATCGTAGGTCCGTCCTTGGAGTCATGGCTGAGTGAGAGATAGGTAGCCAGTGGGTGATCAGTCGTCCTGCAGACGTAGTCGACGGTTGAATCACGGGTGAATGAACATGGATCGGTCTAACTTTGTGCCAGTGGCAATACAAGAAGTCCATGGCGATAAACGTACGCTTCTGATCAGTTTGCCTCCTAGGATAGGCCATGCTGAGACTAGCTTGGTAGCTGTGTTGCTCAAAAAATATCCAAGTCCAGCACTTTGTCCACGGCTAGTTCCGCATAGATCGTACTATACTTTGTCAACGAGTTGAGACTCCTACAAGTGTAGGTCGTGGGAAATGTCGCCGACTACTGAGATTTTTTGAATCTATGTGTGTAATCATTCAATGCTCTATAATTTCACTGATTGACAGATATATTTAGATGCTGAAAATTTCCAGAACAGAGCCTTTTCCTTTTCTTCAGGTTGATGCCTCTAGGTGGCCTATCATAATCGCTCCTTATTTTTGTACGCCGTCTATGCATGCTTGCCATGCCTCCTTGCATATGTGGGTACAATATTGTATAGATCGATACATTCCATTTCCTCGAAAAAATATAGACCATATATGTAGTTAGTCTCTTCTCTTTCGATTCTTATAGACTGAATACCTTCTACTATCAAAAATAGGATAACCGAAGATGATTGGTGTGCGTATTCAACCGAAAACGATCCAGATATGACGGCTAGGCACTCAAAGGGCTTTTACTGGAGTCAACTTCACCATCAGGGGCGGTTTGTCCCAAGCTGTCCAGATCCCTTGCTTGGAAAACCACGCCTTGCTATCTCCGCGTGCCTTGATGTCGAATTGCAAGATCAACTCACAAACGATATATTGCAACAAGTACTTGGCCATTCTATATTGATTCAGTATGAAAGAAAAATGTTCATGAACAGATTAACGAAACGTACCTTTGACCGACGCAATCGCTGGTACCGATGGAAAACGGTTTGCATGCATTTCTATCATCGGCGGAGAACTTCTCGTCCGTCTCTGTATACCACCGCTCGGGATGGAATGAATCCGGGTCGTGGAAGTTGGCAGGAGAGCGGAATGCCCCCAACGGAGATGTGTACACTCGAATGCCTGCCGGAACCCACTTCCCGGAGATCATGGCACCCCCGGCAGGCACTACACGAGGGAATTCGCCCGGTGCGCCGGGGTAGATCCGCAGTATCTCATTGATGCACGCGTTGAGTAATTTCATGTTTTTCATCGTCGGAGCATCGATGGCTGAGCTCTCTGGGAATGTTGAACGAACTTCGTCTTGCAACTGCTGAAGAGTCTCTGGCGCCTCTACAAGGAACGCTACAAGTCCACTCAGCGCGGCGGATAGTGTGTCAAGCCCGGCAAATAGTATCAGGGGTAGATTGGACCGTAGCTCGGGCTCCGTCAATCCTTTCTCTCCCCTGCGTCACGAAGTGGATAGTGTCGGGTCCGTCTACCCCCTTGGTCAGTCGGTGGTCGATTTTCTTGTTCATCCACCCGAAGTAAGTGACGCGGGCTCGTTTCACCAAGCCAGAAAGCGTTACGTGGAAGATTGCCCGGAAGATGGGAAAATCTGTAAGCGTTGCTAGAATTCGAGAGCTTCGTACACAGCCGAATTGATTGTGAACCCAAGCTCGATGGGTTTCGTCGTTGAGCAAATGCATGGGTTCTCCGAACGAGAGGTTGGCCAGAATATCAGCGATCGTAAAGTTGAACATATTGACTATGTTGATGTCTTCATGGTGTACTTCGTGTAGCTTTTTCATCAGAGTATTCACATGTCCGATGATCAAGGGACGTTGTTGGGCCAGAGCCTGCTCCGAGAACGCCTTCGCAAAGTTAGAGCGGATTCTAGAATGATCTTTGTCGCTGGCGGTCACCAGTGAAGGGACCGCGTTCTCGTCTTCTATTGATGCGAAGAAAGATGTGTCGCGTGGCATACCGTTTGGCCGAGCTGAGTTGCTTGCGTAGATATCTTGCCAAGAGGATGAATTCGAGTAGCTCAGCTCATTTGGAGCCATGCGGACGACGGGTCCGTATTTTTTATGAAGGTCTAGTGTCCAAAGTGAGAATCCGCCTGTTATCTTCCCATAGGCACTCGGGAGTCCACTCGCGGCCAAAAAACGGGGGCCGGGGTAATTTCTAAGAGGATGGAAGAAGACATTGTAGAATGCTGCTGAGATCAAACACTATAACATGAGTTTAGTAAATGTAGTTCTGTTTCGCCTTTTCTTATCACAAACCAGAACCAGGCCCAGTAAGATTGTGTTGACCACAGCGAAAGGGGATAGATCGAGAACCGACATGGTCTCTATGGAGGAGCCAATTTTGACTTAGATCGACTGAGTAAGGATATGAAGGATTACACGAAGGAAAATATAAGGGATGGTTGCTTGATATATTATAGTACCAGGTGGGAGGTCCGGGCGGAGTCCTAAAGTTGCGCATCACCCAAAAAACACATTGACAAAGACCACTAAGTGCTAGGGCGAATGCAACTCCAATGGTGTTATCAATGGCTTAGTTCCGATTGGATGAATGAGAACGTTCTTTGTTCTTCATGCATACGGCAGGTAGATCATTACCAATTCGATTCTAATGCATTCAGGCCTCATGTACGATGTAACCAGTCGATGATTAGCACAGAATAATAAACCGTATTTGCTGATGGATTTCGGCGATCTTGCGGGCTGAGGCAAAATGGGACAAAATGGAGAAAAATCAAGAATCCTGAGTTAAAGAAGATGAATTACCTCAAGGTCAAGGTTTTTGGCAGTTAAGCTCATTACTTCCAAGGATTTCGTGTTTGTTTACGAGGCTAAAATATACGAGGCACTAAATTTCGGTCCTACACGCCAAGATTGGAATATTCGATCTACGAACGACTGATCTCATGTACCTAGAGCGACTATTGTATTAAGTTTAGCGTGAAGGATCCAAAATGATCCAATGATAGGGGATTATGGAGAGAGGAGAAGCGAATTCCGGGTTCTCTTCCGCGCACCACACGTTAATTATGTCCTTTTGTAATACGGAGTACTTTCTTCTACCTGCCAGGTCGGGTTTCACTTCAGGGATACTTTCCGTCGCTCCGTAGCAAAAATAACGATAGAGATTTATCGCCAGATATTCGTTACGAGGAATTTTGTGATTGGTCATTTTAAAGACATGGGGTGTTTGCATCGTTTACAAAAGCCAGGTGACTCATCTAATAGTCACTGGAGCCCTGGAGCCCTAAAGACATGTCTGTACTGAACTGATACTTGCGACAAAACCTTCCCTGTCTTGTAATTTAGATCGCATATCTTCCCTATCAGTAATACCAAAGGAAGCATTCTCCTAACCGTCTTGCGCTTAGCAACAAACGTCTCCCACCTCTTTGAGGAGAGTATTGGAGTCGTAATATAGGACTCCATCGCGTTCAGACGATCCAAAAGCTTGTCCAACCGTGGAAGAAGAGCATCCGCTGTCGTGCAATCCAGTTCAAGCGGCTTGCCCAATTGAGTCCCAGATGCTCAACATACCAACTAGAGTCGGTCTTGACCAGACCAGCTTCGTAGAGAGCAAGCAAATCAAAATCAATTCCCATATTGACCGCAGCCTCGTATGCCATGCGATCGCCTATCGCCAAGATCATCGACCGACAGTGATGGAGCGTCCGGCTGTTGTACACTTTGCTTCTGTGTCCTTTCGTGGATGCCCTCCTGGAGCTTTACCAGTTCCGCAATGTAGTCTTCCTCATGCTTTGCAATTAATGAATTTGGCTTGGTGGCTTTGGGGAAGTTGTATCGACCAAGTAAGATTTCAGTGGCCAAGCCTATAGCGTGTTAGCCGCATAGAATGTGTAAGCTAGATTCCTGCGGACATTATCCATCGATTAAGAACCTGTATAAATCTGTCAGTATTTTATTATCAGTGATCTTTCGGATGTTCTCGAATCGGCTTACCTCATTTTTCACCAGTTGATTATATTTCGACACCCTTGGCACCACACTGCTCCGGAAGATTTGCAAAGCTTTTCTGGGTGTACTGTAGGACGACCCCCTTAGATATAGCTGCCAATCCATGTCTGACAGTAAAGTCAATTGGGATATCACTAAATTGAGCTGTGATCCAGTTTGCAAATAGCTCCATGACTGCAACCTCCGCCAGAGCATGCAGGATGGGCATCTGCTGTATTACAAAGGAGATGATTGGCTTGGAGATTTTTCAGGACCATGAACCATTCGACGCAGGCTATAATCTCCCACTATGTGTGTAGCGCATTTCAAGCCGGAAACCGCTGATAAACTCAATGCCAGTGTGCCAAATCCAAGGCAGTTGATTGGCATCAGGAATTGAAATCGCATATCCGCGGGCTGTCTAGGACTGCCGAGCATGGCCGTTGGTGTTCGCCCATCAGATTTTGAGAAAATCAAGAGTATAGTAAGGGTCAAAGAGAAGTAAGAGGGTAGTAGCTTAAAGTTACCTAAGAAGGAATTACCCATTAGATGATCGGCGAGTGATCTATAGATTGATATAGCTGAGTTGTAATATCAATACAAGGTTGAGCCTCTTTCTACCTACTTCACTCTTCTCTTTACTCTTCTTTTCTGTTTCTCGATAATTTACGTTCTATTAATTGTGGCAATAAAACATATAGGCGATGGTCAATACCACCCATCCCCCGCCGGATTAGGATAATGATGGATATAGCAGCATTTGCTTGGTTGTGAATTCGCATGTTATGCTTATCCATGTTTGTCACGCCTCCCTAGCTATAAATGGAGAGCTTTCTCCCCAGAGATCCCAGAATATCATTCTTCATATCACATTGTATGGATCACGGTTAGATATATAATTGTACAGCAAGCCTTCTGGCCGGATTTGGATCATTGTTCACAAACTTATACGTTGCTGAAGTAGCATTTGGGCTCTTATCTAGTCCGACACAAATGTGGCCAACCCGCGCCATTTTGTCGAGCATCCGAGTGTCGACTCGTAACACGCTCTCCTAGTGAATGTTTGTTTGGGCCAGTCATAGGTAAGAGCAGAGTAGACCGCGGTGCATACCACCCTCGCTTCCGCAAAAGACTAAAGCCACTGGCGGCCTCACGGCTCGAAATAGTGTCGCCGTCATTGTAAAAGTATCGACTAATGTGAAAGCCGTTGGCTCCTAGTACGTAGCGTAAACGCTGGAATCCACTATAATCTTGACTTTCGGGTCTTCCATAGGGTCGCTCCCAATACACTCTCCGTTGACCATACAGTGGTGCGACAACTGACTACTGTACGGCGTCCAAGTTGAGCGGTTCATGTTGACTCCAAGAACAAGAGTTTCAATCTCGTGGATGAGCAGGTAGCCTTCGAATCCGAAGAGCCAGGGTTGGGCAGACCAAGCTTTGCCTGCGTGAATAGAGCAAACCATCAAGGAAGATGAAGAACTAGGTAATTGAAACTTTGAGTAGTCATTTCAGGAATAGATTGCAAAATCTTGGAAGTGTATTTTCTTCGGGTTGGAGAAAGAACTCTTGGGTTATAAAACACGCAAGATAGACCATTGCGGCTGGATGGGGCCCATCGCAATGATTGACGATCAATGATGTGCATAATATATCTGAGCTGTACGTCCATATTGCATGGTATGATACCGTATTTTGAGCCATACGAAAGAAGAAGAAAAGAAAAATCAAACGATGCTCTTTGCTTGCCGACAGAATTCCAAGCAAGGGGTCATTTCAACGACAAATAAGTATCAAAACAACAATCTCACAGCAATGGCCTTATGAGGAACCATGAATATCAACCGAAACCAACATATCAACTAGAACAATCAGCACTTCATTTGACTCGATAAGAGAGATGGAGAAAAGGGAAGATGAGAAAAGGCAAAACCTATTCCAACAAACAAAGCGGTGGCCCTGACACCATGTGGTGCCCTACTTTCCTGCATCTACCACCAAAAGTCTATTGTCTTGGTATAATTGTTGTCGTTGCAGATCGGAAGCGCACAGAGTCTTTCTTTGCTTTTTCTTTCTCGAAACACGAATCTCAAGGTTACTCATGTTCGCCTGCGCAAGCTGGATGGCACCAATGAATTGATCCCCCCAGCCTTTTCCCACCGGTATTTGGGTCCAATCAAATATTCTTCAGAAATCTCTCAGAGTGGACCGCCCCCCCCCGAATTCAAAAGTCACAACATACCTTATCGCTTGAATAATGACTATGATGTCACAGAGCCTCGGGCGCTGTGAGAAAAATCAAGATCAGCGAGGTCTGATATATCTGTGGCTGGTGGTGTTGGTGGTGGTGGATGAGATGTGATTTTGCTTTTACGGAACGCCCATCTCAGAGAACGAGCACCGCCTTTGGATACATGAGGGATAAGAAGATCTCGATTCAATTGTTCAGGTTCCTTATTATTTCGCATGCACAAGACTCTCCGTGCTACTGGTATCCTGATCCTCGCGATTTGACTGTGCCCAAGTAACCTCCATCTGTGTGGTCATGGTGATCATGTTCTTGGGATTCATCGTCTTGGGTCCGTACCCCAATTCATGATCCCCACCCTCGACAACGGTGATGGTCTGATCGTTCTCCCGGCGACTGAAGTTTGTCCCATTCTCAAGGTTGTAGCCCCGACCGCTGCGGTTGGTGGAGCCGCCGTACGGGCCGGTGCGGGTCGAGCCGAAGAGCTTGGGGACGAGTCGGGTAACGAGTGGTTTGAAGGAGGGAGCACACGCAGCGACAAACGACAGGCCGACTTCGATAGTTGACACGCAAAAGAGGACCGAGTGTGTGTAATTTTCGGGGATATGGCGGTCGAATTTGTCAAGGAGAATCACGCGAACAATGCCTGCCACCACAGTTCTTCGTTTGTCAGTCACGAAAGCAGACATTCCCTTTAGGTACTCACAAAAGACCAAAAGATAGAATACCAATCAGCATCAATTTTTGATTCCATTGCATTTGTAGCCGATATACGATCCAGGTGGGCAAAATTAGCGCCAACACGTCGGTAAGAATGGATACCGAGGCGGTGCCGGTAACGAAGTCTGCGAAATTGAGACACCTCGCGTCAGGATATGAAGCCGCATCCCAGTTAGCGGCAATGGGAAGACAATGAAAAACAGTGATCAAGAACGTGACAACAGCCGTGAGGCCATTGAAGATCAAAAGTCCCCAGATGGCTTGGCGTACCGACTTTTTTGGCCAGTCAAACGCAAGAGGAAGAGCAGGATGGAGGTTTTGACGAGAGCTAAAATGGGATTGTAGATGAGCTCAGTCTGCGTTCGTTAGCGACGTCACACCCCTTTGGATTGTTCAACGCACCGCGTAACCATATTTGTTTCCAAGAGTAGCGGGATAGTCGAGAGGTATATCCCCAACATTATAGCCAATATACGTGTAAATGATCACTAAGATATAATTAGCCTCATCAATCCATACCCACTAAAGCGATCTCAATATGCTGATCTTACCTTTATAAGATGTAAATGTCTCCGCCCAGTACATGATCTGCCGATCTGTCAATCCTCTAAACTACTCATGGTCTGAGCGGTCGAAATACTCACTATCGCGAAGCAAATAACCCAGTCATCTGTACTATGTTAGAACTATGTCTCTGAGAAACGAAATAAAGTTAGAACAAGGATGCTGAACTAACCTGCGGCAAACGACTTCGTCAGTGTGCGGCTATAAAGGCGTAGAGCCACAGCCACGGTCGCAAGTGAAGGAAAAGCAAAGATCAGACCAATGGCCTGAGGCTGTAGATTGTCACTGGAGCCCATATTATCTCTGAAGGTTGGTCCTATACAAATGTATTGCTGCTGTGACCTGCAGTGTTGAGTGGAAAAAATTCTACTCAACAGGCCAGGGCTGCATACCTATGTACCAAACAAGCCCATGCCCGGAACGATGATCTCGCATATTGTATAAATTAAGTGACATTATTTTCCTCCTATGAAGTGGCTTTTCATCGCCAGCTTCCTTTCCGTGGAGCTAAGTGCGACAATGTAGGGCTTCGTGTAATTCGTTCCGAAGTGGCTGTCTTCGCTATGCCGAAATGCGGGTAAGGAACCTCCTTTTGGACTAGCCTGCAGCTTTCGAATCCTAGAAGTTATCAATCGAGTTTAGTCAAGTTTCAGGAAGAAGCTAATTTATATTGGGGGCTAATGTCGGCATTCATCTTAAAGTGGACCCGGAAACCGAAGATGTCAAAAGCGGATGTGGCGACGGACCGCACAATTTCAATTTTTACTTCCAAGGTTTGCAAATTGATAAAAGAGAATTGAGAGGAGGCCTAATCATAGATTCAACTGATTTGATATGTGCATTCTGCTGGGAGGTAAGTGGCGATAAAATCTCCGAGTGAAATAGATGAATAACGCCTCGTGCTCACTAGTGAGCTACTAGATATGTACCTAGTTACTTAGCGCGCAAGCGCTTGTTACTCCTTCGGCAACAGCACCAAACAATTTCAAAGATTGAGAAATTTAAATTGAAAACTCATACGATAGGCCCAGTTCACGATAAACCTCTAAACGAGTGTGGTTATTCGGCCGGTTCTGCCGGCAAGCTTGGTTAGGGCTGCATGGTTCGCTCAGTATTGCCGATATATATAAATAGCTCTCTGCCACGTTTTTGACAGGGGTAGATTAAGTCTTCATTTTGTTCTCTTCTTCGCACCTGAGGAATTCTGTTGTCTGGCTTTTGCTGTTGTGTAGGTAAATATCATCCAGGATGAAGGGTACCTGGGAACTTGCGCTTATCGCCAGTGCGTCACTCGCCCAGGCGACTTCGACCGCATCACTCACGGCTGCTGCAACTACCGTGGCGGACACGGCTGTCTCCGCACCTTCCTTGTTTTACAATGAGAGAGTGCAGCTGACCGAGGGTGTCCTCGCTGATGTGTCGGTGGCCTTGCAAAACGAGACTGTCGCAAGCATGTTTGCCTTCGCAAGCAATTCCTCCTCCCAATCCACAGCGACCAAGAGGAGCGTCCTTCATAGCTGCAAGTTGATGCCCGGGGATTCCTGGTGGCCTCTAGACCTCATCTGGGACGTGTTTGACCTTTTGCTTGGCGGCAATCTGATCAAGACGGTGCCTCTGGCCTCTTACTGTTACCCGGAATGGCCTCAGTATAACTCTGCCAAGTGCGCGGAGATCACAGCTGACTGGCTTAACTCGGACCTTCACATGGCCGATCCTGCTTCGATCATGTTGCCGTTGTACGAGGGCCGCTCTTGTCTACCATCGCCTTATAACTACACCGACTCTTGCACACAAGGCGCGTATCCCACTTACGCGGTAAACGTTTCCACTGTGGCGCAGATTCAGCTAGCGGTCAACTTTGCCCGCAACCTGAACTTGCGACTGGTGGTGAAAAATACCGGTCACGACTTCAACGGCAAGGCCTCCGGCAAGGGCGCTCTCTCCATTTGGACCCACTACCTCAAAGACAAGAGCTATCTCCCCAACTTCAAGGCCGCCAATGGCTATGTCGGCCCGGCTATCAAGTTTGGCTCCGGTATTCAAGTTCACGAGGCCTATGAATATGCTAAGACTCTCGGCCACTCGGTTGTCGGTGGTGAGGCTGTTACCGTCGGTCTTGGTGGTGGCTACACTGCTGGTGGTGGCCACTCCCCCTTGTCTAGCATGTACGGTATGGCGTCCGATCAAGTTCTGGCTATGCAAGGTAAGTCCCTCTATTTCTACAAGACATCTGAATTGATTGGCTTGCTAACTCTGCTTAGTTGTCCTCGCGGACGGCAGATTCATTACTGCCAGCTCCACCGAGAACTCGGATGTCTTCTGGATGCTTCGTGGCGGTGGTGGCAGTACCATTGGTGTCGTCACTTCTCTCACTGTCAAGGCCCTGCCCCAGCTGGAGACGACGACTGTGACCTTCAATTTCACAGTCAATGACACTCCGGGTCCTAATGCCTTCTGGGCTGCAGTTGGCTCCTACCTTGACAACTTCGAGTCATTTGTTGATGCCGGCACTTACGGTTACTACTACATTGGAGCCTCTTCGATGGAAATTGGTACCACATATGCCGGTGATACTGACTACTATTTCCGCATGGAATCCTTCGTCGCCCCCAACATGAGTGTTGCCCAAACTGAAGCCCTCTTGGCTCCTTGGTTCAACACTCTCAACAGCCTGAATATTACCTACACTCCCTGGTACAACCACGCCGACAACTTGTGCGTTACAATACCATTCCTTCTCTCCAATGCCTTGCGTTGATCCTTTTGCTAACGTTAATTGCAGCCATGATGCCTGGGAAGTGGCCTTCCCCCAGGAATATGTGGGAACCGATGTTGTCAAGACTGCTTCTCGTCTTCTCCCTCGCAATGTCTTCCAGAGTGATGATCTTCGTAACCAGACTTGGGCTGCCTATAAAGATGCTGTGAATCAGGTATGTCGTATATTTCTGCAAGATTTCCGACACATTTTCTTCATATCCTGTCTTAGCTCGTTACTAACGTAGTACAGGGTCTCTTCATTGCCGGCTTCCACATCAGCGGTACCGGTATCGCCGTTGAACCTCCCACAGACAGCGCCTTGCTTCCCGCATGGCGTGATGCCCTGACGCACGTGATTGTCGGTTCTCAATGGAACTTCACCTCTTCCTGGGATGTTATTGAGAGCTCCTCGCTCTTTGTGACCGAGTGGATGGACGTGCTCCGCGAGATTGCCCCGGATTCTGGCGCCTATATGAGTGAGGGCGATCTCATCGAGCCCAACCAACAGGATGCCTTTTATGGTGCCAACTACCCACGTCTTTATGCCCTCAAGCAGAAGTATGACCCTACCGGTCTCTTTTTTGCCCTGACCGCCGTTGGCGCCGAGGACTGGGAGGTTCAAACCACTGACCCCCTGCCCTACTCATGGAACAACAATGGGCGGCTCTGCCCTAAGTCCTCCTGATAAAGAATGCCTTAACCAAAAAGGATGTGTTGGTTGAACAGCCATATTGTTTATTGAATGAGACTCAAGGCCATGAAAGGCGGGTTGATTTACATTCTGGTGCTCATTCTTGACCGAGCTGTTCAAACGGACCTCACGCATCCTTGGATAAGAGGACTGTATATCTAATGGATTATTTGTACATAATTAATGCTGGGTGAACTTTTTGCATAGTTTCGTGACTACGGTTGTGGTCAAAGACTCACATATATCCGTTCAATAAAGTCTGGCGACACTCCTATATATAAATTTGCGGTCATCTTGCTTTGCGCTTTCTGTTCACTTTCCATAGTTCTGTTCTCTGGTCCTTTTTGGGGTCTTCTCAAACCTTGTTTGGGGCCTCGGGTAGCCAGCAACGGATGTCATCAAACTCTTGTTGAATTACGGAGCAAAAATGGAAGAGACCCACGAGCCGATTTATCTACCTAAAGTCATACCACGCTGCCTCAAACAGTTCGCGCACACTCCGCTGATTTGCTTACTATAAAGAAGCGATCTTCTAGGGGTCTTGGTTTTGAGGAAATATAGCCATAGTTTATGCCGGTCTTCTCGCTGCATTACTTCCAAGGATAGGCCTGCAATCTTGCCTCTGGGCCTTCCGAAGTTGTCGTTATTCTAGAGCGCCCTCTCAGTGATAGCTCACACCGGCTTGACCAAAGCTTTGGCGGTTTCGTAAACAATTGTCGCACTCTCAAATTCGTTAACGAACTTTTCCAGTTTGCTAGCCGAGGGACGCGACGCGAGACATTGGTACTGTTACCGTTGTTAATGCATTTTCGTCCCAACATAACTATAGGAGGCGCCAGTACTGCCCTTAGATGCGAGGAAACACTTGCACATTTTTTGAAGGCAACAAAACCTCGAGTGATTATCCTTTGTTTAAATTAAATTTGTCAAAACTCGTCGATGAGAGAATTAAACTTCTTCAGAGAAATACCCCAAGAAAGGTCACCGAGTACGGAGCGAAGTCATCGAAATTGCCGACGCTCACACCGTTCTCGTCATACCGTCTTTTCATACTTCACGAGCGGTCAATTGTTCTGAGCACAGACTAGAACTGCCAGTGTTGCTCATTTATCACTTTGTCACGGCCTTTTGTTTGTTTAGTGATGGAGTGGCGATCCCTTGTTGTGTAAGCAGGATACTCGTATGCCGCAATAAGGGAACTAAATAACACTAATCTTCCGTTATTGAATAGGACGAATGTAATTTAGTATCATGCATATCAAATAATCTTAATAAGTCTTATCTATGCCGTGGAAAGGATATTGTGCCTCTATCAAACCGTACTCTTTCGTCCTAAAGTGGCAATGTCACCGTTAAATCATCATGGGAAGACGTAGGAAGCAGAGAAAATTGTCTTTATGCTACATGAGTCTCAAAAGGGAGAGAAAACGGAGCCGGAAGGTAAATTAGAGCTCTGTTCAAGCAGACACTGCACCCGATGAAAGTAGCAAAGTAACAGAGAAAAAAGAGACAAATTCCTTGGGGTTATTCTGGCGCATACACTGTCGTCTAAGCAGGTGCCGTTGCAGGTGTGACTGGCGTGCCGGTCGCTAAAGCCTCCAATCTGCGCTTCGTATATTTAATCAACTCGCGTATAATAGTCCAGCGCATCTCAGTCTGCTTCCTCCAGAGAAACAGCTGCCACGGAATTGTTGGGCCGACATACACTTGATGTGGATGTTCAATTGCCAATGGCCAGAAGTCAGAAAGCTCTGCCGCCTGACACGAAAAAAGAGAGAAGATGTCACCCCAGACCAGGCTTCCGAGGATGCGCATTTGGCCATTGAATCCGGGACTCTCGTCCGGTCGCTCGATGCCCTCCTCAAGATCAAACTCCGGATCGACAGCGAGAACAAAGCCAGTAAAGTCACCCGCCATTACATTAGATGTTGCGGGTCCATATGTCTCGTCGGTGTAGGAGGCGAAAGAGGCGGAATCAATAACAAGAAACGCTCTTGTCTGCAGCTGGAAATGATCTAGGCGCTCGTCGCTTCCCACCATTTTGTTAAAGTGTCTAGAAGGTTGTTAATTCGAATCTTTCGAGTCTGTGGGACTGACTACCTCTTGGTTGCATCAATATCACCTTCAGATATACCCAAATCCTTCCCGTCCAGCCACTGCAGCTTCAGATATGGCTTGAGAGCACTGCTTCCCGTTTGACCCTTGCCCCAGTCGGAGATATGTGCCTCAAGCTTTTCGATAAATGCCTTCCATTCAGATTCGCTTTGTCCATAAGTCAAACGATAAATCGCCATAGAATACCCTCCCACTTTTTTCGTTGCAGACTCTATATTCTTCATACAGGAAGTAATCCAAGGCTCCCGCGGCATGGGCTCAATCGGTGCACCGCGCATCTCCTCTCTCGTCTGGTTCTGAGCCTTAATTTGGTAAATCCCAGTCCGCCGAAAAGATGCACCAGAGCCCCTATCATATTCCGTACTCCCTCGGTTGCAGGTGATATCACGAGCTATCACTTGTCGGGTAAGGAGCCTTAAACGCTCACTGTATGCTTTTCCTCGCTTACCACAGTCTGCCACATGCAACTCTGCCGGCCCGTCTCGTTGTGGCGGTGTGTAGCCCTTGTAGCCCTGCATCGGTAGCATGATATTCCAGTCTGCATGCGCAGCAATTTCCGTCACCATGTGCAACCGATCAGTAAGCATCCATTGCGTTGCATCCGGGATGCCAGATCCTTCAATGAGAGGTTTGTGCTGAGCAAGCTTTCGTAGCATAGGGGCCCGGAGAGCCTTGACGTGTAAAATTACCCACCTATGGGCACGCTCGGTCATCATTTCAAAGTGAGCAGCGATATACTCGGTCCAGAGACTAGCGAGGCTAATACGTTCTTTGCCCTTTTCAGCCCTGCGCTGATTGAGCACAGTATCAGCATCTGCCCAATGATCATAAATGAAGTTGAAAGTGTCGCGAAGATACACACGGACTGCCGATGCGTTCATGTACTCAAACACCGCAACCACAGCTGTTAAATGTTGACACGCCAAATCAAAGTACTCTGGGCGATCAAGGCCCTTCTCCTGCCAGCGCTGCTCGCTCAAGGGAATAATACCCTCCCACAGCCGGGCTTTTAGGAATTGAATATTCTTGCCGACCAGGCAGAGACGATTCCCGTCTGCATTGGAGCCAATTCGGGCCATAACGCGACCGATGATAGATTCCTCGTTAGACCCGGGGGGAAAAGGTTCCTGGAGAAATGGGAACAATTCCTTCGCATCGTGGCCCTGAGTAAACAACCATGATAGAAAATTTGCAATGGTTTGAGGCTCAATAACGCGATCGACTAGTTTATGTCAGCCGAGGTACAGCGAAAGTGGAGAAGAAATCGAACCGATCGGCAGATCCTGCGAGGTACAGTGGGGAATTGTGACGGAACTGCCTGGGGCTTTGACGTGTGAATACATTTTTGGTTTTTTGAACGTGAAAAAACAAGAAGCAGAAAGGAAAAGGTATCTTTAGGACCAGGCAGACTTTAAGGGGTAAAAAGAGGCAAAATTTCAGAGCCGCATGGGAAAAAAGGGTCCAAATGCCCAAGCGAATGCTAGTGACTTTTAGCGCCTTGGATTTCCACATCAATGGGCGCATGCTGGCCCGCCCTATTTTTGATCGTGTAGCTCAAGTCAATTCGTCTTTTAAGAAGGCCAAGACCTATTTTTGCCGAGTTATTAAGCGACACCTCCGATCGTACGAGCCAAGGGTTTTGGTTGTCAATACCTTGGATTTATACATCGTCGTGTTGATGGATTGCACCGCGCTAACGGACTTTCTCGCGATGGTTAGAACGTAGTAATTCTGCAGCAAAATACCTTTATCGCTTAGATGTCATAGAGCAAATTATGGATTCGGAATTTCTGGCCAGAGGTCTCTCCCGGCTAGAAATAACTAGATTATAAGGAAGGTATCGTGAATAGTCTGATCACGGTAGCCCTGACTAGGGGCCTAACGCCGCCGCTGACCAGGAGGTATAACAGAACTCGATGGACCTTATGTCCAGTGAAAGCTACAACAAAGGAATAGCTTGAATATTCGATCGTGGTGACCAGAAGCTTAGTATAATAAACTCCCTTCACCTCTATAAAAATGTATAAATATTATCAACAGTATCTCAACGATCTTCTTACAACAAGCTTTAGTCCCAATTTTCTCAACATCCAGAGCAGATTTAAACATACTAAATGTTATACCCCATAGGACTCTTTCGTATTTCCCGCTAGCTTCGTTGACTCCGGTGATTTACTGTGAGTCCTCCAATATCGATCATGTTTCACTCACCAGCGTACAATCAGTCCACCTTCTAGGATCAAGCAATGTTGAAGAAATCATTTTATATACATAATGAGTTGGTACAATACCTAATATCAGATCGACCAAAGGTCCCATATATTACTTGATGCTATATATCTGAACATACATATAGCAACAGGGCTTGGCTCTCTGTTTCCAAAGGCGACAGGTTCGGAAAGGTCACATATCTATAAATACGTGATAATGTTCCGTGAACATCTGCAAATTACACGGTCGTTGTCTGTCACCAAGTCTAACTAATGGCACCAAGCGAGCAGCAAGGCTGCCTCTGTTGTCAATTATCCCAATACCCAGCTAAATCAGACGGTAGTCAATATAGACCCTTTTCCAAGCTACGAAGAGCAATGGGTAAGTGGTATAATAACGTCATCTTTATCATGCCGGTAGACTGAGATACTAACGAAGGGATATGCCACAAAAGTACTATAACGTGGTTCCATTATCATCTCTAGAGCATGGAACTTGGAAAGTCCAAACTTATCATGGTCGATAGCCTTGACGAATATCTAGGTGAAATGCCTCCGCCAATAGGGCGTCCCTTGATCGATAAATTCGGTGATAGAGCAGTTTCAAAGGCTCTCGGACATGCCAGAAGATCTAATAGGGGTCCTGTCAAGAATCTCTCCCTATATTATTCACATTATTCGAAGGACGCCAGCCTACAACGTTGCCAGGCTCTAGCTATATTCATCCCGTATCATTAGTGATTGGTCACATTAGGCGTGAAGAAACCGGGCCCCTTATCTCAAATTCAGGTATGCTTGTATACAATTCCAAAATGTTATATGTGGTGCACGGTAATAAAGGGTCGGGGCTTGTCTGAAAGTGCCAACATGATGTCACCTCCTGTGTGAGTGTCGCCGAATGATATAACCTTTAGGAAGGTACGACACGTGGTTGCCCACCAATGGGATGTCAAAGTCCTCGACTCACCCTTAGATTCCTCTGCCAGGATGGACCCCATAATAGAAGCAAAATGGATAATCCCAATATCCCACTAACCACTGCCAGCATCCACGCCATAGTCAAACATCCTGCAGAGTCTCAAAAAAGCCAGCAAAGAGAGGCCTATAGACGCTGCCTGTGATTTTGAACTCAGTATCCTGTAAAAATTTGCGATATTCGTTGAGGATGTCTCTATATTCTAAGGGAAAAGGATGGCTTTAGCCTTCTCCCACTTGCCAAGCAAGAACTTCGAGCAAATACGGTATCTTCGACGCCGACAGAAGCGGATAGTTAGGACCACGATAAATTTCCAACTCTGAAGCAAGTTGTCTCTGACGGCTAGATTCTAAACAGAGGCACTGCGTCTAAGTGGATGAAAAAACTCATCGTGTACAACTTTTATGGCCCAGCCGAATTTCCGCTTGTTGCCATAACCCGTGTGGACCCGGGTTCCTTTCAAAGAGGATACGTTGGAAAAACATCGGGCTGCTTATCATGGGTGGCCTGTCCTTTTGAACACAACATATTGTTGCCTAATGGTGCCATTGGGAAGCTAGTGGTTGAAGTACCCATGATTTTCGATCGGTATATTGGCACTAATTGTCCTCAATCTTCACTTATCAGCCCCCGATTGGCTACTTCGAGCAACTTCCAGCGTGTCTGGTCGGAAAAGTTGGCTTTATCGAACGGGTGACCTGGTCCGGTGCGATCCAGGTGACAATTTAGTGATCCTAGATGATTCAAGTTCAACTTCATGGAGAGCACTTGGAGCTATCCGAGATTGAACATAATGTTCGGCAGTTTTTGGAAAGTAACATGGCTTTGGCTGTTGAGTTTGTTGTTCCGATATTTCATGGCAGCCCAATGTTAGACCTGTTCATGGAAATTGGCACCAAATCAAGTCGACCAGAGGGCGGTGTTCAGGTAGATCTTGAAGCTCTTACAACCGGCCTCGAGAAATATCTAAGCGATTGTGTGCCCCGGATTTAAATTCATTCTGCATATATTGCTGTTAGAAAGATTCAAGAACGACCAGTAAGACAAATCGGGGTCAACTGTATAAGATAGGTGCATCAATAGACTGCTGTCGATTAGCATTCCTCTCTCCCTATTCTATCGAAGTATCGAATCAAGCTGAGCTCCAGTATGCTTTATCCAGCTATCACATTGGCAAGAAGTCGCTAAGAAAAAGCAGCATAAACGTTGCGAAAATAATACTGTGTCTTTTTGGGTCGAGTTAATACAAATTTAATCACTATACTTGATCACAATCTAAATTGATACTCACTTTTATATCATACTAGACCTATAATAATTACATAATGTTTCCCACCCAAAATTCAAGTGTAATATCAGGCGACAAGGACTGAAACCTGTATAAAAATTATTTCCTCTTCCTTTGAGTTGCAGTGCAGATTGCAAATTCTAAGATAGAGAGGGCAGGGTTACAGCTGCCTGGTGGCCATGCCATTACGGAATGAGGAAAGGCCACTTGACAACGCTAGCTGCTAGCTGTTCTAGCAAAGGCGGATATATCAGGTTTGGCATCGCCGCGCATCGGGAGAGTCCGATCTGAGATCTGAGTGGGATGGCCCCATATACCGTCCAACCGATCTAGTCTACAGTCAGCTAGCGTCACCGCGCAGTGCGTGCAGCGCGGCAGCTACTAGTACGTTACGGGTCGAGCTAACGGCAGATGGCTAGTTCTTTATTACCCACTCCGATCACATGAACCATGTGCTGCATCCTTGGATGTAACAACATTTCTTCGACAGAGCACTCTCTCAACGCTAGGTGGCAGCCGGCAACTGGAGAATGCACTTTCGGAACAATGTCCTCCCAAACCTACCTTGCCATTGCCCACCGCAAATTCAAGACCCTTCAATCTCTCATCCCAAAAGACTGGCTCCTCGACCCACTACCCGACCCCCTCCCACTCGACGTCCGCTCCCTTGTTTCGAAAAGCACTGTCCTGACTCCAGACGAATTCTCCATAACTTCCTCGCACGACGTAACCTCACTCTCTCAACTCATCCACTCCCGGGCGCTCACATCTGAAGCCGTAACCACCGCTTTCTGCAAGCGCGCCGCCATCGCTCAACAACTAACCAACTGTCTATCGGAAATCCTATTCCTACCAGCTATCGAGCGAGCACACGCTCTAGATGCTGAATACAAACGTACAGGCAAGACACGAGGGCCGCTACATGGAATACCGATCTCTTTGAAGGATACGTTCAATATCAAAGGTTATGATTCTTCGATCGGCATCGCAAGTCTCGCAGCGAATCCTGCAAAGGAGAATGCCGCGTTGGTGGATATACTTCTTGAGCAAGGAGCGGTACTCTACTGCAAGACCAACGTCTCGCAAACTCTCATGGCCTTGGATTCGCATAACCATCTCTTCGGACGTGTCTTGAACCCACGGAACAGGCGGGTTACAGCGGGTGGAAGTAGCGGTGGTGAAGGGGCCTTGATTGCCATGGGGGGCAGTGTTTTAGGCATCGGCACGGATATTGGGGGCTCGGTACGCATACCTGCCATGTGTAATGGCCTCTACAGTATCAAACCGAGTTCACAGAGAATCCCTTTTATAGGCCAAGAAATTGGGCAGCTGCCTGGTATAGATAAATTGGGGGTGCAAGCTAGTGCGGGGCTTATGGCGACGAGTATCAGAGACTGCGAGCTGTTTCTGAAAGCGATTGCAAATGCTAATCCGTGGGAGAAAGATCCGAATGTCGCTTTCGGATCGTGGGAAGGGCAAGGGGAGATAGGAAGAAAACCGTTGTTCGGAGTTATGAGAGCTGACGGTATTACCACGCCACTATCACCAGTTGCCAAGGTGCTTGATGAAACGGTAGAAGCTCTTCGCAAAGCCGGTTTTGAAGTTGTTGAGATCAATGCTCCAGCGTTCAAGAAATACCACTCACTGGCCAACTCATTTTTTGGCATTGGGGGGAACAACCATACATTCGATATACTTGAGAGAATTGGGGAACCTTTGATTCCCTGGCTTAACACAAGGTTGAGAAGAAAGAGGCCTGCAGATTTGATGCAGCTTAGCGAATTACATGTCAGAAAATCGACGTTGGAGAAGGAAATGTTGGAAATCTGGAGGGATGAGGATGGGAGAAGAATCGATGCGTTAATTTGT